GAGAACTGTACCAGAATGGCTTGAAGGAAGGATATGTTGAAGGATTGGCCCTGTTGCAGGTACAGTAGTTCCCGCCTAAGATGGCCGGGAACTACTATGGTGCCACGCTTTTGATTGCTTGATTATTGCTGTTCATGGGTCCTTTAGCTTTGGGCTTTGTCTTTGAAGATGGTGATAGGTCTGTGCAGCTGTGCAGCTGTGGATTGCTGGTTGTCGAGAGGAGAAGGTATTGCCGCGGGTGAGGTGTTGGGTGGGGTGACAAACCTGCCGTTTTGGGACAAGATTGGATGGCACCTTAGGGTTTTCAACTCATGCTGTGGGGGTTTCTAACTACTAAGTACCTGGGGATATGGGTGGTGGTCTCGTGAGGGTCACGATTGTTTCTTTCATTTCTTTCATTTCTATTTTCTTGGACCGAAAGGATTCGATGATCGCTATTGAGTGACCATAATGGCAAAATAGAGAGTTCGCCCTCGTGACAGTATGACAGAGTAGGTGTGTGTTCACAAGATGCAATTTGGTGGCGTAGCTTTAGGAAACGATAGTATTCGATCAGATCGCGGTTCGACAGTTCACTGCGCCTGGGAACAAGCCGCATCCGTACATAGTAATTATAATTCTAAATATTGTAACCCTTCATGTGTGCCAACTACTTAAGTGCCAAGTTATAGATATACTATGTATGTATTTGGATAAGGATTTAGTTAAGGTTCATGTCCCATGTCTGAGGTATTGTGGGGATTCTGTGTCTCATTGACGAAATGAAATGTTCCTATCTTCGGAGGATGTGGTCTGATATCATGATATACCATACTATCAGGAACCGCCGCCGAAATTTAATCTCAACATGCAATCGCGATCGATGTAATCTTTGAACCCTTATTTTTGGTGTGCGTGTATCCTTTTAATTCAGGATCTATGGATTCGAAAGGCACAGCTCAGCTGGTGGCCGGTGTCGAGGTTTCATTGGGAGCCTTGCCAGAAGTTAACCGACTCTTCCCTCGTCCCTGACTTTGACTCGACTGGGGTTGAATCGCCATTGTATAAAAATACCGGCGCCCGTGAACAATTAGTATTATTAATGGAAATTTACTGCCGAAAATACATTTTAACCACTGGTGGCCGAGTCGACTTGTGACGCCGGTTTCACAAAGCACCAGCAATTAACCTCATACCAAGCGAACCTCTAATGAAAGATCCCCTTAACGATTGTAAACCAAACATCTGAGTTTCGGATATGTTGATTTTATTTTATTTTTTTATTTTTTTAAATTAAGAATGCTCGATCTCGGAGGTTAAACCTTTGCATGTATATTTCGATCGGGATATAATACAATACATACATACTTACATATATACTTACATACATACATATTTACATACTTACGTGCGGCAATAGAAATTGTATCAGGGTTTAGGGGGATGTACATACATGTGTGCAGTATGTAGTATGTAAGTACAGACGTATTGGCAATGTTTCTCGGGGCGGTACCTTTGAGGCTTGTTTCCGCCCGCGCCATCATAACTATACAGAGTAGTACTAGCGGAGAGATGTTACAGACCTCCAAGTTCGGAAGTAGGATACAAAGCAGGAACTCGTATCCCACTCCCTGATCTTTCGAACCTTACCGATGGAGTCCTGCGTCAGCTTCCATTACATCGGGATGTAATCGGGACGATAGTAAGTTAAATATATTAGTTTTAGCTGGGGGGGCTTCGGAGAGAGATATTGTAACAATACTTGGATATGCGGTACTACCTAGTTGTCGGAGTAAATGCGATATAGGGATTGAAAAAAAAAAAAAAAAAAAAAAAACGTACGAGCGATAATTACCGGTATCGATATATTCTGAGAATCATACTACTCAGCGGCTCTCCCCGGAATTCGCTCTCCGGTACCTCTCGGGAAGTACCTGAGAATTTCATGTATTTGCTTGGAAAGTTTTTATGTTTTCCATCATGTCATTGCTCACCCACCGTCATGGCATTGTAACTTTTTGTTTGTTCAACAGATGTTTCGAACGTTTCTACACTTCTCCTTCCATCCCACTTGCCATTATGGGTCTGGTTGGCATTCGTTTAATTCCGTTGTTCCATTAGGAAGGGAACGTGTGACCTGACATCTCAACAAGGCTCCCAGAGACAAGAATCGAACTAATGAGGCCTAAGCGTGAGTAACACACTTTTGTTCCTGCTTTCCCTCATGCTCTTCCGGATCCGCTGGTCCTTGCGCTGGAAGAGTTAATTACATAATTGTGCGAGCTTTTCCTTATAGATGGTATTCTGGTTTGCCGTTCGATCGCAGGAAGTCTCGTGCGTGACAATTAGCCTCATTTCTCATTTCTGATTTTCGATTTCCGATTTGATTCTTGCCTTTAGATTTTTGGAGGGAGTTTCGGCGTCACCTGTTTGTTTGCACTCACGGTATACCCGCTGAATGTGCGGATGGCCTTTTTTTTTGGGTCACTTCTCATTCTCATTCTCAGATATTTTGTTTTTTTGGGTCTTCTGCGTGGCTTGTCTGCGTTTTCTTTTCCAATTCGTCGCATTGCATTGCCTTAGGCGAGGCCTGGGAGTCGACATGCAGGCATCGCTGTGGTGTGCCTCCTTCCACCTTGCCCACGGGCATCGGATGATGCTCCGATGTAGAGGGTACCACCGGCGATGGGGCACGGCCGGCCAGCTACTTTGTATGTCAAGAGTACTCCGTATGGCAAACTTAGATAGTAAAGAGGACTAGACCTGGTCCCTGGTCAGCCCAGAAGACTGGAGAATGCTTCGAAATGTGAGGGTAGGCCCAGCAGCAGCATGCACCGACATGAGGGAAGTTCGGGACTAGCACATTTATGGAACCCACCCTTTCTTCAAGGAACTTGTGGAGGAGGATTGTGTAGCTAGCTGTAGACAGATACATGTAAAAGTACATGTACACTTACTTATTTACTTGCAAAAAAGAAGACACCCACCCAAGACCGAAAAGAGAATTGGGTAAGTGTCAGATATTGGGGAAAAACAGATTCGCCTGTCCCGTTTCCGCTTGGCTGTCCGTCTGTCTGTCTCTGTCTGTGGAAGACGTATCGAAGGGACGCCATCCATCGGATGTCTGATCTGGTGTGTGGGATGCAGTCGAGTCCGGTCTGTGACTATACCAGTTAGTCTTTCCTTTCCGCTGCCTGGCCGGCCTGTTACATACTCACACCAGACAGACGGACCAGACCAGACCGGACCCATGTCTGCTTAGTTAACTAGCGGCAGCCAGCAACAGGAACTGGACTTGACCCCAAGATTGGATGCATTGTATGCATTGCCCTGTTGTCTCTTGTCTCTCACCTGTTTCTTCTCTCTTCCTTTTCTTTTCTTTTGGGTTGAATCATCAGCAGCCTCTTGTCTGTTGTAATTCACCGGCGGACAGCAGTACGGTTTCTTGTTAATCTGCTGGTTTTGTTACCATCTTTGGCTTTTCATCTTGTTCTTTTGTTGTATTGTCTTTTATCCTCGGTCTGGTTGCATTCATTGTCAGTATAGTACGATACCATACGGTACATAGCTGCATAGCTGCATAGGCATACATACATACGTACATACATACATACCTACATACGGTAGTCGATGGATGGATGGATGGATGTGGATGTGGATGTGGATGTATAGGTCGTCAATGATACTGGTGGTGGATCTTGCCTGTTGAGGATTCCCGCCTGCCAGCCCAGCCAGTCCAGTCCTGTTCAGTCTCACCCGAAACCTTCCCTCCAAACCACACCAAACCAACCCAACCACACTGCACTGCAACTGCACTTCACTTCACCGCACTTCACTTCACTTCACTCCGACGAGACCAAGACAAGACAGATACCAAGCCATTATACCTTCATACGATCTCGAAAACCTCCTCGTTCGGCGACGAAGATACATACAGAGGACGACATTTCGAATTCCCGGCCAATCCTTCTGTTTTCTTGTTCGAAGTCTCGCTGGTCCCGTTCCAACTTCCCATTCTATCATTCCCCGGCTTCTCTTTCTTCTTTCTCTCTATTCCTCTTCTCGCATCATATCATATCATAACATAGCATATCATACCTGACCATACCACATCCTATATACACGAACTCGTAGTTTTATCTGGTTCTCTTTCGTCTTGTCGGCTTCCAGTCTGTTTATTGCCGTTCCTGATATTGTTCCTGGCTGGCTGGTTGGTTTGCCGTTTGAGGATCTACGGCCTTCGAACCCAGCCCTTTGAAACCTCCAAAGGCAAATATCTGACACAAGCCTCACCATCCTTCCTCCCTTGTCTTCTTTCCCCTTCCCTGCTTCCTACTTCACCATCACAAAGGAACTCCCGTACCATTCTGTAAACCTATCGCCATCCTCATCTTCGTCTTCGTCTTTGTCTTCATCATCCGTCGCCACTGAGGCATTCGCAGCACTAGCCTAGGAATCATCTTGTTTTGGTCCGATCCCCCAATTTCTAATCGGCCGCTAGTATCGCTCGACCCACTCCTACCCACTGACGCTACTCCCACGACTTCTACCACCACCACAACGGAAATCCCGGACCTTGCTTTCCTTCTGTTCGCTTCAACATAACACTTTTCCATAGAAACCCGACTTTTATTCGAGTAGATCCATCGACAATCGTGCACGCTGGCGCAGTTCACAATCTAAGTTCGTGGTGCGAGAGGTCCTCTGCGGGTACCAACCTACAGGGACCTCGGGAGGGAAACAGAGAGAATAACAACTTCTTTGGTTACTTCTCTGTGGTTTAGACACCCCCCTGAATAGAACATTTAAAGAAAAAAGAATAGCGAAGTTGTCTGGTCGATTTTCAGGATACACTGCGGCTGGAAACCGAAATTTCCGAGAAATTTGCTCGCTCTGTTTGGACGGACTTCTCCTTGTGCGACGACGATAGTCCAAGGGGGAGGACACTTCTTTCCGGAACGCCCATTCCCGTATCCTTCCACCGTATACCCGAGACGAGACCTTGCATTGGCGAATCCACGATGCTGAACTTAAACATACCCGACGAGGGCCTCATGGTCCCCGGGCCGTCGTTGCAGGCACCCGACGAGAAACCTACTGCACGAGCTGCATACCCGGCGCCGTTCGCCGTCAAGATCAATGTTACCGAACGATTTCTAGAAGAGCTGTCAGCCGGAAAGCTGAATTCCTTACAACTCAACACAGGCAAAGGGCGCATGGTGTGTTTTATCCCTCTTGTTTCCGATTCAATTGCGGATTTTGGTATACGCAGTTAATAGGATAATGAGGGTGAAGGACTTTTTACTAACGTGGTCTCCTCTTTTCTCTCTTTTCTTTCGTTGGGGAAAAATCTAGTCTCTGCAAGTAGGAATCAATCAGTTTGAGTTCATGCACACCCATGAGCTGTTCCACAATGAGCTTTATCGACAGTCCGACAACGACAGTACCGTATTCCCGTTGGGATTGTTGAGGGATAAGCTGGAATTGATGGAGGTCGTGGAAAAGAAGAACGCGGATGCCGATCTGTTGGCTCTTAAGCAGCAGATGGAAGCTCTGCAGAAACAGAAGGATAAGAAGAGGTATATATAGAAACCACCTCTCCCAACACCCGAGGCCATTATGATCATCCATCCCATTCATTCGGATATTGACCCTGGTTTTGTTTGAATAGTGTCCAACTTGTCTCGAATCCATCCAAGCTCGGACCCGAACTATCTGGACGAAGAGGTTTGATCGCTGCGAAAAAGGCGGGTATCTTAACGGCTCCTTCGATGAAGACCAAGGTCAACAAGAGGACGAAGTTTTCCGACTCGATGCCTTCGTCGCCGGCATTAACGGCTGTAACTTCACCGGCGGGCAATGTGACATCTGCACCTAAACCGAAATCGTTCCGAAAGGATCCTCTATTCCTACCGTTAATACACTTGCTTGCTTTAGGACCGGAGAAGGAACAAACATTGGCGATGAAGACACATACCGACTTGGATAAATGTTCTGGGATAGTAATACAGCTTGCTAATCGTGATGTATCCGGCCGATGGGCGCTTTTCGATAGCATGTACAAAGAACTTGACGTTTGGAGATTCAAATACCCGAAGCAGGAGATGCGAGAGGCGGCAATCGAGAATGCAGAGGATGCTTTTGATAGGCTGAAGTTACCGGAGGATGCACCTGAATGGGAAATGCTTCGAAAGCCAGAGGACAGAGGGAAGCCGAGACCACCGCGACAGCCTCGACGGAAGCCGGAACCAGTTGTGGAGCCGGCGAAGAAGAAGCCAGTAGCAGCAGCTTCACCTGCCCTGCCTCCGACAATAAAAATCAGCAAGGAGGAACCGGTGACAGCGTCTCCCGCTTCGAGTGCGGAGCCAATGGCACGGTCGATATCACAGCCTGCTGCGACAACAGGGACAAAGGCGCGTGGAGGTGCTGAAATAGCTGCACTGAAGAAGATAATTGGAAATAGTAATAAGAAGGGTGCTGCAAAGCCTAAAGCTGCAACTACAAAAGGGACCTCTGGCCGAGAGAAGAAGACAACCACCTCTCCATCAACCTCTTCCTCGACGATTATGTCCACCAAGTTTCCAACATCGACTCCCACTGTCACTGCTTCTTCCAAATCCCCAATTCCTCCTTCTGCTTCTTCTACACCGTCTACGACGCGTCCCAAACCAGTATCTAGAGCTAGAGCTGGTGCCTACAAGTCTGCCGAATTCATCTCCGACTCCGATTCATCTGACGAAGACCGTATGTTGATAGACACCCCTCCTGTGAAAACAAACTCATCATCATCATCCTCATCCTCTTCTTCCTCTTCTGCACAACCTCTTTACAAGAAGTCTTCGAAGATCAATCTTCACCCTGATCGTCCTCAGAACGTTCCTTCGAAACGGCCACCCAGTGTTGCTGCTACCCGAACCGAGCACGCTCCGTCACCGCCTTCTACTAGCAACGGACACAAACGGACAACAAGTTCCAGTGCTTCCCCTGCTAAACCCTCTCCCTTGGGTTCTTCACCTCCCCTAACTGCTTCTGACATCGTCCGTCAATCATCCACAGCTTCATCTTCCCCTCTCTCATCCATTGCTACACCTGACGACGTCAGAACTCCTGTTCTTGACAACCACACTTCCTACACTTCCGTTCCCATTCACACTCCCAAACCCTCTGCCGACAAGGCTTCATCGAAGCCAAGATACATCCCAGAGCACCGGGATTCCTCAAGTCCTCAACCGAAACGCAAGACTGACGATCAACCAGTTGCCCGAAAGCGAGTCGTATCTTCTACTTCAGAGGATAGCGACGGAAATAGGAAGAGAAAGTCGACGGAAGAAGAACGACCGGTGGTGGCCAGGAAGGCCCCAAAAACATCACAAGCCGCGGACGCGACGGGTAGGGTTCGACAACCCACCCAACCTGAACAAAGGCGTAAGGAAGTCCCAAGGACAACCTACGCATCATCAACAGCTTCGACCACGAGCATGTCGAGCTCATCGAGTGACACCTCCTCGCGAGGTGAACGAACGAAGTCCCGCTACGCGCGGGCCGACATGGAGTTGCTTGTTAAATACAAGCGACTCCATGACGACTACAGGACGCGGTACGAGAGAGTCCGCTCCGACCCGAATCCTCCCGAGGATCGGGTCAAGCAGGTCTTGGACCTGCACAACAGGCTGGCGGAGATGAAGATACGGATCCAAGGAACCGTACTAGCTTCCTAGTCGGAAGCTGGTACTGGTTCCGGATCGGGAGTGAATCTGGTTCCTCCTGCCGCTGCCCCCCAGCCGCCGAGCAGAGCCGATGGACATTCCGGCTCCCCCAAAAAGCGGGTCGAGAACCCGATGTTCCTGACATACAGTTCAGGCGACGAGGAGGAGGAGGACGAGTACGTGCCTCCTCCCTCCAAGAAGCGAAAGGCCCCAGAGTCGGAGCCAAACAAGGCTCCTGCGCAGGAGCTAATATCGGAGATGAGGGGCAAGAGGCAGAGAATCTCGGAGAGGGAGGCGGATGGGGAGGGGGGCGAAGGCACAAAGGTCCAAAGGACTTTTTTTGCCGCGGCCAGGGAGGAGGCCAGAGAGGTCACCGAGAACGTCCAACGGGCGCGGGGATCTTTTCAGAAACCCGCTGCCCTTGCCCCAGTTCTCCCCTCACTGAGGGCAAAGTTACTGGATGACTCCAACAAGCCCAAGAAGTCATCAGTAACGTTTTTCTCGTGCAACAGTGAGGCTTATAAAGCCTCCTCCCATGATTTCCGCCCCAGGAACGCCCAACACTACGTCGTCGAGACTCGCAAGAACAAGCACAAGCCCAAGTTCTCGTCGAACTGGGCTACCTACCGGCGGTAATGGGGGTTGTCGGAATGGCTACCGGAGCCTCTCCTGTCCAAACATATTTTTATCCTGCGCACTCATCGGCCGACCAGGCCTCAGGGCCTCCCCCGTCTTGCTTAAAACGCTTTGCTTTCAGCATTCTATTCTATCTATTCATCAACAGCGGCGTTATCAACGGAGCGAGGATTTTTGCTGTACAATGCGAATTGCTTTCGCTTTATTGCTTTTATCATGAGCGACATGGATTCTTCGGCACCATATTGATTTTATTAACGACTAATGAACTGAACTTCTCTGCCTACGTCGCCTTTTTTTGTTTTATCCCAACAGTTTATCCGGATGGATATCTCCTCTCCAACTGCTCCTCGGCCTGTCTACCCGAGTTTTTTTCCCCCTTCCTTCCCGAATCGCTACCCGCGTCTAATTCGATTCGCCTTCTTCGGTCTTGCCAGCACTCTCGTCAATGGCCGTCGAATCATCCTCACTTCGCTTATTCGGGAAACATGCCCCGGACGTATCTGCTTTATCCTCTTACTTTTTTTTCTATCTCTGCAGAGCCTTATCTTCTGCCCTAACATCCTGTACTTCTTTTCATCAATTGAATGTGGCTCCTAGCTCTCTGCTAGTCCTTGCTTCGTTTTCCGGGATCTCAAAAATTGCGTTCCACGTATCTGCTTTGCTGTAATCTGTTTTTCCCAATTGAAGCACCAAAAAACGTATATTGCTTTCTCTGTCCATTGCGATGTCTTTCCTACTGCATGCCTTTGCCTTTGCCTTTGCCTTTGCCATTTAATCATTCGTCTCCCTTTTTATAACTTTATCACAGATGCCTCTATCCCCAAGCACTCCCTAACATTCGACCTTTTCGAAACGGTAAATAAGAATGATACCCCCTCCCTTTTTTTTTAACAGAACACAAAAATCACACCTTGATCTTTCTAACACCCTCCCAAAATAAAAATCACTAAATTCATCAAATGGTGTTTATTGCTTTTATTATCATCATCCTTCTTCTTCTTCTGCCGCCTTTTTTCTTCTATATTCACTGCGGAATTCTTTTTTTATATATATCTATAACCTATACGTAACGTTTAATGAATACAGGAGAGGGCGAAAGTCGGTTTGATCGAAACAGATATTATCATTATTACTTTTTTTTTTTTCCAAGTGCAGCGATCTAGGGATGGAATACAGACGAAAAAGATGCCTGCTTACTTACTTACCTAGGTAGGTAGGCTGATACAGCTAGGTATGGGGGATTGATGGAATGAGAGTCCTTCCAGCTGAGTCTGTTAATTTACCAGTTCCCTTTTTTTTTCTTTTGGTCGTTAGGATACTGCTTTTTTTCTTATCCTTTCTTCTCTATTTTGACCTTTCGTTTTTTTTTATTGTTTTTGAAATATGTATAACAGATATTTATGATTCTGTATACTACCCGAACCTCTTATCCAGACTACGACAGAAGAAGGAAAGAAAGAAAGAAAGAAAGAAAAGGTGCTAGCTGTATTGATTTAGTTTAAATTTAAGTATGGCTTTTTGATATCATATGGGTCTTTCTCTCTTTTTTTTTTTTTTCTTCGTTGATTTTGATGGGATTTGAAGGGGAGGGAGAGGGAAAGAGAGAAAAAGAATGGCTTTGTGAGTAGGTAGTTTCTTGGTTTTTACGGATTTTTTACCTTTTTTTTTTTTTTTACAAGTGGAGAAAGAGAGATAAAGAAAGAGATAAAGAAAGAGATAAAGAAAGAGAAGAAAAGAAAAGAAAAGAAAAAACAATTAATAGAATATTTTGATATTGAAAATGGTTTACTTTACGATTGTTTTGTAGATATATCAATATCGATATCGTTTCGAAGTATTTCCATGCATGTGGGGGACGTATGGCTATAGTATACCTTGGCCATGGCCCTGTGCCTTTTCAACGAGCACTCAAGTCCAGTGTATGCATACCACCGGGAGATATTCAAGATCCAGCTGAACATGAAATACATTGCATTGCATCTATTATACTACGACCGTTTGGAAATAGAGTAAAACCTGCTTTCGGCACCACCGAAGCCACTCCCGACTTCGATTCTGAAGCATAAGTCAATTGTATACCCATTCAGTGTTACGTTTCGACTTTCCCCCCCGCCGGACCTTGTACATAGTACCAGATATGCACCATTGTCGGTCGAAAAAGGGAGGGGATTCCCTACCCCCCTTGAAGAATAATAATTAGCCAGCTTGATAGATGCTCTTTGTTTCTGTTTCTTTTTCCTTTTTCTTTTCTTTCGGGGTTTTCTCCCTTTCTTTCTCTTTCTTACAGATACTTGGATACAAGGTTCCCTCTGTCATGCAGTTCAGCCCTGCGGGAGGTGGGGCGCGGCGCTGCTCTTTTTTTTTGCGAGCCGTCGGATTTCTACTGTCTTCTTAGCCTTTTTTTTGTTACTGCATTCGGAGGGGGTGCATGCATATGTATTGTTTGCAAAAAAACAGGTGTGTTTTTGATCAGCTGAATGCAATGCATGCAATGAGATGAGTACTAGGTAGGTATGAAGTCAATTCATGATGCGGCAGTTAGCTAACTAGCTAGCTGCCGAGTCGTCGTCGGAACTGCGGGACTGTGGTAATTTTATAGATGTACTCCGTAGTTCTCCGCTTTTTCAAGGTTGGACGGATATATATATACTTATATATCAAGGGAATATTATGAAATACATAGTATGAAGAGGTATTGATTAATTGAAAATAGAGAGAGGGAATATAATAAGTACAATTAATTCTATTTTGTTTAGCTGGTTAGAGCCCGAGTCCCTCGATGATGTCTTCTACACCGGGATGGTTCTAACCCCCCGGCCTCGTGTAGCTGTTCAGTATATTAGGGAGATACCCTTGGCCGGCTAGCTATAGCGGCTTGGATTGATATACATCGATATCTAGTCGCAATCGTTTACGACATGCATGCTAAGAACCAGTACCCCTCCGCTCCATCATGTGTCACACGCCATCTTCGTCATACATACCTAAGTAGGTACATACCATGCTGACTGGAAGTGCTAGGTAGTACTAGTTTTTACTTTTTTTTTTTTTTCTCCTTTTCTTTCTAACTAACTAATGAACCCGTCGTATCCGGATGGCACTGTAGCTTTTTTACGTGCATCTATATGGATATAGTATACAATACAATAGTTTAAACAACCAACTAATAATATACTCTAGGTTCACCAACCTATAGCTAAAACTCAGCAGGATCTATCATATATATCATGGTGCCGGCCTATATAAGTTCGGGATTGACCTTGCGGGGTTAAGGATCCGTACATACAAAAAATCCTCACCTTTTAGAACTCGATTTAGGAAGATATGCATGACGACGAAACATAATATCGATGTCTATACTCCCCCGGGGGGGTTGAGGCCTAGGGTATCCTAGCTTACCTGGGCCAGCCAGGAAGCAAATACAACTTATGCATATAGTACCGGGGGTGGAGAAACATTACCGGTAACACCACAGGAGCCCACATGGAACCTCTATAGATATTTCCGGGGCAGAAATATCGAAACCAAGAATTAGTTATATTTATGAGTGTTTTTTTTTTTCGTATAAAAAGCCCAATGTAATGTTCACAACATGTGAAATGGAATAGTTATAAACCCCTTTTTTAACTACAAAACCAAAAAGGAAAGACGCCATCCTATGCCTATAAGTAAACGCCATGTAACTAAATCGCTAAGTTGGCAGGAATAGAGAAAAAAAAGAAAGAAAGAAAGAAGGGAAAAGAAGGTGACCCTAGAAAATCCACTGAGCAAAGGTGGAAACGGATCGGGATACAAAAGCATCAATACAATGGGCCGTCGGGGAATATAAATATAATAAGAGCCTCCTTTCTTCGCCAATTTACCAATTATTTCTTGGAGGGAAGAAGAGCCGACGGAAGAAGAATGAGAGAAGCAAGTAGTTGGAGGGTCTTGTGATATCCGTAGTTGTCAAGACCCGGTCCTGATGACGGCCTTTTTCGTTTGAAGCGATTACTTCTGTAGTTCTTACAACGGGGAATAGGAGAGCCGCGGATTAGAGCTGAATCTTTGAAAAGTCCTACTCGCAAAGATGCTATTTAGAGGAGGAGGAGGAGATGTTAGCTTAAGATCCACAACTTCATAAAAGGCACTTATGGGGGGAGGGGGAAGCTTACACTCCACTCCGGGATCTCCTTTAATTTAGAAAACAAAAACTTCTCAAGCTTATTAGCATTCTTGAAGTATGTTGTCGTTTCATTGTTGTAAGAACGACAGTTGTTAAAGATCAGTTTGGCATCGCGGACAAATTCTTCAGGTTGACTATAGTGGTCAGCCTCCAAGCGATTCTCCATGGTTTCGAGGTCCATCGGTTCTTTGATAACCTCATAGTAGTCTGCAACATCTTCGCGGCTGACTGGTCGTTGGAATGGCCAGGCGGAGGGGTGGTTTTGCATCTCGTTGAGGATATGTTGGAGCTGCGCGAAATGTGGGGCGTGTTTGGGTTGACGAGCCATTTCGTCCATCTCCGGAGACCAACCGGAGTCTTTTATGGCCGGTATTGAGAGTGGGTCGATTTTGCAAATGCCATTCTTCCATTGCTTAGGCGGGGCGTGGACAATATGGCTACGAGAGATGGCACGAATTTTTGCGTGAACACACTCCTTTTGCTTCGCAAGCATCTTGCCAGCTTCGAGATATTTGATGCGGGGAAGCATGGAGCATTGCATGAGAGTACCGCCTTCATAGTCCTTGATGTATCCCATCCAGATTGATTTGTCGAGAGTAATCTCCTTGGTGAACCCTTGTTTCTTGAAGTAGCCAATAGCATAATTGTCGGCGTAGGTAAGGAAATACATGACATCGGAAGTAGCTTTGACATAATCCTGCAAAAATGAAGTTAGTAATCTGACACTATAGGGCATAGATATATGGTTTAAGTTACCTTTAAGTGAGACATTAGGTGAGCACCGTATCCCTTGACTTGTTGATCTGAGCTAATAGCACAGAAGACAATCTCGGCGAATCTACGACCCTTGAAAGGGCGATAGGTGATCCCACCAACTACCTCCAAAGGCTTCTTGACAATAGCTATGCTCAAGTGAGTTCGATCGTAGACTAATCTAGCAATATAATCCCGAGGCATCTTTGGGAGCTGCTTCTGGAAGATGCACTTGAGCCCCGTCAAGATGATCATTGAGTCTTTCTCATTGTCATTGGCAACGACACGGAATTCAATTACACCAGTCCTTTCCTCAATAACGGCAGGCTTTTCTTTAAACTGGATGACTGTCTTTGCTGGAGCGGCTTCTTCCTCGCCAGTAGGCATAGAGGTGTCTGGGGTGGTCGCGGCGACTGACTTAAGCCGCTTGGGAGATGGTTCTGACATAGAAATATCGCCATCATCCGAGGCCCTTCGAGCGTCTGAAATCACATATTATAGCATTAGGATCACGTTCGGTTCATAAACAGTAACTATATGGTGCTCTGCAGGCAAGACTCACGCTCATCTTTAACACCAGGTGCCATCGCGGTGATTAGTCAGCCGGAAGTTATTTTTGAAAAGGATTGAAATGAGTCTCTTAGAATGGCTAGAAGATATAAGGAAGTGAGTTAATATAGAGGTGCGATCAATATAAACGCGCTGTGATGTGTTGACGGGAATAGCAAGGTTTGGTTGGTGGAGCGCGGAGGATTTGATATGGGATGTGAAGTGAAGCCTGTCGGGGCGGAATATGCAGCGCAGCTTCATCGCCACAATGTGTTGATAGAAGGTTGGGTCCAAGAATGGATCTGTGGCTGGTGACACCAAAGCCGACGTGTGGCGACTGTGGCGGTGCAAACGGGCATCACCAACGCCCAACACGACACCCAAGGTGGCCTCATCTAACATCCCTCGATATCGCACATACCAGAGTACACTACGCTACACATACATATCAGACGTCAGACACCGGAAATTGCAGATAAACAGAACCACTACCGAATACATAACTTCTCCACCATTCATAGAAGGGCCAATTCACATCTAGAAGAATGTCTACACCGAGTTTAGAGCTGTGGAACGCGGCCGCGAATACCCCGTTCTCTCCGATTATTGGGAAGAACCTCCACTCTCCCGTAGCGTTCCTGCTCCTTTCAATTGGTATATTAGCCCCAAGAATGACTGCCATATAATATACGCTATGATTCTAACAATATATATTAAATTTTCAGGATCAATTCTCACAATTCTTTTTTCCATAAGTACGGTCTATCGTTAAATATATACACATACCATTGATCTTTGAAACGAAAGTCTCGGATTTGAAGTTTTGTAATTGACTGGTTGATACAATAGACAAATCGTTAGCCCTCACTCTGGTTATATCAATCCCGGCTTCAATTGCGTTTGGGTTTGTGATATCCTGTTCTTCTCCGTCATTTCTACCTCATAAACTGATGCTTGCGAATAGGATCGGCTCCGTATATGCTCTAGCGGCTGGAGGAGTGTATGTTTGAGGCGAAAACACTTGATGATACCCGCTTCTAAGATCATGATCCTTTCAAGCAGCCTCGCTTTTCCCCCTTGCATGTAAACTAATGCCTATGACATATTAATAATCACAAAAAACCCAACCAACAGTAACAGGTTTTTTCGTTTCAGATCTGCTCCAACTTTTTCTAATCAATCTTTTTTTATTCCGAATTTCCTTTTTGGATTTTTCCTTTAATTTTCCGTTCCCATCACGTGCTGCGCCTTGCCCATTTCCTGTGTTATTTCCACACCGCAACACGCTTCGGGAAGGATAAAACCGCCAACGGCTACCTTGTTTAGCGTCTTTGCCATCATACACTATTCCTGCGGATGTAAGCCAAGCGGATACCGAGCGGCACATTTGACGTCTTACCAGGCTCTCCAGGAAGTCTGAAGCTGGCGAGCTCACGATATCGGCAGCCATATCCAACAAGGTAGGTATAGCCTAGCCAGGGTGACGCACCTCAAGTAGTAACAATTTACGTTACATGCATGTACATACATGTTGGACACCAGTTGGTCTCCTTTGCTTCGCAAAAAACAAGTGGCCCAGCCCATCTTTTTTTCTAACTAAAAGTCAGCTTTACCGGAGGGAGCTTATTATAAGAAGATCGTAAGGTGGCAGAGACAAAAGGAAGGGTCTTCTGGTTGTTTTGTTCCCGTGTCTTTTGCTATTCTTCTTCTGGTAGCAATCATCTCTCCTTCGTTTCCCACCCCCCTTCGTTCGGTGCTTATATAGCAGTTTTACGCTCGTTTTATTTTTATTTTTCTTAACGCAAGGGACCTGTGGATTTTGAGGCTCGCTCGTCTTGCTTTAAACTAAAAGATAACAGGATAAAATATACTTTCAAATACTACCCCCTTGGAACGACTTTCTCTATTCTCCTTTTTTTTCCTTCCCTAACCCAATTTTTCAAGTTTACATCTGGGGAAAGTCTACTACCTGCAAAATGCATTTCATCGGAGCCGCTACTCTTCTCTCGCTCATTGCCGCAGTCTCGTCTGCTCCAGCTCCAGCACCGGTCCCACCCAGTCGATTCGCAACAGGCACCGCCTTCTGGCCGTCCTTCAAGATAGACGGCTTTGACCAAGCTGCCGTCACATACTACGGTTACTTCTACCTCGGTAAAGATACTTCCACCGTCGGTTGTGATCCTAAAATCGAGGCCGAAGATAAAGAAAAGGGTACAAAGAAATGTGACACCATGGGATCCTCACACTGGGTAATCTGGTACGCCGGCACAGCGATCCTCGACGTTTCGGTTCCAGGCGGTCAAATGCTCTACATCGACCCAAGCGGTGCGTTGAGATATACAGCTCCAGGGAAACCAACGCCCCCTCTTGATGCCGAAATCAGGGGTTTCAGGGTTAGACAGGATCCGACGGACAAGAAATTGTATTTCTATCATACTCGAGGATCATTTGTGGCTTGTCCTGAGGGTGCAGCGGGTTCGGGTGTTTATAAGCTCTTTGTGGATACTAAGGATAAGATGTTGGAGAGAGAGAAGAAATGTGTACCGGTTCCTGGATCTGGGAGACCTACTGGGATTAGTGGGGCTAATTGGTATAGTTATTTGACTGAACCTAAGAAACAGGGAAAGAGGAGCTAAATGATGGCTACGGCTTTTCGTGGAAGCATGGAAGTCGTATGTGTGTACTTAAGTATTTAAGTACGTACAAGCATCGCTATACATCTGGTAGCTCTATATATAGCTATACAGATAGCCATTCTGATGAGAAAGTACTCGGATGGAATTGAAGATATCCTAAAACCCACATCTTTGGGACTTTATGGAATTAACTACTTAAGTAGCTTTGAATGTTCAATGTAATTAGTTTTCATGATAACGAATTCAGTTCAGTCCAGAAGTCTATATATCTTTTATCCTTCAGATATTATTTAACTATGTGCAATATTAATAGAAAATATGAATTCGAATTGCAGTTAAGCTACTGGTTAATATTCTACTACTTTATAGCTATAGCTTATAATATGGGTAACACTGCAGTGCATTGAAGTTCCTCTCTCCTCAGTAGCATTGCATTGTAAATACGTACCCAGAGGTTCTAAGCTAATCTACGTCATAGAGCCCGAGCTGACGAGCTCTGACCGACTCCAGTGAAGCCGAGCTAAGGCAGCTACCCGCTTCCACGTGACTCACGCGTGTGTGTAACGCGTCCACTTTATAACACACCCAACACACTCTTCCTCCCACATGCACCCTCGACGACTCGACTCACAACATCATGACCCAAGATCCCACTCCCTCCGCCGCCCCAGGCCCCGTTTTCTCTGCCATATCATCTTCTACTCGTCACATCTATGACCTATTAAAATGCATAGGCTTCATGCCTATCGCGAGTGTCAGCATCTCCGCCGACAACATCCGCTTCTCGGTCGAGGATTCACATTCGATGCAGGGTATATACTTATTTACATATCCCGTTTTTGTCTTCCTTTTTCGTTTCTTCTAGTTCTGTGAAATAGTTGCTAATAATGTTTATGTATATCTCTGGATTCATGGGTGGGGTGGATACAGCTAATGTCTGTCTAACACCTGATCTCTTCTCCTCGTATAACTATACACCCTCAACAATACATCTAGAATCCGCAGGAGCTCCTCCTCCATCATCTGCTGAACAGTTCAACCTGGAATCTGAAGAAAACAATGTAAAATTCCAAATATCTTTATCGGCACTTCTAGAATGTCTACAAATCTTCGGTGCGGATGGGAGTAACAATAGCGGTGGTGGTGGGGGTGGTGGGGGTAATAACAACAACCGTCAAGGAGGAACCAGTATATCCGGTCGAGAGAATATACCCTTCGGAAGGCAACAAGGACCGTTCTTTGGGAATCCTAATCTATTTGAACAAAATGGTTTAAGATTACCCGGAACCTGTAGGTTTGTTTATCAAGGTGATGGATTTCCGTTGTCTATTATGTATGTCTGCATTCCCTTCCTTCTCCACAATTACCCTTGCTTTTTACTTAAAATCACTTAACTTTTTTTTTTTTTTTTTGATGGTAATGTAGATTAGAAGACTCCGGCGTGACCACAACTTGCCACCTAACAACCTTCATCCCCCAATCTTCCACCGACTTAATCCCTTTCAACCGCACAACCCTAACCCACAAAACAATCCTAAAATCCGCTTTCCTTCACGACGCCCTCCTAGAACTTGACCACCTCTCCCCCGAAACCCTAATCTACTCCGTCTCCCCGCACAAGCGTCCAAACTTCTCACTATCAGCAACCGGAATCCTCTCATCGGCAACCGTAGATTTTTCCTCAAACAACAAGTTCGTAATGGAAACTTTTTTGGTAAACGAAGGGTTCGTGGGGAGGTATAAATTCGGATTGGTAAGGAAAGCTATGAGGGCTATGGGGGTTGCGAGTAAAGTGAGTTTGAGGGGGGATGGTGAAGGTGTGCTTAGTATGCAATACCTTGTGGAAGTTGGAGAGAAAGGTGCGGCACCGACTTTTATTGATTTTAGGTTTTTGCCGTTGAATCATGAGGAGGATTATGAAGATGAGGAAGGGGGGGAGGGGTATAGTGGTATGGATGGTGCGGAGGAGGATGAGGATGGGGATGAGATGATGGAGTAGAGATTTATGTTGATGGATAGTGCACCCGAATCAAGCATACGTTTTGATCGATAAAATCTTTATTCTAGATTTTTGATATGAATCTACAAGTCTTATCACGAAGCATCTCGATTGAACCTCGAACGTATATTTTGATGGTTGGAGGAGTAGAGTATATTTTTAAAAACCATCCCTAGGACACCAAGGAGAAGAAAAACGCTTATCTCCAAAAATAAACAAGAAGAAAAATTGTTATTTTCAGAGTATAAAAAAAATCTCTCCGATATCCTAATACTATCCTAATACCTGTGGGGAAAGGGCATTACCTTGTCCTTCCCTCTCTCAATTTTCTTCCTCCACTTTCGGCTCTATACATGGCCAAATTAGTTGATCAAAGATTTACAAAAATATACAAATATGTTCGAAAGCCGGAGCAAATAAGAATAAAGACTTAGAAAAAAACAAGAAGAAAAACGAATTTGAGGCTATACATGATGGCTTTTTTTTGGGTTACTCGCCGTTCGCGCCTGAAGGAAGGTTGCAAGAAACATTTAAACAAGAATCAATATTGAACTCCGGGTAGAAAAAGGGAAACAAAAGACGTATTATACATGTATCGAAATGATGTGGCAAGAAATGGGCCATGTGCAAATCACAGGAAAGAAAGGTGAAAAATGTGAACACAAAAAAAACTGCAAACAAAACAAAGCCCCGAATTTGAAATTGGAAAACTACCATGTAACCTTAGCATGCAAGATCGCCCAAGAAATCAAAGCTTCTGATATCAAAAAAAAGCAAATTCCCAACAGTAACTATTTGAAGCAGATGCTGTGAAACGTCGAGGCTGTTGAAGATTTAGGGGGATTATATCGGATGATTGGATAGATATATGATGAGCATCCACAGAGGAAGCTATGTCGTCCCAATGTCGTTAATTATATTAGGTTGCATTTTTTGTAGAGAGAGGAGTATATACGGTGAAATTTTCATATGCGTCGTGAGGAGTAGAGAATAGCAACTGAAGCTCTTCTATCTTTCTTCTTTTTCTCTCACATCTTCTGCCACTAGATAGTCGATATCTAGCTGGGAGGCCAAGGATCGAAGAATCCGCCCCCTGAACCACCTCCCGATCCATCTGAAAAGAAGTTCTCGGAGCTCGATCCACCGCCTAGGAAATCTGGGAATCCGGGGAAGCCATTGACCCCTATGCCCTCGATCCCTATCGAGATTCCAAAACCAAGTTCACCCATCCCAAAAGCGCTCATATCCAACCCATTGCCTAGCCAGTTCTCCTCCAGTGGGGTGTTGTATAGATGGTTCATCCCTTCAAACCCTAAATTCCCAAAGTTGCTACCATCGATGTTCATCATGTTCGGATTTTGCTGCGCCGATTCGTCGGTCGTAGTTGCCACGTCGCTGAGCATGTGAAGAGGCGTGGGCGCATCTGCTAGAGTATCGCTAGGCGGCTGTGGAGTTTCCGCGCCGCCGCCGGTACTATGCGGCGTAGGTATATGCATTGAAGCCGGTATTTCGTTGAGCGAACGGTATGCTAGCGACGGTGTAACAGGTGTCGATGAGAAAGAGTTTCCTTCTTGTTTTCGGGATGTATCGGCCTTTGGACCCGGGCTCGGTGGGACCACTACTGATTGCCGCCGGGCACCTTTGCTTCCTACACGCTGTTGGTATTGGTACCAGTGGCTTAACATCGTAAGAATCATAAAGAACTTGGTGGCGGGTTTGCTCCTGTCGTCAGCAGAGGCTGCCTTTAGCAAAGCTAATAGCTTTTCAAAGTAATAATCAAGCTTGAGCTGTGGTTTGTCGATTACTTTGCCTAGTTCGGAGTTTGCAGCGGATGCGGAGAAGTATATTTTGATAAGGAGAACGATGGAATAGGCTACCCGAGCAAAAAATAAAACAGGGACGCAACGGAGTTCATCAACTGTGATATTTAGAAATCCGTCCAGAAGGCCATGAGCGGAGGAGAGGCAGCTAAAGAGGGCGTGAATGTGGGTCTGGGTTAATTGTGGCATAGAGCCAGGTTTGACACTATCCGGCTGGCGGATCAGCCTTTCTGTTAAAAAGGGCGGTCTAAAGTCTTCTGTCGAATGATCACCGTGTAGTGCAACCTCATGCATGAATAGAGATAAGGTGTAGCTGGCCAACCGTACGGTCTTGGTTTCACAATCCGGAGGCAGGTTCTTTTCCCACTCTTCTAGCTGTCGTTCAAACCCTTTCAGGGCAAATTGTATTCGAGTCTCCGCAAGGTTAACTTTGGCAACCGAGTCCTCGTAGCCAAAGGCGATTCCGACTTCTTCAGTTATTCTTTGAAGTTTGACCCATTGGCATATAATCCTATCGTGTAGTGTCGCTTCAGGCGATTTTTCAATAAATTCTACACACTCCCCCATATACGCTGAGTATCGTAGAAGGTTAGGCCGTCGTAAAGACATCGCAACGCTAGACAAAACAAATATGATTAGCAGATATTTCCCTTGCGCTGTCTTTTACAAAGTACTTACTTCGAACACATCCAATAGCATGTCAAATATGTCCGTCTGGACTCCAGAGTTCCAGGGTCCGGTAACCACGTTTTCTTCCAGCTCTGGAGCTCCTTAGGAATTCCCTTTTCTCCCGGACCCGAGCTCATTAATTGTTGGAGTCTGTTTAAACCATTACAATCATTTGAGATACCAGAACCGACTCCACTTAACCAAGGTATCCTCGGCCTCCCGCCCCTATGTGGCTTGTTTATTCCGCAATCGATTGCCATGACAGCCGCTATGTGCGTAAGTTGGTAGAATTTGAGTTCTTCGAATTGATCCGGTGGGTAATACCAGAGGGTCGCGATGTTGAGGACTTGGATGATCTCCAAACTTTTCTCGCCATTTATGATTACTCGATCTGCTATGCCACGTATTACTTCCTTGTTGAGCAGTCGATTCAGATCCGGGTCAAATATCGCCGAGGACGCTGCGAGGATGGCTAGGAAGAGGAAAGGTTTCTGTTTCCGGATATCCTGAGCGGTAGTTCCGGTTGGGAAAGTGACGGCAGGGAAATGGGGTGCGAGGTTGTCGTTATAGTGATTGAACATCCTACTCGCCAGTTCCATAGTAATAAGCTTCCTATCGACAACATCCATATCACCAGATCCCTGAGCTGGAGAAGTAATGGAGCTTGGATCAGTTTCTGGAGTTGGCATTCTATGTCGAGCGTGATGCTGCCGCGGAACCGCGAATTGGGGCCTTGGGGGAGCCGATGCAGATGTCAAATGTTCCATCCTCGCACCACCGAACATTGACGAAGAAGTAGCCTCGGTCGTCACGTCCTCCATATGATCGTGGGCGGAACTACTCCGCCGGCTGTCCCCTGCTGCTGCTGCTGCATCCTTGCTCATCAGTCTCTGGCGTTTAGGTTCAGACTCACGGTATTGATCAGAATCTCCCGCTGGAAAGCCGTGGGGAATGGATCCTGTGCGGATTTGGGAGTGTTTTCGGGATCGAGTGCCCTCTTCGTGGTCGGATAACTCGGTGTCGCTGTCTCCCGGGAACTCGTTAAGGGGCTCACGATCACTATCTCCTCGTCTTTTAGCGTTTAGTGTCGCTGTAAGTTTGTCGATTTTTCGTTCGAGTTCTGCCACTCTAGAGTCCGTTCGTTTCTGTCTCTTCCTCGTCGGAACAGTGAAGATACACTCTCGACGTGCCTTCGCACAGCGACGGCAACTCCCTTCTGGATTCGCGAGATCCGGCTCACATCTGACCTTTAAGGACCGACAGGACTCGCAAGCCCTCGTCCGCTTCTGATCTTGAGCCGATCCAGCAGCCGTATTGCCAACGTTCAGCGAATTCGAACCGCCCTGCTGGCTATCCGGTGTCGCGTTGGCACTGTGAAGGGCCTCAGGAGAAACACCAGACCCAGAAGGTCTATATGGCGTCGAAAAACTCGCCATGGACCTTGCTGTGCTCGCGGAACTCGGGCTCACGATATTCGCGGCCATGGCACCTAAGCGTGGATCCATCTGCGAGTTGTTCTCGTCATCAACCGGACTAAACAACATCATCGGATCCTCATCGGTCTCATTCTTGTCAAAAAAGTATGCACGCCCACCGCCCCGGACTGTTCCAGGAGGGTCCTGAGATCGTAAGATCCCAGAACCCTTACCGTTATTCCCGCGTCCGGCCGTGGTGACGGACTTTCCTTGGAAAGATGTCTTAGGACTATTCGGTCGGAGACGTTTGTATCACACCGACCGACAAGACCTTAAATCTGAAATGGAAAAAGAGAGTCGGGGTAGTAGTAGACCCGTGAAAGACTGACTACCTAGGAAAGCAATGGTACCAGTATGCGACCCAGGCCTGATAGATGGTGATTATGTCAGCATATAAGCATTTTTGTGCATGAGGTAGAAAATAAGCTTGCTTGGAGATAGTGTTTTAGGACAACCACTCTAGTAAAGTTAAGACACGAGACAGGCAAGCAATCTGCCCCCCCCAAAAATAAAATAAACAAAAAAAAAAGTATTTACGAAAAAAAAAAATAATAATACGAAAAGTATGTAGAAGGGGAAGAAGGATTCGGAGTTTTTGCTTAATAAGTCGGCCCGAAGTGCGAGGTCCGGCCAATATAAATGTCCGTTTTGAGGGAATCCCAGGAGGGAAAGGACAGAATTTTTATCATATGAGATAATAATATTGGGAACTCACCAGGCCAGGAAAAAAAAAATTAGATAAAAAGCAGAAATGGACCAGAGAACCAGTGTAAAAGTATGATTCACATTTGCATAGACCTTGCTGCGCAGGAACAGGATATAATCGGACTTTGTGACGACTAAATCCCCGACGCCCGTTGTATGCACCCGAATCCGTAGGCCAATTTTACAGATCGTTTCTAAGCCTCTGTGTTCCGGAACCCAAACGAGCTGGGCTGTTCCAACTGGTCGCCTATTTAATGGGCAGGTATCTTTTCGGTTCAGGATAGATTTGAAGGGGGCGGATTCGATTCCTAGATTTGGAGATTTATCGAAAAACTGCAGTGCGGATTTGCTTCGCGTATGAAATACTGTTGGAGGATCTGATCAAGAGAAGGTAGCATTCGATGCAATCAGAAAAAAAAATACAAATAAGAAAAAAATAAAAATATAATATATAAAATAAAATAAAATAAAATAAGAACAAGGGAAATAAGAAGAAGAAGATCGAGAATTAGGACCGAATGGTGAGGTTTCGAGGGTACTATACTGGATGAAACGAATGGGCAAACTGGGGGCACAGTGTGCAGTGCAATGCAATTGCGGAGCGCCCTTGCTTTTCTTCTTCTGCTTCGGCGGACGATACAAATCGGATTATGGATGTATATGCATTCAGTCCCGGGAGGGCTCCGCGACGTCAACAGGATCTGGACCGACTGGTTGATTGATTGATTCGATTGATTCGATTCGATTGATTTGATTCGATTGATGGAAAAGTTGGTTAACCAAGCAAGAGCAAAGCTGCGATGCGAGCTCCAACAGACATCAAAAAAAGTTGGATTCTGGTTCTGGTTCCGGTTCTGGTTCTGGTTCTGGTTTTGACTCAGCGCTAACAAGGGACTAATGCAGCATAGCAGCAAATGCTTCCTTTTTCCACTCAAATGCTGGCCGGGATATAAGCTTCGTTGCTTTAGGTCATAAGCCGCTTCCCTCTTCGGAAAACGATATTAATTATCTACAATGCAGTGCAGTGTAGCGCAGTTCCATACAAGTTGCAAGGGACAAGGCGACCTCGAGTGCAAAGGGGTCAGATTACAATTATGGCGAAGTCCCGAAGGATGCTAAAGGGGGGCGTGCGTATGACTTTGGCTGTGTTGCGTATGTAATCCACGCACGCAGGGAAGGTCTAGATGAAGCAGATAACTGTAATGCGCGGCCTGACTAGCATACTAACGGTTGACGGTTGACGGATGATTATCGAGATAGCATGGAGCATTAATTATTAACATGCATGCTGGTCATCGTCAACGGTAACTATAGTAATAGTACTATCCCACGCGAGCTATTGTTCATCCAGATCTCCTTTCATCAAATAAATGTCGGAGCCGAATACCACCGTCCTCTCGCGGTTACGCAGCTTCTCGAAAGGAAGTATATCAACTGACTCGTCAAAAAATACATACCGTCGAACTGCAGCTGGTATTCGTCACAGCGGACGAGGCTGCTATAACATCAAATTTACCTCTATACAATACGGTACATCTCCCTTCCCCCCGGTACATACAATGCATATATGATGAGGCATCTCCAATATTAATCACACCAGAAACACTTACGTGCGGATTATTAAGATACTAACTAGGCATACTTCTGAGCACTCGGATCGACAGTATACCGGTAGGAACTCGAAAGAGGACACGGTTTTACGCACAATGCACTCATGCATGGCTTACCCTTAAGCTTTGACTGAAAATCAAAGTGGTCCGGGTTTGAAGGTGGTCTATGGACGAGAAAGATTCGATGACGACTTCAATTCGTCCGTTCTCTTCGTGCACCGTATACTTTTGGCGGACTGCCTAGCACTCAACCGGCCGGATGGCTTACAAATGAATGCAGGCCTGAGCAGCAGGGACCAGCATTGTTGGTTTCTCAGTGCGGCACTTCGCATCCAGAAACAAATTGAATGCTCCGTACTCCGTGCTTCTGACTAAGGCAATAAGACAAGCCCTTTTTTTGATATATGGAAGCTTCAGGAAACAAGACAAAGAACTAGAGCAGGGAGGAGTTAGAGGAGTACTTGTTAACACCGGTTCATGCCACGGATAGGTTCCTGCTTCACGTTATCAAGTACGGAACCTACCGCCGTCTGCAGGACACATTTAATGCAATCCCATTCATCCCAGGCGCTCATGTGCCCAATATATCCCCCATCTTGCTCGCCAAACCCGGTCCCCTTGAAAGCAGAATACACCGTAACAGCAAGTTAAACGGGAAATGCACCGACGGTAGGCGAAATTGGGGTGGCTTGTCCCCATGTTGGTTGCTTACATGAGGAAAGGGACAATGCCCGTGTCCCTTAAGACTTTTTCGGCCGGAAGAAGGAGAACAAAGTAACTCCGAGTGCTCCGAGCAATATTACCCAAGTTGATAAGTCACTAGTCTGTGGATCTGCGCAAGTGCTAGCAGCTGCAGCGGTGGCCCGGACTAGCGTTGGTGAAGCCCCTGTTTTATTGGGCGAGAACTGCCTCATGGCGCCTGGCATGCCGAGGCATGCTCTGAAGCTCCGTAAGCTTGTTTTGATGTCGGCTGTCCGTGGACTGCGGGGCTTTGGAGGGGCAGAGCTTGAAGATGTGTTGCGGTGATGTTGAAACTTCTGTCAAAAGCGAAGGACGCACTGTGCGGTGTAGTCTCGAGAGGGCCTGAAACGTACATTACTTCCCTACTTCTTACGTGCGTATAAACTACGACGTCGTCCGAAGACTGGTGATAATAGACCAACCACCATCGCTCGCGCAGCAGGAGACAGCCACGGGACTGTCATACTGAATTCAAAAAAGATGTCGTCAGCAATCAATGCTACGACCATCCAGGAGATCATGAACGCGTCAACTGCTTCGAAACCCCTCCAACCTAGCGATATGCCTTATCCAATCTTCACCAAATCTTCGCAAAAGGAAATCGACTCCATCCTTACAACAGCCACCGTTCTTGGCTTCTCAGACAAAATCCTCATTACAATCACCCAATCAGGCCGGTTATCTCAATGGTTCCAGGTACCGCTGGACGCCGCCCACCCTGCCTTCCTGGAAGCAAAGTCCACAGCCGACGATGATGGTCTGCTACCACTTACACATCTTACACCAAAGTGTTTGCTAGGCGCAAGCACTCCTGAAAGGCAGGCACAAGGTCAATTATACGCTGTACAATTGGCGAGTCTGCTGGCAATGAGAAATATCAGGGAGACTCGAACCGTCTTAGTTGGACTAGGGCTCGACCGGGCGGAGCATACGAGCGATACCTTCCTGGAAACTCTAGAGCTTGTCGGTAGTTGTCTGCCGTAGTAATCTATTACTAAGAAATCAATCACATCTACTTCAAACCAGCTGCAGATACTTTCGTCGTACAAGCCTGTGACAAGCCTTGCGGTAGATCACAGGTTCAATTTCGCGGGGAACTGTTATTCGATAAACCGGAATCGCTAGGATAAAGCCACATAGTCTGTGACTAATCTACGGAGTCGCCGAAGGAGGCTGTGAGCCGTTTAATTTGAATCTTAATATCATAAACCTTCGATTAATCCAATGGAAATGGGAAACGGGAAACCGAACACGAAGGAGAAAACAAAGGACAGAACTGTCAAAGTGTCCGGCCAAGAAAGTTCGGAAGGCATTCGATCCGTATCTTAATATACATCATCAACGTCATCAGCGTTTTGTAAAATTAAATTTCAATTATGGAGCCCACGAGGCCTGCCGAAATGACCGAGAGACTAGACAGTTTTCGGTCGCTTCGGATGGTCCGCAGTATGACCCACTTTTGTTTCCTCAATCATAATCTCATGACACAGCCTCTGGTGCTGACTGTTCTTTGTATTCTATCGAGGAGACCCGAGACATGAGTTTGCTGCTATGACCGAGTGGTTAAGGTGTGAGACTTGAATTGACTGGTCTTCCAGTTGTAGATATCTCATGGGTTCGCCCGCAGAGGTTCGATCCCTCTTGGCAGCGTCGACGTTTGTCATTCTTTTTGTAATTTTTGCTTACCAAAGGCTTGAAGCTACTGAAAGCACATTTTTGTAATCTAGAATTCACTGGTAAGATAACCAGCAGTTGTATTATTTTTAGATGTGAAACCAAGTGCAATTACGGGCCAGACCGTTTCGCGTCGAGGAGATTAGCCTGAAGAATCGATTCATTTATCGATCCTACCGAATTATCCTATTATGCGTTGCTGTGTTGAGTCTTTACTCCGCGTTTGTCTTTTTAGTAGCTTCCACTTTAGCCAGTAATGTAAGTCACATGATCTCCCATCCGATGAGTCGCGAAACACGTCTAGCAACTGGCGCCGCAGCTGCACTTTAAACCCCGCCATGATATCTCTAGATCCTCTTTTCAGTCTCATCATTCGTCAGATAACTTGTGGACACTGACAATTCGAGGGGTTTCGATCCCTCCGGTATCGAAAAATCTGCTATGCCTCGGTCGAAGTATTCACAGATAACGGTTGTTCCTGGAACAGACTCTGAGGACAATGACCTCGACGATATCAAATATCTTGCGCCAAAGCGGCAGGAGAAAGAAAAGACCTTTAAGGCAGAGAAAGGTGTCGAAAAGAAGAGTGTTTCCAAGTTGGAACATGCAATCGAAGGTACATTGTATAAAATTGTCCAATCAATGACTGCATTGAATCAAGTATTAACGTTTTTAATATATATATTTACAGCCGCAGTAGACAGCGATGAGACTGATTCTGGAAATGATACCAGTGATCTGGATAACATCAAATCTACATCTCCAAAGAAGAAATCAAATCCAAGACCTAAAATTGCTCCTAAGAAAGATCCTTCAGTTATCGATCTATTATCTTCTCCAGAGCCAATAGCAAAAAAGCCAATTCTACCAACCAAAAAACAACGTCCGTTATCAACATCTACACCGCGCAAAAAACGTAAACCCAGTAGCCCAGTGCAGCCTTCTTCATCCTCCTCGGAAGATGATTTTCGTCCCTTTCCCCGGAAACGTGCTCGGGAGGGTGTAGCTTTCCCAAAGGGAGCCCGTCCAAGAGTTGAACGAGGCCGTGAAAAAGTCGTAATGACAGATGACGAAGATGACGACCCTTACCAACGCTACAAGGCATCCAAAAAAAGAAAGCCTGGTACCCGTGGCCGTCCTAGGAAAGATAGTGCAATCACACCTCGAAAGCCCTATGCATCTTCGTCAACTCCACGACCCCGTCGCACCAATACCCAGCTTAGAGATCTGGCTATTGACCGCGAAAATGGGTTCAAATCCGACGAAGATACAACGCTTGATTGTCCACTTCATCTACTTCTAAAAAAACAAACTCTCGAGAAGGATCAAAAAGAGAAATCCAAACCGTTGGAATCAATATATAGGTTCCCACCCGATTCCAATATATTCTCAGATGATGAAGATGTATTAGAAGATTTGGAGGAAAAGCCACAGTTTCCTGGTGCAAGCCCCTGCCGTGCGTATGAAGACATTGTACTCGAGAGATCTCGCGGTGTGATACCGGCGTCTATTGCTCGATGGCTTCGGGATTACCAAATCGAGGGTGTACGGTTCATGCATAATGCTTTCATCCTTAATACAGGTGTAATCCTCGGCGACGACATGGGCCTCGGGAAAACAGTGCAAGTTATCGCATTTCTTACCGCTGCGTTTGGAAAAACCGGGGATGCGAGGGATTCACGCCGTATGAGGCGTATGAGAGACCGGCGACCAGATGAGTGGTATCCAAAGGTACTAATCGTGTGTCCGGGGACTTTGATATCGAATTGGATAAGAGAGCTGGAGACATGGGGTTGGTGGCAGGTTTATGCATATCATGGAGCTAAGGGGGCGAAAGAGGATGCATTGAGGGCTGCTAGGACAGGGTACCTGGAGATCCTGATCACTACATACGATACATATCGTGGGTTTCATCGATTAGTAGCGTTGGGAATTATTAGTGCTAACTACGGGAATAGGGCGGGATCAAGCGAAGATCAACATGATAGAATGGGATGTAGTCATCGCAGATGAATGCCAGAAGGTTAAAGAACGGACCTCTGGAATTACAGAAGCTATGAATGTCGTCAACAGCCTCTGCAGAGTCGGTTTGACAGGGACAGCCATTATGAATCATTATGGCGTAGGTACCATATCCTATGACCGCGCCTTTCGATATACCAGAAAGTAACATCCTGGACATTTAGGAGCTCTGGAACCTCCTCAACTGGATCCGTCCCGGCGAAGTCGGTACCTATAGCGACTGGAAAAACGATATTGAAAACCCTTTGAAGATTGGACAAGCTCATGGTTCTACAAACGCCGAGCTGGCACGTGCCCGCAGTACAGCTAACGACCTCGTCAAAAATCTACTGCCACGGATGTTCCTGCGCAGGATGAAATCACTTATCGCGCACCAACTACCCAAGAAAACGGATCGCGTGGTATTCTGTAAACTGGGTGCTTTGCAACAAGAAGTTTACGAGAATTACCTCGAGAGCGAAATCGTGGGGCTGGTAAAATATTCCACTGACAAATGTGATTGTGGGTCGCATAAAACGAGAGGTAAATGTTGTTATAGGAAGCTTGAAGATGGGACCACAGTTTCTCAGGCGGTATTTCCATGTATCACCAACATGAAACTGTTGTGCAACCACCTCGCAAACTGGATTCCTCGTGATGGAGAGTCCCTGGAAAAACAGGAGAAGGATATCGAGAAGTTACAAATCGGACTTCCCGGTAACTGGGAGAAATATTACAGGAGACAGCACTTCGAAAACGTCATGGACCCCGAATTTTGTGGGAAATGGCAGGTTTTACAGAAACTCCTTGCATTCTGGAAGGAGAACGAAGAAGCTGCCAAAGTTCTTATCTTTTCAGGGAGCAAGAAGCTTTTGAAAATGCTATACATGCTACTGAATAATACGCATTATAATATCTGCTATTTGGACGGAGAGATGTCTTTGGAAGATCGAACCGCCGCAGTGGAAAATTTCAATACCGATCCGAGTTACTTTGCCTTTTTGATCTCTACGAGGGCGGGAGGAGTTGGTCTCAATATTGTGTCAGCAAATAAAGTCGTTGTATTTGATCCGTCCTGGAATCCATCGCATGATTTGCAAGCGCAGGATAGAGCTTACCGTATTGGTCAGCGTAGGGATGTGGAAGTATTCCGACTGGTTTGTGCAGGAACAATCGAAGAGATGGTATATGCGCGACAGATATATAAGCAACAACAAGCGAACATTGGGTATGAAGCTTCTTTTGAACGAAGGTATTTTAAAGGAGTGATGAAGGACGCGAGTCGGAGGGGGGAGTTATTCGGGTTGAAGAATCTATTTACTTTCCACCAAGAGAACGTGGTTCTGCAGGAGATCGTGAACCAAACCAATGTGGCGGAGAGTAAGACTGGTATTGCGATTTTGAATATGCCGGATATCAGTGGCGATGGGCCGGATGAAAGTACAGTTTTTGGAGAGGAAGGAAGAGGAGATGAAGTAGATGATATCATTGGTCAGATTCAAGCGATGGTATCTGATGATGCTAATAATCCTGCTACGACGGGGGCGAATAAGAAGATGAAATTAGATCCCGTATCTGCGATTCTTGTGTCCGCGGGAGTGGAGTATACGCACGACAATACGGAGGTAATAGGGACGTCGAAGCTTGAGGAGAATATCTCTAGAAAAGCGGTAGAGGTGAATGAAGATCCGACTATGAGGGCCATGACGGCTTTTCAGAATGATGTTATGAATGATGGGAGGTTCAAGGTTGGTGGGGTTCCAGGGGAAGTTAGGGTCAGGCAGTTTAATGAATTAAGGAGAGCTTTTGGGTATGAGAAAAAGGAAGAAGGGAGATTTGCATTGGAGGTTGAAGGGTGGAGGCCCGAGAAGCGGGCGGGAGCACTGGAGAAGGTTGGTTTTTTGACCCATGATCATTTATGATAGTGATGTTAACTATTCAGCAGTTTTACAGGTCAAGACGGACGGTTCTGGCAGCTAGAGGGGAGTTAACGGAGAGAGATGAGGTGCCAGAGGTCCGCCAGGAAGTCATTACTGTAGACGATACAGAAGAGGAGGAAGAGGAGGAAGATGAAGATGAGGTTGAAGACGAAGGGGTAGAAGACGAAGACGAAGACGATGAAGAGCTTCGGTAATCTATCTGTTTTTTACAAATCCTTTTTCTCAGGTTTTATATTGGCGTTTTCGGTTTTAATCTCGGGATTGATACCATGTTGGGTTTATAGATGGAGCTTCAATGATGTATGTAGTTTATGAAGTATATTATCCTGTCGAATGAGATGAAAGCACTATAAAGGGGTATCATATAGGGAACGCTAAAAACGATGACATAGAAATTGCAAGCTATTCTGGTGGTCAAAATCCAACATGTATACCAGTCTGAAGGGCCGAATGGGGCTTGTCACACGGTGGAGACTAGTATACCAGAGCGAGGGCCGAAATTATAGAGAGCATGGCGCCCAATAACTCGTTTCTCCTTCCTGCTCGTCGACCCATAGATAAGCCTCAGCCATCAAGTCGTCCACCACGGCCTGTGCTCTCGGCGCAATCCATCCCAGATTATCCACCAGCACTCCAATAGTCACAAATCCGAGTACCTGAATAACTTCCAATACCTTCGCTTGATCTCTGTTCAGCTCCTTGGGTACGCTTCTTATCATATTCGTTTTCCCTATCTTTATGACCTCGAAGCCCGACCCAAGAGGTTTTAAACACTCAACCGAACGTATAATATCATCCTCAGATATTTGTAACCCCGTCCCACCACCTCCCGTAGATTGATCTTTCTTCAGAAGTGTAGATTGAACTTCACTAACAGATATCAACCCCCCATTCTTCGACCGAGTATCACGACAAACTTCAACGATTTTTACAGCAAGTTCGAAGTAAAAATCGTTGACTTGGGTACCCAGTAGTTCGGACCATATGCTTCCACCTTTTTCCTTCGGACGGTTTGAAGATGCTGCTAGGGGGTCGATACCGATGGTTGTACACATGCGAGCAAATTCGGAACGGAATTTGGGGTTTTGACGGATTTCGGAGGAGTATTGGGTGCTAAAAGTGGAGAGGGCGGCTTGGAAGACGGAAAGTTGGGTGGTTAGTTCGGATTGGTGGGTGCGGCGGAGGGTAGCGCCGTGGGTAGAGCGGGTTTGGGAGTCTTGTGCACGCCGGTCGAGGGCGGCGAGACCGACACGGCGCCGCATTTTTGGGAGGAGGTTATTTTGGAGATGAGATGGTTGAAGCTTGAAGGATTGGCTGTGGGGAGGTTAGCTGGTGATGCATGGTGATGGCACGGTGGCTAGTGGAGATGTGGCTTGCTGTGCCACAAGATATCGTGTTGCATTTTGAGTCTGTGCCACAATTCAACGCAAGTTAATACCAATGAGGGTACTGGATTGGCCTAGGTTTTGTTTCGCAGGGCTAGTCTAGCGGCTTCAAGGCCTTAAAGGCGCGCGCTTAGAGCGCACAGCAGCAAATACCAAGACGAGAGAGAGGGAGAAAGAGGGAGGGCGAGTCTCGTAAATCAGTATTCAGAGAGGCTTTAGTTCAAGACGAAGAAGGTGTATAAAGAGGAGTGAGAAGGAGGGTAAAGATGAATATCCTCTTCAAACTCTATACTATAGTACATACCACAGCTTTCCTTTCAATTGCCAAAGATATCCCTTGCGACTTATATAAAAATATATCACACAATCTATAATATTTCCTTCAATACTATATTCATCAATATATATTAAACTATGTCTAAGAAATTGCCTCAAAAGGAACTTACAAGAGATGATTTCTTGGTCGGTTGGATCTGCCCTCTGAGTACTGATCTAGCAGCTGCACTCGCAGTACTCGACGAGGTGATGCTTGATTTACCTTTTCCAAAAATTAGAGGAGACTCAAACCACTACCATTATGGCCGGATACACCACCATTATATTGTAATTGCGTGTCTGCCGGCTGGAGCCCCTGGCACCGCATCAGCCAGCTGGGTATCTGCGAACATGATACGGAGCTTTCCAAACCTAGCAAGAGGCATTGGAATGATTGTGGGAGTGGGAGGTGCCGCACCTAATCTACGGAAGGGACGCGACATTCGACTTGGTGACATTGTTGTCAGCAAGCCAGAGGGGCGCACTAACGGTCTCATTCAATATGACTATGGCACGGCGACCGAAGGTGGTGGTTTCGTGATGGAAAGTCATTTGGTTGCGCCGTCAACGGTTCTTCTATCCGCTGTAGATTTCGTCGGAGTCAGGGATCCAGAAGCTTTTGCAAGGGGTATCCGAGAGAAGGCTCAGCGAATTGGAAGTCGGGAGGCTAGGTTCAAGCACCCCCAAAGTCCGGACAATCTCTTTGAGGCCACCCATCTTCACGTTCAGCCAAAAGCCGGCCCTAATCATCTCCCAAATTCCGATTCTGGTACTTGCGCCCAATGTGATCTTACCAAAAGAGTCAAGCGCCCTGAAAGAAAGAGCGATGTCCCACACATACACAAAGGGATCATAGCGTCGGGAAATCAGACCATGAAGGACGCCGTGAAAAGAGATAAAATCAGCGCTGAAACTGGGGCCTTGTGTTTTGAAAGGGAGGCTGGAAGCATCAAGGATGATTTCCGTTGTTTGGTTGTTCGGGGCATTAGCAACTATGCAGATGGCCATAGTAATAAGAGCTGGGTAGCCTATGCCGCTCTTGTCGCAGCACTATTTGCGAAGGAGATTCTCCTAGTGGTTCCCAAGATTGAACCCCCAAAATGGCCGGGTAAGTTCTAAATCTCGAATATGTTGAAACTGAAAGCTTTATTCTGACTTAATATGTGAAATTTATAGCCCCCGAGACCCGTGAACAGTAGTAGTCACTTCGTTGGTCCTAGTAGCCCCAAGACACGGTTCTAGTTCCGAGGTGCACCGGTAGATGCATTGGTTTTAGAGAGATACCTTGTGTATTAGTTATCATGTAATTGTGTCTGTATTTCAATGGCTGGTTGCCAACTTAAAATATCTACTAGAGGAATAGGATATGGAGTTAGTGATGAGTTGAAGACGCTTAATTTGTCAAGATTTAAATTAATTTGGAGCTATTTATTTTGGGGTATATATGTAGTCTCGGGACGGGAGGCTCTCATCGATCGTTTTATGCATTTTCAAGTACCTCACAAGATTAAAATCTCTTAAATGTAATTTTTCATATTCAATTTATGGTTTATATTAGTCTCGGGGCTAGACGCTCGCATCCTTATCATGATTGATAGACGAAGGGCTAATAAGATTTGCGAATATGACCCACGCTTATGCTCCTCAGTGTTCGGTGGCCGGTGGCTCTGGCTCCGAGACTATATTTAAAGTATTAAATTCTAAAACTAATATTTGATTCAAAGTGTGGACCGCGTCTGCAATACGAGACTATATTTGATTAAGGATGGGATATACACCACCCAAAGCTCTGCTGTATCAATTGTATAGGTTGAACAAGGAGAGTCTTTTAGTCTAGATTAGCAAATCCTTGAACATTTTATTATCGAAGCTTCGAAGTCGATGTGATAGGTCTTCTAGAGCTAGATCATGATATCACAGGCGGCAAAACACGTGACTGCAAATTGAATCCAGCCTACCTGTTGCTACGCTAGCCAGAAATAATTTAGTTGTGAGAAGAAGCACGGATTCGAAGCCGGGCTATCGAAGATGTTAGGGAAGAAATTTCAAAAGACTACCGAGTTAAAGAACAGTCGCCGAAAAGTGAAGATTTTTTTTTCTTCCGTCGAACAGAGCTCTTTTTCCTTTCTAAGGTGAGCATTCTTATAGCCGTATCCCGCTAGCCATAGACCTAATGAGATTTTACAACGTCGTACACCAACGACGGTTAAAATAGTATAGCGGCGGAATCGTCCGGTTTGAATCAAAGCCATGGGAAATATTTATATTCTAACTCCATCCAGATGGACACGAGACCAGGAGGAAATCCATTTCTTCTTTTGTGCATGGAGCTATAAAATTTTCTGATGCACTCCGCATTTTCAAAATTTTGCGACCTGCTAGATTAATATCAGCCGATTGGACTGACCAGCATCCACCCCGGCAATTCTTAAAGGATCTCTGATCGAGAGGCAAATGTGAGATAGGTACATACCCCTCGACTACAGTACATAGTACGTACATGCTTGTACTATGTATGCAGCAACTACTGTACGGCCAGACGGTGGGGGTACAACCACCTATCATTTTTGACCGCAATCCTGGTCGCGGGAGTGGAGACTGCATGCACCCTCGAGCCTCTATGCTTCGCTTAGGCCAATTAAGCCGGCACGCCACAGATAGCGAACAAAAGATACGAACGATGTATCGATAACATCAAGAGATTGAAAGATTGGAGATATCTCTTGTGGGGCTGTATCTGGGAGTACAGTATACACTGGACCGAGTAGATGTATCCATCGGGAGAGTTCAGAGGCCGTAGTCGTTCATGTTGCATTGTGAGAGGGAATGTGATCCCGCGCCATGGCTTCGGAACGTTACTATTTTGACTGATGCTGTCATTGGCCATGCACGAACCAGCCCCTCACATCGTTCGTCTGCGAGGAACTCTGCTGCCGTTATATCGATCCGGGATGGTTGCATGTTGACTTAAGTTGCAGGCCAGACCAGGCCAGTCGGGCAACGTTAACGTTCAAGATCCTTCTTCCCGATTTCAGAATGGGCTGGACACAGTAAGTTTCTGGATGGATTCGATGGATGGTTTATTTCTATGCCGTCCCCGACACCCTTTGAAGCTCCTGCCGTGTCGTTTTTCCTTTCCCTTCTTCTCTCCCCTCCTCGCCTCTGCTTGAGTTTCTCCTCCTCTGCACCCACCCTTAAAATTCGATTCTCCCCGTTTTCCTATTCTTCATCGTTATTTTTCTTCATCTCTGTTTCCGTTAGCCGAGCGGGAGCGTGCAGCAGATGTAATCGTAATTACTATCGACAATCATCGCCAGCAAGGGAATAGCAGTGTTCATCAATCTAGTCTCATTCGCTGTTACGTAAAGCCGTCTGTTGCCATTTAAAGCCTCCAAAACAACACCAAAATTTGAGCTTTCCATCTGCATCAATTCTCTCCGCCATCACCACACATACACAAAACAAAAGTCAGCAATGACTATCGGCGCCTTCGAAGTTTCGAAAACCCGGCGCAAGTGGCAGGTCGCCCTTGCTACTATATACTGTCTTTTAAGTGCTGGTGTCGTCTTTGGATATGCTGGTAAGTTGATGACATTCTGGTGTCCACGTGACCAGGAGTACTGACGTAGATAATAGCTATTAAGCCGGTTTTAATCGCGGAGGGCGTATATCGGGATAGATGTACGGATGATGAAATAGATCGGGATGTGAGGGTGTGCTTTGGGCAAGAATTACAGTGCGTACTCTCCAAAGGTGTCAATTGATTGAAAACGGTGCAGAGAAGCTAATACTGGGGTAGTTTGAACTTCATGTTCACCTGTGCAGCTGTTGCAACAAATGTTAGTTCTTCACGATTGATTATTCTAGATTATCGGGGCTAATTATGGTATTCAAATAGGTCTGCGCTTTGCCCGTCGGTACAATTCTCGATAAATACGGTCCTAGGATTAGTGGCATGCTCGGTGCTGTTTTCTTTGCTGCCGGATGCCTACTGTTCGCTTTTGCCTGGGAACTCCCGTTTGATGGTGGGTGTTCTTTCTGACTAGTAGATACAATTTAATTTGTATGATTATGCTAATAGCCTGGGAAACAGCTTATATTCCTGCATACCTTTTTCTCGCCCTCGGTGGCCCGTTCGTCTTCATTTCGTCTTTCCAGCTCTCTAACACGTTTCCTACGAGCTCTGGCTTAATATTGTCCCTCCTCACCGGTGCTTTCGATGCATCCTCTGCCATATTCCTTATATACCGCCTCATTTATTTCGCCAGTGGCGAAACATTCTGGCCTAAGAAGTTTTTCCTAGTCTATCTCATCGTTCCAGTTTTCACCTTCCTCTCCCAGGTTTTCGTTATGCCTCGGGAATCTTACAAGACCGTAGGCGAATTGGTACACATGGTTGAAGAAGACCAATATCATTCTTCGGACGAAGAGCTTCCCGCCGAAGTCCGTCACTCAGTACAAGAAGAACGTCGCGCCTCTGTAGCCAGCGAAATAGATCTTCTCCTCGGACCCAAAGGCGGCGAACGTCATCAGAAGCGTGAGACTGCAAAGAAGCATATTTCGGGTGTGTGGGGAGCTCTACATGGCAAAACCGCACGCGAGCAGATTACCAGTTGGTGGTTTGTGCTGATCACGGCGTTTACGGTTATTCAAATGACAAGGATCAATTATTTTGTGGCAACTATAAGGCCGCAGTATACGTATTTGCTGGGAAGTTATGAGGACGCTGTGGAGATCAACAATTTCTTCGATATCGCACTACCGATGGGAGGATTAGTCGCTGTTCCATTTATTGGTAAGTATTAAGCTCGATAGTCGCTATAGGGCTGCAAATGCTAAAGTGAAGGGTTTATCAGGCGCTTTACTCGACCGAACTAGCACAACATTCATTATTGGATTGTTGGTAACAGCCGCAACCGTAATTGGTATCTTGGGTATTCTCCCATATAAATGGGCTGCATATCTGAATGTTATCCTGTTCGTGGTGTACCGTCCGTTATATTACACTACTGTATCGTAAGTATTTTATTTCTCTAGAAAAGCATTCAAAAACGGGGTTCCTAACTTATCTTATTTCAAATACAGGGACTACGCTGCCAAAGTCTTTGGCTTCGTCACTTTCGGTAAAGTGTATGGTACAATTATCTGTCTGGCTGGCCTCTTCAACTTCGTACAATCAGGGCTCGATGCTCTGACATACACGGTATTTGGGAAGAATCCTGTACCTGTTAATGTTATACTTCAAGTTTCTGCGATGTTAGTTGGAACAGCGTTGGTGGCATATATCAATTTCCAGTCAAAGAAAATGAAGCGGGATGAATTAGTCAGGGAGGCAGAGAGTGCAGAGGAAACAGCGATGCCTGTACACCTGGGTTTTGGAGAGAGCAGTTATACGCAGTAGATATAGAAGAGACGAAGGTTTTTCCTGGTGGTTGTAATGATCATGATACACGATTGCATGGGAGAGGGGCTAAAAGGCCACTTTATTACGGTTGCATTCTTGTAAGTAATTTTTCTTCTACTTTTTTATATCTCTCTTTGAAATGGACTCTAGGAGGTAAAATTGATAGCCTTCCTGGGTTCATCTTTCTCTGAAAATCGGTAGCGGGTTTTCAATTTGTTATATCTTTGGCTCTATGGGTCTGCATCTCTTCATTTCTCTGATACATGGCGGAGCTGTGAAGACATCAGTATAAATTCAGATAGATACTCTGGAAGTGATAAGTCCGTAATTAAGGATTGGGAGGATTTTTAAGAATAAAAATGATCATATAGACTTAGGTATAGAAGATATTCGGTGATAAAAGTAGAATAGTCATGGCTATAGTCATGGCTATAGCTTAGCTACCTAAGTACTTAAGTAGGTATTTAAGTACCTACTGAGATACAGCAGAAGGTCAACATGATCAGCCTTCTTTTTCAACATCAAGCAAGTTCGGCTTGGCGCGCCGCCGCCCAGAAATGGGGTCCGACCATAACATATAATGCATAACCCATTCTTCTTCGTCAGTTACAGGATTGAGGCGAGGCTAAAGAAGTTAACAAACATCTCTGGGTTCTCATCACTACAGCCCCGCAGTTTCTTCCTAAGAATATATAACTTCTGAGGGCGAAATCAGTCATCGGCGACCGATGCTGACATGCATCTGATCAATTGATATCAATGTTGACGCCCTTCTTCGCAGACAATCCGTGAAGAATTACAACAACCAACACAGTATTTTTTCTAGTTCACCGACAATACTAGGCTACGATGCCCCCGGATATGATTCAAGAAACAACTACGAAAATTGTTACAAGCCTCGCGCTAGAAAATCAAGGACAAGATGTGCCGCGAAGTGTTTATCATGAGACGATGGTGGCTTGTGCACCCAGCGGCCACGGGTTTGATGGTAGCGTCGGATCTAGATCTCTAGCCTACCAGGGGAATATGGAGAATATGGGTTTTGAGATTGATCAAAGGATGGAAAAAATGCAATTGGAAGCTTCGGGGTCTGGGTACGAGACGAGATTGGAAGATCCGAGAGCTAGAATTGGAGGGTTTGAGACTGGATTGAAGGTAATCAATCAATTGTTCTTCAAAAATCTGTCAGGATCTTAAAATTAAGCTGGTATGCATGGTGAATTGAGATAGGATTCGGGTCCACCCGCTGGCCTAGCTGGAGCAGGCCCCAAATACGAAACTGAAAGTGCACAGGGTATACGTAGTGGGACAATATCACCTTCCGAAAGTACCCTCAGCACCGCTACAACATACGGCGGCAAATCCCAAGATGACGAAGACGATGATTTTGAATTCGAAAGGATGGTTTTTAACTACCAAAAAGCTGGAGCATATTTCGGAGCATCCGACTGGGCGAAAGCCGAAGTATATCTATCTGCCGTCGTCACCATGCTAGACACCCACCCGAAGTTCGAAGCTAAACTCCAGGTAACCGATAAATTCAACATCATGTCCATTCTGCTGGCCTGCCAGGCCAGACAAAATAAGTGGAACGAAGTCCTAAACAATATTGACATAGTGGTAGAAAGTGCTAAGGTTTCGACGATGTTACCAGAGGACTTACAGTGTGTTATTGGTACACTAGAGAATTTGAGGGCAGACGCGTATGTGGGACTTGGGGATTTGGAAACCGCGAGGTTGGTTTGCAAGAAAGCTGTTAGAATGAGGAGAGGGGACTCGAAGAGGCTAGGTGAGAGTGTATCGCTCATGGTAAGTATTTTGGGAGAACTGGGAACCGAATATGACGTCGAGGCGGAGTTTTATAAGTCTTTGATTCCTAAGAAATTGGATTTACCGCCAAAAGAGGCACCGCTGGAAGGGTCAAAAGTACCGGATCAAGAAGTGCTTCCCGTCAGTACCGAAAACGACACTCCGATTGATACTGACGCCGTATTTATTGAGAAATCCGATATTGAAAATTGTCTCAAAGACGAATCCCCCTTGATAACGGCAACCTCGGCGTCCACAGAAACATCTGTCTTGACAACACCACCATACTCCCCAGGTTTAAAGAAGACGGAAGAATTCAAAGAGACCAATATGCCAGACCACTATGCAAATTATGGGTCAAATGCCATCGGGGAACTTAGCGGCGAACCTTCTAAGCTCTATGGAAGGGATGGGTCGGATGTCATCGAGGAGCTTAGTACCGAATCTTCTAACCGCCTTCGCATGGAGGGACTTCTAAAACATTTTGGTTACAAAGTAGTAGCCGACCCTGAAGGGGGAAAGTTATTCGTGCCTGCCCAAGATGTTTGGTCAGGCAAGGACACTGAGGCATTGATACCTCATGTTGAATTGCAGGTTATTATGCATAGGGCGATCACTGAGGAAGGACACATTGAAATAGTAGAAGCGCTTCTTAAACATAGTCGTAAGTTAGCTCCTATGCTTTCCTAATAGAGTTTCTTAGACCTTCCAATTCCCCTTCGATATAATAACGACAATCTTAGGGAAACAAGTCTTCAGTCTTTCAATGGATATGAGTTCCCATGTTCATTCCTCTGAACGCGGAAACCCCTTACTTTATGCAGTCTGGTATAACAATCTCGAAATGGTCGCTTTACTTCTTAAGTACGGAGCAGACATAAATTCGATGACGAGTCAGGCGTACACTGCTCTTCACATCGCCGCGGGAATGAGGGGCAAGGGTACCAAAATGATGGAACTGCTAATCGTTTGCGGAGCCGCAACAGCTGGCCCTATTGTCAGACAGAACGTGCGCGGGGTGTCACCTTTACATTTGTCGTTGTCAAAAAAACAGGATACCAATGAAACTGATAAATTAGCTCTGCTCTTAAAAAATGGAGCAGAGATCGATGCGAAGGATTGCTATGGGGAGACTCCACTGATGAGGTCGACACATACTTCAACGGCGCCGACCACTTTGTTCCTGCTAGAGGCAGGAGCCAATGCCCAAGCCGTAAAGTCTAATGGGGACAGTGCCCTGCATTTGGTAGCAAGATATTATAATGACGCCGGAAATTCCAGGGCCCACCGGGAAGATGGGAAGTCGAAGATTGGATGGCTGCTGAAGTACAAAGCAGACAAAAATTTAAAGAATAAGGAGGGAATGCGGCCGATTGATTATGTAAAGGGCGAGGCAGCCCTGAAGATGCTAGGTGGGGTGCTCAAGTAAGTTAATCCTTCTAGGTTAGAGTATATATCAATTCGAGCTCGGCTGTGTACAACCCTGCTCGATTGCTCGCCTGATCTTGAATGATTGATAACGTTACTAACGGCTCGACTGTGTGTCTGTTTCAGGCCTGATTGGTATCGGTTTTAGCGTCTGCCTCGGGAATTTTGAAATTTTCCTCAAGGAATATAACGGTCTTGTGCATATGAGTATTAGGATCCAAGACTGATATTCCTACGACCGCACGTGCATCATCGGGGCTTAATATATTTGGAATCTGGCGTTTAAATACATATGCTTGTTCAAGAGCGCATGAGGCTGAACTTTGACTTCGAACTTCGACTTCGAAATTCTCTTGTTTTAGAATTCAACTTGCGCTTGCGTATACTTTGTACAGGATCATATCATTTTCTGGTTAAATACGTTGCAGTTAATGTTTACATACGTGGTGCAAGTATCTACATATAAACATGCACATGTTCAGTGCTTTCTCAATTTCGGTCCCAGCACCTAAATCACTCAGAAGTCCAAAAGTTAACGTTCGTATCTGTACATGTAATTTTGAGTTTTGAGGCGACATTTTAGTCAGCCTATTTTTCCAGGATAGCGGGTGAGATCTTGGCCATTCTGCCGGTTCCACGTTGTTGCATCATTGGATATCTCTTTCCGAGGCTACGGGAGCTGGCGCAGCGTATATGCACCATGGCCATGTAGGCTCCCCTAGCTGTGGGTATCGCACGAGGCAGTGCGCCCGCCACGAGACAATGAAGTGGATGGCCTGCGAAATCCTTTTTGACTCAACTTTTCCTGTCAATTTGAATTCCCTGAAAACCCTTTTGGGGGCCGCGTATCGTTGTGAAGAAGGAGTCCAAAACAAGATCTATTTCCTTCGATCCCTCCAACGCTGCACTGAAAGGGCTCCCACGTTGTTAGCGCCTGGTCAACAACACTTCCCCTTGGACACTAAGAAAAATACAACGGCCAACTCAAAATCTAGAGACCGGGGTGGCTGTTACGTTACTGACTTCGACTTGGCTTGTACGAAGTATGGGACCGGAAGGTATCCTGGAGATGAATGCAAAGAGCGATACTCGAATTTTGACCGAAAACCAGTCTCAGGATTCCCAGCGATCAGTATATCAGGAATCTCTCGCTATTCTCGACACAGGATTTGGATCTTTCAGCCCTGCTGACAAAATTGAACATATGAGTCTACATAACCGTAATCGTACGTTCGAAGTGGAGGTATGTATACTGAAATGTCTTCTCACACGCTTAAGGAGTAACTCCTGCATCAGGTTTGTAGAACTCAAGTGAACTAATTCATCGCTCTTTGCTCTTTTCAATAGGTGGTGTCGGAAAGTCCGATCGGCACCTCACCAATACTGCCGCGGTTGGAAAACCATAACTTCAGATCCATGTCTTCTGGCAGCTCTTTCGAGGGCTCTCAATACTCTAGACGGGAAAGTAGCTCGACCGCACTGACGGCTACTACATACGATCCCCAGGAATCTGACTCGGATGATGATGATATGAAGCTTGGAAAGCTCAGATACTATATCACTGAAGCTGAAAAACTAAAATCGATCGGAGAATTCAAAAAGGCAGCTTCATTCTTCCGGGTTATAGTCAAACAATTGAACGACAGCCCCGGATTGGAAAGAAGTCTGAAGAATACTCGATTGCACTATATTGTTGAATTAGTCGAGATACAAACACGCCTGAAGAACTGGAGCGATGCACTGATCACTGTTCAGAATATGATTGGGGGTTCGGATGATCCTACGCTTGTCGGACTGGTCGAACATTGGCAAGCTTGGGTATATTACCAACAAGGGAGCTTGGACTCTGCGAGGTCGAGATGCGATAAAGCTATCAAGAAGATCAAAAAGAGCAAAGGGAACAATGAGGATAGTGTAATGCTCATGCTTCAGATTCTTGACGACATGGGAACACAAGATCCTGATATAAAGGAGGAATGTGAAGTTGAAGCATCCTTTTATAGGAATTTAATTTCACTGAAAGAGCCACCGGATCCAGTATCGTATCCAGATGTCCCCAAGAAAGAGGTGCCGGACTTGAAATACCCATCTTCTGTCGTAGAGTTGGATACGAAGAGCGATTCAGGCTGGGGACCCTCGATGGCAATTATACCTGTGCCCTCTGAAGACCCCCAACCACAGGTCCACGAATTATCGTCATCTCCGTCAGTACGTCGAGGGAATATGCCGGTGATCTATGCACCTCCGGCACCGAGATTTGAAGATGTCGAGGAACACCGAAGAATTCTGCAACAACATGGGCTGAACTTGGATGATGGTAGTCTTAATCGCGTAGGGCAGGTGGGAGGACGCAAGGATACAAGATTTGAAGATATCGAGGAACACCGGAGAATTTTGCAACAACATGGACTGGACTTGGATGATGGCAGTGTTATTCGCGTAGAGCAAATGAGAGGAGGCAAGGATACAAGATTTGTTGCGATCCGTGAGGCTGTCACAAAAAATGACCTTGCACTTGCCGATGCTTTGTTTAGTGGTATGTTTTATGACCTTCTTATACCTGGGATATCGAACATCTCGCCGATTCCAAATTTTCTGTCTATTTTGAGGGTTAATGTTGTGACTCTAATGTTACTGTGGGCTTAGATCCGAAGCTACGCCAATACAAGATGGATGTCGAGTACACTGGTTGGGGAAAGGATGAGAGTCAACCTTTACACTTTGCCGTCTCGAAGAACAATATCGACATAGTCCGATTGCTTCTGAGAAAAGGCGTCAACATCCTCTCGGTTACGGCGAAATGGAAACTCACCGCCCTGCATATCGCCAGTTCAGTTTCAAGTATTGGTTGCGAAATGGTGGAGTTCCTGATGGATAATGGTATTCCAGTAGACGGCATAGAGGGCCCGGAATCTGGCTGCCGGTCATTGCCCATACATCTAGCATGTGCTGCTCGTGAAAGAACAAAAGTCGAGCTTCTTATTAGGAGGAGGGCAAGTGTCAATGCCAAGGACTTTCACCAAGCGTCACCGCTAGGAGTTGCTATTATGTCGGCAAGAACTTCAGTTCATATCAAGGTTCTGGTTGATGCTGGTGCCTTAGTGGATGACACAGACAAAGAGGGGGATACACCATTGCACATCGCTGCGGCGAATTCAAACCTCGAAGGGATTAAGATATTGTTGGAATGTGGGGCAAACCGTAGCATAAAGAACAAGAAAGGGAAGCGACCGCTCGATGTAGCCAAGGCTGTGGGCGATTTTTCTCCCGAGATTAAAACACTTCTCAAGTGAGTTTTTGTGTTTTCGAACATGTACTTTGCGAAGCTCACTGGCATTCTAACCACCTTTTTTCTTCTTAATATAGGCCCGAAGGCAAACCTTCACGTCGTTGGTTCTAAAATTGGTCTCAACTACTTGCATAAGTGGTCGCAGGCTCTTCCACACCCCTTCTTATCTATGCTAGGTTCTAGCTGTAACTTGTGTACTTGTTTACCTGCTTTCTGTTTGGGATTAGGGGTATTTATAGACCTTAACTTACGCTATAGATTGTGACGGATAGATTAATTTTTAATACTAGTTTAAACGTTTTGTCACTCTTCAGCATGGGCTTTTCCTAATTTCATATTAGTCTAGTTGTTAGATTTTTAGTCTAGTTGTTAGATTTCGATTTCGTATGCGGTTCTTGTGAAACCTGCAGCCGTTGTTGTATTTTCTGTGTTGCCAAGGATTTCGGACCGAGCCCGGGGTCATTGGTCTTGGCATGTCCTATGGCATCATGAATGCTTCCCCGTTCCAAACTATTCTGTTCGCGTCACACGAGTCCGGTCTGCAGTCTTATAATTTTGCCTGCTCAACGGTAGGAACGGGTGGTTATTAGTATATCTTCCGGAAGCTTCCTCGAGTCTATATTCATGGCTCTCTTCCCTACAACCTCCGAACTGTAGATACTTCGATATCTTCGACGAAACCCCAAAGCTTGGAGTATTTTGCAATCGAGGATATGCCTCAAAGAAGGATAATTCCATGAACCCCAAGTAAAATATCAACCCCCAAAATAAGTACGAACCGCCATGAATATCGGGAGTACTACTGCGGCTGTCGCCGGCTCCAGATCTCGCATCACCAGTCATAGCGAGCGCACTCCTCTTCTGAGCGTTGTCCCGACACGTCGGTACAGCCGGCGCCACCGGTCCACGACATGTACTCGGTTCTGCTATATCCTCTTCCAGGTTACGATATTCTATTCAATATTATACCTTCTAGTACTTATACCCTTGCGAATACTGCCCGAATGGAGTTCTCCGTTGAAATGGCGAGATATCCCGCCCCCGCATGAGCGATACCCGTTACCGAAGAATAAGGACTTGGGGCTCGAGAGACTGGTCAAAATATTGGACGAGACACCGGATGCTGCGAAAGCCAAGCAGTGGAGCAAATATTATACATCGGGCGCTCATGTCGCAGGAAAGAATTACAGTCAGGCGGTTTGGACGAAGGAAAAATGGGAAAGCTACGGGATCAAGTCAGAGATCGTGGAGTATGAGGTGCTGTTAAATTATCCTGTTGGACATAGGCTAGCCTTGGTTGAAAGGGCAGCTACTGGCGATGCTATGGAGGATGATGCAGCTGCTGAAAGCGGGAAAGAAAAACCGAAAGAAGATAAGGTGCTGTTTGAGGCTAGCCTTGAGGAAGATGAGGTACCGGGGAATGAGTTTTCTCAATCGAAGGACAGACTGCCGACTTTTCATGGGTATTCCGCTAATGGCACAGTTACCGCCGAGTTTGTTTACGGCGGATATTGTGACTACGACTCATTCAAACAATTAGACGAGCTCAAGGTACCTATCCAAGGTAACATTGTTTTGTGTCGATATGGGTTAATCTTCCGAGGCTTGAAGGTTCTCGGGGCGCAAGATAGAGGTGCTGTTGGTGTTATTATCTTTACCGATCCTGCGGATGATTACCCTGACGGCTGGTCTGGTGGCGGTGGCGGCAATGGAAAACCATACCCGGAGGGGAGCGGCCGGCAACCATCAAGTGTTCAACGAGGGTCCGTACAGTTCCTGTCTTTGAGGCCGGGGGATCCGACAACTCCGGGATACGCATCAAAGCCCGGAGTGCCAAGGACCGATGAGCACGAAGCTATCCCGAGCATTCCAAGCCTACCGATCAGTTATCTTGATGCAGCACCCATCCTCAAAGTTCTAAATGGGTGGGGATATCAGCCGGAGGGGTGGAAAAAAGGTGGGCTGGTAGATCGAGGAGTGGACTATTGGACTGGGCCGGTTGGCTTTGAACCTGAAAGGGTTCGCGGTGTCGAAGCTTCAAAGCCTACGAAAACTGGCAGCGGAAAACCGACGAAGACCCTGCTCCACTTGGAAAATATTGTCGAGTATACCCTTACACCGATTTGGGATGTCATCGGCATTATCAATGGCTCCATCAGCGACGAAATTGTTGTCATTGGTAATCATCGTGATGCTTGGAACGCTGGTGCTGGAGATCCAGTTTCTGGTAGCACAGCGGTAATGGAGTGTAAGGACGACTTTACCACATGTGCACATATAATATATACGGATATAGGAAGCTAACATAAGGGGATAGTGTCAAGAACCTTTGGCGAAATGCTTAAGAAGGACTGGAAACCCCTTCGCACGATTATTCTAGCCTCATGGGATGGTGAAGAGTATGGTCTAGTTGGCTCTACGGAATGGGTCGAGGAACACAGAGCCTTCCTCATGCAAAATGCAGTCGCGTACCTTAATATTGACGTCGCTACTTCAGGGCCATGGCTTGATGCGGCATCAGCGCCTTTGATGTACAAGGTGTTTACAGACGCAATGAAGGCCATCAAGGATCCTCTGGCGGGCAGCAAGCGAGATTTGATCCACAAAGGAGAATCTGTCCGACCAGTTGCGGCCGCTATGAAGCCTGTTATTCCGGATTCCGAAGGAATAAATGTTTACCAAGATCGCGAACGTGACCATAACCGACAGAATTATAAGGGTAGCATCTATGAGATCTGGAGCAAAGGTGGAGGAATTATTCAACCGGTTGGAAGTGGTTCCGACTTCGTCGGCTTTCAAGATATCGCCCTGATTCCTAGTTCTGATTTCAGTTTTAGGCAAGGAGCTAGTGGCGCTGTCTATCATTGTGAGTGTAGCCTTCTCTATTTGCTAATATCAGTTATGCTAACTACTATTCTTTTAGATCACTCCAACTACGACTCATTTGACTGGATGGAAAAATTCGGAGACCCTGGCTTTAAGTACCATGTTGCAGCGGCAAAACTAATCGGCCACATGGTCCTGAGTCTAACCGAAACCCCTGTTATCCCATTTAGCTTGACAGACTATGCAAACTTCCTGGAAAAACATCTTAACCAAGCCATTGATTTCTTTGACAAGACAGCCAAAGCTACTGCAACCAGTTCTTTGACAACGGAAGTAAATTCCGATATCAATATTATCAAAGGGGTCCATAGGTCCCGCGAATCCCTTACCCGCCTTGGAGAACAAATTGCCAAACTCAAAAAAATAGCCGTGCAGTTTGATGAGGAGGCTGTAGCACTTACTCAGGAAATCAATGACCTAGATCCGGAGGTTCCATGGTACAGGTGGTGGCAAAGCTTGCATTATTGGGCTAAGGTCAAGGAGTTAAACAACAAAATTCAGTTCTTCGAAAGAAAATTTGTATATGAAGATGGGCTGGATGGAAGAGAGGTGTTCAAACATGTAGTATTTGCTCCCGGATTGTGGACGGGGTATTCTGGCGCTGTTTTTCCGGGTATTCTCGAAAGCGTTGAGTCTAGGAATTGGACAAATGTTGAGGTAAGTTCGTAATGCTCCTCATTGGTAAAGCCGAGGATTTCTTTTACTAATTTGTGGCTTCTAAATCTAGCGGTGGTCAGAGATTATTCAGAAATGTGTGATCGATGCTACAAGGAGTATTGAGTTGGACCGACTAAATTATAAGCCATAATCCTTTAGGCGATATATTGCGTTCTTAATTTTAACTTAAATGAGCGGGCAAATAATGCATTAATTTATCTCGTACCTGCATTAATGTACATCTAGAAATGATGGATACGATATAAAATTTTTAACTTGCGAATGTCTAGCATTTGAATGTAGCAGAAAGGTCTAATACATACATACGAGCGTGTTAATGAAAACATTGAATCTTTGAGTTAACTAACAACCATCAACTTCGACAATGAAATTGCCCCTGGACTAGCCTTTGCCTTTGATCTCGCGATTGTATGCCACTATGAGAATTTGTGAAGTGGGTATATCATAACGAACAAGAATATTCCTAGTTTAGCGAAATAATAAAGTATCGCTAGAACGATGTGAACAAATCCGACCACTCCTATAAAAACCTCGCATAAATCCGCCATCCTGGTTTTTTCTTGTTCGAACCGGGAGAATGTTGGGGCGTCATGAACATTGGCTGGTAGACCAGAATGCTTTGTGTCCAGTTCGCTAGAGATATTTTCTTTCTCAACGTGGCAATGTCTGTTGACTACATCCTGAGAGACTCTCTTTTTAAGACGGCCTCGAAGCTTAAGGATTTCTGCTTCTAGTTGCAAGGCAACCGAGGAGCCAGTTCTGTGGCTAATACATCTTGAGGTCGGATCTGAACGACCGGGACAAGGTTTTGGCTTCGTGATAGAAGTTGTAGGATTCTTATAGGCTCGTTTCAACCTTGCAAAGTCAGCTTGAAAGTCAGCAATTTGGTCTTCGATCTGTTCAAGAAGGTTGAATATGGAGTCTTCCATAGATATTTCCGAGTCCTTCTCTTTAATTGGTGAAGGTGTCATCGAATTTATAGGAAGGCCAGGTTTCGGTTCTGGGACCTGTCTGTGAGAAATAGATGGGAGTTCACATGCATATGCGTGTGATACTCGCTTCCTAATCCCAATGGCGAGCTTGGAGCCATGATCTAAAGATTTGGCGATGCTGTTTTCCTGATCGATAAGAATGTAGCCATCGTTTGAAGGTGATCGCGTCTTTGCTTTGTTCTTGACATTTTCGGGATTCTTACAAGGACGCACATCGCCTGGAATCTTGGCCGTAGTTGTGATAGTCATTTTTGACGTCCCTTTTATATTATTAAATTTCAGTCGAGGCTGTAGTAGGCACCAATATAAAAAAAGAGAGAAGAAGGCAGAGAGACAGAGATGGAGAGAGTACTAGTCTGATCGTAGCATTATGGTAGCCTGGAGATGTGTCGATATCGGTACGCTGTGCAAGAGAATTCGGAATTTGACCCCAAGCGTAACCATAGTTATGCAACTGCTGCACTAATTTTTAATTTTGACTCGTAGGAGTTTCCCTCGTCCGGCCTCATAAGGCCGGAAGACAGCGATTTTTTCCCCCTTAATCTGAGGTATTTCGAATTATTCATCTTGAAATCTCTCGAATCCAAGAGTATATCTGCACATCTGCCGAATTGTTGCCGGTTGTGTAATTGCGTAACGTTACCTCGACTGCCACGTGAGATTAGCTAGATACATGAAAATTCAACGTGTGTTACGTAGAAGTCGGAAGACTGTGGAACGATCGACGATATAATGCCACAACAAAACCAGAACAACAAAATAGTGACGACTGCATGATCTTCATTGCATTGCAAGTTCAAGCTTATCCTAGTCACCGCGTGTATATCAACCTCGCATAAAAAGACTATGACCAAAGCCACAGTTGGGACCCGAACCGATATGCAACTGCGTGGCCGATCACTCCCGTCATAACCGCAGCCCATGCGCCGGTCAACACTCGAGATTGTAACACCACTTTTGCGGGTTGTGTGCCCCACTGGAAAATGTATCCAATCTGAAGGAGGCAAGAAATTAAAAGGCCATAGGAAACAGGCGGATATGGATTATTTGGCAGCGGTTTGCTAATCCCGAGGCATTAGAAAATCAAAAATCCTGTCGATGTTGACGTTAGAGTCAAGAGTGGAAAGATTTCCCGTAGAAATCCTTCCGGACTTCTAGGATTTGAACCCCATCTTTAGGTTAATGTTGGCAAATTGAAATCAAATGCCGCATTTCGAGGCCTTTGCAATGTAGTATTTGAGATACGAGTTTGTAGGACCTTTCTTAGCCGGTTTATAATATCTCCGTCGGTGCGGAGGTAGGCCAATCGGGGTTGATAATTTCGATACCGTGACTCGAGCTCGTTTTCTTTACGAGACAACAGTGTCTCTATTTCAACGAATCGGAGATTCAAAGACTTCAAATCGTCTTGAAGAGAAGAAAGTAGGGTGAATGTGCTTATGTAAATTTCAGCTTCGGTCAAGGGACATTCCGTCTCTAAATCTGGTGCCTTGACAGTTCTGGGCCAGGGGGGGTTCGAATACGCGGGTGGTGCCGAAGCACGATTGAAAGCAAACATCGTGATTTATATAATGAATCCACACGATATCATATAATATAGATACTAGAACAATGTTCATTCCGTGTAATTCTGTAGGGAGTAACATATATATAGGTATCTATATCCTCTAGATATCTAACACCGTAATTATAAGTTTGAAATTAGCACGCTAGCAGTGAAACTTAAGGTACCTGGCCTGGAAGCTTGCAGATCCAAAGATAGAGCTAAATCTATCAGACTTCCCAGGATCCTGATAAGGTTTCTCCCGTGTGCCGCGAAAGCTTATTTTAAGGTATTCCCATGCAATGCTAGCCAATGGGCGGGGTTTCCGACATACCCCAGCTTCATGCTGACCAGAACCTTCTCTACCAGCAACTCATAAAATACCACGGAATTAAATATGGAATCAATGCCGGAGATACTACGATTGATCTTGTGAGCTCGAACCCCCACTTTAATAAGGCTACTCGAGAGGACGAAAGTGTATTCAAGGTTTGGGGGGAGAGGGGGGGTCGTTGCTGTTATTGTCGACGCGACGTCATTGTACACACCTCAGTCAAGAAGCTAGCAAGGTACATCTGGTCGCATATGCCTTCCTTGTGTCCCCCCGCATACAGCATTTTCCAAGATCAAACATAGAGAGCTATCCCCGCTTCAACCCTGCAGAGTCTGTAAAACCCAACCTTCCATATAATTTTTTGCTATTGCCTTTAACCATGCTGTCAAATCTTCTGGGGACCCCTCCAGAGATCCTACGTCATATCCTTGTAGCTATCGGAAGCGAGGGCCTCAAAAACTTTTCTTTGTGTTCGAAGCTATGTCGCGACCTTGCGGTAGAGATTAAAGTCCGGAACATTTTCTTGACGCCGGCGTCGCTAGCGGCTTTCGAGGACGGTGGCAGCCATGCTAGTCTACGGCACCTTGTCCGGTAGGGGAAATTTCCGCTGCACTAAAAAGTTCCCCCGCAGCATTCTAGGCTTTTTGAAGATCTGACATGCGTGGTTTCTGTTGGATAGTCATGTTACGTTTGTTGGTCTCAAATGCAATAGCTACGAGGAATTCCAAACCTCAAGGTTTCACTTTAACGTTATATCTCGGTGCCGGATCTACACATCTTGCCTTCGAATATTTCCACGAATCCATAGCCTTGAAATTGAATACTCAATCGAGGAAAAAATGGCAAATAATCTGGGAATTGCTGTGCTTTCAAGCTTGTCCACGCTACCGTTCTGGAATCAAACTTTGAAAAGCTTATACATTGGGCTTGACGACTACAACGGAACGGTAAACAGATATACTGATGCTCCGAGGATGCCAACTTATAAAGAATTCTACGAAGCACTTCCGGAGGATGATCAGGAATTCATGGGGGCCATTCAAATCCACACGCAGGATATTGAAGGTGTTGAGGTGCAGTACCCTGCTGGGTTAGAGGAAGCTATCATTTGGATACCTATGTTGCCTATTAGGCCACCATCACCACAAACTAATCTTTTCCCATGGCATTACCATTTTATTTCTTCATCAATTCCTGCCTTAAAGAGGGTAAAAATATGCACACGGCGCATCTTCGCAGACGCAGGATCGTTGGAACCAACGAGTCCAGGAGCTCAGATGCGCCGTCATATATCTCAGTACCTGGGCAATGGCGAATTTATCGGAGTCAAACAATTGTGTCTACGCGTCGTCGGGAGAGGTTACACATATGAGCGGAGCTTCGAAGTTCTGCTACGATGGTTTCCGAATGTTGAGGAATTCGTGTTGGATCTGGGGTTCGTCACTGGTCGACATGAGGCTCATTATAGCGACGGAGCATTGCCGTATGCCGAGCTTTTGGAAACCCGGAACCTTGCAAAAATAAGCGTCCCCTGGCCTATGATGGGACAAAAAAGGTTCACAAGGCCAGAATTGGCAGACTTGATCCACAGGTGGGAGGCAAGAGGCTTAAACAGTTTGAAAGAAGTGGAGTTTGTCCGAAGCGAGGTGCACCAGCTGAGCGAACTAGGCTCCGGTGTACGCTCACGTCCTAACGGATTTATACGGCGTGGTTGTAAAATAGTGCGAAGTGGGTCCGGCCCAGGATTGAAATTGTGGTGGCGGAACTCTGTTAGCGAAACGATACCTCAACGAAGGCAGCTTTCTACACGGCCTGGTGCATGTTTTCACGGATGGAATGACTATGTAAAGGAAGAAGATGGGGTCGAAAGTGAAGAGGAGGATTTTGGCGACCGCACTATTTTAGGAAGTCACGATAGTGATGAAGAGCTACAGGATGCATAACTTGGGGGCTGGAACGGGTTGTCGTACTTAGCTGAAAGACACATGCATACCTCCATCGAGCTTGAGATATAGTCTTTCAATATTTGTGGTAAATATCGCCGGTATATCTAGCTATCACTGCCCGATTCCGGACGCAGATATATAATTCTATATCTTTTCCTAATGTAGGTTTACATATAGCCACAATTTAGTGAATTGCTTCGCATGCAATGATATTTCAACTATTATAATGGTATTTATTTTCCCTCTGGAATAGGTATCAAGACTCCAGGCCGCGGGGCGCAATAAATTTTATACTTGTTGAAAATTAAACAGTTGGAATTGGGGCATGCTAGCAATTGTTGTAAATAATCCGAAAGAAAGGGAGCACAGCCTTTGCAACTCATAAATTGCTTTCTTTTGTTGCATTTTCCGAGCTCGCTACCCTAATAAAACGGTGTTCTAACACGATTCTGCTTGATTTCGAAAGTATTTCCCAACCTAGACTTAACTTGTCCAACTAAACTAGCTTAAGACAAGGGTCCCTTATCACGAACGTTAGCTTTAGCGATATAAATCTCAAAACTTTTCGATAAAGTCTGGGTGGTAGTTTAAAGGGGCTGGAATATTCTCTAAATCGACCTAGAGCTACATGGTTCTACTAAGATAGTCCAGGCTAGCAGTCGTAGCATGAACACTGACTAACCTCAAGTCGGCAGCCCCGCTGCGTAATATATCGGAGAATAATAAAAATATTTCGCAAGTTATTCGCTTCAACCCGTGTAGGAGAATAGTCGACGGTAGAAAGCGGAGGGCGGGGTTTGGGTGGTACTTGTGGCGCTCAGTGCCAAGGCGGACATTGAAAGATGTCTAGATGAGCTTGTCTGATGAACTATTCAATTGTCTCTCCCCTTGCAGATTGCAGAGTCGGATCAATGCGGACCATGCAAAATGGAATATTAATGGAAATGGTAGATGTCGGCCCTAAAGATACCGCAAAAGGCACAATTATATGCCCAACTAAAAATCTTCTCCCGATCGATTAATCCCATGAGCTCGTGTAGTATATGGTATATAGTCTGATATAAAATTGTATTCATGAATGTACAGAGAAACATTTTCGTGAAGGGAAATAACTTTGAAATTTTAAATCATGCTGAGATCGACTATGGTGTATTCTAGAAACTAGGCACAGAATCCGCCATAGGGAATGCACATGTATTTACGTAAATAGAGAACTGCCCGTGGATTTCCGTATTCAGTTGCGTCTAACTCGATTTTACCCTGTCCATGCATGCCCACGCATAATTTTAATTTGAGTGATAGTAGGTAACGACGCCACGGCAGGATCGTGAAAAGAGAAATCTGCCTTTTTTTGTTTTGTTTCGTCGACCTATATGCTGAATCCCCATGGCCCCACTGCATATTCTCCTCCGAGAATTGACGCTAGATATTAGAACCCCGATTGTGTCCGGGCTGAAATTGCACCTACTTGATCATCCGTATTGCGAGGGGGGTATATATAAATATGGGGGATCCGGTGCCATAAGTCACTTTCCTTCACCACCATCGACATTTGCCAGTCGTTTACAATCCAGAAAGTCTATACTAGATATCTGCAAAATGCATATTCAGAATATCAAGAGTGCCCTTGTGGCATTGGTCGCTTTCAATGCTCTCGCAGCCTCTGCTGTTCCCGGCCAGGAACAAGAACTCGAGCAGCGTGACCCCTACGGCTGTAAGTTTTCTAATCCCGTTTTCTGAAAAAAAATTGTACTACAAAAAAGATATTAGAATAATCACTGATGAGTTCTTTTAGACGGTTGTCCCACCAAGACCGTGACAAAATGGTCCACGAAGTGGGCGACCAAGTACTCCACCAAGTACGGGTATGCCGTCACAAAGACAAAGACTGTCACGAAGACAAACTCCAAATGTACGAAGACGGCGACAAAAACAGTCACAAAGTACGCCACCAGGACAGCTACTAAGACGGCCACCAAGACTATTACGAAGACGAACCATTATACCAAGACTGCTTTCGTCATTAGCACTGGTCTTCCATTCAACGTGAAGAACAGAGTCATCACCATTGCCGCGCCACAAATCACCGCCGGTGGGAAGGTCACCAACCTTCAAGCTTCAATTATCACTATTCCAGGCACATCCCTTCGTGGTTTGGGCGGAAATGTCCTTGACATTGGTGCTACCCATATTGTTGTTGCTGGGTCCACAATCAGAGTTGGCCCAGTTATTACTCTTCCAGAGGCCGTTATTACAGTCGCTGGCGAGACCCGGGTAATTGCAGGTGGCTGTCTTCCAGACTATACGACAACTGTCAACAGCGGTACCGTAACCGTCACTGAGTCTGGTGCAACTGCAACTGCAACTGACACAAAGACTGTCACTGAGACCAGTACCTCTGTCTCAACTGAATTATCCACCGTTGTCTCTACTTTAATTAGCACTAGTGTCTCGACCGAAGTCTCCACTAGTATTATCATTAGCACTGCAGTTTCCACCTCAGTCTCCGTTTCGGCTAGCGTTTCGACTGTCGTTTCGACCGTTGTGTCTGTTGTACCTGCCGAACCAAAGTTTACACCAGGGCCTCGAATTGTTGGATGTTACAAAGACGAAAATGCCAGCATGAACGTTGACGCTCCCCCGGAGACAAACGACCTCATGACTCCAGATCAATGCAATTCCTATTGTTTCGGTCAAGTTGGGGATAGCGATATTGTGGCTGCTGGGCTTATCGACGGAAAGTGAGTGCTGAACATCGACTTTTCAAGTTCATACAAATGCTAATATTGGTATTTCGTGTTTCTAGTACTTGCAGGTGCGCCAAGCAGTGGAAGAGCAATCCCCACTCATATGAACCCGGACAATGCACGAAGCCATGCTCAGGCGATGCCAGTGGTTTTCTCCGATGTGGTGGGGACGGATATATTCAGCAGACCGTATCCGCACCTACGCCCCGTTTGTTTGGCTGTTATAAGAAGTCCGGTACCGAGGATATTCTTGAAGTCATCAAGAACATTTCGAGCGTCACCCCCGAGAACTGTCGAGCCGCCTGCTACGTCGATGGATATGCATTCTCCGGTCTCACCAACGGAAAGTAAGTCACAAAATTAGCATACAATCCTCGGATCTAACCGCAGAAGCTAACAGTATTCTAGCACTTGTTCTTGCGGAAACTCCTTTAAGAACGCCCCTGCTGCTTATGACCCTACCGACAACTCGCAGTGTCTTACCCTATGCTCGGGCAACAACATCCTTACATGTGGTGGCAGCGGTTACACTGATATCTACGTTTGGACTGGCTAACTTATTACCAGTTCTCTCGGTCCCAGAGATATCAGGGCCAGGAATACGAGAATATGACGTATATTGTAATATTAATACTTTCTTTCGTCTATCTAAATATCTACAAATTAATTCCTATAAATTCACTAGAATCTCGAAAAGTAAAGACCGCTAGTAGGCTCATCCAGCATTTAACCAGTATCGTAACTTATAGGTGTTTTATTTATTTATTCTAAAAACTGCGTTGTGTTGGAGGATGCAAGCCACAAGTGGAAATTCCCCTTTCCGGGCTAGCTTGGCCAAAATAGCTGCTTAGGCGTACATGCATTCTAATGGCAAGTCTACGGCACCCCTATAGCCTAGTTAGTCTGTAGATATAACATATAACACTGAGTAATTGCAGTAACTATATTCAGTCATCGTGTTATATCAGCCTAGTTACGCAAGCATCGCATTTGTTGTTATCATGTTGGGCCCGGGTCCTACGAAATCGTACAGGCGCATGCAGCTGGTACCGGTAGATGTGTGCACGCAGTATCGAAACAACATTCAAATGCTTAGGCTTGTAAATTTAGCGATATTACGAAATCCCGGAGTTAGGCAGTTGCTTCTAATGTAATAAGTCAAAACTTAGGTATCATAAAATCTAATGCGTCTCCCCTATAGATCTATGCTTTTTTGAGAATAGCAAAAATTGAAGGGTGACCTAAGTGCCCGTTCGAATAGTATTTCGACAAACATAGACATTCTAACAATTTAATCCTAGAAATATACAAAAGCCAAGGCCCGACAATTCCCATAGAATAGGTCAAAACCTACCTACTGGAGAGCCTCGATCGGGACCTCGGCTTCGAAAGGTACTAGAAGGGGTGTAAGCTCATTCGAAAGATGGGCAGTATAATAGCAAGAGTAGGATACCACCGCATGGATGCGCATGCGGCTATCATTAAATTTGTAGCCATACTAGGAATTTTCATACTCAAAATATAAAATAACTTACAGGTTAGACTAGTGCTATAGTGCTAGGCGCATGTTGCCCGCACCTAGAAGCCGAACATAAAGAAACCGAGTTAGGGCAAAAGTAGACTATGGAAAAGGTCCCGAGAGTAAGTACCGAGCAGGTAAGGAATATGATCAGAGCTTATTTCGTCGCCAGGCTCTCAAATTGTGTATCAGAATTATATATTATTATTGTCGTCTCCTGTACATAGTTTGGTTACGAGACTGCCGTAGTATCTAGTAGATATTTTCAGGCGTACCACACAACACATTGCTCCCCCAAAATAACACATCGAATCTGCCTGGTGGCTGCAGCTGAGTAACGGCTGAGAAAACTGACAAGGGTACTCAATCACACATGCACATGAAGCTCTGCAGCGTGGAACGGCTGAGGTTGGTGCTGTTTAACCTGTTCCTGCCTGTACTTCTCCTAAATAACTTTGATCTCCTAAGCATAAATTCAATCACAACGATTGCCTTTTTTTCAAACGGCACTCCCAGGTCTAGAACCGAAAATTGTAGATGAAATGCCCCCTCCACCCCCTCGGCGATACAGGCTTACTGTAATACTAGACAAGCATGTACTCACGCTCAATGCTCAGAACACACTTGTGATAGCCCGCAAGGTGAATGGAACGGCAAATGTCGCATTCGCAGTTGGCTATTTGCAACCAGAGCATGGGAAACCACAATTGTTACACAGCACATCTTTCGAATGGGAAGATAAATATCGGGTTTTTTTACTATCACTCCCTGAAGGTCTAGCATCTTTGGTATGCCCATCGTTTATCTTTTTTATAACGTATTTTTCTGCTTTGCTGATATATCAACAATGTGTCAAGGGCAAATCGAGTGCGACAACAAACGCTGTGGATATATCATTTGGAGAAATTACTGAGTACAAGGACGGCACGCTCCTCGAGGCGCACAAGGCTGATACAACATATTGGGCTACAGATGGGAAAAAGTCTTTTGCAATCTATAATAGTCCACAGACATTCCATTTGGGTGTACAACAACTTACTACCAAGAATCATTTTACCCCAATATTTGTCGATCCGTTTACCGCTAGTCTTAATGGAACAACAGAAGTTACTTTAAATGATGAAGTAAGTTAAAAATCCTGGCTCTCGTACAACTTATATTCATATAGTTCTCTAACTTGCGATCTTGATGCGTCTTAGTACCTCTTATACTGGGGCTCTCAGACGGTAGTGGGGCAGTCTGTACAGGTAGAAGAGAGCGTGTCATTTCCTGTAGTCTTCGAACCTGGAGTTCATGATAGGATCGTACGATTTGGTTACAAAGAGCCCGACCAGCCGAAGGATGCTAGTGAAAGCTTTAGTTGGTATAATGGCGCTGGTACACCAGACGAACCTACCTTTATACTCTCGAAGATCTAAGCGCTTAATCATTTACCATCATTCTGGAGTGCTGTAGTTTATAAAGAAAAGAGTTTCATATCTGAGTTTGGAAATAAGTAACACGTGTGAATGAATGTAGAAGTTGGTTAAGAAAAGACAGTGTCGTAAATGGAAGTAACATCATTTGAGAAGGTGTGACAATAATCTCGCAAATTTCAGTACCCAAGTTTCCTAGCAGTAATAAATTATGTTTTTGACCGATCGAGTATCTCAAAATCGCTTTGATTAAGCGCCCACAATGTAAAAGGATGGGGACTCGCTGCCATCGGCTGGTTGGTCTTGAGTAGCATATCCATAACGAATGGTCCTAGTGGAGTCTCCGGGTGGGAAGCTGAACTTGAAGGCCTCACCTTCGAAGACCTCGTGAACATACTCAGTATCGGCAAGGTTATACCAGTAGAGAATATACTATCAGAAGTAATTAGTCGATTATTTTGATTTTCTCGAGATGGGTATGAATTGAGTACCTCGTTCTTAGGAGTCAGGGTGATAGTGCCTCCGCCCATATGTTCATTAGGGTCAACAAAGATGGTGGACCAGGACCTTCCAGTAGAAGCCTTAACAGCAACATGGAAAGACTTTGGAGCATTCTTAACTGCAAAAGAAGACTTGGCCTGCTCAGTAGAGAGGAGCTTAACATCAGCTTTTGCAGCTTCGCTTAGGTCATTATCCTGCCATTCGACATATTGACCGAGGCCAATATCCTTTGGATCGGTAGCGCTATTAATCTAGTTCAAAACTTAGCTTTATTCACTGAAAAAATAATAACTCAAACGTAAATGAACTATTGAAATGGAGGAGGGCCTACCAAAGCATCGTTTGAATAATCCTGAGTAAAATAAACTTGATAATTAGTCGTAAAGTTAAAGGTATTATTGCTTAAAAGCTTCTTCTGCCCGACCGCAGGTCTTGGAGCAGCATTATCAAAGACGACGTTATAAACGCCATTGACTTTCTTGGAGATACACAAGCTGTCGCTGGAGCTGGGGTTCAAGCAGCCGTGATCGAACTTGACGATGAGAGTGTTATTGACCATTGTGAAATAGTTTAGAGAACAAAAATAGTATTGAGTTCAAAAGATTTGAGGAATAGGTTGTTGTTATAGGGGGACTTGTATGCGAAGATGATGTACCTGATGAGGATAGGGAAGGAAGATGTCCGGATTGAAGGGGATTAAAGCCCCTTTTATGCTCCTTTGAAAGTGGCCTTATGCCTCTGAACGAAAAAATGATGATATGAAGAATAGGATAGGAGAGAATTGAAATCCGCAATTCTAACAAAAGAGGGGTTAACGGCTGATGGCCACCCTGTATTTCCACCTGATGTTAGAGCTGAAAATTTATCCAAGATGTCTTTCAGTGAGGAGAAACCCACAGCTCAATGTAGCCGCCAATTTCTAAGTATCATTCAGCTGATAGCGAACCCTGATACTACAGGGTAATGGTCTGATTATAGGAGCTGCCGTCCCCAAAACATAACCTCAACATTCAACCTTGTTGAGGTTCGTTAATTCTGCTGCAATGCATATCTACCCCACAGCACATATTCTGCACATGCGCGGCATCTCTGCTCAGCCCTCACTAGATCTCAAAATCGCTCATGGTTTGGTCAGACTGCAAGATGCCATACCACAATAAAGTGTATTCTTGATGTTAGGTTCGCAAGAAGTGGAACAAACAAAGCTCATTGGCCAGCCCGGAATTCTAACCAAAAGGGTCTAGTGTGAGAAACTAGACAAATGTAACGGGAGGCCCGTTATGAAGCTCGGTCTGTGCGCGATGCAACTACCCTAGCCTCAAGCTTGAAATTATACAAATGAGTACAAAATGTGAAAGCCTCTGAGGATGGTAGTTATTTACAGAGCGATGAAGGTGGTGCGCAATCCTTGAGCTGTATGCATACGAACATCTGACTTTTTGCATACACATGTGCTGGAAAGTACCCAGTGGAACTTTAACTTTGACCTCGGAACGCCACGAAGTATGGAATTGGAATAAAAGTTGAAGATGAGTATATAGTATGGCTAGCTATTAATTGATGTAAATTAGTCTATACTGATATCATGGTATCACATAGCCAAGAGCATTAGTTATGGTTTACGAGATAACTTAGAATGCCCCGCTATCCAACTTTTTCGCATGTCTCAAAACGGGAGAAGGGGTCGCCGAGTCTATGCGATGCAATGCAGGAGCTAGAACGAGATATGGTTGGCCAAGCGAGAAATCACAACATCCAAGCAATAGCTTGATCTTTCAAAAAAGCTTAGCACCGGGACAGCCTAGTAAGGTTCCGAAGTCGTTACCGCCTGGCTAGTGTTGGGATACTAAATTCAAATTTAACCAATTTGTGGGCTTCATGAGCACATACTGGAATAAAAGTCAACCCCGAGTGCGAACGCCAACAGGTTGTGTGACGCATTACTCCTCGCAGGGCTGAAACTCATGATATCAAAGAAACCTTGAGAATCATGATATCAACAAAAAAAAAAAAAATCCAACTCCTGGCTAGTGGAAACTAAACATACACTGCCCGTAGGCTCGAAAAATAAAAATTCTGCATGATTGCATAAGTACCTGGTTGAAAGCTTTTCGCTCGCCGCTAGAATCTCGGCCACATTAAAGTTTGCGGCGATAATAAGAATATTAATATATTTGGGTTTCCCATTTAACTTAGTAATCTAGATATAATTGTTATTACTTAAGTATACATAGCGCGTAAATTTAGAGTATAGATCTACTTCAGAAGCATCGATAGATACCTACGCCTCACATTTGCAAACTTATAGAGCCACCACCCGTCTTGTGCGCGGGGTTGCTACTACACCTTCAAATGTATTTAGTCGTCAAAAATTTCCAGCCCGGCAAAAGATGTGCATATGCATATGGTTCTACCGGAATCTCATAACATGATCAATTCTAGTTGTGTTACCGCGGGGTCTCATGGGGGCCTGATCATAATGCAGCATTCTGCAAAGATCGCACTCGCAACCCGAAGGATTGCATATAGCGTGCATTTCGAATCATTTAGAATCGCACTCGCAACAACCCACCCCGCCCACAAAATACCATAGCCACCGAAATAACATTCCGAGAGTTTTTTTTCAACAGACCCTATTCATCTTTACTTCTAGCCTGAATGGACGAGGTAGATTAATTTAGGGTAAATCATGGCCTAGAGGTGCTCTAGCCCAATCTGCTCCCAATAGGGCTGAGAAACTCGAACCAGCAGACTTAGGTATTTCAGCCCTACATCAATTGAGTTGAAAGATCAAATATAATCTTCGATGTCCAAACTCTAAGCCCATTCATGCGCACCCTCCGTGTTATAGCCCCTCATGACGGGAAACTCCGTCTTTAGGCTTGATTTCTCTTAATTCCCGTTTCCCCGCCCCACAAAAGGCATATTGAGCGCCGTTAGTTTTGATCTTAACATTCCCAGGCGTCAACCAGGAACCAATTGATATATCATAGTTGAAATTATGAATTTGATCTCATTAGTTGCCAACATAAATCCATTGTGCATGTTAGATGGACCTCAGAAAAAGGGCATTGTCTCATGGGAATATCGCAATTTTCTGCCAGATATCAATATGAATTAATAAATACAGAACTTGTTAATTACTTAGTGATACCGGTAGTACATCCATATATATAAAAAGAAAGAAAATTTTCCTTTCGATATTTATGGTAATCTAGACTAGGCCCTAGCAGTCGTCTCTAAAAAAAAGAAAGAAAAAGAAAATAGTAACTTGAAATCACCGTGCAGTATGTATACATGTAAACATTCACAACCATGCAGTGTACATTTAGGTATACAAGCATCAGTGACCCCAAATAGATATCTTGCATAACAGGGCATTTGATTCGCGGGAAATCAGTATCTAGCTACCGCTCAAAAACCAGATTTATATAATGAATGAATGGGGTCACCGGACTACCAGAAGCTCAAACGCAACTTGGGGCCAACTCGGAGAGCCAAACCAATAAATGGACATCCTCATTTGAGCCAATTTTGATTCAAGTAACATGAAAATTGTATATCTATTTTCATTCGATATGAGTTGCTCGAGCTATCACTTCTGCAAATAATAAATTTGCAGGACTACCTTTAATATTAGTTTCATCTAAATCGAAGACTTTGGTCGAGATTGATCTATTGAAAAGTATGTATAGGATATAAATATATGGTAAATATCAGGAAGCTAAGATTCCCACTTATAAATGGTAATATCATTTTAAAGGAGGGCTCTCGAAACATAGCCGCCTAGTATCTCTCCGCGAGGCCGGCAGGAACGGAGCTGAACCCAATAGTTGGCTGCCCTGAGTTTTTACGGAACTCTGATTCATCAGCTGATAGTTGGTCCGGTATTTGAGCATCCCTAGCCCTGATATTTCAACCGAGAGTGATAAATATAATCGTGAGGCCCTTATTTAGGTTGAAGTCTTATGACCATATGGATCATGGTAGACGGATATACCATACTACGGGATCTAGATCAACACGAAAGGAGGAAAAATGCAACAAAAAGTCAAATCCGAAAGTAATATAATCATGATATCAGAAGCTGCACAAGCTACATGCAGCGGATACGAATACTTCATCAACAGGGCGCGTGAAAATCTAAATAATGCAATAAATTGCAACAGCAAGGTTGCGGCTGATAAAAAGGAAATAATGTGCAACTGAGCGGCATAAGCATTTAAAACTATTGGCGCATGCGGGCATCGAGTGGTTGTTGAGAAAATGTGAGCAAAAGCCGATGCCCTGCATATTCATATTCAAGTGAGCATAGACAATTGCGTAATTGAATTTCAATTATCTAGTTTTGAATGCTCACTTCAGCTCAGCTGTATGATTCTGCATTGATACCCTGAGAATATCTTGGGCTGAAAACAAGGAATGGCGGGGGCGAGCCGCTGTAATTTTCCAAGGTTGTAGAGGAGATAATCGACACAATACTATAGTATACGTAGATAAGACTATATTGTATAATGGAAAAAAAGAAAAGAAAAGAAGGTAAAGGGATTACAATATAGACGGGTCATGAGGCCAAAATATCCAGATTACCCCCAAGCATAGGTCCAGAGCTGAAACTAACAGTATGCAAAAGGCACCATAGCCTCGGTGTATATTCTCATATTATTGTGCAGAAACTTGCACGGGATAGTTCTACTTCATTCTTAGCGCTTCAGCCGAACAAAATACATATATAGAGCGACTTAGAATACTAACCTAGGCTTGGGCATTCCGTTTCACTTCTAGCACTATTTGATAGAATCATTGTTACAATATATCAATATACACTTACAATATACTTAGAATAAGTCTCAAATTAACCAATCTTCAGCATGACAGGCCTAACGGACCAAATAGACGTGGAAGGCCGAATCCTTGCCCTTCAAAGGGCTCGTGCGTTCTTTGAGGAAAAAGTCTATCGTGTCGGTTTTCCTGATTCTTTGCAAGCGTTTTCGAGAGCAACAAGTATTGAGGTCGGTGGGGACTACTAAATCGGATTAGCCGCAGCAACCACAAACAGTAAGGCACTAACCTATCAATCTCATACTTTGTCTCTGTTCTAAATTTCTCTCTTACGTTCATATCATAAATTTTCTTACGGAACGTTACAATTACAGGCCCTGCATATAATTATGTCCACGTATATTGTCAGAAGTCGCCTCCTGATGAGGTAACCGCAGTGACCGGGTGGGAAAAGGGAGACGAGGGTTTCTGGAGTTTCACACCTGCTCCAGTCAGTGGCTTTACGAACCAACCAGGCGACTTTGATCCTATCCAGATCTTCTTTGATGTTGCAGAAGGCCTAGAGCTCGAAGCTATGGTAGGAAAGTGTATGTGGACACGGGCTAGTGCCATAAAGAGCTTCCAAATTACTCAAGGCCTTGTCATACGAACTTCTCAGGGTACTAGATGGGCCTTGACTGTGGGGCATGGTTTTGACGATACGTAAGACCCATAGTATACAAAGCGCAAAGTACAGACTCTTGGTTGCGTTTGCTGACCTGAAAATTACCATCAACATAAGGGCATCGACGAGCGCCGAAAACGCCGTAAAGTTCTGCCGCCTTGCTCCGCCGGCTGTTCCACATGGGCCAAGCCAAGAGTGTGCGCAGTGTAGAGCGAATAAATGCAACTCCGAATGCAAAACACTTCCCACGAACACCCGGGTTACTGTGGCATCGGGGCTAAACAGCATAGTTACATTCAATCCGGAAGTTGAGAGTTTGAACTGGCTAGATTTTGGAGCCTACAATATACCTACTAATAACGCTGCGTTACAATTAAATACATTATCCGTTCGGGAGGTTCTACAGCGAACAGGGCAATTACGTAAGACCAAAACTTTTAATTTCCTCCTGCTTAAATTTCTAATATCGGGTTTCCCTATATTCTTTCCATAACCAAAAATAAGCATTCTGACGTATAAATACGGATACGTATATACCCACATCTAGATATTAACAATCCAACAGCCTATGACGAGATTGCCGGGCCCATAAATGGCATTCAAGGCGTGGCTACTGACCTTCTAGACATTGATTATCTACAATATCTATCGGAACTACGACCAACTGGCATTTTCCTTTTTAAGAGAGGTAAAAAGACGGGCTGGACATTCGCAAGACTCCTTACAGTTACCAAAACTCGGATTCGGGCAGAGTGTATCGGGCAGAAGACAGGTAAAGGCGACTGTGGTGCTATTTGGTGGGGTATGTACACCGGCTCTACCCTTCATTCATATTATCATGCCTCTTAGGTATATCTAACACCTGTGTCTGCTCTATCACTAGTTGTCGATGCATATAGCAAAACTGCTTCACCAGTTGGGTATCATAGGGCTCGAGACGATACAGTAGCCCATATAGTGCCATATTTAACAGCCTTGGGACAGTTGACTGTAACTGATCAGAGATTCAATGGATACCAATTTCAGTCTCTGGATAGTTATACCTGGTAAAATTTAAAGGAGGGCTTAAACCCCAAAACGCCAGCTAGTATTTTGTTGAGTAGGGTCTTTGTATCTACTTATAGGTTATAAATATCAAAATCTTTAAGCTTTCATAAAATCAATTTTGAAATTTGTTATCCTAACCTCTAGAGCCCAGTCCATAACAAAATTTCAAAACGTATAAAGGAGCTTGAATATTATCGAAGCATGTCGATATGTCGACATGTCGCTCTGTTCCGGACCCTATCTCAAAATGTCAGTTCTGTGCGCGTACACCATGACATACCCAGTAATTTAATAAAATATTTATATATATAGGGTATTAATTCGGCCCATAAGGTCCTGATCTTCAAGGATAAATTTGTGCGTAAGTATATATAATCTAGATATTTGAGGATATGAGGAAATTAGAACTTCTCTCACTAACGCTATAACGCCGAGACCAAAATATCGTTGTGTATTATTAAAAAATCTTCGTACATTTCGATCACTATATGCCTTCAGGGCTACATGGCCTAGTCTATGAGAAAGCATGAATTCGAACTAATTTGAGTGGGAGAGCTTGAGAGAATCGAGTAAGCCCGTGAATGCCGCAATAGTTATATTTGCGTTATGCAATATGCAATTACAGCGACTAGACCTAACCAATATATATAAAATACCCTCGGATTCGACAATATCGATGAGGTCAATATGATACAATCTAAGAATGCAGCGCCGAAAAAGTAAAGATCTAGAAGCTAGAAGAAGATCCAGTTGGGTGTTCTCGGGGCGCCAAAGCTGAAAAGGCTGTGCTGCTAAGCCTAGATTCGATTGCATGTTCTCTATGAGCTCCACAACGGCCATCTGCATTTATCTGACCCATCCACGATCGGACACGAACACTACGGCCCGTACCATGCCTTAGCCCATCGATCGGAAAGCCTCATTCGTCCGTCATCCCGCTGGTCTGAGACATTGGCTCCACCACAAAGCAACACATTCGAGGCCCCAAAATAAGACAAAGCTTTCAGGACAAATTCTCACAGACAAGCCAATTTAATTTCCAAATATCAAATTATACCCTCGAAATGGGATTAAAATCTGCTTTCTATATTCAAGGTTATAAAAAGTTGATACCAAACTCTCCTAGTATCACAACATGCTTGACGACGTTTCGTACGGCTTCTGTCATACGAGCTTCGCGCTCATGAGTCGTGACGTACCATATATGCATATATAGGCATGTACTTAAAAACCAAGACGGTAACTCGGTCGCCGATTTTACATTCATCCTCATATTGTCTTGCAAAGGGTGGTGCTAACCAGTAGTATAAGTGCCGTCATGACGGTGCATGTGCAGTGTGCATACAGCCAGTAGGGGAGGCTTGTTTTGAAAGCCGTAGGCGCGTAGAATTGCAGAAATTCCTGAATAAGCGAGTCTGATAATCTAAATAGCCAATCAATAGCAGACCTAGATCTTGGAATGAGAATCCAGAACCATCTATGTTGAGATCGTGATATGGTGACACGGCATAGTGAGTGTACCTACCCAATAAGTAGTCATGTGCCTACGGACTATCGATCGATCGCAGCTATAGAGTCGGCGAGCTGCTAAGTCTGCATTCATAATCTAGATAAAGAGCAATTAAAAACTTAGACCAGTCTCTAGAAGTCGATACTTACATTTCCGTTTGTTTTATTTAGTTTCATCGAGTTTGATGTGGAGAACGTGTTATGTAAGGCTTTGTGATTCTAGATATCAAATCTGGGCGTGCCGACAAACGAAAAAAAAAAAAAAAGGAGGTAGAGATATGCGGATAGCTACCAGAAGTTTTCCTACTTCCTACATATGCGCCTGTAAATGCAACTTGCTGCGACTAGGGGTAGGTTGGGACGGAAAGATTTATGATGTGGCATGGCAGCCTATTCCGCCCAGGACCTTTTGTCGAGCGGCAAATCATCCACACCTCGTAACTCAACTCTCTCACGGACTCTGCACGGACAAAGACATTGATGCGCATGCTTTCTAGCACTGCCAATTATTTACCTGCATATGTAGGCCGAAATTCTTCATATTTGCCCCGACGTAAGGGAAGCTATCATACCTTGATTCTCGCAGCTGCATATCTACCACAAATTCTTGAAGCCGAATAATGCCTCGTCCGCATTTAATCAGCATGCAACACCCCAAATCTTGTCGAGATATTGCCTAATGCGGCTCTTCCGGGTGGCCGAAAAGAAGCCGAATCTCTTGTCGGGAAAACTTTCCAGGACGTGGCCACCCCGAGCTCCAGGACAGAGGAACACGTTGTGGAAAGAAGCAAGCAATTCGGTACTAGAGTGGCAAATTTACGATCGGACAGATATGCACATCAAGATGCAGTGGTCATGACCTCAAGCTACACCCGGTTCCTGGGCTCCAAGGGGCCGAAGTCGTGGTGTCCCGAGGGCTAGGCACATGCCAGGATAGACGTATACGCATATGCATATATGGCACAGCCCTTATCGATAAGAACGGGAAGAAGTGAAAAGATATTGCACCGCGAGGGCACGATGTTGTCTCATAGATCAGGTGTCTTACGGGGTAAAACGTCTGATTTACGAGACAATGAAGGGCAGAATGTTGTTTTCATTTGAGTTTTCTACTAAGTAACTAATCTATCTAGATGTCTATCTATCTTCTTGGATTTATCATACATAAAGCTTTCCTCTCCGTACTAGCTAGATCTTCGAGGTATTGAAAGAAACTAGCTAGCGAGGAAAAAAGCCTACCATCTAATTACTTTGAGATATCTCAATGATACCAATTTAATGCTGTTCCGTGCATACAATCCGTCGAATATCCAATCCCCACAAGGGAATTTAAAACAAAATCTTGCTGTCCAAAATCAAAATGATATTTATCAACCCGGAATAACTCCAACCCTATGTCTTCTGGCGACCATTTAAATATTGTGATCCTGGCGCGCCTTTATAGGCAAACATGGTCCTCCAAAGTTATCCCATTTTACTAGCTATTTCTTGATTTCGAGATAAAATACGAACCTCTGAACAGAAAGTTGTCTTGCAAAATTGCGAAAGGGTTATCCCTCGTGAAGTTTCAATGCTGGGAGAAAACGCGTGTCGACTAGCGGCACAGCATACTAGCAGCGCTCAACAAGGCTGTGCCACAGCAGTTAAACTTTGCCCACTATGAGCAACGGTTGGAGATATGAGAAGGCGATACTGTTCACAAAAGAATCAGAGGGAGAAGGAGGGCCCTTATATAATATTCTCGTCGTAAGAAAGTGGTCGCTTACTGTCCAGATTTCATATTCCAACTAGAATTTCCCTCGCATAGCTGAACGTTGCAACAAACCCGAGTATCAGAACCCTGGCGTTAGACATCCCGGGCTACCAGGGGAAGCAGCCACGAAAAACAGCGCACAGCAATATGAAACCTCCGCTTGAAGCCGCCAAAAAAATAATCCCGGTTGGTTGGAATCCGGCTGTGCTGGCAGGAAAGAAACGAGTCCTTTGAAGCCTTGTACCGAAGCCTATCGCTGAGCCGAAATCCTATCCTGGCTGGCTAGTCGCACAGCACTTAACCCCACTGTCCTCCGCCCTCGAAGAGTCTGAACTATCTCGCAATCGAAAGGTCCAGGCGGGAACTCTGTACCACATACTTCTTGCATACGCTGTAAATGTGGATTTGTCTCGAGAACATCGACATTTACCACATCTGGAAAGGCGTTGTTTGCCCTGCTAGGATAAAGCCCAGGGAAGCTCACCCCTTGCCTTCATTCCAACGATATATACGTTGGATTTCTTTGGGGGTTTCTAACCGCCTTTTCAGAAGAGGCCATTGGATAGAATATTGACTTAGAGTTCAACATTCTTTCAGGCTGGAAGGTAAATGCCCAAGGCCTGCGTGTATTCGTAATGCACACCGCCGCTACGTAACAGGTACCATCCAGTCAGGTCGGCAATCGCGTGGTATTTTTGGTGAGGCGAGAGAAGGCTGTTGTTCGTGGTTGCATATCCATGTGCGTCTGCAGCGCAGCGCAGCTAGTAAGTTTGCTTTATGCATGGCCAAAAAACTAACTACTAAGCGTCAAGATATCCTGAATCGACGACTGTGACACGACGTGCCTCCGGCTCTTTAGTGGAGGAGCATGGTTCGAAGATTGTCTGTCAGAATGTTCAGAATACGAAGCATTGCATTGCAGAGAGCTCGATAACCCGCCGAACCTTGATCGGCTTGGACTTGGAGTCTTGCCCGAGCTCGACCGAGCGGGAGGTTTACTTTTTCTTTACTTACAAGACATTTACATAATCCATGGTATTTGCAGCGGTCGAAGAAGTGAACGAAGTTAATGAGTGCAGAGAACATGAATTCAAACAAGTAAATGAATGGCGGAATGAGGAGCATCACGATGCCCGAAGCCTCAGGAAGAACTTGGGCGTCTTGTTTTGCCAAGACATCACCAAAACGCAACAGAAGTCAACACTTTGCTCTTTTATCGATTATCCTGAAACAGAAACTACGAAGATATACCCTGTCCTTACAGCGCCGCCCTAAAATATGAACTGTTGCCAGTTACTGGTATTAATTTCTAGCTAAGTTCGCAATGCCTCCTAAATCTCTTGAATTTCGGTGGCGGTAACGCCTTTCATGCTAATATGATGAGACTAGCCTAGAAAGACGACAAACCTAACCGCTAGTATCATATCATATGAAGTTACGCCGCCTAACCGTGTTCGAGCAAAGTGTGTAGGTAAGTATCGCATAATCCGAATGCGTACGAACCTATTAGTTTCGTAGTGGGACTATAGCTAGCTACGCAAATTAAAGGAGAACCTATTTTCACTTGTCGTAGTAGGAATAGTAAATGTACTTTAACCAAGATACTAGCTTGTTAGCTGGGTGAAAGTGTAGGGACGGTATCTTGTAAATAAACGCCACCAGAGCTTTCAAAATTTGAATCGACTCTCGCATCCTTGACCCCACTTTAGGCCGCCCTTATTGTAGAGCGAAACCTATAATATCAATATCTCAGAAGTATTAAGTTAACACGTGGAAAGGGCTCGAGCTCGAGCCAAGCCACCTGATATGCATGCAGCCGTGCAACATCCTATATCACAATTCCTTTCGTCATAATATCACGCTTCGAAGTGGAGAAAGCAATAACAAATAAACGGTCTTTACGAAAACAATCGGACTTTTCAAACATGGCAGCGGTTCCAAGTTGGCCTTATCCTTGTACTGTCCTAGACCCCTTGTATTCAATCCGGTTCACCAAGTCCTAATTTAGACTGTATTCAACTGAACTTCAAATACTAGCAATCATACGCCAACCAATTGTGAGTCCGTTTGTAGACGGCATGAACCTGCCCGTTAAAGGAATCCCGGTCTTTGGTACAGCTGTGCCTATGTGGCACGGTAAACCTTAGTACCCAAGCCGATTTTCGGGTGTGAGTGGACCCTGGTAGCTTATAGCCTTTCAACACAAGGAAACACCGAGGCAGACAGCTTGATCTTGATTTTTCAGCTACTGTTTACGAGGAGACAATATTGGACTCTGAGGGCTTTTTAAATTGAATTTAATCTTACCATTTGTCTTCATTGCTTGTTGTTTCCTCTTGCCGTGGTTTAAGCGTGATACTATCGGGATCATGCGCAATTGTATTTCGAAGTTGAATTGGTGGTGATCAGTCTATGCCACAAGAGCCCACCTGATAACCATCCGCCTGATTCATACATCCTTCAGTATAGAATCCATAGTGTTATTCTAAACATACATGGTACTTCCCGCCCAAATAGAGCCTGGTAGAGGCGCTTCTTTGAAATATTGGCATTAGAGGGCGACCCCATTAATTCCTTTGGCTCGTCCCATGTGAGAGATCAACGATCAAAGGGGACAAAGCAAATATGCAAAGGCGACGGGGTATTTTCGAATACAAACCGACTGCATAGAGCTCCACAGACGTAATCGTATGCCCGGATGCCCATTTCCATAGGCCTATATATAGGTAAGTATACAAGTACCAGTACAAGTTTCAGTATCGATAATGTGGGCCAATCTCTGGGGGCCAAAAACAATGATGCAAGACCAAGAACGAAGAATGTTGGCCGATTGGAGGAGAGGCTTTCGAAGACTAGACTTCAAAGTCGCCGAAGAAACGGAGCTCTTCGTTTCAAAAGGGTGGTACGCACGGAAGCTTGTGAGAATCCTACACAGTCGCCATGTGATTCAAGTTGAAATATGTCTACAGTTGTTCCATATGCGCATATGCAAGGCAGAAGATAGACAATCTAGTGATATCCAATCAACTTGATTTTCATCTACTGATCATGCGGGATTTAGTGATGAACTTATCCGATTCTCCGGGTCGAGGGGAAGGAAAGAAGAAATATGAAACCCGAAAGGATGCAATACTATCGGTGCTCAATCACATTTCGCAGACTGCAGTCCTAAAGGAAAGGGGTCGTACGTATGTATGGATAGAGCTACCATATAGATATCTCAAAAAATGGTCTTATCACGATGACACTTCTGGTCAGCGCCGGCAACTGCCACCGAACAAATCAAATCTAAGAAAATTTGAGTTGTCGCCGATATGTATTTTATGTTACTTTGTTACGAGCCTCAATGCATGACCAGATTCAATATCCTAAACGAGTAAATTTTGGTCCAAATAGAGGATTAGTTTAACATTCCTCAAATTTGATCTTTCGCGAGCTAACTTCTCGATATCGCGATGGTGAATTCGTGAACCGAACTATCGGCCTTAAGGCCTTGTATTTGCAGTCGGATAGATACCAGCACCAGACACTGAAAACTAAAATCTATTGACTTTACAAGATTAAACCTATCCCGGACCTGCGTACGTTTATACTCGAAGACGATTTTTCGGTCTCCCTAGGGCCCTTTCCAAACCAACTAAGAATCACATTTTGTGTCGTGCTATGGGTAATACTGGTCTCGTTACGGGTTCGAACAAATTGTTCGCTTTTTTCCGCGTTCGTCCTTATGCGTCACAACTTTCCCAGCCTACTGTAAGGCCCTAATTAAGGCCCGATAGGAACTCCACCAGCTGTATTCTCGCCTTCGGTTACTCTTGGTCATCCCCGATCTCTTCAACCAGCGCCTAAGTAGCTGTTTTTTCAAATCAAGTTTACACGTCAAAAACATTAATCTCGTGAAGCTTCGAAGGGGGAAAGTATTCCTAGTCAATAATACTAGTAACTTTTCTTATGCTTTCCGAGACCTCCAACATGCGCATGCGACGAATTGTGGATTTTCACAGTTGCAATTGATCGAGGGCGCCTGAACTTAACATGCGGAGGCTTCGAGGCTAACATACGGATACGAAGAGCTAAATTGAAATCCAATCGTCTATCTACTACAAGATTATGCTGTTGTACAAATACACTAACCCATTTGCAACAAAATAAAAATTACACCTTCAAATCCGCTAAATCCTAAACCCATATTGAAGACTAATCTCGAGCTTAAATCCCCTTAGTTCTCCTCACCTTCCACCGGTTCATCACTAGGTAAAATCCCTTCAATAAGTCGGCATAGAGATTAACCGTTGAATGCTTCTTAGAGATAGCTTCTCTCTTCTCCCTTTTCTCTAAGATGTAGGACCGCTAGGCGTCCCGGACCGTTTAATGCGATTTCCGTTTTACAAGACGATATCACCGACCTCCTGTTCACCAGGGAATATGACGTTCTCGATAGCCTTCAGAGTTCCCCTCAACGGTAACCCTACCACATTATCATAACTCCCGTTCACCGACTCCACCAAGATAGTCCCCAAACCCTGGATCCCGTATCCACCCGCCTTATCAGCCCCTTCTCCGGTTCGCACATATGATTCTATCAGCTCGTCCGTTACATTCTTGTCGAATTTGACGATTGTTTCTAGCACCAGAGTCAGCTAAAATACCCTAAGCCCCGAAGCTTATAAAAGGGCAAAATACCTTCGACATGTGTATCCATCACATATCCCGGTGCTCTACCATCGGGCAAGGGACTCATTACACACACTGCTGTGATAACTTTATGAGGTTCTGAATCTCGTAATTGCTTGAGCATATCAATGTGATCTTGATAGCTTAGAGGTTTTTCAACAATTCCGCCAAGGTATGAGCATATTATCGTATCGGCGGAAATAACGAGGGTAGGTTCGTCATCTGAGTCTATCTGTTTCAATTCAGGAATTCAATTGCTTCCGTCAGACCCAGGTTGTATTCGAGGGGAAATCCGCCATTCCCACAAAGACAAAAAGGGGTTTTAGGGTACGCAAATATAAAACCGACCTCTTGTTTATACACGCTCATACACTTCTCCTGTGCAGTTTCAAGCACATATTCTATGGCGGTGTATTTACTCTTATCTAAATCCTCTGCGAAGTCGCTGGGTACAATGTCGAGCTTCGTGAGACCGATTTGGGCTAGAAGTTGTTTCCGCCGTGGAGAGGCTGAAGCGAGGATTACGCGTTTACCACGTAGTGCATTGAGGCAAGGGAGATCAAGCGGTTTGATTGATTTTGCAGATTGTGCGTACATAGCACCAGGCGGCAATGTTGGCTCGTCGCGATAGGACGGGGGCGGCGGATTGCTCGGATTATCGGTGGATGCGAACCAGGAGAACATATTTGGGGAGAACTAGCTAAAAATAGTCTATCGGATGGTTCAGGAGATACAAAAGCTACTGCAATTAGGAAGTTACTCGGGATTGTAATTAGGCCGGTGTCCTTTGTTTGTGTAGGTACGTGAGGATGGGGTATTGATGTTGGGAATGGTGTTTTGGAGAACGTGACTTGGAAGCTAATAGCTTTGGTGATGGGGAGCTTAGCTGTGACGTCTTGGCATCAATCGGGCCGACTTTTTGGTGCAACGTTAACGTCGTTCGGATTCGAACTATTTCCCCTTTCGATATTGGCTTCAACCTCAGCTCAGCGCTTTCATTCATCCGGCTCCGTCAACTTCCATAAGACTTTACTGGTATACTGTCTAACATTTGATATTGAGGATATTTGGGAATATGCAATTGGCGATTTGTAAGCTTCCAAACCTGCCGTTTTCAGGAATAGGTCCGTCAGACGTGAAACATCTCAAGCTAAGCTTCGCGCGCGTACGTCGAAATAGGCTTAAGATCGAAAACGTCATGCTGTACGTCGTCTGTTACTAATACCAACCTAATCCCTCGGCTTAAAAAAAAGATACCTGCAAGAATCCGCTTTTTTCTCCCCGCAAAGAATAAATATCCTGCTACCGTCGGCAAAGCCGGCGAGTGGATACAGGGCAATTAATTGACATGCTTCACACGCGAAATAGGTGCCTCAGTATTAAACATCAGTGCCTAAGTTTTTAAGGGGATGTGACTTCGTGTATTTAATGGGAATTCGTTCAAGCGCTTAATTAATGTCGAAAGGCCACCAGCGAATGATAGCGTCATCCCGGTACTCGAAAACAAATATGAATGCCGGCCCGATCATAACCTTTGGTACCAATTGAAATCATTGCGCACATTGCAATCGTCATGCGGTTATGGAGCGGATATGAAGAATTGCCCAATGGAGTAACTTCTATCGAAAGCTAGAGTCGCGGGACAATTGATTGTTAATCTAAGGGGAGGGGAAAAAAGAAAGAAAGAAAGCGGAGACCTGTGCGCCGGGTCGACGCAAAACTAACCATGTTAGTAATGTGCCTAGGTAACTATCACATCATTTCGCAGGATTTGGAAAGGTTTCAGAAGAAAGAAATATTTTAAGGAAATATGGTCCGTGAAGCTCGGTTGTACGAAAGAGGAGGGGGTTTATGGATTAGAAATAGCTTTTATAGCGAGACCTGTTTTGATCGAAAAGTATATATAGACCCTGTATATCCATTGAGAAACCAATTCCTTCTCCATTACTATCCCTAGTCAGTTCCGTATTCATATCGACGTAAATCTATCCGTCTACATTGCTACCAGTCTCGTAGCTCAGTGCAGTCCTGCTCCTTCTCATATCTCCAACAGCTTCAACTCAATTATCTGCCATTTTAACCCTCGGCTATAAAATAGTTCAACTTGAGTAGTTGCTCAGATCATTCTCTAATATATTAAATATTCAAACATAATACACGATGGTTCAATCGAAAGCTTTGATCTTCAGCGGTATTCCGGATGGTTTTCCCGTTCCAGGAAAAGACCTCGTCGTCCAGTCAAGCGAGGTAGACATCTCAAAAGCCCCGCAAGGCGGGGTCGTCCTTAAAGTCATCTTCGTTTCTATCGATCCGTATGTATATATCTAGCAGCTCCTTCCATTTCTTCAGAATATGTTTTGCTAATATATATTCAACATAGATACATGCGCGGACGAATGCGCGACGCCAGCATTACAAGCTATAGCGTATGTTCCCCACCGTTCTCATAGTCCACGGGTTAAATATGCTAACCACTGTTCAAAAACCCAGCCTGCCTACCCAATCGGCCAGCCAATCGAAGGTGGCGGTATTGCAAAAATCATTGAGTCCGGGAATGAAACCTTTAAAAAGGGCGATATCGTCAGCGGTCTCATCACACACTCCGAATATGCGGTCTATTCGGCCGAGCGAACTGCAGCCAGCAATCTCAAGGTCTTGAATAACCCTTATAACTTCCCACTCCAACGGTTCACCGGTGTCCTTGGAATGCCTGGTTTGACAGCTTATGCCTCGCTATATGATATTGGAGAGCTACATAAGAACGAGAAGGAGACGATATTTGTTTCGGCGGCATCAGGGGCTGTTGGCTCTTTGGTCGGACAGTTGGCCAAGAGGGAAGGATTGAGAGTTGTTGGGTCTGCAGGATCCGATGAGAAAGTCAAGTATTTGATCGAAAAGCTTGGATTTGATGCGGCGTTTAATTACAAAAAGGAGTCACCAAAGGAGGCCCTGGCGAAGTATATTCCTGAAGGATTGGATATCTTTTATGATAATGTTGGAGGAGGTGAGATCTCAAACTTTCACAGTACTCAGTGATTTGGGCTAACATTTATCATTGTTAGAAACATTGGAAGCTGCAATTGATAATGCAAAGCCATTCGCTCGTTTCATCGAATCTGGGATGATCTCACAATAGTAAGCCGCACCGCGTCTGATAGGCGGGAAATCCCCCAACGTTCCTGTGCTAATCTAATCCCTGAAATAGTAACCGAAAAGCGGGCGAAGAGGCTTATCCGATTAGAAACCTCATGAATATAGTCACAAAGAGACTAAAGATCCAGGGTTTCATCGTCGGTGACATCGCTGGAAAGTACCTTGGCGACTTTTATAAGAATGTTGGGCAATGGTTGCACGATGGATCGATCCACTACAGCGAGGACGTTACTGTTGGAATTGATAATGAGGCAGAAGGGCTAGTCAGCATGTTGAAAGGCGGGAATTTTGGAAAGGCTGTTGTGAAGTATGCTGATGCTTAAACGATTTGATACGAAATTTGGAAAATCAACCAGAGCCCTCTATTCCCTAGTAGCTTTTGGCCATGGGAATTAGTACTGGAAAAGCTCATATGTTCCATTGTATATTCAATTACCGATCGATAAGCTCAATCGGGTATGCAGCCAGATTCTTGAGTACATCTTTTTCACTCTGCTGTAGGTCCGTACATATTGAATCAAAGTGATGTGCTCCATCCAAATATCGTAATAGTGGTAGACTCCTGTCTGCCATTAGAAGTCCACTTCCCGTAGTCATCGATTTCCCCATTTTTCCTGCGACCACGCTTCCCGCTACACCCGGAGTTTCCGGGCCGTGTCCTAGGGCTAAAGCGTGTAGATCAACCGAACTTCCGACAGCCGCTGTTGCAGGACCAACTGTCGCGACAGCGCCTGTGCCATCATCGATCCTCACGGGATATTTGTGTACCCGGTACAAGAATCCCTTGATGATTCCAAATTGTATAAACCTTCTCACATCCACATCCTTCAACCTCTCAGCATTCTCCAAGCTCCATTCTCCCACAGTCAATCCCTGTCTTAGACTCGTGTATAAATCTAAAATTGCCGGGAAATCGAGAAGCCGTCCGGTGTTACTGATGTAGGCTTGACATTCCTCCTGTAGCCCTCCACTGGAAGTAGTAGCAGTCGCCCCATCGTTTACAAAGTTGTATAACTCGCTATTGACAGCATATATATTTGCAAAGCGGAATACATCGACTATAATGATGCAGCCGTAGTAGAGTAGTTCTGAAATACACTTCTTCGTAAGTGTATAGTCAGCATCCGCAAGCTCGGAGATGCGGCGTACGGAGTTTACACCGTCAATGAAAGGTATGATGCGCTGCATGGTTAGATCCCAGTTGCTATCCATTATCGATTCGAAGCGGACAGTCGATATTGGAACATGGTATGCCTTGACAGGTGGAGGTGGCGGGATTGCAGGGAAGAGTTTGAGGTTAATCGTATTACTCTCATCTAAAATTTCGAAAGTTAGCATCTAGTCGATTAAGCTTGGAGGGAAGGAACGTACTTATTGGGATCATGCACTCTAAGTAACTGTTTAAATCCTCCATGACCTGCTCGATTAGAGTGTATACCGAGCTTCTGGTCACCTCATTCCACAAGAATCCCATTTGTTCTTCAAGTGCTCTAAACAGCCTAGCTAACTTCTTAACAACAGGCTTATAAGAACTAAATTCCTCAGACTCATCCAAGACAATAACGAAATTGAAAATAAATTCATTTCGATCGTATTTGTCGTCCTCAAGACAGATTGGGTACCCGAGAAGGCGATAGCGATTTCGGCAAAATGTTATCAGCCGGTCACATAGTTGTTGTTTAGGGATTATGTAGTCTGATATTTCATCGAAAGAGAAGAGAGTCGGTGGCTGGGAAGGGTTATCTGAAGAGGGAGTAACGGAGTTCTCCGGGACTTGATAGAGAACGCGGGGGCCTTGGATGGATGTTATGTTAGATATGACTTTGAAAGTATTAGATTGAACAGTGCGGTGAATACCTTTATCGGCATCGAAGTAGGAGTAAAATATGCACTTAATGCTCATCTTTCTGGGTCCTTATGGAATCCGATGATGTATGCGACTGCTTCTAAGGATTCCCGGCGATATCCCCGCATGATGCCGTGGCGCACTGATTTGGGTGGTAGTGGTGCAGAGCTCAAGAGATTGACAAGGAGCTGAATGTGTTGATGTTGAGGTTGACCGTCGACGCCACATTTCATTGGAATTACCAGCCACATTCAGCCAAGCCGGCGCCACAATATCAACACGAATATTCATTCTCAGGTAGATTAACAAATATCTGGACCGGCATGTGCAGCATGTATCAACATCCCCACCATTATGACAACGAACCATGGCAACGGAAAACCGCATTGACTTAAGATTTTTCTTTTCCGATATAGGAATTATCTCATTGGCAGCCAAACGGTTATAAAACATGTCTAACACTCAAAGTTGGTCCTTTGTGGTTGCACCAATAACATGTGCGTCTCCACTATCGATTCAGATGGTCCCCTATTCGTCCCTTCAAACCCTTCTCTATCGACCGTCGTTCTCATTCTTCGTGGTGAACAACGTGGTAGATAGCATTCTTTTACCCGAATCACAAGCCATTAACGGTTCAACGTCAGGGTGCCATCGGGAAATGTTCCCCACCTAACCGTTCGACCCCGCCAAGAGATTTGGGGTTGCAGAGGAGAGTCGCAGTGGAGAAGCTATAAGGCTGACACGAAAGGCTTTCTCCAGTTGGGTGTTATGAAACTCTCCTGATGCTAACCCCGGGACCATGGCTTCAATCTAGAGAATATTCCCCCGGACGTTCGGGGCTCATAGATACGCTGAGCGGAATAGGGAAACCGCTTCAGCCTTTTTTTCAAAGATGGAATTTAGAAGGAGAATTCTTCTTCCTGGGGGGCGAAGTCCCATCTGATGTTAAGACTTCGGAACTGATCACCTCTTAAATGCTTCGTTGGGGCATACACCTTCACCTAAGCCCACTTTCTCGAAAAAATTCCGGTACTCCTTTGTTCCGCAGTTTAAGCGAGCTGAATATAGGTGGGCCACTCTCGACTTCGCGCGTCATCGGCTCTCCATAATAATCCCCCCAGGTTGTTTTATGTGTATGCCGCCCTCCGAGGAGGCTCGCCGTTTGGGTTCGGGAATCTGTGGGCTGTTAAGCCTTCAATCAGTGGTAACGGTTATTATTATTGAGGGCCCACCTGTTCGAGACATGGCTGGGAGACGAAATAATGTCAGGAATTTACCTCATTACTAAGTATCATACGATGACTACAGAATATTCTTCCACTACTGCAATCAATTCCAAAAAGTTTTTCTGTTTTGGACGAGGAATATTCTTTGCTCCTTTCTTAATCACCTTTGCCATTTCCAAGGCACTTTTTTTTCCCCACTCTAATATATACGAAGGCAAAAATGGGTGGGATCTGGGATGGCGGTAAGACTGACAGGATTCCCGTCTACCAACTAGTCAGATATCAGGTAATCGCACGTGGTGTGATTACAGCCGCATCTATGAACCTCGTCGAGCTGAGCTGAGGACTTAAGTAAGTGGAAGGAACGTAGCCTCAATGATTTGAGAAATATCGCATCCGTTGACTGCACAATCCAGCCACATGCAGGAAAAGTTTTCCGAGGCCTTGTTTGATATGGACAAAATTTAAGCAAATATTATTAACCAGCCGAAAAAATAATAATCAAATCGAAACATTCGAATTGCACACGATTGACGTCAAAAGGCGCGAATGTAAACGCCTACCAAGCTACCTATTATCCCAGAAACTTCCTTGACAGATCTTGGGCAAGGATCGATCGTCGGTAGAAATATATAAACTCGACGGCGAAATTCGACAATTGCCGCCGCAAAATATGCATAATGCACGTCGTCGTCGGTAGCAGTAACACATAGTATTGGTGATCGATAGTTAGCTTGGCTGTTTCTGGAGCTGCTTGAAACCCACTTGTTTCAATGCAAGAGGGAGAAGGCTGAGGCTTGTCGTCTATCAGGACAGTTCTCCCAGCCTGGATCCTCTTGCATGCATGGCCTTCTTCTTGCACAGTTGTACAGCACGATGGTACTTTCGATATGCCTCCATCGAGAAAGTTTTCCGCCCTAGAGAAACTCGAGAATATTACCTGCATATTTCTGTCAGGTTGATGGCATGCATCATCATGGACGTCCAGTCGTATGAGAGGCCTGAGGGAGGGTATCCCGTTCCTCGCTAGCCATGTAGCCCCTTCGCACCTGCCTGCTCCCAGGCCAAAGGGCAGCCTGTTGTAACATGAACTGGGCTGTCTTACATTAGTGGCCGTACGCCGTCCCCGTAAACAAGAACAAGCCCCCCCAAGTAAGGCTAAAGAAATGGGAAAAAGGGAAGAAGGGAAGAAAAACGCCCTGACACCCCGTTAGACCCTGGGAGTTCCTTATTCCTTATTTTCTCATGCTCTCCCTTTCTTTTCCAGTATTTTTTTTCTCAGCTCCTCAGCTTCAATACACAACCTTCGACAACTCTAGATCTCGACCATATAATCCCATTGACTAAGCAGTACGAGTGTCGATACTAAATACGGACTACGACGACTAGAAAAGGGGGATTAATTATAATTCAGGGACTTAATCCGATCGCTCAACTTGACGTTTACGACCGACCGACCACATCTCGAATTGCATAGCATCTGGCAGCGCCCCCATATTTAGATCGCCTTCTTTTTCCTTGTTTTTTTTTCTTGTAAAAAATCCTTTTACTTCACGAACGACCAAAAGTGTGTGCATTCATTAGCCTTTCGATTCGGCCTGACCGTTCTTTCAAGCCAGCTTCCCTTGCAGAACGTTACATGAGACCTCGTCCCGACCAAGATCTACGCAAACCCCCAAATACCGACGCTAGGAAGATTATTCATTCGCAGACAGAAAAGGAGGCAGACACTCGTTTGGAGAATTTGTTGTTTGGCGATACCGTAAGATAAAAGTACGAGCCTTAACTGCTAGTATACCTACATACATCCAGTAGTAGTTACTAGTAATTTGAGGGGAAGGAGAATAAGATATAGCGCGCGAAGAGATCTCGAGAAATTAAAGCACTTCGGTTCTCTCTTCGAGACTGGGTTCTCTCTTCAGCCGTTGCTTGAACAACGCGCGTCTTCGGATGACCCTCGGCGACAGAGTGTAGCCCTCAGAAACTGCTCCGCCAAACAACCATCCCGTCAACACATCCAAACTCATTCACCCGTTTTACTCATCCACCCATCCATCCATCCCACAACCCCTGGAAAAGACCGCCTCTCCACCAGTCAGGCGGGGCCACCACCTTCGCTTTTCCGGCTCTTCCATCCTTCCCAGGTTTTCGAACCACAACAAATACCCATTCTCTAGAAGGGTCTTTCCCATCAGTTGCCCAACATTCCGTTCCTAAAGGGCCACCAAAAGAAAGACTCGAACCCTCTTTTGGGGGACGCAGGATATCTTCGACACGCAGGAACAGATCTCAGACGCCCAGGGTTGATGTACTGGCCGACAACAGCATGGACCAGGGCCTTTATGGCTCTGGTCCTCTTAGAGGCTGCCATAGTCCTTACTTTCGAATGGTGAGACTTCCCCTATTAACACTGATGCCGACAGGCTGTCTTAAATTGCAGGGGCTGACGGCTAGTAGCTACATCTTCGGAAGATTCCAGGCGACGATACCTAACGGCGTTAGAGACGACCGAGGTGTTGTAACCGACAACAGAAGACCTATTACAACGTATGAATAATCAATATCCGAGTATCAAGCCTTTGTATAGTATACGCTAACGGCTCGTTCAGATATCTCACACTATTCATCTTTGCATGGCTATTCCAATTCGTTTTGGTCTATGATGCCCTCCGGCTCAAGAACACTATTCAGGTCTTCGGCCTTTGCATTTTCAACGCCCTTATGCTGCTTTACTCTGCCATTCAAATCGACCAAATTCGAGAAGCCGTAGAAACAGCATCCGGCGGAAATACTCCGGACAACCCGAACAACTATGACCCCAAAAGGCTATGGAGGGTCATCTATCCATTCCTCATCGCGATTCCCGTTGTCATTGGTGTTATCACTGCGTTCATGAGCTTTGTCGCCTGGAAGCTGCACGACGAATTTGCTTGGACGATCTATAAGCATATCTCGGCTGACCTAAGAATGAAACGCCGATATCTCATTTTCCAGATTTATATCGCTCTTTTGAAGTTCGACTTTTTCTTCTTCCTTGGGTTCACAATCCAGTTTCTGGTTATCTTACTCACCAAGAATGATATCGAGTTCATCTTGACAATCGTCGTTATTCCGGTCACGATTCTTATCCTCCTTGCTGCTTCTTGGTTCACTAGAAGGGAGAACAAGATTGGCGCCACTTTCGTCATTGTATGTTCACTAAACCTCCAACGTAACACAAGTTTTAAAACTAACTCGTATAACTTAGATTCTCTACTTCGGTGGTCTCTCCTACTTTCTGTTTAAGCTCGTCCGCATGTATCACGGCGACAAAGTCAGCTTCTACCTCATCGCACGTCGTTCCCTCACCATCTTTGCCATCATTACAGTCATTCTTCTCATCATCACCATCGGCGTGGCCATCCAGTGCATGCTCAACTTTGATAAGGGACTCAAGCAACACGTCAACCGGAGGAAACCTACGGATCCGGAAGACAAGCATCAAATGCAGGATTTCAACTCAGGGACAAACCAAATCAATCCGCCCCCACGGATGGAGATCGATTAATACGAAAGTTTTATAGTCGGATGGTGTTTCTCTTTCTAATCAGCTTTGCTTTTTTTTTTTTTTTTGCACTTGGTTTCTTGTATTTGATTTCTCACAAAAGAAGTGGCTTGGGATTCTTTTTTTATTACTTTATATCGGGCCTTGGAGGGGTTCAAGGTATTATTCATATTTATTACATATTATTACACATATTACTCGAATTGACGATGCTTCTCAGGCGGCCCAAGTTAGTACCTGCGTTTAAATGTTTTCTTTCTTTCCTATTTTGATTGGGCCTTTTGAGCGCCGGAACTATACTTTTCCTATTATACATAAACCTAGTCTTCTCTACTATCCTTCAGTGTTCTTGTCTTTGGCTCATATTACTGGGTACTCTGGCGTTCTTCCTCTTTTCCTTTCAATTTACCCCTGCTACTTGGCTTCTCTTTCAGCTCCAAGAAACAAGGCCTGGAGGAATCGATTAATCAAGACAACCATGCAAAACAGCTTTGTATGAACAACGAATAGAAGCTTCGAAAGACGCTACAGAAGCCTTGTTCTTCGATTCTCTAATGCACACAAGATTGGTATAAAAAAGTTTCCTTTGTTTCCTTTGCTTTTTCTCTCTTTCCGCTTATATTCTTTTCCAGCAGACATTGTTACCCAGTCTAGCCTCTAGCTCCTTGATACGCTAGAATGATAATGCATGTATACAACGTTAACCCTCCTCTTCAATTGCTTTTCTATGGTTTTTGTTTTGTTTTTTTTTCACTTTCTTTTCCTTCCTTTGTTCGTACCATCATGAGGGAATGTACAAAACATGACGAATGCAGAATAATATCCTTCTTTTCTGAAATCTTTAGCTGGATCTTTTTTTGTAAATGTGGTATACGTGATACCTTACCAGCAGGTCTTGATGAACACACTCCACGCCGCCCTACGCCACGCCACCCATTCCCGACGTCTCCGTGTAACATGTCCGCCGAACCCAAAACTGTCGCCATTCGAGGCCCTGGTCCCTATTGCTTCCCTGATGCCAACTCATGGGGTAAACCCCCAGTGTCGTACTGTCCAAACCCCCCACCCCCACAAATAAATCCGTTCCCTAACATATAGTATTCCGAGACAGACTTTGATAATATATAATTCCAACCCAACAAAACCAAACAACCCACCAAGTATACCTAGAGTTACTCAACCACCACTACGGTTTCCACTAGCACCACTCCCCGGTATCCCAACACCCGCTGCCGCTGCCAAAGCCGCTGCTGCGGGGCTACCACTTGTTAGACTTGATACGCCTAATCCCATGATTGTATTTGACCCTGGAGTTGTGGAATTCGTTGATGCTGTGTTATTATTGTGATTATTTATGGCTTTTTGTTTACTTAGTTGGATGAATAATCTGCTGACACGGCCTTGGATAGCGTGAAGTTGTGCTGTTATTTGAAAAGTATTGTTAGTGGTAAATTGAGGGTAAGGAGAGGTATGTATATTCGAATGCAGTTGTATAGAGACTTACTATTAACAGCGTTTAATCTCTTCCCCACGCTTGCGAGTTTTACAATTGTAGGTTTTAGAAGTGGTGGGTCGGTGGTTTCGAGGTAGTGATTTAGTTCTATACATTTTACACAGTTATTCCCCGGGTTAATTTAATGTTTGAGAGGTTTTATTTTTATTCGATTATAGCTGAATAAATAAAATAAGATAAAAGAAAATAGATTTAGGTTTATAAAAACATACGAGAAATTAAGCGTTCTAGCTCTTCGGCCAGTGCGATCTGTGATTGATGTACTATCCATAGTTTTTCAGTCGTTTGTCGGATTGTCGGATCGAATAGCGTGCGTAGACCTGAAGCGAGCGGATCGCCTGCGCGGGGTGGAGATGGAGAGAGGTTTCCGGACAGTGAAGGCGGGGAACCGGCGAGGGAAGTTGAAGCTGACATTCTTGGATTTCCCTTATGTGGGTTTTATGTATGTAGAAGGGTGTGAAGAGTGGACAATCAATGGAGTGGGCTGAGAAGATGGGGTGGTGCTGGTGGGTTGAGGCGAGGTTGAAGATTGAAGGTTGGAGGTTGGATGTTACACAGATGGTGGGAAACCCACGCCTGCTTATTAGACCCTGGCGCGGTATCACGATTGTTAATGATGGACGTGTTGGATATTGGAGGCAACGCACATTTCGATCTGCGTATGCTCATGTACATGTACATGTATGGCTCCCATGTGGCATTGGAGAACTGTTGGTTACCTACTTATTCCGATGCGCTAAAGTTGTTAACAGCAGATTATCATGTTACATATCTGTTTCTTAGTTATCCCTGATTCGTAAATATCATTTTCCTATAGGCAAGCGTTCAAAAAATAGTTAAAATGTCCTAGAATATTTATATTTATTTGCATTAGTTTCGCAGGATAAGTCGCCGACAATATTGATTAATTCTCAGACTCGAGGCTGGCTTTTGACGAAATATGCTTCACCGCCGTTGCAAGAATCCATTTTAGTTACCCCTAAGCCTAGCCTTGATTGAACTTTCTGAAAGATTGAATTGAGTGGGATATTCCCAAAATACTTCGGTGTAAGAATTAATAAATACCTAGGCCACTTGATACGCCAATAATTACTATGATACTCCAAAATCAAGTCTGATAGTTTCCCATATCTTTGCGACTAGCAGAAATAACCCATCCAAATTTATATATATATTAGTATATACTTTACTAAAGGGAGAATGAATATAAAATAGATCAAAGTTCATACAATTAGGAAGTTATGCGCACCTAACGGGTAGGAATCTCGTCTGCCCTGTGAGCCTCCACTTTCAGTATTGTCGGAACAGGTTCAAGTGAGGCCGGAAAAATCACTACTGCGTACAGAGTTCCTACAGGAACTAGTGATGGTCAATCAAATGGATGGTTGTATGAAGTAGAGTTAATGAATGGTACGTACCCAACTTATATCTCCGCTCTACTAGATAACGAGGCGACTGGATCACTAACTCAAAATTATTTTAATTCTGATGAAAAGGTTAAGCGAGTCAAAGAGAACCCAATTAGCTAAGGTAGTCCTCGAACTCTTCAATTAATCCCGACTCGCAGTATTCTACTAGAAGCCAAGTGGCTCAGCTCAGTCTCAAGGTTCCCGTTACGTTGTCGACATGTCTGGCAAAACAAGGATAAAATCATATGATCATCAGTTACAAGAGTATGTCTGATCAAGCCTGCAAGCCGGCGGTGAGTATATATATACCTCAAACGTTACTTTCTTACTCCAAAACGCACCCCTTTGCTAATATTGATCCATTCAAGATTCACTTCCCATCCCCGCTACCGAGAACGCAAAAGGCACAACAATCGCTGCCTGCGCTCTTGGAGGCCTTTATCTCCTATGTCGGCAGGACTCTGTTACAAGATGATAAGGTTGTCTCGTACCCAGACCTGGAAGATGATAAGGAGGAATACTTGTATCTTGTCAGCCCTAAGATTAATCGCGAGACGCCGAAAGAATCACGTTTAATGTTGAGGTTGCCGACAAGGTATTCATTAGTATCGTGCCTCGCTCATCTGAGAACGAGGACCGAGAGGGGCCGTATGACACCGTCGTCCTCTGTGTTAATACTGCAGACGACACTATCTGGTAGCCAAACACATCCACGAAACCGATATTCCGGCTAAGAAATAAATTAACCGGAAATATAGTTAATTGCTGCTATAGCAAATATGATGGTGGATTTAAAGATAGCAGTTGGTACTGATGATTACGCCGGGAATGGGCAAAAAGCAGTTTTTGTTATCTATTTTCTGTTCTTCTCCACAATTATTTGTATAATTGTGGTTATATAGAACCCCCGTTACCTTTCATTTTGAAGCCAATTCATCTAAGTATTCCATGTATATATATATCCTTCAGCACCAGAAACATGTATCTGATGTTATCTCGTAAACCAGAACTAAAACCGCTGCGCAGCAGCATCTCATCTTAAGATCTTACTTTTTGTGAACTTATATTTTATTTACCGCAAGAATCTTAATCACATTCGTTAAAATTTATTGTTCCCAAACCTTTTTATCCATCATCAAGGATTGATTACTCCGAAGCAACTTAAGTTATAAAGATATATAGCCCCATAGCTGAGTTTCTTCAATAATTAACACTAAAGAGTCTCGGTTCCTAATCGTTCTTTTTCTAACAGTACCTCCCTAAGTACGAGAACGAATATATAGCCTTCAATATCAATTAGTCTTCAAGATACATCAATCTCGGTCAAATCTGCCCCGAGAACAATATATATACATGCAGATTCTACAAAGATATCCGTCACAACCCCGCTTCAACATAACACCGGCGTTCAAGCCAAGGAACGAAACTAGGGCAATTGAACCAAATGCATCCCTTAAAAGAGGGGGCTATATGCAATCATTCTGTACTAGGGTCTACTCCACTATATACGCAAAATTTAAAACGCAAGGGCAGATATCTAACCCAGCTAGTTAGTATAAAATAGAACAGAATTCACTACCTACAAGCCCCATAACTACATAACTTTAATAACCCCCCCCTCTATACCCGCCCTCCCAAAAAAAAAAGAAAAGAAAAAGAAAATCTTGTAGATATGTAGCTACCCATGTATATAGCCCCACATTCGCATTCCTTACATCCCTCTGCAAGATGTGTACTATTCATGCATGCAAGGTACTAGTACTTCCCAAACCCGGCAAGATTTCCGAAAAAATTATATAATTGATAGATCTAGATCTAGATCTACTAAGAAACTGAAAGATCTAGAATTATAAAGGCGCGGGTATATGCATTGCTTCTTTAACTTGCTACCCCTGGGATCCTTCGTTCACAAAGGGGGGTCGCAAAAGTGCTTACTAATATGTAGGTAGGAGGCGGAAGAAATTTATCTTCGTTTTTGTTCTTTATTGACTACATACATCTCGTGCCTCCCTGGGGAAAAATAATATGGAGGTAGTAACTAAATGGCACCTTCAATCAAAGAGCCGCGGAAAACTTCAGGGAAAAAAAAGAAACATCCCAAACACCAATGTACGGGGTTCTAGTGTATCCGGGGGAAGGGGAAGTGCGGGGTTAATGCTATACCTATACTCAATCAACCGTAGTCGCCCATGCAAAGGGTATTTCCAAAATCCTTTGTTTTCGTTTTGAATTCATTTTCTTTCCCCATTAACTTCAATCGATCAAATAATGCTTCTGTTGACCCCATAACCCCCTACTACCTGACCTTTCCCTTTTCAAAAAAAAAAAAAACATCCCTCTAGATCTCATCCTTCTTTCTCAGAATTACGTATTACCATCCTACCCTAGAAGCCCTTTTGACCCACACCCACACCCACAAAAGTACAACCAACTACATCACATAAACATCTAAAAGAAAAGAAAAGAAACCACCCCATAACTCCAGTTAATAGAATTAGATAAAGATAGTAATTCATATAAAAAGGAAAAAAGAAGAGGAGGAAAAAAAAAAAAAGAATAGAATATTCGTGTGTACCAACTTCGCGCTACCTCCCCCTTTCTCTCTCTCTCTCTCTCTCTCTCAAACACACACACACACCCCTCTCTCTCTTTCTTCCACTCCCAGAATCATCACCATGCTATTGTATAGATGCAAATCCACAAATTCGCTTCTATCCCGACCTCCACCACTAAGAGAATGATAGCACCTTCACTGCTGACCTCTGGCTGAAGATTAGACCCGATCCCTTCCAATACCTGCATACCCACCAAACAGAAGCCACAGAAACCCCCGCCGCCGGCTGTCTCCTGCTTCAGTCAACAATAATGATAATAATAATAGTAATAATAATAAGGATAAGGATAGGGATAATGATAAGGATAATCATGATAGTAATGATAGAGTAATAAAAGAAGGGGGGGGTGGAAATAAAAATAAACAAACCAATAAAACCCAACTGCACCGCTGCTTATACGACCGCTATAACGGCCGTTAACATTCGATTAAATCAGAGAAGAAGAAAAAGGAACCTGGAGAAGAAAGGATAGAGAAAAAGAAAAGACCCCCAATCCCGATGAAAAGAAAACCGAAAAGAAAGAAGGAGGGGTAAAAGGATAATAATATGGCACACTGGTACACCTAAATATGAAAGATTTTTTTTGCAAAACAACCTATAGCAAGTCTCATCCCCAGAGACTGTGAAAGCAAAACGAGGAGAAAAAGACGCGCAAAAGTGCTACCGAGAGTTATAACCAGCCCTTGCGATTCAAGCTGCTGTTATAGTAAAACAAGTCGAGAAAATCATTAAATAATAACCGTAAACGTCCGAGATTTTGTTGGTACAGTAGTTTTCGTGGGCAGGTCGAGGAGTCAGAAGGGTCAGTCTAGCGGGCCGGGGCTGTCGTCGCTGTGCACACTCGAACGGCGAAGAGCAGACGCTAGTTCGAAGCCGATCTCATTGCCGTCGCCCTAAGCGCATCTAGGGCGAGAAGCGTCTTAAAAGCGTGTTCAACGGAGGTCCATGAGAGGGACCGAGCTATGAACGTCAAATCATTCCATGGTTTTGCGACAATGACGGTACCGGTGGTGCGTGGTGCATTGACGGACCGGAGACGGAGTTCCGCTTCTTCTCTTTTCTGCGAAATTATTAGTATTCTAATCGAGTATGGTGTTTGTGTAGGGTACGCATTTCTGGAAGGCACTTACTTTGCCCATCGTAATCCACACGCATTACACAGCCTTTACCTGAAAGTTAGCCTTGGAATGTTCGCATGTGCTAAGGGATTGAAATATTATATCTCACGTTTTTGGCCCCGTCGGCCCCTTCCTCCATTCAGGACTGTCCAACGTCCCACAATCCGTGCACACGTATTCATTAGAGACTTTAATCTTTTTCTTCCTCTCTCCACTGCCTCTGCTCTCTCTATCTGTCGAAATGGGTACGCCAGCGTCTCCTCTGATCAGACTGGGTGATGTATCGCCTGTGCTTATCCCTCTGGATCGTTCCCCTTCGTTATATCGTAGTCCCGTTAACATTTCAATTGCGTCTGTGTGGGTTACGCCTTCGTATCTTGCCATCTTGTCGCGAAGAGAATCGGAGCGTAGTGCTGAGTTATTGAGACCTTCCAAATTTTGGCGAGTAAGTTGCCCGGGCATCGCAGGAGGTGGCATTGATTTCGAAGCGAGAGCACCAACAACAGTGGCAGGGTTGCCATCTGCAGAGCCTTCTAAAACGGATGTTAGAGATGGGTATGGGATAGAGGGAGGTCGTGGCAGGGCGGTCGGTGAAACCTGCAGCCGTGTGGAACTTGTAGAAGTCGAAGCATTATCAGCATGGTGATTAGTGGCATTACCTGCATTCAAAGCAGCTGCGACTGCAGCGGCAGCTTCACTTCTGGCACGAGCCTGTGCAGCTTGTTCTTCTTGCTCTTCGAGTTTTAGCTCGGCTATTCGTCTTTTTAGGCGTTCGTTCTCAATTTTGTGTTCCAGAAAGGAGTCAAGAAGGGCGACATTTTTAGTTGGGTAAAGACGAGCCATCATGAAAAAACCGGAGCAAACAGGGGTAGTAGTGTTGGAAGGAAGCTGACGTTGGTCAGAGAAGTGAGGGTGCCCATTTGATTCGAAGATAGCATAAGTGTCATCTTTTCGGCGAAATCGGAAGAAGATGCGGAGAGGTTGGGCGGAAGCGATGGCCTCGTTGAACTCCCGGATGAATCTTATTCATTATCAGACGTCCATCAGCCTCTCGACAAATTTTGTTTTTTTGGGTGATGATGGCATTTTGAGAGACCATATGGGTGCAAGGGAGAGAGAGAAGACTTACATGTGAGAGTCATCGATGTGAACAAACTCGGTGATCATACGACCGAGAAGTTCGTCGGTGGTGAAACCAGTGATATGTTTGGTGTTTGGAGAGGTGTAGCGTATTTTACCGCTCGGGGTGAGGATGCAGAGGAGGTCCTGAAGTTCCTCGATGATACGCTGTGACCAGTTCCGGCGCTTGGTGAACTCGGTGAGGGTGCTGCTGCCATGGCCACCACCGCCAGCACCGTTCGTATGGTTAATACTGGTACCTGCCACTCCTACTAGTCCGGTTCTTGTTCCTATTCCTGCTCCTGTTCCAGTTCCAGTTCCAGCTCCAGCTCCACCGGGACCGGGGACGACTAGATAAAACGATTGATAATGTTGTTAATATTTATTTTTTGATGCAAAGGTTTTTTTAAGAAGATCAGACGGGGACGGAAAGGAAAGGACGGGATAGGAAAAGTGATTGAAGGCAGGATGAGTTTTGAGAATACCAGAGTCGATTTGCATTTCCATGTCGAAATGCAGAGGGAGATAAGGGATGCTGTCCCGGCGCTTTTTAGAATTGGCATTAATATTTCGCTGCGGGAGTGCTAGCGAGCCCTGCTGGGGCTGCTGATGGGCTGACTGGGGCTGTTGGGTCGTCTGCTGGGCCTGAGCTAGGTGAAGGACCGGGGAGGTTGCCAAGATGGGTTCCAGAGCCTCACCCATGGTCAGCACCGACCGTCGCCTGATAGGTTTATCCAAGGGCACAGTCATTGGTGAGACCGGACTGAAGGGACTGGAATAGGCCTGGCTGATATGATTGACCTGACTAACCAGAGGACTATTCGAAGCGGAGGATGACGACAAAGATATACTCGCTCCTAGTCCCGACCCCGATCCTTTTGGCAGAGACGATGCCGCTGGCGTATTTGACTGAGAGTAAAGCACGTTCTGAAAGTCAATATAAGGGCTGTGGGAACTGTTCTGTTGGTGATGGTGGTACAGATGAGCCAACTGGGTTTGCAGCGACTGAGCACCGGTTTCGACCTGCAACTGCAGCAGCTTCCTCTTGTTGTCCTCCTGACGGTTCATATTAATCCCTGCTGCTGCCGTTGCTGCCGCCGCCGACGACGATTGGGTTCTGCTGTCTACCCTGTCCATGGTTAAGTACTTGGTATATATGGAAGTATACGGATACTTTAAAGCTTTTGTATCATATATAAAAAGACTTTTTATATATCCAAAATCTTCCTTTTCCCTGAACCTCGGCAGTATACTACTACACTATGAAGTATACCTATACCTAGCACCGTATAATATAGTATGGTATGGTATGGTATGGTATGGTATAGTGCAGTGCAGTATAGTATAGTTTTTATGCAAGGAGGATATTCAGGGCCAGCGCCACAGATCCTGGCTGCCGGGTGGCTTGACTCTCCAGCCAGCCGGGTTTGCTTCGCCGTTGCTTTACTCCTACCTTACCTGCAGGGTAACCGCCGGTGGAGAAAAGAAAGCGAAGCAGAAGGCCACAGCACGCGAGATGGGGGGAAGAGATTCAGTCCAGTCCAGTCCAGTCCGGTCCGGTCCAGTCGGGTCCAGTCGGGTCTAGCTATTAGTTTCAGCAATGACGGCAGTACTGGAAGTCAGTCAGTACAAGCACCGCACAGCTCAGCACAGCTCAGCTCAGCTCAGGGCCAGGCCAGGCAGGCCAGGCAGGCAAGCAGGCAAGCGGACAGGGCGGGAAGACAGGGCCCAGGCAGGATAAATTTGTTTTTTATGCTTGTCTGAGAGAACGTAAAAAATTCTGCGAGATACCTCTTCAGTATCGGGGAAAGTTGCTGTCTGAATGGGAATGCGGAAATGCGATAACTGCGGGGAGATCGAGGTTTGTAGTCTTCATCGACGTTTTCCGCTTTTGTTTGGCGTTACTTTGTGCCAGGCCCCCTTGCCACTTGTTCCAATAGGGAACCGCCCAGCCACTAAATTCGTGACGTTTTGATCTGGGAATTTAATGCTGTCAATGCCCACAAGATTAGACCAAGCTCAGGAATATAAAAATTCTCGAAAAACCGATGGGAATGTTATGTTGGAGGTCTCTTTCGGAATAAATTTTTGCGGATTTTTTTCTAGGATTTTTGGTATTTGTTATATATAAAAAAAGGGGACAGCGAGCGTATAATGTGACCGAGGAGACTACTTAGTCTAGCTCTTGTTGAATCTGGACGTCTTCTCCTTACTAGATCATATTAATATAATATGAGTCTGCCCCACTTACCTACTTACTTACTAAGTAGCTAAGTACTTAGTAGGTTAGAAGTACATAAGCAAGTATATACTTCGTTAGACTCCGTAGACTTGACCCTTTCTCGTTCCTCTTGTTATTGTTCTTGCTCTTCCTCTTCAACTCCCTTCTTCCTTCTTCGGACTTAAACCGAACCGGGCTGAGCTATCGCCGCACAGCCGGCGGCAAGTCTCAGGTCGTACGTTTGTTCTGTGTCCTTTTCCCATTCTGTCGCACATATGTCGCCTTCTAGCAAGTCTGGTCGCGAACTTGATAGTAGTTGTCAATTGGCTGAGTGGTGTCGTGAAGATTTAATAATTTGCAATCGTTGTTCTGGTGCCGGTTGAAGTCGAATTCATATTTTCTCGAGCGATCTAGAGAGCTCTTCTCCTTTCATATGCATGCACATACAGAGATATTTTAAATTTATATAATATATCAAGAATTCGAATTCAAAAAATTTTAAAAAAGAGAGAGATTCTGTCCATTCACAAGACAGAATTTATTTCAATCAGATAATTTTACATACCCTCACATACCTTATATATGCAGCCTGCCAGAAAACCCTTTGGAATCTTAGGGGCGGCATGGACCACGAATACATTTTCCCTGACAATCGCCACAATTGCTGTGTTTTCTTCGATCTTTGCGCGGGTGCGACTCAAAGAGCAAGGCCTTTTGGATCGAACTTCCCCTTTGCTTTTTTAATTCGCGTGGCGTTCTCCCCTTGCGCATCTTATATGGTACTTTTTACATGTCCAAGAATTAACCGTCCGATAGTTATATATTATATTAGTTGCTTGATTACCAATATAAATAGCATATTATACTTAAATAGTTATATTCGATGATGACCTATCCCCGTTAAGGCCGGGGAGGGCCCATGTAGGAGTTCTAAGTTTTATGCTACTGGAATGCTATCATGCATTGCATCCATGAATCAGCTCAGTCACGAAGTCGAATAATCCGGAGACAAAGAACAACGCCACAAGGTGTTGATGTGTTGCACCGCCACGGCGTGACTTCGCGACCTCATGTCTTGGCGTCGCGTGGGAAGCTTCTGAGTCGCACGGCTTCACGCTCCTCAAACCCCACACATCGACATCGCACATCTACAGCTAGCTTCCTCATCTCGTTCCTATTACCCACTGTTCAATGCTGAACTAGGTCTTCATATACTATTATTATCTAGTATAATTATAGTGCTCACAATGTAAGCTTCTCTTTTGGTCATTCCTCTACTGTACCTCTTGTAGATTCCTAATAAACAGCTATACATTTGCGTTCCTAGGTGTATGTCCGAATGAACTCAGCAAGCCTCGCGTGTATAAAATCCTATATACTGACATGTACACCGACCACCAGCGAAAATCGACAAACTCGCCATATTAGGGTACGTTCTACTCTCCTACCTATAGGTTACATGTTTAACTCAGTCTCAGGCAACGTACTAATTGATCCATAGCATCCGGTCCTTCGACAATACCCGTCAGGAAACCATCGCCTTCCACACCCCTCTCACCCTCATCGTCGGCTACAATGGCTCCGGAAAAACGGTACTCCGATATCCTCTTCCATACTTCATCGTTAGATATATTTAAATGATCGAAAGCTCATAATGTCATTTAAAATTAATAGACAATCATCGAATGCCTCAAATACGCCACAACCGGTGACTTACCTCCCAATTCCAAAAATGGCGCCTTTATTCACGATCCCAAAATCTGTGGCGAGAAGGAAGTTATGGCCCAGGTGAAACTTTCATTCGTAAATACCAACGGTGCAAGAATGGTTTGCACTCGTTCTCTGCAACTCTCTGTGAAGAAGACAGCGAGAACGCAGAAAACACTGGACGGACAGTTACTCATGATTAAAGATAATCAACGGAGTACTGTTAGTACCAAATGTGTCGAATTGGATAGCATGTTGCCGAATTTTTTGGGTGTCAGCAGGAGTATTCTTGATAATGTCATCTTTTGTCATCAGGAGGAAAGTATGTGGCCGCTCAGCGAAGCTTCTGTCCTCAAAAAGAAGTTTGATGAAATCTTCGAGGCACAGAAGTATACCAAGGCCATCGACAATATCAAAACTCTGCGAAAAAAGCAGGCTGAGGAAATTAAACGACTGAATCTTTTGCAAGACCAATTCAAAGTCGACAAAGAGAGGGCAGAAAGGGTACTTATTCCCTCTTACCATAAACCGACCCCAGATCAGAAGACTAATAAATGTTTACACACAGGCAGAGAAAAAAACCAAGCAAATATCTTCCGAAATTGAAAACCTTCGTGAACAGCGTGAAGAACTCAGCCGCGAGATCTCGAAAATTCGTGAGGAAATTGAGGTCCTCTGGCAAACTACCGCCAGTTTTGAAAAGGATATTGCAGTCTTGACCACGAAGCGCAGCGACCATCAGCGTATATCGGAGCTCATCGACGATCTACAAGATGACATTGACCTTCTACCAGACTCCGACGAAGCATTGGAAGACAGACTTGCGAACTTCAAAGATGAAATGGACAAATTTGAAGCTAAAATAACAGATAAAGAGAGGCATAAGATAGAGATTAAGGAAGAACAGGGGCGACTGAGAGTCAAATTAAACAAAAAGGCCGATCAAAAGGGTACTCTTCAAGCAAGGAAGGAGCACTACGAGGATCAACTCATGAATCGTGAGAATATGATCAAAGAAGCCAGTGCCCTCCATGAAATCCGTGGTTTCAGCGCGGGTGACCTCGATGACCGTCAAGTCGCAGACTTCATGAGAAAGCTAGAGCAACTGACTCGTGAGCAATCCGGGACCTATGAGCGCGCAAAGGTAAAATACTTCCATCATAGGACTTTACATATGACGCTCTTGCTAATATCATACACAGAGAGAGGGCAAAGAAGAACAACTGCAAGCCTCCAACGCCCTAAACACCTTAAACCAGAAGCTTCTCTCCCTTGAGCAAACCAAACGCTTCGCCACCACCGAAATCGACCGTCTCAACTCAGAGCTCCGCGCCCTCCAAAAGGGCCTCGACCGCCTACAAGTCGACGAGGGCCGAATCACCCGTCTGGAAATCGAAGTTAGCGATGGAAACTCCAAAGTCTCGGAAATGAACACACTCTACGAACACCAGCAATGGGACAAACAAATCCAAACGAAAGATTCAGAAATACGAGAAGTAGAAGCTAGCATCGCCCGTGAAACGAAGGAGTTGACCAAGGGAACTGCGGAGGCAGACTCGAAAGCCAAACTTTCGATTCTACAAAAGGAAGTAGAAACGAAGACAACGGCACAGGAAGCTCTTATTCTTACGAATACGGATAAATTCGATCGTTTACTTTCGAAATGGACAATTGAAACTTTGGACGATGATTATCACGAAACCCTCGAAGAGCGCGAAGATGAAGTCTCAAAGGCTGAAAAACTACTTGCGTCTAGTAACGCGGAGCTTACACAGGCCGAGTCCCAATTGAAAACCCAGCGGGATCTACTTAGACAGAAGACGCAAGAATTTGAGCGTGCGAGCGGTCTTGTTGCAAGGGCGATGGATAGAGCTTCTTTCGAAGAATGCATCGATTTTCCAGCCTACATCAAAAACAAAGAGGAAGACCTCGAAAACGCCCAGCGTGATCGAGCGATGGTTGAACAAATCCGCAGCTTCTACGACAAGGCCTTAAAAATGGCGAGGGAGAAACAGTGCTGCAGGATGTGTAAACGTTCATACGCTGATCAAGAGAGTCTCGACGAGTTTATGGCTCGGCTGGAAAAGGATCTCCAGAAACAGAAAATCGATCTAATCGATGCGGAGATTGCGAACTGCTCTGAGGACTTGAAAATTTTGAACAGTGTGAGGTTGGAATTTGATATTGCGTCGCGGTTGAAGGACCACGATGTTCCACTTCTAAACAACGAATTGGGGAGACTAGAGAAGAAGCATGAGACTTTACTCGCTAGTTATGAAACGGTGTGTATCAAATATCTCCCGTAACCTATTATTATATATTACTAACACCTAGAATAGCGCAAAAAAGAAGTCGAAACCAAAAAGGTCGTCAGGAGTGAGATCCTCTCCCTCCGAAACCCTGTCTCCGAAATACAAAATTACGCGAAGGACATCCGCGAGAACCAACTACAAATCACGAGCCTGACAAAACGTCTGGAAGCAATGGGATCCTCTCGCTCAGTAGCCGACATCCAAAAAGCACTCCAAAGTCTTAACTCACAGGCGGGAGAATTAAAGCAAAAGAGGGACGCATTATGGAGTGACAAAGAAGCCGCAAGGACAGAACTTGCGGTTGCGGAACGGCAAGTGCAGGAGGTTACTAATCAATTGATTTCCGCGCGACATGAGCTTGAAAAGAAACAGACCCAAGCCAAACGATTGGCCGACTGTAAGGAATCTATCGGGCAGAGGGAAGGGCATATCAGAGATGCCGAGGAGGAAGCGAGGGGTGTCCAACCGCAGATTATCAAAGCCAAGGCACGAGAAGCGGAGGTCAGGATGAAATGGGAAGAAAATGAACAGACCTTAAAACGGATAGCAGATAAATCTTCAGACACGCTAAGGGGATTGCACGCAATTCAACGCGGGATAGTGCAATATGAAAGCGGGGATACTGTCGAGACGCTTGAGAATTTGGTGAGGGAGAGTAGAGAGCTTGAAGGGCGTATTCTAGGACTAGATGAGCGACTTGTTGTTTCTGAGAGAGAATTGGTGGAACTGAGAGCTCAGAGGGGACAGGCAGATGGGTTCAAGAGGAGCATTACAGATAACATTAGGCTTAGGAAGAATAAGAGAGAGCTTGGGGGACTAGAAGGGGAGATCAGAGAGCTTGAGGCGAAGAATGCAGAGCAGCAGAGGGATCGGTTCAAGATGGACGTGGAGAAGTTGCAGAGACGGCACGATGGGTTGGTTATGGACGTAAGTTGTTCCCCATGTCAAGTTGGTTGGTTGGTCGGGTGGTTGGGTTGTAGGCGGTTAGCTAACAGGTATTTGGGGACGTTTCCAACAGAGAACCGGCAAAGGCGCTACGATCAAATCGCTAGACACACAATTAACGGAAATCCTAAAGGAGTATGAAATCGACTTTAAGGATGCCAAGAAGAATTTCCATGAAGGTCAGATTAGGTTGCAGACTACCACTGTTGCAAACGAGGATTTGGGAACTTATCAGATGGCGTTGGATAAGTACGTTCTCCGGTCACTAAGGATTCAAAAAAAAAAAATGATTAAAAGTGATTAACACGGTGGTATTAGGGCGGTGATGAAGTATCATTCACTGAAAATGGAGGAAGTGAATCGTATCATCGATGATCTATGGAAGAAGACATATAAAGGAACAGATGTCGATACGATCCTTATACGTTCTGAACAAGAAAATGCGAAGGGAAATCGACTCTACAATTACAGAGTACGAATCTCTTTCCGAGATGAAGTAAGCAGATACAAAGGCTAATAAGCAAAAAAATAGGTCTGCATGTTAAAGCAAGATGCCGAACTCGACATGCGTGGGCGCTGTAGCGCAGGTCAAAAGGTGTTAGCCAGTATAATCATCCGTCTAGCTCTCGCCGAATGCTTCGGTACCAACTGTGGACTGATCGCGCTCGACGAGCCGACCACAAACCTCGACCGCGATAATTCAAGAGCTTTAGCTCAGAGTTTGCACGATATCATCAATTATCGCCAAGCACAGAAGAACTTCCAGTTAATTGTTATTACACACGATGAAGACTTTTTGAGAGATATGAAGTGTAACCAGTTTACGGAGTATTATTATCGGGTGTCGAGGAATGAAAGGCAGAAGAGCCAGATTCATCGGCAGAGTATTGCTGAGGTTAGTTTTTCTTTTCTTTTCCATTTCCCTTTTCCTTTTCCTTTACTTGTTGGCCTTTCTTCTCGCTACCCCGGACTTTTTGAGGTTCCGGGTTACCTTGTTCGTTGAGTGGTTTTTTACCCCGCGTTTTGTTGAATGTTGGAGGAAGGAGTTGTATACAAAACAATAGAGGTTGCTAACGGCTTTTTTGTTCTGTGATGGGCAGGTGGATAAATAAAACGGCTTGTGACCTTTCAAGGGAGTTGTTGGTGGAACGTTGGACGATGAATAAGGTTTTGATACCTGGATGGACATTTACAATACTGGGAAGGACATTGACTTAGCTCCTGGGCCCGTACCAGTCGAGGTTGTGCTCTTTGGAAGGGTTGCTTGATACATGTCGTTTTTTTTTTTTTTTTAGCATTTCATTGCTTTAGATACCTGTTTTAATTGTTGTATTTTCGAATATTGAATCGAACCAGGAAGGTTGGACCTTTTGAGACTTTAAGACGATTCAGGTATTGGAGTGGCTCTTTTCCTATATTACGTAAGGAGGTTGTTTGGTTCTGGAAGTTCGTATCTTTGTTAACCCTGACTGAGCACTAGAGGGTATACATGGGCACAGGTAAGTAAGTACTTACTTATTTATTTATTAAAGGGGGCTGGATGTAATACTTTGTAATTACAATTTGGTATCTGAGATATATCCCAGATTCGAGGCGAGGTTACGTAGGTATAATACCGCAGACCACTACGTATACTAGTCGGTGTGAATTGATGAACTGAAACTCTTCAAATGAAAATGAATATTCTTGATAACGATTAGCCTCATTGCCAGATAATTATACACCAATGCGAATAAAAGAGAATTCAAATTGATGATTAATTCGGTGTCATGATCATATGAATGTCGGGCTTCATTGTTTCGAAACATATGCGTAACTAGTCTTTCTTATGCCGTCTCATTGAATTCGAAGGCAAGCCTGGGGTTACACAAAGGCGAATCAACCTCGAATTTAAATCTTTTTCACGATCTTTTCCCTTCACCATTCCCGTATAATGCATCAAATTCCAGTTACGGGAGGATAGATAATTCTCAAACCACCGTTGCATTGCATACAGCTCAATCGATCCCAGGTAATCATTCCCGACAAGCAAAGCCCTCATTGAACCTGTTAAATATTTAAAATCCTGAAGAATCGTTCATGACCAAGCTTAAGGCCAAGGCGAGGAAATGGGAAACTGCATGGGAAACAGGCGCTTATCACCCGAGTGGAGAACTCCATATCTTGCCAAATCCTTTTTTTTCTTTACCCGGCGGGCGCGAGTTTATCGCATTCATGAGCTTGAAGAACTTTGCGGCTTAAAGAATCCATCACCATTGGCTAACCGCCCTGCTATATATAAATTTGGAGCGGGACGGTTGAAAATATATTAAGACTAACATGGATGCCAATGCTCCCCGTGCCACAACCGTGCAGAATTTCGCTACCCAGCTGTGTTGAGAGCTCGTACCAATTGACGATTCCAAGAAAACGCCACCGAGAATCGAAACCGTCAGCTTCTTCTTCTTCATCGTCAAATGGATCTTTTTTTGATTCGGAAAAAAGGGGAGGAGGAAGGAGAGAACGAAGAATATTTAATGGACCTGTTGTAGGCTTTCGTGAAGATAACTTTCGTTCTGGTTTTTTTTTTCCCTTCCAGCGCGCACGATCTTCGCGACATTTTGAAAGCCTCGAGCACGCCAGCGGATAATCGCAGGATTGGGATACAGAAACGTACCTCATAGACACCGCGAACATCAACGTACGCGAGTACTCTTCGATTCTTATATCTCATATCTTATATATATCCATACTGTGGAAATCTTCCACGGCGCCACCCGAAACCAAAGGTCGATATAAGGGACAAATTGTACAAAATGCGACACCTCATCAGCCTCTCCCTCCTCCTCTCCCCTCTGCTTACCACCGCCCAGACCCTCCCCCCTTACAAATGTTTATATGAAGGCTCCGTCCCAGGCTGCGTTCAATTTGGAGTCATAGCGGCCACAGACTGCGCCCGCCTCGCTCCTACCTACCCTCGCACAACTAACGCACGATTCTTAGCCTGCGTTTGCAGCAATAATAGAGCCTGGGTTCAATTTGCAGGCACCCTTCTATCGTGCATCGGTAGCGAATGTCCGGATATAACCAGACAAAAGCTGACTGATGATATTACTGCTTTGTGTGATGGACAGAGTGGTGGTGGTGTCGGAACTTCTAGTCGTCTTTCTGCGACAACGACGGTGACGGTGGATGTTTCAACGAGCGAGCCTACGAGAGGGACTGCTACGGAAGAGACATCTACAGAAGCGACCTCTACCGATCAATTATTCACTGCTGGTCCCATAATACCTGGTGGTACTCCGACCAGACTGTCCACGGAAGAGACATCTACAGAAGCGACCTCTACTGATCAACCAGCTACTATTATTCCCATAATACCTGGTTATTCTACTGGGGACTACACGGAGGTGCCTGTAACTTCAGTACAAGAACCAGCTATTTATTCTACTTTGACTACTACTACGGAGCTTTCGAGTACTACGAGTGGACTGTTCTCGGTAGACCCTATATTTTCATCAGGAACTACATCGGTCATAAATAGCACCAGTGTTGTTGGTGAGCCGACTAGCCGTACCACTGGAGGACCTCCGTCGGTCTCGACGAGTGCTACTGCTGGTGCTATGATGATTACTGGGCCTGGAGGGGTTTGGACGGTTGTGGGAGGAGCTGTGCTTTTGATTGCTGGTATGGCTTTGGAATTTTAGGTTTATTTTATATATAATGTGTATTACCCATTTTAAAGGAGGAATTTAGCTAGGCTTCAGTTATCGATTCGAGAGTTTACATTCTTAAATGAGCAGTAGTCAATAATATAGAAATGTACGGATCTATGTATTAATTGAGCAAACTAATCATGGGTTCCCTTTTTAATTGAAATTAATTGCACTTAATGTAGATTATAATCGATTATATCTCTGCTTCAAGAGTTTCAAGAATAGTTTTCCCGGTCAAGGTTTTATTGATTCAAGAATATGGTGAAATTCGAAACGGACGGAATTCAATCTAGAAAATTTTTAAACCCGCATTCCAAAGATATTAGATAGCCATGTGGTATTTTAGAATTAGCTGGCGTTGCAGATTTGCATTCTTACTGGGATCATAACCAGTTAGAAGGTCAAGTACTTTACGATCCTGCCCTGTAAGAACTCGAGCCGGCACAAGCGAGTATTCCGATGTCAACGTTGGTTACTCTAATGCATAGTTGGACCTCGATAACAGTACGGCTTCTCGGCACGGTGGCACAATTCGAAAAGGTCTGGTGAACAAACTCGGAAACACTGGTGTTATAATACTAGCGTTGCACTAAAACTGGCGAAGGAGGGATCGTAATTAACGTTTCGGTTAACGGCTTCGATATCAATCCACAATCTTCAAACCAATTTCACATACCTCAGTAGTGATTTTCAAATTTCATGGACAGGCCTCTTTGGTATTTATCGATAATTCGCCACATTGCTATTATGTTATAAGATCAAGAGTAAGGAATTTTAAGTTTAAAAAAATGCCATGAAAGGCTGAATCAGCCAGGGTCTTGACCTTCGGCTATTATAGATCAGTGTGGAAAGCTGACTTATTCAGCACCCGCCTATCGCGATCATCTAGCCAGCCATGTGTTCGTGCGCTGTTCGATGGTGCGCGACATCATCTCGTGTGGCCAGAAGGAAGGAAGGCAGGCTATAATCATGCAAAATTATAATTATCCCCCGCCACTCACCTCGCGATCTTCAACATCGAGCTCTCCACGGACAATGCATCCGTTCTAGGTATCATCTTCCTCGTGTCCCTTTTTTCTCTCTTTCTCCACTTTCAAAGCTACCAACTAATCAACATAAAAAGACTAATGAGTAATCCACCTTCCCCCAAGCCCAAGCTGTGTACTAGATTGTCGTCGTAACGTGTGGGTTCCACTGCCCAGAACTTGTGAGTTTCCAATGGCGTTGTAGCGCATGAGCTACCTTGCCGAACGGCCGAACCCTTGCAGGGTCGGCGTGCGCGACAACTTTGTTCTTTGCCCCACAGTGCAAGTATGGATGCGATCGACCATCCGGTCCCCGGTTTGTCGCTGTTTTGTTCGGAGTTTATGTCTCTAGTTGCATTGCTTTGGAAGGGGGAGAAGGTGGTTTCAATTACCTTATGGGCCCCTCAAGGTGAATCAAAATTCCAACTTGTAAAGGAGCCAACATCCTGTTGCAAGAAAAGACGGGAGGAGAAGAATTCACAACGTTGAAGTATTTTGTTGGAGAAAAAAAGTACGTAACTTCATGACAGCCTTCTTCTTTTTCCCATCTTGCATATGGGTTGTATCTTTGAAGGGCCAGGGAGCCAATGGGTCAAGGCAAAAAAAGGCCGCAGGATTTCACAACAGATGAACTTTCTGCGTCCAACAGATATACCTCCACCACACGGGATCAGCTACCAACAAGGGACCCTATTCACAGTTGGTCTATCCATACATAAGCCAAGCGAAGAGGGACCACCAGGGTAGCATTCTGTCGCCCAGGGTTTCTTTCCAGCCAGCTTGGATCGGAGGCTTTTTTTTCACAAGCTTTGTGAGGGGCCGGTCTCTCTTTTTACCACGTACAGCTAGGTTTCGATCTGTCTGGTTGCTTGCCTTGTGGGTAAAATTGGAAAAGCCATTCCGTACGAAGGGGCGCTCGGTGGGTACCAGGTGGTGTGAATATCTGTAACATTGCCTATGTATAAGAATGGAACCCATCCCCTCCACTTCCCTTTGTTTTATTTTATTTTTCTTGTATCAGATCAAAGCTTTTATTTTATTTATTTTTTATAAATAAAAAAAGACTTTCCGATAAGTTCTTTTTATAAGGGCTTTTTCTGGACGGTTGTTTTTTAAAATAGCTTTAAGCTTTCCGTCCTTTTTTAAGCTTTCGATACGCGAGAAGGATTATCGCATGGTGTAGTATATCCTTTTTGCGACACGCTTTCGACGTTGCAACGACAGATCTCGATTCTATTTTATCAATACGACGGTCGATCTAATAATTTAATTTAATTTTGGCTTTTACCCACTCCCAAAAAATATCTAAAAGGGAGACCAAAGAATTTTCGAAGAAAGGGTCTTGGGGGGTTTTCTTCAAACTTCACCATATCTTTCCTTTTCTTTATTCTTTCTTTTGATTCTTCAAAACAATGAAGTTATCGGTGATAGCGAGCGCCTTACTGGCTACCTGTGTGGCCGCCAGACCAGAGCCTTTGCTACAAATTCGACAAAATGTGGGTTTTAGCTTTGATACGAATAAAGTCCGCGGTGTGAATATTGGTATGTATATACTTTCCTCCTAATTCAATTGTTATCACCATCGTATATCATTTTGAAGATCCAAAGAGATAAACAATTATATCGTTGCATAATCCTATAAAATAATCAATAGAATAAACTAACCAAAAGATTTCTTCAAAAAAGGTGGTTGGCTCGTCCTCGAACCCTGGATCTCTCCATCCCTCTGGGATCGCTGGAAAGCAAACCCTTCCGCCGGTCCAGTCGACGAATATAATCTCTGTCGCGTCCTCGGCAAAACAGCCTGTCAGGCTCACCTGAAGAAACATTGGGACACCTGGATCACTCAGAACGATTTCAACCTCATCAAATCCTACGGTCTAAACACCGTACGAATCCCGATCGGTTACTGGGCATTCACATTGAACTCCGGCGACCCGTACGTTCAAGGACAAGTCGCCTACCTCGACCGTGCGATCGTATGGGCCAGAGCAGCTGGGTTAAAAGTCTGGATCGACCTTCACGGTGCTCCCGGGGGTCAAAATGGATTTGATAACTCCGGATTGAGGGACAGAATTGGGTTTTTGCAAGGGAATACAGCAGCACAGCTGTTGGCTGTGATTAAGAAGGTGGCGGATAAGTACAGTCAACCGCAGTATAGGGATACTGTTGTGCTTATCGAGGTGTTGAACGAACCTATGGGGCCTAAATTGGATTGGAGTAAACTTAGACAGTTTACTTACGATGGATGGGCTATTGTCAGAAGAGCCGGACCGACTTGGGTTGCATATAGCGATGCTTTCTTACCGCTTTCCAAGTGGAACGGACTTTTGGCACCTTCGAATAAAGCGCTTGTTGATAAACACCGTTATCAAGTATTCTCGGAGGGAGAGGTATCCAGGAGTTACTGGCAGCAATTCGACTCTGCCTGTAGCGCACGATGGGAGTTCAAGGGAAGCAACAAGTACGTCGTCGTCGGAGAGTGGAGTGCTGCCATGACCGATTGCGCAAGATGGTTGAACGGATGGAATCGAGGAGCCAGATACGACGGAACATTCCAAAGTTCGAGGTCTTACGGAACATGCAACGGCAAGGGCGACGCCGACCGTATGACACAGACGCAAAAGGATGATTTGAGACGGTTCGTCGAGGCTCAGTTGGATAGTTATGAAACGACCAATGGATGGATCTTTTGGACTTGGAAGACGGAGCCAGGCAATCGTAGTGACGATTGGAGTTATTCGAAACTGGTCGCGAGGGGGATTATGCCCAAGCCACCAGGATCGAGAAGATTCCCTAAGCCATGCGGTTAAGATCTATCTTGGTACCAGTTAACTCGGGTTTCGAAATTTTTGGGTGCGGAATATACAGATACGTACGCGGAAAACCAATCTAGAAATTAGTGGAAAAGTTATCCCTCACCCATTTTATCGCGTATCTGCTAGGGATCTTGCACATGCGACAGGCGTTTTTATTTTATTTTTTCATATTTTTTATTCGAAGGTGTTTTTGCATATTTATAAGCGTCGAGGTTTCGATAGGAATTCGGTTGGTTTGGTTAATAATGTCTACATATAATGCTGTTGATGTTATGTTCTAAACATATCAGTAGTAGATTGATATAATTACAATCTGGTATACTATGAATTTAGCGAATTAACTGTACCTGCTATTGCCATAATGTTAAATTTTAAAGTCAGATCGGCTTTTGGTGATAAGAACTAAAGATGCTAGTGTAGCGTAGCGAAATTTAGTGTAGACTTGACATCATTTCGCCTGATATGTCCTCGTGCATAAGCTCGACTAACTTGGAATTACCTAATACCCGTACTTTACCATGGTACCTGATATAAAATCGTTAATCTAGAGTTAAATTCTTTCCAGTCTACCAATTTTTAATATAGATAGCCCATAATAATAATATTTTGACACTCGTTTCGATCGGGACCAACCGAACCGTCCGGACGGAACGGCAAGTCTATATAATTATTTATTGGAATTTCCCCCCGCTTGAGTTTGGACATATCCGTCCTTTTGTGATTTGCTCCTTGTGTTTTCTTATCATTCGCGACCGGTGCGGCTGTGCATACCTTGCCTGCATGTGCATATAAACACTCACAATAGCTAATTGCCTTGCCCAGCTGATCATGAACCCCATCCACCATAAGTTGGAATATAGGCGAATCGCGGAAACATAGATCCAGGTACAAGCATGACCCCGCAGAATCCCTTACCTACGGTGGTGTATACAAACAACTTCATAAAGCCTCCAAGCCGAATCAATCGGCGATTATAATTTAATACACTCCGTCCATTTTCGCAAAACCACTTTCCCCTTTTTTCCGTAAAGGTAGAAGGGTCAGCCATTCACGATTGATTAATTATTCAAACCTGCATGCGTGGCCGTGAAAGGGTAATGTATATATGCAGCGGGCGGTTCCGACGACAGATCGAGCAGGCAGACACATGCACCATACACACACCTCGCAAAAAAGAAATTCGAATGATACGCATGAATCAGCATTGGCATTTTAGGCGAGGTCTTAATGCCGGAGAATTATTGAGATGCAGGTGTGAACAAAAAAAAGCTTGGATTGAACTACGTATAATACTTTCTACTTGCGATTTTGAGCAGATATCAATTTATTTCATGGTTTATGTAGAATTAAGGGACCGGTGGATCCATAATGCAAGGAGTAAGGAGGTAGTCCCAATAAACAGCAACTATAAACTAGTTAACTTTGGATGACTGTATCGGCGAAGTAGAAATTCTGTGAAGGGCATACCACAAGGTTCCCTGATTTCTTGGCTTGGATAGAAGTAAATTCTACTTATAATTGTATACGTATAGATTCATTTATACATTTGCAGGGTATGGTACCGTACCGCAAGGTTTTGGCCGGCAGGCTCGATGTCTGCAGCTATATATTACTGAGATCTTCTATGCAGGGGTAAGTTTATCAAAAAGACCCTGTTCCTTGTACCTTTAAAATGAAAGCAAGGGAATTATTCTTGAAGTTATACTACTCAGCCGGCCCAGTTAGAATTAACTGGTTGCTTCGCAGAATTAGCTCCTGTTCCTTAGATATGTTTTACGCATGCGATTATGTACATGTACCTAGATACCGGTATCGACATGTAGCCTATCAAAGGGATCCACACGAAACGGTCGACCAGTCGTCCGATCAGTATTTGGGATATTCTAATACTGGTGGGGCCGACATATGCCGTATATCATTGACTAGACTAAATATTTTTTTCTAGTGTGGGGGTTTCTGTCTCGAGTCGAGGTAGAACGACCGAGTACACCGGTTTTGTCATGTGTTCGAAAAAACACAAGTTACTTAGTTATAGAAAACGTGAATATCGGCTTATTCGTACCTGTGTATCCATTCCTTCGGGTAGAGGCATAGAACTCAGAATTTCGAACATTCCTCCCCGTTTCAGGCATGGATGAAGCTCGTGTTACCAACGCCGAATATAGAAATTCTGTGTTGTAGAATTGTGGTAGATGTTCTTTGATTCTGTAACTCCATCGAATTGTAACTATTCATGAAATTCGAGACAGAACGTTACTAGTATATACGTATACTGCGTCCTGGTATCACAGCTGAGCGCGCTTAGACGGTCGAGTTACGTTTCATTGAGAGTAAGTATTTTAGGAAGAGGCTGAGAGGTGCAGAAGCCAAGTATGTGTCTACCCGGCTGACGGCACACAGCACGAGGTTCTACGTTTTCTTGAATTAATCGAAGACTGGCTATTGCCCGGCCGATATCAATTGAAGCTGGATATTTCCAGCCTCCTCGTTCGCGAAACAAAGAGAATTGTTAGCCCGGAGGCTAGACGGTACTAGGCTACTTCTTCACTTGCGGGGCTTGCATTCGGAGTGCATTCCTTATCACATACCGCCCTTTTGGAATCTATTATGAATTTCCGAAAGTTTCCCTTATCTATGGAGTCGGCCGACACACACGCGCTGCAGCTGGCTGGCGCTGGTCCCCCAAAAAGAAATCCACCACGCTAAAAACCCGAGCCCTGGCCACCCCATGTCATGTCTCCAACCTGTCTCGCAGGAAGAAAAACCCTAGAAATTATGATATTCCATCGGGCTTCTGCTGCAGTGACTTTCAACCTGCAGCTTGCGCCAATGTATCCTCGGATACGGGCGAATTCCCTCTCCCCAAAAACTGTAAGAACCTGAAGTTCTTGCTTGATTGAAGTGGAACCTTGGCCCTGCACTCGCAAAGTTTCGGTACAACCTGCATAGCATACCTGCACACCTTCTCCGCTGGTACTCTGATCGCTCACATCTACAATCCCTAAGTATACTACTAAAGTGGCTAGGAGACAGCCGTCCTCCTATTCCGTGCTAGCCAGAAAATAAAAGAAAAGAAGAAAAAAAGGAATTAAACCCCAACCTACCCACGTTTTTGCCTAGACGATACATGTAAATGTCCTCTTTTTGCCTCCAACAGGACAAAAGGAAAATGTAAAAGGGTGGGAAAAATACTGCGGGCGATGCTTATCAGTGGATAAGCATTCATTGGCATGTACGTGAATGCATGATTTGGCGAAGAGGTTGCAAGAATGATTGGTCGCCCCTCGCAGCATATCTGCATTATCCACAAGTCCCCGCCGAGATATTATATGCGCACACATAAAAAAGAGACATGCCTACTAGGTACCGCTGCAGGTCTCGCGATAGTCAGGTCCTGTCAATTCAACTAGTGCATGGGAAGAGAGACATGCGAAAGAAGCTTTCCGTGAATGATCCAGTTACGTAGCATCGACCATCCGACCAAACTAAGAGCCCGATATGATACCGCGCAATCTAGTATCAGAAACTAAAGTTTGAACTACACCTATACAGTAGTAATCACGGTATCACACTCCTCTAGCCTCGAAGGACTTAAATACACCATATCCTCCCCTCTAAACGACCAACTTCCCTTCTGGTATTCAGGCCCCCAGGTGCATTACACTAGACCAGTGCATTACCTCATTCGCTTCTACTACCCGCCTGTTTACCTAATATTCCAAGGTAAATAGATCGAAAAGGTTCCTTGTCGAATTATCTATTATCTTTCTAAGACCCTGTTCAGCTTCCATTCGCATAAAGACTAAGCGGTGGGAGTAACTTTATACCTTCCCACGTTTTATTATACTATTTGGGACACCGACGTTCTTCGCTACACGACAACTATTTTCCTACCGAAGGGGGTCGTTGATAAGTTTAATTAACTAAAGTGGTATCTAAAAGTGGGAGTTTAAAAAGTGCAGTTTTTTCCCGCCTGAGCTTTAACTGAAACTTCCAAGGAGAATTGAACAAGAAGGACCAAACTACCTAGAAGGTAGCCTTCGGAATTGACGGTATCTTTCAAATTTCAACTTCATGAGCTTGTCAAGCTCTTTATAACCAGCTTCGAATTTCTATTACACAACCGAAATCCACAAGCAGAAATCTTCGGGAATACAGCTTTTCTGATTGGCTGATTCAAATTCCAACGTCCGACCAACGCAAAAATCAACGAAAAATATGTCGTTCGATAAAGACGTCGAGAAAATCGACCCTGAAAAACGGGGATCGGTTACTGGAGCCTCAGAGGATGGATCTCACGCTATAGCCGCCGAAACCTTTGAGGTTGGTGACTCGGTATATGCGAGGCTACAAAGGTTTGCAGGAAAATGGAATATCGAACAGAGAGGTATCGAGCGGGTACGTCAAGATTTGTTTCCCTCACGGATACTTCCATACCTAGATCTAAATATATATACAATACTAACATTTGAATAACGGCTAGGTCCCTGAATCCGAGAAAACCGATACAAAACTCTACAAAGCCGGTACAATGTGGCTTGCCGCAAATCTCGTAGTCTCCTCCTTCGCAATCGGAGTATTGGGTCCTCACATCTTCGCCCTCGGCTGGCGTTCCTCATGGCTCACAATCCTCTTCTTCAACCTCCTTTCCATCACTCCAGTCTGCTTTTTCTCTACCTTCGGTCCTGAATTTGGTTTACGCCAGATGATCCTTAGTCGGTTCTTCTTTGGCGCTCACCTAGTCCGATTCATCGCCTTCCTCAACTGTTTAGCCTGTATCGGCTGGTCCTCCGTAAACGTTATTGTCGGCGCACAGTTGATTCACACCGTGAACCACTCCGTTCCAGAGTATGCCGGAATCTTGATTATCGCATTCTGCACATTCATCATCACTTGCTTCGGATACAAGGTTGTTCACTACTACGAATTCTACTCTTGGATCCCATGCTTCATCGTCTTCCTGATAACTGTTATCCAATTCGCTAGAAGCGGCGTGTTTACTGCCATCCCCGATGGAAGTGGAAAGGCAACCGCCGGCTCTATACTAAGCTTCGGAGGCGCGATTTATGGTTTTGGAACCGGATGGTGCTCTTATGCAGCGGACTATACCGTTTACCAACCAAAATCTGCCAACAAATATTTAGTATTCTTCTATACCTGGGCTGGTCTCATCTTCCCCCTTCTATTTACCGAAATCCTAGGCGCAGCGATCTACATGGGCACCTACAGCTCAGAAGTCTACAAAACGGGCTACGAAACCGGAAAAATCGGTGGTTTATTCGGCGCAGTACTCGTCACCAACTCTCTAGGCAACTTTGGAAACTTTTGTTTGATAATTCTAGCCCTTTCGATTATCGGTAACAACTGTCCAAACATCTATTCTATCGGTTTATCCGTTCAGGTCCTCTCTACAAAACTTCAGCGAGTACCTAGATTCATCTGGACCTTCATCGCTACATGTTGCTACATCGCCATCGCAATCCCAGGAGCCACACACTTCGAAACCGTCCTTGAAAATTTCATGTTACTTATCGCTTACTGGTTGGGCATCTACGAAGGTATTTCTTTAACTGAACATTTCATCTTCAGACGAGGGTTTAAGGGTTATGAAGTATCACATTACGATCAACCCGATAAGCTCCCTGTTGGCATTGCAGCAGGAATCGCCTTCTGTGCAGGCATTGGAGGCGCTGTGTTGGGTATGTCGCAGGTATATTGGATGGGACCTATCGCAAGGCTTTGCGGAGGAGAGTTTGGAGGCGATGTAGGATTCGAATTGGCGTTTGGGTTTGCGGCGGTGACCTATGTTGCGCTTAGACCTTTAGAGAAGGCGAGGTTTGGAAGGTAGAAAGGTAACTATAAGGTCAGGGTACTTTAGCTATAGATGATTCTGGGGATGGTTTTTTCTTTCTTTTGGAGTTTGTGATGTTTACATGTTTTTGTTATTTTGCTCTTCTCTTATTTAGCTAGTACTTTTTGGCATTGTCCTATTTTCGCCTCTTATTTAGTTAGATGCCCTTGAGATTAAAACTCGAGAGGTTAAGGTTATTATAATGATGTTTAAGGCCCGGAATAGGCTATGAAATTCAACTTTTATCTCATCACTCTCCCCAGAATATTTCGTTAGAATCGTATCTTGAGATCGTGGTATACTGGGCGCAATCACACAATATTAATCTACGATATAAATCTAAAGCTAATGTCAAAGCAGAAGGTGAGTAGAACTTCAAAAATGGTTTGATTCAAAAAGAAAAGAATTATATATTACAATAGAAGAAGAGGAAGGCTATCGATTTCAAAAAAAAAAAGACGAAGACTTCAAGGGGTCCAAAAAAGTGCAGGCATCGCCAAAAGCTCCATTTTGAAAGCGCAAGCAATGAATACAAAGGTGCTCAAAAGTGGGTAGGTCAAAGAAGAAAAGTTATGAATGTACACCAAGAATAGAAAAGGATCTGAAGATGAGAGCGCTAAAAGCACGAGGTGAAGCGGGAGGGGGCCAGCGAAGTTTGAAGGCAGGAAAAAAATGGAAAAAAACAACCAAGAGGCTGAAGGGCCCCATTGTAACCAGAGCGGCTGGAGGAGAGGATGCAAAGTAGAAAAACAGAAAGGGAGAAAGAAAAGGAACCAGGGTTTGGGTCATATTCAAAATAAAAAGGTATTTAAGAAAAATCATACTGCTACATTAAATGGAGTCCGCTTCATCATGAAACTGATCATTACCGTGAGAATAAAAACCCTACCATGCCCACATGGAATTATATATAACCACCCCATAAGAAAAGTAAAGAAGAAAGATAAAAAGAGGTATGCAATGAAATAAAAAGGTTAAAAGCAAAACGGGTATTTTCCTTATCTTGCCTCATTGTCGATTTCCTCGACAACACGTACAAGTTCCTAGCCTTAATGTTAGTGCTGTTGAAATTAAGGAGATTGAAAATCCAGAGCCTACGAACCTTTGTTTCCCTAGCCATGGCAAAACAGTGCCCAGCCAACCTCGCATTGAAGTCCTTCGAAGCTTTCCCCTCATTCTCGATATCTTCGATCTTCATGCCAAGCATTTGGTGCATAGAGTCATCCAAGCTCTTGACAATCCGTCCGATTCTATCCTGTAGCTTGGTGGATCGGGCGGTATCCATGGCGTTCTCCGTCGATTGTATCACCTTACCTACAAAGAGGATAACGTCGTCCATGAGGGGCCGCAAGGTCCGCAGGTGGCTGTCTTCTGCTCGTATCTCCTGGAGGAGCCTCTGGATGCTCTCTATTACTCCGTTGGTTTGGCTGATGAGGAAGTTCTATCGATGGAGGGTTAGTATCCTTTGGAGATCTAGATGTAAGAATTGGTAATATACCTTCAACTCCTCAACCTCACTCCGTTCCTCCTGGACATCAAACGATGGCAGAGAGCCGATACCTAAGGGATTCATCGCAGAGAACTTGCCATCCCGTTTAGAATTCCAAGTTCCACTCTGATTCCGTGCTGACCCTCGTTGATTCGAATACCGCGATGAAAACGAAGAGGTACTATAGACCGAATCGATACTAGTACGTGCCGGACTATTACCGTTCATGACCGGTGTCGACTTGCTCGACTTCAGCGGCACGCTAAGCAACTCCGCATCGCCGTCTTCCGTCATCCCATCTCCCATATCATCATCCTCTAGTTCTTCGCTAGGTGTCGGTCGGACCTTAACTTTTTTAGCTAGGTCAACAACTGCAGATGTTAGGTGGGATGTGGCGGCATCTACGAGAGATACGGGCGAGAGGCCGTCCGCAGAGGCGTGGTTTCGAATGGCGGTGATGAGATTTTGTCCAGTAGCTTCAAGCCTCATCGACATCTTGAGTACGTCATCGGGCGGATTGGAGTGATCGATACTCTTCGTAATCGCCCTCACTACTACTGCAACGCTCTTCATATGCACTAATGTTCCCTTAGGATCAATACGAGCTGTCCGGAGGATTTCATCCACCGTAAGCTGGCACTTTGTTATATGAATGTCCTTTATCAATCCGTTGGGATCAGAATGCACCGTGGCCCTGTTGACACTACTCTCCATCGCATATTGTAACCCTATTGAAGCTGCTCGTAGATTCCGGAGTTGTGTTTTAGTCTTCGTATACCGAGCCTTCCAATCTTTAACTTCATCCCTCAGACTTGCAATTTCAGCAGTTAATTGGTCATGCGAATGTGTAATGTCGCCGCTGGCTGACAGGGACTTCATTTCCTCCAAGAAACTCATTGCTTGCTTCCGAACCTCCTCTGTTGTTTCTTGCTGCTGCTGTAGTTCGACTTTAAGATGCTCGTGCACCTCCAGTAGCTCCTTGTACTTTCTCTGTAGATCTGGGTCGCCTCCTCCCCCGATGCCATTGCCTCCACCACCACCTCGACATTCGTGTGAATTTTGCCAATCCTCTAAGGCGCGGTTTTCGGATCTCAGCCGTGCTAGTTCACTTTGCAAGGAAGAATTAAGATTTTGGGCATTGGCAAGCTTGTTCTCGAGTAAATTTTTTAGATCAGACAGTTCCCGGGTTTTGTTCTCTAGAGCCTACACAAAGTCAATACGGCGCCTCAACTATCGCATCACTGGGGACATACATGTTCGTTATGCCCTTGAAGAACCTTCAGTTGGCTTTGCACAGACCGAAGTTCTTCCTCATCGTCCTTCCACAATTGTTCTGCATCCCTTAATCTACTAATCTCAAGGTCCTTTTCTCGGGTCTGGAATTCTATTGCGTCGAGTCTTTTTTGTAGGGTGGACACTTGTACCTGGTAGTCGGCAATCAGCTTCTTGTCGGCCTAGATATATTCCTCGTTAGTACTCGAAGCGTATAGTTTCCATATCACTTAAGAGCTACCTGATTAGACAGTGGCTCACGGGAGGAGCTAGCGTTACTAGCTAAGCTCTCTCGGCCGTTAACTGCCCTCTTATTAGCGCCTCCAGATTGTCGGTACCGATCTTCTAAACCAAAGGCTTCCTCCTCATCGTTGGGCATCTCGTCGTAATCTTCATCTGATATAGGCTTATCAGGTCTGTTTTGTGGCGGTAGATTTTTCGGTAGAGGACGGCCTAGAGAGTTGGGACCAGCGCCAGGACCATTTGGACCCCCTAGTCCATTTGGGGGGCCGCCTAGTCCGTTCGTTGGACCCCCGAACCCGTTTGGTCCTCCCATACCGTTTGGTCCTCCCATATTATTTGGTCCTCCCATATTATTTGGTCCTCCCATACCATTCGGTCCTCCCATACCATTCGGTCCTCCCATACCATTCGGGCCTCCCATACCATTTGGACCCCCAGGCCCAGCTCCTGGGCCAAGACCTGTGGGTGTCCTCGGTTGCATGCCGTAACCCCCAGGGCCAGGGCGTTGCGCACCGTTTAGTGTATTCGGATTTAGTGGAGCTGGTTTTGGACGTCTGTCCTGCTGATTGTTCGGTGAATTGTCGCGAAGGCTACTGGCAGGGCTTGCCGACCGATCAATGCCGCTACCCGTGACGTGTGGGTACCTCCTTTCCAGTTCGTAAAACACATCTGTCGCTAGATCTCGAAATCGGGGTGTCGGCAATGTGCTGAGCTTCTGCCTGGCCTGGTTCCTCTTAGGATGAAATTCGGTCCTAGGCATAAGGTGTGGTGTAGAGCCCTCGGGGAGATCGGCGGGATTGATTTTAAGGACACTGGAAGCACTAGAGAGGCGATCGCCAGCACCCTGGCGTCGTTGTAGCTCGTCGTATACATCTGTACTGAGCTCCTGAAACTGGATCCCAGTGAGTCGAAGCAGTTTATCGCGCGCTTTGTTGGCTTTAGAATCGTTCTTTTCAGCTTTTAAGTATGGTTCTAGGAGAGCTTTGAGAGCAGCGTGTTGGCGAGCAACCTGCTGCTCATCGTCGAGTTTCTGATCTCGTCGAGGCGGCATTCTCATGCGAGGCCGCATGTTAGGTGAATCTTCGTACATTCTCATACCGTCGGATGACCGTGCAACGGAAGAAGGTGGCGATGTGTTCGAGGAGCGTCCCATGCTTGGACCGCTAGAGGAGGCAGTACGGGACATTGTACTACCGGAGTCGGTAGGAGATTTGTAGGTGCTGATGCCAGACCAGTCGCTTCCAGCAACGGACATGGGCGATAGCGGGGGGCGGTGGTCGAGGAGAGGGGGTCGGGAAGCGGCGGTGATGTTGTTCATGGTTTTGGAAGAGAAGGTTGGATGGCGGCCGATGGTGGTTTGATTTTTGGCGGCGGGTTTGGAATTCAATAAATTCCTCTAAAACGCTCAAACAGAAAGTCCAACTGCAACTTGACAGAATCGCGGCAGCTTCAAACGACTTTTTTTTTATTTTTTTATTTTTTTTTATTTTTTATTTTTTAGGATAAAAATTTAAAAAAAATTAATATTAAAGGCTACTACTGGTCAGTTGCCAGTTCCAGTTCCTCCCTGATTGCTTATTCTTCCTGTCTGCCTGGTCTGCCAGCCAATTTCGCAGAGCCGGCGTCTATTGGTTGGCGGCGAGCTCGATGCAATGAACCAGGTGAGCCCTTGTCTGGGGTGAGGATGAACAGCAAAGGGGCTGGCTAAGTGTCCAATATCTGGCCAGCAGATGGGCCAAAGAATGCTTCCAATTCGATTAATTCGGCTTCGATATGTACAACCGATAGATTCCTCCGTGTGGAATATACTAGATGCTCCAACCTCCAAATGCAAGGTAGTATGTAATATGTGTACTCTGTAAGATGCAATATCAAAGTTGGTGCTTCGTTGGAAGTGTCAGGGCAGGATAAAACGTCAGATGCTCGAGAAAGTGTCGGAAGGCACGGCTTGCGTCATAAAATCTGTCGGTCGCATGAACATGAGCTGACATTCGATAATATTATTCGAAGAATGTGTCTGGACGGAAGGATGTCAGTCAGTTAGTAGGTGTATCGGCTCCGGGAATTCGAAGGAGGTCTAAAATAAAAGTAAAAAAAATAAAATAAAAAAAATAAAATAAAATAAACGTAAAACTCTTGGAGGGGAAGTGTGACGGGAAAGAAGAAGATCAAGAAGGAAGAAGAAGAATAAGAAGAAGACTATTATAAGATAGAGTGGATTTAATTAATTAGTTACATGACATCGATCTACGACATCCGTTCGTTCCCCTATTCTAGCACAATCCTACGGGCAACTTACCGAAATAAGTGTTTGAAGCCCATGTCCAAAACCAAGATCTCTCCCGAAAAGCTTCACGATTTGCGACGGATAATCCGTCCTGATCTTGCATGATCGATTTTAGATCCTCCGCCGTTGACATACATATCTATGCCACATGCATTGCCCAATTGCGGATTCACTATTATTCCCCAGATGCCTGACTCTTTGACCCAAGATCTCTGTACGCTTTGGTATGTAACGTAAGATCTAGCCGGACCTTCTCGAACATCTCGCCAGACCTTCCTCGCTTTCCACTTTTCCCTTCCTTTTTTTCTTCAAATTTAAGATTATCACCAGGGGTGGCCTCGTAATCCACCGGGACCCTGACCGAGCCAGGTGCTGAAGCGAGGCCCAGCATTCGAATCCAAGCCAAGCAACCTCTGCCCTTTGTCCGTCCAATCAAACGTCTGTTCCTGGACATCACTTGACTGTCCCATATCATATCATATCGATCCGGTCGGTTGGATAGCATATAATGACGATGTGCTTAGCGCCAATCCGAACGCCTCAATTGCTCGTCTAGCGAGAAACTTTGTATGTATGGATGTTATCATATCATCGGCACGTCCCAATCTACGTATAACAAGCGAGGTTTCAACATTCCGTTCGCATGGGGAACGACATCGACAAAAACTTTAACCAGTGGTTCGATTTCGTTCCTGCATATTATGAAATTAGTCTCTCAAAACCACCCCAATCGAAAATTTAACAGCGGAACGACTAACAACACGAATAAACCGTTCCAGGACGAAAAATCGAAAAACTCGGAAGCCAATACCACCTGTGCCACGAGGAACTCCGGAGTTCATCTTTTGTGACGTGATGCGTACCATGGATTGCTTATTTTTGGGCTGGATGGTGTCGGACTTGCGTGGTTGCACGGCAGGAGAAACGTAAGTGATGTTGCGAGACAGTTCGAACCCCTTGTGCTACCATCTCTCGTCAGTCACGTGGTTATTTTGGGCCTCAAAACTCCTGGGAACAACAACACAAGGTATAGTTAACCCCTAGTCTAGTTAACCCCTCTATAGCAGCTATAACAGCACTGAGCTTTTCTATACGTACCGGCACTCATAAGCTTGTGTCAATTGTCCATAGGCTCTACCATCTTCCTCCTACCCACCCAATACGAGATTACTCCCCACCATGTGTCACCTCAATAATGTTGAGAACTACCGATTCGGTCCGGACTTATCTCGTAAACCAGAATTAATTGCTGCTGCGCAGGCTGGACCCACTGTTGATAAAATATTGATATTAATATGTATGTGTATATGTATACGGTTATAGGTGGTCTCGCTGGGTTATAGCTAGGTGGCTCAAATCATAAGCCGGAATAACGGGTACCCCCTATGCTAAAACACCCCTCTGCCCCGTGCAATACTGTCTCCTTCGAGATCAAATCAGCAAATCAATACTTTACTTTAACAGAGATCTCAAATCTTTAAGACGATTATCGATGTTGATATACCCTTGAAACATTTCCGCAGACCAATGTAACCAAGAGCTTTACTCCAGTCCAGGTACCCACCCTCCTAGACTTTCGAATTCCACATTCTTCCAACCTTCGACGTGACAGCTAGTGCATACACCCGCATATCCAATGCGAACAAAGAAGCGTAAATGTCAAATGATATCTTCAGCTTCTCACCGACATATCTTTACGAGTTATGCAGACCAGGGATCGGAGAATGTTTCAAGGTCCCATCAGTAACGGATCCCTCATATCAGCCGGCCCCAGAGGAAATCACAAGATATTTTATCAGCTTCAAATATTTAATATATATTCTCTAAATCTTATATATCTATATCTTCATAAATACCGGCAGCCATTCTTATCACCAATACTCCTATTTTTGAAACTGCATAATTATACACAACGATAGTTTCATAAGTTACATCCCGCCCCCCCAAAAGAAAATTTCCCTATAGTGGAAAACCGTTAATAGGACTTATGCATTTTCTTATAATAAAAAAACCAATACCAAAAAACCACTTTTCTAGATTTCCGACCACCCATGGCCACCTTACAAGCTCAACAACCAACCCTAACTTCTTCCAACTTCGATATCGACAACTCCGAAACAAAACATTAGTTAGAAGGGTTAGTTACTGCTAGCAAGATTAAATATAGATTTGAAGCCATTGCTCTAGCGAGGCTCTCGAATAAAAGATAACAGGCTCCTGCGAGCTATGGGTACCAGAGTAGAATGGCGCTGAAGGGCAACTGACAGCCCTTGCAAATTTAAAGCGTGGTATCGATAATAGTATCTGGTTCTGAGATAGATATACGTATGAAAACTACAAACGGTGCCGTTATTTTGATACATATTTCCCTCAATCGATCTATCTAGGTATAGTCTCCAGGTTAGATACGCTAGCCTGTGCGAGGAAACTTCTTTAGTCTTCACATTGTCGAGTTAACTTAGGCATGTGCTACCAAGGATTAAATTCCTGGATTTAATATTTCCTGGATTCTAAAATTCCAAATCAACGATATCGATGATAGGAACAGAGTGACTATAAATCAATTGTAGTGTACCAGTACACGTTGATATCACATAATGCCCTCTTTCAACCCCCGTGACTAAATTTTGAAATGGGGAGATCACGCAAATAACCACAAAACCATAGGCGAAATAAGTTGAACCGTATCATACCGCCACGCTTCAGAGTCAGATCAAAGAAACGGAATCACATTGCTTTAACATCTCCTGGAGGATTTATAACCGAATCCACAAATTGATTAAATTACTAACTCCATTGTTAGTGGTGAAAAAAGTCCGCCACACGTAGGTGTGAAACACTTACCCGACTGAAAGATCCACAATTGGTTCTTCTTGACCTTCTTCCCAGTATTCGGTTTCTTAGTCCAGAGCACAATAGGTGTTCCATTCTTTGGCTTCCCGTTTGCCAAATCGACATTCAAGTCCGGCATGAAACCGCCAGGGCGCGAGATTCTAGTTCATCCACATCCACACATTAATATCGACAACGAAAAGTCCTCCACTCCGAGGAGTATATGAAACAAACAATATGCCCACCTGAAATAAACCGGATCATCATCATCTGGCCAAACATCCCATCCAATCGGTTCAGGAACACCTGCCAACCGTGTTCCGTCTTGAAGGGTTGCGCTGTTGGCAACGCCAGGGAACGTGGTGATTCCTAGGAATATAGTCGGCCGTTCAACGTTTCGGAAGGTCCATTGTCCAGTTGCATTTTTTCCAAGGATCCACTATAATTTAACAAAGGTGGGCTGAATTAGTTAATGCTCATGATAGCGATCATGTTGTTGGAAAGTTTGGCGAGGGGTCGGTGAGGGGCAGGTATTTCGCTAGCAGTGCAGTGATAGAGTAAACGAACCTTCTGATTATCGCCTTCATTGTTTTCCCACCCAACGATCGAAATATCGTCGGTCTTTGAGAGATCAAGGAGTGTGCCGCCCTCGACGTTGATAAGTCTGTATTTCCCGCCTTCGTTGAGCTGCATCTCTAATATCGATGTATCTGTATGATGTAAAGTCTATATCTGCGGTTTTTGCGTCCAAAAAGAAGAATCTAGAGGGATAAACCAAACAGTCGTAATTCTCCAACTTAAGAACTACCCGTCCACAAGAAAAGAAGAACAGTGCTTGTCATACGTATGTAGGGAAATGTGGAACTCTCTCGGAACAGGATCCGAGAAAGCAATTAAATACTGTAGTCGCAAGACCACATGTCTCACCCCATTCCTTCACCCCAGCCTGCCCACCCTCAGGCTCTTAAGCTCTTACGTATGTCATCCCAGCCCACTGGCTTTCTTTGAATAGCTCTAACCCCGGTTAGGAAAATGTTTGCCTCGGACCAAGACGGGACATCTTTTTTTGGGTTCTGATATGTGGTCTAACTTGATGCGGTAACCGGCTGGGGCATCAACCGATGCCGTAGACGTCGAGGTCCCGTTGTATGCCGCTTGTGGTATTTTGCGGCAGCGCGGGGGGGTTTAATGCGTTGCGGGGTAGTTGTAGGTTGTAGGACTGTTTTTGTGCTACCATGAACCGCCCGCGGACCACACTCATAGACAATCGATTTTCAATTCAAATCATTGAACTATCCCCTATTAAGCCATCCTACCGCTTGTTCTAAAGCCTTAATGGCATCCCCAAGTCAAACCAGCCCAATCCGTATCGGCCTCATCGGCTGCGGGGAAATCGCACAAGTAGCACATATCCCGACCATAAACTTCCTTTCCACAAAGTTCACCTTAACCTATCTCTGCGACATAAACCCCAAAGCTCTCGCTTTCTGTGCTTCTCGTTGTTCTTCAGCGTCTCCTCCAAAGACTACCCAGGATGCAAAAGAGCTCTGTGCTTCTGAAAATGTAGATGCGGTGTTAGTCTGTAGTTCTGATGCGTATCATGTCGTCCACGGGGTTTACGCCTTGAAAAATGGCAAGCATGTATTCATTGAGAAACCGTTGGCACTTTGCCAGTTTGATATTCAGATATTGAAGAAAGTTGAGAGTACTAGTAAAGGAAGGGTATTCGTCGGGTATATGAGACGGTATGCTTCTGCCTTTTTGGACGCGGTTAAGGAACTTGGCGGGACAGAGGGGGTACAGTATGTGAAGGTCAGAGGTATGTACCGCGTGCCCTTAAAGCCGTAAAATCCACACTGTCATGGTTCGCTTTTATCATACCAGTAGTTGAAGAACAAGCTAAATATTGGGGGAGGCGGGTAGATATAATTTGCCCGAACAGCATATTCATCAATCAATCGGGAACTTTCCCTCAGAAATTCGATGGCATCTCCGAAGAGGAAAAGCAGGCATTTTCGGAGAGAGAGGACCAAGTAACCCATGAAGCCTTAGTAGTAGATATGGGTCTTGCCATTACTGAAAAGCGGAAGACGATGCTACGGCTCTTGGGAGGGTATGTCGCAACTCACTCTATTACTTTCCCGAGACACTTCTAAGATCTGCGGATGTTTTATATATATATAGCCTCGGTTCACACGATCTCTCCGCTATGCGAGAGCTACTCGGTATGCCAAGGGGTGTTCTAGGCGCCCGCCTTTCCCCCACAATGTGGACAGTTCTATTCGACTACCCAAACTTCGCCGTGACCTACGAGTCTGGTTTCAATAATATTCCCCTCTTCGACGCTTCAATCGAAATATTCACAGAAGATAAAGTTGTGACGGTAAAATACGACACACCTTACGTGAAGGGGCTACCTACGACTATAGTCGTTCGGGAAAAGGCTGGTGATGGGACTGCATACCAAGAAAGGGTCCTGAGAACTAGTTATGAGGATCCGTATACCAAGCAGATGGGGGAGTGGTGGGAGTGTATTGTTAATGGGAAGGAGCCAAAGACGACTATTGATGATGCAGCTCTGGAATTGGACCTTTTCAAGATGATATTGAGGGCAGCTGATTAGGAGTATCTTGTTGGCTCGGCTCGGACTTTTAGAGAGGCAATTTGTAGACGAATGAATCTTCGAGATGGATGCCGTTATGTGGTCGATGCTTTAAGTTTTCTACAAGTAAACAGAATTACACTGTTTGAGTACGAAATTATCGATAATTTCTGTATTATCACTCAGCTGTAACATGAATTTTAATTTTGTATACGTAATTAAGCTATAAGTCGCAATTGGACGGAACCCATGAAATTTGGTGGGCTACCTTACATGAATAGTAGATGGACTCAGAGCCAGATGATTGCACACCGATCAAAGAACAGCATACATAGAACGCATATACACAGGCAGATTAAGGGACGGCTAATGAATGATGGAGCGGGTAATAGTGAGAGGTGAAAGTGTTTATCGTGTGATCCCGAGGGTGCTTGGGTAATGTCACTTTTCTATCTCAAAACTGAGAAGTTCGGGGATTACCACCGCTTATTCATGACCAAATATCTGGCATGAAACTGAAGTAGCTTCCTAGGTAATAATAGTTTCTTTTTCATCTTCTGTTGAAAGCCTATTATTCTATAAGCCAAAGCTACTATAAGCTTTGAAGGGCATAACATAAAAATATAATACGAAATACGCCAAAATTTACCACAAAACGCCATACCCTCTCTTTCCAATATCGTACACTTCTTTTCCATTCTCCTCCTCCTAAATTAAAAATAACTCGCAGTCCACAATACCGGCAAGGTAGGGTGTCTTTCTTGCCATTCCGCCAAGATCTCTGGAACTCGTCCATCAACTGAGCTTCTATCGAAATCTCTCGCCTCATCTGCAGCTTTATCTTTCTCTTCCTTAGCAGCAGCAGTTAACATTTTCGCCAATTCCAAAATACCCTTTCCACCGACCGCTGCTTCTTCGTGGTTGTCTTTAATATCGATGTTGATGACATGGACAAGCCGGTTTAGAGGGGAGCCACGAGATATTAGGTCTAGGTACCCCAGGAATAGTTAGCAACTTGACCTGAATCGCAATACAAGAAGAAGAAAGAAAGGAAGGGAAAGTACCATCAACAACAGCATCCCAACATCTCTCCTCGCAAGTAATAACCACATCCACAATACCACTTTCAATTTCATCGCTATAAGTCTTTTCCCCTCCTCCCCTCTTCTCCACTGGTCCAGCACCAACTCTTGGCAATCCTACATTCCAATCCTGCCATCTCTCTGGACTTTTCTTGATCTTTCGATTCCTATCCAACATGCTCAACAGCCCATTGGCGCTGTATAATCTTATGTCCCTGGCTTTGAGTTCAGTATACATTTCGTCGTAAGAGGTAGCATTGAAGGCATAGATGTTCGGTTTGTCGATCGATGGACCAGGTAGACGGACAGCTGAGCCGGTACCGAAGGAGATCACAGGGAAACCGGCTTGGGAGAGGACGAGGTGGGCTTCCATTGACCTTAGTTTTCATTAGTACTGAGCATATACATAGATACACGGGAATTAAGAGAGAAAATACCGATTCTGGTTATTCGCACAAACGGTACAGAATTTCAAAGGAAAATCATCGGGCGAACCCTGACGGCCAGGGATACCTGGTGGAGGAGGTGGGGTTCGAGGTTTTGTGGTTCGGGCGGGAGGATAGAGGGACAGAACTGATGGAGGAGGGTCGCCCTGAGGAGTTGTAGACCGTGGTTTGCTCATCTTGTCGGTTTTTTTATTTTATTTTTAGCTGGGAAGGTTACGTAGGTTGGTGACGGTGAAGATGGGGTGCGTCTTGAAGGTGTTTCAAGGAACGTGGAAGGCTAAAAGCTACGGGACGACGCGTAGCTGACACGTGACCTGATGTGAAGGCCTTACGGGAAGGTTTGCGGGTGAAGTTGGAGGTGATACGGGGACATTAGACGGTGGTGATGACGACTTGGTTCAGAGGGATGAAAGTGAGGTCTAGTCTCGTGGGAAATTTACGTATGTGGGAATGTCTACTCAGTTGTATTGGTGATTGAGGTTTGGGGTCTTGTTTTACAAAGAACGCGCTTAGTAATTCTTTTTTTTTTTTTTTTTTTTTTTTTTTTTTTCCTTTACAAGAACGAGAAAAGTCTAGAGAGTACGTAATATATATCAGAACCTGTATTGTGACTGCACCATCGCATGAATTAGCTCTCTATACTCCAATTATATAAGAGAAATAAGAGACGAGAGGGGCAAAAGAGGGAGGAATAAACAAGTCAGAGTGTTTAAAGTTGCGTAATTAATAGTATGTGTCCTCAGTGCCGTAGCTAGGACAGCTCCAATAATAGTTGTTCATCATAAATTTTATAAAATGTAATATTGTATAGCAATAGAAAAAACAATACAGCATAAAAGGCTTACCTGATGAGATGCGATGCTTTGCCGACGCATATGCGCATGTCGATATTTCACGAACTAATGCTGATGAGATGTGAACAAGTTGGTGGTGGAGCTGAGAGAAAAACCGGAATGAGGTGGAGGAAGAGAAAATTTTCGGCTTATGTAATAAGCCGTATTCAACCAGAAAGGAAAGAAAGAAAAGCTAAGAAGGGCAAACCTTTTCTCAGGTGATTTGAATGCAGAGCGCTGCGCCCGAAGCTTGACCTGCTCATGCAGCTGCCAGAAACTAGCAGGACCTGTACGTATTTCGTACCTACCTTAGTTACCCCGGACCATTCTACATACTAACGCTAGCCTAAGGCTATTCTCCGCGGCGCTGTGAGAGGTACAACTTCACTGACTATATCCGATATCCCCATAGAAACGGGTAGTTAAATTATATTGCGGAACGTCAATGGTATATTATATAATAGAATGTGTGAAAAATGAAAGTAAAATTAAAAATTTAAAGAAAAGCGAAAAATTAAGATTGTATGATCGGGATTCGTTTCTATAAATAGAATGAGCATCGAGGGGCGATATAAGGAGACTAAACCCAAAAAGGACGGCCGGTGTTTCAGAAAGACAGAGGAAGTTTGTACATGTGCCCACATTGTATTCCGGTGCAGTGTCGATGGGGAAGAGGAAATGCCTCGAGTGACTGTTAACTTCTACGCTGTAGAGCTGTATGAGGTAGAGCTCTCTAGATGAATGTTTATTAGTCTTTCTGCTACTACTACTAATTCGCTAATACTCTATTACATACAAGGCAAGTCCCAAGCTCGTTTTTTTCGATCTGTTATCGATAGCGGTTTCAGGTTTCGGGTCACCGTTGGTACTATTGTCCAGCCGGGCCCAATTATTATTATTCCCACAGATACTCCGTACATGAAGTACAATGAATAGTATGAATACATGTCATACATGTAAAGTATACGTAAAGTAGGTACGACATGCTTTTTAAAAGTGACTTTGATCGTCCCTGGTGGTGCAGCCCAGCCCTTTAAGACCTTTTCTCTACTTTTATTCTTTTTCGCCTCTTTTGCAATTAATTTCCAATCAATCGATCGCAATCAATTTATCTTATCGTTTATTGCGCGCGCACTCGCTCGCACTGACACACTCACACCCTATCGATACTGTAGGTACTTATACTTTCTTATATCTTGGAGTGACTCCATGTGGCGGCGGCGGATACAGCGATCGGATTGATAGAGGCGTCAGGAACAAATCTCCCACCGATATCTGGCGTTTACAGCCCGTCTCCGAATAATTTTCCTGTCGTTCCTCCATACCTGCCTGCTATTTTGTACTATTGTGCGCCCGATCGTGTGTATTTTGTTTACCAATCCAGCCGCCAGACCTGCAATTTTAAACAGGTCCTTTTTTCCCTGTGCCGCCCCTGAAAGAAACACCACCGGCCGGCGGATTATATTACTGCCATTCCTCTTCAAATTACTATACACTAGATCCTTATTCTCTTTTATTTATTTTATTTTTTATTCATTATTTTATTTTATTTTATTCTTCTTAATTTTCATTTTATTTTTTTTATATACTTGCCGAGTTGAAGGAAGTGTAGCACGAGCGAACGAGCGAAGCGGGTTTTGGATTTCAATTGAACCCCACCGCACTGCACCGCTGCCGCCACCATCAGTCACCCACTCACAACGACCAAATCACAACCTCTCCTCTTCCCTCTTCCCTCTTCCCTCTTCCCTCTTCCTCGACCTCATCTTCATCCTCAAATACACCATCTACACATCTACATTATTCCTCCTGTGCGGCTTCCAGACTCTCTGTTCATATTTACTCTCTTCTTATCCATATTCTTCTTCACTTCTTCCCTTTCACTTCTTCCATTCCTAAACTCCCATCCACAATCTCCTCCGCGGTAGCATACCAGCATCCCCATACCTCTCCCATATTCTACCCCTTCCACTCGAAAACTAACTCTTCGGTCTCGTCTGGTCTTCTGAGGGAAAGAGAAGGAAAGAAAACAGAGCAGAACCCTCTCCAAAACCTCTTCGGCCGCCCGTTCCGTCCTGACTCCGCTACTTTTTCTGTTCTCTCTCCGACCTGGTCTCTTTCTCCAGTCCTCCAATATTCTTATATCGCTACATTCGAGACTGTTTTTCTTGCGAACCGAGGAACTGGTTTTCCATTTGTCGAACGAGAACGATCCGGCCTGACGTTGCTGTGCATTGCCGAAATTTTCGTCTTTTATTTTTAGTCCTCAGACATCATACAGATCCCGGATTCTGTCTCTGTTCGAATTCGTCATCCGGGGCATCACAGGGATTCATTTCCGGCAATCTCTGTTTCCGTACGGCAAATCCTCTTGCTCTTTTGCTGCTTATTCCCTTATTTAGTTTTTCCTTTATTTTTTATCTTTCGCTTCGTCTCAATCATTGAGTTAACTTTCTCCTCTCGTCCGTTTTGTCTGCGCAGGTTTTCCTCGTTTGATACGAAAAATCGCAAGCGACTCTTTTCGACGCAGCTTCCTATCTATTGTTGAAGATTTTCTTCCAGACGCAGAATAGAAAGGAGGGGGGAAAAAAATCCTAGACCTTCGATCCGAGACATTTTCCCAGGTGGCGTCGAACGGGCCACCATCAGGTCTTTTTTTTCTACTTTTTTTTATTTTTATTTTTTTATATTTTTTTACATAAACAACCAACCGTCTCGGCCACCAATCGCTCGAATCACCTCTCAAAAACACCTCCCCACCCCTCTAGAAATCCCATCGGACGGCCAGTTGTGTAGTAGAAAGTTTGTAGAGAAAAAGTCGTCGAAGAGTAATGGCCACAATAAAGGGGCAGGCGAAGTCCGAGCCTGCGACACCCATCATCCGCGAGGACCCAGGCCTGATAGATCAACTTACTCCAACCCAGCCGACCTTTCAATCCCTCTCGTATACAAAAGTCAGAGACTTCGCATACCCTCCCTCACATCCACTCCATTATGGACCACCGCCTATCCCTAGCATCGGCTCTACCCCCGGTTCGGCCCGCGACTCTGGCCTTTTCTCTGGCGCAAACGGTATTAGCGCTTTCCTAGGATGGTGGAATCCGGCTCCTGGCGCTGCATCACCTGGCGGAAGGAGGATGAGTGATTCGGCTGCTATCAATCGGGATCCGCGGGGTAGCACGAACCACCCGCCGCCACTCAAATTCGCTGACGGCCCGCCTTGGTTCGAAGATGAAGATCTTGTTAGTCCTGTAGTTATCACACAAAAACACCGAAAGCACAAGTCCTCGCTGGGGTTACCGTCAGGTCGCACACTAAGTAAAGACGCTAAAATGTCGTCGATAACAGAAAATATGAAGGACGGGGAGTATGGAAATGGAATAGAAATACCTGAAGATATCGGTGAGCCGGGAGGAACATTCCATACTGCAACAGGAGAATATTATGAAGATGGGGAAGAAGGGGAGGAGGAATATGAAGGCGAAGAAGATGAAGAATATGGTGATGAATCAAGATATTCGAGGGATTACCACTTTAGTATCGCGGATCCCGACGAAGAAATGCATGGGAAAGCAGTTGCATTATTCGATTTCAGAAGAGAAAACGACAACGAGCTAGAATTAGTGGAAGGGCAGGTTATTTGGGTCAGCTACCGCCATGGTCAAGGTTGGCTGGTCGCTGAAGATCCTAGGACAGGTATAGACCAATCAATCACTTATATCTCAGCGAATTATAAAATTCTGACAAAACAAACCATACAACAGGCGAATCTGGTTTAGTACCCGAAGAATACGTTCGCCTATTTAAAGAAACACCGTTCGAAAGCTCACCCGACGAATTCCAGCCACAAGAAGCCGCCACTGCTGCCGCGGCTGCTGCTGAGCCTCAATCCGCAAAACCCAAAGACTCGCCCACACATACCCAAGCCATCCAATCACACTTCTCAACCTCGTCGAAAGACTTGGAACGTTATCCAACAGAACAACTTCTCGATTCTTCATACCGCCTAGGTTCTCCACCTCCTACCTCCCGCCTTGGCAATGATCGCAAAGACTCCACGAGATCAAATGATTCTATGGATATAGATCTAATCTCTCCCATGACAGTAGCCCCCAATAATGCCTCCACCATCGATCGCGAATTGTTCGCAATCCAACAGAGAAAATTAGAAAGTGGGAAAGTTTTAAACGGGAAGGATAAATCCGAACAAGAAGAGTACCAAATATTACATCATAAGTCGCCGTCAATGTCCGGGAAAGCTTCGCCGGCAGTTTCGAAGGATAGAGATGGTGATGCGGCCATGAATTTGACGGGGACACCGCCGACGCCTACAAGTAAGTTACCGGGGGTTACGACATCGACAACGGGAGAAGATAACAGGGGGAGACCGGTTGAGGCGCGGTAGTATGGATAGGATTTATTGGTGCTTGGATTTTAAGGGTCTTATGTGGAATCTTTTGTATCGATATCTTTGCCGAATTGGAAGCTTGAAAAAGATAATCTTGATGGTTCATGGCCTTTATAAGGATGGTATCGACTGCCATGCATGGTGTCTGGTGTCTTTTTTTCTCTCTTTACCTTTCGGAAGAAATGATAACTACCAACCTTGTGAATCATAAACGGAAAGGGAAAAAAGGAGAGAAGATTCCCGAATGTGTTTTTTTAAAATTATTTTTCGGTAACTACCTTGAAATCGATAACAAAGGGAAATAACGGCGGGGGTAAAATCGGTAACGAAACAAAGAAATGGGAGTGAAGAGATTCAGGAGAAACGAAAAAAAGAAGCGATACGACCGTCATGAGCGAATCATAGCCTTTTTTTTATTACTTCCACTGGTATCGTCTATTCACCAATGCATGGTCCAGCCTCCGGGCTATGCTTACTTAACTTATTTACTTAACTACCCTTATTACTTATTTATTACTTATGAGACGAATTTATTAAACATGGAGCATATATATACATACTGGTATTAGTATCTTTTGTTTGGAGCTGAATCTTGTTTTTTCAGGGACCGGTATGGAATTTAATTTATTTTGATTCGGTTGTTAATTTTTCGACATTGGAGTCATTAGGTACTTCCGATTTTACTTTCTCTTCACTTGCAGCTAGACCAGCGTAACTGGCTTTTTACTTTTACTTTTACTATACTTTATCCCTTTTTTTCATTGGCATTTTCTTTCTCCCTTCATGGCAGGCTAGTGCTTCTCCTTTGTTCTCTTTTTTATAAAAGAAGCTTTAAATTTTGGCTCTTTTTGTTAACCGGAATAACGGCACTGTTCTGAGATTGTCAAAAAGCCCATTCAAGACATTCTTTGTCCATTTCCGACACATTTCTTATACCCGATGGTTTTTTGGTTAAAGATATCTTCTTCTACTTCTTCTACTTCTTCTTCTTCTTCTGTACATGTATATTGAATTACAAAAGACTGGATACCACCAACCACTCTCGCTATCATTATTATCATTATTATAATACCATACGCCAGGAATTATCCTTGTAGACTAAAAGAAATAGCACGGCGCTATATCGTCTGAGTGGTTATGAATCAACCGATTTAATCAGAACTATGAGATGAAAATATGATTTTTCTTTTATATTGTGGGCATATATCCGTTTAGATGTAAAAGTTCCGATCTTTCGACGGTTGGAATTGATATGCTGTTTTCATAAGAATGAATAATAATAAAAGGGTTGGGATAGTTATAATTGTATACAAATACTCTTCTTTTATAGCTATGTATATTCTACCTATTCATACAGAGATAGCAACGAAGCTGAGTGGGGTATGAGCTCTTAGATTTGTGAGGAACAAGAAAAAATAGGGGTGGGGGGTTTGCAGTATATCAATTGACTAGAGAGAAGGATTGGGAAGAAGGAGAAGAAGAAGAAGAAGAAGGGGAGGGGGGCAAGGGGAGGGGCAGGAACGACTTCGTCCAAGGATTCTGTGAGAATTGAGAGAAGGATCCTAGATCTTAGAGCTCAATTAAAGAAGAAAGCATAAGGGTAGGAATGATAAGTAACGAAACTAGTGGAAATATCAAGAACAAAATAAAAAAAATTTTCAAAAAAGAAATAGGAGCAGAAAGGTGGAACAGGAAAAAATAGTATACGAGGCGGAAGAATAAAAGAAGGAAAAAAAAAAGCAATATGTGATAATAAATGTATGATGATATGAACAAAAGGGTGTACGGGTTCTGATGAAGCTCTGGCCCGGCGAAGGTATGGATATTTCTAATCTATAGTCACGGGACAATTGATGCACGAATTGCTGAGGTTTTATGCCTGCACCCCTGTCTTCTCGTAGCCCTGGCGTGTTCTCTAGATATTAATTTCGAACTTTCATGTATGCGCGTATCGTGATTTGGATGAAAGACAATATAGGCGTCGACCAGTATATACGTGTGTATGTTGTCTGAGTTAAAACTTCACTTGAATAGGTTATCCCCGTGACCATGGTATCTAAATACGGAGATGATCTCTCGGTAGATAGAAATGAGCTAAACTGTGAATGTATATACAGGGAAGAAGAAAAACTCGGAGGTATCCGAAGAAAAAAAGAAAGAAAGAAAGAAAGAAAGAAAGAACGGTGTGCTACGACCGGAGCTATCTAGAAAGAGAAAATTTCAGAACGAATAAGAACAGGGAATCTCTGGTCTCGTGGGCTAAATTTCACTGAGATGTATTGAGCTGAATCTTGAAGGCCGGAGGAAAGGTCGGAGGGGTATCGGATGTAAATAAACTGGCTAACTAGTTCGGTACATGCGCAATGTGTCTAGGGGCCCAGGGCGGAAGCTATGAATATGCATCAATGTGATATCTAAGTGTATTATAGCACTGATAAGTTATAACGTAATGTAAAATTCCGTAGCTAAGTAGCTCCGAACTATATATCTAACTGGGCCTAGTTAGTCTGCTTGGCATACTAGCTAAGTAGGCTCTACTCGTTGAATAATACCCTGACAAGGGTCCGGGTGCCGGGTGTTGCCCTTGTAATGTTGTATTTTGTAACTGGCGAGATGGAGATAATTTGGTTGGTCTCGTTGCATTTATAAGTCTACGTTCAGCCTCATTGACGAGGCAGGAGGTTCAAATTCTGCACGCATGCGCCTGCAACCGTTAGGGCAGTGTTTGGTACGGTCTGCTACTATGCTCTAGTTAGCATACATGCGCATGGCATATGTATTTGTTTGAGAGCTGGCCGTTAAGCTATTTGTCAGGGCTGTTGGCTGTAATTGCTCACATCTTCTATTCGAAGTTTGCGGATTTGGTAATTATAAAGCTAGCGTTATAGCTTCGGGGTTGAAACGAGCATGCATTAGAGTCCCTGGCCAACCCGAGCGTTTGGTCCAGCTCATACGGTCCCGTACTGTGGTCTGCAGGAACGGCCCTCCTCATAGATATTTGAGCCCTGGCTTAGGCATAGTTGAAAACGCCATGGCTTTAGATTTTAAAAGATGCTTGATCAAATCATATGTGATTATATCTCTTCGCTAGGAACATCGAGTGGGGCATTGTATGAAAAATTAATACCGCAAACCTACAGATTTTTCTTCTTCTCAAAACAGACCTAAATATCGCCATGGTGCATGCATCATGACTGAGTTTTCAAAGGAATTAGGCCAGTTCTGTAACTGGGAAAATCAAAATCGTGAATATACCCTTTTCGATCAATTACGAGCTGTCATGCTTACTGGACTATCTTTTCGTCCGCATCAAAAAAACTATAAAATACCGCAAAAGCTAGGCTGCAATTTAGGATATCGATGGCAACGTAGAAATTAACTTAGATTCAAAGTACTTATTGACAAAGAGTCGCCTCGCTTGATATATTTTTTTTTTCCCTGAAAATTTTGGACAAACAAAACTTTGACATGCTAATCCGGACGCACCCTGCAATTGCTTGGCTGGACGCCCGGCAAAATTGAAGTTTAGGCCCCAAACGAAGGCGTCGAACGCTCAGAAGAGGCCTGATACAGTGGCGTCTAGGCTCCCAAGGTTACTTTCCTCCATTTCTTGTCGGCGACAGACTCTCTTCTGCTCAACCCATCTCGCGGCGACTCTGAACTTTATTATACCATTTTCCCAAGTACTTAGCAGGGAGCGAAGCCTTATTGGAAGCTCGAACCAGCCTCTACCACACCACCAAGCCGCTTGCCAAATAAATGCTAGCATAACTCTTGGGTTGGGGGTGAAGTTAGGGCAGCCCGCATGCCAAAGGCGTAGATCCCGAATGATGATACTCCCTTTAGGCACGACCACCCGAACTGGGGGACAGACGGCTTTGCGGAGCTGTAACAGCTCTGGGATGATTGCTCTCACGGGCAACTCTCCGGATTGCCCAGGTTCCAAAATCTGGTCTTCAAAAGTAGTCGAGTGGGTGCCGGGCCACACTTCAAGTGCTCCGTTCTCGATAGTCATGTCGACGAGCGGTATGTTAACGACCATGGAGAAGGGAAAATTTGGATGTGGAAAGTCTATATCCGAATGAACTGGCTGGCGGGCATTTGAGGGAGTTTGAAGGGCTGTGTTACCGCTGGCATATTGCAACACAGGCTCCGGACCAAGCATAGTTGCGAGTGTTGGCATCACAAACTGATTCGCCCAGACGTCGGGGAACATTAGATCATCGTCTGAGGGGGGGGCCTGGTTGATATTACCCGTTTCGACACCGAAATTGAAGTGCCTACCGGGCGTATTGGCTAGCTCTTTCGCTTGGGGCGCAAGGATGGCGTTCAATGCATCAAGATGTTCTACATCAATTGCATTTTCGAGTACAATTACACCAGATGCGTGGAGGTATTTGATAGAACTAGCGAGTAGTTCTTGAGGGTATATGCCTGCCTTACGATACTTCTCAGGAATAGAAAAGATAGGGATACCCGTTTCAAGGATTGGCTCCATAGCTCGTTTGCGAATGGGAGGGCTTGATAGGTATGAGAAAGATCGCTCAGAAGAAATGATTTTCAGATATTCTCAAACGTAGTTAGACCGACAAGCCGAAGTACAGGCTAATTTAAGAAATTACTGCTTAGGACTTGATCAATAGCGTACGATATATCTATGAGTTCCATTACTATATAACTCTTATAACTGTCGACATTGGGAGATAAGGCTATATTTATGTATGACTGCCCCCAATCTTTGCAGGGCTTCATGAATCGCTGTTAGCACCATGTATTTACCTGTTTTAGGTGATTTTAATGCTAATGGCTGCATCCTATGCGGTGCGAATTTACCAAGAATTTGACTATTTGATTGATTTTTCCCATGCCTTGTTTTCAGGGCGGGGCTTCCTGTGCGTTTTGTCGAAAATTCGCTGGACCTTAAACCAGGTTTAGATATCCAGAGAGGATCGATATATCAGAATAACCACCTAGGCATATGGTTGGTATGACAATTGTACAATACGATGAGACATTTAGGAACTACCGAGGGCTGCATTACGAGATATTCCTGTCTGTGCACGAAATGTCCATGAAAAACTGCCAGATAGATGGTTTCTCGATATCTGTTCATAAGGGGCAGTCTCGTATTGGAGGCACAGTTTACACTGGTACCTTAGCATGTGGGGCTCAGTATTCTAGTTCCAAGACGGGTACTGTGGTCATGAGACTGGATGGCATTAACGTGGCAATATTATAAAATGGTGACCGGCCTCATGACGCCGACTACAACGTTATTCCTGTCCAGGATCACGGTACAGTCAAAGCCCCATATGGCCACACACAACATAGCACCTTTCTCTCAATTGTTCCATAATTGATTCTCTATTACATTGTTTGAATATATCACAAGTTGAGCATCATAACTATCAAAACTACAAGATGTCGAATCCTATTGGAGTACAAGCAGATATCACTAACATCCCCGGTGCGCTGACTGCATTGACTTCCATAACACCACTCGTTCGCGCTCTCTCTGCCGACGGTGTCAATCCTCTGTCAGTCGTCCAACTTGAGGAGATTGGTTCCAGATTTCCCATGAGTGGGCCACTGGCGGAAAGAACTATGGACGCTCTCACGAGGAGGGGGTCAGCCTTGACGCTTTGGAGGGCCCGGGTGTCCGTCGGTTGGATGAGGGGAAATACTCTTTGGGCATTATCGCAGACGGCTGGGGGTCAAGCTTCAGCACTCTTGATAGTCTGCCTTTTCGAGCTGTGCCGTAGTAATATGACCGGCCATATCCTATTCAAACTCTCCGACGCCATTCTGCCCCGAGACCGTCGTCTCTCGAGTATGAGTCAACTCTCGGATCTTGCAGAGATTGTATCAAGTAAAATGCAAGCCGTACGCTTTGGACAGCATTTCGCAGAGCAGGTGACTCGGATTCGAATGACATACTTTAATTCGAATGTCAATGTCCCTTGTCCAGATATGGCTTCTCTTTTGGACAGAATAGAGGTCGACTCTCTAGTGGATATTTTAAGCAAAGCTCAGACTGCGCTACAGGATGAGATGACAACTCTCCGCATAGAAGGGTTTGTGGGAATTGCATATCTTGCTGCCCTCTTTACTGGCCTTTGTCAAGATGACGTCCTCCTACTAGTCGAGAATGAAGTCATATTCCAGGGGCTAAGACGCTCAATTATCATCTCGGTGGTTCATGGGAAGAAGATTTTGGAAACCTCGCTAGAAATTTCCTTTAATTTGTGTAAGCAGATTGTTCAGTTGAGGCATGGTGATTTTTTAGGTCGTCTAGGGGCAATGTCAGGATTTGATCGCTTAAGCTTCTCAACTATGGAAACGGGGAAAAAAAGGTGTCTCGGAGCCATGGTCATCCTTCCCTTGTCACAGCAGGTAACACAGAATGACGAAAGGGAGCCTAGTCTCTATTTGTCTGGGAAATCTCTTCATGGCTATCATTCTCACTTTTATGGCGCCCGATTTCCCTGGGAATTTCTGCAGGAGCCGAATACTACGTCCGAGAGCAACCTGGATTGCTCTTTGGGGTCGATCTAGACCTCAGCTGCTTGGATGTGGTTTCTTCGTACATGCCAAAAAATCATGGGCTAGTGTAGTCTCAGAGATTCTTCAGGGTAGTGGTTGCAGTACCTGCTCAGAATACCTAGATTCACTCCATTGGGACGATTTGCATGTTACAAAGGGCGAGTACCGGTACCGTGCTTGTAATACTTGGGAGGACTATAACCTATCATTAGGCGCGCAACCTTGTTGGATTTTGTTGGCATCAAATGCGATTCAATCAGACTGTTCTAGAGCTCTGATAAGATCAAAGAGGGCGTTTCTTCTGCAGTCGCTTAGTGGAAAAATTATATACGACAGTCTACCGCAGATGAACAACTCACCTCTATATCTACGGACGCTGACACTTATTCTAATTCTATCAGTGACCTACATGCTGACTTCTATGAAATTTTTGGCTCTAAACAAATGCTAGTGAAGGATTTACGACTGTCGATATATCACTGCGAACAATGGGACCAACTACTATATTTTCGGGCCTCCGGCGCTGAAGCTTAATAATGCAACCTCCAACGAAACCAAAACAATACATGAGATATGTTCTCGTATACGGCCAATGTGATATCTCATTATCAACGGAATTCGGAAGAAGATGCAAATAATACGGAACTATTTTCGAAGACTCTAAGACACCGCCCCGCCTCAGAAGACGAAATTCACTCCACCCGAAAGGAAAAGTCAGCCTATCAAATACCGGAGCGTGTTCTAGCCTTACTACGATAACAAGGGTGTACCGTAGCACATTTACATTACGAACAACCGTTCGAATTGGGGGCAGGGCTATCGATCTTAGTTAATTTCTACGCATTGCAGATGGCATACGTAACGTCAGTACATCGGTTGCTCCAGGATGTATATAGAGGCTGGTGATCAGCGAGATTCATCCCCGGCCCCACTTTATGACTACGACAGCATTGCTGTAATTGGCATTTTGTATTGATGTTTTACATATTAAAAGAAAGGGGCTGTCTGTCACTTTGGTACATGGAAACAGCTGCAGCCCAGCCCAATTTTTCGTTCGCGGGTGTGTATGGTGCCGGTGTATATCCATTCACTGTTCCGAGGCAGCTCTTGATTGGACTGTGCCGCGTACGCGCATGAATAAAGCTCACGAGCTCACTTGGAAGTTATCAATTGTTGATCCAACGTTAAGCTGATTGCTCTCGAATTTAAAGGTTGAGTTTGTTTGAGCTAGGGAGTCTTCCATGAATAGATTTTTCTTTATTTGTTTATTTTAACTTTGTTTTCCTGCTTTTATGATCATCAACTATAAGTTCATACGTCTAGGATTGAGGATGTTGCTGTTAACCCTTGTAATATACAATTGCCGCGAGTTGTCATGTAGTTGCTTCGAGTTTTCAATTAAGTCCACGCTGCGTGTATGCAGTGTTCGGCTAATTAAACTTATGATTTGTTCAATGTCAAGGGCGTAGCTTAGTCCATCCCTGCGATCAAGGTTGCTGAGGCAGAGATCAAGCTACATATGCATATAATATAATGTACTTGGTAAAAAGTGCATGATCCTCCAAGAGATCCTTCTAGAGTTCCTTTTTTTCTTCCGCCCCCCTGCATGTATGCACACGGGACCATTTGGAACTGGGAGGCACGCCTGCACCAGCAGCTCTTCCGCCAGTACGCCAATGTTACCTCAACTAGGGGTATAAGGCTTAAGTCTGTTACTCAACTGCTTGGTAGCCAGCGAATTGCCTACCTAGCTACTGAAATTCCTGCTAGTGAATTACTTGCTAGGATTGAACTTCTTACCGGCCGAGTTACCAGGCAATTTACTAACCAATTAGCAGGCACACAGCAAATACGCCGGCAGCTAGGCAGGAGGCATGCCTCGGAATGAACCGAGATGTTATAGTAGTAGCAAATAGGATGATAGTACTACAGCTTCGAGTGAAGATTTGGGGGGGGGGGGCAGTTTTGCCGATTCTACCCAAGTCTGTGTGACATGCACATCGGATAAGTTTTCTTGATTTTAATCTGCCCAGCAGTCTGAGCCTGGCCTCGGAGGACCCCTTCGACATGCACGTGTGCGCATGAACAAGCTCAGCATGTAGCGGCTTTCAACGTTAACAAATAACCATGTATACGAATACGAGAAGCAAATGTCACAAGTCTAAACCCCGAGGCTGAAACTCAACTTGATACTGCAACTCGCTCTGTATCTTATTGGTGTATGCATGTATGGTCTGGAGGCAAGTTGGTGTATAGCATTTTCTGAAATTATGCACGTTTCAGGGAGCTGGGATAGGCCCAGTCCACGAACTCGAGCCAAGATGCGTATAGGAATGCAGCAATTATAGATATCCTTTCGAGTCCTGCACCTAGTCTCGAGGCTAGATATCGATAACCTACTGGCTTATTGGGTCCCCATACGTATATAAATTACTCCTATACATTCCGTGGCGGACAGCTCCAGGTTCGGGCTACATAGGTAACCTCTCAGCTACTAGTAGAACATCGCAAATGCGGTACTAAAGGCTGCAGGTGGATGGGACTGGTGATCGTGAGCTGTCAATATTGCGGAAAGTTCGGCTACCAAATTTGGTTACAACTGATCATTATGACCGTATGGGTTTATTTTTGACATCTGTACTGACTTGGCTAGCCGCTTAGTGGCCCAGGAATTCAGGAAATAGGCATTCTATTGGGTATATGCTCCGCCTCGAGCACCTGGATTCGAGGCTAGGGTATGTGGAGCACAAGACACGTCCAACTTAACCTAGCCCCCCTCCGGGCGTTCCGACATGAGCTTGGAGCTGTACTTCTCTGGCATACCGACATCGACAGCTACTATGAATGGACAAAGAGGGGTGGAAAGAGAACCTTTCTGTCCCTTTACATTATATTATAATATTACACACACCGTGAGTTCAAAAAGGGCGTCAAAAACCTATAAGTAGTTCACAAATTGCCCCAAGTGTATAGTCTCATTTAAACTTAGAGCTTCAAATATATCGATATATCGATAGTTAACGCACTCTAGACAGAAACTACAAAACCATTACTTGAGACTTAGTTTTCTATAAGATCTCCTCGCTTTTGCCGTTAAATACTTATTATTTTATCTACACTCTGTTTGAAGGACTATCTACAGTATATATCATTATATCTCGTTCAAAAAACTGTTTTCAAAGAATTAAGATGAACAACGCGTTCACCACCAATATCAATGATGTCGAGGAACGATGTGCGGCCGGCTACTATGACTATATCATTATTGGTAGCGGGATGGGGGGTGGTACCCTCGCACGATGCCTTATAGGCGGCGATTCTGGTAAAGAGCATACAGAATCGCCTCGGGTTCTCGTTATAGAACGCGGCAGTCTCCAATTCTCTACCCATTGCATGAATACCCCGACTCCTGGCTGGTACAGAAAGGAAGGACCCTCTATGAGTACGGACGTTGTTTTCCAGTCTATAAAGTCTCCGATCAAAACCGTTACCTCAAATTCGGTTCCGTACGTAGGAGGGCCAGTTCATTGCCTTGGAGGGCGAAGTAATGTTTGGGGAATGTATGCTCCGCCGTTAGATGCGATCAGTATCCAGCGATATCTTGGCGATGATATTAAGAGATATCTATTCGATGAAGATGGTTACAAAAGAGCCTATAAAATCCTTTCCAACGGAGGCTCGCTGGAAGCGCCCTATCCAATTTCCCCCGGCCTCGTACATATCATGGGAGAGCGAGTCGATAGGATTCTTGAAGCCTTCAATAGCATCTACCAGTGGCCCCAAAACACTGGAGACCCTTACTGGTTGGGAAGATTTACACTTTGCCCGATGGGAACAGAATTTTTTCCAGAGCACCCGCAGAAAAGTCTCTACCAGGCCGCCTTAGGAGGATACTCGGCTGTCACCTGGATGTTGGAGCGCTGCTATGATAGTAGCCAGGCTCTTACAATATTACTGAATACCCAGGTAATGACTGTAAACTACGAAGGCGAGCAAATCACTAGCTTCACAGTTCTTGACCCAGAAAGGAAATACGACCAGCTCCGTACTATTCCTACAGGCGGGGCGACAGTTGTATTAAGTTGTGGGACTATTGACACAGCCGCTCTCGCTTTAAGGAGTAGGCTCAATAAGATACCAGACGGTCTATCTAAATTGTCTCCAAAGCTTGGGTGGTCGCCGAATGAAATTGGCGTCGGCCTGACTGACCATGATATCTGGGGGGTTAGGTTTGACTTGGGTCGGAGGGCTGACGCAGTGACAAATGCCCTTCATGGCCAAGCGCTCCGTATACAAGCGTGGGCGACTTTGTTTCCAGACGATGAGAGGAGAGATATACCTTATCTAATAGACCCACAGCCGCTGAGTGAAAGTGGCCACCGGGATCGGGAGCATCTACGACTGGAGCTACCACAGGCCTCAGCCAACCCTTCGGACCGAGCAGCACAGTGCCTCATCAATATAACTATTAATGCCACGTCATTTCTTGGCTCTTCCTTATACCATGAATCTTCTAAAGTATATCTTGACGAAAACCAAAACATCATCTCGGAAAAAGCTTTCAATCAAAATTATGATGAAAGTAGAAAATCCAGCCTTCAGGTGGTCTTTGAGTTCGATAGCCAATTGCAGGACGATAACAAAGTCTTAAACCTTCCGAGGTCAGCCCCAACAATCGAAATTCCATCTCGCGAGGACAAGAGACCCTACCTTGCTAGTATGCGTAGGTTTGCCTTCAAGGCCGCATTACTTTGTGGTCAGCCAACGCTTCTAACTCATACCTCTGAATGCCTATGCGAACATTGTTGCGGGAGTAGCCCCGAGCTAAAGACTCTGCGGGATGAATTGCGCAGACACGATATATTAACGGCCGCGAGTAAAGGCGCCCCGCTGGTTCCGGATACGTTGGACCCTCAAGAAAAAGTGGAACAAAACTCGTCCATAAATTACAGAAAGCCTGAACCAGAAACAGTTACACCATATCAACCGGAATTCGAAGACTTAAAAGCCCATACACATAACAAGAGATATGAATCCGACTTGCCCTCGGGCCCTGAGGAATGCTACTTGTGTAAAAATGATTATAAATGCGTTTCAAATTCTATCGATGGATTCAACTCCTCAAATTCTGAGCCTATGTTGGCCTGGGCTCGACTAGATACTGAAATTAAATCTCGCGGTATCAATGTGGAGAGGGCACCCTTTGGAGTTGTAGCACATGAAGTGGGGACCATGCGAATGGAGACACCTATACATACTAGGGTGGAGCTAGGGACAGCTAAGATTATAGGAGAGGATCTTTTGGGATCTAGGAAAGCTGCAACAGAAGCAGTAGGGACCACTATCACAGCACCAGAAGAAGCAGCCTCGAACCTACGCGCGGAGGAGGAGAATTCATTCCATCCAACGCCTTGCAATTGCGCTGCGACTGGATCAGGGGGGTCTCGAGGGCTTTACGGTGTCGTGAATGACAACCTGAGGTTCAAGGGGCTGAATAATCTATATGTCTGCGACCTTTCTGTGTTTCCATGGAGCCCGGCAGCAAATCCATCTCTAACCCTAGTAGCTTTGGCACAGCGTCTTGCTGATCGGTTGGAGTGCTTGAGAAAGGACAAAAATAAAGCAAAGGAGAAAGAGGAAAGAATAATTCAACATATTCAGGAACAAATTCGCGGCATGAATATTTCAAAGGACTGGCTTGTCGTTTAATGGTATGGGATTTATAATTTGCTGTCTGATTGGCGTCCTAAGTGGGAGATTATTCTGATTTTATATTCATATATATGGTAATGAATTCTAATCTACACGTTCCCGTCACTCGAAAGCTTGGAAATGCTTTTTCTTATAACCCTATTATTAGGATCTCATGCATCTACAATAGACATGATATCTAAGTTCTGTCTAACATAGACGGACACATCTGTAGAACTTATTAATTGATTCGATCATGAAGCCAGGCCAGGGTATATGCTTGTTATGTATAGACTCATACGTATTGAGAACTGGATAATAGACAGTTAATTAAGTTGTGAGTAAGCTAGTACTCTAGTGGATATGCGGAGATACTAAGCTTGGGCTTAATTTTTTTAAAGATTTTCGGTAACTACCTAGTACGTATAACATTGATCCGGGAATCGGTGTGCAAGCGTCTGGCTCCAAGGCTAGATCCGGGGTATTCAAATCTAAGACCATTTCTTTCAGAGTGTTAGACTAATACTTGATTCAACGGCACGAATCTGTATTCTGCCAATGAGTATACCTTAATCCCTTAGCTGTGAGCATTTTATATATACCCAGTTAAAAGCGCCTGTTAGTTATTGATATTGACCACATGCACATATAATCGTGGTTAGAAATAGAGAGTTTAATTGAATTTATTCGTATCCTCCCGCGAATTCGAATACTATCATTAAATTTACCACAAACCCGGGTAAACTAATCTAGTCGACGAACTCCTGAAATAGTTGAGGCAGTAATCCACGCCCAAACTTTCTTATTGGGTTTGAAGAATTCCCACATGTAATCCAACCTCAAGTTTCTCGAAGACAGAAATTCAGAGGAGAGTAGCACAATAGTTAAGAAATCATCAAGAGCCAATCCCAATCCCAAAACTGAAAACTGATGCTCTTGCATAGAATCTCTATTTCCTTATTCCTTCAGAAATTCATACTTATCGGTAATCGTCCTTGCAAGCCCTTTAAAAGCCATATTCCTGTCAACAGGTTTCCCAATCCCAGACTTATGTGCAAGTCCCTTGATCGGACTCCTCAAGCCTCTCCCTTTAACTGGGCTTTTCGGCGTCCTGGTAATATGCTTAACTGGGCTTCTCGAAGCTTTTGCATAGGATCCACCTAGACCCCTCGGTTTACCAGGGCTTCCTGAGACTCCTTTAGATTGTAGTTGTACCGTATCTTCCTCTAGAATGGCTTCAACTCCAAGTTTCACCGCCCCAATTCTTCTCCCTAATCTTGATAAAGATCGCGACCTACTCCTTGTTCTTGGATAAGTATCTTCGGGTAAGAATATTTTATCCACACCCTCATCACTAGCATCGCCATTTTCTGAATCGTTATTGTGTTTGTTCTCAGCTTGAGCGTTGTAAATTTCCCCCATTATCTCATCAATGGCATGTAGCTCTCCCAAAGACCATTTTTCGCCTTGCATTCCCTTATATTCTGATGTACTATGAGCTGGAGCTCGGCGCGGAAAGGCTACCCTACCTCGCGGTTCGACTTGAACGGGAGGCTGAATTGTGCAAGCAGTTGAATTGTCCATATCTAGCTCCGGCATCTTCAATTCCGTCTGATCTTCTATAAAAACCGCTGGCTCTTCTTGATCCCTTTCAAGATACGACGGCGGTGTTACGATACCGCTTCTGCTCTCCGGCGAGGGCCCCCCAGATCGATACAGCGCAGGAACTCGAAGTCCTGTCTTCTCATCTTCGTCCGATTCGTCTCCAAATGTATCCATGAAATCTTCATCATGTTTTTCATCCATATCATATCCAAATTCTTCACGGAATGCCTGGATGTTTCTTCGAAACTGAGACCATGGGTCTTGAGTATTCTCGATATCATGCTCTGCTGGCTCGATCGCATTTCTAACTCCCTCGATGCTGTCGCGATCGATTATAGTTGCCCATGGATATCTCAAAGGTTTCCCGGTCGCCAAATGCGAACCGAGGGCCCATTTCCATTCTCTAGCGTCAACAAGGTCCGCCGCTACATCTTGATAAATCATATTTGAAATCTTCTCGTGGTTGGGAAGGGCGTTGGTATTAATTTCAGATGTGATATCTCCGTTGGGTAGCTTAGACAATTCCGCATTCTCGGCGCAATTAGTAAAAGTCCGCTCAACGCCACTACACCATCCTCCTTTGAGCTTCGCATCCCGAAATCGGTGATCCAGCGTCCGATGATAATCAGAATCAATATCCCGTCCTCTTCTGTTCTCGTCCGTATTTGAAAACCGTTCCGAGGATTCAGCTGGGGAACCAACGAGTGGGCGGGATCCTGGTAATATAGCTTGTCGGTTTGTTAATGGCTCTAGAGCTAGGGCAGTCGGAAATTCTTCAAGATCTTCATCTTCTTTACGGACCCGCTTCCTTTGTCTATGGGTTCGTCTTGGCTCTGGCTGCTTCGTGTCCGCCATATCATCCAGAAATTTTGATGGCAATGCGCCCAAAACCGCCTCTCTTGTAATTACCATTTCGGACGAAGCAGCAAAAGGCTTATTTTCCAAAGAATGGGGGTACAGAGCACAGTCGATTGAATCTGATCCGACCACTGCCGTATTTTGATCCTCTGCTCTGGGCGCTCCTTTTGACCGTAGTCGCCTTTCTGCCATTCCTTCAATCATGTCGTTCCTACACTTCCTCGATTTACAAAAATCAATTCGAACTCCGTAATCTTTGGCTTTCTGTAACATTTCCAAAATTTCTTTCCACACTCCTCGTTTCTTACATCGTGAGGTTACGGCTTCATCGTCCCAACCCTCAAGTTTCTCAAGGACTTCGACATAGTTCACACTGATGGAAGCGAATGCGACGGGATATCCGTGTTTTGTCTTCGCCCTTTCGATGACTGCGATAGCTCTCTTGACACCATTTACCGCCGTTGTGGCCAGCTCCCTTTTTCCAGTCCCTCCCTCTTTCCATGCTTCATTGTATATTGACCCAGGTCCACAATATATTGCTCCCACAGCTTTTTTGTCCATCTTCCCTGTGTAGACTTCAATAACAATACCAATCTCTCTAGTTCCTTCAAGATTTTCGATCCAATTAAAATTTGGTAGCTTGTTCACAAGTCCAAGGGAAACCAAAGACGACTGTAGACTATTCACCGTGCCAGTAGACAAGACTCCATCCACATCATTTAAATCGACGTGGAAGTATCTAATAATATCCATTATTTGGGCTTTCGTCAGTGCCCGGGTTATATCTTCGACTACTAGTACTGGTAAAAGATATGGTGTAGAAGAGACGGCTACTGGTAGAATGGCATATTGATTCTCAGGTTGGGAGGTGTCCGGGATTAGTGAATCCGAGGGTATTCGAATAATCTGAGATCCAATCCATGGGAGTGGTTTGTCCAATACGTAGTTGCTAAGAAAACTTTTCGTGAAGATAGATATCCTAAGGTCCGGGTGGGCGAGAAGTTTGGGTTGCTGGTCGGAACTTAAAGGGAAGTGAATTCTGTAAGATAAGTTAGTTTAATTGAACGAGAGGTTTCTTCGCCTTCCAGGAGGGAAAGTCATCTTACTTGTGGGGCTGTAGGAAATGTGGGATTTCACGTCCCGGGAAGGCGAATGCGGGTAAACTTTTAGTGCGTTTCATGACTCCAAAAATTCAATATTCTGATTCCGACAAGAATTGTCCTGAATGATGACGAAAAAAATTAGATAATGAGGTCAAGGAGTTTAAAGAGATGCCGAGTTCATTAAATAACAAGTAATATAGCAAATAAACATCAATAATTCTTATTTATGATAGAGAATATCATAAGGCGTTACATGAATCATCATATGATTCTCAATGCACTGTAGATCTGTAGCTCCGAAAATTGATTTATAAAAATTCTAAACTTGAATCTTATGCTCTAATATAATAGGTGTATCGCGAAATCGAAGAATTTGTATAATTACTTATGCATATATGGTCCGTATGTACGTATACATATGTATTATATAGGTAGGTAGCTAGAGGGCATTATGTGTCTAGAGAGAAAATTCTTTAAACTTCAGTTAAGATCTGGAAAATAGAAAACGGATCACATCTCCGTCCTAAGGTGGTGGAGATCTCAAAGAGTATATAAAATGCTACATCTCAGCTGATAATTATGGTCCTTCGCCATATATAATCTTATGTTCAAATTCTAGGGAAAACTCCGGTTACCCTTAAATTTTATTTTATTTTAGAATTTTCCTATATTTTAGTGCAAGGGCGATATAGTCGCTCTGCACCCGCACAGTTCCTGGGTACCTACAATATAGACTTGTAGAATATCGTCTAAATCAAAAGTGCCCTTGCCAGGCTGTCTGTCTCACTCTGCCCTCGAAAAGTCCAAACTCTTCGTACTTCCTCCGAAGTTTTAAAAAGTTATCTACAGCCCAATCAAAATCAGATCCGGAGGCTCCAGAATATATCGGCCGCCCAAAACCTTCCCTCGACTGCATGCCATTAGAAATCCTGCTAGAAATAGCATTCTATCTTCCAGATGCTCGTACTGCCGTTCAACTTAGTTGCGTCAGTTCATCGCTGTACTGGAAAATAGCAGGATCCCAATATTTTTGGTACAGGTTTGGAAATCAAGTATTAAAGAAATTCCAGAAGTTCAGTCAGACGTATAATTACCACGGTTATATTGTCAACGTTATGTCGGGAGGGATAAAGAGTACTTGTCAGATCTGTTTAACCCCGAAGCGTGGAATTGTTAGGAAGGGAATAGGGAAAGTGGTGTGCATGATTTGCCTTGATGAAAATATCGTCCGTGAGTCTAAGTCTTAAGGTCTTCCGTCCCCTTAAACCCGGTTATTCACTGCTGACTGTCGTGCTATGAAACAAATAGGTGCCGATGTCGTTCAACAAATCTCAAATATGGACCTAACAAACTTACAAGAATTCGAAGCAATATTTTATCTAGATGGAGAACCGAATACTAGGATAAATAGATTACAATGGCATAAACGCTCCTGCTATTGGCTTCCAGCGGTTAAGAGGGAAACAACAAAGGCATATGGCCTCCCATGGGGAGAGGTAATGGCAATGCACCAAGATGTAAGGCCGCTCACCTCGCCGAAACAGATCCGAGAGTATTATCATCAGGTCCACGAAAGGATTTTCGACGAGACTACAAGTAGATTTCGCCAAGAACTAGGGAGACTTTTCAGGGGAATACTCGAACCAGATGCTTTCCGTGGAATGCTAAGGCTTGAGCAGTCTGGAATAACAGCCGGATTATCTGTGCCAACTGAAGGCCAAAACGATCAAGCCGACGACGCATGGGTAGGTGCCACCGCCCTACACTTATATGTAGAATACTTCGGTACCCAGGTTTCTATATCCCAACCAGCACAAGTACGAATGTACAGGACAGGAAGGCTCTGGGGGTTAATTTCAGTGACTCTATTGAATCGGTTGACCTCCGGGGGGAAATACCGCGGGGGGTGTATATTTTGCCCTAACCAACCACACATACACTACGGGAACTACCTTGGGGCGACTGAGTTTTTAGAACATGTGGCGCACTATCACCCCGAAAAGGTTCTACATCTGAAGCACTCCTGGGATGTATGAATACCCCGTGGTTAAATTTCTACTAAGCCTCGCGAATTAGCTAATTAGAATTATCGAACATTTTACGAATCCAAGTATTGTTTTGTGCTTTATGATACAGCCCCGCCGTTTTCTCGTTTGAATTCTTCTTGAAAAAAATGTATCGGTCTATTTTGCAGTCCTGGCATATGACTCGATGCCAATAAAAGCAGTCTACCAGCTACGTAGGAAATCGGGAAGCTCTTATACCGATTTTGGAAGATATTGTTAAATTAACTTGGACAAATGTACATTTTTGCCTTTATTAAACCTTTCAGTTAAAACAATTATTTCCCTTGGCATTGTTATAGTAGCTATCAAAATTGATTAAAGTTAGGCCTTCGTGTGGACCATATCCATATGCATATACTTATGGAAGACCTTCAGTTTCTTAACCAAAATGAAGCGTGTGGTATTTTTATGTCACAACAATTCCTACAGCCTCTCAAGCCCCGCCTCGCTGCTGCTATACGCACACCTCGCTCGAGCTCTTCGCATTCACAATTTAAAACATCCTCTTTCACCATCGAAGATAGAAACTCTATCTCATTGACTCATGCTAAGTTACCTTATATCACCTTGGCTTGCGCTGAACGGTGTACATATTTCACGACTTGATCAAGCTCGACATTAAACGCGAACGCGAATCGTTAGCTCTTAGAACTCCAAGTTGCGAGTATTTCTTACACGGAAGAATCCCGCAATCCGCCCCAAAGGTTGCAAACCGTTCCGAGACATTTCGCAGCTTTGGAGGGATTGGCGAGAATGGTTAGGCTTCTCCCCAAACTATGAAACATGATGCTTTTCCTTCTCGCCTAGATTTATAAACCCCGACAAAACTCTTTCCGAGTTTAAGCATTCTCTACATAGAGCTGTAAATACCAATAGTATAGTTTAGTTCAGACACAAGACAGATAACAAACTGAAGAAAATAACATTTATCAGATATATCGATAGCCCACATATTTAGAAACAAGAATGCCTGACTAGATAGCAAAAAGGTAATATTACTTTACTCATTAGCGATCAGCGGGCTTCTTGTCCAAGCAAAGCGTCTCTTATACCTGGAACCATCTCTCCAATATCACCTGCTCCAATCGTTATCACAACTTCAGGGTCACTATCGATAAGCTCATGTATAACGTGAGACTTCGCTATCAGCCTTTTTCCCGGGCTCTCAATTTTCGAAAGCAACCACTCAGATGTAACCCCCTCTATCGGATGTTCCCTGGCCGGATATATATCCAACAAAAATATTTGATCAAACTTCGACAAGCTTTCCGCAAAGCCGTCAATGAAATCTTTCGTTCGGCTAAATAAATGCGGTTGGAAAACCGCGAGAATTCTTTTGCTGGGATATAATTCTCGAACTGCTTGATGAACCGCATCGATTTCAGTTGGATGGTGGGCATAGTCGTCTATGTAAACTAGGTTTTCGGTTTTTATCTGGTATGAAAAGCGACGTTTGATTCCCTTAAACGAGCATAGGGATCTCCGTAGCTGGTCTGCTGAAATTCCATGTGTCCACGCCATAGCCGATGCCATTAGTGCATTACTTAAGTTATGACGGCCTAGAAGCCCAAAGCGTAAATCAGGAATAATACAGTCCGGTGTTTGGATGCTGAATAGATATTCTCCGCTCGCGCTGTCGACCCTTATATCAAGAACCTTGAAGTCCGCGTCTTCTCCAACAGCAATCGCTTTCCCACAGAGCGGAAGACCTTTCGTCACAAATAATCGACTTTTATTTTCCACTTTCTCCGCAAATTCTTTGAAAGCAGTTTCAATAGAATCTTTATCTCCATAGATATCGAGATGATCTGCGTCCATGGAAGTAATACAAGCAACATCTGGATATAGTTGCAGAAACGACCGATCAAACTCATCAGCTTCGACGACAGTAACCTTAGCTCCACTCCCGATCAGATTCGAACCATAATTTTCAACAATCCCTCCGACAAAGGCCGTAACTTCCTCACCCGCTTCGAATAGTATGTGTCCCAAAATACTCGAAGTGGTGGTTTTTCCATGTGTTCCCGCGACAGCAAAGCAGTATGTATTCTTGGTAATGATTCCGAGTACTTCCGCCCGTTTTTTGATCACATAGGAGTTCCGCAAAAAGAAATTCCATTCGGTATGGGATTTTTGAATGGCTGGAGTGATGACGACTAAAGTATTTTCTTTTGTGAAATTCTTGGGGATATGATTGATGTTATCTTCGAAATGGATCGAAATGCCTTCGTTTTCAAGTTTCTGTGTTAATTGCGTTGGTGATTTGTCGTATCCAATAACAGTTTTCCCAGCAGAGTTTAAACACCGTGCTAGCGCGCTCATACCGATTCCACCGATACCGATAAAATAGACATTTTCTATCTGGCCTAATTCCATTTTTTAATGAAGAGGAGCCAATTGGTACAATTGTCGTAGGTATCGATACTGGACTTGGGCTAGGTCAATTTCTGTCGAATGGTTCCCCGGACCCCACTTCTTGAAAAGTAAACTAGAGTGTTGAATTTTGTTGCAAAGACGGTCGAGGCCGCTCCTCTTGTTCGCTGTACCCGAATATACCGTATTTAGTTGCTGTTAATGGAGAACTTTCGAGAAGGCGTGTATGGATCCCTTATCAATCCTAGCGATATCGATATCGACGCATCTATTTCGAATTAACCTCTTACTATTACTATTAGGTAGTGCTTATAGACCGACCTAACTCAACAAACTCAATATGAATTAGCTAGTGCCTATCAAAATCTAGATGGTTCTATTCCCGGAGTTCCCGCACGGCATCTTTAAACTGCCTCCCTCGGTCTTCATAACTCTTGAACAAATCGAAACTTGCACATGCAGGCGAAAGTAAAACCGTTTCTCCAGACCTGGCAAACCCCTGCGCTGTATTCACAGCATCAACCATACTCTTAGCTTCAGCAATCTTATCCACCACGCCTCCAAAAAAATCAATTACTTTCTTGTTGTCAACTCCCAAACAAACAATCGCTTTAACCTTCTCTTTCACTAGCTCCGTAATTTCACTGTAGTCATTCCCTTTATCCACCCCGCCAACAATCCAAACCGTCGGTGTCTTCATCGCATCCAAAGCATAAAATACCGAGTTCACATTTGTAGCCTTCGAATCGTCTATATATTCCACCCCTCTCACATTCAGAACTCTTTCGATTCTATGCTCAGCGCCTTGAAAAGTTTTGAGACTAGACCGAACGGACGATTCGTCGATTTTCAGAATTTTGGCGATTATGAGTGCAGCCATGGAGTTTTTGTAATTATGTTTTCCTTGTAGGGAAATATTTTCCGTGTCGATTATGAGGTCTTGTTCGTCGATGTTGATAACGATGCTTTTGCCATCTTTACTTAGATAAGCACCATTTTCTATCGTTCGTTTGATAGAAAAGGGAATGAGTCTAGCCTTCGTCGTATTGCTACTCAACCAATTCGCAGTAGCTTCATTATCCGCATCATAAATCAAATAATCCTCTTCCGTCTGGTTCATCGTGATACGAAATTTCGCATCAATATACTTTTCGTATTTATACTCATACCTATCCAAATGATCCGGACTTATATTCGTAATAACCGCAATTTGCGGTGCATATTTTACTATCCCATCCAATTGAAAACTCGATAACTCGAGAACGTAAGAAGTGTAAGAAGATTCAGCCACCTGAAGGGCATAGCTTTTTCCGATATTACCCCCAATACCGACATTCAACCCTCCGTTTTCGAGAAGATGGTGGGTAAGCATCGTCGTCGTTGTTTTCCCATTAGAACCCGTGATACCTATTGTTTGCGACGTAGAGTGGTTTGAAGTAAACTCGATCTCTGAGATTACTGGCATGGTCTTTTGGAGTAGTTTTTGGATTATCGGTGCTGTGTCGGGGATTCCGGGACTTTTCATTACGATGTCTGCGCTTAGGATTTTGAATTCGGTATGCCCGCCATCTTCGAACGGTATGTTGTAGTGTATGAGGGTTTGTTTGTAGGTATCTTTGATTTTTGAGGAGTCGGAGAGGAAAACTGTGTAGCCTTGCTTTTGGCCGAGGATCGCGGTTCCTACACCACTTTCTCCGCCGCCGAGGACGACGAGGTTCGACATGGTAGACGTTCACGCAGCGGTGTATTTTAACAAAATTCTGTGGGGAGAAGGGAGAGGTTGTTTTTAAAAGCGGAGAGATTTGGGAATATCTTTGAAGTTCTGTACATAAGATCTTACCATGGGTACTGGTACCGTTTAGTTGAAATGAGGGGCCAAGTGGAAGTATCCGGGTTTTCAGACGAAATCTGTCAGGGCACGTTCGGTGACGTCGAATAAGGATGTGAGCTGCCTTTGTGTAACACACAACACAGAAATGACTAACTAGGGTCTTGTTAATTCCCACCACAAAAGTTATGAAATCTACGAATTATACACCTGGTCGAATGTAGAAGTATTTTATTCCCAGTATCTTTAATGTACTTTCTCGTATTCTATTTAGCTTGCTAGGTTACAAGTTAAGGCGTCGTTTCTAGCTTGATGCTGAATTGGCGTGATTGAACACGTTTCGTATCCTTAGTTGGCAATACTGGGTCCATGGTTAATTTTATTGAGCTTCTTATGCCGGCTTGAACGAAATAGCGGTGGTTTGGTATGCTTTAGATCCAATCTTTGGGACTGTTAGATACATAGACTGAGATATCACATACACGTATCTTCCTGACGCACTTTAAAGCTTTGATGTGTTTTGCACCTTTTAGTAGTTAGTTTCAAAGTTCCGAATGAAAAATCAGAGTAATTTCAGGTTCAGAATTAATACTTGTTATTTCTAGTTTAATAACGTATACTATTGGTGGTTGTCTCGTATTGTGGGTATTCAGGGTAAACGAATGGTTTTTTCGCCAGCGGCAGTGCTGGCGAGTTGAAATTGTTACATTTCCATAAATGAACGTCCGTTAATTACCTTATTTAGATTAGGGGAGATCTGCAGCACTAAGCCTATCTAGTCCCATGAAGAATTCTTAAGTGGATGTGTTGTCTTGACCAACACAGTTTGTCATCTCTCAAATTTTCCGTTTTCCTGTGACTGTCTTTTCTTTCGATTGCCCAAATTTCCTGGACACAAAAATTACTTCCCGATAATACCATCTTCAAAGCTTCAAAGCCGTCTCGACGTTTTCAAGTAACAGCTTCACCAACCCACCACCCATTCACTAAAATCCATATACCTCTAAACCGGTTTAATCTACCGTTTCTTCAAATACCGTCAAAATGGAAAACGATCAAGGACAACTCGTCGACCTGTTCGTATACCCCTCCGAAAAGCCATACATGCTCAAAAAAAAAATACTGCGAAACCGAAGCCTTGAATAGACAGACAGCTAACAATTGTAAAAAAACTATACAGCTACGTCCCACGCAAGTGCTCTGCCACCAACCGTATCATCAAGGCCAAGGACCACGCATCCGTCCAGATCTCTGTCGCCAAGGTCGACGAGAACGGCCGTGCCACCGGCGAACACATCACCTATGCTCTCTGCGGTTTCGTCAGGTCTCGTGGAGAGGCTGACGATTCTTTCAACCGACTTGCTCAGCGGGATGGACTGTTGAAGAACGTTTGGACGGCTACAAGACAGCGTTAAGATACTTAAATCTAGCCCGATTTTTGTATTGCCCAATGCTGTGGTGGGGTGGACGACTCTTTTTTTCTTTTTCTTTTTTTTTTAATGTTGGAGGACATCAGGAGGGGAGCATGGATATCATTTTTTACTACGACTTATGACTTTGTTAATTGACAAGTCTATGAACTCCCACGAAGAGATTTGACCTATAACTAGGGGTGGTGAATGATTGGAAGGATCGGAGGATATATAGTTGGATGAGAGCGGGAACAGGAGGGATAAAGGATTGATGACTAGATCTTTTCTCTCTGATTCCTCTTTCTTCTTAGGCTCTTCGTCTTTTCGTTTCCCTGCCCGTTTCCCTGGGTCTCACATTACATTAAACCTCTATAATATCAAATCCAACTCCCTTTTTCTGGGTCTCGACCTCACTTTTTCTCTCTTTCTCTCACACACTCTCTATCTGAGATACACAAACCCGTGCTACAACTACATGTTTTTCCTTTTGCGTACATTCTGATGGACCATTCGGCGTTGCTATTTCCCAATTCCTTCACATGTGTATATTCTTTCTTCCTTTCTTCCTTTTTTTGTTTAGAAACTCATGATTTCCTGAACGATAATATAAGAAAGTGATTTTCCTACGACTTTTTTGGGCAAAGGAATGTTCACATGTATAGGTATCTACCTATATACATACCTTTGCATCCGCATTTGCATAGATCTACATGCGCATAGATCTAGGGATATGTGCACGAGACCGATTTCCTTTGATAAGGCTAAAGTATCTATAGATCTAGGTAGATTACGAAATATTATAAATTTTAAATCAGCAAGAAAGCAGGAAAGGAAGCTAGACAGTGGGGTGATTGTTGGGGGCTTATGGTGGCACCAATGTCTGAAACCATGTAGAAGGGAGTCAGCCGTCGATATGTACTTAATTACATGTACATACCATCACAAATGTTTTGCTGTAGACGGTATACCTGTAGACGGACAAGATGCATCAAACGGTTGCCATTCCGGGGGTATGCGATTTGTAAGATTTCATGCATCTAGGTCGGCTGCACCAAAGGCATACGATATCTAAAGTCGTATCTAAAGTCGAGACTTAGAATCATCTGTCAACGTGCATATTGAATATATCGACCTCGGGTAAACTTCAGCCCACGATAATACTTGGATTCCTTCCGTATGCTGCAGATCGGGAAGGAATGGTCTACGGCACGGACGTCGGGTGACGAGGTTCGTTAGCCCGTAGCTAGTCGAAATACTCGGCTATGAGCGAGCAAGACGTTGCTCTGTCGACAGTGAGCTGCAGGTTGCCAGTCTTCCGACGGAAGCAGCTGTGCGTTGCCGGACAGTCGAGGTAGGTACTCTGCTGTCCAACAGAACTTCAACAACAAGTGACCTAATCGATCTACAACACTCTTAAGCATATATACTCGACGCCTGGGGGTCTCGAGACTGCCTATAAAGTACTACCACACAGGTCACCACGATTTTAGGAAACTGCTGCTTTACCTTTAAATTTAGTTCTTTGATAACACTTATAATTTGACCAACTTTTGTTCAGGATATAGCCAATATGACTTCACAAGAATCAGCGAGTTAACGTTGGCAAGAATGTTAGATTATATTTAGCCGTGTCTGCTCACCCCGTGTATACCACCTTGAATGTATGTACCTATCGAGTTACGGTATTCCGTCGGGGGCTTGGAATGCGTAAATCCCAGGATATACACGGTACGCGTAAAAGTCGCCTCCGTGACGACATTGCACTGCCGATTTGTACTTCTTTTATGCTGACTGACTAACCAAGTCCCTGGTAAGGTAAGACCTGGCTTTGACTTGGCTCGGAATCCGGGCAACCGAATAGTTCGGGCCAACAATTTTCAAAGTTAACTTTGCTCGTTAGCTAGGAACTAGATAGCTCCAGGGTCTGGGCTGCACAGCACGACTGGGCATCTAAACAGCATGCAGGGGATCCGTAAGAAGTAACTGTTGAAGACCAAAAAGTAAGCAGGTCGGAGCACAAAAAGGTGGATCGGACGCCGTGTCATTGGCCACAGTCTCGAGTAAAAGCTGTAAAAGCTGCCGGCGTGGTCACATCTCTCTGCATCTCAAGTATTCCGTCGGGTGAAGCTCCTCGCTTTGGTATCTGTGAGCTGTCTCTGTCAGTCTGTTTCTTGTCTTGTCCGTTAAAAACTAGTTGAAGCTAAGGAAGCCCCTTGATAAGGAGATGGTTTTTTTGACTTGAGCGAATATCTTTCTACTTCGACAAATTCCAATTTCAATTGTTTTTAACAATTTAATTTCCCCATCCTCTCTTCCTTTCCTCTCATCACTACTCCCTCATTCTTTCTTTCTTTCTTTTCTAAAAGTGGGTATTGTCTACCACGGCTCTCAACAGCCTCATCCGGTCTACTTACCTATTACCAACTTGACCTCGTTTCAATCCGACGTTTCAACACCCTTTCCGACCTCGTCGGTGAAACTCTTTTTTTTTTTTTTTTTTTTTTTTTTTCCGTTTGGGCGAGCGACAACACCAACGCCGGAACAACACCACACCAAAAAAAAACCCTCATGACAGGTACAATCAACAACAGCGAGGACCAACATTGATACCCACCGGCATCATCAAACCACCCCAATTCACCAGCAGCAAATAAGCTGCACCTCCAAGAGCAGGCAAGATGATTATACCCACTCACTTGCTGCCTACGGGACCTCCGAAGGGATTTCCGGACCCTTTTACACCTATATTCTCTCCACTATCAAAAAGAGCAACCGCACATCCCATTCACACAATTGTCGCCATTGCCTTGCTCGCATCAGCTACCTATGTCGCATTGTTAGAAGTCAGTTTGTTTGGGACTCGAAGCGACGATGGTTTGGGATGGGGCTTTGGAGGTAATGATTGGACAAAGACTGCTTTGAATGGGGCAGCTACTGTTCAATTAAGCCAGAAGGGAGATTGGGAAGAAGTCAATGGATTAAGGGTATGAATAATCTTATATTTTCTAGATTGGTAATTTTTGGGATGTAATAGGATACATCAAGTGGCAGATAAAACGTGGTTGATAGCAAATTATAGCTGCTTCCCCGTGCTATCGTTGGAATGTTGATTATGAAAAGCGACAGCTAACGAATTCGGCGTTAAAATAGCAATCTGAAGCTGCTACTAGACTGTCGCTGGTTACTTTGAGCTTCCCACCGTCTCAGCCGCATCAAAGCATCGCTGCACCATCGAATGTCTCTTCTAAACCCACTGTCAAACCTCTATCGGTCACTTCATCAAACAGTCTCGCATTCTCTGTTCCCTATGAAGAAACCACATCTTTCCTGTCGCAAGTCGGTGTTATCTCGACTGGTAACGACATCGACGCTGATGGAATACCTAACGAACAGCAAATCTTTTGGGTTGCGCAGGAAGCTGGCGGAAAGAGCATTTCCGACAATAGCTTGTCAGCCCTGGGGCTCGTTGGCTGGGTAAAGAGCAGCTGGGAAAGTTTCACTGGCTTGATCAAGGTATCTAGACATTTTTCTTTACTCAGAGTTGACTCTAGAGGCAGCGGCTAATCTTTTTTTATTAGAATGCTGAGTCGCTTGATATTGCGATCATGGCATTTGGGTACCTCTCTATGCACTCGACTTTCGTGTCCTTGTTCTTGTCCATGAGACGTCTTGGCTCCAATTTTTGGCTCGCCACAACTGTTCTCTTCTCCTCCGGATTTGCCTTCTTTTTCGCTTGCTTCACGACCCATAGGCTTGGCGTGCCAATCAACTTGATCCTATTATCCGAGGGTTTACCGTTCCTTGTCGTCATAGTTGGGTTTGAAAAGCCGATCATTCTCACCAAGGCTGTTCTTGAAGCCTCGGCGGCCCAGAGACGTAAGGCTATACAGAACCAGGATAGAAACAAGGGTACAAGCATTCAAACTGCTGTCAGTGAAGCCGTTCAGCAAGTTGGTTTCTCTATCGTCAGAGATTTCGTTATTGAGATTGCCATCTTGGCGCTTGGAGCTGCTTCTAGCATCCAGGGAGGTTTCCGCAGGTTCTGCTTCCTTGCTTTGTGGATCCTTGTCTTCGACTGCATCCTTCTCTTCACCTTTTACACTGCCATCCTGTCCCTTAAACTTGAGATTAACCGTATCAAGAGACATGTTGCTCTTCGTAAGGCCTTGGAAGACGACGGTGTTAGCCGACGGGTCGCAGAAAGTGTCGCTCGTGAAAACGATTGGCCGAAGATTATCGATAAAGATGGAAATCTGATTTCTGAGGATGAACTATCGAAAGATAAGACCACCAATATCTTCGGTCGAAAAGTCAAGGATAGCAATATTAAGGCATTCAAGGTCCTCAGCGTCGCCTGTTTTCTCTTTGTCAACATCCTCAACACGGTCATTCTTCCGTTTAGGGAACACTCCGCCACATCTGTTGTGACACCTATCACCCCAAGCCAAATTAATGCCCTCGCCATCGCAAAGAAGGGGCTTGAATCGATTGCTGAAAGCGCCGCCCCCGGGACCATTGTCGAAGTTCTTCACCCTGTCATCTTCCGGGCTGTTGTTCATGATGACTCTAGCCTCCCGTTCCCAAATACTCAGCAAAACTCCAACCTCTTCACCGAAGATGCTGTCGGTTCTCGTGTCATGCAAAGTTTACTCAAGAGTCTTGAAGATCCAATTCTTAGCAAGTGGGTCTTCGTCGTCTTGGCAATGAGCATCGTGCTTAATGGATACCTCTTCAATGCCGCCAGATGGAGCGTTAAGGACACCCATGTTGGCGAAGTTGAGGCTCCTGCCCCAGTCCGAGCTATGCCACCACCACCAGCGCCAGTACCAAAAGCCTACATCCCAATTCCTGAGATCGTCAATACCGAAGCACCATCTGAAAAGCCTACTGGAGACAGAAAGGATATCAGCGTTTTGACCAACATTTTGAAATCGGATCCAAAAGAACTTACGGATACAGAGGTCTTGCGTCTTTGCCAAGTTGGAAAATTACCTATATATGCCCTAGAAAAACAGTTGAAAGATACCTCGCGAGCTGTTGCTATCCGCCGAAGGGTAGTTGCCGGGACCAAATCAACTATTGCCAACTCCCAATACCTCGCCGAATCGAAACTGCCACAACTACACTACGACTATGACCGTGTCCTTGGCGCTTGCTGTGAAAATGTTATTGGATATCTCCCCCTTCCTGTTGGTGTTGCCGGCCCTCTCGTTATCGACGGAGAAAGTTACTGGATCCCCATGGCCACCACTGAAGGTGTCCTTGTCGCCTCTACCCATCGTGGCTGCAAATCTATTAACGCTGGTGGCGGTGTTACAACTGTTATCACCGGTGACGGTATGACTCGTGGACCCTGTGTTAGTTTTGCATCTCTCGCCCGCGCCGGAGCCGCCAAACTTTGGTTAGACAGTGAAGAAGGTCAAAAGGTCATGAAAGACGCATTCAACTCTACTTCTCGATTCGCCAGGCTTCAAACTATCAAGTGTGCTCTCGCCGGTACTTATCTCTACATTCGTTTCAAGACCACTACCGGTGATGCCATGGGTATGAACATGATTTCCAAGGGTGTCGAGCACGCTCTCAGCGTCATGGCAAACGATGCTGGTTTCGATGATATGGAAATCATCTCCGTCTCTGGAAACTACTGTACCGACAAGAAACCCGCCGCCATTAACTGGATCGAAGGCCGTGGAAAGAGTGTTGTTGCCGAAGCCATCATTCCCAAGGATACAGTTGAAAACACACTCAAGATCACGGTTGACGCATTAATTGAATTGAATATCTCCAAGAATTTTATTGGATCTGCAATGGCCGGTAGCGTTGGTGGATTTAACGCTCATGCTGCAAATATTGTTGCTGCAGTCTTTTTGGCTACCGGACAAGATCCTGCACAGGTTGTGGAAAGTGCCAATTGTATCACTGTTATGAGAAAGTATGACTCCCTCTCTATACCATTTCACCAAATTTAGCTTTTCTAACATCTATACCACAGGGTCAACGGCAACCTTCAAATCTCCGTCTCCATGCCTTCTATCGAAGTCGGCACAATCGGTGGTGGCACAATTCTTGAACCACAAGGTGCAATGCTTGACCTCCTAGGTGTCCGCGGACCTCATCCAACAACTCCTGGCACAAACGCCCAGCAACTAGCAAGAATTGTAGCTGGTGCAGTACTAGCCGGAGAGCTGAGTCTATGCTCAGCTCTTGCAGCAGGACATTTAGTCAGGTCACATATGCAGCACAATAGAAGCGCTGCACCGACACGGAGTAATACCCCCGCAGTAGGGAATGGGAGCGCCAACGGTGGACTAGCGATGCCAACCGGCTTGACGATGACAAGGACTAATTGAGCTTATCACTAATATTATGGAGCGGGGAGGGGTTGTTACTTTTTTAGAGAATAGGTGATGGGGCTAGATACATTTTTGATTGTTCCCTTTTTTCTCTCTTTGGCTGGACGGACCTCTGCTTTTTTTTTGGATGTCAGACGGCATAGCATGCGCATCTTTGGTTTGTTGTTTCGAGATATACCATATAATATTTTTTTTTCCCTTTCGCTCTTTCATGTTTTCGCCTCCCCGGGCCTCATCACTTACACACTATTCTTTTCCATTCGTTTTTGGACGACGTCTGGTTTACGGTTTTTTTTTTTCCCGGGGTGGAGGGGCAATATAGTACCCTCCTCTTGTATTCTTTTCTATGCATAGAGCCTAACTTAGACCATACCCATGCCATCCATCAATGGTCATTTTCCAAATGAACTTATATTCTGAGTATTCAAAAAACTTTTGTGGATCCATGGATTATATCTTCCCGGTCTGTGTACGAGACAAGAAGTATCTCTGTTTCATTCCCCCTTTAGTTTCGTAGCGCTAAGTATTCAATTTTTGGTGGCGTTCTTTTCAAAAAAAAAAAAGATCGTGGTTATGCACGAACGGTTAGCGAGGTGCAACGGTCGAAATACCAAGTGAATATAGTTATCACCACCCGCATGCATGAAGATGTGATATATGCGATTAAATTTGAACTTGATTGAAAAACAAAAAAAAGATTTTGAATTGTATTCGATATCTTTGAAGAGATACTAGCTTAGTATATTAATACTAAATGTTTCAAATTTGCGAAATTCGAGTGATATATCGATAGGGGAGCTCGGTTTGATTCCGGGGAACTCGGGACGGCTGTAGACTACTCTCATCTTCGAAAATATTTTGTCCAGTGTCATTAAATTTTAAAAAAGTTTTTTTTTGATCATGTGGGCTTGATTTAGCTGGTTTTGGCATCTCAAAGACTATTAATTCGAAGCAAAAAAAATCTATTGTTTTTTATTGAAGCTGCTGCATTGTATTGTGACTGACAGATTCTAGGGACCCAAGTGAACTTTGAAGATGGGTTGAGGTCCTCAAAGAGCAACAAATCAGCAGCCTCAATTCTGAAGAAGAGTTGTGATCAGAAACGATAAGATGGCTAAATCTTCGAGGCGAAGCTAAGGCTCAACATGAGAGGTTTTGTAGAACCTTCGATCTCAAGCAGATCCAAAGCGCTAGAGCGGACTACAATTCATGTATACAACAAGAAGAAAAAAATTCGGGCACTTTGCTACAGCCATAAACTTGGCCTTGTAAGTATCTACTGAACGTAGATTGATAATGTTAGAGCAAACAGGAAGACTTTAGTGCATATAAAGGCCTCCATGCTTCTCCCACTTCCTCCAATCTTCTTCTTTTCCTCTTTTCTTCAGAGGATAGCCAGAAAATAAAATATATTCCAGCCTGTCTAATATTATTATATTATCTATCCAAACCAAAATACTTTGTACTACTTGTATATACTCTCATATTAATACACTCTCAGCAACTCACAAAATACCACAAACCCTGTATTCCACCACTCACAACCACGATTGCATACAATTAAACACCGTTAACAATGCCAATCTACACCCACCCCTTAGACGGGTCCCCGAAATTCCCTACAAATTATCTTTCAGACACAGAAGCTGCACTTCGCACCCTCTCGTCTCGATATCGTGAACAGTCAAACTGGACCAATACTCTCACAAACAGTAAAGATCTTGCAGAATGGGTCAAGAACTCAAAACCCAAAGTGACGTTGGTTCGAACTAGTGATGTTGATTTTTTGTTCCAAGAACTAGTAGGTTATAAAAAGTATGTTGAGAAGTTGGAGAAGACTTGGAAGGGGCTGGGACCAGATGTTGATGCTGTTTGGAGGATGGACGGGTTGCTCGATAAAACTTGGAAGAAGAGGTTGGTGGATGGTTAGTATTCCCGTTTTCTTTTCTTCCTTCGATAGCTTGGGTTGGTTTATCTTTCTTTATTTCTTCCCCCTCCCTCTCTTCCTCCCTTTTTTCATCCTGCAGCTTCGCATTGGGTACTTCGCCTTGATGACCTAAAAGATACTACATTCGAACCCAACATCACGGTCAGGGATATATATAATGGAAGGCAGATAATCGTCAAGTTCAAGTGCAGTTCTATGAAACATCACTTCACTAATCTTCCAAACGGTGGAGGTTAAAATTTCATTTGCATGTATCGTTAAAGAAACCGGCTTCTAACTCTAGCATTAAACACTAACAAAAATAATCTTTAGCGGCTGCCACCCTCGCAGAAGTTCCAAACAAAAACAGAGGCTGGCCAGCTAACTCCCCAAAAGAGCAAATTCGAGATCTCCTCGATCCGTTCATGTATGCTTTCGTCTATAACGAAACCTTCGCCTTAAAAAACGGCGAATTCAGCCAACTACCACCCCGTTTACCCAACGAACCAGATTTGGAACAGTATGACCACACAGGCTACTGGCTACCCTCAGAGTTCATAATCTCAGAACAAGGAACTTCCACAAAAATCTCCTCGTACATCAATAACCTAACACTACCAGGTCAGGATGTCTTGTTCCATCCAATCCTCGAAAAGACTTTTACACAAATGCTACCGCTTTTTGATCATGCCCTGGCGGACCTAGCAGGGGGCGGGTGTTTAAGAAACAGGAGCACCAGAACGGCTTCCTATACTATTGGGGAAGATGACTATATCGGAGACTACTATTCTGGTAACGAAGGTCAACCTGGCAACGCGTGGACTCCGCCCAAGATGGTAGCGTCGAGAATGCTACGGGGTAAAACCGTCAAGGTTATTGTTAGGATGTTGGAAGTGGGATTGTCACCGAGCAATCCTATATACCAGAATCCAGACCCAGAAATTGATGGCATGGCGGTACGCTGAGTCCACACCTCCCTTCTATTATTTCCACCTTATTAAAACGCATATATTCCCTTTATTCCACCGAGATTACAAATCTAAGATCAAACGCTGACGATTACAAATATATGGATATAGAATGAACGCATTATTGCGACGGGGATGTACCTCTACGCGCAACAAAACGTGACAAACGTTTCGATTGAATTCAAACATAGAGATTTTTACCCTGACAGGGAAGAGATGAGAAGAGTACGTGACTCTGAAGGTCTACTTTGCAGGAGAGATGTCGGCACTACTTCCATGAAAGTAAGTTAACAGTTAATTAACTAACCTTATAGCAACTTTTGATATTATCTCAATTCGTTAAGATTTCTATTTTATAAATTTATCAAATCTCATCTTCGTCTTAATATAAACTGACTCGTGTGTTCGAAACGCTAGGAAAACCGGGCCATCGTGTTCCCAAATGTCTACGAAAGATATATTCTTCCCTTCAAGTTACAGAACAAACAAAGAGACGGATTTGTAAAGATCTTGTGTTTCCATTTATGCGATCCCACTGATAAGGAAACCAATCAAAAGGTAGGATGATAGCCCTTCTTTATACCTATATACTTCCTTCTCAAATTTCCATCTATACTTACTAAATAATTCATTCCCCACCTCCGGAATTACGCAGCTCCAAACTACTCGTACCGTTCCTCCTCAACAACCAGGACAATTTGAAAGCATGATTCGCAACACTAGACGGCTAGGGAATCTCCCGGAAGATGTATTCCAATCAATCTTGGGGTATTGTATTGGGACCATCATGCCTATGAAAAAAGCTATGGAATACAAAGAAACTATGGTCGATGACAGGGGGTCTACGATGCTATTCGGGGTCAACTATGACGACGATGATAAATATGACGAAATTATCGAAAACGATTACGACGAGTATGGCGATGGCGATTTCGACGACTGGTTCTAAGTGGGGATTTACTGAACTGCTGATTGAGGGGGTTACTAGGTAATATTGGGGAGAGTATGGTCATAAGGAGGGGGCACGGTCACCCTTATGCTATCTGTGTTCGCTATTCTTATCAATCAATCAATCAATGCTTTATTAATTTAGTTATAACTCGAAAAGATTGTTATTGCGCCTTTACCTCTACTTTAGAACTAAAACATCAGAATTGTATCCTTATCTTTGGCATAGCGAGATTCTTATTCTCAGAATTCTAGAAATAGCAAAAGTCCTCCATGCATAATTTTGTTCTAGTATCCCTAGGTAAGTATACGCGAAAGTATCCTCAGACTTTTACCGTTGTAGCTGATCAGCTGACAAAATTCGTGTGGAAAAGAATGCTATTCCTATGGCCAACCTATCAAATCATTCTACATAATCCACTCGTAAATAGTCATTCCTCCCATTAATGAATCTGCCTCAAGAGGCTACATCCTAGTACCCGAATGCGCTCAGTCGTCGTCAGGAGCCTTCAAATTCAAATAGACCAGAAACACGCGCAGCCCTTAGTATAGTAAATTCAAGGTTCAAAATATAAAGATAGTATTCCACGTTCAGGTATCGTCCCAAATACATCGCTCCAAAACGGCGTTTAATAGAGGCCATGGTAGCAAACTGAACCTCAATTAATTTAGCTAATGCCGCTACCTTCAATGTTTCTGGCCTAGCTAGAGGTGGACTGACTATTTTTCAAAGGTTGAGCCATGTATTGCTTTGCGAAATTTACAGCTCAAGGGCCCTGTAAGGATATACTAATAAGGGTTAGTAGGTCCGGATTAGAAAATTGAACTATTTGAGGTATACGTATACAAGTACCTGGTAAATTTACCGGCATAAATTCTAAGACACGAGGTGACTAGTACTGTCTATCAATATAGCCGCAAACGGAAACGGCCTAGATTACTTTTGCGATTCCTAGAATTGTCACCCCTCACTCAATCGCGAACCTTTGAATAGCCTAAAATGCACACGTACTACAAAGCAAGCTGGCAGATATCTGTATCACATGCAAACGCCCCCATCCCGGCTGACGGTTATGATTTGATACTATGCTGTTGATGTCTCTTAGCTTGGATTAATAGACCAAGATAAACTGTCATCAAGCTAAGCTTTTCCTAATGTACATATCTAGGAAAGATTTGCGCTTACGTCTTCTTAAGTTGAGTCTGGCACGGATTAGTCCCCATGGATCCGCCTGTGGTGGACTATCCCGTGTCAGGGCTAGGCTGGACTGCAGAGGATAGGATCGGAATATATACTAATATTCTCTGCCCTCACCCTGCGCCTGGTCTCGAGGCTAACTAATATTCCACAGAATGCAAAAATTACAACATGTAGCTGCTTCATTACTAAAAATAAGCCGAACAATACTCTCTTCCAAAACCAACTCATGATCAGCTATGATCTAAAGCTACTCATCAAATTAATTCAATTGTTACGTATACATTAAACCATCAAGCTTGTTAAACAGTCTCCAGTTGTGAAGAGCTTCTCCCTTGTTTATTCACCTTAACCAAAGTGAGATACATCTATATCCAGCTATGCATATACGCAGCATCTAAATGAAAGAGAAGCATTTTATAACCCTTCAGCTCCTAGCATCCCATGCTGCAAAACCAGTACTTCTTAGTCAAGTATTCAACAGCGAACGTTAATTTTAAGCACCACCCAAAACCCGCCTGATCCAGGCATTTTATTTTCAGCCCTCGACTTGGCAATTATCCTTTCCTGCATGCTCCTGCAGGAAAACAACTGTAGATATATATTCAAAATGAAAGAGATCCTTAAGAGCCCCATAGCTTTTTAGCCGGAGCCAATTGCTATAGCTTCCCGGTCGGTGTATTGACAAACACTGCAGGTTTTTATCTCCAACTAATCACAGGTCGTTCCGGATTTTGGGATACCTTATCAACATACTGTTATATTGTGCCGTGTTGTCGAAAAATGCAACATCGATTGTTGTATGTGTCGACGAAACAAGTCCATTTAGGGCCAAGGTTACACAATATTCTCTGACGTGTCGATCACGCGCGACTCGATTATTTTGTGCCGATACAATCTTAGTTTAGATCGAAGGCTAGAGGGACCATGCAAGGTAAGACCATCTGGAGCTGGTTATATAGTGCGAATGACCGAAACAATAAAACAATCAGACGTAGCTTTTGTAACTTCTAGCTTGAAGAAAAATCAGGGCTAAGTGTGACCGTTGTAGAATGTACGTACGTCCTCAGTTAACTTATAACAATAAACAAAAAGGATAAGAAGCTTGCTACATAACATCTGGTTTTTCGCAAGCCGTATACATGCTTATTAGAAATAGCCTCCGGTAAACACAATGAAAATACCCAAAGCTACTTCCTGATGATATCCTTCCACGCGCTCAAAACATAAAAGAAAAAAACAAAAGAAGAAAGGAGCCTTTTTCCTATACTTATCTTACACGCTAATATATACCCATATTATGTCGCTCATGTACATCTGAACAAAAAAGCGAACGGGTAAACAAAACCTTTTGTAACAAAAATCAAATCCACCGCCAATAAGTGCCTTTGTTTCCAACAAATGTTAAAAAATGAAATGAAACCGCCAATATGCAAATAATAATAACTAGCGTTTTAGTATATACTTCACACAAGTATATCCTTCACCCATGACCATTTTAGTTATCGTACTTCCATTACAACTTTGTTTTTCCTTTTTTTCCATTATTGCCTTTCCTTGCCTTTCCCCCTCTTTTCTTTCTTTCTTTCAAGAACCTGTATTCTCAAAATCGTAAACATTCATAAACCCCCACGTTCCATCTATGTCACCTCTACCCGGTTGACCAAGGCTCATAAGTGCCATGGCTGGAAAGCCCTGCGAGTCTCCGGCCAAACTGGTCATCTGGGTAAGATACTCCTTCCAACTTTCTGGCGCACCACCATACCAATAGCTAGAACTATCGGCGGCAGTGGTGTGTGGAATGAAGTACGGTTGATGATGTTGCGGCTGGGTTTGTTGCTGCTGCTGCTGCTGCTGCTGCTGTTGTTGTTGTTGTTGCTGCTGCTGCTGCGCTTGCTGCTGCTGCTGATGGTGTTGGTGAGCCGCCGCCGCGAGAGCAGTGGCCGCGGAGTGGACTGATGTATCGGCATAAGTCACTGGGTGAAGGGGCACGTGGTTTATCTGTGGGATACCGTTGATGTTCGGATCCACATAGATGGGAGCTTGAGGGTTCGACGGGATATGCTGTTCCGCCCGTGGTGGTTGATAGGTATAGTGTTTATTCAGGTTGGACATTTGTGAGATAGCCGTCTGCTGAATATCATGGGTAGTTGGTGGTGCGAACGTCTTGGGAGTAAGGCTTGTGCGGCGTTTTGAGGATGGGGCATTATGTGAATTAGATGCACTGCTCGGACCACTGACAGCAAGCCTACCTCCATGGCGTTCGCGGAGCATCTTCATTGTAGCATCGGTAAGGGAGAGGATAATGTCGCCCAGCTTGCTATTTGATCCTATAGCTATTTGTTTAGTCAACATCTGGGAAGGCTGGTAAGAGGATATTAATTATGGTGTCATACCGTTTATTCTCCCGAAGTCTTTCATGACACAAACGCTTAAGTCCATATCCGCCTTGACTCTAGTGATCTCTGCTTGTGTCACTGTCTCGCGCTTCTCCCAGATGGCAAAAAGTATGGTCATGCAGGCTAGTAGAGGCACGCTAGTGGCATACCAAGCCGTGTCCAGGTTGTTTTCTCGGCGAAGTAGATCTGTCATTTCAAGGATAGTACGTGAAGACTCGACACAGATCGTCAAATTATCACTACTAAAGCTCGGGGAGATTGACAGGTTTAAAGATGGGTGTCGGAGAAGGATGCGCAATCTAATTCATATAATTGTTAGGCTCGTCTCACATATTCTAACTGTAGTAATAGGGATAAGTAGGGATAAGGAGAGACTTACTCATTATACCACAGCATTAAATTCCCCGCTTGCATCCTACCAACGACATCCGGATTTCCCGGATCATACTTCAAATGGGGAGGCAAATTATCCTTCCAACTCGTCATCTGAGCCTCCATGTAATCCACAAACGGTTGGTACTCATCGCTTGGTGGTTTCTCAGCACTGTACAACTTTGTATGAATTTCGATAGTAAACTCTGCACATTTTATGAGGCCGAACACAACGTCGAGGGAGCATCGGCCATCGGAAGTAGGGGCCAAGGGTTCCTGTGTGAACCCTGCCTCGGTTATGTATTCGTCTTCAATTCTTGCTGGGTATTCGACGTCATAGTCCGATGGGAGAACACCGATCGGTCGGTTAAGTTTGGCAGAGATGCCGACGTCGATGGAGACACCAACCCAAAAGACTCGTTTACGCATTTCATCTTCAAGAACATTGAGGGGTGTCCCTGCACGCTCATGTTGTTTCTTGAGCGAGCGGTTGAGGCGGAGCTCAAAGATTGTTGCGGTGGTGATCTTTGACAGGATGTACGCTGGACCAGGACGAGTAAAACCTCGTGTGAAAGCAAGGAGGAAAACTAACGCCTGACAATCCTCAAGAGTGCCACCAGCGAGAAGGAGGTTAAGGAAAGAAAGACTGAAGTGATAGTGACGATAGGCGCGAATTAAATCCGGTTGATGGGTTTGTCCGTCGATTTTGATTTCTCGCTTCGCCATGAAGTACATAGACATGGCACAGATCATATGGGTGATGACTAATGAGGCTGGACTCGTCTTATAGTCTGGTATGTCGTACATGCGATGAAACTAAACCGTAGTAAGTTAGTTATGCTCTGACGCTCATTTTGCGAGCTAATCAGCAAATACAGGCGGTCCGAGCGAAACTTACTTCAGCTAGAAAGGTTGGTTTATGGACGATGGGCAGATAGGGCTGAGTAGTAACCCAATTCCATTCGATTAGCATAAGCGCTTCCTCTTTCGATGGGAGGCTCAATCGTAGAACCGATGGGGGTGCATGTCCCGAAGTACTCATAAGGAAACTCTGAAGTGAATCGTCCAAAGGATTCATCTCTCTGAAATCCATGTGGCCGTCGACTGAAATGTAGTTTAGCGATCTAGCTGGCTCTTGAACGCCTTGTAGATCGGCCAAGTCGATACTGATACCCAAAACCGAGAGAGCAGATGCACGGGTGGATGCCATGTATGAGTTTCCCGAGTACATCCCGACATGAGCCTGCGCGCCCGACTTGCGGATCAAGAAAGCAGGACGGCCATGGAGGTCATTCTCTTCTCTATTCGGTGACCTTCCAGTCCTCGAATTATGAGAGTTCGGCTCGTGATGGTTTGGGTAATCAATCGAGAAGGGTAGGGACTGCTGTTCCAGCTTGATAGAACCGGGCTCGCCAGCCCTCCATTGGTCCTTATCAGCAGGGTTCCAACCAACGTTAGAACTGCTGGTGGAGGACCCATCGTGGCTCTTCACAGGGCTGCCAAGTCCGTCAACCTGCAGTAGAGCCTCCATATCCCTTATTTTCGCCTCATAATCAGCGCACTTCTTCTCAAGCTGCTCAATGTATCCACGTGGAACCGCACGATGCGAGATCCGATCCGTGGTTCTACACTCGGTATTATTCTGTCTGCATGGCGAGCATCCACCTGATAGTCCGTCGCACCGGATCTTGCGTATCTATAACATACACACACAAAAGTTACTAAAAAAATTCATGATTGTTTTTGTGGGGAGGTACAAGTACTACCTCCCCACCATCTCCTCGTCGGAACAAGGAAACTAATAAAAAAGTATCGCATATGGTCTTACCTTACACCTGTCGCACGCTTGCCCTGTCCTTGTGGTATTCTGTAGTCTTTTCCTCACCGTTCGTCCGAAATCTTCGGACTTGACGGTGCCAGCGGAATTTCCACTCTGAACGAGGGGAATTACCTTCTGGTTAGGAATATGTTCGTCAATGAGGAGTTGGGAACTCCCATCGGCGACGCTAGCCGACCGTTTCAACGACATCGCTAAAACTCCAAAATCCGGCCTCCGAATTGAAAACGTAAATTTTCGAAGATACACCGGGTCTCCACACCCCCAAACTTGGTCTTATGCCTTGTAAGAGGAATTGAAGAGGAAGCAAAAAAAAAAAAAAAAAAATAGAGAGGAATTGAGAAGGACAAACACAGGGAGAATTTTTGATGGAGTGACTTCCTCGTAGGAGCAGGTTGGTAAGTATACTTCAACCAGCGGGTAAATTGGCGATAGTATTCGATAAAATATTGGAAAAAGGATACAGAAGGGAACAACAAGTTAAGGTAAAAAGCTTATCGGTCGGTCGAATACCCAAAGTGAATAGTGTATCATTTGGGGAAGAGGGTAGTGGTCAAATTGAATAAAGAGCCTTTCGGAAATATCCAGGTTGGATGTTTCGCAGAAGAATGAAGGCTTTCTCGCTTGGTCTCGCTTTGTCCCGGACTGTGATATTTTGGTGGCACGCAGCGGTGATGAGGGAACAGACTATCGGAAACCCCCTTCACGAAGCCAGTGCCGGATCCAGGGTTAATAAGCAAATTTCGAGTGGTGTAACTGTGTAGTGAATTGAATGATGAAGCTTGTGGTCAAAAAGGGCGGATTATTAAGGTCGAATCGGGATTTTTCTAGTTAGATTGAGAAAGTCGGGGGTGGAGAGTGAAGAATATGGAGACCATCTCGCGATCAAGCCCACCAGCCGACAGACAGCCTACATATGAGACACGCAGCTGCAACTTAGCTTTGATCCAGTAGCACTTGCGGGCAAAAAATTTAATGGACCATGGGCCCAGCCCACCGGGCTAGTTTTAGCTTGGCTTTTGGATAGGGCGTTTTGAGCGAAAGCTTAAACCTTCCAAATCCTAACTCTAATTTGCAGTCAGCGCCCGTATTCAAGATTCCCATCATGCACGGTTTGTTGGTAAGAAACCAGAACGTTTCTCCTCGGAGTTAATTGCAGGAGTATCGTGACTGATGTGAATTTGGTCAAGTTCGTGCTGGTGCTGATGCTGATGGGGGGTGAACGAGACACGGTTTTTTGACGTTTAGATTGGCAGACGATACATGTGTGTATACGTGTGTGGTCACTTCAAAAACGTCTAAGCAAGGATGGGGCGGGTCACGGTAACCGCAAAAGTGGAGACGGTTTCGAATGCGAAGAATGAAGGGGATTGAGGGTACATCTCATCGTATCGATAAAATGAAAATGGTTGTGTGATAATGTAGAGTGCAAGTGCGTATGTATGATAAAGCACGGTATGATATGGTGTGCGCGAAAGTAATCATTCAAGGGGTGAGAGCGGGAACATTTCCAGAGATGGGTCGCAACATGCTAAACACACCAACGTTGAGGTTGAAGAAGAAGCAAGAATCACCGAGTTCGCCGTCCCAAGGGATTGGGATGGGCGGCCCTACCAGGGATCCACCGCCTCAGTGTGGGCATCTTTTTTTAAAAAAAAAATTTAAAAAATTAAGAAAAAATTTAAAATGTGATAGGATGTCAATGGAAACGGGGAAAGCATCGTCGCAAGCTGTCAAAAATATCGCATCAATGTTGTAGATGGACCCATGGACCTAGTAAGCGGGTGGTTCCGGAGGCAAATTCCATACAACAGAGATAGGATAGTCGCAGATTGAACGATAGTAGACACAAGCAATTCGCAGAAAAGCACCAATTCCAAGGCTGGGGAAGATTTAGAGGACGGGAAGAACAAAGTTAACGTTTCTTTTCAAGGGTCATAACCGAATGGCGTACCTTAGTCAAACTCTCCAAGGCTGTCGCTTTCGATATAAAGCCTTAAGTTCGATATAAGATTCTATAGTAGGGCAGAATAGATATTATGCTGGCTGTTATTGACAGAGGGAAAAAAGAAGGATGGGATGCTGAGTAAGAATGGTTTTCGATCGAAAGCGAAAGGGGTGCACAAAGATTAATCCACTTGGGCTGGACAGGGCTGGACTGACACTGCGCAGCGCTGGTTGGCCGGCTGAAGACTGTGCGTTTTACCCCGGCGCACGTTCACGGTATGTAAACTACGACGGACACAGGTGTGCAACGTCGCAGGTCGTTTCCCCAAAGCCGCAGCCTCGAAATCAATTGAAAACAAAACGTGGACCGGACCAAGAGATCGAAAGGCTGAGATGTACCCCGTACAGAAAAGTGGTAATTGTTACCCAATTCTCACGCACAGACACCCTGGCTCACTTTTGCTCCGGCTGGCTCGTCGATACAAAGTGTGTCTTTCTTTTCGAGTGATGAAAAAATTGCAGCAGAGCAAATCCTGTTTTAAGATAGGGAGGAAGGGTGAGGAAGGGGGAAAACACCTCGCCGGTTAAGGCTAAGCTTCAGCCGCCCCGTCGTTTCCCTAGTAAAACCCCCGCCGCCCGCTCCTAAAGGAGTTCCATGCAGTTTGCACATGATGGAGAAAGCCCAAACGAAGAAGATCCGCTTTTCTGCAGAAAAGCAGACAGGCTGGAGCAAACTGGGCCGGAGACGAGATCTGGTCCGCTTCCCCGGAACCCGATACGAGGTGCACATGCTGTGCTATCGCAGGTCGGGTCCTGAAAAGCTGACGAAGATGTAGACGCGCGCTTACCACCGCTTAGCTTAGTCAAATGCCGGCCCAGGTTGTTTGTGTCTGTGTCTGTCTGTGTGCTTGGGTCTGTGCCCGCGTCCGTGTGGAGTCGTATGCAAATTGCAAATTGCATTAAATTGGCGTTGCCGTTTGGATGTATGTAGCCTGTAGGTACCTTGGTGGTTTGTGGTGTCGTCGACGTCAACTAACGTCCGGACGATGTTTCATGCCTTGTGCAACGTACCCTGGTCAGCCCTCCCCTCCCAGAGCTACAGACTATCACCTCCGATCGCTCTCGGTCATCGTCGATCCTCAACACAAACCGAGCCTATCCTCTTCCGTGTCGATTGCCAACCATCCGTTCTTGCATTGCCCTCACTCCCCCTTCACCCCGTCACCCTCCGACCATCAGCCACCATGCCGACCACACTATCCGTTCCCCACCTGCCGTCCAACTATCGGCTCCACATTGCCCTCTTCACCTCGGTCACCAATGCCGCCCACTTACACTCGCAGCTATTAGCTAAAAACGCCGAATACGAGTATGCCTTTATTGAGCCGTCCATCCTCGTTAGCCATCTCCAGCCCATTTCAGCCGGCTTCCGCGCTATCCATGACCTCTTAGACCCAGATGTCGGCCTAAGAACCCCAAACGTGCACTCAGAGACAGTGTTTAGCCTCAGTCCCACTCATAACGTATGCATACCATCATTATATGATATCACTCACTGTTCTAGTTTTCTAGTTTTTTTTTTTTTTCAAATATCTTTACCCCAAAATTGGCCCGTGTCTGATGCTGATACGTACATATACACGCCTTGTTTAATTTAGATTACGGACTCATACCGCCGCTTTGGCATCTCGCCTAGTTCTACTTCTGTGCTGGCAATCAAGATCTTGGATACTTCTTTGGCCTCGTATTCTGAGTCAAGCACCCTGGAACGGCTGGCCTCGATAGTCGAGGGAACGGAAGTAAATTTTGACACTAAGGAAATCAGAAAACTGACAGATTTAAGTAAAGTCAAAAAATATTACAAGCTAAAGGATCTGGGCTACGTGGACCAGCTTTACAAGAAGAAAGGAAGAACCATTGAAGAAAAGTCAGAAGAGCAGGCATGGCGGGATTTGGAAGGCGCCGTTTTGGGTGCAATGGCATTAAGGAGCTTGGTGTAAAGTTTAGTCTGACAAGCGTGTAAACCTTCCTCTTTTCCTCTTTCCATATAGGCGTTTACAATCGATATGATACCCTCTAGACAATGCGGAAAGAAAAAATAGTAGCTTCTGTATTACGAATTCGCGATAGATAGGTATGCTTGTTTTGGTTAATAACGATATATCCTTTTTCTATTCTATTTTCATTATCGACATAGGAACTCTAATTAGGACAGTGTACAATCCAGGCTAGTAATATAATATTATACATGAAATCTTACTCGTATACTCATTTACAACAGCTCCCCATATACTTCATACTCGATAGATCTCCTCAAAACTTCAATATCAGGAAGCCCGGTCGGAGCAGAACGGACCTGTCTAAGGAGAGTAGTCGGTTTGCCACCGGCTTCAAGTCCACGAGGCTTGTTCGGCGGCGGGGGAAGCTTTGGCATTGGGCCTGATGGGGGTGGCTTAAGGGACGCACGTTGAAGAGGTGGAGGAGGACGGCCACCGATCTTTGGGGGAGGGACAATTGGCATTGGTGGACCTTCCGGTCGTCTATTTGGTGGCAGCTGACGTTTTCTAAGTTCTCGCGGTGGCGGAACACCCTTGATAGCCTTATGTTTAGGTGGAATCGGCAATGGTGGTCTTCTATCTCCATCCCTAGAACCGCCTCGGTGGGCCCCAAAGTCTTCTCGCTGAGGTGGTAGGAATTCTAGTTCACGTGGTGGAGCCAGCTTGCGCCCTGGAGGCGGGGCTGGCCTTCCGCGATCGAACTCAGGTGGTGGTGGACGCATAGCTTCACCGTCTCTATCACGTCCACCTGGTTGATGATCAAGGGTGTTCAGTGCACGAGGTCTAGGGCCTGGAGGTGGACCACCTGGTCTTCTTCTTGGGCTTGGTGGTGGAGGCCCTCCCTGAGGTCCATCCCTTGGTGGAGGAGATCCTGGGCCGCCTCGCGGAGGGCCATCATCTAGACCCTCTCGAGGACCATCCCTAGGACTGCCTCTAGGACCCGGTGGCAGTGGACCTCTATGACCGTCAAATTCTGGTGGCGGTGGACCACTTCTTTGTCTGCGTTCAAGTCCAGAATTCTCTGTATCATATCCAATATTAAATTAGTATCTCTAACCGTTCTCTCTGCAAATATAATGTATACGTGTTTATTAAATATTCCAAAATGTGCTTACCTCGACCGCCGACTACATCCACCAAACTCGCCTGCGCAACCGCAATGAGTAACGGCGCAATAACAACTGTAGAAACCTTCATCTTTCAAAGGATCAAAACCGGAAAGAAGATAAGGTCTTTTCGATTTTTAAAATATTACTAAAGGTCTAGTCTAAAGTCGAATAAAGAAAACAAAATAAAATTGAAATTGAAGAAAATGGAAAAAGATATATCGTTATCGTTTTTTTAATTGTCGTTAAAGGGGGGAAATACCAAGCGTTACCAGAACAGCTATGATAGATCCGACCAGCGGCTTGAGAATGGAAAGAAAAGGTGATGGTTGATGTTTTCGAATGCTATAGAGAGGGAAGGGAATGAGGAAGGAGTAGGCCCTGACTTCCCTTATATGCATTTCTTAGCGACGCATTTGGGAACTTTCTATCCGAGCTTCAACCAGAAATTCCCAAAAGGATAGTATTGCCAAAAGGAACAGATAATCCTGAAGCCCTATGTTTGGGCATCAATAGGGAATAGCTTGAAAGAGAGCATACGAATCATCTTCACTTTTTTGCGGAGGAAGAGTACGTATTAAGACATGCGGTTTGCATCTGTTACAGAACTTGGAGAAGATTTCATGATAATTTGGGCCATTTTAGAAAAACAAGCTTTCTTGTTAAACCGTTTCTGGAGCGGAATCGCCTGGTTTTGGTGTTAGATATTAGAAATTAGGACCCTTGATATCGGAGAATTCATGCGACAGGTTGTCCCATCCGAAAATTAGCTCTCTTTTTCCCAAAAAATCACAACTTCTAGGCTAAAGCTTCTTGAGTTCGAGAGAAAGAGTTTTCTAAAAAAGATATCCGAGTATTCGGGTTTTGGGAACCTGATATCTGTACATGCCAAGGCGGAGGTCTAACAGGTTGCTTGCGTATGTCAAGTCCATTTTTATTCCATCGACGGATATAATTGCATGAGTATATGGCCATGATTTGATTGTCAATTGCTAGAGATGCCTTTGATTTTGATATCGTGATAGAGGAAAAGTGGAGATTGGAGCCTCCAAGCTATGGTTTCTCAGAGGTCCCGTGAAGTTTTGTAAGATCTTGGCAGTGGTTGAGATTCGTCGTCCTCTTTCATGCAGCTATATGCATGCATCGCCAACTTCGACATGCTTCATGACCATTAATGTAATTATCGTACTTGCGAGTCCGAATCAGTTAGAATCCTCCACATCATCACCACATTCGCGAATATTTAGCCAAGAGCGACTCCTAGAGAGAGAAAGAGAGAGGTATGCATGATCCAATCAAATTGATTAACCCGACTTAAAATTACTCCGTGTCGAAGAAACCTTTCACATATATTCATTTGCGCGATTGAAGGTCTCAAGTCGCAGGCCGCCAAGGACGGGTATCCGGAACATACAATCCTGAAATGAACACGACGGTCGAAAGGTATCTCGGTCGAGCTCTTGGTCTTTCTCAGCATCTCACGGTCCGAACATCTTTCCAGGCCGGCTACGGGTTTACATCCTCCGGCTGGGCAAAAGAAACTTTCGAGCGAACAGGCCGATCGAACAGGCCGATCGAACGAGTTAGATGCCTAAAGCTAGGGCGGCACGGCAGCTTGTCCGATCACGGACCGAGAAATAGAGCACGAAAGAGCTCTCATCTTAAGGGAGGAGAAAGACCCGAGTTCTCGCTCGTCTCCGTTCGTTCGTTTGTTCAATAATATATCAGCCCATGTTGACCAAAAACGAACATACACGACAAGAACCCCCAAGCATTCTGACCAAGCATATCGTCTCAATCAATCATCTTAAACCCTGACCACCATTTTCAACATGCAATGCATGGTGTACTTATGTTCAGGGGGCACTTGATATCAAATTTCAAGGCCTGCCCGCTGGCAAACTCGAAATGCCGTCGCTACGGTTAAGCTTAATCTTTCGCCCCTCCACGCCCAGCATTTCGCCATGCCTATTGCTTGTTTGGCTAAATTAGCTAACCGAAATCAAGGAAAAAGTTGAGTGGAGACAGGAAAAGGATGAACACATAGACGCCTATTTTCTATGTGCACGCATGCTTTCCCCGCATCATCATTACGGAGCTGCATCTGCCAATTGGTGGTTTAAGCATGGGTTAATATAAGATTTTGGGGGGCTGCTTTGTTAACTATTGGCAAAAGTGGACAAGGCCCTGGAATTCAACCAGCAATTTTTGATACGTGACCTAACAACCACTACACCATAATATATCATAGGATTCTCAAAATTGGGGAGCTCGAGAGAGGAGAAGGAGGAGGGGAGGGAGGGGGAGGGAAGAAAACTGGTGCGCCCGGGCGAAGCATATATAGAGCCTTCCCTCTCGGACTCCCTTTCTCCTACCACATATCTCTTTCATGTAGTCTAGTTCTTCCAGCTTATATACCAAAGACTGACCTACGTACTAACCAAATTCGATTATTTTCATTATCGTTGTGGTCTTATGCTGGGTTGATATTAATCAGCGCGATACCGACGTAAAGCGCCTGGCCAGCCATAGCCGTTGGCGTCCGTCAACGTTATAACCGACTACAAATTCTTATACCCCGAATCGAATATACGTCTCATAGAAAAAATTATATTCATTCGAGTTGAATTTAAATATTTCAAAATATTTTTCTTTTCAATCTTCTCCATCCTTCCCACAGCTTCTTGCATATTTTTCAAGCATTCAAAGCCTCCCACATCAATTGGTGTCGACTGCCTCGAGATATCATAATAGGCAGGATCCCTGCAAGTACTATATCCAACACAAAGCTAGAACTCGAACTGGTATCAATATTATATCATGGCCTCGAGCTCGAGCATATCTGCGACTTCTACAGTTCTCAACCTCCCAGAACTGCTTTCTCCAATCCTCTTAAACCTTCCGTTCGAAGATATCCTTCGTGCTCGTCAAGTTTCCCAGCACTTCAAAAATGTCATAGACACCGATCCAGAGCTTCTCTGGGACACCTGGCGCAGTCCTACCCCTCCAACCTCAGCCCGCAAGCATCTCGCCTCTCAAATCCCTGCAGAAGATGCACCGTACACCAACGAAATCAGCTATTTTGAGCCATTCCGTCCGTTCTTCGAACGTACACTAATTAATATTGACGAATGGACCACAGAACCAAATCCAGCATCTCCACCACTTCGTATCCTTCAAAAACAATTTATTAGAAAGTCACTGGCAGACTTTATTGCCAAGAACGCTGAAAATCTGGGAGGCTTTTACATTACTCGCCCTCCACTCAAAAAGATCGAGTCGAGCATCCGGGTTATAACAGCCACATCGGGTCGTCGTTCCAGTCTTCAGAGTACCTTGGATAAAGGTTTCACAATCACCAATGAATCGGGAATTACGGTGGATGGTTATTTGAAAGCTCTACTGGATTGTCTCGAGACAAGCTGGGGTCATATCACTTTCGTCCAACCTCCTCCTCCAAAGTATATCCCACCAGGCGAAGAAACCGGTGATTTTATGGCAAATCTCAGAAGGAAGCATCGTCTGGAAGCCACACTTTTTACTATGAAAAAGGAATTCTACGACGAAGATGACGAAGCTGATGAATACTATGAAATTGATGAAAACGGTGAAAGAAGGAGGAAGCATAGGTTGACTAGTCGAGAGGAATGGGAAAAGGGAGCCATGAGTTCCACTCTAATCATCAAAGTCCATTATACTGTTCTACCAGAGCCGGTCAAAAAGGAAGGTTTGTTGACCGGATTGTGGAAGAGGGTTTTTGGATGACCACATGCCCTTATTCTTTGCATTCATATTCTTTGCTTAAACGGGTGGGCGTATTCCTCTTATTATCCTTTTTTTTTGGGTTATTTTTTATCTATTCTTTCCTTCTGGCATTTTCAGCGATGGTCTAATTACTGGGTTACAACTAATGGGTTTCTTTGTTTCTCTCCTTTTTCTTTGATGGGTTTTATTTTTTTTTTAACTGGGATTTAATTCTTTTTATACTTGCTGGACTTTTCCGCAGAACGGCGTTTAACGAACGACAGACACTAGGTTATTTCAGCACGGACGGCATTGCTTTTTCTTCTACCTAATATCAAGGAAAGTCGCTGGGTTCTATGTATTTGGTACTTTGCTGAAATGAGCTAGTACTCACAGCCCTGGGGACTTTACACTTTCACGCAAGTCTCCTTATCGGAGACTACATGTACTCTACTCTGAACAAATAGCGTTATTATTACTATTACTATTCTTAGTGACCGCCTAGGTGGGTATTCAGGTACTTGTCAATAATACATATTCCTCATTCTTATGAAACTACTAGCAGTCTAAATTCGTCACTACGATAAAACTACACCGTCATGTGCACAAAAAAAGGAACCTGTCTCAATCTGTATCTTACCTAAACGGCCAGGCTATTTGGGGATCTCGAGAAAGAAAGAAAGAAAGAAGAGGGAGGAGGATAGGGATAGGGATAAGGAGAAGAATAAAAGATCGACTCAAAACCCTCAAATCTCGATCTCAATATACCTATCATTGTTCCCCGACACTCCCCATACTCAACCGCCTCCTCCGCCCCTTAACCTTCTTACACTCCCCCTCTAACTCCTCTTCTAACCTTCCTTCCTCCCTCTCCGGCTCTATGAATTCAATGCCCCTAACCCTCTCCCCATCGATTACCTCCGCTTCATTCTCCTCTTCTCCCTCATCACCGCTACTCTCACTGCTCTCGCTACTACTCTCCTCATCAACCCCATCTCCCTCCACCAACTTCGGGATCCAAACCCACATCATCACCGCCACAATCGTCAACCCCACCCAGGGAATAGTAGTCCACCCGCTACTCCTCTGTCCCAAACTAAACATCCACCCAAAGGAACTAGGCCCGGCAGCCCTCCCCATTGCCGCAGTACTAGTAGCAAACCCATTAAGAGTTCCAAGAACCCTTATCGAACTCGCTGTATTTGTAATCAATATGGTCGAACTAGTAAATGCAAAAACTCCTGTAATCGATTTCAACAAAATAATAACCGACCAGGATGCATATAACCATTTTTGGGAGGTGATTGGTAAAGTGTATGGTGTTACGAAGTATATAAAAGGATAAACCGCCGCCGATACCGCTAGGAGTTTTACACTACCGTAGTGTCTGGCTATGGGTGGGTATAATAGGAATTGAAGTAACATGGTGATTATAGCGTTGACGGAATAGATTAATCCGATCTGGGCAGTTGATAAACCGAAGCCTCCTGGTATATGGAAGGGGAGTCGAATGGGGTCTTTGGCATTCGGTGGCTTGGTAGAGAAGAAAACTGGAAGAATTGAATCATAAGAGACGACATGGATGGCGATTAGGAAATAAAGAACAATGTTGTAAATCGATTGACGCGTTAGAACTTGAGACCATGGAAGTGGTGCGTGCGGATGGTGGGTGTGGTGGGCTGCAGGGGAAGAGGATTTAGTTGTGGAAGAATAGTTGTTAGACTGGGATGCCAATGGGGCTGTTTCTTCGTCTTCAGGTATAGGCGAGTGTTTGCGTGCCGGCTCAGTAGAAACAAACCAAGTAAAAATAGAGGATAAGAAAGCCTCGATTTTCTTGCCGACTTCGCGACCGGGGTCATAACGGTGACGATGGCCCACAAGAGTTTCCTCGAGAAATAGAGTCCCGAAGACGAGAGCCATGAAGAGTATCGCCGCCGTAAAGATATTCGGAAGGGCAAACGGGTGCCGGTCGAAGAAACTACCTTGCGGGAAAATTGACGGGTAGTTCTTGGCGGGTTCACTAAGGAAGCCACCAATAATCGGACCAGCTATACTTCCTATGCTCCATGTTAAGGGGAGTAAACTGAAAGCTTGAGGCTGAAGTTCTCGTTCAGGGACTAATTCTGCAACCACGGTTCGCAAAATACCAACGTTGCCATTCAGAAATCCAATACAAGATCTTGATATCATGGCCATTGCAATGCTATTCGAAAATCCGAATACAAGAACTGACGAGAGCATGCCCAATATACCGCACAAAATAGCAGGTTTTCGACCTATACGATCACTGAGACGGCCCCATGCAATTCCCGTCATACATTGTGCTACCGAAAAGGAGGAAGCTGTGAGGCCTGTTTTTAAATTAGTGTTAATCTTTTGTTAGAAAATACTCCTCTCGATAATTAATAGCAGGCCAATAACAGACAAAACCCGACGACATACCAACCCAAAATCCGACATCTGGCTCTGGAACGCCGAAGCTACGAACCATCTGAGGAAGATATGATAGGATGCTCGTCAAGCATATCGGCTCTGATAGACGACATATTACTTTATTCGAAAACTCGAGGTTAGTAAAGCAGATGCCGCGGCTAAATGATAGCGAGAAGAGCTACTCACCCAGGACTGACAACTGTTTAAACGGCAACTTTGGGTTCGGTCTCTCATCCTCGCGGACTATTAGAGGGGTAGATTCATCTGACGGCATCTTCGGCATCGTACGTTTCTCTCGTCTGCTCCCTTCTACTTCCTTCTAGTCGTCAACAGAAAGCGATTATCATAAACTCATGGAAGCCGAGAGCTGTGAGTCAGTACAGTGGTGTATAAAAAAAGGCGTTGTCGTTGGGGAAATGCAACAGAGCGGGCGATTTCTTAGTCAGCCGAAGATGGTGTAGTTACGGGAACCTCGGATAAAAAAATTTAAAGCTTCAAGGGACCTCAATCTATGAGTCTAAAAGGAAAATTCTGTAGATGGTCTAAAAACTCTTCTATCTACAATTCCCGATCGGTCATGAAAATAATATTAATAATGAAGAAGACAAATCGCCTTCGCGAAAAAGTTATCAATTTTTACGCAGCAAACTTTCAACTTTTGTTACGTTTGATGTTGGATGATTGGGGGTGCATGAAGCGAAAAATAATTCAGTGGCGAAAGAAAGCGGGCGGGTTCGAAGTATTTAAACCAACTGCAACGGAAGGAAAAGATGTAGCATCGTGCACGTCATGTGCTTCGGGCAAGAAGATCTTTGAAGAATGTACCCTTCTTCTTCCCATTTTCGCCATGGAGCGGAGGGTTGTAGCGCACTAGACCGTCATGGTCTCCTTCGAAATCCTGACCGAACTCGACAAACAGCAACGGGTCGTCTCTAATATTGACTTTCCCTGGCCAGACTCCACTGATTAAGCATCTGAACCAGCCTTAAGCCTGGACAGGCGACAGAAAGGGTGTTAGTAGCAGCCCTTTCCGTGTGCATAAAAGGTATGCAAGTGCTCGAAAGTTGGGCGGCGGGCAGCTAGGGCTGGAGGCCAAGATCTGACATGCAGCTAGTATGATTGGTCGTTTAGTGCTCGGTTAATACTCTCCTGGCTGCCAAATTCGATGTTTATGCAGAAGGTCGAGTATGGCTTAAGTATCAAGATATGCATACTCTTATCACATTAACATGTTTTCGGCTTTTGTAATATATACATGCATTGAGCATACACACGGCAGAATGCTTATCGATTCTGATACTATACTTTATCGTTATAATATACTTGGTCTGCCTATATTATTACTTATTAGCGGTACTTCAAGACAGATCAAGGAAACTCTGAGGCAGAAAACACCAAAGACGATGGTGCAATCCTCAGATGAAACATGGGGATCCGCAGAGCTCCCAGGTGGAATACGATAAATCAACTGTCACCTGCACATTTTTTCTGCCGTGCGAGGGCTAATGGGGTGGGTCTCGCAGTGTCTATTATGCATATTAAGTCAGCGGGACGGGATGGGATTCCATGAAACGTCCAAGCGAACCGATCGGAGCTTAAATTCGAGTTGGAGGTACCTAGAAGATTTGCACATGTTCACGAGTTCGAAAATGCAGTCGTCGCATTATAATATGATCACTATACCTCATTTCTCATATTTCCAGATGTCGAAGAGGAGGAGAGGTTATTGATATCTTGGTATCAAAAATATATATCTGGTTATGAAATTTATTATGCACCGGTCGCATAACTGTTTAGGGCCCGCAAAGGGTTTAGGTTCAGCTCTTAAGCTAGGGCTGTCGTGTACTCTTCTGACGAAATAGTGTCCGCCGGATTAAATAGAGATCTTCTGGCCATTTCTTACAGGGACTAACTATGCTAACATAGTGTCTTGAACATTGTTCGAATTAGCTATCCGGTCGGACTCAAGGCTAGAAGGATTTTTTGAATATTGCATCTTGGGCCGCAGCTGAAAGGTTCCCTTGCTAGCTAACTCACTGTAGCATTAGTGGGCCCTAGCTTCATATAACATCACGTCGTTTTTTTTGCTTATAATCCTCGGACCAGTCCCAGATTTCTAGGAAGATCGAATCAGCTTAAAATTCTTACTTTTTATTTTTTTATTTTTTTATATTTTTTTTTATCAGCTAATTCAGAGCTTCCGGGTGTCTTCGAAGTTGCTTAGATCACTTCGAATTCTGTTGCCGCTGTTGGTTTCCTAGAAAAGAGATGTCTGCAAGGAGTATTCTGGTGAGAAGACCCAATTCATGTCGGAGCAATGAAAGCAAGGATGGCACTGCATTCCTCTTATATCACGCAGGATGTGGGCTATGGACCTTTCGCGAATTTAACTATAAAAGAAGGCTCTTCGGACAACGTTAACCCTCATTTAATCAATGCATTGGGATATCCTCTTACAAGACCAATATACATACTTGATAAATATTAAAACATCTTCACTTTCTGTCAGCTATATATATATAGCTACGCAGATGGTTGAAATTTGCCAGAAGTTAAATCCACGTAGACTACGTAACGGTCTACCTATAAATGTCACACAATTTATACGAGCAAACGACTTTCTCGACCTTTTGTATATTGTACACTTGTCAGCGTTTACAAGCACTAATAATTTACTGTATTGGAGTCGAAGAAACATGTTGTATTACTTGCTCTAACTATTGTATCCCGATATGGTCCCTGAATGTCTAAAAGAATTAAAGATGGTCGCCAGATAGACCAATATCTCGGAGCTAAGATCTATAAGACACAGCCTGACGCGGGAAGATAAGCCAGCCAGGGAGGCGTTCATGCACCACGGGACCCATAATTACTTATCTTGCATGAAAGGGAGATTCGATTCGATTCCCGCACCGGCCGGCTCGAATCGAAACGAGGATTCTGTGGTGAGGGGTTTGGTTGGTTCGCTAAAAACCCTCCAATTACTTGGTTATAATTCGTTCTTTTAACCTTCATTGGACCCTTCTTTCTCCAGATTTCCGTCCCAAGTTCATAGACGGCTAACGGGTCGTGGTTTTGTTAAATACAATTGGATGAGATGGAAATGGATGTATCATGATGGTGATAGTGAAAGAAGGTTGTTGTTACAACGTTATTGTTTTTGACGCACCCAACACGAGCAACACGAACTGCTCAGCCAAAGCCAAGGCAGCGAACATAATGCAATAGCGAATATATGTTAACGCAAATCTACAAAATCTAATCGATGAAACGTTCACACTAAGGCGAGTATACATTGGCTACGCCTAGGCAACTATGTAAAATATGTATATATATTGGGAAATTAGGGATCGATGGCGACAAATACTGGAACTGCATTAATAGCCAATAGCTAGTATATATAGTCCCCGCTCGGACAAGTTAAGCCAAACGTCAAAAGTTTTAAACTGTAGTAATATAGGCTCATATATTGACCAGTTAGGAGGAGAAGACTCAATTAATATAGCTAGTCGCATCATAGACCCTGGCTGAGTTTATCGAAATATATGATTCTTGGGTATGCGCGTCGAGGTTTTTTCTTCTTCTTCTCAAGTTTATGGCTATTATTTTATTCGATATATAGCACAACAGATAGAATATGGCCATTGGCTTGGCGGGTTTACCGAATTCGCGAAAGCGTCTGGAAAGCTACTGGGGTTTATCACTAAGCTCTTCCATTATCACACCTTTATCGATCTAGTCAGAGAATAATGTTGCAAGGCCTACGTAATTAGTGTATAGAATTGTTAAGTAAGCTTCACTAACCTTGAGACCTAGTCTCGGCTTGAGGCTTAAATTAATTATACGTATATACGTATTTAGTACCATGTATGGTGGTTTGATTCTGGTAGAAGTCTCATCATATCTCGCCTTGCATCTCAATCTAGACCGATACCGTGTGAGAGTTCTATTGAGCCATGATTGAGAAGTAAACAGCCATATTAACTATTAGATATGATGCTGTTAATCTGCTGCCAGAATAGAGGAGCTTTCGTAAGTTATACTAAGTTGTCTATAATGAAATTCTAGTCTCTTTCACGCAATCTCATATATACAAGACTACACCGGCCGGCTTGCTGGCAGAAAACACTGAGCTTACATGCTTCCGCACACAATAATACAACCATAACAGTAGATTCTTAAATCTCCCCTGGAAGTGATCAGAGACAAATAACACGAGATAAATATCTATGTGAACCGCATAGATGTCCCTTCGCCTGACCGAGTGAACACTATCACAGGTCTCGGACCTCGAACTCCACTAACAAACCCCACTTTTTTAATACGCCACCAGGACTTTACCCAGCCTTATATAACAGCCATCGCTCTAGCGACATAATACCTTAATCCGATCGATCTTAAACTTCCCGGATCCCAGTTCCAAACCTTCAAGGCATTAGCGGCGGAAGTCGATCTGTCGTTTATCTTTTATGCCTTAAGCTTATGAACCCAGTTCCTGCACGGCGTATATCTATCTCGTAACATCTCCCTGTATTCGGGGACATTCCTAGAAGGTCCTCCCAAACATTCGAGTTCCCCGGCCCGGTATACCCCAAAAAAAAGGGTTTTTCTTAAAACAACTGTTTGTTCACACTTGGCACTAGGCACCCTCCCGGGGAAAGATCTGCATTGAAGAACAGAAACCGTTGGAGATATCATTTTTTTTTGATTCTTGAACAATCCTGGATAGACGGAATAGAGTATTGGAGCCGAGCCGTTCGACGAAAAAATTTGTGTCGGTGAGCGCATTTCCGTTGTTATTTCTGTTGTCTAATACCGTCAGTACCCATAACCTTGTCGTATTCCCAACGGGATAGATTGAAATAAAAGAACATAAGTGGATCCCACTCGAGATCGAGATCAAGAAGCTAGCTGAAGAGAGGGGAAGGAAAGGAATACGAGAATATTCCATTAATTGAAGGCAGTTCAACCCGAGATGCAGATTTCCATGGATCCAAAGCATGCAGATGGCCAGATGTCTATCTAAACATCACGGGATTAATTGGTAGGGGGCGGGATAGATATCACACGATATTTACATACAAAACATTGAGGTGCATTAGATCTAAACAAAAAGTTAAAATTTTGATAAGGGCAATGTAATCTTTAGTGTCGATCCCCGGGTAACGGATCGAGGCTGATCCACTGTCCGTTATGTACATCGCAGAATGCTTCCAACCCAGGAAAGAAGGCGGGCATGTATGAAACATTCGAAACAAACTGCAGCTGTCATCATTTTTTTGTTTATCTGCATGCACGTACATACGTACGTAGTATACTAGCGTAGACGTCTGAAGCTATTAAATTCACCGTGCACACGGCGTTGGGTTCTGTAACAACATGGATGTTCCCGGCCCGTCAATTTTGTTCGTTTAAGGAACAAGAAAAAGAAAAGAAGGACTTAAGGAACGGAAATGAAAGGGCAACAAAAGGGGATTCAGTATTCGACTTAGTTATATCATTAGGTAAAAACTTCAATATGCAGACCTTGAGCTGAACGGCCTCGTACATGCCTATCACTGAAACAAACGGTCCTCCGTGTGCGAACTGCTGCGTTGCTAGTGTGGTAGAATAACCCCCTGTGCTGACCAGGTGTGCCATTTAGATTTAACGGATTTTAGCTATTCACGCATTGGCCTTCGCACCTGTTCATCTGAATAGAGTTATATTCCAGACCCTTTAGGAATGGCTTCAATACAGCCACGAGTTATCTTCTTCGAGATAAGATTGAGGGTAAAAAGAAAGGAAGGACGGCATAACATACCTCGTCTCGACTTGCATAAGTATAATTACAGGCATCATTTGCAAAATCTGCAAGCCAAAAAATCTTTAATGTAATGCTTCGGCGTTGGAGCCGGTGAACTGATGTCTCAGTCTTCTAAATGTGACACAGACCAATCAAGGCCGAGCTGTGTCATACATGCCAGGCGCTAGTTTTGCATCTCATCTGCCCTGAAAGTTTGTGATACCCACGCTTAGATTCGATCGTGAGGTATATTTGTTGATGCATATTGAATTCAAACGAGGCCAGAAAGGTCAGTGCTCTCAAGCCTTAACGGACTAGTCAAGGATTCGAATCAAACCGGAGACTAGCTCCAGCCAGTTATTTTATCTGGTATTATCAGACAAGGATTAGGTATCGTGATATCAAAATGAACTTGTCACATATTAAATAAACCGGATCTAGCCTAGGCTATCTTATCAAGATTCCTTCAACTCGGTTCACAAGCTAAAGATTTGTGCAACCATAATGACTAATCACATCAAGGCGGGCCCGAAGATGTTTTCGCCTAGGGAGGTTGCACTCGAGCAACTGAGGACCCACTTGACGCCTGACAGGGCCTGAATGTGATGACGCACAAGTGCGGAGTATATCCTCTAGTGGCTAGAGCGAATAAAAGAAGAGAATGATACCATTCTAATAATTCGTGTATGCTATGAAAGAAGTTGATGAAGTACAATGGTAAAAAACCTGATAGAACGAAAAACTAGAAAACACGGCCCACAAATTCGAGTTCATTCCAAGACACAATGGCTACGAGGCTGCATGCGAGAATGATGAGACAAGAAAGAGAACAAACAAGGCGCTCAACAGTTTTGAGCTAGCTTTTGCGAAAAAGAAAAAGAAAGAAGGACGGAAGGAAAGGAAGGAAAGGAAGGAAGGAAGGGAAAAGTATGTACTGAGTAAGAGGGGAACGAGAAATGCAACCGGGTATTCCAAAGGCAATGAAGAAAACAGCAATAAGGATAGTTAGTAAAGTAGGAAAAAAAGTGTATCCAAATCCAAACCCCAGCGACCCCAGATTTTCCCCCCAATCTTCAAAAAAAAAATAAAAAATAACCAATTAATCAACCGACTTGTGGCTGGCCTTCCTCTTCCCATCGTTGACCTCTCTTTTCGTCTCATTGACCTCTATCGACGATCGCGGAAGAAGGCTATTGAAGCTAAAGTTCCTCAATGGCCCACCATTCTATGGTGGACTGTTGTTTCTGCTTCGCCCAAAGAAACTTTTGCGATGCGATGAATGCCTCGAACCCGGTCGATCCTCGTCTGATGATTTGAAACTCGTCTTGAACGTAATATTCCCAGCACCAACCGGAATGACAGTCTCTGAGGGTGACGAATTCTCATTCAGAATTAACAAACCTTCACCAAGTTTCTCGTCCTTTCCGGGAATTCGCGAGTCGTACCAGACTTCGACTTTAAAGGTAGTATCTGGAGTACAGGTATATTGTACCTTTTCATCGTTATGCCATTCGATAGAATTGCCATGGAACTTTTCGGTTGAACTTTTCAGGATATGCTTATCCTTGCCTTGCGGGATAACATGGACTCGCAGCTTCTGGCCGTCTTTGTATCCAGTGGCTCTGACAAGAGTGATATGTGCGAGGCCTGTATCAGGAAGAATGCTGGCACCGCTGATGCTCTTCTGACTTCTGTGGCTACCATATGGGTTGAGATTCACAGAGTCCCTATTCATAGAGTCCTTGCCCATAGAGTCTCTGTTTGGGGCTCCCATTCTCGGGGGCGAGACGCTACCGCTGCTGCGGCCGTCGTCCACGGATGGTTCGTTGACAGAAATACTATGAGAAAAGCTGCTAGAATCTTCCTCTTTTTCCTCCTTGTCTTTTTTGCCACGGCCGAAGACATTCTTGCCAACAAAGGAAGCTCCCTTAATGACACCGCCGCCAACTTTCGTAATACCTTTAATTGGTGCCCCAGCGACGTTCGTAACAATCTTACCAGGGACCGCGAAGGTGCCGCTGAATGTTGCAGTAGTATGTCTTTGGCGAACGACGTAGTCGGGTGTGAAAACGAAGCCGAGGCGGATGGACCCCGACTTCCCGTCTAGAGGAACAGTGGCAATGCTCTTGGTGAATGGCTGGACCTTTGTTAAGTCAATATTAGCAGCCCCAAGGAAGTCATCCTAGGCAGAGTTAGCTTAAAGTCCTATAGGTAAAGGTAAAACTACTATGTAAACGTACCTCACCAGCAAGATCCCAATCGTAAACCTTGCATTTGAATTCGGCAGCAACTTTGGACGGGATCTGAACCTGGAAGAACTCGTTCCACGCGGGATGAAGAGTTTTCTTCTGGACTTCAGTTTTGAACACCTTGTCTCCATTGAGCTCAAATATGACATATGGATCGCTCTTTCCGTTGCTGTCAGCTGCCGGAAGATCTGATCCATCCAAAACGTCGACGCGGAGAGTTCCCATATTTGTAATACTTTCTCTCTCGTCGAGCTCCATGAGAACAGGGATGTAGTTGAGAGTTACATTGACCTTGCTGACGCCATCTTTGCCCCTCAATGTTAGGGTAGTGGGTTTAGATAGACACTGTTTGAGGATTCTAAAAGTGTCTCCCTTAAGTTCTGCGATGATATCTTCCTTGCCGTCACCTTTATCTTTGTGGTGCTCTACGAGTCTGAGGGTAACCTTGGAGAATTCGAGTTCTCGGACAAAAGCGTCGCCAATCTCATCTACTTTACCCTTCTTCGTCCGGATCTTCGAGGATACAAAAGCTGGGAAAAGGAAGTCGTCCATCCTAAGCTGAAGGTAACAGTCGCGCTCTGTAAGATCCACATCGTGAATTCTGAAAACAAGTAGACCGGAGTCTATAAACAGTTAGTATCTCTAACAAAAGGGTTCGGAGATTGACATACTCTTAGAGAGCAGCTCGTCTGGTGTTAGCTTGATAGCCTCTGATTTCTTCTTCTGCGGCGCAGCGCCCTCGACTTCTTTCTCAGCAGCCTCCAACATATCAACTTCAGACCCAGCAACTGCTGGGGTTGTGGGAGTTGCGGCCTTGACTTCGAGGTCTGGGTCGGCTTCTTCAGCAGGTGACTCTTCCTTCTTCTCGGGTTCAGGTTCAGCGACGTTCATAGTTGGGTAAAAGGATACATTAAAGAAAAGAGTTCCCTTCTGTTGCCTTGATCGGTCCAAAATAAGGGGGACGGCTTGCTCTTTTCTTTCTGTATGTGCTAAAAACTCGCCCTCAACTTCCTCACTTTCCTTGATGTATGGGCCAACATCGAAATCGTATTGACCAAGTGGCCTATCCTTCCCGAGCTTTTCGTAATCCAGGACTTCAAGAGTAACTTTTTCACGGTTACTGTGGACAGGAACATAAAGAATTTCATCCCATTGTGGGTTGAGATCTTCCTCGAATGTAACGGACTTAGCCTTCTCAATGCCAGATAGGAGGATTCGAACATATGGATCTGATTTTCCAAGTTTTTCGACGTTACGAAGGTCCTTCGCGCGAACCAAATGGATACGGAGAACACCAATCGGCTTGATGTAACCACCGTCAGCACCAAGGTCTCCCTTCAGTGCAACCGGTCTCCACTGTGCCCTGATTTGGACCTTGCCAGTCTTGACACCGGAAAGTGGGAACCAGTCCTGTCCTTTAGCGGTTGCGTCGAGCATGTCGTTCAGTTTGAGTTGATAGAAACCAATTGTTGGATCTTCTGCTAAGTCTCGGGAATCCTTGATCATCAGACCAACTTTGCAGTGTGCCCTGTCTTTAACAATAATTTCGGTATGCTCTTCCCAGATCGGGTCGTTGCTTCGCTTGACAACCTTTGTTTGCTTGATCTTCTTGCCGTTGATAACAAAAGTAGCGTATGGAGAAAGCTGACCGATCATACTCTTGGTGTGATCCAGCTCCTTGGCTCTATGGATGGTGTATCTTAAGATGCCAGTATTCATTTCAGGTACGAGTTCAGTAGTGCCATCAGCATTCTTTGCACCTTCGAGCACTGGGAAGAAGCGGAAGTCACAGGTGATGAGGCCTCTGTTCTTTCCATTAGCAATGACCGGAAGTTGGACATTTTCCTGCTCCGGTTGACCATCTTCAAGGCTCTTAAGTGTGAATGAGGCAACGCCAAGTTCTTTGTCCTTGCGAATGTCGTTATAGTCAAAAACTTGTAGCCAAAGAGCATCGTTAAACGAGGTAATGATGAGATAAATGGTTTCATTCCACCTTGGGTTTGCGTTTTCTCTCTTGGTATGGGTCTTCGCGAGAACATCTCTGCCGTTGAAGCAAAGAGCAACATATGGGTCTGGGGTACCTGAAAATTTATCTGGATTCTTCAAACCTTGAGCGTTATGGATCGTAACGGCGAGGATACCAATAGCTGTGTCGACGGCAGCTCCGGCAAGCATCTGTGCGATATTGAGAGTGAAGACATGAGGAGCATAGAACATGGGTTTGAGATTGGCGTGAACCATATCTAAAATGAAGGTCTTTAAACCGGGCATGAGACCAATATCCAAACCAAGGAGATCACCACCAAGGGGCTTGCAGACAAAATCGAGTCTTGGAGGCTGCAAAAAGCAGACATCGACCTTCTCGATGTGAGGGAAGTTAATTTGAAGCTTGATCTTAACCTTCATTTCTCCAGAGCAGGCGAAATCCTCGACGATCACGGGGAGACCCTTGCTGGCAATACCCTTTCCAACACGAATCTCAAGAACAATCTTGGGGTTAATTCTGCTCTTAAGCTGCATCGAAGTCATATCAGAAGTGTCATTCGGGTTGAAGCTGAATTTCCAATCCATCTCGACAATGTCATCTTCGGTTTTGGGGTACGATCGAACATGCTCCAGCCTTGGAGGTTTGGTTCCCATGGTGAAAGTTTCCAATCGAAGGCTGTCTAAGAATGCGGGAGTGGCAGTAGAGAGGATTTGATCGACAGTATTGACAACGGTAGCAGCTAAGACAGGTTGGTAAATTGGCCAGAACTTGAGGATGAAGTTGTTGATCCACTCGAGACTCTCTGCGTCGGTAGAGAGTCTTTGAAGTGCAGTCTCTCTAATGAGATCATCACGAATATTTCGGCGAAGGCGTTTGATAGAAGTCCTATAGTATGTCATGCAAATTGCACAAACGATGATAACCCAGGCGATACCGCCACCGAATAAAGCAACGATCCAGCTCATGACACAAGCGCCAATGATGATTCCCGCATTATGATACCAATCTGAAACGGCGAACAAAAATGATTATTAGCGCTCTCTACATCAATTGACTGAATAGACGTCAACCTACCTCCGAAAAACTTATCCTCGAGTCTCTTTTCAAGCCAAGTTGTTTTGTCAATATCAAGCTCGTCGAGAGGGAGACCAAAATTAGCGCTCTCATCGACTACGGCTCCAAATCTTGGAGCCCATCCTGTTCGGCTCCATTCGCCGTCACCGGCCTTTGGGTGTCCATTTACATAACCGTCGGCTGGCTTCTCGCCCTTTTCTTGTGACTGTGGGCCGGCCGCTGGTTTGTCGGATTTAGGTGTTGATGCGTCCTAGGTTTCTGTGAGCTATGACGTCCGTTCGGAAGGCACGATGCGGCAGTGGGTTACTAATGATAAGAATACGTACGGGATCGATGATAGCAGCAGCTTTTGTACTCGGTTGAAGCTTGAGGCCCTCCGGAATTGCCTATGGGGTTCATTAGCCACAACGTGTCCCAATTTTTCGATAGAGAAAAAAAAAAAAAAAAAGGAAAAGAAAGATAGTTAGCATACCTTGCGAACCTCAGCTGCCTTTTCGGCCGGTGTTGCATTGGGATCAAACTTGAACGCTGGAGCCCCACCATCGATGGCCTCGTTCTTGATAGCTTCCTGAATAACTTCTCCCGACATTTTGACTTCTTGTGCTCTTGAAGGAGTGTCAGGAGGAGTAGCTGGAGTTTCTGGAGGAGGAACTGGCACTGGAGCTGGGGTTGCCATATTGCCGTTAGGCTCAACCCCGAATTGGGTTGAGAGGTTGAACGGGAAATTAATTAGTGCTTCTGTGGTCTTTTCTGCCGTAACACGTCGGAACAGTTAATTGCGGTTATGGACTGATAATGGACTGGTGATATAGATTGATGTCAAAGAGGAAGTCCTTACTCTTTGTTCTAGTCTGGGATATAAGATATGAGTATGGTCGTGGATTCTTCTTTGTTTCTGCTCTTTGAGCTTGTGATGTTGCTTTTGCTAGCTGTGATTATTGTGGGCTGAGGATGCCTCTCTAATTTTAATTGTGACGGAACCAACCAACTGAGAAACACCAATTTGAAGACAGATAGGCGGGGGGACTGGGCATCAAATAAAAACACCACCACAACTTCCACACATATCCCCGGAGAATTGATTTGATCCCAAATTGATATCTTCCAGGGCCTCAATAGCGAACTTCAAATTAAGGAAAGGCCACAGTAACACCTTGCTCTTCCGATGGTCGACGGACTAACTCGTTCGATTCAGGAATGTAGGCTCACACTAACCCTCCACCATGCCGGTCCACCAAATAGAAATCCACGCAACTTGGCCCCCGCACGACACCTACTCGATGTACGCCGTCTAAATAAGTGGGCAGATAACGGATGCAGAGATGCAAAGGCTTAATAAAAAAAACTCAATTCCTGTGCGCGCGTACATACATACAGAAGTGCCGACGGTGGGCTTGATATACAACCACAATGAACCAGGCAGACGTCTGTGAACTGTGTTCAGGCTCGTTAAATCAAGATCTTGGTTGGTCATGGCTTCCGGCGTCCAAGGATTTCGGTCCCACAACCCTGTTCATACTTTTCTGTACCTCGATCGTCTTTTCCGATCTGGTATGCCCGAACTTTCTTCCTTCCTTCATGTGCTACGCAATCTTAGTACACCGTACTAAAGAATTGTGTATGGACAGACGACAGAATGGCTGCATGCTTTGGTTGGTACTTTCATCCTACTGCAGCAGCAATTGGGTGGGAGGTGGGGAAATAAAACCCGAATCTATTGTCTAGATCCGCTGTTGAATTGTTGGGCTATACTTCTATCGATATGTCCCGCTTCAGCCTGTCCATGTCGACGCAATGTGCACATATCTCAGGTCTGCTACCCTTGTTCGTTGATGCAGCTTCTTCCCTGCAAGTTTGACGTAGACCGAAGTTGGTGGCATGACGAACAGCCGGTACTTCTACCCTTTAGTACTTTGACGCTACCTCAAGGTACCAGTTTCTGTCGCAAGAGGCTGGCGTAAGCCACACACTACTGTGCCTGTAGTCTGGAACATGCTTCGGTAGCTATCATTACCTCCGCCAATTGGATATCCCGACGACACCTGCAGAGCGAGTTATTTCTCTCACTTGCACTGAATATCAGTCATTTGTCTTAAGTCCGGCTTTAGTACTGCCTGGGCTCGCCTTGGACTCTACGTCATGAGCTCAAGTTTCACGTCTTTGTCATGTGATAAGACCACCTCAAAGTGAAACTTGTCGGGATACCACGAAATTTGGAAATTGGCATTCATGAGGGGTCGCTATCTAGTGCAGCTGTTGAAAATGGGACCTTCACCACTCTGATGGGTCCTTTTTAGTCAGCGTGTTGCGATTCGAGGCTAGGGGGCCTGGCCAAGGTCGAGCCGAATACCGAACACCCCGACCCTCGATTCCGCGGACAACTGAAGTCCACATTGTCGATTGGTTGAGATGAGGAAGTCTAATTCAGCTTAGAGCCCGCCATCGATTTTGTTACGTTGGCCTTCAAGTTTCAAAAATGCTCCATCCTTTCACAACTCAGCATCGGCTCCAGTCGCAGGATCCGGTAAATCATGCTTCTCAGTAACTATGGAATGGACCGGATGATACTGGTTCTACAATTGGCAATGTAGTGCCAGTTTCTTGAATGACTGTTAAATATGCCGACCCTTGTCTTTCATCTGGCGAACACATACGGCTGTATCTCGCGACGCCCGCGAAGGCCTGTTTGATTCGATTATAGTATCAGTGTTCGACGTTGGATGTTTCCCAACCCCGCACCATGGTCTTGATTGAGGTCATATATATCTATTCCTAAAATTCCAAGGCCTAGGAGCTAAATACGCCACATTGAGAATGGCAATTTATGGATTTATCAACCATTGAAGCAATTTCCCTATTACTCTCGTTGGATCTTTCCCTTAATATCGAAATCATTGGTGTCCACAAGAGTCCTCGTTTTTCGATTTCATAAATTCGAGTTCAATTTTGATGGAATTGACTAATGCACCCCACCTTTAAGAATCACTAGTACTGTACAATCAAGAGCCCCTAAACCTTTTTCAAACTAATATGTACTAATAAAACCCATATCTCCAAGTTCAGGTGTTAACTACAGTTCCAAAATGCCGTACGAAATTGATTCAAGAACCGGATTGATACATCAAGTTGAGATAGAATCGAGCCACAACAATGACATATACTCCGGATTCGTCTATCCAAATAACGATATGGATTCGACATTGCAGGACCGAGATTCATTTTCACGGAAGCTAATGTCTCTAATCTATAACGATTTTCAAAAAGATGACCAAGAAATTCCGGATAGAAAAGTATTGAGCCCTGCAGCTGTCGACCTTAATGAATCGCTCCTGCTTTCGCCACAAGAAGGAAATAACACAAACTCCACCGAGTTTGGATGCTCCAACCTAGTTGAACGGGAATACACGTGGCTTCGAAAAGTTTTTTTAGATATCCAAGCAGAAATCGATCAAAACTGGCCCATGCTTAATCATATCGCCAGCATTTGCAAAGCGTCGAGAATATATCATTGCCAAAGCCCAATATGCCAGGAGCACCACAAGCAACTTGACGATATACTCCCTCCATGCGACTGGCCGGCGTTCCGAGAATGGATAATCGAAGTATGTTCGTGCCAAATTCAGGCACCATACGCCGAAAGGCTTACACGTCCATATGTTCATCTTTCATGCGCAGTCCTAGCTATGAACTGGTTCTTAGAAGGAATAAAGTTGGTGAGATATACCAACGTAACGGCGAAATATATCAACCTCAGTGGCGAGAAGATACCGATAAATATGTATCCCATATGTGAGATTATCTATTGGGGAGTTAGTTTTCAAATCCACTCGGGAAATAGGATGTTTGGATATCTTGAGTGGGGAAACACTATGATACCACATGGTGTAGTTGCTCCCGCTTTGATAGAGTCGACGAATAAAGCACGCGAGCGTGGTATCTGCCTGAATCGACTCTGGAACGTTTCTTTGATTAGTGATAGAGGCGAGCATGACTTGCCTGCGATCATGAGCCTTGCTGCACGATATCCAAAGTTTCGACACAAGAGCCACGAATCCTGCACGGCTGGGTTCTGCGGGTTTAATACCGTCGATGCCACATATATTCGGCAACTCCATGTATGCGAGGGGGGCGTAGTAGGTCATTGCCGAGAGAATAGGTTGTTCTTTGATCCGGAACTGCTCAAAATATCGATGGCAAATGACGGCGGAACTGCCTGGTCCATCAACGAACCTTTAGAAGTTCTAGGTCGACACGCCGAATACGCTACCATTTCTCATGTATGGTCGGACGGAACTGGGGTCGGAATAGAGCCACCCGGTTACATAAATCGGTGCCTTTTCGAACACTTCGCGAAATTAGTCAGGCTTGCGGGCTGCAATGCAATTTGGTGGGATTCGATATCTATTCCATCAGACCCAGTACTAAGAAAGGAAGCGATCAATAATATGCATAACAACTATTTTAACTCGAAATGCACAATAGTACACGACAAATATCTAGCGGATTTCGACTGGGCTGAGGATGGAAGTCCAGCGCTAGCGTTGATATTTTCTCCATGGTTTACTCGTGGGTGGACAGCAGTAGAATGTAACATGGCCAGACGAATCAAAGTCGTCTACAAGAAACCAGGATCTAACGAACCCATCATCAAAGACCTCGACAATGATATTCTAGCTAAGGACCCCACACGCTGTTCGCGGGCTCATTGGATCGCGTCTAATATTATCCGCCGTCTTCGTGCGCCAATTGAAAGTGTTAGTAATCTCCTCGCCATTCTCAAACCTCGGAGCACCTCACAGCCCCGCGATAAAATGATGATTGCGGGACTATTGGCCGGTATTGAAGTCAGTTACTCAATGACGCCGGCGAATATCACGAAAGCAATATTCGAAAAGATTAAACACATCGCTCACTCAAGTCTTCTACATCAAGAAACATCAATATCTGAGTCTGGAGGGTGGTCATGGTGTCCCGATCATCTTTACGATCTACCAGCATCACCACCTGGTGAATTCAGGAGGCTCATGATGACTGGAAGATCTTGCATCATTGATAAAAATGGCACAATACTTGGCGAATTTCCTGCCAGAAGAGTAAATCGGGATGACTTCTTGCATCGCCGGGTCGTCCCTACATCGTCCCATCCGTTCGTTAGTTCCCGAATTAAAGCTGCCCTTGAAAATTGGCAGAACTGTTTATTGATTGGACACTACCCGGGGCCATACATACTGGTGGAGACTGAATTACCAAACGATGGATTCTACTCCAGACCAAACTACCTTCCATCGACGAACGAAGCCCTTTGCTGTAGGTACTTGGGTACTGTCAACGCCGTTGGGGACGAAGACATGTATTCGAACCAAGTATACGATGCCTTGGTTTACCATCCGATTATTATAGGCCGCGAGCCGTATATGACCTTTGGATTCAAGACGTTCTTGAAATTTCCTACACAGCAGGAGTTGGTTTATATGCCTGGAATGAAAGTTGCTCCGGCTCTCAAATGGGCTTTCTCCTTCAATCATGTTTGGATGGGAGATAATCCTATCTACGGAGATTTGTTAGTTTTACAGAGAGCCAAGGTCCCCCATCCGACATTTGGGGCACAACATATGGTTTGGAGTTATTCGGTGCATAACCTTGAAGTCAAGGAGACTTCTACAGAGATTTTTGAGATATCTATCAAAGAAGATCCATGTTTTACTTTAACCCCTGGCAAATACATCGACAAAGTATCGAAATGGTGGTCCGAGGAGACACCAAACTTCAGTTACGTCGACATTGCACAATATTGGCCAGCTCTGGGCATACGATCTAATGAAAGGGCGATGAGACCTAATTTTACCCGAGATGTACGAAGCCAGGGAGATGCAATTCCATCGGAGAATTTGTTCCGATTAGACTTCTTATCAAGAACGATCACCTACGCTGCTATCGATAACTCATTAACAGACCCTTCTAACCCCCAATCCCTCTCCGGAGTATGGGCATGTAAGTTTATAACTATAGATCAAATTTCCCAGACCTGGCCACTGCTTATTCATCATTGACGGGACTTTGTAGGCATATATCCTGATGGAAAGTACGAATTTCATCTTTTCGATCAATCCAAAAAAGATGACTTGAGTGTCACCAAAATCACAAGCATTACCAGGAATGTTCCTCGAGGTTATAGGGTTTTGGACTCAGCTAGTGATCTTCTACCAGGATCACCTGACCTAAAACTCGGGAAGGTTAGACAAATGTTTTGCACTCGTAAGTGAATAATACCATCCCTTGCTCTTGCTCGCAAAGCGAGGATAATAACACGCTATGTTACAACTCTATACAGACCCCAAAGACTCTATGAATATTGTCGACGATACATGGATATATGTCGGGATTATGGTTCGGGATTTGGATACAATCGATCTATGCGAAGTTCGGGGACTGAGGAATGTCGCTGGCCCAGAATATTTTTGGAAATATAGACGTGTTCCCAAGGCACTTCTATTTGGTGGGCGTCCTTTCTATATGAACACTCCGGTTGAGGCTGTTGAATCACCGGTTCCAAGCTGGCCGTGGCGAAGTATCAATTGGTTGGGCTTTTTACTAAGGAACTTAATTCGTAATTAAGAATTTATAGACCATACAAGAATTATTTTGGAGAAATTTCCCTATGGTCTGAATAAAAATTTACGTATATATCTTTAACATCCCTATACATAATCGTAAAACAACAGATGAAGCGCTGTGCTGAACTAAAGAAAATCGTGAAAAGCTCGGTCAACTAGCTATTTTCATAACAGTATTCTCACTTTGACTCTCAAGCCGGTGGACAAGTGTCAGCTTATGGTTAATTACTTCGCGGCTGCGGTTTTCTGCGTGACAATTGGAGCAGTTTGTTCTGACCTTGGAGTGACCCTCCTCCCCGGTAGACCCCCCTCTTTCATAACCTTACTGGCAAGATAAATACCCTCATGGATAAACTTCTTCCAATAGAAACGTTCATTCGCTTCATTCCAAGTTTCACTTAAGAAGCCACTCTCGACTTCCAGCGACTTAGCGGCCGCCAATTCTTCCACTGGAATTTCTGAAGCTTCTTCCATAGCCGCTCTTGTCGCTTCTTCCCAATCGGACCGACTCTGGCCGGCCTCGAGAATAGGATTGATCCATTTTAAAGCGCCGCTGTAAAGTTGTTCCCAGGTTCCTTCAGCGAATGTATCCGGATTAAGCGCCATAATCGTATTCAGCAGGGCTCTCCGTGAACTCGTTTCCGTTTCGTACCGTTTCATCTCTATCCTTCCAATCTTCTTCATCCATGTTTTCGCCGCACATTCAGGAGGATAAAGGTATGTCTGCGAAAGCACACAGATAATGATCCATGTGGCGACAACAAAGGCGTTCATATCCTTTAATGTCAAAGACGCAAGGACCATGGCCCACTGTCCCAGGGTGAATAGTCTTAGGAGAAATCGAAGGAGAACGTATCCCTTTTTCGGTAGCGGTCGTCGTCGAGACTCTAGTTGCTTGTTAAGCAAAGAGTTGATGATGCTGCTTTCTCCATAGAAAACCGTCCACTCCGTCGCATTCATGTGCTCTGCGACTACAACCGCTCTATTAAACGGACTCGGTCTATCGACCAAAAGCGCCTTCGGTCTACTACCATATATCAACGAAACAACAAGTCCCGTCACCGGCATAATTAAAAGAAAAGTGAGAGCGATATAATATCGAAACATAGCACAAAAAACCACAAGGCCGACCAATAAGAACCATCCCATTATCGAAGTTGCAAAATACCGCGCCGAATACATCCAAAACGGATCAACGAACAAAAACCGAAGCCAGTTATCAGAAGGAATCCGATCCGCACCCGGAGACCGCGTAACATGAACAATACTAAGCTTTTGTATCCTCAAATTCTTCTCAAACATATTCGCATGTTCGTTGGGAATCTGCGTTATCGGCTGCGACGCAAGACATAACCGGGTTGTTTCTGGGTTAATGATGGGGTAAGCATCACCCCAGCGACCGTCGAGAGCATGCCACGCGAGACTAGATCCAAATCGATCCAGACAGCAGATACTGTGGAGATATGCATCGGAAAGGAGGAGTCGAATATCACCGGGTGTTATGGGCCAACTCCACAGTGGGACCGCGCCGAAGAGCTCGAAAATGTGTAGTTTTGTGGGGGTATCGATAAAATCTATGAACCCGGTAAGTGGGAGGACTCCCGCGAGCTCAGAAGCCCATGGTGTATTCGCAAGAGCTTCGTTGACACGAGTGAGAGCCGCCTCTATCGCTGGCACGACACTCGATTCTGACGCTCCGAGCATTTGTATCGATGTAATTTTTTTAAAAGTTTTTTAGTGAATGATAGTGATGCTAGAGAAGCTTAGTGGCAAGGGGTTGGGAAATGATAGATGACCACTGCTGGGCTACATGTTTCCTACTTTCCTATGATCTTCGGTCTTTTTATAAACGCTTACCAGTTGAGCCATGTACAGTGCCGATTCGTTAAGGATCCTGGTGGGCGTTTTGGCATGCATTGTACTGGGAAATTTTCGAGGCTGATAACTGCCCGTGGAAGGGGATGTCTAGCTGGTTTTCGCATATGTTAGCCGAGAAAATCGCCTTGACTGAGCCTTATTGTGGCGGGTCCTGTCCAAATCGTTGTATTGAACGAACAACTAAATAGTCAAACTTTTGAAAAAATTAAAGATTGACAATTGATGAAGTAATTGTGCTTTAAGCTTCGTCATGGGGCTTAGCAGCTTAGCAGATATATATGCCTTTGTCCGGAATCGCTTCGTGCCCGTTTTCGAGGTATCATTTAAGTAGTTCCGTAGGTAAATATAAATGGAATATGTTGAATACGGTTCATGAATTCATCGAATTCGAAGGCCTTAGGCGCCTATCAAAATACAACGTAGGCAACAAAATTTTAAAAGCTAGAAACAAGTCGGACTATATGGATGACTACTTCATAAGAGATTCCGTTATTGGATCGGGTAACTTCAACCTCGTCATAATAGCGCGAATCATCCAATTCTTATCTTCCTTAAACCCTCTCTCTGCAAGCTGGGCTTCTATATACCCCAGCTTTACTTCTACTTCCATGCTTATCTCTTTTAGGACCATTGCGGTATACTCCATACTGTTAGATCTTCCCATAACCTTCATTATTAAATCCTTTTGTTCCTCGGTAAGGAATCCCTTTTGAGATCTCAATTGGAGGAGACTCTTGAGTTGGTGATTGTGCTTTTGGTTGTTAAGGGCGTGGATTAGCATGAAGGAGTATTTTCCTTCGTCGAGATCGGAAAGGGAGCCCTTTGCTCGAGCGTACTAGAATATTTTGGGTTAAAATATTGAAAAAGCAACTTTGGGCCTATGCATATATGGAGCCAGAAATTACTCACATCTACCGATCCGAGGTTTTGATGATCGTCACGTATTTGGAAGAATCGACCTATGAGGGTGAGTAGGTCCTCAACTTCAAGGTCCCTAGTAAAAATCTAGGTCAACATGTATTCCGGTCGGCCGGTCGGCCGCTTTTATAACTACTTAAGTACTACGTAAAGATTGATAAAACATACTTGTTTTGAGTAGCTTGGTCTCTCATTAGTCGAGACGCCATTCTGAAAAGTCCCCCGGTTTCTAGAGTATCATGGATTTATTTAGCCGTTATCATTCTCGCAACGTCAACAGATCTGAGTCTAAAGGGAAGATGGTCGTACTTCCATCGATCATTTGGATATACTCTACTTCAGATGGGCATTCCTGATGGAATGTCCAATGGAGATCAAGCCCCTGTCCGATATGAAGATTGCGGAGTTCGTCTGTGCGTAACAAAAACCATCGAGGATTTAGTAAATCACATAAGGTAGCAAAGGCAGCGGTCTCTATAATTCGAAGGGATATTTCAGTATACCTTCAAAGATTGCAACAGCAGAAGGCGATAGTTTTTGAGCCTCAAAAAGGCATTTAACGAATAAATAGTTCGCCGTATTGATTGATTGAGGAATACCGAAGACCATATGTGCTGATGGCTGTCCTCGTCTCAACTCAGAACAATCTTCGATATCATCGATGCTAGTCATAAGCCAATCAATTATTAATTCCTCCTTTACGAGAAGAAGAAACATATGAAGAAACATATGAGGATTTCTCGCACTTACATAAGAGAAGAAGTGTGGAGCATGCCAATGATGTTTTTGACTATTTCGAGCGATCTTTGGGGGACCATGTACCAAATGTCAAGTGCATCAATTGCTACATTACGAATACTTTTTGAAGGCATCGATTTGATATAATCATACGGCTCTAGGTTCACCTATTGGATGTTGTTAACCCTGACTACCGTCCTATGATAATGTAATGCATGGCGTGAGGTCGATATGTTTCAACGAACCTCGTCTGAAAGCTTGGTATATTTCGATAACCAAGGCGCCTTATCCGCACGAATTTCTGGCATCCCATTAGCAGTTTTAGCGGCAAGCTCTCCCCTTGCATTTTGGAGCTCTGAGTGGCCATGGCCATTTTCGACAGCGTGTCCGTTGGTCAGACTATGTGCTCCTGCTGTAACTTAAAATTAGATAAATATAAAGAAAGTTCAGTCTTGAAGAAAATAAAACTTGTGAACATACTTGCAGGTGCACCATTTATATGGGAGGTCCCATTTGCCCCGTTTTTGCTCGAGGACTGTGTTTTTCGCGGTAGATCCTTGATCTTGTGTTCCTGTCTCGGGCAGAGGGGATTGTTTCCTGGATCTTTATGTAAAGCATAACGAGGTCCCTCCTTACTAAAAATAACTAAACCCGCTACCGCATACTGAAGACATGATAGGTATCTAGCATATTCCAAAGCTAGATGTGGTCCACACTCCGTTATTAACCGTTCGCGAACTTTTATGAACGAACTCTCTATGTCCAGCCATTTACGCTTAAGAACTTCCTTCGCCTCGCCCAAAGAAACGTCATGAAGACGCATGATGATGTACAAACTGGATGTTGGAATTCCGGGCTTGTCCATTCCAACTTGGGCTATCCATTCGTTCTCAGCTGAATATAAATCGTTTGTCAGAATACACAATTGATAGGCTAGGATTTCGGCGCAATTGAGTTTGCGGTAGTCTTCTTTAGTGAAGTTGAAGCCATGGAGATGGGGCATCATATTCCAGAAACAACTACAGGAATTAACCCTTCAAGTTAGCTAAGTGTTTTCTTCCTTTGCTCAAGGGGAAGCAGAGGGACATAATTATGACAGGCCTGCGCTTAAGCTGCAGATATATATGTTTAATAAATGGGTGGAGGAGAGTTGGAATACCTTGCGCCAATGTGATCGAGCCTCTGTTCCATATATTCTTCCAAGGTATCAAATTCTACACCATCAAGGTTCCCAGCCCGCTCAGTGCATGCTTTTACCCATTCTTCATAGGCTTGAACATATCTGTTCTGGTTACTGTCCTTTTCTAGCATTTCACAAAAGATTTTTGATTTCAATTGATTGATTAAATTTTGATACTTTTTGGCCAGAAGATCTCGAGCTTCTGGTTCTGTTTTATCGGCGAACTATAAATTTATAAAACGGACGGTAGAAGAAAAAGAGAGGGTTAGCTTAGATGATTACATCTATTCATCTGTTTTCACAGGCCTGCATAGGGCTGGAGTACTTACCTCTGGAAAGCTAAAAGCATCGCCGTCATAAAAACCTAATACCGTCAATCGATTCAGGAAATCAAAGGTCAATATCCTTCAAATTTCTAGAAACATACATAGATCTATGCGCAGAGGTGCGGTCTTCTTGAATAGACTCACTATCTTCAAGAAATCCAAAGCTACTAGCAGCACCAACGTCGGCCATTTTTTCCGGATCGGTCTCTGGCATAGCCAAGGCTATAATGCCCCCAAGGTTTGGAACCCAGGGAACAGTGCATTCATACCCGCCTCTTCTGAGCCAGTCTTCATACATTCCAGAAGTTTCTCGTAGCTCATCGTCGGCGCGGCAGCTCACTCGAGCCTCAAGAGTGGGGAAATAATCTTTTAGATATTCTTCTGGAACCGGGCGTGAATGTTTGGGAGGTGAGGGGGCAGGTATGTAAGCCATTTTATCGCAATATCGACTATAGACAGTGTAGTAGAATGAAGTATATATTGGCAGGAAGTAGTATGTAGTGTTAGCGGGTATGCAGTAGTGCTAGAGTAAATAAAGCGTATTCTTTTCTTAGACGCAAATCAACTACGGGAAAAAGAGGTATCGTCAGGAGGGATCGATACATAAATATACTAGGTACGATATCACAACGAGGCACTTCTTCTTCGTTGAAAATCCCAAAACTTCAAAATTCAGAGCATCGCGCAATTAACGAATCAAACATACACACATCGGGAGCGGGAGGGATTTAGGTCTATAGTCGACTCCGCTCTATAGCTCTATCGCGCTAATTAAAATTGCACTTCACTTTTCCACTACCTACAAAGGTGTTGATTGGTGGGCACTATGTGAATCTGTACCATGTAGCGAAAGAAATGTTGTACTAACCTAATCAGTGGAGCTCAACCACCAAACTTCATCATGGCCCTTGTACCGCGCATAAATATATGGTCATACTTGCATCATATTTATGCATGCGTTTAAGCCTGATTTGTGTATCCAAGGGGGTATCGAAGGATATTAGTGGCTAAAAGGCTGAAGAGTGGAGATCTCCAAGTTTCTCAACTTATCTATCCCCACAAATAACAATGTGGTCCGAGATTCTCTGATTGGCACGATATAAATCCTATATCCCGCGGGATCTGTTCATTCGATGGACTTTTTTGGGGTATGGTTGTAACGTCGGTGTCCGGTTAAATTGCTTCCTTGTAATCTAATTAATAGTTATCAGTAGTCAAATATGTATTAATAAGCTATGCGTAGTCTAGTCTATGCGTGAAGATCAGTAATGAAAGTTCGGGCGAGGTTTGAGAGCGGCACCTGGGCTGGTCTTATTCCCAGACTCCAGCAAAAATGGAGGTCCCTCTTATATAAATACTTGGCTATATATGCGCTGTTCGATATGTTATTGAAGCTTCCAGCATTTAATTAGAATAGTACTATAGTCCTGGATTGGTTTATGGTGTACACGTGTACATACATACCCACCTTGTCTTCATCCTAGAATCGATCTATTGCTGGTATATACTTAATTATCTCCTCCATATGGTCATGATTTTAATATGTGACTGCTATCTTAAATATTATATTAGCGGTATTACATAGAAAGCTAGTGACGTCTGGCCTCGAAACTAGGAAGGTAGTCGCGTTGTCTTCTGTTGTAAATTCAGAAATGTCACGTGTATTTATTCCTGTTTGTCAAAATATAACCTTCCTCTTTCGCATGTCTTCGCATGCAACACAAGAAATCGATCTTCCTCAACCTCGTGAAACCAATGCAAAGGAGAACCTCGGCCGTGAGTCGTCCCCAGATTCGAGTTAATTGTCTTTAGCACATACATCCCACCACATTCCTGCCGTTGCAACGAAATTGAGCCGAGGCCAAAGAATTGAACGGAGCTTCTCCACAAAAATAGTTTCAAATTACTCCACAAATTTAACGTTTCCATACATCAGCCGGGGAAAATAATACCGGTTTGCATTGCATTGTAGGTAAAAAGCAGGTACATACTTGTACTTTTGTCCAAAAAAGAGGGAGAGGTTGAAGAGGTGGGCATGTTTTCTATATCTACACGGTCACCCCCTGCCCGACGAAGAATTGGTGCATCGATAGTATCTTCCTTCTTTGTCTCTGATACCCGTCCCTTTTGCAATTTCCAACATCTACTATTATCGATATCACCTCCTTGTTATAGTTACTATAGCTGCTTGTCGAACGCGAAGATGGCAGCGGTGACGAAGAAGGTTAATGCTCATTCGTATACTACTTTGCAACCGGAGGGGATTGCTGTTCCTCGTCCTAGTGCCAGGTGTGTACATACTTAATCATATCATCTTAAATCATTATATGCATCGAAAGTAACATATGAAAATATAATAGTCTGGTCCTCCTAGACGCCCAAAACCGCATCCTTCTAACTCATCGAACCTCCACAATAGGTTCCTTCGCAAACGCTCATGTCTTCCCAGGCGGGAATCAAGATCCCAAGGACACATCACCGGAATTCTGCGCCATAAGGGAAACATTCGAAGAAACGGGTGTATTGCTAACAAACCCTGAACCACCATCTTCTCTACTTCCACAGTTCCCGCAGATAAGAAGGGATGTTCATTCCAGGACTCATAGCTTGACTTTCAACCAATTTCTTAAGGAGAATGGGTTGGAAGCTGATGTTGGTGGGTTAATACCGTTTACGACGTGGATTACCCCACCGACTATGAAGAAGCGGTATGAAACTCATATGTTCCTTGGGTTTTTACCGTTGTCTTCTTCGTCAACGAGTAGTAGTAGTTCTTCACAACTACCGACATCAGACGGAGGCGTAGAGACAGTATCGACAACATTCATGACAGCCGAAGAAATCCTAACCGGATTGAAAAAAAACTCTATCATTTTGTTCCCACCACAAGCCTATTTGGTTACAAGACTAGCAAGGTTTTTGAACGATAAGGGATTGAAGGTGGAGGAACAGAGGGAGAGGATTAAGGAATGGATCGAAGAGGAAGGGGTGGGGAAGTATGTGTTCGAACCTAGACCCGAGGGGAAGACGAAGGATGGGAAGAGATTGATATTGGGGTATGGGCCCAGAGGGGATGTTAATAGGAAGTCGGTGCTTAAGTTTGGGAAGACGGGGTTACCGGCGGATTTGCAGATTGTGGAGGCGACGGAGGCGGCGAAGTTGTGATGTTTCCATTTGTTCTAGATACTGAAGTCTAGTATACTTCTAGTTACTGGTCGACTAGCTACTTATGTACTAATGCACGAGTCTTTGAATGAATAAATAAGTACTTCCTTCCTTGGGTAAGAGGTAGTATGTACATGTCTGAGATATGCAAATTATGAAGCCCGCACATAATATACGAATGCACTAAATATATTAGCACCTAAGTACTTAAGTATATATATGTATACATCTCATCCCGTCCTAAAAAAAAAAAAATTTATTTCAAAGTTTCCCCTAGTGAGGAACTAGTCAACGGAATGGTATAGACGATAGACCAGATGATATCGACGGGTATCAAAGCAAACTGAAATCTAACCAGGGTGTATGGATGTATGGACCAAGCAATTACAAGGGCAGGCTAGTCCGAACTAGCGAGAGCGGACGTCGGCAGGGTGCAGGACTTTTACAGACGTACTTACATCCTGACAGACATGAGCAGTGCAGTGACATCGAAGACACTTGCATATGTCCGACTCGGGTCGGTCCAATTCCTACATAGCTACTAGATGCAAAATTAAAATAGAGTGCCACCGATGCAATGCCATCGACCCAAAGATGGGATCTCGAACTAAATCGAATCGAATCGAATCGAGTCAAATCAGGAATCGAGCCGGGTGGATGTCTCCATTTTGGCGCCATGTCACAAACAAGAGGAAACCCTCCCAGCTAATCACACCTGCAGTTCGATTTCCAGCCCAGCCAAGCCAGCCCACTCGCCAGCAAAGCATCACTCGCACTAGTATATACACGATACCGTGTAGTTAGTTCGCAAGAAAAAGAGAAGTTGAGGAAGGACTGGGTTCTTGCTGGTCACACGTCGCTGCATTATTCCTTGCTCCCTGCACCGGACTGGTAAATGCAATGGGCCGGTAATGCACCACCGCTGCACCGCCAAACAAACATCAATCAATTAACGGGCTGGCAGCTGCTCTGCTCTGCTCTGCCCTGCAAGCATCCGAAAAACCTCAACCATCAGGTTAGCTAGCTAACTTACGAAACACCAATAATACTAGGACCAATACTACATAGTCCAGTCACTTAGGTGCAAGTAGGTAAGTAGTTATTGGAAGAAAGAGTCCGAGGGAATTCATCGAAGAGCGAGGCAGAAAAGGGAAGAAAAGGAAAAAAAAAAAGAAGTCATGCAGATGCCTTTTACTAGCAAGCTTGTCTCCTGCCCGTAACAGTCTCATAGCCGAGTCGAGTTCTGCTTGTTCTTCTTTCTCTTCTTGTTCTCGTTCTCGTTCTTGTTCTTCTTGTTCGTTCGTTCGATTATTGTTATTCTCTTCCCCAGATTTATATATCAACTACCCTACACAGTTCTCTCTTCTTTTAATTTTACCATCTACAACATTCAGCACCCTTCTTCTTCTTCTTCTTGCGACTCCGACTCCGGCTACCAATTAATCACATACCTAAGGGCGGGGTGAAACAGAGAAGAAGAATATACATACCACCATCATAGGTAGCATGCTCTAGTCCGGTCCTGTTCCCTCTTGACCGACGGGGATTTGATGCCCAGCAACAGTGCCAGCTAGAACGAACAGCAGTCCACTCCGGTTCATCCATCCCATCATGGCGTCTATAGCTTCTCCTCCCTCGGCGAGGAACATCATCAACAACAACACAAACACCAGCCCCCTGATCCGTCCTCCCTCCGCTATATTATCCTCAAATGCGAACGAAGACCCAAGGTCGCTTGGACAGCAGGAAATCGGTTTAATATCGAGAATACAGGAGGACCAAGAGTATGTTCTTTTTTTTGTTTCTTAAGACAAAAAATTTAGCGTTGCCCGACGGAATGTTGTCGGCGGTTGCTAACAATTCGCAATTTCTTTTGCCAGGAACACATACAATGGCGATGGTAACTTATTCGCTGCTTCAGCTGACGATGATCAGCACTGGAATGAGTCTGGAAATGGAGGATACAAGTTGGAAAGTGATGGCACTGGAGCCCATGACAATCTCAATCCGCCGTCCTCCTTTGACGCTCAACCGTCATATAATACCTTCGACAGTATTCCCAACGGCGCCGGCGAGGACCAATTTGGAACCTGGGACCCACAGCATCCGCTTACCGCTCTATTCAATCCTCCAGAACCGGATCCTATTCAACGGAGCTTCACTGCACCGGCCACCAGTTTCCCCCTCACTCTTCAGGAAAGACGGCTGGCTCTGAGGAACTCTCACATGCGAGCGACCCCAATGGCCAGTTCGATAAAACACGATGATGTCAAGGGGCTGAGTAAGGCTGCGAATGCTCTCAGGAACAAACATTTTACCTCCGTGGGGCGGTCCAATACCGTTTCCTCGAGGCTGTCCGATCGTACGGCCTCGGACGACGATGCTATCCACCAATCTACAAACCGAAGAGGGTCCAGTAATTTTGGAACTATGCCATCGATACACGCTTCCCTCCGACATCGTAAAACGCCGTCAGTCGAGCAAACCGGGTACATTGAGCATTTGGAAAAGCAGATTAGCGACCTTAACGCGAAATTACGCTCCTATACCGACCCTACCTCGGATAAATCACATGCCGCTATAGTCCAACGGTTAAACGCCAAAGTTCGCAGCCTAGAGAATCAGGTGAATGAATGGGAGGCCCTTTTCGACGAACGGATACGTGAAACCGAACGAATTAATTCTCGTGAAAGGAGTTCTAATAATTCCCAGATTAAACTACTTAAGGAGCAGGTGGAGACTCTCACTCAAAACGTTACCAACTTAGAAGACGATTTGGATTTCGAGAAGAAACAGAACACCGCTCTTACTCTGGCAGTGAGCGATAAGAAGGCTTTGGCTATGGACAATGCCCAACTTGCTCAAGCACTTACTAATGCATTAGGTGAAATAGCGGAGTTGGAAGCACAAGCACAGGAGAGAGAAGATAGTATGATGTATGCGGGTGGTAGTGTTACTGGCAGCCAGAAAGCAATGACACTCGGACAGCTCATGATTGACGTTACGCCGAAACCAAGATCCTTAGAAACATTCGCCGATCTCAACCTGCCATCCGGAAACACAATGGATAAGCAGCACTCGCCTTTCTCGCCGACGGATGCCGCCTGGCAAACCCTTAGCCCCACAACCTCTAATGCTAGCACCCAGGATATGCCGATAAGGCACCGAAAGATGAGAAAGTTCCCGTCCGGCATATCAGCACCGAAACAACTTATCCTATCGCCATCGTCATCCCGTCGCTCGTCAGTCGAATTCGTTCGTGGTCACTCCAGAAACGCTAGTAGCTCCTGGGGAAGCCCACGGCTCGAAAGAATGGGCGGTGGACGCAACTCCTTATTCGAAGAATTGGAGAAGATGCATGAGGATGGCATGGTAGCAGCAATCCATGACGAAACCCTATCCGTTATCGGCTCTCAGGCCCCCGCAGAAGTAAGTGAAGCAGAGCCAGAACATCACCGTGGCAACTCCACATCCCCCACCGATACCGAAACAAGCGACTCCGAGGACTCTCCACAGTCTAGGTCGCTTCCTACCTCCTCCTCCCCTACCTCCCCCTCCTCTCAGCCATCTTCCGCAAAGTCGTCAAGGCTCGGAAGCGTCGGTTATGTCCTGTTCTCCCCTCTGCGAGTCACTTCTGCAGTCATTTCCTCCATCGGGCGCGGCGTTCTTTCACCCCGTTCAACGCTTAGAGACATGCGCCAACGCGCTATGGAACAGCTCATAGAAGTTTCCGAACTCGAAGAAAGTTTTGGTTCCGATATCCTATTCGGCGATCAATACGATGAACATCTCCGCACCGGCGGTGAAAAGCTTATGCAGTCGCCCGATCTGCAATCGGGTGGATCCATGCGATCTGGTCATTCTCTCGATTTTAGAGATGTAAGTATACCTTCTCATTCCATCACAACGATGCTCGGATTTCACCGTGTTAACAGTATTCCCTCGTATGGGCTTTCCCCATGTTAGAATATGGAATCTATTACTACCGCCATGACGCCACCGCATAAGAGCAACGGTACATTGCACCGACGGAATCGACGACGGGCCTCCCAGCACACACAAGGCTATATTACCAGCGACGAAGAGGTTCAAGTTGTGTTCTCGGGCAGCAAATCGAGAAGTTATCATGACGCTGGCGACCCTATCACACCTTGCAAGACACGAAGAAAGTCCACAAAACCAGATGGGAACAAACCAATCCTCCCAGTAAAACCACAGCCGAACGCCCGCGAACGTTTACAACGCCGACGAACAAGCTCTGCTTCTCATGGGCTAGGAATTGGCGATACACGATACCCACCACCGTACACAGAATTCGCATCCGGGGTCAAAGATGACGGATGGAGAACGGAAAACTCGCAAGGAGAAATCAGCAGTTCCAGTGATGATGAACGTCCTGGACTTTGGATATCACAAGAACAGCTTCGAGCACTACGACAGGATCTAGATCGCGGCGGCTTGTTGAAAGCAATGGGCATCTCTAATGAGAATAATATGGTCCTATGGACGAAGTTGCTCATTGGATTCATGGCCACGATGTTTGTGGCTCTGAGAGATGGGCCTAGCGTTGCTTTGGAACGGGTAGATGGTACAAAAAGTCAAGCTACTACACCCGTGAAGAAGAGAGATGTGAGAAGGGATATAGATGAGGATTGACTAGATCTGGTATTTGAATAAAGCATACAGCACAGCACAGCACATACATATACAACAGCATGCATAGTACAAGCATAGCATAGCATGGAGCGTGGGAGATGAACAAAGGTGCATTATTGGCTTTTTCGGAAAGGGCATTAAGCATTTGGTTTTTTGGGAGTTAACCTGAACTCCTCTTTGGATTTTTCTTTGGGTTCATTTTTTTGATTGGCGGTGTATAATATTACCGACGACCGGACCGGCGATTCAACAGTTGGGGTCAGTTATAAGTGCTTGGAACAGCATTATTTTTTCATTTGTTTACACTACAAACACGTCTTTCCTTTGGGACATTACTCATCATTTCATTTGTTTAATACTTTTCTTTTTTTTCTTTCTTGTTTTGTTGTATACATTATGGGAACTTTGGCTAAACTTTCTAGCCCATTGCTGGGATTGATTTTGGAAGTGGACAGAAGGAAACGGAGGGAATGGAGGAAACGCAGGTATTGGCGGTGGGGAATATTATAATGTGTAACGATATGTCTACGAGTTTCCTTTGTATTACCTACTTACTTACCTTTCGGCTTTTGGGAATTGTTCCTGGCATTTTTTATTTTCAAAATGTATATTGGATCTTGTGGTTTTATTTTTTTTATTTTTATATTCGTGTATAGACTACTACTACCTAGTTTTAAGGTCAAGATAGAATATCTTAATTGAACATACCATTACCACCACCACTACCAATTTCCACTAACTGACTAGTACTAGTACTAATACTTAACCCCGTTTTTACACTCTCGCCGAGTAATTTTGGGGAGATTACATGTTGCAGAAGCTAAAGGTTTGTTGGGAAAAAAAACCATTGACGGATCATATGCAGACGATTATGCATATGCACATGGCATGCTGTCCGTTTTTCACATGGGATCATCGTGGTCTGAGACAGGGATTGGAGGGATTGGAACCGGGATTTCCGGTTTGGGAATGGAGAGGAACGTCTGCAACAGGGTCAACTCACTTTTAGGAAGTGGTTTGTTGTGTAGAGGATTTTCACAGTTGAAGAGTTTGGGGATTTTGGTTTATTTGTATTTATATTATATGGAGGTTTGAGTTTAGATTGACTTTAGGGATTAGGATGTATCAATTTTTTAAGTGGGTTTGGAAGGGTTTGGAAGGGTTATCAGTTGTAAAATATTGGTGAGATCTAATCTCTGAGGTGAATGGCGTATACCATCTACTAACTAGGCCAGGATTGAAGTCAACGTACTAGATGAAGCTGCGCATATATACTATGTAATAGAACTTGCCTGCCAGACCAGTAATAGAATTCTAGACATAATGTAATAGTGTCTATGATCGATCAGAAGGTAGCTGGGTATTTCTGAGCACTGCTTGCGTGTATAACATGTTAACAGTGCCCCGGTATTGATCTAATTCAATCCAACTCAGCACGGCCGAGCACGGCCAGGACTCTTGGATTGTTCTCTTTCTCTCTTTCTTTCCCTCGCTCCGTCTTCTTTCTTTCTTATTGCTATTTGAGCCTCAACCCCGCTCCTTCACCTTTCATCCACGCCATCTTACCATTTCCACCGCACCGTCACCATCACCACCATCACCACCATCACCACCATCATCAAGACGCGTCTTCTAGCAATCACTCTCACGCTCTAGGCCTCGATACCATCGAATATCACGACTAAGCAAGCTTTCATACCGTTTCTTTCCCTCAGTTAGCAACCCTCTTCACGATTAGTCTCTTAGATAAAGGTACGTATGTTGCTAGAGCTTTCAGCTTGTTATTTGCGTTATACACCTCCATTCATCCCCACTGTTTGTGACGTCTGATGACGAGATCCAATGACTTCAATTCCCGCCTTGTTTTGTTTGTTTTTGATCGCGAAGCTTGTATATTTTCATCTCCTTCCTTCCTTTCCTCAACTTACTCTCATCATCACCAACATCGTCCTCATATCCTTAATTTTCATGGCCACCATTCCGGTGGTGGCCAAGGTCTACTACTTCTTCGAGACTGGCCCGAGGGACCCTTTTTTCAATATTGGGAGGTCCCAATATTCCCCGGGATCCTCCCCTTGTTGGAGAAGGCCCCGACATATCCTGGGGGGGCTGCCTCAACCCCTACGCCGGTACGAAGGGGTTCCTGTGGAGTCACCAACTCTCCAGGTCCGATGGCCTCTGCAGGCCCCCCGGGGCATCTTTCTCAAAGAAGAAAACATCCCAGCATGGGGGGCTTTTACCTCACGTTGGGGATCCTCCTAACCCTATTGGAGGTCCCCTGAGCGCAGAGGCTCCTATTAGTGGTCTTTGTTGAAGCCTTAAGGATTTTTCTTTTTATATTGAAGGTCCCTATACACTGGGGGTCCTTCTTATATTGGAGGTCCTAGTTCTGATGTACATTAATTTTGCGAAGAGTTTTCATGAAATAGTGAACTAACATAAAATTCAACTAGCAGAAAACAATGCCGGCCCCACCTCGTCCCCTGATTCCTCTCTGGGCCCGCTTCCTCGTCTACCTCCGCAACAAACTACCAAGCAGTATTACCTGCAGATTCATCATACCGGCTCTCGACCGGTACGGAATCTCCGGGGGCGAACCGCGTCCCCTTGTTCACCACCCTCTGGCGCGTGAACAAATCACCTCCTTCCTCCTCGGCGACGACGACGCTGAGTTATGGCTTCTAACTCGTCTAATCCGTTGCATAGAATGGGAACTCCTTCTATGCAACTACCACACTGCCACCGCGATGATGCATAACCTAACCAATCGCATCCCGGTTCTCGTCTCCTCGCCGAGTTACCACTACCTCTGGGCTAGGATGTTAAGTCAACAGGGGTATATCGAACGAGCTGCTTGGCACAGAAATCGGGCTCTCGAGTGTTTTCTGGGGTATACCCAGGATTGGTTGAGACACTCCGAAGAGTCGACTGTGATGAAGTTGGTGATTGAGTTGAAGGAGATGAGGAGGGCTGAGACGGCTGATATACCGTCAAAGGAGTTTTTGAATAAGTTGACTCAGGCGTACGAGGGGTATGTGAAGATGAGGCATCCGAGGGATCTCACGTTTGTTCATGTAAGTTTATTCTCTATCTTTATTTTATTTTTTTATTTTTTTCTTTCTTTCTTTTTGGAATTTGGGAGCGTATGCTGATAGGAACTGTGGTTTGAAGTGTGACCTCTTCTACATGTACCTTGACTACCAATATCACATCCAAGACGATAACGTCCACCCTGATGCCCTCACCGACCAAAACTCGCACGCGATCTCCGTGGTAGGCTACCACATCCAAAAGGGCAACTTCTTCGGCTGCCACCAGCTCTACAAATGGGTTCTCAAGAACGTCTCCACCCAATTCACCCTCGACACCGTAGTTCAGGAGTTCAAAACCATCTTCTCGACGCATACGCCAGAACCCGTCCTGCTCGAAAAGATAATGGCAGAGTTATACTTCGCCAACGCACAAAACGTCCTTCATCTATCAAACGAAGCCGGACAAGTCACTCGTTATGTAATCGATTACGTCTGGGACTTATACGAAGAAGCAGTAATGCACGCCTACCGCGCCGGTGACGAGTTACTTATCACCGACATCAACTGGGCAATCTTCATCTTGGATTACAACGTCGACGTGGACAGAAACGTAACTCGACAGAGGAGACAAAAACATAAGTTCACCTGGTACAATCTCGAAATCATGTACGAGGACTTTGTCGACTTCTGGAAGTTTTATGCTTCTCGAGATGACGCTGCAAGGATTAGATTGATCTTGACACAATTCGACCCGGTCGTTCAATTATGCCAGAATACGGACTTGAACGAAAAGCTGGACCCCGCTTGGGCGTTCTACCATATGGTCACGGGTGACAGAACCGGCGAACAACCTTATCACAAACTCGCAAACACAGCCGTCAGAAAACTCGACGTGGTCAATCTCCTAAAGGCTCTTGACGCTTGGGATGAGAAGTACGACGAAAAATGGTATCATGATGAGTTCGATATGATGGAGTATAGATTGTTTAGCTACCACAGACTTGGAAAGTTGTCTGAGGGAATTCCCTTGGCTTTGAACTTTCTGGACTTATGCTATCAGTATGGAGATGTTGAAGACATTAGCATTTCAAATTACCACTATCTACTCTTCAAAGCGGCATTGACTCACACCATCCTCCCCAGCAAAAGGGCAGCATACGTCCGAACTCTTCGATCGGAATTCAACAGCTCCATCGCCTGGGACGAAGATCATCTATCCACTGTAGATCTCACCTACAAAAAACGGTGCATGGCCGCAATGTTCTTCGCCGATAACTGGAGATATCTCAAGAAATACGACGGACTCGAAGAAGTTTTCGTCTCCATTCAGCATTTGACACACTGGCATAGTATGTGGAAGATCAAAAGGACCATGTCGCAGCAGACGAGGTATCATCTCGAATTCTACCTCTGCGTGGTGAAATATTTAACCGGATATACGAAGGAAGCGTATATCCACGCCATGAAGATTGCGAGGACCTTTTTACCACTTCCCCAGATAAGTGTCTGGCAGGGGAAAACGCAATGCGAGAAACAAAATGTCCAGATATACATGGATTGGATGTTACTCTCCATCGCTCTTTACGTCGATGTAATCGATAACTTATCCTTAGGCGGCAAATCAGTTCGCGCCGATTTGGTGGAGCTTATCGAAGAAGACGAGTTTTGGAAGATCGTTCACGGTCTGGAACAATATTGCGTTGAAACCGGGGAGAGTAATAAATTGGCACTTGGGTATCATTACCTCGGGTGGTTGATGGAAATGTATGAGAAATTCGACCAGGCCGTGGCTTACTACGATGAAAGTGTGGAATTGATCAGGGATGCTCAGTTGTATGGAATGATCGGGGTGAGGAGGAATCATTTAGTGCCGGAGTTTATGAAGACTTTGAAGCCTGTTATGTCTTTGGAAAGATTATCTGGCTTGCAGATTAAGATCAAACAAAGGGATCAGGAGGCTAAGAGGTTGATTGAAGAGAGGGAAAAGCAGTACGAAAGGGAAGTGAAGAAGTTTTGGGTCAATTGGAGGATTTTGAAAGAGAAGAGGGATAAGAAGAGAGCCAAGAGGATGGAGAAGATCAAAAACGTCTTCAGGCTAAGGAAGGATAGGAGGGATGAGAAGGACGATGAGGGTAAGACAAAGAAGGGGGGTCTCACGAAGAGGAACAAAAACGCATCAATTATTCGACATCTCCTCCAGAATGGATATAAGAGACTCACCAACGACAAGGACGACAAGTATGACGAGTACGACAAGCGCAAGCTCGCCATCAAGGTCGCAGAGCTTGAGTACACCGATAGTTCCGGTTCTGATTATGATGACGACGACAAGGAAAACCACGATCCTAACGCTAGTGGCAATCGAGATTCCGACCAAACCCTGGGACCGCAAAGAAACGAGAATACCCAACAGACACCAGCAGAGCAGAAGACAAATAATGAAGAAGAGGAAGAAGACGAAGCTGAGAAAAAAAGAAGAGCCGAAATCAGGGAAGGGAAGAAACGAATGACCGATGCCGGCACGGGAAATATGGACCCGAATCTTCCTAAACATTCGAACTCTTCTAAACATGCAGATGCTCCTAAACGTACAAATTCCCAAAAACGCCAGACCCCGAAGAAGGCGAAGAAGCCAAAGTATCCTAGTGGTCCACTTCCACCACCTGACACTTACCTCAACCCGGATCTTAGCAACGAGATTTGGAATACATCGCAGGAGATCAAAGCCTGGGAATATCGACGTATCTTAGGCTACAGTACTCTGTGGGATGATCAAGAAAACCTCCTGAACGAGCTGAACAAGGTCATTGCATACTCGGATCCACCAGTCTCACCCGGCCAAATACGTTGGGTCCGTGAACTCGAGCGACTCATTAGGCCCGGTGGAGGCCATGGCGATTGGGCTTACAAATGGAGTTTCATTTGTGAACGAAAGAATGAAACCATGAAGATCCGAGTGGCAGTCAGGAAGTTGATACGAGGCGATGAACGAATTGCAATCCCCATGTGCATCCTCATTGCAATCCCTCCTGTGATTCAAGATGTTTACGATCTCCGAGGGTATCGATCACCCGGACAGGCCATGATATTTATCGACTATATCACTATTGATAATAAAGTCTACATGGTCTACAACATTGAGAAATTCAGGCCGGTCAGGTATTGTCCACAGCCTGTTTGTATTTCTCACCATGTTCTCTTGGCTCCAACCAAACACGCTATCGAAGGTTGGGTTGAGGAAATCTTGTACGAAGGCCTTCAAGGCAAGAATATCTCAAAGATAATGGATATCGGACGTGATCTTGTCAGCCCTATTAGGAAAATCGCCAGAAAGGGAGATTTGGTTATCATTGGAAACTCTCCATTGATGAACCGTGTCCCTTTCCATGCGATACCAATCGGAGAGAAGAAATCAGAAGAAAATACCTTAAACCCAGACGAATCTGGATGTTCCGAAAATGAAAGAAAGGAAATCTATGAAGACGAGGATGATGAAAGCTTGGATGACTTGGCTTTACCGGAAATTACTTGTGACGACGGCGACGGTACCGAAAATTAGGTAACTCTCGGACAATACGTTGACGTCATCTATTCCCATAGTGTCCTAGTCACTAAACAGGCCATGCAACGCCTTGACGGCTTCCAAAACCGACCAAAGATTAGTAACGGCATGAACCGTGGTTGCTTCTGCGCCGTCCCCGGTGAAGGCACTGGCATTGCAGCTCAAAGGGCAACCCGTAATATGCTAAAGAAACTGACATCTCGTTTCGGAGGGGACAGGATGTCTCTTTACGCCGAACCATCCGGTCTCACAACAACTGAATTGAGAGAGCAGGCCATGAGAACCGTCGACTTCCTTCACTTTCAAGGTGAAATCAGCTTGAACCCCGAAGACGATAAACCCGAAAACACGACTCTCAGGATGGGTGAGGAGATGACATTAAGCGCCAAGACTATCGCTTCTAATCTTCAATTCCAAATGGGCTGTTCTCCACTAGTCACCTGTATCGGTGAACAACCCGACCACATCGACGAAGACGCTCGTCTCACCGAAATCCCAGATGCTATCCCACCGGCTTTCCTTCAAGCAGGTGCTTCAACCGTCGTCACCACACTTTGGCCCGTCCCCTCCCAAATTGCCGACCGCTTCACCGAGGTCTTTTATAGCAATTTTCTTAAAAGGGGGAGATTGGATGGGGACCAGGTTTGGAACATTGCGCAAGAAGTTCGTGTGGCCGCTAGTGTTGTTCGTAGGGAACTTGGAAAGGGAAATAGTCACTGGGCATCTTTTGTGATGTATGGAGCTTGGATGAGGGGGTTTAGACCCGGTGGGAGGATTAAAGTTACGAGGGGCAAGAATGTGAAAACGGATTTTGCGGATTATCAGCAGCCAGATGTAGGGTTTTATCCACCACAGGAGTATGGATTGGGTCTTAGGGTTAGGAATTGAGGGGACTTATTATTCTTTGCTTTTTGAATCTACAATTGTTATGGATTCTTGTTTTTACTTATGAGATTCAACTTCTTTCCTATGTGTACTCTAGCTCTCTACTTTATGAGTCTCCTGTATTTTAAGTACTTTTAAGTAGTTAAATAACAGGATAGATAGCTAGCTAACGAAATGCTAAAGTTTTTTTTTTTTTTGAGAATGTATATTCTATCTGCTTACGGGTGCTGTGATATCGGCTCCTAGCTGAGAGGTAAGTAGTAATGATGAGGTACTAAATGGCCTTGTAGGGCTTAACTTGTGTCTGACAAGATATTGTCTATTGATCCAAATTCAATACTAAAAACGGTGTTGCCAAACGTTGTATTTTTCCCAAACCTCACATTGCTTTTTCCACGCCTCCACCAACCGACCCTTGCACTCTCTTTCCTTCCCCAGCGACACAACTTTCGCGAAAACCAATCTTCAAAAAAAATATCTCCAACAATGGAAGGCCTCCGCAACGACGGACGACGATGGAACGAACTTCGAAGAATCCATTGCCAATTATCAACAAGCAGTACCAATGCCGACGGTAGTTCATACATCGAACAAGGATTTACAAAAGTCCTATGTAACGTCACAGGCCCCGCAGAACCCAGCAGTCGACAGAAAGTGAAGCAGGATGCTGCTACCGTTACCTGCGAAGTATATTTTGCGGCGTTCAGTGGGACGGATAGAATTAAGAGGGGGAGGAACGATAAGTATGTTCTTCTTTTAACCATTACTTCTTTTTTTTTTCCCTCTTAGATATTGGATATTAGGAGCTAATTATGGTGGTGGTTATTCAATTGTAGAAAAGTCCAAGAACTCCAGACAGCGATCCAAAAGACCTTCGCATCAGTAATCCTAACCCACCTCTTCTCTCGGTCCGAAATCACAATATCAATCCACATCCTATCCCAAGATGGTGGAACCCTAGCAGCCTGTATCAACGCCACAACCCTCGCTTTAATCGATGCCGGTATCCCCCTAAAAGATTACGTCTGCGCCTGTACCTCGGGTCAATCAACCAGTATCTTCGATAACGAAGGTTCTACACCAGATCCATGGTTAGACGTCAATTATCTGGAAGAAAGCGATATTCCGAGTTTGACGGTGGCGACAGTGGGCGAGACGGAGAAGATTGTAGCGTTGAGTATGGAGAATAAAGTTAGGATTGAGATGTTGGAAGGGATGATTGCGGTGGGGATTAGTGGGTGTGCAAAGGTGAAGGGGATTATGGATGCGGAGGTTAGGAGGTATGGGAAGACTAGGTTGGAGGCTGCGACGGGAGAGTAATGTTTTACTGGGGTTTTGGTGGTGACTACATGGGTCATGGGAGCTGTGAGAGCAGTGGATTGGATTGAATTGGTACAGCGCCTTTGAGGCAGGGATCGGGGGGAGTGGGATATGTCATCCAGAATATGGAGGTCGTAGTCTCTGCGGGGGGCGTTTATACGGGACGAAGGCTGTGATGTTATACTTGAGTCTTTGGGATCACGAAAGCGCATGGACCGATATATCTTTCTTAATGGGAGCTTGAGGGTGCGTTTACTAGCGTATGCTAAGTTTTATTTATCAAATAGCTAGCCCGCCAAGCGGTTGTCCTAAAGCAATAGAATTTTGATATTAAAATCAATTACTTATCTATATATATACGTTTTCGCAATACATTAATCGGTGTAGTCGGTAACAAAATATCCCCGAATACTTTTTTCGGTGATGTTTGCATGGAATTTAAACCAGGGTATATCCGTAAGTACCGAAAAAAGAAGCTTCCATGCGGGTTTCTAGAATGGCCCTGGACGTTTCAAAGTCTCCACTGCACCCACCGCACCGTCTGAACTTTTTTTCCCCTTCTCTTCTGCCCAGATTTTAGGCGTCTTTTTCCGAGTGGAAGAAGAAGAAGAGTTATTTTTGTGCTCTTTTGTTCACCAGCTTAGCTGCTTGTTACCTAATTGCACAGTTAGCTGCTTATAGTTACTAATTGGTACTAAGCGAGTCGAATTAATGGCCTGCATGCGCATGAACGTCGGACGGCTGCTGCTTGGGTTGATAGACATTGCAGGTTTATGTAAGTTTTCAAGAGTTAAGGAAGTACGATAGATCTATCGATAGTATTCAGTATATATATCAGCATCATTAATTAATTGTAATAAGCGCGGCATGGAAACTGCGGTTGAGGAAGAAGACGTTTGAGAGAGCGTCAGATGATGGTCACCAGACCATTTATTTCGACGCCCCTACGATTGATCCACCACCCCTTATACAGAACGGATAAAATAGCCGGAGAGAAATTTCACTCCTTCGTTACTGTGTATCTTTTTTTTTTCTGGTCCCAACTCCCTCTCTCCCTCTCCCTCTCTCTCTTTTTTTTTTTTTTTTTTTTTGGTGTGGTGGATCGATGTATAGTTTGCATTCTTGACGTTTGAGTATGCTATTCTTTGGAATTGAACTGATTGATTCATCCTACCAATCGAAGCATCTGAAACGAAACAATTTTTTTGGGATAAGTGAGGTAAATCAGCAAAGTCTCGTCTGAATGTATGCATGTCTCTTTTTTTTGGGCCCCACTTCCACCTTCAATCAATCAATCAATCCAAGCTGCCGGGTAATACTGTGTGTACTATGTACTGTGTAGCTACCCTGCTATTACCATATACCATTTCTTATTGAGAGTAGATTTTTGGTTCATGCTTGGCCCCGGGCGGTGACCGGCTGTAGAATGTTATGTATGGGGTGCTTTGTGGGATATCCCGGGAATACTTTTACAGGCATCATGATTTGGTGCCCCTTGCACACACCATGATCGACTCTAAGCTTACCGGCGGCTTCTGTAGGAAAGGTGTTCTTTGTTATTCAATGTCTATATCATATCATATCATCATATCATATATCACGGGTAGGCTTGGACACACATGTATATATATTATATATGTGAATATGCTCTGGTGGTTTGAGGAAGGCTAAAGCTTATAAATGATACAAAGCTTTTCGCACAGTCACCCTCGACTGGGAAAGCCCACACGCTGTACTTAAGGTATCGGTTTTTAGCCCAAGTCCAAGTTGGCTTTTTGGTGCCTTGTCCCGACACCGGTACTTATGACCTATAGCGCTACGGCCTATACCAACAGACATATTATCCTGTCAGATCCTCCTTTTGCTTCAACCGAGAGGATCTAAGAAGGAAGGAAGGAAGGAATGGGACGAACCGGCGGTCGCTCATTAAGCGTGTCTTGGATTCGCCTTGGGGTCGGCTCGACGGGTCTTATCCTGTTCCTGTTGCATGTTGGACTTTTCTCTTCTTCTCCCTCTTCCTTGTCAAGCGTGTCGTTAATACGCTTTTGTTATTTTCCCGAGTTCTTTTTTTTTTTGTTGTACCTGACCGGATCAACCGATATTACCCAGCTCGAGGTACTCTTAAAGATATACTATATACCTGGCTAGTTAGTGGGTTAGCTACATAGTAATTGCTGTTCCTGGTTCATGTTCGTTTGTCGTCTGTGCGAGAGTTAGGTGTCTGTGTCTGTGGGTTTTACTTTTCTGCAGGTGCTCCTGCATATTTTCTATTATATTAGCATTATCCAGAAAATATTCACGCTGATTGTCCACACACACACGGACCCCTTGCAATTGATAGTCATGCAGTATACTGGTATCGTATGCGAGTGGTACTGGTAACTTGTGCTCGTATGTCTGTCAGTAAATGAGTAGCGATGTATACTTCGGAAAAGATGTTAGACGCTTGACAGTTCCCAGACGCCTGTTTTTTGTTTTAAATTGATCCTTCTTCTTCTCTTTTTTTTTTTTTTTACTTTTTCCCACGGCATACTTACTTTTAAAGCCTTTGCGCTCGATGCCCATGCTGCATTAAATTTCTTTCCGGGTCGAGTGTGATTGATTGATCCTAGATGTGAGCAAAGAAAGAAAATTCTTCGGATTATCTTTGCCCTGGATGTGACTTCTTTTAAATATCCGATATCTGATGGAACTTAAATATTAAATCGATTCAATATCTGTAACGAATTAGCTATCATTTGGCTTTAAAGCTTGAACTAAGAGTAATCTGATATGATATGCTACACAAATCCCTATCAGACGAAGAATAAAAATAATGGAGGAAGACGAAGAGGTTGCCTCCACATTGCAGCTAGGTTCGTGAACTCGCTGAAACGTATCAGGCAGACCCCCTTTCAGCATTATCAAACGAAATCTCGCTCCCAAGTATCGCAACCATTCCGTCATTAAAACGCCAAACCCACGAGAGCGGCCCCGGTCTCTAAATTAAGGTACACGGGAATTGCAAACACCTGGGATAGTGAGAGCTTGCTTGCTTGACAAACTTCGAAAGAAGACTGCTGAAAAGGGAATTATTGAAGAAGAGAGAAATAAAATATAAAACAGTATCGTGAATTCGAATAGACGCTATTCCTTTTTTCTTTCTTTCTGATTTGACCCGGCGCACGACACCAGAAACGTGGTAACTTTCTCTCGTCTATCGGCAGGCGGCCTTCTCTTCTCCTTCTTCTTCTCCTCCCAAGTTCCTTTTTTTGATTTTTCCGGTCGACCCAGTTTAAGCTGCTAGTATACTAAGTGGTTAGCCTCTCACTCTCGCTCACCCTCTCACCCTCTCTTTTTTACTCCCTTACTTCTTCTTCTTCTTCTTCTTAATCAGATCTCACGAGGGAAAGAAAAAAAAAGAACTGCGAAAAATTCTTCCAATTGACTTGCATTTGCACGGTCGTTACTGCAATAATCTTCCCCACCCCCCAGTTCGATCTGGTACTTACATTACATTTCATACATACAAAGTGTATATATGTTAGCAAGTACTTGTACTTCTTACAACCTCAGCTCATTTTAAGAAACAAGCAAAGCAAAGCAAAGCAAAGCTAGGCAGTCGAAACCCCCCCAGTTTGCTTGATTCGCCAGTCCAAGCTCTCGTCTCCTGGGGTTCACCTCGTCTCACATCCTTCTAGAAAGTCGCTTCGAACGAAGTAAAACACCGGCTGGGTCCTCCCCAAAAATATAATTAACCACAGCGCGGTGGAGTGCAGTGGTTGCAATACAATCCAGAACATAACATTACTACCTTAGCTTTGGAGGTTTCCCAACAATTCTGCATGAAAAAGGAACCTTCTTGTTAATTTCAGTTTACTTACTATACGGAACTTCGAGACATATTTATAACCCATTCGATTCGACATCATTCGCCCGTCACCGCCGGCCACCCAAGGGAGCTTGCGGAGTTATAGTAGCCTTTAACTAGCTTCAGTTCGAAAAATTGGACGGACCAGGGTCTTTTCGTACATATCCTCACGAGTCCTACCACTTTTGGACCCGGTGCCTTTTTTTCCAATTCTGCTTTAGAATCAAATTCAGAAATTCCTTTGAGTCTATTCTAGTTTATTTTATTTCTGCGCCGAACGATACCAAAGTTATAAAGATTTCGAAACCGGGAACAAAATGCGACTGGATTAGGAATTTAACTTGATCAAGAAGTCCTCTTTTTCTATTTTTTGATTTTTCTAATAATCCGCCTTTCTTGTTCGGACCATTTCAGTTCATTTCATTGCTCTGTTCTCTTTCACATATCCGCCGTGCCGCCACTTTTCTATCCTGAGAGAGCTCTGTCCACCACCACCAGACTGACATACCACCTCTGCTTCTACTTCTACTCCTACTCCTACTTCTACTTCCACTTCTGCTAAGAATCAACCACACGACACGCCAATCTATCCACTGGTATTGTTATCACCATCATCGCCACCAGACGTAGACAATATACCGTTCCCGCCTCTCCAGTCCCGTTAAACTCAACTCGCCTGGTACGTACCCATCCAGCCCGATTTTCGTGGTCGTCAGGTGGTTAGTTCTGACCGATTAAGGTTCACGTTGTCCAGCTCCAATTGATTTGCCTGCAGCCAATCCAACCCGCAACCTCATCGTTACCGCCCCCAAACCTCGATATCCAGCACACCCACCCTCCCTCCCAGTTCCTCCCTCAACCAACGTTGCCCGTCCGGTGTTCTTTTTTCCCCACAAAAGAACACCGCTCCCTCCCCACACCCCCCCTCCTTTCCCCCACCACCAACCACCAACCACCCAACATTTCCCAAATAACAGCAACCGTGGAGACCGTACAAGCATCAGTACGTAGACCCCGAGACGCCCGTCGCCACACCTACAACTCCCACCCGTACAAAGCCAAAACCAAGCGGAAAGTCTCAAAATCTCCAACCGCAGTTATGAGGCGGCGAGGTGCTCCCGTAGCACCGACCGCCGGGTCCAGTCCGCTGAGTATACTGCATACCTTTGACCAAGAAATGAACCCTGCCCGACCCGTCCGGCCCTCACCGTTAACAACACATCAGTCGGGTATGCCGTTGGATCTGCTGGAACGACTCAGGTCGTTTCCATTGTTCCAGACGGCGCCGGAGGAGTTCTTGGCTGCAATTGCAGCTTCCATTAGACCTCAGCAGCATGCTCCCAGGGATTATATCCTGACTGAAGGTGATGAGGCTAAGGCGATGTACTGGTTGGTTCGGGGTGCTGTGGCTGTAACGTCAAGGGATGGGGAGAGCACGTACTTTGAGCTGAAACCTGGGGCGTTCTTTGGGGAGATCGGTATTCTTATGGATATCCCCAGAACGGCGACAATTATTGCTAGGACAAGATGTCTTCTGGTGGTTCTTACTAAGGACGCCTTACGAAGAGAGCTGCCTAAGTTCCCGGATGTCGAGAAGTCGATCAGGGAGGAAGCTATGGAAAGATTGGCAATCCTGGAGAAGAAGAAGAGAGAAGGTGTAGGGAAGCTAAAGGTCCCCGGAGCCATTGGACTTGCTCACACTGGCGGTGGCGAGCAGTCCATACCCATCGGAGCCGCGATGCTAGCTGCGGAAGGTGGAAGCTCTTCGTTCGTGGTTTCTGCAGGAACGCAAAGAAAAACCCTTACAGAATCTGTATTGGCTACGGGAGAATTGAATATTCGGCAAGTTCTCAAGGAGCTGCCGCTGTTTGCAAACCTTCCGGCTGAGATACTACACTTCCTTGGAATGAATGCTACCCCAATGTCTTACCCACCGTTTACCCCGATTGTCCTCCAAAACTCGCCCGGAACCGAGATTTTCTTTATAATACAGGGAGAAGTCGAGGTTGTCGACCACAGCGCCGAAATCTCGTCGGCTGGTAATCATACGCCGTCATTCACGCCGGAGAGTGGGAGGGTAGTGGCCAAGTTACGGAAGGGGGATCATTTTGGTGAAGTTGCCGGTCTCGGGTTAACCGCAAAACGTATGGCAACCGTTAGGACTATCAACTCTGTTGAATGCCTTGTCATTGAGGGTAATGTATTAGAGGAGCTCTGGCGAAGATGGAATACGGAAATGAAGCGTGAGGTTGAAGCTACAGCCAGGAGAAGATTGTCGACTGCGGATTCGGCCGATACTGATAAGATGGAAGTTGACCCTCTTTCGGTTGGAAACAGCGGGCACTCGACGCCGACGTACTCGATCTCTCGGATGGATTTGGCAGATGCTTCTGCGAAACTTGCGACACATTTGAAGGACCCTTCTCACGCCGATTCCCCGTTGAAACAGTCACTTGCTCCTCACTCCGAACAGCCGGAGACGACTTTCCCTGGTATCAATGTTATCGAGCCATTGGATCCCGATCCGTTCCTGCCTGCGGATTTTGATTCTATGCGAGCGAAAAGCAGACGCGGTTCATTAGCCCCGCCACCACCCGCGCCCACGGTGCCTACCAGCGGGGAAGCGGACATCGAACGACCTATATCACCCTCCCCGAACAAATCCAAGCACCCTACCACTCCCCCAGAACACTATTCGAGTGCTAAGCGAGCTCGAATCGTCCAGCGAAGAACGACACAGTTTAATAAAGGGGCACTCAAAGACGACATTCTGCTCAAGATTTTCGAGTATATGGAGCTTCACGAGTTAATGCGATTACGACAAGTCTCGACACATTGGGCCAAGCTTTTGAACACAAACCGAGATATTCTTCGAGTACTCGACTTGAAACCCTATAACCGAGTAGTCACAGATGAAATACTAATAAACGTCATCGTTCCATTTGTTGGATCTCGCCCCGAAATCGTCGATATTAGTAATTGCTACCACCTCACCGACGAAGGATTTACAGTACTTGCTAATGTCTGCGCTCCTAACTCCAAAATCTGGAAGATGAAGAGCGTGTGGGATATCACCGGCCAAGCTATTCTCGAAATGTCCAACAAAGCAAAGGGGCTCGAGGAAATCGACCTCAGCAATTGTCGTAAAGTCAGCGATACCCTCCTTGCTAGAGTCACAGGCTGGGTGGTCCCCGAAATGCATCCCATGTACGCGCAAATGCAATTCCAGGGCGATCCGGCAAAAGCAAAACAGCATGAACTTCTCTACCCGCCCCCAGGAACGGTCATCGGTTGTGCTAAACTGAAGAATATGACGCTTTCATACTGCAAACATGTTACGGACCGGACAATGTCACACTTGGCAGTTCATGCTGCGGCTCGCCTAGAGAAGGTTGATTTGACACGCTGTACAACGATTACGGATCAGGGTTTCCAACATTGGAGCATTACGCGCTTTCCGAATTTGACGCATCTGTGTCTTGCGGATTGCACATATTTGACTGATAGTGCTATTGTGTTTTTGACGAATGCGGCGAAGGGGTTGAAGGTTCTCGATTTGGTTAGATATTTACGCCGAATTCATATTTCCTATTCTCCAGGTTGACTTTACTAACGATTTTTGGGATATAGTCGTTCTGTTGCGCCCTTTCCGATACAGCAACTGAGGTTCTTTCTTTGGGTTGCCAATCCCTCACCTCTCTCAAGCTCTCCTTCTGTGGTTCTGCAGTCAGCGACTCTTCTTTACGAGCGATAAGTCTGCATCTCCTCGAACTTCGCGAGTTATCCGTCCGTGGGTGTGTTAGAGTTACTGGGGTCGGTGTTGAAGCCGTTGTTGAAGGGTGCACGAAATTAGAAAGCTTCGATGTGAGTCAATGTAAGAATCTTACGAGATGGTTGGAAGCTGGCGGCGTTGAGAGGTGTAGAAGGACCTGGAAGAGGAATATTAGGTTTGATACAGTGGCGAGGAACACGGAGGCAGGGAATAGGATGCGGTGAGTTTTTATGTTTTTATGTTTTTTTTTTTTTTTTGAAGATTGCTAGAGTTTCCTGCTCTTTTTTGGTGACAGTAGGTTGGGATGTTATTTTTGAGAGATTTGCTTCTTTTATATATGACGTATATACAGGATGGGAGATGTTGACCAGCGGCGTCGTGGGTACATATACCACTTCTTTATCTTCTTCTTCTCTTCAATCCCCTCCACGATTTAGGTGCGAGCCTGTTTTATCTCTTTTTTACTTCTCTGTATCTATTTAACCCTCCCCTTTTTCAAACCCCCCTTTGTTCTCCTTATTTTGCTCACTTGTTTTACTATACGTTGAGAATACTTTTCGGCGATAGGGTTGTGTATGTTTCATTCCTCACGCCTGTTTTCTTTTTATATATCTCGCGATGGCGTCTGTGTTCTTCCCTTTGTTTTACTTTCACGATTTACTGTTAAGGCCCTTTTTATTATTATTGCTACTATTATTTAACGTTAGCTATTTCCTTACTTTTTTTTATCAAATTTAAAGACACTTTTTTATTATTTTATTAACTCTGTAGATATATCTATCTCCTTTCTATTATTTCCTTAAAGTCCTCTCCTCCCTTTTAATCAAGGCTTGCGGGATTTCGATAATGATTCATGTATTAATTGCAATATTGTTGCAAGCTTGCTTTTGTGGAAAGTATTCCCTTTTTTTTGTTATGTATTATGTTTTCATTCTATAGATGGGTTTTTGGATGGGTAGGCATGCATGGGAGGGTATATCAATTCGAATTTGGAATAAGTATATATAATAACTGGATTCATCCACGAGTAGAAAAGTCAAAGCTAAAAGTCCTCCAAGTTCGTTCCAGCCGTATGATTACGATTGTCAAGTACAGTATGATTATAATACTTTTTTTTTTATTTTGAATTGTTTTATTGGCTTTCTGTGCGTTACTTAACAACCAAGACCGCCTATAATCGATGATGATGAGGAAATGGAGAGAGATGAGAAACATCCGTGCAAAGTTAAAAAAAAAAAAGAGGAATGCAAAAGAAGAAAGAGAGAACGGGGGAGTCCGCATGATAAATAATCCTTCCTCTTTTTTCTCCACCCCGCTAAAACTTCTCGATTACGTTTTAAGACTTCAAAGAACGAGAAGGATTTCTGATATAAATTGGTTATCCATATTCCTTATGATTCCTTCCTAGGGGTTTATTGGGGTTCCTTGCATCTTCATGTTATGCATTTTGTTTTTTTCCATCAATCGAATGCTCCAACAATTATCAAGAAGGCATTTACTTTTTGTTCTTTCCCGTCACGTCTGCACCTTTTTACCTACCAAGCCTGATGACACCAGCAGCGATCAACTTCTGGATTTTTGTTCTGACTGTTGGGTTTCTCATATGTTCTTGCAAGGCCATTGGGTCATTCTTTGCCTGGTTCAAGATTGTTTGCATGATTGGGTCGGAGATGATGGAGACGATCTAGAGGAAAAGGTGTATGTTAGTCTTTGCTTGTCCTTTGCTTCCGATGAAGGTGATATGGGGGGGACATACCTCTGGATCCCTCTGGATTCTCTCCCTAGCCTGCTCTTCCGTCTCATTCTCATGAGCAGTATACATGATTCCCATAGTCTTCTGGCTCAACTCTTCAATCTCCCTTGTATGCTTCAACTCCCTATCGGCCTCTGTAGCAGCAGCCAAAGCATCGAGAACCTTATTATACTCCTTCAAACCAAAGTAACCCTGAGCGAGTCTAATATGAGCCCTCATAAAGCCAGGGTCCAATTCAATAGCCTTCCTACAATCATCAATCGAACTAGGAAAGCTCATGAGCTTTTGTAAAGCAGCAGCACGGTTGGTATAACCCCTAGCATCGTTCGGGGAACGCTTGATCATTTCCGTGTAGGCTTCTACGGCACCGGGCCAATCTGCGTTTTTGAATTTTTCGTTACCTTCGAGACGAGCTTCTTCGGCCTTTTCGGGGGAGACGTAGGCTTCCTTTTCGGATTGGACCTTGAGCTTTTCGACGGTACGGAGTTTGGCCAGGATGTCTGGTGTGCGATGTTCGGTTAGGGAACGTTGGTAGTATTCGATGGCTTTGGAAAGGTCGTTGAGTTTGTGGTAGGCGGTACCGATACGGCCGTAGGCTCTAGAGAAATTGGAGGGTTATTATGTTATGTTTGTAAAGGATGATGGGGGTACAGAGACAGTTAGGGGACGTACTTTGCGATCAACTTAAAGTCGGCAAATACCTCTCGGCCTTCGGTGATAGCCTTTTCACAATCGGCGATACAACCTTCATAATCTCCTGCTTCGAACTTAGCAGCAGCCAAGTTGTTGAGGTAAGTGATATCCTTATGAAGCTCCCAGGCTTTGTTGTAGTGTTCGATGGCAACAGAGAAGTTTCGCTTCTTGTATGCATCGTTTCCGAGTGCCTTTTCTTTGTCTGCTGCTTCTTTGGCTTCGCGTTTGGCGACTTCTTCGGGGTCTTCGGGTTCTGGAGTTGGTTCCTTTTGTGGCTGCGGTGGCGGTGGTGGGGTTTTGGAGCGGGGTGGTGGTGGGGCAGCGTCGTACATTGGGGTGTCTTCTTCGGCGGCACCGGGTCTTTGGTCGGAGATTCCGAGGATTGCAGCGAGGATTGTCATCATTTGGGGGTCGCCGAGGACGCTGTTTGTACATCATTAATGTATCTAGTAACTTTATACAGGTATAGTATACATCGTTGAAAGGAACTGATTAAATACCTTTGGAAATCAGCAGGATTCTGCTTCAACCTCTGCAACTTAGCGAGAACCTCGGGATCCTGAACGAGATCTCTGGTCTTTGGGTTTGCAGCAAGCTTTGGAATGAGCATTGGATCGCTGAAGAGTGAATCCAATCCCATTCCACCTGGACCGCCACCGGGTGGACCACGGACACCATCACGTTCTTGTTCTCGACGGATGGCTTCGTGGACGGAGCTTAGACCTTGCTTGGCGGTGGCATTGTTGGCATCGAGTTTTAGGGCTTCTTCGTAGGCATCGATGGCTCCGACTAGGAGGGGATATATTAGTATTGATTGTCTAGTGAGTAGGATGTAAAAGGGTGTGAAGACATACTTAAGTCACCGGTGCCGTGGAGGGCAGCACCTTTTCTCGACCAGCCTTTGCTCCAATCTGGTTTGATTTCTGGACGACAGATAGTTAGTGTGAGGAATAAGTTGAGGATGAGTATAGATAGTAGGTATTATATCGTACCGGTACACTTTGTAGCATCCTTGAGTGCTTCATCGAAGTTCTTCAATGAAGCATGAGAACCGGATCGGTTGGAGAAGAGGACGTGGTTTGTAGGATCGATTTCGATGGCTTGTGAGAATAGATCACTAGGTAGCTTTATTAGAATATGCCCTGGCATAGGTGCCCATCTTGGGGTTTGATATTGATAGTGATGGTGATAGTGATGGTGATTGAACATACATAGCCTTTGGGAAGTCCTTAGCTGAGAAGGCGGCATTGCCTTGGGCTTTCAACTGCGATAAACGTTAGAGACATTCATCAAAGCTATCTTTCAAACAGAAAAGCAAGAGAATACATACAGCGTCAGCCATGATGGATAGATGATCTGATGGTAAGTGACGATGAAGTTTTCCTTGGTAGTTTTAGAGGGGAGATGGAAAGGGAGAAGAGAGAAGAGAAGAGAAAAGGGAGGTGATGAGGTTGGTGGAGTTCGCGTGGGTAGGTATATAAAACGGAGTGGAATGGGATCGCGGGGATGCTTGTCGGTCAGTCTAAAAGTGTTTGTTTGCGCCCCACGTCAAAAGCAGATGTCTAGAAGATTCCACATGCACAACGCCACTTTCTTATTTGCATTTCATATAGATTTGTATATACCGGCTAGATAAGTATATATTTTACATCGAATGAAGGGTGTATTAAAAAACTAGGGGTTGAGAAAAAGCTATCATACTATCGAGTACGAGGGGGTGCAGGTGGCGAAAAGGAAACGACTGAAGCCATGTAATATAATATCAACGGTACAGTGCATTGTAGTGGGGAAAACTACGCTAAAGACCTGAAACAAAAAGACTGATTTTAACCTCATCTTTGCTTATCGCCATCGTTTACAACTCGGCCTTGGGCTCTTCAGCGGCAGCAGCGGTAGCGGCGGGAGCTGGTTTTGAGTCGTTAGACTGACTCGAATCCTCCTCGGCGGGGTACCCTTCTGGCAGCTTGAATGGCCTCAAATAATGCAATGGGCATTCATATCCACCCGAGTTATGCTCTAGGTACTTTTGGTGATATTTTTCAGCATCCCACCAGTCCGATGCACCGATAATTGCAGTTGAGATCTTGTTCCCCCACCAGTTCTGGTTCGCCATTCTTGTGACATCCTCTGCGATTCTCTTCTGCTCTTCGGAATGGTAGAAAATACCAGAGCGATATTGAGTGCCAACGTCCCCGCCTTGGCGGTTGAGAGTCGTTGGGTCGTGAATGCGATACAAGAATTCAATGAGAGTTCTGTAACTGACTTTCGATGGGTCGAAAGTTATTTGTAATGCTTCGGCATCTAATTTTTTTAAATAGTATATCTATATTAGATTTTGACCGTGACGTAAAAAGATGTATGCTTTTCGTGTAGAAAGAGGGAACTTACGGCCAGTGCCACCACCGCAGACTCTGGAATAGCTCGGATTGGACTGGTCACCACCAGTATATCCAACCCGAGCGTCAATCAGACCCTGATCCTTGAAGTGCTTTCGATAGATATGTTCGACCCCTACATATGATATCTGTTAGCAAATGCTTCCCTTTCGACAAGAAAACGGATAAATAAAATGAAATAAAATAAAACAATGGAGATAAAGTAATACCCCAGAAGCAGCCGGCAGCGACAGTAGCCAGCTCTGTATTCGCCGGGAGAGTAGAGTTCGAGCCACCACCACCGGCACTGGTAACGCCGATGCTACTTGAGCTTGAGAAGTGGCGGGCGATACGGTTAAAGAAAGATGACATTTTTTAAGTGGTTCTGCTGACGGCTCCCACGATTGCGACCGAAATGGCAAAACTCAAAAGGCCGTGTAGGTATAGTAGACAAGGATCCTCGTCAAACACGCAGGTGTCTTGTCTATGGACGTTGATTGTGATTTGATTATCAAAGTATAGTATACTAGTAGTGATGGTGATAGTATGTAATGTGATAGGAATGAAGAAGGGAGAGAGAAATGAAAGTTCGGATGGATTGTGATATTTATATTTATATGCTTATCGCCAATGCCGATTGTGCCATGTAAGTACTTACAAGATACGCTGATACCTCGACATATGCATGTAAGTGTATATATCCGGATGACAAAGAATTAATTCGGGCTAGATCTGTACAGCTGTATCTAGACAAAACTAATCTCATAGAATGCAAAGCACATTCTGATCAAAGAGTAGGTGCAATAGCACTGCCCTGTTGCATACATCATGACATGACATATATCGACTTCCTGAAACTTCGGCCGGGCCGCATACAAACATAGTAGTAGACGGAGTCCCAGCTACAACTGGCCGCACATACGTGCACTGTGGGTCCTGGCATCGCCGTCTAGTATATATTAGCGTAGTACTGGGGACGCCTCAAAGGAAGTATTTGAATTACAGAGGATTAGAATTAGGTCGAATCTGTTCATTGGCCGCATCGCGTCACCGTCCTTGTTATGAACTAAGATGGCTTTTGGGCATGTGGCCAAGCGTGCCCAGCCCCGCCGGAGTGAGCTTAATCTTTCAGAAGCATTTGTTCCCCCAGCTGTCATCAAATAAGCACCTTCCTCTACAGCCCCAGACAGTTAGGATGTGCGTGCATTTAAATTGAACCCGGATCGCGGTTGGTTTGGAGTATTTGTAAGCCGTTTTCCGTTTACATCGCATGCGTCGATGCATGCTGCATGGCCGGCATGGCATAGTCAAAATTGATTAAAATGAGCGCTGTGTTGTCTGTATGCGACTCGCAACACGGCCTCCAACACAAGACGCTCGGGACAGCCAACATGACAAATAGCGGATATAACGCTCCGACATTCCCCTCTCTCATCAACCTTCACGGCTTGTTATCCTTCCGTTCCTCGTTCCTCTGTCTTTGTTCGATCCAATTCTCTAACTTTCAACTTTCACCTGAACTTTCCTGAACTCTGTTGGCCAAATTCCGTCATCGCCGGGCTAAGTTCTTCGCTGAGTTAAACACCATTGTCACATTTTGTCTAGCTCTACGGAGTAGTCCCCATATTTTATGGCTTACAGAAAAGGTACAGAGGCCTTGGCCGAGGTATCTCATATCGATATCTCGTGTTTGATACGAAAGGGATAAAAAAAGAGTTTCGATGGAAAAGGAAGATTCTCCGTTTTATAAATTCAAAGAATCAAAAACCGAATACCACGTTTTATATTAACCCTCTCAACCGTTCGCCTCTTTTTGCACATGGGCGCACGGTATCAGCGGGTGAAATCGATATCAGGCGCCATGGCGGGCCTCCGCCAATCTATCCGACCGGCCAAGCTGCGATGGTCTAGCCCACGGCCTAGATAGCCAAGACGCCATAACTTGAAACTTTTCCATGCACCACCAACCAACCAATGCGGTGCTGCCCCAGAAAACACAAGACCCCAATTTGAGCTCCTCAGCTGAGAGAATTCCGTCTGCACTAGGACCCAAGGGCTGCTTGGTCAAATTCCACTTATCGCGACTCGACTTGACCTTTGGCTTGACAGGACGGTTTTTTTTCGAGGCGGTTTTTGGATCCGAGGTCCCGCGCTAATGTGAATGTTCCTGAAAAAGAGAGAATTTTTCTCTTGGGCTGGCGACCGCTAAATTCTTTCCTAAAGAATCCGCTGAAAAGCGCATAAGTGGTCTGTTCGAGTTTCGAGACAATGTATGGCGTCCACGTTTTGTCACAGGACGTTGATGCTTTAGAGTTCGCTTTCTGCCCTCCAAAAATTCGAAAACAGACGAAATCTAACTTAAGGTTCCCATTTTCTCCCGTGGTTTCCCAATACACTTTTCCCTGGACGCCGGGTTTTTATTGGCAGGTACCCCAATTATAAACCTCGTCTTTCTTGGGCCGGATCGAGAAAGAATGTGGTATATGAGGAGCATGACCCCGGTTGGATATTGGGTGGGATCGAGATCTTGATGGTCGGCTAAGGTCTAGCCATAATTTCCCAATTCTCTTTCTCTTCTGCCTGGAGCCGTTGGCAGGAAACCACAAACGATCTCTGGCTACGGGACAAGGGAGGGCATTAGATTGATACATAAGGTGCATACATGTGTATGCAGCAACCTGCGAGGCAATATCTCCCGATCCCTTCTTGTCAATGAGAATTCAGCTGCTGCTTGCCACTTCGAGACACAAACATACATCATTCTCCTATTCCGTTAACCAGACCTCTCTCACACTCACCTTATTTTTCTACACTTTCTATTGTGCTCAACTCAAATTTGGGCCGTCGATACGTACATCCTGCCCTGTTTTGCTCACCAACTGCATCTTCCTCATTCCTTGCTTTCCTGCCGCGCAGCAAGGGCTACCGCAGCCAACGGATTGCTCTTCTCGGTCCATTCCCTAGCATTCTGTATCGAGATACCTACATATATACTAATGACAGCTTGATTCATTTGTCGCCGGTTGATTTCCGAGTGGTCATATCTTTCTCTTCTTTCTTGCTTTCTTTCCTTCCCTTCTATTCTTTTTATTTCTTAATTGTTTTTTTTTTTTTTTTTTTTTTTGAACTGGTTCGGTTGGCCAGAAAGGCAAGAGAGGAAACACCCCCGCTCGAAAATCGATTCGAATTGATATTAAATCGGAACTGGCTAGGGAGGCTTGCTCAAGCGAAGCCCAGCCAGCAGAGAGTAGCAGAGAGCAGCAAGGACCCTTTAATAATTGCCAGCCACTGCACACCAGATCTAAAATCGAGCTCGGATCTCTTCCTCTTTTTTTTTCCCTCCCCTGACTTATTGGGACGACCGCTTGCCACTTAGCACCCAACGAACGACTCACTTGCACACCACGACTGCAAGTGAACTAAGTTAGCAGCAACCTCTTGTGTAGCTGGTTTTAGGCGGAGGACGACGACATTGCCGAATTCTACACCTTTTCCTCAATCCGCATCTACTTTACAACCTTAAAAGATATAATAGCGACACTCAGGACATTACAGAGTCGAGAGCATTGGAGATGCCTTTGTGCTAAAGCGGGCTCTTGGCTGCAACATCCTTGCACGCTGCACGCTGGCCGCCGCTTGATTCATCCCGCAACGCTAAGCACCACCGGTTACACAGATCTGCGTACCCATAACAACACATCAACGCTCCAAACCTCACGTCGCCATGGTCACAGACGACCCGACCTCTCCGGAGGTATATATTCTCGAGAAGCGCTGGAGGCCTTGGCTTATAGTTCTGTCCTTCTTCGTTAGCTTCCTCGGAGCATATACGACCACTCAGCTCTATGTTCAATGCCGTCTTTCCACATGGACGGCCCACCGGCTCGGATGGATGATCCTCGCTGCTGTCGAGTTCGGAGGGTGTGCCATATGGGCATTCCATTTCGTAGCTATGATAGCTCTTGATATCGGCATGCCGGTCAATTTCAACCTGCCGATGACTATCTTCTCCGCCATTGTTGCTATAGTGGGCATGTTGGGCGGTCTTGCTAGCAATATCTGGATCAAGAAGCGTCGGAGAAGACGAGACATGTACCTCCCCATATCAAACCAAGACAATGTTTCAGAACATGGGATGACCATAAATGGCATCTCAATAAACGGCAATAGCTCGAATCGCAAACCTCCAGATACACCGGAATACGAAAGTTCAACATCCGAAATGGGTACTGTGCTCAACCTTGCCAGTGCTTTGCTCTCAAGGGGTACTCATGACGACACTAGTTTCCCCGTACAGATAATAACTCATCTCCAACGTGGCCTAAACCTCCGCGTTTTTGTTGTCGGCGCATTGATGTCCCTTAGCATATGCGCGATGCATTATGTAGGAATGAAAGCTATGCACTTCGATGGCTTCATCCAATGGAATCGCGGCCTCATTGTTCTTTCCGTTGTCATCGCCTATATAGTTTCTATGGTCGCCCTTATTTTCCTCCCTAACGAATCTGACAGTATCTCTCAAATTGCTTTTGCAATAGTAGCTGCAATTGGCATCAACGCCATGCATTGGACTGGAATGTGGGCCGCTACATTCTCTACAACCCGGCCACCACCATGGGACCAAGGCTCCATTCCTACCGTTCTACCACTCGGAGTTGCATTTGTTGCTATTATCAGTTGTTTAATGTCTTACGTTGTCTTAGCCCGGACGATAACACAATCTCGCGACCGACTTGCCGAAATGATTGTAACGAAACGCAAGTTATGGAAGGCTATTGCGGAAAAGGAAGCGGCAGAACGAAACGATAAGGTTAAGACGGAATTCATTTCCGTTGCCTCTCACGAACTACGGACACCGCTTCATGCAATTACTGGATTTGTCGACTTACTTGCTTTGACACCGCTCAATGAGGAACAAATGAGCTTTGTCAAGTCTATTCAAGGAAGCTGTCATGCTTTAGACCTAATCACCAAGAATGTCCTCGATTTCACACGGCTCGAAAACGATCACTCGGAAACCGCCGCATCCGCCTCAGATGTTCGAATTAAAGACCTGGTTTTCGACATGCTGCAGACTTGCATGACCAAGATCTCAAATACCTTGAGTGTCGATATTATCATAATCATGGACTGCGACGTTCCGGACGTCTTCAATGTAGATGAAACATATTTCGCGAGGGTACTGATGAACCTCGTCGGAAATGCAATGAAGTTTACCAGGAGGGGATACATTCTTGTCAGATTATGGACATGCGCGGATGAAGATAGTCTGTGCATTAGCGTTAGCGATACGGGTATCGGAATTTCACAAGCCAGCCAAAAGATTGTATTCGAGCCTTTCCGACAGGCAGATACCAGTCTAACACGAAAACACTTGGGAACAGGATTGGGACTCGCGATATGCAGACAATTGGTGGCGAAGATGAATGGAAGGATAACCTTAGAAAGCGAGGAAGGAAAAGGAAGCGAATTCACGGTTGTAATACCCGGACTACCGAATACATATCCCATGCGACCTGCAGTACAGAGTAAGATCCGGATGGCGGTGTGGCTAAGAAGCAAACGGAGCAGTACGGTCGTCCAATGGGCCCTTAGCGCGCATTTTACAGTTTCAGCGATTGATCCGGTACATCATGTGAGGGGGCTGAAGGGAATGGAAAGGGTGCTTGCAGATATCAAATGTTTGTCGCCACAGATTATTTCCCAGATTGTGGAGAGTGATGGGGCAATCAAATGGTTCATCTTGCACGGGGATGAGAGTGTCAGAGAGCTCAGAAATCTGGAGCATGTTATTCTACTGAAGAGGCCCATTTGTGTCGATGATCTTTTAATCAAGATGTTGACAAGGGGGAGGGTAGAGGATGCTCAATTGGTTAGGAAAGTCAGCATTAGTGCTAACCCAGCCTTGGAAGAGCTTAAGAGGATTATAGCGGCACCAAGTCCATTAGCCCAGAGCCCGATATTGGAGATCCCACCTGATGTACAGGAAAGCGGGGATGTGATCTTACTAGTGGAGGATAATCCGATCAATCAACAGCTAGGAGTTAAGATGCTGAAAAAGCTAGGGAGGGCGGTAGATGTTGCAGAAAATGGAAAAGTGGCTTTGGAGAAAATTATGGAAAATCGACGACAATATTCACTCGTTCTGATGGATTCGCAAATGCCAGTTCTTAGCGGGCCAAGTACCTGCAGGAGGATAAGAGCTATGGAAGCTGCAGGGGAGCTACCGGGAAGATTGAGGATTATCAGCTTGACGGCTAACGTAGATTCGTTGAGTCAGAAGGAGTGCATGGAGGCCGGCAGTGATCATTTCTTGCCGAAACCGCTGACCTTGAAGCTGCTGAGGGAGGAATTGGAGCGACCGCAGGTGCCGACGGCGGGGTGTTCATGACATGAGAGATTATACGCTTACGAATAGTCTCTTCTCCTTCTACATACTCTCCATTGATTGGGTTTTTGGTTTTGTTTCCTTGGTTTTTTTTAGCAAGGAGTTCTGGGGAGGGGAACTAAAGCGATTCGATTCTCCTAGATTCAGATTATCTTTCTTTTCTCAAAGTTTTCTTCCTGTATCTGTGTTTTCTGCCTCTTACTTTATACCACCCTCTTCTAATCTTTGTCTCTCTTTCTTGGAGACCATGAACTCTGGGCAGAAAAAAGTGCTTTTAATGCTGGGATATTTGATATTTTCTTCATGAACTGTTTCTTCCTCTTTTAGTTTTGATTGTGACAGCACTTTTTCCTGTTTTTCGACTGCTATATTTTAGGATGACACCACTACACAGGGTTGATGGATATACCACTCAGGGTTCTTTTTTATATTACTAAATCGCAAGAACTTCGTAGATGTTTGGAGGATCGATATCTTTATATACGCATACATACTTTTGTACAAAGGCATTTTTCTATCCTTCTTTCCATCCTTCTTTTCTGAGTTTCTTGATTCTATCTCCACTTTAAAGTTTAGGGACAGATACTTCTAAAGTCAACAGTATCGAGAGTTAACTTATCAAATTATTCTATGACCGCGGATGTGTCCTCAACCTCGACTAGACCCAAGGACTTGAAGTTCCTAATAAGATGCTCGCGCAAACCCATGGCCTTTCCCGAATACAGGTTCATCGCCTGTGGGAAGACGCCTTCGGCCTTTAATAGTTTCTGAGCTAAAACCGCATAATCCTTGCGCGAGAGATCCTTATTCGTCTGATAGAAATCATCCACTAGCTTGTGTAGACGGTTATAAATCGTCTTTGCCTTCACTTCCATTTCCTCAATGCGTGTAATAGACTGCGGATCTTTCAGAAACAGAGTCTTCAAATCGTCGGACTGTTCCATCAGTACCAATTCGAATAGACTACGAGAGCTTGCCACCCGTTCCTTCTGCAAATGCAGGTTTGAATACCAGTCGGTCTTGAGCTTGACCTTCATACCACTGTCGAACCATAATACCCAACCCTCTACGCCGGTTTTGGTGCGAGCATCGTCAACCCATGACTGTGATACTTTGTCTGCGAATGTATCGACTAGAAACTTCGTTGGAATATCCAGGTCGCTTAGCGGTAGATAGGAACCGTCGTCTATCGAACGGATATTCAAGACTCGGAGTTCTGTTCCTTTATATGTAAGTACGATCTGATTCGTCGGCGCAGTGTACTCCATATTAACCGTAAACCCCAACTTCGTCATCCGACGACAAGCCTCCCACAGTGGCTCATATTCCGGTGTACTCAAAAGATTGGTAGCAAGCTTTGCCTGCTGGGAGGTCAAAGAAGTCTTGGACTTAAGAATAAACTCCCCATCATCCCCATCCCCAACGGATACAGTGGAAATTAGGGAGCCGTCGCGCTTGTCATCCACACGGACTACTTTAGACCAATCGAGGTTCATAGTCATTGGGTTCTCGCCGACGTTGAAAAACTTCTCCATCGGGATGGATATTAGTGTCGGGGTCGTTTCGGCGTTGGATGGGTCTAGTCGGAAAGTATGGCCACGGCATTCTAATGCACCTGGTAATAAGAAGTCTGAGTAGGTCGACAGACGGTAGGAGAATACGCGGAAGGTCACTCCATTGTAGTTATGATCTACAAAATAGAATGATTCGTTCGAAGCGCAGAGGCTCATTAGGTCGTTGTATAGACCCTTCATTATTGTAGATTATATAGTCTCGTTCCCAGTATGTATAGGATAAAGATTAAGTCTGCAATTGAAACGATTTCGTCAAGACTAGAAGATGAGCTTCTTGATTTTACTTATTTCAGAGTAAAAGAGATAGGTAGAAAACAAGGTATATGGTTGTGATATTGGTACACATGCAATTCTGGGGACGATATAATTATATAAACGTGCAAAATTTAAGAATCTTGGTCAGAAAATATAAGTCACTGGAAGGCTCCCCGGCTGCATTATATACTAACTCTTAGCATAGAAGCTCGCACGTCCATCATAACAGATACGATAAGAAATGACTAATTCGGTTCAAAGGACCTGTTTGGCCTAGCTCAATTGATGTAACTTGGCAGAAAATCAGGCCTGCAGGCGCATGTCCTTCGCCAGACGCAAAAAATAAACAAATCCTACATATTTTCAAATATGAATAAATTCGATATCTTATTGGATATAGATAGAATATTTGATATGCTCCGTATATTCCGGGAGAAATTGAAAGCGTGATAAAACCTGATGATTCATAAAATAAATCGTTGTGTGGTATTTTAAGCATGCCCTGACAAAGCCAACGTAGCTTTCGAATTCGAAGGAATTTATATGCTGAGATGTGGCACAGCATCAACTGTGCTATTAAGTGCATGGATATGCCAAAATGAATGAGTGGGAGGAGCGGGGATCTCTCATCCTGAACGAACAATTTAGTCAATCAACTGATCAAATGGAATCGACTTTTTGTTCGATGGACCGGCGCTTGAGTAGAAAACCTCCTCAAGACGAGTAAGGCTCATTTGCAAGGCGCTTCAGCGTGTTGTGCAGCTGCATGCCAGCTAGCTCTCCGAGACAACGTCATGTCTTTAATCGTGTACCACGCTTCCGGCTAGTGATATTTTACTCTTACAGTTTACTTCATTTCTGCCTTGATGAACCTACACAGCGTTATTGAGAGACTGAAATACATTTACTAATATATAGATGGACTAATTTTAAAGGCCAGCTAAGACTAAAACCTTTTCTCAAAGCGATCAATCTCGGCGGGTTGTAGGATACCAATTAGGGATCTTTGAAACGTCCGACATTGGACAGTTTACTCTCGAGATCCATCTCTTGCAATTGCACGGGGACTGCTATATATTTACTAAAATGTTTAAATGCGCTCTATGTGAATTCATGAATCGAATGATCGGATTAAAATGATTTAATAGCATATAACTGGATACGAGACTCGGTATATACCAAACATACGTTACTCGAGCTTCAAATTTTCGTTGTAACTCAATTGATCAATATATATTATCAAAGCCGATGATCTATTTTAGTAAACCGGACTTTTATGTAGCTTTCTCTTCTAAGTGGAACGGCCTTGATCTTAAATATCTTCTGTCTAATGTTCACTTACACTAGCTTTTTACCGTATCGCTTGCAATTGGGTTTGTATACAGATACATCTGTGAAGGATTGCCTTTTTTCGAATCTGAGCATACAAAAATATTTAAATAGATAGTCAGCTGGGACTACTTTGGCAGCAGCATGCGCATATGCAGTTATTTTTGTTTGCACTCGCTAGCTCATGTTGAACGGGTGTTTTCTCAAGAGAACGGTTAAAGGGAAGTTTATATATCCATAGTCTCATATTTCATGTACTATAACTCAATTGCAATTCAAAGCTTATTCTATCATGATATCAGACATTTAACGTCTAAAAGAATCAACAGAAGGTATCGCAGAGAGGCTATCAGGTGCGTAATTGACATCAATATTCTTTCAAATTAGAATGAGAAAAGGAAAGCTGATTATGATATTAATACATTGAACGATTCGCCTCCAGCCCGCGCTCGACTTTCGAATAAATAGTGTATTCGCATTAAAATTAACTATATCCTATTGATAGTATATATAAATCGGTATTCGTGGCTAATCCCACTCCCAAGCGCCATACAAGCAACTAGGAGGAGGGGGGTCATTTCGTTTGACTGCGGGTAACTGATCGATTGTACACGTTGCATTGACAGATCCCGCACCCGTATTTATTTTTCGATTACATATCGATATCAACAGCTCGAATCTTGCCAGCACACTTTGTGCGTTAATTATGTCCTCAAAAGTTGTCCATAGCCATCCTTGAGCGCGGGGATTCTAGTGGTGAAGCCGTCTATAAGAGTTTGAGGCTGGTTCGCGGATCCGGTCAGTCAGTTCCACTGGTTACTCATGACAGCACCCCGGCATCTCGGGATCGTATCGTTTTTTTCTTCGACGGCCGTTTAATTTAAATTGTCTACTATATATATAAGCTGTCTTAATTAATACTCGTATTCCTTTGGTGAGACACCACCCGTTTAAATTCTAGATTCCCGTAAACCCTGTCATAATAGAGCTACTATAGCTATACTAGTTTACGAGATCAAATAGCGATCCCTGGCGACATGATGAACTGGCGAGTATTTTTAGCGGATTTATGTAACTATCGAACCGCCAGCTGCTCATCGCGATCGTCTCATACCTAAAACATATCTCCTTTGCAGCTCACTGGGGCGATATCAGGCCTTAGAGTCTTGAAAAACTCATCCGACGTTGTAAGTAACAGACTAAGTCCGAGATTCAACTCTACGCAAGTTGATCTCATGCATGCAAGGTAACTTAAAGCCGGCCAGGATATCGATATGCGCCCGGTTGTGATGGTACGTGCGTGCATTTGACATCTAATGCAAGCGATGCAAAGCCACAGCTTTTTGTTTGACATTGGTTGATAAATTAGGTCAGCTTGATTTACTACTTCCTTCAATGAGGTCCGGGTACGAGAGCCAGGCCTCAAGTCAGCTCTGAGCTGTCAAAATTGCTCACGATCAGCTGCGAGATGGCTCCATCGGGGATATATATTCATCGGGTCTAATGACCTTCGTTCATGCCCTAGTTTATTACCCCACCCACCGAAACATTTAGGGTATCATTCCGATGTTTTGGCAGGGCAATCCGGAACGCGAACGGGTTTACTACAGAATTATATATGTATAATCCATCGCGCAATATAATTACATGAACAGTAAGCACTGTCAGTTTTCTGACATTTCGTCTCGACAACATTAAACGAACTTATTATGTGTCTTTCTGATATAGGCGGGTCCTAAATCTGCCTTGTGTGAGTAAGCTAAGGCTGAATTGAATAGATGGTCTGCGGAAGAAAAAAAGTCGTTCAAAGATCAAGGAGAATATCCGAATAACTTATATTGCGCCCGCATGCATACGGCTATGCGAACGTGGGGTTTTCCCTCAAAACTTAGAATAATTGCGAAAAATGCAATTAAATTAAAAAACGTGGGCATTTTTAGGGGCCCGAAATCGGGTTTCTAGACGTCTATGCTGACAGTGCATCGATCGAAAACGTTCACGAGCCGCACGCAATGCATAATATAATGCATGTGCATGTGGTACTTTTAAAAGACAACAGCATGTTAACACAGGAAAATAACAAGCTATTTGATTGAACGAAATGTATGTTAATTTTCGTTGCATGTGCCCAAATTCGAAAATAAATTAAATTCAATTTTCTTTCTTTCTTTAATTTACGCCACCCAACTGCCCATGCCAAGTTGAGCAGGGAAAAGAACGAGCTTTTGTCATTTTGAATGTGTGTTCAATCCGAAAGTTAAAAGGTGATCAAAAAAAACATCATGCAGGGTGTCAGCGTTGCAGATTTCTAAACACTGCCGGGAAATGGGACCACTCCCAATATTTTCGTACGTAACCGGTGTTCCACTGCGCTTCTTTTCTTCGCTAAACCAGCCTTGATGGGCCCATGGGTTGATCACGTTTGAGCGAAGGTATGGGGAATGTTTTCTTATCGTGTATCACTCCTTCATTTTTACAGCCCACCGACATGCTAGTAAGCAGTTGCTCTTAAACGTTCATTAAATTTCTTGATATCCATTTTCGAATTTTCGTTATGAGAAAACTCCTTGACAACACATTGAATGTGGGTCCGGTTGTTGGATTTTGAGGGGTGGAGCATGCGGCTCCGCCCGCTTCTCGTGAGGCTCGAACGCACATATAAATTTAGGCTGCCACTTTTTGGATTCCTCTACATCATGTCACGGTATAGGAGATTGTTTATTTATATCTAGACACGTGTGGAGATTACTCAAGAATTATTCATACATCACGAAATTGTATTTCCTAAACGTAAGGTGATTGTCCTTTTGGGAAATTTATGGGCCGGATTTGTCCCGAGCTAGCTAGTCCGAAGACTACACATAGATTTTTGGAATTTTGGTAGGCTGTCGATCAATGATGATAGAATATAGAACCACCGCAGGTGCTCGAGAGTACTAGCGCAAGGAGTAACCCTCAGGAATCCAGAAAGGGGGTTATATCGGATCGAAGGCTCGAATCGAGGTTTCGTGACCTGCAGAGGAGATCGGGAAATCAGCCAATCAGTATTTGCACGACATGTATAGTGACCTGGCTCAGAATTCCATTGTTCCCGCCGAGCCATGCACCCGGGTTCTCATCTGCATATCGAATTTCTAGAAAGAGAAGAGTGGCTACCTAAAATACACTCGGTCTCAATCAAGAAGAATTCCGGCTTCTAATGCTTTTCTTTTGTTCATTCTGACAAATTCTGCCGCCAGTACCAGGCATCGTTTAATCCTTTGGGTTTGAAACTAGCTATTCACGGGGTAGGCCTAGCCATAACGGCACCAGGCCTCATAATCTCGCAGCTTCTAGAATAAGCAGTAATATTGGTGATAATATTATTATATTATTACTTGATTCCGTAGTTGTGGGTAAGAACACCGCCATGATAATCAAATATTAAATACCGGCGCCATCCATAATTAAAGAAAAGGAAGTCTACGTACCTAAGCACGATATAGTAATATTGTAGCTAATTTTAACATACTCTAGAAATTTCGAGAGCCCCCTCAAGGCGATCGGGTATATGGTTCGCGATCTCCGAAGTCACCGGGCCCTATATTGCGGAGATCTTCTTCATCGAGTGTGGGTCTCCGGCAGGCAACGATAGTGGGGTTCCCCGAACCCGGTGATATATCGTCATCCTAGTCGACACCCAAAAGATATCGCGATCGATTTCAGGTAAACAATCCGGCGATTCAGAAGGCCGTACCATGCGGTTTTTACAAGTCCGTAAGTGGGGTTGTGTGTCATTCTTTTTTATAGTTGAAGAAAAGCAAATGCGATTTTGTATTCTCGCCGAATACAGTACCACGGACAGATTTTAAGCCTAGATCTCGTCTCGGTATATACCGACGTTTGAAGAGGCGAAGGCATACAATATTTCTACGTTGGAATTTGGGTTAGGACTTCCCAATATGGAAAAAAAACAGGTTGAAATTATAAATCGGTAGAACGGAAAGGTATTCAAACTTTCAGGGCTAAGGATACCTAGATCACAGAAAACGGCCGAATGTCCGTGATATCTGTAGCCTGCAGAGTATTTTTGCAGGTTAGGTTATGGATGTCATGCCCTTGGACATGGGTTCGGGACTAACGGTCATGCCTAGATGCATGAAAAGCTAGCAAGCTTCAGTTACCGAACCGCTCTTGTGCGATCCTTTGGCAGGATTTCCAGCTTTTAGTGATCGATGACCCGACGCAAAATGAAATTTATCTTAAACAAATCTACCGCGAGTCACATAATAATAAAAAATATCGCGTCTGGTTCCATATTTAGATGTAAAAATGACATTAATCGAAAGAAATATTACGAAACGATTGGGTATGGCGAAGCTCACTGCCTGCAAGACATTTGTAGACTTTGTATCTAAAATTGGGTCTTCTTTTATATTAAAACAAAGATAACCTGGAAAGGGTAAAATGAAAATTAGATACGCCAAACGCCGTTGAAGGAGCACAGTCGGCCTAGTTCATCTTGAAACTCGAGAAGCTAACTAGCGCTGGAGGTTTGCGAAACTACAGTCACTTGAGGAAAGATTGATCTAGTGAGGTCTGAAGTGCTCTTCAAAACTGCACGCGCGTATGTTGGCGGCATCAACAGTTAAACGGATTAGACGCAATCCAAGCTATTCCAAGACAGATAGCATGAAACGAAGATGTTGGCTTTATCAACGTGCATATTTAATCTAGCTGTTGCATTCGAAGCTGCCGGCACGCGGTAAGATATCTTGCTGACAGGTTGGAGCTGTCAGTTCCAACGTAGGCTATGCAATTCGTTTCAAGTATCCCCGTATTGTACGTTGGAGAACTCGAGAACAGTTGATTTTCACCAAAGAACCTGACTTCGGTTGGGCCGTGCGTGCATATGTACATATGTGAGCAAGTTATTGCCTATTGATGTGCATGAAAAAGCTAACCAGCACAGCAGGGCATGAGCTGGGCAGTAGATTGTTTTGGCTTGTCCCACGAATACGGACAACTACCGGAGCCCAAAGGATTCTTTCGAAACAAAATGCCGCAGGATCCGAGATAGGATCTTGATTACTGTTGAACAGACGCCATCCCCGGCACGGCATGGGCACTGTGAAGTCGTTGGGTCTTCTTCCTTCCCCTCAAAGTCGTTCCGAGTTCTGCACCGCTTTGCTAAGATGTGGCAGAATCTAGACTAGAATCAATGCAGCTGTGCGGTCCACCAATCTCGAGGAATATTGTTAACAAACAAACCTGTGCAGCTGTTGTGTTCGTTTCATATTGCTGCTGTTGGTCCTGGATAAGGCGAAGGAGTTGGGTGATTTGAGGTTATATTCTGCTTAAGCTGACCCGCGCAGCTTACATTCAGAGGCTGTGGAGCGAGGGATAGTCTATTAATTTTTCCTATTCGTGAAACTATAGATGTTATGAAATCCAGACCGGTTCGGCTGCGGCCTCATAATCAATTATACTAGGTGAAATACTTTGATCAAATTTGAACACGCCAGCCCCGGGGCACAATTGTTGTCCCACGGGATACTTAGCTCTATGTTTCTAGGATGACGAATTGATGTAAAGGTCCTGAAGGCTTAGGCGAATCCAAAGCATATTGGTCCCAGCATTGGGGTGCTTGAAACTCTTATCCGAAAATAGCCAAGATCAGATAGCATTGTCGGCCTAGTAGATTGGTAGCTATAGCTATATGCCTAAGAGTTTGTAATGTGGTCTACATGGTACTTAAGGCGAAACTTTAAGGCTACACACTAGAGGATGAAGAATTTTTAGAATCGTCTCTATATATTATCATAAAGACTTTGCTATAGTACTATAGTAATATTATGGCAATGCAAAGCAAAATGAATTCAATTGTGACGCCGATATGCAATGCTTAACATAACTTGAGAAGTAATCATCGTAGAAGAAGAAGAAGAAGAAGAAGAAGAAGAAGAAGAAGAAGAAGAAGAAGAAGAAGAAGAAGAAGAAGAAGAAGAAGAAGAAGAAGAAGAAGAAAGAATAAACCCGTCCTATGTAAACAAGAGCACCCGTAACCCATATGCATGCAAAATAATAAATAAGAAACAGCCATTCATCAACATTAACATTAAAAGGAAGAAAAAGGAAGCAAAAGATCTCTTAATATTGTACAGGACGGAAAGAAGAAAGAGTGAACTTTTCGCTTGCTTTGGACACCGATAACTCCGCCCCTAAGGTGTTCTAGAAGTGAAAGGGTATAATAAATGCTATGTAAAGAAGAAATATAGAAAAAGGAACCCAGCTTTAACCAAAGAAGAAGTCAAGACGGGTGAAAAAGATGATATTAAAAAGCAAAAAAGACTCGTTCGTACCCATGTACTTCAAAGGAGTTCGCAGTTTCTCCACCGATTACACTAGGCATCCCCCACCAAGAGACCCACTTTTGAATATCACCCCATAACCTCCAGGGTCACAAAGAAACCCCCATCCCGTTGCCTGAATTTAGACTCTTGTCATGATAACTTCTGGTGGTGCGATGATACTTTCAACGGAGATTGATCTGTGAGAACTGTGTGAAGACGGCCTGTTGGACATGCTCCTCTCTGGAGAATACCTTGACATCTCAGCAATGGCTACTCCAGCGGCAACAGCAGCGGGATGGGCATACCCGCTGCCGCTGCCGTGCAACTCTGGTCCAAATAACTCGTACCTCTTTTTCTCCGGTGAAGGAATAGACAGAATTGGGGTTTCCAGTTCCCACGGCCTGCAGCCTTCTCTCGCCGCTTTGCGTGGGTGCTGGTTTAGAGGATGATGTTGTAATACACTAGGGGAAACACCACGACCGCATGCGATTTGTTCGGCCTCGGTACGTGGAGAAACCATGGGAGTTGGTGGAGTGCCGGTGGGTTTGCGTTCATACTCATGTCGGGCTGCTTGCTGCTTGCTCCAGAATGTCTCGAGAAATTCGGGAGTAGCTCCCTCGCCATAATCCGCGGCGACTGCTGCCCACATATTACGCTTATGATGGTCGACGAGTCTTTGAAGTCGAGAATAGTCGACATCTGCAGGGTTGTCGAGAGGCCTGGCGCCGAAGCCACTTGGGGAGGATGTCCAGCTGTGATTTCTTCCATGTCCAGGTGAAAAGCTGCTTCTTTCTCTGTACCGAATTTCAGGGACGGGTGGAGTACCACCTGGGCTAGCGGATCTTCTATTGATATCCCCATAGTTTGAAGTTGGATATCCTGCAGTAGCGTAAATCGGACCAGTGCTCTCGCTAGAGGACATGGAAAGGTTTCGTCGGCGTCGGTTGCTACCACGTTGTAGTTGATGGAAATGTAAACGACAGGCAAGCTCTGTTTTGTTCAGTTGCAGAGCAATCTTTTTGTAGGCAACTTTCTCGGATCTCTTTTGTAGAAGATATGCTTCTTCTTCCTCAGACCAGGCTTTACCGCCACCAGTTGCTTGGCCCTATGAAATATATTAGTAAGAACATATAAAACGGTTCGATGTATGTTAGATGTAAAGTACCTTTGGCGAAGCTGTGTTAAGATGTTCGTATTCCATTTCGATAAAAATGTGGAAGAAATAAATGATAGAGGAAGGATAGAATGTGTTCTAAAGAAGAACAAAAGGTAGAGGCTATATAGATCGATGAGGCAAGATCTAATAGGCTAAGTCGGATAGAGAGAGTTTACGTATGTACCGTTGATCTAGGGAAGATACGTATGTTCCAGGCCGGATATGCGGGCGTCTCTTATACTCCGCAGACGAAGGCAAGATTTCAAATATATATATATTGAGATCCAAGGCAGCACGTTGAGAATTTCCTAAACCGAATGGAAAGAAAAACGGCGGGCTGTGAGCAAGATCCTTTGATTCAAGATCGTAAGGTCTAGCCTTGTGAATATATGTTAGGGAGGGAAGAGGAGGAGTATAATAAATGAGAGTCCGCCAGGGATATGTGAGGTCCTGAAGTGAGAGAGAGGAAGAAAGAAAAGCAAATTCTCAAAAGGAAAAGGGAAAGAGAGAAAAAGGAAGAAGAAGAGAAGACGCCGATCAGATATATAGAAAAGATAGATCTTTTTTTTTCGAAAAAATGGCCTGCCAGAAATTTATAAAAAAGGCAAATAAGAAGTTCCAATATATATAAAAGGTGTCGTTTTTTTTTTTTATAAAATAAAAAAGGCGGTTGAAAACCTATCGAAGGCTCCTGCGCTACTAGACCGGCTAGAAAGGAAGTGAAGATGAGAAGGCGGACAGACCAGTGTCACAGAACCAGCAAGGTCCCTTCTATTATAGTCGGGATTGGGAATCGGGATCTTGGTAGAATAAACGAGAATTGAAAGATTTCCTTGGGAGAGAGACGGGCCGACGAACTATACTTAAAGGCTTGCCCATGTAACAATCTATTTTACTGACGGCCACCGGGAATACCTGCATCGAGTGAACTTAACCTAAGTCCACTGCAAGTTAACCTGGAACTTGTAACTGGGCTTGCCTGGGAGCAGAGCACCCTCCAACAAACACCCCGGATTCGAGCGTTCCCTGGTGCGAATGTTTAAGGGATGTTTCTTTTTCCAGTCCAAAGAAGAAACTCCCAAAATAGGCGGGCGGGTTTTGGAGACAAGACAAGGAGGGATAAGAATCACAAAAGGAATAGCAGCAGAAGCAGTAATATTCTATAAGCAGCGCCGTCTTCTTCTAAGCCTTACTTGGCCCAGCCTTCGCTCAATCGAGTCGACTTTTGCAAAAATCGTCAATGGGAGGCTGTTTTGTGTGTGAGTAGCGCAGTTTGAAGTCTTGTGTTGCGCATGAATTAGGGTGTGGCGAGTTCCGACTAGACTGTGTCTGATACTGATACTGCCACCTTCTTCTAGTCTGATACCACGACCGAACAACGGCTTCTAGCTGGAGACAGGATACGATACGATACTGCAGATGCAGGTAAGTAAGGAAGTAAGTGCCAATCCTGAGCGGAGAAACGGTTTGTTTGTTTCCTGTTGTTATGTATCTGATGTTTGGGTGAGTATTTTTGGCCAAAGGAGAGAAAAAGTCTCTGATGTGAAGTGGGAAAAACAATAAAAAAAAGTTTTCCAACTGACGGCCTGGATGGGAAATTATTTTGAAATCTGATGAGAAAATATCCTCAGACTGGTTCTGAACCGATCTATTATATTTCTGAAAGAAGATTGCCAGACGGTGGCCTTTTAAGAAAAATACTGCCAGCCCGCCTAATGGTACCGAAACATACATGAAAAGGCGGCCCTTCGCCATATGCCGGGATATGCCCAACATTATACATCTTTTAACGAGGTCATCGTGCGTATTGTCAATTATAGAACCTGTCTTAAATCCCCAAAGGCTAGAGCGTCCTCTCTCAAAAATTAGGGCTCATACAACGATAGCCGGGTGTGGATCTGTGCGTGGAAATGAAAAGCAACCATTTGGTAAGTAGGCTGCGCGATTCACGACCCACAGATGCTCCTTCGTTTGCTGATGGAGCCAAAGGAAACAATGGATAGTGCTTTCATCAGACCATGCTCTCTTGATCATGACGGCTCCTAAACACCTTTAACATCTTAACAGTGAGCAAGTTATAGGGAAGTGTCAATACTTGAAGCAGATAACGACTCGGGGAGGCGGCGGCCTGGAAAGTTTTCCAGAAGCCCGCAAAAGACAAAAAAGGTCTTATGGAAACGGTTTTACCGCGGGAAGATTCAGAAAAAAGGGTGTCGCTCCCAAACACACACGGCGCAGCCAAGGCCCCAGATCGAGCTTCTGAAGCGAGAAACGTCGTCAGGAGCCAAGTGTAGCCCCACCGCCGACAATGCGGCGAATTGGGCTGCCGGATATAGCAAATCTAGCCTGACCACCAGCTTACTTTTCACTAAGCTCAGAGATATATTGCTTGTATCGGAGAATTTCGAGAAAAATACCTAGCTGTCATCATCACAATTCGACATTCCTTTTCAAGAAATCAGCGGCTGTGAAGCTGTCTTCAGATGATATTCATGTTGCATGGAGTAATGTTCCAGAGGCCCGCATCGATTGTTTCTTAACAAGCGGCAAAGTATCAGACATAGACAATGTTTTCTTCCATCTTGACTTCCATTGAATTAACCCCATTGAGGCGAAAATAGTACTGCATAAGATGCATTAATTAGTATGATTGTTTGCTGTTGGACTCGGCGGGTCCACGCTCTCGGTCGGTTAGATGCATGCATATGGCCTCAGATTTTCCTTACGGCTTATCAAGTCGAGGTCAGCTCCTGCCTCTCATAATCTCGAGTCTCAATTGGAAAACAAACAAACAAAAAAAAAAAGTGCCTCTACGAAGTACTCTAACTAGAGTGATTAATCACGTAACCTGGTTCAAGTTTCCAGATTCACAAGCACCATGTTTCTGTTTACGGTCCGCTTACGAGGACATTTTCATTGAACCTCCAAAGCAATGGCTATTCTCGAGAGATTCGATCCCCCAGCGGCTAATTCCCACCTCCATCGATCTATAGACCTGCATGAGCTTGCGTAACCCTATGGGGCGCCAAGATCGGTTACCACTGTTCCTGTCTGTTTCCATCGCTAGAAACAGCCAAAACTGTCGTTGGTTCGAATCCAGGAAATGAGGTCCTGTTGAACGGCTATTTGAATCGGAAGCGAGAACCTTGTGGCTCGATAATCAACTGACTCGTGGCAAATTGCTGGGTGAGCACCCATTCCAATTTTCATCAACCTGATGCTGAACCGCAAAATCCTGCTCAATTAGTGAGCCATCTGCTAGGTATTAATGTTTACTTGCCTAGAATGACCGGAAAACTGAACAGAAAAGTTTCGAGACTTACACTATGGCATGAAACTGGCGTGAGAGCTGTTTTAATATGCAGATGCAGGCTTCTCAAAAGAATTTTTGTTTACCTTAGAAAGTTTTGGCACCGCAGGACCTCCTGCAACCTGAAGCGCGTTTCATCTCCACCCTGGACCCGATGCGCCCTCTGTTTGGCGTTTTTCCTTCTGGGTCGGTAAAAAGGGCCCACCTCCTTAACCAAACCTTCTAAAACATTAGTCGCGAGACACCATCAGCTTTAATTCATATCTAAGCTCCAGAGTGCTGTCTCGGAAAAAATCTTAGCTAGGGAAATCTTAGCTGCACCTGGAGTTGGTTGAAGCTTACTCCCCTCCAAGCATTTTTAAGCATGCAAGTCGAGGCGAAAATTTATTGACCAACCCAAGAAACCAATGAACACTGCTATAGGTCTGCAGGGAGTGCCGCATATTACAACGTATTATACCTGAATCGCACACTGTTTTCCATCTGTTTGTTGAAGCTTGTTTGTGGCTGCCAAGCCTCCAGGCATCGGCGGATCTTTGGCACCAAATGCATCAAGCCATGCATGACCTCACATGCCGTCTACCCGTCCTCTCTCTTAATCGTCATTTCGCTATTTGCCAGATTCAATCACAGCTCGCTTGACTGAGCTCATTAATCAGCCTTGACTACAAGATTGCACACCATATCCACTCTTCTGCATTTCCGGCAAACTTTCTCGGGTCCGATAATAAAATCTTTTCGATCTGATAATGTCAGTTGATTCGGCATCGTACGGGGGGGACGCGGAAATTGTTATTCACAACGGCAAATGCCATTGTGGCCTCGTCCAAATAGCTTTCGAGGCTCCACCGGATCTCATTTTTGACGAATGCAATTGTTCAATCTGCTACAAATTAGGTACCATAAAAATTTCATATATACACTCCCCTCGTTGAAGTTTATACGTCGGCTATTCCTTCACAAGCTGAGTACATGCTGAACGGGAAGTTTTCTCTATGAAACGGCAAGAATAGGCTTGATTGGTGTAGATATCCCAGCTTCAAGACTCATAAAGTTTGAAGGTAAAGAGTATTTGAAAGAATACACCTTTAACAAGAAAATCGCCAAGCATTGGTTTTGCGATAGGTGTGGTGCGTCTCCACTACATGTTCCACGTTCGAATCCCAACGGATACTCTGTGAGTCTCAAGTCCTCTTTCCCGGTATATAAAGAAGTAAATACCGAACAAACTTTCTTCCGTAAGCATTAGGGGTGCTTTCGTAAGCTCTTTCATTTTCACTGGAAAGAATTCACGAGATGTTTAAGATCTCAAATGCTAAAGCGCTTGGCTATCCCCGACTGCCGTTTTTGAGAGGTGTTTTACTTATTCTCGATATATGCACAGATCCACTTGCGATGTCTCGACAAGTCAACCTTGAGATCGTATAAGATCGTTCCATTCGACGGGGAAAACTGGGAATCTACCATTTCGAGAGAAAAGGCAGCGCGAGACGAGGCTTTGCAAAGGATCTCAAACCAACAATGAAGGAGATGCACGGGATAGACGGCTTGGCTGTGTGAAGAAAAACCGCAGCAAGCTAAATATATATATAGCTCTCAGCTGCTATATGATGTTCCGGTTCCTTTCACCTTCTTAAAGAAAGATTGAATCCTACGTTTCTATAGCAAGCCGGTTAAAGTTGATCAACGTTCGAGAAAACAATGGAGCTCGAGCATCTGGTAGACACTTTGACCACAAAGACAAGGAGCTCGATGTATCAGATCTGCTGTATCTAAGCTCAACTGACCAATTGTCAACCGTTAGCCTGCTTCACATAGAGCTTGATCCATGAAATTCAATATATCTTCCCGTAATTCATTAATACATTTGAATTTACCAAGATCTTGCCGCTGTTTATAGGACCGTGTACCGGTACCTGAAAGAGTCTCATATTGCACTTAAAACACAGATCCTTCTCCACCGACGTATCAATTGGTTCACACGCAGCAACTTTAAGCTAACTTTGGAGCTGTTTGGTTCCGAGCACGCGGCAGAACCTCGATACATACATACACATACGCATGCATTGTGGCTTGGCCTTGATCCAATAATGGATGCGTTTCCGGCCTTTCAGGTCCCAAGCTTCTTTCAAAAAACTCACCTTCTCCTTCCGTCATTTTGTACTCATGATCAGCTCTGTAGGTGAAAGTTGGCTATTCCTTCCCAAAGACCTACTAGATCGTCGTCACCTGGACTGCCCAAGCCCGCATCGACGTTGTATATCCGCGACACAAGGCGTAAACATTACCTCTCAGAAACTTCAGCCGATATCATGCATGAGAGGGCGTCGGGGAGATCAACCTTGAAGTTCCGAGAGACTAGCTAGCTAGGTCACAGATGTGTAGCACAAGAATCACCGCCTGTTCCCCGATTTTCGGAACACAGTTTCCCGGCTGGGGCGTTGGCTCTTGGATGCGAGTTCCTGTTTTTTTGGACTGCTGTCAGAGTCGACCTCCCTTATTGAAAATTCTTTGGTCATGCACGCCTGCCGAAATTTCGTGCTCCAAACCGTTAACCCTAGCCTATCAGCTGCCCTAGCGACTCATTCAGGAAACATCATATGTGTTCCTTGAACGAATTACCCATTGGATAACGCCTCGCATCTCAACATGCAGCACATACCTGGTTTATGTACGTATTTAGGCAGACATCCCGGGAAAAATTGACTTGTGCTCTAGAGCTAGAGGACGGACATGCGCCCATACAGACCTTTACTATTTAGTCATGTTGAGGAGGTTACGAGATTAGTCAGTATTTTACTAATATAACCGCATCGTTATTTTTTATGTATCTGTTTTTATTTTTACTTCCTGGTCGACAGCTCGAATACTTTAATCAACCAATATTATTTCGAATGTTTCTAATTAATGGTGGTAGGAGCTTTAATATCAATCATATTTAATATTTGAAAGATTATTTCAAGAGTTTAGCAGCTTTCGGCCTTTAGACTTATCCCGGACAGAATGCAATCAAGAGATTAAGCTCCGCATTCCTTAAGTATTAAGTGCATGAATAAAAATAATGAGACAACTATTTTCATCTTTTGTGAAGTCCTTAGAATGAATATACGATACGAGTCAGGAGCCAACCGCAACTATCGTGATGCATGATACTGAAGCCGACTATTCAAGGTATATTACTGATAAACCCAGCCCAGCCTTGAGTGTTTATGTATATCAATGAAGGATTATATCCGCTCAAGCTCTGAATATCGAATGCTATTTGTCAGAATTTAAGTTGCTATCGACATATCAATGCCGCTATTTCATTCTAGCTTGCCAAAAATATATATATCTAGATATCTAATCGCGATATCGAATCGATGATATCATATGACCATACGACCAGAAGCTGTCTAATTGCCAGAGCTGTGTTGCGGGCCACAGAATTACAACAACCTTCAAGTCCACAGGTATGCTTCCATGAATCACTTCAATTAGTATCAATCAAGGAGCGAAATAAACTTGTACATATGGTCCATAAAACAAACTCGTTTTCAATCCTTTGGTTGTAATTTGCTCAGGGAATCCTACTTCTGACGTCATGGGTTTGTAGTCGCTCCACCTTTGCATATTATCCTGCAGCATCGGGAAACCGTAATCGATATCTTGGAATAGGTTTCCCTAGAAATCCCGACTGTGAAGACTGGGGGAAAAAAGCTTGATATCTGGGTTTATATTGGAACTTGGACGCTTAAATCAGATACCTATTTAGTGCCACCAAGATCCTCGGCTGGAACCTCGGTTGGTTTTTATTTAAAAGTCCTTTTCTATCTGCAGCTGTTCCTGATCCTCGAAACTTTGTACAACCATCGATCACTGATAACAACAATACAACACATTTCGAAGTCAAAATTACCACATTTTTTGAACGAAGTTCATTTTCTAGATTTTGGCCACTTGGGGGGTTGAGCTCAAAATAAGAGGGTTTTAACCGGGTTTTCGGCTATCAATATCAAAATGGTAGGAGATGGCTCCGAGACTCATTCGAGGTAGGTAGTACTTGTCTATCAAATCCAAATTATCCCGCCCTTTATGAGATCTAACAAACCTTCAACTCCCTACAGCGCAGCCCGCTCCAAATCCCCTATTAAGGTGCAGGATGAGCTCGAATGTGCCCTCGCAGGCAAGGCACTTTTAAACAGTCCACGATTCAACAAAGGCAGCGCCTTTACCGCGGAGGAAAGGGATGCTTTTCAACTCAATGGGCTCTTACCTACTGCCATTCATACTCTAGGTGATTATATATACCCATGAATCTAGTGTTCCGTATTTTAAATATGGGTTGAATCTCCAATAGCTTGGCTATACAAAACCTAACCAAATATATAGGCCAACAGACGAAGCGAGCGTATGAGCAATATCTATCGTACGAGCATCCCATTGCGAAGAATCAGTTCTTACAGAGCTTGAGGGATCAAAATGAAGTTCTTTTCTATCGTGTAAGTGGACTCCGTGGGCACAAGCTGTAAATATTGGAGGATATCGGGGGGGCGGCTTTGTGATAGATCTTAGGATCAGTTGAATCCTTCAATGACAGAGCTGATCAAGTCTTATAACCTCTTCAATAGCTTATCTTGGACCACCTCAAAGAGATGTTTAGCATTATCTATACCCCCACCGAAGGTGATGCGATTGAACAGTATTCACACCTGTTTCGGCGACCCGAGGGCTGTTTCTTAGATGTTGAGAATATTGATACGGTTGACGAGGTTGTTGGGCAATGGGCTCATCCAGATGATATAGACTACATTGTCGTGACGGATGGAGAGGAGGTAGGGTTTCATTTAAAAGAAGTCATCATTCTCGAGTTTTAGGTGCAGCGGTCGGGCTAACCATACATGAAACTTCTGAGTAGATACTTGGTATCGGTGATCAAGGGGTTGGAGCGATTGGGATTTCGACTGCTAAGTTAGCCCTGATGACACTCTGCGCTGGGGTATGTACCTAACGGTTGTTTTGTAAGGATTGTGGGTTGCACGTTTGGGTAATTAACCTGACAGCTTTCTCGAAATAGATCCATCCAAATAGGACTTTGGGCGTGGTTTTGGATTGTGGAACAGATGTAAGAGCCATTAATCTGTAGCCGGCTGTTCCCAAAGTTGAAAATTGAAATACTAATGTAGGAGACATTGTAGAACGAAGAACTTCTCAATGATGACCTATACCTCGGGCTTCGACAGAATCGTGTACGCGGGGAGAAATACGGTACGCTACACCTAATAATTCATTCCCATAGTTTAGGTCGGAGAGGTCGACAAAAAAAAACTAATATTGAACACAGATGCCTTTGTTGAGGCGTTCATCAAAGCTGTTAAAAAGCACTACCCAAAAGCTTTCCTCCATTTCGAAGATTTCGGGCTTACGAATGCACGTCGACTACTCGAAATATACCGCCCGCAGCTTCCGTGTTTCAACGACGATATACAAGGTACCGGTGCTGTAACTCTTGCCGCAATCATGTCTGCAATATGGGTGTCAAAAGTGGAGCTGAATGATATCAGGATGTTGGTTTACGGTGCGGGTAGTGCTGGAACGGGAATCGCGGACCAAGTCCGCGACGCCATGGCAGAGATAGGTGGAGTGGATAAAGAGGTGGCGAAGAAACAAATTTGGTAGGAAGATTACAATCTACAAAAGCCAGCTAGCGGTATACCGTGGGTGCCCCTACTGACAATATTATAGGCTGGTTGACAAGCCTGGAATCTTAACATTATCCCTCTCGGACAGCCTAACGAATGGCCAAAAGCCGTATGCACGTCCCAACGAAGAATTCTCCGATATCGAACATAAATCTCTCATCCAGGTTATCCAAAAGGTAAAACCACACATATTAATAGGCACATCCACCCACAAGGGCGCGTTCACGGAAGATGTAGTCAGGGAAATGTCGAAACACGTGGAACGACCTATCATCTTCCCTCTTTCGAATCCTACAAAACTCGTGGAAGGTCAGCCGGAGGATATTTACAACTGGAGCTCCGGGAAGGCTTTAATTGCTACTGGATCGCCGTTTAAACCCGTCGAGTTCGAGGGAAATAAGTATGTCGTAGGTGAGTTCACCCCGGTCATCGCATTCGGTCGATAAATTTCCTTTGTTGAAACCACGATTTCAATTGGCTTATGAGTGTTGATGTGCATAGCTGAGTGCAATAACGCAATGATCTACCCTGGAATTGGACTTGGCTGTGTTCTTTCTCGCGCGAATACACTTTCTGACGCCATGCTTATTGCGGCTGTCCACGCTCTCGCGGCCGAGGCGCCGGCATTGAAGGACCCGAATCAGGGCCTCCTGTCGGACGTGAAGGACGTTAGGAAGATGAGTATGAAAGTGGCCTGTGCAGTTATCAAGAAAGCTGTTGAGGACAGAGTCGCGACAGCTAGTGACATTCCAGCAAGCCAGGAGGAGTTAGAAGCGTGGGTAGAGGAACAAATGTGGGACCCTGTGTATCGGCCGTTGAAGAAGGTTCATCCAGGCACCGCATCGAGGGATGCAAAGGGGCAGGTTGGGTCGAAGAGCAGTCAGTAAGGGACCCGGACGGACAGATATTCTGGGGTTGGGACTAGCGAGGAGGCAAATATCTAGCAATGGATTGTCATTCGACCAAAGGTGCCTAGAGCAATACCCTATTCTAATTCTAATGGAGTCTTTTTCCAGATGATATCCCGTCCATTGAAAATTAATTGCATTGCATGCTGTAGTGACTCTTCTGGGTAAGGTTATAGCAAGGCTTGATATTGCATAAGAAAAACTTGATGACACGACTGTGTAACCAGCCGCACCGGAACGTTAACGTTATCAGGGAAAGGATGAGAAAACAGCATCAATGGGGAAAGGCCCCAGCCACTGCATTAGCTTCGGCGGCCCAACGTGCACATGATGCTTCCAGCAGGCCCGTACTTAGCTAAGTATGTACGTGCATACAAACATGGTCAACACAAATAACGTGTGTTAATTTGAACGGTAACATTTGACGACAGAAAACTTGCAAATAGAAATTCAAGCCGAGACTCGAGCTTGGCGGAGGAGTATCCTAACTTTGGGTACTTGGATTGAGTTCGCGAAAGGTTAATATTAGCATCAATAGACGGAATCTTTGTAATCTCTGACAGAGAGCACGCAAAACAAAAGGAAACCATAAGACTTACAAGGTCAAAGGACGCTGGAGACGAATTTTGAGGAATGTAACCAGGGGGGTACGGTGCAGCCAATCACGAGCTCAACGTGGATGGAAGCTGGTATGTATGTCCGCACATGGGTCGTTCTTTTGATGGCCCCACCATCCGTGAAAGGAATGGATGGGAACTCAGAAAAGGTGTGGTTGGCTGACAACCAGCATGCTCCCTGGGAAAAGACGCCACCATGGTCGAGATCGAAGAACGAAAATCTGGCCGGGATCAAGCTCTTTGCAGGCATAATGACAAACCTCAGCCCCGCTTTTTTCTTGTATCATCGCCCCAAAATGCAACGTCGAGAGAAGCATTGGGCGGGAAGTCTTAAAGCTTGTGCTATGCGGAGGTGAGTATGTTTAGATATTGAGGAACAGGTACATCTTTCCTTTCACTACATACATATATTCTTTTAATTCGGTTTCAAGTTGGAACCAGTTCTATGGCTAAGGTACGCAGACGTCGGGACATGTCGACACATTAAAGACGTCACCGCGGATATCCTTTTCACGTGCCTTCATCAGAAATCTGGAGACCAGATCGACTTGAACTCCTCCGGCTCCACAAAAAAAAAAAAAAGTACCCAGACCCTGGCCAGCTGGAACGTTTACTCTACATATTTACTTACATGCTTTATACTATACTTTCGGTCTGCTGCTACATAAGTATTAATCTAGTGGTGACGATTGCCCGCTCTTAGTTACTGTTGCTCCACTTGCCTTTTCGCTTCTTAGCCCCGCTGTCTTTCGAGATAGGAATCTTAAACGGTTATCGACGACGATCCTCTACGATACCATCTTCACGGCGCAAAAGCTGTCAAAGTATTAATTTCCCTAATACTCGGCTAGCAAAGGCTGCTATTTGCCAGACCGGACCTCTCGAAGTTCCAGAATTAATTCGAAACGGGGTTCTGCAACAACTGCCCATCTCGTCAGCCACCCACAAACAAGTCTTCCAAAGTTCCTCTACCCTCGATCCAACCGTGTCGACGTAGACATACGCCCCTCCTCACCCCCCTTCCCCTTCCCCTCGTCTACCCCAAGGAAGCAGGCCATATCATTACCGGACCAGCCTCCTTCTCGCTTGATCTAAACCTTATCGTGCTAGTTTGCTCGGAACCGAAATTAAAAGCAGGTCATCCAGCATACTGCCTATTGCAAAGATCGATAAAATTCCTTTATCCAGAAAGCCTGCTGATAGCTGCCCGGGTCGGAAGAGTAGACTCCACCCAGCAAACTAAAGTTCCTCTAGCTCTGGCTGCAGCTGCAAAGACGCAACACCCGCCACCCGTCTATAACAAATATCACGAGGATTTTCAAAGTTAGTGTAAGTCTGTTTTATTTTTTTTCTATTGTTATACCTGATTCTTCCTAGATTGTTTCGTTTGCGAATGGCCATGGTTATCATCTGATTTGCAGTTGGAGCTTATCTTCAAGCTATTGTTCGAAAGAAAAGTTAGCTAAACAGCCTTCCCTGCAACCACATTCATTCCCATGGCTTGGGGGGGGTTTAACGTTTTATCGATAAACCACCATTTTAACTAGCTGTTTTGCAGAAGTTATCGTCATCAGAAGCCTTTTCTTGATTTTTATGTATTATCATTTCAATTCTCCATCTTCAGAATCTGGAAGAAAAACATCCAAACAGAGTCGTTGAAGCTGCTCCTCGGCAGTATAAGCCGCACGTTCCGCCACTTTGAAGGTTTTTGATTTTTTGCTTGTTTTCTGATTGTTCGTCTTTTCTTATTTCTTCCCTGCTTTGAATCCACTCCTGTCGCAACCTCACCTAACCCTGCGACCCAGACCTGTTTTGCCATCGAGCGAGGACTTCCCGTTTGTGGCTTGCTCTTGTTTGCAAGGAAACAAGGAATTGCAAAAGGTTTTTTTTATTTATTTTTTTATGCTTATTTGTTTTACTCTTCTTTGACATGAAAAAATAAGGAAGGGAAAAAAAAATTATCCAAGCGATAATACATATTACTCGGGGAAAGAGAGAGAGAAAAGGACTGTTGGTTATCGATTAATCAGTCGCAGCAGCCACTTAATCAGCCGTTCAAACATTACGAGCATTAAGACTCCAAGGTTTCTGTTTGGTGGTGCAGCACAGCTGCCCAGCTTATTCGGCAAGAGAGGCTGTGGCCGACGCTATTCCCAAGCTAGTACTAAAGACGGTCCCAGTCCCAGTCAAGTCCCAGCCCAGCATCGAGGACAGGAAGAGGAAGAGGTACTTAACGCCTGGGTTCCTTTCCAGCGGTCGCAGCGCAGCCCAGTTACTTGAAAACTTCTCCCTTCCCTTTCTTCTCGCTATCTTATCCAATCCAGCCAACCGATTTTTGGCAATTTCTTTCCCCTTCCAATATCGTTTCAAAACGGTGGTGCGTTCCTATAGGTTCGCGGTTGTATTGTATTGTATTTGGGTCTTGGATTGTCTGGTCGTCCCTTCGTCATTATTGGGATATCGATCGTATCGTATCGTATACATACTAAGTACGTACATACATAAGTACATACATACATACATACATACATGCGCAGTATAGTATACAGACATACGGATACACAGACATTACAATCTCTCACACTCTCACTTTCTCACTTTCTCTTTCGACTATCACCCCTCTCTCTATTCACCGATTTGATTCAAAACTTGTTTAATAAAACTGTACCGGCGAGCAGGCCGAATCAGAGCTTGGTACCTGGCGGGGACAGCTGCTGCTTGACACAAGCAATTCCCACTTTACTCGGACTGTCATCATCCTCGTTAATTTGCGGATTCAATTCGCAGTCGCAGAAAACCAGCTTTATATCTCCGTTCCATATCGGGGACACAAGCCATATCGTCAGATCTCCCATCGAACCGCCACTTTTCTGCTAGTTAGTGCCGTATCCGTATCCGAACCGAATCTTTTCATACATACTTCGTTATACATACCATACCATACCATATCATTTGTCACTTTTCCCGCGCCTTTGTGCGTCTCGTTTACGTATACACTTACATACCTGACCTTATAATACTTACTTGCACACCCACACGCCTGCACACACACACACACACACACACACACATACTCGAGTCTTGATATCAGTTCAAGCCTCTTTGTTTGTTTTTATTTTTGTTTTCCATTTTGGTTTCCTATAGTTGGACATCGATATCGATCCTCGAGGCGCGAAACTCGAGCAATTCGAACTCGATTCGATATTCACCTATTCCGATTATTTACTCTTATTCCTCTGCCCTTTGGTCTTTGTGCGAGGCTGCATTCTTTTCAATCCTCGATTTTCGAGTTCGAACGTTCTCGTTTCTCGTTTCTCTCAGCCCTCTTTCTGTCATCCGGACCACCCGTCCACACACAGGCCCCGGCGTGTGCGAGTGAGTGGATTGTATCTTTTTGCTCTGCAGCCCAGACTAGCGGTACTTTGCCATTGATTCTGTTGGATATCACGGCCGAACCCCTCAAGGCTCCTCCCCTCCCCTGTCCCCACCGTTCCCCCTCCTCTTTCTCCTCCCTCTCGAGCTGTTCCTGTTCATCCACCTTTTGGTGTGTTTACTCGCCGCTGAAGCTCGGTCAGTCAGTCCAGTGAATCCACCCACACGACTCACTATCACCCACCACCACCACCACCACGAACGGTTTTTCCCGCCTGCCGCAGGTATCAACTAGTGGCGCGTCTGTTTCCTTCTGCCCCGTTGCATCAAGATCAAGTTCAAGATCAAGTCCAAGACCGGGAGGAAAACCTTTAGCTCTTTTTTTTTTCTAGGAAAAAAAAAAAGAAAGAAGTGAGATCACCAAAAAAAAAACCCTCAAAGAATAAAATTCTCTTTACAAGAATTTCACATCTTGCTTCATCGAAGGCAATAAAAAAAAAGAAGAAGAAGGGAATCCACAGCTTTTGCAAGGCGGAAAAGTATCCGAGCCGATCGAATTCTTTCTGACAGAAGCGTTGGGCGACAACAACCTGACCTGTCCGACCAACATCGTTCCCGTCAGCTGCGGACTGCCTGGGCTTCGAAACCATCATCTTCCTTACAAAGCCAACGGTATCGCGGAGAAGGGTTCAGCCTCCGAGTCATCTGTTCCAGCTACCTATTTTCCCCGCTGTGGCTTTTGATCCATCTGCCCGCAGCGACTTTGCCTGCGGAACATGGGGTGTCGCTGGATCGCTGTCATTCCATCATATTGACTTCACCGGCCTCGACTGGCTTCACGACTCGAGGGTTCAGCTTCAAACAGTGCGGTCTAGGACATCGCCTGTTTCTTTTTTCGTTTTCATTCGATTCGCTGTATCTTCTTCTTTTTTTTTTTTTTCTACCCCTCCTTCCCTCATTTCTTCTTCCTTTTCCTTTTTATTTTTCCCGTTATAATTTCTTTTCGTTAGTTTTTCCCTGACAGTTTCGTCATTTTCTTGGATATTTCCGGCCTCCATTATCGGCTTCGAAATTTCTAAAACAACAGCTTCCTTTCTTTAGCCGCTGGAGAAAAAGAACCACCGTAACAAAAGGGGTGGAATCATCGTATAGAAGAGAGAAGAAGAGAGAAAAAACAACCGTCAATATGAGTTCTGACTGGAATAGACAGGCGTGGCCATATCAGACGGCGGAGACTATGCCAAAACAACCACGGCCCATCAAAGCCCCTCCACCGGAAGAATCGACTTCCTTCTTTTCTACAGATTTCGCAGATCAGAAACACTATGGCGGTGGGGATGGTTATTCGGCTGCCGACTCAGATCTACATCATGGCACAATAGACCCGTCGCAAATGCCATATGGGTCAGGTCTCAGGCACGTATCCGAACATAATCCATTAAGCATCGGCCCGCCGCAGCATCACCAGCATCAACCGTTACAACCCATGCCTCATACCTCGCACCAACCTGCTCATACCCTGCAACAACATCCGCCAACCCAGACGACACCACAGGCACAGAATGCTGCACCGCCGGCGCCCCAGGCACCACAGGCACCAGCTCCCAAAACACCTACGCAACCGAATCCGAAGAAGAGGCAGAGGTCTACCGGTGGGTCGAAATCTGGGGCATCTGCAGCTGGGGGTTCGGCCGATCCTGGGCCTTCAGGCTCGCCTCCGAAACGTTCGAGGACAAATACCGCGTGGACACAGCAAGAGGAGCAATTGCTGAAGCAGATGAGAGACCAGGGCTCTACGTGGAGCGAAATCGCGAAATCTTTCCCGTCAAGAACAGAAGGAAGCGTGAAAAAACACTGGTATAAGGTATGGAAATATGGGATTTTTTTTTTTAAGAATAACCACCCTCACGCGCGACGGTGCTGACGAACCATCACTTTATAGGACATGCACTGGGCAGAATTTAAGGAGGAAGAGGTAAGATCATCTGACCTCGAAATTTCTAGATTCGTCTACGATATCGAAGGCATCGGCTAATATGTCCCTATAGAGCGCTCAATTATTAGCGGCGATCAAAGAATACGACGCGAACAAGTGGAAGTTTATTGGACAGAAATTAGGTAAACCTGCCAAGGTATGTAGAAACTAGAAACTGCGGGGCGATGTGGCGATATCGCTATCACATATCACTATCACGTCAAAATGGGGTTAGTTCGACGGCTAATTTGATAACCTCGTGATAGGCTTGTGAGGCTCATTGGAAAGAGAAGCTGGGCGGGAGATAGATATTGAAACATCTCGACACAGAACAACACGTATACATCCACAATAACTTGGTATACGGGGAATTTTTATGAACGAAAAGGAAAATAATACGGATTTTATGACTGTTTGTGAAAAACAAGAAAAAAAGTTATCATCACGGTTACGAAACGACATATCCTCACGAAACACACAAATACACACACATACGCGCGCACACACCAACTCCTTCGAAACACCTATTTAGAAGGAGCATATCACCTATATCAGAACGACATTCATTGCGTACATCAACCTACAGAAACATCCTGAACAATACGACATATCTCTCTCGTGGCTATTTAAGCTACTTCCAAATTTGCTTTCGTACTGTGTCGGAACCAGTGGTCCCCATTAGCGTTTCATCACCTCTCACCTTCGCTTTGTTTTACAGCAAAAAATTCTTATCGATCCAATCTTCCTGGTTATTCTTTTATGTTTCGGTTCTAATTGGGCGCATGGCATCTTGGTACTCTACCTCGTTTCCTTCAACTTCAATAAGGTCAGGTTATCTGTTTATCGCTTCCACGTCTGTCTTTTTTGCGCGCTTCTTGTAAGGGTACGTTTTTTGGGTTTCTTTTCGACGTACTTTTTTTTTCTTTCTTATCATTACATTCATGTCTGAGTAACAATGGGCAAAATGGGCAGTGGAATACTGGGCTAGGAATAGGACTTTTGGTTTCTTCTTTATTTTACATTTTTTTTTTTTTTTACATTTTCTTTATCTTATTCTCATTCTCCATCTTCATCTTCATCAGCAACATCCATCTACTGGGACTTTTACTGCGGAAGGGGTGTCCGCGAAATTTTGGCGGATTTTCCAACTTGTACACAGCATTTATTTTCCGCGGCCGTTCAATTCTTTGTAACTTAAGGCTTTTTTCCTACTTTCCCTTCTATGGATGGATTTTCTTATTATCTCCTAATTTCCTATGTGATGCGGATGTTTATGGGACCCCCCCAATGAAGGCGAGAAGGAGGTTTACCACCAGGAGAACATGCGGCATAAGATGCAGTGATGGAGTTAAAAGGTTGAGTATCTCAGCCTTCTTTTAAGTTTTGTTTTAGTTTTTCCTGCTTTTAGTATACCCTTATTCTTCTTATCCTTTCCCGTTCCCTTTTCTCGATGAATCCTATCCAGCTTTTTCTGTTCGACTATGTCCAATAGTTTCAACATGCATGTCTACATCAACTGTAATAGCTAGCTAGGGGAGTCTATCGTTTTTTTTCTTATTCCTCCGCGCGGCCATCTTTACGCTTCTGAGTCTACTCTTGTCTTGGTCACGCATATAGAACGCATTTGCATAGCTGAAATGTTAAACCCCAAATCAATGCTTCATACCTTTTGCATGAATTTGATCCCAATGGATCGGTCTCAGTACTAGTACTATTATCAGAATATCCCAGACTGTGTCTTTTTTTAAAGTTATTAGTGCTAGTAAGCTCACAGGCCGGCCTAGTCCCTCTCAAAGAAGGGGGGGATATATAAAAAAACGAACTGATGTTAAAATAAGCTACGACACCAATGCATTGACAAACCTACATATAGTAGCGCTGGACGGCTACCTCATCTACTTCAAGTCAAGTATTCCGAGGTAATATACTAGCCATAAGTTCAAAGGTGGGACCCTTTAGATCAGGCTTGCCCTTGATATTGCTTTTCCAATGCACGCCACACAGCTGCCAACGGTACTAATATATACTAATATACTACATTGTATGCTCCCCTCTTTTTTTCTTTTCTTTTATGTACTATGAAGGTGTCAGGTGTACCTTTGGAATGTATATGTATCTATTGCTCAGTGCCAATATTATAGCGTCTGGGCTTGTAAGTATAATTATAAAAAAAACGAGGCCGCCCTGTGGCTGGGGCAAAGAACCTGCGTCGACGGTTATTCTAGAGCTGCAGGTATACATACTTTTGGAAAGGTACCCAGTACTTCAAATGTATATTTACCAAACAGTGAAATCGAGTGACTTCTATGATTGAATGATGCATTTACAAGTGAATAGATACTTCTCATGCGAGCCGGACCAGATCTCAGGCTATTCCAGGACCCAGTCGACCGGAACTTCCATACAATTCAATTAATGCTAACAGCCCGAGCGCCTGGAGTTTGTTGGGTCACGTTTTCCCAGCTAATTTTTGTGTTGTGCCTTCCTTTCCCCTGTTGCGAGACTGTCCTAGAGACTTGTTCCATCTTAGGCTTTTTCAACCTCCACGTTTAATCTCGCGCCGGCCTCCATCAACCACCGGCCACCCCTCCTTTCCGACATCCTCTCCCATCGATCTGGCATCGAGCGAATCATCACCCGACCCGAACGTTTGCCTAGCCTATTTCCTACGACCGGGATAAAGTCCGATACGTCTCCAATCAGCATCCCTTGACTCAAAAAACCGAGCTGCAAGGATCATTTTTCTCACGAACGTCACGAAGAAAAAAAACAGCTCGTCACGAAAGAAATCCCATCGGAATTGGGCGAAACGAGAACAAAAAGTGGACAGTATTGGTCTAAAACCATTAGCTATTAGCCATTAGCTAGCTAGCCAGCTGCAGGATTCATCGAACATCTCGAATCGAATCGATCCACATCTACATCCTACATAAAGTCACACACAAAAAACAAAATACCCCGTCGTCTTGTCATCTCAAAGTCAAGGCAGCGAACGAGGGGAGGTTTAGCCAAACAGCAGACAGTAAATAACGGAACTCCCGCCGTTCACACGCATATACGCACGCTTTACATTAACAACCTTTATTCCCATCTACCGTGTCCAATCACAATCTCCCACAAAAATGGCGGACAACGACGTCGAAATGTCGTCGGCACCCGACGCTCCAAAACCACAGGGAGCTCCAGTACCCTCCCGTTCTATAGAAGGATGGATCGTTCTGGTTACTAATGTTCATGAAGAGGCCGGCGAAGAAGACCTAAACGATCTCTTTGCGGAACACGGCGAAGTCCAGAACTTGCATTTAAATCTGGACCGGAGAACGGGTTATGTCAAGGGTTATGCATTGGTAGAGTATTCGACTAAAGAGGAAGCGCAGAGTGCCATTGATTCCATTGATGGGAGTAAGCTGTTAGATCAGACGGTCAGTGCTGATTGGGCGTTTGTAAGGCCGCAGGGGGCGAACGCTAATGGTGGTGGTGGTGGGAGGGGAAGAGGGAGGGGGACTCAGGGAGGTCGGAGACAAAGGAGTACGAGCCCTGTGAAGGCAGAAGGAGGGGAAGAGTAAAAGGGATTGAGAAGCCGAGGTGGGTGGGATGGCGAAAAGAAGCGATGAGAGTAATGATGACCTGGTAGAGGCTCTGCCTCTTTACAGAAAGAGAGAGAAAGGGAGGACGGCCTGAGATGTATGAAAGTGGGTCTAAAATACCGTCAATAGATGGTATAGACGGCGAATAGCAAAGAAGGGAGGCAAACAGATGGTTTAGGAATGCCGTTGATATCGCGTTTCCTGATATCGGACGGTTGCTTCCACAAGGCTGAAGCTCCACATCCTGCCAATAGCCTGTATTATCATCCAACATCTATCAACAAAACCAACTAGCCAGTCATATTTCGACGTCAACAATTGGCTATCCCACTCCCAACCTAATATCCACCTTTGCCTGTTTTAATTTCAACGTCTCGTAAATGAATAGAACCCCCCGACAAAAAAAAGGTTGTTACACAAAACCAGTACTTTTATTACATCTTAACAGCAAAAGCAGCCGCTAGCTATGTACCCACCTTATGATTTGAGGCCAAAAAAAAATCATGTGTCGTTCGTTTCCCCGCCGAATAGGAATGTGTGATTGGAGGATCATATGCGACGGCATATCCGGCCATGTCTGTTTATGTTGTAAATCAGGCAAATTTAGGAGACGCCCGTACGCGTGAGGCTTGAAATAGCAGTGAAGTAGGCGGTATATAGACGGCCTGCAGCATTAGTGCCTTAGGTTCGCGGGCTGGAACAATCCTCGTGGCCTAGTTCCAGGCTGTCGGGTCTCCTGAATGGAATAGAATACGGTATTAATCGGCTATCAACCAGAGTTGCACAACGGGCAAGACGGCTGAACAATGTATCGTTCTATCTGTGGTGAGCTGACGGTTACATACGCCACAAGGTTTAGTTCTTAAGACACAGGTGAGTTATAGCGACCGAGAGTGATCATAACAAGCCGTGATCCAATTATAAGTCCCGTCTAAGAGCCCAAAATTCGGCATTGTCGAGCTAGCGGCGACATTTGAACTATTACAAGTGGTGGCGTGAGGCTTTTGGATGTTTGCTCTATACAATGAGGACTTGCTTCGACTTAGCTTCTGATAACATCCTCATGCATGCAAGTTGGAACGATATTGTATTATTAATCATACATTAACAAGTTAACATATCGATATGGTGGTCGAACCTTTGAGCATGTGTCATCGCCTGCGCATCCGAAATACAACTGTGAAATTCGAAAGTTCTCTTTGATCTTCGAGAATACGGAGCTCTACTGGCTAGCTATCCATATGCTGTGCCTTCGAAGCGCAACAATATACAAGGATCATGGCTAACAGAGCCTTGTTTCTGGAATATGACGATGATTATCAAGGATTTTATTGTCTCCTTGTCTATTACATTAGTATTAAACATTTATCTATATAGCTATTTTATCAGACGAACCAAAACGTTGGAATTTGAAGAGTGATATCGTAAGCTCCTAATCCGGAAATCGAACTTGTCCATACGACCCTTACTGTGCCGCTCTTCTGCAGAAAGAGCTTTCAAGAAAAGCACCAAAACCTGGAAATTTTTGGAAAATGAACGGTATAGCGATGAAAAGATTCGCAATTACTATCAATCATATTTTTAGGGATCGAAAAAAAACGCTTGTTTTTGCCTTCGTTCGAGCAAACCGACCTTGCTCAGCCATCTCATGTATGTACATGTATACGTATAGACGGTACCGCGGTACGTTCTTTGTGTACCTTGGGAATACTTTGCATTTGCATTGATTCTCGATGCAGGATGCATATGCCTACATGAATCGCAAACCTAAGATTGGAACGTTAGAGCTAGCTCGTAGGAAGCTGCGCATGACATGAGGCGGACTCGATCCGATCGGTAGGAAACATCAGGCATTGAACTTGGAAACCCTTCCTTTATGTCATCCTACGTCTGTTTCTTCCGAGCCCTTCTCTTAAACGCTTTTCTTGAGAAAGATTTATTTTTATTTATTTTAATTTTTAGAGGGTGTATTGTACCTGGAATACGATGGTCTAGAATTAACACTGTGGCGTTTTCCTTTACCCCTACAAAATCGTCTTCCCGTGCGGCGTAGCTAGCCTTCCGGGCCGGTATCAAACAAGGGTTCATTTTAAATCGATAGTGGGACTTTGGTTTCACTGGAAGCTGTGGCGACGGCCCGATTGGCCTTTTTTTTTTTGTTCGAGACGTTTCCCACGCGGTACACGGGAGCAGGCTTGAAGGCCGTGCGGATTCCACTTTTCAAGGATCATGATTGAATATTGACATATGATCTATAATATAAGTGAGTGGTACATTCCAGAACTCCCCATTTATGAGATAGACATATGTCACCCCACGATTTGCAAACTAAAACATCGTACGGCAAATAGCTTTTTTTTGACAGATATTCTATAATGCAAGTATTCTGATGTTCAGCTGGTCATGGTGCAAATAGTGGAGACTTGACCTCGTGTTGGTGCGCTAGCGTCGGCGGCAGCGAAAGAAGGCTACCAGTGCAGTATCAACATTTTGGGAATTATTTGACCTCATACTTGCGAGGTTATTGTCATGTTACATTTGTTACTTTCTTTCAAGAAACTACTTTATCAATTTTTTAATTTTTTTTTTAGAAGGGGGCTTTTGGAGCGGTGAAGCGGGGAGTCCGATATTCTCAGCCTCAGTTGGAACAAAAGGTACTTTAGCTTGAATTGTTTGGATTTTGATGCTAACGAGCGTGACTGGTTTCTTCAGACCTGCTCTGTGTAAGTCTGCGGCAAAGCTAGCGCCGTCTGTTTCGGCGTCCCGTTGTCTCATTGTCACATCGAAAGGAAAGCGTGGGATGGCAGAATCAAAAGTGGAGACCTATAGAGCTAGCTAGCTAGAATATCCTAATATTATGTATCCCTTAAGATTGCAATTGGATGGATTGTAGTACCGTATACCTCACGTTAGGCAATGTTGTAATCATGCACGTCGCCTAGAATTAACGTTCCAAGTGGGTTCGACCAAGAACAATACACATTGTTTCTAGTCATTTTTGTGGTACATATCGCATGTATGCATTATGTTCCTGGTTTGGTGACGAAACCGGTGCGGGAGGATTTAATGTTTTTTATGCGAGCGCGAGGTTCTTTTCTTGGAATTCGCCTACTTGGAATATATTCAGTACAAAAGGCTGAGTACGAGACAATACAAAAGGGATGAATGCCAAAAGAAGTGAGGTACTTTCGTATGATAGTTACACTGATAATTAAGCGTTACTCCTGGTAATATGATTCGACCGGAGGGAGGGGATGCATGTAACAAGCCGAATATACATTAATTTTGGAACAGACATCTGCGATAGGACAGTTGGTTGTGGTCGTGGTGGTGGTGGGCTGTGAGGTTCTACGGATTCATGCGAATATTGATAACCCGACCTCATTCTCACTCACTCAAATCGACGATTCAGAGAACAAGCCCTGCGGACTGTTGCATCAATGATCAGCGAAGAGTTACGGTTCGGACGAAATTGCGGCCGATACGAACTCGTACTAACATCATTTTTCTCGGGAAGGATATCCGCATTTACAATTTCGTTATAGGCATTGAAGACTAGCCAAATTAAGTGGGACGGGATTTGCAGCGGAAGGCAGCTAGCTAGACAAGGGTAAGCATGCGTATGTACCATGGCATCGATATCCTTTATGGAACGGATTTGTGCGCGCGTGCGCCTTGTTTCCGTATGCATCGGTACCGTTTTTGAGGTTCCTGTGTTACAGGTGTTGGATTGTTCCTTGTCAACGGGATACAAGGTTAAACAAGCGCTGTCGATATATCACATTTTTTGAGAGCCGGCCTCCCCAGTCCAGGCAGCCAACAGGTTGGGGTACTTACTCGGGCTGGGGGGATTGTGAGTCGACTTCATATCGGAAGGAAGACGGAAAGCAAGGACTAGGTGATACCAATGTGAGGAAATTTCAATTGCGTTAGGCAATATAGCTTCAGGCACAGCAGAGCGCAAACTGGTTCATGGGATGATTATAGAGGAGGGAAAAAGTATATAAGGGGCTTGTTCTGGCCGATACTGTTGAAGTTTTCTTTCCATCATCAGTATAGTTATACGAGTACATTCCAAGATAATACACACTCTTCTCGAGATAAAGCGCTATTCTTCAGTTTAACTTCGGATACATACGGTCTTAGGTAGGTTGACCACACTGGCTCAGGCTCGTTTATGATTGCTATATATGCTGACCAAAAGTCCCTTAGCTACATAGAAAAAAGACTGTATACCAAATCGATCTTCAAAAGATCTTTATATACATATACAAGCCTACGTATCTGCTATATCGAAATTGAATATCATCTTTGAGTCACGATGTCTATCACTACTAGCACAAACACCTCAGGTAAAAGCAGTCCTTAGAAATCTCAATATTTGCTGTATCTATGACTGACAAACTAGTTGTGAACAATCTAGGTATCAAGCATGCTAAGTCCGAACCTGTCAAAGAGCCAGTCTCTAGAGCCCAAGCCAAAGATTGTATAAACTGCGGCGGTAAAATGTATAAAGTCACAATTGAAGGAATTCTAGTCTGGGAGTGCTCTAATTGCAAAAGAACTTGTGCTATTGAATAGCGATGGAAACCTGGTTTTGTGTGGATGTTGGATGTTGAGTGGTAGTATCCTGGCGTATTTATTTTCTTCAGCCTCGGGTGGATAGATTCGTATTTACACCTCACAGTTCTTTAGCGGATGGGTGGATCTCTCAGTTCTCAATTCTGTCTCTTCTTATTATTCTATGTTTTCTGTTTTTACTTCTGTTTTTGCTATAATTTTGCTTGAGAATTTGTTTTATTTTTGGGGGAAGCTAGGCAAGGTACATTCGTTTGAGGGGGCACTGATAAGAAAATTCATGCATGTATCTAGTCCATGAATAAGAAGCTACTTACTGTATGGTCATAAAGTATTCTATCATTCAAGGCATTCATAGGTATCAGACGTTCAGCGTTTGAAGGGGAAGTTATATCATGTTGGTTGAGGCTGCCTTAAGCCTTGAATCCTATGCAATGTACCGCTGTAAAGGAATAGCTGGTTTTGTGTTGTCGATGTTGTCGATGTTGCCCGGTGTTCCACGAGATAAGATTAGATTGCTCAATGACGGCCCTGTTCGGGTCCAACCTCACCTGACGGTCTGCAGAAGGCGCTGCACCACGAAACCCTGCTCGAACCATTAAACCAACCAACATCTCACCCTCTTCGCCTTTTTCAAAATCGGGAAATCGCAGCTTTTCTTCCAGGAAGAGACCGGACTGGCGGAACGAAGAATACCAAACTGTGGCCCCCAAGAAACGCGCAATTTCATCATGTTGAATCGTCATGGTCGCTGGGACACGTCCAGGTTCCACTGAAGTAGTTTGCCTTAAAAATCGGTTACAACATTATCAGCATTTCTTTCTTTTCTAGGGGAATTTCGGAAGAGGTGTAGGCTGAAGCGATGGATGCTTTCGTCGCCCCCCAGCATTTCAATAACCGGGCTGTCGGTGCTGCTGCTGCTGTTCGAAGATTCATCGGGGGAGGTAGTAGTAGGCCATCAACTTCAGCAGGCCCCCCAAGTCTAGCCCATTCGACCTCAAATTTAGGGTATGAGAAGCTATAAGCCTTAGATTGGTGTACTTTTATTCTGCGTTTCTACTATGCTATCATCATTTTAAATCATGATGGCTAACATTTCGGACGATTTTGACGCTAGTTCATACCATGGAACACGAACGGCCCGGTATGACCTCCAGGTCCCGATCCAATCCCTCAGCGCCTCTCCAGACCAAGACCTTGTCGTCGTCGCCGGTCGAGAAGTTCTCAAAGTCCTACGGGTGACCTTCCACGGCGACATTACCGAACGTTTGGACCTTCGAGCAGGAAATGCACCTGGAAAGACAGTCGCTAATAGTGACGTCAAGTGGGGGTGTAACTTTTCTAAAGATGTTATTGCCACGGCTAACACTAACGGTAATATATGCGTCTATGATTTGGGTCGTGGCGGGAAGTTGGATAGGGTAATGCATGAGCACCAGAGATCGGTGCATAAGATTGCGTTTAATCCGGGTAATGGGAAGATTTTGATCAGTGGGAGTCAAGATGGGATGATGAAGATTTGGGATTTAAGGCAGAAGAAGAGTACAATGACATTATGGGGTAAGAGCGACGCTGTGAGGGATGTACAGTTCAATGCCTTGAATGCTGTGCATTTTGCAGCGGCTTTTGATAATGGCACGATCCAGGTAGGCCTATCTATCGATGAAAGTATTTAGGGGTGTCCTAGCGGTCAGCCTAAGGTTAACATGGTTTTATAGAAATGGGAATGGAGGATGGGTGGGACTGCTCACTCGTATCTTAAGAAGATCAGTGCACATAATGGTCCTGTCTTCTCGATTGATTGGCATCCCGACGGCAAATATGTTGCAAGCGGAGGTCGAGACAAGACTGTCAAGGTTTGGGATTTCGGAGAAGGGGATACCCAAAACAAGCGTCCGGTTCACACGATCAGCACGATGGCCGCCATCGGTAGAGCTACCTGGAGGCCTCGCGGAGTCTCAACTCGAGAGATTGCAACATGTGCTATGACCCATGATAACAGAATTACCGTTTGGGATATCAAACGGCCGTTTGTGGGGAAATACGCCTTTGATGAACATACAAACGCCACATCTGGTCTACTCTGGAAAGATGAAAATACACTATGGTCATGCTCGAAGGACCAAATGTTTGTTCAGCATGACCTGTCATACGCCGTGAATCCAATCAACTCCTTGAATCATTCGGCGGCCGCCTGGGCTCCCAATTTGAGTTTTATTGTTGTAATGGGTCAGAGGCCTCCGCCTCCGGCTAAGAGGGATAGGAATGTCAGGTTCGAGATGGATGATGAAATCTCAGGTGGAGGAGGTCGGAAGAAGTCGTCTGTGAGCGCTGCGGCTGGAAGAGTTCACCCGAAGATTGGTACACAGCAGAGTGGCATCGATACTCTTGGGGCAAAATATGCACCTCAGCAAGCGGTCGTTGAGGTGGCATTGCCCATGTTCAGTGGTGTCCCATTTACGGTTATGGCGACTAACTGGGTTACAAGTCTATCTGATGGAATGACACTCTCGCATGCTTGTCAAAAGAACGCAGAGACAGCTTGGGTACTCGGGCAATACCGAACGGCACAAACCTGGAAGATGCTGGACCTCATTCAAGGATGGGAGATAGAAGCTCGACAGGAGGAAGAGGAGCGGTTGAACAAGGAAGCAGAAATGGCATCCTCGAAGTCCCATCTTGAATCTGGGATATTTGCGAAGAGAGCACTTGGAGTCACGAATACAGATAGAAAAAGTTCCAACGGCTCTGCAGTGGCTACACCGCTGGCTAAACCTGTCGCCGATACCCCCCAGCTTCAGCCAATCCTCACGCCTACTCCGAAGGCTCCAACGAATCCACCAGGCAACATTGATGAAAATCTTTCGCTACCACCAAAGGCCTTCGGTACCTCGGTATCTTCCTCCACAGCTTCCACAGATGGCGGAGAAATTCTCAACATGGCGTCTCGCCGAGTTTCAGTAATCGCTAGAAGCCCCCAGGCGATCGACGAGAACAAGGAACTAAGTCTGAAACCCGTAGACCACCATCACCGCCATGAAAACGAAGACAAGATCACCCCGCTCCGCTCCGACATTTTTAGCGCTACTCCGGAGGTCACATTCCGTGGAAACAACGACAAAAACGGCGCCACACATGACCCTGAAGTACCGGATGTCGCTGCATCCTCGTCGTTTGATAAGGACCGCGACAAGGCTTCACTCGCCTACCGTGGACGTCAGTATTCTATCGGTCTGACTAGTGAACAGACTTCTAGCTCCTACGATGATTCAACCAACAGTTTCGGCCACAGACCCCGGTTAAGCAGTTCCCATCCCTTTCATAAGGAAAGTGATGACGAAGATGACGACGACCACCATCACCATAACCACAATAGCGCCCGCCATAATAACCAAACAACCCACCATAACCCCTCAGCCCCGCTCAACCCCGCCATGCGCAACACTTCCTCACACAATCTGAAACACCAACACCAACTTAATACTGCTGAAGCGTTGGGGAAGGATATCCAGGATATGGTGAAAGACTACGGCACGATCAAACTTAGCGGATCCGGATACGGAAGGATGAAAGAGTTACCATGGAATCTACAGAATTTCCTTACGATTTTGACGGATTATTACAGCGATCGTGGGGAGGTTCAGATGTGTGCTACTTTGGCTTTGTTGTTTGGGGATCTTGTGGTGTTTGATGAGAGGAGGATGGGGGATTGGATTGAAGGATATGTTGGTGAGTTATTTTCCTCCCTCTTTTCAATTATTACTTTGGGTGTATCCTTTAGGGATTGGTGGCGGGGTTTAAGAATAGTTGGTTGTAAAGGTTACTAATCTAACATCGTACCGAATAGAACAACTCCAACGTTTCAAACTCTACGTCCCAGCTGCAGAAGTTATCAAAGCTACAACAGTAGAACACGTGCGTTCCCAAGCACTCACCAACACTTTCATCCACCTAAGTTGCGGGAACTGTAACGCACCAATGATGAGTGGCGGCGGCGGTGTTGGCGCAGCAGGTATCAATAACGCTGCTCTGGATCCTTCTACTTCTGCTATTCTACAAGGAGACGCAGATGCGAGAAGGGCGAGTTATAAAGGAAGTCTTTACTGTGAGAGTTGTAGAAGGATGGCGGATGGGTGTATGCTTTGTCATCAAATTGTTAGGGGGAGGTGGACTATGTGTCAGGGATGTTGTCATGGTGGTCATGATGATTGTTTGAGGGGGTGGTATGTGGATTCGAAGATGAAGCAGTGTCCTAGTGGGTGTGGGCATGATTGTGTATGAACAAACAACTTCGAAGGGGTATTTAGGGGTTATTTTGCTGAGGGCTTGGAGGTTCTTTTTTCTCTCTCTTTCTTTCCAAGGGTGAAGGATATATGCATAGCGAAATGGCGTTCTTGAAGGGTGGTGAAGGGCTTGATCATCTATGGATGTAATATAATATATCTTTGCTTGACACGGTTGGAGCACCGATGTCCAGAGTCAAAATAGGGGAGGGATCAAAAGATGGGACCGGAATAATTAAACGATATATCAACAATGAATTAAAGTAATATCTCGATCTACCTTATCCCATCTATCTCTATAGCTATCGATCGATATCCTAAACACACATCATGCATTACATACCTCACATTACAAGATTGAGGCAATCTTATAAGGCCATATAAACCATTATCATCCCCTCCCTTTCCCCCATTCCTCCGTGGTCATTTCAAAAAATCTTCAATTTCATGAAATCTGCCAGAATATCCTTATCCACATTATCGATACACTTGTGTTTAAACGCTTCGGCTCCGTGTTTATTCTGGGCTTGTAGGAGATAATGTCTGATCCATTCTACAATGTGGATTGTATGTACCGGATCCGTTGCAGTTAATTCTCTCCGTCGTTTGGATTCGGCAGAGGTTGGGTCTGCGGATTCGGGGTGGATGTCGTAGACGAGGTTGCTTAGAAGAAGAGCTTGTTAGTCTCTTTGTAGTTTCCCTTTGATCTGGTAGAATGAGGGGTACTTACTCTCTATTTTCCTCAACTAGTTCTTGAACTACATCAGTCCAGACGGTCATTAGATCTTGCATCTGGACTAGTATCCATTCTTGGTCGAGTTCTAGGAGTTTCGTTAATGCTAAGGCGTTGAGTTTCCGCGATCTTGGGTTTCCTATGTTTCCAAACTATTCCTCACCATTAGCATCTTCAGTTTCCTCAAACAAAAAGAGAGAAGAAGACATAAAAGTAGAAGCTTACGTGTGAAAACCACTCCTCCATCAACCATGCCTCCACCCTCTTCTCATTAACCCCCAGACTGGAAATATACCCCACCAGCCCTTCAAACACCTCCAAACTCCCCAGTATAACCCTACTCAACACCCCAAAGTAAGCCGTAAGCACCTGAACATCTATCTCCGGATACTTCTTGTTGGGTCCCGTTGTCTGATGTGCCTCCCAAGTCGTATAAACCCCTTCAAATAGTTTTCTAGCAACACCGCTACTGACCATCGCTTGACCTAACGCCTTCATTCCTTCTTCACCTTGAACCGCTGATGCCGTTCTAATCATCAATTCCATCGCATCGGTTATCACCTCCGCCGCATCGTGTTTCAAACCTTTTCCTAACATACCGCCGAAGACATTGAATAACGTCAAAGCATAGTTATTCAACATCTCACGCGGGGCGAGTAAGATATACCCCTCGATAACCTCCAAAACTCTTCGTGTTAAGGCGGTATCCGATTCCAAACATGGAATTAGTAAAGGTACCAACTCTAATAATGGTGCGGCGCTATCAGCCGGCGTGGAGGTGACTGCTGCATCCCAGAGTTCCAATGCGTCTTCTAATAAAAATGTCTGTAGACCGTTTTCAGGGGACACGGAGAAGCGGATTAGGTTTACTACCATTTCTTGGTATTTTAGCGAGGAGTCTTTCATCGCGCTGACGATTTTGGTGAGGATTGCCAGGATGGATTGTTTGAAGAGATGTTCTTCGCCCGTGGCTTCCCAGAGTGGGGGGAGGATGCTGATTACGCGGTGGGCATACGGGGCAATCTGGGGTTGGCTATTAGTAAATCGTATGGATATGAAGAATTTTGAGAAGGGGGGGTTTACATTATGTGACATTCTCTCCGCAATCAATCCGATAACATCCACCAGCGACATCTTCGTCGCTGTTTCTTCTACCTCATCGATCAACAGCATCAATTGGTCAAATATATCGTCCACAAACGGCAAAAAGCTGTTGATGTCAAATCGCCACTCGTCAATCGAACACTTTAAAGATTTGGCAGCCGTGATCCTCACGCAGAGATCATTCAATGGATCTGACTTGTTTAGTAGGTGCTGTGTGATCTGGTATATTGTCGACCGATGTTGGACGTCGATGTTAACGAAAACCCATTGGCCGATTAATATTGGGATCCGATGGCGGAGGATGCGGTAGTCTGGTTGAGTGATTTGAACTTCATTCGCTAGAACGTTCTGCAGGAATATATTAAAGTCCAGGTGAGGTTCTAGGATGGCTGGGACTAGACCGACGGCATTGTAGACAGAGTCCTTGAGGAGGACGTCGTGGTTGTCCAGGGCTGAAGGAAGTCAGCTACAAGTTGAAGAAGTTTAGGGAATGAAGTACGTACTTGCAACGTTGTTAAAAACATTCACAATAGGCTGCGCGAGGTCCATCTTAAAATTCATGGCAAGATCGGCAAATAGCTTCTCAGCGCAAGGACGTATCATGTACTCCCAAGACTCCGTCTGATCATCCCAAGTTATTGCCCATGTCTCCGGGTCCTCTTCCCAAGCTTCCAAATCGTCTTGCCTGAGTATAAAGTACTTCGTGACCAACAGCTCCATGAACTGGGTTGCTAGCTCCAGCGTCAAGACTTGATTCTTCATGAACGCCGTTGCCGTTATGTTTTCCTCTTTTTCCTCTTTATGTCGGTCTTTCAATCCCGACGACACAGTATGCTAAGTTAGCTAATCCCTGAACGTAGATCTACAATCAAAACGTACCTAAACGAGGAAATAATAATAATATGTCTTACACTTAAATGTCTGGACGGGTTTAAAGACCATCTGTATGCAATTCCTGTATAATAGCATCCCTTGTAAGGCGGTTTTTTCAAGAAATGAAGATTTATCATCATCTTTGTCTCCGGCAACACCGCCGTTCTTTTTAGATTGCTTCCCAAGTCCTGCTCTACTACCGTTTGCTAGGGAGTCGCCGTAATTGTTCGCTACTTGCCAGTAGTTGTGAAGAACGGTTAGAACATCGGGCATCAATGCAAATGCGGCAGGCTGGCCTTTGGATAGGTCGAGATAGAGCTTTCCTAAGCCGACGATGTGCTTGAATATTAGGACTTTGTTTAGATCCGGTACCTCCGCGTTTGCTGCCACAAAACATCTATTAGTCTCATTAAGATTACGCAGAAGAGAGAGTAGCGGTTTGCTCACTCATGTTGATAAATGAAGTCCATTGTTCATTTGTTATTGTCCAAAACTGCTTGATCTCGTCCGACCTGTTCGCAAACTCAAACCCACTGACCAATAATCGTCTCAGCACCTTCAAACAAGACAGACTAATATGTAGCCGTTCGTTAACCCATTCATCTGAATGCGACTTATTCTCCACGCCATGCTTCCAATGTTCGACATATTGAACATATATTCCTGCGATAACACGGAATAGCTCTGGTGATGCTGTTTGTAGGTTACTTCGTATCCTAGGGATTCGGCCTGTACATAATTCCTTTACGACATGGAGGAGAAGGCTGAGGGAACGTTGGAGACGGAGGACTGATGGTTGTTGGTTTGGGAGTAGTTGGGATCGGTCTGGTGGGGGCGCTGAGGTGCGGATTATGTCTAAGAGGCGAGAGAAGATGTCTGGCCTGTTGTTCTCCCCATTTGTTAGTTTATGTTCAATCTTCGGTATATAAAATATGCAATGGTGTAGAACTTACCAATCGAGTGGATACTCGTTCCTAGCGACTTTCCCTACTATGACAGCGTTTTGCAAAGCCAGTTTATTATCCGGCTCATTAACGGAGTCCAATAACCTCGATCTAATCCTTGTTCTCTCATTTTTAGATATCGCACTATCTCACGTCCATTAGCATTGTTATCAGCCATCTTAAATTCTTCAAATTTGAAGCTTTCGACAACATAAGTCGGATAAACAGAAAGGGAGAGAACAAAAAATACTTTATGGCAGCCTTCCTCCAAAACCTATCAACACCATATTTCAGCGTGATGATACTCATCCACCGTACATTCTTTTCTAGAGATTGATCAAGATAGGCATCTTGGAGTAGACTCCAATAGCCCGGTGTTGTTTCCCAGGATTGGAGTTGTTTGCTGGCTAGTTGGAGGATTGATTGGTCATTTGAAGCAGCTGCTTGGAGGACTTGAAGAAGGTTTTCGGGGGTCAATGGGATGGGGTGGGTAGCCATCTTTCTTTGGGGATGGTTTAGAATGAAGCTTCGTAAGGATGGTGTCGAATGATTGGGTGGTTCTAGCTACTTATTGGAGGTTCCTAACTTAATTTTGGTTTATGTAAATGATGGTGGAAGTCTTGTAGTCGGAGCAGCTTATGTATGTCAGTCTGTATGATTGGTGAGAGTAGATGGCGATGGTGGTGGTGGTGGTGGTGGTGATGATGTTGAAGAGGTGGTGATGATGGTGATGGAGGGGGTGAAGAAGGTTGAGATATTGAAGCTGGCGATATCGCGTTGTGGGGTTCGTTTCACAATTTGGTTGGCACTTTCCTCACAGCTGATATAACTCGATACGAGCTACAAATTCACTTTTACTACTGCTGATTGTTATCGATTGATATGTAAAATAGTCAAGTATACTCAAAATTCTCCAGGCCTGTAGTTTTTATTAGAAATCGGAGTCATAATGCTCGCTATCGCATATCAAATAGGAACTGCCGCTGCAGCTGTCTGGCCGCATAAAAGTATTCAAATGCGGCTTAAAAAGTTTCGACTCTTCTTCCTCTTCCCATCACCAAACCACCATCTCTACACCATCACCAACCGACCATACTTTCCACCAGATGCGACGGCATCTCTCCAAACCCTCTTTTCAAATCGGTATACTTTTAATACCTCGAACACCATCGTTATCCATTAGAAAATAGGAAAGAGAAGGGGAAGAGAGAAGAAGAAGACATAATGTCCGACCTCCAGCCGGTCGCGCGCAAAATCTATGACTCCTGCGGTCACGACCACCAAAAACTATACGCAGCAAATGAACTGCTACCCTTCGTCCCCAGCCGTGATCAACATGAACTGGTAGCGGCCATCAACGAACTTCTCGGGCGCGGTTATCTCAGAACATTAAAACAAGGCGATGCCTATGTCTACAAGTTTGTCAGTAAAGATGAGGTTGATAGGTACGCTGTCTTCTCCCAAACCGTCTACCAAGCTGCTTTTATGAGCGTCTAGAATGCCAATTAATATCTCTATCTATGTCTATATAATATAGAACTCGAAATTTAACTCCCGACGAAGCCCTTGTCTACCAACATATCGAATCTGCCGCTCGCGAAGGAATCTGGTCTAAGACCCTCAAAGCCCGTACAAACCTACACCCAACGGTCCTAACCCGATGTCTAAAAACCCTCGAAACCCACCGATACATAAAATCCATCAAGTCTGTAAAATTCCCTACAAGGAAAATATACATGCTATGGGATTTAACCCCAACAATCGAAGTCACGGGAGGACCATGGTTCACAGATGCAGAACTTGATGCAGATTTCATCAATGCTTTATTAGTCGCTATCGAACGTTTCGTTACCGCTAGAAGTTTTCCAAAACAAAAACCTGGGGTTGCAGGAATGGTAGTGGTGTTCGAGGCGGGTTATACGGGGTATCCTACGTTATCGGATATTACACAATGGGTCAAAAACAGTAATTTGACGGAAGTCGAGTTATCGGAGGCCGATATAAAAGCGCTCTTGGAAGTTTTGATTTATGATGGAAAGTTGGAAAGGGTTATTGGAGGAACAGCATATAAGGCTATTAGAAAGGTGGAAGGGGCGGTAAAACAGGGTGTCACAGAAGCGCCATGCGGACGGTGTCCCGTGTTCGACCTGTGTAATGAAGATGGACCTATCAATGCGGCAAACTGCGTATATTTTGAGAAATGGTTGGCGGAGATATAAAAAACCATACAGGCATACAGAGGGATATACAGGCCATAGAGCAAGAAGTGGGGGGGCAAAAGGAGGAGAGGTAGGGCAGGTGGACATATCTTTTGGATTCCTCATGTGATGTGGATATCACGAACAGGGGAATTCTATTGGGGGAAGCAATTGAAAGAAAAGAAAAGTTTCCGTATCCAGCGGGATCCACTGATTACGACCGACGGGCCCATCGGATTGGATGAGAAAGGGAGGGGAGGGAGGGAGGGAAGGGGATATTATGACAGCGGAGAACATTGCATGCATACTTACATATAACGGCGTTTTCAAGGCAAAGCTGACCACATCTACAATATATTCCGGAAGGGACAACCCTCTTTTCTTTTTTTTCTGTCTTCTGCATTTTGTGCGAAGTGGAATATATGTACGATGGGTGGATCTTGTATCATTTGTTTTTTAATCGTTATAAGCCAATCGGCTGGATTGTACCATAGATAGATTGGGGAAGAGAGAGCTGGCAGGTATGATATCTTGCATAAAATTAAAAAACCAATTGTGATATATCATCACATATCTGTCCCGTTTGGCTGGGATTCTAATATTACATTTACCTTGGAAAGATATATGTGCATGCTTACAATTTCCCAGTTCCATCGTTCAACCTTTTTTCTTCCCTTGCGTTTTAGATTAAATTACGTATATGAACTGCAAAAAGACGGTTTGGGGTGTATGGCCGGTGTTTGATCGAGATCGCTTTGACCGTTCATGTGTACCCGCGGTCTACTGTTTAACTTCTGCTCCACACCAGGCCGAATCTACTTGAAAATACTTGCTTCTTACTTGCTTCTTACTTACACTTTTCACCAAGAAGAGAGGGGGAAAAAAAAAAAAAAGAATGGTGGGATTTTCTGCATACTTTGTTCCTTTCTGGCTTAGGTCATCCGAGAGAAAAATTGTGAGGGTGGTCAATGATTTGGTAGTCGGGTTTCTGATCAGAACCAGCTAGCTACTTACATACTTAGTAAGTAAGTAGGTACTCACCTAGTACCTACATAGTATGTATGTAGCTGGCCAGACTTCAGCTGGGGATGGGATAACGTTTGGGGAGCTTGCGAGCTTGGGAAGCTAGCTCAATTAGCTCGAGTACGGTGGAGCTTTAGCTACAAGGGTAGCTTGACCGGCTTCTATCTTCCCCGTCCTTGTGACTGGCTTCTCTTACTCGATTCCAATACCTGTAGTACACAGGACATATAGTAACAGCTATAGCTGTGGATGTTTATTTTTAAGCTTTTTTCTTTTTGGGAAGTTTCTTTTTCAAATCTAGTATAAGTTTTCAAATAAGTTAGATCAGTAGGTAGGCTTTTCGTATCAAGGTAAGGAGGCATTTTTTTTTCCTTTTTGCTGGCCCATGCCGGTTCATGGTGGATGCCCTGCTCCTGCAGCAGAACGATGCATACATAGAACATGCATACATTACAATCGGGATTCTGGGATCTGTTTTTCGTCTCGACTGGAATAAAACCATATGCGTATGCTCCCTAGCTAGCTCGTTGATGCTCGTCGACGAAACTCAAATGGAAGAATTCATTTTTTTTTTTCCCTCTCCTTCTAACGGTCGATGGGGAGGATTTTCCGAGGGAATGGAATAGCTTAAAAGTTAGTGTATACTTAGTTAGCTAAGTATATAATCTGGGAGCTTGACGTCAAGCTGTTTGGATTTGATTAATTTGATTGCCATCTCGACCTGACTCGATATATTATTAGTGGGAAAGAGAGCGAGAAAAAAGAAATGGGCTCGAGACGAGACGAGACGAGACGAGTGGATACTTTTTATTAGTCTCCAAAACAACGCAAAAAATACAACAAACCATCGTTTCTTCTTTTTTATTTCCATTTTTTTATTTTTAGCTTCTATTTTATTTTAATTCGAACCTTTTCTCTTTGTATTCCTCTCACCGCGGTGGGAAGAAACTGTCTAGGTTCTGGAGATATACACCGTACCTTCGACCAGGATTATATATCTATTCTTATACTTTCACTCAGTCAGTAAAGTATAAGATATAGAAGTATACGTATATACCTACTTAGGCATCAATGGCGGCAAGAAGCGAAGGTGACGAGGGAGTCTGCCGAGAGGTATACGCACGTATCTCCGGATTCTTCCAGTCCTTCAAACAACAGACTGTGTACGTTTCTATAACATCCTATTATAATTCCTAATTCTCTCAATCAATCTATCTGTCGACATGTCTTTCTATTTCTCTAAACTTGGAGACTTAAATGTTTTAAAAGAATCAAAAGCTAACAAGATTAATACATATCTTCTAATATCTAAAAATAACCAGACAAATAGAACTCCTCCCCTTCTATCCAGTCCCCCCGACCCACATCTTCGTCGAATCAACCTCTCTCGGCATCCCCAAATCCAGTCTCTGGAAAGCCTTCCGTCACGCCCGCCCTCTCTTCTTCTCCACCCTCTCCAACCTCTCGTCCTCAACCTCCACCCCTCCAACCTCAACTTTTCTAACCCTCTTAAACACCTCCGCGATCCTCCTTCTTCATGATAGTGAACACCTCACCGCCATTAACGCCCGAAAAAGGGTATTAATCACTTTATTCCCACCAGGAACACCATTCCCCATTGGAAACCGAGGCCAAGAACTACCCATCTCTCCACAATCCGAATATTTCTTCATAACATCATTATTAACCTCCCCTCTCCACCGTCATACAAAATCTCCACATCTATGGTCTCACAGGAGATGGTTAATCACCACCTATCCATCTCTAAAACACCCGATCCCGCCGCCACCACCAGGAGCGGCAGGTAACACAACATCGTCATCATCATCGTCAATATCATCAAGACCAGGAACAGCAGATAACAGCGCTTTAACAAAGAGTTTTAGAAGATGGTGTAGAAAAGAAGTATCAACGGTCCTTAGAGCTGCCGAAGCCCATCCTAAGAATTATTACGCATGGACTTATGCTAGGTGGTTAGTTTCTTCTCAGGGAGTGGCGTTTAATCATGAGGATTTGGTCAGTTGGTGTATGAAACATCCCGGTGATGTTAGTGGATGGAATTTTTTGGCTTGGTTGTGGACGAATGAGGCTTTGGCGATAGCAGCAACACAGGGGGAGAGGAGGATGGAGACGTTGCAGGTTAGGTATAATCAGTTGTTTAGTGTTTTGAAGTATAGTCATAATACTGCTCCGGGGCATGAAGCGCTATGGGGGTTTGTGAGGGCTGTGGTTGGAGGTGGGGTTTTCGATGAAGGGTATAGAAGGTGTATCTTGGACTTGTTGAGGGGGTGGGATAGTGAAGTTAGTATTAGAGCTGTGGAGGATGTGGTTAAGGAGAAGATGTTATTGAGGGAGACGGTTAGGGGGTTGGAAGCGGGGAGGGGGGATAGTGAGATGGTTGATTTGCCTGGTTGATTATATCTACTTAAGTACCTATATTCTCATATGGCTGGTTTACGAGACATGTTATATACCTCAAACTTGCATACATACTTCATACACAGGCACATTGGGTGCTTTATATTTACACAGAATTGATAGGAGGTGGATTTTACTATCGCCTTCGAGGTCCTCCGCTACCACCACCGCTACCACCGTCTTTATCCGTCATAACCACACTTTCAGTAACCCCCAGTTCCTCCAGTTTGCGTTCCTCTTCTCTAACTTCTTCTCTGACATCCCACCATCTCTTTTCTGCCATTTCAAATGCTGCAGTTCTAATCTCCTTTACGGTGGTAGCTTCTGCCACACTAACCGGTTTGAATCTTAGTTCTTCAACGACTTCGGATTGGAATAGTTCTGATGTTCTGACAAAGTATTCGCGTAAAGTTTCGAACGGTAATGGGAGCGGTAGGTTTGACTCGGGTTCTACAATTTCTGTAGCATTGTCTGTAAATGTCGGAGATGTTGGGGAGATAGGCGATAATGGTGTTTCGACAGCTTCTTTTTTCAATGCCTTTGCTTTCCTTCCTTCCTCTTGCTTCCGCTTAATTTCATCCGCCTTAGCTTTTTCGTCTTCGTCTTCGGTTTCCTCATCATCCATTTCGCTGTCCTCTTCACCATCGTCATCTTCATCGTCATCATCCAGATCCATATCTTCTTCTCCACCAATCACACTGTCGCGTTTGAAAATTGTTATAACGCCGTCGAGTTTTTCGAGGTTGACTTTGTACATCTCGTCGAATGTAATTTCCACGTCTCCCTTTTCGAAGGTTCCACCGTACATATACAGCCAATCCCCCTGCACTGCCAATGCGACGTTAAATCTTGCTGCGGGTAGGATGAGAGAAGGTTCTGCCTTCGCCAACGGATTTTTCAATTCTTCTTCCTCTTCCTTTTCAACCTCAATAGGTAACGGAATTTCCGCCGTTGTCGTTACCCCAGCCTTCGTTTCCAATAACGCCAAATTTTTCAGAAGTTCCAATTCATCTTGTTTCGCCCTATCCCTTCTCGAAATTGCCGCTCCGCCATCATCCTTTTTAACAACCTTCTTACTCTTCCTCATTTTAATCTCCCAAAACCTATTCTGCGCGACAGCATAAACCCACATATCTTCAAAGAATTTACTTTCCAGTGCTTCCTCTGAATCTTCAACGTCGTATACACCTCCAAACATTACACCACGACCACGATGGTGTGCCATTGTGATACCTACACGTGTAGTAGGCATGTTCCCCGGTTTCTTCCTCTTCTCCCATTTCGACAGTTTTGGGTCTGCAGGGTTTATTCTGAGCAGGTAGGAGTCCGTGTGATAAAGTGGTAGATCTTTGATTTTTTGGCCTAAACTCTTCTTCTTGTGGCTGAGGGCTTGTTGGGCTGATGATGACGAGGCGGCTTTAACTCGGCTGTAGCCGCCGAATAGGACGGCGCCGTGTTCGTGTGGGAGGAAGGAGAAGGAAGAGCGTGGTGGTGGGTATGCGAGGTAACTGGCCGGGATGGGGATGGTAGTCCAGGTATGCGTGTTTGTGTCGAAGATGTATAGGTCGTTGAGGTATTTCGTGGTTATTGGAGAGGTGGCTTGGAAGCCACCGAAGAGGAGGATATAATTTTTGTAGTGGGTCATACGGTGGCCGGATCTCCCTATCCTCTCTTATTAATCTTCTGTATATTCAAAAAAATACGGGTTTTTTTGGGGGGATACGGTACCGGAAGGAGCGCCTTTGGCTTCGATTTTAGTCCATTCTCTACTACTACAATCCAACTTCCAAAAGTCGGCGTAGTGGTAAAAGATACCTTGCTTTGGAGAACTGAATTCTCCACCGAATAGCCATAGCTCTGGTTTTCCTTGGCCGTTGGAAGTCATTGCTGCTCCCGAGCGGGGCATGGGACTGTTTGGAGAGGTGTAGGAGCGCCATTCGTTTCGCTACTGCCCGTTCCCATTAGTTAGACCTCCCTCCTCTGAGAGAGTGTATATACACATATGTATATGTTTAAGTAGAACGGGAGGGTACCTCGGTGTGGTAGACGTATAGATCGTTAAAGAACTTAGCGATAGGAGGAGTACCGGTGTAGATTTCGCCACCGAAGAGGAATAGTTCTTTCGAGTTTGTAGGGTGGGGCATTAGGATTGAATTTGCGCGCACGGGGGGTGGAGGACAGATAGTTTCTGCAATGGCCATATGCTGGGCTTGCTATTACCCAACATAACTTTTGTATTAGTTACCAATCAATCATAAAATGCTTTCAAGTATACATAAGTAAATAAAGGATCAGAATACCTTGAGTTTGTATTCTTCGAGAATGGCATCAATGTCCTGGTCGTCCGAGTCAGAATCATCGCCTGGACGTCGTTTGTTGGTGACCTTTTTTTCTTTTTTCGCTGCCTTTTTTGAGGATTTGGCAGCTGTCCGGGCCTTCTTTTCGGCAGCCTTGGCCTTTTTATCTTTAGCCATTTTGTTATCTGTTAGAAAGTGAAGTCGAAGATGAAGTTGAAGATGCAGATGAGGTTCAATTGAAGTTGATGTTGGAGGTGTGGTTGGAGATAGACGAATTGAATGTGGGGCCCGGAGCTCATCACAGGGCAGCTCCAAGCAACCACAGGGCAAGTCTTGGCAGCGGGGACCGGACCGGACATAACAGATTTGACTGGCAGTTAAAATGAGCTGCTTGTTTTTTCTCTGCTTTAAAATCCCCCCGCTGACGTATTTGCCCTTTTCCATCTCAGACATTTTTACATTTACTCTTTCTCTTTTGGTTGGTAGATGGCATTCTTGCGATACCGTCATAGCTACTAGCTAGTGCTTATAGGGAATATCGATATCGATATCCATGCCTTGTTTGCAGTGATAGTCCATACACACTGCCTGCAGCATATATACGGGTTTCTTAAAGAGTAAGGCTCTTCGTTCTTCCGCTTGCATGCTGTTATACCTTATAATTATACTTGTCGATGCCGAATAGTATATTTTAACGAAGGCAGGAGCCAGCTTGGTATTCTTATTATGTATTCTTGGTGGACTGGGCTGACTTTGTAATTAATCAACAAAGGGATTGGATTTATATTAGACTCCCAGTTGTCCTCCTGAGCTACCTCATCGTCATCACCGTCAACCACCATCGATCACCCGTAATCAACCATCATACATACCTCATCAAAGTACTTACCTATCACCTCTCTCATCTCTCTTCGTACATACCTACATACCCTATATCTTATATCCACCGGCTTCCGGCTTTTGGCCTAGCTCTGCTTTGCTCTGCTCTTACTCAGAGGCCATTTTCGAATTATTATACTAATTAAAGAAACAGTGCTCGGCTCATACGCCTCGTGGACGTCCAGCATGTTTGGCGGCCACGGTCCTCACATCCCTCACGTTTCCGGTCGACGTCGCGGTTCCACTACTTCTAGTACGTCACTTTTTCTCATACTCTCCTACAACCTTCTACTCGATGATATTAAAGGCTTGAATTGTGTGATATTTAGGTCGAAAGAGCGATGAAGCCGACCGTCCGGATCCGACCGAGGATGATACTACCGTTGTCGATGAGGGCGAAAAGAGCAGTAAGCAATTATTCACCCCATTTCAAACTTCCTATATTGCGAAGGTACTAATGGGATGTGTGTGTATTTGTGTGCAGTGCTGCTTTCGATAATATCACAGTTGAAGCCAGGTGCCGACCTTAGCCGTATAACTTTGCCGACCTTCATTCTGGAGCCCAGGTCTATGCTTGAAAGAATCACAAAGTCGGTTTCTTCTCCCTTATTGTCCTTCTGTATGCTTAGCTATACGGTATATGTTAACAATCAGTAGTTTCATGCAGCACCCTGAAACTCTCCTGCCTATGACTACCGTCGACGACCCGGTTGAACGATTTGTATCCGTCGTCAAGTTCTACCTCAGTGGATGGCATCTAAAACCGCCGTATGTCTTTCTCTCTTTCCTCAATAAAACGTCTCAATTTAAGAGAAAGAAAAAATGAAAACTGATAAAAATGTGATATAGAGGCGTTAAGAAACCACTGAACCCCATCCTCGGTGAACAATTCGCCTGCTACTGGGACCTCCCAGACAAATGCCGTGCCTACTACATCTCCGAACAAACCTCCCACCATCCTCCCAAATCCTCCTACTTCTATCTCGCCCCTCACCATCACATCCGTATCGATGGTACCCTAAAACCCCGTTCTCGATTCCTTGGAAACTCAGCAGCCAGCATGATGGAAGGAGTATCCGTCCTAACCCTCACCAACAAAGGAAAACCGGGAATCGGCGAGAAATATATCCTAAACCAACCGAATATCTACGTAAGAGGGATATTATTTGGAACGATGAAGTACGAATTGGGAGACTATGTGTATGTGAGGTGCCCGGAGACCAATTTGGTAGCGGAGATTGAATTCCGAGTGAAGGGTTTCTTTACGGGGACGTATAATGCCATTCAGGGAACTATCAAGAATGAGAAGACAGGAGAGAAGTTGTATGAGATTACTGGCAAATGGAATGAGGAGATGTACATCAAGAACGAATTGGTGAGGAACACCACGTCCTCAAGAGTTATGGATGGATAGATATACTAATCAAGGATGACGAAAACAGACTGGCCGATCAGAACTCCTCTTCGATGCTACAAATGCGAAACCGTCCCTACCGCTCGTTCGCCCGATCTCCGAGCAAAATGAGAAGGAATCGCAGAATCTCTGGGCACCTACTATCAGCGCTCTTCTAAAAAGGGACCAGGAAGCTGCTACAGATGAGAAGATCAAGGTGGAAGAAAAACAACGCTCTGACACAAGAAAACGGGAGGCCGATGGAATCGAATGGGTGCCGCAGTTATTCAAACCGACGGATGAGTATGGATTAGATTATGTTATCTATGCTAATATGTATGTTGTCCCCTCGAAATAAGTATCGTCGGCTACTAACGGGTGGAATAGTGACGGGAAGGATCCAGAGACATTAGAGAAGCAGGTACTGGCCATTACACCGATACTACCAGGGAGCCACTCAACCGGGAAATTCGCGATTCCGCCGCATCAGAGCCATCCAAACGATGTTACGCATATTACAGGGACGGAGCCGGATACAGGCGCTAAAGGGGCGGAGACATGACGGTTTTAAGGATATATATCCACATACTCGATACAGTATGTATCAGGCTGGTTCCCGTTGAGCCGGCTGGTTTGGGGACCCAGGGCCCGGGCTGGCCTAACACTAGAAGATACACTCGTTTGATACAAAATTACTTTCTACACCTGGGGTTCCCTCTTTTTTCCGACTTTTTTTCACCCAGATATAACATGGGGTGGAGTTTTCAACAAGCAAGTGTACGGAGTATAATACGGAACTTTTTTGGTTCTTTTTGTTTCTTTTTTAGCCTTGTGTGCTTTTTTTTTATGGAAGTTACAGCTGAGATCGCATATAATTTCAACATGATAATAATGTCCTTTTTCGGTTTTGTTTTTTGAGAAAGAGAATGAAAAAAAGCTGCATGGCATTTTTATGTTTTTGGATGAAGATATGGAGGAGATAAGGGTTTGAGGCCTTTTACATCATCCTATTACTCTTGCGATTGTATCACCAACTTGCCATTTTGGGCATGATGGTGTTCCTTTATTTCTTTTTCTTTCTCGTTCTCGTTCTTTGGGACTTCCTTTTTTTTTTTTTTTTTTGTTCGATGGAATGTTGGGATTATATACAGACATACAGATATCTTTCATACATTGGTTTTACCTAACCTTTGATTCGCTTTGCAGGTTTTTTCCCTTCTTCTTCAATCTTCTTGTTGTGGGATATACTATACCCCCGGTCTGTTCGGATACCTTCGGAGTGCACGTTCTTATATTATTCGTTTGCTGTTAACTAGCGAGGGCTTAAAGCTTACCATACCTTTACCAGAACTATACATCTCACATACTTAGCTAAGTACTGGTCTAGTTGCTAAGTACATCCTTTCCAGGACTTTTTTTTTTTTCGTTAGGGTTAAGAACGAATAAAGAAGGATCGGAAGACGGGGTTGGGATTCTTTTTTTTTTTTTTCAAGGACTCGGAAAGAGATGGGTTCCGTGCCGGTGTGTGTGCCGGCGCGAGGTCGGAGATGGTGACATACATAACTTAAGATGTTGAGTAGATGTTAACGTTGGGGATGGTTAGCTGGTTACTGGGGGGAGAGGTTTCCGGGGAACAGGGGTTCTAGTGTGCATGGGTTAATCAGTGGGTGGGTGGAGCTTGAGCTACCTGGTTACTGGTTTACTCAGGTTGTTAGGGTAGCTTGGTGGATCCTTGCCTTGTTGTATAAGTATTTTATTCTTTTTGAAGCTTACCGGGTAGCCAGTTACCCAGGAAATACTTACAGTCGATGGATACCTCCTACGTATAGCTTGCATTTATTAAAGTTGAATAGCCGCCAAACATCTAACTTCACTAAAATATATGGTGTGATCTATCTATATACTGGTAATATTTTACTTAGCTTAATTTATTGGTTTGAAATCACTCTTGCTATATAGCAAGCAAGTACTTAATATTCGAGGGAGCGTAGGGTGTTTTTATTCACATCTATAATACTATTTTCTCCCCTTTTTTTTGTTATGATTCATACGGTACTATAACGTTAAATTCAATCCGGACGAATGTTATACTAAATTAGCAGCGCACATGAACATTTACCAATAATACAGTATCAATTCGGAGGGGGACGCGTGAACGGTATATTATACAAAATCAATGCACCCCCAGACCCGATTCAAGGCATATAGTTCTCAATTAAACTATATACTATGAAACTATCCTATTATCTAGTTCGTTTGGTTTACATAGTCCTACTACTGCACAGGTTTGTATGTGTGATAGCTAGATTAATCGATAAACCATGTTTACTACCTGGATGCCAACTAATTTAAGGTCAGCTCTCGAGATCTCATAGGTGCCCAAGTAAATAATCTGTATACTACGGCCAGTAGGTACATATGCTAGTATTAAGTAGTAGTTATAACGCTAATGTAAGGGTGCTAACGTTATATCTACCTATAAAAAAAACATCTCGAAGCATTTAATCCCAAGAAAATACCTTGTTTAAGACTAGGGAAGGTTGTTTACGGGTTAAAGTGGTACGTAGCCATGGTCTCTTTTTAAGATATAGACCTACCTAGGTAAGAAGTATATATCAAGATTATGTAATTTCGAACCGATCTTGACCTTCATAATAACGCTTTGTTTAACATCTAGGTATAAATTCTACGGAGTGCCGTGAATATCTCACCGGAAATCTTGAAAATGTAGATATCAAAGGACTCAGACAGGGACTTTGGATGTTGCAACTATCAAATTGATTGCTATAAGTTGCTTTGTCACAGCGGTCCCGGATCCCGATTGAGTCAAAATTCTATGCCGACATATATATCCAAGATAGTCTCGGAGCCAGAGAGATATGGCAACTTTGACCAAATGCGAGGCTTCTGTATTCTATGCCATATGGGCAGTTCTAGCCTTCTTATACACATGGGAGCGCGAGTGTGCCATATGCGCCATGGTGCATTTTGCCACTCAAATTTATAATGGAACGAAGAACTACATATATCTCAATAGGTATCTGACACTCCGGCCTTATGAATAATATTCCATTTATACTCTAAAGGGTGTTTGTGGTGGGGGAAGTTTATTCCACTAGTTATTTTGAGCTTGTTAGGTTTGTATTATTTGTAGATTCTCTACCAGCATGAAGTCATGCTTCTGATTGTATATCGTTGCCCGTAATGTACAGTACATTTTCTAGGTTCTATCAACGCCCATAATTGAAATCGAATTGCGGTTGTTCGGCTAGTTTGTCCGTTCTTCTTCCGCTTGTTCGATCGATCCGATCAAATAATATACCATCATATCTACCGTCTCATATCCATCGTATAACCAAATCATAATCATGATCCTTATGATATCAAATCATATCCAAATCCCAAAACAACGAAACCAACGACCTCCGCTAAACACCCTGCCCTTGACTCTGACTCTGACTTTGATCCTCATCATCACTTGCCCAAACAACCGTAAACTCCCCATCCCATTCTCCCTCATAATCATCATTAACTACCTCAAACGCTAGAATAGTCCCATCTTTGATTCCCAGACTCGTTAATGTGGGTTTCCCCCTCAGACTCGATTCGTCGAGAGGTTGGAATGTAACCGGGATCGTGTCCTTTGGAAGACCGAGTTTTAAGGAGGAAACAGAAGTTGGTGGGGTTAAGGGAAGGTGAGGAGAGGAGGTTGTTAGAGTTTCGAAGAGAGTAGTAGTTAAGGTCGTGAGGGGGGTTGAAGCGGGGAGGAGGAGGTAAAGGGTTGTTGTGTGGGATTTTAAGGTTATTGTTAAGGGAGGGGTCGGTGGCTATGGAGATGGATTAGTAGGCAGGTTGAGGAGTTACAAGGGGGTTTACGAGGTAGACGGACCATTTTGGCGGTTGTGATGGGTTGTTAGGATGGTGATGTGGGGGTTGGAGGTTGGATAGGGAAATGAGGTCGCGTCAGCGTAGGTTTGGAGCTTAGGTTTCGCGGGTTCCTGTGATGACGAGTTGGAGGTGGCAACGCAGAAAATACAACAATTGGCCTTGAGGGTCGACCCGGCGGGGATCGTAGTTATAGCTGGCCAGGTGCTTCGCACTTGTAAAAGGTAGAGCTAGCTTAGACATGGCTATGCAAGACTTAGTCTTGTGCTGCAACGTAAGGTAGATTTGAGGCTTAAAATTCAATTCAAAGGGTTTTAGCTATGCCATTGATTTTTTTTCTAAGAAATTGATTCAATTGAAATACAACTTTTTGTACATATGCATCTACACACGGTACATGCATTTTTGCGCATATGAACCCCGCACTCAGGCGGAAGCTAGAGAATATTCCGCACTTTTAGATAAAACTGCTTTTCGAATTGTAATTCTTTGATTCGTGGTGTTTCGGCGTTCGTTATAGCCCAGCGAGTTATATTCTAATATTTATATCTTGGCCCCGCACGGTGCTAGATCCTTTAACCTTCGTTTTCTCGGAAGAACTTCTAGATTATTAGGACTTTCTTCAAGGTTTGTACGTTTGGCCCCTACACTCATTCACAATTCATCTTTGTGCAATTATGTCTGGCTAGCTATCTAAGCACGAGACTGATGGGTATATATATGAAGATAGATTTGTAGAAAGGGGGAGAAACGAAAACATGCATTATTCGAGGATTGTTCCCTTTTACGAGCCTTCTCCTCCTCCTCACCCCCGTCCACGCTACCGCCACCGCCGCTGCCCGGGCTCCCGCCGCCGCCCGGGTTCCCCTCCTCGTTCCCAACCTTCAATGAAATATCCTCATGTTTTAGAAAAATCATTTGAGTTCGAAAGATTAAGAAATCGAGAAATTTCTATTCGGAAGGCTTCATGCGCATTTCGTGAATTGGAAAATTGGACAGAAAAGTTGAAGGACAGGGGGTTTGTGGCAGACTGGTTGTTTAAATGGGTAGAAGAGAGCTCGAAATTACATGGGTGGAAGGTACCGGTTTGGAATAAGGAAGACGTAGAGTATTGGTTCAAGGAGGTGAAGGGGTTTAAGAAGGGTTTAAAAATTAGTGGAGGGGTTGAAGGTGTCAACGATGGGGTTTGGAAAAGGGATGGAGCGGTGGAGGAGGAGTTGAGGAGGGAGTTGATAGATGGTTAGTATTTTCCTTTTTTTCAGCTACTTGGGTGCCTCTGACATCAGGGATATCCAGACATATGGTTGGATTGATAGTTCGGTAATTGGACATGTACTAAGCAATGATATTAATAGCGGTGACTGTACTCGGTCGATCCAAAGGTCAAAAAATCTCACATACATGGTCTGCACCTGGAGCTGCACCAGTCCCACCCCCACCCCGGCTTCCCACGTTGTTCGCCCTACTCGATCCTTCCATAAGACCAACCACTCTCGAGCTCCTCGATCCATCAATGTACCCAGTCGTCTACAACAAAACCCGTATATTCAAAAACGGAGAACTCCAGACTGTCAAACCGCCATATGACATCTCAGAGGAGAAGTATAGTACAAATTCCTGTTGGCTACCAACCGACTTCAAGATCTCTCCAGACGGGAAAAGTACAAAAATTCTGTCATACATTAATAACCTTTCAAACCTGGGACAAGGGGAACTATTTCATCCTATTCTTGAAAGGGTGTTTACGGGGTTTGTGCCGTTATTTGACCACCTATTAGCGGAAATGGCGGAAGATGAATGGAGGAAATCGGGATGTGAGAAAAGGGATATCACAAAGGGGTATGACGGATATCCGAATGCAAGTGCGCGGCATAAGCCGGGGAGAGGGTGGTATAGACCGAAGCTATATGCATTGAGATCGGAGTACCTTAAGACCTTTGGAGAGATCTTGGGGCAGTTCAAGGCCGGCGAGGAAATGAATATTGATATTTTGAGGGAATGTGTCAATTATGATTATGATATCGGTAGGGAGGACAAAGTTTTGACTGGAAACCAGTGGAAGTTAAGGTCTGGGAGGAATCTGACACTATCAAAGGATTTAGAGACAACAAAATTGGAGGGAAAGACGGTGAAGGTTTTTGTGAGGATCTTGGGGGTTGAGGTTACACCGAAGAGTGCAGAGGAGTTGAGTAGTAAGAAGTGGGTTTTACCTGGAAGCTTGGTATAATTTTATCCTATCCCTTTATACGAAAAAATATATATCCTAAGAATCTAGAGCTAATTAGTTGGATTGTGAAGCACGAACGAATAATAGCTACTGGAGTATATTGTTACTCGCAGGAGAATGTGGCGGATGCTCGGATAGGTCTACGGCGAAACGACTTTATGGCCTATCGAACTTCGAGACTACCTAAACCGCAAGAAATTGATGGAGCTCTGATAAAAGTAGGTTGTATTTTGAATTTCTTCTTCTTCTTCTTCTTCTTCTATACTCCTCTTACCACCTTCTTCAAAGTATATATGTATAAGTATCGTAATATATATTATCGTTTGATTTTTCCACACTAACTTTGCTTAGGAAAACCGCACAGTTGTATTTACGGGCAACTACGAATACTGTTTATTCTCCGAGCCACTGAGATTGATTGATAAGACAAAACCCGGGCATCTCAAAATGCTAATGTTTCACCTTGTTGATCCGAATTTTAACGTAAGCCCTGACACTGTGCTCTTTTAATTTTGTCCTAACTGCAGTACTGACAAACGCTCGACTAGCTACTCACGACAAAAGATATACTGCCACAGCAGCCAGGATTATACGAAAAGATACTTCGTACTAGTGGCTTGGGCCGACTACCCGAAGATGTTTTTTTAATTATACTAGGGTACTTAAATATACCCGAAAATGCGACAGAGAGAATGGTGGACCAGAGAGAGCTCATGGTTGCTCGCAGAAGATTTTTCAGGTCACTGAGGAACGACACGGGCTTTGACGACTCTGAAGACGATGATGATGATGATGTGATAGCTCATTCAAAATCTAGCAAACTGAGTGAATCTCAATCTCAGCGGCTCCGAGGTCCCCCAAACCCCCCTATGTATACGATTCCTACCGTCCCGACGAGAGTCCCCGATGAAGTGGCACTAAGACGACAGAATCGACGCCGTTGCTCTTCCCCATCTTCAGCGGATGCCCTTGGAGAAATTGTATATATGGATGCCTTAATTAGGGGTGGGCCTGCCATAGTAGCTCATAACCATACACAAGTACCGTTGACACGAGTCCCGTCAGGTCAGCCTGGGCTTTCAGGGGCACCAGTCCCACCGCCTATTTTATACGACCAACCCAGTGTTTCAAGAATACCAACTCCGCCACCAGTTCCACGTGGAAGACTCGGCTTTTCGATGACAGGGTCACCGTTACCAGTCGCCAGTATGCTGCCTCCTCCTCCCCCACCCCCACCGCCGCCACCTCTGTATAGTCGAGTTTTTACCCAAAGAGCACCATTGGAGTCAAATTTTTCGGGTAGAGAACCTAGGTATTCATCGGTGCCTCCACCACCCTCGATACCTCACGGTAGACTTGGGTTCCCAGACATATATCCACCATTATCAGTATATGAGAAAGGGTTTCGAAAGGGTTTTCGTGGGCCGCCACCACCAATTCCTCCACCGCCGCCGTCTAATGGCTAACTCGATCGAATTCCTGGATTAAACTTGACCGATTCAAGGCACAGTTGAGGAGTCTGGCGACGAGACAAATTCAAGGTAGTTAGTTGTATAGGATCGCACGTATTAAAGTGTTTTTGTAACGTCTGAACGTAATCATAATTAACGTTATAACATAGTCTCGACAAAAGCGTTCTAGATCTAGGTTTCTAGTTGGTATACATACCTTAACAATCCTTATAATATATACTTACTTAGTACTTATCTCTATCGCACTACCTGCAAAGCAAAGTAATTTAATAATTTTTTATAAAATGAAAGTATGCTAGAACTAGTTAGAGGTCCACAACCATGCCAGTCTCGTAACCAGCGACTTCCGGACTATCGTAACCAAGTGCCAGCCGCGATCTTAGCTGAATGACAACACAAAAAAATGCAACAATACGTCGCACAAAAGTCTGGTTACGAGACTGCAGGTTTATTAGTCTCCTAAGTAGACTTTCACTCAGAAGCTGCCGGTTTGATACATTGAGAAAGATGCCTTAAATCTCGAGTATCCCAACCAATTGTTGAACCACGTCGTCAAACGGATCAATCAGATAATTCCACGGCATCACAGCGCCTCCTCCGTTGTTAAATCTACCCTATCTGGCAACCACAGCCGACTGTCACAAACCTTCGGTTGTTGGGGAAACCATCCAAGAAGCGGTGCACCTAGCCCTGCAGTTCTGTTCACTTGGCAGCGCAGGGAAGCACTAGCAGTGATTCTGAGACAACTCAACACCAGCTCAATTGCTTTGCTGAAAGGGCGATCAAAACATCAAAACAAAAAGGTCCAAGCAGCCTAGCCAACGGTAAACCTTTTTAGACAGAAACCCCGGCTTCTTTTTTCTTACTCATCGGAATCCACACGGCGACAACATTTTTGAACTTCCCTCAACCACATCGACAATATCGCCAACAACGTCAATTTGAGGGAAGGGAACCAGATACACATTTTTTTCAATACGTCGAAAAGGCAGGAACCGCTGGTTCGCGGGGTCTTTGACGAGGAGTATTTTCTTGGTTTCGGATAGTCTCGAAGAAGAAAAAAAAGGTCATTTGGAACAGCCACCCCTTTATGATCTTCAGCTTCAACAATCTTCTTATTCATCACCAACTTCGAGCAACATCTTTCCCCCCTTCCCTATCTCATTTCCCTCACACGCTCTCTTGATCGTGGATCTGGATCCTAGGTCTTTCTTCATTTTCGTTTTCTTTTCTTTTCTTCTAAGCGAGTCGGGGTTTCGATAATATGCAGTCTAGTGCTTCGTCTATACAGGTGACGGGTAAGGGTCTACTCCAACAACAACAACACCCAACTTGTGGAGTAAACGGGATACGATTGCTAAGATTTATGTAATACAGTCCGAGTACGGCCGTTCACCATTAGAGAGGCGGCTCAGATGTAGGCTCATTCCTTTAAATTCCTTCCATCTTATGGTTAAAGGTCTGACATGTGAATGATTCGATATGTAGTACCAAAATCGATGACGGTCCGACGTTCTTCGGCGATGGGAACCTCGCCGGTACACCGAAGCCGTCACTTACCAATAAGGGTATTCGAAGAGTTATCAAAGTTGTCGATGATCAATTCTTGTATGTCAACATTCCACCAATACTACTAATTGCGTTCCAGGAGCTAATATAAGTAAATGAAAAAGAATATTCGACCCACCGGAGGAAAACCCTATCGCTAGGTTCGGACAAAAGATCATTGGTCCCCGTGGAAAACAACAGAAGGATATGAAGTTTGGCTTCGATAAGGTCTTCGATGAAAATGCACAGCAGGGAGAAGTCTATGAGCAGACCACCAAGAATTTATTGGATAGTGTCCTTGATGGATTCAATGCTACGGTCTTTGCTTATGGTGCTACCGGTTGCGGGAAAACGCATACTATTTCGTGAGTTCGCCTTCGACAAATCAGTCTAGTAGCTATATACTGATTACGGGAATAGTGGAACCAAGCAACAGCCTGGTATCATATTCCTCACAATGGAGGAGCTGTTTCAACGGATTGACGACCTAAAATCAGAGAAGTCTATTGAGCTATCTCTGTCTTACCTCGAAATCTATAACGAAACAATCAGAGATCTGCTGGTACCCGGTGGCAGCAAGCTGGGCCTAAGCTTACGCGAAGATTCGAATGCATCAATATCAGTTGCCGGACTTTCGACCCACCGACCTTGCAATGTTCAGGAAGTTATGGATATGATCGTCATGGGGAACGAAAACAGAACCATGTCACCTACCGAAGCCAACGCCACATCCTCGAGATCGCACGCCGTTCTACAAATCAATGTTGTGCAGAAAAATAAAACTGCAGGATTGTCAGAGAATTTGTTCTCTGCCACATTATCAATCATCGATCTTGCTGGTAGCGAAAGAGCTAGTGTTACAAAGAACCGAGGAGATAGGTTACTGGAAGGTGCCAATATTAACCGGTCCTTGTTAGCGCTAGGAAACTGCATCAATGCACTTTGCGATCCAGCTAAAAAGAATCATATCCCATATCGTGACTCAAAGCTTACAAGATTACTCAAATTTTCGCTAGGTGGGAATTGCAAGACGGTCATGATTGTTTGCGTGTCACCATCGAGCCAGCACTACGATGAAACACACAACACCCTCAAATACGCAGACCGGGCCAAGAAGATTAAGACAAAGGTGTCTAGGAATATGATTAATGTGAATCGCCACGTTAGTCAGTACGTCAAGGCGATTTATGATTTGCAACAAGAAGTTGCCGACCTTAAGCAACGGCTTGGGGATTCCGTCAAGGAAGCCATGGGCAAGATTCAGAAGCAACAGCAAGCACGAGATATGGCCATGAGGGAAGGTGTTAGGAGGATCAGAGCTGCGTATGATGCCTCGCTCGAATTGAGAAAGAGGAAGTTGAACGATATGGGAGGAATTCGGTTAATTGATAGGCGGATTGCAACTATAAAGGCTTGGTTGTTCGCGTTTGATTCGTTCTTCGCGAGTGGAGCTTTGCCGTCGGAGAGTTTGGGGAACATAAGGGCACAAGCAGAGGATGGCGTTAAGGATTTAGAGGGGAAGAAAATGTGGTTGATGCAGAGGTTGCAAAGTGAGCCGTGGGACAAGAGTATTGATACAGCATTAAAAAGTGCGATCGATTCTTTAGCCAGGCTAGAAGGTGGGGTGAAGGAGGAGGATCTGGAGACCCTAAACCGAGAGGCAAATTTGCAGAAGGCGACGGGGGAAAAGGAAATTATGGAGATGTTGCTTAACGACGAGTTGGATACGACCACGATCGAAGGATTGACTAAAGCTCATTTCGAAACAATTGTGGAGCTTGAGAGGGTCAGAGAGCTGGAACCCGAGGCCGCATTATCCGAAGCTCCTATGGCGCTATTTAACCTTATTCAGTCATGCACAGTTGCGACGGGACAGGTGATTACTCCTAATGGACAGATTGCGGTTCCCGAATATGTAGCTGCTACACCTGGAAGGAAGCGCATCAGCAGCAATCAGTTTGGGTTTGGATCCCCAGCGAAACGACCTAATTTTGCGCTTGCTGCTGTTACGAATATTATGACAACGACCACAATCACAGGTCCAATTTCAGAGGAACTAATTATGCCCAAGTCACCGGCTAAGGGCACACCGAGAAGAAAGGTACACACTCCTAGTAAGAAGGCTGTAACATTCAAAAAGCGTGTTAGGTGGCGCGACGACGTGGTCGATGTCGAGCAAAACGAGAACTCGCTGGTGAGGAAGTTCAAGAAGCAAGAATCTGAGATGATGTTGCATCAGCAGCAACTGCGGCGAGGCGGGTCTCCACCGCCTCCCTCTTCTCGTCTCTCTATGGATTCAAGCACCGTGAATAAGGCCAAACGAGCAGGTAGCAGCGTTCACGCTGCTACTCCTGCCTCATCTTCTGCCTCCGCTGCTATTTCTTCGCACGCGCACGTGGATGTACATGTGGACAGCGATAGCGAGCTTATGCCTCCACCTCCCGCCCGAGTGTCGTCATCGTCGTCGACGGCAACAAGCGCGCCACCGGTCCGCAGCAGCAGAATGACCATTGGCTTTCTCTCCAAGGATGCTGCAGAAGGAGGCGCTAACTCGTCTACGTCGTCGCCAGACATCGGGCGTTCAGGTATTAGTGAGACAACCGAGTCAAGTCGAACCAGTCACCACTCTCCACTTCGAGAAACCAATATCGGCAACATTATCAACCGGACAACAGGCAATTACGGTCTCAGGTCAACCCTCAACAGCAGCTCAGGAGGACCGATTGGTAGTGCCGCCTCGCCGATTGCCAAGAGCTCAGCAGCCGCGGCGAGTTTCGCCGAGTCCCACGCGGATTCCTACTCCTCGTCAGACGAGCAATCCACTACGTACCGGCCTCCTCGATTCCAACCTGGGAAGCTCTCGGGAGCCGTTCACGTCAAGTCTTCGTTCAAACGCAACTCAATTGCGCCCGGGTTTAGCCACACCGACTACAACCGTGGTCGGAGCAGGCCCTCGGTCACGGCTTCTTTTGCCGCTCCGACAGCAAGCGTAAAAGCCCGGCGGAAGAGCCCTGTCAGACAAGTGTCGCCTGATGGAGGTTCTACGGTCCTTCTGAATCCGAAGAGCGGAAGTGGGGTTAGAAGGAATATGAAGGACAAGGACGCTCAAATCAGGGCTTTAAGTCCAAGGAGCTCTAGGGTCGGTGTCCGTAGGTCTATTAGCGGTGGAAGCAGACGGTTGACGGTTTCGGGGGCCATGGGGGATCAAATTTTGTCAGCCTTACAGAAGGAAAAGGAGAATATCGATGGTAGTGGGGCTAGCAGCATCACTGTTGTTGGGCTTAACGCACCTCCAGTGAGGATGAAGTAGCTTCACTGCTCCGATATTGTAGGGAGGTTACGATGAGGACATGTTTCTCCGCTTTAACGACTGTTCTTGATTTTGCGACTCGACTTTTACTGTGCTTTCATATGGAGTTTTTATTGCATGCCGTTCGTGAGGCATCTGGGGGGGTTTAGAATGAGACGACGGCGTTTTAAATTGCTCCACCCATTTTCCTATCCTTTTGTTTCTCTGTTTACGCGGTGCATTCATTTGCATTTGAATACTCTAACCATTTGTCAATTACCCCTTCCATAACGCCGACAAGCCGACGATATTCTAAGTCGGAAATACTGATTGCGGCGTAGAAGGCTTCAATTCATCCTCTTCTTTCTGTGTATGATTCCTTGTTTGTATTACTACTGTTATGCCCGGCTTTGTTGGTCTTTTGATTTTTTCTTGTTTTCCTTCATGTTAGCAATGAGTGGTGTAGTATAGGTGTAGTATAGTGGTAGAATATCAGTACACAAGTGGATGTTGATACAATATTCGAATTACGCGTGATGTTAGAGATTTGTACGCCGCAGCAAAGTTGATGATGTTTTTGTTGGTGGCTTTCAAGATAATTGCACCGCCACACTAATATCGGCTCTCCAATCCCAACTATCACACTTTCAAAGACATCCCTCCACACCCTTCACATCGTTCACATCGCGACAAATATCCCTTCCTCTCCCACGATGCCACGGCCATCGTCGTCGCCGTCTAAATCATCGGACCCTCCGCCGGCGGACTACCCCCTTCCATTCCTCACCGACCCGGACGCCGCCTCAAAGCCTATACCGCCCTCCACAACCCTCCCATACCGTCTGAATCTGCACCCGATCTCCCGTCTCACCATTGCCAACATTTTCGCATTCGCAGCAGTATTCATCCCCACCACCATCCGTACCGCACATATCTCGTCATTAGTCTATCGAGCAGAGAATGCGCACCGGCTTCCCGAGAAACGAGCAGATTGGTTTCACTACCACCGAGCTAAAAACCATTATGCAGCTTCGAAGGGGTTAGCAGAAGGTTTTAGAAGGGCTGGAGGGGTATGTGGGTATGTTAGTTTATTTTTGGTGGTTGAAGGTGCGGTTGATGGGTGGAAAGGTGGGGTGGACTTTGTGGGTAGTTTGGTGGGGGGTGGGGTTACTGGGGGCTGGTTTGGGGTTGCTAGTATGTTTTATTATCATCCTCTAAGGTATCTTTTCTTAGGGTGGGGAAGTTAGGACTGATGAAGATGTTTTTTTAGGGAAATTACCGTTACCGACCAAGGCGTTGATGGTTAAGAAGGGACTTTGGTATGGATTCGTTTATGGAGTTGCGCAAGATGTTATGCTTGCTATGAGGGGTGAACGGGTGTTTTGGATCGATCCATTTGTGAGTAGAGGGAGGGAGATTGTAAAAAGGGGGAAGGGGGTTAGGAGTGGGGTGGGTGTGGGTGACGATACTAGTGAGGGACGGTGATGGGCTTTGAGTTCTCCACAAAAGGACTGGTCTAGGAGACCGGTAGTGGCATGGATTTTGGACGGATTGAGAGGACGCAGAATGATACCCCCTCTTTCTTCCATCACAGAGGAAGAAAGGCATTCAAGATGGTCTCAAGTTGATAATATGCTCCTTGGACTTGTAGGACGAAGTGAAGGGCTTTATGGCGGGGCGGATCTCTTCACGACTACTTTGTGAAGTTTGGTCAACAGAAGTCAGCTTCATCTCGAGATATTACAAAGGGAGAATGAGCGGAAGTTTATCGTTGTAAGATATGGCAGACGGCCCTTTGGTTATGTTATTTTGTTCTGGAACTGTAGTCTATGGCACTCTTTGGTCTTGGGACTTTGTATATAGATATGTATTTTTTTCATTGGACATAATATTTACTCTCTGAAGCCGAGTTATCCATATATATATATCAGTACGAGACTATATATATATATATGAGGTTTGCAAGGCTCAATACCTCATTCGGTGTCAAGAAATATATGATTTCTCCGCTAAGTGCGATTATATTAGCCAGACAGCTTTATGGCACCGGTGAGCTCATGACTACTTATGCATCTTTCTTATTAATTATAAATGGTCAATACAACACTAGATGATCTTATTCAAGTGTAATTCAAGGCTCTAGACTGGTTTACTAGATAAATACTAGATGCAATAGCAGATCCAGAACCCCAAATACCGATTTCGAGTTTGAAAGATCCAATACCCTATTAATTGATCTCGTTGCCATTAATTATGATATTATATGCTCAATAATAGTAATTTTTTCTTTTAGCAAGGTTGGACCCTGAATTTGGAGTCTCTGGCATTGATAATCCCGGCCTAGGTGAGTGTTTAGCTAAGCCCCAAGGCTAAATAATCACTAGTAGTCCATTTGGCGGTCAGTTTTTTTGAGGCAGCATGTGGAATGTACTCCAAATGTGTGAGCATAGATAGACGTTTTTTTCGATCAGTATGAATTATCAAATTACTAGTTGTGACAATTACAATTGCCCGCAGTACCTGGGATCAATCGCTTGAATTGACATTTTGATATTGAACAAGCCACACCGTTGCAGAGTGGCGTTGTTGGACGTTGGTGGCGCATTGTTTGTTACACGCGTAAAGTGGCTTCGCCTGGCAACCGCTGCCAAACAAAACACACAAGCCTTGCGCCATCCTTGCGACATCCTCTACGACGGAGGGAGAGCCGACAACCGACGCTTCAACATTCAACCTTCCGGACCGAATAGTCCCCCAAACCGCATCGACAGACTATACCACGTCTGCTACTATCCTTATTTGATATATTCTTGCTTGTTTCTTTCCTTCATATCCTTCCATGGGCACAATCGCGGCAAATTGGTCATCTAAATCGACTCGACTTTATCCTTTCATATAGCCAAAGACTGCGCGAAAGAGTAAACACTACCAAAGCTGGTCTAGCTGGAGAACAATAAACAATGTTACAAAAACTTTCCCGTGAGAGTTTGCGACTCAATCCACCTCCCCGGAGTCCGGATGCTCCGGTCATTTATGAAACCTCAAAACAAGTCAAGAAAGCATACAGCAAAAGGAAAGGCACATTGATATCTGAAGCCGAGAAAAAGCGGATTGAACGGATAAGAGTTCTTGATGACAGAGCCGAAAAGATAAAGCAGAAGGAACAGAGGAAGAAGGAGAATGCATTGAAAAGAAAAGCGAAGGAAGAAAAGGAAGGGCCGACGTTTAAGAAGATTGCGAGGATAACTTCGAGTCAACCGGAACTGAGCAAGTTCTTTGTGTCGAAGAAGGGACCGTCGGCTCCTGTTAAGAGAGGGCTTGATAACCCCGTTAATGTTGATCAAGGACATATTAGATCCGAAGTTGAGGATGTAAAAACTGCTGATATTGCCCAGGAGCATCCTGAGTCTGAACCCGAGGATGTAGAAGCCGTTGATCCGGAACCACCAGCAACTGAGGATGAATTTGAAGATTCGGTAGTAGAAACAGAGGTATGATATTATACAGATACACGGTTATCATGTGCATTGCTAATATTAATTTCCAGGTAAAGCCGAGCGCTCTGGTAGAGATACCAATTGATGACCGTAATGTCCCTGCCATCTCCCCAACTCTAGTGGGGGAAGAGGATCACGAGGATTTTGCTCAGGGGCGGAAGGCCACCATGAAGCTTTGTTCGCAACTATCTCTACCTGGGTCTAATAATACACCAGAGAAACTAGCCGGTGGACGGTTAACAACGGGCGGACCACTAAAGGGGAAACGGCTTCTTTCATCCCCCTATGATAGTCTGCCATGCACTATACCACGTGGCATCCTCCCCGATTCATCCCCTCCAGTACCTTTACATGCACAAACTCTACCCTCAGAACGGGAAGAGGAAGAAGCCGAAGCAAGACAAGAAGAGGATGAGAGGATATTAGAAATTCTGCGGGAACAAACCGATTACAACGACTTTGACGACGATTATGATCTTGAAGATGATCCGGGATTTGATTACGATTATGTGGAAGACTATACGAGCCCCGTACACGAAGCGGAAGATGAAACATACGGAGATGAGGGATTGGACATAACGGAAAGCGAAGAGGCCTACGGAATGGGTCTCTCAGACCCGGAATTTGACGAGTTGCATGATACTTTTTTTGAACACGAGGCTGAAGAGGTCCATGCTGATGAGTCCGAGCAAGGGTTTGACAGTTCGTTTTTATGTCAAGCCTTCGAGGACGACCTGAGAGAGTTGGAAGAAGAATTTTAGAATGGCCTACCCCATGTCTCGCCACGGTTGCATATTGGGGAAAGAGGCGCATGATAAGACCGTTTGATATGCATTTACCAGGCGTTTTTGCTTTCCCGAGTCTCGGTCGATTCGCTGGCGTTTTTTTCTTCCTTTCTTGTATGGTGTTTCGTTTTATTGATTTTGCTTTGTCACGATATCATGGAAAAACCGGTTGTTGCATATGGTTTCGCTGTTGCGTTATGCATTTTATGGAATATTATACCCCAATCCATCCCATCCCAACTTCTTTAGACTTTTGCCGATATCTTGAAACGATTCTTTCCCAAGAACCGAGAGTTCTTGTTTAAAAACGGCTCGCGAAACAAGGATTGAAGAACATCAAAAAGGACAGGCGAAATAGATGAATATTCAGTCTTGTTATTACCAAGACAAACATCTACGACAGGCTTCTCCGCGTTTTTTTTCTTTCCTATGATGACCGCTACCTAATCGTGCCCTGAGAAAATACGAGGTTGGTCACATGGACCTCGATCAGAGCCCCACAAACGCAAGCGGTACCGTGTGGGGACGAAACCCAAGGCCTAGCCACATCACGAAACTTGCATGTCTAGTAGCGCCAGGTTCGTTTTTTGTTTCTGAGAAAATTAAATTTTGGCCACTCGGCCTATTCTTCTGCTTCGATTGACAGCCTCCCTTTTCTGGGGGCAGCTGTAGCGTGAGGTGTGCCTAGATGCCCTTAAAGCCAAGCGAAAGGGTTCCGTTCCATGACACGGTTTCGCCGTTAGATACCTCTCGGATAGCTAACCGTGTAGCAGAGGTTCATGTACCCATCGAGATACCCCAGACGTCCCTCGTTGCGAAAGATCAGTGCTCTGCAGATCCGGAAAAACAAGCCAGGTGTAACATGACAGCTGAAACGTAGTTCGCATAAATTCTGCAGCTTCAGCGCACGGTTCGTGTTAAAGGCACCCCAAAAAAACACGTTCACTAACGACGAACGAACGAAAACAAGAAGGCGCTCAATCTCGAAAAAATAGCTAGAAGTTTTAGCCCCTAAGGAACATCATGAAACATTCTAGACCAGTGTGGTGCCAAATACTGGACGTCAGACGTTGGAAAAATGTGGATTTTTTTTTTTTAGCCATGGGCGTCCGGCGTGCATATGGCCCGGGTGTTTTCACAGCCTCACCGTCGCCACCGGGTGGAAAAGATAAGTTTTTTGATATCATCGGTTTGCAATTGAGGTCTGTGCTTTTTTTACGTATGTAGGAAATCGGCCGGGGGAACCCATCTTTTGCGATCGCTTCATACATTCGCATCGGCCGGTTAAAGAGCTGGTCAGGACTATCGAAATGCAACCAGCCATATTAATAATATTCGCTTGGACGAAATGTGTGCCTTATACGGGATAATATGCACCCATCGCAAATCCAGTTGAAGAAATGAAATAATTCGTGATCAGAAAGCACTAAATGTTTCTTTCCTGTTTCTTTTTTCTCTCTCCTCTTTGTTTTCCAAATCCTTTTGCCAACCCTCTCCCTCTCTCTTTCCCTCTCTAGCTTGATCCGATTCTACAAGGTGCAAGCTTGTTACATAGCTGCGCGGGGTTGATAAACATCCCTGTTCGTGTGAAAGTACATGTACATTAACACAGTATGTGCGTGAGAATATATCCGGAATACGGTCCAGGAACAGCCTGGTTCTGTTGGATAAATTAAATTGACAGGAAATGAGCCATTGGACTGGTCACGAGAAAGGAACAACAGGAACAACAAGGCGCTGTAATACGAAATTTATACATCAGCGCTTCGGATATAATTCGTTCAAAAACTTCAAGACAATTTCCAATATAATCCAAGGCAGCAGCTTGTTAGCAGTATCTTCTTTTCTTTTGCCTTGAGGGGCAACCGGAGATTGGAAGAAATATTAAAACCAGATTCCATATCCGACGTTGAAGAGCCAGTCAGGTGGGGGAATGTGATCCGGGCTTCAGCGGCTGGCAAAGCACACATTAATATAATCTATACTAACTATGCAATAAAAAAACCCACAACAGCAACCTTGCAAGGATGAATGGCGAGATTCAAACTAGCGAAAGGGAAAAGGCTGGGTTTCCTCGCGAATTAATATCCCGAGTGCGAGAGTTCAATACTATCAACATCTATGCTCCGCAAATGCAGCTAGCAGCTGTGCTGGCTGCACTGACTGGTTGACCTGGCAGGACAAGGGCCTTGGAGTCTTCGGCAAGCTTTCAAGCACACGTGCATGCATGGCCATATGGCCTCTGCCGAAGCAAGGTTTCGATATGTCCGGACTCTCCGCCCTTTATTTGAGATTATCTCACAAGCGATGTGTCATCGAATTGTGATAGTAACTGTGAAAGAGGGCGACATGCGGGCGGTCAGCGTGTTCCCCCATATTCCCATCAAGATAATACTTAAGGGGAAAAAAACGGTTAACCTAGGAGAGTGTGGCCGCGGTGGTGCAACGTCGACGTATTATTATGGCATTCGTGTATTTTTCTTTTCATCTGTTTAATTTTTCCCCGCTTATTGCAGGTTGCAGAGCTATATAACGTATGCGCGCAATCTTCGGCGTTGATACCTAGATATCGGACAAGGATTCAATTCCCCCAGCTGTCATGTAGCTGCAGCATGGCGCGGTATCCGGTTGACATCTTCAGGCATAGGGACAGGACACTCTAGAAGGCCCCAACTCGAATGGAACACCATCTTTTCGTCCACATTTGAGGCATTCTTGCTCGCCCGTTCAGCAGGATGCATATTATCGGCGGGGGATCATTGGCTAGCTCAGCTCGTTGTAAGACAGATATGCATGCATGGTCAGTGAAAAGTCGAGGCAGGGGTCGGAGGAGAGTCTTCCTATTGGGCATTTTGATCCTGCAGCCTAAGAAACAGCTTTAGGGAAGCTGGGCGACGGCATATGGCCTCCCATCTGGCCGTGGTCGGGGAGTTGGTGCGTTCTCAGACACGGCAATCCCAACATGAATATCCCAGCTCTTGAGTCAAAAGCTCCCAGGAAGTACCCTTTTCAGTTTGATAGGGGAGATGGAAGGCAAATTTGCAACCCGTTTCTACAGAGTGGGGCCTGTTTCTCTACGAATTCAACGATATGTTTCGACGAACTGGCCAAGAGCGAACTAGGGTCATCGGGATGTGGTTAACAATGCTCATATATACCCCACTGCACAAGCTAAAATATGCACACACCGGGGCGGAGGTTAACCACCTGGTGGTAGTTGTTTATGCAGCTAAGTCTGTGATCATTTATGCTGAACGGAAACATTCCCAAGCAAGCTATCGGCGAGTCCACTGACGTTGTATGATCCAAAAGAACTCTAATGTTTGGATATAAAAGTATATCTCGGGATACCTATGTATATACATGTACATGTATACATATATCTGTTTAACAGATCGAGAACCACAAAGGGGAGCGCAAAAAGGAAAGTGTCTTTATTTCAGGGCTAGGGTTCCAAATATTGTCTACGCTAAAGCAACAATCATGCATATCAACGGCCTGTAGGCAGCACGAGTCGAGCTGGTTCCAGGCCGTACCGTCCTCGAAAAATCCCTACTACCAAGTACCCAGGGAACTTGATAAGGAGCCTAAATTCCCCCGCATCAATCTAACGCAGTGAATACTATACAGTTTTTTTGTTTTCTGGAGGCTCACATAAGCGCTAGTGTTTTTGGAGAAATAAACTGCTTCTATTTTCATATTGGAGGCAGCCTATATTACAACCAATCCATGGATTTCAAGTCAATAAAGGCACTTCTACCAGATTAATTACTTGAGTACAATATAGAAATAAATCTATTTTTGATATCACATTGAAGACCGCTACTTTATCAGAGAGCCTGTGAAAACATGAACTTGCAGGTTTAGAAACCGCTAGTATAGCTAGATAGTATTGGATGTCTCTTACGGGAAGTCTAAAACCTGATTCAACCCTGCAACACAACTTCAAACGTTGGAGTTTATTGTCACACATGTGAACTCCCTTACAAAGGGCTGCATAAGCGATTTTAATCGAGGCAAGACAAACGAAAACGTCTCCAAGAGCGTTTCTTCACCATGTTTTGACGTTTTTGAACCTGGGAATCCGGATATTCCCAAGCAGCTGGCAGTCAGATTCGGGAGAGAATGGGAGAATGAGATGTCAACCTTCAATTGTCATCTTAGCTTATGAGTTAAGTGTAGTGTTGAGAATGAGGTACGTTTTCGTCCCCGCACTAGCGTTAACTCGCTCCAGTACTCGAGTACTCCGTGGATCGCCCCAGAATGTAAGGTTTCCCGCGAACCGTCAACCAGGCTGCGACCTGGCCAGTTGCCCAAACGTTTCTGCGAGACCGACGATGGTTGAGGCATGCGATCACTAAGTACATACGTCAGTATCGCACATCCGTTAAACGACGGGATGATGACTAATTAATTGATCGTCGAGCTAACCTAATGGAATTTACCGTATTCAAGTTCAACTCTGGTACCGTGTGGTCCCTAAGCAAACCAAGCTTACACACAAGGTATATAACGATTCGTTCATGATGGCACACTTGCGCACGGTCAAGGCGATCAGATAGTTTCCCTTTAAAATGCTGGGCTTATGCAAGTTTTGTTTTTTGCTCCTCGGCAAAATTACTCGGTAAATATCAGAACCGATCGATAAGAGAAACTTTCCAGACTTTGAATAGAAACAGGTGTGGATAAAAAAAAAAGGCTGTACGCAGTATTTGTGTGAGCCGCAGAACGTTTCGAAGGCATCTAGAATCATGGACCCTGATGTCTCAAGGGGAGAAGCGATCTATAGTTTTGACGTTTTATCATCGGTATAGAATGATCTAGAGAAGTTTTGGCAGTCAGAGATAATTTTTTTCCCTTGACGAAACACCAATATTGTCGCAACATCGGCTGTCTATATTGGCTATGAGCAACCATGACATGCAGCGCCAGGACTTTACCCTTGAGCACCTATACCTCGCAAGTAGATATTATAGGTTAACTTCAAACACGCTACATTTTCGATACCAATGGTTCGATAATTTCTGCGGTACTTTATCGTCGGCTCTTATTAACACGCTTATAGCCAATATGAACCCCAGATCTTCGGCATAGTTCGGCCTATTATGCATCGACGGCTGTTTAACCTTTGTGTCTTTGTTCCTGCATAATCTATTGCAGAATCGGTGGTTAACTGAGGTCCGCTATCAATCAGGAGTCGGAATCGAGTCAGATGATGCCATGAACAAACTAGAGGGCTGGCGCCAGGGTTCCAAAGCGACTTGAAACTCTCACAAGTATGGTTTATCACATCCTCAACCCCTCAAGCGGGATGGGGTTTTCAACACTCATGTTTTTGTTCTCTAGCACACTTGAAGTTTCATGGGATTTCCCGCACTGTTCCTGGTGCACGTTTGCGTTTGGGTAAGAGGGGAAGAAGTACTCAACGTCCGTGCTCCCGACTTGGAAAGCCTCTACCAAACACTTGGTCAAGCGGTAAACGATGAAACAAACCGTTATTGGTGAGCGTTATGTGGAAGAACAATAATCCAACCAAGCCTCGTAAGTCCATAACCCAATACGGTGCCATGCAGGTCAACATTCACCGAGTCTTGGCGTCTCGGAGTGTCGTAAAAATAAGAAATAACGTGGTATTTTACTCCATATTCTAATTGATGATTGTCTCCTCATTGAAACCTGTCAAAGATTTGATAACGCGGTTGAAAAAAAAATAAAAAATAAAAAATAAAAAAAATAAAAAACAGGAAGGCATAGAATTAATATTGGAGCGGAGGAAGCACCAGAGATGGTTAGAATCCTTTTTGGGGTACTGATGATTATCACTATCTTGGAGAGAGAAAAAAGAATGATATGAAAGGAGAATTTTAAAGGCTTCAAATGTTGAACCACTATGGTCGCATCGGGGTAAATGCCTGCAGTACTGAAAGGAAGGGTGCTTGCTAAGGTCTGATTAATCCGTAGACATACTCCTGGGTCCCAGGATGATCGTCTATTATCCGTGGCCAAACAGCTTGCCAATTTCGCCTTCACCCAGCCGTATGGTTCTATGCAATGAAGATGGGCACCACCTCATTCTGTTGGTCACAGAGATTGTCAAGAGCATGCTGTTCACTACACCCATCTTCTGCCATAGGCCCCTGTAGTTTTCCCAACCATCATCGGGTTATTTAGAAATCCACCCACGCAAATGGTGAACCGTGCTTGGTGTGGGAGTTCCAGGTACAAGGGTGCTGGGAAGACCATTTAAAAAAACAAAACGATCCCGTCACCACTCGCACCCACCAGTTTACCGCTTTGGTAGCAGCCAAACTCCATGTGGTAATCCACCCGCTCAAAAGGACGCCCGTGCTTTTACCGGAAATACTCAACTCATACGAAAGAACTCGTGGGATAACCCATGGGTGGGAACCTGGGGGGGTCACTAGCTTGGTTTTGATTTCTGCCCACCGGGCCCTGCATTACAATGACAAACTTCGAGAAGGGAAATCTACACAGAATATTACATAATTTCGGGTATACGTATCAACGACTCTGTAAGATGAATGTCTCCAGGATAGCTTGTATGGAAACCCTCATGAAATCTGATGAGCTCACTATTTGCAATCTTTGCTCATGCTCAACCGGAGAGCCTACTATATACCCTTGGATTCATGAAATGATTGAATTCGAGAGTATGGCATTTCAATTCCACCTGGTATGTTCTCAAATTTCCTGTGGAGAATCCAACCCGATTGGCGACTGGATGTCATACTCTGCATGGTTTCAGCCGTCCAGGTCTAGCGCTTGCTGCCAAATCGTCGAATAAACCTGAGTTTCCTTCAGAGGCGGTTTGGTTATTGTATCCACAAGTTGCCAAAAGGGTCGGCTTTCCACGGGTAGAAACATTTCTGTGTTCTCTCAAGCAAGTTCAAACAGATCCGTTAACCGTTACCTTGCGACTGGCCTTAAGTTACAGAAGGGAGAATGTGGGCATTTTTGACCTCAAATCCAACACAGTATGTTTTTGGGCGCCATGTTCGCTCCTTGCCATCATCTAAGCGATGCTCTTAAGCCGCATAAGGTCTAGTCGGAACAGGACGACTGAAGTAGTTGTTTGAAAACGAGAGGGTTCGGCGACTTAGGGGGGCCATTTGCGATTGTCCATTTGTTTGTGCTAACGAACACCTATTCTGCACTCTTCTCTTGCCGTCTTTTCCATTCTGATGACTAGGAATTGGCGATATCAGATGTCCAAGCTGATGGTTTGTACTTCTCTCCAATCAATGGGTATTTGATTGCGATTGTGGGCCGACACAGGATGCCCCTGGTATCTTTTAAACGTTAACAACCCGGCTTTGGTTTACTCAGTGGGCAGTCCCAGCCTTGACAGGTCGTTTCTCTTGCATAGTATGTATGTATTTCCCCTGTCCTTCGAAGACTCCCTGAGGCAGCCGGGCTTCTCTGACCCACCCCCAAGCTGGGTCACCGCCTGTCTTGTCTCGCATCAATTTGCTTTTGGCAGTCACATCCCACCTTTCATATGTAAGTAGTTTTCGCCGCAAGGTTTGTTTCCCGCTTCAGAAAAAAATACCCCCTGTTGCTGCCGCATTGATGTATTCCCGTCTGGTTAATGTTATACAAACTCTAGATGTTTAATATTAGAGATTTCTCTCACTTCTCTGATCTTCAAATGACCTCTCAATTTTGAGCTGTAACAGCGCAATTGTCCCAATCCACTGGGCCATGGGTTGCAGCAGGCTTTGAAGCCATGCCTTGTGGAAACAAATACGGATTTGAAAAAATGCCACTTTGAAGATATCGAAGATTGGACGAAGATACAGGGAATTCTGTTCTTTCACAATTTCGAACTTCCCAATCCGGCCTTTTAGACCCCAATACTCGAGGAGCTAAACTGGCCTAGGTTATTCGCTTGGTCGTTAAGCGTCTTAATTCGGATCCAAATAATATATCGGTCTCTAAACGAACAACTAAACCTTGTGATTTCCTCAAAGCCCCGGAGAAGTTGATTTCCCCTGGTGTGAATGGCCCCGGGGTTCAGCTCAACAAGAACCCCTGGTAAGTTCTACTGCATTGTCACTGCTCCGGATCCTGCACTTGCCGGCAAATCGAACCAACCTGGTACCATATTTGCAGAAGAAACCATCTTTCTTTTCGTCGACTGACGGATACATGTACAAAAATGCTTTTTGGTGTGGCAAGCTTCAGGGTGGAGAAACCAACGGGCCGAGCGACTATATGACTATATCTTATGCCTCTGCTCCTTTTTCCTGACAGCAAGGAATCAAAAGGAAAAAAAAGAAACAGTATCAGTCGCCCTCCTTTTGGCCCCTTTGGTATCAAACGGAACTGCTGCCAAAGTTTCCCCTCCCCTGCTCTGCCTTGCCCACCCTGCTCTTTTGCTTGCCGTTCGAATTAAGCTGCTGTCAAAGCAATATAATCCCATCGGGGAAGAAACAAGGAAAGGGAAAAAAAAAAAAAAAGGAACCAGCTAGCACACACACAATAACTGGACAAAGCCTCCCGCGGCCGTTTTTTATCAGTCGCACTTAAGCATCGCTCTGGTTGCTTATTTTCTATTTTATACACAATAAAAGGAAACCTATAATAGTACATCTCTTGTCCCCGAAACTATCTTTTTTGTACTTCCTGATCTGACCTCCAGAACTTCCTTTATTATTATTATTATTTCTTTGGTTTCTGGCCTGCTCGCTCGCGCTGGGGATATTTATTTACTATCCTGACCATTAAATACACCTAAGCCTGACGTCCTCGTCGTCCGATATACTTCGGCCAATCCTTTGTTTCGTTTATCCTCGACTATCCTCCGCACAGCCTTGTTACTGGAGAGTACATTTAACTATTACTACGTGCAGCTGCAGTGTGTTCGACTGAGCTGATAGCAAACAACAGTCGCAATAGCGGACTTAAAGTTTCCCATACCCTTATTCGGCTGTCCATTTCGCGAGAGTTATACTTTTGGGGTTATTGTTTAAGGAGTATTAAGAAAGGAGCGGTACTGCTATCCTCCCGGCTTGCATCTACGCTTCACCTTTCCTATCAATTTACCAACAGATCAAGTCTTCCAAAGTTTCGACTTTGGCAGACTTCCCCAATTATTTTAAAACCTGGCTGTCCAAATATCCAGAGGCGAGCCACTGCCTCTCTATAGTTTCCGCCAACCTGAATTTTGGCGATCACCTATTAACGAGCATTTCAGTCCTTCGTTCCCAAAATCAAACGTAACCAGCCCGCCTAGCCAGCTTCCTCTGACGGAGTTCAGCAATTCTTCAATGCAATATCAACCTATTCACCAAGGAGCACCTCACTCCAACAATGGCAATATGGGTGGCCATTTACCTCATGCTGACCATTATACTTTGACACCAAACCACACTCCACATTCTTCAGCTACAAAGCCCCGTAGTAGAACATTTCATGATATGGATGACGATGTTCACGATGTAGAACATGCTAGCCACCAGTTACAACCACAGCATGGTCACCATCACCATCACCACCAACTGCCAAACCATAATGGATATCACCACCCCGATCAACCGCCACCGCTTAAAATCCAGAGGGCTGATTTTGAGGATCTACTCGGAAGAACATCTATGCCAATGGGGGGACCTGGGAGCCTTCTTGGAGGTCCCCCATCATTACAAGCTCCTGGGCAATCTGCCCAAATGTTTGCACCAACGGGGCTTGGAAACCAAGGCCATCTATCGCCGATAGAGCCTTTGAGGCAGGGCCAAGGCGGTCCTCCAATGCTAGGGCCTGTTCCTGGGTCACCGCACATGTCGCATGGAGCGCAATCCATGACAACAGCAGTTGGGGCGCCAGGGATGCCAATGCCAATGCCCCGTCCAAGAGGCCCAAAACTCAAGTTCACACCAGAAGACGATGCGCTCCTACTAGAACTCAAAGAAAATAGAGCTTTGACCTGGAAGCAAATTGCAGAGTTTTTCCCTGGTCGGTCATCTGGGACATTACAGGTGCGATATTGCACAAAGCTGAAAGCAAAGACGACGCAGTGGACAGATGATACAGTACGTATTTTCGTACAGTTTATACTCTCGAATGAAGGTCGACTAATATTCTATTTAGGTCCAACGATTAAGAAATGCTATGCAAGAGTATGAGAATGATAGATGGCGTTTGATCTCTGCCAAAGTTGGGAATGGTTTCTCCCCAGCTGCTTGCAGGGAGAAATCAAAAGATATGGGCATTTGACTAGCCGACCCTGACGGGAAGTCCGAGGAGGGGAGTTACTCCCCTTCTCATGAAGGATTTCCTGTTGGGGATAACGAAGGCTCCCTTTCCTTCGATCAACGAGAAAACCAACCAGACAACCGCGAGCAACAACCATTGTCCCAGCCTATGGTCCAGCCTATGCAGCAATCTATGCCACAATCCATGCCGCAGCCAATGTCACAGACCCTGCCGCAATCCATACCACAGCCGATGTCACAACCTATTTCACAACAGCAACAGCAGTCTCAGCAGCCTTTGATTCCACCGCTGCATAGAGCAGCACCGGTTCCACATCATCTACCCCTACCATTTGATTCGAATCCCGATAGATACCAGAATCTCCAACATCCTTACCAAACTTTACCTCCAAAACACCCACATCCTTAGCACCGCACAGCAGAGTTATATCAGAACGATACCTTGAGTCGTTTCCTCAAACATTTTTGTCCCTCATCTTATTTCTGTCGAAGATCATGCATAATGGCGAGTTGAGTTTTTGTTTCCTTCGGGATCTTCACTTACGATTTTATTCTGTGCAAATTTTTTATATCTATCTCTTGGGTTTCTTACATGGTCGGGGGCGTTAATTCTGAGTTTCTATGTTCCTCGGTATCTGCTCCAAGATTTGCAATATTTCTATTTTGTTTTCTTCTCACAACCACCTTGTTTCACTTATTTTGCTATATCCGCTTTATTATTTATCTGGGTAAACGTCTTTGAAAGTCTCCGATGTTTTAGGGGCAGTCAGATCTCATCTCAATTTGGTGAAAGAATCAACCACAATAACTGGTTCTTATGTATGTATCCCAATCTTCAATGGGGGAATTTTGTTTATTATTAGAGCAAATCAATGGGAGGCGGCAGAAATCTTAGCTACTGATCAAATGAAGCTATATTCTTCATGGAAATATCAAAATTCAAATTAATCGTCACAAATTTGGGTATGAGACTATATAGGCGTAATTATGAAGCCCAAATAAAATAACAAGCCTTCCGCGTGCATGCTCGGCTCGGAAGGATCTCCGAGCTTCGCGGGTGATAATTAAATATAATGATTCAGTCGATGAACTTTAGGGAGAAACGGTTAAAAGGATTTCTGACCACTATCATATGTACACTCAGGGCTGAAAAGCTGAATCCACATAGCTTTTTTACATGAATCATGTCATCGTGGGTACCAGTTCTGACACTTGCGCTGGTAAATTTGGCCGAGGTTTACGGACAGGTGACCTCTGGTAGATGATATACCTTGTGGATGTGTCGCACATTTAAAGTCTTGAGTTCCATCGAAGGTTTCTTGATTGCATAAGCGATCATAGAAAACGGAAACCTAGATGATCGATCATGGTTCGAAATCCGTGGTAAGACTAATACATGTTAGAATAATATAATATTAATATTAACATCTCACTTATACTGCTTAAACATTGCACCCTGTCGACGGTGCAATTATCATTGTTAAGGTCTCCTATATCCTTCAGCCTTTCCACAGTACCGATCTTGGTTTTTTTGTCTTTCTCCGCTACCTCGAACTTAGCTAGCTAAAGTATTTGCTTTGTTTTCTCATAGGAGAGAAAGGGAGAAAAATCTTCAGCTGTTCCATTCGAACTAGCCGCCCTGCAGGCCGGCCTACAGAAACTCTCAAAGTTACGGCAAGGTTAGCCCCTCGTTTCGAACCATTCAAGGTCCAAAGCCTGTGGAAGCCTTCTGGATCATTGGTTCTCCGCACATGGCCTGATGATTGAAAATAAAAATAAGGAAATATTCCTTTTATCTGATCCTAGAGCCAGACTCACCACCCTTGCAGTCTCAATATGGTAGTCGATGTATACAGAGCTAGATGTCATCTACTTGTGGCACCGACAGCTACATCCCCCCTCTCATGGAGCTAAAAAGAGACCCGCCCTTAGTTGTAGCAAAATAAACCGAACAACCTTATTAATCCATGAAAATACATATAATAACCGTTTTTATCTGCTATATATAATAACGGGTCTAGCTTACAAATTTGGAGATTGCTGTCGGGGTTTGATTGCGATCGGACCTTTGAGGGGATTATCACAGGATTCCCATCGTCATTCGAAGGGAAATTCTATACATCAAGTACGTCCTGGTTTCGGCGGAGCATCTCCTTTACCTACCGTGTAGACAACTGTGCTGCTGCGCTCCACCTTTCACCGACGCATTCAAGGATCTAGCCAGTTCCTGGCCTCCTCTTTCTGTGGTGACAGATGCATGTTTCCCGGTCCCCCGCCAGTCCATGCAATTATTTCCGACCCTCAAAACAGTTATGGAAACATTTAGAGAAAGAAGAAAGCATAACCCCCATAACCAGCCCACCCATTTGAGTTAAGTGGCTCGCCAGAACACTTTTCTGCCGCTACGTGTGGATCGCATGCCATATAACGGTTCTTGGCTGCAGACAACTTGTTCAACAGGCCTTTCTTTCTCCTCCAGAAAATTCGAGGCACCCACTCTCATGTCGGAACATTGAAGTCCACTTGCAGAAAAATTCGCGGATCTTTCGAGAATCATTACCATTTCATTGCACAAAGAGTTAGCTCTCAATGACTGCCCCCTGGCAGCGTTTCGGCTGGGACACGCACGCGGAGGAACATCCATCTTTGAACAATATCCCGTGTGGCTATTGTGATAAAAAAAAAGTAGAGTCTTGCCGATTGCGAGGCAAGAAAAGAAGCACGAGTCACTTAACCTGGCTTGATGCGTAGTTTAACGGAGAGTAGTCGAAACCCCATACGTCTGCAGAGACCCCCCAACGCGCCGGAACTATGGAAACTAGTAATTAGTCCCAAAAAGGGTAAAAGGGTAGAAAAGCTTTCATTAGACTGCGCGTCGAAACTTGCGTCTAAATGCCTTGAAAATATCATTTCTTATTCCATCTTGCTATGTCAAGAATTAGCAATCCTTGGCCGGAGGGATAAGCAAACCGTTCTCCGCTTCTTCAGGTGAAATTTGATGATGAAATTTAACGCATAAAGTATCATCATGTTTTCAGCTAACATTGGGGTACAAATGCATGCAAAAGAAATCACAAGTTCTCAGGCTACATATGTCCAGTCAAGTTGCAGGGATAAAGGCCGACATGACATCGTCCGAGTAATCTCCAATTTTCAAAGCTGAGATTGCATGGCCATCTATTATTCTTGGTAAAAATACCATGCTAGTTATATGTTATTGTTAATTTGGGGAAGAAAAATAGGCTTTCGGGACGAGGGGAAGACCCCATGTTACCAATCTCAATAGATTGGTGATATCTTGCAATCGGTGCCAGGGGGGTATAAAATATCGTAAAGGGTATAATATCCAACGCTCAGGCACCGACGCGTTGGCCATGTTGCGTTTGGTGTGTGGCTTAATTAGCTTGATTCCGGGTTCTGGGGTGTTCAGATAATATAATCCTGTGCTCGGGGCTCCTGGTTCGAAAGTTCCCGGATGCCCCTGCAAACAAGCTAATTTCTATCCACAATGCATTTCCGGCCCTACCACGACGTAACTTCGTTGCTTAAGTACATACTTCTTACATATTAACTGCAATTAATTCATTAGCGTCGGATTGACTGCGACGTTAATCGCTGTATTCTCCCCACAAACTTAATTGTGGGAGTTAGAGTGGCTTCCTCATATATAATAATTGGCATGACTTGCATTGGAAAAGTTTTCCGTGAGGACATGCCTGGCCATGTCAAGCCACACCCAATTAATTAATTGATCGATTTCTCAGATAATATATAAGATGAAGAGCAATATATATACCATCAGCTCTGGACTTACAACTAACACTTCCGGGTCCGGCCCTACATTAAACAATAAGATTTCAACCGTGGCCTCTCTCGAAATCCCGAGTACTTCGAATTCCGGCGCCCTTGGCATCGGCTCCACAGTGAACTTCAGATCCAGACGTACCCCGTTAGGAAACGGACGGATGGTGTTTGAAAAGCTATGCACGCCTGTTCCTACGATTTTATCATGATACACTTGACAGATAAAAAGAAGAAAGCGGGACCTGGCCGACCCTATCAATACCCCAGAACAAGAAGGTCTAACAAGAGATCTATCCGAGGAATGACGGAGCTGGGTTTGTACGACATCGACCTTGTCTTGGCACTCATGTGCTTGCCACTCTTACGGGAGATCAGCAACACACGTCGGATTGGAAAGGCTCTAAAAGGAAGCTCTTGTCGATATTGGTGCTGAGTCCTGACGAAAAAGTATTCGATATTCTAGCATTCCGACTGTCTTATTGAGCTTCGTATTCCAGTAAGTTAGGGCTTTAGTCTAGATGTTTTCTGCAAAAGGGAAGATTTTTTTGCATGATTAAGGGCGTGGAGCTAGAGAATCATAACATGATCATTGCATTGATGACTCGACTAGTTTCCAAACGTTCAAATTCGAATCGACGCAACAAATCATTACCCGAGTTTCTCCATCGGCAAACTAATTAGGTAGAGCGTATGGAATAGCTATAGCTAAGAGGGGAAACTATATCCGTTAAAAGATTACCGAGCATCAACCAAGATCATATGTGGAAAGCCGGTTGCAAGCTGCATATCTGTTAGCTGGCAAAATCCGATATTTATCGGGGCCCTGCTCATGCTGCCAGATATGGTTTAAGCCCTGCGTCCTTCAGCTCCTAAACGACATACTCCTTCTTGCTTAGTGTCCTCATTAGATTTTACGATTGCCCCCGGATGGAATTCATTTTCAAATTCGATTATTTTGACTAAAATAATGCAAGCAAAGACATGGACAAATTTTCAAATCCCATCATGCGGCCGGAGAACCCGTTCCCATAGAGCTCTCGGAATCTGGCGTGACAACAAAGGGAAGCAATGGCATGATTTACGTGCCGGGAGGCCCAAACTGGCTTTGCGAACCGTGAACGATATCAATTCAAGCTTACTGTTTCCTTTTTCCTCCTCAAACGACCTGTCTTAGCTGTTACATTATACATTAGTAAGTTACATTGACACAGCAACGCCTATGAAGCACTCTGTAGGCGCTGGCTTGCATATGTTGTGCAACTTTCGCTTGTTTAGACCATTAAAGACGTTCTTATAGCGATTTACATTCCCATGTAGAAATCAGTCACGGTAAAATATTCTTCCATTAATATTCTCTCTATATATTATAGATAGCTTTATAATATTATAGTATTTCGGAACGGGTTATGAGATAGAGGCGATATAGCTGCAAAGGTAATAGAAGCCAGACATATGGATAGGGCGTCAAGCATCGTCTATGCCATATACAGTTAGCTTTCTACATACCAGCATATTTCAATCTCAGATATATGGAATGGAGCATTGGTAAGAAGATCAGAACACTTGTAATTACTTGTGTTCAAGAACGGCTGCGAACACATGCACAGTATATGGCTAACATATCGTATATCGCAACATCGATAATGCCTTCTTCATTGATTGTCCTCGCATGTGCGTATCTAAATATAAAGAGTTAACCGTGGATGTATTCAACCGCATTATTAACTTCTTTTAAAGTTGTTTTTGTTTCTGTTTGTGTGCCTATGGTTGAACCGTGCAGGCCAGTTAACGGGAAGCGCTCAGCACCAAACGAGCCCGCAAGTTCTAAGTTTCTAGCTTATTTCGTTGCGAGAGTGAGCTAGAGCTTATAGAAGAACAAGCACTTTGAAGGGTGGCTTACAAAGCAATTTAATTACCAGTATACCGGTTTCGCTTCAAACTTCTGTCTTCTGGTGGTCCTACTCTGAGAACAGACTTATCTAGGTAAAGCGAATAGGGATACTAAGTATGGAAGAAATTACAACCTCACTATAACATATCCAGTAAATTTGATGATCGGTGGTCTGAACTGGGAAAAAAACTCGGTTTCTCGGTGTCAGACTAAAACCCAGCGAGTGCGACTGGTGTAATACGTGGAATGTTCGAACTAACATGCAGGGATCGACATAAAAATGCACGCCAGATGCACCCCTCTCATCAGGACCAGATTTCCGAGATACCACAAAAAACACTTGTAATTCGACTTTGTGGCAACGCCGAAGCGTTTGCGGACCACATCAACCACCCGGAATATGCCATCTTGTATTCGACCTCGCTTCGACAACAAGCGGCAGGTTTTTCCTAAGGCTCGTCGTTCCGTGCCCATGTGGAGCTGAGGGATTATCAATTACAAGGACAGGTAAACCCGAGTGTGGGTTTAAGTTTGAGCGTGTAATTAGCTAACTGCCCTCAACAATGGTCTGTGCCTGCACGGGTTAATTCCTGTACGTAACCACAGGGCTGGCTACAGGTACTCATGGAAGCAGGGAACAGGACAGAGTCCAAGGGTTCAGGCTCCCATGGTCCTGTACCCTCCCGGTGCACGGTGCTTTATTAATTACAATAGCTTCGAAGCTCGGGCAATTGCGTACTGTATTTTATATTGTAAGATGATTGATGAAAGTAACTTAAGTGTTCATTGTTTTAACGATATTGCGGGCTTACGAGACTTTATAGCGAGGGTGGATGCATATTAGAGAGTTTTGTTTATCAAGAAAGTTAAAGGCATTCAAATTCTTGTATAAATGTCTACATGTAAGCTTACGATACATGAATTGGCAATGGATTAAACTAATTTCATGGACAGGGCTAAAAAAGGAGTCTCCGAAGTCCGACATCCAATTCACCGACTTATATAGAAAAAGCCTTGCCAATATGCGTAGTACTAGTAACATTAAATATCATGACCGAAGAAGAAAATCGCCATCTTCGTCATCTGACTGGCTAGAAGTAGCTCCTCAAATAGCTGATCAACCGCACCCAGAATTGTCACAGTTGCTGAGGCGCCTGCCCCGGGTTTGAAATATCCCCAGCACAATTCGTTCCCCACAACTTTGTACCCAGATTCTTTAACGCCAAGTCCCACATGTACACCATTCTCCACCTCATAGAGTGTAGGAAGTTGCATAGCTCCTTTCCCTTCCGGCGTAATCCACACAAATGATCTTCCAGCATAGGTAAACTTCTGTGAACCCCATGTGCGCTTTTCCATGATCTCGGGAGTTTCGATAGTAGGCTTCGAATTGTTTGATGTCGTATACTCTATTGTTCGGTTTTTCATCGCAGATAGTTTTCTGTCTCCCGTAGACGATACAGGTGTAATTTTGATGTCAATACACGGCATTACGAACTCCGTAGCGCGATAAAATGCAACATTATCGAATTGGATTTTCCCCCACCGATTGGCTCTAAGGCGGTAACACGTTTGGTCCGGCTGATTTATGGGGTGGGCATTGAGCCAATAGCTATAATTTGTGGAATCCATTTCGACGGCGATCGTGTATTGTTTTGGAAGAAGACTTGAATCCAGGGTTAAAGTGTATGTCGAAAGAGTGGTAGAGTCAAGTAAATTTTTTATTTGAGCGGGCACCGCAAGATCTGGATCCTCCTCTTTCTTAGCCAAATACTCTGATAATAATGACTCCTCGAGACCAATCGCTAGACGTTCACTTTTTAATGTAGAATTTATCGATTCCTCAGCACTTAATGTTGTCGGTAGAACCAATGGAAGATCACAGTTATTGTCGTCTAGTATAGATCGGATAAGGTGATACCGGCTGGCATGGAACTCTGCTTGTTTATCACATATTGTTCGTGTTTCTTGATCATGCCAAGTATCTTCCGCAATTGCTTTTAGCCCGATAACTGCCGCTTCATGAAGTGATTGTGCTGTTTTGAGATCCTTGGAGTGCTCTGAGTAAAAGGCAGATACGCTGTATCGGATTACTTCAATATCTTGTACGCAGGCCATTTTGATATCGATATTATGATTTGATCGTAAAGTTCAAAACCGGGTAGTATATATTAGGAGTGGTCGGGGGGTTTTTTTTTGTAGCGTAGCTAGTTGACTGGTAGCCGTATATAAAAATAGCTTTTGATATTCCTTGTATATGCACGTTAGTCCTCGATCATGATCCATTCAGTGGGGGCGAGAGTCAGTATTTATATATCACACATTCAACTATCGCAACTAGCTAGCGAATTGAAATTTGCGGAATCCTAGAGAATTCCGACGGCAATCCCGAACATTCGGCATTCGTCGTCGTCATCCCAATCCACCATTCCGTTTCAATCATACTAACAGCATCTCTACTTTCATGGCCAAGTCAGATTTAGAGACATAATATGCATATGCATACCATGTACCGGCAGGCTAGCACCAGAGAAACAATCTCCAACTCAACAAGGGGCTTGAATGTTATACCTAAACCACTGTAACCACCCATTTCAACACAGTGTCTAGGCCTTGGCACATATGCACATGTCTGTTCTAGGACAGGGTTTCGGCAGCCTGTGGAATGTATTAATGTTGTAAGACATATGGTCGCGATTAGCGAAAACCTTCGGTCCTGGGACAAGCCGGAGCTGATTCCGTGGATATCCCTCGGGAAGCTGCTACTTCCGTATGTGTGTGATCATGAGGAATTTGAGTCTGGGTCTTCGGTTCTATTTAAATGTTTGCGAAATGATAAGACGAGATTTGAGGCTTGCGCGGTAGTATCTTGGGCCCTAGATATTACCATGTCCGTTGGGTAACTTTCACTAATTTATTAATATATATATATTGCTTAATTAGGAATCAGCATCACAGAGAGTTGCTAACAAAAGAGCTTAGATAATAAAACTAGATTATTAATGGTTAATATTATAGCGACCTAAGTATGTAAATATAGTAATGGCGCAGACATGAACCCCAAAAGTAATGTAACTAATTCCCTTTCATATAGAATACCCTATTTCTGATATGCTATGTAGCTATAAAATCCTCTCCATTCAAGGCAATCTTTCCCTCTTGAAAGCCTTTCGATGACCGTCTCAGCACCTACATACACTACTCCAAGTCCGTCTTACTATTAGACCGTAGTGCCCACGGCCTGAGCAGGGGCAGGCTGCCCTCGATTTCGTCTTCCGAACCCAAAGCGGCTTTTCTCTTCATGTACACCTGTCGCATTATTGACCACCTGATGGCGTCGAGCAAGCGCGAATGATAGAATTGTTGTGGCGAAGAACAGGATCCTACAAGATATTTATTAGCGAACCTTTCCCTATCCGAAAAACAAAAGAAATGAATATAGAATAGAGAGGGATAGAGATGAAGGCGTTAAATTCTTACGTTTGAAGAACCAGTAGAGCAGCCCCTGTCCTCACCGTGCCGCAATGTGGAGACCCAATTGTTGCAAAAACTCTCACTAGAACGTTTTTGTAACAACTAACGTGAAAGTTTTGTCGATAAACGATGCATGACGCAAAATATCCAATGAACAAAAAGGAATCGAGTATTGCGATGAGAGTGTTTGCATCGTTGTGGAGGAATAAGTGGCTGAAACTCGCAAGAACTGTGAGAACAAGAGCGGCGACTGAGAAGCCCAAGGGTACATCGGAGACATAGTAGCTGAAGTAGCCAGCTCTTTTCATTTGAGAGTGGAACCAAGAGAAGATGCCGACGAGGATAACCGCAAAAATAAATTCAAGCAAACGAAGCCCCAAAAGGCCTCCCCTGTCTCTCTGCGATCGTTCAGCCATTTCAAGATAATTGTCGATATTGAAGGTGTATATTGGCCCGATTCTTTCGGTGTTGCAAAGTAGCCTTAGGGGATTTCTGAGTCGGTGTAGGTTATCAGGACCGAAGAAAAAAGGGTGAGGGAAAATTGGTCTAGAAACTGAATTATAGTATGGTTATATACCAAACCGCCTCCATAATTCAGTATAAGATTGTATACACTACGTATCCACATTACCTCCGAATATCGCAATTCATACGGCATTCTCCGTCATCAATATGCAACTTATAACGCCGCACTCACAATGTATGATTTTTTATAGGTCCGGAACTGTAGAAATTTAACTTAAATACGGTTAATCGGGAATGATACTTTGTCGACGTCATCAACGGCCCCGTCCTGATCTCAGAATTTGCGGGTCATCAGATCAATTATCGGGGTACAGGTAGATTCTTCTAACGTGAAGATGCATCCCTAAGCTTCCGTACTTCCAAGTCGTTCCATATACTACTATCACATGCTATTCTGATAGAATTTGTAGTATTTTACAAAACCGATGAACAAGTCAGAAACACTTTTCATACCGTTGCGAAGCTTCCGCGACCCGGACTACGTCACAAACCAACGGATGATCCGGAACCTAACCCAGAAAATACACACACCTAAGTGTTGATAAAAAATATCTGCTAGTTTGATATAATCACGAAACGAAGCGTTTCCCATGATTGGCGTACAGATGAGGTATCGATACGTATCGATCGTATCTGCGACGACATACACCCGGAATTTCCCTTTTGGAGCTGCCAAGACTCAAAATACCACAAGCTCTAGAGCATGGTTGCACAAAACTGTTAATTGAAGTATCTCTGTTATGGATTGACATTCGCGCGCCAGGCCCCTCGGTCTCAGAAGGCAATATGATTCTTGTCTTTCTTTCTGATCAGAAGCTCTCGCGATACTTTGGACCTCATTCAATTTTAAGTAGGCTTTTGCTAGAGTTGTTTTTTTAGCAAGGAGCTCAAGCATTGTCTAATACTTATCCCTCTTAAATTGAGTCAAAAAAAACCAACAATCCACAACGAGAAGGAGAAAAAACGGTTTGCCGACGAAACCCGACTCTAAAAACGAGACAAAAAAACTTCGAAAGACGCAAAAAGATAAAGCTTTGACAACGAAGGGATTCGAACCCTTGCGGTTTCCCACTGCGATACTGAAAATCGACCAATTAGATCGATTCGCCTGAACACAGCGCCTTAGACCACTCGGCCACGTTGCCTCATAGTAAGCATGAGAGTTGGCTCCAAATATCGTATACTAAGCATCTCGCCTACGGCTTAATTAGAGGATTGTTGTATTTTGATTATCAGCAATATATATACAACTTTCGGTCTAGACCTAGATCTAGCTATACCTTCGATACCAAAACAACTTAACTCGGATCAAGCCTTATACTTTAGGGTTGGATGACTCTTAAAAGGACAGAGAAATGCAATGTAACTTTTTAATCAAGGAAAGATCCTATGTACATGTATTGAACTGATATACAGCTGCTTAGGTAAGTGAATAGCTATAAACATATATAATACATCCTTTTTACTCGTTTCTTATGTAAATACTACAGAAACAGCTGAAGCTGGTTTTGCCCTGCAAACTTCCATCTAGAGCTCGAGATTACAAAACCAATCCTGCGCAGAGCAATCCTAGCCCGAATGAGGTACCAAAGGACATCATATAAATACCAGCCGCAGCTCCAGACTTGCGGTCCTTAGTTTCCTTGGGTGCACTTGGGGCGCTGGTGCTAAGATTTCCAGTGCTCGCCGCAGCAGGTGCGCTTGAACTTGCTCCTCCAGCTTTAGTAGGAGCAGAAGAAGAAGAAGGAGCTTCCGTGGCGGCGGAGCTGGAACCAGAGGTCTGAACAGCCGTTGGGGCTGCGGTATCTCGCCGAGCGAGGGGGCTCAATTTAGCGGATGGGCAAGCTTTACAGACAATACCGGAGTTCCCTTCAATGGCATAAGACTTGACGCAGCTGGTGATGCCTTCTGGGGAAGTACAAACGAAGGGACAGCACGGGTCATAGACAGCCGGGCAGCCGCCCTGAGTATCGTAGCTTTCGCATGTAGCGGCCTTTGGAGTAGCCTGTGGAGTAGCCTTTTGAGCTCCGCGGTTTGGCGAGACAGTGGCTTTCAATCCAGGCGATGGGCGCGGGCAGGCGCTGCAGACAATACCGGAGTTCCCTTCAATGGCATAAGACTTGACACAACTGGTGATGCCTTCTGGGGAAGTACAGATGAAGGGGCAGCACGGGTCATAGACAGCTGGGCAGCCGCCCTGGGTATTGTAGCTTTCGCAGCTGGCAGTAGGCTGAGCTGCAACGCCCAATGCATAGATACTACATCGTCGTAAACCTCGAGTTAGTATATATCGCTTTTTTCTCTTCAAGTGCTAATCGCGGAGTGTCGACGAGGGGATTTATTTTATAACAGAACAGGCTGTAACCTACCCAACCAAAGTAGCAGAGGCAACGAAGGACTTCATTTTGAGAATTGGTATTTTTACGAGATTTTTTTTTTCAAAAGAAGGCGTATATGTAAGTGTATGAGATGGGTGGAATAGAAGCAAAGTGAATGGGACTGGCTTTAATTCAAATCTATTGAATTGCAGTGGTTTGGATTGAAATGGGTCGAAGTGAAATGGTTAAATTTAAAAGTTGAAATTGAAGTTGAAATTGAAGTTGAATCGAATTGAACTGAAATAAGTTGAATTGAAGTGAAGTGAAGTGAAGTGTAAAGTAAATGTGAATGTGAATGTAAGCAGTATTGATTGATCTGTAGAATAAAGAATTCATCTAGAGGCGTTTCCTCGACTTTATATATCTCGATCCATGGAAATCAACAATTGCATAAGTTGAAAAATGGGAAACTCGCTACATTGATGTTTCAAGAATCCCATCCCGCGCCCACATGGGGAATTCGAATTCTGAAAACACCCGTCCGGCTCAGCCACCCAGCCCAGCCCAGACAAACGTTACATCGAAAATCTAGAAACCCCATCCTCGAGCTCAAGTACGTACGAAGAATCAGGTTCACACGTATGCGTACACAAGTTTCAGAAATACACGAGCCCAATGAAAGTAGCTAAGCTTTTCGTTGCTCGCCCGCAACGGCAAATGTAATTGTTTTGCAACCGGGCGGGAATGCGACTCGCCTTCTAACAAGGGAATAGCATTGGCGCTAGCTAGAATTGGGTTTTATTGATTTTGAGACCGATAAGTCGCAACCGCTTACAATTTTTACGGTCTGGAACTGTGGCGTTCAAATTGCAAACCTGCTGGGAGGGCGCTGTCGCAATTAGAATCTAGAAGGTGTGATTTATGATCAGACGACCATAGAGGCCTTGAGGTCTAAAGATAATACCGGCCGTAATATTGAAACCATGCATATGGGCGATGTCCAATTGTATACGTATGTAGCAAAGAAGGGAAGTACAGAAAGGTATCACGAAATATCAAACCGACCGCCTCAAACAGTGCAGTTTCCGCAGCACGACCAAAAAAAATAGCCTACATACATTCAGACGCCATCCATCGTCAATGCACTATTCAAACTTAAACACCTATTCCTGTCCATCGCCTTCCTTCTCTTTCGATACAGCTCCAACCCCCGCCTTTGCGGAGTTTAGGGTAACACTTGTCCCCTCGACCACATTCACGGCTGTATGTCCCACATTCGCCCCGGCTTGTCTAGTACCATCGGCTAACTTCTTAGCATCGTTTCCATAATCATGCCCAATTATCTTTGAAGCTGATTCTCCGATTTCTGACCCTACTAATTTAATACCATTGCCCATTTCTTTACCCGCAATTGCCGCTCCTTCGATGGTTTGGTCGAAGGTTTCCTTTGCTAGTGATTTCGGCTGGTCGGATGATGGTTCACTATGGTGGGGCTTGAGGCCGGACTTTTCTCCGATCCATGTGCCAGCGCCGTAGACTGCTTCCTATTTAATATGCGTGCAATTAATATAACCCAGTGTAATAGAAAATGGGTCGTAGAAGTGGATAACTTACTGAAATAGTCTGTCCGACTGTGGCTGAAGTTTCGGCGACTTTCTCCGTAGCTACTTCAGCAGTATCTACGATTTCTTTCGTGATGTCAGAAAACTCAGACTCCTTGTCTGGAGTTACAGCCTCTTCGTTTCTTTCGTCTGTCTTTCGACTCAGGTAGTTTTTGAGGTTATTGGCCGTTTCAGCGATAGTTTTCGAGAAGCTACGGAAAATGAAGCTCAATTAATCATGCATGTCCGCCTTCTTGCAACCCGGCCTATGGAAGAAAACAGTAGAATTTGGGAACATACTCATCAGCTCCAGCCACAATCCCTGTCTTCAAAAACCCATTATATACCATAACCTTCTCAAATGTCAACGCATCTTCCTCACTAATCAACTCTGGGAATTCAATCTCGATAGCCCCGAGTTCGTCTGTAATCTTGAACCTGAAGGTTTGACAGAGACCTTCTTTACTGCCTAGAAAGAGATCCGGATGAATTGGTAGTGTGAGAGGCGTAGTATCCGCTGACGGATCAGTTGGGGTGATTGTAAGGAATAACTTCGCAGAGGTAGGATTGGAACCAACTAGTGGCTCTGTGAGAGTTAGAGTCCCCGATTTTAAAGGAATCGGCGTAGAGGAGTTCGGAGGAATCTGGGAGGATTTTACGTCCTTGATGGACACCAACGGAGCAGTTGCCATTATTGTGTGATATTGGCTTTCGTGAATGAGGTATGAACAAATAGTAAAAAGTGTCTAATAGATTGATGAGAAGAAGGATAGATCGTGAAGATAAACAGTTAAGGAGAATTTTACTGGTGGTGAATTTAAATTTAGAGTAAAGTTGGAGATAACTTTGAGCGTTGGCGCTGCTTGACGTCACAGGGCCGCCAAAAACAAGGTGCGGCGATGCATCCTTTCCGTTTGCAGACTGCGAGCCGCATCAGCACTAAGCAGGATACAGCCGCCAAGAATGCTGTCAAAAGTTACACATTCTACAGCCATCGATGGCATTTACCGTGATTCGGTTTCCGGGTGAGCTTTTGTCACTACAACTGATACATCACGGTGGTTGGAGATAATAAGGAATGAAGATGTAGTGCCAGTATACCACGTCTATAATTCTCTCGAATCCGCTTCGTTCTAGTCAATTCCCAGAGGAAAAAACCTGCGTCTCCATTTAGCTTGTGGGCAGCCAAAAAAAAGAGGACGTCCATCATGGAAAAAATATATATTCATGAAGAAAGAAAGAAAAAAAGGGGAACATCGATATTACAGGGAACAAGGAAAAAGAATCAGCCCATTGGTACGCCGAATGAAAATGTAAAAATGTGTTAAAAAGGTTGTTGCAGCTTTTTCCCCGTGTGACAAAAATAAGTATAAAGGTCATGTTCATTACGACGTTTCCTGTTTTTTTGGTGCACGAAAGAATAAGATGTGGGAGGTCGGTTTGGGAGTGATTTCAGGTCGACGGGGTGGTTTTTGACGGAGATTGATAGAAAAGTCCATGAAGGTCGGAGTAAATCGAGGATTTGGATTAGGTGGGTATAGACAAGAGGATAAGACTGAACAAAGCAAAAGGTCAAAAAGCAAATTTACTCTTCTTCCTCGGCTTCGATTGTGGTCTGGGCAATACCTGTATCATCAATATCAATTAGCATCTCAAGTCACAATATTCTAATTGCTTTCGTTCCGCCACAATATACGGGGACAACGTACGATCCAAATCTCTTCGGCCGGTCTGGCTGATGCTTCTGCCACCCTTCTCGTTCTGCTCCAAAACACCAATCTTCTCGAGAGACTGGAGGATGTTCCTGTCGACACCTCCAGAGGCATCGACGTGATGGCTGGGACGCGAACCCCTGTTCTTGGTAGCACCGTGAACCTTTCTTAATCGGCCAACACCAACGTGCTTGCGGAGGTAGATGTGACGGGCGACGGCAGCGGCGCGGGTGTAGTACCAGTCGATGGACTGAGGAGGCAATTCCTTCATGTTACCGGTCTTGACGGTATCGACCCAGCCTAGAAATTTCCAGCCATCAGTTCTCCTGTTTCCTAGATCCTCGAAAGATATATTCCTGAAGCTGTCTCATACCGGGAACTGGCAGCTTGCCCTGTCTCTTCAAGAAGGCGGCATAGGCTTCAATGAAATCCTGCGCAGGGACCTATATCCACCACCATAAACCATCAGCATTAAAGTCCACTCCAATATCCAGCAATATTCCCCTCCCAAAAACCACCGATATCCCAGCCCTTTAGAAAGTTGAACTATCGTAATTTTTGAGCCCCCGGAAATGGTTTTTTGTACGTACATCGCGAACGGAAACACCAGGCATGATTGCGGTTGTTGGAAGACTATAATCGATAGCAAGACTTGTATTAGCTCTAAACTGCCTATTGTCGAGGAAATCGAAAACGTCGTCGTCGTAAGACCTAACGCCGGATATTTGCAGCAGGGGGAGCTTTACGTGATGAAGATTCGGAAGTTGTCGGTAGGTATAAGTCGGGAGAGGTATAGATGGGTGTCGTCGTCGATGTTGGTGATAGTTCGTCGAGATTCAAGATTCCAGCAAATTTGCTTGGGTTGGCTGGGTCCTTTGTGTGAGAAGGCGGTCTAACCGGATCGGGGGCGTAGGGTTGGGCCCTCGACGGTCGTGTGGTCCAAATATGGAAAGTTTGGCGGTTCTGTGCAACACGGTTCATAAATACAACATCAACACAGAATTTGACTAAATTCACTTTTGATTCAACTCGAATGCAACATAATAGTCTAAATATACCTAGGTAAATATCAAGTTAAACGGCCATTTTGCTGGCCTCGAGACTAAAAACGGCCATATATTAATGTTAGTCTCAAGGCCAGGTTATTGCGTATAGGTCTTCTTTACGTCCACCACGAATACCTCAGTAATAATTGTCGCCTCTGCTCTATACTCCCTTGCTTCTGCAATTTTTTTGGTCGACATCCCGCTATAGTCAGGTTTCCCCAATGTCATCAACCTCCCAACTAACGGTACCCCCATTTCATTGTAAGCTAAACCCGGTGTCGTAAAATCCGGATCCGGAGTTACCCATAAGACACCCCTGCCTAGAGATACTGAAAGTCGCCCATGGCTCCCAATATGATCTTCAAACTTCGGGTGTATCGGATGTATCCAACTATATTTTTTTTAAAAAAAAGACCATTAAAATTATCATTTGTTATACTTAAATCAATCAACAAGCTTCAACCAGAGAATCATTCGAGATATAGCACAATAACTTACTCTTTTTTCCCACAATCCTTCAAAGCCTCAGCGTAAAGCCCAGAAAGTAGAAATGCGCCTCCCTTATCCTCGCTCCTACATGTATAAATGAATCTTTTTGTGCCCAGTTTGTATATCCGATTCCGCGTAACATTATAGGACCAGACACCAGGCTTAGGAAAACCTTCCAGACTAGCCATAGCAACCTCTGCTCCGTACTTACGTTCTGTTCCAAAAGTATAGCGCTTCGGATCAATCTCCGTTAAGAACCTAAAATGATGCTCTGTGAGATATTTGTACACTTAGTAGGAGACCTAGTCCTATATATTTCTTACCATGACATCGGGTATTTTCTTGGTACGGAGGCTAAGATCGTTAGAGTTCATCTTATATTATAAGTCTCTTAATGCTTATGATAGATCTGGGCTCACCCTGTATCTGGATAGGATCCCCGGCCAAAACTTCTGCGGCCGTCCATCCTTTTGGTACGTCATTCCCCGTGGGAATCACATTGCCCACGTACATCCAAAACCGACGGTCCTCGCTCATCGCGGTCCCGACTACCTGTTTAACCTTTGAACTGGGCAATGTCGTAACCTGTACATATCTTGGTAGCCTAATTCGGCCGTCTTTAGCAGTATCCCATAAATAGTCTTTATCACCCGGAGGGAATCTGATATTGAAGACTCCCTCTTTATTAAGCGACTTTAACTTGGGGTTGTTGAATTGTACTTCAGCCTCAGCAGCCGTTGCAGGAAGCCCGGCTTTTGGCGTCGACGGAACTACTTCCCATCCCATATAATAGAAGTAACCTGTATTCTCGCCAACACAAGTCTTCGAGACTTTGTCAAATTCATTCCAATTCCCTACCAGAAACGGAACCTTTTCACTAGGTCTGTGACATAAATAAACGAAATAAGGAGTACCGGCGAGTCGAAGGACCCCGCCATTCGCTTTGTCTACAATCCATTTGCTGGGATTAGGGTTAACGTCTCGATATTGGGCCACTAGTATCATCTGAGGGTTTCCCAGGTAATCCTTCTTTTCGCTAACGATAGCGTTTATTTTTGTTGCTGCGCTGCTGGCGCCGCCGGGTGTGATCACGAACGCTTTTGGATATAACGGGTCAGTCGTATCCTGTGGGATTGATTGTAGGGATGGAATCCCTGGCTCGGCTGGAATGTCTTTCTCTGTAGTTGCCGCTTTTGTTTCCCATCAATCATATAAAATCAGTATCCGTAACGTAAGTGTAGATATAGCGATATAAAATATAAAACCATGATTTGATAACTCACATATAAAAATAGTCCCCGTATCAACATCGATTGGATTAACTTTCTTCGGCCCCGTAAATTCCAAGCCAGGGTAATCCGTCGCCCTTCCAAACACCGGTACATTCACTGCCAATTCTTCTTCTTCATCATCCTCAACATTCCCTTCATCGTCCCCCATACTAGCTACCGAGATCGGATCCGCTATCGTGAACCTATCTCTCGCAAGTGGACTTCCATATCTCGACGTCCGCCTACTATCGTGACGTGATGTAAAACCCCCGCTCATATCATAACGTGGTGTATTCTGCCCACTAAGATCATACCGCGGTGTAGTCTGTCCGCTTATAAGATCATAACGGGGGGTATTAGCTTCACTAGTTGGCGGTGTTTTCTGTAGATCAATTAAGGGCCAGATATTTTTAATATTCTCTTCGGGTTCTTTGATCCCCAGAGCCTTAATAGCAGTCCCCAAAGTCATCCCTGGAGTCGTCGACCCTCTATCAAACAGACCCTTTTCTAACATTCGACTCGGATTATCTGAGAAAAGCGATGTCCGCTGGCCTATTCTCGGGTATAATAGCTCATCCGGTTCGGTTTCCGGAAGATCTTCATCAGGACTATCGTATCCAGAGTTATCTGGACTATTGCTATTGTTATTGCTGCGATGTATGCTATAACTATTATCATAATTCGGCGGTCGGTAGGACGACGTTAATATTCTCCCAGGCTGGCTGAGTAAAGGATTTGCATTTGGTGGTAGTAGGAAACTATTGCCTCGTCCTGAAGCTAGACTATTTGCCATACCACTATGACTAGTCCTGCTAGTATCAAGAGTATTCTGTATCCCAGTTTGAGGTGTATAAGGCGGACTTGGAAATGTAAACCCTCTACTTGGGCTTTGTCCCCATGTAGGAGTTATCCCGCCACCGTTACCGTTACCGTTACCATTACCACCAGGATTGGCGTTCTCGACGTCGTCACCATTCGCAGACACGTGGTATCCCTTCAAGGTAGCAATAACAGCCAGAAGCTGCTGCCACTTGATATTTCCATCAACCCGCATCTTGACCCTTTTTCGACGTTCAGCGAATTCGAACGAAGAGTGGCATTTTTCGTATAAGTGAATCTAGGCTTTATCCATACATCTAAATAAATTTAAAAAGAACTACCCCAGGTGGTAAACATGCATGCAATCCGGCCATCCGGCGCACATGAAAATGTTTGCTCATTCCCTCTCTCATGGCTTCAGAACCTGAGCACGTTTTCTATCCTTTTCCTATCACTGACTCGAGTACTAGTACTGGTCTCATATTCTGATGTCATCAATTGAAAGGAGCTCATACCGAACATGAGCACATATAAGACCATTCAGTTCGGCACATTCCATAGCCACAATACCCCTAATCTGATATCAAAACCAGAGGACTCTCCTATCTTCGAGCTTAATGCACAGTTGACAGATATGGTTAATATAAACCTCCGGCAAAGTTCCTAGAGTTTTCATAAAAGAAAAGTACATCAGTAAAAAGAAAAGTGAACATAATATGACGAATAAATTGGCTATTCTTACCCGAACTCTCTTTTCCCAATGTCACACACTCCTCCACACTTCCCTCCTCAAACTCTACACAACTAGACAAATTCTCCCTATTATCCGCCAAATACGCCTTCTGTTTCTGTAAAATCTTTTCAGCTTCTGACAACCCAGCCGTACAAAAAACGTCAAAGTTAGCACAATTATCTCTTCAATATAAAATACCAGCAGACAGGAAATAAATAGGTACAAAAGGAAAGAGAGAAAGGAGATACATACCCCCCTCCCACCGTCTCATAGCCAACAAACTTTCAACCTGCGAACTACACCCCCAAATATCTGGCAATCCTCCTCCCTCTTGCTGCTGTTGGTATTCCAACCCTTCCAGATCATTCATAACCGGAAGCCCTAACCCTGGTGTAACAAGCAACGGGGACACCGCAACAACGATAGTAGTAAAAAGCGATGTTTTCATTTTGAATATTGTTGATCAATTCTTTTGTTTCCTTCTTTCAATTGGTATGAAGAGACTCTGTGGGGTGATAGACTCGAGAGGTTGTATCTCAATGAGAAGAAGAAAGAGACTTATGACGATGATGAGGTGACGATAGAGTACTCAGTGATCAGTAACCAGCCACGGACTTGTCAGTGAATATATGGCACAATATATACCTAGTATACAACCCCCATCAGGCTCAGATCATCCGATCTGTATGACGATACATCCTTCTTATCAGACGGGGACTTTACAACCCTAATGACGTCTTGAAACACAAAAATAGGCTTCGAAGCCTAAACCTTTCTTAGCTTTATAGCTTAAATAGTTCAGAGTGTCGAAAAATCCACTTTTAGCCTACCGCTTTCGACAAAACCACGAGCTCAACGCTAATTCGAGGCGGAGGTGAGCGTCCCCGAGACCACAACATCAACTTCTACATGCATAAGTAGTAGTCGTAGGCAGTCTCAAAGTCATAAGTAGATCTAAGTTGGAATCCGAAAGTACCACAACGAAGATTCATGTTACCTCTTTCAAACAAGAGTAAGGAAGACCATGAAATCAAAAACGGCCAGCTCAGCCGATATTATATATTCGATATATATCTAAGTTTAGGTAATTACTCATATTAGTAGCATCGTATACGTATACCACCCATCGAGTCAATCGCCATACAAAAGAGCACAAAAATAAAGGAGCGGTTACACAAAAGCCAACAAATTCAAAAACGCCCGCTAGAACAAGACGGGAGAAGTACTCCAAGCGCAAAACTTGAGGTGGACAGAAGGACAGGATATCAGTATATGAGCATGCAATCTTCCAAACCGCCAGACTTGAGACAAAATGGGATATAATAGGTTGGGGGAAAAAGACATCGACGTTAACACTCATTTTGCGCATATACCTCTTTCAACGAAAAAAAGAAAGGAAATGAAATAAAAAAAAGAGAGAGAAAACGGCCGTCACAGCGTGCCTCATTCTATCTAACCCCTGATCATCGAATAACGCGCCACCCATGATGAAGAACTAGGAAGTAAAAAGAAGTAACTATGCTGTAAAAAATACGCTACTCGTAAGGGCCGAGCCAAGAATATAGTCAACAAAAGAGCCAATCCAGCAGGCCCAAAGGAAACTCAGAGAATTAAAGGAGAGCGTTAGAGTAGAAACCAATTCAACTCATTCAGCCATCCTTATAGAACTTCTTGAACAGAAGATGCAAGAACAGATTCACATTCAACTTACACATGCCCTCAAACAAGGTCATGAATTGATGATTGTTATATTGTGCCTACGGTCAATTAGCTTCAGCCCTAGAGATTTTGCTATAAACTTGGAATCAAACCTACCTGCAACAAATCATCCAATGGGATTTTTGCGCTGCCGCCGGGAAGCATCATAGCACCCTGGCTAACTTCGATAAGGAAAACCCCGACTTCGTCAGAGCTGAGGGTGAAGTTAATCTTATCGTAATGATGATAACCCTCCATCGAGACTAGGACACCTTTCTCGACTAGGTTATGTGCGCTGTACTTGTAGCTGCCGAACTTCGGCACCCGGCCGGAGCGTTGGAGTTCTTTGAGATGGAAGTACTGCTTCGTGAAAGGCAATATAGTCTTCTTCTTCCTATATCCAGAGAAATATATGTTAGCAACCCTTCCGGTTCTGCTATACTCATGATAGAGACATACCCCTTCTTTGTTTGCAATGTCAACATAGCTTGCTCAATATAGTCGTTGTAACTCTGCAACTTGTCGTCTAAGAACCTCGCCTTCTCGCCTAAGTGGCTCAAAGTTTGCTTGACACCATCTAACTCTCGCTGGCGCTGCACCCTTCTCCTATGTTTTGTCCGGATATCAATCGCAATAGCATTTAGAAGGTCCTGGAATTGGTTCTTCCTTGTGATCTTGCCGGTCTTCTCCAGCTTCAACACATTCTCCAATGCCGTTTTCTTCAATTCGCTATAAGTCATTAGACTGATATCGCTCAATGTGTGGTGGGTTGGCATATGGTCAGAGTAGGCGGCGCGCTTTCGAGTGTCGGCGGCATCTTCAGCGATGACTTGTTGCCACTTATATTCATCTTCATCTGTAACTGGCTTGACGAGGATGTCCATGAGGTCCGTGCCTGTTTGAACCCTTATGATGTACAGAACACATCTCTTGGTCTCGGTGAACAGGGCCTTGATGTTGCTCTCGGGGTCTACGCGAAAAAAAAAAAAAAAAAAAAATCTTAGTATGGCGCTTTAGCTTGTTAATATATCTGATTGGCCTACCTTCGACTTTGCTGAGCCTTGGATCTAGAGTAAGGCAGATTTCGCTGCTAGAAACACTCGCCAACTCCATTTCCGTATTCTTAACATTACCGAGCTCCCTGACAAGGTCCCTGAGAGGATCCTCTCGCTCAGGCGCCATGAAATCCATCTCCCGGGATACCATTGCGTGAAGAGCAAAGATATCGACCATCTTGATGAATAATGTCGGCTTCTGTCGGGAAGTTAGGTCATCAAACTCGTCCATGTCGAATTGCTTCTCTGCGTTGGGCACTTGGATAACTATTCGGATCTTAGTGATGACATCTACCTACGGGATCAGTGGAAATTTTGTAACTTACTGTTTCTGAAGATAGACAAGAGCCGCCCGATAGCTTCATTCATATAGTTGTTCATGGGTTGCAAATAAACATCTTCACCATGCGAGAACAGCTTTCCAGCACTAATGTTGCTGAGCACTTTGCTCAGAATTGTTAGGTTCTTTTTCTGCGCGGGGGCAAGGCTCCTATCAATGATTCCAAAAGTTTCCGGGCTCAAAATAACTGGGTTGAAGTATTTGAGGAAGAAGAAGTGAACAACGACCTGCATAATGCCATCTGGGTGCTCTTGTGGGAACTTCAAGAGAAGAGCATCATGTGAAACTTGTGCAAGATGTCGCACACCATAGGGCAACCTGGCAGCATTTTCCTCAATCGCATCAAGGATGCTATCGCAGAGGTCGCGTAATTCCTCGAGATGCTGCACAAACTCCTTCCTTGTATCAGGATCTCGAATTGCTTCCTCTGGAGTAATATCCCTGCGTCTTTGACTCTTCCTTCCCGTGCTCAGCTCTTCGTTGTTGATGGAACTCATGTATATTTGAAGTGGGTTACTTTCGAGGTCAAGCGCGTCGTTATCAACAACCCGTCCCTTAAGGATAGGTCCTAAAAAGTCACGCATGTATTTTCGGTCCCGTGGTGAGCGGATGTAGTTAACAACTAGTCTACTCCAGAAGAAGTTTCCACGGAGATAGTCTTGTGGTTCTTGTGATGCATCCAATTCATCCCGTATGCTCTTAGCGATGAGCTTGAGCAGGTAGTACTCTTCTCGCCTCTTCTGAGCATAACCAAATAAGCCTATTATCAAGTTTTCAAGTCTCTTCAAATCCTTTTCAGCGGTCCCAACTTGGCGCACACGTTGGAACATGCGAGACAAATAGACGGGCTGGGTCTGAAGTGCAAAGAAGAGGATTTGGTAGAGCTCGAGCTTCCTTCGTGAGTTCTTGTTGAGGGCCTTGAGGTCGAACGGGTCGGAGGATCCCAGTTCAGTGTTTCCGAGCAGAATACCATGATTCCCTCCGAGTTTTTGATACTTGATGACTTCGTCCAATGTGATCTTGTTGCGGATCAAGAGACCAATCTTGACGTCGAGTTGCTCAATGTATTGTTCTTGTAGTTCGTTCTGTCGAATGTGCTGAACAACGGTCTTGCGTTTTGATTCGAACTCCATCTCCTCGTCGAAGTCAAAGTCACTGTCGTTGAGAAGATGAACGAAGTTTTTGACGGTTCCGACGGGCGGGTTCTTGCCGGACATCAAACTTCGGTAAGCTTCACCCTGCTGTTTGGCCCTGACAAAGCTCTGGAGCTTGATAACTTTGTCCATATTTTGCCTATAATGCTGGAGCTTTCCGTGGAAGACCTTACGCTGGAGCGCTCCTCGGATGAGGGATTGGACATCGACGATTTCAGGCTCTTCATCAATGACAGCCTCGACAGTATGACGAACAGCCTTTCGTGCCAGAGCTGCTCGAATGCAAGCTTGGAGCCCGGTAACTTCTTCCTCGTGGTGAGTGATCATCTCGGCAACAAAGACATTCTTGGTTCCTCTCATAAGTGCACCTCTGCCACGAGCCTGAAGCTCGGTGATCTTGCTGACTTGGGCATTGAGAGCGGTAAGTTTGGCCTGATGTGCCTTACGGGTGAGCATACCCCTGATGCTACTCTGCAAATCCACCACAGGTTCTTCTTCGTCGTAAAGCTCGTCTTGGTGGCCCATGATTTCGTGTCGAACCGATGCACCACGGATGGCTGCCTGAAACTTGATGATACTCGGTAAGGCGGTTTGTAGTCGTCTCTTGAGCTCGGCATGCTTTCGGCGGTACAGTATACCCCGGGCACGAGCTTGAATCGCTTCCCAAGACCCAGGTTTTGCTTGCAGCTTGTTCATAACGCTAGCTTTTCGGCTCCTGTACATCACTCCTCGAGCAATAGCTTGGAGTTTAGCGATTTGCTTATTGGCTTGTTGTAATTCGGCTTCTTGGTCGGCGAGCACCTTGCGAGTAAGCATGCCTCGGATCTGGGCTTGCAATCCGGAAACATCGGCTTCGCCTTCGTAGATATCGTCCATGTGTGCACCGAGGTCATTTCTAAACAAAGCGCCGCGGATCGCTGATTGTAATTTGGTAACGGCTGGAGCCGCTTGCTCCAACTTTTTCCTCTGCTGTGCGAGACCTTCACGAACTTGCTGACCACGCTGTATAGCCTGCAACTTTGCAAACAATTTGGAATTCCTCTTGAGCGATCGCTTCTTATCTTCCATAGCTTTTCTGATCAAAAGACCCCGGACAAGAGCCTGCATATCAGAAGCCCAGCCGCTCATCTCAAAAGTATAAGCAAAGCTCTCTCTAGCGAACATTCCACGGATTCGGGACTGGAGATCCAAAACTTCGGGTTCACAAGACCACAAGTCGTCCATCATCCACCCTAGGGCAACTCTGATCAGTGCCCCACGGACGGCCGATTGGAGTTGTATCACTTCACTCTCTACCTCTTCGAGTTCTCGCTGAATTCGTTCTTCTTCGGTTTCCTGAGGTTCTTCGTCGAAATGCTTCCCGACACCCCTGAAACTTGGCAAGGATACTCCAGCCTGGTCCAGTCCCCGTTGAGTGCTATGTAGTTCTTCTTCTGTAAACTCGAGTTGGCCAACAAGATTCCCAATCGAAAAGTCCGTAAAGCCCAGTCTCAACAGCAAGTAACTTAGGGCGTGGATACAATAGATGACCTTTGGGATATTCTTCTTGTCGTAAAGATCGGTAAGTTCAAAGTAAAAGACCTCGGGTAATTCGACGCGTCTGATAAACTTGAAGAACCGAACAATATTGTCTGTATGGCGGTATTGAAGTTTGGGGTCAGTAAATATACGTGGAACCAATTCCGGCGCGAAGACTTGAGTGACTCGGGCGAGAGTTATTCCATTTCGAAGATAATTTTCCAGTTCGATAATTGGAGGGATCTCCTCGTCGATACAACGCTCGATCCATCTACCACAGGCATTATAGTCAGTTACCAGGTCAATGTTTCACATCCCACAAACTCATATGACGTATGACATACTCTTTTGCTTCACCGATATGACAGAGGTATTCGTAAGCTTTCAAGTACTTTCTCTGAGCATCCATCCAAGTGACAGAGGACCAGTTATTTCTACCATCATTAATGTTCATTTTCTTGAAAGCCTTTCTACCATGAAGTCCGACGACATCGTGAGCCTTAGTTGCAGCAACGATTTGTTCACCAGTCTCGGAAAGGGTCCGAAGATGGCTAACAGATGAATTTTTCAAAGCCTTCAAGTCGGCAGAAGTCGCAACGCCAGATGCGCCAGTAAGAATCATGCTAGTCGGCCGCTGAGACATTCTTCGAGTTGAAGGATCTCTCTCCGACAAAGTAATCTCTGAAATGGCATTCGACAAAGCTTGATCGGTAGTTGGGGTCGCCGATGGCGTGTAATAACCTTGGATATCACTTCCGCGAGGTGTAGTATTATTTGATGAAAAATCCAGCCTCCGAGCAGCAGATTCTGGTGTTTGTGACACACCAAGATTCCTTGTGTAGTGCCCCCCTTTTGTTGGCGTTCCGGTGGGACTAGCAACCGGACTTTCGAGAGGAGAATACGGATCCGGGTGGTGACGGCTGGTATAATGAGACCCAGACCCCGGCGAAGATGGTATGTTCAGATTGTACTTGTTGAGATATGATGATGTTGATGAAGAAACAACGCCATCTGTATTATATCGGGAGACGGAGGGCACCGACGAGTTTGTCGATGCTTGAGAAGGCATGGAACCAATCGACTGAGTCGAGTAGTTGGAGCCGTAAGCAGACGATACACCTGATGCGACAGACGACGTTGAAAGCTGGCGAGTGTGGTGGGAGGTTTGGTTGAGATAACTATTGCGGCGGTTCCCCGGGGAGGAGGGGTACATGTTATACGATGACATCGAGGATGATGCCTCAGTAGTTAGAGAGCAGAAAGCGCTTTATTATTATTGTGGAATTGTTTGATTCATCGATGCTGATCGATGCCCTGATGATGATTATGATGATTATGACGATCGTGAAAGTACGATGGAGGTGGAGTACACCAGTCGGTCGGGTGGAGAACTCAGTCGAAGCTCAATCTGCGAATGCGATCAGGCTTCTTTCTGTTGACAACAAAAAGCGCTGGCCCGCCAAGTGATACTAGTACGGTCTACTACTCCTCAGGTAAAAGAATAAGAAGCGCTGGTACTCGCGAGGTGAAGCCGTCGACGGTTAAATTCCGGGCCGACTCGTTAACAGCCCTGGAGGGTCCTCAGGATCGTGGGAGGGGGGTATATCAGAGATGCTAGATGGAATTGTGATGCATCTTCGATTGGGTGCGCCATTCCAGTTATTACTTTTTAACTTAGCGGACATATTATTCTCTGCATGTGCTCCGCTTTGCCTTACTTTGCTTTGCTTTGCTTTGCTTCGCTCTACTGAGCCTAACGGAAACAGACAGGACTAAGCCACTTTTGTTGTCTGTTTACGTTCCAGCACCTGGTCCAATCAAAGCCCCGCGTTGCCACGGTGACTATGGTCAATCGTCTCAACACAGTCTCAGGTCAAACTACATATTCAACACGTGACTTTACAAATGTACTTTGTAGCACTCGAGGACCCCACTCGCTCACTAACCTGGATATGGATGAACAACAACATGCAACAAAAACGTTAAGTGAACACCTCATTTAGTTACAGAGTACATCTTCTCAAGGCCCTACACTGTTTCTTGAACCCCTAGCTTGTCCAACGCGGCTGTCAACATCTCACGCCGGGTGTCCACTCCCTTTCTTAACTCGCGATCAAAAGCCAACAGTCCCCAAGCCGAGGTCAAGTCTCGAATATCAGCCCTCACACTGCTAGCAATGTAATATACCATACCACAAACACCCAACCCTACAACATAAACGATAAAAACATTGCGATCATCATCGAAAGCAGAACCTAAACCCAGCTGCCTTGTGTAAAGGAATCCAAGGTATATCCCTATACCAGTCAAGAACGTGAAGACCGAATTGGAGAGTAGCATCGATGGGGCCGATAGCGATAGTAGTGAAGTAAGAGCCGGTGTGATGTTGACAGAAATTAAGTGGTCTATTTCATCCCACCCAAACCCTTTTTGCGCTCGAAGACCTTTCCGCGCGGCTCTCCTATCTTTAAATCGCTTGTATTCTCCCCTCCGGATATTTTCGTGGTCCTCAAGACTTTCAGCCGATCTTATTGCCAAAATAAGTTCTTCTGTATAGTCCGGTCGTCCTTTTCTCATCCAAGACCTGATGTCCTTGCCCTTAAACAGGATACCAACTTTCCGTGACTGCGTCGCTGCAAAGTATACCGCCATAAGGGATGCCACAAGGCTGTACATAAAGCAGGCACGGGCTGACCAATGAGTTTCGTTGAGGAGGTCCAGCGAGAGGGAAGATATAACAAGTTGCGCAATGATTGCTCCCTATTAAGACTACTTAGTATAATATATATCGCCATGTAGTCTAATAATCGATATGTTGCACCGATAGCCATCCGTCGTAATCATGTGGGGGGGGGGGGTTTCTTACCGTGATAGCAGTCATGTTGCATTCATCGATTATCCATTTTTTGAATGCTAACGCGTCTTCATCCCGCATACCTGATAAAACTTCAAGCTGCGTCCTCCAAGTCGTTATGCTTCCAAAGAAGAAAACAAATATCCCCGCGACTCCGTAGAGGCGTACAAATAATGTAAAATACGAGAAGGGGGACGTCAAAATGGGAGCGAGAGCGATTATAAATCCCGCCACTTCTAACGATATCATTGCGGCACTCATAGCACATATATATCGTTTGCGATGGTTTTAAATTTTGTAGACAACGTAAGTCCATACAGGGCCAGGGGAGTAATTGGCGTTGTAAAGACGGACTAGTAAAGCTTGGTTACGTGGTGGCGTAGCTGCTCAGGTCCTTCCTATACAATTGTGGATTTAAGTGCTTAAGTTGTGGTGTGGGTGATATCGATGGTGATGATGTTGATTCTAGTCTCGAGGCTAGATGTTGATGTGAAAGAGTATAACTGTAATGCATGCATTTGAGCGGAGTATAGCCGTAGTTTTCAGGCCTAAGAACCGAATCCGTCCAGCCTTGTGTAACTACCGAATCTAATCACAATCTAGGATCTCGACAAGATCGATATCGACACTGCACTCGTGTACCACAAGATATGCAAAGATAGTCAACAGAGCGCTGCCCAAGTTACTCTCGTAACCGCGGTACTGGAGTCCTTGTTCATGTTGTATGGACATGTTTCAAGCTCGTCGATATTCCTTATACGCCAGGATGTCCAGGCCAGACACCCCTAAATATGCGTATGAAACTAACAAGAACTTCAATATTATTGCTGGGTCTTTGTTGTACAAGCAGCTTGCGCAATTACCAACATGGCACGCCGGCATATTGCCCAGAGCTCGAGCTGTCCCAGCGTGGCCACGATACAGTACATGTCCACTCAACACCTTCGGTTAGTTAGAGAAATTAACATTCATGAATATAATTTTCTCGAAAAGAATACTATAGCTAGCTATATCCCTCGTAAGTGGGGTACAAATTTTTGTGCTTATGTCAGTACTGTAGAGTTTGTCTCGTCGCCAGACTCCTCAACTATGTTGAGGATGTAGAGTGTTATATCGTTATCCCCACGCCGGACGAGCTTTCGGTTTACTGGCAAACGAAGAACATGTACATATGTCGCCATTAATTTGTCGTCTAAGGGTTTCGCCGTATTCTTCATCGCCACTGTTTCCCCCCGTATTCGGCTCTGGGTACAACCATGGATTGTTCAAACAGCATAGTTTATCTGATGAGCATACTTGCTGTATACCGGGGTTCAGATACTTCGTTGGTATGATAAGCTGCTCGAGGTCGAGATCGGGGTTTAAAAGGAAATCTCGTTGACGATTGGATTCGACTAAAACTGGTCCCAATTGCAAAGATGCATAGATCTTTGCGTACCGATCCCTTTGTGCTGCTTGTACCGGGAAATCTGGCTGTTGGACTGGATTTACATATTCAACGACATGAAGATATTGATTACGTATAATTTCGCCAGAACACCTGTTTTTTTTAATATATATACAGCCATATTAGCGTGAATTCTCTTAAGTTCCTAATTTTAAATCCTTACTTTGACAGACTATGCTGAAACCCCTTTTGAGGTAGTAGCGACGGATCCATGACCGGGACAGCTATAGTGTTTGGTATTCCAGCAGTTGCAGGTGGTTGGTCAAGTCGAATATTGTATTTACTACCAGGCTTCGCATCCGCTGGCCTTCCATAATATAAACCTCAAAACCAAAGGAATATATTAATATGCATGTAACCCAACCTAATAAACATCCATATCGGAAGTCCTAAGGATGAAAGGAACCTGCCGAATATCACATCCCACCATGCATGCTTTGATGCATCATCAGCCAGTCAAAGTCCATCCCAACCGCACCCGACTTGATGTTGCAACTTCGCCAAGGCCCGGCTGAAATGTCGTAGCCTCGCTCAATTGATCAAGTTTGCATCCACACCCCTCGCTCGCTGGGGCTTAGGATGATATAGTGTCGATTTGTAGTAAGTTGGTCTGCCGAGCTAGATATGTGACCCAGCAGCTTTTAGCCAAAGCTTGAATAGCCAAGAAATGCGGTCAAGGAAGCTTCGTTTGAGCCAGTTACTAGTGTGCTGTATTTCTATCGATACCTATGATACCGAATTCTAGAGCCCAGTCCCGTTTCCATTATGTAAGAGCTCTAGAGCACCTGATAATAGCGGAGCATTTCATCTCCCAAGATTATTCTATGGAAATTAAGGACTTCGTCTGCACAATTCCGGAGCGATTTTGCGAATTCGGGATGTGGATTTATCATCTTCAGCATTCAAACTATTTTGCTTTACGAATACCGTCGGGTTATCCTGTCTATAAGTATTGTCGTATTACATATTATAGGAATCATATAAAACATGTCCCAATTACTTCAGGAGAATAGGCGATAAATTGAAAAGAAATCTTTACTTTTTCATAATTTGACAACATATGTACATAAACAATTGATAATTGTTGAATACAACCATAGCCATGGCGTCATATATATGGCCATACAGTCAACACCCAAATTTAAGAGATTGTCCACCTACTATCATATATTATCTACTACTCGGTAACTGCTAGACCTAGAACATAACATAGGAGTTCCATCCGGCATCCTTAAGGTTCCTAATTCATTAAAATCTTCATCAGTGATCTTGATAAGTGCCTTTGCGTCCACCCCACCTCCCTCTCTAGCTCTAGACAGCGAAGGCTCTACCAGACCAATGTATGCTCAGGTTGCTGCCCCCTAGACTAGCGTGGTGTAACAACCAAACTGCAACATGGATCGACGCAAACCGTGTTGGGCAGGGGTTAAAAGAGGCTGAACTCCATGTACCTCCAAGGCGGAGGTGAGCGACCCTAGGCTAATAAAGCTGCCAGGCCTCTCATGTAGGCCTAAGCTAAGGTGTGCCTATTCTCAAATTGAAATGGTTGTGCCTTCTTAAGCTTTCCAGCAATAGCTACTGAGTGAATCAGTAATATTCTCTTAGTAACTAGACTGATTATATATTACTTGTAAGGTCTATTATTGTTACACCTCGGTCCCTTCGATTTGATTCAAATCTCGTGAGTAATCCGCCTCCTCAACAGGGACGCCGTCAATTATTCCAACCTCTAAATCTCGTTCCACCCGACTGTCAGAACGCCCTTGGTTATATTGAACTCTTGAACGCAGCCGCCACCACCTCGCAAGTAAAATCGCTAGGAACCCCGCAAATGCCAATTTCAAAACCCTCCACCGGAAAACTTTACGAATTAGATTTTCTTTCTCATAGTCCAGTACACCCAGAGTAGCCTTTATGGCAAATTTCTGACAGTTTTCCTTCATCCAGTGGTACGAATTGAGGTTAATATATTCATCTCGAAGTTTTATCAATTGTTTTATAGTCGGACCATCCTTTACTGGTCTTCCCTTACTAATCGTGCCCCATTTGACGCCGTCGATGGTTGCCCCCGATCCGGAGATACTAACGACAACCAAAGTTGAACCTAGGTTAAGGAGACAACCGAACGTCAGCAGAATTCACAACACTACATCAATTATGTAGCATATTTTTTACCTTCTATGCATTCCTTTCCTCGCTCAATGATATGAAACGCCCCGTTTTTCAAGCGGACTAATACTGCGTGATGGGACACTTTTGGGACACCACCACCGAACCATCGGATGGTCTTATAGATGGATCCTAATGGGTCGAACTGGAGAGGTCGGCTCAACTCCCATATTTCTTCGATTTGTTCAGCATTCCAATAATCCTTAATGCACTGGAAAGAGATAGGCTATAGACGGATTAGTAAATACGACTGATAACGTTCAATGATCAAGGGTGTGTATACTAGTCCAGTCGGAATAGCGTATTCCATGGAGGCTAGCTCGTGGCTTAGCTTCGTTTATAATATATAGAGGTATACCGGTAGCTTAAAGGAAAGAGTAGAGCTCTGGAGGAGCTTTCAATTGAAAACTTAGTAAATGGAAACCTCGAACATCGCCGCGAATAAAGAATCCTAGTCTCGTTATCTAATTATCCTTTTACAGATTTTACCCCACAGGATTCCTCGACGACCGTAAGGCTATTACAATTGAGATTAACAGGAATTCCTTTAAAAGTATCGATCTTGTAACCCGCCCTTATTTTTGTATGTAGTTTATACAATAGATACCACCCTCTACTTGTGAAAAAGCTAAAGATGCCTGAAGTTAAGTGACACTGCATGACAAACTCTGCATACACTAAAACAAAGCTCAGTGTTGACCAGCAGGAGCATTGCATTGGGTGATGGTGATTCCCCACCACTAGCCACACCTCGGGCTTGACCCAAAATTAATTCTACCAAGCCGGATTACTAGCCAGCTCCTCTTATTGCATATCTTCAAGGGGTATACTGTAACTACCAAGCTAAATTCATTAGCCCCTGAACACCCAAACACAGCCAATTCAATGTTGGCTGCGTTTGCAACACAAAACCACTAGTAATACTATTGTAGGAGGTTAGGAATGAACAAACAATCCAACGGTTGTTATCTAACGGAAAGGGCCCTTACTTCACAAATCCCCTAGATATCTATGCTCATAATTAAATTATCAGAAACATCTTCGCTGTGAGGACATCGTAAAGTGTGTTGCAGTGTTGGACTTTTTGGGTTCGCCAAGACTGTCTCAACCTTCACTTCAGGGTCAGTCATAAACCCTATTTTCTATTTTCTACATATATAAGCGACGCCACATCACCTATTTTTGTCCAGGGAAGGGTATAAAGGAAACCACCAAACCGTTCTTTAAATCAATCATCAATCAACCATCATCACCAACCAACCAACCAACTGTCACTTTCAGATTCACACATCGAAATAAAATCAATCCGACAATCATCACAATGAAAGCTCCACTAGCTATCCTCGGCGTCTCCATCGCCTCCTTCTACTCTCACAAGATGTACAAAAACCAACAAGGTCAACGTTCTAAAACATCGCTCTCTGAGAAACAGCTTCACGAGCCACAAGTTCCTCAAAAATCAAATAAATCGGAGCATCCATGGTGGAATCCTCCTGTTCGCCATGAAGCCAAATACGCCGAGTTGATTCACGTTCCCTGGATTCGCTGAGAATCCCTCTCTTCAAAAGCGCCGAAAGGGGCAGGCGTTCAATCAATCGCTTTCATGTCTCGGATAACGACACGTCTTTTTTCATCGACTCCTCTTTTTCATGCCTCTTTGTTCTTTCATCATTCGCAAATATACAGAACGGACACAATCTCTTTCTTCAGCGACCTCGCATCTTTCATCACGGAGTTTTCGTTCTTCAGGCGTTCCTCTCCTTTTCCTCCGGCCCTTTTTATTACAATTTTACCATCGAGCGATTGAAATGAAACCTCACTCCTAATAACAACACTTTACACGTCTCCACACCTCTTCTTCCAGGCGTTCCAAATGGGCTATCTTTTCTTTTTCTTCTTTTTGTTTCAAGGCGTTGTTTTCATACGAAATGGGAGGGAAACCTAAAGATCACAAATTGCACATTCATCATTACTTTCTTTCTTTCTTTCTTTCTTTCTTTCTTTCTTTCTTTCTATCAGTATACGGTTATGGGCTGGCTATACACAAAACGGGAGGAATTCTAATCCAAATTGCAAGGGGGGGTTGTGTGTGTATACGGGTGCAGGATAAGAAAATATGGGACCACGGCATTTTGCATAATTTTTATTTTCACAGTTAAATTGTATTTTAATCCAAGAAGAAAACCCCGCCTGGCACGGAGATTTCTACCGAATACGAGCTGAAGACAGCTTTTCTCTTTTTCCATTCTTCTCCTTCAAAATAATTAGTTGAATCTTGAACACTATGAAGATATTCTTCGTTTTATTTTTGCGACCAATGATATCGTGCATAACAGTGACGTGCCCCTCTCAAGCGAGCTCTTCGGCCTGACCCCGCCCCTCATGACCTTTCCCTTCATGGGACCAACCCGCGACCCGAGATATCGAACGGATCGATAGCGCGATAGCTGAAAGAGCCTCCTCAGCTGCCTTTCTCATCCTTCGCTCTCGCAGCTGGCGTGCTGGTAACATGGTTTAACATCCAATCATTTCCATCCACGCAAAAATAATAAAAAAATACAACAAAACATACGTTGCTTTTGCATGAAATAAAACTTTTGAGATATCCACTTTTTTGACTTCGTTGGCCTATAACACCGATGGATTAATTTACTAAAAAACATAATTAGCATAACCCGTATATTCCTGGTAAAATCCTTTTCTTTCTCTCTCTTTTCAAAAAAATTACTATTTCATTACCAATGATACTAATAGAATTATCTCGTGAATATCTCGTGATACTCTTAAAAGCCCCCTCACAAAAAACTCTTCAAAAGAGCGCCGCCTCAACACAAAATTCTGTGTTGTGTGTGTGCGTAAAACGGCCTAAAAGGGCATACCACTGCACCGATGCCCTTTTTAGACAGCAGGGATCACAGCAACGGAAACGGGAAACGGAGCACGGAGTAGATCGGATCGGAATAAAAGTCTTTGGTAGGTTCCGAAATGCATGATCGGTTAACGAGAAATATATTTTTTTTGTTTTTTTACGTAAGGCTGCGACTGACTGCTCGGACTACAGGAATGTATCGATTGAGCTAAGGGAAGAGTTTTCAATGTCTGTTTCGAATTCGAAGTGATATTCATGACGGTTGCCTGATAATTATACTGAATTAGTACTAGGTTGACGAAGGCAAATATCAAATTCTTGAATTCAAAGTCGACGCCGATGCGGTGTAATATGGTATAGAGTGTTCAAGAGTACAATTACTTTAGGATGTATTAATACGTATTTAAATTTTGAGGGTTGGATCGATGCCTCGATGAGAGAATCCAGAGTCGGCTCGGTATTCCGTATTTGAGTGTAGTGGAACATATGGCCCTTGAAATGATTTTAACTTAAATACCTGCTATATCAACAATGCTACAGCTACATATTAGGTACTCAGGTATTTCGGTATGTAGATAGCTAGACGAACACTTGAAAAATTCTAGGAACGATATATATTAATAAATCATGAGAGTATAATAAGATAATAACATTATCAATATCATTCAGAATGACCACCATAACGATGATCTAAACGCTTTTATCTAAGCTATGCCATCTCTTCAATATCTTACCTCTCTTTTCTCCAACCTTTCCGATGTAGTTATTTCACATGTATGTAAGTATTTATATGTGTACCCAAAGGGGGAGAAAAATGAAAAGAAAAACGAGAAAAACCCATCAAAGCATTACACATTAACCAAGGAAAAAAATGAAAAGAAAACGCTATGAAAAGAAAAATACGGGTAAGGATCGTACACGGTCCTTCATGATAATAAAAGAAATAAAAGAGAAAAAAATAAAAAATTGGAGGGTGATATCCAGGGTATTGCAACATAAGCACATTATCCCTTTAAAAAAACTAGGGTGCCAAATATGCCTTTCTCCCCATCATAAAACCTCCTAGGTATCGAGATAGAAGTGGTTATTTTCTTAAACCTTTCCGGTTCCAGAGAATCTGGTATCAGTCGACAAGAATCGATCAAGTTGGTTGCTCTTATACATCCCCCTGTCGGCCTCGAACCAATGCATCTTTCTCTTGATAAACTTCCAGGCCTCAACACCAAAGATGAAGATAACAACGCTAACAATAGGCAACGACCATTCCCATGTAATTCCCTTATGCTTGAAGAAGTTTGTAGTAAGCTTGGGAATGTACAAGACTGGGAAAACAGAGACAAAGCCGATAGCGACAGCCCAGAACAAGAATTTGTTCCTGTAGATATCCTTGAAGATAGGGAAGGGATGCTCATCTTCAGGGTCAAGTCTGAAAAGTGAGCGACGGATAGATTTGAATTCCCAGGCGCTGAGAAGGATGAGCCAAACGGTAGTAACGAAGACTGCACCACGAGCGCGGAAAACCAGGTCGCAAGATGGATTGTAAGAGGTATTGCAGTGTCTACCGAGATCACCGTTTCCGATTCCGTAAACAATAATGGTGAAGGTTCCGATCATGCAGGCGCCCATGATGATACCGTATACCAACATGTCAGTGATGATTTCCCAGGTGAAGACACCCTTCTTGTTGTTGTGTGGTGGACGACGCATGATTTCGGAGTTGGCGGGTTCGAGACCGAGACCGAAGGCAGGGAACGAAGACGTAACTGTAATTAAACCGTTAGTATTTCGGAAATCAGGAGTGTATCATGAGAAGCACTTACGCATGTTAATCCAGATAATCGACAATGGAGCCAATGGGAAGGTAGAGAAGTTATCTTCATCGCGGAAAGCCAAACCGATAATAAGGAGGATAACTTCTGCGATGTTGGAGACAAGCAAGTGAAGAACGAATTTTTGAATGTTATCGAACATCCTTCGTCCTTCTTCGATGGCATTGACAATGGAGGCAAAGTTATCATCAGTCAAAACAATGTCCGAAGCAGATTTTGCAACATCAGAGCCACCAAGACCCATGGCGATACCAACGTCAGCCTGTTTCAAACTTGGAGAATCATTTACACCGTCACCAGTCATGGCGCAGTAAAGACCTCGTCGATGAAGAGCTTGAATCATTCGGACCTTAGTATCAGGAGCACAACGAGCAATGACGACAGGCATGGTGGGAAGAGCATCGATTTCTTCGTCAGTGAGTTTGTCGAATTCGGAGGCAGTCATAACGAGCGAATCAACTTCTTCTTTGGACAAACGGCCAGTGTAACCAGGAATGATACCGACTTCACGAGCGATGGCAGCAGCAGTAAGACGATGGTCACCAGTCAACATGTGTACCTTGATACCAGCTTGCTTGCACAGTCTGATAGCGTCCTTGGATTCCAAACGAGGAGGGTCGTACAATCCGGCCAAACCAATGAACATGAGATCTTGTTCGACATCCTTACGGTCAACATCTTTCCAGTTGTCGCACTTAGAGATAGATCTCTTAGCCAATGCCAAAACACGTAGACCTTGACCGGCGAGTTCTTCAACTTGGGCCATGATAGTCTCCTTGTATTCCTCGGTCATCTTGTGTTCGTCACCGTCAATACCATAGGAAGTGCAGAGATCGATGATACGTTCAACAGCGCCCTTGGTGAATGCATGGAAGGATTCGGTAGCAGGTTCCTGGAAGATGACAGACATACGTTTGATATCGCTATCAAATGGGAATTCAGCCTCTTGGATCCAGCCTCTTGAGAGGAGCTGCTTCTTGCCGGAATCGAATCGGTGGGCGAAAACTTGGAGGGCGATTTCAGTTGGATCCCCAGTAGACTGCCATTGTTTCTTTTCTTCATCATAACGAACAGTGGCAACATTGCAGAGAGCAGAGACACGGGTGAAAATCTCGACAGCCTTCTGCCCAGAGATGAGATCCAAGTTGTATTGCTTGCTGACGGATTCATCGGCCTTCTCACCGAGTCTTGGAGCCTCGCTTTCATGGCGAATGTCACCAGAAGTGGGATCATTGGCCTCGGCAGTATTTTCGACGCTGTAGACACCCAGGCTAGGGATCCAGAATTTACGAGTGATCATCTTGCCTTGGGTAATGGTACCGGTCTTGTCTGAAGAGATATTTGTGACACCTCCCAAGCTTTCGAGGGAGTCAAGCTTTCGGACAATGACCTTACGTTGGACCATACGTCTCATACCAACACTGAAGGTGATGGTAAGAACGGCAAGCAAACTTTCGGGGATGATAGCAATAGCTAGTAGACGTGTGGTTAGCGCCACGCTCCTTCCGCGGTGATGGGGGTCCAAGGCAAAGATAAACGTCAATCAAACTTACCAAGAGAGATAGCGTAAATAACAACCTCGTGTGGGATGTTAAACTTGTTAGCTCCAAACACAATTATGGCCAAGATCACAGCACATCCAAAGAGGAAATACGCCAACTTTGCCAACTTCTTTTGAAGAGGAGTTCCGACAGTCAGACCGAGAAACTTGCCAATGGCATCCCATGTTCGAAGAATAGCTCCCTTAGCGGGTTGGAGAGGGCCATGCTTCTTGCGACTGAGCGATCGATTGGGCTTTCGTTGCTTCTTGCCTTGAAGGGATAGAGCGATAGCACCAATGGCAGTTTCCATGCCCGTTCCGATAACAATACCACGACCACGGCCCTTTGTAACGGTAGTAGAGGAGAAAGCCAGGTTGATACGGTCTCCGAGACCAATATCGACATCGAGGACGGTCGAAGCGCTTTTAGCAACCTAGTTTTAGGTTAGTATATCTGCAAATCATCCTCAATTAAGTAGAATAGAAACTTACAGGAAGGGATTCACCAGTTAGGAGAGCTTCATCAGCTTCAAAGTTCAAAGTTTCAGGAATCATGCGAATATCGGCAGGTACGACGTCGCCGGTCTTTAGTTCGATAATATCTCCGGGGACGACTTCCATAGAGGGAATGTAGACCAGGTTACCGTCGCGAACAACAGCTGCGATTGGCGAGGAAAGCGATTTCAGGGATTCCATGGTTTTCTCACTATACCCGAAGCATAAGGTTAGTCGAACCTTGACATCACCCAAGAATTGACAAGAAAAAAAAGGAATAGGAAGATACTCACGCGTTGTATTCTTGGTAGAAGCCGACACCGACATTTAGAACGATGACACCTGTGATGACACCACTGTTTCAATTAGTACCGGTTGCAGAAGGTGACTTTTTTTTTTCGAAAAAAAAAAAAAAAAGAGACAGAGAGTACTTACGCTTCAATCCAGTCCTTAGTTGCATACGATAAAACCATGGCGAAGACCAAGACCAAGATCATGGCATTGGTAAGCCTGCCAATTGCGAGAGAGAGAGAGAGAGGGTCAGCATCCAGCGCTTTCGGAAAACCACGTGGGATAAGAGAATCCCAAAGAAAATACTTACTGCTTGAAGAGGACCTTCCAAACATGAACGCCCTCTCCTCCTTCGAGGATATTCTGGCCATATTCATCAAGCCTTTGCTTGGCATCAGCGGCCGCAAGCCCTTTGTCTACATTGGTTTTCAATTCGGCGGCAACATCTTCGAAAGTTTGAGCATGAGGTGGAGTTGAGAATTTAATTTTTGGTTCCGGGTTATTGGAAGACATGATTCAAGGAGAAGACAACCAAGGGATCATTCCTCGATTGACTATGCGAAAGGTAGAAGGGGAAAGATTGATCAATGTAATTGATCCTTCCAGAGGAGAAGATGTCTGCAGTCTTTTTGGTGGCTTCTTCGACTGCTTCTTTAAAAATGTATAGGTGAAAGTGACTGAGGTAATGATGATGATGACGATGATGATGACGATGATAGTAGCGATGGCGGTTTCGTCAAGTTCTCCGGATTCGAGCACAGAGAGCTGATTGTTTGCTACTAAGAATCTAGACTGCTCCAAAACCGGTCGTCGAGCGAGAGGGCAGAAGCATTCCTATTTATAATCCCGAAGCAAGACTTCTAGGAAATCCAGGAAATCCACAAGGTGAAGCCCGACAGCCATCGGCCTAACTTAACTAACATCTTCCAAGACTTTTTTTTCATTTTCCATATTTTATTTTTTTGTCCTTTATCGAGACCCTTGTCGTATGGGGCGGGCTGGTCAACAGATTCAACACCATGACGGCGTTGTAGACGTCCGCCGAGTTATCTCGATGTCTTGGCGCTTGGCGCAGTCGTTAGGACATATAAAAATGGTTAGACGCCGAGCCTCAGACTACCCTCCACCCTTCTTTGCCGCGAACACCAAGGCCTTAGGCCTTCCCTTGGCTATCACGTATTGAGCTCGGAGTCCGGAAAAGTTGGTGCTTCTTGCAAGATTTGTTTGCTTATTTTTGAGGATTGTCCCAGTTGATTACAGCCCGTCTCGGTGCTCGGTTTGCTCACCATTCCTGTTTTTTTTCGCCTTCGCAGGGAATACCCATATCTCATGTTATTTCGATGGTATCTTTTCGCGATCTCACTTTTTTTCTTGGTAGTAGCAGTGTGTATGTGTGTGTACAAAGCTACATGCACATATCTTAGGTATATGCGGGTCCTTTCTTTTGGGTTCGAAGATCGAACAGTATTTGCCCACGTCTACAATTACTAGTCAATGTAGGTCAGTCATGTATTGTTACCCCCAAACCCGTTTCGTCTGCTGTGATATCCCGCGCTCTTAAACATTTCTAATATCTGCAACAAGGCACACTCGATCATGCACATATCTATCACAATACATCCACATGTACGTACATGTAGTATGTGCGTACCATACGTACATACATACATAAATCCACAACCTGCTTTCGCTAATAACCCGACTGTATGGCTTCAGTCTTCCCTCGTGGGAGAGAGTGTGTGAAGAAACAAAAAAAAAAAAGAGTCCACGAGTAGATTGATGTCATAAGTTTCCCCCAATTAACAAGTTAAAGCTCCCACATGTTCGCCAATGCTCCAGCTTACCACCTTCCAAGACTCCGTCTGAAACCCCATCGGCGATAAAATCCCCCATCGATGCAATGCCCATTCCTTTGCCTCCAGGGATCCTTTTCTTGTCTTACCCTTCCTACTCTAAAACTTTCCTCGCTTTTCCCACCTGAAATTTAAAGGATTTAAGGCCTAGGAGACGAGAAAGCGAAAAAACGCAAACACACACACAAGGGAAGAGAAAAAACTAGCTCGTCGACGCTATTTCGAACAAGATAACACCTTGTGGGGAAGAGTTTTCCCAAGAAGGGCGCCTGGGGTTATCAACCAATCAAAACCAATCGAGGTTGACAGTGCCGAGTGCCGAGAAATGCACGCCTGTCTTGGAGATTTATAGAAAATGGGTTCCCAGCTGTAAACGACTGGGGAATGCTTTCGGCATCAGCCGGGTTGGGAAAAGCCCGATGCCAGATGGCTGGTTTAAAAAAAAACCAACTAATTGGAAAAATGGAATGGAAACTTGGAGAAAACCGAACGGGAAAAAAAAGGTTTGCACCGGTTCAAGAAAATTGGCCCAGCCCTTTTGTTCCTTCGCCTCTTCTGCGATTTTGTCATAGACATTAGCGTACTTCGGAACGCCGTAGACTCGGCTTATCGGCTTCATAAGGCCGGGTTTCTTTCGCTCTAAGCCTCCCACCATTGCGTGAGCAATTGGATATCCCGAGACGTTTCCGGAGTTTCCAAGAATCGTCGGCATGCAAATCGGCTTCCGTATATCGTATGTGATAATTATATAGCCCCAAAGCTTAAGACACCAAAAAGTTCCCAGTGGAATGCAACGGGAACTCCGCAAAACGGTTGGCAACGTCGAACACGAGACGTCCACGTGCCTTCATTCCCTTTCCAATTGCCAAAACGCATTGTAATTAAAGAAAAGAAATTTTTTGAACAAGGGGCGAAAAATTCTCTTAAGGTATCAATTAATTGAAAGAGGATCAGATAACATCAAAAAGGAATGGAAACGGTAAATAAAGACTGTCTTTGAATAGTCGATTCCCGCCCCCGCGGGAAGCCATTATGCATATTTTGCGCATGCAAGGTGATAATACCTTTTTTTTTTTTGGTCTTCAATCTTTTCTTAAGATATCCTTTCCAGCAAATGATATCAATATATTCCCCGTGTATACCCCCAAGCCAAGGGCCTCAGATATATCTCGGGATCTCTTGGAACGTAACAAACTCTTCAAACTCATACATATGCCAATAACTAATACTAATCCTCTACATCATTATTCGCTAAAGCAAGCACGAAAACAAAAAAAAAAAACTTACTAAACTCCCGTCGCAATTGGAACTATCTCCACAAGTCGATCTTTCGTATCAACACCCCAAGATATCAAAAAGGAAGCTGATAAGAAGGCTTAGCATAATTAATCAGTTTCAGAGCTCTAGGGGAATCCCCAAAGAGGCCCAGACCTTTCGACTCTCGTTAGTCACACATGTACAGACATGGGGAAGAACAATTTAGCCTCCCACGCTAGACTCACATGATCAAGCATCTAGCTAAGCACACTCCCAAGAGTCCCCAAGAAATACGTGTAGCACATTCCTCCAAGGCTGGATCAGCGCTAAAAAACGTTATATCCCGACAAGCTCCGACAGAACAGTAATAACGGACAGGAAAGCTCTAAGGCCCAAATCGCCAAGATAGTATAAAGACCTTAGACTTTTTAGCCAAGCATCTCGGCCAGTCGGTGCTTAGCCGATGAGCGACGGGATGATTTTCCCCATATCTAGAAATTAAATTGAAATGTTAACGAGTACGAAACGGACCGTTGACGTAGCAAAGTCACACAGCATCGTGCGCTTTCCATTGGTTCGGATCTTTTAAGATCGCAACAAAAACAACGCAGCTACCTAATCACCTAATACTTAATATTACTTACTCAACTTAGTGTACTTCTTAGTTATGCAGTTATTTCACACATGGGGGGGCCACCGGGCGGGAGGGAATGGGGATTTTGTGGGGGAGCCCTGTAACACTGCATGAAGGATTAGGTTACCCCATATCCATGTTATAGAAACCCCGCGCTCCCGACAAAAATTGTACTGAGGCTTAGATGCATCTCATGTACCACAGCTCCCACATTGCAATATATCAGGCCCCCAGCCTGGTATCGCCAAAAACGCCCTGCGTAGGACAGGTCGAAGGAGTCACAATGATCACGAGACCCCCCAACATTGTGCACAATGTTACACACTAAAGAGGAAAAACTTGGCATGACTTCATCTTAGTTTTTTTTTCAGCTTCAAGCTATTATATACACCTCTCCTCCAACTTAAAAATTATAAACAGAAAAAGAAGAAAAAGAAGAAAGGAAGAATAAGATGCTCAAGAATCGCTACAGCCAATTTTTAATGTTAAAAATAAAAACACCAAGTCCGATGCACTTATACACTCCGCCATGTATACTTACTTCTCACATCACAACCCTCATAACAATTGATTTAGGCAGAGACGCACTGAGAATAGTAGTCGTTGAGAACAGAGCACTTAGATCCAGACTATTTCGCACAATTCATTAGTACCAGTGTTTCATAGCTCCATGGATTCAAGATCCCAAGAGAAAACAACAAAAAAGAATAAAAACTTACAGCGCAGCTAGTGCAACCAGTGTATCCAATACCACCACACTGTCCATACAAAGGCGAAGAACATCCAGTATTTCCGGCGGTAGTGGTAGTCCTAGTAGTAGCAGCGGCAGAAGTGGTAGTACGAGCAGTAGTGGTAGTAGTGCGAGCGGTAGTAGTCGAAGTCCTGACGGTACCTGCAGATGTAGTCGAAGTTCTAACAGCGGTGGTAGTGGCAGCAGTAGTTGGGTTAGTGCCGCCACCAACAACAGTGGAAGTAGCAACACAGTTTCCGCTGAAAGCAAGGACGTTTGGAGACTTGGTGGCACCGCCTGGGATGACGGTTGGACCTGGGGCGATGTAGGTAGAGAGAGATTGGTAGATGTTGATGAAGATACCTGGGTCGTTAGCGCTGTAGGCACCTGGGAAGTTGACAGTTGGTGGGACGGATCCGGAGCCGCCGGTGATGGTGAGCTGGTCTATAACCCATTGACTTCAGTTAGCTATCCCGATCTCCAAAATCTTTCTTGATCTGATTTGACCAATCATGATCAATATAAGTGATGTACTCACAGCAACTCATATAGAACTGTGCACCGTTAGGTGGTGGCGACTGAGCGGCATGCAATGCCAAAGCCTCAGCACGGAGCAAGTAATCTCCAGAAGGAATGTTTGTAGGGATATTGAAGCTCAATTTTCCGCAGCAGTAGTTCATATCCTTTGTTCCCCACCAATCCGAGGATCCGTCACCAGTTGGGTACTTGGCCCAAGAGTCCTGGTAGATCTTGAACCATCCACCAGAACCATCTGCGGTGGAAGCATCGTCGACTTTGGAAAGGTAAACCATGACTGGACCCCAGTGAGCACCGCCAATACCTTCCATGCTGCAGGATCGGTCACCGATTTGCTATTTTTATATATATATCTATCAGTATTTTGTATATATATACGAGTATAGATTATGTTAACTGGAAGAATCGTTCTTCAAGTCATACCTGATGCATCTCAACAGTAACTTGATCACCGGCCTTGATACCACACTTGCTAGCAATACCGCTTCCACCGCCAACGTTGCATCGAATGTTGGTGCTAGCTGGATCGGTAACTGGGCTGTTTCCTGGTGGCATTCTCACACAGACAGATCCGTAGAGAGACTCGATATGTCAGTATTCTCCGCCATCATTATATTCCCTCAAACAACAGTGGAGAGGAAGGGTTAACATATCTGATCAACGCCATTAATCCACAAATCTTGCCAGATAGCATGGCCAGCAACCTGGCTAGCACCCAAGAGGGCAGAGGCCAAAAGGAACTTCATGGTGAATTTTTTTTTTTTGTCGTTAATTATCACTAGGATTAAGACAGAACTTTGTAAATCGCGTTCGAAGGCTAATCAAAACCTCAATAGAAGGGAATAAAAGTATAACAAAAGGTCGAAGAAGAAAAAAGATGATGATATGAATATATACACAAAAGAACCCGGTCCTGCGTTTGGTATTCTGTATGATCTTATAAAGATCTATATCTTCAAGATTAAGTATTTAAGAGCGGGAAAAAAAAAACTTATAGAAAGGAAATGACGACGGTATATATACTCCAAAGACTGTCCATGAAGCTCATACTATAAACAATTACGTACCTTGACATATGCATCCCATCGAACAAGAAAGAAAGAAAAAAGGTTATCAGATCCCCTCCTAACTATCCATGGGATACCCATGCGCCGCCAGGAGTCAACTAACCCAAGCCTACGATATCCACAATCCATCGTCCCTATCCAATTTAGCCAACCCATATTTCTAGCCTCTCTCGCTCGCTCATTTTCTCGCTCCACCATGTTGCCCCTTCCAAGACGGCTTGACAACGTCCGGACAGGTTTTCTTCGTCTTGGTTAACGAACGGAGGTAACATCCTAACCCAGGGAAACCAAAAAATTCCTGAATACATCACAATTCCGAAATAAACGGACAGAGAGTTCCCATGGTTCATTTCACTGCGTACATGTAACCAGATGTAAGGAAGAGTTACCCGCGCAATATTTTAGCTCCGGCAACAGTTATGCCGGCGTCAACTTGTAACAAGACCAGCAGACCAGTAAGAAAGTAGGAAGCAAGCAAAAAAGTAATTAGCCACGTGCTGCAGTGATCACTATGATCCAGGTGATCTCCATCCAGGGTTCGCATCATCAATGGTTGAGGGAACCAGATTGATATTAAAGGACAAGAAAAATAAATTGTCGAAAACATGGCTCCAAAATCTAAGGAAAGAACAAGAGAGAGAGAGTCTTGAAAATGTGGGTCCGGGGTCGTGTTCCGACAGCCGTTTGGTAAGGTGGGGGGGAACTACAGTTGCAAGATGTTGGAAAATCCGCGTTGGTTACCCCGATTGCATTTCTGCATATAAATCTGCGGCTCACAAGCCTAGTGCCTTGTTTCATCTTGCCCGCCAGTTTCGGGATGTCGGGAAGCAATGTCCTGTCAGACCACCATCTTTTTTCCCATAAGAAACCTTTCAATATAAATTTAAATCCCGGTATATGGGATAACTTACATTTTTTTGTTTTTTGTTTTTTATTTTTCCTGCTCATGCATCTAGTTCGTAAGAGATTGGTGATCTTTTAAGTCTAGCTATGGTTATAGTTGCAAACATTAAGGAAAAGGACCCAGCTACCGAGTTCACATTGTCTTGGCCATATAGAAGGCCGAAGGGGCACTTATTACAAAACACCGGCAGCCACTTTTCCGTATTAATATCTGGGTAGTTAATTAATATAATACTACACAGTATCACACGCGCATATATTGCATACATAACATACGTATACATACACGCCAAACGGTTGAATTGAAAAAAAAGTAGTCAATGACCATACTATATATCGTTCGGCCGGAGGAAAAGCTTGTTTTGTCACGAACCAAGGTCAACGGCTATAGGCTATTTACAAAATTCAGGTTCGTGTCCCTTTTTTTCACCTCTCGCTCTGGCAATATCTGCAAGGTACTTCCTGTCGTTTGTTATCCGATATTGTGGCATTTGCTGGAGCTGGTTAGGCTATTATATCCTGGTTTGCGACGAATGTCGTACTTGATGTATCCCGGGATCCCTTTGGCCGAGATCATCGGAAAGGAATAAGAAAAAAAAATAGAAATAACAAAAAAGAAAGGGTAGAGGAGGTTGATCGAGAGGGAAAACTCTCAGAGATGAGACGAAATCTTGCCGATGTAATGTATCTCTAAAAGGAACGGAGTTTAAAGACGGCACAGTATCCACTACAAACAAGATTATACTATTTCTTTTACTTATAAAAAGCGCAGATGGGGCACATGCACATGTCCACTTAGCGCTCCGTGCACGGAAATTGCAACTAGCTGAAGCGGGGTGGATTGAGAAAATATATATTTATAGCCTCTTGCATACTCAGTTAAGTGCCGTAGCTGAACTAATTAACTGCTTGCCAGAAGTTTCTGTTTCGAAATTTCTTGTTTTTGTTCGGCGTAGTAGGTAGCGACTAGATCACTGCCAACCGGTTGCGCAAGCCGCGATCTAGATCTCCCTCATACATAAAAGTGTACAATCCTGAACTGCCATACATGTCGGGGTCGGCTGAGCATGAGTAAGTACTTACATAATCACGTCTGTCAAGATATGCGTAATACCATGCTAATACCCCTAGCATTGCCGACTGCTCTCTCACACATGCACATGGTTTAGAGGCATACGACTTAGTTGACCTTGCCTCGACTTGATATATCTTATATAATAGAGCTCGAGTCGTGAGATGTATTATAACTACGTATACCCCAGCGTCTATTGATTTTGACAAGCATATACAGTAGTCAGTGCAGTGGGGTCGCTCTCTAGCTCTGTCAAGCTTCAACTATGCAAGAAACTATGTTGCTGGACAGCAGTTTGGTTACACAATCCAGTATATACAGGCTTAGTCCAGAATATTGGAGATGTAGTGCTAAGTGATAGTATTAGACATGACTAAATCCACTAACTATATGCCGTCGCAATCAATTCTCTTATTTAATCTAGTATCCAAGCCACTTGCGGGCTTGATAAGAAACAAAACTCTGAAGCAAAAAAAAACACGAATATCAAGCATCCAAGGATGGAGAATCCAAGTTTGCAAGCTATTTCATACTCTAGACAAGATAGAGGAAGTAAAAAAAAAGGAAAAAGGAAATTAACAAACAAAAAAAAAAAGGCGGAGGCCACACCCCCAAAAGTGGATATCGTCTACGAACGGGTAACACGGGGACAGGATCAGAAATGATCAGCTGCATTCTACAAATATCTAGCAAACTGGAGCATTCTAGATATAAATCTATTCGAGGGGCGGTGCATATGTATGTGTCATGTAATGGGGGAATGCATAATTCAAGGAACCTACTAAGCTGCCTTCGCGTTACCTTTGCCGTGAAAGCACACTTACTTCAATAATCATTCGAGAGACGAGACGAATATGAGTATGAGAAGGTTCTTAGATCCGAATCCTGTTTATCTAACCGTTTGAGCAATCGCAGGACCCACCCATTCGGGGAAACGAAGGAATGTATCTGGGAAACCTCCACAAGCGGTTCTAGGTACTTTTGATCAATAGTCACAGCCGGCCCTTAATCCCAGAGGAAAACCCAACAGTTAGGCAGACCAACTCTGGCAACAAGGGCCGGCTCTGTCGCTGCATATTATGGTTATTCATATTAAACAGACAAGTAAATATGTCACTTACGGTAGTTGCTCAGTCATCGTCTGAGAAAGGGACACCGGCATAATAGAGTAAAGATAAAGGTAAAGAATAATTAGTATTCAAAGGCTTGCGCGAAAAATAGACTGACCTCTCACAGTACCCTCCCATCCACAATCTGCCATCTCTTCGGTGATCGAAAATCTGGGTCTTAAGAGGTTATATAATTCACAAACATACCGAAAAAAGATATAACAGGACTTACTGAGTGACAACGGTGTGTTGGTCTCCGCTCTGCGGCCAAGGGTTTCTTGACGGAAGAAGCATAGGCTAACACCCCGTTCTGAAATCAAACGCTGGAAAAACGGAAATACAAAGGGGGGAAGAAGGAGAGGAGCCAGGGGTCCGAATGATAAATCAAGAAGCAGATTAACAACATACTGAAGTAAAACACCTATTTGCGCCCATCCCAACTTTCTCTCGATCGAATCGACTCGAAAAGAATTGTGTGAACATGCTTTCCCTCACTGTATAAAATCCTAATCCTCTAGCCAAAAACCCTTTCTAAAAAAAATTAGAGTTTTGCCTATCACTAAAATCTGAATTCTGCATTGCTTAGTATTTGAGCGAGAGCTTAGCTGCTTGTCATTTCTGTATCTGTCCCAGACGGTAGGATTCGAACGCCAAATGCAGCGTATTTTCCAAGTGCGGCCCGTTTTTCTTCCTATACGAAGGGAACGTCGTTAGTAAACAAATCACGAAACGTAGGGGTCTTCCAATCATTTAAAAAACTGGCAAAGGACTAGTGACTTACTGGGCTATACTCGTTATCCGAATACACCATCTTAGTATCCTTATCCCTTCTTCTGCCGGTATCTTCGGTGGCTTTTGTGGCCTCTTTTTCATCCTTCTTTTTCTCTTCCTTCAGCTCGGGTACGTTATCTGCCTTAGCCTCACCTTTAGGAACCACAGCTTGGGGAATAGGATTCCCAGTCCAGTCTTTCCCGCCACTAAGAATAACCTGCCCGTCTCCATTGATGATCACTTCACCGTTGCTAACAATGGGCTGTTGTTGGGCTCCCACTGGTGGTGGAATAAACGGCTTTGGTGGAGTAGCTTGGTAGGCACTTGGAATTGGTGGTGGGAAAAATTGAGTCGAAGGTGGCGATGTATTTGTGTTACGATTCTGTGGTTGTGGTGGGCCACCTGGATAAGACGGCTGAGGATTCGGAGGAGGCTGGTGATAAGCACCCCCGGGAGCAGCAGGTGGAGTGGAGAACTTTGGTCTTGGTGGAAGACCGGGAATGTTAGGCCTGGCTGGCAGACCTGGAATGTTCTGTGGTGGAGCAATTGTAGTGGGCTGGGATTGTGGTACAGATGGCAGCGGCTGATGGAAGGGAGGTTGAGTTTGAGGTGCATGATAAGCAGGTTGAGCAGGAGGATATGCTTGAGGGGGCTGTGTTGGCGGATATCCTCCATATGGTGGTTGAGCCTGGGCTGGCGGGGCTTGATATCCACCGTAAGCAGGCTGTGGGGGCTGCTGCTGTGGGGGAAAAGCAGGATATGGTTGAACAGGAGGTGGATTAAAACCCTGTTGTCCTGGAGGGGGATAGAACGGTGGTGGCTGATTCGGCTGTCCAAACGGAGCCTGTCCAGCTGGAAACTGGGGTGCTGGCGGCATTCCATATTGTTGCGGTGGCTGCTGGAATGGTTGAGGGCTAGCAGAAGGTGGCGCAACATATGCATTTGGAGGAAATCCAGGACTCATAACAGATGGAGGTGGAGCCGGACTGGCATTTCCACCGGTATCATGTGTGCTCATGGGGCTCTGGCTACCGGTCGCTTGTGATGCTCCATTTGCCGACCCTGCTTGTGCCGCTTTGTGGGCTGCTAGTCTCTTCATGATCTCTTCCGGATCTACGGAATCGACCTTGATCTTCTTCTTCGCGTTTCCTTCCTGGCCAAGTGGGGGTAAACCCTGAGCAGCACGACGTTCAGTTTCCTTCTGATGTATCTGGGCCAGGACTCGGGTCTGGTGTGTCTGTAAGATATCCTCAGGTATTCCTTCCATACCAAAGATTTCGATATCAGTGGACTCACGTCCTGGAATAGCATTTTTCACTTCTTTGAGTGTCTCCTTGTGAACTTGTGTCATATGCACCGCCAGACCTATTAAATTCAAGCGCTCAATGATTAGTCAACTGTGAAAGTCCGGTTAGGGATAGTTTCAGAACTTACCTCCGGCCGTATTCAAGGGCTTCCTACACCGTTCGCATTTGAAATGCTTAGCTTTCTGATGGGAATGCAATATCTTGACATCGTCGAAGTCTCGTTCGCAATAGTAGCACCATGGACGCGCAAGTTGCTCCTGCGCGTCATCCTTGTGAGATCGCTTCTTTCGGGAGACCATCTTTGAGGGTTGGTATTCGTCGGCTGTTTTATTCGGTTAGTTGTAGGTTTAGTCGTCGATATCGATATCGCTGTCGAAGTTGACGGTACGCCGAGAGAGAGAGAGAGAGAGAGGGCGGTCGGTGATGATGTTGGTGATAAGATCAGGACAAGAGATGGAAGGGGGCAAGTTCAAATCTTAATTCTCGATTTGTGTGGCTGCCACAAACGCAAAACGCAAAAACACAAGCGAGGCTTAGCCTAAAAATTAACCCGCCAAATTTTCTTCCATTCTCAACCTTCTCCTCAACATCATCCACAACATCATGCACCATATCATCATCATCATCAACATACATCCGACGTCGCGACAAGTCAGAATAACTAAACTCAGCGACGTCAACGACATATTTCATATTAATTGAATGTTACGAATATACATATGTACTTATATACAGCAATCAATTCATTCATGCAATCCACCCCGTTCCACAATTCTCACGAAACATCATGCATCAATATAAAACACCAGCATAGTCCCACCCATCCGTCTCTTCCCCCTCCAGGGAACTCTCACAGACTTATAACCACTCTCATCTTTGCGTCTTGCGAACGAGATCCGGTTAGGATGGAAGTACCATAGGGAACTCGAGAGATCTCATTTTCGGATGTGTATCTTTTGAGTATAATTCTTACTATGCAATATCAATTCTTTACCTTTTTTTAGAACCTTCATAGTACACTTTTTTGTTCTCGAACGTTTCCCCGTTCTTAGTCTCTTTGGCTTTTTTTTAAAAGGTCAATTGGATCAGGGCCTACGGGATTAGTGTCTCCTTGCGTTCTACATCTTTTCGTTGGCGACCACGGATTTAGATATCATTACTAAGCATATATGCTCCACGCCTCCATTGATAGTGCATTGTATGATCATACGCACAGACAATACCATTGATTGAGAGGAGAGAGGTATTTGGAAAATGAAAAATGAGAAACTGGATTCAGAAGTAATAATAATAATAAAAGGGGGGAAAGAAAAAAAAAAAAGGAAGAAACTAGAAAACGCCCATGCATGCCTTCATAATGTTTCCCTTCTATAAAAACGACCGCTCATGTTCTTGAATAACCGTTTATGCTCTCCTAAAAAACGACCGGCTCCTGATCCTAGACTCTCATACTGCCTCGATTCCTGCATGACTTTGCCCCCCTTAAGTTTTCACTACATTAAAAATCACTGTATCGTAAAACAATCCATGCTCACCAGCACATGTACGAAACGAACGTTCCTAGCTTTCGCCTTTCAACTTCCTGCCCTACTTATAACTACACTAAAAAGTCGGTGCCCGCCGTATCCCCGCCGATCCACTATCATACCTTACGAACAACTCATCGATGAAATGTGCATGTCTGATACCCGGATACCTCGCCTCTTTGAAAGCATCGATCGCTTCCTGTGCCGAATACCCCAGCTTCTCAATCAAATACGAGCAAATAAATAGTCCAGTACGATTGAAACCATAATGACAATGAACTGCTATTAAGCCAGTGGTAGGGTTTGGTGGCAGAGGGTTCTTTTCAAGAATCGAGTCTATCAGAGAGATAAAAAGAGATACTTGGTCGAGAGTTGGGGGTAGTTTAGACTTTGTCGAGACTGGTGACAATAGTTAGTATGTTTCAAGGTGAGCAATGAGGCAAAGGTGACATACACTTGTGGTATGTGATGTGAGATCCATCAAAGGAGGACGGAATATATGGCGGGTCCTCAAACGAGATGTCGACGATATGCGACACATCAGGATTCGCTTCGATGAATGCCTGTGGGTTATGAATTGGGTCATTCTGCCGTAATGTCTATTCTCTTGTTAGCGAGGTTACTGGAGTACTAGGCGTTCCTTGAAACCCACCTTCATAGCCTTAAACATACTCGTCCCAATCCTCCCACTAACACTACTAGTCATCATCCACTTCTTCTCATTTTTCAAGATCCATTTGCCCTCCTTTAACATTTCCAACTGCCATGCCATCGACAACTGTTCACTCACAAACCTTGTGAAGAACTCGGCAACGACATGGCACACATGATGATACTTCTCGTACAACACCCCGTGCCCTGCATCCGGCAACTCAACTTGCTTAAACTTATTCTTCCGTTCCTGATTTAGCAGAGAAAAGTACCCAGCTATGATGTCTGCATTTGCCGGTGGCGTCGCATGATCGTGTTGCGCAGTAATTAGCAATATCGGACATTGTATGTTCCTCCACACCTCTGGGTCCGGCGTTAGGAAGCCCCTTAGCACCCTCAAAGCCGTCGGCGTTCTTGATCGTTCATTAATCAGCAATTGATACTCTCGTATTGTCTTCGGTGACGATGGTGACGCAAAACGCTTGACACTGGGCGAGTTCACACCTCCCCTCCGGTCCAAGAATCTGTAAGTGTCAAAGACAATCCGAGGCAACGTCGTGATCAAATCCCTTTGTTTCTTTTCCTTATCGGACAATTCGGCTTTCGGGCATATTCCCACAAATCCGGCACATCGATCCGTAATTTCGGAGTTCCCACTGCCGAGTAGTGTAGCCAGGATGGAGCATCCCATAGAGTGCCCTACAACGATGAACTGCTGTTCGGGTTCCAAATATCGCTCAACGATCACACTAACTAATTCGGCGAAGGCGGCTGTTGAGTATGCCTCCCACTCCTTCGGTAACATCTCGGAACCACCACAACCGGGAAGGTCTATCGCCAATACATGTGAAACATTGATAAAATACTCCAGCAGATACTGGAATTGTCCAATTTGTCCACCAAGGCCATGAAGGAATACGATTAGTGGTAAGTTAGATGGGAGTTTAGCTGCTTTGCGGTGTAGATGATTGTATATCCGAATGGAAGGGTAAGTGTATTTGGTAGTCTTGAAGGATTCAAGATGGGTGTTGTCGATGATGTGTGGGGTATCGACTGTCTTTGACGCTGGCGAGAGTTAGCTCATTCGTTCGCTCAAGGAGAACAAGTCCTAACAATTTTAGGAAATATATTGAATGAAATGACCTACTTATTATGCGGCCATCGAACTTTTGTTCGTCCTGCGCCTTCTTACTAGTCGCCCATCGTATTACCGGCCCAATACCGCAAAGAGCAGCAAGGGTCATGATGATGATTCGTTGGTGCCCGATCCAATCGGTATTCAGGTGTGTGATGGTTGCGAGTCGGGAAACAAACGACGAAACCTGGCTTCTTATGACGACACCAAGTTTTGGTATTACAGAAAAATCCCCATTCGAAGCGGCAGCTGTAGGTAATGCGAAGGCCGTAAAAAGAATGAAAACAAGGAACGGAGAGTAAGAAGTGGAGAAGAGGTTGGAATGGGTATGAAAGGGATGAGAGGAAGGGTGAAAGGAGGAGGAGGCAACGTTCCGAAAGGAGTTGGAAGGCATCGCTGGGGCATATAAGATTGTAATTATAAACGGTTGTATAAAAATTGTGACCTGGCTGGCTAATCGCTCTATTCGAATAATTCAATAACTTGTAACGTAACAGTTTGTAACCATTACCATATAACTTCGATTCCCTTCCTGTAGTGGAATCATCCGGCCATGCAGCCAGTTACACCAGCCACATCGTTGCACGTACGTACGTGCTGCTCTATGCTTGGGCGGAGACGGGTTGGGTGTACTGGGAACTTCTAGGTATGCGGGTTCATACCGTTTTGTCGTCAAATTCCGAGCTGGACTGTATCATGCATCTGGTGGTGGAGGTTGTAGTAGAGATGAGGAAGAAAAAGAAACTTGCGCCGATTGGGTCAACAGCTGTTGGTTTGGCGGCCGACAAACCGGTCCAGATTGATCCATTCGATATCGTGCCCTGGCAAACAGCCGCCATTCGACCAAAAACACCCGTGATGGTCGGTTTCTCTAACTTGAACTTTCTCTCTCTTCCTCTCTCTTTCTCATGTGCACCAGCCGGCTCTCGGATAATGACATCCACTTGGCCAAGACTTTAATTGCCTAAGTATAAGATTATGGTGACATTAGATCGACCGCCGGCCGCCCAAGACGATGCAAGGGACAGCTGAGTAGCACTTTGTTTGATATTCGGGTTCCATGGGCCCATCCGTCGCTTTCAGTCGGCAATCTTTCGCCGTATGGGTTCAATGCTATACAATTGTATAACACTCGGTGGTTGCGGTTGCGGTTGCGGTTATGGTTGTTCAATGCAATGTCGGTTTAGGCTTCGAATGCATCCTTTGACTGTACCGGGACAAGCCCTGGTCCTGCCACAAAAACCGGCTGACTTGCACTGACATGATCCTCTTCTGCCTTTTGTAGAATCCACGTAAGACCCGTTGAGTTGAGGCAGGTTTTTTTTCGTTTCGGCGTGTCAGATTTGAAGCCTCGGCCACGTGCCCCCGCTAGGATATCGATATATCCCGGGCCGGACTATTCTCGCCTCGTTCGAAAGACCCATAAGATCACACAAGACGACCAAGGAATGAGCAAAGGAATATTTTTCAGGGAAGCAGGTAGTATGTATGTGAGAGACGAGGCTGAACGGGGTTTTCCAGGACAGGAGTAGCTCGTAGATTGCAATTAATGTAACGCAATAGGGTGTTCGATGTTGATTGGGATGGTAGCGTTCCCAGACGCATCGATGGTAGGGTATTTATTATATTAATCCGCTCCGTCCCTTGTAGCCGGCCGTTTGCGGCAACTTACAGCGGCGGATCTGGGGTAGTTCAAGGGCAGTATATGCTAGTAAAGTTCATATTCTCCCTGTTCTCCATTCATTTCGTTCATGTTTCGCATAGAATTTATAAAAATGAAGATAACGGTCGTTTGGTTTCGCTACTGGTATACCGAAGTGAATCGTGAACCTCAGGAAGCTTTAACCGGAGTAGTTTACAGACACATGTACAGCAGAGACAACACGTATATTTAATCGATTTGTCGTGGGTGAAAGTACGGGAACCAACAAGTACCAAGGCACCTACTACTTAGTACTCAGGTAGTATACTCAAGTATACGTAAGCGCACTATGATCTTTGAATTGATTATTGATTATCTATTTGACGTTTATCTATTACCTGAAGCCCGAATTGAATTGGGAGTGACACTATATATATATATATATTTGAGTAGGTACCAGTAGGTGGGTTTGTACCAACGAGACTCGACCGATACATGATGTTTATCTACTTAAGTATTTAGGTCGGTACGCGCATACTAGGTACGTACTACGTATCAATTATGCAGACGGTGACCCAATATTAATATTAATCAGTTCGTCAACTACCGGAACCCAATTTCCTTCGAAAAAATCAAGTCGAGCAAATATACGAGCAGATCAGGCCACAGGCTTGCAATTGAAGCTTAAAAACGGTAGTACTATAGTATGGATGACATCAGGTATGCTCTAAAAAATCAATATATCCCAGCGAGGAATAATTTCTGTACAGCAAAAACACTTGTAATAGCTAAAGGCCTTAAGAGCTTGAGAGAACAGTACCAATCTATTTCATTATTGCAAATGACATCGTGCAACGGCCCCGAATTCACGGTCAGATCCCTGCAACTGCCCAAAATCATGTCTTTCCCATGATCGGTTCAAGTTTAGCCACCATCACCGACGCCTGGGCGGAAGCCGAAGTGTCCCCGTGTGACTGCTGGATGTTATCAAGTTGCCGTATGACCGACTTAACGGTCCGTCGTAAAGCATAGAACGAGAAAATACGCGCATTATCCTTATGAATTGTCTGGTGAATGGCATGCTGGTACCGTGTACGCTCTCTAGCATTCTCACCAAAGATACACAGTATGTGAGGGTAATGCTGGCCCAACAAAATATTGAAAAGCAGTCGGCTCATACGGCCATTTCCGTCCAAGAAAGGATGGATATAGACAAAGCGTAGCTTTAAACTAGCTGCTGCTGCTATAGGGTCTTTTACAGAAATTTGCTGAAAGTTGCAGAAATCCTCGATCCATCTCGCCATCAATGGTTACACCTTCTCTAATGATACTGGGCTTTCGACGCCTCCCTCTATCGTAGGTCGACCGACCTGAACCGCAACCTCTCGGTACTTTCCTTGGTACCCTTGTTCGCCTCTCGCCGCCGGGATCCCTCGCAAGAGAACCTTATGCGCTTCGAGTAGGATTGCTTCAGTCAAGAAATTTTTTGATAAAGTTTTCTGTAGGTATAGATAGGCATGGACATGCTGAATAACTTCTTTCCTATGTAGAATTTTGGAGAATCGTGAGGGTTGTGAGAGAAACTCTTCATCATCTTCAACAAATTCGTCTGCCAAAATTTGTTTGACAATCCGCCATGTCTCGGGTTTGTTCAAGCCAGCGTCTTCGATGGCGTTAGAAAAATATATAAATTCGGCCAAGTCGTTTTCAAAGCCTTCGGTTGAGTGTTCATTGTAAAGTTTCGATATGAATAGGCTGGCCTCCCGAAGGATCTCCGGCCCCTGTCGCAGTGCTTGAAATTCGGGATTAAACCATGGGGGAATTGCGTAGTTTCGAATTGAAGTCCTGTATTCTACTTGTGTAAGTGTGCAATCCGGCACTGGGAATATATCCCGAATGGGTGTTTTCTCGTATTCCTTGGACATTCTCGAATAAAAGATACGTGAGCCCCGGGCTACGAAATTGCAATAAGTTTGAGGAGTAGTACGTATTGGTAGTGAATTATGAGGATGGGAGAATAGAGAAACAAGGCCTCTTTGTATCCCCGGATTAATTTAAAGATCTACAACATTTACCCTGCGATAGGAGTTAAGCTGATCGTTATAGATATATAGGTTTTTTTGTCTTGCATGTGGTAGTTGATCTTTCATTTAATCTCGAAGACCTTCCATAATTTACTTAAGGGTAAACTAAATTTAGAAACCGGCGTTGACAATGTACTAGAATATATAAACCCGCGTACTCGTGGGAAGTTGGTTCGTCTAAAATGTAATTTTGAAGTTAAAGGCCGCATATTCACGATTGGCGGATCGTCGATATAAGAGCCTAGAGGTTATACTTGTTGTATCGTAGTTATTATATCCGTTATTATTCCCATCAAACGGAAGTCTAACATGAATATGGTAAAGAAATTCCGATCATAAGGCCTCAAGGATCTCTATATAATACATATCGGAGTTTCGATTATCATTTTAGTACCGACTTAGTCATACCCATTAATAGATATATATCTTATATCTGCCATATGACCATATACGCACGTGGAATGATAATTAGTGAACGTTAAAGTTTAACCGTTGATATTGCCCAAAATAGCCGGACAGGTTAGTGGTGCCTACAGCCCCACAGCTATAGATCTCGACCTATGAGCCGGCCTAGCTATATTTTGAAAGTTATAGACGACTTATATATAATTATATAGACCTGTGAGCTATATACGTTCCATATCTACATGTTATACTGTGAATTGCATCCGATGTGTGTTGTTTTTGTTAGAATTTTCATAGGCAAAGTTCGAAGAAACATTCGACAGCAACGGTCGTTACGAGCCACAAACTAGTTTGAAACCTCGGCACGAATAGCTCGGCCGGGCTTTGCCAAAGCTCCCCGCACGATACAGAGCTAGCTACTCGGTAAAGCTGCTCTTGGTGCTGCCGCATTCGACATTCTTCAGGCCACAGGGCCAATGAAAACAGCCGTATTGGCAATGTCACATTAACCATGTCAACGCCAATGCCAATGCCACTCCGGCAGGCCACAACCGCGACCACTCATTCGATAAGGTTACGGGCAGCCGCTAGTTCGAGACGAGGCCGGACTGTACTTCAAACGAGGGGCAGCTGGCAGCTGGCACCTGAGGAATGAACGCCAGCCAACCGGGAAAATAGCAGGGTAAATTGGTCTTGTACCATGTCTCTGTGGCCATTAGTGCCGTCTACAAGTGCGATTTGAGCTCAGGTTAGGTAACTTGCGGTTGTTGGAATCGAATCAAATCATGATTCGGCCGCCGGATTAAAATGCTGCTTATTCTTTAAACTTCAAATTCTGAGCTCAGCCGGTTGTTTCCTCTCGAACTTTGCAATTGATACCTCCTCTCCCTCCAGCGCACGCGACATCTCTTTCTTCGCCTTCATCTTTATTTCTATTGTCACTACTCCCAGCCAATCTACCCCACAATCTTGCCTAGATTGATCCGTTCAAAATGGCGGGGACAAGCCAATTTATCCAGTTCAAAGAAATCCCATACGGGACAAAACGAGAGGACGGTTCCTTGATCCTCAATCGCTGGTCTGCTACCGTCACCAACGATCATGAGTTCGCAGCTGCTCAGGTACATACTTCAATCTCATCTCGTCTTTATTGATAATCGGTTTTATCCAATTGATCCCGGTTAACCCATGTTCCTCGGTTGAACTAGGCCCAACTGTATGCTGCAGGCATCAAAAACGAGCATGACATGAAGCTCAAGCCACATATCGGTGAGCCACCGATTCGAATCGCTATAGCTAGCTTGCATCCATTCGCAGCATCGACCTTACACTTTGCTTCGTAGGAATTTCACCTGTTTGGTGGGAAGGCAATCCGTGTAACACTGTAAGTTTATTCCATTCAAAAGAAGATGTGTGATATCACAATAACTAATAACAGTGTAGCACTGTGAGTTCGCTTTGATTCCTGTGAAGTCCAAAAACGATCAGAGCATCTTACAATCGCATAGTGCTCGATCTTGGACGTGCTGCCAAGGCTGCTGTCGACAAGCAGGGTTTTATCGGATGGCTTTACAGTCCCAATGGAATATCGGACGCTATCACGATGGGTCACGAAGGTTAGTATTTTCATTTTTTGTAATCTTTAGGAACAGCAATCATATATACTAACAGTTTTATAATTTAGGGATGAGATATTCTCTTCCTAGTCGCGACCTTATCGCTGATAGTATCGAATCAGCCACATGTGGCCAGCTCCATGATGGCAATATCTCGATTCCCGGTTGTGACAAGAATATGCCAGGCTGTAGGTACCGGTTACGCTATTATGCTACCCGTAAATAAGCTAAACCAATATTCATAGGCATCATGGCAATGGCTCGTCATAACCGTCCCTCCGTCTTGATTTATGGGGGCACAATCCTTCCGGGAAAGAAGACTAAAAGGTTTCCACAAGGCAGTAATGTATCATCATGCTTTGAAGTCCTTGGTGCATTCCACTATGGCAATGCATCGAAGGAAGAGTTGGATGGTAAGATCATTGAGTTTTCAATTTACCGAGGTCTTGACTAATAACCATAAACTATAGACGTCACGAGACATGCATGCCCCGGTCCTGGCGGTATTCATTATAACGATCCATTATCAAACATTTAAAGCGTCATGCTAATAATTTTAGGCTGCCCCGGTATGTTCACGGCGAACACCATGTCCACCGCTATGGAGGTCATGGGCCTCACCCTCCCGGGCAGCAGCAGTATCCCGGCCATGACTCTCATCACCAGGCCTGCCACTACCGCAGGAGGCAGCCCAACTCAAGAAGCCGTCATCGAACCAGCGAAGATGCGTGAATGCGAGAAGGCAGCCGCAGCGCTCAGGGTTTGTATGGAAAAGAATATTCGCCCGAGAGACCTTATCACCAAGCGAAGTTTTGAAAACGCTCTCGTTATGACCATGATTCTCGGCGGAAGTACCAATGCCGCCCTTCACTTCCTTGCGATGGCACATACTGCAGATATTCCAGACTTTTCGCTCAAGGACTTCCAGCGCGTTAGTGACAAGACCCCATATATTGCCAATCTTAAGCCTAGTGGAAAGTACTACATGTCAGGTAAGCCACCTATTTTACAATTACTCGTAAGGCTGTGGACTTATACAATCGATAGACCTCTACGAGATTGGTGGTACCCCTGCGGTAACAAAGCTCCTCATCCACGCCGGTCTCATGGATGGTGAAATTATTACGGTTACTGGCAAAACTCTCAAGGAAAACGTCGCAAGCGCCCCTGTTATTGATTTCACAAATCAAGACGTTCTCCGCCCTCTCGACAATCCACTAAAGACCACTGGCCATTTACGAGTCCTCTTCGGAAACCTTGCCCCAGGTGGTGCTGTTGCCAAGATTACAGGTAAGGAGGGAACTAAGTTCGAAGGCAAGGCTAGGGTTTTCGACTCGGAGGAGTTGGCGACTGCCGCTTTGAATTCGGGTCAGTTGAATCCAAATGAGTCAACGGTTTTAGTTGTCAGGTATGAAGGACCAAAGGGTGGTCCGGGAATGGTACGTACCGATTCTTTAGTCAGCAAGCCGAACAATAGTACTAATAGCAAGCTGCTTAGCCGGAACAATTGAAATCGTCTGGTGCTTTGATCGGCGCCGGTCTCAAGCAGGTCGCTTTGATTACCGATGGTCGTTACTCTGGCGCTTCACACGGGTTTAGTAAGTCACCAAGATCAAAAATCCACTTCGAGAATACATTTACTAACAACTCTCGTCCCTATCTTTAGTCGTCGGACATAGTATGAGCGTTTCCAACAATTCTTGATTTTCTTGCATACTAACATGATACTTCTAGTTGTCCCGGAGGCCCAAACTGGTGGCCCAATCGCTATCGTTCAAGGTACATCTTCCCCCCTCATAATTTTCCTCTTATATCGTTCTAACCTTCAAACCTAGATGGCGACATAATCACCATCGACGCTGTCAACAATACCATCAACATGAATGTTTCCGACGAAGAAATCAAATCCCGTCTCTCGAAATGGAAGGCTCCAAGACTCAAGGTCAATCGTGGCCACTTGGCTAAATACGCTCGACTCGTCTCGGATGCAAGTCGCGGTGCCGTTCTTGATGCGTTTGACGATTAAACCCTCTTTGTATGACTTTACTTTACCAGAACGCGAGCGCCCTATTCTTTCTTGTACTCCCCCCTCCCCTTTTACTTGAATATACACACATACCAGGATGCTCCTTTCTATTCCTTCCAATCTTCCCTTCTGGGGTTTTTTCTTTTTGTCATGTGAAGGATATCGGTATCGATTCTAGATAATGGTTTAGCTTAGGTTTGCATGGCAACTGGTGCGGAGATAGACGTGAAATTGGATATGCATTACTTTCTTCGGTCTTTCTAGTTGAATTTGTAGCTGTGGCTGGGCGCATATAAAAGAGCTAGGCGTTCAGCTGAAAATGGGTGTTATGACGTCACTTCACCACTTCTCGTGCAAACATGCCGGTTGATTACATAATATGTGATTTTGGAATAATGAAACACGACAACACAAAATAACAAAAATTAGTCTTAACACAATCGGCCAGGCGAGTCTGGTTACGAGACTTCGGCCAGATGGTGGCCGGTGTAGTTCTCTTATGGGGGGGGCTTGCGAGATCTATACGACCAAAACCTGACGCAATGCTTAGCTTGTAAGGTAAGTACCTAGCAAGGAAGGTGTTTTCGGCAACTTTAAAGGAGAGTCTGGTGGGTAGAGCAAAGCTGGCCATGGTCTCGTAGTGTTATCTGGCAACCAAGCGAGACCAAGCAAAGCCTGAAGTGCTGAATATCGAATGCGTGGAATATTTTATAGTAGGCGGTAGGCCCTTTTTCAATTTGAACGGGTTGATTCAACGGAAGGAGAGGAGCCGAGACTGGTTAGCCAAGTAGAGCAGGACCTGGCTGAATCACTTCTGCGGGTGGCGGTCGATCTCGATATGAAAGGCTTTGCCTTAGCCCCGCTAGATCGCGCGAAGGATCCTAGGAAAGGCGCTTACTAGATTATATTATCGACTTACTCAAGCGTCAGAAACCCAGTCTCGAAGATGGTCTAGGGCTACACTAAGAGGAAGAATGGTACTAAGAGGAAATGCGAGGTTAAGGACAAGCGCAAGGACAAGGTGGGTAGAAACGGCATACGCATGGTATTTAGGGCGCCCCAGGGCCGAAAGCCTTAGTGAATAGCAATAGGCGCTTTATTGCGATTTCATCTTAAACCGCAGTTTATTTTATCATGTCTCGTATGAGGTATACAAGCTGTCGTTCCGTCATTGTGATAATGTGTTAACTCTTTTTGTATTCAACCAATGCTAGTCTTTTTCGATGGAATCGGCATTGAAGATAATTGTTTCTTTCAAAAGGGTTTGCAAGTTTGCAATTGGCCGCGCTCAAAATGTTCCTTTAGCTCGACCTTATAATTATTGTATGAGGCGAGTCGCCCTAGAATCAACTAGCCGACGGCGTATGAAGCCAGGGGACTCCGAAACCAAACCGCATTGCCACACTTTTGTATTTACAGGTAGCCGTAATTTCCTGAATTTGTGAATTTAAAGAGCCTTGATAAATTCGATAAAGAAAATCCATAACCGACAAACGAGACCTCGAGGCCACGAGCTTGACCAGTTACAACGGAGTAAGCATGGCGACCAAGACCCATAGTTAACACGATATTTTGGTATGAATCAAAATATATTCGGATGATTAAGTAGAAATATCTGTGATTGCGCGGAGGGATAGATTTATGGATGTATGTTCCAGAAAAGTGACAGAAGGTTCTCCTTCATGGCCAAATATTACATCTTTAAATGCCAAGATGGACGAGCTAGGCCCAGACTTAGCTTTGAACATCCGAGAAACCGAATTCGACGTCCGGGTTGCGAAATGCGTATTCTGATGTGCTTCTTCTAACAATAGCGAATTGAGTCCCAAGAATGACTCAGGTGCATGCAGCGGGGTGGTCTGGCCCCACCCTTAGTCTCTCGGTTTTCTGGCTATACTCCGTCGACTTAAATAGTATGTGGAAACTTAAAACCTGGTGGATAAATACTTACCTAGGTAGAGTACATATCGACATGTACTCCGTGGAAATATATCGCTAAAGCTTGCAGGGCGGCCCGAAAACCCCAAATCTTCAAAAAAAAAAAAACCTTACTGGAAGAAATGACTGGTGTAGTGTATCTAGTTGACTCTCCAAAAGGTGTCATTTTCAACAGGGCGAATTTTAATATATCTGATGTAATTTCCGGCGAAAAAGCTTATCTGTGCGTGGTATAAGGTTGCAAACGCCTTCGTTTTGCCTGTAAACCAGACAATCTAACCAAAATATATGTTGTCGATGTCAAGATATAACCATATCGAGGGATACGAGACTGCCCTCGAAGCTTCCACTCCAGGCCTCATAAAGCGTGGACCATTGAGCTGCACTGCGTTGTCCGCCCGTATAATTCGGTCATTTGCGTCCTGTTCGTTCAAAAACTTGAGGCTGAGTTCGCCCAGGCCAAGTTTGATCTGATCTCCACACCACCCCTCTTCACCTTCTACCAAAGTTTGTTCGCTAACGTTATGAGCCTCCCCTGATCCCTTGTCGACAACCGCGGGCCAACTTTTTTCTTTTCGCACAAAGAAAAAAAAACGGGACCCAAAAATGCAAGTCTATCGAACAAGGGTAGGATGACAAATTTAAATTTAAACCGCCCACAGCCTATTACATGAGCGAAAGTCCTCTGCCTGGATTTTGATTATTGTCTGGTCGGTTGGTTACCTGGGCCGGAGGCGCACAGAGTACGTAGGTTAGGTACCTAATTTTGATCTTAACTTAGGTAGGCAGAGACTGAAACATCAAGGTGTCTTAGTGGCCCGCGATCGCTCATCCGACCAAACGCATCTGCTATGGGGGTCTGATAGAAGAATCGCAAGATGGTTGTCTTGGGGAGGCTTAGAAAGCTACTTTCTCTTGGCCTACGGTGCACTAAAATCGCGCCAAAGGGGAGCTGTCACCAAGATGGATCCCACAATCGTATGTATGCACCTTGAGCTCTATTTATGCCCTGGTCCTCTTTTTTTCCCTGCTTTACCAAAAGCGGGATAAATGCATGGTTTGAACGCATGATCCTGTAATTCGCAAGACGAAGCTATATTTCATGGTTGAGGGGTCACAGCACACGTCGCACGAAAGAGAAACGGATTTCCCCCCGGCTAATTCAATACAGAAAAAAATTAGAATTTAAGAAGCACTTGGTAGCTCAGAAGTAATGCTTTGGTATTTAATAAGCTCGGGTGTATCCTTCCGATCATAATTTAGATCTTAAGTTTGTGTTCCTTCCGGCCCAGATTCGGTTATCGACATTGAAGCTCTAGCTATCACAGCCTGAAATTCGAAACAGCATCAACGCAGATATACAAAGTCGCTACAGCCGGACAACTATCTATCCAACTAAATCAACATGGCCCCTAGAAGAGGTGGTGGAGGAGGGAGTGGCAGCTCTGTCGATAACCAGTGCAACCGATACGGTGCTTTTTCTAGCGACATCTATAAGGCGCAAATTGGTATTGCAGGTGGAATTCTATTATTATTTTTAATACTGGCATGTTGCACGAGCAGCCGAAGTGGAAACAGAAAGAAGGCTGGTCAAGAAAAGTCGATATTGAGATGGTACCAGTACGGAATCGGCCTGTTCTTAGTCATTGCGTAAGTATCTCCAACATGCATTCTGCTATAGCTTCTTTTGCTTTACCCTAGCTAAATTTCGTAGTTGGTTTATACTCCTGATCGTTCGCGCTGTTCTGGACCAATGTGGCGTCCTCAACTCCTTCGATTCTACTGCTATCGGCACTGCAATGATAGTCACTCAGAGGTTGACTGAAGTATATCTACTCGGTCTCATCCTGTTTGTCGCGGTAAATCGCCTGTTCCAACTCGCCGGCTCAACTAGTCTCAAACGGACAATGGTTGTCCTCGGCGCCATCTTCTTTTCCATCGTCTTCATCTTAGTTCTGGCATGGATTATACTCGCCTGCTTGATTATATGGGGTGTGGAGAGCGTTGATACAAGGTCAGGAGGAAGAGCAAGAGACAGATTGCAACAGGCTTATGTGGTACTATACCTCCTTCTGGCGATATTTGCTGTTATTGGGTTGGTTCTGGCATGGATCCGGTTGGCAAAAAAGACAGAACGCAAGCAGGTGTGTTTTTTCATCCTTAATTTTCATTCAAAGCCAACGGTGTAGAAGCTAACCACAATGTTTTAAAGGGCGTTACGGGTTGGATTCCAGTACTCATAATCTGCATCCTCGGCTTCTCTTTCTACAATGTCATAGAATTGTTCCTCGAAGCGTACGACCCACGAAGCCTCACAGCTATCGGTGTCACAGTCGGCTTCGGCATCTCGTTACTCTTTTTCTTCGGCGCCTTCTTCTCACTTTTCATGATCGCTAGCGGTAGAGGCTGGGACTTCCTTCGTCTACCACAGGATATCCAGCCAGAATACAATATGGGTGCGCCACCACCAATGACTTCGCCGTATGCACAGTCTCCATACGATACTATGCAGAGCCCGGATGCAAATAAGCGGATGAGCTATGCTTCCCATGGAACCGCACCGGCACCGGCACCGCCTTATATGGGAGGTACTGGAATGGCGTACAGTGGTAATGGAGTTTACGAGCCACAGGGACAGACCTATGATAATGGCAGATGGGCTTCAAGTGGATATGCGCCAGTTGGTCAGGCGCCTACGGGGTACAGTGCCCCAATAGGAGCGGCGAGCCGGGATGTTGAGAATAGTGAGTTAATGGGCAGGAGATAAATCAAAAAACAAAAAGAATTTTACGTCTGAATTTAGAAGGAGGAAGGGGCCGACTCTTAGATTTGGGAATATAATGGGCCATGGATAAAGAATTTCTTTTGTACATGATGATATCCTTCCTTTTTTGTTCTTGATCAATTTTACACGTTTTTGTATACAAGGATCCGATTTGATCTTTGAGGAAGGAATACACTGTTTTTCGTGTCCTTTCGAATTTGATCTTTGTTTTTATGAAGGGTCTAGGCAATTGCAATAGGGTATTGGGCGTTAAAGGTTATCAATTAATTATTAACTGTTCTCGGTATATTTCTTCGATATCATTAGCCGTATCATCACGCATCATCAATAAGGATGCATTATGTGAAGTGATTTGAGAGACGTAACGCAAGGGTACAACATAACCTACCATTGTATATAATAGACCGCCGGAACCTGCATATTAATGGGGCTCAAGGCTAATATTAACGGCGCTTGAATGGTACAATGGATGTCGCATCGAAAGGAGGTTCATCTTGCACATTTCCGTGTCGATCTTCAACAAAGCCCGGTTAGCTCAATCGGTAGAGCGTCAGACTCTTAATAACGGGATTTCAACCCAGTTACCATGGTATCTGAAGGCTGCGGGTTCGACCCCCGCATTGGGCTTCTATAGCAACCAGTTTCTTTAGGAACTGATCTTCTTTTTTGAATATTTTTTTTTGCTCTTTGTGGAGATGGATCGTTGAAGCTCAACAAAGCGCAGAGTTTTTTTTTTGGTTTTTTTTGGTTGTTAGTGTGTGTTGAACCAAATTATGTGGTCTCATTCCCCTGCTACCCGTTCATGGGTGGACTCACCAAGGACAGGGTCTGGGAGCTCCGAAAACTCAAAAGGCTCAAAAAAACTTTTTGACTTTTGAGTCGCATGTGAAATATCCCTTCTTCAATCGACAAGAGACGTCAGAGAGTAGGTTATCTCGTGAACAAGTATAAAAATCATTACTAGTCCTTGATGCTAAGCTACGTGCTTATGAGCAGTAGGTAGGTAGTTGCGGCTTAGTTGCATTGTGGACGCAGCTGTGATTATCTGCGTTTCTATGGCATGCCGCCCGTCGCCTCGCTAGGTTACACAGCGCCGAGACCGACACAGAACAAACGACCTTGCAACGCAAAATATGCAACGCGATGCTGGTTCGGTTTTGTGCTGCGTGATTACCAGGCCTTGTTCCAGTATAGAGGCCTATATAGTACCTTAGGTATATACCTATATGGCCATAATGATGTTCAAGATAACTGGATCGAAGGGAGATCAAATCAGGTCCATCTAAATTATGCACCACTTTATACCTATTATTACTGCATAATACAAACTATAATAAGATCACCTTAGTTGTAGTTGGTGACCCCATTCCCTTGCCCTCCTCTAACGCTCACCAGACAATACGCACTACACTGTCTCTCGATTTCGTTACCATTTTCAGTCAGCCCAGAGACAAGCGCGGCTTCACAACGGGTATGGCACCGGAGGGAACGGAAATTGGAAGGGAACGGGAGCTGCCCACCGATACAGTCGGTAACGCTAGCAGCCCTTCCATTCGTCGTGGCAGGGGGAGGCCACCGGGATCAAGATCACGATCTCGTCCTGGTGAATCTGTATCCCCGATTCGACGTAGACACAGACACAGACATACAAGGACTACAAGAACACACCCACCTACTAATTCGAATTCTTTATCTCCTTCACCAACTCGAAGGCGTGGGAGGCCACCTGGCTCACGTAATAAAAAGAACAATGAAAATATTCGACCCGAACCCCACGATGAACGGCATGGCGACATCGAGAGACCTTACGATGGCTCGCCCTCAATACCGGTGCCACCTTCGCGAAGGGCTAGCTTGAACGGGGCCCGGTCCCCCGATGCTGGGAGTCTAGCAGACCCGTCATTAAATCCTCCTGCCCCTCAGACTATTAGACAAGACCACAATTCAACAAACGTTCGGCAAAGGGTGGACCGAATTTTCGCTGAAATGCATGGAAATGGTAAGCAACACCGGTATACCGTGAATGCAATACGGACAAATACTATCAATGATTGAAAACTCACTGAATCTTTTGAACAATTAATTTTTGTAGAGGTGAGAAGGGTTTCGGAAAATTTATCACGAATGACGATTAACAGTTTCCTACCTCGGTCCAACGGTTTACAACTACCACAACCTACGATTCTCGAACCGCCCCGCCCAAATCGAGTTCCATGTTCCCGGCTAAGTCACCGCTCTAGAGGCCCCTCAAATACCGCTACAATCTACGAACCACAGCAGCCGGAACTTCAACCAGTTACACAAGCAACCATGGAGTTTCTAGAGGTACGCTCGGAGGGGTACACAATCTCGGATGAAAGTATGGATTTATCATCAGACGATCCTGTCCTTATCCCAGAGGACCCAGACTGGTTTATACTCCCAGACAACCCCATTGATACCCCATCCAGTGCCAACGCCGATACTATGTCGACATCACAGGTCAGTCTCACGACGGATCTGGATTGTGTTCAATGTTTCGATATCAGCCGATACATATGCGACCATTGTTCGATGATGTACAATAACTCCGTTGTGGGTGAAGTGCAAATATATATCGTAGGCTATGCACGTGGGCTGAGGTGTTCTCGTTGCGGTGCTGTCTGGTGCTGTTGGTGTCGTAGATCTAGAGAGGCTGGTTATGATTCGGTGGTTCGCGTATTTGATGCGTAGCTAGATTATATCAGCACCAATTGGTTAACTTGCTTTTTGAGCGGTTTCGATGTGTACACGGAGTTGGAGTCTGTTGTCTGCATGGGTGCTTTAGGCACGGGGCTATGTTGGAGTCATTACTTCATACTAGTTGATTTCGTGTAAGATAAGTGCACAGAATGCCATGCACGTTGGCAGTTGGTCCCCTCGGGGACTACGGACTAGATACTGTATTACGTCGTTTTACCCGCATAGGTGCAGAACAAAAAATTTTCCGTACGTAACTGATCGCTCCTGAGCAGCTATAGTTTTTCTTTTACAAAAACAAACTCCCAATTTCCCAAGCTGCCCTCATTACCCCAACGCCTCCAGTCTGTGTCTCAACTGTCCTTCCCAGAAATCTATCATTTAAATCATCTTCCATTCTATTCATTAGGGTTATGGGCTTTCCATTCTTCGGCTCTTTTTCCCAAACTACCTTCCCAGATCTTGCAAGTTGTACTTCGGCCTCCGTGGCACCGATTGCCCAATCACCACCTCTGTCGGTATTAACGAGGTCTACTGCATTGGGATCTCTTCTCATTTCTAGGTCTCCACTTTGTAGCTTGTCGGCGAACCCTGGGTCCTTCTCGAATAACGGTGCGGACCACCACATCCCAAAAACTGAAGAATTTCGATGTCTGGTAGTCCAAGCAGCAATCGAATTGCGACCAATAAAGGGAAAGAAAGTTTTGCACTTTTCAACATGAGCATTGAGTTCAGGACTGTGTTTCTCATCCTTTGATTTCCAGGTTTTTGTGTAAGGATGCGGCGAGCAGAAGGCTGTTAAATGATGGAAGAATATCCCTATGATCGATATCACATTCGTTAGTAACACTGTAAACACTAGTTTCCTCTTGGTATATGTCGTAGTATCGGACGTACCCTTGAAAGCCTGCTGGTCTTGATTACACCAGCCCCAGCTATCACAATGATCCTCTAAGACATCGGCCCTAACCATCTCCCCAACTTTACCCGCGCTCTCGATTACACTCTCGATAAGTTGATATCCATCTTCAAGATAAGCTTTATCCCCCGTTTCTTCCCATAATGCACGCAGACCGCTCAATACCACACCTTGATTGTAGGTATATGTCTGCTCATCCCTCTCATCGCACTTTCTCTTCCAATAACTGCTCATATGAAACCCATCCGTCACCAATCCAGCATCATTCGTGAAGTTGCTGCCTTTAAACCAATCATATGCTTTCACCGCATATTCCAGGTAAGCAACATCCCTCTTCTGCCCTTTCCTTTTATCATTCCCATCATCTCCTCCTCCGCCAAAGAAAACCCAAGATTCAGGCGGGTTAAATTCCGGTGGGAAAGTCGTATACATCTGTATGCTCGCCGAAATGAACAGCTCATTCGTAATGGCATTCTTATACGGCTGCAAATTCGGATTCCAAATCATCCCACCGTCGCAAAATAACTCGTCCCATCCCTTTTCGGCATAGACCCAGAACTCCCGAGCACGGAGAGCAAAGTCCATACGATAAGTATAAAAATCCGGATTATAACTTTCGGGGAAAAGGTAGTAATATGCATCCAGGAATCGAACGCCAGCTAGCCAACCCAAAACGACCCATAGCATATCATCATATGCCTGGAACTTGAGAGATCCGACATTTTGAGTATGGTAGAAAGAGATAATATCTGGGAAGTAGATATCTATGATGTTTAAGGTTTCGTTTTTGGGCAATGGAGATAGAAGGATGCTGTGTAACGCAGATACAGCATGGGTTTGCACTACTGCTGCTGTCCAATCGATTGCACTAGGGTAATCGCCACGTTCGGGAGAGAAGAAGACGGATTGTAGAGTTTCGAACGAATGAATCAGGTACCGCAGAGGTTCGGAACCAATTGTTGAGTTTAGAGTTATGCCACTACGCCTGTGTTCTACGAATTGTGGCGATAATGGGATCTGGGCGGTGCTAGACGGTGCTGTAAATATGGTTATCGGTAGAACGCATAGACGCAGTAAATGCAGCCGAAAGTTAATGTTGGAGGGACGCATAATATCAAACCAAAAACAAACTGGAAAAGCGAGAAGAGGAAGAATATACAAGCGCTATATCGTACAAAAACGGGGCTAGAAAGACATGCTATAAAGATGCTATGCTTGATGATTAAAAGATTATGGATCGCGAAGTAAGATAGCGGCGGTTTTTGCGGGGAACAAGAACCCATTCATGATCAGCCACGCCTGGACACGTGCCACGTGTGGTATTTTAAATTCAACACAGAAATTTGCACGATATCAACATGGCGGTAGCTTAGCTAAGGCGAGCTGGTACAGAATAATTTTCAAGTTACATGAAGAGTCCTAACTCTGGATTTTGCTAAAGACGCCACAACAGTTTTGTTAGTGGGGTTTTGGTTTAAAAAATAAGAATTTAATCGGTCTGTTACTTACCGAAATCTCATATCTTCCGTTTTTATCGAGTTTCGAGCGTCAGTTCCAGGTAACAAGGTTATCCGAGAGTCATATTTCAATCCTCCATTCACGAGACTCCATTCAATCCTGAACCCAACTTCGTAATGGCAATTTTCTTCCCCGATCACAAAGATCCATTCGAGTGACGGCTGTCGATCTATCCCAAATTCCTGCATGTATCCATTCGCGTACTCTCCTACCAAATCCTCCAAATATTTCACTAGATGCTCTTGATGCATTTCTACCCATCCCTTGAAATGGATGTCTGTTTCGAAAATACTTTCGACGAAATCTGCTCGGTATTCTGTTGAAATTGGAGTTAAGGTGAGGGTACGGAGATTGGGTAATCTGGATGCACCGCTCAGAGGTATCGGTATTAAGGTCCAAAAAATCGTTTGGGGCCCGGGGATTGGGCCATTTGGGAGTCTTTTCTTAGACTTAGTCTGTGATCAGAAATTGTGGTTAACGCGAGATCAGCTTAATTCTAGTTTTTTGTTTTTTTTGAAAATGCAAGACTTCTAGGGCAATTGAGGGACTGACATTTATCATTAGCAAGGGAACAGAGGCTTCCGTTAGCTTTGAAAATTCCGATGAAATCTCGAAATTCTTGGGAGGAGTGGCCCGGCCACCTTTCCAATCAGGTATGGTCACATTGAATATTAGGGTCTCCAAAGTATCCTTCTGTTTTTCTGTGAATCCTTCTGGCAGCAAGAATATCCCTGGATACTCTACCTCGAGGGTATGACCTAACTCATTTAAATGTATGTCCACGTCCCAGGCCTTACACCTAAACCCCAAATGACGAAGTCCGGGCTGAAGATCCCCAATGAACTTACGAAACAGACAGTTCTCTCCGAATCTTTCGTATACAATATTGCAAGTTTCGAGTTGTAATTTTTGCATATCAATTTCTTCAATGAAATTGAACGAACTTCCTATACCCGAAAGGCTCATGTGACGGAGGCTGCCGAAAGGTAGAAGTTTTGCCATTATGGGCGTTAGACCAACATCCTCGATCATGAGTTCTCTTAGCGGGAGCCTTTGTAAGTTTTTGAAAATACAAGTCTCGATAAAGTCGGTCCAATTAGTTGGCGCTCTCTCCCATCCGAAGTCATCATTTTCCAAACCAATTCCTGCTATTTCGCTGTCGCTGAAGCGGAATCGTGAATTCAAGTCTGCCTCAGGGATAACCGCTTCGCCAACCCCAAAGCCAAAAGATTGCAGCCCCGGACTCGCGCGGAGGATGTAGTGGAGTTCTGCTACACGTTGGGGCGAGTAAACCCCTCGTACCAAAAGCTTTCGGAGACAAGGTAGGCGGTCCTCGGGCAACTTGCGTGCTGGCAAGTTACTTCCATAGGAGAGGATCTCTAGGGTAGAGAGTTTGCTCCCAAGCCCTTCGACTAGTATCCTTTGAAAAAATTCAGGGGAGATGTCTGTGTCCAAAAGCCATCTAATATTGTGTCAGGTTCGATTAGCATAATAGAAAGAAGTCATTCTCGAACGCGTTCGCATTCTTACTTAAAGCCCGTCAACGGAGCTTCCCCGATTTCCATCAGCGTTGATATTTGACTTGCAATCACAAAATCTGTATCACTAGGCCGAGAATCCACCGCTATACTACTCTCCACGGATGCGTGCTCATCGTCCCCCCCGTCCCCATCCTCCCCTTCTTCTTCTTCGCCCTCATCACCATCAATTTCCTTTTTCTTTTCCATCTCTACATTTGGTGCAGCACCCTGGCCTGAGACCACCCGAATCCTTCGAATATACTTTCCATATTTTCGCTCGTCGTGAAGCAGGAGTTGCGTCAACTCAGGGTCCACCAAGTTCACCCATTTCCCTAACTTTGTATTGAACTTATTCACTACTCGCAATTCTATATTTGAATATAAAATTGGAATCACAAGAGAGTGTAATAAGCGGCTACATAGTGCAATGTTGAAAAGATCGCGACGGGGTAGCTATTTTCCAAAATTGTTAATATTAATATTCTGTTACGCGTAAAAGAAGGGTAAAGGCTAGCTTACGTGACCGAGTACCGTTCCAATCAACTCGTTTGGCAGCTGGGGAAGCATTTTGGCCCGGGTCGTGAATATTGGACTCGTAGTTAGTTAAGGAAATATATGAGGGGTTGCAATTGACGGTTAATTCGGAGGACCCTATGACCCTGTAGAGTGGTGTTTCGGCGTAGTATACCAAAATTTCGGTATTTGCCAGTTTCATATGCATATACTAACCTAGAGGACCTAGTCGCGTCATGGTCTCGAGGCTACCCAGTCACAAGATAGCTGGCGGTGGAGGCCTCAGCCGCGTGCACGGGCTGAGGCTGAAGTGACTAAACCGTCCACCAACATGCAACAAGGAGGTAACACAAAATCATGTTAGCGTAGGGATGGCTATACATAAGCAATATTAAGCTTTGTTCAAGCTCACAGAATTACGGGCTCCCGCATATGCACATGAAACGTTTAAAAGTAAAGTTGGTTTTGTCCGGTGTGGGGTGAGTTCAAATATTAGCTTGCCGGTTGGTGAGCGCACAAGCTAACATCGATCTGGAAGCAAACTTCTCATGGTTTACGAAGCTAGTTCGCATTTTAAACCAGAATTGGTAATTATTTCTATAGATCTAACTTTGACTTGTGGTCAAACAGTGTTACAATTGATATTGCGATAACGGTGCGACATTAGAACTCCGAGATCGAGCTGCTTTCCTTGTAATCCCATTAGTAGAATGTAGGATTAGTAAACATTCACTGAGACCTTTTACATGTAGACTGACAAGGAATCCTGACTATATACCCAAGTAGCTAGGAATGCCTCTGAAAACGACATAATTATACCCAATCTAGTTTCAAAGAAGAATGCTGAACTTTTCGGCTCCAGTAAGTTTACAGGATTGGTCTATTCACATGGCCGATTGGTCATGCATGGATCTTTGGGACAAACAGGGCGTTTCAATACTCATTTTAGCATCTTCCGGTGTGACTATTAAAGTAATTAATTAAGTAGCTTATAGAAGCTCGTAGTAGACACCGATTTTCTAGTTTGGGTTTGGGCCTTCTTCCAGTTCTCTAGACTGATGTCTAGGAACTAGACTACTCTTAAGATCTTACTGTCTGGATCATGAATACCTCAAGGACAAATCGAGTTCCCATTCAAACTCATTGACACTTAGGTACCACTATTTATCCATTTAAAACCACCACAAAGGCAGCATATATATTTGGGGCTTCACAATTAATTCGCATGCGCAGGGGACTGAATATAGGAGTACTTGTTGACTTCAACCGCGCAACAGACAGCTTAGACTGTCAAGCACTCGGGAAAACTTTAAAGTAGTTCTTTCCTGTACCGTGGGAGTTATGGTCATATTTCGAAAAACTGCTGAGATCAATATTGTATGATGGGAGGAGGCCCAAGGGCCGATGGGGTATGAGCGATTAGTTTGTTGGATTTTGCAAGAGGTCATCTCGGACTTCAGGGCTTAGTTGCGAGACTGACTCCAGGCTACTAATTTTGGATTGAAGGTGGCTTCGAGCGATTCATACAGATTGTGAATGGTCGGATGCTACTTTGCAGAGGCTAGCTTAGGCTATAAGATACCAGAGAGGCGTGGGTATATAAGCTGGTCGAATAAGTTTTGCCCCACAGGCACACCTATCATTCTGTGGCATTCTCATATCAAAATAATCTATACATTAAATATACATGCTACTTGAATTATCAGATATCCTCAAGTGGATTCCACAAATGTTCCAAGCGATGGTTAGAGGTATTGGATGGGATCTCTGGGCCATGGGGCAAACCGGGTCGAGTTGATCATCCCACGGGTACCCCCTTATAGTCCCACGTATAACTGGAATTCCGGCCACCGGCCCATCCCGATATCTCCTCAGCTTCACCCCGGAGTCGCATGACTCTGTGTCATTGGCCCATCGAATGTTACCAAATCTGGTGCCATTTGCGGGGTACATGACAGCACTTTTTGCCGAGGCCGATATCGATGGGACCCACTCACACCGAACAAGGGACGAAAAAAAAAAAAAAAGCTTCCATTGCATGGCTCAATCGACAAAGAAATATCCCAAATGGGAGGGTATAAAGAAAATTTCCACTTGCCGCTGACCACCGAACAACGTGGTCAGAAGTAAATGATCATATGGAGCTGAAATATTTCGTAAAAATAGCTCAGGGTTGCTAATTTCTGTTACCATATGCATAAGTTTTGGTTTTGATTTTTGATTTTGAATTTTTTTTGTTTTCCCGGAAAGAAAGAAAACCTTTTGATATGAAGAGGATATCACATTTTTAGATTTGGTCATGGGCCCCTTGTAATTTTTGACGCTATCTTTTGTGAAAAAAAATTGCGTGGGTGGATATCGTAGCGTAGTTCTCTGAAGCTTCTCCCAATTCCCGACTTCCCCTATGAATGGCAATGAAATCCCCCACGTTTTTGATCCGTGCTTTTCACCCCCGCATTTTCACTAAAAATACGAGGCGATCATCTCAATGCATGATCTATGCAAGGTCAGCCTTACCTCCCAACATCCATTGCAGTTTGGATTTCTTACTGCTATCACGCTGCCGACGGACGAAGTGACAAAATGCAAAATTTACACGCTTGCATCCCAACAGAAATTTCTCACGAAGAAAAAAAGAGAAAGAACGTCGTCGATAAGGACGACCCCCAAAGTCCGGGGGTATACGAAACCCTCCGACTAGGAACGGAAAAAGGCCGGGAGGAGAGCAGTAGCTACAATCTGGCCGGGTCGCTCCGTAGCTAACATGTTATATTGCGAAGCTGCATTGTTCGTATCCATACTATCGATACGGATTCCCAAGAGATGCAGATGGTTCTTCGTCCGTGGGGAGATGGGAATAGATCGTGCGCCAGTCCCCAAAATCAGTAATTCTAGATACGCGAGAGATTAGCATTGAGATCACAATCTGCATTCTAGCAAAAGTAGTTTAAGCTGGAATCGGGGAGGAAATATAAGGCGGGAAAGGACAATTTGTGTATGCATACCTGGCTTGGGAGCCACAACATCTAGTACTCCCCATAGGTCTTCGTCCAATTCTAGCACTCCGTTACGAACTCTTGCAGCTCCGTGTGAGAGCCAATTGAACGCCTCATTGTGGATGATAATGATTCCGTCTTTTCCGCTAAATCTCATGCCATTGTTGAGCAAAAATCCATCTTCGTAGACACATTCTATAGCGCTGGCTGGCGGTGGAACCCCAGAAAGTACATTCATGTCCGTAAATACCTCATTCGGATCATTGCCTCCAGGCTTTGGACCTGCCTTAGGCGGAGGCTCTTGCTTTGAGGTATTCCCGGAGTCATCTTTGGAGTTGATGGGTGTGCTGTGGAATGGTCTGAGATTGTACCTCAAGCCTACGGCTGAAGTCACAGGGAATCGGGAATGCCGAGAAAGGTGGCGTCGGGGATAAGATAACCAGCAGGGAGTTTGAGTTAATCGATGACATTGGGAATAGGCTCCAATTCGGCGACTGCTCACGCGGAGCAGAGGTCTTATCAAAGTCGTGAGCTCTGGGAGGGAGGTCATGGTGAGAAAGCTGTGGAAGTTGCAGTTAATTGGGCATCCGGTAGAAATGCATCAGCTTAGCGACAAGGCTAGTGAGCTAGTGAGCAGAGACTTCACTCAACACAACCTCTAATTGGATCTCCAAAGTCGAAGACATTGATACCAATCTCCTTGAAACTCCTGCGGCTGCAGCTTCTCAGAAAGCCGATGTGATATAAGATGGTGTGATATAGTATGACCTGTGATATCTCACCAAATACAATACCGAATCTGAATTTGATTGTGGGGAACACTGAACCCGATGACGTCGACAAGCTTCGGCTCTTCCCTGGTATGTAACTAACTATTCCTGTGGAAGCTAACCAGTATCTTCTTACTAATGTAACGAAGTAACTAGCAGACGGGAGCCATCCCAAATGGAAGGTCGGTCTCAGACCTAGTTAAGCTCTGAAACTGAGCCTTTCCGTCGATTAGCTTTGAGGGGCACCCGCTCTGCCATCTTGCCGTCCGTCGAGAGATCAAAGACACGGCAATCGACGGGTTTGTTCCGCCCTTCAAAGGTACTCAAATCTACTTTTCTAAATTTTCCTTGCATTTTGAAGCTCACATTTTGCCTAAGCACCTCACATTTAGGTTCATAAGTGATGTACTGTGCACTTACATACTTGAAAAGATGCAGCTTGCACATTTATTGAATGGAAAGTTTTTCCAACCTGCATATCGAGCACCCTCCCCTGCAAGAGAGTACCCACCTCTCTTGTTCCTTTTTTTCGAGGAAAGTTATTTTTTTGCGGGGCTAACAGGGTAAACCCATGGCTGGCCGTCGCGCCTCGTCTTTCTGACACTCCAGGGTGCCTTTCGATGAATGCATTTTGGATTGAAAGGATTTTCTCTCTCTATCTCCTCGTTTTTGTGGTTACGTTACCATCCTGCCGGAGCATTTTGCCTGGGTTTGAAAGTTTCTGGTTATTTTGTGAGATGGCAGGCGCAAGGAGATGTTCGTTGGACCGCTCCTTTCGCCTCAACATCTCCTATCGGTGTTACCCATGAGGAACCAAGCAAATATCTCTCTTTTACGATTGAGCGGCTCAATCAACCAAGAGATGCGCCGAGGACCAATCAAGGGATGAAAATTTTTTTACTCTTAGCTTCAAGCTCCCAGCAGCACGGGTCTGGAAAGCGACTCGGCAGGTGAACCGAAAGAAAAGCTGCGAGATAAGACCTGCCAGGCCGCGGAAAGATCAACCGGTTTACGGCAGCATCCTCCCTTTCCTGTCCGCATAGACGAGGGAGCTATGATCGCTGGGCAAGCGTCGAAAAAGACTCAGAAGAAAAAATTTTCCCTGAAATATTTGTCCATATTTTTTTATATTGTCTAGACAGCGAGCGGTTTAAAGTCACCTCCTTATCGCATGCTCTCCCTACCGTTGAGTGACCACAGAGGAAAGAAAACCGAACGGAGAAAAAAGCATCTGCCACCCACAAAAAGAAAGTAGTCTGGTGCTTGAACCCAAGGAATCTTGGCCCCCACGCACCCTGTCGCTAAAAAACAAAAGCAAGGAACTGCCAAAGAAACAGAAATGGCGTTCGTCATAGCAATCTTGCACCAAGCTGGCAACTATATTGGGAGGTGGGCCGTTCAGGCAAGGCCCTTTTGAAGGCCGTCGTCGCAACAGTTAAATTCCCTTGAACAGCAAGCAGTTGCAAAACTCCCTTCACGCTGCTCGAACAGCAACAATCTGCAAACCCCTGGTACCAGATTCCACCATCTTGCGCATGCTGCCGGGAAGCCCGGAAGCTTGGGTTGGTTAATTCTTTTTTAAAAAGAAACAGCCGTGGAAAGACGCACAGGCACAAGGCATTTTGCGGGGTCGAGAGACAGAAAAAGTTATAACCCTGCGATATTGTGCAATCAGGCACAAGGTTCTTCCCACGCAAAACCCCCTTCGCCATCGAGCTGGCCTATTGCGAGAAAGGAAATTCGAGAAGTTGAAAAGTATTCGGACAAAAGACTTTAGTTTCACGGATCGACAAATTTGCAAAGAGAACCTTTTTTGTCAGCCTCTCACCGCATTCCTTCAAAGATTGTCCATTTTATTTCTCTGCTTGAACTATTCAAGGCCTAATTTGGATCCTATTCGGTACGTTCATGCCCCTTCGATTGGTTGTGCCCCAAGAAGGATCTCGAGATCAGGATTACACCACACCCATAGCAGAATTTTTTTTCCTGCATGCATGAAAAAGCTGTGCTTCGCGTTCTTGCGTTCTGTCGTCACCTAGCAGCCATAACCCCCCTGCGCGGTCGGAGTGAGCTGTTGCACTGCATATTGGATTGCATATTAAACTTGAACGTGTCCCTGACCTGGCCATTCACAAACCTTTAAACCCTTTTGCCAAAACCTCCTCTCTTCAGATGCAGTCATATATACTCTTGAGTTGATTTAGCCCCACAAGGCCCCAGCCTCAATGAGTCTGAGCTGTCCCATTCATTTTCTATAAAGAAATTAAACATCTCAAGTTAAAAGGCAGGCTAACATACCGTCTCCGTCAACCAGTGTTTCGGGGTTCGACTTGCGTTGGTAACCTATTCGAACGTTCGCTCCATCGTCACTCCGGTTTCAGAAGCCAACAGCTGGATTCTGAAACTCAGCATTGGCCCACTATATAAGGCAAATACCATGCGTCCCAACACCTTCTAGGATCCAATCCATGATCTGAGAGCTTAGTTTCGGATATTTTATATTCTCCTGACGGACGCATTAAAACATTTCAACGAAACAGAAATAAATATAGACTTACACATAAGTCAATATCTGCTGGATCAGATTCAACATCTATACACCCCCCGACGAACCTTCCTCTACATAGTTGCTATGCTTCTAGAAAGTTGATATAGGCTTCTTCTTTTTCATGTTTACAATGCCGAAACCCTGTAAGTTCTTCTATCCAAAGTTTCCATCGAATGTCTAAAATACTTACGTTTCTTCTCGTTGGCAGCGGATTACGATGATGTTACTGAGACACCCTCTTGCTCCTATGCCAGAAACCTGCTGTTTACCAGTCTCTACAGGGAAGAGAAGCAGAGTAGACTAGCAATACTCGGAGCAATAGGGTCACTTGTTGAAGAATGGACACATTACTATCTTCGCCACACAAGAGATCTCACCCATCACCCTAGTGGATTCCGTCCGCTTCATCAATCCATCAACCAAAGTCCCCGAGCGAGCTTTACAACGGCCAGAAATTTAAAGCGAGAATCTTCTTCAAAACTTGGACTAGAATTTGACGATGTATTCGACGACTTCGATGGTGATTCGGATCCAAGGATTGTATCCGCAAGTAGGAGTCCTATAGCTGTTCCTTTGACTCCGACCTATGATTCAGGCTTCGGAGACGATGATGATGAACGACCTGATTTTATCTCTCCGACTTTTACGATATCGTACAATACCTCGGTTTTGGCCATCTTTGAGCATATACTGAATGCAGACGACCGCAGCAGGTTGGAGGATCTGAAAGATGAAGTGTTGACAGTGCATGAAATGAAAAATAACCTTGATAACTACTATCTTACGCTATTGAGGTTGTCGACAGACTGCCCACATAAGGATATTAGGATCAGCAGTCGGATGGTTCTCCAGAGGGTTGTTGTAAGTGTTTAAAAGGAGGCTACGGTTCAATAATTTTTTGGGGAAATATTAACAATAGAGAACAGAATAGCGGCATGCAGTTGCTCGAGCCTGTTAGCACGGGTCCTTCACGCCTGATTCCATTTCACGAAACGATTGGACTTCACAAATTCAACGCCATGTTGAGAACCGATAGTAACAAGCTCAATGAAATCCAAGACAACTCGGATGAAGAGGATGAAGTTCCTATATCACCTATCCACGACAGTGTTATGTCGGGCGCTGCCTCAATTGCGATCCCCGGCCAATCGTGGCATACATTCCACGGACGATCCAGGTCAAGGGGCCGTGGGGCTAGTAACAGCATGTCCTACAGAGGGAATAGACGTTATAATCAATCATTTGGCTTTACAGGCTCGAACTCTGACCGTGGAACACCACTTTCACCACCCTCTGGAAATGATATATTATTCGGACAACCAGTGCGCGAACGCAGGAGGAGGAAGCACTCGTCATCACAGGGAAGTTCACAAGGTAGCACCACTTCGTCCAGGCCGGCGTCTAAAGAAGTCCATTCATTTCACAAGGTCGCATGGATGACGCAGGGAAGGGTGACAAATATGAACAAAATTCTCTCTTTCTTCCCGAAATATGCGACGGTCAACATGGAGACTATCGATGGATTAGTAAATCGGCCTGGAAGCGCTCTCTCCCGTGTTTGGAAATTGTACATCGGTATCCTTGCCGCTGCAGAGCATAAATGTCAATATTTTGTCTCGTTGCTCTCAAGATACTTTCTGGACTACGGCGGCAATAGGACCTGGCTTCGCGGTTTGGAATATGCGCCAAAGAAACTTCAACGATTAGCAAAACTCAATACCTTACTTGCTCACCAACCATGGCGACTAACACACGGTGATATCCAAGATCTAATCAAAGGCACAAACAACCCATCTGATGAACTGGGTGACAACTGGTCAACCTCAGAAGTCGTTCTGGCCCTTTGCATCCTCTCTTATTATCACGCGCAATCCGGCTTCGCCCTTGCCTGCGGATTGGTTCCAGAAACCGATCTCCCCGGTGGAACAGTAGGATCTATCAAAAACACTACTCTATCTATAGTCCCCTACCTTCAGGTCCCCTCTAAACTCACTAAAGATGCGGACAAAGAAAACGCATCTACGGAAATGAAGCGACTTGACCTCCCGCGCACACCATCTCCAGGAATATCTCTGTTGACCCGTAAACGTCAACAAATGACGCTCCCAGATGAGGGCAGCTCTGGATCACCTGACAAATGGTTGAAAACGCCTACAGGTTCGATTCCAGCCTCTCATGACGTTTCTCCGCTTGCCCAGACCTTCCGCGTCGGCAGTGGCCATACCACTACCACCCCGATAATCAACGACCAAAGATCACTCAAACTTCAAAAACGCCGCAAATCCTTCGAAGATTGTGTTACCGCCGAAGATATCCCCCCTCCAGCCCTTTCAACCTCTCTCTCCGCTCCGGGCTCATACATCCCTGTCTCCAGTGTCTCGCAATATCACACAGCCACCACAGGCCGAGAGTTCTTTCTCTCTCCATCATCGTCAACCTCATCACTTGTTGAATCTTCTACAAAATCGCTGAATGAACAAGTTCCCATTAATGTCTTTGCGGAAGACACAGCCCGCTTCCTATTATCGCCTTCGAAAACAGGAATAGCAGGTGTAAGTGACTCAGGTTTTCATGAAGAGTTTAATCTAAACAGCGAAGAGTACTCGTTCCTCCCTATGGAGGAATTCGACTGGGAAAGACACGCGTGTGAGGTAATCGGTGAATATGTGGAAGGCCTCGAAGACGTTCTCGACTCGCACTTCCAAGCTGTTCGAAAAATATATGAAGATAATAGTAACTTCGAGAACGAAGAACCGCTATCCCACTCACAGCAATACCAACAGAATAGCTACTACTCCAGCCAGCCATACAGTGGTCGCGCTAGCCGTGTAGGCAGCATAGCTGGTATCTCTGAATTCTCAATCTTCGATGGCGCAGAATCATTCTACACTCCAAATTCCCGTCTCCAATCACCCATCGAAGCCTTCCATCCCCCCACGCTATCACAACAGACAACAGATACGTCATCATCTTCCAGATTCTCCGCTCACGGCCAACCAACAAGTAGTCCCAACGTCACTGCGCAAGATATTCCCCATCTTAGCGAGGCAGTTTGGTTCTATTCACTGCGTCTTTTGGGAATCCAAAAGGATGATTACTCCTACAGTCATATTAAATTCTTCTTACCAAAGGGATCTCGCGTGTTCTTACGCAGAATATGCGAGCAACCTGAGTTAATTAGTATGAGGGATTGGAAAGGCGTGGGGATGGGGTTGAAGAGTGAAGATGTAGTGTTGACGGCACTGCTAGCGACGCAGGCAAGGTTCATGGGAGAACTATTGTATGGAATCAAGGCGGTTTGCGAGTATAGAGAGTCGAGGTATTAGAGCTTTGAGAACGGGACAGAGGACCGCCGATGGTCGCAACCTGTTCTCCCGCCGTTTCCACGATTCCTTTTTTATCTACTACTTATCCACTTACAGCAAGCGGCCCAAGCAAAACAAAAATCTTTTATTATTTTTCTCAGCCCAAAAGCAAGTCCAGCGAATATCGACTAGCAAAACCCGAAGCAAAAAGCGATATTTAGCACTTTCTGCCATTCCTATTCTTTTCCTTTCCCGTTCCTTTTTTTTTACGCGATTTGATTTTTTACCAAAATAATTTGCGAATTTGACCAAACAGCAACATCAGGAGGAACCAAAACCACCTTTACTCTCTCCGATTTTTCATCATTTGTCGATTTAGCTTGTTTTGTTTGAAAGTATCCTTTTCCTTTTCCTTTTACCACACCTCCCCAAACCGCATTTGCATAAACTCTCATTTGTTTCGTTTTTCCTTTCGAATCCATCAATCGCAGACATATGATACCCCAGGGAACCTTTTCAAAACCAAAAACAAACATTTTTTCTTTTTAAAATCCGGCGGCTATAGTGTATGAGCAAAGTATCCTTGTCAGCGATTCTCTTCTAACTTCTATCCATATATATATCCCTACCCTTTTAACCTTAATCTATATCTATATATTGGTATCTTCACCATATGTAGTTTATCCTTTCTCCTTATTTTACCCACTTTTCTCTTCAATTCTCAAAAAAAAAGTTTTCTTTTCATTTTAATTTACTTAACAGTCTTTACCTAAGTCCGATATATACCTGCACTAGCTAGCGATAGAGACCGAATTTCAAAGAATGACATACTCTCATCTAATTTGCATCAAAGTTCATTCCCCTTGTAAATGATTTTTTCTCTCTTAATTGGGGGTTATAGATCTGGATATTAGGTCGATGGATTCTTGATAGCTTCGTGGATACACCATACACATCAGCTATATACCTGTAACCTGCTGAACTATATATATTCACATAGAAAAGGAATCTCAGGACCTCTCAGGACTTTACTAAGAAGAAGAACAGGAAGAAGAAAGGCAAAACAGAGGGGCGTTGGTGATACCTAAATACTTCTTTGCCACGGAAAAGACAGGGAAAAAGGAAAGGGGGGAAGAGAAGGGCGAACTCAGTTATATACAATGAAGGGTAAAGTGAACCAGGGAGCGTAAACTCGTCGTTAAAATAGAAAAGGAAGAGGAAGAAAGAGTTGAGGTGTTCATTCAAGAATGTAGTCCTGCAATTCAAAAGAAGATGGTAGATGAGCTGGGCTAGATCTGGAGATAAAAAAAAAGGCTGGAATATTATGTTCAAGGTGTAAATAGTAGTATAATACAGAAATGAGACTTTTTTTTTCAATCATTGATTACTTCTTCTGCTGTGGCTGCTCCTGTTCCGGCAAAGGTGGCAATTGCGGTTGTGGCATTCCCTAAATCACGATTATGTTAGCCGCGAGCTTCAGATATGGGAATACAGTGATTGTAATAGCTTACCTCCGTCAAAATCTTCGACAAACTAGTCTTCATACCGGCCATCATCTCCTCTTGTGCCTTCCTATCCGCCTCCAAAATCTCCGCACCGTGTTCCTTCAAACCCCGGGTGATCTCATCATACCACTGTTGACCTCGCTCTCTCACTAAATCCTGCGGTAGCTTCTCCTCCTTAACCTCCTTGGGCTTCATACCCAACAAACTGGCTAAGAAATCTCCACCACCGCTGGATTTTCTGTGTTTTTTCTGTTCTTCGATTTTCTTCTGTAGTTCTGCACGGGCTATTGCATCTCTTTTCGAGAATTCTGTTGGGATGTGGGAACCTTCTGGGAAGGACTTGATGTCTTCTCGTAAATCAACGTGTCCCATTGCAGCGATAAACTCCAAGAAGGGGATCAAAGAGACAAGTTCCTTATCTCTTGGATTTCCCGTCCATTTCTTCATCTTGATCGCATTCTCTGGCTGTTCAGCCCAGGCCTCAGGTTTGGTATCGATCATGATAACCTTCGACAAATCTCGATTTAAATAGGTTAGATCCTTGATATATTTCCCTCTCTTATACTTCGTAGCTTCGCGGTATAATTGATGACATGTTCTGAATGGATCCAATTTTGCGACGATGGGTGCGGCCATGACGTTTGGTTGAGATGTGAAGATGACGATTTCGTAGTATTGTCCCAAATAGGTTAGGAAATATTCGACACCGGGACGTTTTGCAGTTCTCCAACCATGCTCTCGGGTCCATTCTGAATGTACCAACATGTCTTCGAGGGAGATAACGAGGGTGTAAGGTCTGTAAGTGTCCTTTGTCATGTCCGGGAGGAGTTTATCGCCGTTAGGGAGGTTATAGTAGTCCAATACCTCATTAAGGCGGGACATGATACGATTATAAAAGAGCATTGCACCCCATCCGTTCGGTTCGTCTGGGTGAGCATCGATTTCCTCTTGAGTCTCCCAGTTACGGCCCAAATAGACCACGCCACCGACGCCACTCAGCATGAAGAGTGTGAAGAGGTAGGTGGCGAGACGTTCACGTTTTCGGTCGGTGGAAGAGACATATTCAGGGTTACCACCGCCAGAACCTCGAGATTGAGAGGATTTGATGGGGTCTTTAGATCGCTCCGAGGATGTTGGATCGGGTTTTGTGGCTATGGTGGTGGAGTATTGATCTGGAGTTGGGGGAATGCCTTGGTCTAGGAGCGTACGAGGATCGAATTTCGGCATGGCGGGTTCTGTTTCAGAGGATTCGACATTTTCGGGTCGGATTGGTTCCGTACTCTCATTTCTCTTGGGGATTTGATCTATTGACGAGTAGGAAGGAGAGTCTGATGTAGGACTCTGGTCATCGGGACGGTTGGTTTTCGCATAGCTTCGCTTAGTTATATACGATAATGGTAATGCGAAAGAGTTTCTAGCAGATGAGGTAGAAGACGACCTAAGGAGGGATGTAGAGTAGAATCGGCCAGAGTATCGGGATAGTGATGGCGTTATGATAGTTCTTGAGGACTGTTGGAGCAGCCGCCCCGCCATGATCTTAGCGGGCAGCATTGGGAGGGACGCGGGGAGCCGCTTCAAGCGGGCTCTTCTTTTGGTCCGCAAGGAAGAAGACCCTCGGTCTCAATTGACGGTTCCTCGATTATTTGGAGCTACGGGCTGTATTGTTTGAATGAAAGACAGAGTGTAGTAATTATGGCGAGGGCGATGTCGTCGGTGACGTTGGTTTGAAGTTGAAGCTTGAAGTTGAAGTCGGTCGTTCCAAACTTGGAAGCCAGTGGTCCCACCATTATCCAAAAATTCCGCCAAGAAAAAAAACACAAGCGAAGGGACCCACCACTATAAATTCTTCCCTTCCAACCCGTCTTTCTTTCTCTTCTTCTTCTTCCTTTTCTCTCCTCAGAAAGTTGACACCCTCGAAATTTGGCCTGAAAATTTTATATTTTTCTTCGACATTGCCAGGTTGACTTGAAACTGTTCATACATTTCCTCTCTTCTTCGGGAGGGGGAAGTGTGTGGGCGCCCGTGGGGAGAAGGATATCTCGTATTCCCAAAGAACAGCCACCGATTCTCCTTTTATTAGGATTATGTGAAGTGATTGTCCCGTAAATACGATACATACTATTGCCGTGACTATCTATATTTTACTACTTGGGATCCCTAGGATCTTTGGATAAACTTCGACATTACAGTCGATATTGGTTGCCGAATGGTCGTTTGTACACTTCGGTTTTTGTGAATTCGAGAAGCATATACATATATTCAAAAGATAGAAAAGAAAGAAAAGAACCGTGGAAAAAATAATAAATAAGAAGAAAAGGTTATATTCACATTCCCCTCGCTTTCACTCCCATTTCAACTTCTAAAGTTTTCTTGTTTTTTGTTTTCAACCTGCCGCCAGATCCATCATCTCGCTTTGTACAAACACCAACAATAAATATTCGAGGATAAGAAGAGAAACAAGGATGGTAGCTTAGTTGTACCAGTACTCCTTCTTGACAAAGTCAGCCATGGTCTTCGGGTCCTCTGGGGCATCGGAGTCTGTGATTGGACGACGTTAGCTGCTGACTTGATCATATATATCATGAAAGCTTGGAGAATATTAAGGATAAAACATACGCGCGTCTTCAGCGCCAATGTATTCCATCTTGATAACATTTCCGCACTCGGTGCATCGCTCGATAGGTCGCGAACGGGATAGAGTCAACCACATGGTGACGTGGGAGTCCTATAATCACATGCCCTTTAGTATCTCTCCGACATGCCAATCATCTGACGAAAATCGTTAACATACAGCTGGGAAACCGGTGCATCCGACGTAGCTATATCGAAAACCCCCGTTAGTATGTTCTGTACTCGTAGTCATAAAACCAAGGAAAGTTGATACGTACTGCTCTTCACCAGCGCTCAGGGCAATAATCGGGTCCTCCATAGTTCCTAGTTCGACACTCAATCAGCCCTCCAATCCCCTTCCTCGGGTATAGATATCAAAGCTGATATCCCATAGGAAAATATATATATTACCTAGTCGGCTGGCATCCAATGGCTTCATATTAAAAACATCAATTCCCTCCATCTTTCCCAAAATTTCGAGACGTTCGAGACCAGTCGCCTGTTCCAAATCGGTAGGGACGGTACCAGGTTGAGCTCCGGGACCGACGAGATCAGATGCAACCTTGATTTCTATAGTCATCCTCCATATTGAATTAGATATTTCCCTTCCAATATGGTTTTTGTAAATGGAAGAAGTTGGTATATCGTACCGGAAAGCGGCTTCAAAGTACCGGGTCCGGTAACCTCTGGCTCGTGATGGTGAGAATGTCCTCCTCCTAGTGTTAAAAAAATGGTATCAGTATTTTAAAAATCCTCAATAGTTCCCATGTATGCTTCTTTATCCTCCACAATTGACTATTTAAGTATCCCCATATTCCAGAGATCCCGACATTTCCCCACTATATTGCCCCCCTAAAGCAGAAGAGAAGAGGAAAGTATGACATACTAGCAACAACACTCGCCGAAAAAGCCCTCCTCGCAACCACCGGCTTGAATCCCTGCGCCACCGCAGCGCGACGAGCAGTAGCGATAACCGATCTCGAGAACATCGTAAAGAAAATAGTCGGAGTATTCGATTAATAGAGTAGAGGAGGAGGGGGTTTTGGTGCTTCAATTGGGAGTCTAGGTCGTGATATAATGCAAGTGTCGGCAGAGCGGAGAGTTGTGGACGTCGTTAAGGTCTTTCGGGTGTTTCTGGTTGGTTGAGGAAACTCGCCCGGCAAAAATTATGACGCTTCGGAAACCTTACCTGCCTTCACAACACATTTGGGATGGGTGGCCTGACTTCAACATCATCAAAACCTCGCAATATAAATCAATACATGCTGTCTGTCGATAGTTTGCCATTGATGGAGAAGGACGTGAATTCATGTCAATTACGGAAATTAGAATACACTAATATACAGCTGCATCATGAAAACAGCAATTTTCATACGCCATAAAGATATAATAATTTTTTGAAAGGAAACAAGGCTCTTGTTGGAAAATAAAGGTAAAAAGGAAAGAAGAAAAAAAAAGCCCACCTATGCACGTCTCTTATCCATTCTATACCCCCCTTCCACTTCGATCCTACTAAAGTCTAGACGAGACTACTCAAAGTTATCACTACGATCAACCCACAGATCCTCTAGCTCGTTGAAATTCTGGAAATGCAAAGGTCGGTGCAAATCACTATAGAACGGCAACGGCGTATCAATCTTCACATGATATGGCTTCTTCTCTGCCCCATCACTGAACTGCGCTCCCAGGAAGCTGTAATTCCACACACCATTTTCAGGAACCAAAAAGTATCCCAAAATCTTGTCGGACAACAAGAGCTGACATTTCTCTCCCAAGTCCATCTTGAATCCCTGTGGCATCTCTCCGCCGCTAGGGTCTTTATTCTGGGCACCCCATTCATACCCACCGGGTGTGAGGCCCCAGGCGCTGAGCGACACTGCACCCGAGACCAGGGCGACATCGATCGTGATGGTCTTGGAATCCCAATCCTTATGTGCAGCCATCATCTTGGAATGCTGAGTCACATCGTAAGCACTCATATAGCTGGTCTCTGCTCCGCTCTGTGTATGAATCCACCCCAACGCCTCCAGACCCGCTTCCTTGGTCAAATACTCATGCTGTGGCAAGTGGCGCGGTAGCTGCACGCTAGTAGTATTCCCCACTTGCGGCACCATAACGAAACATTTGATCTCCTTCACCTGGTCGTTGTCTGGAGGGGAGGATCCGTAAATGTACGCGGCAACCTGCATCCTCAAATCCGAGATCATGATGAATTTCTTTAGAATATTCTTGGGCATGATATAAGTGAACTTGCTGCCCTCCCCAAGATCGTCAGCAGAGATGTAAATGTTGTTGGATCGACTTCTAAGGTTGTTGGCTGCGATAGCACGAGTTCTCCATTCCGTCTTGGAAGCAAAAGCACCCTGTTCATACTGCGTGGTGGTGTAGGTCAACATCTTGTCACCGTGAACGTTAACGGTTTCCGTCAAAGTTGCCGTCAACTGCTTCTGCTCTTGCTGCTGCTTGTCCATTTCCGCTGCTTGCTGACGCTGTAAACTTGGTGCGGAGATTTCCATACCAAGAATGATATCACGCACTTCAGAACTTGTCAAGCTCGACGTGTTGACATTGTTCTTCTTTCCGTAATCGTTGAGAATAAGGTCACGCAGGCTAACTTCAACCTTGACCCAGTCCTCATCACTAAGTGAGGGCCAAATGTGATGCTCCTGAGTAATGACTGTCTTGTCGGGTCGAAGTAGCAGTTTGGTCTTGTCTTGATTAACGTGGAGAGCACGAAGAATAAGGATGAGTCGGGAGAATGCGGTATAAGACGAGATAGACTTGAGCCAATCATCGTACAGGTTAAACAGGACCATCTGGGGCTCAGTTGCAGCTAAGATCATGTCTCCCAGCTTCTCGATCTTCATGGCAGCTTGGAACGGAAGCTGCAATTCGGAGGCACGAATTGAGATATTCGGAAAGTCAAGCAGATGCACTTCAAGAGGATCTAATAGACCCTTTCTTGTGACAATGAGTTGTTTCGGTTGATCTTCAACTGGGAGGGAACGGATCAAAGCTGCCACTTCCTCAGCTGTCTTCCACTTGGCAAGCTGCCCAAGACGCTTCTGACCAGCCCAAACCGCCGTTACAATGATCTTCAAGAATAACTGTCCGGATCTAGGATTGAAGATAAAAATAGCACCGTTGATCGGTTTGGTCGTCAAGTTACCTTCGAACGTCTTGTGAATGGTAACACGGTAGGTGTTGGAGTCATCGATGAACAATTGGATCTGGTTGCTGAAAAGTTCAGAGTAATTTTGCGAGTTCAAGAAATCCTGGCTAGATTCTGACGCATATAGCTGCAGACCTTTCCTGATACGTTCACGCAAAACGTATAAGGCTGGGTTGGCCTTCATAATCTTTGCCATAGCTTGTTGCATCAGCTGCTTCATACCAGGAAACCAGTTACCATAGGCATCGTAGAGATTGTAGGCAAGATCGATAGCAATCATACAACCTGTCGGTGCAGGGTAGATTGACAGAGAGTCCGTTGTATAGTCCAAGAACTTGGCTCTCACGTAACGAGAGATGTCGTGACTGTCGTAGTCTCCGTAACGCAGCTGAACGTCGACCCAAAATTTGTTGGCAGTGGTCTCGTAGCTGTCTTTGGTATCGTGAAGCAATGATGGCCGCGAGACCTGCCACTTGTTTGAGGCAAATAGCAAGATATCGGCGGCGGAGCTGTTCATCTTGTAAGACTTTCTGGGATGGATAGTTTCCTTCTGTACGGTTTCAATACCCAGAGCTTCCATTTCCTGGTCAAGGACCTGACATAAATCGAAAGTCGTGGACTCGTGAATCTTCTGCCACAAATGAGCTCTGAAGATCTGGATCAATGAAATCTTGAGTGTTGGAATTTTTCCGTGCAGGAAGATACCTGTCAGATCAAGTTGGACAACGAAACCAACATAAACATTGGCACGATTGATTGTTGGACTCCACCAGAGTGTGAAGCGACGGTTGGGAATCTGGTTCAAACCGGATCTCTGGGCGTTGGTCAACTTCTTGAACTTCATGGATTCCTCAAAACCAGATGCACGTTCCCAGAAGAGACCTTCCCAGGACGGAAAAGCAGTGGCTTTGAATAGGGTGTGCTCGAGAATTGTCTCAACACCACCGAGGGCTTGGATGACGTCGGTTCTGTAGGCATTCAAGTTCCACAGCTTCCCATCATGACGGCCGGAAGTCCACCAGAACGGTGCGCTACGCATCATCTGGTACTGCTTGAAGATCATCCTGACGCGCCAACCCTTGTCGAACGCCAAGGTGCTTCGATCCTTTTGAAAGAGGGTGTTGATACGAGGAATACCACGATCCCAAGAGTCTTCCAAGTCCTCAAGGGTTAATCGTCGACCAGCATTGTTGGCCTCCGCCCTCTTCATAGCATACTCGCTCCAAACTCGCTGCGAGTCGATGAATTCGGTTTCCCAAGGCGACAAGTATCGGAATATGTTTGGAATAAGAGTATCCTCGTCATGCGTCATACCTGCACGGAAATGGCTTATACCGGTATCTGTTTGCTTCGACCAACGACGATCACTAGTCGGGATAAGAATGTGGGAACCAGAAATCATGCCCAATCCACCCAGTTCTTTCGGTGTATAGAACACAGCTGGAGGGAAACGGGAAGGCATCTTCGAGTTCAATCCTATCTTCACACGCGTCTGAATCTTGTTTTCGCACTTCACGATGGTATCGAGAAGTTCCGTGGTCGATATGGCGGCTTCACGGTAATAGGTAAACAGAGCGATCAAGCTAGTGTTCCACTTATTTGCTATCTTCGTGAATGTAGTCGACCCCGAAGACATGAGAATCTGACGGATCCTGTTGTTGAATTTGGTGACATCCTCCTCTGTGACACGTAGGAAAGCATGGGCCGTTCGCTCCTTTGAGGAGTTGTTAACGAGAGACCAAACACTATCTTTTACTGGGAATTCATTGTTCTGGTTCCTGCAAATTGGCAAAATCCTGACCTCAAAGCCGCACATGGAAAATAGGAGATTTGGATTGTCTCTGCTGTAAACACTTGCGAAGGTTTCATCCCACTCGATGGTTGTGATACTTCGGGGTAATCGATTGGCAAGCAACCACCAGGTAGCTTTACCTAAGTTGACATCGTGTCGCATCAGGCGCATACGCGAATCACGCGGCCAGCACTTTTTGTTCTTGTACCCAATAACATTCTCAAAGTTGGGATCGGGTTGTTCTGTCAAGAATCGCTGAATGAGGTCGCGAGCTTCGTCGGCTGAAAAGCGGAAGAGGATGTGGATCTTGTCGACGTATCGGGTGTAGAGACGGATGGGGTGTGCCGACTCTGTAGCAGCGTCTTTGAACTGAAGGAATTCGTTGGGGATGCCCGGGGGTCCAGCAATCTCTGTAGCACGTTCCAAACCGAGAAGCAAAAGATCGATGATCAAGCCGTAGTACTGGAAGACAAATGCGGAAAACTGGAGACCTCGGATCAAGCCATAAGTATTTGTGTGATTCATATCCTTGTAGTTCAAGGAGACGTTGTTCTTGGCGGAGATGTAATCAGCTAAATTGTGATCCATGATAAGTCGCAGGAGTCGGTTGAGGAGTGTAAGGTCGATCTTCTCTGCAACTTTCGAGAGTTGAGTCTCAAGCAGGACATTGCATTCTCCGTCTTTAGTCTCCCAAACATCCTTTAGGTTGTTGATTCCCTGTGTCCATTTGTAGACAAGTAGGGGCGGGACCTCGCTGTCAGAGGGCTTGATCCAGTTGGGGAACAAATGGCGTTGTTCTGCTTGGTACCATAAATATTGATCTAGGTATGCGTCGGTAATTTTCTCGATCGGTTCAACATCATAAACGGGGTTGATGTCGGAATAATTGTCATTCATGTCGATCCCAACTTCCTTGAAAGCACGCTGGGTTAACAAGAACCGTTTGATCCTAGCAAGAGTCGTACCAGGGGAGTCGTAAGCCTGCTCGATGAGAGCCAATTCTTCTCTCTGGCTCTGATTCAAACGTCCTTTCACGGAGTATGCCTCCCTGAGACGTTCAAGGGCGAGGATAAGAATTTTGGTATCATGTTTGTAAGAAACAGACGGGAAGGGGATTGGGGAGAACTTTCGAGACTCTAGCCAATGAACAGTTGTCGTATATATCGCGACACCTTCTTCAGAAGAGACATATGGACCGTCTTTAAGGTAATTGTGCTGGCGCTCCTGCTCAGCTTTCAACCAAAGACGAGTCAGGCGGCCTAGGTTCTTCTTTGCGACAGTTTTGTCCACAGTAGCGCCCCGTCTGATACGTTCCCTATTGTAGTGGGCAACGCTGACCCACCAATCGGCCTTGGCTTTCACATAACGCAAAATGACGTTCTCAATAGGAGCGGGTAAACCGGGAACCTTCCAGGGGATATTCGACTTCCAACATCTCCAAGCTTCAGACAAATGTGCTAGGACAACATTGACTTTGTTTTGTTTAATACCCTCTGGCATCATGTCCGTCAGGTCGGCCATGACACTGGCTCTCAGTTCAAGATCGAAGTGAGACTCAACACGCTGTTTCGTGACAGTCTTTGCAACACCCTTGGAATGTCTACCCTCAAACTGACGAGCGAGCAAGTTCCCAAGCCAACGCTCGAGAAGCGGGATGATACCACGAAGGAAGAAAAGCCAAACACGCCATGCTGGGGCCCAGAAACCACACCCAGGACCCTTACCAACTGGTCCACCATTGAACCGGTAGTAGATAAGATGCTTCAAATCCTTGCAAGCACGAATCTGCCTCATCAGCTTGTACTTGTAACGGTACATACCCGTTAGTTGGCCAACGTGATTAAAGGCGTAAAGAATACCATCCGCAAGCTGAAAGGCATCAATGTTACCGAGACGATATTGGACTTGTGCATCGACAATAAGTTTAGTGAGGCGAAGGATTTCTCGCATTAAATGGAAAGCATTTCCGAAACGAGACTTCTTTCGCTCCTTAGTTGTCAACGTCTTCACGGGCTTCAAGTTGAAGTTATAATCCAGGTGCAGATAAGTGAGGTTCTTTCGATGAATGAGCAACTGCAAAGCATTGAAACCCTGTCGAACGACTTGTAAACCAGCCTCAACCCAATCAATTGTTGTACTCTGGAAGAATTTAGTTCCTCTTAAGCTTCGGAGAAGGTTTTGCTTGTTTTGGCTCTTCGGCGGCCGGAAGTGAAGTTCGTTTAGAACGTAACCCTTCAACAGCTTCTGATACGAAACTCTAACTTTCACCGGTTGGCCCGCAGGGACGTGCTCGAGGTACCAATTTTTCACCAACGGTATGTCCTGCGCTCGAACCATGCGACCACTACGCTTGTTGAATGGGAACGGGGCCCACCACAATTGGATGGCGCTGGCGGTATTTTCGGTATATAGTTCCTCCTCTTCTAAGAATGGTTGTACCTCATCGGGAAGTTCAAAATCATCCTCCTCGATTCCAACTCCCAGTACGTCATCCTCGATACTTGAGTTAGCGTTCGCGGCGCGAACTTCCCTACTGCTGATCGGAGCGATGACAGGATCGAAATAGAAGGCTGGGAGATCAGGGTCGTCGGCACGAACGTAACAGACTTGCGGGTCGTGGTAGCTCGAAATTTTGACAGAACGCGGGAGCGAGTTGTAAAGGTAGGGGAACGCAACCTTGTACTCAGTTCTAATCGGAGCACGGAAAATGATACGTTCAATGGCATTAAACTCTCCAAAATCCTCATTGGTGTCGATATCCTTGTACAATGGTTCGAATCGGGGCCCTCCAGGGATGGCCACGTTGAGCGCTTTGGCGGTGAAGAATGACTCTCTATCGAAAAGATAGAAGTAATTGTGGTCATTCACGTCACTCAGTAGTTGATGCGACAAACGATAAAGATTAGCCATCTGTGGCAAATTCAGGTTCCACTTCTTGTAGCTCGGCCCATTGGCGTGTGGCGTGTCAACAAGTGGGCGATGATCGTAGAACCATTCGTACACATGCTCATCCTCAGCTTCATCTAGGTCCATCTGAATCGGCTCGAGTGGTTCGACGTCTTCGATATTCTCGCTGTATGATAGTGGTGGTTCTTCATCGTCAAATACTGGAAACCGCATACGTTTGAAGTGTCGTCTGTCTGCCTTTTCTCGCCTCATAACCGTCCACATTGTTGCCCATTGTGCTTCAAAAACTGGGGGTATGACTCGAGGAACTTCATTGACGAGGGTCAAACAGCCATTGACGTGATAGAGAACCCGAACATCACGTTGGGATTCCCATGGCATAGGCATGTTCTCTAATAGTTTGAGGACAGCATGTGGCTAGAAAGATTGAATAGTAATGTTAGTCGCGTCTATACTGGGTCGTACGCCTTTTGCAAAGAAACCATCCACACAGGACCTGTTTAGCGTACACAACTTCCTCGCACATCATATAAGATAGGACGGACAGTGGGCCTTACCATGTATTTCAAACTACCAAGATATGCCCTCTTATCAGCCGAGAATTTCTTCTGGCTAACATCTCCAATATCCTTTACGATCTTTCGCAGATGCTCTGGTGGCATGTCACTCTTTTGAGTCTAAATTTATATTATCATTAGTGGAATTCACAGTAGCCATAAGGAGTCTAACCGCCTACCTCGACAAATCCACCCTTCCTTTTCTCGCCGAAGCGGCTCTTCTGGGTTCTTAGCCATTCCTTCTTTTTCTGTTCCAGCTTCACCGCCTGCGGGTCAGCAGTAGGGCGATAGCCTGGTGGAGGTGGAGCCGTCAACGGTATACTAGGTCCCGGAGGCGCCCCTGCCATCATCGGACCAGACCATCCCGGTGGAGGTGGTAGACCCGCCATCTTGAAGCTGTTTTGTCAATCAAGTCAAGTCTCGTGTTAGCAGTTTGAGCAGAGCTAGAGCTATGCACGCGCTTCACGCGTCAAAACCTGGTTCTTACGTTGGTTACAGAGGTTGATGATGGTCTTTGGAGTCAGATGCGATGGATCTATAGTCCGAGTCGCGTCGGCCTCCAATGAATTGTTGATAACGAGAGAGATCTAATGTCTGTTTGATGGGAGGCGATGGAGGTCTGAATATGCGCCATGAGTCTCGTTCTCTCTGTTGGAAAACTTTGGGAGACAAACTCGACTAGCCTCATTAGGACTAGTTAATTTTATGCGTTGAGCGTTTGATAATGTGTTGGGCTTGTCGTGCAATCCTCCAAACTAGGAAGGTTTGTTCCATAGGGCTTTGTGCCCTCACCAAACGAACGGGCTGTTTCAACGCTAACGAAAAAGATTTCGATACTGAGCTTCACCATACTGCGACAAGACGACCCATCTCGACATCGACATCTTCAATCTAACCGACAGCTTTACCGACCCGCCGACACCCCCGTCCGACCTCAATCATCATGCCTTCCTCCAGAATCACCTACGTACGTTCTATTCCGTTCTGGTACGCCTTCAGACGATAATTGCTAACAGTTTAAATCAACAGAGACGGAGAAATCCGTAAGTAATGCCCTGACGACGATACAATTTGACGTTGGCGATTTTATACGACATGTCGAACTTGGGAAAGAAGATGGAACAGGAAATTCTGACGACAATCTGATGGATATAGGTACAACACTCGCAGCAACCGTATCCGTGTCATCAAGACCCCAGGCGGTGCTCTCCGAGCTCTACACATCAAAAAGAGAGGATCGGCCCCACGATGCGGTGACTGCAAGACCAAGCTCTCTGGTGTAAGTGGAATATCCGAAAACCATGGACGACAAAAGTTGGATTCGAAGTAGCGGCTGTCCCGGTCATCAAATGGGTGGAGTGTTAAGCGATCAATGGGAAACATGCAATTGGGGTTCTTCATGATGAGGGCGACGGCACTTCTGGAGAGGAATAAAGCCTTGAAATTTGTGCAATGAGCAGAAAGAGTGATGCCAGAAAAAAACACAGGAGCAGGGTCAGGGAATAGACCGACGGATGGATGACAGGGCATTGGCTACTTCGGATCAACAGCGCGGCCAACATCACGGAACTTGACAATAGATACTAACAAAGCATTTCCTCACCACAGATCCCAGCTCTCCGCCCACGAGAATACTCCCAGGTCTCCAAGCCAACAAAGACCGTCTCGAGAGCGTATGGTGGTTCCCGCTGCGGTAACTGCGTCCAGGATCGTATCGTCCGTGCCTTCCTGATCGAGGAACAGAAGATTGTCAAGAAGGTTGGTCAAATGCTCTTTATTCATAGGCCTATAGCCACAATAACAAATAACTAATTTCTATATCAAAATCTAGGTCCTCAAGGAAGCCGCTGCCAAGAAGAAGTAAACGTAGCGAACCTCTGTTTTTCTTTTGTATCTATCTTATCTTTTCGCACTTTCTTCTTCGGCACGGGTTTATAATGATCCTTTTCCCATGGGCTGGTGTTCATTCTTGTTCTGTACATCTTATGCATCTTCTTCCGTCCGACCTCCTCTATACCATCGACTCTTTACATACGCTCCGCCACCCGATTCTACACTTTCGACGCGTGGAGAATGCCCGAGGGATTGATTGGGGGCGATAGACATCATGTTGATAATAATTCTTACTTAATATCAGCATCCTCTCAAACTCAGGCCGGTCCGGCCGATAGCTTGAACCAAACCACCATTCCAAGCTCCGCTACCGGACTTTTCATCTCCATCACGAACCTCATTTTTAGTTTGTAGATACCGTAGGCCGCATTATAGCTCGAAGTGGGCCATATTGTTACATGATTTAAACAGAATTGCCAATCCGTGTTGGGCCGTGAAAAGTGACAAAAGATCCCACCCAAAAATGCACACACGAAACTAAACTGGGATTCGGGGCCCCGGAGTCACAGCCCAGCGGGTTAGCTTGATGCTAGTGAGCCCATCATGACTTCTCCATCTTTCCTGCAGTTTCGGTCATCGCTACTCCTCTTCGACTTAAACACCAACGTGTACTATAAATTTGACACTTTACCGCCGTATCACTCATGGAAAGGTGATATCGGAATTCCACTTCGCGCATCAAACCCTCACTAAACCGTACGTCATAGCCACGGTAAACAGGCCGAATCGCGACCTCACACGACTCGACAGTCCACCACGACAGACCGTGTTTTCTGATGGCTCCAACTACTATAGCGGCTTGGGAACCCTTTCCCATTCAGAGCGCCTTCAGTCCACCGCTCTACATTCAGCGCCGATTTACAACGACGTCTTACACGATATATCTCACTGATTTGACGTCGATATGGGCTGAATCGTTGGATCAAGGCGCCATCTGCGATCGCGCCGAGGACCGTAACTGCTCCATCGACCCATCTACAGATGATTCGCAGTTCCAAATCCTGTTGGAGAAATTGGCAGCGGGGGTAACAGGGCTGAACCCTTCTGTCACGGTAGACCTCGAAGTTCGAAGTGACACCTTTAATATCAATACCAAAGAAAAGCTACAAGCTCCATTACAGCCGCTAGAATGGCGGTTCCGGTTAAAACTTCAGTCCGGCGCAGTCTTTACAAAGCATTTTTCTTTACCGTTACTGTACTATGGCTCTCTTTTATCGCGGCAGACGAACAGTCTGTTAACGATTATCGACGAAAAGGATGCGACTATCGCACGGCTTTTGGACAAATTTGAAGAGTATAAATTTGATCTTAGTAGTATATTTCCAGGTTATAAGAAGGGTAGGACGCCTCAGGGAAAGGCGAAGGGGTTGGTACCGTTCGATAGGAATGCCTGGCGGCAAGAGTTACAAGCTGCCGAGTTCGAATCGAAGGCTTCGAAAGAGCTGGTGAAGACTACATTCTATCAACTAGCGAGGAAAGAGGAGAAGATAGAGATTTCGCTCCCAAAGGCACCAGAAGCCCAGTGGTGGAAAAAACTCTCAGGAAAAACAACAGTAAAGGGTGAGCCAGAGGCTGAAAGAACTCCATTTACTACGCCGAAAAAGCCGCCGCCAAAGACTGTAAGGATAAACACCGACTCAGATGACGATTTCCAGGCGCTTCCTTCATCACCAATCCGGGCTTCGGCGGTCGAACCAGAGGTTCCTACTAAGACGCCTCTTGATGATGAAACTGTATGTAGTTTTAAGGTCCTATATCCCTATTGGTCTGATTACTCTTGCTAACATAGCAATAAGACGGATGACGAAGATGACAATCTGATGAATGTTATCCCCACTGGGGGGTCTCGGTCAACCTCAACTTCACAGAACACACCTTTGCCCACGAAGGGATCTGTCTCCCCTATACGTTTGGAAACGAAAAGCACTTCGCCTAGACCTGCTGTGAAGAAGGAGCCACAGGACCGCCAATCCAAGTTCGAAGAAAACTTTCGCAGCCAAATGGGATTCCTTGACTCACTTGTTGAATATGATGAAACTACCAGTGATTCTGAAACTGAAGCTCCCAAGCCAAAAAAAGTGGCACTTGCCGCTGGAAAAACAGGTGGTATCAAGAAAACAATCGGTGGTAGAAAGCAGGAACAACCCAAACCGCCACAAGATGATTTAGAAGACAGTAGTATGCCTCCTGCAGAACCCAAGGTGGAAGAAGAAACAGAGGCTCCGAAACGTCTGGGAAAGATCAAGGGGACAATCGGAAGCCGCAAACCAGGCGCAGAGCCTGCAAAGCGCAAGGAACCAGAGCCAGATAGTGATGTAAGTTCCAACCTTTCCTTCTTGTTTTCAACCCGAGAACTAGGCCGCCGTTCTCTTTGGTGGTACAAACGGCGTCACCTATGTTTCAGGGGTAGCATTGAATGTGGTTGAAGTGATGAAAATCACAAGATCCGCAAGCTAACAACAATTTCTTTCTCTTTATCAGGAGGAAATGGTCGACCCGGAGCCAGAAGCACCGAAGCCACCGCCTGTATGGTTATCCTTCTCTTTGCTATTTTCTCAATTTCCTTACCAAACTCTTCATCCACGCCCCAAAGAGATGCATGAAGACCCATTTTTCTCTAGAGGACAACCTTATATCGAAACGATAGCACACCGTATTTCCTTTCACCTCAAAGTTGCATAACTAACCGCTAGTACAACGGCAGAAAAAGAAGGCAAAATCGAAATCTCCTCCCATTCAAGGCATGGACGAGGACGCCGCACAAAAGCGACGTGAAGATCTACAAAGGCAACTTGCATCTAAAGCGGCAGGGAAAAAGAGGGGTCGGAAATTCTAAAATGTGGACGGAATGTCGTGACACTTAGACGGCACTGAGGGCCAAGGTTTCCCCTTCTCTAGCACGACGAAGGCGTCCTTGAGTTTATTTTCGGCGTTCCCATATCCTTGCTCCGACTAGCTGGAAAGCCAGGAGGTCTCAATTGGCCCCATGGAGTAAGCACGCCTTCTCAAAGCTACTGAAGCCATAGAAGGTATCTCCCCTCCGTGAATCTTTTCGGGCATAGAGTGAAGAGCTCCGGAGTCACTATAAAAGTATCAGTTTCTTTTGTATCACTATCCTTAGTTTAATCTTGCCAAGTCCAAGCATGCACAGGGTAAGTAAGGCACATCATAATATCAAAAAAAAAAACGCCTCGGGCAACAGTTTTGCTTCTATTGATTCTTCCTTGTCGAAAGATTCGCCCGGCCTCATCTCTAGAAACTACCAAAGACCTACCACGACCCTAGATTTTTTTGCAATTGAATAGTCTCATGTTAGATTATACAATTATGTGTCTACTATGTAATGTCTAATATAGCTTATTTCAACAAAGCCTTAATATACAAATCGTGAGGTTCCTTCCGTTACCTGATTCAAAGTCCAAGTCGGAGTTCACCCCGCTCTTCGAATACAGGTACACCTTGTATCTGCAATTTATCTTTTTTATCTCCCTACTCGATCACATATCATGCGCACTCATATTTCCCCCCATATTCTTTCACCATCCCACCGGCTGAGCCAATTAGACGATTAGCTTAGCGCGTGACAAGCAAGATAAATCTATCAAATAGCTAAGGCAAACATCAAACATGTAAGTGTAGCATGAGGTTTGATAGTCTAAATTCCAAGTCTTTTATAGCTTTCGTGTTCCCTAACGTTATAACGTTTAAAATGGTGATCATATCCTTATCTCGTTCGAATTTTATGAATGAACTGTTGTATTTTTGAAGTAACCATTGTGAGCTAGTAAATCAGCCTGGTTGTTTCTCAATTTCTACCTTCTAAGCGGATCAGACTGTAACTTTATGAGATCTTACAGCTTTAGAGCTAACTAGCGAGCTTTTGTCTCGTCGCCAGATTCCTCAACTGTGAGCGAGCTTATATGAGTGTTAACCCATGGGATTGGCTTAATGTCTCACAAACTCGTAAACCCAGTATTTGCAGAGGTAACAATACTCATGCTATGTAAACTTGAAAGCTGCAATTAAAAGGGCCCTAGAAAACACCCGACGTCCTTGGGCTCACATGAGCGCATATATACATATGAAAACTACAGCAGGGGCATCGGGGATCCGTATATCAGAAACCGATAAAATCATAGTTCGGTGCGTATCGCCACAAACAAGATCCTATTGTAGCCCGTGTCTGAGGTCCATGGCAGACACATGCAAGGTAGACTCTTAACTATTAGCGTGCCTGCGTGAAGTGTACCACAAACTACATCTCATGGGCTCAGGATATAGATCCATGGATCCAGGCATATGGATCGAACGACGTATGTACATGCTTATGCATATTCTTGTGCTCGATAATACATATTGATGGATGTATCTGCACGGGAACGAGAACAGATGTATGTAATCAAAATGCTGGTCGCTAACAAGTTGTGTAACCAACGGAAACTATATCAGTTAGCTTGAATTCGGCACATGTCAGGTACCAGGATAATACTACAATTCTTCAGCCCCACGCCTTGCAAGATCTCGAGGTTGTAAATGTTTACCCCCCATTCCCTACCCTGCCGCCCCATGCAAGCTTAGGAAAACTTCCGGATGGGTACTGTCGTCACCCCAGTCCACTATTGGTGAATCGAAGGTAAGATCATCACACATGAATATGTGTTACGTTACGAGCGTACGAGATTACCACGCTGAGTGTTTACGATATATCCCGTGTTCATCAACCTTAATCAGTTTAGGATGGGTCTTGGATACATATTTCGACTCGGCCCTCAAATGCATGTTTTTCACCTGCGAGAGTCGAATCTAGCCGGGGATACCTTAAGAAAGCTATAACTTAATCACGGCCAGGCCCCCCCATTCATGGGGATCCCAGAATGCCGGTATAAAGAAGGAAATTATCCTTGTATTCTTTAATAAATTTAGAGGCTGCAGGAGATACCATCGCTCTCGGAACAACTATATCACCGAATACGAAATTGATCAATTGATCAATTGAAGTCGGCTCCATGAATTCAAAACAGAACCAGGTATTTGAGCCACCGAATCTAGGATATATATATCGATCTACTTGACCTATAGCTATGTGTTCTAGGTTTCTAGGCCGGGGTCAAAAATACCTATATATCATACAGATGCGTAGTAAGAGCCCTTATAATACGCTACATAGACACAGAGCTTCATATGTATAGATGGTGATGGTCAAATGATACCATCTAAATCGATCGATTAATCACGGCGCTAGTACGACACATAAACTACAGTCCGCCGAACTTCAATATAGCGGATTTCGTCCACAGCTGGCTCCATGTGTATAACTTACTCGGTCACACAGAACCTGGTAACCAGCAAAATCAATGAATCTCGCGCAGCTAGGTGTCCTATGAGCTTTTAGCTTTAGTCTAGGGACCCCAGGCCTAGCGTAGACCTTCTGGCTAGGATCCTAGGCCAGATTTCGGTCCTTACGATAACTTTCAATATGCAATAGACTATAGTATAATACGCTCCTGCGATATATTTATATATATAAAAAAATCCTTTAAACCTCAGATCCACGAAGCCATATGATATGCGAATGTGATCCTTCATAGAGGTAGCACAAGTTAGTCAACCAAGGCCTCGAGTATATCTAACCAAATCAGGATGAATGAGGGGGGTCTCATCGCTATCCTATTGATCAATTGATAGCAGAAATTTTGATGTTTGCATAGGCAAAGTACTTCGGGACATGATCAGACGGCTCAAAATCCACCAAGAATGATGTTATTTCTGGTAGTACTATACCCGACCCAACTAACATGACAGAAAATTTACCAGGGCACGACCTAATGATCTTCCTAACCCTCGAGTACCCTCGATCGTCCGGATTTAAAGTTGACAACAGCCTTGAATTGTGCCGAATATACCCTGCAGATACTTCAAGGCGTCAGAATTGCCATGCCCGTAGAGATATGCTATCTAGCACTAGGCTCCAACATATAGAGATAAATGATACATATGGAGCGCTATAATTCGCTATAGTGCCAATTTTTTAGCTAATTCGCGCCGCCTTGGTCGCGTTTCCAGTGACATCCCTGTTACATATATATATAGCACACGGATGATTCTGCTTATGACGTACGACTACGGCTGTGTAAACAGATACCAGCCTTGTATTTACAAAGTAATCAGGAATGTGCCTAGTATTTGCCACAGAACCAGTGGAGGCTAGCATCAGCTTGAAACTTTGAAGGAGTTTGCCGAATCAATTGATCGCTATCAATTCATTTTGAAAACATATACCCGGTAAGTTTTGGAAATTTGACGATACACGTCCGGCCGTCAATAGTCCAAGGAAGTATAGGACCAAGATCAAGTAAAAGACTAATCTGCAGCCCAGACGCTGTGAGCTACTTACCAATGCCTAATAGCGAATTATGAAACAAACCACGGGTTCTGTAGGTATCCTGTGTAACTATGACCCTCCCGTTTTGCAGTTTCACCTGGAACCAGGTTGATAAAAAGTCAAGTGATACCACGGGTCTTGCCTGGTTCGAAACTTGAGGCGTGCAGCTGAGCTTTTCATGCTCTAGTAGTCAAACGTTGGCACCAGATTAAGTACAAGAATTATAGCCTCGAGACCAGGCGCAGGGAAAGGGCAGGGCAAGAATTAGAATGTTGGAAGCCAGGAGGCTGCATGTGCCGCGACCCAGCGGCTACGAAACCATATACTAGCCTCGAGACCACCATATACCAATATCGACCAATCCCAACATGCATGGACTGCATGATATTCTTTCCATATATGCGTGGCGGTATAAACCTTTGTTGATTAACTACCAAACTGTGCCCCAATATAACAGTTTTATATATTTATATCATTGGATTTGCAACAGATTACCTAATCTAGCTCCGGATATCGAGATCCGGAAATCCTGAGGCTTTTCATCCGCATTTATGACAGATAATTACCTTGGTTCGAAGTTGCATATTGCAAATCTGCAATTCTAGCCACCGGGGCTTCAGGCAAACCACTATTGGGCAATATAAATTTAATTTACCAAATGTCTACATCATGATAGCATCCGAAAATTGCAAACTTGGAGGCTCTCTAAGCTTGTGCCACCATGAGTATGGCATTAAGCATGGGGAAGGCACAATCCCGCCACTCGTGCTCGGCTACATGCATGCGACCCCAGGCTACAACGAAGCGTCGAAACAGGCCAACTACGGCGACCAAATATACCACAAAATAGCAGTGGCCACAAGACCAAGTCGTAGCAATGCATTCCATTGAAGCTCAAACATACACTCGAAATAGCTGCAGGATATTTAATTTTATATTACATGTATACCAGCCCTCCTAGCTAGGCATTCAGGGCCGCATTTCTCTAAGATTGATTCAGAAGTGCGGCCCTGTATCAGCCCCAAGACCCGGATACAGAACTAGCGTATACATCGGCGTGAAATTTAACACCCGTGCGTAGATCAAAATGTAGAAACCCAGACTGTTCTTTCTATGTACGAACGCTAATATTATCTTCCCAGCCTGACCAGCATTAAATCACGATGCAGCCACAGATGACACAAGCCTGTTACGAAACCATGGCTCCCCTTTCCCTTACTTCGAACAGTTAGAAACGTCCAATCTATCCATATCCTTGAGCATGTTAAAAAAATCCCGAACATATTAAGCAAACTATGGCGTCTGTCAAGCCCATTGTTCCTTCCCCCCCCCTTCGCCATCGATACATCATGCCAGGGACACCCGTTGTTTGTTTGCTCTCAATATTTCTGCTACATATGCGCCCAAGCTAGTGCAAAAGTTAATTTACGATGATTATCAAGGCATAAGATCTTCCCTATTATCATTGTGGCTGCCACCCATGAGCTGCGCAGCAAAACCCACGAAAGGAAGAGGGTGTAAAGTGGATCCGTGGGTAAGGATACCGGGTCTTGAAAAAAGGCGTCTCTTGGCTAAAAATGCCAGGGCTGTAGAATGTTATGTCCATAGACGCATTGAAGAGGGTGCATCGATGGCTGCACGCTATACGGGGTATGCAGGCTCGCCAACCACATGGCAATTTAAGCTGAGCGATCCGACCCACTCACACGTTTTATCGTCTACACCGATTACCACGTGGCTCCTAGTCGACGCATTTCCAAGACGAAAACCACATGGGCATCCAGGTACAGAAGCTTAAACTCTATAGATGGTGTTGCATATATATCATGCACACTCACACACACACACTAGCGGAATTCGTAATTTCTGCCGTGTTGAATGTTTTCGTGATTCCGTCGAAAATGCCGCCGACACGGCTGCTAGCTTTACCAGAAAGGGAATAAACCTCGTGGTGCAAACTGAGGATCATCGATGAGCATATAGTGGCTGGTGTCTATAATATTGGACACCCCCCTGGAATAACATTATAGAGTAACCACAAATAGGATCTCGAACTGCAATTTCCCGTGTCTGTGAATAGTTTGCAGCCTTTCTACATCCTGTCTCGTACCCCGACCTTAACTCTGCAGAAACTCTGAAAGTACCAATCAATAGCGAATAGGGATTCGATTCGACTGAACCCCTGCAGAATCGACGGACACTCAAGCACATTCGCTAAATATCGCGTGGCAGGAGAAAACTCACCGAGCCTTAGAAATTCTAAGACTATGCATGCCTAGACTCACAGTGAAGGAAAAGGAGACCGAACCGTTACTCGTATCCCACCATCTTGAGACGGCATATCGGCGTGCCCATCCGATCTAGTCTACCGAACCACGTTTTCGAGGCCCATGAGTTCCTCGCGTGGGCATGACATGGAGGCTTGATCTTACATACCGAACATACCTCTTACCCCGCAGCTAGCCTCCCACCCAAGATGTAACCCAAGCTGCAGAGTCCTACGCAGCTCATTTCACACATTTCACAATGCATCGGCAAGAAAAAAGTGCTCGAGAGCAGAGGTGATCGACCACTCAGGTTATCGTTCGGACTCATTCATTCCTGCGAGTTCTCTTAGAATGCAGCCCTTCATTCGCTTCTGTCAGCGTGGGAGGCTAAATGGCCACGAGGTTGAGTGGAGAAAAGGTGCATGCAGGGCGGGCGCTTAGTGTTTGGATTCGTCGAAAAATATACCACACCGTCTATGTGTTGAAGTGATGTTGGATCGCTGATTGGCCTGTGCTACAATACCTTACCGAAAGTGGGCACGGACTTCTGTCTTGCAGAATTTATGGCAAGTGCCGACCCACCAAAAAAGTTTTCCCCTCCCACGGTTCGATGCCTATCACATTTTTGAGTGTTTTCGACGGTAGTTAATGACAAAAAGATAATATGTAATGCTTATGCTTTAGCTAGCTCCCCCATGGATAGGTTTCCTAAAAGGATTACTCCAGACGAAAAAAAAAAAAAACCTTTCTCATTTCAGAAGTAATCCGTATTGTTCGTAACTTGCTTCACGATCGATTTAATATTCCAAGCCATGAATAACTTTGTGTATACATCGCAGGCACGATCGAGGCATGAAATCTCAAAGATTACATCAGAATCTAGTGCCTCATCATGATTCACCGCATTATAAGAAGGCTCACCGTCTAAGCTTCAATTACGCCTAGATTCTGTCTCATTTTGCATTAGTATCCTGCATAACACGTAAGCAAGCTAGCGCAACGATGCGGCAAACCTCGACGGCTCGGACTGTGAGGACCCGAGCGAGCCAAGCCAAGATGTTAGTTCAGAAAACTGTTAACATCGACAAGGTCTACGAATGCATACATACATGTATACATAGACGCATTGATTTCAAAAGAAGAAGAACGAAGGAAAAATAATCTAATATTAGCCAACGGGACTATGTTCTCGATCGATCCAAACGACAATACATTACCACAAGACACTCCTGCATGCGTCAGTTCATGCCCACGTTTTTTTCCATTGCAGACCCGCGCGTGCCCGCACACCATCACGAAGAGAAAGAAATAATTTACAGACACAATTTCCCTTGTCAGCCTCGTGAGTAGAAAGTAAATGTCAATCCTTACATCTTGGAAGGAAAGGAAGACTCGGTTGGTCTTGGCCGTTGCAGGGGTGTTGGTTTCGAAGCCTTCCAGAATGCTTCCAAAAACAAGCATATCCTGAAACGGCTTCTCTGCAGGGGTTCCCACTAGACCCGAATTTGGGGGACCACACCCCCCTGCAAAGCTGATTCTTGCAGCAATCAGATGATGCTTGGAAAGTAGCTGCGAAAGTGGATAACTCGGAAGGGCTCCTCTGGTGAAGGCTCTTAGTATGAAGCCCGGTAGATGCATTCAACCTATATCTACAAAGTCAATTGGATAACACGGTTTTGAGCGGAGGATTATTGCGTGAGCTAGTATACTAGTAACCATCTAACCAGCATCCGAACCCGAACGTGGGTCAACGTAGGAGTTCAGATGGCGTAAAAAAGCGCCATTGCATACATACCAAGTCTTTATCTCCACCACTTTTGAAATGACGTATTGATCGAATACCCATTTTCCGAATATTCAGGGTGAGAAGTGTTTCAGGATCTTCTAGAAGACTGTCATGTCACTTCCACAGCTGGGGTGGCTTTCCCATGCTCAGGGACGAGTTACGGGATCACCCTCCTAATTCTACCGCCGCGGTCGACCGGTCAGGTGTGCATGTGCTCCGTGCTGTTATCGATAAAGTAACCCAACCACCCCAGAGGCCGGTCAACGAAATGAAACGGGCCTCGACTTTCGCTCGCCACCAACGAAGCGAAAGTAGCCCAATGCTCGAGCGCTCTCGCGGCATGAAATCCGGTTCCTGAAAACCTGTCACCGATCCACTCGACCTTCCAAATTTATCATCTCGAGTATGCAGGTACCGTCTCAAATAAAGAAAGGGTCAGAGCGGGCGGGGGAATAACTTCCCTTAAAAAGAAAGGCTGGTGAAAACAAAGATCTCGTACCTGAAGCTAGGGCTGGTATCAATTTCACGATTTTAACCAGCCGAGAGATCATAAAAAAATAAAATACCCAAACAATTGAAATTAACCTTGAGAACCAAAAAAAGATAAACTTAGGATATGACACCTTGTCTAGACCCCATTGAGCACATAGAACGCCCCGGATTGCTTTCATCTGTCATGCCAGTAACGTATGTCCATGTATCATGCACCTCAATGAAAAAAACTTTTAACTCACAATCCTACTACCATTATTTTAATATTTTTTCACACCCATTCGGGTTGTTTCGTGATATAGGCGATTAACCACGTGCTGAATTCCCTCTCCCCCATGGCCTTAACGGGCATGATCTGAAGCTGTATAGACGCAGGTACCATATCCCCTTGAAAATACCCACCCCCAGAGTTTCGATACCCTCAAAAACCCTTGGGGTGTACGGTCCGTGAGTAATTTCTATATTTACACATCGTTCTCTCTCTCTCTCTTTCTCTCTTAGAAATGGATTATCACATCGGCGTACCGAAACACTATCCTAGATCCTGATATATAGCAATATATTCTAAACTTATGGGAAAGTCATAATATGTCCCTTTGTGGTAGCATGCCTCCCCCATGCATGCATGATCCGCCGCATGCGCGCAAAAACTATATTGCCGCATTACTGATCTTTACACCCATGGCCAGAACATAGACCGGGTACTCCACCCCTTGGCTTTTCTCAAGACCAAGGCTTTCAAGGATAAAAGCTCATTACAGAGGAATTCCCCCATTCGTGGCTTATCGCCGCCACATACATGTATTCTAAAACTAATCGGAGTTAATTGACTACCACCCTGGCCATATATACAGCTTTCCACACACACAGCTAGTTGTAACATCCAACCAGTTTTGCATGGGGAGGGGGTTGGCCATGGTTTGAGAGCCACTCATTACTTTGTAAGGCATTCTCAGTCACCATAGATCGAAACATGCCTGTATGGATGTACATATAGATATATGCACCGGGTATATTTTCTCCCCTTGGCAATGTTTTGAATAATAACGTTATCAGCATCCCAGGCATTAGTTTGACGTCCTCGTCAAGACGAAACCTCATTGAATGCAACTCACCAAGACCTGACTACCAGTTAAGCGGAAGCTGCCGCCACTGTAATCATAAGCTCCAAAGCTTCAAGGGTTTTAAAACTTGATAATCGTATCAGAAATATCTTCCACAAGGCTAGAGCTCTGAGAAAAACAGCAAAAAATCCTTGTGCATATGTATGTACTTACTTGGGAATGCATGAAAGAGTTCGTCAACTTAAAATTACAATATACTTTTGACATCAATTGATTGACTCAGTTTGAAGCTCTCACCGTCACTAGTTCGTCACCTTTGGCCATCATTTTATTTCACTTATGCAGATTTTTAAGATTTAATAACTCCAAAAATCCGAGCCGAGAAAACAAAAGCTAGAAGGCTAGCAATCGGGCGCAGCCGACCAGCCACTTCTACATGGCTGGCTCTCTCTCAAGGCACAGCTCAGTCAAACTAGTACTAATGGTACCTTTTTAATTTATTTGCGATTAATATTAATATTAATTAAAACCTGAAAATCCGGCGCTTGAAAGAAAAAGTGAAGGTTCATGATGTAACTGGCCACGAATCCTGTGACCTTAAATTCCCATGTAATGTGTACAATGCAAGTATGTAATAAACCTACACATCGATCGATTGAGGTTAGGAGGATGAGCAAAAGCAATCCGCGAATCATCGAGAAACTTAACGAAACGAGGACATTTCCCTTCAAATCGGATCTCATCGCCATCGCTCATCGTCAGACCACCCCTAAACGGCCGGGGGGTTTTTTACACCGAGGATCAGACGATTTAACCTAGCTAGCCAGTTAACTAACTCGTAAAGAAAGTTCTCGCTATCGAGAGCTCTAAATAGTTAGTCGTATTCCGAACGCTAGATCTAATACCCGTGGTTGGAATGAGAGACATTCAGGTACCGTTTCTCTTTCCGTGCTTAGTGCACTTAGCTTACTTTTTCTCGTCAGTGCAAGTTGGTTCAAGCTGGCCTTGATGGAAGGAAAATTGCTGGGGGGTGGAAGGTCCGGAACGCCATCTGATCATAATCTCTGATTCAATCTACTGCCAAGCTCGTGTTCCTGAATGCACGCCGTTTCGCTAGCTCCTTCCCTTTCGTCTACGTAGGTTTCAGCGCCCTTGTCGTTTTGTTGATTCCAATCGCGATCGAAGGGGAAGAAACCATTAAAAGGAGAAAAAGAAAAAAAACGAAGAAGAAAAGCTTGGAGCTCCATCGGTTGACCCGGCCATCTTACAACCGTCGTCGCTGTCGTCCGAACAGGAACCCATGCCGAAACTTCTTCAATGGGCATAAATATAATAACATCTACTGACAAAAAAGTCACACCCCTTCCACCCTTCCCTTCGGGCCCGCCATGGTACCGATTTTTTCTAACCCCTCCCTAGTTAGTCCAAGTTTCCAAAGAGGTCATTCATCACCTCCTCAATAGCGCAATAGTGGAGACCTATTAAGCTCAGCTTTTAACAAGGACCAAAAGCCTGGACCCACATGGACAAACTCGTACCTGACCACTGCACAAACACCACCAACCAGTCTTCATTTTGCCCCACCTTCTTCAAAGTTCCCCCCATTAAAGTTTGCTCTTATGAAACAACCACCATAATTCCATACATAAAATAGTACATAATAATAATCTGTAAGTTAAGTCAGGTACATACATACCTTTTTTCTTCTTACTATTTTCGCGCCCTGGGAGGGGCCGGTCGGCCCACTTTTATAGTATAGTATAGTATAGTAGATACTATACTCCTCTTTTTTATCTTACTTATCTCAATCTGTACTTGAAATTGAGAAAGACGTATGTACCGGCCCATTACATACAAGATTTGATGCAGTGGGTGGGCCAAGATAACACATGCAATGACTTAATGTGGAGTACATACATACATACTTACATACTTACATACGTTACATTACTTACATTCATAGCATTTTCCTTCTAGAAAAGTCTTCTTTTGTCTTTTCGAGCAAGGTACACCCGCCTCAGCACTCCATATGATACAATGCATACATACAAGATAACATATACATCTAAGAGTGGGTCCACCGCTGCCATGTGAACCATTGCATTCATGCTCGATTTCGAACACTAAGAAAGAAAGAATCAAAAAAAAAGTAGGATTCTTTTCCCCAATCTCCTGTTAGCTTAGCTACTCCCCACCGGGTTTACCCCAGTATAACCATGGAATTATACTATCGCATGTATCATCTAATTACTAAAACGTAAAAAAATGACAATCTTATATATGTACACACCTGCTATAGAATTAATTAACAAATCCAATACGAAGAGTCCGATGTTTATGCATTAAACCTTTCTCCTCCTCTCCCTCTTCACGAAGGTCCGAGCTTACATTATCAAAGAATAACCAACCAAATTCCACTGTCTCAGAAAGATGAGAGGGAAATATAGTGATCAATCGAACTAAGTGAAGCGGAAGAGAGGAAAGCATGATAACCCAATTGCACTCAACGAAAACCTCATCAACCACAAAGAACAACAGCCACCAAAAGTGGACCCACCCCGGAGGAAGAGGGTGCTCGAGCAAGTTTTCAAATCTCGTACCTGAAGCTAGCTACATCAAGCTTAGAGTCGAGAAAGAAAAAACAAAGGGAAGACTAGGTTCAGAGCTCGACAGGATTGCGCACGCATGAACGAATTTCATTAATTCTTCTAGCTTAACTAAGTAACTACTAGTTAACTAACGGGAAAGCCACTTGCACTGTCAATGTTCTAGGAACAAGAAATTTTTAGTCGAAGTCGGACAAATTTTGTCTTTGTTTTTTGGTGATGATGATATGTTTTTCTAAACTTGTACTTACTTGACTCTACAGATAGATGGTTCTACGATTGATAGATAGTAGCTATAGATAGCGGGAAGTTTCCATGCATAATACAAACACACATACAGAAGTGTATGTATACACATTAATATCAATGAGGTTAAATAAAAAAAATCAAAGTAAAAGAAAGTATTATCTTCCCGACGATGTCACCTTAACATCACATCATACCCTCCCGCTCTATCATCCATACGCATAAACCCCCCAAAGAACCAAAAAAAAAAAAAAAAAAAATCCGAACTAGTGTGTTTCGCGAAATCCAGATCATGATGCCGACTCCAAGTTTGACTGGCTACGGTTGGTCAAAATCCCGCCTCCACTTAATCCAGGTCATCTGATGGCACGGCTCGATAACCGAATCAAAAGAACAACCCTCCCCCCAAGTAAACCATAAAACTCCTTACGCCTCAAGTAAAAAAAACACCCGGCAAAAAGAACCACTCTATTTTTGAAGATCTACGGCAGGGAACAAAGTACGAAGTGAAAAATGGGATGGCTGAGAAATATTGTTTTTTTTTTAAAGAACATTTTATTTAGTAAAATAATGATATTGTTTTCCGTGTCGTTCATTAAATGAGTGTAAAAAGTTGAGTCAGTAGAACAACAAAACGTAAAGAAGAATAGTAAATACAAGTGGTATCGTAATTAAAAGCACTAAGTTTTTTATGGAAGCGAAAAAAGGAATGTGAAAAGGCCTGGTGATAAGAGCCCCGACAAACAAGCACCTGAGTTTCGATGCAAAAAACCGAATTTTCTGCTTCATCTAAAAACGCCGTTGGGAATGGAACAAGAGATATACCCGGAAAAGCAAAAATAAACGAGAAGAACAGAGAGAGAGAGAAAAAAAAAAGTCCTGCAAAGAAGGATTAGAGGAGAAAAAAAAAGAAGGTTTTCGTATGTAGCTAAGAAAAAATCCAATTGAGTACAGTCGAAAAATTACCGGAAAGTCGTGAGGGGAAGTTGGTCCAGCTTGCTCCACCTCACCAAAAACCGAGAAGGAAAGGAAACCCGTAAAGAAAAAAGAAACAAGAAAACCAAACGCCACAAGAAAATGCACATCGCAGTCAGAATCAAGTTACAAAGCAAGAACCAGGGAAATCGAAGCAAAGGTTGTTGTGGGTGTTTAGATGCAAGGGGTTTCGAAAAGTAGTTGCGCCCGCCAAAAAGAACCAGGGATTAAGGTCCAGTAGATGCATGTATGCATGGGATATATGTGTAAGATGTTTCGGCCGTACACTACTACACTGGCGATGGATTGCCAAAAGTAAGAGTAATAGCGTAGGCGCCATCTGCAGGGGACGAGAGGAAAGGAAAAAGAATAGTGTCGGATTCGCATTCGACCGGATTCGACATCCTTTCGATTCCGCCCCAGCCGAAGTTAATGTCTCGTAAACCAGAAGAGGTTTTGATATCTTTGTGAGCGGAGATACTGAGAGAAAAAAACCAAGCGTTGCCTTTCGGGCTACAAGGTTCTGGTGTGTTGTCGGAGTAGTGAATTGATAGGTTGGAAGGTATTATAATTAAGAATTAGATGGTCATAATGATATTGGGATGCGGAAGCTTAATAAGTGCATTCGCCATCGTATTGGTGGTAGTATGAAGTTGGTTCGAACGGAGCGCAGAACCCATCGTCGCTGATGTAGAATGGGGAAGCGTGTCCATGAGCTGAAGCTGGCGATTGCGCATGCCATTCGGTGCCTCGTAAAGCCGGTGTCGCATGGCGAGAACCAACGCTGAGAGTTTCGGAGAAACTTTCAGAACTGCGAGATGAAAGATCAGGGGTCAATGGTGGTCCTTCACTGCCAACAGGCGTATGGACCATGCCGCTAGTGTTATCAAATTCGGGGAATGAAGTCGATTCGAGCTGCTGTTGTGGTTTTCCGTTAATATGCTGTTTGCGTTGAGCTTTCTTTCTTATAGTTCGAGGTCGGCTTGCCTTTGTTTGAATTCTCTTGCCGGCCCTATTCCGCTTTGGAGTAACGTAACAGCCATATGATGCATCTGGGGTCAAAGCGACTCTTTCGCCCGCTTTGCCCTGCTTTCGGTATCTTGTAGTGGATTTTATACCACCATCGACAGCAGCTGGGGCGAGGAGCCACATGAATCCCTTTCCGGACTCGCCATTTTGTCTCTCGACCTTAACGAAAGCCTATATTATTATTAGCATCTTAGTATTATTATTATTATCATGATTATTTATTTTTGAGAGGCCACCAGTAGCCATATCGAACTTACCCCGTTCATGGAAAGATTGTGTCTAATGGAGTTCATCCATCCTTTACCCGTATCACGCCTGAATTTGGGATACGTATCTCGGAACCATTGATAGATATCTTGTAAATGCATCTGATGACCTGGGGCGCTCTTGAGGGCCATATATATCATTTCTGCGTAAGAAGGCATATTGTCGTCCGAATAGCTTTGCTCATCGGGATTATATGGCTGGGTCATGACACTGATTTCCCTTGTCCCGGATTCATAGACAGAACCAGAGGTAGGCGGTGCTCCTGGACCCATGACTGAACCGTCCATCATAGATTGTCCGTAAATTTCGTCGCCAACATGCATTTGTGATAGCGGTGGTGTCCACTGTCCCATATGCATGAGATAGTTAGGAGAGACATCCCCCATACTTTGATGCAGCAGAGATTCGTATTCAAGCTGCTCTGGGCTATATCCTGGTGCAACAGGAATGTTACAGAATTGCGAATTGCTGGTGAAGAGAGGCATGGAATTACTCCTTCCGTATGTGATCGTTGTGGGGTTGATATCTTCGGCGAGAGTCGTAAGGAAGGGCGACGAGGCCCCGCTTGATACCATAGAAAAGACCTTTTCACTTAGGCTTTTCCCACAATGTGTGTGTGTCATCTGAGGCGGAAAGAAAGATTCCGATGGCGAAGGTGAAAGGTGAGCCTGGCCCCAAACCATATTTGATGTGTCGTTTATAGAAGATGATTGCGAAAATTGTCGGCTATGGTGATGTTGATGTTGATGATGATGATAATGATGGGAAGAATAAGAAGAGGAGGAAGGAGAGGAAGGAGAAGCTTGTGAAGGAAGAACGGTAGGAGGAACAGGATAGTTTGGAAGGGTAGAGTCTTGTGGAATGATGAGTTGATCAGGTTGGACTTGGTTTTTATAACCGGATCGGTATTTGCTCGGAACGTACGATGGCTTTTGACTATTGGCGGTAGGAGCGATAGGATTAACAATAATCTCCTGACCTTCACCTAGGTTAAGAGTAGACATGGTATCCACTTTTTTGGTTTCGGTGTATATGCAAGGCGGGCAATGCGTATTTCCTTTTTCCTTTGACTTTGGCACCGTGCGGAGGGCTCCCGTAGTTTTCTGCGATCTCCAAAAAAAAAAAAAAAAATTGTTATCTCTTTCTTTAAATTCTTTCTTTTTCTTTCTTATGTATTCCCGTAGGCTTTGTAGCGTACTTTTGGCCAGCTGCCAGCGCAGAAAGAGTAGGCGAGGAAGGCAGTGAAGTGGCCCTGAGTGTGAGTTGGTTTGGACCGGCGGCCGAAGACGAATTTGGTAGAACGTCGGGGGGGAAAGAAACTAAAAAACCACCAGGGAAACCGAAGGAAAAAAAGAAGAAAAGAAAGAAAAAAGAAACCGGGAAAATGTACTGTGTATGACGATGAAGCTACGAAAAGTAAAATACGGGTGATTCGGATAGTAGTAGATGATGACTGTGTAGTTTGTCGTGGGGAGGATAGCGACAGATGCCTGTACCCGAAACAAAGAGGGCCGGCCAGCCAGATGGTATCCTTTCTAGAAGTTCGGGCTGTTGGATAAAATCGCTAAAGGGAAAGTTGGATGAGAAATTCTATAGCTATAGATCCAAATATGAAGAAAGAGAGGAGAAAAGAAAGAAGGTTGTTTGAGAAGTCTAATTAGTTCCTGGCCTGGTCTAACGTCAACTAACTGTGAGGTGAGAGATTCGAGGGTGGCGGTCGTGTGGTTATATGATAATTAAGTATGATGCGGTTAACTTGGTGTTAGCGGTGCTGGACCGGTTTTGTGTTGCTGATGTCCTCAGATTGAATAACCTCTGCTCTGTCTGTTCTACTCTTTGCTTGTTTCTTCCTTTTTTCTTTTTTTGTACAATGCGCCCCCCAGGAACACAAAAAAAAGCAAGGACACTATGGCAGTTGATGAAACCAAAGCTGCATCTACTGCCCGTGGATATTTACTAGCTCAGGTACCGTTTCCCTCTTTTTGTGGAGCACCTCGGGGGCAGTTCTGGGAGACACAGATTTTTTTAAAAAAAAGCAAATGAGGAGTGCCCTGAGGGACTTCGGCGGGACTTTTATTGCTTAGAGCTAGAAAGAACAAGGGAACGATCCTTCTTTTCTTATTATTTATATGTATAGATTTGTTTAAGAAAGTTTTGAACTAAATATTTGTAAAGGACGAAGTTAAAATTTAAAAGTACTATGAATATTATATCGAATGTTGTGATATCCGGTGTATTCTCTGGTCTGGTCTGGTCTGGTCTGGTCTGAGTCCCATTCGAAAATCTACGAAGAGATGACCGTTCTAATATATACTAAGTACTTAGTATCTATCCTTAACTCCAGTCCACAGAAATCGTTCGAACTTGCAGCATTCTCAAAATGCGCAATTTGGTGAAGTCTAACTTACAATGTAAGTACCCCGGCAAGTTGGATCGGTCCCCTACCCAATAAATAACAGGGGTTTCTTACACAGCAATAACTTTTGCATGCATGCTGAACGTATTCTATCGGCCCAGAAGGGCTGCCGCACTGCGGCCCTTTGTTTGCGGTTCCTCAAGCGATTCAGCCAACTTGATTCTGTGCCTCGAGACCAAATACTGACACCCGTTCATACATGCGTATCTAGAATTATATTCGTTGATGTCTTCCTGGCTGCTAGTATTATGCTGAGGTACCTGTGACTTACCCACTAATGAACCTACTTCAGGGTATTTTCCTTCAGAAGAAGCGGGCGGGGTCTGAGCCCCGCCTTGTCATTTTATGTTGCATGATACATGATACCGGTACCTGTCGTTATGGTGAACTCTTTAATTATAGGATCCGAATTCGCGGGATTCGAACTCACGCCAGGCAGACAACCTTTGAATTGAATTCTTTTAAAGGCTATGAGATATCACAGGTTCATTACTGTATAATAATTAAGAAGTCTGTGATGTTTCCAACATAAACGGTAAAAATTTAAAAGTCTAGTCAACTTTTGATTCGATCGATTCGACTGCAAAAGACTGAGCCTCATAATTTGTGACATACTCTGGTCTCGCTTGATTGCCAGCTAACACGAAGTCCATGAAGCGCTTCGACGAATTACGGCACAGTTATCGTATATCAATACAAGGGTTCCGACAAAACGCTCGTCGCCATCATGTGATATCCGTTGCAGTCCGACTCGACTTGTCATATCATTCAAAATTTCACATTGCAAACATCAATAAAGTCGCTAAACATGATGGTTCGAAGAAAAACTTCATGTGGCAAGGACTCAATCGATTCATTAATCTGTATATTGTGAATTTCTTTTTTAGATCTGGCAGCGTTCGGCGGCACACAATGAACGTGACCGTATCGACCTGGCCCAAAAAACAATTTCGTTTCATAGAACTCAATGATGGATTGCCATATGGATTGATATCAATTACTATTTGGCTGACTTAATCTAGGTAGCAAGAGCTATCTAGCAATGCTATCCTAGAACACTGTATTATTCCCAGACAAATCCATTTTGACTGATATCACATTTGCGGTGATGTCCCAAAGAGGATAAGATAAACTGGCTGAGGCCTGTTTGACGTTGCCGTCCGTTCTTCCAACCGTTTGCGCGCGCATGAGTTGGAACATTCTTCTCAAACTTTGGCTCGGGTGTGCAGAGCTCTTACATCTGAGTATTAAATGTGTGTCGGGGGCTGACTGATGCAATTGCTTATTTTCGATAGTATATCTAATAATGTGGGAACACGAATGTCAGATTGTCGCTATACTTAATAAAAATTGGGAAGAAAAAAGCCTAGCTAGCCGACTGATGACGTACCTTCTTAAGCTGGAAATGTAGTTGCAAGATACCCTATTAATCCCGTAAAAAAGAAAAGTTAGCAGCCTCGCCCCTGCATAGTTTTTTGTAGGAAAGTCTCTCAATATCTGTGCCAGATCGAAAAACTTGGCGAATTCGTTCCATATAGGGCTGTCCTTTTCTCGGGATATAGAAGGAGTTTGAAAGTATGGAAAGCGCAATCGTGCAACGGCCAAAGAGGGAAAAAAAGGACTTACCTTTTCAAAAGAGCTCCTAAATCCCCTCTCCCGCTTGGCAGAGTAATCCCATTCCTTATCGACGATTCTGAAGGCAATGTCTTCATATGGGGCCCCTGCAATGAACCTGATCAAGCAAGTATCATCCTCGCCTGCCGGTGCAAAGGATTGACCCCTCTTCCTCCCCCCTTCTCTTTCAATCCGATAAGTCGGGGCTTTCGTTTTATCGATAAGATCTGGATAAAAGATATTGAACTTGTACCCCTGTACCACCTTTGGAGGTGGATTATCGTGATCATAATGTGTTTGATTGTATTTATTCCATTCGTATCCCATCTGTACACGGTTGAAATAACGTGGCTTTCGAGGTCGGTATTTACTAGCCCACGATGATTTTGAGGCCGTTTGGACTTCTTCTTCTGTTGCGAAGATTTCCTCGTTGTCACCGACGCCTCTGGCGACTTCCCTCTCGTAGAGAGCCCTTGTGGCTTGAGAGAAATCGTCATTAGGGATGGCACTGAATCTAGATATTGCACCGCCATTTTTACTACCGCCAGCATCATTCATGGACGATCTGTTTCTGTTTCGGCCGCCATCTCTTGATTTTTCGTGAGGAGCTGTGCCACGCTTGATGGGCACATAGCCAAGCTTCAATACCTTCAATCTTTCCGCGGCCTAAATTAAGGAAGCCGGATAGGAGCCTTGTTAGCGCACTTGCTGTCTGTTTCATGTGGGGTCACGAGGATGCGTCCATGATTGCGTGAATACTTACTAGTTTACGCAAAAAATCCTTCTCATCCATTTGCTCCAGGCCTTTGTCTTCGTAGGATAATTTTAGCATGGGTTCTGGGTCCATGTCCCGTGTGTACTGAATCGGTCTCCTCTCCCTAAGAGGCTGTTTTTTGGCACTTCCTTCGTTTTTATTTGCATTTTCATCCATTATCTCATCACCATCTGCTTCGATTTCCTTAACAGGTAATGGTCCAGATAGGACAACCTCCAATTTTCGTCGGATGTTCTCAGCCTCTTCCTTCTGTTGTCTTCTCAGCATATCAAGCCTACTATTAATAACTGATTCATAGACCTTTTTTAAGCGAGCCTTTGCTTTCCAAACGATCAGACTTCGTAGCAGCTGCTCCCAGTAATCGACATCAATAGGTTCGTTGGACCTGAGTTTCCGGGTTATTTGTTTTTCCAGAGTTTCAAGTTCAGTAAGAGATTTGTTGGACAAGAGTTTGTCAATATCAGTTGCCACTGAGCTCACTGCTCTTCCTTCGGGTGCAGCTGCCTTTGATTTTCGCTGACGGTCTTGACATATGACTTTCATGGTCTGAAGCAGATGGCAGTGTTAGCGTTCAAGGGTCGAAGATATCGTGACAAGGCGTCCAGTTTAGAGGGCACATACCACCCAGTATTCCTTGTTTTCCTTATTCGTCTCCAAATCCAGATAAACTGCGATATCCTTTTCTAACGCCTCAAGCTCATTGTCCCCAAGGCCTTCAAACACACCCTCAGGATCCACGATATCCAAATCCGCGTCGTCAATCTCATCATCCAACGGATTTCTGTCCTTATCAATGACCCTAAGATTTACCGCCAGGAAATCTATAGGTTTCGCCCGTCCCTCTTTAACCCTTATTTCTGCCTTCTTTTTCGCCTGTTTAAGCACAAACACGTCCTCTTGCGAGACCCATTCCCGCATTTGTTCTTCCTCTTGTAAAGCATTCCGGCGGGTTTGCTCTTTGGCGAAGGAGTCTTGATCACGGCGATTATCTCTATCTCCGTCTCGGTTTCGTCCCGCTGCTCCGCCGCCTCTTCCTCCTCTTTCACCATCTCGATCCCCTCTGCCTGATCTACCGTGGTTTGGTCGTTCCGAATCGCGATCGCGATCGCGACGGGATGACGAAGAAGGTTTGTCACGTCCGCGCCACGGGGGTGGAGAGCCTGATCGTGAACGTTTGCGGTTTCGATTGTCGCTGCCTCCGTATCTTTCCGATCTGTCTCTGTATTGATTGTTTGATGACATCTTTTTTATTATTATTTCCTCCCTCCTTTTCCCTTTCCTCACATGCGTGTACGTGTTTCAAAATGGGGAGGATTTGTCGCCTAGAGGTTTGTGTTTTTATGATATTGTGATGTGAGTCGTTTGTGTGGTAAGTGTAGGCGAGGTTCAGTTCAAGCTTCTGTTTGCAGGTAGAGGCTTGGCGTTTGAGGCTCTGCGGGAATCTCCAATTCATGATTGCATCGATTCAATTGAATCGATCCATTTCCGATATTATATCAAGAGCAAGTTATAATTAGCAGAGTATTACATACTTAGTTTTTAAGCAAAAATACATTTAATTTAAACATCAGGGATATCAGGTATATATAATATGGTCATATCAACCCCCTCGACCGAATCTCCCTTTCCACAGCCTCCATATCCGTCGACCCTTCGATTCTATAGTATACGTATAAGTACCAAAAGGTTAGTTTCACATATCACAAAGACGTCACAATGCGATATATCTAACATACGCTTCAAACCCCTTATTAAAAACACTCCAACTACTCTTCTCCCCTTCCTTCTTTTTCAACCCCGTATTCGCATACATCATCCACAGAATCCCCACACAGAAAAACACCTGTCCCAACCCCCACCATGCCGCTATACCTTGTAACACCAAATATGCGTAAAACTGTTTGGAACGGATGAGAGAATTGATGGAACGAGAGAATAACAGCGAAAATGATTTCTGTTCTTGTTGCTGTTCGTAGAATTCTAGATCTAGGTCGGATCGTTTTATATGGTATGGCTTTTTGGGTTTATCTTTGGATTTATCTTTGTCTTTGTCTTTTCGTTTGGAGGATGACATGATGACTTTTTATGCGAGTACTGAGGCTGGTTGGGGGGGTTGTATCTCTAAGGAAGCTTAAGATATGCATGGAGATTGACGGAGATGTTGGCTTGAAAAGGACACAAGATGGATTCGGCGTTTGATGCTGCCAAATACAGCTATTTGTTGCATTTTGGAGCAAACAACGCATTATTGTCAATAAAGTGCCGTTTAGGCTTGGCTGGTTATGTCCTATTCGACGACATCGTACATCCTAAAGCTATGCGGCATCACGTCGACGTCGTCCATACTCTTGAATACAATTCTTATACTTCTTAGTAAATGTCTGAAACGAGCCATATCAAGTATCTTCTCTACCCCCCAGACGTATACTTCTACCGTTCCCCGTGGCCGGTATGGTACACACTTTTATAGGCCTAAAGTAAAGGAGTCAAAGAAAAAAAAAGCCTCATGACCATTAATTAATATTAACCTCTAGCCTATCATTCCATGTATACCCAGGATCACACTAACAGCAGCACCAGCACTACGATGACATACATAGTATAGATACTACTTAAGTACTAAGTATACATACGTTACACCGCATAACTACCTCGCGCCATGCACCCCCAGCTATATAGAATCCCATACCTCCTCTTTCCCAAATAGCACTAACGCGAAAAAATTCGCCTACGCAATACACCACTATATGTACAACCCTAGCTTAGCCATCATATTACTGGCTGTATATTGTAAATGCACGTATTTGATACGCAATTATCGCTACGATGTCGGCGGATAGATCGATGCGTTGGCAGAACGTAAAGTACTAGCTAGCTACTCACCCGATAAGTACTACTTATGACCAATAGCAAGTGTCGATTATATCATAGCATCCGGGCACACACCCTGAAATACATCGACTGGTATAGCTAGGTACCCCCAACTCTATATATACGTAACTACTATAGGGCAGGTCTGTCAACACTAAGACTGTTAAATCTGTACTTTATTAGCCATATATGTATATACATATACATTAACATCGGAAATCCATCCTACTGGTCGACTAGCTACAAGCACCAAACTCCTCCAAGACTCCAATCGCAAAACTGACAATACAAAATCTACATCGACCGCGCGGGCTAAAAAAGTATAAAAGTAGATCCTACAGTATAAATCGCCATAATCAACGGCATGACTTATACATACCATAAAAGGTTACATACGTTGCACGTACAACAAAGGCTTCAAAGCGTAGCCTTAACGCAAAGTGATCATGAGTACGTGATCTGTCATCAGATAGATACCATAGGTACCAACGCCCCCCCTCCCCCCCGATCGATCGCCCCTAGTCTTTAAACTTAATTAATACACAACCATAGCCACCATAACAGATCCTCTATCGATACCACCGTCACCGTCACTTACATCTCCTATACCGCACTAACTAGATCTCCTCCATCCAGTAGACTCCGATCGAACCAATACTATACTCACGCTGCTAGAGCACTTCCAACCTATAGGATACGAACCCGTAAATCAAATTGACATAGATACCATACATAATACTCATATAAATACCTATACAGCAACCTATGCCCCCCTTGTACCTACCCCTGGCATGCTAGCTGACATGCTACGCACGTATATGCATATGTACTTACATGTAAATACACACTCATCTGTCATCTGCAGTACCACACTAATGTACTCTACACATTAATTCAACCCCGGCATAAAAGTAAAAACTATCATGCATGCAACCAAAATATGCAAGAACCCGCTGTCCAAAAAAAAAAAAAAAGACCGGGAAAAAGGGGAGAGAAAAAGCACTCAGTTGGTTATTCTACTACCTCCACAGCCTCTAAATTGCGAAAAAGAAAAAAGGCACTAGCTTTGCGTGTAACCTTCTAGAATTTTCGACAACTAAGCTTTGGTGTAACGCTTTTCTATGGCTATGATATTTACACCCACAACTAGCAACTATCGTACCCAATAGATCGATAATCGCCCGGTTCGTGTTATCGAGGCAGTGCTATATTTTATACATCCAATCAAATTTTTCGCAATTCAGATTGAAAATAAATAGTAGAGGGCATGGGACTGAGTCGGTCAGGCCACCTTGCTCTCGTATTAATTTGAATATTACAACTGTAATTGCAAGCCCTGTATCAATATCTGAGATCCTCTTGAGAAGTCATGACGAGTTGTGCGATTGCGATTACTCTAAAGCGGAAAAAAAATCATCATAATATCGATATAATCGCGCGGATATGGGCGCAGTACGGGATCAAGGTAGGGCAACCTGAAAAAAAATAATAAAGCAGACATTGCATTTGTATATGGAAATGTACTGGAAGAAGTACTGGGAAATTGAAAAGTATATAATTAAAAGATTGATGTACAATACCCCCATAAAAAATAACCCGGAGATAAAGGCAATTCTATTATTATGAAATTAGGAACAAGTAAGATATTCAGGGAGCCCCAGAATATATAACGAGTTTAACACTTCGAAATGGAGAAACGCAAAATATGGACAGTCATGGCAAAAGAACCTCAGGGTGATACATGACAGGCTAAAGTATTTAAACTGGGATGAGGAGTATTTCGGAATGTTTAAGGGGATCGAGGAATGGCTTGGGGCATGATAACGCATAACAACTATGAAAATAGAAAATGGAGGGGAAAAGAAACAGCACTCTTGTAGTATTCATAATCGTAAAAAGAATCTTAACTTGATGCTCTCTCCTCTGCAAGTTCCGCCCATATGAGAAAATACGAGCATCTAATGCACACGCCTCAATGCAAAGTAAAGAAGCCAAGGAGTCAAAAGCATGTGCTGACGCTTGTGAGCTCTTGTGGTAGTAAGGGCTATCATAAATGTTAGAATAACGAGGCCGCAAGATCCTTAAAAGCAGTTTCTTAGCATGGTATCTGCATCTTCTCGTTCCCTTTCGCGGCGTTGGTTGGCGAACATTGCAATATGCGGAGTAGTCTCGGGTCCGATAGGGACCGCATATTCCCAAACGTAGTTCATGATGGGGAAACTGGGATAGGCAGCGTTGGAACGAGGGAAAGTGGCGTATGTGTTATCATTTTCGTGGCGAGGCTGAGGCTCAGTGGGAAGTGGTAGGACGTAGTTGTCGTTAGTGACGTTGTATTGGTGCATACTGTAGATTTTAGCTTGAGTATGGGGGGAGACTGGCTTCGGCTGCCAAATAGGAGGGCTGTAAATAGGATCAGCAAGCTCGGTTTTTGGAGCCTTGAAGCAAAATGCCGAGTGGGGGCGTTTCGCTTCTGTAAGTCGCTGTCGGAACGACGAACTGAGAGAAAAAGTGCCATCAACGGATTGGCCAGCCTCTCTTGCCTGTTTCTTAATCAAGTCATGGGCGAGGAGGTATTTTTTCATGGCTTCTTTTTCTTGAGGTGAAAGTTGCTTGTTGGAAGGAGAAGAGCTGCTGCTCTCGAGCGACTTGGTGGGCGAAGAAAGACAAATTGGCTTTGTCATGGTGATATCAATGTCAGATATGGGAGAGGTAGGGACTCTGTTCTCTGTATCATCGGGCGAGGAGACACGGGAGTCTGGTTCGGTTTCTGGAGATGGGCGTTGAATGTTAACGTTACTTCCAATGATGTTGGTGTGTTTCTCTATTTCTGGCTCGTCAGACTGATTAGGAGTTTGACCTCTTTTTTCACCATACATCGTAGTATGAATTGCTAACATGGCTCGAGTGACCCTATCAATGGAATCCTCGACAAATTTGGTGATAAGAAGACGTTTTTTCTCAGGCAATTCGAATCCGTTATCCTTTTTCAGAGTAGTGCCAGGCGATGCTTGCGGAGAATTGCAATCAGGCGTGTGACTGGAGTGCGAAGGTGGTGATTGTGACTGAGGGTCGTTAGATCCGCTTGCAACGGGCGGCAGGAGGGTTGGAATGCTTGAGGTACTAGCAGAAGGTTGCTTCTTAGCAAGCCTTGCGACCTCTCTTTTCACGCGCTCCTTCATTAAGATCGCATCCCACTTAGAGAAATAAACGACCAAGTCCTTTTCAAGCGAGTGTGCATCCAAATTTTTCGCAATATCACCTAGGTTTTTGACAGGGTGATATTTGAGCATGTAGTCGATGAAGGATTCGATGTCTTCGGCACGTAGATATGTTAGGAAATCTCGGCTTCGGCGACGAAGCTTGTAGTGGTTAATCCATTGAAGGAGCTTTGTCCAGTCAACTTCTGGACAGAAAGTGATCAATGTTTGCATCAAGGGTTGATACAGGAGGTGGGCAGTTCGGTAGCTTTCCGGATACTGAGCCCAGAGGAAATCCGCCTTTGTCAATGCATCTCTACCAGGCTTAGATGTTGGGAGATTTGGGAGGGATGGGAGAGCAGGTGTGGTGTATCGGACACGTGGGGGGCGGGTTTCTAAAGCTACCATTTCGGCTGTCACAGCAATATGTGATTTTGAGACGGTTCGGTTTGGCTTGATATAAAGGAAGGAATTAGCATTTGTTCAGGCATATTGAAAGAATTAACTGCTATGGAACCACCGATTCTTGTCGAAGGTACGGGAATATACGGTGTAGTAAGCGACTGCGAATGGATCATCTTACCATGGCCGCCATGAATTTGTATAACAGGTATATCCCACCCGACTTGAAGTTTAAAAGCTGAAGGGACTTAATAATGCGGAGAAGCAATCGGACGGCAAAAAGCGTTAATTCGCTAAAGCTGCCCCGTGGTGGACTCTAGACAAGAAGCTAGCTAGAGGCGAGGAGCATAAGCGGGGAACCGGAGGGAGAATAAAGCAGGAGGGCTCCAAATACCCTCTTGTTGGACTCGCTTTCTGCAAAATATGGAAAAGCAAAAAGAGAAAAAGCGGACTGAAGGGAGGGTGAAGTCAACAAGGAATAATGGGGACTAGGGCTAGATATTGATGAAGTGGGGAGAAGAAGAAGAAGAAGAAGAAGTTGGAAATTTCGTGTAGTCGGCGGGGAGATAGCCGAGATGGACGAGATTGACGAAATATTATGATGGAAGAAGGAGAAAAGAAGAAGAAATCGATTGGTTAATTGCTAGATGATAATGCTATTCATTTATCGAAAATGTTGCTTTTAATGATGATGTTGACTTTGATGTTGTTGGGGATTGATGTGATGGTGGTTATCGAGTTCGAGTTAGTGAAGAGGGAGGGGGGAGGAAGGAGAAGAGAGGGAAGATAAGGAAGCAAATAGAGGAAAGAGAAGGGGGAGAGGAGGAAGAGGATGGAAGAGAACGGTTAGAAGGCAGCTAAATACTTGGTCTTTTGGGTATCCTCGGCAGCCATGACAACACTCGAGCTGACATCTACGTAGGGGTTTTGGATGGCAACAGTCCTGGGCAGGCCCAAGTTCTATCACTAAGTGCAAATATCAAATAGCACAAACCCATTGCAAAGAAGTATACAGCTCATATTCTTGGGACCTTGTTTGTCTGAAGCAAACTTAGTAATAGAGATAGAGTAGTGTCTAGTGATTCCTCCACAATCTAACCTCTTCATAGGGGTAGAGTATCCCCCATGATTTCACTGTAGGGTTAATTTTTCTTTGCATTTCATTGTAGCTGAAGAGGATTTCTAGTTTCTATAGGTACAAATCTAAAGTAGGGACGGTCCTAATACTCCGGTTGTACAAAACAAATGTCAATATGCCTAGTACGCTTAATTATCTTCTAAACTATCCGTCAATCAGCCGCCTTGAAAATGGCCCCCTCATTTCCCTTGTTTTACTTAAGTACCTCGATTCCTTGTAATTAAACCTGCAACTGTCAGAAGATTTACGCCTTACTAACTATGTCCTTAGCTCCCCAGCCCATTGACCTTCTTGAAGTCACATTGTATGTAGTACTCCATATTGTTTGGGATGAAGACTAGTTTTAATATTACACCTAAAAAGATCCAGCCTCGAAGATCCAGAGCCAAAGTCAAGAACTTCGTTCTCCCATCGCGTTTATTGATATATCTTGTAATTACGTAGGCGATATCTATCAGGGTACCCAAGTTCGGTACTCAAGCTCGCTTCCAAATAGTTACTGCGGTTGACACGGCCTTTAATGAGGCTTTAAACTTTCATGGAGATACTGGTGCAAAAACCCATTCCTCCCACTTCTGATGCCATCCAGGCAGCCTGGGAGCTTGCAAAAGAGGATGCTCAGAAAATTATCGTCAAGATATGCATTATAAAAGCGGCAAGGTGGTTCACGGAGTGGGAGCACACCGATAATATGGGGAAATTTGGTGTTCGCCTTCGGAAGTTGAGGGATAGCATTGGAAAACCAAGATAATATAATGAGTTCTATGAGGAGAGCTGTACTATTTGGCTAGAATTACTGTAATATTTCCAGCGCCAGACAATGTTATCGAGAGTTCCTGAGGAAGACCTTGACCCGAATATCTCTCACTTACCTATTCAGGGCACAACTGCTGGTTTGGGAGGAATTGGAGGGTCCTAGGGCTAACGGTTAACTTGGCGACTTTATAATATTTCATGTTTATATTTACCCCAGTCTCCTCTCTTAACTTCGGCTCACTTTGATGGTTTTATGAGCAAATATTCTCACAAAAGCTATTATAATCTAATGCGTTATTTCCTAATTCTGTGCCTCGCAAATCTGGATTCCATAGAGTACCTACTTAGTGTGGTTAGTAAGTACACCGAGACGGTCCAGATCTTGATATCAACACAACGTGTTTCTGTTGTATTTGGTTTCCAAGACCGTAACTAATTTGGGACGATATTCTGGCCCAACACGGAAGGATGACGTCGATCAACAAGTCTACCCCAATTGTGCACAAACATTAGTCTATAGGTCCAGCTATACGAGGCGTATCTGGTTTAAATAGAAAAATTACAATTAAAGGGCCTCGAAATTTGATATTAGGTACATATGACATATGTACTGTGAAGCTTCCTCTGAAACGGATCATATTGAACAGCTTCTGCTAGGCCAGTTTAGGTCCGGTTGCTATTAAAACACCACAAACAACGCATTTGCAGAAAACACAGCTCATTCCTAGACATCACAAGCTACGGGGTATTATGTTGCTTATATCGGGAAAACTTCCAGGTCTGCCTCTCGCTTTAATGTTAAACTTCCTCCAAAAAATTATGTGGTGCTACAAATGCGAGTGTGTCGAAAGATCAAGCATGTACGAGACCAGCCTGGACTAGAAAATAACCCCAAGTCTCAGGTCTCTAAATTAATTATAAACTACAGAGCCCTAGCTAGCATTCAATTATTTGTTCCATGTAAAATTATCAGGCAAAATATGTGGAATATGATCTCTGAGGAATTAAATGAGTGATGACAACTCATTTGGGACTGGACATAAGACTAGACTGGCTCAAGCTATTAGAGACTTGGATATCAATCGCAACGACGCGTTTGTGCTCCTCAACCACTCCTACCACTCCGGAGCTCCCACCACTAACTCACCCGCCGTTTCACTACCACATCATATTACATAGCGTAAGCTCTTTATTAGATCCGTGACCTATCAGTATCTCAAATAGTATTATCTAACATATTCAATTTGTTTATAGATTATTCTTTCTGAGCTGCGCAGCTGCAGCAAGTAATTTGTAAGTTTGAGGGGTACCGTAGCAACCCAAAAGTTTAGCCCCAACTTTATCGGTTATTTCAATACACATATATGATATATGGTCGATCGAAGGGGATCGGAGTTTGAAGATCGATTCAATAATGCACCAAAGACTGTACTAACAGGTTTTCATGAATATATAGGTCCAAAAGCCATCGATATGCCCGCCGTTACTTATTGGGGACATTGGATTGATGGGGCCCAGTTGACCGAGAACGGTGTCAACGGCCCACTAGAGACCCTTTTGAGTCGCCAACCATCACCCCTTTACACTATTCGAAATGGGACTGAAGACGTTATCCCAAACAAGCGAGAAATCATGAAATTAGCGGAATGTCGCTTGTTCCGCGCCCCCCCTGGAAGCAATGTCGCAAAGAGCGACCCAGCTTTTCCACAAGCGGCAATCTCTCAGGTAGAAATTACGAAGACGATTTTTATCAAACTCATCAACGCCCTAAAGGCCGAAAAGAACGATAAAGTGGTCGTCCTTCGTCAGGATATCGATCTCCAAGGAGCTAATTTTCATCCCCTGCTAATTAGAACTCCAGGAGCTCTTGGGATTTTCTCAAGCTCCATGGTAAAATCACAAAGAATTGAGAGAATCGTTAAAGCTATCAACAAGCTGGATTCTTGTATCCAGGCACTTACTCGAGCCATGGCAGAAACTATTACCATATCTATCCGTCAAGCCGGAACAAACACGAGCGATGCACAATTCAACACGATCCTCGTACAAATTGCTCAATCCATAGATAATATTGACGAGACATGTGGGACCAGCCTTTGGGTGGAGATTGAGAACGTATTCCCCACTAACGGGATCTTTATTGAGGCAAATAAAACTAATGGGCCAGGAGAGGAGACTTCTGAAGAAGGATAAACATCCAAACTTCTGATAGAGGAGTAGATCATGGAAGCGCGATCTTGTTTTCAGCCCCAATATTAATAATAAATCGTTTGAAAATAACTATCTTATTTCTTTCTCGGGGGTCTGTCTTATCTTGTAACCGTTCTGTCTAGAGAAGGAAGCGGAAATCGGATTTTTCAATCCTAGATACAAAGTCGTGATCAGTCTTGTATTCGCTTCGGCACGCTTCGTTATCTTGTGGGAGAAACTTTCTATTCAAAGCTAGAGCAGTCATCATAGTGATCTCTTGAGGAATTGTGAGCTATAGCACTACTGCTATACTACATAGATCAAAAAGTCGGTGATATCGCTGTGAAGCTCGGTGTCGGTACAGGTCCTTACCAAGGCATATATGGAAACTGATAGCGTGCACGTGTTCCTTGTTGAATATACCGACATAGAAGCACCTCAAAGGCGCAAAGATCCACAACGGATCGAACGGTACTAGTCTCTCTTAATAGAAAATCATGAGTGGGATGCGTCTTCTGTATGACTTCTAGGTTCTGAAGACACCCCTGGCGTTGCGCAATCCCTCCGACCTACAAAACCTCGAACCTGAAACAAAATATTGCTCCATCTTGATACCGAACCACCTCGCCCATATCTGGAACGGTGCCCAGATGTCTAACAGGTTCAGTAATTTCCTTAAGAAGCTCTGCCGCTAGTGCCAAGTCTCTCGCCAAAGGCTTCAGGCGGAATTTACCATATCGATATATCAGGTCACTCAACGCTTAATACTCTGGCCTAGCGCATTAGCTCCTCAGCGAAGCCTTACCGCTATACTGTGTGCGTTAAGTAATTACTGTTACATAGTATTCTAGAAATTGTGGGAATGCTGGATTTCGCAAGGGTAATCTGCTTTATTGCTGTCGAACTAGGATTCGGATTCATTTTAAATAGAAGTAATCACATAGGTATGCGTATTGCTAAAATTTCAATTTCAGCCGTTCTCCATATTCGAGATTAAACATAATATATAATTCCGATTCGCGAAGGCTCCACGTTTGCAAACCTTCTGACAAATTACTCAATCCACCACGCAGATGATTTTACCTACAGATATCCCGTTAGTAGTGCTTTGGAGTATTTAATTGAAATAATTTCATATTCACCTTTAGTTTGATTTGATTCCATCAACTGGTGAGCTTTGATAATCTGCGGCCAATAAGCATCAGCACTAAATCTTTACAGCTTTATGGAACCTTCACCTACCTCCTTCCACGAAAACACTTTCTCAATAACGATATTGAAACTATCCTCTTCAAACCTAGGCATAGCCTCTTCAACTAGTCTATCCCTTAGCAATTGTTGATACTCCGGCGTTCGACTCCTCAAAGTGCTCCCTTCGATTCTGATCCTTTTCCTCAATATCTGTCCAACATCGATTTTATCCTCCGTTTTAGCTCCGCCCATCATAGCTAATATCACGATTCGGCTGTCAAATGCTGCACAGCGTAAGTCCTTCTCTAGGTACCCTTGTCCGACGATATAGTCAACAATGACGTCTACACCTTTTCCGTCAGTCAACCTTAGTACCTCTTCTGCGAAATCCTGGGTCTTGTAGTTAAAGCCAGCAGTTGCTCCCAATTCTTTGACACAAAAGTCGATCTTCTCTTGCGATCCGGCAGTGACGTAAATTTCTGAGGCTCCTGCATTTTTCGCAAGTTGGATAGCCGCGATAGAAACGCCACTAGCTCCAGCATGAAGCAACACCCTTTCTCCTTTCTTAAACCCCCCAACTAGAAATAAAGCTTGTGTAGCTGTAATCCAGGCTTCAGGTACTCCTGCTGCCTCCTCGGAACTCATTTTCTTCGGTTTGTGAATTATCATCTTCGCCGAAACCGCGATCCTTTCGGCATAGGCGCCACCATATGCTAATCCGAATACTTCATCTCCAACTTTGAAAGACTCGATTTCCGGGGCTTCGTTGTAGACTTTTTCAATTTTGCCGGAGAATTCTACGCCCATGGTTTTTGGGGCTTGTGGGGGCAATGGATATTTTCCTTCTCGTTGAAGAAGGTCCATTCGGTTGAGGCCGAAGGCTTTGATTGAGACGAGGACTTGACCGGGAGATAGAGAGGGCTCTGCAATCGTGTCTATGAATAGGGAGGTCGCAGGACCCACATCGTTTTGGATATCTACCGCATTGGTTTACTTAGATATACTCCTGGTACATATAAATGTTGGCCAGATGTGACAGATCTCGGGTTTGATTCAATTGAACTTACTGACTGCCCTCATTTTTGTTGAGACGAATTTCAGGTATGTATATCGATATATATATCGACTCCAACGAAAGAACTTAACTTTCGACTTCCAAGAGTTATGAAGATGTGAATACGAAGTTAGTTGGCCTAACAGAATGCAGCTTTATCGGTAATGATTACAAATCGCCTATGGCTATCTACCACAACCATCAAAGTACGAATTAGGTTGTGCGGCATGTTGTCCGGGAAGTCTTCGGATCGTGACGTATAAACTTGAATACTTGCCGAACTAGCCTTCCGCCTCGGTAAACTTTGGCGAGCCGATAGGAAGCTCCCGCACTTACCACTTTTGGAGGGCTGTTGCATTTTTGACTCCCAACGCAGCAAGCTTCTGTCTTGGGGAAGTTTCAAATCTGACCATACTCGAAATTATGCATAGTTGCTTCTCAGGGTGTCTATAGAGGACTAAACTACACCTCTTAATTTGGCGATTTATTTATTTATTTATTGATCGATTACGGTTTAAGCTCATTAGGCGGGCCTGCAAAAAGATTTCGATTAATTGTAACGTTGCGTCTAGGATGGAAGCTATATTCCACTAGAATATTATAAACACACGGTGCTTTTTCCAAATTATCGATCCTAAATTCAAGCCCAAAAACAGGTTTAGAAGGAAAAGAACAAATTTATTTGCCCAAAAATTTTATCAAATACGGTATGACAGCCCCTTTACAGATCTAACCCCCTCATTTTTAATTCTTAGGCGCAGGGGCGGTCAGTTCAGCAATAGTCTCCTGCACAGCTGGGATCGCTTCCATTTTAGCAAACCACGCTTTGACCGCCGGAAATTCATCGTAAAAGGTTGGGTCGTAAGTAGGCATATAAATCATAGTTCTCGTCCAGGGCGCCCACGCAATATCCGCAATGGTCATCCTATCCCCAACAATCCAATCCGACCCCTTCGCTTTCTGCTGCTCCAAATGAGCGTTAAACACGCTATAAATCCTTCTAACTTCGTTCCTGAATCTGAGAAGGACATGGTCCGGGGTCTTTTCGCCGTATTTAAGCAAATGGCCTTGAGGAACGCTGAACCAGATCAGTTGCCCGGACATAGGCGCCTGGCCAGAAATCTGGAAGGCGATCCATTGATTGATCATAGATCGCTCTTCAACGGTCTTCCCGGAGAATTTGTGATCTGTGTCGTAGATCTCGGCGAGGTATTGGAGAATGGCGCCAGATTCCCAAACATGAAAGTTGTTATTATTTGGATCGGCAATGGCTGGAACACGGCCGTTAGGGTTGATAGAAGTGAAGTTCGGGTGCTTGATTCCATCCTCAAGGGTCGGGTCATCTGAGGCGACTTTCATAACATGGTTATATGGGATACCGAGAAGTTTAAGAAGAATAAAGACTTTTGGGGGGTTTGGGAATGGCAAGTAGTGACCGTAGACGGTGATTGGCTTGATATTAGTTGGTGCCATTTTCGGGAAGGAATGTTAATATTATAATGTAATTAATTTGAGTATTATTCGACTAAGATTTTGAAGAACTGACTGATCGATTGGAATGCTTTAAGTGCAAGTAGTGGGTTGGGGGGATTATATAGAGTACTATGCGTTAGGCTTTTGGGTTTTTGGATGATGGTGCTAGATAGTGGAGTGAACGGTCAATAAATGAGCAGAGGCTGTCTTATATAGAGCAGAATCGACTATGAAATGGCAACAATTGAAAATTCGAGATATTGATATCAGTTGAACGGAAACGAATATCCGTAGTCAAGCGGAAATAGATGCCCACAACCAAAGTGGTCAATTGCATATCAGCTGCTGTAATCAACGACTGTCATCGAATGTTCGATCTAGTGTCTAGACTTTGGCGCTAAGTACTATCAGAGCCTCATTCGTAATTACATTACGTGACGTAAATATAGATTTTGACCTTGGGTCCTTCTAGTTTTACTCGCAGCGGGTAGCCGCTGGTTGATTGGTGCCGCAACTATAGCGCCACCTGGGCCCGGAGAAGCTAAGCTACGGCTATAAGTATAAACCTAATGTAAATATTTAATATATCTATTTCATGATAGGTACTCACCGTCAATGTATGGGTTGAACATGAAAAAAAATTTAAATATTTCGAGTAGAAAAAGAAGATTTTCTTTATCCGTTTGATCTCTAGAGTCTCTCCTCGCGAGTTCTCTCTTCCACGCCTAGAAACTCAGAAAACTTGACAAAACGTCCTGTTCGAGAAGAATTCGAGGTCCTTTGCGTAGTTGGGAAAGCAGATTAGTGGTGTTGTAGTGTTGTAGGCGGTAGCCGTCCAGTTCCGACCTTATAACAGATTATTAATATAACATCCAGCAGTTTCGTGCATTACATAAAACTCTCAGCATGGCCGATCCAACAGACTTGAAGGAGCTGGAGGCTGTAGCGGCCAACCAAACAGACTTTAAACAGCCTCTCACGCATTATGACACTGTACCGGATGGTAAGTCCGATTGATCGGATTTTATGATATGATTTAATCAACTGTATTAGGTATATATAGCTAGAGCGATAACTAAGCTCTAAGTTTTATTACAGTACTTTTGATAGAAGAGGAACATAAAAAATATTATTTATTATCATCATCATCATTATTATTATCATCTTCGATGTATAGTAATGCTGAGGAAATCTGACGATCGATATCTCTATGTCCGGGCTGATGAGCATGATGCATGAGCGAAGCTATAAAATACGACGTAGATACAACACAGATGCGCCTAGGGGGAGAATTCGAACAAAGGAGACAGGTAGCCGTTACAATATGAAGGGGAAAGAATGATAATTAAAGGAGGGAAAAAAAAATACATACAAATGGCGAAAACTTATATTATATGTCTAAACAGAAACAGAAGAAGAAATGACCCATAGGACGAAGCCGATATGTCATTTAAATAGAGTATTCGCCAGAAGACGATACCACCCGCGAAGGCATGATCAAGAGGGATATGTGGCTTGAGAAGATCAAAACTAAAAGGGTACATCTCGCGTGGCAACAGCAGTGCTTTTTTAGAAGCATTAAATAATAACGTCCTTTGCAGATGTTCATGTTAACGTTAGTCTTTATAGATTAGTGGTTGGGTAGTATATAGAGAATTCTCTATAGTGGCCGTTGTTGGGGTACTTACCTGTGCTTCTCTAATTCGGTATGGTTTCCTGGCGATGAAAATTCCCTAGCTCTTGGTAACGAGCTACCGGTTGGCCCCTATCTGGCTGCAGGAGCTCTAGGTCTTCTGTTACGATAACTGGGAGGGCTGGTAATGGAAAAGATTAAGGATGGGCATTATAGAATAACTATTATACAAGAGTATTATACAAGTATAGTGATGGAAAAGCAGCGCTCTACCTACCAAGCGGCCAACGACCTGCAATAAGCCTAACGTATATTATCAACGCTAGGATGACCAAGACTTTGGATATGACATCTCCGGTAATGGTTTTCAATACATCCCAAGCAAAATCAGCTTGGGATTGGCTGTTTGAGGTGCATATCCAAACGTGAGTCGAGTACCCGAGAGCCTCATGGGTGGTAATGGTGCGTCGTTTCAATAGGCGATTTATCGCAGAGAGACCTTATGACCGTTTTCGCTTGCGCTACTGTAATTCAGTCCGGGCCTGCTCAAAGGGAGTTCTCCGAAAATGCTGAACGAGTTGCCATTCGCAATCCGGCTGCGGGAGTTATCCTTCAATGACGTTTCATTTACAACAAATTATGTGAGGCAAACCAATCTGAACAAAGGTGAAGGATAACTGACTCATCAGCTACCAGTTTAAAAAAGTTCTAGGAGACAAAACTGGCCTAATTCATGTGTAGACAGCCATGATGACAACTGGGTCAGCTCTTCCCGCGCAGTCCCCGCTAGAATGCCCTTTATTTGCTATTGTCTGGCCCTTGGAGCCATTCTATATCAACAATCAAAATAAGGCTTCAAAATAAGGCTTATTTTAGATCGGTATCGGGACTCAGGAAGGCTGTAATAATCCGGGCTAGGCGCTTGCCTTGTGGCCGTGTGGGTGTGAACTTGCCATTATGTGTTGAAGATTTTTGGATGTTGCTCACAGTTTAGCTGCTCAAGCACAAGTTGTTTACTGCTGAGACTGGTTACTCAGCTAAGTTATGGCCATGGTCTCGCCACAGTTTTATCTTCAATGCACCAACAGCCTCGAAAGTTGGCCAGATCAAAAGTCAGTCTCGACCAGGTCCCTGGCACCGACAGCTGGCTAGCTTTCGACACATAAACGTGTATGCACATGCACTCTACGCCTTATGCACTAGCCAGAATAGTTAATATATTAGCCTCGCTATCCTGCCAGGCAGTGAACAGAGCGCTACCACAGCACTAGATCCATGGGGTGAATGATCTCATTTTATACTGGGATTCAGCCGCGTGCCGAAGCGTTTTAATACAAGCTATATATTCTTGAGTCGGTGCTTATAAATATACAGCATCTAGGTATATAAACGAAGTAACGTACTCATAGTACTATAGTTAGATAACTACTTATATAAGGTAGTCGCCACACTGCTTTAAATTCATGAATTCAGACTTTCAGTTAACTTTCCCCTGCAAGCCTAGCCCTCAGACTATCCTACAGGTTTCACGCATGCATATTAGCTTGTTTTTTCATATGTTGACTTTTGGGAGGTAAAGATACCTTCAATTTATGGTCTCTAATGTTGCTATCTCAGCTAAGTATACTTGGGGGGCAGGACAAGACTAGGGGGCAGGTAGGTATGTGAACACATGCTGGGAAAGTTATACAGCACTGCCGGAAACGAGTCTTGGTGGAGTTTTACTATAAACATGGCTCTGTGGCCTTGTTGGTGTGTGTCTGTGCCATGTATACAGAAAGACTGCGCTATCATCTAGACGTAAAATTTAAACCCCAACCAGTTAGGCGTAGATTTACTTAAGAATGACACTGAACCCAGGTACAACTGAAGGTCTTAGAATGGTAAATATGTTTTTGGAGTAAACTAAAATCATTGACAGTATAGGCCTATATGACTGTCTTTGTCTAGATCTTCAAAATATGCTAAAATCAATGTGCATAAATACTAATTAAGCGCTCGCCATGTAACAATGTTTGATCGAAACTAAAGCTGACCGGGCTGATCCTTCAATATGAAACTGCACTAGGTCTAACTAGATGAAACCTCGAAACGAAACGAAGTGCCGAGGGCCAACTGTTATTCAGAAACAAAACTTCCAATTACACTTGGCCGTCAATTGATCAAACTGAATGAAACAATCGAATTTGAAAATTTTGATGCTGATTTCAATGCTGATGTGGGATAAACGTCTACGGATACAGGCCCTCAAAAACTAAATCGTGCGCACAGCTGAGTCCATCTTTCTCATTGAGACAACCTGTAGGGGCTCATCAAGTGTTTGAAAGTTACGTGTGATCCTACAAGATGGTGATATTGTTATGGACATTGCAGACGTTGGCTATCAACATCTGTTAATCAGGCTCGCACCCCTAAGACGGGATCACCTGAGTAGTGATAGTATTATTTAAAAAGAGTGTATGTCAAGCTTGCAAGATACAGCATGCTTACGCTTGACCCGGCTGATAGTATACCCTCCCCCCTCAACGCAACTTTGATTTGAATTCTATACAATATATCGACACCAGTATTATCTCGATGCGGTTTTCTAGACTTTTTCTAGGCTTCATCCTGCCGGCTTTCGAGGCGTCGACGTCAATAATACCACCTCTGGAAAAGAGTGGAGCATTAGTATCCCAGCTGCAGGGAAATCTCACAATCCCACAGGACAGCCGAACAGCATGGCAAGGAAATCAAACGATCTTAGCTGCACCCTCATCATTCAAGCCAGAAAATACGGAGACATCTTCTTCAAGCCTAATGGAAGCGGACCTAGTCAGCTCGGATCAGAATATCTCAGACCTTTTCAGAAAATCAGCGCAAAATCACGATAGCGCTAGGACGATTAACAGCAAAACTTTTTACGCATGGCGGGTTGTCTGTCCCACACACCAGCGGATGAGGTACATCATGAACCCAGATCCTGAAGCTTATCCCAAGATAGGAGGACGCCGGCGCCCGAATCCTAAGGACAGAGTCGAACAAGATTCATTTCGTTATGGCAAATTCAATTGTGAAGCTTGTCGTTGTTCTGATGACGGCGACATAATAGCAAACCCTAGTCTGCCTGTTGTTAAAGGCGGCCCAGGAAAAAGGGGCCGGTGTAGAATGGCAGATTTCACTCCAAAATGCACAGCCTGGTTCGGTGAGTTAGCCATGGGAGGTCAAACGTAAAGGAAGAATCTCGAGTCGGCTAACCATCCCTTAGCCTGTCGCTGCGAAGTTACAATGCACCAACTCGAAGTTGATCCTGAAAGTACATTCCAAGAACATCAAGATGCATTGGACAATATACCCTTTTTTGTGAAATCCAAGAACCCAGGGTGGCGCTGGAGTCCCGTAGATCGATTTTCCATGTCCTGGAACAAGATGGGGTCATCGAATGACGGTAGCTCTAACTATCGGGCTACTTATGATAAAAAATTAGACCTAGGAATGATTAAAGAACCATACGACCTGGAGGGTCCTGATGAGTTTGATCCCCAGGAGAAGGAAACAAACTTGGAGTGGCTAAGGACACCTTTCTGGCGATCTGAAGGGAGCTATAATTCTGGGTCTGAATTAGCCTGGAAGCGATCTAGGATTGAGGGGGTCGGTAAAGATATCAAGCAAGACCCCCAAGCTCAAGATGACCTTGAATTCAAGAACAGTCTTGAAATGGATACTGAAAGGGCTGTAGCAAATTAGAAAAAAATAAAGAATTTGTGGAGTCATTCTCGCTAGGGCCACATTTGTTTGCCGAGTAACAACAGATCATCATGATATATCGATATCAACATATCGCCAACCGAACCGCGCACTAGACTCGAATCCAGACACTCTTGGGGGCAGAGGCTGTGCACATAATTTTCAAATTTTCAAAGGGTTATATGTACTAGATATTCGAGCCGAGTTTAAGTTTCTGTAGATGGTGCGTATATTACTTGTATTTGAATTTGCGGACACTAGGCTCGTTTCCCTGTACGTATATTTATAAGTTTGTCGTACGTGCGCGTATACGTATACGCGAACGTTACGTTCTGTATATTTAGCTTCGGTCAGATCTGCCTAGTATTGAGTACTAATATATACCCTGGCGAGGCTGGATACACCAGTACTTCTACCACTTTTGGGCAGCCCCTCTGAATGGCAATTCCGACACTGAACCAGCTGCAGCTTACCACTGAGCCTGTACAGCTGTGAGACTAGCGCTAGCTATAGCTCATGACAATGGATTCGTAACCAGGAGATCTAGATACTAATTCCAACACCAGGCATGTGTTGTGGTGGCAGGCACTCAACAAGAGAAGAAAAAAAAAAAAAGACATTGGCGCTCCAAAAAACCGGATAATTCTCTCGTTCCAGTTTCTCCCAACTTCCATGCAGGTGCACTGACGGCTCGAGCTTCCCTTCTCACGCCACCTTTTCTTAAAACCAGAAGTTAAGACGGGACGTTTTCGTGGTGGACACGGTACGGGCCATAATATAATCCCTCAGCTGCATTCTCGCGGACAGGATTTGGCAATTGGGACATCAGTAGCTACTTAAAGTACTTAGGTAGGTACTTCCTTCTATATCTCAATAGCGACGGCCTCTCGCACGACTAGCTTTGATATCATACCTACCCCGCATATTTTGCCCTTAGTTCTACGATAGCTCGAATACATATCACGATGCCTTCCGAAGCTCAAGATCCAAAGGTCCTCTACATCTATCTCTCCCTCTCGGCAGGGTCATCTACAATCGATACCGGACTCCGCGTTCTTGAGAGGATATTGAAAGCAAACAAGATCCCTTTCTCCGTGATAGATATAAGCACAGATGACAAGGCGAGGAGTATATGGACTCGGAGGAAGGGTCCGAAGCAGAAACTCCCAGCGTTGGTGAAAGACGGTCAGGTTATTGGTGTTCGTATTCACTCCTTTCTCTCCGGACTGGCTCATTATGCCCTTGAGAGCTGTTCCATCTTTCTCACCTTCTGCCCCCCTCTATTTCTGCGGCGAAGCTCGATAAAGCATCCCCATGCGACACGAAGGCTAACCATAAACCGAACCTCCGTCAACACATGTCTGTTGGCGGAGACTTCCCTTGTTTGTTCGTACAGGATTTTACGGAGGTTGAGGAATGGAATGAATATGGGGAACTAAAGCAGAATTTGGGACTGGAGACTCCTTCAGCTTCATCCCTACCTCAAGCTGCCACCACAACGACAGTCGATAAAAAGCCGGAGGATAAGCAAGCGGTACCATCGGGTAGTGTAGCAATCGCTGCTGAAGCTGCTGCTGCCGCTTCCAAAAAGAACGACCAGAAATAGTCCAGGTTGGATGTACAAGCGATTCAATATTATTTGATCCGAAAGTTAGGCTTCGGTCTAGCAGCAATGACAGCACCTCTCTTGGACTGGCACCGTCGGAAGTTATTTTCTGTTCTACTACGGAACCCATGACTATGATATGCCCACACGCGACCACAAAAAGTCCTCTGCAATCCGACACCCTTACGCTCTGTTTATATATATATACGCACATGCAGATGCACTTCACCAAACTACGCTCTAGTTTAGCCTCGAGACCAGACTCAAGCCCCAGGTCTCAATGTTTATAGATGCGGTTGTTTTCCGTGTAGATGAGCGCCCACACCACGTGTCCCACTCAATATATGTGTTGCCCACTGAGCCAATGCGTCCAAGCGGTCGTCTAGTCGAGTCATGGCCTCTTGATACCTGCAATAAGAGCGGTTTATGTCCTTTTACGATCTGCTGTTGAAGTTGCCGCTGCGATCGAGGAGTTTTGGCACATTGTAATACTTAAGCTTCCCCACAGCTGACCTCGTAGTTATCGATATCGATAAGCTTTAGATCCCTGCACTAGAATCGCCTTGCCTGTTCAGGCAAATTGGGCGAGCTCGCCAAAAAAAAAAAAAAAAAGTTTTCAGTAGAAAGTGTGAGGACAAGCTTTCGAACAGCCGGTGTCGAGGAACCCAACCTATAAATTCCACTTGAAAATTTTTTCCTCGCACAAACCTCTTTCCCTTTCTTTCCTCTCTGTCTTCGATATCCCCATCGATTTCCACAACTGTTCTCATTCACCTGATACCTTCCATACCGTCGGCCACAGACAAGGAACACCCATCTTACTTTAATTTCTTCGTTCTTGTTATTATTTTTAATCCTCAATTTTTGTTATTTTTGTTGGTATGATGGCTTCCAACGGCGACAATGAGGTTCTCGATGCCAACAAGGCTCTTGATATCCTCAAGGAATACGAAGGTCGTGATGGTATTTCTGTCACTGAGCTACTTGACTCTAAGAAACGCGGTGGTTTAACGTACGTCCCCGTATCAGGTGGAAAATAGCGAAGTCCAGGAGATTTACTAACAAGAAGTCACAAACAGCTATAATGACTTTCTTGTCCTCCCCGGCTACATTGGATTTCCAGCTAGCGAGGTTGCTCTTGATTCCAAAATCACTCGTAACATCTCCCTCAAAATTCCACTAGTCTCCTCGCCTATGGACACCGTTACAGAGACAGACATGGCGATCCATATGGCGCTGCTCGGTGGTGTGGGTATCATCCACCACAACTGCCCCGCCGAGGAACAGGCCGAGATGGTTAGGAAGGTCAAGAGGTACGAGAACGGGTTTATCCTAGATCCTGTTGTTCTCAGCCCTTCGCATTGCGTCAAGGATGTTCGAGAAGTGAAGGAGAAGCAAGGGTTCGCTGGTATCCCAATCACTGGTAGGTTTTCAGTCATTCAATTTCGATATTCCAAACAACCTTGGCAAAGTCTGGCGGATAGGGAAATCCCTTCTAGCCCTAGAACGCCCAAATGATGACCAATTTGCTTTTTAAATAACTTTCGTTCAACCGCAATGGACTCACGTCCCTGTGGAAAAAAGCTTGGAGACCTCCTGATAAGCGTTACCTCGAACATGGATATCAAATGCTCTTCAATCATGAGGAATGTGACCAGCTCGCTAACATGGCTGCAATTTGATCAGAAAACGGTACCCTCTCCTCGAAGCTCGTCGGTATGGTCACCATGCGTGATATCCAATTCGTTCGGGACCCAAACACCCCTCTTCAAGAAGTCATGACTCCGCGCTCCGAACTCGTAACTGCGAACCAGGGTGTCACCCTCAGCGAGGCCAATGTTATCCTTCAAAAATGCAAAAAGGGAAAACTGCCCATTGTTGATAACAACGACAACCTGACAGCCCTTCTTTCCCGTTCCGATCTCATGAAAAACCATAACTTCCCCCTGGCTTCCAAAGTCACCGCTTCGAAGCAGCTTCTTTGCGGTGCTGCCGTTGGAACAAGACCCGATGATCGGGTTAGATTGCAAAAGTTGGTTGACGCCGGTTTGGATATCATCGTCATCGATTCGTCGCAAGGTAACTCGCTATACCAAATCGAGATGATCAAGTGGATCAAGAAGACATTCCCACAGATCGATGTTATCGGCGGAAACGTCGTAACTCGGGAGCAAGCCGCCGCGTTGATCGCTGCTGGAGCAGATGGTTTGCGTATCGGTATGGGATCTGGTAGCGCATGTATCACACAGGAAGTCATGGCGGTCGGAAGACCACAGGCTCAAGCTGTTTACAGCGTCTGCGAGTTTGCCGCTAGATTCGGGGTACCTTGTATCGCTGATGGTGGTGTCCAGAACGTCGGCCACATTGTCAAGGGATTGGCTCTGGGTGCCAGCGCTGTTATGATGGGTGGTCTGTTGGCCGGTACAACGGAAAGCCCTGGCAAGTACTTTTTGAGCGAGAAGGGACAGCTGGTTAAGGCTTACAGAGGGATGGGAAGTATCGACGCCATGGAAAGCCAGAAGACCGGTGATAATGCGGCTACCGGCAGGTATTTCAGTGAAGCGGACAAGATTTTTGTTGCGCAAGGTGTCAGTGGCAGTGTCGCCGATAGAGGGTAAGTTATTATTTTAGTTTCAGTGAAGGAGTGAAGTCAATGCTAATAATTCATTTAATAGGTCTGTTACAAAGTTTGTACCGTACCTCCAAGCCGGTCTTCAGCACTCACTTCAAGACATCGGCGTCAAATCCGTTGCTGAATTGAAGGAAGGTGTTAAAGCCGGAACTGTTAGATTCGAAATCCGAACCGCCAGCGCTCAGATGGAAGGAAACGTACACGGTCTGCATAGCTTCGAGAAGAGGTTGTACTCTTAGATTTTTCGAAGTATTAGACCTTGCGCCTTGTATTGTACATATAGACTTTTATGATATTCCCTTCTTGATTCTTCTTTTACTTTGGTGGGGCGCAGCTTGTACGTTATATGTGCTTTGGGTGGGGCATGGAAAAGTTTTTTTTGTTGTCTTTCAAGTTCATCTGATACCCTTGACCTATGTGAAAGAACATGTCGGCATGACATACAGATACCCTGAGACCCGCCGATCCGGCGTTCCCCTGCAATAGACGCCACAGTGACACCCCTGTATATGTACCAGGGAAGCGCTGTGCTCCTAGGCAAATTAAGACTCTGTAGGCGTGAGGAAAATGCGGGGTATATATATAACGAATGAAACAGCTGTTAGTTAACTGCCCCCGCCGTTGATACTGTCCAGCCACAACCAAGCCTCATTTTTTTATTGTGGAAGCGAGCTAGGAAGTGCAGAGTCTATGTTATTATATTATCGACCTTCTTTAGATGGATGCTGTAGCCGAATAAGAGCTCGAGCTTCAGCACTCGTTATGGAACAGCCTCAATGGTCGAGATTTCCATGATCTCCGAATGTATGTATATACGTTTCTTATTGATAAATATATCCTTTGTTACCAATCACTAGTCCTAGATATGAGGCTAGTCTCGGGTATGTTACTCGAATGCGCGAGATGTTGGCAAAAGCTCGATCTATATTATGTTAGAATTATTCACATCTGTAGTATATTGAACCTCAATCTTCGGACCGGGATACCTATATACATACTAAGTATCTATTATATAAAGTACTCACCGAAGACTGGAATACAAAGCTTAAGCATTGGTGAACGCAAAACCTAGAATTCTAGAAAATAGATGGAACACAAACGTCGACAAAGAGAAACTAAACACGCTTCTCGACCGGCAGTCTATAATACCAATTATAATTAATATTATTGATCGACCAATATAATCCAGAATAGGACGGTATTAGGGACCAAGATTTACTGCGTGTCTAAAATAGACTTACTTCAGAAGCAAATTTCTATTTCCCACGTGGGGATACTTAAATAGGGACTTAGATCTATTGTCTTCAAGTATCGGACGATCATTCTCACTGTTTTCAAGACTATCGCCGATCATTAATAAATTCATGTCTATCATATAGTGTTTTATAAAAATTTAAAACTTTGGAAAAGTTGGGTTACGAAAGAGCAATCCTCTTGAAGTACTGTCATTTTAAATTTCCTTAGTTAATTCAAATTTCTACCTTGTCTCTTTATAATAATTATCTGAAGTTAACACCGGCCTCGCATATTTCTGTATACACCCCTATATACTTATCCGGTTAATCGAATTGGATTACCACTCGAGCTCGAATAAATTTAAATAAGAGTCCACTCGTCGACTATAATAACTGTATCTCCCACAGCATTCGTATCAAAAATGCCGTCGAGCATATCTTCAATCTCTACCTCATCCTCGAATTCGTCAACGGCCACAGTTTCGAGCACAGGGTCTGATATTGACCATTTGGTTCCAATCATTCCTTATCTCAAGCTTTCGAGATCACAGAGGGGAATATTAACAACCTCAAAGAACCTTTCGGAGAACTGGAAAATTGCAACCGATGGCGCTATAATTATAGCGCTTAGAAAAGAAAGAATGGAACAGCAGAAGCGCGAGGAAAAGGAGCAGTGGTTGAGGACTTATCGGAAAGGGGATCCGATCAAAGAGAATGAAGGAGAGGAAGGAGAGGAAGAGGGGAAAACACTTGAGCCAGGGTGGCTATCTAAAATTTTAGATAAAAAGAATATATGAAGCACAAACCAACAGCGGCCCCGTTTTGATGGACTTTTGGACTTGGTAAGTATATTAAGTATACATTAATGGGGCTAACTAACCTGAGGTGTTGCTAATATATATACATCATCACCAGCAGGTCAAGGAGCGAACTGACCAACATATTTAAATATATATAAGTACTTACCTAGGTAAGTAAGTTACGTATATATACATATATATACACAGTTTAGCGCTGTATACGTATTTGGGAGCTCGGAAATCTATAAGCCACTTATTCGTGGAAGCACAACCAGTGAGCGCCCTGACACTGTCGAAAAATCAAAACGTCGTAGAGAGAAAGCCACTCTGACGTCTTCACGGCACTCAACGGACGCAGACCTCATTCCTGAACCAGTTAGGTATGCGTTGATACTTCAGAATACAACATTCTGCAGCTATAAAGTGAATGGTCCGGACGGACGGATCACGGATAGCTTTCAATAACAAGACAAGTTAGCAATTTACTGATACTTCCATTACTACGATTCAATGACTTCGCAAGCCACCCCTTGTCTCATTTCGGTACTATCGAATAGCTTAATTTTTAACCTTATTATACCTCGTGTTCCTATCCAGTCGTTACTTGCACTTTTATCAACCTCCCATTCACTCCGTTCGCTTTTAAAATCCTCTCCCGATACTTTCCGATACCTCGATTTCACGGACTTACCGATTGCAAATGTAGACCGAACACCTCTTGATACCGGTGGCATATCTTGGCGCGCCGAGCGCATGGATGAAGCCCTTACCGAAGAGGAATTCTTTTCTGGACCACTTCGTGGAATATTTTACAGCCTCACACAACAAAAGATCCTCCAGAATGTGAGCACGCTTATCCTCGACGGGATGGCTGTGACAACGGATATACTAGAGGAAATAACGTTGGATACTTCCGGAGGATTTAATGTTCGCATATTAAGTGTTCGTGGCTGTTTTAGATTTAACTATCCACAAGTTGAAACGAAAAAGATACTTCAACTTATAAGATTGGCGGTTACACGGCCAAAACCTCCACGGCTTAAAGCACTTTATATTCTCGGGTGTACTACTCCTATAACCTACCTCAAAAATCCAAATTGGAGAGCTGAGGCTTTGCGACTGTTTCCAGGGCCGGTTGCATATTTACCAGAGGACCCTTGGTATCTTCCTTTAGGTTGTGCTCCTCGCCAAATTATTGATTCTCTTGAGGATATTCTTGGGATAGATGCGGACAATATTATAAAAGCTGCAGAGGGGGTGATGAAGTTTGATTTCATGTTATGTCGTGGACCGAACCATGATCCAAACTTCACAGAAGACCCAATCGTATCACAACTCGCCACCCTCCCTCTAGGATTCGGATGTATGAGTTGCGGATCCTCCCCAGAGGGTCCAGGGATATACGGCAAGACGCCATCGGGATGGTTACCGCTACTAGCGCCCCCGCCTATAACAACCAGTTCAGTAGAAGCTGCTTGGCGGCCACTGAAAAGGCCGGACGGAACATATCCGGAGCTATATGCAAGATGTTACTACTGTATTCAACACCGACGGTGTATTAGATGCAGAGATTGGATTTGCGAAAACTGCGCAGATGACACCGAGATAGTCAAGTTCATTGCGACATTTGTAGATGTCGAAGCTGGAACCGTGCCTGCGGAGTATCTTCAGGGAGTGATGTATAACTGGGAAGGCCGGCCGGTGGGGAGGCATGGAGAACATGATCTGCTGTGCCTTAGAAATTGTATGAAAGAGGTGTTTGGTTATCGTAGGGAATCCGAATTCGGCGGGTTCCCAACCACTCTATTGCGTGCCCAGCATATCCCAGAGGTTTTGTGAGACAAACTGTCCAAAATCCGCTTGTTAGATAGTATCTAGAGTATAGTTGTTTAGGTATATATTCATGAATACAAGATTATGTACATAACAATAACTTACAATTGCAATCCTGTTGTTCAATACATATATGCATATCGATATTTATATTTCAAGGCCAAAAGCGAATTCTGTGAAGCTGATTTGTGGTATTTTTTGGTGGCAGTTTTTTTTCGGCCGAAAGAAGTCGTCACTACCTGCATACTCCCGCCGATGTATAACGTCATTAATATTCCCCAGCTACCTCTGAGAACTAGCTACGTAACGGACTTCAGAGTCGGTCGATGTTCAGGACCCCCATTTCCATCCGCACTGGCACCTTACCACGGCCATTCCGAACGATTGGTTCAGTTCAAGCTAAAACCATCAGCCTACCTTTGCGCCCCTGTGCCTTTTTACCCATCGGTCAGATGGCTTCAAGCAGCTCCAGCAACAGCAGGGCGCGGGATCAGGGACAGTCATCATCATTCCCAACTTTCAAAGATCGCGGTCCCTCCAAGTCGCCGACCCATTTCCTCTGTCTTCCTCTCCACGGAAACTACTACCAAACACTCCCACCGGCTCATTTATCCTTAAAAACAGCTCTAAAACAGTTCACAATAGATGAGGCAAACCCAGAAAGTGGGCTGTCTGAGTCCGATGAGAAATTCAGAATCCCGCCGGATGCTTTCCGGCCATTTGATACTCTACACCTAACACTCGGTGTTATGACGTTATCTACCAAAGAAGAAGTCGAAAATGCGATATCGACACTAAAAAGCCTAGATCTTTCACAATTTTTACCCCCTGCTGTATCGGGTGGAGATAAGAAGCTCTATGTAGACCTCAAGGGCCTGCAACCATTCTTAAACTCCAAGTCCACAATCGCTGGTTGCCGTGTGATTTTTCTCCCACCAACAGATGCCTCGTCGTCGTCTCAAACCCGGCTACTACAGTTTAGCGAAGCCCTTCGCTCACATCTCATCGAAAAGGGTATTTTAACGTCTGAAAATAGGCCGTTGAAGTTGCATGCGACAGTTATAAATACAGTCTACTGTAAACGGATAAATCCGGCATTGGATTCCAGAAATACCAGAAACAGAGATAGGGGTTCAAGGTCAAATAAGATTGAAAGAGTAGAGTTTGATGGCTCGGAGGTACTGGAGAGGTACAAGGACCACGTATGGGCGGTAGGCGTGGAGATAGATCGTGTGCAAATATGCAGAATGGGGGCAAAGAAGGGCCAGGAAGTTGTTCTGGAGGATGGAACGGTAGAGGTCATCGGTGGTGGCTATGAGTCTATCGTGGACAGGCTGATAGAATAAAGTTCGTCTAAAATGCTACTTACCTATTAACTTAGCATATTGCTCGCTAGGATTGTATACTATTTTAAATTGATCCCAATATATACATATTCTATTCGTCGAAATGCTAGATTGTAGCTAGACAAGCCTGGTATGTAACCCTTGCCATCATGATACTCAGTACAAGCACCCCGTTATACAGAGATCGGTCGACTTATGAGCCTATAATGGATTAAGCACTTGCAGTGTTTATTGGAAGCTGTATATCCACGGATACTATAAATCAATTAAATTCAATCTAAAGGGAATATATATGCATCGATTATCGGACGAACAGTATCAAAATACATGCTGCCATTTATAAACATAAGTTCTGAATCCATGGGGACGTCACTATGCAAATATATAGCACAGAATCCGTTTTGACTGTTGACATGGCTCGGGCGTTAACCTTGAGACATAAATTCTGATATCCTACTTCGTATTACTCTTTAAATCTCCTCTCCCCGCACCTGACATCTTTTGTTAATTAAAAAAAAAAAAATGATTGGACGGACACGATTCCCGGCGTACGAGAGCAAACCGTTATGTTTACCGTTTCGTGGAACAGAGCCAAAATTCGAAGCCCTACAGAGCAATACTCCCTGCGGCAAGCAAAGGACCCTTGATTTAATACCGGATATTGTATTTCCATTCGTAAGGCTAGAGTCGAAATCCAATCCCCAATTGTCTCAACTGGTCCCCGTCTTGGTCTTCTGCTGATCAGTAACCTATTCGCCTGGCTCAAGCTTGGAAGAAGTATCCATAACCTTATAAAATACAAACTAAGACCCGTAACCTATATCTACAACACACGGCTCACATCAGTCCGTCATTTCGAATCGAATTGCCATGCAGCGTCAGCCACTCCTGTCGAGATCGGCGGTGGAGAAATCGACGCCGAAGCCAAGAGCAAAGCGCCATGCTGTTGTGAAGGCTTGTGATACTTGTAGGCGGGGAAAGACGAAGGTACGTACCTACTTAGGTACTAACCAGTATTTACCTGACAAACTCCGATATTGCATTGGCTGCAATTCCGTTCCCCGCAAAAGCCGTCCTCGTACGCGGGCACTTTGTGTGCATAGCCTACCTACCTAGGTATATACCTATATACAGATATTACCTTTTTAAAAACTTGACATTAAAACTTTCGATGATAATTATTAACCTTTTACTCTTTTTTTTTAAAAAAAAAAGTGCACCGCAGAAATTCCAAAATGCGCCAGATGCCAAAGTCTGAACAAAGAGTGCCAATATGCCCCGGATACTTCAACCGAAGAGAAGCATTCCCATCGGTCGGTAGCATACCTTCGCCACCAAATCGAGCTGGAAAGCGCCGAAAATAGGAAGTATCGAGAAATAATTGACCACATGCGAACGACATCTAGCATTTCGCTACGGAAAACAATAAATTTGATACAAGGCCAAAGTTCTATTGAAGATATGCTTGCATTCATCCGCAACGATGGGAGTGCCCTTTTACCTATACGAGACCTTTCGCCGCCGCTACATGAGACGATGGAGCTAACGCTGCTAGCGAATACTTATGTTGAAGCAGCGGGGTAGACGGTTTTGCAGCAGATGGATCTTGGAATAATCGACGATACACCGTTATTTAACCTGTATCTGCCGGCAGCGCCTTGGACAACAGTAACTGATGATAACGAACTGGTTTCCCATCTTCTTTCGTCATATCCAACTTGGGATGCAAATGCATTACATTTCTTTGATATGGATGTCTTTCTGGAAGGCATGGAGAAAGAAAATCACAACTTTTGTCCCCCACTTCTTGCAAACTCTGTTCTAGCGATGGCTTGTGTAAGTCCCACTGAACCTGTCACTCTTGCAAATGGTGATGATGCCTTAAATCCGGGTTGACAAGTCCAGTTTTTTTTTAAAAAAAAGGACTTTTCAAATAGGGTACCAATCCGCTCAGACCCACACAACCCGAATACCTTGGGATATCGGTTCCTACAGGAGGCGATGAATATCTGGCACCATTAATATGATAATCTGACATTAACGAACGTTCAAGCTGGGCTTGTACTTTCCGAGGTTGTTAGTGTTAATGGGATGGATAATTTAGGGTCGATATTATTTCAGACAGCTGTAGACCGGTTAAAGAAATTACTCGCTGAGTTGGAGTTATCGAAGGCAAAATCTGCCTCCGAGGGGAGGGAAGAATCCGCAATTTTGGATACTTGTGGAGACAGTCATAATGATGAGAAGATGGAGCGGGCAATATCAGCTACTGTTTGGGCCACCTTTAGGTTATCTTGGTGAGTTCTAACGCCCACCAGTACACAAATACAGACCAGAACCCCATTCGCAAAATTGGCGACAGTACTTACTAGCTATACGCTCTCTTAATACCCTTCAGCATAGATTCACTTTTCTACAAAAATCGACCATTGGTGGGTATTCCGACTATTCCCCTACCCTAGGGCCGAAGCGGAGGCGCTGATGCTAGCCCGGGGAGCCCTAATGCAAAATTGCCATTGGTTTGGCGGCCCTATCCGTATACGCAACCTTCAGAACCAGATAGAACCGGAAAAGGCATTCGAGCCTTTTGTAGCATCAGCTCCATAAGCTATAAATTATGCGACCTACACACTACGGAAGGCAAAGGGGTAACACCCCTGACGGTGCAAGAGAAGACGCATTTATATCAAGAGACTGCCGAATAGAAAGATGGTTTACCGAACGGGTTAAGAAAAGGAGAAAGCAGCGCGCCTTCCATCGCAACTTCACAGTAAGCTAAAGATTTTTCCGGTCATGCACACCCTTCCCTACCCTTCTCCGAGCAGTTGAAATAAGATAGGATAGAAAAGACGAATTCAAAAAAGAAGAAAACATGAGCTTTCGCTGATCTCAGTTCCCAACGCGCCACTAGCATGGTATATTGTCAGTTGATGATAGAAATCCACATGGCGCCCTTAGCTTCAGATTCATCTGACGGCAGAGAAGGAAATGATGAATTGCACACTTTTCTCAGAATGTCGAATGGATTATACCTTGAGGCGCAATCTATATTGAATCAGATGATAGAAAGATTTGAAGAAAAATTTAGTCTCAAGGTGCTACCGGAGCCTCTGTTGATAGGTCCTGTCGTCGCGTCTCAATTATTCATGGAGGAGATTAAAACCAAAGCAGCCTCGAACACTTCTATTTCAGATTTGGGCCCGTTTCCTCCAGAGAATACACACTCCCCACCCAAAGATGCGACGAACTTCATTATAACCGAAGATGCAACTGCAATTTCTGAAAGTATCACTGAGGTAACAGTAGCGGCGTCGTCGACAACTACAACTACGACTACGACAACTAAGACTATGACGAATACGAAGACTAATAAACCGGTAAAGCAATTCTCAGCTCTAACTCTAACACGCCTCGAAAAAATATGAACTGGATCTTTACTCTTAGTGAACAATGTTTCGTAATAAAAGCGTTTGCAAGAGTCTTGCAAATCCATGTAGGCGGGCTATATTGGCCGCTTAGTGCTGTTACAAGGGAGAAACTCCGCAGATTGTTCGAAAGTCAAAGGGTCGAAGGGTCGAAATGGATGAATGAGGTTATGGCACTGCAGACGAGGTTGACTTTGACGCGGAGTCCGACTGGGAATGTTGGGGAGGTTCTGCAGGAATTAGAGGCGCTTTCTATCTGATTTGGCTTGATTTTATTTTATCTCAGGGTATTACTCTGTGTATTCATTATCGCGGTCGCATGGCCCCCGCGCTCAATACTCAAACGTCGTGCTCTATGCATATATGTATGATATTTTATATACTAAAGTAGGTATCGATATCTCAGACCTCATATATAAACTACCTTATCAAGTGATCTACACAGTCAACTATAGAGCTTTATTTTAACAGCGTCTTATGCAAGGTTTAGGCCTTACTATCAGTGGTAGCGAATTCAAAGCTATTTCGGTCCATGGAACTTCAAATGTGGAGAATCTGGGGCCAAGGCAGTCCGACAAGAACCGGGTAATTGGGATGTTGCATTTTGTGCGTTGGCAACATCACAGCAAGTGCATTTTTGGTCAGAAGCGAAATTGCACCTGCAAAGTTCTTCGCCTCCTGGCCAGGCGATTCCAAATATAATATTCCTCAGGTGCTTCGTAATGTGTATTGGTACGACCACAATGGCAGAGCATACTGCTGCTAGTTGACGCAATAGTGGGAATACTAAGGTCGCCTTTGATCTTTTCAATTGGCCTAAAGTGACCCGGTGAGCCAGTCTACAACAATATGGCATTTGGCCTCCGTGATGTACATACACTATGGAAAGTATATATCGATAATAAGGAAGAAAGGTTTGATTCTGATGTAACCCTCCTGCTCCTCGACAAGCTTCGTCCCCTGAAATAGCATTAACCGGGGTCCCCAAATGAGCTAGCGTTTTTGTCGGAGACCCTTGTTGTGGTCGTTTGGTTTGGTTCAGTCAAATCCGGCAGTCGAGTCCCGCTGCACACCACACCACCTTCTTTCCTTTAATCTCTTTCCCTCTTTTCTTCCCATCAACATCTTTCCTTCCTCCCCTTCTATCCTTCAGACAAAGAACAAAATAGAGCCAGCTGCTTGTCATTCGTTTCTTGCAGTTGCTCGTTCTTTTCCGTTTAAACTATCTTCTAATCTCTCGTTTTCTCCCAGCCATTCTTCTTGACACTCGTTAGCAGGTTGATCGTTGAGGTTATATTACGTCCATCAGTCTGGTCAATCAAACTCGAAAGGGGCAAATCCACAGACGACCTCAACTACAATACACGAAAACGAACGTACACCGACATTTATTCCGACAGTTTTTCCCGCTATAATATCATTTTGCGAATTTAAATAATAGTTATACTCCTATAATACGGAAGCACCGACAAGATCCAAAAAAATGGTTCGCTTCTCGACTCTTGGTGCGACTTTGCTGCTCGCCTCCACTGCAGCCGCTCAAATCAAGAAAGAATGTGGTGACGGTCTTGGAAAATGTCCATCGAACAAGCCTTGTTGCTCCCGTATGTTATTTCTCTTTGGAGATCGTCCCTTCATTATTTATATTATATATTGGTGTATCCGACTAATATCAGTATCTACAACTTAGAGTACGGCCAATGTGGTGTCGGCGCATACTGTCTTGGTGGCTGCGACCCCTTCTGGTCTAATAAACTTGAATCATGCATGCCCGCTCCCCAATGCCAGTCTAAAACATACAAATTCACCGACTCTAAATCCTCTCCAATCCTCTCCAACACAAAATACCTCGGTGACCCTTCGACGGCCGACTGGGTTTCTGACGGTCAACCACTGTACGCTAATGGAGTCGTCTACCTTACTATGGCGCCGGAAACCGTCGGTACCGTCCTTGCCTCGACAAGGTATGTTTGGTATGGTAAGATCTCAGCAACCATGAGAACTTCGATAGGTGCTGGTGTGGTTAGCGCTTTCATCATGATGAGCGATGTCAAGGACGAAATCGACTACGAGTGGGTTGGCGTGGACCTTCAAACATCGCAGACCAACTACTATTGGAACGGTATTCCGGATTGTATGTTGATTTCTCTCAATTTCCTCTTGCCTCGTTCAAATATTAATAGACTTTGTAGATACTCACTCCGGCAACATCACCCTTGACGGTAACACAAACACCTACTCCGACTGGCACACATATACCATCGACTGGACCCCGGATTCCATCACTTGGTCTGTCGATGGCCAGGTCGGCCGTGTCGCTAAACGCGGCGACACCTATAATGCTACCACCGGCCACTTTGAATTCCCTCAGACTCCATCCCGTGTCCAACTTTCCCTCTGGCCTGGTGGTCTTGCTACTAACGGCCAAGGCACAATCGACTGGGCCGGTGGTCTAATCCAATGGGATACCGATGAGATCAAAAAGAACGGATACTATTACGCCATGGTCAAAGACGTCACAGTCGAATGTTATAATGCACCTAACGCCAAGGGCAACGGTAAAACTTCTTATAAATTTACGGATCTAAATAAAGTCAATACCTCGGTTACCCTCAGCAACGATAGAACGTGGTTGAAGTCTTTCCTCTCTACTGGTGAAGATCAGGATAAGGACCTACCAAAGCCTGAGACGAAGACTACAACCCAAGTTACTACCGATGCTGCAGGTAAGGCCACCACTGTTGTTAATACCATCGAACCTACTGAATCGAGTGTCGGAACTGTGCCTGGTTTGGACGGTGCCGGATTCGACTCCGGGGACTTGAACAAAGATGATGGAAGCGGTGGTACTAGCGGTGGAAATGGTGGATCCAACACTGACGGAACTTATGGCCCTGGCACCACTGAATGGAGCCAGAGCTCGAAATCCGGCCAGAACGCGGGTAGTGATGCAACAAGACAGGTCTTTGTATGGGGAAATCTAGTGGGAATGCTAGTACTTGGAGCACTTATGGTAACTCTGTAAGAGAATATGCAGCCTTTGTGTAGTTCTCATGTTTTATTTCTTGTCTATCATTGAAACCTTTTTCATGTTATAGTTGGAGTACAATTTTATTTTGCCCTTTTGTCCCTTTCTCTTCCCCGATTTTACGTTCACACTCGGAGCCATTTATTGTTTTTGCTTGTTATGTCATTAAAAAGAACGCCTTTTTTTCATTTTCACCGATGATACGTGCGCATATCTTATGGATTTTATTGGAGGATAATGGGTATATTTTTAGGCCTGATTGGTCACGCAGCTTGCATCTCTTTATCGAAGCCTTTAATTCACATGTGCATATACTCTTCTCTATCACCACGTTAATGCGCCGCGCTTCTCATTATTATCGTCGAGGTTATGAGTTTATCCACCCTCCAACACTCAGGTCGCGTATCATCCTTTGCTTACGAAGCTAGCGTCGGCCCATATTGTGCGTGCATGCATGATCCCTTTCAAATCCTTAAATGCAGGAACAGTTTTGGTGCAAAGTCCCTGGCGCGAGGCGTGCCCTGGCCGGAATTGGTATTTCCAAGACACCAACGGCTAGCGCCGCTGCGGATATGATGGCCTCGCGCCCTTGCATGGGTTGGGATGTTGTCTCAACGAACCATTTCTTCTATAGAATTTTCACGAAGGGTTAAACAAAACAAAAAAGCAATTGGAATAGTCGGATGGAGTTTGCGGGGTGGCTTGGCTAAAGGTTAAGGTGGTGACATTGCTAGGTGTTTTTCTTTCTTTCTTTCACTAGTCTGGGGTTCATTGTGCGATATCGTCTTTTGCTGTTTTATTTCTATCTAATTATGATGCATATAAGTATCTTAAAACAAACCTGAAGCGTATTGATAGAAGGACAGGAGGAAAGTTTTAGATTCAGATCATAATAGCATCTGCGGCCCTGGGGGTGCACCCCTTATCAACCTCTCCGCCATGAGAGTGGCCTCGGATGGGTTCTAACCAATCCTAGGACAGGGGAAGAAGCAAGTAAACATCAACGCCTGTAAGAGTTACCATATTATTAGTCTCAATTACGTGGCAAGGGAAATAAAATAGAATAACATAAAATAACATGAAAGAGCTCTAGTGGAAACTTACATCACCATCATAATAAGGTTTATCATCCCCAAGGATTTTAAATTGTCGATGCTTGTCGTGCATTTCATAGTATGACCAACCGGGGATTGCCGGGACCATTTGTCTGTCGCTCACCCACTGCCTAGTATACACATCCGATGGATCCTGTCGAGGAACAGTACAACTGGGAAACCTCGAGGGAATTAAATAATTATCCTCCGCACGACCATTCGTGTCTGTATGGAAGGCTATAAACTCATCTTCCCCATCCCTTCCGTAATAGAACTGTATATAATCCCGATTGAATGTATATTCGTCGTTCGAACGACGATAAAAATGTTGGGGTGACGCGATCATAGTTCGACTATTTATCGGAGTTGCGGAGCATCTATTGGACTTATCGCCGTTACATTCCGTTTTGGGGGATGAGGATAATGGTATTTCAACAATTTCTTTGTTAGGTCCGGAATTGGTGAAGAATTTCATGGTAATGGTGTCTCTCCAGTTTACTGAGCCATCGCGCTGTGAAAACCCCTTAAAGACCCAGTGGATATCCATGCTACAGGTTTGGGCCGGTAGCAACCAGATATCAATATCTGTGACTTCAATGGTGTTAGGCGGGCCGATCGTGGGACCATGGAAGGTGATGTCTTCGAATGGCTGGAGGATGGGCATGTAAACAGCTGAGGGTCTGAGGGGAAGCTGGACGATGGCGAGGTTGTCAAGTTTGAAGTAGACGCCGATTCTGTATACTATGTCCTTAATTCTTTGGACTAATCCAGTAGAGTGGGGGATGTTTTGAGGAGCTTCTTGAGGAACTTCTTTAGGAGGAGCCATTTCCCCGGCGTCGAGAATTTTTTCTATACTGAGGTCGGTAATTATGTATTTTGGTATCGTATTCAGATAAAACTACTTGTTCTTAAGCAACGGGAAAAGATCCTATGAGGGCCATGTCCGGTGCAACCGTAGTTCAGGACATATATATTCAATACGTTGCTGAGCCTTTTCTTGGGCCTTGTATGAAGACATCTTCGCCACAGCTGTTGGTCTACGATATATCTTACCGGCCGTTTCAGACCCAAGACTCCTAGCCGGTTATAGTAGGGTTCTTCGAAAGTGCAACCAGTTTTTAGAAGAACAGCTGTAGACTATCAAACAAGGGGGGCCATGTAATAAACCAAGCAAAAATTTATTGAGAATGGTTAGATGACTACAGTTTAGAGTGTCTACATGGTATTATATGCCGGAGATGCGGCGCAGTTTAGTTATTGGAAGCCGTTCTCGCAATTGGAAGGAAAAGAATGTTGGAATATGTGTTGTGTCTGACAAAATTCCAACAGTCGAGGCCAGCTTGAGGGCTTGTGAGCCCGCACAATCCGGATTAATCCTACGTACTTGACCCCGGACGTCTGTCACAAACATCTGTGCCTACATACCTAGGTATATGACGTATTGTGCGCAGCTACGCCTCGCTGTTGCATTGTTGGAGGTCGAGCTCGACGAGGTGGTCCGAGAATATTATAATGTGCCGTTCTTCAAGCCGAACTAATTAGCTAACATGCACGTATGATGGCTATAGCTACCGAATCTAAGATTAGCTTGTATATGTATCCGAATCGATCGCACGACATACAAGCAGAACGTCGTAGTTTTCTAACCTGGGGATGCCTGGTATTTTTAGTATTTTGGTCGGTACTGTCGCGAGATATTGATTATGTAACGGTTATTTACGCTTTACATTTAGTAATCAACAGCCATATCGTCGGATTTCCAAGCTGCCGAACCGAACTCTCGGTTTGTGTGCGACGACCCGCTTACCCGTTCATTAGTTCACACATTTTGCTCGGAGCTCACTTTGTTTTTCGACATTGAGGTTACACGACACATTCCATGCTTATTCACTAAACTTCCTCGAAGGAGTTAGCACATACTTTCTTGCCGCCATGTAATTGGACTCCTCGGAGGAATCTCGGGAGGACTAAAAATCTCACGATACCACACACCTAATCTTGGTCCGGTGTGTTGGTATATGTATACGTATGTTGAAGATTCGATTATTATCGATAAGACTGTTAAGTAACGTAAGGTGGGACTAACTATAAGTATCTAGCTTCGGAATGCTATATCCCGGCCGGCCGTAGATCCTCCTGCAAGGCAGTCTATGTGCATGTGATGGGCATGCCGCATGAGTTTATGATTCATGAATTCATAGAATTGATTCTAAGATCGGTACCAGATAGTCGTTATTTGCGTCCGCCACCGCTTGCTGATTCAATATGGCAGGCCTACTGGAATGCAATACGACAATTAGTAAGCTCATATAGACATGTAGTTTCTTCTTGGACTAACATATCCTAGATTCTCAACTAATTGCGGAGAAACTCCGCCTACCAATAACGAATAGAATTTAGACTTTTTGTTATCAGAAACATAAACGCCCCCCTTCCCGCCTTCATGCAGGGAATCACACAACCTTATCACTATCTTTTTAGGTTTTTTTTCTTTCTTTCTTTTCTCCACATACTCGCCTATGAAGGTTCTCGACCATGGATCTTTTTTTGGGTCTCCCCGACACGAGTTCCACACATAATTTATTCGATAAGGAGAAGAAAAAAAACGGCCGTCATAGTATGGTCCTATTATGGTAGCTTCGTTCTTTGACCGCTTTGACAATTCGGATTTCTACCGAATTTTGTACGTGATTGTGTAGTTTTCAAACCTGTATATATAAGAGCTGTCGTGAAGAATCAGCGGAATCTTGCTCAGGATTTACCACAGGACAACACAGCATATTACATCTGTCGAAAGGGCTCAATAGTCGGCCAATTGCATATTGGTTCATTGCTATTCATATTCCCCCTCGAGGCTTCATATAGGATAATATTGTGCTTTTTAACTACAATTGATCAAAATGGGGTTCCGGCTTAAGGCGCCGCCGATGTATATCTGGTACGCCCTGTTTGTATCTCAAGCAGGATTGCTCTTTGGGTAATTCCCCTTCCAGAAATTATCTCCCCTTGTTGAAATGATGTTAATTCTAGCTCTAAATTCTTTGCGTAGTTTTGATACTGGTTCAATTGGCCCTATAACAGTCATGGACCAGTTCCAAAAGGACTTTGGACATACATCCCCCACAATGCATGGAGTTATAATATCCATGATACTCCTAACAGCGGCTATATCTTCTGTGTTTGCTGGGCATTTAGCGGACAAGATATCTAGAACATACACTACATGCCTAGGCGCTGGAATATTTGCAATAGGCTCGCTGCTACAGGCTATTGCTGGTCTTGGTGAGGGTACCAGATCCGCCAAGCTCGGAGTTCTTCTTCTTGGACGATCGATAGCCGGTATTGGCGAAGGGTTCTTCCTAACGTCTACACAGGTATATATTATCGAGATAGCACCCGGTCATGTTAGAGGTCGGGTTAGTTCCATTCTTTTTATGGGGATAACTGGTGGTCTCTGTTTTGGTTATTTCTTGTGTTACGCGACTTCGAAGATTCAGAGTACCATGGCTTGGAGGATTCCGTTTTTTTGGCAGACCGGGATTGCCACAATACTCTCACTAGGTTCGATCTTTCTGCCGCATTCTCCGAGATGGCTGCTTCACGTTAATAGGCGCGATGAAGCTATGGTTACCCTTGAGAGAATGGGCATGGGTACTGCGGCAGAAAAGGAGAAACAGGAACTTCTAGCCATTCGAGAAAATGTTATAACTCAAGAGGCGCCTCGGGGTATCAAGTCCATCCTCAGCGCTGGAAAGTCACTTAAGCTTCTAGCAAAGAAACAAAATCGCTGGCGCGCATCCCTCGCCATCTTCATGATGATATGCCAGCAAACCACGGGTATCGATGGAGTTCTTTACTACGCTCCAGTTCTCTTTTCTCAGGCCGGGTTATCTTCCCAATCCTCTAGCTTTTTGGCGTCAGGGGTTACTGCTATCCTCATGTTGATCTGTACAGCTATTTCACTTACATACTCCGACCGCTGGGGCCGCCGTCCCACATTACTCTACACCGGCTTTGGCATCGTTCTCTCCATGTTTCTGATCGGTGGCCTCTACGCTAGTCCCAGTGCCAACACTTCAGGTGCAAAATGGACCATCGTTGCAGCAATCTATCTCTTCGTAATAACATTTACAATTGGATGGAGCATGATCCTCAGAATTTATGCGGTGGAGATACAACCGATGGAAACGAGAGCAACAGTGAATAGCCTAAGCCATAGCGCGAATTGGGTGGCTAATTACGTTATTGCGCTTACTACGCCCGTCTTTCTAGCGAGGAGCGCTTGTGGGCCGTACTTTTTCTTTGGGGGGTGTACAGCCTTTGCTTTGTGTGAGTATACGCTTCCTGATCTATATTGAGACACATCTTTATAGAGGAGTTAAGTTGACTAATTGATATATTCTAAATAACTTAGTGGTTTATATTATGTACATGCCAGAGACACAGGGCATTGGGTCTTTGGAGAATATGGATAAAGTTTTCGAGATTACACCGTTGAAGAAGTTGAGGAAGAGTTTGAAGGAGAGGGTAAATCGGACAGGGAATACAACCGGTTCTATTTTGCCGAGTGAATTTGAGATGCAGACGGCGGCCTGAGGCTTGAATTTATATATTATGCTGAGTAGTACCGGGATACTACACAAGAGATCGAGTTTGATGATTGTATTTAATTGCCTATTATGTTTGCCTTGTATCTTTTTATTGAACTGCTTGCGACTCGGAGATTGGAGTTTTGAAATATCTTTATGGAATCTAACTCAACATATAACTTAAAATGTAAAACCAGATTTCGTATTAATAGTAGTTTGATACCTAGCTAGTGGAGCAAATTCAAAGCGCCATGTTTTTGTCAGAGCACGCTAAACTTCCCGCCGAATCCTCAAGCACGACTCTGTAATCCCTTAACCCACTTTTGATACATTAAATTCACATTCCTAGTCATTATCCCAGCCCTACCCGCCTTTTCTGCTTCCTCAGCCCAATAAATCCCATCCTCGGAAACCGCCCAATCCAAGAAGTCCAGATGCATGATACCTTGCGTATCATCCGCTCCAAAGAGGGCAGTCAGAGGCTCTACAAGATCTTTCCCGTTATTAAAAGTCTTGCCGTATCTCTGATAAAAGATCCTAGCACCACAAGTGCCGCAGGCGCCCCACACAACTTTCCCTGGTGTCGACTCAAAAACAATCATATTTCCAAACTTCGCTTTTGTAGCATCATCCCATATCGTCGGCCACTCCTGTATCTGCTCTTCCCCGTTCTCCGACTTTGTAACAAAGAACGCGTTGTCCCTTGGTACCCAAGTATAAGTCGCTACATCCGTTCCTGTAGCAAGCCTACAGCTATCGCACGCGCAAACACCTGTCTTATACTTCTTTGTTGTGTCTTCTCTTGTAATCCTAACTTTCACATTCTTACACCTACACCACCCATCCAACTCTTTACGTCCAGCAGGGTATACGTATTTCCTACCAAGCTCCTCTGCGTCTTCTTGGGAAGGCATTGGCGGTTCTTCCCAGTTTCCATGAAATTGAACTTGCGTTTCCTTACTCCAATCACCAGCCCATGGCGACGCACCACCGTCAATGGTATCCTTGATAATACAATGGAAATCGACAGAGAGCACATCCTCGAGTTTGGTAGTTGGGTTTTCGGATTTATAGGAATCCGAGAGTGAGACGCACCCGGTGCTTACACAGAAACCTTCATGGCGTGCACCTTCTCGCATGTAAAAGTAGGAAGCGAACATGTACGTTCCACAGGTGCCGCAAAAGTATGCCTTGCCGGAGTCCTGGGAGGATTGGTAGACTCGGAAGGTTGAAGGTGGGGAGGATTCGGAAAATGGGAGGACCTCGAGATCGGTGTGCATGGCGAAGAGAGTACCGTGAGAAGTACGACATGTGGTACAGTGGCAGACATGGGCGGTTAGGGGGAGGGTTGTGGGGATCTGAATGGTGTTGGTGCGGCAGAGGCAGGTTGCCTGGAGGGGAGTAGGGTTGGACATTTCGTATGAATCTCAAGACGGTTTTCTGGACACGGTTTTCTGGACAAGGATACGAAATATTTTTGAAAAGATGAAAATTTGATGTCAATTGGGTTTATATTACTGTAGTCTTTGCTTTTAAAGGTGGGGCTGCTTGATTGAGTGAGAATTCTTGGATCCTTTCGACATGCATTGGAAGGGAATTTATACATCCGACTAGGAAGTACTTCGCAACTATCCGTGACGTAAAACCGTCATACGCGTTTTTTCGCGACGGAGCAATTGAAGTCAAGGCGGGGGAACAACTAGGTATGCATGTCGTTATGCTTCTCGACCCAAGGTCTTGTCGTACAAGAGCAAAGCCATAGCCTTACGTACATACCTCTTAACATCTGCGAATGAGTCGTTGCATGTGCTACATTCCAACGGTGTAAGCCGGCGATAGCTTCCGTGTTAAAGCTTAAGTAGCCTCTGAGACAATCCTCGATGCAGTTAGCTGGTCATAATGCCAACTATCCAAAATTTGGATTGAGATCGATTGAGTGAAGCTTAACGTAAGTGAGGCTTGGCGACGATTTAGCGGCGTGCAAACCAAGGAGGAACGGCTAAACCTTTCGCCTGCGGGGTAATTCGAGCGGGATTTCGAGGCTCGATCTTATTGAAAGGATCCCAGAATCTAGATGACTACCAGTCAGGCCTGAATTTGAATCCATCTTGAAGGGTAGCCTACCTAAGTGGGTATTTTAGGGGGATTTGTTGCATTATGAACAGCAACGCGTTTTGTGGTGTACAGGTGCACTCTAGTCCTAGACCAGCTTACCATTGTGTTGGGCACACAACTCTCCATGTGATTAGCCACAGTGGCTCAGCTAGCCTATAGCCAGCTCTCATAACATCTTCAGTGTTGTCCATTTATAATATGAAAATTCTGATCATAAGAATTTTTGCTACATTGGACACTGGATATATCTAATCCTCGGGTACTTCGAAGCTGAAGAAGGAAGTTGGTGAAAGGTGATGGGATATTATTCTAGGCAACAGAGTGTCAATATTGCCCTGCTCATAAGGATTTCAGCCTCGTATAAATGATATCATTAGTTAAGCGGAAGGAAACGTGCATACCGATTTATTTAGTGTAAGTCAGAACCAATAGGATTGGTCAGGCATAGTCTGAGCGCGATATCCATTCTGTCTTGTCAAGCTAATCAGGGTCTTAGCTTTGGTGCCGGCATTCAAACCGCAGACTGGCCTTGGATCAGGAAGTTCTATGCATGATTAGTGGTATCACAATTTCTACCATTCAAGTCGACTCAAGTATATTTTCTCGTTTCAAGTATGGCTCAAGTTCGAGGCTAGATAACAATGTCTTCACAATATACATACACTTACGTAATTACGTCAATCTGGTACTGTCTCATTCCCGGTCAATCCCCAATCGCGAAAGACCTGATTTGCCATGACAGAACGAAAATTGTAAAATATGTTTCCGGAATATTTGGCAATAATAACGAAGGGCAGAATGTAGGTAGTCATCCGTAAGTCATTCGATCGAGCTTGAGCCTCACCCATAATTTAAGCAATATCATGGATACATCTAGAGGCTAAGCCTCTACCCAGAATCCAACAGCGCCAACACATGCACAACCTCCTGCTTTAATTACCCCTGGAAATCTAGACCTTAAGTTGAGAGTAAAAATTCGCAAAGATCAAATCAGTTGGGTCTGGCATAACCTTGAAATGAAACAGCTCTAGCATTACCGACCGTCAATAGTTTGCAAAGGCGTCAAAACCTATTCCTACTGAGCTTGAATCCTGGTTTTCGACATCAGCTCCCATTGCATACGTAGCACGGCAATAGAAAGGACCTCATCCACACAAGCCTATTTAAGCTTGATCCCTGAGTCTTTACGACATACGACCTATGAGTTTACCGGGGAGTCTTACAGCACCACTCCTAACCTCCTGATCTGGCGATTTTGCCTAAGATCCCTGATTCTCGTGGGAAAATGCCACAGTACTGTCCAGGTGCACATGCACACTTGGCATAATCGAGTATCAAAGTAATGTCGTTCCACCTCGCTGATGATTGCTATCGGGTATCCAATGATGTTCAAACAGTTTTGGTTTTTTTGTAGTTTGTCATCTTGATGAAGCTTATGCTGGCTTTGGTATCTTTGATACTCATAAACCAGCCATTTTTGCAACTGTACGAAAATTAGGCCACTACGGATTCTGAACGCCGACGGATCGGTTGCGTTCGGATTTGAGTTTCCCGTTTTTAAGGGTGAGGCATATGGATAATTAGTATCTTGTCAAAAACTTGGGCGATGTGATATTTGAGTGCAGATGTCTTGGTACTACTTTTGCACTCAAACCGATGGAAATTTCAGCTCTGGAGGGGGCGGTGTTAAGACACTTCATGGTATTTAATATTCACGAAAGGGAGAGTTCTCTGAGCTGGCAATTTTAATCTTTTTTTGGTACTTGCTTGCCTTTCAACAATTGTGAGTGTGGCGTTCAATCTAGGGTGTGAATCCCTGTTAAAATAATCTCGGCTCCACAAATGTTGGCCCATTTAGGGATTAAGACACCACTAATAACCCTATGCTTGACACTGCACTTAAGCTTTAATATCCCGGTCGTCGTAACCTTCTTGAGACGACTGTGATCTAAGGCTTGGCTCTCACAGCTGCACAGTAGTGTAAAGGGGTGCATAGATGGGCATGTCAGGATGAATATTTAAAGGCATGGAAACCGCCTGGAGGATTACTTTTGTTCTCTATCTTTCACTATCATCTTTCAGCATCATTTAGGCCTGTGGTTTTACTATCACGGAGTCTGTCACTCTTTACATTTTATTTCTTTCTATTACTTCCAGTCACTCATTCAATCTTTTGTCTTCTTCTAGTCACTCATTCAATCGCTTATATCTATCGTATTTTATCAGTTTAATTTTTTGTGATTTATTTTAACAGTTTTATCGTTTTCGCATTTGAATTCAGCTAAAAATGCATTTCTCAACTTTGACAGGGGCTTGCCTTTTGGCCCTTTCTGCGTTCGTGAATAACGCGAACGCATACGCATACGGCAATCCCGCCGGATCATCTTCCGGCACCCCGATTGCCAATGGCGCCGCGCCTACCCAACCTGCAGGTCCAAATCCAAACAGGTACTCCACCTCGGTTTACAGCACCCAGGTCGGATCGGTTAGGACCATCCAAACCTGCACCACCGAATTGTGCTTCGCAAAGCCCTCCAGCGTGGCTACTTCCGTCGCTACTGTCTACAACTCCCCAATTGTTTCGACAGTTACCAAGACAGATTCTGGAGTCTACTATGTAACAAGGAAGGATCAGACCAGGACCATCACCAAGACTACCACCAAGCCTTGTACTTATACTGCTAAGGCGACTGTCAAAACCGCCTATGCAACCCGTGTGGTCAGGGTTACATCCGTCCGCACTGCTTCCGTCCGCAGGACCGTAACAGCTGCCCCTGCTAAGGGATCCACTGTTGTTGTTCCAACCCCAAGCGGTTTCGTCTATGCCAGCAGGGACCCAGCCAATGCTCCATCAAACTTCCCACCAAATGATGAGAGCTACAACAAGAAGCGTTATGCCAACGAGCCCATCTACCCTAAGACCATCAAGTGCACCAAGACTCTCCAGACAATCTCCACACGCACTTACACAGCCGGCTCAAAGACCACTTCCACTGTCTACGGAAACACCGCTACTGTTACTTATACCAAGAGCGTCACCGTCGCCACTGTCTATCCTCAGGCCCGAACCACCACTATCACCCGTGTTTCCACCTCGACTGTTGTATCTACCTCCACCAAGGTCACTTACACCACCGTAACAAAGCCAGCTGGTCCAGTCACAACTTCTTATGCTGCCTGCAACTCTGCCAACATCTTCGATGGTCCAACTGGCAGCGTTGGCGCTGAGCTCGGAAGCAATAGCGTTGAAGTTCGCAACGTCAAGACTCCACAAGAGTGCTGCAACAAGTGCCAGGCTCATACTAATGCTTCTGGTGCAAAGGACTGTGCCGGTAGCTTCTTCGGTACCACCGATGGACAGTCTACCTGCATGCTTAGAATCACCAACACCTGCAGCAACAAGAATGTCGGTATGTTCCAGCCACACGCTGATGATGAGGAATTCCAAGGATACGTCAGCAACGGTCCTTGCGGAAGATGGAACGTTGTCAAGTACGAAGGTGGTGGTGGTAACACCACCCCAAGCTATTAGATGGGGGTGTGGAGTGTTAGTGTGGATGCGGATCGCTAGTTTAGTTAACTGTATGTAGTGTGCCTACCTAGTAGGCTAGGTGCATTGTAGTATATAAACAACCAATATATTCTATTGGATCGAATCTTTTCAGTGCGTATTATACTTTTGTGTGACATGAGTCCTAGCCTATATCTAAAGATAAAACCTTGAATATTGACATCAGCAAGACCTTCTAGCTAGTTTCGAAATTGAGCAGGACTAGCACTAGATCCATGGGTACATGCACCCGTGGCCAACCAGCGTCAGCGAATGACTTAGTCTCGAGACTAAAAGTGAGGTACGAGTCCCATTTTGTGTTGCCGCGTTCAAAAATGCAACACTGTGGCTGGGACAAGGCTCAGGTTCAAGTACGTCTGGTGAGGCTTGAGATTTTGGAATATCCTAGGTGGCCCCGGTCCCAGTACTTCCTGAGGCACAATCTCCTAATGAGGAAACCGAATTGAGATTTAAGCGGACTGCCGAGAAATCAGGCTTATAAGCTTGTATGGGACCACATCGGGCATCAATCTCGGACTTTCCTTTTGTTCTTCACCCATAATCAGTATCTCGTATGCATATGCATATCGCCGCGAGTACTTGAAATCTAGTTACCCGTCTTACATACCTTGAGGACGGTGGCCTATAGTACTTTTTTTTCTTCTTTTGTCGCAAGACATTTCATAACGCCTTCGGGCGTTCGGATTGTTCTCAAGACCTTAATGCAGTCTTGGGCAGAACGCCTGCAGGAAACATTACTTTATACAGCAAATATTAAATCAGCTAAGCTTAGCAGAATTAATATAACGTTATATCCCAATAGAACTGGGTATATGTTCGTATTTTAATATGATATTATATTTTACTATTGGCAGCTGTTTGCATCCATACCCCTATACACCTTGTTGCAATGGCTCTTGGAATGTCTTATGAACATCTTGTTCCTTCTTCAGGCCAGGGCCAAGGAATATTCCGCCGCATATGGCAGGCCTGTGCTGACCGAGCAATACCATCAGAGTATGTATACACCCCCACCCCCTATATTCTAGAAATCTTGGCCTCAAGCTTACGGTTTAGTAGTTTTTCTCGAAAACCAGATCTTCCTGAAAGTCAACACGACGTTATAGAGAGTCCAAGGGCAACAGATTCTGAAGGGCAATCTCACATTGCTTCGTCACCCAAATCTTTTAAGTGTAGTGATTGCAATTACACTTCTAAACATAAGGGAACACTTGAGCGCCACGTAGGAACAAAGCATAATGCCACAAGGCAGCTACATCTATGCCCAGTTCCGAATTGCAAGCGATCTAAAAAAGGATTCTCTCGCCCTGATAACCTCGCCCGACATATAAAACAAGTACACCCAGAAGAAAAATACCAAACGGATGGCATTGCATACATTGGGAACCACAACCAGTACCTACTTTCCAGCAATCCTGACTCCAGTTCAGAGGCATCTAGTACCCAAGAATCATCACCGGGTGGTTCCACGGCTACGTCATTTAGCGAGACAGAGGACGGTTGGTGCTCGATCACTGACAGTAGCTGGGAAGTTAGTGCCTCGATTGAAGAGGTGGGATTCCAACGGGACGGCGGGTGGGAGGATCTAGGGGGGCCCAATGCGTATGTCGTCAAGCAACCATTGAACCGGATATCAATATCTGATCTTCGAGGTCTACTTCAACTCGCCGGTGAGGATGCCCTTATACAACTTCCAGATGAACCTTCGCCGAGAAAAGGAGACGATATAAGAAAATCAATAAAAGAGGCCCTAAATGCAAAGGAAGATGCACGGTCCTTCGTTACACTAACGAGCCAACTTCCCACGTGCACGGGTTCACCTACTTCTTCTTATACGCCACCTTCCAATACACCCCATCAAGCTTTTGAACTTCTTGACCAAAAGATTCGGAAAACTATGGAACCGTCGAAAGATAAACGAATCAATCAACACAGAGTCTTACATTTATATGACAAGTTTCTCGAAGAGGCGAATAACGCATACCTCAAGCTCATAGACGCTACTGAAGACCCGATAAACATGAGGTCACCAGCCCTTAAGGATTTCATCTCATCGCTTATCAATGTGGAAAATATAATCACTGCTGGCTCTGCTGCACTTTCTGATTTTCTTGATCGGAAAGTTCCAAAGGACCTGAAAAGCATCTACTGCATGTTGCATGTTTCCTATTCGATGTCTCATTCTACCACATTATCGCACTCTCCACAAATAACAGATACACAGTTTTCAGAGTCAGCTGCCACTTGGAAAGAATGGTTACCTGTAGTTTCTGACTCTGGTGTTCGAGAGCGAGACGTATTCGAGGAATTACTGGAGATAATGTGGTCCGAGATGAAAGGAGGGCTGGAGCTTATGGAGAATCTAACTGAATGGATCGAGAATCTTAATCGCGAGCAACTTATGATTGAGGAGGAAACAAATCCCGATTTACCAACTACCGGTGTCTTTCAAGACGGCGACCCCCTCTATCCGGGGGTTTCTGACCCCTTATTCCCGGATCTATGTTGTGACCCACACTTATTTTCGCCACCTGTGAGCCTGGGTCCGCCCCCATGGGAATCTTTGTCTGCGAGTCTGGTTATTACGGCTGCCTCATCATTTTTACAAGGTGCGTTCAATTCAGATACTAGCTAAAAGAATCCTCAGAGAACAGCATATCGCCGAATACTAACCACGAGAACTTGCAGAACTCGAATCATCTGGTATCCTCTTTCTTGATCGTTTTGGAATCCTCGAAACCCTTTTTGCGAGTCGGGTTTGCGATGACAAGAAGGACTTATCACAATCGGCTGGATGCCTTGATCACATGCTACCAGATGTCCAAGAACGACAAAAGGTAGTGAAATCGATGCAAAGGGCTCTGGATTGCCCAATCTATCCCCAGGCTTCATCCATTGTTTCTAAAGCCTCGAATCTTTTCCTCAAGGGCTACTTAGCCGGCTTAGAGGATCTCGAGGAATGCGCCATCTTTTTCCTCAGGGTTCTATGCAAACCTTCGCACTCAGTTTTGAACTTTTTCTCGGCAATCGTTGCACACTTTACCGATTACTACCATAGCCAACTCCCTGCAAGGGTGAAATGCCCACATGATCGGTATAAGAATGCCTGTTATGTGTCGAGTAGATTTAAAGAGGCAGAGGGGTTCATTCGCTCAGCCCGCCGTTCAGGTTCTACGCCTACATCTTCACCAATATCAGATGTTACATCGCCGAACCCCCCGGATCCCCAGGCACCCATGTGCTCAAGACAGAGGTATCATAATCAAACAGGAGTTGACGAGGGAATAACAATCCCAAGTAAGATATCAAATCTCAACGCGGAAACAATACAGGGCGGGTATAAAAGGAAGTTCAGGTTCAAGGTCGAAACAGGCAATCCTGCGTCGAGGAAGAAATTCAAAACCAAACATTATCCAAACTTACACAGCATTTAATAAAATCCCCAAAAGTTTTTTCTGTTATATCACCAAAAGTCCTTGTTATTTTTGCTTCTGCGTGCGATTGGCATGCTTTGAACATTTTTCTCATTTTTCTGCTTTTTGATTTGTCAATTACCAAGCATGGCCAGGAGCACGGCGCATGTATAAATGTATTCGTAGACTAGATGCGGCATAGATTTGTCAGATATCTAGATGTTACAACAACTATCATATTATTTGTTCTGTATAAGTACAAGCAATTTTTATTTGTTGATTTACTTATGCATGCATGCATTCCACCCGCGGGCCCCGCGATCCGAATGTCCTTTGTCTTCATTCCAAGTTGTATACCATATATCTATAATACATCAGGCCGAGAATCTTAACAGCATTTCTTAATAAGGCCGCCAAGAAGGCGAGTTCCGACAAGCTACTCAGCTCGTCCACCTGCGACTGGAATAGGCAAAGCGCCGAAGTTTGTCGGAGTGGGGCAATCGGTCTCATGGGAAAAGCTCTAAAGAATATGGAGATTTTACTATGGTATCTATGAATTGGGTTTCATATAATGTTACAATCAACATGGCGTGCATCATGAGCTCACTATCTACCATGTCCATAAACCGAGTCAAGTCTTTATCATGCAGAAATCGTGACCTTGATATGTCTTAAAAGTTCATAGCCGAGATCCGCAGGCTACATTCCAGTTCTTGAAATCATGATATCACCCATCATCTATATTGAGAAGATATTTCGCTATGGGGTAACATCGTGTCACATACATACCCGTCAAACACCAATCCTAGCAAGCGAAAGACGTTGCATAGTCGGAAGATAGCAGCTCCGCGTGTAGGGAGAAACAGGTGATCAGGACCTTGCGCCCAAATCGCAACCTGGAGAAGTATCCGATTTTTTGCGGGATGAATCAGAGGAGCCCCAACAAGGAAGGATTCATGAAAGAAATCACAAATCGCATGTATTCCGATGTTACAATGCAATGGATGGAAATCGCATGGCTGGGATCTAGCTCTTGTAGAGAGCTGACTTGGAATGGTCACAAAAAATGGTCCTGGTGAAGGCGTTGATGTTGGCACGGCAGAAGCCATGACATTATAATTAGCCCCGGTTTGCCCGAAAGCTAACGTATCGTTGATTAGACCTGCCGTATTGCGCAGCTGAGAAGTCTATTATCGACGATGTTGATATCCATAATAAAAACTCGCTATTTAAAAATAGTAACGGTGAATGAACTATCCGCCTCTGAAGTTTCCTATGCCCATAGAAGTTCTGAGCCCCTGCTCAACCCCGTTAACATGTTTCTCCGCCCCTGGCTGCTCGTAATACTGTTGGTTAGCAGGGGCCTCAAAAAACCACACGCCCAGAACAGATTAAGCTTGTTGTGCATCTTTCGTTCGGTTCGGAAGGAGGCTAGAAGCTTGGGCCGCCAATGTTACGCAGAGTAACTAGACTATGAGCGATGACAAACTACAACATTTTCCAGAAAACATGCGTACCCAACATAGTCTAGTCTCAGTACTCCACCCCACCTGCAAGACAGAATATTGACGAGGATCAATGTTGCAGTACATGCACAGGGCACATCGGCACCGCGTCCGTTTGTACCCTTGTACGTATACAATGGTCGGGTCATATTTTGATATTATAATGTAGTCGCTCTAGTGAGTTAAATTCAAAAGCCTATATAACCACAGTTCTGCACCCCAGCTGGTGTGTTCTTTTTTCATCATCAGCTTCCACAGCAGCATCTTAAGCTTTCCCCACGAAGCCAATCGCTAGCTTGCCTATCTCTGATCTAATATATAGATCTTGCTCTTTTTTTGAATCTATTGTATTTTTTCAGCGGACGCGAAACGCCAAAATGGTTTGGTTCCCAGCTACTGCATTTATCGCCCTCCTTGGAGTCGCATCCTCTGCCGTCATCGTGGAGCGCGAAAACAGCCTAAACTCTCCATGCACGAAGGAATGGGCGTCAATCATCACGGTCAATGGCGTCCAATCGAAAGACTGCCCATCTCCCCCATGGAAGAACGGCGCCATCAACGCCAATAACAACAGGTTCTACATCGGAAATTCATCAGTAGCTCTCTGCGCAAACGACCAACTCTGCAACACCAAACCAAGCCAAGCTCAATTTATCCTCCACCATGAAATATATATGCTTAGACTTCACGTCGGCGTACTAGGTGGTCAACAGGTTTATATTGACAAGAAGGGAGCGTTGCGCTACAACGGAGTCAAGGAGCCATTGCCGGTGACGTGGACTGCTGCTGCAAACGGATGGGATGCCCCAAAATCCACCAATCGATACCAAACTTTACGCTCTCGCGAAGTTAAGAAATGGTGGGCATGTCCAGAGCATTCCTCCAAAAAGAACACTGGCCCATGGCAGGTCTTCGCCGACACTAAGACAATTACCGTCAAGGACTCAGACGTCCCATCCAAGAAGAAGAGCGACTGCGTTACTTTCAGCCTTGGTACTGAATTTGTCACTCCTCTATTTTACAACAATGTCGGGTGGTAAAAAATTTACGAGAGAGAAGTTCAAAGCGAACTAGAGTCAGTTTACCTTGACTCGGCTTATGGCGCTCGAGGAAGGAAAAGAAATAGCGATGATCAGTTTTATGACTAGGAAAGAGCTATCTTGTGCTGTACTGGACGACCTGAGCTCACTTGCTTTTAATGATATCTGTATAATCGGAGGCAGTGCTACCTTTCATTAGCCAGCCTAAAGCCTATATTAATAGATAATTCAATTATTTTCTTGCATCTTGTCGATTGGCCTTGAGGCTTATCTCGTAAACTAGCTCAAGGTTAGATGCTAGTGTACTGGTAAATTTAAGCCTAGTCAAAACTACATATCTTAAGACGTTGGGCGCAATACTATGTATCGCGAGGGTAGTACTTCCAATATACCGGATCTCATCAAAGTGTATATCAAACCTCCCTAAACGTTACGTTACGTTACACCGTCTGGTGAGTGAAATATATGTGTTGCTACGAAAAAAATCCAACAATACCCAGGGGCCCAGCTACGTTTCATATGATATCGTCTATATATGGCTTTTGGGCATTGCTCTGTGATTCCGTGGTAATAGTCTGTAGTTTCATAGCATTGAGATATATATCGCATTCTAGTTCTATGATAGGCCACAATCAATATCGCAACCACCGTCTTGTCCTCAAATTTCATTTCTCATTCTATAGTACTATAGCATGATAGACCTTGTTCATGTAAAGAATTTCATTACTATACTACTAATAATAATAACATCCAGAGGCTAGCTAAATACCTCTTTAAAATGCAATCTATATACTTTAGCTAAAAAAAAAGGAACAAGCTCGCTAGGTTTCCATAAAGTTTTCCATACCGCTTTCAAAACCACCTTTAGTCCCCCTCCCTTTTTTCATTTCGCTGTGATTTCCGTGGCTCTGTATAAAAGATAGTGCTAAGATATTGTTGGGGTCATGTATGAATGCTGATGAAAACATTGAATTGAAAAGACATGTTTTGGGGAAATAACAAGGAAGAAGAAGAAATAAAAATCGTACGCCGTTATATAAGAAAATTACCGTAGTTATATGTACCGCTGATGTTACAATCCCCCATATACCCACCCTGTCATCTTACATAATCGAACAGCTCGCCTTCTCAGAAATACCACCTTCGTTCCCAGTGCCCTTTCTGACAACCTCGAAACCCTCATCCACCCCACCTCCGCCGGCAACTTGACTTCTTCCTCGACTGCTATTCTCAGAGTATGCGGAAATATTTCCACCTTGGCTATGGTTAGCCGCTGCTGCAGCACGATTATTCTCCATCATCATTGCACCAGCACTCTTTTCCTTCCCTTTCCTTCCCCAGCCCTTCTTCTTCTTCATCGAGGCAGCTCGGGTTGCTGACCTTTCTGCACGACTGTTCCCACGGGCGAGATTGTTTACTGATGAATTGCTCGCACCTGGAGTCCCCGGTGCACCTTGAGCGTAGAACCCGCCATGAAGTGGGGATCGTCGGCTCGCTCGGCGGCCTGGTGATGGGAGTGGACGTTCACCAGTGACGTTTGGCGCATATGCTACTTGGGCTGGTCCCGGTGGACCATTGGGAACGGTCATAAACGCCGGGTTGACATATCCCGTCGCAGGGCCGTGCTGGCTTCGGCGTCCACGCGATCTGGAGCGTTGAGTGCCGGCGCTACGGGTATTGGTATTTGCAGTCGGTTGAGCAGGAGTAGTAGACGCTGTGGAGGTTCCTGCTTGAGGTGGCGGTGGGGAGACGGTGAGAGATAGGGTGTTCCTGTGGTTCCCACCTGTTATTGCGGTTCTGAATTGCGGGTGCCCGACTGAAGAGTTGCTGTGCGTGGATCCTGAGCTTCCTGGTGGAGGTCCTGGTTGGGCTACCATGGCTGAGACGGGGATCATTCCTCGAGGATTCGAGGTGACGTTACGAGGAGTAATTGGTGTTACTGGTGCTGTTGCAGATGTGGCAGGGAGCCCCAAAGGTGTTATTGGAGTTACTGGCTGGGAGGCAGAGGTCGTGGAAGGAATCGAAAGTGCTGGGCTAGATGGCGCTTCACTCTGTCTGCTGTAACGATGGGAAGGAAGGCGAGAAATCAAAGGGAGAAGCAGCTGACCAGATTGTTGCGGTGTTTGTGGGGATACCTGTGCTTGCTGTGCCTGTGATGGGCGTTGGGACGCAGATACGGGCCGCGAGGGCGAGGAGGTCTGAAACTGCGTTTGTGCCGCAGGTGGGGTGCTAGGCTGGGGATGAATCCTAGCTGCTCGTGGTGATACTGTTGTTCTTGACGGCCGACTTGTATCAAAGTTTGGTAGTGATGTAACACTATTATTTGACTGCTGTGCAAAGGGAGCGGGATGTGAGTACATCGCCGATTGTGGACGCTCGGTATGGGCTCGCTGTTGGAGGCCTGGAGTTGGCGTTGCATTCTGTTCTAAGGGCATAGAGTTTGAGCGGTACTGAGTTGGGATTGCTGGCACGGGCGGGATAGACGGCGATCTCTCGTCGAAAAAGACTCTTTGCGGCATACTTTCGGGATCCCGTGGCCTCGGGCGGCTGTGATATTGGGTTGGGGATTCCTGTCGGCCCATAGTTGGAGTTGTCGATCTTTGAGGTTGCGCGTATGGTTGTGCTGGGGGCACAGAGTATTGGGATTCCATACTACGACGGGATGGTTGTGGACTAGGAGGGGAATACGATATCTCCGTGTCGTTGATCGTTGATAGTATACCACCAGGTGGTTCGCGTTGGATAGAGTTCCTGCGAGAAAGAGATTGTGCAGTTGAAGGTCGTCTTTGCTCCGTCATAAAGCTAGAACTGGTAGCTGGTGGCGTTCCCATGTTGGTATATGACCCATCCGTGAAGTTGAAACCTTGAAAAGTTGTGCTTGGTCCGGCGCTAACGGACCCGTTTCGAGAAAGGCCGCCACCGCCAGGACTCACAGGACTTGTAATCCTCAAGCTCGGAACGTTCCGTCGGAGCCTAGGACTTGAAGCTCCAGAAGCCAGAGGATCACGTTCCCTTCTATCGATATCTAATTCACCTCCGCTACTTCGCCGGCGGACTCGCTCATTAGGGTTCAGGATACCCATACTCCTAGCACGTTCTAAAAGCCTAGCCTCGTAGTCGTAGAGCGGTACCGCAGTGAGCTTCTCAACATATGGCGGGGGTGGCTCCACCCATTCCTCCTCGCGAAGGCCGAGAAGGCGATAATTCGTGACAGCGAAATTCGGACCTGGGGCTGCGTCTGGCCTGCGACGGGGTGTACGTTCCGCATTAGCTCGTGCAGCTGTGGCCGCCCGCTGAAGAATAGTATGGGACCGAGTATCAGTATGCGAGTATGACCATTCAATCGCCTCGCTCAATGATACACCGTCTTCTTCCTCCTCGTGATGGGATACATCTGTTCCTTGGCGGGAGACAGTCGGTGTCGTAGCAATGCTCGTCGAAGATGAGTTGGCGTGCGAGGTAAGTGGTACCGCACTAGGCAGTGGAGGTACAGGCGGTACAGGCCCCACAACAGAAAGCCTCTGTCTTTGAGCCACCGTTCGGCGTCGAACGATGTTAACTTCTGCCTCGATATCATTTTGCTGTTCCTCAAGCTGCTCTAATTCAACGTTCGAGCCATCTCCTACGTCAACAGTTATGACCTTCCGCTCCCCTGTGCTTGGACTTCTTGAAAAATTGTATAGAATCACTCGGCCACCTTCCAATATTTCAGGTTCCGGGCCTTCGTCATGTTCCTCGCTTTTAATACCAGCAGCAACTGCGATCAGTCTTTCACCCTTGCTGGTCATAGAAAATTTTAGCCCAACCAAACCCGACACCTCCCCAACCAACTTGCCTTGAACGAAATTATTTCTACTTCGTTCAACGGAATGCTGCCACGGTACAAATGTGGCTCCGATCATGAGGCTGTTCCGAGAGTTACTCCCACTGCCTTCGGCTGTTGATTCCACGGGGTTCTCCAAATCTGATGGGATTCCATAGATCCACACCGAGTTCGTACTGAATCCTGAGGCCACAACCCTACCATCAGCGCTTGGAGCTGGTATCATAGTCGGCGGCAATGGGCTAGTGTTTGGTGTCGAAAAGTAGGTATGCCCATTTCTTAGATCGTCGACGCGGACAGCCCGGAAAGCAGCGAACGCCTTGTCGTACGTAAATGTCCATGAGGAATTATCGCCGTGGTGAGTTAGTAGTGTAGCATGCGAGATGTCTCTCGACGTCGTGGGAAACAGGATCTGCGTCGTCCACATCTGAACCAACGATTCCGTAGCAACCATAACATCTGAGAAGTATGGTGCCGAAATGACCACAGTAGCTGGGCTTCCCGAGTTCAAAGTTGATCCGATTAGGACCGTCCCGTCCAGTGAGAAGCAAAGTGTATCAACGAGGTCACATTTGACAGCTCGTTTTTGTTCGAAACCCGGGGAAAGTGAAATAACCTCAACTCCTCCATCATATGCTACGGCCAGGACAGTACCATCAGGAGCTAGTGCTATAGCTCGAGGTGCATTGTCTAGATCTAACGATTTCACCCTTTTGATCTTCTTCTCCTCCAGGTTGTAGATATTGACTTTGTGTTCTGTCGAAAGAACTGCCATGACTGTTCCATTATCCAATATAGCAGCGCTGATCGGCCTTCGTAGGATCTTCAGTTCACGTTTGATAGTCAAAGGTAACTCCTTGGAAGATGTCGCAGTATCGATAACCACCATCCTCGAAGAAGAAATAGCCACCAAGTGTGTTCCCTTTGGTGAAAATTCGTATTTGAAAACTTCGCCTCCGGGTACAGCGGCAGAGGATGACAAACTGCGACATATCAACTGGATCTCTGTTGTTTCCGGGCGGAGCATAGATTCGAACAAGCCTCTTCGCGAAGCGCGACCGAACTGATGAATGAGCGATACGAGATTCTCTGGGGTGTCTTCGATATCCTTGGAAACGACGACACCGCATTGTGACAGCTGACGGGCGTATAGTAAACATGATCGGGACGCCTGATACCACGAGGAGTTTATAAGGGTCAAGGAGTCAAATTCGTTGGGGGAGACGAAGAAGAGGATCCTAGGAAGATGACGGCAACGCAAGTTGCGGTTAGCGTGATCCCGCTTCCATCGCGAAGTATATCCAAATTCAAAATCTCCAACACCTCATCGGACAATTGATTCATCAGACGAAGGTGCACTTAAGCATGTTGGCTTAAGAGAGAAAGAAATGCATGTATAGTAGCAGAGGAGGAAAGATAACTCACTGCTGCATTATCTCTTTGGGGAGACGCGAAAATGCCGAAGGGCCCCGCATTCTACCTTTCTCGCAACTCCTCCGCGAGTCATGGCCATTGCTGGGCGATGTGTTGTTGCTCTGGTCAAAGTTGTTCTCCGCCGACATTCTCCTTTTGCCTTTCTTGTCGATTGAGTTCCTTGGATGCGGCTGCTGTTGTTCTTGTACAAGAATTGGCTGGTCGGAGGCAGCTTGGTCGAATGAGGCTGAAGACATTGTGGTGATTCGAACCAAGTTTGGAGCAGCGGGTTGGCGTGCGTATCGATATATATCGGTCTCCTCCGATATATTTCTATCGCGCTCTCTCTTTCACACTCTCTGTACGCCCTCCCTACGTCTTCGTGAATGTCGCCTTCGTCCTTTCAAAGCTGTATATTTTTCGGCGGGATGTGTTCCTGTGTTACGATGACAAAGGAGAAATCGAAAGGGAAGTCCAGCTGCGGGTTTTTTTCTTTCTCTGGTAATAAAGATGTTAAGTGCTTAAGTAAAGAAGCGGTCAAAAGCAAGTCAAATAGTGAACTAGGCAAGCAGGCAAGCAAATCGAAGGGATGGAGCGAACGGGAGGCGGGCCCAATTTAGTATCCCTTTCCTCGCTGCATTAGACCTAGTCCAGTCCAGTCCCAGTTGCTTTTGCTGGGGGGGCCAGTCTTAGTATCCTTGGATTTGTGATGCAATGTACCGTCGAATGTAGCCCAAGGAGTTCTTTTTCGATTAAAAAATGTCCCTGGTGCTTCCCGGGTGGATAGATATTATAGAGTACTCTTGGATATTGTAATAAGATGCGTCTCGATTTGTAAAGTCCAAAGGAAAGCCTGCCTAGCTAGCTTGAGGCTTGTCGAGATTTAAGATTAAGAAAGAGATGAAGAATGAGAATAAGACTACATAGAACGACCAGAAGATGAAAAAGAACAGCCCCCAAATATAGATTACTACTCTAATATATCACCAGGGTGGTCAGTCTTGTGCATATCTTCAACGTACCTAGGTAGTTACTTATGTGGGTATGTGCTATGGACTCTGCTCCTACGGCTCGCACCTACGATGGATGGGTGGATGGATGGATGGATGGCAATAACTGATCATGGATTACCATGAATCAAATGTATTGGATGGAAAAGAAAGAAAGAACTGAGCCGAGTCGTACGAATCAGATCTTCAGCCTCAGACCAAATACGAAAGAGAGAAATGTTACAAGCCTTGAATTAAAATTCCAAACTGACTGGCAGTCTGAATAACGTAATGCGATAGTGCGCCAATTCAACATACATTACATATAATGTTGATATGCATATGATAATATTTCAATTCCTTAGTAAGTGCTGTATATGATATGATATGATATACCGGGCTAGCTTGAAGCTAGAATTAGCAGACGAGCTCGAGCTTAACGTGGGAAAGCGGGAAAAGAGTCAGAGAGCGAACTAAGGAACTAAAGACGGCGAATGTGTCCCTCTCGTTCTCTCTCCCTCTCTTCTTTTTTTTTTTTTCCCTATTCAAGCGGCTAAAATGGACGGATGGTATAGGTACTTAACTTAAGTAGTATACGCAAAAAGCCTCTTTTAACGACGGGATGATATCATGAACTCAGAATTAATTCGTCAATTTCAAGGGGTAAAGGGGAGCAAACAAAAAAAAACTTGATCGGTGAATCAATCGGTCAATCAAGAATCAGGTTTGGAATGGCCATATGGCATGTCGACGAATTTTTTATCGGCGCAAACGGGAGGCAAGGGCTTGTCGTAGCATTCGTAATTTAACACCGATGGCTGGATCCATCTTGACCTCTAATCAATTGTAACCTTGTATAAAGGTATACGTATGTACGTCCTCCCACAGTGATACCCGGTTCAAACCTTCTGTCCGACATGATGCGAACATTCGGTATGTTCCATGTACTCCGTGTACATGTCCCCTCCAGAGAGCTGGTTTGTTGCCTCCCTTGCCCCCCAAGTAGGCGGATAGTTCGACGTTTCCCCCTTCTCCTGCATCGAAAAGATGGCAAATGGGCATCTCGGTTCGACTTGACGCCTCGTCAGACCCTAGCGAAGCAGACCACCCTTGCCATAACTCCGACTCGGTTGAAACATTCCTGTATTACTGACCTTCTTGAAGCAGCCCTTTCCAAAACTCCTCAAGGTTATAGCATTACTTCACTGCCTATGCCCATTCATGCTATGTGATGATTATATTAACTGTTAGAGAACCTGTTGACTATATAGATGACTGTCATATACATCCGTCGTAATTACGGCCTGCTTACTTTCTGACATGATGTTATAATCCTCTCCGCCGTTTCTCCTATTTGGAGCCTCAAGCTTTTGCCCAGATATTCTAACGTAGCTAGGTTAACCGATAATGCTAGTGACATGTAGCTTTTTGTTGTTTATTTAAGGTCAAGGCCAAGCTCCGACTGTACCTGTCAAATGTCGAAGCGTGAACGGTCGCACCATCGATATCCGGTATATACCTGGATCGGCTAGCCTGTCAATGGAAACAAATTCTCTAGCATACTTCTCGCTATTTATGTTTTTCCTCCGCTGTCTATAAACATTTTCGCCTAGGAGGCCGTTAACCCGGCTAGAAAATCAAGAATAGGTACCAGTCACCCGGTGATACGCCATGATGTTTTCTTGGGAAACAAACACTTCGAGCGGTGCCCACGTCTTCGCTGGAATAAAATACCTATTCAGGAACTCGGAATTGAAAACACCCGTGAATTTTTGAATAGATACCTACTAGGTATAAAGGATCAATCAAAGAGGAGTATACACGTAGACAGGGCGAGAGTAAAGCTGTGTAGCAGAGGTTAAATAAAGTGTTACAGTGCCCTGAGTTATCTCTATTCCGGCCTCAATATTTGTCCATCTATGCTTATATCATTCCTTTTTGCTTTCATTTTAAATTTTCTATACGAAATCGTCGTCCATTCACGCTCTTTTACGACCTTAACGCTCACTGATTTGTTTAAATTTCGAAATGAAGTTGCTCCATTTCCTTAGGTCAGTTTGATGCGTTAAGCCTCAGAACTGTGCATCACGCAAATATTAAATATTTTGGAAGAAGTTTAACTCACATTGCGTCTTGTAATCGCAGCCTTCTGGCCATCTGCGGCTCTGTAGCCGCCGCAGAAAAAGACGGCGCAGCAACCTCATCAGCCCCACCCACAAACATCGCAACCACTTCAGAAGCAGCTAAACCGACAACTTCTCTTCCTACATCAGCTCTAAACACCTTAAAAACTACCACTTCCAAGGCTGGCGAAGAAGCTAAAAGTGCTCCGAGTGGCAAAGCCACTACTTCTGTTGACCATCATGCTCATCATGAAGGAAAAGCGGCTACTACATCCACCCAAAAGTCTCCAGCTGGAGATAAGGCCGTGGCTGCTACTACAAGTAGCAGTGGTGCCACTAAGACTTCCGCTTTACCTGCGCCGGTGTTTAGTAATACGGCTTCAGGTGTCAAGGTTGGCTCTGCTATGGCTGTTGGGTTGCTTGCTTTGCTTGCGGCGTTCTAAGGATAGAAAGTATTGTCATGTATATACCGGCAGAATCTAGGGATGACAGATCAGTCTTAAACGTATATTGTGAGACAATGATTGGAACAATACCTTTCCTCTAAATTTGTGGATTTATATCTCGACTATCAGGCCATTCAAATTCTTCGGGAACCCATCCGGTCCGGCACCGGTGCAGGCGTCCGCACGGGTACTGATCGAATACGAACCCCAAACCCGATCACATTATAACTGCACTAACTGATATATTAGTTTAACCACTCTTCTATCACAAGCTCTGATATGCACCAGAAAAAGAGAGGAATAAGATGAATTCCTTACCATTGCGCAGCTGTTTGTATCCTTCATGGAGACCGGCCGGCTTAAGCCACCCATGCATTGTGAATTAACTAATGTGGTATTTTTAGGTGAATCAACACATTTTCCACACTTTAGAAGGTTGCACAACATTGTTTCAGCCAGCTGATAGTATGTATCAAGAAGGATCGACGGCAGGGTCTTAGGAGCTCGGAACCTTTGGGGTTCCGAAGCCTCCTCACACCTGCATCCTTTAAGCCTTGACAGATGAAATTATCTGTGTAACATGATTTATATACTTAAGCCGTCCGGAAGACGGGTGCGGATCCCACCGCACAGGTTAATTACTTTAAATTGGGAAGGAACATTCTTTTATTGTTAGTAGATTATTTAGCAGGGAATAAAGAATTAACATCAGTGGATCAGCCATGTGTTTAAAAAATAATATTGCTAAGGCAGCAGCTTTGTCAGCTTGGAATGTAGCGATCCGTTGGCTCTAATTTCTCACAAACCACGAAGATACGAATGAAATTCGATGATACCGATGGTATATTGGACGCTGACGGCCGGCTGTGAATTACTCGACTATCAATGTTAGCAACCAGATATCATTGGGTGTTCACGCATGCATAGATCGTATCCAAGTACTAGTGCGTACCACTTTGAGCTACTCTAACTCCTAGGCCCTGCGAACGTCTTCACATGCAGACTATTATTTCGGAATACTTAAAAGGGTTGGTAGCCAAGCCAAACCCGTCGGATGGTTTTTCCGTCACAATACGACATCGTTGCATGTGGCCGTGGGGTGAGGTGAGGCCCCATTTGCGTTCAACTGCCGGCTTACCACAACCTAACCTGAACGCTAGGGTAATTGAGTAGCCTGGTATCAAAAAAAAAAAAACTTCTGGAACAGAAAGTATCGACCCAGCCTTGTTTCTCAATGCAAGGTAATAGTTGTTGCGTTGTCCTTCCAAAAGAATTCAAACTTTCGATATATTAAATGCTTATTATTAGCTCATCTTCCATGAGGTTGGATGGTGCATGCATATTGATTAAGTCAAGAATGCCCAATTCTAAGAAATATTCTTGATAATACGCTTTATGCACAGTTGCCCAGCCACACCTTATCACTTGTTCTCCCGTCTCCGATAATGTCATTTGTCAGATTCGAAGGGAATCTACCCGAAAGGATGTGCGGGGTATAAAACAATCCAGCAGAATGGCCAAATAACAAGCCGTCTGAATATCTACTAGGGTAGTCTTAGGTATGTTAACTCAAATAAAGTGAGAGGGCTCGAAGCAGGGCATGATACTCAGATAAGAAAGATGGGACGAAAGGGCTGCCATGTGCCAAAGGATCCGAGGATATTTCATTGGTCGGTATTGTTAGATGGCTCCACCCTGAAAGAGCTTTTTGACGTTTTTTCGCCCTAAACGTATACATGTACATATGTACAGTGCAGGTAGAAGCGACACTGTTGTAAAGTTGTTTATGAAAACTATCACGGCTAGTACCTGGTGGACGTTGATTTTATCAATTCCATAGCCCAGTTCGAAGCCAGGTGCCGTTTCTAAGCTTACAAATGCATTCTTGATTATTTTTACTACGCCAGAATTGCCCAGAAAATTTAAAATCGAATTTATAACACATAATGACATATACTTATATACTGCGTATACAAACGTTCAAGCCATCAGGAAGCCAAGATAAATGCATACAGGAAGGCGCAACCTAGTTAAATACAGGAAATTTCAAAACCAACTAAAAGTACTACCCACTCTAAAAATCTTTTGGAATATGCTTGCATTTCGGATCGAAACTAATCGAGAAGACGAGAAATGGACCCATAAACAAAGCAGATGGATTAATCGAACAACTTGACAAAAGAAAAGAAAATTACGGTCTGAACGAAGTGTGCTAAGAAGCAGCTAGATGTATTGACAAATCTGGGCATCTGGGCAAGGGTTTTCATCGATCCTGAATGGTCATATTTTGACCCTGATCAGAACTACTAGTACTGCAAATACATTATAATATTAGTCAGCCTTAGAAGCTCCCGTCGCTTAGGTCGTCATCGGTTGGGACAGGTGTAGCACTTCGAACAGGTGTACCCGTTCGCTGGGGCGTCGTCGAAACTATTGACATTGCGCTCGTAGGTACTGGGATTGCGGTTTGGATCGTAACCTCTCCAGTGATTGAAGCCGACCTCATCATCGCACTTGCTGTCGGAGCCGTACTATTCAACCCCATAGTACTAGTTGATCCTTCGGCGGCAGTCGTCTCTTCAGGATTCATCATATCTGTAGTTGTCTCTTCAGGATCCATACGATCCATGGTTGGGGATGGGTCGCGAGTTTCTTCTGGGGGATCTTCCGGATTCTCCTCTGGTTTGTCTAGATCTGCCCATTTACCTCTTGTAACCCAGGTGTACGGAGTTTCGATAGGGCAGGCATCGCTGGTATCATTCGTGGAATTTGAACTGCCGCCACCTTCAAGATAATAAATATCGATACCCCAGCTTTTGTCTTCGCTCCAATAGCTTCTAGCCATGAATGTGCTTGACGAGTTATCCCCAATCTGCACTACGGGTTCTACTGAGCCTTGAAATACGGGGCCCATAGTGTCTTGATTAAGGAGAGAGCTTAAAGTCTCGTTGGCAATCAGGGCAGCATGATAGCAATTGATGCGAACATCAGGATTCTCCGCATTCCGATTACGATAATTGAAGAGGTATGCAGTGTATCCCTCTTTGCAGCAAAGAATTGCCGTACTGCCTTGAGGAGCGCTGGATACCTCTTCATTTGGATTAGGATCAGTGCTATGACCATATCTCGTGATACAATATTGACTTTCATCGACAAAATCATCGAGGCAGCTCTGGAGAGCCGCTTGGAACCTCCCAGGTTTGTAGGGCCCGAGGGTTTCCAACCTTTCCTGGGCAGTAGCATTGGGACCCAATCTAGCCATCCCAAACCCAGCTAGGCCTGTCCGATTATACCACTCATAAACCTGGTGCGGCGCCACCGGTACCGGGTCACTAAATCCTGGTAGGTCGCCATCGTCATCCAAGGAGTCCTGTCTCTTGTCGAATTTGGGGACACCGGCCGCAACAACACCTTGTAAGCTTGCTACGACCGCAGTAAAGATGGTTGGTAAATGTTTGTATTTAACCATTGTGTTAGCCTATAAGCTCGTAGCCTATGAGACAGAATGACAGCAAACCAAGCTTAATTAAGGTGTAAATTATACCCTCAGCCTGGGAACGCGTTAACGAGACCACCCTCGACTATAATCTCAAGCAGTGTATATGGGACCTGCCGGTATATTGTAGAATCGAGACCGCGTTCACAATCTACTAATAGACTATTCTCCCACGGTGACAATAAATAAGAATATATGGAAGTGAGAAGATTAAAGATCGAGTATGTAACGTATAACTAGATTGATAGACAATCACTAGTATACTAGAGAGCGCTGAGGGCTGTCCGAAGCCGTAATATGTTTATATTTAAATCTCTATTCTGGAGCAAGATAGAAAGTTGCCAAAATAGTGGATCTCGATATATCTGTGATTAAAGATTTAAAGGGAGTCTCGTAAGATGGATAAACTCTGCAGTTTGTCGAATATGGGCAGGGTGAATTATGCTAAGAACTTGGCATCATGACGGCTTGGAAGGACGAAGGCATGGGTTATATATATATTTTACAAGCCCTTGGGTCTCTTTCCACAAGAGGAACAGGTGGCAGATTACCGTTTGAATTTTAGTTCTCTTATGCCTTCAGTATTGCAATTGAAACAGCAAGACCATTTCTATTGATAGTTAGTATGGCACAACTGAGTACGAAAACGACCTTCACACTGCCTCAATGCAATGTCCTTAAGTTTCTAGCGCATTCTGTTAGAATTAATTGACGGCGCCTGTATATTTCGTTGTAGCCAAAAGTTTAAATTATATATAAAGTCTTTGACATAGCATTGAAGGCTATGATGTTGGGGAGAAATTTGGTCCCGATGGGTGGTTCGTTTGTATCATATAGGACTTCATATGATGCCCATTTCTCTGGCTTCTCAATCGACCAAAGTAATATAATATCAATCTAGTTAGCCCACGAGCGGTTTTACGAAAACCTATAGCTAGGCATCCAGAGGGGATTAGATTACATCGATTGAAGCTTTAGGAGGCTCAGCTAAACATCTATCACTTTGATTTTGACAGGAGGAGTAAGTCCAATTGCCTGGCAAGTGAAAATACCAAATTGTCAAAATCTAACATAACATTGCATTGACACATCTACAACCTACGTACGTAAGCTTCATGAAACTGAGTATTGGTGGCTCAAAATTAAGTTGTTATTTTTTTTACCAGGGTCTGTGAGGTTCGCGTGCGGTGTCCATATACCCAAACATACTGTGCTTCGCATGTCCAGACCACTTCGCATGCTAGTATAATCTCGATATCTCTGAATATCGATCTAGATCTGCGTTGGTTAAAACCTTGTTGTATTCTGGTGCCACTCTACCACCAGTGAGACTTGAAATTCATTGCTGAGCTTGTTTCGGGTCCAGCCTGGTCTCGTCAATTGCGAGGCGGGCCTTGTCCTCGCCATCGTATAATTGTGCCAAATTCAATAAACCAAGAGGTATCTAGATATCTGGTCACTTTAAAAATCTATTTTCCTGCTACCTCGAATCTAAAGAATTAATTCAAATTTCATTGCGTATGAGTTCCAACATGCATGTCGACTAGACTGCAACATGTTAACATGTTAACAGAGAGTCGTGTTTTGCCAGCTGTGGCACCAACTCATGCGATGTCATGTTGGGTTTCAAATTCCCAAACGTTGTGTAAGAGGATTCAACCTACAACATTGAGTAGTGAGGCAGCTCAGATCGGCTGGAAGAAATAAAGTTTCGCGACGTAGCCACTGGGAACGAGACTACCAGTAGTATAGTATACTAGTACTGTTTTGGGGGGTAACTAGCTGTACACATGCTCCGTCAGACTATACACGATTGCGCCGTATCGTTTCTGGTCAACTTCGACCAACTCGACCGGGTGGCTGTATATTCAAACACCACCTTTTCCAAGCGTGTATATGCGCCATTTCCCCCATCTATTATCGTTGCATTGGTAAGGATATCCGGATGTTAAGCATTGCTCAGGCAATTTCGAAGGCTACACAATCGAATATATTAATCGGACAAGCATGCCATGGATACTAGCTTACGACGGTTAAGTTAGCTAGGCAGTGGCAGCTAAAAGCGATACAGATGGCTACTTTTTATATATACGTAGGCAAAGTACGTTCGGGCATTCCTGTGGCATCTTGATAGTTGTGTTAGAGTTGCTAATTGGAGATATTTCTAGATATAGATACTCTGTACTTATTTCGAGGTGCTATTAATATATTAGCCAAGAACCTGTTGCGGTCTGCATTAAATTCAGATTGTAGGGTAGTCGTCATAACTAGGACCAGTAAAAAAAGGTACAGGAGAAAAAATGATGAGCCGCCTACAAGACCGGGACCAGGCCTTAAGACCAGCAGGAGAGCATTGCAATTGCGTAACTGGTCATCAAAAATTTATTGATAATATAACGGTCCGAATGAGGAAAATATAGTCCAGACCACTAAAAGTCGTAGATTTCGATAGTTTTAACGCTAAGCCCCTGCCCATTCAGATATCATGGTACCGGTTGGTGTGTAGTTGTCTCGTCGTCGGTTTTATGCTGTCTAGGCGGCTCTTGCAACACATGCTAATTCCAAACTCCAACAAAATACATGTAATGTTAGTATTTCTATATTGATTCATTAGGTGTTATATATATGTTCTTGGGAAGGCAACCGTCTTACGCCTAGTTCAGCAGTAAAACTCCAATTCGCTATGCTTCGTAAAATATATTCTTACGTCTTTTGCAATCGTTAGACTTTGTTTTAGGGGTAAATTTGCATGTGTATACCACATGTACAGGGAATATTCGAATGTTGTCTCGTACGTATACCTAGCCCCACCGACAAAAATTACACGGAAAATGTCGTAATCAAAGTTGCTTCTCTAAGCCACAGCGTTTAAGTTCTATCGATCAAAATACCGGTACTATAGTAAGGCTGCTATCTATAAAGAGCCTTATCCGGAACTATGCGATTTTTTAAAATTAGTTTAGAATCTTCTATGCCAACTATCCTATTATAGGCTCTGCGGACTGTCTTGGACCAACTGTTGATCAGAACTCCAATCAACAGTTGCTACAAATTCTGACATCAACTCTCTTTTTAAAATTTGGATTAATCCGGATTTATCTTCCTTCATACATACTCTTTTTTTACTCCGAACATCAATAGGAATTGAAAATGCCTGCTTTAGCTCTACCAGCTGCTATTGGTGTGCCTTTGCAAATGGGATATATATCCCAGTTAGCCCCGAGGCTCATCCCAACCAAGGAGTATGAGGTGTTTCCGAACTGGCTATTCGAGGATCTTTCTTACGTCAATGGGCTACAACCAGCGCCAGATTCTGAAAAGAAGCCCATTGATCGTCCTCGGACACCGATTTTTGATGGGCCATACTGCTTAGTGGCCCTTTGGAAGCATAGCCCAGATGGATATCGCTCAAAAAACAACTGGGTTGGATGGCCTCTGGGGAATCCGGATGTAGATCCAGTTAATGGCAATGTCCACAGCTATTGGGATAACATTCGAGACAACAGAAACGGAATGAGTGGCCAGTGTAATAACCTCAAAGATCTCAATAGTAACATCCCTCGACAGCTCTCCTCTTTCAGGGTTACTGGATACTGTGAGTGTGAGTTCTTTGCGGACGAGGATTGTCATCCGGAGAGTTCTAGATTTGCTGCCTACAATCGAGAGGATGAGGCGATGTGGAGAAACGGGAAAGACGACAATACGATCCAGAGCATTAAATGTAGATATGCTGAGAGTTGGGGGGGTGTTGATGGCTTTACAGTGACATTTGTCGATAATAAGACTGCAAGGCGTCCGGACCAAGTAGAAAGACTAGGACCTATCCCGGACGGTGCCAGCTTCCAAGGGACTTGGAGCCCTGGCGTTCACAGAATTGAGGACAGCAGGAAATGTCTTAAAGTTGGTCATCCAGATACAGAATCTGGAAACTTTCGTGTTACAGACGTTAGTGTCGTTCATGCTACATGTCATTTCTATCTAGATGAGAATTGCAATGAGCCAGAAGGTGGTATGGACAATCCGCTGTTTACTCTGGCGTCGACGGGTAAAATCGAATGGACAGATCAGGACGGCGGAGATGCACGGGGGAAAAATATTCGTTCATACAAATGCTTTCCTGGATATAACATTGCCTACCATCGCCAGAGCCAAGAGATATGGGAGTATATTAAGAGAATGGTTAGCAATCCAGTCTAGACTAATATTATGCATATCTGGTCTTCGACTCGTTTCTTCAAGTTTGGTATACCACAATATCTGAGAAAATTTGGGTCCTGTGGATAGAAGTAGTTTTTTATTGCTGTTTGTATACTCCCTTCTAAGTCTAATTTTGGTTTTTTTTTAAAAAGGGGCCCGCATGGCCTCGCTCCCAGGCATCACGAAGGGAGCAGATCGGCCCAAGTACTAGCAAGCATGTACATGCGCACAGCGTATCTCGAAGATATCTAGGAATATTATCACAGTACTCTGTAAATAACTAGTCCAGAAATTTATAAATAATATAATTGGAAATGCGAAGTCTGGTTTGAGACAAAGCGGAATGTTTGATAAATATAAATGCCCAAGTGCCCTGCCAATTTCTATGGTGAGTATTGTGCTAGCTATGGTATGTAGGGAAACTATACAGGAAATAAAATATAAAGGGGTCTGGCTAACCCTTCTACAAAAACTGTAACCTAAGATCTAATCGAACTTCAACCTCTGACCATTGTAGTCTGTCGAGAAAACATAGGCGCTCTCTGGTTATATAGTACTTATACGTATAAAAGTCTCAAACATAAATGGTTCTTATAATTAAGTTGAATCCTTGATAAAGTAATAACTTATAAGTTGAAAGCCTTGCGATTGATATAACGGATTCTTAGGATCCTGGAAATGCAAAGCCCTCTCGTTAGTATAAACTCATGCTTGAGTTCTGAAAGTTTTCAGCCTCTTCATGCTTCGTTTGATCCCAAGAACATTGCCAGATTTTTGTTTTTCACCTCCTATTAATTCAGCTGTAACCCCACCCAACAACAATTTAAACACCCCAGATATATACGCGATCGATTCCCATCGGCTCGAATTCTAGATTGATACTAGTTCTAGATTATTATAATCACTAACTGCGCGCTGCCCCCAATACCCGTATACTAGTATATCGCGGCTAAACGCTGAACTACGGGCTGCCTAGGTACTGCTTAGTGGGAGCCTTGTTTGCTTCCTTGGCTGGGTAGGCCTAGGTTGTAATCGGTGGAGAGTTTCATGAAATCAGGCAAGACTACACACAGGTGCTTGACTGATTCCTACTAAAGGTTGAGAGACTTAGACGGCGCAGGCGCGGGACCGTTATCCCGCTAATAAAAAAATGTCAAAGAGAAAGCGAAATAATGAAGGCACTCTCGGGGAATCTTCCTTGCAGACAGCCACAGGCTCGATATCCTTACGAAGCTATACGATCGGATGGATATGCGCCCTATCCCTTGAGATGGCCGCGGCAAAAACAATGTTGGACGAAATCCACTTAGAAGCTCCGAAGATACCCGATGACGATAACTCTTACATACTCGGATCTGTTGCCCATCATAACGTTGTTATTGTCTGTCTGCCGGCAGGAGGGTACGGGACGATAAATGCCACGGCTGCAGCCGCAAGGTTAAAAGCTAGTTTTCCATCAATCGAACACTATTTGATGGTTGGCATCGGCGGGGGTGTACCTGACAATGATGCGGATATTCGACTTGGTGATATCGTAGTCAGCATACCCACCACAAATCTACCTGGTGTCGTCCAGTATGACTTGGGAAAGACGGTTGCTGGAGGCCACTTCCAAAGGATCGGTGTTCTCAATAAGCCTCCTCACGCCCTACTAAGCGCTGTAAGCAAATTGCGGGCGGATCACAAAACGAAAGAACCATCTATATCACGTTTTATTACCCAAGCCATTCAAAAGTATCCTCTAATTCAGGATAACTTCACTTATCCTGGTGCACAACAAGATCAACTTTTCGATTGGGAATATGAGCATACCGGCGGGGAAACATGCAGGAACTGTGACATCAACAGGATAGAGAGGAGGGCTTCTCGGTCAAGCCCAGAACCCCGAATTCATTACGGCGTGATTGCATCCGGAAATCAAGTTATTAAACATGGCCAGATGAGGAATAAACTTGCAAAAGAGATGGGTGTATACTGCGTCGAAATGGAAGCCGCCGGCCTGATGGACACCTTTCCATGCTTGGTGATACGGGGAATTTGTGATTACGCCGATTCCCATAAAAACAAAAAATGGCAGGATTATTCGGCAGCTACTGCTGCTGCGTATACCAAAGAGCTCCTTTGCTTTGGAATTCCGGGGGCGAAAATACAAAAACAATCCGTTATCATTCCAGATCATGATCAAGGTACGCAACTCTAAGGGCTTTAAATTCTAAGGCCAATATACGAGTGGCATTATTCGATTTCTAACTCATCTATTAGAAGAAATTGAACTGCTGTTTCTTCAATCGCTTTCGTTTCTTGAGATCGATAACCGACGGGATAACATCGAAAAACCTATTCGCAATACCTGTGACTGGTTTTTCGAAACCGAAGTCTTTACACAGTGGCTACAAAGACAAGATATTGAGCTTCATAATGGAGTACTTTGGATTAAGGGCAAACCCGGTGCTGGGAAGTCCACGCTGCTAAAGCACACATTGAATCATTGCGAGCGTCTCTTGAAGGATCATATGATTGCAGCATACTTCTTTAGCGCTCGCAGTAGCGAGAGGTTAGAGAAATCTTTTATTGGCATGCTAAGATCGCTGATCTATCAGGTTTTAGACCAAGACAGTCAGTTATGTCAGAATTTCATTTCATACTTCCGCAAAAAGAAGAAAAAGCACGGGCCCAAAATTTGGAATTGGTCTGAAGGCGAGCTTAAAGATCTCTTCATTCGAGCCGTCACCCAAAGCCAACGGCCGATTGTCCTCTTTGTGGATGCGCTCGATGAGTGTGATGAAGCAGAAATCAGAGCCGTCGTCGCCTACCTTGAAAATCTTAGCTCCGTTGCTATTGCTAGTAAAACTGATCTCTCAATTTGCCTGTCAAGCCGCCACTATCCCACCATCACGATGCAGAAGAGCCTCCAGATAATTCTTGAATCCCACATCAACCATCAAAAAGACATCGAAATTTATATACAAGAAAGACTTACGCCAATGATACCGGAGACTCAGTGGATTCGGGCGGGAGTGCGTACGAGGGCAGAAGGAGTTTTTATGTGGGCCGTTCTTGTTGTCGAGATGCTCAACCGTGCATTTGACGAAGGTGACATCGCTGCTGTGGAGTACAAGCTTCGACAAATACCTCAAGGCCTCGAAAAAGTCTTCTTAGATTTGCTAGGGAAGGACAACACACATAAAGAGGAAACTCTTTTGATTCTTCAATGGCAGTTGTTTGTAGCCTCCGACCTAGAACCTCAGGGATTATATGAAGCCGTAATAGCCGGGACGGCTCCTGAGAGCTTAGTTCCTGAAGCACGACAAAATCCGCTCATCACCCTAGACGTTATCAAGCGATATATTACCAGTACCTCGAAAGGGCTTATCGAGGTTTCCAAAAGTAGTTTAAGATCTCAATTTATCCACGAGACCGTGAGAGACTTCCTCCTTCGGAATCAGAGGCTTGAAACTCTATATCCGATTCTTAAAGATCAGATGGTTAAAGCAAGTCATAAAAGGCTCGCTGGCTGCTGTCTTACGGCTCTAAAAAACCCCCCTTCTGAGGTCTGGAGTTTGCAGGATATTAAATCGATACTGGCGCTGCCATCATGCGATTTCTTTTATTATGCGGCAGCTAATATCTTCTATCATATCGGGCGGAAATGCTTGATACAGAGCTGGCGCATTTCCTGGAGGTTTTTAGACAACCTCACGTCCTCAAATTACTGTATTGCATTGGCCTGAACGCCAGGTTTTCTGTTAGAAAATTTACTGACAGCGATCTGCTTCAGGTTATATCTAGAAGAAACTGCCCAGGCCTCGTCAGGATTCTGCTGACAAACGGTAAGATAAGCGCCGGAGCTGTGGGCGTCAACATCAATCAGAATCAACCTCTCGTTTCCGCCATACGGAACGTAATTTTATACAAATATTCCCTAGAAACCATCGAGGCACTCATTGAGGGTGGATCAGACCCCAATCGGGCTGGATGCCCGCCAGAACACGGTACCAATACAACCCCGTTAGAAGCTGCAGCACTTTCGCGATTTCAGATGTCGCTGGATCACGAAGAAGTTGACGTTAGTACCAACATCAACATTATAAAAATGCTAGTGGCGGCCGGCGCAAACATTAATCTTCAACGACCTTCTGGGAGCCTGCTACAGACCTGTATTACACAAAGAACATGTAGCAAAGCAAATATCGCTGTGATTAAGGCTCTAATTGACCTTGGCGCTGATGTCCATGCGGAGGGTGGTGGTTACAAAAATGCATTAGATGCAATGAAGGCGCGAACTTGCCGTTGTCAGGATTGCAATAATGGCCGCGAAGAGCTCACTCGGGTACTTATGAATGCGATGCAACTTGAACCATAGCTTCAACGCCGGATTAACACCTACCTAAGTGTTTGCCCTGTCAGTGTGGGATCATTCATGAGTTCTCTTGGGGGGCTGGTCTGGATTATCTCGTAAACCAGGATTAATTGCTGCTGCGCAGCAGCAGTCTGGACCAACTGCAACTGTGTTACAGATTTAATTACTTATGGCAGTCATACGTGTGTTATAACCCCAATTCTCTTTCTCAACTTCAATTCTGTATTTTCGAGTCGGTTCTGTGTATGAATTTTTCATATCTGTAGATTATATGTAAATAAGGTGCTGGTGTTCGAGGGTTTTAAAAGCATAGAAGCGAGTGCCCAGAGCACGATATTAGAGCCCAGCCCAGAAGCAAGCCGAATTTGTCAGCTTAATTCATTAGAAGGCTTCCTTGTTGGATTTCGGATTGCCCATACCTTATATCTTCTGCTGCGCTGCGCTATCGATCATTATCGTCACGAGTTTTAGTACCAGATTCAGGTATCATGGCTACTCCCCGCGTCTTGAATAACACAATTTTCACGCCCACTCTTTACCAGAGCATTCGAGACCTCTGGTTCTCCGGGCTCCCATGGGCTGCCAAATCCCCCACCGAAGAGGCAACGCAACGCTGGTTCTCCGGCTCCAAAGAAGCCAAGGCCGCCTTTGATAAACTATGCCACCTCCACCTCAACCCTGCGATCTCTTCTATTTCTCCCTCGAACTTCCCTATCAAAGGCCTCACCGACGCAGAAATCGCAGCACCGTTCGTAGCCGAAATCGAAGCGGCGGAAGGCAGCGGGGATGCAGAAGCCAAGACAAAAACCGCGTTGAGTTTTATGATCTTGTTGGATCAGATCCCCCGGAATCTATACCGGACCAAAGAAACGCTACCGTTGGTTTACACTCATTATGACCCTATCGCTATTTCTTTGGCAAGGCATATCACCTCGATGCCTATTGGTGGTTCGAGCACGAGATGGGATCTTTTGCCGGGGATCAGACATTCATTACCATACCGACAATGGTTCTACATGCCCCTCATGCATTCCGAGAATTTGGCGGATCATAAAAATTTCATCAATATCTTAGAGGAATTAAAAGAAGAAACGAAAGAAGATGAAGAGATAGCCGAGTTTATGAAGACTATGGAAATCTTTGAAAATATGCATGTACGGATTGTGGAAAGATTCGGTAGATATCCACATCGGAATGATGGTTTGGGCAGAGAATCAACGAACGAAGAAAAAGAGTGGCTAGAGGGAGGCGGTGAGAAATTTGGAGTCGGCGGTTAACCCTTGGAACCTCGTCTTTATGATCCCTCGCTTTTCTTATTGGCGGAGTAACTTATATTCATTTTCAGTTCAGCTGCAATTATTAGATGAAACTAAAGAATAGAAGATACTTTGTTTCTAGATTGGCGATATATATATCTCCTTTCATAGAGTTGCAATTGATGTGTATTCTACATTCAGTTGCCCGACTTGCTATCTAAAAAGGTGTACAATCTTTCAACCTTTCCGTCTTTCACAGAAATAACATCTAGCCCTGTCAGCTCCGGCTCTTGGCTTGCCTTTCCATAACCCCAACGCAATCTCGCGACTCCAATCTCGCTCCCTGGTGGGGATGTTACCTGTACTTCGCCTATATTCAAAAATAATAATTAGTCATAGAGTACTCGCATATCAATTTCAAGCGCATAGATACATATATTTTTTAAAAAAAGGAAAACTTACTCAATTCCGTGAACACCCAGCCTTCCTGCTGCAACCCGGAAATAGCGTTGGATACCTCCTCATGAGTCTTAAAGACACCGAAAGGGTCGATAAAAAGGGCGTCGGGGTTCCAGAGGCGCGCAAGATTCTGTAAACGATCTTCGTGGGATGGAGAACCAAAGATCTCGTAGAGGTTCTCTTTGAGAATTGAAGTAATAAGATCTGCAGAAGCCATATTGGTAGTTTGGGTGTTTTCTATTTGTATTATAGGTTTAAACTGATATCCAACAACTGGAATTCTCGAAAGCAAGGAATGCGGATCTTTAAATCTGTCGAATATTGATCGATCCTATAGTTAACATGAAATTATAAAAATTCATCCGGTTGATTATATTGGCGGCCATTTATACCACAGACTATTGTGTTGACTCGGCCGACTTAGGTTGTTGATTGGGAATCACATCATGATATTCCAACTTACGGTTTATCTACTCCACACGTACCGGCACGATTACTGATGCTTTCCAATCCCAAAGAATCTAATGAGGAGCATATTAGATAATATCTCAAACCGTGTCAAGTAGTAAGGCTTAGTAATCGAGTACTTTCTAGTCATAACCTACATGGTAATTGGCTGATAGAATGCATAATACCAGTTTGCCTTTAATATTTTTCTATTGGATATTTCCGTTTACGAATTCGAAGACCCAATTAAATCACTCTCATATGATAACGTTTGATAGATCTCTCTACCGCTCAGAATCTAAATTTTTTTAATTTTTAATTTTTTTTCGTAGAGCGAGCTCAAGTTAACTCCAAGAGCTGAAATTCGGAATACTCCGAAGGACACTTATACCCTTGTCAGTTAAACTGGCCTATTCCGAATCGGGGCACCAATAATTAACCAATCATAACCCTGCAACTTTCCGTTCTTGGCGTCCACCAACCCGCTTGTCTTCCTGATGCATGATATCATGAGGGTTTGAAGCCGGCAGCTCCAGTTAGTCGTCTTCCTTCCTCCCTTCTTTCTTAAAAAAGATAATAATATCAGTCGATGTGGTCGTCATATATGTTCAAGGACTTAGTTATGTCCTTCGAATGGACTTAGGAGTTTAAAAATTAACAAGCCCGTGAAGCCTTGGGGGTGAACTGAATGTATATAAAATGTTATCCGAGTCGAACTTGATCGAACTGCAATAAATTCGTAAACTCCGCTACTGCATTGTGCGGCTGTATAAATTAACTAGAAAAGGTTACAAAATCCATACTTCTAGTGTTTCTACCTTTTTTCAAAGCCAGTTACTTCCTAAGAAAGTAAAATATTCATTTAACCCCATAATGTCTCTGTCTCAATTCGTCTCAGACCAATACACCAAACTCCCTATAATTCCAACTCCAGCCCTCTGCGCCAACAAAACCTTCATAGTCACCGGCTCAAACACCGGCCTAGGGTTTGAAGCCGCAAAACATCTCGTATCTTTCTCCCCATCTCGCGTGATCCTCGCCGTACGCACCCTCAAAAATGGTGAAGCCGCCAAGTCCAAAATAGAGGCCGAAACTGGGAAGAAGGGAATCGCAGAAGTATGGCAACTTGACCTATCTTCTTACGACTCCGTTAAAGCTTTTGCAAAGAAAGTTCAGGGATTGGATAGGCTGGATGCCATCATTGAGAATGCCAGTGTAGCGTTGGCAGTTTGGGAACCTGCTGAGGGATTGGAAACAACTTTAACGGTCAATGTCACAAGCACATTTCTATTGGCTGCGATGGTTTTGCCGAAGTTGAAAGACACAGCGAGAAAAACTGGAGAGAAGACACATTTGACAGTCATCGGGAGTGGTGTTGCCTTTATGGTTCCGGGTAGGTTGGAAAAAGTTGAAGGCGACATTCTGGATTCGATGGGAAAAAAGAATAATTCGGTAATGCCTGACAGGTATAGTTATACAACCCCACACTGGAGTCAAACTTCAATTAAATTGAAACTAACGTTCCTAAACCCTATAGATATCAGGAGTCTAAGTTGCTGCAGCTGTACGCCGTTCGACAACTTGCCTCTCTCAACCCAGTGTCTAAAACCGGCGTCATAATAAATTACATTAACCCTGGTCTTTGCTATTCCGAATTAACTCGAAACGCACCCTTTATTCTTAGAACCCAGATAAACCTTATGAGACTGTTTTTTGCTCGGAGCACGGAAGTTGGTAGTCGGACATTATTAGCAGGGGCTTTCGCCGGAGAGGAGTCGCATGGAAAGTATAGTTCGGAATGTGTGGTAAAAGAGTAAGCATATATCCAACATCTCTAGCTCAAGTGTTTTTCTCTAACAATGGCATAGCCACTATGTTCCAGAGTGGATGACCAATGAATCCGGGAGGCGAATCCAACAGCGGGTATGGGACAGTTTGACGAATAAGTTGAACACTATCCAGCCAGGTTGTGTCTGAGCCAAATTGTAGTCAAGTTTCCAGTGTTCTTTTATTTGTTGTCGTGATTTTGCTTTTATTCTTCAAGACCTGGCCAATATGTCCCAAAGTTCAAGTCCTGGTCCATCATGGAAATAGTCGATCCACGGATATTCCGTTAATTCAATTTTGACAGATTGCCAGCTCTCCAGCTCCATGAGAGAGATATGTCTCTTTAGCATTAACTGCAACCAAGCATCATCCTTGACATCAAAAATCGAAATCCCCGCCATAAACAATAGCCAGAGCAAGAACCCATTGCAAACTGATGGATTTTCAGTTATCTTTGCGATCGAGTCATGAAACAACCCAGCAAGATATGGGTATGATAAGCGATTGTAACCTTTCCGAATCAAAATCGTCGTCACCATAGCCAACAAAGCTAAGTGACATACATCGTCTGCTGCAGGGAGCAGTCGAGGTCCATCCAAGGGACAGATATACATCAATCTATACCCTGTCGATATCAATATTTCTTGGAACACTAGTGGCGCTATTTTCTGATTTGTAACTTTTAAGGTGTTGATAAACCTTGAAGCGCATAGCATATCTCGAAAAACTGTTTGAATGTCAACGTTATATATGTGGGCATTTGTGGCGTTTATAAATGCTTCATAGGTCGTATCTACCCATGTTGAGGATGAGCGCATAGTGGTGTAAGGGAATTCATCACGATAAAAGCGGGGTAGCGAACCCGATTGTAGAGAAAACTCGATATCTGTTCTATCAAATTTATAAAGTGTTAGCATAGACTCTTAAAAACTTAAATTCTAGCTTAGCCAGTGCGGTGTTCCTTCCTACCGACAAATCTTATGAAGTAGCAGTAGAGTAGGGAACGAAGATAGCCCCCCTCGCAGTTCGACCATCCGCTGTAAAGCATTAAGATGGACTTTCGCCCCACCAGGTGCACGTAATAAATTATTGTGCATCGTGATTGACATAACAACGGCAATAGTGGCGTCGTCAGGTGTACCCTCCTTTTTTAATTTATCGTTCACACAGCGATATGTATTCGCTAGATACCGCATGACTTTTATGGACTCTCCTTCGCCTCCTTGTAACCAATCCGAGAAAGCTTGTGCCATTGCGAGTATGCAATGGAAGACTATACACTTGGATTAGTGCTTTGGACATGCGAAGTGATTGGAAGCAGGAGAATAGCTTACAAGCCTCATCGCTTTGGAAAAATTCGAACCAAATTCCATGAGATTCCGGGACTTCTATGCATACTTCTTTGGGATAAATAATTGAACTAGTCATCTCCATGACTGTAAGCCAAAATAGTTAGCAATTATCCTAACTCAGTCACCTGTTTATCTCAGGTTCCCGGAAAGCCATGAAGCCTTCATAGACTCACACTGCCTCAAAATCCTCTGTACGGGTGGTTCTAGTGGCTTTGGGTACCTCAGAGCCGTAAAGTCATTACCCACTGTCCTCAACATTCCACCAACCACATCGTCTGGGCTCGGACTATTCCCATCCAAACCTCTACGATTTAGGTTTCTAACATCTGGCACCAAAGCCCGTGGCTTCGGGCAACGTACTATTTCCTTGCGTGATCGGGTTTTACCTGTGTTGCGGCCACGCATGACCGAACTTCGGATTTGTTTCCGTGCTGATGCATCGATATTTGTATTATCTATGAATTGGAACTCCATTTTCCAGAAAATATATTTAGAAGGTGTCTATTGGGAATTTGAAAATCCCGAACACGTGTGGAAAGAATAACATCAGTTTACACCCCGAAGCTGGCCCAACGTTGATAACTACCGGACTTATATTATCTCCGATACGAAGCCAAGATCAGCAGCTTCCCTAATTTAGAACTCCAACGTTTACAACGCACGGATATGGAAGCACCTCGCAAGCCGTCGACCTATATATAGGGATAAAGACGCAAACGACTATATTTATTGGTCTAACACAGTTAAAGTGCCATGGACTCCCTAAATTATCATTATTAACTCATAGTTTGTAGGATATTTAACTACGCTAATGGCACATTATCGAAACCTGCTAATCCACATTTTCAGCATAGCTTAGTACCTTCGAAAATCGAAATGAGGTTCAAGAAGGTCATAAAGCGTTTAAAGCACTTTTGCTGTTGCTGCCGTACACCTTCAATTTCTTCAGACGAAATAGAAGAAGCTCCTCGACTTGCTCAAAATCCAAATTTTGATGGGACGGTAGACGGCAGTCTTGATCATGGTCGGAGTGAACACGACGAAACCGGTAAGTTTTCTATAGGGCGATTTCCTAGGAATTTCATTTTCCAAGCACTAATCCGATCACTGAATATCTTATTTAGATTTACAGGATGTCAATAGTAATATTACCAGCGATGGGAAATCCGACACTCATCTACCACATATCCTAGAGTTTGATTTCCAGAATTCACCGTCCAAGTTTACGCTGGAGTTGAACATGAAGCATAACAACTACGCCTATACCCAAGAATACAGCACCCAAAATAAACAGCAAGACCCCGATTCAATTTTAAATATCAAAATGATAGAGCTAGAAGCCAGCTCGCACCCGTACAGCCTAGAAGCCTCTACAGTAAATACAAATTCTATCGACAAAGAGAGCCAAGAGTGTTCCAGCACAGACTTCGGTATCCCTGAACTATCGACTAGTGATAGTATACAAAATAGCCGGTGCACGTGCAATCTGACCAATTCTGAAGATGTCCTTACAATCATTCTTGAAAGGCTTGAGCAAATTGAAAAAACTCAAAGGGACTTCACTTCAAAACTCTATCTTCGGAGTTCTAATTTTCATTTGACATCTGGACTCTCAGTAGTTGAAAAGTGTGAGGTTCCTTTTCAATCAGACACGGAAACATCAGCATTAGTTTGTTGTGAGTGCGCGATTCCACAAAAATAAGGATAGGCTAGCCTTGTAGAATTCTAATAGGATACTTGCTGATGAAAATAATAAAATCTTCAATGTATCAGACACAGGATATGAGATTCTACCCGACAAGAACTTAAGATTGGATATCACAGACGCCGAATCCACAGTTTCTCTTCAGGGAACAGCTGTGGGCCAAGGGTCCCTAGCTACCTGCACTCGAACCGATAAGCCTCGAACCGACCCCTCCCAAGCCAATATCCCAAGTGCATTCGAATTTGAACATAAAGCTCCAGCTTTGATAACCCCAATACCACTAGAGTACGAGCAATCAAAGTCTACTCAAATGAAATCATTCAAGGCCCCACCATCCCAAGAAAGGGTAAAATCCGGCACATCAAAGAACGTAAACTACCCTCGAACAAAGCCTAGATGGAAAAATTCTAGAGACCCAAACCTACGACGTCCAAGGCCTAGAGGCCCGCCGAGGCCAATAATTGGAGGTGCCCCAAAACCGTTTTTCCGGGCATGCTGCATACCTAAGTCCTAAAACCTGTACCCAGAAATATATTACGTAAAAAGGTTTCTTTTATCTATATTCTCCCCTGTACTCTAGACCGCAAGTGTCTTTTTTTTTATAGCGAAATTTGCAATATATAAGGCCGTTCCTTTCTTCTATCGGTTAAAATATTGACCGATTTCGACCAATTTACAAAGGAGCATGAGTCCTGCTTTCATATTTATTTACTGTCCCTTTTCGAGGCTTTCTTGACAATTGATCAGACCCAGGCGGTTCTCTCTTAATAATTTCTCCCGTTCCTTTCGGATCCATTGTATTCTTCTGGGCCTCTCTGATCTTCCCTATACCCCTATCAATTCTCCCCATCTTTATATCCATCTCTGTTTCAAACCTTTGACAGACACCTCAATTTTATACAGCCTACTCTATATAAAAAGGAAAATGTTATAATGAAACCGCTCCTAAATATGACAATTTCTAGTATTACAATTAATTCATCAAAGCTTACCACGATCATCCCTCCAAAAACCGTATCCAATATCAACCCTAGGAGAGACATGTTGTATGTACGGGGTTCCTAGTAATGACATAAAAAGCAAGCCAGGGGTAAAGAAGTTAATTACAATCGGACGAAGTATTAAGGGTTAAGTCTAGTGTAATGCTAGGAATTAACTTATGATCTACTGGTCAGCGGTGGGGCCGAGGGCACATTAAACTATATCAACGTCGCATACGCCAAATATACCCGTGAACTTTATTTGATCAATTGAATATCAATAGAAAATTAATCCTAAATCCATTGAAAAGTAATGTATGCTTAGTAGGTACTAGCGGTCTGGAGATTGTTGAAGCAGGCTAGTATAATACAGCATACTTTCAACATCACACCGTACGACTGCATGAATAGTCTAGTCGTTAAATTTAAATTCTGGTATGCGCACTTCAAGCCACGAGCCAAACCACATGACCACCTGGGATTGTAATTATGTTTAAACACCATAGCTAGCTAAAATCGAGTGCAGGTGGCATATACCTAGAACTGCCCAGTGTGTATGGTACGTAAAAACGTCATTCAGCGGTAGACTTCTAAATTTAATAGCTTGGACCTCCAGTTTGAAGTAAGGGATATTTTAAATTGTTAAATGTATGGATTTCTGTGTATACGATATGCTGAAAACTCTTCAGAATTCCACCAATGCATATGCATCATTTCAACAAAAGAGATTATAAGGCGTCTGAAGGCCGGCCTCGCTCAAGCGGATTACGTTAGAAGGAAAGAAGAAAAACGGTCCCCAAAAAATGAAGGAAAACAAAAACAAAGAGAAAAAGGGAAGATGAAAGAAGACGGCAAGAAAGAGGGTCAAGAATAGCATACTTGTAAGCACAATTTGCTTAGCTAAAGTTTTGCGTAGACGCCCTGCAGGTATTGCGAAAGGGATCATGCCCTTTCTAGTCCTGGCGAGGGTATTAATTCATTCAAGCGATCACAAAAGAAACATGTCAAAGGTGGTGCAGAGTACCCCAATCCCATCCTATCCAATCCTATCCAATCATATTTAGTCCACGAATGTCCCAAAAAATATTCTGCAAGTACCATAGCAATAATTGCTTCCAATGCCTAGCACCAAGGCCAGGGGCAGAACCAAAAGAGAGAGAGAAAAAAGAGAAGAAGAAAATCCTAACGAGTAAAACTTATGCAAAGAAGAACACCAGAAGCGCCAATAATACACCTATACCGCCGAGGAAGCAATGAATAAAGATTCCATAGGCATGGATAACAGGGCAGAAAAAAAAGAGAAAAAAACAGTATCCCGCCCTCCGTATTAGGACTTCAGAACTACCAACCGGTTATTAATTTTGGCTACTGCCAAGGGTAGCCACTCCCAGGGTATCCACTGGCCCCGCCAGTCTGTCCACTTCCTCTAGAGCTCATACTTCCATACCCATGCCCATGCCTCGCGTTAGTTTGTCCAGTATAAAAGCCCATTGGCAATGGTGGTGGGGGCACTCCATTCGTAAACCCCCATCCTCCATTTCCGGATTGTGATCCGGAACCGATCTGTGGCGAACCAGCCTGTTGCTGCTGTTGCTGGGCCTGCTGGGCCTGCTGAACTTGTTCAACACGCTTTCGTTGAGCTTGATGAAGAATAATGTTATCGATGGCTTCCTTTTGCATCTCTGGGGTCGCACTCGCGAATTCCGCATAAAACGACGTAGAGAAATCTTGTGGATTCAGTCCCGCTTCCCGTAGAGACTCACCTACTCGTAGAATTTGTTCTCGACTTGGGTATACGGGAACCTGCTGTGAGCGTCTTGTTGAAGTGCTAGGCGGTGGTGGCGGCGGAATTTGTGAGTGGTGGTGTGCCATGTACATTTTATTTGAGAATGGATTCGAAGACGCTAAGGATGGTTCTCGGTATTGGCTTCTTACGCTACCATCGTCCCGTAAGCTGTAAGTTTCTTCCAATGTTGGAAAGGGATGAGGTGGCGGTGGCGGTGCAGCGAAGGTGTTACCTCGAACGCTTGCTGAGGTAATATATGGCGAAGGGTATTGCTCGGACGGTCCGCTGCCTCGGCTCCCTCTTGTATAGAATGGAGGTTCGTCGTCTAGCTCTAAAAGTCGAGCTCTTCCCCTTGGTGCAGTAGCCGCGTCGTCATCTTCCAACGTAAGACTCCTTGGCTGTTTTCCAGCCCCCCATGAAGCTTCCGTAGATGTAGGGGAAGACACGCGGGATAATGGCGCACTCGTCACCAATGTCTGCTTCATCCATAACTTTTTGGCCTCATTATTCTCCTCCCGGGATATAATGCTAGGGGTACTGATTGGGGATCGACCAGGAAGTGGTCCATCTGGCTTGACAAAACCGTAGATCCCAAACTTAGGTGCCTGTAGATGAGGATTCGGAAGTGGTTTAGCTGCAGGGCCTTGAAGAGGAGCAAAGGTGCTTGTTCGTACCTTAGCTTCTGCGAGAGGGGGTGGGGTAGGGTGGGGTGGAGAATTTCCAGAGATATCAACCAAGGGATGAGGGTGCTCGGTAGTCCTTGGAGACACTTCTGCTGGACGACTATGGCTCCAAGGATTATTGGAGCGGGAACGAGATGAACCCGTTTTGTCATATGGAACATTCTCGCTCTCAGGCATAGGGATGATTTTTGGATCCTCCATCGCCCGATTAGAAACAGGGCGGGGGACAGGCGTCGCTGACAATAAAATCTCCCGCCCAGCTGCAGTTTCGTCAAGAGCCCGACGTAGGACATCAACATTGATGGACCTGGCGAGCGCCTGCAAAAGAGGATTCTCAGCGGTGCCAGAAGGGCCAGTCTTGAGTTCTTTGAGGACAGTGTGGATAGCCTCTTGGCTCTTCTGCTGTTGTTCCGTTTGCTCTGGGGGGCCACTGGTTGGAGACTGCATCTCTTCGAGTGGCTGATATACACTCTTGGTCCCGGTCAGATGAGCTTTCAACTGGTTTGGGGACGGGAAAGCTGGTGACTTCGAGCGATCATGTTGGTCTTTTTCTACTTGATAGTCAGTACCAACAGGGTTTTCAATAGAAAAATGAAACGCACCCTTTTCTAAAGGCTGCATTAAGAATTCATCCAAGTATGAAGGTGGCGCTTTTTCTTTCTCAAGTAGGCTCTCAAACCCACGTTTGTCCCCAACCATCATCCCTTTTGATTCGTCTTCGTCCTCCTCTTCGTCTTCAGTAGATTCATCTACACGCAAAGTATCGATGCCGCTTCCCACCATTTCATATTGATGTGTTCGGCTGTCGACAGGAGATGCATGAATCCCAGGCACTTCCTCAACATCTCTCAGATCACGCGTATCAGGGACCAAGTGAGGGGACATCGCATTCAACACCGAACCAGCCTCTAATTCTACACCTTCTCCCCTTTCATCGTCATCCTCAACATCATTTCGGAGGTCTTCAACCTCTAGTCCCTCTTCATTGTCGGTATTTGTTCTGAGAAGAGGTTGCCGAACTCTAGCGTACGCCGCAATAACTGAAGCTGACGAGCCTTGTCTAGAGGTATAAATGCCACTGGCGTGCCCTGATACCCTTGTCATATTGTCCTCCTTATCTATCAGCGATGCAGTCTTGACAGTTGTTCTAGATTCATCCATTTGGCTCAATTGGTCGTTGATCCTTTCCAATTCCTTGGCCGCATCAAAGTAGGGCACGGTCGGCTCATCGGCTTCAGACGCAGCAACATATTCAGGCGATCTGACACGCGATCTTCCTCGAGGCGGCGATTCAGTGCTGACGGACTCCTCTTCGGCAATGTCACTGGTGGCGGGACGAGCACTTGATATACTGTAAGAGTGCGATCTTCGGAGGAGTGAAGAAGTGACACTCGATGGCTGGCGCCCCCAGATAGCAGACGACCGAGAAGTGCGAACCGTCGAAGCGGTGGGTGGAGGGTCCTCGTAGTTGGAAGCCTGAGTGTGTGATTCGGGAATCTGGGAAACGTTGATTGAAGGTGGTTTTCTGCCATGTTGTGGTGGTGGAGAAACGCATGCAATCAGGTCATCAGTTTTATTGAATCTTGATAGCCATTTATCTTCCGTGATCTCTTCGCCATTCAAGTCGCCTTTACCAAAGAACAACAACCGTGTACAACTATCCAAGTTCAGGGATAGTCTATATGCAAATGCGGAATCGACTGAGGACGAGTGAATAGAATCTTTAGATCTTAGAAATGCCAGATAATTCCCAATGGCACATCGAACACTCTTCGAAAGCGCAGTATATGAAGCTCCAGGGTGGGGTACTCGAATAGACGGGACATCATAAGCTGTGTTAAAGGACACAAACTGTAAACTAACTTGCAGGTACCCAGGCGGTGAACGATGTTCTTCGAGGACGGTGGGGATCGTCGAATGACGCGAAGCGGGTCTAACCGTCTCTTGGACACTCGCTGCACGTTCTTCATGTTCAACGACATTGAGTCTTTCCTGTAGCAATTCGTTCAATCGTTTGACATCGCCAATTTCGAGGATCAGGTTTTCAAGCTGTTGACCATAGCTTTTGTGTAAACCTTGAACAAGCTCAGCAGTCGCCCCCTCCTTCTTCACATTCACTATTTGCTTTGCATGTTCCTCTCTGAGTTTTTGGGTTTCTTCATGGTGCTTCGTTGATAATCGGAGAAGTAGCTCATCTTGCTCTTTTTGGTGATGAACTTCCATAACAGCTATTTCTTGATCTTGTTTGGTGCGTGCCATTTCAAGGTTCTACTCAATTGTTAGCCTTGTCAAACCATGCATGAATCAGGGAAACGCATCAACAAACCCTCAGCTTCTCCTCCATCTCTTTCAAGGTTTGGCCCATCAATTGCCTGAGCTCCCTCCTAGTTTGGTCATTGCTAGTTCGTCGGTATCCTCTTCTTGGCCGAGCATCAGACGTCACCTCAGACATTGACACATTGTCCGACGACATCATTCTCCCGGCGTCGGATTCACTGTCTTCTTCTTCTTCTTCGTCGTCCCCCTGTTCTTCTTCCTTTTTTGGATAAAACTTTTCTTGGGAAGTTTGGCCGAAGGTGGCGTAATGATATGGTCCAGCACGCGAAGCACCGGCGGTAGTAATGGTTTCTTCTTCGTCCTCTTCCGATGCCGTACTTGGAGGTGTGTAGATGACCTCTGCTGATTTGTCTTGAGCGACCGATGGAATCTCGTGTTGTTGTCCGTAATCCGGTATTTTCCTTGTTTTTTGGTGATCGGTCATTACCGGCTCGAGAACCTCAGCAACGTTGGCGTTTGGGGGTGTATCGTCTTCGTCGTTGTAAGATACAGTGATCTTGGCCCGGGCAGACGCTCGAGAGTCTCTATTCGCAAACCCAGCCGCGAGTGGCCGCCTTTGGAAGGGGTTTAAGGATACTCCAGAGTGGTGTGATCGAGTCGTAGGGGCACCAGCGGTATGGTCGCGATAAAGTTGATGGTCTCCAGTCTCACTTTGCCCAATGGTAACCGGCATCTAGAGGTACAATATATTTCGTCTAGAGGGTTTAGTGTCGGAAAGTTGAGTGCTTATGCTAGTTCAAGGTCGCAGGCGTATGTAAGACCGCACAAAATGCATGTGGAGGATGGAAAGATTAAGAGAAATGGGGAATCCCAGGAACCGATTCCAATTCAAGCTGTCTCCCGTAGTTGCTTAAAGACCTGGCTAGCGTGCTTCCAGAGCGCTTTCTCCAACCTCCTCTACCAAATTTTGATACGGTTACGTGTAAACCTGGGTATTTGTGTCGTCTCGTCGCTGGTGGAATGTTGGTGTGATTTTGTGAATCCAGCGCCTTCTCGGGTGATGATGCGTGTTTAGGACGTATGACAGCTCAGCATACTCGAACCTATTGGTGGGGGGGAACAAGGGGGGTGTGCAGTGTACAGTCCGGGTTCCCTTGAGGCGAAAAGTAGACCAGGTCCGTTTAAATCCAATTCGAGCAGGCCCCAAAAGCCTCTTCGTTCGAGGTTATCGAGAATTCCTTCTTCTTCGTCTTCCAAGCAGGATCCAGATAACAAGGGAGTAAGCAGGGAAGAAAGCAAGCTCTCTGATATGAGGAATGTGTATGTGTGTAAGTAAGTACGTATGTAGAGACAAGTATGCTGCTTTATCGAAGGATCCTAACTTTGGTGAAGCTGCAGAATCCTAGGCGTGCATGCAGCAGGCCCAGCCAGCTAATGCATGCAAATGTACTGAAGGTCGGGGAGCCGGGCGTGATATCCAGCCGGGCTCACTCGATGAAGATGAGGATGGCCTCCAGCCCAGTCCTGTCCTTTCTCAGATAATCTCTGCAAACTTGGCGTCGATAAAGCAGTCTTGACTATAGTGGCCGAATCAGTGGTGATGGAGGTGAGAAGGAAGGTGGATTCGTCGATAATCGATGGCGATGGGAATCACAAGGATGGCGGAAAGATAAGGCGAGGCGGGCCTCCCTTTAGCCTTGCCTGGTTTGGTTCCAAGCGTCCCAAGTGGCCAGGGTGCGGACGCAACACAATCGTTCTTTTAAAAAATGCAACATTTCCAACACTCCTAGTTGGCCCTTTAGTCAACATGGTGCTAGCCTGTAGATATTCGTTTTTTGTTTGGGGGCCGGTGGTCTCGTAAGGGCCAGTTAGACCGGTTTCTCGTGGGAGTTAGCTCGTAACTAAATTTATAAATGCTATATCTATGAAGCGGTAATTACCTACCTAGGTATTGTTTGTAAATCTCACCCACAAGGTCAGGTAGGAAATATATTCCAGTATTGCATTATCAAAAGCAGTCTTGAGGTAAATGCATTCATATCAAGTACTTAGTATTTAGGTATGTTGCATACCTAAGTAAGTATACCTACCTACTTACCTAAACTAGACTACCTACTTGCCTAAAGCCTATATGCAGCTGTCATTGTGATTTTAATTGTGTTTCCTGTAGTATATAAAGCCCAAATATCGCTAGCTAGGTACCTAGGTAGTTATACCTATACTCAAAAATAATCTAGAAAAAAAACATCCAAAGAGCACCGACCTAGTATCCGGTAATACCGATATATACATAAAATTTGTCTCGTACCCAGACCTGGAAGACATAAAATTCCCACAATAATAGTTAATTGTTACACGCTCAAATAGTATCCATTTTACCTTAAGACCAGCTTGAGGCATAGACACGCATACCCAATATTACTTTCACTTGCAACCCTTCAGTAGATATTTTTCTAGCTATATATTTACACACCCTCCGCACCCGGTTCGACATATCCAATTGTAATCACTCCACTGCTTTCTTCGGCTATGCGGGATTGTGGCGCTGTTGATTCATCAATTGTGTTAGCTAAATCGTCCCCGAACTCCTTTCGGGCGAAAGAAATGGGCTTTTTCTCACCCAAAATTGTGATATCGTTTTGGTTTTGGTGAAGTTGTAGAGAATTAATACTTTGCCGTTGAGAAGGTAAAAAACAACTCGAGATTGCGACATTGTTGAGACTGGTTTCATTATGAGATGTTTGGGAAGAAAGTTCTCCTCTGGCATCACTCCACCAGTCCCCACGGAGGACTTCGGCATTCAACCCACTCTCAAAACTGAAATAATCAGCTTGAAGGTCAGTATGCTTAGAGGAAACTATCTTATGAGTTCGGGCCTGGATTGGGAAGGGCTCCTGAGGGTTTGTAGTTGGCCATCCTTCAGATTTTTGCTCTAGATCTCCCACCAAGATCTTCCTTTCCCCGATTTTCTTTACCGCATCCAAACCGCGAAGTTTGTGGATTTTGGTCACATGTGCCTTTGCATTATCTTTCCGTGAAAATTCTTTAGCCTCGAGACCAGAAAATTCTTCGCTTCTTTTGCAACTAGGCTCAAGGCAGACATATCTTTTACGAGGGAGTCTATTTGGCCCTGAGCCTCCGTGTACATGGACAGTACGCTCATGTCGTTCGCGATCGCTACTCCTGCCAAAAGTCTTATCACAGTCTTCAACAGTACAGTAATGCTTTGCTATATCCCTATCGGTTCGATTTCATGTTAGCTTGGATCCACAAGCGTGGGTTTTCATACTTTTTAAACCCAATTAAACCCGAAACTTACCCCAATCTGTTAGATCTCTTCGGTTGAAATAGTTTTTGTTCCAATTCTTTGAGGCCCTTGAGTAATTCCTCCTTCCCCTTCCCCTTCCCCTTCTCAGGCTCGACTTCGTCAATATTACGGAAGTTTATCATGTTCACTGGCTTTATTTCGCCAGATCCGGAATGAAGACTTCGCTGGAGATTATCTACTCTTGATCTGTACTCTGCATTCAATTTCTCCACCAGAGCTTCATGCAATGCTATCTGATCACGGATATCGAGTTTCGTTACCTTGGGATTCTGGATCAAGCCCTGGTGGTCCGACAACGACAGATTTTTAATTCGCCCCAAATCGAGGATGTCCTGCCCCTTGATTACTCGGCTCCCAATATCCTGGGAATCAACTTCTAGTTTCTGTAGCTGTGTGTTTATCACAGAATGTGGTATTGGTGATGACGATGGCACGGGCTGGATGATTGACGGTTGCAGACTAGGGTAGGTTTTTTGTAGCGAAATATTCTCAGAGCCAGAGCGTGCTGTGAGTTCAGGCACAGCCATCAACATCCAAGGTTCAGATTGCCCTGGGAGTGGTGGCGGCGGGTCTATGTATGAAGTAACATTTACAATTAGGCCACCGATAAATCGTATTCAAAAAACCGCTTTAGTAGAAGTCTTCTAACTTACAACAGCTGTAGCTACTAAGTAAACCAATCGATGAATGGTCCAGAGCCTGAGGTGGCTGGTTAGGCTCCATTATCCAACAAATAGGTTTAAATAGCGTTTCGATAGGATATTAATCTTAGTATTACTCGAAGCAGAGGAAGAGTTTTAAAAGGGTTTTAAATCGAGGATTCCCTTTCGAGTGTTGGAGTGTATAAAATTTATAGTTTAAGGAAGTCTTCCTTTGCAAGTGAGGCCCGGGAATGAAGCTAGCCTGGGTTTATAATTTAGCAAAGATTATGTGGGAGGCTTAATAGACTTGCTATTGTACCTATATATTTAGTGAGTGACTAGTATAACTATAGTTTAAACTGAGGGTATATCGAAGGAAATGGGCGAATATTAATAGATGCATGATCGGAAAGTGTTCTAGAAGGGTGAGTAGGTCCCGCAATCTTGATACGTCCCGGGGAAAATCCTTCTAGACCTTAAACATACCTTCCAACTGTTTGTCCCGGCACACTACAGAACATAAAACGCTTTGAAGGGCGCGAGGAACTTGAGTCGAGGCGCTAGGCTGGTAACACAGTTAGGAAACCCCGTGTTTGAAAAACTCTGGGAATCACCCGACCAAACATATGTTTCGATTAGCCATATGTCGACGATGTTAGAGTGAGCTTGGGTAGCACAGGGTATGTAGTTTATTATGAGCCTCAAACAGTCCTATCTGTATGTTCCCGTGTCTCACTTACCCATGAGAGCTGTGGAAGCCTCGCAGGACCACTTCTACGTTTGAAAATTTGTTGATAACCCCGCCGGGGGGCAAACATTTTTGATTGTTATATTGAACGTTCAACGCTCTTGTAGTCTAGTATCAATACATGACGTAGAGAACCAAGACAGGAAAACTAAGACAGGACAAGAGTTTCAGAACTCGGTTCTGAGATGCTTGCGGCAAAAACTAATCCAAACAGTAACTTTCTATCAACTTAAGATACAAACATGAAGGCTCAGTAACGAGTGTTTGGATATTTTAAAATTAGCAGAAACCGAAAGACGGAAATAAAAAACGGAAAACAGTACGCAAACGGGATATCACTTGCTTTGCAAAATATATTGCTCTTTTAATGACCAGACATGACTGACGGTTTCCTGCGTCTCACATGATCTCGATTTTCTCGCTAAATGATGAGAACCTTTTCAAAGGCTGCCTCGAGAGACTCTGTTGTGGCTGAAGCCTCTGGGTGGTAAGTCTTACTCGTGCGGCTAGACAAATGTTTGGGTGGCTTTTTGGTTGCTGTTGAAGCTGTTGAAGGAAGGCGATAATGTTGGCCTGGGCCTGGGCTCTCCTCCTTGATTTGCGAAATATGGTTGATAGGGGATCGGCTATCATAACAGTTAGATTGTTCGCTATGATGGTACAGCTGAAAGTCTTCATCCTGGACCATGCCCTCCTGTTGTTGATAGTACAGGGGTGCCTGTGGGTCCAGGTGTAAAGCTGATCGAGATTGTATTTCTGATTTTGAGCGTCTTCGTCCTTGTAGTCGCGGGTTAAGATCGAAGGGTTTCGCTTGGATTTCGTGATCCAAATCCCAAGGGCCAAGTCCGGCTTGCTGCCAGTTCTCTTGTGTAGAAGGGTAGCCGATATCTAAATCAGAGTCATACTCCTGAAGGTATGTGAACTCTGCTATGATATCCTCACCCTCTGGGTCCTCGTGGCTATGGTAACCAATATTCGAGTCTCCCGACAAAGTGGAATACACGGTATCGTCGGTCGACGAGCTATTTGTAGGCCTATGGCCACCCCGGAATGGCGGAACGACTTCTTCAATGAAATCATCCACCCTGCCGTTCCCGATCTCGTGAACATGCATAACATGTTGACGAGCGTTGTCTTTACGCGTAAACGGCCACGTCGCATCTCTGGTACATTCCGGTACCTTGCAAATATAATTCTTTTTTGCGTTCGAGATGGTATGTTTGGCTTCTTGGTGTCTCCGAAGATCCCTAGCCGTATGAAAATCTGCGCTGCATTTTTCACAGGAGAACTTTCTTTCACCATGGATACTAAGGTGTTTTCTAAAAGCAGTCAAATAGTTAGGACGCCCGACTCTTCGATGATTTTAGAAGGGGACAGGGAATTACCGGAGAGATTTTTTGTCTGGGCCTGCATAGCCACAATTAACATGAGGACAGTAAAATATAAGTGTTGCATCCTTATTGCTACTGTGTTCAAACTCGCTTGACTGATGGGCCTCTGATACGTAGGTATCGTCAAGCTCAACTTCTTGGGCGTAATTCATGGCATTCCGATTTGTGCCCTGTCTTCTCATACTATGCCGTCTAGAGATATCCTGTGGTGCCCTTTCTGACGCTGAATCGGGTCTGGCCCTGAATGCATGGCAGGATTCTGCGAAGTCATAACTACCATCTTTAGATGTCCTTGATATATTTTCCGGCGGTACGGAAAATACAGGTCGATAAGAATTGACTTTGAAATCCCTCTCCCTGAGGTCAGGATTCTGATCAGACCGTTTTCGTGATCTATGAGACCGGCCATGCTGACCACCCTCGAACGAATGGACTGGTTCGTGGTGATTGTAGCTGTGTTGCTCGTGTGGTATTCTGTAGGGCTCGAACTCTGATGCAGGAACCTGATTTAAATCCGGGTACCATGATGCACCTAATTAAATGTAGAAATGAACAATTAGCATAAGCCGAACCAACAAAAAAGGTTTTCTATGGTAGGGTGGTGAATACCTGCATTCATGGAACCTTCAAAACTTGCATCTGGGTCCCACCATTGTTGGTTTTGATCAGATAAATGTGCTGGATTCATCTTGAATATTGTTAGAGGCAATTAATTGCCCCTGAAAAAGTGAACTAATTCAGCGCTTGTCAGCGCGCTAAAGCCCAGTTTGGAAATTCTGACTTTTCTGCGGTTGGGTCGATAGACAAGTGACATTCTCCCTATTCTTCACCAGCTATTTATACATATTAACTGCCCCATAGAATATACCAAAGTCGTACCCCTTTCTCGACTCATCGTCCGACACCTTAGACTCATGTTTTCATTTTTCCTATAGACGTAGACGGGTCCCAAGCGGATTGTGCTATGGCAACAATATTAGTCCAATCAAGGCGACAACTTCAGGCCCGGCATCCGGATTGGGAAAACTTTGTACCTGATCCTTGCAACCCTCTCACCTCCTGCCGCTCCGCCTGGCGACATCGACGCATCCTCGACTTTTGCCAATTGGTAGAGAGGACCTTCAAATTTTGAGGGAAAAGGGGGGCCTCAAAAAAGCTGGAGAACTTCCCGGTTTTCGACGTCCCCGAGCCGTTTTACGGAATTTATGCACAAGGTTAAGGTTTCCGAGATGTATTTTGGGCTTTCCCGCCCTTGCCTTGCCAAGTTGATAAATTTAGATCCTTCACCCGTTCTGGTTCAGGGTTCTAGCACGGCTGGTATTTACACACCCAGTTAGAATTGTGGATGGACTACATCGGTATCCGGAGCATATATGTCTAGAAATATATAAATAATCAGGGGTAACACAGGCTCAATATAGCTATAGCTCAAACTAGAATCCCGTTAAATGCGATGTTGAAAAAAACAAACCCACAGGTCATGGCCTCAGGATAATTTGGTAGCATGTGCGATTAGTAAAGCCGACATCCGAAGCGCATTGGTAAACAATCGACCGAAGGAAAACGATAAATAACAATAAACACAAAGCATTTCCCGATGAAAAGAAGAGCTAAAAGAAGCAAAACGTAAAGAACGGCAGTGGGAACGAAGCATGAATGCAAAGAAAAATTGGTCGGACGATTTTGAAGACAAGGAAAGCACAGGTGTTCAAATATGCATCTTGGCAAACCCGGCCAGCATGTCAAAATCGAACAGGCTTGAAGGATCGATCGGGGGAGCAGTTCCATTTTTCTCCGCTTTCGCCATCTGTTCCCAGATGTCCAACGCTTGATCGATATCTTCCCCAGGAGTATCGAATTGTGAGGAAGCAAGGAGTGACGAAGACGAGATGAGTTGTTGATGTAAAGCTAGACATGCGCGTTTGCACAGGGTTAGTGTAAATTCTCCGAATTCTGAGATTCCTTGGAAAATAATAGGCGACGTACACTTGAATTGCTCATCTGGCTCCGCCTGGGCGGTTGGGAGGCCTGAGTCAATTGGAGGCTTGATATCCCCTGGTTCCGAAGCGCTGACCTTCTTTTGTAGCGCCTGTGTGGGTTGACCCGAGGAATTTCCCTTTGTTACACTGCTGCTCTGACGTTCTTCCTGCAGATTGGTAAATTCCGCAAAGACATCCTCTGACTCTTTGGGTTTAGTAATCTTGTGACTAGAAACGGGAGGAACTCTGTCGGTTGCACTCGGCTTTATTGGTGCTTCCAAAGGCTTCGATTCGGCTCTGTGCACTGTTGGGGACTTTGACTCTTCCACAGGTTCCGGAGCAGTGTCACCTTCGATATCGATATCAATTTCCTCGATGACTTTCTCTGCCTCTCCCCGAGTGTTTTTGATACCATGAACCCCGACAACATGCTGTCTCGCATTGTCCCGCCTCGAAAATGGTTTCGTTCTTCCACGTTCACATGCAGCGATTTTGCAAATGAAAGACTTCCGTCGCACCCTAGAACCAATGACTCCAGCCGCTGCTTTTCCATGTTTGGTATCGGTATGTCGTCTTAAGTCACGTTTCGTATGAAATCCGATATTGCAACCGTCCGACTCACAGAAGTAGCGGCGAGGTTGGTGGACATACATGTGTTTTCTAAAATAAAAATTTCCTCGTAAGTACCGAGCACATAAAGAGTTCTAGAACTTAATCAATGAACCGAATGACAGGCCTTACCGTAAACTAGTTTTATCTCTGCAACCGACTCCACAACGAGTGCATGAAAAGGGCATCTCCTCGTTCGGTAGGACTCCCCTCCTAGCCTCCTTTTTATCAGCATCAAAATCTAGTTCTCTTAGCCGTTCTTTACTGTTCGATGTTCTTGGTTGTATTGGGTTTCCCTGACCACCCCGGGGCTTAGCCGCTTCTAATTTCGAGACATTTGTCGACACTCCAGCTACATCCATATCGTCAAAAACCCGTGCTTTTATTTGAGATACATTGTCCATGAAGATTTCAGTTAACTGAGCCTTACGAGAGTAATCGGTCTCAGAAGACAATAACTTATGTTGCTCTGTCAAGGGTAACGCCTTAAAGTCATCTCGAAATCCAGAGTAACTATCGCCCATATTGTGTCTATGAGCGTCGGATTCACTAGCCGCATTTGTTGATACGCAAGGACTAGAATCTCGACTGTCGCTGAGGACGTAGTTCTGCGAGTTAGGCGAAGCACCGTCGCTTTCTCCCCATGCAGAAGTTTGCTGCAAAACCGGGATTTCTTGCATTGCTTTCAAGTTCTCAATGTCAAAGTCAAGTCCGTTCCATGGATAGTTCGTATTAAAAATTGTGCGTTGTTGTTGCATTTGGAACAAGGATTCGGAGTCCACCGGGAGGAGCTGATCGTAAAACTGCCATGGAGGAGAGTCTGACAAGACAGTCAGATATTTTTCATACGGAGAGCCCTCGCCCTCGCCCTCAAATTGTGGTATATTTACACATATCAAGGATCAGGGCCACTAACCTGCGCTCGACGAGCCCATGAACGCCCATAGATGAGCATCAGAGCCTACATCGACGACCTGGTTGTCCGACTGCGTTGGTTTAACTCTTCCCATTTCGAGCAGCTAGACTAGTGCGACTTTTAAGCCGCAGATGTCGGGGGATTGGAACACGTGGGGAATAGTGGGGGCGGGGGTTGCTGGCCAGAGATGCAGTTGTGTTATAAGAAATTATATGAAAGCCGCGCGTGCGAAAAGATAGTGACGTTCGTATATCACTGAGAGGAGCTAGGTTAGAAATGCTGTTGTAGTCTTTAGACTGTGATCTTCTCCGAACGCTTCCACTGCATGCTCTTAATACTACCGCTATCTTATCTCGGAAGTGTGGGAGTTAGTCGAGGGGAAGATTTCGTTTTGGCGTCAGGCCCGACGCATGAACTTTTATACAGCCACTCCGACTGAGACAGGCAAACCCCAGCCATTCCGCCTTACTTTCCTGCATGAGGGTGAGGGGTTTCAACTTTCATGCCTTGCCACCATTTTCGGATTTTTTAACAGACAGTTTTCATATGAACTTTTCTCGTATAGACGATTTCACTGATCGATAATTGAGGCTTAAAATACGGTCATCATCATATACATGATCGTCATGATGGGAACATTGAAATTCTACCCACTGCAATTGCTGCTACTATGGATTGGATTTGTGCCATATCGATACATGCGCTTACGTCGCTCTTTCACGGGGGTTGATCCCTACATAACTATAGAGTGATAATCTTCTGGGTGCCTGGATGGCACAGTACATACAAGGGATCCTTTGGTTATATAGTACCCAGCTGCGTTATACGTATACGTATATACAGGCCGCTACACCCATATTAGCGATACTTTTTTTTCTATGGATTTGGACCGGTCTCGCAAATAGGCACAACCTTCCCGCTCAGACCTCTACAGCTACCAATTGCGTACTCTTAAGTTTTCACGGTAATCCTATTTGAAATGTTCCCGTTCATAAATCTAGCAGTACCACGGAATTTTGGAGAATCATGGCCCTCAATCAAGCCACTCATGCAGATGATATCACGATCGTGGCTCTATTCATTTATTGATCAATATATAGCTCTCCCAAGGCCTTAAGGCCAGCCCAGTAGTCTATGGATTTATATTAAATACACATGTATCCCCTGGTTGATTGATCATTCTTTCAAAAATTGATAATGGCCGTACTAGCGGTTATCAGTTATCGATATTACCACCATTTTTATGCCGGATTACGTATTCACATTGGTTGGCTCCCAATGGCCAAGACCGGTCTACTTCGTATTATATGCATTCAAATAATTGATAATTAACTTTTGATATAGTTCCCCGCAAAACCACCCTTTCAGGACTTTAAAAGCGACGTCAAAGCCTGCGCCTTCACTATGGCTCTGCGAGCGCTATATTCTTCTCTTGTTGGTAAAGTTCAACCTTAGATTTCCCCCTGTGCCCATGTTTAAACCACCCTACAATCTGACTCTTCCAAATCCAGATACCCAATACCCCGATAGTCACCACTAGTAGTCCCGCACTAACGGCGAAGAAGGCCCAAATCCCTTTTTGTCCCTCATCACCGGTTATCGGGCTCAGGTTCATCCCGTATATCGTCTGTGTTTGCAAACAAATTCTCAGTAAGGTGGAGGGGTTCAAGGCTCAATAATAATATTCTAGCTACTTACAGCGGCTAGTGTGATGGGCAAGTAGACAAAGGTCAATGAAGTGATGCGCTGAAGGCTTGTTGCGACGGCATTAGCAGCTCTTGCTTCTTCAACTGCTGCACGAGAGTCGTGCAGATTTGCTAAGTTGAAAACCTAAAATTAAGAAATTAGTATACACATGCTAACTAATATATTAATATATATATATAGCCGCGTGGGGGTAGAATGGACTACCTGCGTCGAACATCAGATAGTCGACGTGGTGTAACTTTAGTTGAACAAAATAATTATTTAACATGAACATTTATTTTAACTTACCAGACTGTTCAGGGCCTTTGTCTTTTCGGTGAGGCTATCCAATCGTTCAACATTATCTTTTAGCATCGCTCGAGCTTCCTGGAGGCTTGTTCTCATTTTCGGCTCCCCGTTGGAGTGACATAATTCGGGGCCTGGTGATACTATGAACGGGTGGGCAGGTATTTCTTTAACAAGGCTTAGTGCTGCGAGTACTCGCCGGCGTAGTTCGGCCCAGATAAACATAAGCTGATGGAGTGCTTTCGTAGTTCCAATCTGAAATTTAACATCTGGTTTTTCATCCGGCCGCGTCATTATCTGTCGTTTTTTAAATTTAGTGCGGGAACAAAAAAGATATACATCAATATTGCACTCGTAAGGTCTTGGGATTATTTCGGCTGAGGGGGCCATACTGTGTCAGCTAGCGACTGTAAGTGGGCTTCTGCATGCTTGAGGAAGCGGGATGATCGGAGCGCAATGAAGTACAAAATCTTCGGGATCACCACATTCGGTTGCCAAGCATCATATTTTTTTGGGTCCTCCTTGTCTACAGACGTCTCTCTATCGTAAAATAGCGATTTCATCTCAACAGCCAATGAGCTATCCGCCCGATCTATCAGAAGTAAGTAGTTATACCTTCTAAGATGAAAAGTCACGTCGCATTTGATGTAAACGTGAATACGTGAGATTGGCCATCGGAATCTAGGGCCTATGCGAACACCCAGTGAGTCAGTATATTCAGGCGAAGTCATCGATTTTTTAGACTCAGCCCCGGTGACTATGCCGTTGGTGGGCCATCCAAGGAATTGAAGGCTAAAAGATAAGTCTAGAGGATGCGTTAATTAACGGATACTCGAGGTCAGGAAGAACCTTATAGAACGTAATATTCATAGTGACTATGTAAAAATAAAATGCAATGCAAGGCCAAGGTGGCCAGCCGGGGGAGGGGAAAAAAAACAAGAAAAAGAAGGAGAAGAAGAAGAATTCACAAAGGAATAACAATAAGAAATAATAATGCAGGAATTTAAGCCTTCGACTCCCCAATGAAGGAATCAATGGGGAGTGTAAAGCTTATACTAACTTACAATTTCTTGCTCGACCGTCGATACGAAGGGTAGAATCAAGAGGTTTGAGTAGGTCAATTAAAGGAGAATCTATGAGTTCATCGTAGTGGGGAATGTGTGCAATTGAAAAATCTGATTTCGACGATAATAGAGCGATACTAAGCCAAGTTCACACCGAGGTAGAGTCGATTTCCTTCACGGTTAGCATCATATTATAGCTACAGTCGAACTTTTGCACTCAGTAAAGCTAGCATCCCGCGAAAAAGCTATTTCTTACTCAACTCGAGAGTTCGCCCGCTGGAAGCGTAGGTTATCCTATCCAACTCATAATGATATCAGAAGACCTAATTAGACATCGAAAAAATGCATTGATCGAATCAATTAACTAAACGAGACTCAAATCCGTACGTCTCACCTTCAATGCCCCCAATTCTTGAGAGTCTGGGCGAAGAACTGGCACATCGATTCTTTCGACACGTAGGGGATCGCGTTCACTATCTTTGAACCACGCGATACTGGAAAGGTCGCACTCCCATTCAGAACGACAACGAGGGCAGAGAGAAATTTTGACGTCAGTGTCGTCCCCCAACTGAGGTGTATCGAGGGATATTTTGCAGACTTCGCATGTTGCAGCATTAGCATTCCCCATAGTTCTAGCCACTTCTGTTCTGGATCCTAGATTTTATTTTTTAGTGATGATATATCGATATCGGCTCAAGTTTTTATGAACGACGAGCCTTGAGGGCCAGGGCTTTCTCCAGTTTTCAATACTGTACAGTACTGTGAACGTCCATGGATCCAGCGGTCGAATAAATTTATATAAATCAAGTGCCTTTACAAAAGTGAAAAATGCTTAATTGATCCGAGGCTACCAGTTACCCCGCTCAGCCTTCCGAGCCCATGGCGCTCTGCATATCGATCTATCTCGTGGTGGCTACTTCCAACAACCTGCGTGGTCCGATACGTGGCGCCTGTTGCAACGCCTTGTGAGGCTGTATTGAACATGACAGCTTGCACATGACACTAGGCCTACAGGAAAATCAACATTCGCTTCAGACTTCTATAGCTCTAAAATGGCTAACCGGCCAGTTTCTACACGAAAAGATATATGTAAAGGGCTATGGTTTTGGTCTCCACCCAAGGTTAAATATAAGATATCTGTTGGTTGGGTTTACAGGTGTACAGCCTGAATTTAGTAGTTCCAGCTTACCAGGTCTAGTTCCGAGTCTCCAGTCAACTATGCACTCCGATTAAATTCTATGAAATAATTTAAGTTCTTAAAATTAAAATTTAGGATCATCAAACAATCATTGTCCTTAAGTACTTAAGTATCTACGCTGATATTATACACAAAAAATATCCAACCTGGCCTGGCCTGCCTTCAACCTGAAAGGTTCCGAAACTCAGAGCACTCTGTTGTATTTTCCTGAAAACAACACAAATCCCTTTCCCCAAACACCGTCTCCTGAGATTCGAAGGCTTCATCGAGGCTGCTTCAACATGCAACATACAACACCCATAGCCATATTATTTCCGCCAAACCCTCCTCCCTTCTCTTCTCCTCTTATTATAACAAGCCTCCCAGCTCGAATACTCAGCTTGATCATGCCAACTAGTCAAAAGCTCCAACTGCCTCTCGGAAATCCCTCTATTCGCCTTATGAAACATCGTCTCATAAGGATGTAAACTCGTTCCAAAATACCATTTCTCCCCAAGAACCTCCCCATGAGTACAAGTATTCACATAATCCTTCGAAGATTGAAAACTAGACATTAACACAGAAATATTATATCCAGCGTTTAACATCGTCTGCGCGGCATGTTCTTCTGCTCCTACCGCGGCCCCAAACGTGGCGAAACAGTGATTCAATACCGGCAGCAGCGTTTGTAATCCCACGCGGTCGGTGGCGTATAACATCGACTGCATCACCTTACGCTTCCCACCATCGGCGTTGCAGCGCATTGTCATTCCTACGAGCTGATGGTTTTAAAAAGGGTTTTTGGTTAGTCAACACATCCTGAATAATCTATTCAAGGTATACCGATGCATGCAGATAACAGAGGCCCGAGCGGCCGCATCTGCTAAGCTTTTCTGCAGGGGGTAATTGATACAATATGTATAAAATAAAACACACACACACCTTGTTACTTTCAGTAATCCTATCAAGATAAGCATCACTCCAGCACTCCTTGCTCCAAGTTGGTAAAAACGGTCCTCTGATCGATGCATTCATCATAATGAATCTATCGTACTTCTTCATCAATTCTCCATCATTCGCAGTTAACAATTCTGCATGGCTACCGAGATCATAACATGTGTTATTTTTATGAATAATCTTGATATTGGGAGCGGGAGGAATGCTGGAAGCAATATTTGTGGGTCCGTTGATGATGAAGATGAAGTCGGCGTATGCGTGGAGACCGTGTTTTATGAAGAATAATGCATTTTGGCGAGCATTTTTGGTTTCAAAGTAGACGTAGGTTATAAGTGCCCGCTTTTCTCCTTCGTTTTCTTCTTCTTGTCGTTGTTCTTCTAGTTCGTAGGGTATGTCGTCGTTTGTTTGGGAAGCTGCGACCTCTGTGGCATTTGCTATCGATATCGACGTCGAATTCGAATCGAACGGTAAAGAAGTCTAATTAATATAAACCATTGCATTTATTAGCACATTAGCCATCTCAGTAATTCACGAACATGAATACGTAAAAGGCCAACTAACCTCAAATCCTGCCGTTCTACTCTCCATATTATAAACTGCAACGCTCCCGCCCAAATGAAACCCACATGCAAAGACGAAAGCAACTGCCAATCCGACCCCTAAAATCGGCCCGACCGTCCTTAAGGCCCTCCTCAAAAAGCCACTTCGGGTCGCCGATCCCGAAAATAACCCTTTTTCGAATTTCAACTCGCTATCGGGACTTTGTACGAATCCATCGTCTGAAACACTCGATGTTTCTGAGATAATTGAATATCCTCGTGTTGTTTTAAGAAAAGGAACGCTCGACATTTTTGAAAATATAATAAATTAAGAAAGCGATCAGGAATCAAAAAGAGAGTAGAATAATCCTGGACTTCGAGGATTTCTGTGGCGCAGGAGACAAGAACTTCTAGTGAACCTGTCTACTCCTCCCGTATACGTATGAAAGAGTGTAAGAAAGCAAAATTGACAATGAAATAAACGAGCGTATGCTGTTGAGCTTCCAGCCAAACTATTTTTTAAATGAAAGAAAACACTCCGAAGACATTCAGAGGATAGATGGATAGACAGCCAGCTGCTTTTATCTTCCCACAAAGAAATACCTCCTTGGTTTATCAGTATATCCGTCCCACCAATATTCGTTGCTCTACAATAATAAGCCTCCCAAGCTTCGCCTCGTCGCGGATCATGCAACAATGAAATGCACCTGCAGAGCTTATTTGACTGCGTTTGCAAGGTCAGCAAATGCTTGTTTTTCTTGGAGAGGGGTAAATTTAGTGTGGAAGAGTATTTAACGAAAGGCTCTACCACTGCTGCAAGTAATCTTATAATAAAAAGATATTAAAAGGTTATAAAAAGAAGTACTTGGTGTATCAAAGACCTGGTCGAAGGCGCGGAGCTATAATTCAAAGCGGACTCAGGATTTTATAAATTCTTGTATGTCGACATTCAATCGACCACACCTGGATGGATGCGCCGTATACCCGATTGCAACCTTCAGAACAACGAGACAATGACACAACCCCAAAAATCACACCTATAGCTACAGCCCCCAAGATTCCATTTGCTCCAGGTCGGGAAAATCTAATGATATCGATATTAAAAATTGTATTTTCATTTCCTCTTAGAAATCAACATCTTCGCTTCATGAATTCGTAGATAACGCATAGGGGTTACCCAAATTAGGTCCAAAAGTCGATTTTTCGATAACGATTCAACAAATTCAGACGTATGCAGCTTATCCGAGTCTCATAATCTCAAACCAGGTTTTCATATGGTGTTGCGAATGCACAGCCTCCTTCGAATTCACGATAAGATTCAAAAAGCCTGTGCATCTGCATGTATGCATGATTAGATGTTGATCTTATTACTATCAGCCAGGAAGAAGTTAGAGCGTTTCTACTTCTCCTTTTAAGTCTGATTTTGAAAAGCGCACCATGCATGTAAGTACAGCGGGCTTTTTGGAGTGTTGTATGTGTGATTTCTCTCCTTCGATCCTTATCTATTTTAAGTTAGTGTAACTCCAACTTGCTCCCATTCTGGGCCGTCGCTTAAGTTTCGTCGCTGCAAAGCTTGTTTGTCGACCTTTCGATTCTGTTATCAGTAGGGGCCCAAATTTCGATCAATTGGTAGCTTAGATATAGACGCATGTATGACAACGAGGGGCTCTGCGTTATATTGACGCAGTTGTTAAGACTTCCTTAAGAATGAGATTCGAGAAAGAAGGAGTTTTCTACATGCAATTTTTTTAAATTTTCAATAGGTATTCTATCGATATCATTTATGGGACGGGTATCTAACGTCATACCGTTTTATTTGAGACCCCTGATGGTTATTAACTTGTTCAAGGAAGATGCCAGGCTTTAAAGTTCTTGGCTGGCGCTGGCTGTCATTGTTGCAATATTGAGAGCCTCAACCCACACATGTACACGCCATTGCCAGTTGGCCATGCTACACTGCAGGGTTGCACCCGAGAGAAATTCCCTTTATAGTTATCGACCAGTCTTTGATATAACAAAGTACAATTCCTAGCTGCTGCTGTGGATGGAAAGGCTGTCTCGATCTAGCTATATAACAAAATTCACATGCACCTAGGTGGAAGATTTACAGGGTTTGGTTCGGTGCCCGATTGTCCATTCGAATTACGCTATGGAATTTATATATTTGGGACAGTGGTATGATAATCAAGAGAAATAAAATTGGAATTAGCCTGGAGTAAAGGTACCAAATCGGTATCATTTATAATCGTAGAAGTGCAAATAAATAAGAATGCCTCGATATTGACAAACAAAAGAAAAAAGAGTCTCAGAAAAACCATAAATTTCAAAGCCCATAGAGATATGCGCACACAAACCCCATCCCATGCCTTCCATATACCTTACGTTTACCCTCCACAAAACCATGTAGCCCGTAGTGGAAGATAGTATGAAAAGCGAGAAGAAGAAAATACAAAAAAAAGGGAGGTAGAGGTTAACAGGAGGAAATAAATGCATAGAATCAAGAGGAAGGAGAACAAGGGTTAAGTCATTGACCGCTTTCCAGCATCCTAAGCCTGAGCGCTGACCACCCCCCCGCCATCCACATTCCTCTTCCTCCTACCGATTAACGTGGCGTTGTCCAAACTCAACTCGAATCCTGCCTTCTTCCTTCCTCTATTCTGATGTTGTTGGGACTGTGGCACTTTTGCGGGTTGTGGTTTCTTCTGAGCAGCCGCGCCGATACTAGCATTTCTCAGATCCCTCTCCATTCCCTCCATTTCATCTGCAGGTGGTGCAACGACTGCTCCATGGTTTTCATCATACTCGTCTTCTTCTTCTTCGTTGAGAGCCATACTCGACGCCAGATTCGAGAACCCTCCTTTATGCTTCTTCCTCTGTTTCGTCTCTTCTTCCATCCTATGTACTGCATAACCAACATCAAAGACCTCCCTCAGTGCTAAATGACCCGGTGATCTGAAATCTGAGCGCTTTCCATTCCTTTCTGCACTCTGCGCTCCAGGGGTGTATTCGTCCAGCACCATCGGTGAGCCATCTTTATAGTATCCTGATCTACTAATGGCTGGTGTCGCAAGTGGTGGAGCATCGGCAGCCGGATATGTTTCCTCATCCGTGCCTTTAATCCACGGATGCTCCATGAACTGCTCTATTGTATACCTCTTATCCGGATCAACTGTTAATAGATGCGAAACTAAATCCTGCGCGGATTTTGAGATATCGTCCCACCAAGGCGACAGAAATGTATACTGTCCCCTGGCAACTTTCTCAGTAAGAACGCTGATACTCTCATCGTAAAACGGTGGGAAACCGCAGAGAAGAGTATATAGGACGCAGCCAAGTGCCCACATGTCGACAGACTTGGAGTATCGCTCATCTTTGACGATTTCAGGAGCAGTGTAACCGACAGTGCCGCAAGGAGTCATAGTGACGGAGTCCCAAACAACTTTGGATAAGCCGAAGTCGGCGATTTTGATACGGCCAATCCCACCGGCGCCAACGCCAGGAATGAAATCGCCCTCATCGGCTTTGTCTTCGTCATTAGGGTTCTTAGGTTTCGGATTCTTGGTAGGGACGAAAGGAATAGGCTCGAAAAGGAGGTTCTCGGGCTTAATGTCGCTGTTTTGCCTTTGTGTTAGTTTCTGATGATAAATTCACATTTGCTTAGCTCTCTTACCGATGGACGACGCCTTTCTCCTCGTGGAGATACTTCAGCGCCTCAGCGACTTGTGTGATGACATGTCGACTAAGTTTTTCCGAGAAATACGTGAGTCTAACAATCTGGTGGAAAAGCTCCCCGCCCGGGCATAACTCCAGAATGATGTAGTAGTATTGTTTTGACTCCGAGAACGATATTAACTTGACGATATTTGGGTGATTCAGTTGTCGCATAATCTGGACTTCTTTGAGTATATTTGCTCGCTACAATGGCCCAGTGTACCAGGTTAGCAAGAAAGGCTTTCGATGAGACATAGTTATCCGGAGGAGTGGTACAGCAATCTAGCGGCGGGGGAGACGTAGAAAACAAGACAATAAACGCCACTCCTCGTGAAATAGAGAAATTCAACAACAAAGGAAATACATGAACGAATATGCCGCACCTCAACGGTTTTTGGAATTTTCTTGAAGTCCGGATGCATGTGATTGGCGCCCTACAGTTGGCGAAAACGAAGAATGATGCTGTTATTAAAAGTCCATAAAAGTAATAGTTAACTCGAGAGCAACGAAAGAGCTCGCTCCGGTCTTCGAATCGTTGGTTATCAGTTGAGTCTTTGCCGATCGGTGGATTAGAGGAATCCTTGGAGAACATAAGGGTTGATGTCGAATAGTAGCGCAGTAGGGGCATCAGGCCGCATCAGACAGAGAGGTTCACGTATAAAAATCATATTGCATTTTGGTGTCTGCTGTTTCCTATGGCAAGGATGTGACGGGGAAAGACGTCGAAAGAAAGTTGTTGGAGCTCTCTGTACGATCTCTTCCAAGGCCCGTGTATAATAATCCGATCATGACCTCGGACGGGATATCGAATTTCGCGTAGATAGCTAGATGGTTTGATGGGCTCCAAATGATGGTGGGGGGTTACAACAGGGGGAAGATCTCACCTGACTTGAGCTGAGCTCGTACTTTCTAACAACTTTGATAGCGACCTCTCCTAGCTCTCCTGACGAGTCCTTCGCCCGATAGACATTGCTGAAGGCACCATCTCCCATCTTGGATATCAGGGTCCACCGCTCTAGCCCGGGGTATCGTGGTAATCTGCCCCTGTTCTCTCGCTCCTCGGCGACTATACGTGCAACTGCGGCGTCTCGGTCCTCGTCTTCAAGACGTTGCTTTTCTGCCTGCTTCTGGGCGGCTTGGTGTTCTGCTTGAGCTGCGAGGTTGGCCTGTGCGCCCCCAGCACCAACAGTATACTCGCCTGTCCTATCCTCATGCTGCCTCGGTTGCGCGCCAAAGGCAGGTTCAGTTACAGCATGGGCGTGTGCATGAGTACTAGCAGTTGTTGGCGGAGCAGGGCCTGGGTCTCGGGCTTGTTTGCCATGGCGAATAAAGTTCTTGAGATTCTGTACGTGTGAAGCCATGACGATGCAGTTTAGTATTTGCCTTAAAGACGACAGTATGATACGAGATGAAAAAGCAGGTTATGGGTTTGGGAGTATGGGGGGATAGTTTGGTTAGGGTGTTGTGGGAAAGTGAGCAGTTAATAAAAGAGCTATGACGTTGGGAGCACACAATAAGCCGACAATAAAAGGCGGTCCAATTGCGGAGAAAAGCTTCTAATGGAAATTAGACGTAGGTCCAAATATTTCGTGGAATGAACTCCAAGGTACAGCTTGCAGACGCTCAAGGCAAGGAAAACGAGAAGGCAGAACCAAGGAATGCCAATATAAGGGTTGAAAACGGCAGCGACGCCGGACCGATAAAGAGATGTTGCCAGAACATATCAGAGCAAGAACTAGGCCAATAAAACCCAAGACAACTAGCTTGAAAGCTTCCTAGCTCCCACCAAGTATATGCAGTGCAGTGAACAGATTGTTGTCTGCCATGTATGTAATCAGGCTTCGGCTTTAGTAGGCTCAGATGGCTGTAGCTGATGCCTCCCGTCTGCTTAGCAAGCTTAACCCGTGCATGTGGTGTATTAGGGCCTGCAAGGCAAGTGCTAAGTTCCTCAATTGTGGTGGAGGTATTTGAACATGGAAGCGGGCGTAAGACTTGGTTGGTAGTACGAATTTTTCAGTACAGAGGAAAGGATGTCGAAGGTACCCTTGGGCTTGGTCGTATGTGCAATGACGTCCTAGCGGCTATTCGGAGACCTGACCAGCCAACCAGAAAGTAGCGTCGCGACCAGGGTTTCAGGCATGGCCTTCGGTACCGTGAGGGGTCCTTCCATTCAAAGTTGATAGCACCGTAACGGTGAATTCGATGTGCTAGACAATTTCAAGCTCAATGACAACATTTCCAGCCATACTGAACTAGGGTTTGCCGCTGGTAGATTTCGATTGAAGCGAAGGTGCAGTAGGGCTGGATCAAAGTGATCAAAAACGCTTGTGAAAGGCAAGAAGAAAAAAAGCAGAAAGGAAAAGAAGAAGTGGATTCCTCAGAGCATTCCAATCCGTTTTCAGCTGCAAAATCTATGTGCCGTCCCTTCTCTTTCTTCTTCGATGCAGGGGAGAAAAAAAAGACACGAAAATAAAATAAGAAAAGTGATATGAGCGGGGCAGCGAAACAAAAGATGAGATAGGGAAAAAAAAAAATGCAGAACTACGGACAGGCCGGCATTACCCCAGCGAGCAGTGGTTTCCGTGCAGGTATGTGCTTCTGTACGCAAGAGGTAAGTATGGGAATATGTATAAACTAACCTCAATCATTGGCATCGTGAACGATGGAAGAGAAGGGAGAGAAAGACCGGAGGATTGGTTTGGTCGTTGTTTCACAAAACCCGTGCAGGACTCGTTTATCGCGTATTTGAACAAGCGGGATCGTGGGGAAACTTTGTATTCGTCGACGGGGCAGTAGAAAAGAATGGTAGCTCCCGGGAAGCTTCGGCAGGAAGTAAAGAAGGAGATGAAGAGAGAGATGGCAGCGATGCAAGGTAGCAGCCGTAGGAAGGCGGGCAACCAGTCGTATGAAACTAACTTGGACAGGTGGGGAGGAAAAAAAAAGGAGGAATATGAGGGAGGACGGATGAAGAGACGGGGGTAAGGGGAGAAGTAAGTAGTATTTCCTCCTTCTGTCTCTTGTATGTATGGATGGTCGCGACAAGTGGTATTAGGTTGGGATGGGGTGGTGGGAGATGGATGGATGGATGGAAGGACGGGCTGGATGACGCTAGTTAGGACCAGGCCAGGCGTTCATGAATATCTATCAGAATGTGGTTCAACTTGAATCTAAAGAGTACCGTTCACGGGTACTTCTCGAACGTATGTTAATAGAAGTGATGATGCTAGCGAAGAAAGCTTGATATGCGCGGGTATGACGGCGTGATGATGGAAAGTTGAGGTTGTTTTGGGCTGTTCATGGGAATCAGCTGTGGCAAAGCTAGGCCTGTCGATGATGTCAAGGCTCCGCCAATTCTTGCCCTTCGATTTGGCCAGCCAGGTTCAGGTTCAGGTTCGAGTCGGACCGGTTAGACTGGCCAGCCCAGTTCAGGTCGAGCTGGGGAAAAGTCAAGGAAACAAACGAATTCACGAACTCTCTTCTTCAAAACCACGCAAACTCAAACATGAACATGCACCACGAGATGCTCGAGATCCGAAACACGGCCGGATTACTAATATCCTTACTTCATCAGAACTCTCTATCCTTGATCTAAACTCGTCTACAAGTATAGTATCGATGGGAGCAGTCACTCACAATTTACCCTTCTTCTATCACCTCCATATCTTACGTTCGTCAACACATATGGCCCGCATGTTACATACTCTGACAGAAAGAAACTCGGTCGGATCTTGGCGGGATTTCCAAGATGAGGCTCAATGTTAGCCACGAAACTACGGAAGTCACGTTCGGAACCTGCCGGTACTGGTATCCTTAATTTGAGACTTCGCTTTAAAATGCTGTCTCGGGCCATTGTTCACTTAACCTGATTGAACTCTATTGCACCATGAACCAAGGCATAGTTGAATGACCCTTCGACTACCTATCCCTTGCATTACGTACGCTACTACACGAAATGCAGGGACAGAAACTAGTTATCATATAAACCTCAGTACTCTGCCACCCGGCCCGGGCGGAATGTCTACGTAGTAAGTACTGACTTAGCAGTTAGGGAATAATGGAAGCTAGCCCTATTGGAGGAGTAATTAAAGTTTGCAATCGATTGCAAACTCGAGCTTATAAACACCTATACCTATACACCGTAATATTCTGCGGGATGCCTTCCTGGATGTCGTGCCTTCCCGAATGTCATGCAGCGAGCGTTCCCTGGCAAGCCTTGCATTTCCGCACCTGGGCTCGAGTTTGCCGAAGCCCTGCTTTTGGAAATAGCAAGCATGCATGCAGGATTAGACCTCAACTTCGACCTCAACTGTAAATTGATTACAGGTGAACCCACACTCGTCTTGCCTGCTAAACTACGGGCAAATATAAACTAAGAACCCCAGAAATGCAAGTTGCTTCTATAAAAGAAATATAATCAATAAAGACCATTAATTGTATCAGACTATCTAATGGTCTTTTGTTGTACAATATTAAGTAAGTGGAATTAACTACCATTCGTGGATAGCGTGGTCGAAGTCTGCCGCAAAGTAAGACATTCCAACAGCACTCCCAGCTGAAATCTTGAAAATTAGATTGCTTCAAGAAGGTCGACCAATGTAACATCACCGTTTCTGATATTAGAAGTTTCGAAGTTCTCATTATTGTGGTTTTTAAAGAACACCAGATCTGATCGGTCAATTCGGTATTTTCGGAGGGGCCGATGCTGTTTTATTTTTAACATTGTTCCAGTATACCTTTCGCAATAAATAGAAAACCTAGCACTCGTCTATATTCAATACATCCCCGGTCCTAGACCGACCTCGTATATAGCCCTCGTCTAACCCCAATCTGTTCACCGCCGCTCTCACTATATAGAAATTACAAACCCTTTTAAGGAAGGAGTAGAACTAGTTAACTTAATTAAGGGATGTCCAGCCATGTTATCAGATGAATCTCCACTCGTGACCTTGAATGCGACATACCAAAACATTAGTTGAGGATCCCGACCATACATTAGAGACAAACAAATCGATTTAATCGGTTCATCACCTTCCAAATAATGGGATGGGAATACCACGTTTAGGATTCTCGACCATAATGTTTTTTTGCTGAAGACCTGGAAACTGTTAAACCCGGTACTTTGATTTTGACATTTTTGATCCAGACTTGTGGCTAAGCTGTTCTGGCTCTTCCATGCGTGCATACTAGGTATCTACCATTACATGTGCGATCAGGTGTAATATATATGGTCTATACAACTAAAAAGACCTGGTAAAACATATAAATATCCGGTATTATCCCATCATCATCACAGTGCAGGGAATACTTGGAGCCCAACATTCTACCAGCCTGCCAACTTACTCATCACTCAATCGTTCAATCCAAACCCTTTAAGAATAAATTCATTTAATAATCAATTCTCGAAAATGAAATCTATCACCCTTCTCTCCTTCCTCGCGTTCACAACCTCCACCCTTGCAGAGCCCCTCCCACCCCGCCAATCCACTTGTCCAAAAATATATGATCCGAAATGCAGCTACATCTGTGGCCAGAAACCCATCGACTTCTGGTACTGCAGCGACAAAAACATCTGGCCAGTCCCGACAGACGATAACTACTGTACCCCCTGCCCCCGAGGTACTCCAACAACTGCCCCAAAACCTCGTCAATCAACTTGCCCGAAGAAACATGATCCCAAATGTGCCTATATCTGCGGTCAGAAGTCTATAGATTTTTGGTATTGTTCTGATAAGAACGTTTGGGAGACCCCAACTGACGATAACTGGTGTACTGCCTGCCCCGGTACTCCGGTACCTCGTCCAACAACCTGCTCAAAGGTCTTCGATCCAAATTGTTCCTTCATTTGCGGCCAGAAATCTATTGATTTCTGGTACTGCTCTTCTAAAAACCTTTGGCCGATTCCATCAGACGACAACTACTGTACCCCTTGCCCACGGAGCAGGACCGCAAGAGATGTAAGAAAGCGTCTGCTAGCTCCTCGCCGTTTGGTAAATCTATCAGAGGTTGGAGCGAATGCTTGCCCGAATAATAAGGATGAAACATGCCGGTTTATTTGTGGGAAGGAAGGCGTTGACATTTTGTTCTGTTCTGAGAAGAACATTTATGAAAACTTGGTTTTGAACCCTGGTGAAAAGAAGAATGAAGAGAATTGGTGTGCCGCTTGCAAATAAGTCTAACGATCTATATGACAGGTTTATATATGGGTATAGATAGATGAGGCAACTCGAATCGGCTTTGAATTGTTGTAAAAGATTCGGAAGCTGGACGATTTTCGCAGGGGGAGAGAATGGCAAAAGAAATTAGGTCAGGGTGATTAATTTTTAAGATCGTTTTATTCCCTGCTTAGCAGGCAGGTTATAGTATCGGGGAGCCAATGTACATAGAACTCAAGTTGTTTCTGTAGAATATATCTACTTGAATATCAGTATAATAATAGAGAACTAATGTTAGCTAATCGTTCAGATACCGGTAATTCATTATTGGGAATTAAATCGACTCTAACAAGCTTCGATCCCAACCTTGAAAAAACACATGAAGCTGCCCAACAAAGGGATGCATATGCATGTACTAGACACCTAAAGTCGAAAGCTAGAGCTAGCCTACAGAACTAGTCTAGAGGCAGCGTAGCTAGATCGTCAGTGCACTCTGTTGCATTCCACCTAACCAACACATTCATCCAACCGCCTCGAGATGCGGTTTTTTTGCGAAGTCTGGTTTGCAAATTTGAGACAAGTCTCATCCTATAGTATAAGGTACTTCTATATGCACTTAAGTAAGTTAAGTAGGTATAATGCCATAATGCAGAGATAGTCTCGGAACCTCTAGAGACTAATGTAGAGAGGTGTATCTCATAGCAAATACTTAGGCAACTACTTGTCTCATAAACCAGACCCGGTAATTACCTAGTACTTAGGTAATTAACTAATTAGTAGCCGACTAGTACTCTCATATCTAATGCTATCCTAAGATCTTGTGCCGTTGACGTGTTTAGATCGGTTTCGTTAACGCGTTGGTTAATTCAGACACTTTATATAAACTGCTTTTCATAACCCATTGTCAGAAGTTGAGCCTACTTTGCTAAACCCTTTTAATTTTTTTAAGGTTAATATTCTTAATCTACGGAACCCTAGATTACGTACCGAGCGCTACTAAAAGGTTTAAGTATACGGGTCACTTTTGTCATGAAACCCGCCGCGTAGTGCGTCAACAAGGCCTGGATAATTTGCGGAGACTCTTCGAATTCTTGATTGCTGTTTATCGTGGGTTCTTCCGGTTATGATTTGGCCCCAAGATTTACAACCTTATCAAGTAAATTATACAGAAGTTTGCTGCTTCTATAATCCTCATAGTATTGGAGAACTTCCCAAGTCACTATCCTCGAACACCATTTCCGTTGTCAGCAGAAACATTCGTTATTTATTTCCTATAAATGAATGCACATACAATCATAAGTACGCTATAATATGCAAGTACTATTCTATTCTATTCTTCTTTTCTTTTTTCTTTTAAATGTTGCCTTAGAATGGCATGGGTAGATTACGTGCCAATAGATTTTTGAACTAGTTATAAACTAGCTTATATATAGGCTAGTAGTTAGACTAAAAATGAAACCAATTTAACTAATGAGAATTTTTAATTTTTAATTTTTAATTTATGAGATTTTATTTATATACAAGAGATACTTGTATATACATAAATTATGAACTTGTATACGCTTTTTACCGAGTTGGCCCGCCATACCCCTTCCCCAATCATGGCGTATGCATATATGACGTCTTCTTATACTTAAAAATCAGATATTTTAGCAAGGTTCTCTAGATCTATAGATACACGATTAATCGCTAACTTCAATCCAATTGCTTACTCATTTAGGGAGTGCTCTAGTCTTTATCGAAAGAGGGAAGCCGAAGCAAAAGTTCCTTCGCATATGCGGCTGCTGTGATGGATGCGTAGCCCTGCCAATTGTCATCCTTGCACCCATCCGCGTAGGATGAGATCCCTCGAATAACCAAACATGGGAAGTCGTTCATCAATCCAAAAGCTTCCATCTCTACGCAGCACGCTCCCAGCTGATCACCAAGTTTGTCCCGTTGTTCTCTATTGTTTATGACCTGATTTCCAGAAGCGATGATGCCGTAATGTATTCTCGGATCCGGTGTTTCTGGTCTTTGTTGTTCTCTACATTCTGTGCAAACCGGATCATGCCGTAAGATCGAATCTTGCCTGTAGAGAGGGTCGTTTTCCCGGCCTTGATACTTCCAAATCTCGTCATGACCGCTGCTTTCTCCTCCCAGGTGTTTCACAAATGAATGTATCTTGCTCCTGCCGAGAAGCTCATCCACTTTTACAGCCCCGATTGCTCGGATTAGTCCCACAGCTGGCCGATTTAAAGAGCCCTTTATTTCAGACCCACCCTCCTCGTCCCACTTCTCGAAGTCGCTCTGGACAACCCCTGGGGAATTGCCCGTTGGCTCGCTGACTACAACATCTCCCAGCCGGACTTGATATCTGGTATTCGGGATACCACCACCGACTCCCACGGTAAGAATATATCGCACATTGCGAAAGCTGTTCATAAGGTTTGTGGCGGTAATGTTTGCAGGAAGCCCGCCAACTTCATTTGTACATGCAATAACGACATTATGTTCCCCAATTCGCCCCAGAGAGTATGAATTGCTGTCCCCTTCAGCGACGCTAAGGCCGTCATGTTCCTCATCTAGCATGATCACCGCAGCAGCGGATTCAATAGCAAGTGCGGATATCCACCCAATAGTATAGTCATCGCGGGAGAGGGCGGGTAAATCTTGGTTGGAAGCCATGTATCCGCCACGGTTATTAAATACTTAATCAGGCAAATTTGGTGAATTTTGAATCGGATTTGAAGTAGCCGCTAGAGTTGTTGAGGGGTACTACGTAGTATGTGATGGTGTTCAGGGGTGAGTTCTCCACTATTTTGGTCTGCCAGATCTTGGCGCCATTGTAGCATGGGTATGCTTTTGGGGAGCTTAGATCACGAAATGTCTACGGAATATGGGCGTGGGGAATATTCGTTTCTGTAGTCCTGTCGAAACAACAAGCTAGACCTTTGTTGTCGCGAATATGACTACCTAGTGCTCGAATAAACAGGAGAATGAAGAAGATAGGTCTTATTATAGTAGGTTAGTATCATCTCTTCACTTGTTAAGATGCCTGTACCCAATGCAGACTACCTGGCATCGAGACCCCAAGACAACAAATGTCCGTGTGCGGCTTCGCTATTCTCGATCCCTTAATTACTCGAATAAATATTTCTAGGGGCGCCGACTACGGTGATGTAAAGGCTATATAATGAATCAAAATAATTAATTTGAGGAAGTGGGTCGAGTTGCAATTGTATGAGAAGGATCTATCGAATCCTGTCTGGAGTTCTGCTCCTCGCGCAGATTTACTTAGAAAAATAGGTTCTGTGCAGCGATACAGACGACAGCTAGCGTTTCTTACATCACTAATACTAGAAATTGCCAATACGATTTCTACATCTATTTTGGGTGTTGTGTCTAGACTATAGAAAGGCCTTTGCTTCTTCCATGCCTGCCGAAAGTAGCGACTCCTCCACTGGATGACTACAAAATCGAAGCGAAGCCGTGATGTATTTATCGATCAGCAGGTCTACCAAACGTCGAGCGGATCGATCTTGTGAGCGGTAAGCCGGGGCGGTAGGGACGGGACATGTCGTGCATATACATACTTAAGTATGCAGATATTCCTTCAACGTATCGTTTAGTGGATATCGTAGCTTTGAGATACAGCCGTCTACGAAAGTGGGTATCCACCGTAATAGAATGCCACAACCAATGAATTCATAAAGTGTTGAATGGCTTGAAGGGCTTCAGAGTCAACACACCATCTTCCCGAGTCTCTTCCGTTGTAATTACTTCATCTTGTTGGAAGTAACGGTACCACGGTCTTAGCGGGAAGGAAAGAGCACGATACTATAGGGTGAGAATTTGTACGGGCGGGTAGACGGCCACTTTCGCTGCTCTATCCTACGTACCGCTGATTTTTGATGTATAGGCGGGAGCTCCGTGGTTCGGACACACTAACCTGGGTGTCTAGATCCAAAGCTCAGCAAGTAGCTGCTTGGGTCCATTTACATGTACCGTTCGGTCCCGTACGATGAAACGTCGAACTCGTCACCAGACTATGCTATGAAAAGCTACAAGGCTAAAAACTATGGCCGTCCGTAATATAGGAGCAGCAAGAGCCCCTTGTCGTTCAGCACCGCGCTGCCCGAGACAGCTCGAGTTTCTTGCCACGGAGCTGGGTCCATGCAAATCCTCTGCCATGAGGAAATGGCATTTCGTTTGCCTACACAGACGCAGCCTTACGGAGCAGGCCCATCAAAGGAAGTATAAGAGAAATAGGAAAGCTACCCGTCATCTTTGCGGACAGTTGAGAACCAATCCCTCGCAAAAGAGGCCACTAGTTCAAGCTGTGTTGGGGCTTGGCGGTGGAAAAGAGGGAGCTATGGCCAGGGCTGTGTGAATTTTTCCTGGGAACCAATCAATAGGTGTCGGGGATATACTGGTTTCCAAATTTGGTGGTGGCTGTTTTTGGTTCGTCCGATGAACGAATGGATGACGACAAATGGGCGCTGGAGTTCAAGCAAGATTGGTGAGGTCTGCAGATTCTACTGGAGGAGAGTGCTCAGAGTGGAGGCGAGACAGAACTTTGGGTTCGTCTTTTCACTCTTCCCCCCGTCTTTCCTGGAACCCGGACCTGCTTATTATGCACATGTGAACTGGGACGAGTCGAATGGAGATCGAGGTGCAAGATGATGCAGTCTCTCCTATTATTATTCAGCACTCCCTGGCGGCTTTATTCAACTCGGAAACGGGCTGGGTGGGAGAATAAAAATCAACGGCTGTTCCCATGATCTTGGAAAGTCTGGCCTCCTTTGAAAGCGAAAGGAAACCGACAGGTTTGCAGTTGACTCTTATCACTAATAACACCCTAAGCCAAATGCTTCACTTTCCTTAAGCTTCCTTTTTTCCTTCTGCGAACGTATCGACGGATCCATCTGAGGACTTTTGGCTAGAACAGCCACTAAGGCAGCATTTGGACCCAAAGCAGGCTCCACCGCATCTGCTGCAAGTACTGTACCTTCACACTTGTGCTTACAGCTCCGTTAGCGTGTTCACGAGCACCTTGGAATGCTGTGCCCTGACAGCTGCCACAGCTGATAATTCAGTACCGTTGTTTTTTTACTTATTTCTGGTCACCCCATCGGCCTTGAGCTTCCTTTTGTTCATTCCTTCCTTTAACCATCCTCCTCACTCTACTTTTAACGACAACGAACCTACCTCGAATAATATTGGTATTTACCATATTTACTAGCGTTTAATTTCTCGACTTTTTTTTTTGGATTCTTATTGCTGCCGATTTTTGATGTTGTAACGATCTTATCTATTTTTTGCGCTATCGCTCGTTTACGCCATGATGTCGACATCCCACGCTCTTTCAACTGAATACCTCGAACGCTCCCCGCTTCAACCATTTTACGCCGAATCTTCGGAAACGTCTCGCCAACTTTTTAAAGCGGCGACCACACCTTCACCACGCATCAAGCGCCGGCGCAGAGACTCACCACGATCTCGTTCTACGACTCCCCGTCCTGAAGATAGTCGTTCACAGGCCTTTGAGTCTCCGAATGAGAACCCGTTCGCTCCACGCGGCAAAAGCGCTAAAGGGAAAGAAAAAGCTGAAGTTCCGGTGGGGTTTGGATTAGGCCTTGGGATCCCAGTTTTTCCATCAAATAGCAGCTCAGTTGTTTCGTCAGAGCCACTTATCGCATGGCGATTCGCCGAAATCTCTAAACCTTCATCGGCGGTCTCACCAGCGTCGCCCTCTCCAACCGAAAGTGTTGACGGCGATTCAGCACCTGTACCACCTGGCGACGATGGATCTATATACACACTTACGCCAGGGCCTGCGTGGCCACCTCCACCGAGTACAATCGTGTCACCGGAGATAACGCCGAGGAGTTCGTTAGATCTTGGAGATACGTTGGGAGGAATGGTGCATAGACGTGGACGGGACTCAAATGACAGTATTGACTTTGAGAATATGCCAGTATCACCACTTACGCCTGCGATCACACAGCTACTAGACGAAATCTCAACAATGGAACGGCCGCCTAGTGCTGGGGTTCCGAAAAATGTGACAACAGTTCAGGCGTGGGTTATGGACATGCCTGGTGGTAATCAGGCACTGCCAGGTGCTGCTCTGGTGGGAAAGAGGGAAGTGGGAGAGGGCAGACTAAGGGTTAGAAAGATGAGGAGTTGGAGGAATTTAAGAGCCTTGGGAAACCGGACGTCGCAGTTTGAGGTCGCGAGGCAGTCAGCAGTTATTGATAGTGATCTGCCTTCGCCGCCGATTACACCACCGGGCCAAATGGAGAAAGAGCAGGACACTGGAGTAGAGTATGCTGGAACTACGCCGAGGTCAATGATGCCTGAGTCACCAATAGAGCACCCGTTTTACGATGATTACGAAGATATAATTGAGGCTCATTTGAGCCCACGAGAAGAAGAAGCCCCAAAAGAGGAAGCACTACCACAGACCTTTTTGTTGGATCCCTCGCCTGAAGTTGAAAGACAGTTCCAGGACTGGCCACAAGAAACGGTGGAACAAACAGGGCAGATGAACCAAAGAGAACAAGAAGAAGAACAGGAGACGCCTAGACCGCCGCAGTTGGAAGTCCTTCAGGGTGAGGCACCGGTGTTTTTGGGAAGCCCCCCGCAGGCTGCCCCGGATTCACCAGCTACACAACTTGGAGGGTTTGAGCCCATGACACCAGACCCTAACTCTGACCTTGTCGGCGAGATCGAAGCATTATTGCGATCTTCACCATTAAGGAGGAGGGAACGCGAGGAGGCTCAAAGAAGTGAATCTTTACATAATACCCCTACTCAGGCAACCATTGGACGGGGAACGAGCGAAACTCATGATATGGATGAGACACCGCGGCCACTTCAGCGACCGACATTTGCACCAACGCAAACGCAAGAGTCATTAGCTAGTGAAGCCACGAATGATACCATCTTCTTCACGCCTACAGAAGTTCGAACGCCGGTTTTTGAGATACCAAATCCCTTGGAAGCAATGCCGCCCGTTCCTGTTGTAGAGCCCACACAAGAACCAGCGAGGCCACAAACCCCTCCACCGAAGGCAGCTCGCACGGCCTCCATCTCGTCGTCCCATTCTACCCCAACTCGGCCTCTAATTCCTACAAGAAGATCCTCACTTTCACACTCTCGTAATGTGTCTGCAGAAACTATCCCCACCAAATCATACCCTCCAACATCCTCACGCCCTGGTGCACACAGTCGTGGAAAATCTATTGACTCTAGTTCACTTTATAATGACCGAGGCAGAAATTATCCTCCACCAGCGCAGCGCCAACGAAGCAGCTCAGCAAGCGACGCAACCGAAGATGTCAATCGTGGTCGCGGTCGGAGTAGAAGTATTGGCGATGGGCCGCCACAAATCCCCGCCCGTAAGAGCTCTGTTGGGAAAACGGGGAAGCCTAGCGAGCTTATGGATAACTGGGTGCGGAAGGAGTCATTTACTACTGTGGGAAGTCATCAAAGACCGAGCCTCGGAGCTATCCTTCATAGCAACACAAACAGTGAGAGTCGAAAAGACTCAAATGAAACTGTTTCTCAGCCAGAAAGCCAGCGCTTCTCATTCTCAAATGACATAGAGATTCTCGGTGCGAATCAAAAGGCAGAGGTAATCACGACCGATATAGTTCGTAGTGGATCGGTAAAAGAAGTACTCGTCCGCACGAGCTCAAAGGGTAGCAAGAGCGGCGAACCCACAGAACCAACAGTCATCGCTTCCATCATCGCAGCGCCGAAACCAGAACAGCCAAATGCCTCAACATCTTCCCATCATGTCCCATCCTTTTCTTTCGGCGAAGGGCCGGATTTAAGTTTCGGCGAGAGCTCCGCATCCGCCGGGAAGGGTAAAGGGCGCGCGAAGGACCAAACACCTATTACTTCGCCTTTGTCCCCGGTTACTTTCCATCTTATCCCGCCTACGCCGGCAGCAGGAGATGAGGGCGCCCTGAGGGTTAAACAACTGGGTTTTCAACCTCCACCCATCCCCATATCTTTTACAGGAACGCCTACCCCACCGCCAAAATCCCCACTACGGAAGTCTACGCCTAACCCTCTCGCTGGCGTACCAGTTGTGCACAGCCACTCTGTATCGGATTCCGTTTTATCTATTCCACTTCCGCCGAGGCTGCCGTCTGTAGTTCATGAAATCAATGGACAGAGACCGTCTACAGCTCCGGAGCCTTTGATAGACTTCGAAAATACTATGCCAGCGTTGGATACCCCTAAGCGACCGAGCTTGAAGAGTAGACCAACGGGATTCAAAAAGAGCAAACTGTCACCGTGGTGGAAGCCCAAATATAACTACTTTCATGATTACGATGAATATGACCAGGGTGGATATGGCGGGTACAACCATGACTGTCCTTATGACGGAATCGATCTTGATGTCGAGAGGGGCAGACAGAGTAGAAGGGATTCTGGGGGTAAGAAAGGAAAGAAGGGGCGCAGGACTGTCAGTCTTGGGAAGGTACAATTGGAGTTTGTAGGTGTGAAGGGTTTGCGGGAGAGCTTTAGGGAGATGAAAGAAGAGAGGAAAAGGAAGAAGGGGGCGAGGGGTCACCTCGCTGAGGCGAGTTAGCCCCCCCCCCCCAAAAAAAAAAAAAGAAGGAAAAAAAGCAATAGTGAAAAGTATGGAAAAGCATCATATCGGAAAAAATGGTTAGATAAAAACTTCAGAATGTCTAGGCAGGTCTAGACAATTGATCTTAACGCGGCAAAAAAAATAATGGATATTCAAAAGGGAAACAAAAAGGATTGGTATACAGGAGGAAATTTCTTTTTTTGGTTTTTGTGCTTTCGCCTTTGGATCGAGCTATCCCACGCAACGACTTTTCTTCATTTATGACCTCACTAATGTTTCACCAATTCACAGCGTTTTGTTTTTTTCAATTCACCCACATGAGATTAGCGATTCAGCGATGTATATATGCCTTCTTTGTCATTTACTTTCCCTTGTTTTCTTTATTTTATTTCCTACTAAATAGTCAGCAAACGTTGGATCTTTGGACTCCTTCCCAGAGAAGGCTGGATATATATTTCTCCGATCCTCTTTGACATCTTCATGTTACGGTATTCTGAATTTGGAGCTGTCCCCGGTTGTCACATTTACTCTTGCTAATAATTATAATAATAAATATGACATTATCATTTACGCATTTAGGCATCCCTAGCGCTAACAATTGGAGGTTTGCGCTTTCCTTCCGATTGTATGCCTCTAGCGTCTGCGAAACAACTGTGACTCTCTAATCGCAGGTCTGTAACACCGGCCTTGTTTATTCTCTGGTATACAAATTCTTTTACCTAGCGAAACCGCAGGAATGCGTTTGTAAAATTGTGAAGAAATAGAACATAGTATAACGAAATTCTCAGAAACAGATTTTTTTTCACCGCTAGATCACAGTAAAATTGGAGTTCACAGGGCTAAGAACATAAGTTTGTCCAAGATATCCAAATGTAATCCTTTTCCTTTGTAATTGCTTGCCCTACACACATAAAACATAGGCGGCATCAACTAGCTTCTAAGGTTGATTATGGCGGGTTTCCACATGGGTTACAGGGCATGGGAGGATTATTCCAGTTTCGATTTCAAGGTTTAAATCGAAAACTTGTCAGCCGTCAACATCCGCGAATGGGTTATATTGAGCTTAAACGACATATCGGGTAATTCGCTAAAGTCATGATCACTTGGTATAAAGTCTCTGGGCCGGCGCGGCGCCCGCATATGAACTATTAATAACGTAATACAACATCAAGGGTGTCACTAACCATTGTTCGCGGATTCGGGCGTATCCTAACGTCAGGCTAGCTAGGGTGCTAGAGTCGTATGTCACCTTATAGCTATTGGAAAAAAATATAGCATCCTATTATCAAAACATTGTGTTTGGAGTTTCAGAAGAAAACAAGAAAGGTTTGTGAGGGCAGGGACTTGAAAGCCATTAGATGTTTGCAGAAATACCGGTGCCTTTCGTATCATGATATCAACACTGCGCCCTGCTTCGAATTTCATCCGATCATTACTAACTAGACTAATTTTGAGTGACCCCTAGACTACTAATTTTGAAGTCCCGTGCAACCTATTCCGCGCAAGGTTGTTGATTGTCCGTCGCAGCCTTTCTTTTGTCGGGTCGCCTATGTATGGGATTCCGCAGCTGCATCCGAGGGCAACCATTGGGAAAAATTAGGTGAAAAGGTATGGCACAGCAATGTTTGATGCTGCGCAACGGAATCAAAAGACAAACATAAAAAAAATGAGCTACTTACTAGTTTTGGATTCAAACTGCAAAATGAATTATGGGAAAGCCTTCTATTTGATGTTGATTCGAACTCAGCCACCTATCCTAAATTTGCTGGTATCGATACCCTAAGTGGCCAAGGTCATGCAAACATCAGTTGGATCTAATCACCACGCGCACGTAACCCAGTAAAAAGAATTAGCAGAAGCAATCAGGCCGAGCGACAACAATATTTGTGTAATAATACCGAGACTTTAGGATAATGATTGGGGACTCTACGTGAGTAGATTTAATACTTAAACCCTAAGCTGCGTCCCGTCTTATATCATAATATTATAATGAAAACTTGATCTAGTGTTTACAAAGCTTTAAGGAATATCAGTTATAAGTTGACAGGTCTCAACTCGATCTATACTCCACGTAGTCCTTAAACTTTCTGTACATGGCGGATGAATAGTACAAGGCGATTATCCCGACGTTTATCTAGTGGACTAGCCATCGTTCCTATAAACTTCCAAGCAGCTAACAACCCGAGAGCTGTTCATAGTAGTAAGCGCTGCCATATATCCATATTGAATCTAATACAACTAATTGAAAACTTTAAAAGGTATCATATCAGGCTTAAATATTCAACTGCAATAAACTTCACCATGTCTAGGACTTTATCGGTGGGGAAGCAACGGCGTCTACCCCCAGTCTATGCCATTATAAATCGCATTCAAAGTGCTTCGATAGATAAAGTTCAAGATTTAGTTCGGAGTGCAGATATTCCGAAGTACACCTACAAACAGCAGTCCCAGATCCATGCGGCTGTGGCGGAGAAACTCAAACTTGAGTCCGAGAAGGAAGACCAAGGGTCGCCATCTCTTACTTGCCATATTTGCAATAAAGCCATGGATGATGTTACCCGCTTAAGGTATGTTGTTACTGTATGCCTTGAGTTCTTTCATGACTAAATCATCTAGCCACATTAAGCCTGAGCTTCACGCATATTTACCCTACGTTTATGTTTCAATGGGATATTTTATTTTCTAACTATTTGTTTTTAGGCGGCATCTGCTTACCCATGGGCCTAGAAATTATCGTTGCAACTTTCCAAGTTGCACATGGACATTCAATCTAGCAAAAGATCTCGAACGTCATAGGAAAAAACACGGAATTACCATTCAGGTTTTTAAATGTGGTTTTCAAGGGTGTGGGCGGCTTATGAATCGAAGGGACAATGCCCGATACCATATTAGAACAGTTCATGGCATTGAATACGGACAAGCAAATGCACTTGTGGAAGTGATTCCTATCGATATAAAAACTCCTGATCAACAACTTGAAGCGGCTCATCGTGAAGACCACATTGCAGCAGGGGTCTCCGATGTACAGCGTGAGCTCGTCACGGAACCCAACCCTATCACTACAACACAGCCCCTAGAGCTACCATCTCTTCATGGCGAACTAGATGAGGAGCAAAATTTGAAGGACTTATTTACCAGGTTCACCACACTCGATGAGGTTAAAGAGTCCGAAGGCCAGAAGGATGATTCGGACAATTGGTCTACTGGGAAAGATGCGTCAGAGCCAGCTCAGCAACCGCCGGGCGCCGAAAGAAGCCAAGTGAAAACACTAAGGGAACGAGTGAAGCAGGTCTTCTACACTACTACACGGCCGAGGCCACCGAGATTCAATAAAAGACTCGAACCAAACACGGTAGTGGATGAGGCCAAGTTTAAAGCGAGCGCCGAAAGTCTTGCCACCACTGACTCCGTTGCGAATCAGGCCTCGAGCTCTAAAACACCAGCCCCTACCCTGGGGGGAGGGTCTCTTTTCAAAGGGTTTTTATCATTAGGAACTAGCCGAAGTAGTGTAGATGGAGCTAATATCGAAACTCCCGCACCTCCCGCACCCTCAAAGTCACCGAAACCGCCTACGCGGGCCCCACCACCACCTCCAGATCAGGAAACCCCATTTCGAGTGAGACCACCAACCCCAATCACAGCTTTAAATCGGTCCCAAATTGATAACAGGGCTCCACCCTGTCTGCCTCCAAGGCCTGGAGTAATAGGAGCGAATCTTAGTCAAGAGAAACCCCCCGAATCTCGACCATTACCGAACCAGCTACAAATCAGTCCCGAGTTTGCCGATAAACTACATAATACCTTTCGGAGCAAACTTCAAATAAGTCATCTCTGAGGGACTACACCCTCTATTCTACACATACTCTTTCATATTCGGCGCAATATTTTCATCCCATTTTTTCTTGCTGGCTGCTCCTTATTTTTAGCCCTTGCACTGAATGTTTTGATCTACTCTATATTGAAGTTTTTGCCTTGGTGGAAACGTTCCCTAGACCGCTCTTTATATTATTGCGAATTTGCCCTTTGATTGCCAGCACTACCTTTGCCGCGAGGGTTTTACTTCATTGTAATATGCATATGTCGTTTTTATTTCAAAATGTTTCTGTATTGTGTTCTATCTACTGCATCGTGGGCTGCCTGGCCGGCCATCATCAACACATGCACATCGAGTGGTTTTCAATTCCTATACTTTTATTGTTTAGTAATGATTCAGCACTCTTTTATTCTTTGCTCTCAATATCTTATTTTCATAAACCTATGCAATTGCGCTCGGGTTTTGAACGTTTTCCCTTAGTATTTAATTGTTTATCATGAAATATTTTCGCTTCCTAAGTCAGGATTGGTGACTATGGGCAAAAGTGTGTTGGTGTTGGATCTGCACAGTCATTTCCAAACTGGAACAAGAAATACCCTATTTCGGCTTAGCTCATTCGACGGGAAGGAAGCGAGCTAAATTATCGATTTGTCTATCAAGTTCTCGACCGTCGAACATAAATAACATATCACTAATATCAGAACTCCAACCAATCCTTAGCCGAGGTTGTGTCGATTTCCGTCTAGTTTTGTTGAATTATCATTGATCCATTTTAGATTTAAAAGAGGGCTCGACCGAGGGCAGGATTCATCTCGTTCGCGCTGGATTTGAGGCACTAAGCATTTCGACCCACGTTTCTGTGGCACAGACAGGGCTATGGCACGGGAGAGTGCCGATTGCATCGAAATGTTGCCTGAAGTCGCCCGCTAGTTTCCGTTGCGTTGTGTGTATCAATAACCATTCATGTTGGGCGGTTATAGTGAGCCCAAAGTGAGGCTCTGAGGATCCAATGCAGCAAATGTAAGGAATGTAGCCTGTCAACTACTTGCAATTAAGGCTTATCGAAGGGCAGATTAGCGATTCAGATGCAATCCGGCCCCACAAGCAATTCGGGCTTAAGAAATTGCAAGGCGGTGCTACTAGACCAACCAATTAGGCCCGATGCAAGAACAAAAATCAGTCTATTGATTGGCTGCGTGAATGTAAATTGATCAATTGAGAAAGATCAAAAGATACGGGAATAGGCGTCTTCTGAAGAGACGAGAGTTAGGAGCTTTTAGCCAAGTATCTCATAGCTGGCTTGGTTTGAGCTACCGCTGTGAATTGAGCAAGCTTAGCACAATATTCAGAGATCCCATGCATTTCATGCATGCGACTCGGCACGATACTCATCTATAGGACATAGTATTATAGACAAGGATCACATACAGTACCTGAATATACGCAAATGAATAATCATACTCTGTGCGATAGTCCATGGTCGATGAGATCTTAGATAATGACAATTTAACTATTTACACAGTTGTATTAGCCGCTTCCGTCTCACGAAAATACTTCGGAATACTGAAGTTAAGGTTGAGCAGTTGGGGTTTCTCATCCCATTTATCAGATAATATTTATGAAGATATTGCAAGTAAAGGTACAATACATTAGGCCACCGGGAAGTTGCATATGTAGGCGCTTCATAAATCGAGCCACCTATTGTTAACATGTTGCATCCAACCAAGCTAGGCCGGGGTGCAGGATCTAGCAGCTGCAGACTTTGGGACGGCGCTTTCCGTTGGGGTCTGGGGCTTTCAGGCAGCTTTTTGAGCAATGCCCCCTGGAATAGATTCGTCTTGTCTGTGCCACCCATGAGCTATCTGGTGCTCAAGCTTCCAAGCCCGAATTGAAGATATCCCATTCATGGCCCAGGTATCTGCCTAGTTTTCGATTGTTATATATAATCCTAACCAACCGTCCATCGAAAAGATTCCTAGTGACTAAATCTTCTTCAAAAAGTATCCAGTGTGCTCAATTGCCATATCGCTTCGTAGTAAAGAGCTCTAACTTTGACATTTCTTAAATCTCCAGTGTTTCTTCAATCATCCTTTCGCCTTTTAGGCCTCAGAACATTCACTGGTATCAATTCACCATCAATTAACCCACCACACATTACTTTTGTGCCCAGACTTCAGATTCAAAAAATGTCGCAAGCAAGACGTCAAAACTTCTCAAACCTCGAGGCCCTAGATTCCGCAGCACGGAGTCAGCTATTCGATATCATTGACAGGTTCCGTGAGCTTAATATCAGTGAAGATATCTCTCTACCGCAGGTATGTCCTTAGAGATTTCGACGTAGCAGTCTATAAAGTATTCTAACTTAACATCACCGGTTTCGCCTAGCTTGTCGTTGTTGGCGACCAATCGTCGGGTAAATCATCTCTTCTCGAAGGTCTCACAGAGATCAGTTTTCCAGTGGCTAGCGATCTCTGTACGAGGTTTGCAACCCAAATCGTCTTGCGTCGCGCGGATGACGATGAAGGACACGTTAGAGCCTCGATTATACCCGGAGCCGATGCGAATTTAGATCTTGACCTTAGAGACAAATTGTTGGAGTTTCAGGTTTCATTGACGGAAGCTGAGTTTGGTCCGGAGAGCTTTGCCAAAATTCTGGATGAGGCAAGTCTTTAATTACCCGTCTACCCTCCTTACGACGATTCGAGTCCTTGTATTGTGGTATACTAATTATTGAATAGGCAGCCGTTTATATGGGGATCCCTAAGCCCGGGGACAAGGTCGAAGATACTCCAGACAAGAGATTTTCGAATGATATCTTGAAAATCGAGCTCTCTGGCCCGCACCACCCACATTTGACAATTGTAGATGTTCCTGGATTATTTCACAGTAAGAAAAGCGAATGACCTTGAACCACTGAAATTGAAAATTCGCTAAAAGTTTCTATAGATTCAACTATCTACCAAACTGAGGAGGACAAGGATCTCATCCGCAATTTGATCCAAACTTATATCAAGGATCCTCGCACCATCATCATGGCAGTGATGGACGGCAGAAACAATCTCGCAAATCAAGAGGTGTTTAGGATGGCACGCGAAGTTGACCCTGAGGGCCGACGCACAGTCGGTATCATAACCAAGTGTGATGCCGTACAACCTGGAGATGAGAATGGTGTCATTCAAATCGCCTCGAATAAAGTGGAAAAGCTTCGCCACGGATGGTTTGCTGTTCGCAATCGCTCAACAAAGGAGATTCAGGATGGAGTTACCATTCAGCAGCGTCATATAAAGGAAAAGGAGTTTTTCAGGAAGGCGCCGTGGAGTCGCCTCGGCCGGGACAAAACCGGCATTGAGAATTTAAAGCCCTTCCTTGGACATCTTCTCTATGAACACGTTCGCGATGAGTTTCCAAAACTCGTCGACGAGATAAATAGGCTAGTCATTGAAACGGAGGATTCCCTGGCGCAGCTCGGGATCGCAAGAACGACTCCTACCGAGCAAAGAATCTACTTGACGAAGATCGCCAACGAATATGAGAGAAGTGTAACGGACTGCTTGGATGCCAAGTTTAGAGAGCAAATTGACTCAAAGTCCGCACTCAAGATACGAACTCGTATCCAAAATATGAACAGCGATTTTGCCAAACGGATGCAAATCGAAGGCCACACACGAGAGTTTAAGGATGAAGACGAAGAACCACAATCAGAAGAAGTCGACGAAATTGCACCACTAGAAATTCCATTTACTAGCCATGAGAGAGAAGAACATCAAGTATATGGCTATAAGAATAATGTCGATGGCGAAAATTCCTTTAATAAACTAGATCCCGAGGATATATACGACTGGATCAAGGTCACTTATCGTGATTCTCGCGGTCCAGAACTCCCGGGTCTCGTCAACTACAATGTCGTCATCCAAATGTTCCGAGAACAGTCAACCAACTGGAAAACTGTAGCTGGAGAACACGTTCGCGGTGTAGTGGACATAGTTGCGAAGTTCAACGCCGAAGTTTTTAACCGTGTAGTTTCCGATGACACCGTTCGTAAAAAGCTACAGACCAGTTTATCAAAAGCTACGGGTGCTGCTATTACTCAGGCCTACCGAGAGCTTGACCAATTGATAGAAGATGAGCGCAGTGGAATTCTGCAAACAGTCAATGTTTCATTTGGACAAAATCAAAAGGCAATGAGACAGAAGAGAGCATTATACGAATTGAAGAAACAAAAGGGCGCGAACGGTATGGTAAATCTGGACATTGTTGCTCAGATGTTCAACTTGTCCAACGAAGATACTACCGTCCGCGATGTCCATGATATCCTCAAGTCGTACTACGACATCAGTCTCAGGCGTTTCACCGATAATGTTGTCCTCCAGGTCGTTGAACGTCATCTCTTGGGGAAAAATGGACCTGTTCGCCTCTTGAAATCTGAATATGTCTCAGGTTTGGAAGATCTAGAGCTGCGTAATATTGCTTGTGAGGATTATCAGGCCGCGGCTAAGAGAAGGGAGTTGCAGGCTAGACTCGAGAGAGCTAAAAGCGCACAAGAAGCCGCTAGTATCATTCCTTTTTGAAGGCCCGGGAATCCCAGAGCTCATGAATAGTTGGCGGAACCGTTCTGAGATCTTCCAATCGATATAGGAGTACTCTATATATATAGAGGGCATGCTTTTGGCGTATGTTGGTCATTTTCGAATTATTGCTATTTCCTGGTTCCCATCTTTGACAGGTTTGAAATTTTTGGGTCTGATTTTCGTTTCTTTGTGGTTTCTATCTTTTGTTAATTCTCTGGTTCTGTTTAATATACATGTCTAGTCTGCGTGTGCAATACTTTCTTGACCTATCCTTTTTCTCAAATACCTTATGCCATGATGTACTTAATTTTTTTATGTTATGTTTCGAACCAACTACGGCAAATGGACAGATCTAGGAATTCGAAATTTTTAGGTCCTAAGGGGAAGTCACAATACCAAATCTTCATTTTGATTTTTGATGGCTACCATGGTACCATGATTTTATTCTTTATATATGAAACCGTGGGTCTCATAGATCTTCTATTGAGTAATTATTAGCTGCGACCGCTCAAGGAATCGCAGGTTATAGCTAGTGTTACTAGGATATCAAGACAGAGTTCTAAAGGTAAGCCTGTAGGGTTTTCTTGGCCGCGGATATATATCAACCCGGTAATTTTGTATTATCGGTGCCTTCTAATTATAATATTAGCTAAGAGTTGAACTTTTATAAAGCCACGTATATTTGCTCCGCAATTCAAGACAAATTGCTGTATAAATTCTTTTCCTCCGCTGAATTGAAAATTCATCCCATTAACTGCATTGCCAATTCCCTCAGATATTCTACCGGGTACAAATCATCACCGACACCAACAGGTACATCCAGGTTGGTTAAAAAGTCAATCAACTCTGCCTCAGTCATATTCTCAGGACTCTTGCTCACGTAATCGCCAGCGGGTGGATTAGCCCCGGTTCCCACCATTTCCTGTGGTAGCGCCTGCTGATTGAGTCCTGAGTTGATGTCCAAGCTATCATCATACCCGAAATTCACACCAGGGTTAAAGAAATTTGCCTGTTTGCCTGCATAGTTGTTGAGGTCAAAGTCGAAAGCGCCGCTACCAGATGGCATGGCTAGGTTATTGATAGATGAAAGCTGATTATTGCCTTGGAAAGCTTGATTAGCAAGGTCATACAGACCCTGATCGAAGTTTTGGTTAGCTTGAGTGCCTTGTGTGTTTGTCCTTTTTGGGACTCCTCCGGCTTCCGCAAGGTCTATCATGGTCTGTTGGGTCAACCCAAGGCCTGATTGGTTTTCCCGCGCCTTCGCGGCAGCGGCAGCCTCTTTTTCAGCTTGAAGTTCGTACAACAACATGATTTCCTCGGCGGTGTATTGATCGCTTGTTTGCGGCCACGCTTGGTTAGAGCCTTGTTGATTGGAATTGTTCGACCTTCGTTGAGCCTCTATTGCTGCTTCCGCTACCATGGAATCTTGGATCTCTTGAGGTGATATATCATTATATGGTTGATCTAGAAAGCTATATGGATTGTCATTTGCTTGAGAATTTCTGTACGTTCGAGGACCTGGTCTTTGAGCGAAACCACTCATGTTTTTTTGGCGCCGAGTGCCCCTACCGTTCATTTGTCTTTCTGGTTTTCTGAATTTTATGTATGAGCGGGCTATATTACTCCTCTCGCTTGTATTATCAGGCGCAAATCTAGAATCATCGACATCATACGGGTTATCGACAGTCCCAGAATTTCTTAGATACGGATTCAAATCTCTCTCAAATTTCTGCCTTCTTGGCTTTATCCTTCCAGGATAGGCTGCAATAGATTCGGTGTCGTCTTGCGCGCTTTCATCGCCTGTTTCCTTGTCAGCCCCCTTAATTGACTGGCCGGTTTGATCGATAACCCGGTCTACGACCTCTTCGTCGTATTGCTCGTCGGCGTAAGGGTCATCGGGCTCGGGAATAGGTTGACCGTTCTCGTCCAGTAGAAGACCATATTCATTTATAGGTTCGCCACGTTCGTTACGGAGAACATAACTCCATTCCAGTTCTGCATTTGGTGGAAGTTGGTCATCTGGGAGGAATTTTCTACCTCCCGATTGAGACCGTCGCCTAGATAACTACTCAGAATCTTTTAGTAAGTATTCAAAATTATTTCACTTGCAGTCGCACTGGTAGCTATATGTATTTCTCACTCTCTCTTTCTTTTCTCGTTCTAGGCGTTTATTACGCTCTATATCTGCTGGACCCGGTTTATCTGATTCCTGTTCTCGTTTGAATTCAGCGTCTATATCCGGTGCCGTGGTTAAAATCCTCATATTCCCTTCTTCGTCGAATTCATTTTCTACTGTAACAACTTCCTCAGAAGCAAGTCTCGGAAGAGCTGAGATGTCGAAAACATGTTGCGGTCGATAAATGTTGGATGGTATTTCTTCTTCAATGATTCGGTCTTCGACATCTTCTGCTGCTATTTGTGATCCATTAGGTGATGGTTGCCCTGACCCTAGAACATCTGTTTTAGGGGCAATATTTATTGATTCCTGTATCGGTGCGGTTTGGGCTCTTTGTAAGGACTCAGGCGCAATATCAAACATCTGTCTTCCACCGGTAAACTCAAGATCTTTCTGCAAGGCCTCTTCGTCGGGCTCAAAACCGGCGTCTACGTACTCCTCTAGATCTGCTTGTGTACTCGCGACCGACGCAGCGTCCGCACTTTCTGCTCCTTCCTCTTCTTCCAGAAGCATTTTCCCGCCATCTGGGCTACCCTTTTTTGTTTTACCCCCCTGGTCGTATGCTAATCCTTCCTGTTCCTGCCCTACCATATCCAACCCGGAAGGATTTTTTGGTTCTTCTTCTTCCCAATAAAATGGCTCAGAGTTTTGATTATTCGCATTCGTATTCGCATTGATGTTCAAAATATTTGGGTTCCCGTTTGCATTTAATTGAACCCCGGCATCAACATCGTCAGCAGAGACGGATCCATCACTCTCAATGTTCATGGAGTTTGAGCCCTGTGAAGACCCGCCATTTGATCCCGACACCGGGTAGAATTGTGGTAAGGCTCTGGCCGTAACATGACCTATCGAAACCAACGAGGCCAGCAATAACACAGCAGCTCGTGCCATGTGTGGCATTTTGAAGCACTATTTGTATTGTCCGTCTAAAATAGTTTTGAGTATGTAACTGGTTTTCCGCCGGTGCTAAAACTACGGGATGAAGATCTTCCAGAAAAAGCGTGGTAAGTGAATGGCATGCGTTATTACCTCTTAGGGTTTTTCATGTAGTCGAGGAGGGTTGGTGTTTTATTTGCTCAGTTGCGCTGGTTAGAGGCCTCTGCGATATATCGCAGCCAAATAAGACTAACTTCATAATTTATAGGGCATATTAATACCGCATATCATTTAACGTCATTGATTCAATCTATCTAAAATTTATTTGAGGGTATATGCCTTGGTTTAGGCAAGGTACCGTATGCCTGGGGCATATATGAGGTTAGCTATGAAGAGGACTGGATGTGTGTACAAACAACCTCATACCCGGGCAACATACACTGTCACAGTAATCCGCGAATATCTACCGTCATAAATAATACCGAGAGGAAAATATTAAAGGAGAAAACAATAATCCCATTTGATCTTGATGAGAACTTTCATCAAGACTTTCTATAGTACATGCATTCGTCGAAAAAATCCAAATAAACGCCATCGCTATGCGGAATAACAACACTGTTAAATAACATGCCCAAACAACCAGAAGAATGTTGCCCCGAAATGTGACCGTTCATAATAGGGAAGAAAACAAAAGCCCTTAAAGAGGAGATGTGCATTTGTAGAGGCATCGGTGATACGTTTGCTGAGGATATAAGTTGGGAGAAGAACGGAATAAGATCCACCTGGGGATCGTTTGTAGCGCCATGACAAGAGTATTAAGCATGAGGTATGCAGGCGGGTTGCCTCCAGACCAGCAGGCGGGCAAATTTAAAGTCCGGTACAAAAAAAAGATAGGCAAGGGCTCTGGTTAAAAGTTAAAAGTATGAGGCCGTGTTTATAAAAAAAACAAAAGAAACATGACCTGAGGCGTAAACATCTCGAAAACTGACGTGCTGTACCTCTCAAATCATATCGACTTCGTCGTCGTCTTCTCGTTCGGCTTCTCCGTGTTCTTGGCTCTCGCTGCGAACATCGTGGTATCTCGGGATGAAGGTCGTGTTGGTCCTGGGGTTTCTTCGGCCTTCCGAAGTAATAGATATTGAAGGAGATAGATCGCGGGGGGTCTGTGGCTCTGGAGGAAGGCTGGCCCCAGAGATGCGAGCCGATCTGCGGCGAGTGACCGAAGCACTAGCAATGGGAAGATTCTCCGGACCATGCTGCTGAGTAATTCGCGAGCGGGTCCGAGGACGAGGGGAGACACCTTCTGGGCTGGCCTGAGCCCCACGCTTGTTGAGACGGCGAGAAGTTGACCTGGGATCACGGTTGGCAGCTGGATCCGGATTACCAGGAAGAGGGTCTTCTTCTTCCTGGAAGAGCGGCGGCGTTGACATAACACTCAATGGTGTCAATGGGGAGCTCATGAGTTGGTCGGGGAGCTCGATGTCCCCGTCCCTGGCCAACGGCCCAGTTTGCTCCGGCTGGCTGGTGATCTGGGCGATTTCCCCCCAGTAGGCGTCGAGCTCGGCGCCCAGTTCCTCCAGAGTAAGCTCCTCTGGATCCCCTGGGTGCTCCAAGGACATCTGGTAAACCCACATCGCCAGGTCTGTGGGATCGGCGGCTGGCTCGACGTCGAGGGCCGGGTAGGGGAGCCCCAATGGCTCTTCGACCGAAACACGCTCGTCCTCTCCCATAGGGAGTGGACAGACAGCGGCTTCCGCCGGAGAACCATCTGTGGGCTCCTCCTGCCCCTTCCTCTTCATCGCTCCAGCGATGATCTTCTCCCACTCCTCCTCGGTGGGATCCCCCCCCTGACACTCCTCTTCGTTGGCTGTTCGGCCAAACGTTTTGCTGAACTCGTCGTCCCAATCGACGAGCCCAGAAGATGGCAAAGCCATCCGGTCTGCGGTCCCAGTCGGCTCTGAAGGTATGGGTGCAACTGGGGGGAGGGAAGCGGCGGGCTGGAGGTCACCAAGCCCCAGCGGGTCCTCCTCGAGAACACCTTCCCTTACATAGGGATAGGTGACTCGGGCGACCAAGTTGGCGGTTGGGTCGGGCGGTTGAAGGTTGGCCAGACGTGAGGCATCAATCTCCCACCCGCCAAGTGGGAATGCCGCGGTCAGTATAGGCGACTGACCGGTGATGAAAGGCCCAGGAGCCAGAACTGCGGCAGGGGAAGGGACGTCGCTTTCGCGAACAGCCTCCTTCCCCTTTGCGGCCCTTAGCTCCTGGGCCTCATCTTCATACTTGCCCTGTAAGTATTCAATTCGGGTTTGGTACATCGGCCCAGAAGTTCCTAGGTCGCTGTTCCCAGCGACTAAGAGACTCTCATGGGCCGATGAAGGAGAAACTTCAGCTGCCATCACTATATTCTGGTTAGCTTCGAAGTCTAAAATGCGTCATTATAGCCGACACTCTCAGGTAGTCGAGGAGGAGGATAATTTTACTTACCTCGAGCGGACTTTACAGTGTCCCCTACATCTTCAGAGGTTAGGACGGGGTTTCTTGCCTTGTTGCCAGAAATCTGACCGAGAATGGTGGGGCCGGAGGGGGTATCAGCTCTTTCCTTACCCTTCTTCTTCTTCGACGATGGCCCCGGGGAGGAAGACATTGCGGGCGTGGTGGAGGATGGCCTGGCCAACTGGCCCTCCTGGAAGCGACCCGAAAATGAGGTTGGGAAAGCCTCTGCGAGGGATGCAATGCTCGCTTGGGGATCGGGAACTGGCTGCTGCGCTTGTGCAGCAGAGGTAGCAACGGCAGGAGGTAAGTCTTTCGTACTAACTCGCCTTTTGGGAGGCATCTTTTTCGTTGGTTTCAATCGGGTAGATGGCCCGGAATGGTAGTACTGCTGTGGAGTGGTAGAGTCTTTAGAGAAGCCTCTGGATTGGTTACCGTGATAAACAGGAGTACCAGGGAAGTTCTGGCCCGGGTTAAAAACAGCTGTCGGAACAATATGTCGCTGATTGAATGAAACAACAGGATTACCCGACTGATAAAAGGGTTGAGAAGAAGAGCTACCTGACTGGTAAGGCGCTGTATTAGGATTGTTCTGTGGCTGGTAACCAGCCGGTATGGGAATCTGACTAGGTTGATGATAATCAGGAGCACGAATATTCTCTTGTTGGTCGATTGCAGGGGCAGAATGGTTATCTGGATGAAGAACCTGGTGTTCTTGATGAAAACCACGGCCAGCAACGTATTGGAGTTGATTACCTAGAGTTGGGTAAGGTGGATAACCATAAAAGTCAGGACCAGCAGCGTGAGCCTGGTCAGGAGGACAGAAAGCAGGTCCGTGGACGTGATTGGGGCTTTGAGGGTGAGGAGATAAAAATTGACCAGGCTGAATGAAGCGAAGTTGTCCAGGAGCAACAGGATGGTGAGCCTGGGGAGGAAGAAACTGAGCTGACTGAACAGAACCGTACTGTTGCTCAGGATAGATAGGAAAAGTAGGTTCAGGATAGTGGGGATCGGGAGGAGAGTATTGAGCAGCTTGTTCAAGCTGAGGTTGCTCAGAACCAACAGAGTAAAGAGGATCAGGGTGATTGGGATGAGAAGAAGAAGATTGAGCAGACTGTGCAAACTGAGGTTGTTGAGAATGAACAGGATGGTGGGTTTGAGAATATAGACTCTGAGCAGGCTGAACAGAAAGAAGCCGATCAGGATAAGCAGGTAATACAGGACTAGGCTGTCGAAGCTGCGCGTCAGAATAGTGAGCTGGATACTGTTGAGGTTCTTGAACCTGGTGAAGTCTTTGAAACTGATGAGGATATTGATACTGATGAGATTCTTGGTGATGATGATGATGGGGAGCAGGAGCAGAAGAAAGAGAAGGAGAATGAGCAGAATGGAGGTATGGAAGAGGAGTTGGAAAGTTAGGTGGGCGTTGGGGAGGTTGTGGAGGTTGTTGAAAATAATTGTGCTGTCCTCCTTCGTTCCAGTGATGCGGGCTAGAACCACATATATTGAATGTTAGCCGTGATGTCCAATTCCAATTCCACTTCAACTTCAACTTCAACCTCGTCCTCAATCACAACTTCGACGCGTCAAAAAACCACCTACCTTTCACTCCGCCTTGAAGGCCCACTACCATAAGCTTGGCGTTCACTGGCCTCTCCTTCTGGCCTTAGTTTTTCCTTGTTATTGCCTTCCATTGCTCTGTTTGGGTCGGGTTGATAGATACAAAGTTTGATGAAGGTGATGATAAAAGTGATGGCAATCTGTAGAGAGAGTGAGGAAAAAGAGAGAGGGAGGTAAGATTCCTTTCTCGAGTCCAAGGGCTATGCTTTTCTTACAACCGTTCATTACAATCTAGGCTCGAGTATCAAATCCAAAGCTCCTCCAGCGTTTCTAGGGTAAAGGGCTCTCTGTAGTTCGTAGAAACCAGGCACAGCATTTGTTATCGGAGGACTCTACGAGGGTTTCCGAATTCAGAGGCCTCCCTAGTCAAGAAGGCCACCCTCAATCAATTTTGTAGCCATTTGAGATATTTAGGCATGGCCTCGTCGTATCAGCTTCTCTAGCTTAGGTGGGTATTTTCATATCGAAATTAGCCCCAGAAAAGGTTAATGACTACACTAGGCTTAACAGCAGAGCTAAGGTATGATATCCATGTTGAATGATTAATGTAGTAAGATGGCTTCTTAGGTTTGGAAAGATAGGAACTACTACACGAGCTACTGTAGGTCCTGAGATGAAAGATATGATCTCATGGAGTCTACTTTTAGTCTTTAGAATCGATTTGAGAAAAATTTAATGCACACTACACAACCGGTGTTCTACCTTCTCAAGCTATGGGCAATATATAAAAGCGAAATGGGTTCTAAAACAGAATTAATCGGTTCCGCTGTATTTATAAACGAAAAATACACTATGTTAGCAGAGACTGATGCAGAGACTTATGCATATGAATAGTATGGAAATGGTTATAGATATAATTTACTATTTAGGCTTAGATTCAATGTCAATCTTCTAAAGCCAATATATTTTTTCGTCCCGATTCGATTAACCACCGTATCATATCAGAAACTGGTGAACTGGCATTGCATTCTAGCATTATTCCGTTGGTTAATTCGGGTTCAAGGTTGTTTGGTTACTGGTTCGCCGAAAAAGATTTTAGACCAATCAATGGCCACTGGATTGGTATCCATGGGTAGCTACCTATATATATTGAATACTATGGCTTCCTCTACGCAAAAACAGGCCCGAAGGTTCTCTCATTGAGATAAATCTTTCTGAATATTGAATCATAGAAAGGCACAAACAAATGTGTTGTCAGGCGCTGCAACACGCAGAATACCACACACGAGCACCTGAGCACCTAAAACGGACGTTACACAGCCAATCAAACGCCATGCCTGCTTCTGTGCCAAACCAGCGTACTTTTCATCCCTTCCAGATCGTCCCGCACCAACGTCACCGTCACCACCAATAGCTCAAATCACCATCACGAACTTCACACTACTAGCGACCAACTTATATAGTAACGATAAACTAAGCACCTTCATCATGCCTCCCAAAAAAGTAGCCGCAAAGCCTCCGCCTTCTATCTCCAAAAACACAGATATTGACTCCCTATTCGACGGTATCGACGATATCTCCACTTCCTCCAAACCCACAGGCCAATCCGACTCAAAACCCCGCGGCTCCCTCTCTGCTGATGCAGACGCCGACGAAAAAGCTCTATTAGCCGAGATTGAAGGGTTGACAGCAGAACACCGAGCTCCGTCTCGTCCTGTCACACCGAGTCTTCGTGCTACAGCAGGTGTAAACGCCGCTGCGAGAGCTAGTTCTGAAAGTTTGAGGAAGAAAGCTGCGACGGCACGTGCCCCTGTTGCTACTGCTAAACCCGCGAAAGTGGAGAGTGAAGATGACGAAGAGGGTGATGATGATGACGATGACGAAGATGACGAAGATGATGAGGAAGAGGAAGAATATGATGAGAAAACTGGAGCTGTGAAATCGAAACCACATAGGCCAATTCAACCTCAAGAACAACAGCAACAAGGCGGCGGATGGTGGGGAGGACTATGGTCCACCGCATCAGCTGCAGCTACTGTCGCCCAGTCCACAGCTCAAAATGTCTACAAAGAAATTCAATCCTCCGAAGAAGCTCAACGGTGGACTAAACAAGTCAAAGGCTCCGTCGACGGATTCCGTGAACTAGGTATCAACCCCCCCTTCACCCTAATTTCAAAAACTCGCCACTAACCACTCCAACCCCAAAAAATACAGGCGGAGAACTCCAAAAACGTGCTATCCCAACATTTACTACCCTCCTCCACCACATCGCCCCTCCGATCTCTGCCCACGAACGTCTCCACATACACACAACCCACGACCTCCAAAACTACCCCTCCTTGGACCCAATAATCCACCATGTCTTCTCCCGCGTAATGCAACAGGTCGAAGGTGGCGACCTCCTTGTTATTCAACGTGGCTCTGAAGCCACCAACAAACACAATAGTAGTCTATCCGCTGGTTGGGGTGGCGGTCCCTGGTGGCGTGATGAACGCAAACGTGAATTAGGCACGATAAAGGGCCTCGAAGCTGGTGTAAAACTCGCAAAAGCTACTGCTGAGGGATTCGCAAATGAATACGCTTTAAGAAGTCCCAGCCTTGAAAAGAAACAAATCGATCCAGACAACCCGGTGCGCAAAAGCGATATTTTCTTGGCTGTTCAGCCGGTTACATATCCTTGCCCATTCACGACTATTACGGCAAAATCAGAGGATGGAGATGTAGTCGAAGAGGTTTTAAGCTTCGCAATATATCTATCTGATCCTAAGCATTCACTGGAGTTCACGACTATGTCCCAGACCTGCCCAGCGAAGTGGGGAGAGTGGATGGACGCTGAATTCGAAGAGTTGCCGGAGGATGTTCAAATGGGGCTTGCTAATGGAGCTGTTGACCCACGAGAATGGGTCGCAGAGTGGATGGAGGAGACGATTGCCTTGGCGGTGGGTATCACCGCACAGAGGTATGTAAGTAAGAGAATGGGCGTTGGAGAAGGACTTGGGAAGGGGAAGGCGGTGGATTTGGAGGGCAGACAGGAAGTAAATCTCGGTGGTGAGGCCGGGGTTTTATAATGTCTCTTTCTTTCTCTTTTGTTATTTTGCTTATCATTGCATTACTCAAGCTTTTAATCCTGATATACAGGAGGCTTTTGAATAATACTGTCTTGTCGAGTGTATTTATTTTTTTCGTACTCCTTTGAAAGGATGAGAAATAGCTAACTATTGGAGGGGTATTTTTGCATGATTTTTATGAGGTTTAAAGTCCGGAGTTCTTCAGCGGTTATCTATACCTTGTCTTCTATACACTCTACCGCAATTAATTCTATATTACACCCACTCCCTCCTTGTATAAAACGAACATGAAATGTCAAAAAGCACGCGCGCAGAAATACTTCAGTTCTCGAATATGCAAAAAATGCAATGATGAAACCCGCTAAAACGGCAATGACAAAACCAAAACCCCGCTGATATGGGGGCTACCTAGAACCCCCGAAGAAGCTTCAAACGTAAAAAAAAACGGAAAAATCCAATAAAATCATTACACTCCCACTCCTCTAAGTAAGGGAATTAAGAGAGTCCTATGAGAACTTCAATCGAATAATACTCATCAACATGTTCATCAAACCATGACACATAACCGCAACAGTTGCCACAAGCAACCCCTCAAAATCCATAAAATCCCGTTTTCCTTCACCTGTAACTCCAAATTCCCATCCAAACCAGAAAATCCTTCTAACGCACCATCCACTGATTATTTCCAGCGCCCAGGTGACCAGGCTGGCGAAGAATGTGAGATTGAAGTCATACCCATCCTCATTCTTGTTGTCGTCGGAGGATTGGAAGGACAGATAAGGATAAACTAAACGGTTAGGACCGTAATGAAGGACTACGATCCAACCTAAGAACGCGAGCATACTGACATTTTCGGAGAGACCGCGGAGGTAGAATGCTCTACCTGTGAGCTTTATGTGCTCGTTATAGGTTATTGAGGAGAAGTTGAGATAGGTTAAGACGCTGTGAAAGCGGCGGGAGATGTAGAGAGGTTGGAGTAGAATAGCGATAGAGGAGGACAAGAGCTGGAGGATCGCGAATTGTGAGGGAGAACGTAGGCGAGCGTATAGAGTTCGAATGTACGTCTATATATAGAGTATTTCCAGGGTTAGAAATGCGTTTTTCGGAGAGAGATACAAGGAGGACATACGTAGTAGGTAAGGCTAAAATACAGCTTGAACACAAACTCAAGAGGGTAGGATTGAACTTGAGCGCTCAAGATCCAGCCAGTTATCCCGTCCAAGGCAAGAATAGTACCGACCCAAGAGTATACATAAATAACGGTTTCCTTGTTATTATGTGGTAGAGTCCTAAGATAGATTTCGGCATATAACTCCCCGAGTACAAACGCAATAAGTCCGATCAAAATCGCTGCACAAAACCATAGAAAGCGAATGTAGCTGTATGGGATCCACCTTGTTCGTCGCCGGACTTGGTGTGAAATGCGGCTTCGGATAGTATGTCGGGGTGGGTAAGTATCTGCGCTGGCATTTGAGGAAGACCGTGAACGAGTGAAAATGTGAGAGTAGGAGAGTAACGATGTGCCTTCTGTAGGTTCTTCATCTTCAATAGCGTCTGATGATATATCTTGGTTATTCGAACGGGACGATGATGATGTGTTTAGGTGTGCAGAGGGTTGATGGTATCGAAGGGAGCTATGTCGGTCTTCGGTATGCAGAACGATAAAGGAAATGACGGCAGGTGAACACATTGTTAAGAAGGTTAATAAGATCCAAGTAATATTAAGGTGAGCAAGAGGCCGAAAGAAGTAGTAGATCGGAATGCCGGCGGCGACTGATAGTGACCAAGACAGAAGATACGTCGCCGGACCTCCAAGGCGTGCCGGCCACCAATTCATATTGTAGAGGTTGAACAAACTGGTCATGTAGAACAGTCCCATTAATAAATAAAACCCATAATAGACAAGTAGGAAGAACCACCAATGGATCTCTACTAGCGCTTTACCATGTCCTGGAGATTCAGATCCCGGGTCGGTGCCATTTGCGAATGTGGTACTGCTCCAGCCAACGCTTTCGTCATGTAGGTGTTTTTCGGGCCATATCATATGTAATATGCCCTCGATAAGTGATGATATAAATGTGGTATCGCCAGGTGTACCCGGTCTAACAGTAATCGGTAACGGTATAGCGCACCAACCTACAGTCTATATGTACTGTATTAGCATTCGGCCCGCCAGCCCAGCCGTGAAAGTGATAACATACTACCCCCGCCGGTATAGCGACTAAAATAATCGCACGGCTCCACCAGTACCTAACCAATCTCTCTGTAACATCTCGTCTCGGACTAAGAATGCTCCCCACATCGCTCACAAACCCCACAATGCCACTGCGACGCCTTACCGCCCCGCTAGGAACGAATAAATCCTCATCACCCTCATCATCGGTAAGGCTTCCGACAAAACTATCGTATGCAGCGGATGTAGCGCGCGAGATTGAATCGACGAGATTTCCTATCGAGGACTTTTTTTTGAGGCGGGGTTGGCGGAGGGGGCGGGCTGAGGAGTGGAAGCTGTGGGATTCGCTTCCTTGAGTGAAGGTGCTGAAGTTGGGCATGTTTCCTTGGGCCGCAAACAAAGCAGCAAAGCCGCCGAACAAGTAATAAAACCGTGGTTTTTCAAGTCTTACAAGAACAGAAAAAACCCATATGGAGGATATGCGCGGAAAGCACGCGCCCGAGCGACCTTGGGGAAAACGGTTTAGAAGTTTTTAAAAATTGCGTGGCAGTCAGGCGACTGGACTGGAGTAATTCGAAAGGTGGAGTAGCTAGCCTAGCTACGGTGGTCGGTGAGTTGGGGTGGTCGTTTTTTCGTCTGATGTTTGCGAGCGCGAGCTGACGTCGGAGCTCCTAACCTTGCATGAGCCAAGCTCGCATACTTGGTTTTCTTTTAGGCAGGTTGCGAAACACATCGCGGGAGATACTGCGCAGCTCAAAAGAGCGGAAGATGTTATCTTTTATCTGATGATTGATAGGAAAATATAGAGAGAATACAAATAAAGATCCAGAGAAGGGATGTCGTTGGATACCGTTGGAATTTTATGTGTAACATAACCTACCAAAAGCGTCACATTGATACGCCACAAGGCCATAACTAGAACCGTGCGATGCAACAAGGCCAACACATGTACAAGCAAGAACTAGTTGTCTCGTTCTCATAATATATATTGATATAGTAGTCTGTATTTCTATCTTGATATATATTCATTCAAGAGACAAGAGAAAAGAGACTTTCTATACTAGGAAAATATGACCCCAGAGCCAGAACTCTAAACAAAATGATCACATATTACAGTCTCGTACTGCCTTTTGTCGAGGGCAATTAACGTATCATTTTGGCAGATTTATATACCTACTTAGGTAATTATATGCATATATATATACCTACCAGCCACCAGTAACGAGGGTAGGATGGAGACTCGAGGATGGACGCAATTAATGGTGGCTTTAGCTAATTAGGTAGGAAGGTTCATGCAAAATTCCCATTAGCTGCGAGGCTATCTTGGGGCGTCGTATGGCATTTTGGTAGGTTAAAGCTGCTATGTGGGGTTGAATAATTAAACGTTTAAACCCTTAGTTTGGTCTCATTCTTCAATTGATCAGAGAATTCCGCTAGCAGAGGCCCGTAGACCCTAATACCACAGGCACGGTCACAAAAAAGAAACGGTCGGGGTAGTGGGAAGTCATTAGCGAGTGGAAGACGTGTCAAGTTTAGCACTGGCCGGGCTCAAACTCTGACCTCGATGAACCAAAGTGAATGTCATGGCGCCATTTGAAAGGAAGCTCACACGCCCCTCAACCTGCCCCATCGCCAGAAACGCCGCCACAAATATTCATATTATGGAACTCATTTGATTATCCCAGCTCGTTTTTTTTTGTGAATATCGCAACAGAGTCACAGGATAGCTACGTATACAGCAGGTAGTATGGTTCGATTCTACAAAACAAAACTATCGAAGCTAAAATCTTAACCTATATCTACTAGTTGCCCATGGTGTCAATGGGAGGTGGCTCGAGGGGACCGGACGTATAGCACCGAATGATGTTCAGAATATATATTAGCTTACAGTTCTATAGATCTACGGGACGGCCATTTTTTCATAGGAAACTCGACTAATCTAAGCTCTAAAAACAATTATGGCTTACCGCCAGCCGGCCGACGCCTTAGAACGAGACTAAAAGCTCTATGAAAGGCACTTGGCGCTGTTCTTTTGGGAGCCAACCCTTTTTACTATAAAAAGAGAGAACTTTAATGCGGCATCGTGTGTAGAGTGATAAGAAAATTCTGCTTTTGTGGCCCTTGACAAAAAAGTCTGGTCACGAGACTGGATATATGGCCCACAGCGACCAACCAGGCGTTTGCAACGCATAAATTCTCCGAGGAAATTTCGATCGATATCAAATATTTTCGCATTACGAGGGATATAATAGAGCTTCTGTTCACAGAAAGATGATTTAAATGACTGCTGTTGCAATAATATGTAGAGAAATGACAAAATATCACTATCGAAGGAAACTTTGCGGGTCAAGTCGGGGGATAACGGAAACTTTGTGAGCCGAACAAAATTTGCAAAAATGCAACAAAGTATTTTGCTTTTTCTTAACGCCAATGCAATAACGCGCCTGAACATGTGGATACCCGAGTTGAAGACGTCGACAGATGCTGCAGGGATGCTAGACTCTATCATCCACTGCTTGGACGAGCGATTGGGCAGTTTTCCCATGGATAGTACCTATGAATTGGAGATTGGGTGGAGGCAGTCGACTAGAATCCGCCGTTTGTAGCCTTTAAGGTACGTCCTATCAGGCATGCCTAGTTTTCAGGCCATATATAAATACCCCACGCGCCCGTTATAAAGCAAGGCTCGACTAACGATCCAATAGATAATTAGGATGAAGATTGCTTCTGGATGCTTGCGAATGCTGTGGTAACTGCAGGTTCTGGGATCGCACGACATATTTAAGTTACCCGAGGGTCGAATATTGCAATCCGCTGGCGTTTCTAGGCACTGGCTACCAAAACCCGGATGCATCGAAGCGATATCGATAAGAGCTTTCAAGCACACCAACCCACCAGTGGAATAAGACCGGTATACTATATATAACGTCAGTATAGGATCGAGATTTGGTTGATGGAAACCCAGGGCCGATATCCCCACCAGGCATTAAACTTATAAGAAGACTCGACTAGCGGATTTAGCAACATTAAGTTAAGCCCTTGGTATGCTAGATAACGGACATGCATCAGAGACCTTAAATTCCTTCCATTTCATAGTCGGTGGGAAGAAGATTGGATATCTATAGTAAGTTTGTGAGGTCAGCTTTGCGAATCATCATTTCGAGATGGCACTGTTCCGCACATGGATCTTGGTGTCGATGACGATGAAATAACTAAACTTGTTATAGTTTTTGTCGTAATATCTGTTTTTTAGGTGTATATTCTGAAGAAAGGTCGTGCTCAGCATACTTACCAGTGGGTTGGTCACCTGAGAGCGGGCAGCAAGTATTGAGGTACAGTTTCCCTCAGGCCTGCGTCGACCCCTCTATATAAGCAACCTCTATTCATTCTCCATTTTCTTTCTTTCCCCACCCTCAACATCAACCTCCTCCAACCCGAAACCAAAACCATCACCAACCAACCTCACCTCTTTTCACCACCACCATCCCAAGACTAAATCATCACCACCACTTGCATTTGCACTGCCACTCAAGATAGTAAGTGTCTGACTGTATTACTAACAACTATTCTAATCCCTCCTGCTTCTCTTCTCGTGCTACTCCTAGCGTCTCTGCTGCTGCTTCTGCTCTTATTATTCCTCGTTGCTCCTGCTACGACTTCTCAACACCAGAAGCTAACATTTTGACGTGATACGAAGCTGTCCATTAGCAGAGCTCGAGCCGGCTCTCCATCCTCTGTAAGCAAACTTAGCCCACAGCAACGGCAATATTAATACTAACCAAGCTTTGAACTTAGATAATTTTGTGTCACGTAGCAACCACTACAGACACTTTTCTATATTTGACGCGTCCCAAAGTCCACACCATGCCTCCTTCTGCTCCCCGAAGACCATCACGCGGTGGGAGCGGCGGCAGCGGCGGCAAAGCCCGTCGAACCACCCCATCTGGTCAAAGTAACCCCGCGCCCTCCAATCCTCCTGTCCAAACCGACCCTATAACTCCCTCTGTTCCCGATGACTCGGAGAGGAGAACTCCCCCCCCAAATTCACGACTTCTCCCCAATCTCAGCCTCGACATTTTCAATGGAAGCAACCTTGAACGATCCCGCGCATTTGTCCAACGTTTTTGTGAAGGTCAAGTCAAGATTTCCAGTCCAGAAGTTGCAAGAAACTTCCTTCGTGCTGTTATTCGCCAATCTGGACAAGGAAATGCTCTAGAAACATGCATTTCTACCCTCGGCGACTCGGTACATGGGGTCTTCGCTATCGTCGAAGCTTTGAACCAGCATGAAAACCTTAAGGACATTTCATTCCTCAACAATTATGTCGGTCAGCTCTTTCTCTTCTTGACGTATCAAGTAGATACAAATGCTCCTGGTGCCGATGTAAACTCCTTTGATGATCACATCCGTCGTATCGTTGGTCGTATCGTCGAGGACAATGACATACTATTCGGGTATCTCATTAGGGCAGCTATACGTAACAGGCTCGGTTCGGATGCCATGGAAGGGCTTGCTCGCCTGATCATATGCTACTTGAACTTTGCTCCCAAAGTCCCTGATCATATTCAAGAAATCATCATCAATCGAAAATTCATTGGAAGATTGATGGCAGCCACACACGCTGGGGTTCAAAGCATCGGTACAACACTCAAGTATTGGTCGGACTGCGACAGCCAGCAAAGAACTGACCGCACCGGGAAATACGTTGCAGGTGGACGACACGATAACGACTTTAGGGACTATAGAAAGATCAAGATTATTCCTACATCGGACGAGTTCTCCTGCCTAGAACCTTCGTATCTTCCAAAATCTGCTGCTCCAGCAAATCAGAAAGGGGACTCTCGCGTTGGCCTCCACCTTGATACCCAATTCCGTCTTCTTCGCGAAGAGATGCTCAATGAAATCAGGGCCGATTACTATGACTGCATTGACGGCAAGGGAACTGGTACCAAGCCAAATAACACCTCAGAACGACCCAAACTCATACTTAAAAACCTTCAGTGGAATGATTGGGATTTTCAAGGAGCAAGGAAGCTCCGGAGGTTCGGGATCCGTCTTCTCCTTCCGGAGGGGTTCGGCAAATATGTCAACTTTGGAGGCAAAAACTACGACAAACTGTTAGCAGATGACCAGAGTTTCCCGTTCAAGAACAACCAGCTAGCCGTTCTGGTTGTCGATGATGAAATCGCTGGGTTTGGAAAGTTGGCACGAGATATCGAATCATTAAGGGGGCCAGCTCCCGCTATAATTTTCACGTTAGAAGATACTGATGTCGTTAGTCAGGTCATAAAGAAGCTTTGGGACGCCGTAGTGGCTCGCGACGAGGGGGAGCCAGACATCAAGCTAGTTTGTGTTGACAGCCCCGTCTACGCCCATGAGCCAATCTTAAAGAGGCTTCAGACGATGAGGGCTATACCTCTAGCAAAGGAGCTTCTTCATTTTGAAAAGGGCAAAGAGGTTGGGAAGACTTCATTTCATCTGGAAGAGTTAATCCCAAAAATCAATCCCGAGACTCCCCTAAAGGATCATGTAAGGGCGGGCACGGATTCAATCACAATGGATCGAGCACAGTGTGCAGCAATCAAGCGTGCTCTGCAGAATAAGGTGGCTTTGATTCAGGGCCCTCCTGGTAAGGAACCATCCTCCCATCCCCTAAATTTTGAACAAACGCTTATATTCCTAAACGCAGGCACTGGTAAGACAATGGTCGGAAATATCATTGCCAAACTCCTTTATCTCTACACCCCGGAGAGCATAGTTGTTATAACCCAACAGAACCACATCTGCGACGAGTTCCTTGAGAATCTGCTAGCGATGGGTGTGAGGACGGAGCATGTCGTTCGCCTTGGCAGTCAATATAGCGATGCCACACGTCCGGTTACCGTCAATGAACTTTCTGACGAATCGTATTTATTTAGCTCTGTCAAGAATGCTATGGACAGCATCAAAATTCATATCGATGCTGCTTGGAATCTAGTAAACCAAGCCATCCAAGAGCTCTTCGTTAAACCGATGACTTGGAAGCATATCCGCCAAATCGCCATCCGATACAATGAGGCAAATTTTCAAGAGCCGGAGGATCGCTTTGGTTATATCTCAGCCTTTACTGTTCCAGAAGATTGGGAGAAAGTGGTTTTAGAGGCTGATCCCAAATGCATAATTCTCACCAATGATGAGCTGTTCGAACTCTGGGCGGAGAATGCACGGTGCCCCACAGGCATGGAGAATTATTTGACTGAAGATGGTCGGGAGCTTTGGGACATGCCACCGGAAGACCGAGATATCCTTCTAGGCTGGTTCAGAGAAGCACTTGTCGCAGACCAGATCGCAGGCCTCGTGAGTGCAGTTACAAACTTCAATCACCAAGTTGACGAGTTCAACAGATGGAAAGATACCCGTCTCCGTTATCTTTTCAAGGAAAAACGAATTATAGCTGCCACTACCAATGGTGCTGCAAAATATCTTCCCATCATCGCTGATACAGCTCCGAAAATTTTGATTGTTGAAGAAGCTGCTCAGATCCTTGAATCTCACGTTCTCGCTGCGCTTCATGACAAAGTTGAACAGATCATCATGATTGGGGACCACAATCAGCTCCGCCCGCGCTGTGAAACTTGGGAGTTTCAGCATGATTCTGAAAGAGGTTATAACCTAGATATCTCACTATTTGAGCGTCTCGTCAAAGAAGGTTTTCCTTGCGATGTTCTTGAAACCCAACATCGTGCTCGCCCGGAGATTTCCCAAATTATCCGAACTTTGACCTATCCTAACCTTAAGGATCACAAATCGGTACATCGGCTTGACCGCGTCCGTGGTCTTCAGCGCAGTGTTACTTGGATGGCGCATCAGTATCAGGAATCTTCTGCAGACAAGCTAGTGACACGCAATACCAAAATGGCTAAGAAATCGAGCAAAATTAACGAATTTGAAGCTGATATGGTTGTTTCGCTTGTTCGCTATCTTGGGCTTCAGGGCTACGCTAATGATCATATTGTTGTAATTACACCATATCTCGCCCAAGTCGGCCTGATCACCAAGAAGATGAAGGAACGTGGAGAATGTGATGTCCTTCTATCTCAGGGAGATTATCATGAGCTCGTGAGAGCAGGTATTATCGAAGCTCGGGACCTCAAGGGCGTCAACAAATATATTGAAGTTTGCACGGTTGGTAAGTTTTATACTTGCTTCTTTGTTTGAAGTTAAACGAGAGGCTAATGTAGTTTAGATCAATTCCAAGGAAGTGATAGGGATATTGTTATTGTATCCACGGTTCGCTGCAACACCGAGCAGAAGGCTAGCTTCCTTCGTGCTCCGGAGCGAGCCAATGTCCTTCTTAGCCGCGCTAGGAAAGCTCTCGTCATCATTGGCGATTTATATAGCGTCACCGATCACGGCATTCCTGGTACTGACTCAATTTGGAGGAATGTCTTTACCCATTTCAAATCTGAGGGGCACATTTTCGATGGTATTCCAATCGTTTGTCAGAATCACCCCAAGCAGAAGCGCATCTGTAGAACTCCAGAAGAATTAGACTTTTACGCACCCGAAGGAAGGTGCAGACTCCTTTGGTAAGTTTAAATTTTAGTAAAAGTAATGGTTCCATCTTATTTTAGCAACTTCAGTACTGATCATAGTTTCCTTTAATAGTGAGTCTCCCTTGCCTTGCGGGAAGCACACTTGTTCGTTCTTCTGCCACGGCGGCCCGGATCACAGCCGTATGGAATGCACGGTAATGGAGAAGAAGACATGTTCGAAAGGCCACGAGTGGGACGATTTCTGCTGGCCAAAGGACCCCAAACCATGCGAGAAGTGTAGCATGCACGAAGCTCACTTTAAGTCCATGCAAGAGGAGGAAGAGGCTCGAAAAACCAAGGAGTTCGAGACCTCTTATGCGGCTGAGGTGAAATCCTTGAAACAGGCCGAAGAGGCCAACAAGAAAATGGAGGCCGAAAGGCAAGATAAGCTCAACTTCGTTAGGGAGCAGCGATTGATTGCTGAGAGAAAGATTGACCCGAAGCCAAGGCGAATGCCTCCTCCTATTAAGCCCTTTGGTGAAGCGGCTGAACTCCTGGCCAAGAAGGAGCGAGCAGAAAGAATGGCCACGGAGCTAGCAGCGCTTGATCATCGGATCTTAGAGGCAGAGAAGACTGCCTCACAACAAGCATCGCCAATGAATCTCGGGCTACGGCCGCTTAGAGTCGCTGACCTTGAGCAGAAATACAGTGGCGGTTCTTCCGTTGTTGAGGCTGGGCGTAATGCTTCTGAGGACTCTCAAGAGTCCATAATTCCCGCCAGGTTCCGCGTTCCTGGAATTCCAATCTCCAATCATCCGATTACTCTGGTCAGTTCTGGAGTTTTAGACAAGGGCAGTGACTCCGAGATTATGTTCGAAGTTAACATACAGGCTCCGAAACCCCGCCCACGAAAACGACTAACTGGTAGATCCGGTGACAACTCTTCTTTGGCGCAGACCCCTAATCGAGTCCAATCCGACCAGAGTTTTCCATCATCACCACCCATTAGGATCACTCCACTCGCCGATAATTCTAACCAATTCCAACAACTCGAAGCCACTCCACCGACCAACAGAGAACAGAGTCTTATTGAAGAGGCATCGGAAATGAATATCCTAGAATTTGTTGCCAAAAGATTGGTTGTGGAAGAACCACCGAGTTTCGTCAACGAAGTGCCACAGACGGAGAATTTCTCGACCACCATCGTTGATAGTACAACTGCCAATATCAATGGCTCAATTTTGGAGAGTGACATCAGCGAAATTCCAGCATCTAACGGAATCCTTCTTTCACCAAGCGCCCTCACAGATAGGGTAGATTCTTCCAAGTCCGCCCAGTCAGACAACATTGTTCTTCCAAAGGTCCCCGATGCTACAGAGACCGTCCCTACACCAACGATCCTAGATTCAAACTTCGCCAAATCCTCACGATCTTCCAAGGCTGGTTCTGTTTCTGTTTCCAGTACCTCAAACCCTCTCACAGTTCCCTTAACTCCTTTTGACGGTCCATTCCCATCTCCCAGCCGCGATGAATGGAAGCGTCACAAACTTTCCACGAAGGATAGCAATGCTGCACTGGACCAAATAATGGATATGATTGGCATGGAGCATGTCAAGGAGCAGGTCCTAGCCATCAAAGCCAAGGTCGACACTGTTCATCGCCAGGGAATTAACTTACGCGGTGAAAGATTCCATGTTGCCCTCCTCGGAAACCCTGGGACCGGGAAAACCACATTCGCAGGGTCGTATGCAAATTTTCTCAGAAGTGAAGGTGTTCTTGAAGGACTATCCTACGTTGAAACCACCGGCGCTCGGTTGGCTCACGATGGCATCAATGGCCTTCAAGACATATTTTCCCAGTTGCTCAACGCAAAAGGTGGGACTTTGTTTATTGACGAGGCTTATCAGCTTGTCACATCTGGGGCATTGGAAGGGAGGCAAGTTCTCGACTTCCTTCTCTCCGAAATGGAAAGGCACCTTGGGAAAATCATCGTTATTATCTCAGGCTATAACAAAGAGATGGAAAAGTTTTTCGAGCATAACCCTGGATTGCACTCAAGAATTCCTTATCGCATCCAATTTGAGGATTTCACCAACGAAGAACTGCTCTATATTCTTCAAGACACAATCAAGGGGAAATTTGGGGAAAGAATGAAGATAGAGGATGGATACAGTGGCTTGTATATGAGAATTACAGCCAAAAGACTTGGGAGAATGCGGGGCATGCATGGGTGTGGCAACGCAAGAGGGGTTCAGAATGCAGTGGCTAAGATTTTGGAACGTCAAGCTGCGCGTGTCACCAAAGAGCGAAAGCAAGGATTCGACGCAGATGATTTCCTCTTAACCAAAGAAGATGTGATCGGGCCTGCCCCGTCGCAAGCAGCTATGGAAAGCGAGACTTGGAAAGAGCTCCACCAGCTAATTGGGCTTGGTGCGGTGAAGCAGAGCGTTGTGGTCCTACTTAAACGAATGGAGAGCAACTACCAAAGAGAACTTGCCGAAGAGAAGCCCATTGATGTCTCCTTAAATCGTGTCTTTTTGGGAAGTCCCGGAACGGGAAAAACGAGTGTTGCTAAGATCTATGGCAAGATCCTTGCACAGTTAGGGCTTTTAAGCAGTGGAGAAGGTACGAACTGTTCCCTATCAGTAATTTCGAACGTGGCTAATACTTACTCTAACGACAGTTATCATGAAAACACCATCCGACTTCTTGGGTCGTGCCTTGGGTGAATCAGAAGCCAACACTAAGGCAATTCTTAACGCTTCTCGTGGAAAGGTCCTCATCATTGATGAAGCCTACATGTTTAATCCTAAGCTCAACGGTGCCGAAGATCCTTATAAATCGGCGGTTATTGATACTATTGTCAGCGAAGTTCAGAATGTTCCAGGAGATGACCAATGTGTCCTGCTCCTTGGCTACAAGGAAGACCTCGAGAAAATGTTCAACGCCGTCAACCCCGGCCTAAGTCGACGATTCCCAATTTCTGATGGCTTCGTTTTCGAAGATTTCACCGATATCGAGCTCTCTAAAATCTTGGACCTTAAACTCCGGCTTGCAGAAATTCATGCAACTCCGGAATCGCGTGAGGTTGCAATCCGAAAAATCGGCCAAAGACGTCAAAAAGTCAATTTTGGAAACGCCGGTGAGGTTGAAAATCTGCTTACTGTCGCCAAGGAACGGATGCTCAAACGACATGTTGATGGTGGAGATTTTGCTGCCGAACTTCTCCCTACCGACTTTGATCCAGACCATGACCGTGGAAACCGTACCGACCCAGGTCTTGCAGATCTCTTCAAGGACCTAATCGGAGTAGAAGACGTGATACGCCGCTTCGAAGAGTATCAGATGTCATCTATGGTTATGCGAGGACGCGGAGTCGATCCCAAAGATCATATCCCTTTGTTATTCATCTTCAAGGGCCCTCCAGGTACTGGAAAAACAACAACCGCCAGAAAAATGGGGCAAATTTTTTACAATATGGGATTCCTTGCCTCCAACGAAGTCATTGAATGTTCAGCCTCAGACCTCGTCGCTGAATATGTTGGACAAACAGCCCATCGAACACGTAAAAAGCTTGAGCAAGGTCTCGGAAAGGTTTTGTTCATCGATGAAGCGTACAGACTCCAGGACAATCAGTACGGCATCGAAGCGTCAAATGAGCTCGTGGATGCGGTCACAAAGCCAAATTTTATGGGTAACCTAGTTATTATTCTTGCCGGCTACGACGACGGTATAGATAATCTTTTAGCGCTCAATGTGGGCCTAGCTAGTAGATTTTCAGAGGTCATCGAATTTCCGGATGTCAACTACCATACGGCTATCGAAATCGTTAAGACCGAAGTTAAGAAGGCCGGAGTCGATATTCCAAGCTTTGATGACAAAGATAGCGACCAGTACGCCGAAATTCTTGAACTGCTCAAAGAGATCTCTGAGACTAGAGGATGGGGGCACGCTCGAGATGCTCAAAACCTAGCCAAGGGTATGACAAACAAGGCATATCGAAGTGTCAAGAGTCTTCACGATTCAGTTGCTATCACTCACGAAATAGCCGTCAGCGTCTTGGTTGACATGTTGAAGCAACGCAAGGGCAGAGCTTTTGTTTTGCCAGTCTTCAAGTCAAAACCTGCCTTGCCACCTCCAAAGGTTCAATACGCTGAGCCCGTGGAGGCTCCTCAAGTCAAAGTCAACATTGAAATCGAGAAGGCTCCAGAAGCTGCAGAGCTCACCGAGATCGAAAAGCCAGTTCCTGCAGAGTCGGTCATTAAGACTATTACTAAGACCGAACCAGTTATTGATGAAGCCGTCATATGCGAGCTAGTTGCCGAACCGGTTGCTAAAAGAGGACGGAAACGCAGTAGCCCTAAGAAAGCTAACGGCAAAGCAATAGCTCAAACTTCTTCCGAAGATACCAGCGGCCGCGAACGAGGCACCACAGATCAAAACTGGGAAGCTCTCTCCCAATCCCGAACAATCGAGGAGGCCCGAATTACACAGCACAAGAGACGACAATCTGAACTTCGCCAAAGCTTGGAAATCGCCCAACGCGAAAAACTAGATGCGGGAGCCAAATACACCACCATAAAACTTCAGTATTTCGGGAAAAGAGCACCTGTCTTCAAGCAGAGAATTGAAGCCGCGAAATTAAAGGAAGCTGAAGCTCAGGAAACGTTCTCTAAAATTGAAAAAGAGATGGAAGATATTGCTCAGGACGAAAAGGTCAGAGAAGCACGTGAGAAGATTAACATGACCAAGTTGGATAAAATGGGGCTGTGCCCTAAGAAGTACCACTGGATCAAGATGAATGACGGTTATCGATGTGCTGGAGGTGAGCATTCTATCACCAACGAAGAATTGAATGCATATTCATTTTAAGGTGGTGAAACCTGTTTTCATTTCTGTTCATTTCTGTTTCACTGCGTTTGCTTCTTAACATGCTTTTCTTTTTCTGCTTTCTCATAAAAGAACTCGTATTTTTTTTTGTTTCAGCATGGGGTTATGGGAAATTTTTCTGTTCCGTTTTTCATTTATTAATTTGTACTAGAAATGGGATTCAAAGCATTTGAGGAGGATAAAATAAAGTCAAGCTATCAACCATTAGGGGAAGGGCTAAACATGCATATAAGCCCTTTCCTTTGGCACTCGATAGGCTTGGCAAATGGGGGGTTTTAATAAAGCTTTCAAATTTCGTTTCGTCATTTATTCTGTCTTTCGCTCTTTCTTCTATTTTCACTGTGCTATCGTATGTTCTTTGAAAATAAGCCTGATAGATAATAGCTACATCATAGACTTCGTGGATATATATTGTTCATTTCCGTAAAGATTCATGGGATTCTGCGCGACACCGTGAGACCAGTACCAAGTATCTGGTACTTGTAACCACTGTACAGCTGTATCTATCCATGGCTTTAACAAGTTACCTTGATGTTATTGACTGATAAGTCCTAGGTACTTTGGGCACACTAAGAGTTCCCGAACGACCTTCTATTCTCCAATTAATTTCCAACTTTGTGTGTTGTTGTGGTATTCTCGATAGCTACAGACCCACGGGAGCATGGCGGCTGGTCCATAGCAGAGCGCAGTTCTCTTCCGATATAATTCGATTCAAAGCCGTCAGCCCGGTCTAGTCACATGTACACATAGCATTCGGTGCACATATTAATGCCAAACTAACCTAACATAAAACCTTCCATCTACACGGAGGATTAACCAAATCGTAAATTGTATGAAACTACAGCAGGAGTTAATTCTCAACCGGACCTCCGACATCAATAATAAATTCGAGATCTAACCGTCAAAAAATGCCGAGTTTGTACGCCATCCCCTACTACTCCAAATACTTGGGTGTCGCCACTTCCGGAATTCTCACGGGTAATTACCTATTAACCACATATAAATTTTTTAAATCAAAAAAGCAACATCTAACATGATTATAAACCACCATCAGGAATCCTTCTGACCTATTCAACGACCTTTACCCCCCTCCTCCTCGCCAGCCCAGACCACTCCATAATCCTCCGCCAATTTCACGCACTCCAAGCTTCTTCCAAAAAGACAATAACTCGTCTATCGCTCTCCTCCTCTCTCTTCTTCTTCACAGCATCTTATCTCCGGGTCACGAAATCTTGGCCATCGACGATTAGATGTTGGATTGCGGGAGCCTTGGCAATAAGTGTTATTCCATATAGTTGGTTGATTATGAAAAGAACTGAGAGAAAGTTGGAGACATTATATGAAGAGGAGCTTGAACAGAAGGTAAATGCGACGAAAGAGGGACAGGTGGTAGTTAGGGGAGAAGTTCGAGCATTAGTTGATTGGTGGGGAGTTAAAAACTTGGGGAGGGTAGGTGCAGCTGCCGCCGCCTTTTTAGTGGGAATCGAGACAGTCAGAAGGTGGTAGTTTTCGATATATTACCTTCAGATTAGTAGCCGGAGGTCGATATATATCAGAGCCAATAGTTTATATATACTATCTATAATATGCAGTATAGACATAACAGCATTAATTTTAATACGATCACCTAATTCGTCTTTTTTGTATCCTCGACTTTAGCCCCAACCCTCGTATACCCCTCTAACCAATGTAAAACACCCACGAAGCCCACAATCTCCGCCATAAACACACCAGCTATCCACCATTCCTCCGCCGGTGCTGCGAAGAAGCTAAAGTGTGCTTGTATAACTGCTGCAAACAATATTACTCCAAAATATCCATAGGTCAGATCTTTCTTCTCCAGTACCCTCACACCCCCCTGTGAGTTTTTCTCGTTAGAAGAAGAAGAAGCGGTAATATTAGGCTGCCCTCTCTTTTGCTCATACTCCTCAGGTGGATAAACAGTTCTAGCGTGGAACAATATCGCAAATACAAAGATCCCAAAGTCGGATGTAAACGTCCCCCATGGATAATCCAGCAGTGGGACGGTAGCGTCACGTTTCCAAATCGGTTTTGTATATTCTCTTCCCGCCCCAGATTCATCCCGGGAGATCGCGATGTCCAGCGGGAGATGGGATAGCGTCGCAAGGACTAATGTGGCTAGTGATATTAATGGGAGCCGGTATAGTAAGGTAATTGTCACCGCAAAAGCTAAAGCGATTGCAAGCTGGCCAAAGGTGCTGTGAGTGTAAGGGTATGAGGCGTGGTACGGTAGACAGTCTGTCGAGGAGCCTGTTAAAGTGTATCCCGAAATAGTGACAGTTGATGGGACGGAGTGGTTGTGGCTAGATTCAAGGCCTATGTCGTGTCAACTTTCCACCCTATTGTACGATGTAAGGTATTTAAGATATCAATAGGGAACTCACCTGCGATATTCAAAGCGAAAAACAAGAAATCTGGAAGGGCGCCGGCGAAGGCTAATGCCCATAGCGGAGTTGACGGGGCGAAACGAGCGAGAAGGAGGGCTTTTGTAGCACGGTAATCAGTTTATGCTTGAACAAATAAAGGAAGACCAAAGAAAGGCAGCTAGGATGGCAACCTATTGCAGTATTGTACAAATGGAAACAAGCAGTGTACTTACAAGGAGCAAAATGTGCCACCCACATTATATCATTCGACTTGGCGCAAAAATTCCCACTAATCGTTAATTTTTTGTAGATACCAGGAACAGTATATGCGATAAGACGAAAATTTCGAAGTCCGGGTCTGGTTCTTTGGAAGTGTGGTTTTTTGTGTGTTGGTAGCACTGATGTCGAACTCACGTGACACTTTTGGATGATAAAACGGTTTTTGCACAATCTGCGGAGTCGATAAGTTTTGGATTAAAAGATGTGCTGGAGTCAGGTGATTCCAAAAATGCTAAAATCAGCTTTTTTGGACCAGAATTAAGTAATGCGGGGGCGATTTTGTGGATTTTGGTGTCGTTTTGGTGTCGTTGCTAGTGCTACCTACGGAGTATTCGCAGTGCACAAATAGGCCGATAAATACTTTATATTTCTTATAAAACTAGATTATTCCCACGAAAAACACAAAAAAGCAGGATGAAAAAAAAAAAAGGAGAATGCGGGCATAAGGGAATAAATTCTTACAGCCTACCTTTCTCCCCCATTTCCTTTGCTTTCGCTTTATATAGAAAATCCAGAGACTTAGTCTTTGCTTGGGTCCTAAAGTGGGTAGGCAGCCTGTCAATTAATGGCCAGAAACATTGACATCAGCGCACCACAGTGTCGCATGCCCACATGCCCGTCTTGGGGTTCTATGATTGGGTGGAGTTGGAGTCAAGCTTTTTCGAAGCCCGGCTCGCACGGGCTGGGCATTTCTTCTTCTTCCTCATGGCCTCTCCCAGGAAGAAAATCGCAAGGCCTAACTAAGCTAGGGTCCCTCGTGTTCCGGACAATCCGGCTACCTGATTATGGGGCCTCTCTAAAAAATTTCTTTCCAGGGGTTTTAATCGTATAGTTGTCACGTTCCTCGCTGTGGGCGCGAAGCTAATCATTAATCGGACAGCAATTAATACCAAAGGAGTTCGTGCATGGCTGTCAATCGATCTACAACGCAGAAAATACAACATGGGTGCCTGCAAACTATGCCGCCAATTCATAGCTACAATTTGACAAAGTCCCAATTCAAGCGGTTCAGCTAGCTAGCTAGCTAGCGACCCCAATATGCATATCATCAGGATGCATCGGTGCAGGCAATTCGTAAGCCCCTTCCCTAATAGCCCTCGGATTATATGTATCCAGCTCCTCCCTCCCCTCAAGTGGGACCTCCTCACTCCTCCTCTTCTTCAAATCCGAGAACCGTTCCTCCTCCCTCAAATAGTCCTCCCCAGCTCTATATTCCCCAGCTGGTAATTCTACCCTATCCCATTCCATTATCGCGCAGTCTTCCCTCCTATTCCCCTTTTTCTTCCTCTTCCTCCTAAAAAACAACACCCCGAGAGAAGCTATTATTAAAATAATAGCCCCAGCTATAGAAGCTCCAACTATTACACCAGTACCTGGGCCTCTATTTCCCTGTAATGAATGAGAATTGGACGTGAGAGACGAAGGGGTCGACTCGACACTTTCGATATCCGTCCCAAATGGCCCCCCAAAGGGAACTATAGAGCGGGAGATAGCATTGGGTTTCGAAATTGCTATGGCTGTTACATTCTCTTCCGAGTTGAGGAGTACGTACGCCGATCTTGAATTCAATACACCCGGAATATTAGCTATACGTATATATACCACAATCCCAAAATTTAAACCAGGGAATGATTTTGATTCACGACTTATACTAAATACCTCCAAAAGGGGGCCCCGAGTACATACGAAAGCTCATACCCCTCCAAAACATACCGTCCATCATTCGGCTGTATTGCCAGAACACACCTCTTACCCATTCCGGAACCCCCACTCGCGGGAACTTCTATCGGCGTCACCAAATGATTAAAGGGTACATCTATCGCCACTCCCTCGAATGTAAATTGTATCACCCATGACGGATTAAACTTGGTGTCACACAGGACAGTATATACCACAAAGGATCTTCCGCCAGGTCGAAGATCAAAGGTAGCTACCGGGAAGGCGGAGATTATGTTGTAGATTATCGGTTGAGGAAGCCAGAGGAAACTATTTTTAACCAGAATACATCAGGTATGGAGTTTTATGTGAGGTTAAAGGCAATAAAGTACTTACCTAGTATCAACTGCCAAAAATGCCCAACCCTCCGACCCTCCCGTCCCAAACTTTTCCTCTCTTCCCGTCTTGACCATAACTTCAGGGCTCCTCACCACACCCACCATACCCCCGCCTTTCAATCTTTTCAACTTTCCCAAATATTTCTCTTTATCAACACCACCAATAACTATTTCCCCAGATCTCGACTCATCAGGGTTAGAAATATCATAAAAGCTTATATATCTTCCAAATACTTTCTTCTGTTGGAGGAGGGAATCGAGATAACTTGGATGGTTTCTCGAACGGTTTATAGAACTAATCCCTAGACCGAGGGTTGGAGAGAGGTTTCGAAAAGTGGTGGCGAGGCCAAATGTATGGAGTATCGTAGTTGTAGAAGTTGAGAGGGTGGTAGAGGTCCAATAGCCTTGTGCCTTGAAGGATAATATCATCAACTCTGGAACGAAAATTGCGATATTGGGGGGGCGTTTATACAGTAGAGTTTGAATTGTATCGGAAGCTGAATTTATCATCTCGAGAGACATCTGCGGGAGGGTTATCTACCACCGCAATAAATATATTAATATGTTAGTTCACTACGTAAGAACCAAGATTAATACCAATTCCGCCAAACTGCTCCTAAAACTGTATTCAAACTCTAGGGAGTACCAGTATGACGAATGAAAAACACGAGGGGAGAAAACTAACAATACTTCAAACCCTCCTCACCACACCCGTCTCCATTCACCCCATTATCACACGCCGCCGTTCGATTTCTCGAATCCGGCAACTGCGGTACCCATGTCACTTGTTGAAATGTCACCGCAAGTTCTATCTTTTGTCTATCTAAATATTTCACTCCTCTTCAGTTTTCCAGGCCCTCCTCGTAACATTTTTCGAGACAATGGGGTGGGGATTCTGAAGTAAAATACACACCTTCGCCGAAATAAAAATCCGTATATACATCATTATCTACCGCACCCGTTATCTTATATTTCTATTATCCTCACGTCAGTATATATCCACGATGTTAGCTCACATTACTCATCACTCAGCCATGAATACGTACATATCGAACCTCCAACCCGACCCACCCCTCTCCGTCCATCTGCTAGTTCTGCGGTTCAGCCACCGAAACCGTCCCTTTACTCACCCACAGATTCTATTTTGATATTAATATATTCTTAGAATCGAGGTGTGGGAGCCGTGTGCCATTTTTCAACCATTAGGTAGACATGTTTAGAGTGTTATAATTTTGTTGTTAGTAAAATCATAGAAGCCTAAGATAGAAGTGAATAATAGATTCCAGAAGTTAACAGTTAATTGTGACCATGGCAGAAGTTCCAGGTTCCAGGCTAAACATCGAAACAATTCTGATCACAAACGTAAAAACTGATATTAACATTGTCAGCCGCGGGGGCCTCGCACAATATATAACAGCCGACTTGACCTATCAATATCCTCCTTCCCTAACCCCTCATTTTCCAAAAAAAAAAATCGTGGAACAACTGGATCACATCTCATTAATGATCGTTGGCCACAAAAATTAAAACTTATCCTCTGACATGAACGCGAATATCGAATGGGAACACGAATCATAAGGGTTGTACAAAAAATCGGAGTCCAATCGTTTAAATAGCACACCACCCTGCCAAACGGTTTCATCCATTCGTAGTACCACGGACAACCTCGCTGCCTAGTGGGTACTGTTTCCCTTCGATGCACGCATAGTTGGCTTGTGCAGGAAACTTCCTTTATTATGTTACACAACAGATACTGACATTTTTGACCCTCCCATAGCCCATGCATAAAAGACGAACGGAGTACTTTCTCGCATCGTGGCCCCTAAGAGTCACAAATGCACAATTGATGGAACTCAGCCAGACCTCTATACGTAAGTATACATTGTCTACGTTTTCACAAGAGAAAAAAACATAAATTTTTACATGCCTACGAGGAATATCGAATTTTTTTTTTTTAATTTTCGCGGGAGTCTTCGCTTCCATTGGTTTGATTTTAGATACAATTCTCCCACCAACCCACCCTCATACACCATCCTTAATAGGTGAAAGTATCCTCGCCCTTTCCAGAAAATTAAACCCGTTAGAAAAAATTAATACAGAAATCCAGAGGGAATCGGGCGGGGCATGAAACCGTATAGGTCAGTTCGTATCATCCGTGTAAGTACAAAAACAAAGGCATTTAGTCGCCATCGTGCTGGGGGTTAAAATAATTAGAAGGGAATATAAGGGTTTTGATCAAATGAGTACAAGAAAGGAAGAAAAGCGAATATTGAAACGCCGTTAAAACCGCGGCCACGTTGAGGCCCTAATGGAAAATGTAAAAAATCCAGATATGTTGCCCTTGCAGGCTTTTTGAGCCCCAGTGATATTGCATGTTGAGGTTGTTGCTAGTCTCGATAGCTAGCGCATGTACACACTTATGTATATAAACTTCGTAGTTCAGTAGAATTTGTAGGGAATAGTGTGGAAGCGGGGGAAAAATATTATTTGGTCTCGCCCCTTCGTTGGCGAGCGTCCCTTTCGCGTCGGTCGAGGAGATATGTGTTCTGATAGGCGAGATGAGAAGATGAGCAGCGAGGCAAAGAAAAGGAATGAGTCGCTATGACCGGCGATTATTCCCGAAAATTCGCGAAACCACCAAAAAAAAACCCTTGAATGTTGCAGTTAAGTAACTTGCCGCCCACGACCGCCCCTGCCGCCCCTACTGCCCCTAACGCTACCACCCCTCCCGCGTCCACCTCTTGAACCAGGGCCTGAAGTCGGAAGCCCAGTAACAGGATTAACCGAAACCGGCATCTCTGTTTTAACAACCTTTGCAGCACCGCGTGCTCCTCCACCTCGACCACCACGTCCTCCTCTGGGTTTGTAGGCTCTAACCTCTCTCTCAGGGGTTTGAGCGTCGTTAAACGATCCAGATCCTGCAACTCTTGGTGTCGAATATCCAGTCATACCAATTTGATCATCCGCATCAGGATTCTTGACGGTGCGTCTGCGTGTTGAATATCTAGGACCTGGTCCATCATCTCCATCATCAAATCCAGCGTCATCTGCCTTTCGCTTACCAGCACGCCGGAGGACTGTTTCGGGCTTGAGGAACCCGCGTTTAACCTGGTAGCTATCCAACCGGGTCTTTTCATCTGCAACCATTGCATATTGCATCATTGTGTGTGTCATGACTGATTGAAGAAGTTCTTGATCATCGATCTCAATCGCCATATCAATAGCCGCGCCAAGTTCTTCGGGATCCGCATACTCGGGTCCACGGTTCCGAGTTTCATTATTAGGTAGCTCATAGAGATTTGGATACAATCTCGGAACCCATTCCTCCATAAATGCTTTCTTGGCCGGATCCGCAAGTGTTTCTTGCAAAATTTTCTCCATTTCAATGTCTGCTGGTGTTTCCGGTTCTTCCTCGTCGGCAGACCAGTCGCTCACATGATCGGAGTTCTCACTATCGTCGTCATCGATCGTAGCCTCACTGATCTCGCCTCCATCACCAACCAGAAAGTCAGATACGACACTAAGGTTATCTTCATCTGGGGTGTGGATCTTTGCGCCTTCCAGTTTAGCTCGGCGCACCTCGCGTGCGTACGCCAAATTCTTGAGATCACTAATTGAGCCAGATTAGTACCTTCATTTTAGACCAGACAGATCTGCGGGGGAATAACGTACCCTTTCGTCTTCTTCTTGCCACGACGCCCGCCTCTCTTCTTCGGTTTCTCACCATTTGGATCTTCGAGGGCGGCAAGTGCAGCAGCTTCAGCCTCAGCCTTCTCCTTAATCTTCCTTTTCTCAGTTTGCCAATCCCAGGTTTGTTTAAGGATCTCGGCTGGACGACCTTCAATATGTGGTACTATCCATTTAACACCCTTGAGGTTTCGAGCCGAATCTTCAACAAACGGAGTTTTGTTCTTTCTCTTTCGCTCAGTATGGTTATACACATCCTGTTTCGGAGGGACAGTGCCGCGCATAGTGTCAAAACCGAATGAGTGAGTTGGTTTGACAAAATTGGTGGCAGGTTCAGCAGCCTCTTGTGTCTTTTCCTTTGAAGAGAAGTGCTCGCCTTCCAAATCAGCCATCGGGGTAGCAACGGCGGTGGAGAGAACAGTCTCATCGATCGCGATATCAGTAACATCGCCATCATCCTTGGCATTCTCTACGCGGGAAAGAGCAGTGGGTTGTTTATTGACGGCTGTAAGCTCTGAAGAAAAGTCGTTCTTAGGGGTATCAGCTGCCGAAAGTGGCTCAACACTGCCTTTCCTCTCGAGCTGCTCGAATCCTTTCTCAAAGGCTGCGTCCGAAATCTTAGAATCCCACAATATGGTCTTCTGTGCTTTGGCATCAGCCGGCTTGGATCGTCCCATCTTTTCAAGGTCCTGTTCCGTATCGGTCCACCCATCATCATCGATCAAAGATGCCGTTTTGAAATACGGCTGAGAAGTTCTATAGTGATGAAGGCGGAACCAATCATTCAAACGACGAAGCGTATGTTCGCCATCGAGGTGCTCGTCGCCCTCAGTAAATTTTGGCCTCTCTCGGCATCTGTACCAACCTACCAACCCTGGCTTCTTGAATGAGGGTGGTGGAGATGGGATTCTGATCGGTTTCCCATTAACGATTAGCTGTGTATAAGCCTGTTCGCCAGTTGATTCACCTTCACTAGTGGTCTACAAAGTTTAAGTTAGCAGGCATCAAACAGAAATGGAAAAGAAAGGTGTACTTCATCAACAGCAGCAGGCTCTTTATCCTTCTCTTTTCCTACTTCTTTGTCCTTGTCTTTCTTCTCCTTGTCCTTATCATCTTTAGCTCGGGGTTTTCTCCCTCTACGAACGGGAGGCTTCTTCTCAACCAGCGGCTCCGGAGCTACGGACTCGGTAGCACTACTTGCCGAGATGTAGTCCGTCTGCGTGCCAGCTTCATCGGCCTCGGCCTTACGAGTACGTCTTCGCTTTGTCGATTGCTCGGCGGCCTTAATCGCGCGAGTAGAAGCTTTGCGTGCTCTTTTTCCGAGTACAAGGGGTGCTTGCTGTTCCTCTTCAGTCGCGGTTTCCTCAGACACGACAGAAGGTGCAGACTTCGTGAACCTGCTCCTGCGAGGTTTTTTAGTGGCAGGAGGAGATCTAGGAATTATTTTCAGTGTTAGAATCTTGCCTTGCAACAGATTTGATGCTAGTATATATAGGATACTTACGGAACTTCGCCGTCATCCATATACTCGTCCTCATCGTCATCAGATAGCTCCATTTTAGATCTTCTTGCTCTCTTCTGTCGGAGCTTCGTAGGCTCGGCTTCTTTGCTAGTTTCTTTTGTTCTCTCCTCAGGTTCCTCGGACCTGATGTCAGTTTCATAAGCCTCACGGCCGGGTTGACCATCCAGGTCTTCAATAGCTGCGGTCATGGCGTCATCCACCTCCTTTTCCCTAGTTCGGAGCACTGAAGGATTCGCCTTGTTTCGTTTTCTCGGCTTGTTAATCATCAACATTTGTTCGGTGTCAACTGGAGCCCCCAAAGGTTGGTCGGGAGGGGGTGCAGTAAGTTCCACCACGTCTGGTTTGGGAAGAGCAAGGTCAGTGGTTTTGATACCACCACCTGCGACATACGCAGAACGTCTTTTGATCATTGGAGTGGCGGGCGACGGAGGTGGATGGTCTTTACCAGCAATAGAAGCTTCACCTTTTGCAGCTCCTGCTTGAGGGGATGGAGGAGGCTGGGACTTGTTGCCCACAGATACGCGTTGCTGGTTAGCAGAGGTGGTTGAAGCAGAAGCAGTAGAAGCAGCTCTTGGAGCCTGCTTGCTCTTATCAGATCCCTTTCGTCGCGGCATTGTTGGTGTAGTAGGTTGAGGGAGGAATGATGACAGTTCTCTGTTAGGTGAAGTTGATGTTGATGGTAGAGATTGTGGGGGATAAGGAAGTTGTTGTTGCTGTGGGAAAGAAGGAGCAGAAGAAGATGGATGTGAATGAAAGGGAGCAAGCTGGGGTGGATAGGTGGAACCAGGTGTAAAATTTAAAGGAGGACCTAACATAAATTGTCGACTGGCAGGTTCAATAGGACCTTGTAGTGGTGGTGGCGGCGGTTGGTGTTGTTGTTGTTGCAAAATGGGTGGTGTCGGGCTCTTTGGTGCAACAATTGGCTGATCCCGCCTTTCAAAAAGAGTGTTATGGGAGCTATTGAAACTCGCAGTAGTCGGACTGGTAACATCCTCCATGAAAGTGCTTGGCGCTCCACTAAATGGTGTCGTCCTAGTTATAGAAGATTTCCTACTGTCACCAGAGCGATCATGTTGAGGAAACAATGCCTTCCTCAAACCGTCCGAATGAGGTGTCATACTCGACATAATTGGAGAGTACCCATGTCCAGGCAGAGGTGGATGGGGCCCATGGCCACGAGGATGCCCATAGTCAATGGGACGAAACTCGGGAGGAGGATGAGCACCATTACTACTAAAAGGATTCCCCGACCCACCAGGTGGAAGAGGCCTATGAGGTGGTGCAGGAGGAGGAAGGCCCTGATGTTGAGCACCTGGGGAATGGGGGTGCGAAATACTTTGATGTATACCAAAATGTGAATACGCGGGAGGGGGAGGGGGAGGGGGGGGATGGGGTCCAAAATGGGAAGAATGAGGGGGGGGAGGTGGAGGTCCAATAGGCGACATGAAGATATTATGAGCTGGAGCCCCAGACGGGCCAGGCGGAGGCGGTGGCGGCGGCGGAGACCCATGATGGGGCGGTGGCAGTTGATGCTGGTGATGCTGCTGCGGCGGAGGGGGTGGCTGCGGCTGATATGGCACCAATGGAGGCTGGAATTGCAGAGACGTTGTCGAAGCTCTAGGGGATACTTGGACGAAGACGCTAGACTCACTATTTGGATATGGGTATGGGACACTTTCAAACTGGATACTGGTTGATTTTGGTAATAGTGAACGTTGACGGGCACGACCCTTGGCTGAACCGGGTGGCTTATCACCATCAGCACGGGATCTTCTCCGTCCCATAGGAGATCCTGGCGATGCGGCCGTGGTTGGGGTAGCTGATGAGCCGGGTTCTGGTGATCCAGTTCGTGAACCAAATTGGGTATTTAATCCTAACTTTGGAGGACCTCCTTGGTGTGGAGAATTTAGTCTTTGGATCGAAGACGAGGTAAACGTCGAAGTTGTCGATGGCCCAGTATCCAGAGATATAGGGTTGTGAATAGCCTGCATCAAAGGAGTCTGAGCTGGTTCATTGGAGACAATATTCCTAAACCCCTTTGGAATATATGGGATAGTCGTCAAACCACCACTTGATGTCCTTCGATGGGAGTCACCACCGGCCCTAGACCCCTTGCGTACAGATTTAGATATGGATTGAGTTCGCTTTTTGTCATCCTCCTTTAAAAACATCGGTTCGAGAAGATTTCCATCGTCAGGGGAAGGCTTCCTGTCAGAGCCTAGTTTAAGGCCAGAGGACTGCACTTTAAACCCCGTCTTATTATTGGTATAAGGACGAGGATTTAGCGGCAGAGGTTGATGCTGTTGCAACTTGCTATGTGGATCCAAACATATGGTAGGCCCTTCTGGAGGAGCAGAATGGGATCCCATACTTGTAGGAAGACTATGGGTATGGAATGGAGCATTGAAGGGATTAGGGAAGGTATCACTGTGCGCGGAAGGAGGCATAGGAGAAAGAGAACGACGTTTTGTGGGATGGGTTTCAGGAACAGAAGCAATAGAAGGAATTGAAGCAACAGAAGCAACAGAGGTAATATCCGGTGTTCCCACGACGGGGGTTAGGATTTTGGGGGTTTGTGAACGCTCCTTTGGAGGAGAGGCTGGCCGTGGAGGCGCCTGCTGCTGTAAAGGCGTCGAGGCATCTTGCCCCTCAGAATTCATGGCTGAGGATAATGAAGACGACAATATCAAAAAAAAAAGTATATAGAGACCAGCCTGGTTTGGTATGAGAACTAGTGTATTTGACCTTGGGAGTTCAATATCAAATTGGATCAAATCCCGTGCTAATATTGCAAGGGTGCAGTCCAGCAGTGCGAGATACCTAGTCCGTGATATCCAAAATGAAGAAGAAAAAGGGATTTCACGAAGAGGCTAAGACAAAATAATAAAGGCGATAGTTAGCATTTGCAGTTTTTTTTTACTCTTTTCAAGTAGATGCAACAAAATCAAATAAACCGAGTGTTCTAAAGAAAAGGGAAAAAAATTATCAATTTATAAGGATACGGGTAAGGATATTGTGAGAATGATAACGACAAGGATTGATTAAAAGAGTTAATCTAGGAAATATGAATTCGGATATCAAGGCGAATATGATAGAGAGAGTGATGGAGAGGAGGGTAAAGAGAGAGGAGGAATGGCAAGGATGATGAGATGTGAACTGAAGAGGCGAAGTGAAGGAAGGAAGGTTTCATGGGGCTGGAAACGGATGTGTTGTTTTGTTTGAGAGGTTGATTTGACCGACAGCCAAAACGAGCCAAGCGAAAGGGAAAATGTGTTGTCCACAAGGGAAATCTCGGTTTTGTTAGGGAAAAAGGCCCTTCCAATCAGAGTGGACACGAACACGCCAGGAAGAGAAGTATCCTCTGATCGATTGATCCTGGCCAGGTCACGGATTCCCTGGATTTTGCAGATAGAAACCGGTGTCAAAAAGTATGATAGGAGTAGGATAGATAGGTGAAAATGGTTTACAAACGGGGAGGCTAGATTATAATGCATAGAAAAGGGCTGGGCAAAGAGGGATTTTGGCTTGACTGTCGGGATACATGCATAGAAAAACGATGCATCCTGATCTGATCACAGCGGACTTACTATTAGACGACAGGCTCATGAATTTTCTCTTTTGAAGAAGAAAAGGTGGTAGAAAACCGGAATGATTCAGGGAATATCAGATTCCCTTGGGCTTTCTTGCTAAAGCTGGACTGTTATGATACATGTCAGCCGTTGTAATCCTAATCAAATATCATGCCATACATTACCGTTTTACCATCGATGCATGACATCGCGTACATGTACATACACACCGGCCAGTCAAAATACAGTAGAATATATCAAAGTTGAGAATCGTACTGTATATCATAGCATCCAGAGTATGTTCATGCAAGGGCAAAATATTCAATAGCTAAAGGGAAAGAAGGGTGGACAAAAAGGGTACAATCAGCCAGCTTACCGACGAATAAACGACAAATATTATAATAACCCTTCCGCTGGGTGTGTCTCTTCTCGTCTCTCAAATCGTTAAATCGAAAATAAAAAATTACTTGCAATCTTCAGACGATATGACCTTCGTCTATACATAACCTTTAGTTTTAGGTGATGACGCTGATGATTTTGGATGTTGGTGTTTCTTTTCCTGTCGTGTTTTTCTGTGGAAGGGGAGAGGCCTTTGGAAGGAGATATTTTAATTTTGATGAAGAAGGAGAGGAAAGTCCGGTCAAAGTTGGTTCTTTCTTTGGCAGTGTTTTTGCTTTTTCCGCCTTCTTTTTTTTGCTGTTCGCTCTACGCTCTTTTGCTCTGCGGCAACCTTTCTTTTTTTTTTTAAGGAAAAACCAACGTATATACGGCTTTTTACCATAGAAGTGCACACGATGGGAGTATGTATATATTATAATTAGTCTCGGGGAGAAGGTCGAATGAAGACGGGTAAAAACAGCAGGAAGAGGCGAATTTCTAGAATAGAAGTTAAAGTAGCGATCCGGGTAGGTAGCAGACCGGGACGCCTGTGTCACTGTATCATGGAAGTACTTATGTATGTAAGTATGTACTGTACTGGCCTGGCCTAAAGCAGCACGAGACAAGATGTATTGAGCAATCGAGCCGAGCCGCTTTAAGTGCATGTGAGGTAAGGGATCAAGTTTTATATACAATACAGAATATCTTTTTTTCCTTTCTAAATTCCCGTCGGATTCGGAGTGGATACATTATCTCAGGGCTGTCATTGTTTGTATCGGTGTATTATAAGTACCACACATGAAGCTTGAAATAAGTATCCAGACGCATATTTGACAGATACCGGCGAGGATATTAAATAGTAAAACGATATGATTACAATAAAGTATATACTGCACACCATGAGAATACCTGAGATTAAAATATCGGCCCAGATCAGATCCATGGGATCCAAATTATTACCCTTGAATTGTCTGTCGCCTCCCAGTATATTATGACACCTACAAGTGTTTTGTCGCGCAACCCTGAATCAAATATTGTGGTGTTTACCATCCGATGAAAAACAAACCAAAAGGCTGATTTATCCCAGCCCTACGTCTAAAAAAATATATTAAAAAAATATATGTCAAAAAAAACAGTAAATCTACAATATTATTTAGATAAATATCTTCTTGGACCAATAGTGGAACCAAAATGCTAACGTGGAAAGTAAATCTTCGAGCAAGTTCTAAATAAGGTGTGAAAGCCGCAGATACTCTGTACATAAATTTAAAAGAGGGAGAGCCTGGTGGGGCCAACTAGGTAATTGGCATGAAATTTCCCAAACAAAAAAAAAACACTAAACAGCAAGCGTAAGTATACCGAAAAACGCTTGCGTCCAGCCAATCAGAGACAGGTGGAAACCCAAGCACGAATCCATGTCACACTCCTCGCTCGCTCAACCTCTAATGTAAGTGCTGCCGTGGTCAAACATCAACTTTGGCATTCACCCACATCCTTGCCACTTTTTTTGCCTGGACTCCTCGAGACGTTGGTCGGAATGTGAAGGCTGTCATTTTTGTTTATCGATGACATTTGAGAAACCTATATTAGTGAATAGGTATATATATCATGTCAGCTGTTCCGATCTGTATCCACCTGGACACTTTAATGCGATAGGTATTAATAAGACCCTGCACGCGCACGGGTATTCGCGAGTTCCCGTTTGATACGGATCCATTATTTTGATATATTGCTGGATATCAAACAATAGATACCTTATATTATTGATACACTTGCATATCAACGTGTACGTAGTCTACACTACTTTCCTTTTGGCGTAGTTGATCATATAAATATATACTTAAGTGTATACTACCAAATCTGAAAGATCGGACGTTATTGAAATCGATCGTCTGACGGATTTTCTACAACTAGCCATAGTATACCTAAGTATGAAAGTTACGGACGGATCCGCGGGGTATTCGACCAGTATCACCTGCGATAGAATAACAAAAACCGCAGTATTCCCAAGCCAGACAAGTTTAGATTCAAAAACGTCCGTGGCTTATATACATGTCCTAAATTGCGGGAATCGAGTCACTATTATGCGAGGGAATAGAACCTGCATAACATGTCGATAATCCCTCCCCACGATTATAAAACAAAGCATACAAAGCACTCGTGCACTCGGACCACATTTACCGAAAATCAAATCAAGCCAATGCTGGCAGGTGCCTCCCACGGCGTTACTGGACAAACATATGGCTCAAACACCAATACAGCGTATAATATTACTAATTGTAAGCCAATCTCCGCATCTTGGATGTGTACATACTTTCAAGGCTAACATAAAACCTGTCAATATACACCGAAAATTCAATATCTCCAGCAGAAACGAGGCTTCGAGAAGTTTCTACAAGAGATAGCACTTCCGAGATATCTCCCTCGAGTTACGCAGACAATTCGAACTTCGTTTCGACATCACCAAAGAATCGAATCGAATCGAGAGCTACGTTACATCATATTCTGAATCCAACACCGCAACGCACTTTCTCCAACACTCTAAAAAATCGATCAATCCACCTTTGAATTTTGCCCTTTCAACGACCACAAAACAAACCGGCAATTCAAATTCAAAAAAAACACATTTGATCGATATAGAATATTGATAACTCCGGGAGAAAATGGCATCAGAATCCATACCACTTTCCCTAGAAGGGAAAGTTGCAATCGTAACCGGCGGCTCTAGGGGTCTTGGTGCCGACATGGCCCTAGCATTAGCCAAGGCTGGTGCAAAGGTACCACTATATCAATGTTCTGCATTCAAACTTCCTATCCTCAAGAAATTTAAAATCCGAAAACCTCCAGTTCCTAATCCCATATCTACAATAAACAGGTAGTAATAATTTACGCCTCCCACTCTTCCACAAATGCTGCCAACAACATCATAAAAGAAATATCCTCCCTCCCCCACAGCCTCAACAGCTCCAACCCCTCCAGCATCGCAATCCAAGCAGATCTCCGTGATCCTACTTGTTTTCCCGACATAATACAAAAATCCCTAATCCTTTCTCCCAGTAATCATATCAACATAATCGTCAACAATGCTGCCGTTCAAATTGGCCTCCCCGTATCAGAGATAACCGAAAATGACTTTACAGACACTTACACTCTCAACATCCTCGCTCCCATGTTACTCCTAAAAGCTTCTCTCCCATACCTTCCCTCAAACTCACGAATAATAAACATATCATCAGTAGCCGGTAGGTCCGGGTTCTCAGGTCTTTCCCTATATTGTTCTTCTAAGGCAGCTTTGGAAGGACTTACAAGATCCTGGGCCGCGGAGTTGGGAACCAATGGGACGACAGTCAATGCAATTGCCTGTGGACCCATACAAACAGATATGCTAGATAGTATTCCCGAAAGGATTAAGGGGAGGCAGAAGGAGGATACACCAGTTGAACAGAGATTTGGAACAAAGGATGAAGTCAGCGATGTTGTAGTCTGGCTGGCAGGGGAGGGAAGTAGATGGGTCAGTGGCCAGACGATTAATGTTAGTGGAGGGTGGACGATGTACTAGCCGTGCCAATCTCCGATTATGCCTACGAGAATACTGTATACAAATCCGTTCTACAATATTATCTAGGTACCGATATCCACTAGTTATTCCATCTGGAAGTAAGACGGGTCTTACAATGTATATGAAATCTTGAAGCTAGCCCTGAAAATGGCGGCGATATTTCCCAACTACCACACATTACCTACCCTTAGACCTGACGGTTTTATACTGGGAACGAAACCGGTTTACATAATGAACCAATATTCTATGTTTAATATTGGTGCTGAATGAGACCCTTACTATTCAAATAGAAATTCATCTCTTCGACAAAATACCTAACAATGCAATAAGAAGAAAACCAAGACCTAGCGTAGAATCTAGGAAGTACAAGTTGGGTGAAATAATACATACCACACCTCACATGTGTTGCGTTGACTTTTGCTTTTTCCCAGCAGCAGCATCACGTCCACTCAACTCCAGCTTAGCAAGCTCCCAAACTCGCCTCCAACAAAGCACACACCCACCAAATCCATCCTCTACGACGCCTCATCACTCACCTCCATCGAATACCACATATAATATCATCACCATCTAACCCACCTCACCTCCTAACTACCAACTACACCTCACATCTACCGCGATGGAAAGATTAAGTCGCATGTTCCCCGGCGGGGGCATGGGTGGTCCAGCTCCAGGCGTCGTGCGTAAACCTCGTCGTCCGACTGCTTTATCATCTATTTCATCGCATGCTTCAACAAAAAAAGCGAAAGACTAACATGATACGATGGATGTAACGGAATAGGATGCTCCTGCGATTGATAACTCCGAGACGGTGTATATTTCATCTCTAGCTTTGTTGAAGATGTTACGGCACGGAAGGGCTGGTATGCGTTTCCTCCACCTACACTACCCATTTATCCATCGATATACGAAGATTACCTATAGTATCGAAGCTCACACAACGTGTTTTTTCCCCTGTCTTTAGGTGTTCCGATGGAAGTCATGGGTCTGATGCTAGGAGAATTCGTGGACGATTACACCGTCAGAGTAGTTGATGTATGCTGTCCTACTACATCCCCTCCACCTCCAAACCATACTAACCAATCAACCACAGGTCTTCGCAATGCCCCAAAGCGGTACCGGCGTCTCCGTCGAAGCCGTCGATCCTGTCTTCCAAACCAAAATGATGGATATGCTCCGTCAAACCGGACGGTACCTTCCCCTCAACCCCTCCTTACCTTCCAATCTCACCACATACAGCTAACCCATTATCCGTGTGTCATATACAGACACGAAACAGTAGTAGGCTGGTACCATTCCCATCCTGGTTTCGGCTGCTGGCTCTCCTCCGTCGACATAAACACCCAACAATCCTTCGAACAACTCACCCCTCGCGCCGTAGCCGTCGTCATCGACCCCATTCAATCCGTTAAAGGCAAAGTCGTAATCGATGCTTTCCGTCTCATAAACCCACAATCCCTAATGATGGGCCAAGAACCCCGTCAATCAACTTCAAATCTTGGATACCTCCAAAAACCCTCTGTTCAGGCGCTCGTTCACGGTTTAAACCGACATTATTACTCCATCGCGATAAATTATAGGAAAACTCCGTTGGAGGAGAATATGCTTATGAACTTACATAAGAATGTTTGGACAGCCGCGTTGGAGATGCCGGATTTCAAGAAGGCGGATGAAGAGAATGTGGTTAGAATGGAGAAGATGGTAGGACTGGCGGAACAGTATACGAAACGTGTAGAAGAGGAAGGTGGACTGAGCGCCCAGGAGCTGAAGACCAGGTATGTGGGCAAGTTAGATCCGAAGAAACACTTGGAAGACGTGGGTAAGAGAGGGATCGAAGAGAATATCGTTACGGCTTTGGTGGGCATGGTGGATAGACAGGCTGGCATGTCATGTGCCAGTGCTGTTAATGGAATCAAGGAGGAAGGGGATTTAATGGAGGAGTAAACATTTTTTTTACCCCGGCTGTCATATTGAAATATACTAGCACTCCCGAGTGGGGAAGATAGCATGCTGTATTATATTATAATGCACACTTCTGATAGATGATGCCATGGGTGGGCGTGCAATGCTATTTATCATTCTCAGCATCTTTTATTCCCATCAAGTTTACCTAAGTAGGTACTTGGGTGTAGTATACACCGTTCGGATTCGATATTCATAGGCATTTAAATAAGGACGAAGGTAACTTCCGAATTGCTTCCATAAATCTACTAAATCGCCAAAAATATGCTAAACTATTCGAAGTAGAAAAATCAAAACTGCTATGCTGTGTATTTAAGGATGTTTATCATCCCATCAGTCCCGTATCGAACTTCAAATATCATCTAAATGCTCAAATGCTAATATATAGGTACCTAAAATCCTCTCCTCCGATATGCTTATGCGATGCAAGGGAAGGAAGTAGATGTCCTCACTGCACCTTTTTCTCCTTAATACCCTTCGAACTCCCATTCGCCTTAGTAACAACAACCTTCGGTACCTTCTTTCTTCCATCAGCCCCGACAGCCGCCATAATCCCCACCACTACAGCAAGCACCATCGTAATAAAATCCACGATATGGACCGTCCACCAGAAATGCTGAATGCCAACTGGACATGAAGAATATTCAAATCTCCAGCCTGATATAAAAAAAACGCAATTAGTTTCTTCTTCTTTCCATTCCTTAAAACAAAAAAAAATGGGTGGGACATACTCATAGTCTTCTCATCAAACCAAGCGCTTGTCAGCCCCGCATTTCCTCCAAACTCCCCCATCATACTCCTAACCGTAACCTCCCTAACCCACTTCTCCCCTTGTCCAACCCTGCCATCTCTATCACCCCACTTCGCACTCTTCCATATCTTCTCTTCCCCTTCTTTCTTCTGCTCTTCATCGTTTTTACCAAACCAATGCACAGTATCACATCCCTCGTGATCATGTCCTGTTAGGATAATACCCATCTCTTTCCCTTCCCCAATATTTTCCTCTCCAGCTCTTCTGATTCCAAATAGCTCACCGAGTAGCATATCACTCGCTCCCTTTGAGATATGATTCTGCTCCCTAAGCAAGGACCCATATTTCGGTTCATAATATTTCTCCATTGGCGGGTCAACACAGACTCCAGCTGGTTTATGAAGTGGAACGTGAGTCAGTAGTACTGTGGCGACGGATCCATCCCAGTTGATATCTTCGGAAAAGACCTTATTCATGAAATTGTATGTTTGCATTTGAATATCATAGTCCCGGGCAGGTGAATCGATATTTAAGCTGTTAAGATTTATAATTCTTAGAGTCGGGTTTATCGTGACGTTTTGTGGAGGACCGCCATCAACGGATTTGGAAACATTGATCTCAGGAAAGGGAATTGTAAATTCATAGTTCACCGGGCCATATGTCTCTTCAAACCGTTGGATCAAATCCGGTCTGATATCCCCAGAATACCCAATGTCGTGGTTCCCAACCACATTAATCAACGTGTATGGCCATTGAATCAACGGATATATCGTCTTCGGTATCCTTCCTGACTCTGTAAGAGCCCTCGGTGGTAACCTTCTCGCCGTAGGAAAAACCGTATTCCAAAACCGATTACCCCGGGAGTTAAACTCGGTATTACTGATCCATTGGGATCCGATGAGATCGCCAAGAACTGTAACATGTGTAGGTGATGGCATCCCCTGCGGCAGGAATGGAAGCAACCTAGTTAATGCGGGGACGGTGGTATGTAATGTACGGTAGATATGGGCGAGATAGTGATCATTTCCCCAGAGGTCGAGGGTTTTTCGAAAGCGACGGAGGGAACGGATCCATGGTGGGGAAGAAGCATAACGGGAAGAGTAGATTGACGTATTGCCTTCGAGCTGCGGATCCGCAAGGGTGAGGAGTCGGAAGGGGGCGTTTGGGTTAGGATAACTGCAGTTCAAAAGGAGCGGGTAGATATATAGGCCTGTTGTAGAGAGAATAGAGACGACGGTGAGGATGCAGAGGAGTGGTGAGAGGACGGAGTAAAGGGAGGGCATTATTGATGATTGTTTGTTGTGTTGATAACAAGTATATCACGAAAGTCAAGGTTCGCTTCAAGGGCCCACCATTGACGGCCAGTATCGACTGTTTCCTCCTTGAGACAGGCTATCCGTTGTAGCAGTCGATAGAATGTTTCTAAAAAAACAATGACGTATGAGAGTATTCTCTGTTCGTGATGATACGTTATATACGATACCCGTGTCAGATATATAAAGATGGCGAATGAGGCGAGTAAGGAGTGACAATAACAATGCAACGTGAATAGTGAAGTTATCAAGAATTAAAACATCGTTTTCGAATATATGGCTTGGAGAAGCCGGAAAAGCAGCTTGGTCAGAGACTGCTTTCCTGCTTTAGTTAACACTCAGGAGGTGCTCCCTTTTCATCACGGGTTTCGAAGTATCTGGTAAGCTTAAGGAGGTTTAGCTAAGGGTTGGTCAATCAATTTGAGTGGTGTGTGGCGTGGCTGTACCAGATTTCAAGCCATCCGGGTGCGGACAGACCCCGGCATGAGTTGGAGGAGCTGCAATTGGCTAGATCTTGGACTCCGAAAGGTGGAGGAGAGGCGTGAAGTCGATGATGATGATGATAGAGATTTAGAGTTGGATCGAAGTTGGAATGAGGTTGAAATTGAAGTTGGAGGTTGGCCGAGGAAATGGATGTAACGTTGATTCAACCAGAAAGAACACCAGCAGCTTTCAACCATGGCGACAGTGCAGGGTACTTATGATTGTCTCCGAACTTGGCATCTAGAGCCACTACAACAAGAATCACAGGGAACGGCTGCTGTTCTCATAAATGAATGAATTCGTCTATCACTACTATTATCATCCAGCAAAGAGAAAAAAAAAAAAGAAAAAAAAGAAAAAGAGAACACCAGCCCAGTACTTATATAAATACACCGAGCATAACCATCCTCCCCTCCTTCATACCAGATCAGTAAAAGAGTACGGTGATATTCCCTCCATAGCGAAAGATACTAGCTAGGAAAAACAATGTAACACCTCCTCCGTCATCCATCATCCATCCATCCTATCGTAGAGTAGACAAAGCGAAACCCCCTCCCCACGTAGTATAATGCATCCTGGTAGTTGTAGCAGCAGCTGGTAGTAGTATTTGGTGGTAGTGATAATAAGGAAAAGGGGGAGGGCCAGGACGGAAAAAAAGAGTCGTATCGATATGCTCAAAGAAGATATACAAAGGAGGAATAAAGGTGTATAAAAGTAGTAGTAATAAAGGAAATAGCAAGCAGAGAACGGACATTACAAAACAGAACCTCACATCACGACACCGGAGTTGCTCGCGATACGCTGTTATATCCCAGTTAGCATTTGATACATATCTGTTTTGTTTTTTTTGGGGACGAATACAAGAACTTACAGGCCATAAGTCCGCAGCTTCCTTTCCAACAGGTCCAGTAATAGCAGAGCCCTTCATTTCTCCCTTCGGATTGACAATCTAAAAATTTCGTCAGTCTCTCTGTCTCCCCCCTCAAAGTCCGAATAAAAAGGATATCAAAACATACCACACCAGCGTTATCCTCAAAGTACAGATAAACACCATCCTGTCTTCTCCAAGGTTTACTCTGCCTAACAACAACGGCGGGCATGACCTTCTTCCTCAATTCTGGCTTTCCCTTCTTGACAGTGGCCATGACCATGTCACCGACACCAGCAGCGGGGAGACGGTTAAGACGGGCACCTGCACCGGCGACGGCGATGATGTACAGATTTCGGGCACCGGAGTTGTCGGCGCAGTTCATGACGGCTCCGACTGGGAGACCCAAAGTCATCTTGAGCTTGTTGCCTGCGGCACCTTTACTGGGGTGGGCGTTAGCATTGATACTTCTTATTTCTCAACATGTTGAAATGAGATCTGGCGAGGGTTATGGGGATCCAGTTGAAGATTCTGCCGCTTCTACTTCTGCTTCTGCTTTTGGTGCCACTCCCTGGATGCCGTAAATCCAAGCTCGTATCAATCGGTAACATCCATTTTTTAAATCCCTTTTAGGTCATCCTTGTTGACAGTGATTCCATACGATAATTTGTGATCCATCTATCCACCGTATCCATCTCTTTGCTCCCCGTATGATCAACAGTAACCGTAGAGTCCTCCCACGGTATCCATAACGGCAGTTCGCCAGAAGCAGAAGTAGCAGCGTCGCCAATCCTCCCCAAATGCCCAGAAGGACTCTCAACCAAGATCCACCCCAACCCTCCAACCCTCCAAAACTGATTCGATGCGAAGGGAACAAAAACCTACCCTCTCTTTGCCGACATTGTGACTGATGTGTATTAAAACCGGAAGTTTTCGGTGATATAGGATGGGTAGATTTGGTGATGGGATTGATGAGTAGTGATGTCGTGAAACTTGTCGTGCAAAGCTAGAGAGTCGAAGCTGGGCAAGCAAATTTTGGTGTACTTCCAATGTGTTGAGGGACACATTCTGTTTAAGGCTAGTCTAAATACGGTATTGCAAGCGAGGGCTCGAAGTTAGGGCTACCCAAAAGTACTTGTTGGTCATGTGATATATCTTGGCAATCGCTTCCCTCGTGCTCTCGGGAACGTAACCAAATCAACTACACCAAAATGATGGGAACGAGAACGGCGGTAGGTTACGGAATTACAGTATAATTAAGTAGGCAGTTTCAGGGTAAAAAATGCACCGCGCCGTTCCATTAATGGTCCGCATATATAAAAGAAACCTTGGCTATTCGTAACGCCATATAATACAGAAGAATGTAGAAGTAGAACAGAACACCCCCACCCCCTCCACCCCTCCACTTCAACCACCCCTCCTTCGCCCCCCCCTAACCCCGCACCCCGCACCCTTCGCAACCTTCCAGGTCCTCCGTCTCCACTTATCAGTGGAGCTTCCGGAAGATCCACCCCCATTTACCCCCTCCCCAAGGCCGGGCGTGTCAGAGACCGCCTAGGCCTCGACAGGCCCGGCCTCCTTCCCCTTCTCCTGATCTTCGGTAGGTTCTGGGGTTTTGGCTTTGGCCGTGGTGGCCTCCCCGTCTACCTCCTCTTTGGGCTCCTTGGCCCCCTCGACGTCCCCAGCTGGCGCCGACGTGTCTGCCTTCACCTGCTCGGTGGCAGTGACATCCCCAACGGGCGTCTCTGCCACCTCCAGGTGGTCGGCATCCTGCATATCCACCTCGGCCGATGCCTCCGTCTTGATATTGTCGGCGGTGCTATTAACCACCACCGGCGTACCGCCCTCCGCCGGGGTGACTGCGGTCGACGCAAGCACAGGGTTCGACGTGACAACCGGAGGTGCCGGCGTCAAAACATCGTCGGTGTCCATTTTGTCGACGGCATCTTCCTCGACGTCAGCCAGCTCGCCGTCGTCGACTGCCATTTCTTCGGGTTCCGTGATCGCAGGAATGGCACCACTATCGCTAGCGGGCCCCGATTTCCCAGCTGGCGTGATAGCCCCGGACCCAGGGGTACGCGAATTTCCACCAGGCGTATCAAGGTCGACGTCCTTGTGACGTCGCCTGTTTCGCTTATTCGCGATGAAACGCTCCATTTCTTCCTCGGAGTCAGAATCCTCCATCGGATGGATGATTCTTTTGTCGGCTTGGCGAGGTAAATGCCTTGTATCGGCGTGTGTGTCTTCCTCATGGTCGTCCATCGCTGCTTCCTGCTCCTCTCTATAGCGTTCATGGTCCATTGGCACATTAGTAAGTTGTACGGATGGAACCGCCTTCGTGCGTTCGAGATTCTGGATGACGGAGGCTAGTATCTTATCGAGATACTCCTTAGAATTCAGGTTCTCCATATTGGACGGTCGAACATCAAGTTCATAATCGGGCCCGAAGTACTAGCCGCAAAAGTTAGTAATTTACCTCAAAATATAGCCAACAAAGAATCCAACTTACTTCATAGAAATCGCAGTATGGTAGTGTTGGTGTAAGGTTCTGGCCAACCAAGACACCCGTCTCGTAGCACCAAGTCCTACTCACATTCCTCATCGTATATCCTCCTCCTCCAAGTACAAGTACTGGTAAATTGAAGCTCTTAACAAATCCCACACAGTTAGCGTGGCCGCGCATAGACAGGTTGAAGCAACCGAGTCGGTCACCACTCAAGCTGTCGCCACCGCATTGAAGAACAACAGCTTCCGGTTGGTACCATTGCATAACAGCACCTATAACCGGCTCAAAAATCGATTTATAGGTTTCATCTGTAATACCATCCCTCAAGGGAAAGTTGACCGCATAATATTTGCCAAGCCCGACACCAATATCTCTTAGTTCTCCGGTTCCGGGGAAATATTCGCCGTACTTGTGGAAGGAAACCGTCATAACGCGATCCGTCGTGTAAAACGCTTCTTCGACTCCATCTCCATGGTGGACGTCGATGTCAATATATAGTACCCGCTTCTTATACCGCAGGAGCTCAATGATTCCCAGGACAATATCTACGAAAAGTTAGTCTGCGTTTAGCCGGCGGCTAGTTATTAATATGAGATAAATACCATTAATATAGCAGAAGCCACTGGCCTCGCTCTTTTTGGCGTGATGTAGACCTCCAGCCCAGTTAATGGCAATGTCGCATTTTTCTCGATTTAAGCGAGCAGCTCCTTCCATACTACCGCCACCGGATATACCGCAGAACTCGAACAGTCCGTCAAAAACCGGGCAATCATCTCCGACGTTGTATTTCGTCTGCTCCTTGGTGAACTGGTCCATGTTATCCGGTGTCACCTTCCAGAGGAAATCGACGTATTCATCAGTATGGAACTGAGCCATCTCCTTTCGGGTGGCAGGCTTGGCTCTCTAAAAGTAAGAAGGGGCAACGGGTTAATGTTGGAAGTAGACATTAGATGAATGAGGGTATAAGAGACTTACGTAGATTTCCATTTTCTTATACAATCCATAGTTCATGATCAGGGAATGTGTCATCCTGATACGGTGTGGCTTCATTGGGTGCCCAGCAACGTAGGCATAGTTACTGCGAACAAAAAAATTAGAAATAAATTTGGGTGCCCTGATACCACTGATAAACGTAGAAGAGGAAACCCAAGCTTACCCGACATCAGCTATTCGGCAGACAAACAAGATTACCTGTCGTTAGCCATTGATCTAAAAGTACCAGCGGTGTATTGGGACAAAGTTGGTGGAGGAGTGGCTTCCGAAGATCGGATTTGGGACAAAAGGCTGTAGCTTACAATCGTAAAACTGGAAACGGGGACGAAAAGGTTAATCAAGGTACTTCTAACATTTGTATAGCCATCATAGAGGATATAGAAGAGGTAGCTTACGTATGCGACCCGTTTCTTCTGGGACGGGCCAGCTGGCGTTGAAGCCGGTTCGTAAACTAGGTTGGTTCCGCCCATCGTTGCAAGTCGCGAAACCCGAGCTGGGATGACTTCAACTATCGAGCAGGAGTAGAGAGGCAATGTCTTCAGAAAGACGAAGCAGAGAAAAGAGGTTTAGTCAAGAAGCAAACACTATATTCAGCAGTAGTCTGGCAGAGTAGTGAGAAGGGTTGCTGAAAGTGGGTTGATGTTGATGATGTTGATGGGAGATGGGAGATGGGAATGGTTTTGTGGGTTGGTCTAGAGGAGGAGTTGGAAGAAGAATAGCTTCGGTTCAAAGTCGCGCGCGAGATCAACCAATTACCAATAATGTGTTGCGCATGCCTGTCAAACAAGTGTTGAGCCACAAGCTTTGAATGGCCACACGGCGCCACCATACCTGCAAATGCAATCTCAGGTTCCAAATGTCTCTGTATAACAATAGAAAGTGCAGTTGTTCTAAGAAGGGTGTATTCGAGGCTATAAGAAAGGAAATGTTTTTAGGGGCGGTTACATCGTCCCAAGTTTTAGTTTACAGAGCTCCTTTTCTATGAAGAGGAAATTCGGAATATTCGGAATTCTATTCATAATGTCACACCTTGGTTATGTCTCGAAAGGAAATTGTTGCATTTTAAGAGAGGCAACACATTAGTGGGGCCGATTCAGTCTCGTTTCCCAAACTGTGTTGTGGAGGTACAAGAAACATTCAAGCTCATAACATTTTGTAACCAATATAATGGGAAGAAAAAAGAGGTTAAGACCAACGAGACCGGTTAAGACTAGTCTCGTACCCAGACATTAAAGTATTTCTGAAACAACAGAACGGTAGCATCAAATGCACAATACAATGATGAGATCGAGACAGGCGAGCTTAAGACTACATTAAATAGAATCTCTCGCTCGAGATCGATATATATATATACTATTATGCCTTGACTTCCCCCATTTGAGTGCATGGCGAATAGGCATCGGTTGGCTTATAGATAGTACTACAGCGTATGAGTTATGTTGATAGAGAGTAACTAGCAGATAGGAGGTGAGACGTTATCAACGAGTTTCGATATACGGTCTGTCCATATTTCAAGATTGTGATCAGCATTTGATAAGTCTCTAGAAGAAAGAGGTACATCTGAATAGGATACAGATATAAAATACCTTTGAATGCAATTAGCCAATCATACCAATGGATTAAAATGGGTGTTCCAGGGCTCTTGCGCCAGAATAGAACGACCATGGCGCCGACGTATCAGGATTTACTCGCGCTACTTGACTTGAGGGGGTCAGGTTTTGGAGTATCAGCGTCTGGGGATAGTGGCTTGTCGATAGGTGCATCGGTATCCATCTCTAACCACCAATTTGTGTCAACGGCTAGCTTATAGTTTGTTTCTTTGAGCACCTCGAGCTAGTACTGATCTGCTACGACGGGCCGGGAGCTTTTTCGAAATATGTAAAAAATTGTAATGAGAAAAACAAAATTTAAAAAAGAGGTGTACTCTTAGTTTGGCGATGGAATAGACTGATGGGTTAAACTATAGCAGTTGTCTGGCCTCAAGCTTATTATAAGGTGCTTGATCGAACATACGAGACCAGTCTTGGGATCAGGGCTGAATAGCCAGATATATATAATCCTTTATCTTAACAATGAATCAATCCAGCGGCCCAGACCATGCACCTGAAGTTTGGGCTTAGAGTTCACATTGCAATGATGTCCCCTACTCAGCATACCAACCTGATTTAGTGTAGCATCGGCGATATACTCAAACAGATACATAGAATCTTTTTTTTTGTTCGTTAGTTCAGGAATTATTAGATGGGCATTCCATACTACCACACTCATGTGCATGGTTTGATGATATTCGGAGTTTAACACTAGTTTTATGACATAATGTCAGTATACCCTTGTATAAAGTCGGCAGAATACGAGGCCGCTCCTAGCCTCGAACCCACTCTCTCGCCATCATAGCTCCCCCGAACCCGAGGCTCGTGTTCGCCTCAATCGACTCCAATTTGCAATTTGTCCTCAAAATCAATACAATGTGTGCAAATGGTGGTGAAATATACGAGGCCTTAGCTTAGAGCGAAAGCCACACTATCTGACGAAAGTTAGCTCTGCAGTGATAGAATTAAATAATGATGTAACACCGAGCATGAGCCTGCTCCCAGCTAGGTTCATTCTGGGTCTATGATCCTGCTCATTTAGACGTGTACATGACACTGCCGTCCGTTTCCCCGTGCTCCTCCTGCAGCCGCAAAACCTATGCTACCCCTACCCTTATCCACCTCCTCGCACACCATTGTCCTTCAACCTCCTTGTCCATGGTGCTTCATGTCTGGACACGTGTGTCTACCGTCTTTGTTAAACCTCCCGGCTTTGACAGGAAACACGGCAAACATATCATTTCGATGTTACAATTTTAATTAATATATCGCTTATCACCTTGAGGCAAACAAAGGCTTGCCGTACAACCCCTCGAGTTAAGTTTTATATTAAAGGAGAGATACTGCATAAACCCCGGATCCGCGGAACTCTAACGAACCGCTTTCCATCGATGTTGATCAAAATCTTTCAGATAAACGAAGGCGCGGGCGCTAGGACACGCCGTCTTGCCCCACTCATCGGAATATAGCCATTGATGGGGTTTGAAAGCTATTGGGGCGTTTTGACGGCGGCTCCCATATCGACATTCCTGAAGTCTTCGCCGACGGTTATTCAAATGCATTAATGGGAGATAGTAGAAATACTTCGTGCATATAGGAGGCAAATTACAAACAGGAGCGAGACCTCTAGTGCTTGCGCATATATCTATCACAAGATTAACCACCAAGGGTATGGCACCTCGCATACACGGCACACGAATACTATGTCGAGTATGCAGTATCACCCCCCCTCAAAAGCCCTTTGTCGCACAACTGACAAATCACTGCATGCTGCAGTCGAGGCATCATGATAAAGAGGCATTTTCTCTCTTATTTTTCCTTGATTTCTGGCGCACCCCTGCACGGCAGGCCTTAATTTTGTAGCGCCTCAAACCAAACTGTCGGTACCAAATTGATCACGTGTTCAACCAGTGCCGTCTCAACTTAGACGGGCTTTTGGCCGGAGCGGAGATGGCTGCGAGGATCCTTTTGAATGCTCCTTGATCAAATATCTTAAGGTCGTGGAAGTCGATTAGTATATACAGGGAATTGTATTCCAAAATTGGCATCTGCATCTACATCTCAATAATATATATCCGTCAAGTAGCTAGTAGATGCATTTCGTAACGACAGACATGTCTTTTGTTGAGGTCTCAACCCAGGAATAGGCTCCCCAAAAGGCAGCCAGTGTCCGTGAGACCTTCTCGGCTATTTCCAAGCCTGCATACCCTCTAAACAGGGTTGTCGAGCCGTACTTTATCGGTGGATGGGTATGCATGTATCCTTTCATGGACAGATGTGAGACCTATTTTCTTTTCGAGAATACAAGCCGGCACGCCGCCAACTTCGGATTCGATACAATTGGATTTGCTTTTCAGCGCGATAGAACCTTCTGTCGGTGATCTGATGCAACCGTTTATTCCGACCAGTTTGCCTGCAGTGTATGTAGCCATTTAGTGACGCCGGCGCAAGGAGTGCTGGAGAATTCATATTTTGATATCAGTTCCATCATTTGACAAACATCTAAACCACATTTTTTTCCCTGCAAGATATCAATCACGCATTCGCGTATCTCGGCACAGATAAAGTCGCAAGCTAAGAATCCCACTCGGATGTCGTCGTCATTTCCGAGATAGGGAGGTTCGGGGTTCGGAATCTCCAGGTTTCTAGTACTCGAGCTCGCCTCTTTGCATCCCTGCTGCACAATAAAGCTAAATCCACATGTCCAACCCTTGACTCACATCCCACAACCGCAACTTAGGCTGAGGCTGCCTGCATCGATGCAATGCAACTTTTTGTTTAAACTCAACAAGCAAGGGAAGCTCGAAAGACAGCGTGGGTTCGCGATATCGCAGTAGCCGATGAGCTGGCCCAAGTGCCCTATCAACCAATCACGGACTGTCGTCAGCAAAACCGGAGAAACCTTAGCCCTCCAGCGCTTTTGCCTTGGAGGCCGTTATGTGGATGCGGGATTTGCACATCTGCAATGTCATAGGCCGGTGGCCCACCCATCGCTTGGCGTCCGTCCGAAGCGAGACGTAGGGTGGAGACTATTGCGATTTTAAGCCTTCGAGGCTGAGTTGTTCGGAGGGGAGGCAGAATTATCCTATAGGCCTGTAAGTGAAGGAATCATTGTCATGGACAGAAAACATCATATTTAGGTTCTCTAAGCTGCGGAGCTTTTCGTCAAGCTTACCTTTCATGGTGAGAACAATGTATATTATATAATAACTTCGATGTCGGTTTACCCGCAGGATCACATTTCCCGCCGCTAACATCGATCCCAAGCTTACATCCAGGTCTTGAGTACTCGTATCGGTTGCCATCTTGCCCGCTCACTTGACTTTAATTTACCTACAACACCGTGGTGAGGCAAGTCCAGGGTAGTGACATAAAACCACAACCGCACCCTCCGATTTCGTTTCGTTCAAACGTTCAAGTGCAACTTCAGCATCTTCATCCCGCTTTCTAGTTTTGGTTGGTAAAATGCATATACTAGTCCTTCTGCCAGTACGTTTAGTAAAGCTGAAGATTTAGATCTCTATATATAAAAAGAAAGAAGTCGGAATCAAGATATACCCTGGCCCGGCCTGCATATTGCCAACTTATAATATTCCTTACTGGACGTCGTCACATTTCACAACACGGTCACAATGCGGAAACGACACGACGGTGTGACCACCGTCCCAACAGGTCCCCAGGATAGCCACGAGGTTGAGGGCTTTCGTGAAGAGCCTCAGCAGCTTCACCTTAAACCCGATGCAGAAAACCGAGGAACGCCGCATCGCCATCTAGATATTTCCAGTTCCAGTTTGCACCCTATAAACATATGGCGGTATTGTTCGGGAAACAGGAATGCATATGTAAGACACCCTCTTTGTGAACATTCATTTGCAGCTAAAGCAAAGAATCTAAACTAAGCCCAGCCATGGGCTTATTAAAAAGTTGTGCAACATTCATTGACACCCCCTTTAACCCATTTAGTCAGGTCTGTCTTCTAGGCAGAGGCGAGATCATGCCCGCAGAGGTCTATCAAAGCTCGGGGGCGAAGACACTGCAAAGGCCAACCAACTATGTGTGGAGAAACCCTGCATGGAGGCATCAGGGTCTCGAATGCACATGCCAAACAGTCGACAAAGGGCACGGTCTTTCGTTCGTCTCCGTGTCCGAAATCAAAGAAAGCGGCAGGTGAAGAAAGACAAGTTGGGTTTTATTTCTCGATCACAAGGTTCACTACGTCGCATAATTAGCATCCCAAGATTCTCAAGATCGAGCGCTAGCACGAACTTCAAAGATGAACAGCGCTTGAGGCCCAATGAAAAGACCCCAAAAGGAGTGATTCCAAACGAGGCCCAAGATTCGCCCGAATACTCTGCGTCAAGCCAGAGCCCTGGCGGCAGCTCCGTCTCCAAAACCGGGCTACAGAGTTTAAATCCGGAGTCGCCGCAAAGCGCACGCCGAAGAAATACTCGAGATTACAAGAGACGGAAGAAGCTACCTGATGATATTTCAGATGGCGAAGAAGAAGACTTAGTGAACACACGATCCGCCAACCGACCTTCCTCCAGTAAAGAATACGCATGCCCATTCTTCAAAGCATACCCAAGCCAGCATCTGGGCTGTCGAGACTCAGGATGGGTCGAAAGACGGAAAGTCAAGTGTGTTCGCCAACTCTACCAGCGGAAATTGCCTATATGAATAAGGACTAACATTCTTATTTTCGATCTTGGTAGAGACCATCTAAAACGGTACCACTATAACGGCAATGCACCGTCTGAAATCCAACATTCACACTCGTGGGATGACTGGTATAGATTCATTGTGAAGGATACAGACCGAGAGGCTCGAGCAATACCTAACTCCGGTAAGTTCCGTTTAATACATCAAACGCATTTTGAATTTAATGCACAATAGACTTCGCCACTAGCAGCGCTTACAAGGCTAACGGCACGTTTATATGCATTACAGACCCCAACTTTGTTAGAATCCTGTGCTACCTTCTTCAAGCAAGCGAGCAGTTGGAAGGCCAAGAAGCGCCATGTTTTGGTACCCGCATGTTGAAGCTTTTCCAACATGCCCAGCGGAATCCAACAGAGACCGAGTCTATCATTCGGGGCATCGCGGCCATTCTAGATCGCCCCTACGATCCTATTTCGCTCGAGCCCGAGACTTTCCCAACAGAGATTACTACCGTGAATCCAAGCTTCCAAAGTCACCTCCACCATGCGGACCTTCAATACATTTCTGAAAACGTATACCCCCGTTTAGATTGGCCAACCGAAGCACCATCTATTAGTGCACATGCTATTCCAAACGCGGTGCACGATGTTTTTAATGAGGGCAACCTAGAAGCAAGCCAATATCTGATTCTTACTGCTGAGCCGCGACACGGTAAAGACTGGGAAATAACGCCGATCGTGGCACATTCAGATACTACCGGGGATATTGAGGAACTGGTTCGATTCGGTGACTCTAATTTCAATCCCCATAGTGTTGACAAGTCTATGGATGAATTGATGATCTCACAGGATGCTACATGTCATGAAGTTCAAGCTGGATGTCATGAGGCTACTGTCCCTCCGGGTACACTCTCTAGACCCCCCTTGCAGGATTTTGTGGTGCCTATTCAAGCACCGGTTAACGGCTTTGTCGACCCAAAGAGGACACAGATCTCCAATATGGACTCGATTCAGGGTTCAGATCATTCCGAGATTCCACTTAGCCTCATATCCCCGAGCGAATATTTCGTACAAACTGGGCACCCTGTACAAGACGCTATACCTGCACCGACATTTGTGCAACCTCAACGTCGTTTAATGGAATGTACAAGCTTAGTCAAACGAAAGCGGCCACGAGCGGAGAGTGTTGGGAATATATTGATTCCTTCTTTAGAAAGCCGATTCAATGCATTGCCAACCCCTTCGCCGTCTGTTCTGTCCAAAGCCGGATCTATAATGACACCTTCCTTGCTTACACCGTTTACCGCCAACACAACAGGTTTCCCTATATCAACCCACATGATATTAGTTATATCGGGCAGACGGCCTGAGATTTTTACATTTAGCGGCAGCATCTCAAACTCAATAGACACGTTCGTCGAGTGGATAAACCATAAATTCAACTTTGACTTTTTAGACATGAATCGAGAATTCTGGTTTATGAACGAAAGCGTTCCATTATACAACAAGGCTGCCGTTCTTGCACAGCTGGTTGCCTTCTGGGGTGAATCTGGGGATATGTTCTTTAACAAAGTGATCCCTTGGTTCTGGATCGACATGCCATGTCGTTGCCTGATCGAGATGAACTCAACATATCGGCTGGCCAATGACTTGAAATTTACCATAAACGATTCTTTCTTCGAACTCTTACCATGAATGAATAAGCCTTTATCTTTTTGTTTCGATGGATATATAGCATTTTCGAATTCTAGCGTTTTTTTACCAACTGCATAAGATAAGAATTTTCAACAATGCTTACATACATTTCTCGGATGAGTTCGCCAATACCCTTTTGGATCGTTATGCATATTTTGTTTGCTCGTATTTGCGGTTTTTTTTTTTTTTTTTGTTTCAACCTGTCCTTACCAATCTGTGTATCCCCACGTGGCTCCGATTTTTGTGAACCATGCCTCGCTGTGATCTCGATGCATCTCGCTCGCTCTTTTTAAAGTGTTTTATGAATACCCTGCATTATTACCAGCCCTGCCTTATGCTAATCATATCTATTTCAATCATCATGTATTCCCATATTTTCAGCCGAGTGGGCTTCGTACGACCTGGAGAAATGCTTGGGTCACCCGGCGATTTTACATTGTTTTGAAATGGTTCAAGCTTCTGGACAAATCTTGGTTCGAGAGTTTGATATAGAGAGCCACATATCATAACATAACTAGTAATGTTTAATGATAATGATTGATGATAAACACTCTTTGGAATTGACGGACACTCTCATTGTGATTGCACCCAAATTTCCAGCCATATGCCGCGCCTTTTCCTAGTTTTTCGCTAATATAATACCAGAAAAGCGGGGAGGGATCTCAGTTGGTTGTCATTGGCCGAAGGGATTGTGCCGAATATCCACTGCTTGTTGGCTGCAAGTATCGACTTTAAAAGCCTTTGTGGCTTTTTTTTGTTTTTCATATTCGGTTTCTTTTACGAACGGGTTTGGGAAAGGCCAGCGAGAGCATTATAGATTGAAACCCCAAGAACTACATGAACCAACTATAGGACTAAGGAATGCAGGAAAATTTTTTTGGCATCTTAGCAAAGAGGTATCACGGGGCTCGAGATCGTTATAAGCTTAAAACCACGGGTCCACATCCTCGTAGTGATGCATCTCCATCGGTTTTTTTTGTGTCTCAAGAATCTGGAATTCTCGTTTAATACCATTGATAATTGGACGAGGCGTAATTCAAGTCAGAGCCCCTTCGAAATCCCTTTCCCTGCGACATTCAAACATCTTCCACCTTTTTTTTCCCTCTTTCCCACTGGGAAAGCCTCGTATCTACAGATTCGAATTTCACTAGCGTCAAACTAATGCTAGTAACGTTAGTGGAGAGGCGAATCGAATCGAAGAGGTTGCACGGCTGGGAAAGAGATCCTGTATTTTGGGCTTGAGACATCAGGCTTCTTTCGATATGTCTGTTCAACTGTTGGTGTTACAAGTGTGTACTTAGCTAAGCTAACTATTTCGTGTGTGCTATCCTTAAAAGACGCTAACATGTCCCATGCTTTTGAACTAGTAACAGGACGGCATCATTACGGATGGCCCCATCGCGAGGAAGACCCACTGTTCGAGCGCAAAGAGGATGAGAGGGGTCCGGTTTATCTGAACCTCCTTGCGATTTGAGTTTTGCATCAACCAAAAAGAAATTTGCTACAACAAGAGGCGGCCAATGCATCTTGGATGTTGATCCATGCAGGAGGAACGGTGTCGACGCCTGGTACGCACATAACGCACATCTTGATGGCGTTTTCCGAAATCAAGAGAGGATAGTAAAAACAAAGTTAGGTATGCATGAGAAAAGAAAGTGTTTGTTGCTAAGGTTTTGAGTGACACCGCTGAACCGACGCTTAGCCGAAGCGTGCAAGCCTGCTTTCCGAGATCTAGTTTATCGGTGTTCGAGAAACGAAAGGGAACATGTTTAAACATCTGTGCGCTTGTAGCAGAAAAGAAAAAAAAAAGAGGGTCGACAGGCAAATTGCAAAGGCAAAGGCGACAAATTGTTTGCCCATGAATGGTTTTCTTGCCGAATCTCTTCAGCAAAGACTACCCTATTGTTCTCCAATTTTTCCCTCAGCTGCCCGCCGGAAATGTGCGATTTACGTGAGCTTGGGCACTTGGCGGGGACGAACAATAGGAGTCTTATCAACCGCATACGGCCATTGTCTCTGAGGACGGGGTCCACGATCATTGGTGATTCTCGATCTAGGACGTCATGGGTGGGCGCCGGGGAAGAGATCCCAGAACCGGACCCCTTTCCACGCGCTATCCTCTGGCTGGTCGTCTGCATTTACTTTGTCCTAAAAAAACGCGAAGTGAACAATTTAGTCCTAATAACATTCGGCTCCTCTCACTATGGATCCTCACCAACATCTTCGGCCCGTTTGGATGGGTATCCTCAGCCCCGTGAGCCAGGTCACTAGCGCGTAAAAAAGCAAGAACGGACCCATTGTTCGCATTCATCTTGACCAGGACAAATCCAACGAGCGAGCGAGCAGGGATTCCCGTCCATCAGATTGCTGGCGGTCAAACGAAGCGGAATTGGAGAGAGCCCATGGGACTCCAGGTCTGTTTAGTGGATTTTTAGGGCCTTGGGCGGTCAAATAAAAGTCGAACAAATTAACTGACACCCCATTTTCCCTCTCCTTGAGAAAAAAGGAAAAGGAATAATAGGGCCCAGGAACCAGTGCTAAGATGCGTAGGGTTAGATCCGCCTCCAGATGATTGTCTGATTGATTTGAATAAATGCATTGGGCCTCTCGTTCTCCTGCCTTCCGCAACGACTTGACTTGTCAACCTTTTGATACCGACCTCTGGCTTCCGGGATAATTTCGTCGACCGTCTACGGCTCATATTGGATGCCATTTCCAACTGGCAGGGCTGTGGGTTTGTGTAGACTAACTTCGTAACCGTATGCTCGAACTCGCCACCGACTGCTCAAAACACCCGCTGCATCGTTCTTTTGGCCCAGGGTGTGACCAGTTCCCGAGTTTCTGTTCCGCTTAAGGTCTTGCGTGTACCAGTCTGTCGGAATTTCTTCACCAAAAAAAATCCTTTTTTACCACCATCAGATCTTGCACCACCACACTTATAGGAGGAGGCCTGTCTCTTTTTCTTTCCCGCCGGTGCAAGAGGAGACCGCGAGAGGCCTTTTCTCCATTTTTATCAAATGTCCTCATTCAACTGGCAGAAACCGGATGGCCACTGTACATCTATGAAGTACGCCGACCAGTCTGTCGGTTTTGTGGAACCAGCTGCGTTCGTCACTCCGTAAGCAATATACCGTCGCCTTTCCGCGTTGTTGGTTTCCCTTTTGATTCGTCGATTGTTATTTTCACATGGGCCGGGGAGAGTATTGAAGTCTGGTTAGAGGAATCATATACTGTTGTACGGGAACTGATATATATATAATTCTCTGTCGCGATGATGGATTATAGGCAGCATTGGCAATATGGAGAAGATGTAAAAGAGGGGATTCTAGAGAGCATAAATGGCTTCGGTCATATCGCGCCGGTAGTCCACGGTTCCGAGGAAGAAGAGGGGCTAGGACACGATACCTTTGGCGACGGTGAATACGGTGAAATCGAGATCACGATCAAGTTCCGAGGGAGGACAGGGTCTTCTACGACAAGTAGGAAGCTGCGGGTATGTATCACACTCACACAGCAATCTCTCTGCTTTATACATATAATCTCGACCGTTTTCATATGCATCTATGCATATTCCGCGGTCGGTTCAGGAGTATTATATACTTTTTCGCCATCGATTAACCTTTTATGATACTAACCTGTGAATCCCTTACTCCTTTAGTTAACATCAAACCCAAACTCAAGTATTCCGACCGTGCTGAAGTTAGAACAACCGACGGACGATTTCCCACAGTGTCATAGGATATACTCGGCTAGGGAAAATAGGGGTGTTTGCATTGTGGATGTGGATACTGGTTGTGCATGCAACGAATTTTCACCATCAATACTTCGAGAATTACTACAGCAAACAATAACTCCGACTGGACTTTCCATCGATCCATCTTTCGATCATAGATTCGATTATGCAGTATCCGACTTCCCGTCTGACGAGAATATCATCCGGGAATCCAGAAAGGCTTCTATCTCTTCAGGAAAGAAAAGACTATTGAGCAATGCTTCGGAGGACCACTCGCAGATACTCCAACCCAATAAGAAGAATCCACGATTAGCAGCGCCTATCGAAGGTACCGATGAAAACGATGGCGAGGATAATGGGGAACGACATACTTGTCCGTACTTTAAAATGTACCCGGAGAAACATCTGGAGTGCGGAACAAAGGATCTTGCTCAGCGACCGAAAATAAAGTGCGCCAACCACGTCTTACCTCTTTTCAAATACTTATTGTCACAGACGTGGGGCTGACAGTTAATTACGTATAGGTCACACATAATTAAAGATCATCTGAAAAAGACTAACACACCTATACCGCCGGAGATCAAGAGCCAGAAATGTGAGCCTTGGGATCGGTGGTGCAAATGGATCGTACAGAACTCTTCCAAATCTGACCGTCCAGTTCCGAATTCGAGTATGTTTCACAAATCTTTCTTGACAGACCCTTACTTTGTGTAATGAAATCGTTCTGACTTCACATCATTGTAGCACCGGACTTTTACCCCATTCTCAACTATATTGTCGCCGCTGCTAGCGAGATCCCTAGTGACGGGCTAACCTGCTTCTCCAGTGTGATACTGAGGTTATTTAAGGCTGTCCAAACTAGCCCCAACGACTGGGTTTCGTTTATAACAGGGCTGGAGGAACTGGAACGATCCCTCAATGTCACAAGTCCGATCCTGGGCGCTATAGCTCCTCGTCGAACAAACCCGGCTCCAAAGGAGGAGGATGACGACGAAAAGCTAGCCATCACCCTTGAGGCCGATGAACCAACTTCCAATTGCGATGTCGACGATCTAAATCTCAAACTTGACACCTCTTTACCTTCCAACTGTAGTGACCTGTCACTCACACATTATCCAACATCGGCCACTTCAACAACCGCCGACTCGCTACCTCACCCATCTTCCGCTTATACATTAGCACAGCATCATCCAACAGCATTCTCAAACATACCTGAGCATACAACCATGGCAATTGATGATTTCGCGAACTCGAACCCTCACATATACTCTAATTCGGATCTCGATTCGCTCTCAATGTATTTTAATTTTGGAATGGCTGATGCCAACCTCCAAGATCCATCTCCGGCTCTTGTTCAAGAATTTTACGAACATCAAGCTCCGCCGCCTCCGCCGCCGCAACCTCAACAGGAGACTGTTGAGCCTCCTCCCATGGATCATTTGCCGATCCCACCAGGCATAGGAACCAACTCGAAGAGCCTAGTACGCGCGGCCGCACCACCCCGTGTGCGGAAGAGGAAGCACGCGGCTCCTCGACCTCATCGTCCAGAAGGAGCGTTCCTGGGCGGTAGTGGCCCTGCACCGCATACCCACTCGGTCAAGGTCTCTTCGCCAAGTCGAGTAGAAATATACGAATTTGAAGGACAGTTTTCGGTTTCAAACTTTTTGGAATGGTTACAGAGCAAATTCGATTGGCAATTCGGTGCTTCGGATGGAAGAAAGCTCCACTGCAGGGACGTGCGGGAGGATATTGTCATTGACGCCACCGATGCGATCGTAGCTCATCTCGGGTCTTGGGCAACCAAGGGCGTTTTTGTACAAATGCCCGAGTTCTGGCTCCATACTGACTCCCCGCGTACACTTGGTATGGATAAATATTCTATGTTTACACCCGCTCTCGTCGAGAGGATCCAGGACGGCGGTTTCGAGATGGAAAACATGTCGCTTCTACTCAATACACGCCCAGGAAGCAGCAGTTACCGCTAAAGGAAACTATCTCCACCTACCTACCTACCTCTACACTTTTTTCTCTAACTGGGACATTGTCGACCGTGCGTTTTCATTTTTCTTACAGACTGATAAAAACTAACTTGTCCAAACTAACTACAGTTGGAGGCCTCGCGGCAAATCTGGCAGCAACAGTACGGAAATACTATCCTTGACGTCTCTTCCATCTTATTTTGTTTGGTTACCAAATCTGTTGATAGATGACTTGTTTACCAAGCGGGATCCGGCGCACATTGTCTTTATTCTTCGTTCTTTTTTTTTTTCTCATCAGGGGCTTACGGGACTTTCTCTTCTACCGCTCACAAAATCTTTTTTTGTTTATCGGGAGTTAGCTTTTGATACTTTTGCATCTTTACCGTCGGCATCTTGTCACATTTTTGCATCATCATCATCACTATCATATTTTTAACGGTTTGGGGCACTATTTTCATATTTTCACATCGGCAAGTATTATATTTTACCGCTCGATACAGGAAGCATTCATCGGTTGCAGTCTTTTCGTTTCTTCAACTTTCCCCTCATTATATCAACTACCTTTCTCTACGCATCACCCATCTTTTAACTTTACCAAGAGAGGCTATATATTTCCAATAGCCGCCCGCTGACGCTCACTGCACCTTGCTGTATCCGAGTAATGTATAATAGCATGGCGTTATCCTTCCGTTTGTCGTTTCTTTACCCTATACCTAACGGCGTTCTTTGGATATTCATTTATTCATCTTTTTTTTCCTTTGACCATACCACACTTTTGCGACATCTGTCTTGCTGCAGTGGTGCCAGGGCCTACCGGCAAGTTTTTGTTTATCAGTCTCATTTGTTGAATTTTATTTTTATTTCCTCCGGCTACCAAACTTCCTTGATACTAACTAACTCTTTCCTTCCCTCCCTTCCTTCCTTCCTTTTTTCTTCTCTCTTTACCTGCGTTTGTTGTCTATTTCAATTACTCTACTTTTATTACTTTATGGGGTGAGAATGTATACCTTTCGCATAGTTCTAGCGGATTGAAAATTTCCGGAGAGATGGTTATTTTATTTTATATCTTCTCCTTCTACTTCCTCGAGATTCGTCATCATTTTAGTTTTAACGGAGTTCTTCTTTTATTATATTTGTGTGAATATCAAAAAAATTATTCCTTTTCCGCTCGGTTTCTCTCCATTCCAGCATCTCTTATACATATATTCTCTATCAGGTATTTATATGGAATTCTTATTTCATCTTTTTTCATCTATATTTCTATTTTACTCTCTTGGGATTCAACAAGAAGGATGAGGATATATATACTTAAATATATATATTACATTAATGGGATATTAAATAGATTGAATGTAGATGCCGCATGCGTGATTTGTGATCTGTGATTTTGTATACTCTGTTATATGAATCCGACTGCATCACTTCTTCAGTTGACTATCCCGTGTATACGTCAAGATATACACCTGTAAAAGCTCCCGCATATATATAGTTTATATTTTGGGAATTATGCAGAATACAACTAATCAGATGCGTTAACAATGCAAATATAATATAAAAAAAGCCTAAAGATGGGGAGAGCCTCAGATTGAATGAATTTAATTGATCATGACTTCTATTAAGTAAGCACCTACCTTTCGGTACTAAGAAGTATCGAGCTCGAAGTCAACCTTAATATTGTATGAAGAAAAAAGTCTAAGGCTTGAAACTCGTGCCCACCACTACATATCGACGATCCAGTTTAATGGCCAGAAAAAGGATATTAAAAAAATAATAACAATAGAAATATTAATACAAGGCATACCCAAATATCTTAATTAAATCGTATCACCAGGTCCATCCCCACCAACAATCTGCACACAATCTTGTCCCTATGCAGCGGAAGAACATACGCCTCGAGAAATCGAAATCGATCGAACCTATACGATCGAACTACAACTTGTGACAAAGTATTTTAGCAATCCATTGATTGTTTCGAGTAGCATGTATACTCCTAGGACATGCCCAAGGGGGAACATCTATGGCCGAAGTGGAATTTCGAGTTGAAAAAATCGGCAACAGATGTCTTCTGGGTTCAGAAGATGGTTCCTGATAAAATGGGCGACTTTACAAGATACTAGAACAGGTTAAATTTATTCAAAAAGATTGTGCAGTCTCGTTACTAGGGTGCTTCAAGAACCACCGGTACCGATTACATTTCATAGTTAGGTGCACATGCGTGGAGGACTTTGATGTAAGTGTAATCCATAATGATGTGGATGGGTACAAAGGCATGGTTAAGCTATGCTCAATTGATTAAGTTGATCTAGAATTTGGGTCCGAATCAATAGTTGTACCAGGTAGCCGGAACGCTCTATTACTATATGGGGGGCTCTTAAACGGCAAAAAAAAAAAAAAAACGTGTTATTACGTTAATGAAAATTTATGATAAGAAGCCGTCTTTGAGGTTTCGGTGGGAGAGAAGCCTCGAGTATTTAAATTTATCAGGTTAATCTCAATCGGGCGTATGTCCGTAATGTATATGTGCGGATACATATGGACCTAAGTAAACGGACTCGACTAAATATACAGACGTATCACATAGCTAAGAATTCTGGATGGCTTTTCTTGAATTTAGTTAGAGGTTTCTGATGTGAATTGACGCAGGGTTATGTTCACTCAAAGCTACCGAAGTGGGAGGTATCTAGACTAGGTGGAAAGGGAGTAATATGAGGACGGCCTGGTATGAGACTGGGCTTAACGAAGTAGATATTCTAGTTAAATAAATAAGTACTCCAACTACATGCCCAAACTACTATTCATTATGTCCGAAGTATAGCTGTAAATAATATGGTCCATATCTTTGTACCTCAATTCGAATCTGGATAACCTTGAACTGCTAAGTAATTTGTCTTTGAAAACGTCCCTAGAAATTCCAGGTCATACATATTTAGCTACATATTTGGGAGAACCCGTTTCGTTGGCTCTATTTCGCTTTTGTCGTTTCCAGTGGTTGGGGGGTGGAGGGGCTTGTGCGGGTGATTCTTGTCTTAGCCGATCCGCTAGGGCGTGCAGGAAAAGGTGTTGGCGCGACACCATTTCTTGTATTGACGGTCTGGAAAGAGTCTGTTGATGAGGGGGTCAAGCATCAAGATTGCTTTGGCCAGTGATTGGAGATCGTCGAGTTCCCAATCCCTATCGAGAAGGGAGAAGTGTATATGCGTACTACACTTTTCGTTGACATCGACATCGTAACTTTGCCCCAAGCACTTCCAAACAGTAGCAAGCTCAGACATGGGATGTGTTTTTGGCGTCGGGAGAAAAGACAATTTTGGGGGGACGATCTCGACGGGAACTATAGAACCGGTACATGTTAGAGAAAGTATCCTTAAGACCGAATCGCAAAGTATACGGGGGGCGGGGACATTTGAATACTTACAGAAGCCACCTTCAATCCGCCCGATGGTCCCTTCCGTCTTGATGCCCCAATTACCATATTCCCCTTCTCCCGGGTTGACCACAGCCTCAATCTTGGTGGCGGAAAGTAGGGACTTGAGGGTTTCGGCGAACACATCCCATTCATTGGGCAGCGTGACCTTAGCCTCTTTGAGTTTGGCTCGGGCGGCATTTGAATTCAGTTCGAGCTCTGGCTTTGGCTTGAGACGTAGCTCGAGCTCGATACCAAACTTCAGCTGCCCCCGAGCCGTAACCTCTCTTTCTTTCCCTCTTCCTTCTTCTTCTCCCTCCCCTTCTTCCCCTCCTTCCCTTCCCCCCTCCTTTCCCCCCTCTTCCTCCTTCCTCTTCCACAGCTCCTTTACAGCCCCCCTCTTCTTCCACACCCTCTTTACCGTCCCATTAATTGTCCCCCTCACCGTCCCCTGTTCCTCTCCTGCCTCTCCCACCCCCCACTCCGTACGCTCTTCACGATCTTAGAAAAAGTACCCATCTTGACTACTATGAATGGTATTAGGTTTTTGCTGGATTATCGGATTACAGAATTATAGACGGATGGATGCAGTCTCAAAACTAGAACAGCCGGATGGATTGATACAGGATGGGTGGATGGAGGATGGATGGATGCAGGATGGATGGAGGATGGATGGAGGATGGATGAGGGAGGTAATCTTGAGAGCCCTCCATCCTGAGTCTTTATTCTTCCTGAATTATTTACGAGTCTTTTCTGCCTCTAGATACACGATTCTCCCTTACACCTACGAAGCCTAGGGACCTCTACTAAGCACCCCGTTGGTAGGACATCGTGGTCGGTGCCTTTGTATAACACCTTTAAAGGTTCAATCGCCCGTAGATCGACATTGGCTAATGCGACAAGAGATTCTCATATTGTACTTTAGACCTATTTGCGGTATCTCACTAAAAGGCTTAAAAATAGGCGTCCATGGTAATGGGGCTTTAGTCGCGAACTGACAATTACAAAGCTAGGTTCGCTGGAGCATAGATAACCCAAAGCAGCAATTAAGAACACAGGATTTCTACGTCCCAGCATGTTCTTATTTAGCGCCGTCTAGATCATGAATCGCCATGAGTTCAACAAGCCGTTTTTAAGTTTCTATGGGTTACATACCCAACCTGCCGGCCCCGAGACTTGGTCTAGCTAGTTACTCGGTATAAACTCTAGCTCAACACATGGTGTTGACTGTTGCATTTTATCCATTACTGAAATTGCCATAAACGTAAATAAATTGGGTTCTCACGTGATCTTCACGTGACTTTGAGAAGCCGAACTATGTATTTAAGCTCCTTAAGCCATCTAAAATATATGACAATATTGGGTTATTAGGTAGCTTGCATATTAGGTACATTATTACCTGTGTTAGTCTCAGCGCCACAAGCTCACCCATCGAACAAGGTATCCGGGCACGAGTACAAGCAATATGCTTAAGACGAATTTCATAAAATCGAATGTGATTACAGGCGACAGGCCCATATATGTACAGCTCAACAACTGGCTAAGCTAGTAAGCTTATAAGCAATAGTTAAACTAGTAAATAGCTAAGCTATTGCAATTGATCTAGGCCTGCATATTACTGGTCGTATGCTTACCTCTTAACTATCTCTTAACTGCTGGCCTATCTACAAGCCTACCTAGCTAGGATACCGATACCGACCTACTAGCTTGCACTTGCGCACAAACATAACCCAGTACCTGTTACGACAGTCTAGTTCTGTGTTACGAGCTAGCAGACTTAACCAGCCGAGCGTCACGGAATCATGGATAAGATGTGGCCTTATGAGGCTCGTTGGAGAACTCGGCAGAAAGTTGGGAGTTTCAACCTCATCGTTGCAACTGCGTGGGTTAGGTATATCATTGATCTCCACAGAGCGTACGACAAGGCTGGTCTGGCACACAGTTTGGTTACAGGGACTGGGTCCGGCACGGGAGTGTTGTCGACAAAATACCACAACTACACCTGGTGTCGTATGTTGCGCCCCCTCGTAACCCAAGGCTTCACAGAACGTCACGTGCACTCACGTGACGTCGTATCACGTGATCCACCCACGCATATCAATTGTTGATTCTGCCTATTTAAATAATGCTGTACCTAGAATTCCAATAACAAGATCATCATTCATCTCAATTAACAGAATCACCGTAAAAAAACAAGTCCCGACGAACTTAGTGACTCCGAAACAGGTTCACAGATTCCTCTGGGCGTAATATCGTAAAGTAGACAACACGTTGCGCACGCTGCTACAATTACTACCTCATTCTTGAATTATCGATAGATATCTATTCTTAGATTTAACCCGCATTCGACTCATGATGCGCGAATATGATCACTGTGCCAGAGGGATAGAGCTATCTAGTTAAACTGCTCCTGGATTTTTTGACCCCACCCTTTCTCGGGTTCATAGTTCATTCGCGACAATACGGATTCGAAAAAAAGAAGAAAATGCCGTGCTCAAGCAGGACTCCTTTCGAATCTCAAGGCCGGTCAATATCCGGTGAATATCGATATGGGTATTCTTCCGAAATATTGGAGGATATGTCCTGGTTTCAAAAATCTATCCTTATTGGACGTTGGGTCCGAAAGTATGGATTGGAATCAATATTAGATTTTCCAGTTGATATTTTCCTCTATACGCCCGATTTTACGCATCCAGATTCTCTTAGGAAAATCCTTCACCTCGACCACGACCCGGTCCTTCATCCTACGCGGGTTGGTGGCCAATTTAGACTGATGCGGTTTGGGAAATCGGGACCCCTGGTTTTGGAGGATGTTGGACATGACAATATTGAAAGCAGACCAGATATATCTGGGATGACATATCGGGTTCGGAATATGCCCGAGTTAAAGCTTTTGATGAATCACATGGGTAATCTGTATCAACTTTACCATGCAGTAATTCAAGACCACCCAGCAAATCCCTTTCAAAAAAATCCCGAAAGGATAACTTTCGCCTTGTCTGAAAAAAGCAGACTTCCCAAGGGAAGCAAAAATGTTGCTCAAGAATGGCCGAAGGAAGAGAAGTCCATACTTAAACAATTAAAGAAAGTGCCCAAGCCTACACGACTTAACGGCCCTCGAAGGCAACAGGGAGGCCAATATAAACCTGGAAAATCTAACTCCCCCCAAAACCAACCAAGAGAGGAACTCGAGCAGTCTCTTATTCAAAACTTAAAACGCTATCTGAGCAATTCTCCGTCGAAACCGAAGCCCTGATACTAAGAAATGAGCGACGAGGCAAGGGCCACCAAGGCTTCTTTATATATCCTACACCGTCAGGGGAAACCCCCCGTACGAGACAAAGAAGCTCCCGTGGTATCTATTTGTACTTTACTTGTATTTAAACCTCTTTCTTATTCCTTATCTTATCATGTGTATACAACTTTATCTACAAACACTCCAGAGCTTCATTACCGTCAGTACTAGGCAGGGCAGTTTAGCCTCGATTCCAGTTTGCTTATGTCTATTCCGCATACCATCGGGATAGTTGATCGGCTGGGCCATCGGGCTGCACATATGGCTAGATTGCTATTATCTCTCTAAGAAATAAAGAGAAGGAAGAATTAGGCATGGCTGGTGAAGCTAGTGTGGCTGCCGCTACTACCACTATGACTAAAGTCTAGAAGCCACACAGTGTATACACACGCACTTACCATCACAAAATTATACGTCCATTCACAAGTACTTAAGTCGAGGAGTCTCACGACGAAAGAAAATGCATTGTCCTTTGTGTATTGATTACATACATTTACATGCATGGCTGAATTATAATAATACATCGCTGTGTTGTAATTTTATAAATTTAACGTCTTAAAAGTCGAATACATGATTGTAAACTTACGAGACCATTGTAGACTGCTCCGACCGACTCCCAGTGACCGAAGTTTGAGCACTTATTTTTCGCTACCATTTCGAAATTTCCCGTTCCCCGAGTGGGCTTCCCTTTCTTCTTTCTTTCTTTCTTTCTTTCTTTCTTTCTTTCTTTCTTTCTTTCTTTCTTTCTTTCTTTCCTTCTTTCTTTCTTTCTTTTTTCCCCCTTGTTAAAGATCGACATATTTAATATGGTATGCTATTATAAGAAGATATCGCGATCGTGCAGGGAGATCACCAACCCAACCTTTTTTAGTAACACGAGCCTGTAGAAATACAACTGAGACCGACTTACGTTTCGTAAACTTGAATTTAAAGAAACAACTGTTGATAAACAACTGCTGGTGGTTTTAATTAAGATTCCCTCCTAACTTGTATATATTTCCGGATGTCAGCCGATATGATACGACGAGACTGCATCGCGCACTGCCCCCATTTCTCAGCCGAGCCCGGTATACGTATATGCATGCATTGGGAGTTTAAACAACAGTATTTTGTTCATGGGTTAATTGAAGTGGAGATCCTTTACATTTCAAGTCCTAAAATTCATTAATATTCGGCGATTTTTAATACAAACAGATATAGAGTGGAACAACATCTTTCATTTTGAAAGAAGGCATCTAATTTTCCAAAAACCAAGTTAAAGGAGACAAGGTTAAAGGGCACTACCGTACATAGATGGTGACCGCTGGGGGCGACGCAAATTTCTTTTTGAAAGTTTTTTTTTTTTCGCGGTGTCGACATGTCTGGTTCGAATGCTTGAGCCAAGATATAACATATCTTATTACACTTATGGCCTGAACGGTGCCCTGGCTCTGGGACCAAGACTAAAATCTTATATGAAATCAATATTTTTTACATTTTGTTAGCCTCAATCCAGGCGCTCCGAGACAGGGATTTTTTGTTGAATCTTCCTTTGTATATACTCGAGTACTCACGGGTTTTACAGATTTCGAACACTTTTAATCTGGATTTAGAACATGTAATTTCTTATTCTTAAGTATAATTCTGAGACTATAATACTATGTATTAATTAGCATTTCATGATTAACAGTATCCTAGATCTTCTCAGGAAAAGGAAGTGGCCTTATGGTTCCTAAGGCTAGTATGACTACCATCGCCATCGCCATCACATCACCATGGTCCTAAGCTAAGGCACCGCCCCTGCAAGCCTGCAATACAATTTTATGATGTATAACAGATAGAATTTAACCCGCTATGTAGTTTGGGACTATAAATATTTAGTACAAATACAATTTAAAAGATCCGCTCGATACTTGATATGTGCGTTAAGGATTCGTAAACCAGCCTGCTCCATCGGCGTTGAAGGGGCCTACGGGTAGGACTATAGATATGGGTTATCGGAACGGATCCAGGGTGGAAGAAGGCTAGGCGATCTAGGTCGATACAACTAGGGCATGTATGCACGCCGCCCGTACAGCATCAATTTCAGAATCAAAGGAGAAGGGCAGGTTATGCAATGATCACTACTTTACTTCCCTCCTCTTTTACCCTCCTTTCGAGCCTCCTTTACTCTGGCCTTATCAAAGTACTCATTCTGAGCGAGTACCAGCTCATTGCCCATCCTCCTTCCACTCATCTTCCATACCCTTGCGAATTCGCCAGGAGAAACATTAGCTCTTCCGCCTGGGACCTCTGATTTTAGAAGCTCCAGGAAGTCCTTGGGTAGCGAGTCGTAGTTTTCTTGGGTTTTAGTATCATCTCTAGAGATTCTACGACGTTTTGCGGCTGGTGAGGCCGTTGATGTTGAGTCGAAAAGTGGGGAGGGGGGTGAAGAGGGGGAAGGGTCATCGTTTTCCAGGAGATCAATGGTCATGCCTGCGCCTTCCATTTCGACGTCTGCTTCCAAGTCGCTAGCTGTGAGACCAAGTCCCTGTGTGGCTTCTTCTCCTGACAATCCCTCCTCATCGTTTCCTTCTTCTGAAAGAGTATTGTCGATAATATCTTCATCATGAGGTCCATTCTGTTCCAGAAATGGTAGAGGAAGTCGACATTTAAACTTCAACGCTTCAAAATACCAACAATGTCAGTTGCAGCCCTTTCCTTCCAGCCGAACAGTACCAGATCTTTCACTAACACTGTTTAACACCAGCATCCCGCCCGGCAATTAGTATCGTCTCCTTCACTCTTGAATTCAAAATCCCTTTCCGCCAAGCATCATGAGAAAGCAGATGTTGCGGATGTGACGGTACCCATTTTAGAGTTTCGGGTCGATGGGTCTCGGCCGACGTCGAGGAATCAAATTTCGGTTTTTTGGTCGTTAAAAGGAGGCGACGGGTGGGTTTATGATGTGATGAAGGAGGGAAGGTTGCGGAGGAGGGAAGGGTGTCGAGAGCCTCGGAGATGGTTGTCGCGCTGGGCATTGTGACGATGGTGATGATGATGGGACGATAGAAAGATGTGGGGGGTTGAGTCTTGGAGATGGAGCTAATGAGGTAATGAATGGGTTGGTTGGTCTGGTGAACGGGTGTCTGTCCTGCCCGAGTGGACTTCATTCCAACACAATTGCGGACAATATAGGAACGAGCATGTTCCTAACGGGCAGCTCCCGGAAGAGCTAACCAGCCGGCGATATAATACTAGGCCATAAGATTTCGACCCGGACGAGAAGATAGGCATCGAAATGCGAATAAAAGGAGTTCAGGTATCAAAGATCGGACGAAAAGATGGTCTTCGAGCCAAAGAAAATAGGGAAACGAGATCACGAGGAAACGGAACGAACAATACTTACCACTATCGACTGACATAAATATTCGTGCCACGAGTCGCACCGCGCATTTATTCGGGTGCCGAAAGAAATACACCCCACGTTAATTGCTTCTCGAAGGCCTCTAATCGATAATAAAAGGCTCGTGATCACCCACTGGTTGACAACAGTGCTAACGTTTGCCTGGCACTGGGCTGTGGGAGAAAAGAAGTCTAACCACAATTCCAACCCTGCATATGCAGCGTGAGATGGTTTCTGGACATGCCAAATCAAAGCACTATATGGGGGGTGTGATACGTACAGACAGAAAAAAAGCCAATGGGGTGGTGGATAATTCGCTAAATGTCATCAAATGCCTAACAGTTAGACTTCATCTCATAGGGCTTTTATTCTCATACTCTCTCTTGGGGACGAGGGGTAAAGCAATCTGGTATGATATATGCATTTTTACACATCTATGTTTTTAAGAAAATGGGGTCCGCCTTCCTTTTTTCTGGGAAGGGACGGTAGTTATATTTAAGGGATCTGTGCCCCAAATTTGAGGGAGTAACAGGTCGTGTGTCTCTTTATCGGTTTATTATATACCTCTACCGACTTATATACCTCTACACAGCTATTTCTATATCTTGTCTATCTATATTCTACTGTTTTAGAATCTATTCCTCTGGGGACCAAAAAATTATGGGGTTGTTCAAGAATTCGAAGCGAACTAGCAAGTTCGCCTTTCGCCGAAGTCTTTTGCGGGCTATCCTCCCAGACAGCAAAACCCCGCCTCTACCTCAAAAAGAACCTCTTCTCCTCACAAATTCAGAACAACCGCAAGTCGATATCGAAGTTGACATCAGCGACGAGAAAAAGGCAGTATTTACAACCGAAACAGAAATAGTCACTGTGGAGTTAAATTTAAACGAACCGCAACCTGAAAAAGTGCCAGAAATTCTGCTTCTCCCAGCAGAGATCCTTCGAGATATCTTTTCTTATTTGGATAACTGCGACCTTCAATCACTCTACCACACACATTCTCGTTTCCGGGGAATCGTTCTCGAACACCGGTCCTTCTTTTGTCGAGAACTTGCGTCCCGCAATTTACGGTACTTTGCGAGGTACTTGAAACCGGCATTTTTCGACCTTCAGCGGGACTCTCGATTACAATTTCTTACTGAAGATGATAAACAAAATGACGTCGACGGGTGTCAAAGGTATCCAGGTCAGGCAAATATCCCAGCCTGGTACCTAAAGCTCTACAAACTCGACAAAATCACAAAAGAACTCTATAGCCTCATGCCCACCGATGAAAACGAATGGGAACTGGAATATCTTCGTATCCAGGGCCTCCCGCCATCTCAATACAACCCTCGGGTCTGGCCTAGACCTGGAAATCCTTCCTTCTACTTCACTCATACGATTATTTCGTTTTATCAGTATAATTCACTGGTTAAGTTGCCGAAAGATAGTTTGGTTGATTTTAAAGAGAAAGATGTCAAACCGGTTTGCAGATGCGCACAAGGGTATTTCAGGAGTACGGCGCATTTGGGAATATTATGTGCGGTTTATATGGCTTGTTTGAAGTTTAAGGCTGAAGAAGCTAATAACAACAATAATCTCAACAAGGCCGAAGAGGAGGAAAAACAGGAAGCAGAAAAAGACGACGATTTAAGTATGTTCCTGCCGGAGTTAGGAGGAGGATTGGGAAATTATATCAAAGGAACCAGAGTTTCTGTCAAGGAGCTGTTTAAAATGGTGGTGGTGGTTATGTACCCTGGAAATCTGCTAAAGGTTATTAAGAACCCGACAAGGCAGTCAATGAGCAGATTGAAGATTGTACTGGAGACGTTGAAAGATGTCTTGGTGATGAACGAAGAGGAGAGGAGGCAGAGCGGGGTGGATAGGATGTATACGAAGGGATTGGAGATGATGGAGGGGTTTGCGAAGTATTGGGAAGATTGTGAGGACAAGACGACGTTGCGGTATTTCGACGACTGGGATCTTTTGTAACGAAACTAAATTTAACTTAGCTTATTTCATTGACTATAGCATAGTTAGCGGCTTAGATAATAGTAATTACACTTTTCGTACATATTCTTCGTAACTATCACCAGACTATCTATGCAATAGTGCATGGTTTTGATATTGATTCTAAGCTGAGATCTGATATAAAAGCCCGTGACAGGACGGGCCTCAAAGTAACCTCGGCTGGGCGGCGTTTGACTGTCTTCAAACTTTCCCAAAAACGTCAACAAATTACCCGACCAAATCAATCCCCGTCTTCATCCTCCCTCTTCGCCTCTCTCCCTCCCTCCCTTCCACCACTGCCATCATCACCATCAACGTCCTCTCCGTCTGACCGACTGTCTTTTACGATACATATTACCGCAATCACCTCGTGAGCTACGTGAAACAACCGTTCCCCCGTTCCCACGCCTGCCGAGAGTGTACAAAATCCACCCCTTTACCCACCATAACAAATACCGACAAACTACCCAAAACAACCGATCTATGTCCGCCCAGCGCAACATATCCTGGGCCGAGGCTCAGCGACGCGCCCAGTCGCGAATAGCAGACCTTGCAGTTCAACGAGCACAAGAAGCTAAATCGTCGTCCTCGATATCACGGTTCCTCGGGATATCATCACTTAGCGATCTGACAGCGAAGGGCTCAAACTTTCGGGTTGGACAGCTTGATACCGAATTATTGGATGCTGAGTTGTTGGACTTATTGAAGGGGCAGTTGTGGAATGCTATCAAGTACTTTAATGTGGGTTTGATTCTATCTGATTCGAAGAGGTATTCGCTAGGCGATTAGATACTGACAAGAATTCCCCCGGGCACAGCCGGCAGTGAAAGAACATTACGAAATTGAATTCGTTGCGCTTCTACGACTAATACTTTTTAAATTCACAATATGGGACAACAATGCCACCTACGGAGCTGCCCTGCAAAACCTAGCTTTTGCAGACGCTCGGCGAAATGGTATGCTAAAGCCCTAGTTGGAGAGGTCACTTTCGGTGCGGACAAAGCTAAGAATTGAGTTAGGTGCCATCGATACACCCCCCTCAGCCACCCAGAAGACCCTATACGGCCTCGTAACCGTCCTCGGCCGCTACGTCTACGATAAAGTCGACTCCCACCTGATCCACACCTCCTCCATGGGCCTAGACTTCGACGAATCACCTTTCTACCGAAACCTTTCCAAGGCTATGAGCAACCTTACAACCGTTCACTCCGTCGCTTCCTTCGTTAGTTTACTCACATTCCTGTCAAACGGAAGATACAGAACTCTCCTCGATAGAGTGTTATGTATGAAACTGGTCACCCCTACACGGCACGTCAGACGAGAAGTTAGCTTTGAATACCTCAATCGACAACTCGTTTGGCATGCGTTTACGGAGTTTTTGCTGTTTATTCTACCGATCGTGGGGATTTCAAGATGGAGACGGTGGTTAGGGAAGTTATGGAGGAAAGCCGTGGTTTTGATCAGGAAGAGTAGAGGTAGTGATGAGGATGAAGTTACACCGAGCTCGAATAGTGGTGTACTGGGCTTCTTACCTGAACGAACGTGTGCAATTTGCTACTCCGAGTCGAGTCCCGAGGACGTCCTAAACAACCCTGGTGGGGGAGGCGGCGCAGCCGGGTCCAACGATGTTACGAACCCATATGAGGCCGTAGAATGCGGGCATGTATATTGCTACGTATGCATTGCCTCAAAGATCGAGTTAGAAGAGGGAGAAGGATGGGCATGTTTAAGATGCAACTCCCTCGTAAAAAGGTGTAGACCATGGAGGGCAGGTGTAGTAGGTCTAACGCTATTTGAAGGCGAAAAGGGGGCAAGAGATGGGAATGAGGACGAGGAAGGGGATCTGGCGGTGTTGAGTCCTAGAGAAGAACACGGGCTGGATGACATCATTGAAGACGATTATGATGAGGATGATGATCCAATCAATGAGGAGCCTGCTGAAGTCGTTTATGCAGGTGGTGGAGTGGGGGAGGAGAGTGGGGATGAGAGTGATGGAACCAGGACGGAGAGGGGAGGACATGATGCGGGGTATTACATGAAGGGGGTGGTGGAGGATGATAGCAATTATGCGACCGCGGATGACGGAGAGTTGGATGAGTTGGAGGTTAGACCTTGGGAGAGGTAGTTCTAATGAAGGGCTGTAATATTTATTAGGCTGGGCTTACATATCATCGACAGAGTTTGAGTTCATGTATAGATACTTTTTTTTGGATTTTGAGATTTCAGAGCGGGATGTAATGATAATAACTACGAACTTGAGCATTTTCAGTTTGTTCTTGAAGCCCTCTATTTCCCCCGTTGATATTCATGGATCCACCCAGCTTCACCTGGAAAACCAACAAGGGTCATCAAAACTATACCGAGATCCGATAGGCCATTGTGTAACAGGGCTGGGATGCAACTCAAAAAATACAACGCTCACATGAAGGATGCGAGACTCCGGATCTCAGATCTAAGATCCAAGATTGAATGCACCGATCCGATACGATTCCATCTGACTAATACAAGCAAATTGATCTCGCCAGTTTGAGAGGAGTCTTCGTTATGAAGAATCCCAAGAATGCACTAACGCCTTCGCACTCGCATTCCAATATTTACATGTTTCCTCGCAATTAATTAAGGCGGGTTAATTTCCTTTTAGGAGAAGATCAGTGAATATGAACGGAGATAACAAAAACAAAAGATAAAAACTTGGTTCAAATAGAAAGAAGAAAAAAATAACGATCGAAGGCTGGTGAGGTATTTACGGTGTACATGTGGCGAAGGTGGCATTGAATTGAAGTGTACTCAGGTCAGTTTGGTATTGCAATATTATACATTGTATTCAGCTCACAACGAGAAAGAATTGGTATGCAGTACGTAAATGATAAAATACTTAAAGGAGTTATCAATGTGATAACTGATAGATACACGTGGTTGAAATAATTGTAACGGGTCAATGGTGAAACAGAATATGTGAATAAGCTAACCCGAGAGTATGCTACTTATACGTCTGAGAACAACCCTCCGAGGTAATATGCTGACCAAACACTAATATGTTGTGGCTGGGGGGTATTAAAACATACACTTCGAGCGCTGACATCGATGCATCGAATATAACTGTGGAGAAGGAACATATGTGCAGGGGTTTAGATGGCTGGGATGTGATTATAATTATGTAGTAATGATACAAGAGGGAAGTTGGCGCATGATTGGACCGGGGTTATTATCGATACATCGGAAGAAATTCTAGAAATACTCAAAAATGCCAACGTTAACGCCACTTTTAATTTTCTCGATATCGTATTAGAGCTACGTTTTTGACTTAGGGAAACATATAAAAATATCCTCAAGATCCCTAGTCAATTTAGTTCTTTTGCTGTTTTGTCCCTATCTATTTCTATTCATCTTCTCAGATTAGCAAGGTCGTTAGACACGATCAATAGCCAATCATCCGGCACTTTCTTTTCCATATAGATTTTCCCTTTAGAGCTTTTCGACCTTTGATTCGTTTCCCCCTATTTAGCTTCTTATATACGTACTACCTGTAGAGGTATGGTCTCCTTTTTGAAGGGGATTTCTGTTCTGGCGTTTGTGGGCGCGGCGTTGGCGTATGTCCCTAGGCCCTATGGTAGTATCCAAGGTATTTCTCCTTTCAAAGTTCTTTGATTCTGACATAAGATATTGATATGTATTAACATGAACCTTCGATAGCTCGTGGGACTCTTGTGTCTGATGCGAATAGAGTCAGCATACTCGACAATGAGGATGTAGCCGAAGGTTGCAATCTTTGGTTTCTAACTTATGAAGGTGATACATGCAACACCATTCTCACAACTACCAATATATCCATGGAGGATCTGATCAATTGGGTAAGTTATAGCTTTCTAACAAAAGTTTTATGGATCGGACTGCTAATAATTTGAAAAGAATCCCTCCCTCGAAGATGGTAACTGCGACGACTTAATCCAAACCGGTGCAGATTACTGCGTAGAAATGGACAAACCAAACCCTCCACCAAAACCCACTCCTCCGCCAACAAGATCCACCCCTCAACCACTTGAGAATATCATCACCACGCCTTCCCCAATTCAACCGGGAATGACAAGATCCTGCACAAACTTCCATTTTGTAAAATCAGGGGAAGGATGTTTCGACATCATACCCCGATATCCATCCCTCACGATCGAGTTATTGTATCAATGGAACCCCGCTATCGGGGAGACGTGTAACAAAATGTGGGCGGAGACATATATCTGCGTCTCCGTTTCCGACATGCCTACGAGAGAAGCTACTACCACAAGATCACCAGGAAAGCAGATGCCATCGCCTATCGGTGAAGGTACCACTCCGAGTTGTAAAAGATGGGGCTACGTTAAGACAGGTGATAACTGCCAAACAATCATCGACAGGAATAACCTCAAAGCAACTATAACAGACCTATACCTCTGGAATCGCAGCATAAAACCCGACTGCTCATCCCTCGTTGAAAGAAACTACCTCTGTATCTCTGGCCCGACCAACCCCAGAGTACTACCACCAACTACAACAATGGCCACGACAATGCCTACAACAATGGCCACAACGACAAGAACGATCAGAAGCACTACGACTGTGAGAAGAACGACGACGACGACACAGGATTTGACTAGTACACCCAGTCCTCTCCAGCCTGGGACGGTGGAGGGTTGCAAGAAGTGGGCTTATGTAAAAGATGGACAGACATGTAATGATGTTCTAAGTAGGTTTGAGGGGTTGACTTTGGAGATGTTGGTAAGGTGGAATCCAGCAATTGGAGCGGGGTGTACGAGCCTCTGGGCTAGAACCTATGTTTGTGTTAATGCTTGAACGAGGTTGCATTTTACGATACCAATGTTATGATGGGAACGAGGAAATGATTTATGACTGGGTCTACGAAAACTGGAGTTTTGTTACATGTTATTATTTAGTTGAAATTAATTTTTAAATGGATCTCACTCATTATTCTAAATGATTTTTTTTAAAGCCAATTGCCTTTATCTGAAAGGAGAATACTCTGATAAAGCTGCTGTTAGTGATAATACACATGCTTCCATTCAACGATCAGCTTTCTAAGGCGAGTTCATAAGCCCCATAGTATCGTTCAAGTTCCTCCTCTGCCCCGGGACACCAAGTAAGGGGCAGACATCCACCATGTTTGTCCAAAGTCCAGCCCAGCGCCCTTTTCGCCATAGCCCGGCCACGGAAAAAGGTGTAGTCTTCATGCGATAGTTGACGATCCTGCCTTTTAATCTGATAATTATCTTTTAAAACGTGGTGTAGTACATCATGAATAACGCTGCTGGTTGCAGCATCACCCGTGAGAACCAAATTTCCAATCGTATTAAAAACAGTCTGGTTAAAAGAAGCCTGTACCCAATCATAAACTTCGTTTTGAAATCTACCAACGCTCTGTTGCGATCTCATCCCATTTGCTCCTAGTTTTGGTTCCATATAGAACTCGACAGGGTTGGGGGCCGTTATGCTTTGAGCTCTATGTAATAAAGTAAGGCTTATGGCAGCATTACTATAATCCACAACCAAAGCTGTCTCCACACTTTTATCGAAAAGACTATCATCATCACCATCCTCGTAGTAGGGTCCCAGATTACGGAGTTTCGGTCCACGAAATGAGTAAACCACGGCGTCCGAGGCATCCATAATCGGCCAAATTGCGTCAAAGCCTGCCACACTAGCTGCTACATCGAAATAGTTCACACATCGTCCTAAATGAAAGCAGAAATCAGGTATCGAAAGGCTGATGGCGGGATAATCGAGCTTATGGACGGCGTCGACTCGACTTTTCAGAGTGGAGATTAGAGGGGATATAGCCTCCACCCATCGTTTATACCGCTCCGGAAGTCGTGTAAGGTTGAAACTAGGTCTTACGTTAGAAGGAAGTGTTTCCGGAGCTTCTTCAGTCTCATTGACGGTTGTCGTCTCGTTGCTGATTGTTTCCCAGGATTCGCTGTTAAAGTTTGGTTGTGGCGGAGGTGGAATATCGAAGCCGGGGAGATCCATTCTGACGTTCACAAAGAGGTATTCGAATGTTAGTGGGAGTAAGAGGTTCAAAAGAGTAGGTCTAGAGGGACTACTAACAGTCGGGCATAATAAGGGAAGTTAATGGGAATACGAAGGGCTTCTTCTGCTAGATCCTTCATAGCTTTGATATATGCTTCATCACCATCGATCTTTGCGACATCAATGATAGTTCCATTCCCGTAGCGAAGTACCGCGACACTGACAGTTGGTATATAGGTAGTTAGCCTGACTGATCCCCGGTGATACCTGATTCTAGTCCGAAAAATTCTGGTATATTACCCGTATCCTAGCGCGAGGTCAATTCCAATGCCTGTTGATATTGTCAAAGTCATCCAAAGTTAGCTTCTAGTTTAGAATCAATTGTATCCTGAATCAGTAGGGATGGGCTCGATAGAGGCCTATAGGATGGTATATCTTACCAGGTGATTTTTTCCTATCGAGAGGACGACAAGCGTCACATATCTCCGTGCATTTCCCAATGCCTATCAATACAAAGAAAAAGTATGGTAGATAACTTTTGATCCGCTTCATGCCGTAATCAATTTGTTTGTAAGTGCTTTAAAGTTTTCGTAGCTCAGGCGGGTAAGGGTTATAGTCGTGTAGAAAAGATGCTCGACGGGGGTAGCGGGGGAAGCGACAATATACTAGTACTTATATACACAACAGCAATCAAACATATTATAGAAGAATGCTATAGAAGACTATAGTTAAGAGTCATTCCTGTCTTTGCATTTGGTAAATTACTTTGAAAGGAATACTCCCGGTAGTTACAACCAAGGAGAGAACCCAGCTAAACTGTTGCGATGAGGCACAGCTGCGCCGCTAGCTCCCTCTATGTGCATGAATTAAGGCCACAGTATACTCTACGAGTACCTAAGCAAGTACTTAAATAAGTAGATCTGAGGAGTCAAGCAATTGCAATTGTCGAACACGAAAATAGATCACTAACTAAGTACCTAGGTACTTGAGAAAGTCGGTAACTTGGATCTATGATGAATGAAGGTATTGTTGCATTTAGGCACAGTATGAGACTGCTATAGCAAGAACTAGCCAAGTACTTAGGTCCCTACTTTAAGAAGATATCCTCAGATTTACAAAGCTATACTATAATAAGATATATGGACATATGATATCGATGAGATGTATATTATGGTTATCCGGAGACTGTGACGTGCATACTTGAAAACTCAAGCACCGAAATATATACCAGTAAACACACCCACAGCCACAAGCCAGCCACCAAGTTCCAGCCTCCCACTACCGTTCATGCCACCATTCCCACCGGTATTTTTATTCCCAGACGACGCTCCAGCCATGAGTTCATTAACACAGACCACTGCCTCAGGCACACTCAAGGTCGTACTCTCAATCACAACCGCATCCTTTCCCCTCTCACAACATGTCAAATTTCCCTCTTCCTCTCCAAAAACAGCATATGCAGCAATAACCTCCCCGCTCGGACAAGTCTCCGCAGAGTAAACCTTAGGCGTACTAGAACCACTAGGTGGGGTTTTGGGATCCAGCGAGGAGAGGAAGGAAGATACGTCCGAACACTTTAGTTTTGAAGACGAAGGTGAGAAGTTGTAGGGTTGGATGCAACAGGTGTTTGGTCTTCCGGCCCAGGTACCGCATTCTTCACCGTATGTGCATTGTCCGCTACCGCAGGGAGTGCAGGAATCTGGTTGGGTGCAGATGATTTCTTGACAGGCTTGGTCGCAGGGTTCGGGCGCGCGGATGGTGAAGGTGTGAGATGGGAATAGAGGGTTTTGAGCTTGTGATGCGACGAAGGGGGCGCAGAGTATGAGGAGGATGGAAAGGGAATGCATCCTGTATAGTTGGTTTCGTCCCGATAGTAACGTTGGTGGTCGGCAGCTTCGTCGAGATCTAAGTTTTATGCAAACGAGGAATATGCTATCAAATCGAGGATATTGCAAGGCTAAGTTGTGAACTGGTGATAATTTGGTGGCGTACTCCGAGCGAATGGGCTTCCTCGTGGCATATATATACTTACCTACCTCAGTACCTACCAACTTAGTTCCTCTTATTAGGATATACTCATCAAGCCATCGGATTTTTAATCTTGATATCCAATATGTCTTCCAACATCAATATCAACATGCGACACCATGCAAGCAGGACCCCTTTCAGTCTAAATCAAGTCGTATCGAAATTCGGAATTTGTCATAAACCGCATTGAACCAATCACCATCCTCCTTTCATCCAGTTATTTCTTTCAGCAGGAATCTCCTTCCTTGGCCCTGCATCAGCTACTCATCCTGATTCGTGCCGATAACAACTAGTAAGGAACAAGCGTTAGATTAAGCATGGGGAATTTCCTTTCACCCTTGAAATCTGAAATCCGGGGTGCAGGAACCAGGCTGTGTAACCAACATTAGGGTTAGTCATGGTAAGAGGTACTAGCAAAAGGATATTGTTTGGATAGATACCTGAATCGGTATCCAGGAAGGGATGACCAAGATGTAGGGGAACCTTGAAACCAACGTTTGGCTGCAGGTGTGGCAGTTTTGAACCGAACGGATCGGGAGGGCCAAGAGATAAGGCTTTATGTTCTATCTTGCGGTTTTGTCACTAGTACCAGTTATGTACGCCGTTCCTTGCACATGATGGCTGGTGAGGCACTCTTTATCTGGTCAGTCAGCCGCAATCTGTTTCCAATATAAACCACGAGCTAAGGAAGGGTGTATAAGCCAAATTTTTTATTTTTTTGAGTTTATTATTCATTAATAGGGCATATTCGATTAAGGGAATATGTAAGAAGAAGAGTCTAAAATTACATAGGAAAATAGAATAGAATCGAGTTATAAGGGATCCAAAGATGAAGAACAAGATAAGTTGGGCTGATAGTATGGTCGGATGCAAAACAGAAAATTTGCTTCTGAGGACTGACGGATGAATATGTAAAAACCTCCATGAAAACGCCAGCTGGAAAACACGACGACAGCAAGAAAAGAAAGCATGACGGCAAGCGTATGAAGATAGAGATGTTGTAGATGGGTATCGCTATGATCGGGTAAGAGGGAAACACATGCAAGAAGGATTGGCGATTTTTTTTTTTTGGAGATACTGATTATTCGGAGAATTAGAATTTGGCGGTATCAAAATCGAAACCACCTAGCTTGGGGATGCTGCCGATTTGTGGTGTGCTATCTCTGTTGTTGCTTGGCCCGGCGCCATTGCTATCTTCGCCCGGTGTGTTCGGGGCGGGTGTGCGAGGTGCAGACGACTCGTCTTGCTGTGTCAAGTCCCTTTGAGAGCCCTCTCGCGACGATTCCTTGATCTGCTCGATGGATCCCATGGATGTAGGTCGTTCCGTTTCGCTGTTGACGGTAGTACCATCAATGGAGACGCCTCGGCCTTCACCCTTATCCATGGAATGTTTGACAACTGCTGGGGTAGATGGTTTCGAGGTTGGATCGTTGTCGGGCTTGACGGTCGAAGACCCAGGTCGGGGGATTTCTCGAGAATCCAACTCCATTGCGAAGAAATGCGCCCCGCCGTTGCCGCTAGCACCACTAGGTCCCGAAGCCGGAACAGCTGCCATTTCAAATACCTCTTGCTGAACGGCTGGTAATTCTGCCATCGCAAATTCGTTGGAGGAACCCGCGTAGCCTTGTTTCTTATCACCAGACGGGGCAAATGTTTCATCATCTGCTGCCTTCTTCTTATCACCAGCAGCGAGAACCGCTGCACCATTACCAGCACCACCTAGCTTCTTCTTTTCGCCGGCTTCAACATCATCTTGGCCCATGCTTCGGCGTGCTTCAGCGAGTTTCTTTTGATTGCGTTTTCGCATCCAAATGAACCCAATAATGGCAAGGATGACAACACCAGCAACAGCACCGACAGCTGCACCAATGATAGTGCCATTGGATGTTGAATCGCCTGATGCGTCAGGGACTGAAGTCCCGGTTCGCGAAGGTCCAGTAGTAACTGCTGCTCCATCTGTAGGCGCTGTTCCAGAACCCGAGGTTGAAGCTGGACCGGCTGTAGAACTAGATGCAGGGACGATTTCGAATTTTGACGAAGGGGAGTATTCAGGAACCGGTGCTGCTATGGCCAGGAAAAAGAAATAGTCCTTACGAAGCGGCACATTATCATTCGGGGTCCAAGTAAACTCTTCTAGATTTCGCTGGTCAGTGAAGAGGTATTGACAATCCTCAGCTGCGCCCCGACAATATGACAAGGACATTGGAGTGTTCGTGTAGTTGGATTGCCATCGTATTGTAATGGGTTGTCCGATCGGGAAGACTTCGCTGCTTGTTGGATATAAGAAGGAAGCCTCTGCTGAGACGACAGATACGAGTGAGGAGAGTGAGGCAAGGGAGAATAGGAGGAGGGAACGTGTCGAGACCATTGTGATGACGGGTTGGGAGGGATTGCTGGATCGGGTCGGACGATGTCGGTGAAAGGCGTGAAAAAGTCGTCGTCCTCCACTTGCAACAAACCCGAATTCCCGACGTGGCGACGTATAGCGAATATCTGAGGTTAAGGTTTGAGGTTGATATCACGAAGCAGATGTCGATGTTTGTCGGTGTGGGTGTACAAAGGGTGAAAGAATACTTATTGGAAAAGGAGCACAACAAATGTATCCAAAAGATCGAAACCCAATCCCAGGATACCAGATAGCCGGTTCCACAACTCGACGGAGAGAAAAAAAAAAAAAATAATAATAATGAAAGAGATAGGATAGAATACAGAAGGTGTATGCGAGGATCTCTGGAAAGAGAGGCGCTGTATCCACGGAACGGTCGGGAGAGACAGTTCTGTCTGAAACGGTTCAAAGAAACGAGAGTCGAGAATGAACAAAATGAAATTGAGCAGCAGAAAAATGCTCACAAAAACTTAAACGTCAGGGAGAGCGAGTGACAGGAAAAGTAAAGGAAGAGGAGAAGAAAATAATCAAGGAAAGAGCGAACGGAGTGTTTCGAAAAGATCACACAAAATTTACCGCATCGAAGGGCAAGGAAGGAAGAGAAGGGAAAAAGACAAGAGTGGCCAGGTCGGGATGGCGATGTTACCCTCCCCCCACCGAGTCCCACTAGTACTAACGCTGGCTCGATGATGTCCGTTTGTATCGAGTACCTTTTTGAGACGTGCCGTTGGAGAGAAAGGAGGTGGAGTGGTACGCAATCTTAGCCAAAGGGAGGTATGGAAAGTCTTCTGTACCCGACCCCATCCCTTTTCCGCTGAGAACTCAACCATCCAGCAAGGGCCCCCAGCAGCAAATTGCAAGTCAAACCGTACACACCCAGCGAAATTCCCTGCCAAGGATCAGTCGGAGATGCATGGAAGTCCTTTCAACCCATCGAGCGGCCAATCATGAGCACTTTCCCAATCTCGCTAACCGGTCGATGGTCACCCCACAAGTGGTGACAGAACAAGTTGGTCGGATGTATGTAGACGCTATTTTAAGGTCTTCTCGCAGTGTTTGATGGGTCACGGTATAAGTTGTTAGCATCTCAGCCTATTTTGGATGCAACTAACACCTAACGACCAGTTTCGAGGCCGTTGGCCCGCGAAAGATTTTTCTGATACAGACTTCGCCGCCGCCCCTCTGGCTTGTCCGATCGCTAAAGGACAGAATTAGTCGAATTGAGACATCGAAGACCGATGATGTCGGTTGTCCAAGCAATATTGCTTGCATGACGTCTATGTTGGACTTTGAGGCTAATGTCTGGTCAGACGCCAATGTCCAAGTTTCGGAAAGCTCAGGGTCCTCGACATCGACCTCGTATTTCGTTTTTCTCGTTTGGAAAAAAGATGCAGGGTACCACGGTATTATAGTCTGGTCGTTGCTTCGAGGGGTGTTCTAGTGTATCTGGCTCCACCGATGCTTGACACGAATTCCCGGCCCATAGACTCCGACATTCGGTATTATCGATTAGGTAGTAGTTTCGATATCGGTTACATGCAGTCTTGTTCAGCTTAACACTCGAACAGCCATTAGCGATCATACAGTCCTGCTGATATAGGTGGGGGGTTTGGCTGCGGTATCGGCAGGTGAGCTCCCCTCTTCTCTGTGGAAAATACGAGACATCCTATCATGTGGTGATATGAAGTTGAAGTGAGATGTGGATACTGAAGACCGTTGATAGGAAGATGTCCGGAAAGAAAGAGAAGTTGATGCTGAGCTTTGCACATATTATTAGCTCGGACTAGTCTTGTTCAGCCTTACCATGTTGAATCTGATGACCAGATGTGTTGTTTCACTACCTAAGGTTTTCAGCAGTCAACACAGCACAGGATAGGCAACACACACATGACAAACGTGGACATGCCATGTGACTGCATGCACACCATCAATCAAACGGTCGTCAGATCACATGACAGCTTGGCGCTCGGCGCTTGGCAACCCCAGATGCAACACATCCGACACAGTTTGCCGATCATGCGGGGGACGTCTTGGGCAGTGTAGTGTGGGGAACATGAGGTGCTCCAGCCAATCTTTATTGCATTGTCAATTGGACGAGTATTTAACCTAATTGGCGGCCAGACATACGAGTCAGAAATGCGGCGCATCGACCGAAGCCTTCCGGTAAGCTCCATTTCTACTCACACTCCAAGACAAGTATGTTATATACTTAAGTACTTACATACCTACTTACGTATGTATATATGTATGTCGCGAATATTGGCTAATACAGTTTGGTCGGCTGTATCGTCTCGAGGCAATTAGTCTAGGGTTGCAAATGATAGAATACTAATTCGGTTTCGGACAAACTCATGTGAAGAGTTTAAAGTTTGGCTTGATAGCAAGTTAATAAACAATCGAATCGGAGACATTCGGGAATTTTACAGCTCATAAATTGTCGAGAAACCAACAATCCCTCCAAAAACTCATTCCATACATCCCGAGGATCAAGTGGAGAATTCTTCCTGGCCAGACTATCTTGGCTACCTGACGACGACTCTTGGCTTTCAGACCCATCTCCATTTTTATGGCCTGCATGTTAACTAAATGTTGCTGCGACTGCGGTTTTCAATTGCTCCACTCTGCGCCTGGACTTCAAGGCTCCGCTCCACCTGCCTTCTCACATTTGGGAGATTCAGCTCGCGCTCGAGCGCTCCACTCCCTACGACGACGAGGCCATCCGACTTCATGGGAATAAAATACTTGGCTAGATAGAGATATGTGTACGCTCGAACGGCGATTAATTATAAATTAAAATGCGCTTCACAATGATGCAATATATCGACTATCAAGCAGCCTCGTCTTAACACTTTGGCGGTTTGTCTGTGGGGGAAGAGGGGAGCAGGAGAGGTTGGGGAAATGCATTGCTGCCAGCACATCACACCATAGTCAACCCAATTCACAATATACATACTAGTTAGCAGTTCAGCTGAGCGATATGCGTCACCTATAACAGAAGCTACTAATACATCTACTGTTCGGTCTAAGCGCCAAGAGAAACAATGCTCACCCGTTGGCGAAAACCACATAACATTGCTCTCTAGTGGCGTTGAGCTCGCTTTCTCATACGTTATAATAAGGATCACACAATTGATTTATGTACGAGAATAGGTGTGCAGCAAACACTCCCACATGGAACATTCACAGCCTTGAAGGTATGTACCTCATTTTCAATTGATTTGTGATCCAACTCGCGGTCAGAGTTGGGACTAGATTATCTGATTTCTAGCCAAACAGATACGGATAGGCACTCAACGGCCGCAGATATTGCTGTATTTGTGCTAGATGGGGCTCTTTAAGACTGATGTCTCGGAAATACAACAAAACACCTCAGACACTTATGCAGACGCTATCACGACAGAGCTCGTTCACCGGGACCATGTCATCGCTGTGTGCGGTGGCGTAAATAGAAGCGTGTAAGAATTGCAGATTTGGTACCGGGGTGACTGGTTCTGTGGAAGTTAGTGCCGACTTAATCCTTCCTTACACGTGGTGCCGCTCTTCAACTGGAGTTGCCAATGACTTGCAGAGGAACTTCACGAACGGCATGCCTCATTCTGATCCTGTGCTTGACCAAATTTCTCAGGATCCGACCTCCCATCCTGCGCGATTGAATTAATCCCTTCGTATTCCGTATCGTTCATGAATATGGGCGAAGCATTGAGAATTCAAATTCCTGTTGTCTCCTCGAAAACAATTGTTCAATGGGCGTAGGCGCCTGCCATGGAAAGCTTAGATTGAAAATGATGCTAATGTTAATTCCCCATCGTTGGAAAAACTGCCTCGCAAGCGTTTGGATCTAGATTACACTCAGACCTTTTTTTCAACAAAAACTTTCGTCCCTTTTTTGGCAGGCAACCATACCATGTACATGTATGTATGTACAAACATGCAGGTCTTACGGCTGAGGAAGCTTTCCACACCGTCCAGGAGTCGGTTTGAACCGACCCAATCACCCTTCTATTGTCATGCAGGGATGGGCCCAATTAGGCCGGCGGGTGGGACGAAAAGGGGAAAGTCAAAAATTGCAACATCACAACGCGGCTCACTGAAATTTATCGTGGCGTTCTCAACCCTGCCCGTTGGTAGCTTTGCCAGGATCGCCAGGTCACTGGCAGTATGCAGGCGCCGTCACGACAAGCGGCTGAAGTCGCGAGGGCGAGGCAGAGGCAGAGGGGAAATTTTCAAAAAAAAAAACTCACTTTGCGATTGCGACTCTGCCCAAAGGCTTCTTTATAAAAAGCCCCCCGAAGTATTGCAGATCTTAGGTTTTCCGTGGTCCACCGGAACTGCGAAGTAGTGCAGCATAGTTAACCTGTTTCCTGGGTTCTGTCTCCAGCTTTCACTTTATTAGTTAGCTTTTCGTTACACAGATCTGTCAAAATGTTGACTTCCGTCCTCCTTCGGGCGGCGTTATTCGCCGCAGCCGTTTCGGCTCTGCCCCTCCCGATGGATATTTCTCGGAACCCAGCCCTCGAGACCATTCCGACCATGGAAGAGCTCGAGAAGAGAACTACCTGCAGCGCGGACAATCTTCTGCGTTTGCTCAGGAGCGAGGCCAATCTACCCCAGGCCATCCCATTTTGTCAGTCGTATCTTAATAGACCTAAGAATACGATTTACACCACCATCTACCCGATCACGTAAGTCTGCCTCCTTAGTCCCTCTTTATATTTTCCTTTTCCCTGGCGAGATTGTTATATCTTTACCCAAAATTTCAAGCAGAAACAATTGCTGACTCCCAAAATCTAGCACCGAAACGACCACTGTTGTTCTCGAGGTTATCACGGATGTTGACACCACATATACAGTCACTCAGACAAATACAGATGAAGCCACAGAGACTGACACTTACACAAACGTCGTGACTGAAACTGAGACTCTCGTAGAGACTTTTGTCGCTACTGAAACCTATTCTACCACTGCCACACAAACTATCACGAATACCAAAACGGCCACTCAAACTGCTACGGCCAGTGACATTTCCACTGAGGTTGTCACTATAACCGTGATTATTCCAGCGACTGTTGTCGAAACTGTCACCGATACTGTTTCTGAAACGGACAAACAGACCGTTTTTGAGACGGATACCTCTGTTACGACCGAAACAGCTACTGAAACCGACATTGACACTATCACCGACACAACCACCAAGACTCAGGCTACCCAGACAATTACTGATGTTGAAACTACCACTGCAACTGGTACTTCATCTGTCACTACTAAAGTCACTAGCTTTACAACTGCCTGGAGTACGGTTATTGTCACTACTGTCACCAGGACCACTGGCAGCACCACCATTACCGAGAAATTTACTTCCACTAAGGTTATCACATCGACTGTCACTCGCCCAGCCACCCTCAAGAAGCGAACCAACCCCAAGACCCCGCTCTCCGTGCAAGTTGGAACTTATCCTCCTTCTCGTATCTCCAGTGCTTGCGACTGCTTGACGCTCCCAATCGAGGCTGTTACAGTATCTGTCACCGAAACTATTACTCAGCAAGACACCGCGACTTCGGAGAACCATATCACCAACACTAAAGTCCAAACTGCCACTGATACTGCCGTTATCACCAATACAGTTAAGGTCACCGCCACAGAGGATAAGACTGTCAGGGAGAGCGCCACCGTCACTGATACCGTCACGAATACTGAGTCAAATACTATTTCTGAGACTCAGACTGACGAGGCGACTGCCACTGAGGAAGTCACCGAGACTCTTTCCCTCACTGAAACTTTGTCCACGAGTATTTCGGAAACTAGCACCACGACCGATACCGCCACAGAAACGGCCACCGAAGTTGTGACTGAGATCGATACTCTCACGACCTCGATCACTAATACTGATCACGCCACTGAGACTTTGTCCCTCACTGAAACTGAGACTTCCACTATCAAAGTTACTGCGACCACCACCACCTCCTCCACTAAGGTCGTCCTTACCACCGTCATCGTTTCGGTCACCCAGACTGTTCCACAGACCATCAGCAAGGCCACAAGCAAGACTACTGTCTCCACCATCACTGAGTTCTGCACTATCACCTCCAAGACCACCACCACACTCACCACCACCACCACCGCCACTGCCTACAAGACCTTCAGAATCAGATATACCTCTTCTGGAAACAACAACAGATGGGTTGACTTCGACAGCAATCACTTGGCCACCCAGGTCACTTCTCGTTCCAATGGTGCTCAGTTCCGTATTTCCGGCAACTACATCCTTTCCCGAGAGGGTGTCACCAACTGGTATCCTCTTCAGACGAATAGCTACGGACGATGGACTTGGAGATCTACTTTCCCTGTTGGTCAAACTAGAACTACCGCAACTGTTAACAGCGATGGTACCATTGATTTTGATTTCCCACTCTTCTACGGCGTACGCACTTGCAATTCCAATGGTAATAATGCACCATTATACTTGGGGTCTTCCTTTTCGTTCGATGGCTGCAGTGGCATCTCTGAGCTCTACGCCGACTACGATTAATTCTTCTCTTTGATATTATGATAATACTAGGGTTTTTGCGGTGGATTTCTTTTGTCTGTTCTTTTTTTTTAGTCATGAAAGTTATGGGTCAGGATGGTTTTTTTATTTCATTGCATATTAGCAATTACTATACCTAAGGGAAAATGTTATGATTATAATGGAACATGTATGTATTAATTTGGATATGGGATAATAAACAAAACAAATACTTCATTCTCACGAAACTGCTGCTCTTCCACGTAACTTATTCTCCCTTGGACAGCCGTATAGCGTCTGTGATGTACGATGAGGCTTGATCGTGACTCGTAGTATACTCCGTTGCATGTTGGATTTTATCAAAGGATGTGTTGGTCAATGTTCCACATGTATGTACAACGTGGTACAAGCATAGACATTTGATCCATCTTGCATAGTCTCGTTACCCAGCCAGCTCCGGGGCGCCTATGTTTTCTTATAAGGACGGCAAAATTATGTTAAAGAGTCACCGGGTTGGATTTAAATTAATGATGATTGTGAATAAGAACTATCTGTAATTTGAAAACAATTGAGTGATTAAATTGTTTACTGTTTGCTTGGCCTACAACCTACCCACCGACCTACCCACAGGCCGGCAGGCCTGCTTACAAAGGACTGCATTGTTGGGTAATTCATTAATAATAATTTAGTTTTAAATTTCAATTATTTTACTATGGATTTGTTCATTAGGAGGTACATTCTAGGTACGCAGGCCGTATGCCGGCCTGTGGGTGGGTAGGTCGGTGGGTAGGTTGTAGGCCAAACAAACAGTAAACAATTTAATCACTCAATTGTTTTCAAATTATAAATAATTCTTATTCACAATCATCATTAATTTAAATCCAACCCAGTGACTCTTTAACAGAACTTTGCAATTGCCGTCCTTATAAGAAAACATAGGCGCCCCGGATTGAATCCTAGACTTATGGGAACCCTAACAACTCCGTTCCCGAGATGCTCAGATCGGGAACCCCAAACAACTCTATACATATTTTTTTGCGTGTGTAGCTGGGTACGAGACAATCTATACATGTGATAAATTAATTAAAGTTAAAGTAATGGCGGATGTAGCCTCGAATCTATGGCGGATGCATCGATGAATAACCTCGTTGATAAAGCATACTGCAAGAGGCAATTATACAACTGATGAATTCCGCTCTTATCCCAAGTGCCCGCACTTGCATTATACTAATTCCAACTATATATAAAGGACAATAGCTCCAAGCAATACTATCCACGTCATCAGGAATCCCTTTGCATCCAACTTCCCGGCACTAGAAGGCTTGTTCTTATCACCGTCCTCGAAGTCCACTTGGGCACCCGTTCCATTTATCCACGGTTGAAAATCTATTCTACTCGACGATAGCCTCTGGTTTTCTTCTGTTATGAGAGGATTCTGTAGTAAACCGCAATCGGCTGCGTCGCGGGTTGGGTCCAGGTCGTTGGTAAGGGTGATTGGGAGGTTAAAGATGGTGTAGTAGTCTGATGAGTTATATGTGAAAGATTGGTGGATTGAGATCTGCAATCTTGTGTTAGTTATAAACGAGAGTAAAATTCCACATATTACCTAGTCTTGAGGTGATATGTACACGCTTAGGTGTATATAATATATCACTGCGGAGGAGGTTGGAAAGGACAACAGACATTATACTCCCCAAGCCCCCTTCTCAAGCAATCCGGCCAAATCCAATTTATGTGCTTAACCGTACTCCCACGCTCCAAGCTCAACACCGGGGCGACATAGCTGTTATTAAACCTTGACGGCGGAAGTGTATTATTCGACACAGTAAAGTTATGTCTATTCTCATATGATGATAAAAATATAGTGATATTGTGGTAGTAGGTTCCAGTTAGTGGCTTTAGTTCGTTGTCATCGTCAGAGGGGTTTGGATCGAATGATGTCGGAACTGTCCCGTTTGGGAAGGCTTGGTAGGTGTAGGGGGGTAGACGGCCATTGCCAGAGACGTCGATAGCGATGTGCAGTGTCGCTAGGAAACATGATAATTAGTGATCGAGAAACAATCAAAGGTTTATAAATTTATTAAATATTTTATAACTTACCGCCGCCGAGTGGGGTGAATGGCTGTGGTGCGTCGACGATAGCCAGTCCTGGCGTGTAGATCTGCCCACCGAGGATCGTGAAAGTTCGAACGGCATTGGAGTACGCTGCCAGTGTGGCGCAAGTTATTGCGAAGAGAGAGATTGATTTCATGATCGATATATTTTATTTTGCAAATTACATCAGCGGTTAGGGAAATGAGAAATTGGGAATGAGTACACTCTCAAGCTGATCAATCAAGTAAACGAATGAAATCCCGGAATTTTGAAGATTCGGAAGGTATGATGTTCGAGAATCGAAGTTTGAAAGATTTACAGAACTTAGAAAGCCTTCGCCACAGATGATTTAATTTTAATAGTTGAGAGGTTGCTTCCCTGTACATGTTTCTTGAAAGGTTTCCAGCAGAGCCGGCTGATACTTGATCCGTGCAATCCATGTTGTGGATAAACAGGTTTCAATTATCAGTCCCTTAATTAATTAATTTTGGTTTTAATATTATGACGACTTTGTGTAGAATATTCGAATGGCTTGGCGGACAACGTCATTTCGATCTTAGACTGATTCTTCAAGATTAAAATCTATAGATATCAATTGTAAAATCATTAACCAATTTGAAGAACAAAATTGGAAGTAAGGCTGGGTTTATCAAGGTATATCGATATCGGTTCGCTTTCGACCGGAGTGATTCGAAATTAATAGTTTGTGCTGGTTCTAAATTGGGAGAAACGAGGGAAAAAGTGCAACATAAACAACACATCTCTTGGTACCAACATATGGAGGTCGAGATTGGGTGTTGCTGTATCCTAGCGTGTTGGACGGCCCGTGACGCCCGTAATCGAACTGTCCACCATTCCGGCCTGCAGGTGGCTATGGTCTCCCATAGGTTACTTAGTTAAGACTAGGAAAACGAAGGACTAATGCCTAAGTGCTTAAGTAGCTAAGTATTTACCTAGATAGCACAGAACTCGGTCCTTACCAAGATCATCCCTCTCGACACTTCGTTTAGATACACTGGCTCAGCCGGGGCCGGGGCTACAGCGCCAATACTACAGGCCTGCAGGTCGAAAAGGATGACTTCTTCTGAACACTTGGAGATTTGGCTAGTATGCGTATGGGAAAAGTATTTTAACCTCGTCTACGAGCCCTCGAGTGGTCTAACCATTTCTTGATTCCCTTCTTGAGGCATTCCCGATTGTCGATTTTAGCTATACTGGACACAATGTAAGTACTAATACTTGGCTGGTACAATTGCACAAGAATAAATTTCTTGCGAATGTAGGGCCACATAAGATTGATGTTAATATCAAGCAAAAAATATTGGAAATAGGTGAAATCATTGGTCGCGACGGAAACTTGTTGCCGAAATTTTCTCCATCGGCCTTGCCGCTTTTTTTTTGCATGGGTTTCAAAAATGCGATTTCAAGGTTTCCACCAGTGCAGTCTTTGGGGAGAAACTACTAGCTCAGCCCTAGATCCTTTCAAGTGCGTTGACCGAGATCCATGCACGTGCGAGCACCCCGCAAAGCTTGACTGCTGATTCTATGTAGCTAACATAGCTGAAATGAGCAAGGGAGAAATGATTCAACCAATTGCTTTTCGAGGAAGGGCTTCTAGAAACTGCAACTCTTACTGGCTGAGCAGCTTGAGCTATTGGGATTCTGTTTTTCCTTGCTTCGTTAATCTCGCAAACTTGAAGGTTCGGCGCCGTGCGACAGCTGATAAGAACCGATAGGTGAGCGTTTTATGCAGAAGCGGGCATCTAACAGTGATTGCGAAACGCGAAATTTCGATGGCTGCTCGGACCCACTTGGCTCGGGGTGGGGTAGGCTCGATGGTAGCCCCATGACCGACTCTGCGTGGAAGCTAGAGATACATAAAACTAGAGTCACGATCTGGTGCATCGCATTATACCGTCGTGGGTGGGATATGATTGGCTCCGATGGAGTTCCTTCATTAATAAGCTTAACTGCAACTACTAGTTGGTATATAATATACTGTCGGATCTTAGCAGAGTCCACAGCGGCAATATGATGGCAGTTATACTTCGAGACAGCCGCACCAGCCGTGCTTCTGAAGACCTTGGTTTGCCGTCCCACCCTAATAGAACATTCCATTATAGTGCCAGCCTAAGCCAAGTTATCTTCGTACGATCGTACCATTGGGGGCTGAATATGCCTCTCTTTGTGACATCTGGGAACGAGACCAGGCTGAATCCTTCTTGGTTATTTCTTGTCGATGCAAGCCAAAAGTTTAAATCTTTCAAGCTTTTATCAAGATCCTTGGTTGCTGCATGACATCTACTTTGGCTTAGTTTAAAACAATAAGAGAACTTCTGAGCGAAAAATGTGTGGGCGACCGTGCGCGATCTGGATATATAAAAAGGGCCGAAGGGAATCCGGGTTGGAGTTTCTAGATATCTGCCCCGTAGCTACTAGTACACAAACTATTTTCGTTATAAAACCATTACCATTGAAATATTCTCAAGCTCTTCACGCACCGTAATAAGCTCGTTTCCAGAATGGAAAACGTGTATGCAGGGCAATTTAGGCAATTATGGGAGGGTGCCTTCGAAATATATAAAAAGGAAACCGGTCGAGACCTCAGAAATGATGATCGGCTCCGTAAGTTAGGGAGTGTAGAAGATCTTATGGAGAACTTGGATCGGAGTGCGGATAACTTTTCGGAGTTTCGACGCAAACGTGAGAAATTTCGACACAACTTCATGAAGGTCCTTGGGCCGGTTATAGGCATCACCAATTTTATCAAGGATCTACTTCCGGGTACTCCTGGGGTTGTGGCTTCCCCGATCCTTGCAGCCGTGTCATATCTTGTTGAGGTACTGTATTGTATTCTAGGTTAATTGGGAAGTAGAGCGTACTTACTGATGTCTTCAATTGTCCAAATATTATTATAGGTCGGCGGGAAGGTATCACAAGCCTACGACTATATCGAAGGAGTATTCTCAGAGCTTGAGGAGTTTTCAGGTCGACTTGAAGACTACATAGCCGGCGGGTTTGATAAACGTTTGGAAGGGAAGATAACCGCAATTCTCACTTTGTAGGTTGACATATGGCAATCGGACTAGATCGGGAATTTCTATGGAAACCCAGGGCTAATGATTACCTAAACATGAACAACCTATAGTTTCATAAAAGTCATCGGAAAGTAAGATCCAAATACCCACATCATCATATCACATCTATCATTACTGGGTTTAAGGACAGCTAAACTCGAACAATCGGCGTATGTAGGTCGGAGAAGTTGATCTTGAAGGGTCGCTTCAGATTATATCTTGACAAGGCATTCCTCGGGGCCGACGAGGCAACGAAAGGAATGTTGGATGAACTCAATCGACTGATCAAAACAGAGCAACAAAAGGTTGTCTCATCAACTTATGCATCTGTTAAAATAATTCAACGGGATATGGTTGCGAACCACAATGCTCTCCGGGAAGGTATTGAAGCGGCCGAAGAAGGAATTCGCAAGGATATAACTGCGGCTGGGGAGGATATCAAGGGTGATATTGCGAATTACTATAAAGGTTCGTCCCCAATGTTATAAAGGTTTATTAAAATAGAATTGATATAACTCTTCCTGAAGAGTCTGTCAGTAGGGCCGATGAGCAAAAGCTTGAGGAGACATTGAAAGTACCAATTCTGTCACGAACAATTGAACTTTATGGTGAATTCAAAAGAAGATTGGTACCGGGAACAGGCGCTTGGCTTCGTAGGGAAGCAGCATACACCGCATGGTTTGCCGGTGAGACATCTCTTTTGTTCATCATTGGCGAGCCTGGGTCTGGCAAAACCCACTTGGCGACTTCTATTATCAATGAGGTTCAGGAACGATTCTCCCACAACAAGGATGGGGGGCCTGGAGTCACAGGGCCTATTCCAACTGCTTTTTTCTTCATTAGAGAATCGGATACACAGCTACTCAATGTTAACGAAATGCTGAAGGCTCTTGCCTATCAAATTATTGAGTCTGACCCGCTGTTTAGGAGGCATGCTATCGAGGTCTGCAAGTCCTCCTGGAATACAATGACAGCAGAGGATACCTGGAAGAACCTCTTTCAGCGGTACTATCAGGAAATAGCGACTGATGCATCAGTAGTCATTATCTTGGATGGCCTTGATGAAGCTCCGAAAGCTGATCAACAAATAATAGCTAATATTTTAAAGCCTTCTAGCGCTGATAGTGAGCCACAAGGCCGTGGAATACAGTTTGTGGTTCTAGGGAGGCCTACGATACGCAATAGCATCCCGTCCAAGGCCGAAAACTCTATTATCAAAATCTCAAGGGACCAAAACCGAGATGATGTTGAACGATATATCGACACAATGTTATCACAAGTAGTCGTTCTAGAGAAGCTGAAGCGTTTTAATCGCGCTGCTGCTGAAGTGGAAACCGCAAACCTACGAGTTAAAATCTCACAACAATCAGAGGGAGTCTTCTTGTGGGCGCAACTTCTCCTCGATCATATTAAGTCCATGGACCTTGACGGCATCAAGAACGCTCTGTCTAACCCACCGAAAAACGTTACGGCCATGATAAATGGTCTTCTAGAACGCCTTGCCGCCGAAGAAGCAGAGGACCTTGACTCATTTCGAAAAATGTTAGCTTGGGTCGCTTGTTCGCGAAGACCATTATTCTTTGGAGAACTCTTACTCATAATGTGCCTCCCGAGTAAGCTCCCAAGGCTCCTCCTTTGGGAGTCTCTGAATAACAAGTTCAGCACCATGTTTCACTTGAACATGCCGGATGGTTTTATATACCGTGAAGAGGAAGAGGAGGAGGAGCCAGAATTCTCAGAAGTGGGTGATGTAGACCCGCAGCAGTATAATCCATCACATGTTTATTTAGACGGGCCTTCGACCGACCTTCAAAACGCTGATGGTAGCTTCTCCTCCGGCCAAGGAGATTTAAAGCTAAGTAATGAAGGAGCAGAAACCAAATTAAAGGCCGAAGGAGAACTCCCCCCTCATAAATCAGAGGGAGATGGGGACGCTGAAGGTGACAGCGACAATGAGAGCTCTGTGGAGAGTACCGTTGAGAGTAGCACCGACGATAGCGAAGAAGGGGGTGTAACTGGCGATATCCAGGAGGATAATTTTAGCGATCTATTGGAAAATATCCTTGGAGATGAAGACTTAGGATTTTTAGAGTGGGAGCTTTTCGGGTTCATTGAGAGCTTAGAAGAGGGCCAGCTGAAAACCGAGGTCAATTTTTCCCATCAGCAGTTTCGCGACGTGCTACTCCAGAACCCACCGGATCCAACTTCAGCTATCAAGCTTGATCTTACGGATTGCTATTTGATGATGGCGATATCCTGTTTCGATATTCTCAAACTTGATTCCTGGTCGTCACATGACATGCGTATACTGCCTGTCCTCCTTGACTATTCCCTCCGTAACCTAGCTTACCATCTACAAAAGGTCGAAGTCGGTGCCCTTGCCGATGATAAAGAGAATGCAATTAGATTGATCAAAGATATTTATTGGCTTTTCCACGAAGATGCCGGAAACCAGACCTACTTTCAATTCCTCTACAACAACAATGATCTCTGGGCTGATCTCTGGGCGGTCTGGGTTCCATCTAATATGTACTCTTCAGCAGTGAGAAATATTCTCAAGTTAGCTGGAAAGTATCAGGAATCCTTCGATCCTCAAGAATTGGAATGGATTAACCAGGCGGCGTCCTCAGCAAAGTCTCTTTTCCAACCCTGGATGACTAGCTGCGCCAGATTCTGGCTGGAAAGGCGAGGGCATGGTGATCCGAAAATGTTCGACAAAGGGCTACATTATTGTTATTTCTTGCATGCTTTAGATTCCATGGTAATTTCTCCCTACATTTAGATACCATCTGGGTGGATCTATAGTGCTAATAAAACTTTAGGATGATGAGGGGAATATAGGATCTTTAGAAATCCAGGCGTTCTCTTATCGATGGGGAAATACGGGGCCCCTGACCCCAGAAAGAATTCGCTCCCTAGCAAACTATGCCACGGAGTCTGTTCGAGACACAGTACATTGGCATTCAATAATGGCATGGACGCTAGCCATCGCCGACTATCCAGCTGATGCGATCCCCGTGTTCCAAAAAGCGGTCGAAATTGATTCTAATGCCTGGCTTGCATACGAGGGACTCGCAAGAGCATATGCTGATATGAAAATGTATAAGGAAGCTATTCCTGTAATGGAAGAAGCTTGCAGAGCCGTCACCGGTATTTGGGACCTTTCAAAGCAATTCTACGCTGATATAGCTCAATGGAAACGTAGACTTGGGGATAATGCCGGCGCACTGGAGGCCGCGAAAGTTGCCTACCTTGGTTCGTCCTTCAGTCCGCCGACAGTTTTTAGCTACCTAGATTGTCTTGGAGCGAATGGGCAACATGATGAGGTGTTGAGCATATTGCAAAGTTTATCCCGCGAGACTGACGGAGGGTATAAAAAGTCACTTCTACTTATGACTTGGCCATATCTTGATTGGGATCCATTTGATTTGCTCGAAGGAGTATTTCAAGCAATTGGAAAAGAGAAGCTAGGATTCTTGATCGAGGATGTAAAGGCTGCATTGGAGAATGTGCTAAGCTCGGCCAATGATTGGAAAAAGAGATGGTTCTGCTGGAAGACAGCACGTATTGTATACGAATATGAAGAATCACCTAACCTAGAATTCGTCGTTCAAAACTATGAGATGTCTTTGGACCTCTTCGGCAAGATGTTTAACAATACAGAAGAGGAGATAAGAGACAAGCGACATATCACGAATTTCTTGGCGATGCAATATTATGACAGTGCTGTCGCAGCTTTCAAATCGGGGACTAGTCCGGACGGATACGTCAAAAAGTTGAGAGATTTAGCAACAAGCACTACTACCTCTTCCGGAACGGATGCACAGGAAACTTTCGACTTCTACGGTCCTGGTTATCCATCGGTCTTATGGGGCCGTTGGAGACAGATTTTTGAGCAGGCAAAGAAGGTCAAATGGAGGAAATGTTTTAGACCACGAGTTCTTGAAGAACTTAACATGCTCGACGACGAAAACCCCGAGAATGATACAGCTGGCGTATACAATCTTGCGATAACTTTACTACAGGCGGGAGACGATAGAAATGCTTCGGGACTTCTGACAATATTATTTAGACCCCTCCGGGCTCTGCGAATTAGGCCGGAAGGTCAATCTGATACAACGGTTCCTGCAAATGCAGATAATACCTCCCGCCCAGCACTCACCACGGCACTTACACTCAAATTGACTGACTGCCACAAATGCTCTGGGGATTGTTCCGATAAGTTGGGATATGAATCATTATACATGTGTGCGGTGTGCCCAGGAAGAAATTTCTGTGGTGGGTGTATCGACAAGGTGAAGGCCGGCACTCTGGCTAGACGGGATTGTAACTCGAATCATGAGTGGCATAGAGCTTGGCCGTCAGATGAAAAACGGTGGAAAAAAGTGGCAGACGAAAGTGAAGATGGGCATCTTGTCATAAAACCCTCGTGGTTGGAAGAGATGAGGGGGAAATGGCGGTAATGAAAGATTTTAGACTTTTTTGAGGTAGCCGTATGTATGTTTGGTCATATATTGCCATAAGAATTATGTTAATTGCAAGTATTAATATATTGTGTACCCAAGTAATTATCAATTGTCTTAATTCTTTACATAGACTTATCTCGCACACTAGACTGGCTAGTTTCAACTATATATATAAACGGCTTTTCTTTCATATTCGAAATAGCTATAAATATATAATTCTGGCTTCCAAGATAATCCGAGACCCAACCCTGATATAAATTTATTCATATGAGTTTTCCAACGGAATACAATATTGGAACTCGAGCTAAGGATTTAAATATCTGATTGTTACGTTAAATAAATCTTCACAAGCGAATTGCGGCCTAGAATACGAGATTGGTCTTTTCCACCGTGTTCTACAGACCAAGCTTCCCATGGATCTTAGTGTTGGACGCCTTAATTTAGCGAATCTGTCGAAGCTGCCATTTTAGCTTGCCACCTGCAGGACCTGACATACCTTGTGATCAACTTAGTTGCCAATCGATTAAAATATTATTAATTTAAACCGTATCTGAACCTGGTATATGTATCTATATTATTTATGACATCGCCAGTTTGATTAGCTTGTTGTATAGAGTTTGTAACTACTTATCTATTAAGTACCTTATTGATAATAATGGCGCCACGGCTGTCCTCGGCTGTTGTTTTTCGTCCTTTGAAGGCAAATGCAACCATAGACCCACATATGCACATAGCGATGCATTCCTGAGATTATCGTTAGCTAGGTCTGACGGATACCGGCTGGTTCGATATCGGTACATTTGAATTAACTTTAAACATGCCTGTTGGAGGAAGTTGCAGTGCAGTGCATTACACGAGAAGGCTTGTTGACGTCAAGACATACGTTGCTTAATTGACTTCGGAAAGCTGCCAGTTAAAATTACTCAATCTCAACGTAAGACTTTTATATATAGATATATATATATATATATCAGGATCTAGTTCTTTCATGCAATGAGCTTTGGACAATCAAAAAGGCTGTGATCGCAACTGCCTTGTTTTATTGCCGCCTGCTTGGTCTGGGAATTTTCGGTGGTGGAGCCGTCAATGCTTAAGCTTGTTTAGTCTCAGGCTAAGCTTCCCCACACCTTTGCGGTTTTGAACTGAACCAAGGCTAATTAAGCTAAGCATTCGATTCCAGCTACTTCGACGTCAAGGTGACCACCTGTGGGTCCGTCAATAGAACCGAACCTGTTCATTTTGGCTGGTATCGATACCCAGCGGAGCCTGTTCGATTGCCGGTCGACGTCAACAACTGAAATTGACAGCCTGCTAAGTGCGATCGAAGCTGAGCTGTACATACGTCGTGAGAAAGCTGGCTGTGGCATTGGTCGTTTCGTCACATGATCACATCGAAAGCATCTGCTAAGACCAGCCTTGCATGAGCTTCATCGTAGGTACCGCTAGGAACCATCGAATCAAGTGCAGGGTCCTCAGCTTGTTTTCGCATTTTCTATCGCCTCCTCCTCTCCTTACTACCCGCTGTTACCCAACTAGAATCCATGATCCCAGCGATGAAGAGGGCCACTAGACATTCCTCCCGACAACCCCGTTAATTACGTTAACTGCAGCTGCTTCTCCGCATATTATAACCATCACGAAAAGGAAAAAAAAGGATGCGTACGTGCATCTGATCACGGCCCATATCATTCCCGAAGGGGCAGGTCCAAGCGGTCCTCTCGAAGCAGCCTTTTTGGCGATGTGTAACGAGATCACACACAGATGCATGATGGTCTTCCCTGACCCGAAAACGTGGGGTTTGTTACGGTTTCTGGTAAGCTGGGATTACTTTCCCATGGACAGGGGTCTAATGCTACATGGGGGTTGATTGATACTATTCCTCCTTGGATAGCAAGGTTGCTGCAGATGGTGGGTTTAAGTCTCCGCTGATACGTACAAACCCGATTACAAGGCGAGCTCGACGAGTACTTATGTACGATGCAAGAGAAGTATCATGAAGGCACCAAATGCATACGGAAGCCCCTCAGTCAGTGGCTGGAAAAGTTACAAGACATCCAAGTACCGTTTGGCATGTTTGCTTCGAGACAGATGCCGTTCTGAGCGAACGGCGCAGGTCCAGCCAGCCATTCGCGGATGAAGCCGCGGTCACTTGCCCTCGTGAGACCGCTGTTGGAGCTGGGAAAACCTTCGGGACCCTTTAAGCTTAAGCTGTCTCACCGGCTTCTTTTCCCTCTTTCTTGAACCGACCCGGTCTTCCCTATCTCGGGAGTTTTTTTGTTTCTCTTTTATTAGACTGAACTCTGACAAAGATTTCTCTTCCGGATTTCCTTCATATAATATACCCCGTCTATCTCCCCACTTCGTAACATTTATTGCATCCATCTTCATCACTGCTACTCCAGGTACTCTGACTGCTCCCATAGTTACTATACAGTGACTGGATCAAAAGTCAAACATCTCGAACCCCAATTCGACCAAGCAACCCCCGGTCTTCCATCGACCCGACAACGCCAACACCAACAACTCAATCGGCCCCTCAGTATCCGCAAGATCTCGAATTCGACTGACAACGTTGAAGGGAATTTTCCTTTTTTTAAAAGAAAAAAAGAAGATATTCGAAGAGAAAAGGAAAGAGAAATACGATATTTGATATCACTTAGGTTTTGTAAAGATTAGATCCTCAGTAGTCTAGATCCTACAATCCTATTCCTATCCTATTCCATTCACCCCGCTTCGTAGTTTTATCATCGTCTTTTACTTGTCGAGATCTTCCATCCAATTTATAAAAAAAAACCAAAAAAAGAAATCGCATTTCAAACACCGTGATCGATTTTTCTCCTCCTTCCTTCCCCTCCAAAATCTCCACGCAACCAACTAGTGGCACAGAGTTGCACCAAGATCAATCGAGGAAAAAAACCACCCAGCATGGCGAATCCCAAACCATCATCACATTCAAAACTTGAAATCACCAGACTCGAAGCCGCAGATATCGACGCCGCGATCGAGACAATTCAACTCGCTTTCGCCGGTGACCCGTTCGCTGATTGGATATACGACCGCTCTAAATTCTCGTCGAAACGAAATCATGCCTCACTTACAATTCGTATGAAGTGGGGTATGCGAAATGGTCACATCTATGTCGCGCATACTCCGGAACGTAAATGTGCTGGTGTAGCAATGTGGGTTGGTCCGAAACCGCTGGAGGAGGGACCTACTTGGGATGACTGGTGGCAGGATTGGATGTTGTGGTTCAGACAATTGGGTATGAATACGAAGTTTGGGAGGGGTGGATTGAAAGTTAAGGTATGTACACATATACCCTCGTACGATTTAATAATTAAAATCTGGGCTAACGCATCTGGAAATTTACAGCGCTACTACCTCTGGAAAGAATCGCAATCGAAACTACAATCCTCAGTCTGGACAAACCCCGAAGGGTACTGGTTCTGTAATATCCTCGCAATCCACCCTGATTGCCAAGGAAAAGGCATCGGAAAGAAACTCATGAACGAGGTTTTCGATATCGCAGATTCAGAAGGCATCCCCTGTTACCTCGAAAGCTCGAAGTTTGAGCCCAATGTCAAGATTTACGAGAAGATGAAGTTTAGGTTTGTGAAGGAGGTTAAGTGTGATGATGGGGATGGTGCTTGTACTCTGTTTAGCATGATCAGAGACGCTCCGATTAAGGGTGGAGAGGAAGAGAGTTCTAGTGAATCGAGTGAAGAGTCTGGAAGGGATGTCGACGCTATTGTTGATGCCGTTACTCCTTAAACTCGATATGAACGAAGAAGGGCTAGTAGAGAAGCAATATTGATGTTTGAATTCGCGACAGTCTTTTCCGCGATATTTACTACTTTCTTTATATTCCTTGTCTTTGACAGCGTTTTATCTTCCAAAGCGACAGCACGAAATACAGAAAAGAAGAGAAGAGAAGAAGAAAAACAAACACACAACCGGCGCAAATATCTTCGGTTTGGCGGGAATATATACCAGACGAAATACCTGCATTGAGTTTGATGGTAAGGGGGTTCTTGGGAGCAATACCTGTTCTTTGAGTTAACTTTTTTTTTTCTCTCCTGTGTCTTTATTTCTTTTTTTGGTTGTTTCTGTTTACGAGGAGCGTATGGGAAGCAGTGGTGGGAGATACCGATACCCGGCCATGCGGCTTTTTGTCTTTGATAGTTATAACTCTTTGTTTTTACTACACTTTGTACGATGGCAATATTGGCGATATAAGCCTTTATGATATTTTTTTTATATATCAGAACGAGAAAGTCTCAATGAATCTAGTCAACCTAGGCATCTAAGAACGAAGTCTGGTTCAAGACGGCATCTACCCTACGTAATAGTCTCGTAGCTTGAGACTAACCTGTAACAAACCCGCTTGAATTAGTGTAATAGTGCTATGATAAAGGGTCTATACTCGTGGGACCGTCATGCTTTAATATGTAACGCTTCGTATAAATATTCGATTCTACCCTCTATGAATATATAGGATCTTAGAATGAGGTCACTGACGACTCGAAGACAGATCACTGAAAGTTTACAAAAGCACCGCCATCTATCGTTGTTCTCTTATTAGCGAACCATACAGGAATCAAAAGGGTCTAATTTGGTGACTTACCGACTAATAACTGTGCCCCAGTCTACATAGTCAAATTAAAGTTAGTGCCTGAGGCCTGAAAAAGAAAATACCGGGTTGGTTAAAGGATTTGGAAAGCAGATATACTTACCATGTACCTGGAAAAGTCGCTTGCCAAAAACACCACGGGTCCAGCGATATCGGTTGGATCCCCTAGTCTTCCCAGAGCCATTCTCCCCTCCATGTACTTCCTCTTCTCTTCATCTTTCAAATCCTCTTCGTTCAGTCTCGTCCGAATGACTCCCGGTAGTATAGCGTTACACCTGATTCCATACTGTCCCAACGCACATGCTGCACTCTGCATTAAACTCAGAACACCCGCTTTCGTAGGTGTATAATGTGTCTGTCCAGCTCCACCAACCAATGCCGAAATAGAAGATATAGCAATGATACTCCCACCTTTACCGAAAGACTTCATAGCATTCGCAGCAGCCTGAGTCGAATAATACGCCCCATCCATATTTACAGCGCGATGTTTCTGGTACAATTCCGGTGGCAAAGACAAAAATTCATGAAAATCACATATCCCAGCGTTAGAAACGAATATATCCAACTTTCCAAATTTCTCTATTGTCTTTGCGATGAATTCTGTGGATGTTTCCGGTTGGGAGATATCTCCGGGGACGTTTATGAGGATTGTGTCGATTAATGTGGGGTCTGGGAGGGTGGCTGCGATTTCGGATTTTAGGGAATCGAAGGATTCTTTGGAGGAGGCGTCGTCAAGGTGGTTTACGGAGACGGTGGCGCCTTGGTGGATTAGTTCTTTGACTATGGCACGGCCGATACCTGTGACGCCACCGGTGATGGCGGCGGCTTTGTAGGCTAGCAAGGTGGTAGTTGGGTATGGCTGGGGTTCGTATGACGACATTTTGAAGGTAATATATAATTGATCTAAGTATATTCCTAGCAGGTAGGTAAACTTGAATGACAGTCTGTGATGCAGAATATTCTGAAGTCCGGGAATGATATGGTTTTACGAGAGGAAGGGGAGTTTTTATATGGGCTTTGCGGGGTGGAAGGAGCATCGTCTCGACGGACCTGAAGGTTTTGGTGTTGAGCGGGTAGTTCCCACAATTTCTCGTCTCGAACTCGTCTCGACGTCTTTATCCGTGAACCCCGGCGAAACCACAAATGGCGATTGGTGGACGTGGGAGTTACCGCCGGTAGCACAGCATGCGGGAGGTTTGAATTCTAGATCTCGAAGTATTATATTACTTCTTTTGTACTCTCTAGATCTAAGTTTGGTGCTAGCAAGTTCGAGGTCGAGGTCTACTAGTCAACTCTAATATGTGTATATCTATTGCAATAACATAGCTAAGGACCTTGGTTTCTAAACCTCTCTTTGAAGCCTTGACAGGACAAAATTGCAAAATACAAGGTCTACAAGATATCCCAAGAGGTATGGAGGTCGTTAATATATCCTGCTGAGGTATCCTTTTTAATATGAGTATCGTGCGGTTTCCTTTCGAAATCGCCGTTTTATGTTCCAATTTTAATACGGGACCACCCTAATTGCAATCCCACGATAAAGGCATTGGTCTATTCGACAGCCCCATACTTGTGGACTATTTAACTAGGCCATAGGTGAAGGTCCATTGCTCTGGATTATAGCTACTGAATACATTTATATATGCGTATACGCCGAAGTTGGTTTCAAGAGGTTTAGGGCCAGGGTCGAGATCCGCCGCTAGGAAGATCAAATTTATAAAGCCCATACTTACTTAAGTAGGCAAAGACAAGACATAAGAAGAAAGTGTATTAATATTATGTAGATGCGATAAAAGAATATCCACATTGGTCCGCCTTGGTCTTCTAATTCGCCTTACTATTCTACGTCTAGTTTTAAAGTATCTAATCCTTTTATTCACAGCCATCTACCTAATTAATTAATCTCATTATAGACAACAAGCTTCAGGGGAGTCATAACCAAGTCAGGGCGCAGGCTTCAAGCTTCTGTGTGTTGTGCTGTCTGCATTCCAGAACTCGCTCCAGGATACGTACGAGTCATCTGGCCAATATCCAATGCAGCATCCACTAGCCCACCTGAAATCTTTAGAAACATACACGGATTTGCTTTAGCGTCTGACTTTCACGTGCGCACGTGTAATGCTTGTGGAGTCATCGCGTGCGCCGGTTCTGAGCTGAGTTTACAAGCGACAATAGAAGCTGTACAAGCTTAAGGTTGTGGGAACTAGTACTAGCTATGGTGGTTTTGCTGGCTCGTATAAATGTTATAAATTAACGTTATGTACAGTCGCCTGAATATTATCTTCGATCGAACACTTACCTATAATATAATACGTCAAATGCAGCATTGAATTCTCTTACTTTTCTACTCTTAACTTATACCTGCTTAAGTAGACAGAATCGAATCATCGCGAAATATCGAAATGTCTCTCGTATCCCTCCCACAAGAATTAGTAGACATGATCTTTGCAGAAGGTCTCCGGGTCTCAGATCTTGGTAAAATCCGACTGCTATCCAAAGATCACAATGCCAGATTCGGCGGACTCTTCTGGGACCGGACTCAATTTTTCAAAACCGTCCGAGTTAGACTCCTACCCGGAAATATCAACAAGCTAGTTGCTGCTACTGAGGGGTCCGAAGTATTGCCCTATTTGCAACATGCCACTATATCCGCAAGCCAATTCTGGTACAGCCGTTCACGCCGGGACGAGAAATTAGACCCTGAAGTCGTCCCGTTACTGACCAAAGCGTTTTCAATTATGACATCTTTAAAAACTATTGATGTTGAAGTTAATAATGGAACGAATGCTATTGGGTTCTGGAAACCGACGATAGATGCGATTATTGCGGCTGGAACAAAAAATATCGAAACAATCAATGGTCCTGTAGCTGCCATTCAAATGTCGAAATTCAAACCGCTCGCAACCGCAAAACTGTTGAAGGATTATAAAACCACTTTCTGCAACCTGAAAACTTTAAAAATTCAAACATCGGTTCAGATCGAAAATCCTACGGCCACGACACACTTTTGGTCGATTATAGCCGCCATGGGGACTAAACTTGAAAATCTCACCGTCAAAAACTCACGAGTCTGCTTTAGGGATGACCCCACCCCTGGCAAAAGCTCCTCATACCAATCCAAAGGCTTCTCTCTTCCCGAGTTAAAAAGGCTTAAACTCGTGGATGTTGCCATTACGTCGGGAGATTTAAAGGCTCTCTTAGGAAACTCTGATGGCATCGAATCCATTAGTATCAATGAATGTCGGATGCCGAACGAAAAGGATGATTGGTTCGAAGTTCTGAGATATCTCAGAAGCGAACGGTTTCCACAGTTAAACTCGCTTTATTTAGCCATGAGCGCATGCTATAATGAAGTCTCCTATGACCTTCCAAAATTCAGCATTGAAGGAGATTGGACGACAGAGGATTGTTCTGTTACACTACCATCCGGGAAACGCGCCAATTACGTTTGGAAGAAAAACCTATGGAGGGAGCTTGGAAAGCACAAAACTGTAGACAAATTCTGGAACTCGGTCACGGATAAGAAGTGGAAGTCGAAACAAGCGACACGATGGAAGAGACGGCGGTTGGTTAACGATGGGTGGAAGCTTGAAATGAGACAATTTGGGGACCCTGATTATATTGATGATGATGATCCTTGGGTTCGAAGAGTGAACGATAGATATCAAGGGGAGCTTGATCTCATCGACGCAGAGGTTGATGACTGATTTTTTTCAAACGATTTGTCTCATATGTATATACCCAGGCCTGGAAGCAAAGGATTAAATATACTAAAAGGCGACAAGAAGGACAAAAAAAAGACATGCATTGAAGCAGGATATTTAGCTTTTCATTATATATCATGTAGTCATACAAAATTCATTCCTCATAGACGATACCACGCCATTATACATTAACTTGCTGCTCATCAACATCAACCAAAGTTACAGAATTCGCCCGAAAGACCCTTCCTACTGTTGCAGTTTCAATCTTGAGATTCTCCACTTCCTCTTCATCGTTATCATCATCCCCTCCACTGGCCCCCCATTGTTCCACCCAAGCCTTTCTCAAACTAACAGGTACATCGTCGAAATTGGTAAAATTCAAACAGCCCGGATCCTCGCCCCCAAGAGGATTGATACCGGCTGGATATGTTAACCCTAGGTCGATTGTACTCCCATAGAGCACGGCTACATCGCCATCTTCGGTGTCATATTGGCTGTCATCGGAGTCGCCATATTCGTGGGGGTATATTAATTCGTCATCGCCTTCTTCTTCTCCTTCACTATCGCCCGAATTATAGAATAGTGGAGAGGGTAGCGTAGAAGTGGGATATGAGGGGACTTCGCTTGTAAAGAGGGCGGACAAGCTCGAGGTAGATTGTGTCCGGGTGGGATGTGTCATTTTTGAGTCCGGTGATGTAGGTGGGTATACAATATATATTGGACCGAAAAGACCGTGTTTAAGAAAATCAACAAAGGTCTAGAGCAAAGGTCTAAGGAGCTAGGTCAAATGATCCTTGGATTTTCTCTAATTTTGATTACGACTGGTTGAGTTTTTATAGGATTCTCGTGGGACCACCCAGACATACGACACCTAGAGGGCTTTCTCAGCTGACTATGTCGTTTAGTCCTAGAATTCGGCGCAGTAAAACGATTTATTGAGAGCTAAAGCAAACCAGCTTAATCGACTCACAGGGCTTGTACTATATATAGACTATCTTGTAAATGAACAAAGACATATTCTATAAGGGGATTTCAACTTTCCTATGTGGTAAATATTTTGAAACAGGATAATGGAGTTATGAAACAAAATGTCTGTAGGCTAGCTGCGCCACGTGCCACTTATTCTACGCTAGGTTCCGGTATTCGTGAAATTCTGACATCATTGCGAGAAGCATTGACTAGAAATAAGGACGTCTTTTGAATTTGATCTTCAGGCTCCTAAATGCATTGACATCATGGTGGAGCATGGAGTGATAACTGGATGCATTGAATCCCTGGTCGCAATCCGCCTAAACCAGATGTGTTGGCTATGTGGTTGGTTGAACCCCGGCTATCTAACCGTGTCACCTTGGAAGCTAAGCTCCACGACACCCAACTTCAACCTCAACTTCGTCTTTTCCATTATAGTTATCGACCATCTCGCCCTCGCGATTGCGTCGCTGATGCTAGCCAATGGCGCACAACCGACACGGTAGCCTTAATGGCACCGTCGACCCCTCCAAGAACCCCACCCACAACCAGAACGACGAAACAGAAGATACCCACTCGGACGACGAGCTCTCCACCACCTTAACAAGCATCGACCAAGCCTCCACCGTGTCTGAAATTCAAGAATGTCTCGCAAACCTTACCATTCAAGAATCCAAGATATCCTCCCGTCTTTCTGCTTTACTGGCTTCCCAGGATGAGCTCTCCCGTGAGCTGTCGAGATTGGACCTTATTCGAGCTAGGCTTGGCACTCAAGTTGTCGCTGCTCGAGGTCTATCTGCTGGGATGTTGTCCTCGGCGTCTAGTACAGCCTCTCGTATATCTTCTGCTGTAAAGCAGCTTGATATTGAACAGGAGAATGTGCGCCAAACGCTTTCCTTCGTCGAAGCAGTCGTTGAGCTCAAAACCTGCGTTCTTGGGGTCTCGGGCAGTATGGGTGCCGCGCAGGATTGGGAAACTGCTGCGAATTACCTCGCTCGCGCAGCATTAGTACCAGAGCATATTTTACATTCGGAATTTGCGGAGGAAATGGTTCCTACATCCGAAGAACCGGAGCCACCGTCGAAAACTTTGTCGAACGCTGCGGAGAGTTTGTGTGGATTGTTCTTAAGAGAATTTGATAAAGCTGCTAAAGCGGGTGATGGGGAGAAGATTACGAGATATTTCAAGTTATTCCCATTGATTGGAAGGTCGGACACTGGACTTGAGGTTTATGGTGGATATGTGTGTAGAGGGGTAGCGGAGAGGATGAGGGCAGTAAGGGGTAGAAAGAACGACGGGCCGTCATTTTATGCAGGATCTTTACAATCGCTGTTTGAGTACATGGCAGGGCTAGTGGAACGACATACCCCGCTAGTAGAAAGGCATTATGGAGTTGGAAGAATGGTGAAGGTTATCGATAAACTGCAAATTGAGGTTGATACGCAGGGTGGAATTGTGATTGATAGCTTTTGGGAAGAGAGGAGCATTCAGAGAAAGCTTTCGGACATCAAATCCTACGCTTTCTCTTTCCTAGTTCAATCTTTCTTGTCCACACCATCAGTCTCTGCTGGGACTCCTCGAAGCAGTTCGCCACGCCCAGGAGCTCTAGGCGCTGGGCGAAATAGTGAAGATGATAGCGTCGATGTCAAAGAAATCGATAGCCATCTCAATGAACTAGGGGTTATGCTGTCACGATGGTCGCTTTACTCACGCTTCATAGCCCGGAAATGCCTCCCTCCACCTACAGAGCCGCCTACTTCGCCAAATGGCAACTCTCCGGAAGCACCTCTGGTCATACCACCTGTCATTAAAAAATCGGTCCTCTCTACTAGGGTCGATGCGAAACTATCAACCCCCTTCGAAGTTATGACTACGTTCTTCTTCCGCCGTTCCGTCGAGAAAGCCTTTCAACTAGATGAACTACCTCCAGAACTCCACTTGAATCCGTCAAGACCGCTGAGAAATACCACAACACCATACATCACCTTATCTGTCGACGACGTCATGTACCTCGTCCGCAACGTCTTGAAACGAAGTTTATCAACACTATCATCTGGTCTTGTTCTTAAGATCATTGCCTCAGTGAAACGAATATTGGAGGGCGACTTTGTCGGCATGATGCAGCGACGAATGCAACACGATAGCTATCCAAAGAGCAATAACGTCAATTCACCACCACCGGATGACAAGGTCATCGCCTTTTGCGTATTGACGAACAATCTGGACGTTAGTATTGACTACATTACTCGAATTATTCAAACATTCCTGGAACCATCCGAGGATAGCCATGCGAGTGGGCCTCAACAACCTGGGAAGGAGAAAGAAGGGTTAGAGTCACAATTCCCGTTTGTAGGAGAGGCGGATAGTGTCAAGAACGCGCTAAAATCGCTAGTGAATGGATTTACATTAAGAGCGGGGAATTTACACGATAATGCAATTGAAGTTATCTTCAATCAAGTGATTCGACCGCGGTTACGACCGTTGATGTCAGAAAGCTTCTCGGGTATAGAGTATATAGTCCGAGAAGCGGATTTGAATGGAGCCCATCAGGGTGATGATGAAAGTGACGGAGAAGGAAGGGGGGCTAATGCGGTTACATCTCGGTTTGCGGCCGGGTTTCATCACTTGGTATTCCCGCTGAAGAGAATTCTGACGGCAAATAGTTATGACAAGTTGCTGAGAACGACGGCGACTAGTGTTGCTAATCTGTTAGCCAAAAGGTTATGGGGATTGGCGGGGAAGATTAATGAGCTTGGAGCGATTAGGTTGGAAAGAGACGTCAGTGGGGTTATTGGTGTCGTGGTGAGAGAGGGGAAGTACGGATTGAGAGATGAGTTTGTGAAGGCGAGTGAGATCGTGATGATCTTGAACATGGAGGAAGATGAAGTGGTAGAAATATTAAGGAAGGATAGTGAAGCTGAAGAGGAGAGGGATGCGGAAGGGGAGTCAGCGGAATGGAGACTGACGAGAGAGGAAAGAAGACGGGCTAGAGGACTGCTCAAGTACGAGGGCAGATAGAATCATATTTGCTGATTTGGGGAGAATCCAAAAGTTGGGCATTTAGCGGTGTATATTTGTATCATATGATGCTCTAATGCTGAAAACATGTGTGGTATCTAGCAGAGACTTTTTCACGTCGCTGATAATATCAAATAATCTTTTTTATATATGACTAAATCATATCCTCTTCTTTCTCCAACCTAGACTCTCAACTAGTTCCCTCGTCTGTAGTGCCGTACAAAGTGCGCTGTCTACTCGATTAATACCTTCCTCGCGAAAGATACCCAAACTAACCATTCCTAGACAGCTGTGCAGGACATCAGGTGGAGCACCAGCCCACTTCCCGAACCCGCCGATTCGATGCGCTGTGTCTTCAAGTAAATACTCGCGATTGCTCTCCGAATTTACAAGATGTGCTTTTTTCAGTAGATCTAAAGAACCAATCACCCAGAAGCTATAACAGGTATCTGTACGCTTGTTATCGCGGCCGTTAAACCCGTTATGTGCATCCGATGGTGGGAACGGTGGGGGTGGTGGGGAGATATGAGAACCTGAGTCAAAGGATTCGGGGTCTGTAGGTGCGTTTTGACGAGATAGAAGCCAATGTAAAGTTTTAGAGGGGTTCGGAAGGCCAATTGGATACGATACTGGTTTTTTAGGTGGGTGGAGGCGGTCAAGGAGGGACAGGGCTGAGATTGCACAGAATGTGTGGCCGGCTGTGTATAATACATAAACCATCAGCAATGAGCTATAACCGGTGAGAGAAGAAAAAAATATTACCATGGGATTCAGCGCCCGGACGGCTTCCATATCCATAATCATATGCCTCGCAAGATTGAATATAACGTACTGCCTGGTCGACATCGATATCCCTCACCTCACGCGATAAACTACCTTCCTCACCTCTTAACAACCACCGTACCGCCGCAGCAAGGTAAACAAACCTCGGATCTCGTGTCGCAGTATCTTCTTTCTCATCTATACCACTATGCATTTCCGCAAAGCTTCCGTCGGCACGTTGTAACGTAGCCAACCATTCCAACGTATCTTCGCGAGTAACACGCGTTAGATCGTCGCCGAGCGAGAGTAGTGTGATCAGGCAGAAGAATGTGCCCGGAAGAGTCGCGGGATCCCAAATACGGTTCGAATCAGATAATTGTTCCTTTATATCCGTCGCGGGAGAGGCGCGGAAACCTCCACCGGTTGAGAGCTGGCAGCTGTACAGCCAGTCTATCCATTGCGCACGTTCTTCGGGTTTGGTAAGATTACCGAGTTCGCCGAGAATGGAAAGACCGTTGACGCAGAAGAAAGCTAAGGAGGTCCGGTTGAGGTCGTTGGAAGTGTATTCGGTGGGTAGGAGGGTGCGCAGGCAGCGAAGCCAGTATTTGATGTTACGGTCGCGGTTGAAGGTTGGTCGAGGAGGAGGGGGAGGGGGATCGTTTGAGGTTGTGGTTGGGGTTGTGTTAGAGACTGTGGCTGCGGGGTCGACGTCCGCCATTATAGCCTTGCGAAGTATTCCAATATATCCGGTTTAAGCTAAAGAATATATTTCTCCGTAAGATAAGATAGATGATTACTAGATAATGTATTTTTTTTACTGGTCGTCGGAAGGAGCGGTATTGATTGAATGGGTGGTCGTTTCGGTGAGATCTCGAGATGCTCGGTTCCAAGCGCTAGCATGACCGCATGTATCCCAACTTAATAGACTGCGGTCGCAATATATAGCCGCAAAACAAAGGACCAACCATGTTAAGAAAGACGAATTTGAAGATATCATAGCATCAAAAATAAACGGTTAGGTCTATAGAATGCAGACAGTTATTTAACTGCTATCTACGTGCAAATATGTAATGCAGGCGGTACAAAATCAAACGGAGGAAGAATCCTTCGGGGTCGGACTGTTGTTATCCTGAGGAAAAGTAACGAGCGACTAAAGTTTTATTGCTTGTAAAAGATGTTTTTTTTAAAAAGTACTCCTTTGCTCCAGTATCAGAGGGAAAAAATCGAGCATCAATTTGTCAAAAAGTATGTTTGGGCGTTTCAAGTTGCTGGTTGGCACGTTTCTTCATATCGACTTATCCTTCACCCATCCATTCCGGCCTTGGATATCAATGATGATAAATCAAAAGGACTCGATTCAGATAATTGGAGGAGTATATGTTAAACGAGTGACAATAACTGAAAGTAATCGAAAAAGATAACTCGTAGCAGTGCCCGACCCCTCTTTTCCCATCCGATTTCATTCGAGAATCTTGACAAGTGAATGATACCAGAAGACATGTCCGTTTCATCTTATTCCGTCCGATTAGGCCAAGAAGACGGCTCCCTCTTGAGACCTCCTTGCGTCACCCTCCTCATGCTGAACTGGTTCTTCACCATCAATGCATTGCCTGATCTCTTCTCGAAACGCCCTAAGACGCCTCTTCATAGAACCATCTTTCTTTGCCAGTCGCTTGAAGACCCAGATTGCCAAGAGAAGCTTGACTGCAGTCATACCACTAACACTGTAGAGGGTAAGTCCAACAATAGCCTTGAGCTTTCCGGCATAATACCAGCCGTATCCATAGACATGGGTCCAAGGCCCAGCAGCAATAATGATAATAGTAACATGGAGGATGAACATTGCAATGTTAATCTATTTCAGCCGATGTTAGTAAGAAATATAACTGGAAAAAGGCCTTACAACAGTTATGAGTGGGTATAACATACTACTGCCAGAATTGCGAATCTGAAGCCGGGTCTCTTCTGTTCATTAAATCGTCGAACGAGGAGAATTGTAGCAGCGACGATGAAGAAATCGATGGGAGCCGTGAAAGTGGTAAGTGCGAGTGGTACATGGGAGTAACTGTAGACGTTCATGTGATCATAAATTCCCCAAGCGATAGCGCCACAGAGAAGGAAAGTGAAGTAGGCCTATTGAAATTTACAAGAACCATGAGCTGTTTTTCTATCAAAAAGTTTATCCTAGGGGGGAGATTAAGATCTTACAAAAACCATCATGATAGCGAGGAATCGCCTCCTCTTTTCCTCACGTGGAATCTCATACCCACCACGAGCTGCAAAGGCTGGATCTTTCCGTGGGCAGCGGCTTCGACGGAAACATGGGAAGTTGAGGCCTTTGGGGATTTTAATCGTGATGTTGATATTGATGGTCTTCACATCATCATCATCGTCACCGTCGCCTTCGTTAGTAGTACAGATGGAGGCTGTTGGTGGTGGTCGGTGAACGGTTGGATAACTTGGAGGGAGGACTGGGACGGTAGAAGGGGGTACCGGCGCAGAAGGCCTTGGAGACTCGACATAGACTGGAGAATCCGGTGTGGGAATACGGGCGGGAGACATTGGCTCCTCGGTCGGGACTTTCGAGTAAGCTGGTGCGGCCATTTTCACTTCTCAAAAGGAACTGGTCCCCAATCGGATATCGTTCACAATCACGATATTGATAAAAAAAATATAAAAAAATCGAAACTCTTGATAATTTTTATAATTTTATAATTTAGAAAATAACTGGAAGTTGAAACTTAAAAGTGTTGATAATGTTGTAAATTTGGTTGTCGAAATATCGAAATGAGCGGCTCGAAAGTTGCTGACAAAAGAGTATTTTGAATTGACCTTTGGGGGGTGAGGGGATATATATGACAAGGCCAGAATAGAGATTTCAATAATAGGTCCTAGGATCCTGCGGAGAGCCTCCTCAATCAACTGATAAACAGACTTCTCGTGGCGCCCCTTCAATACGAGGGACTCCAGGCAAGCTAAGTCGTCCGCCGTCCTGCAGGCTTAAGGCTTTGCTGCGGCACAGAAACGCAAACAGACCAGGAGGGAGCCCTCTCACTTCGAATTCCCAAGGCCGCGCGTTCATTCGCATCATATTTTCTCCACTCCTGGCTTCTCTATTGGTTAGATACCCAAGAATAGCTTGTTCCTTTTGGCGGACGCCGCGGATGGCGATAGAGAAGACCAACTTCAAATTTCGAATTAGGCATCTGACGAAGATAAGAATTTCAACACAAAAGTGAAATACATACATGGCTTGCATAGCCACCAGGGATACATATAAAAGGACAAAGATGCCTGACCAAAAAGTCGCAGTTCGCATGTCTGACGAACGCTTTAGTTTTTCTCATTCACTCCCTCATTTTCACTGATATCCTCGTTGAGGACCTTCCCTTCTTCAGGATCTGTCATGAACAATTTTATGGATTCGTAGGTCGGTTGCGTTCTCTGGCAGGGTTGGTGCTGAAACATTGTGAATGCAGGGATACGTCTAGGTCTACGTAAGATCCCCGCGATCTATATGGGTTCAAGTACTACCTGTAATACAATACTTATTATTATTAGTATTTTTAAAACGAAAACGCGATAAAGGAATAAGAGGAAGCCAAGAGATAGTAAATAACTAGGTAACAGAAACATTTCGTAGATCATCGGTCAGAATGGGCAGTGTGGTTTTCAATTCGCGCAGTAATTGTCGTAATCCAAAGAATCTGAAAGGGTTGGATATCAACATGTTAGTGCTGACTAAATATTATAGCCTGGAGCAGCCCACGCCTATTGTTTCAGGATGCTGACACCACGACCCGAATTCGCGAACCGATTTCAATGTAACAAAATTCACTTTCTTTGAATATACTCGCCTAATAATTATTTTAAAAAACAAGCCTTGCTAGTTTTCGACTCTTCCAAAGGTAGTTCTAGATCTCAATACCCTTCATCCGATGAAACCGGATGGAGAAACAACAATAACTACGCTTTCCTGGGAAACAGAATTTAAGGTTCTTTTAGCCGATAGTTGCTGCTATCACTTTCCCTTGGCAGTCGAGAACCGACGAAGGCAGTACATACATAATTAAGAGTCACCTCGTATAGCTGCATTATGCCACGTTGGCAATTGCGAGGTTAGTATTCTTAATTCTTGAATATAGTATACATTGCGCAATATGTATATAGTAAATCTATATACGTGGGAGCCTATGAGCTTATTCCCTCTTCAAACAATGAGAAACACTCTTCGGGCCATTAAATTCGTTTCAATCTCTGTCGCGTGTACGCGTTGACGGGTTCGCGAAGAGCGAATATATAGACCCAGAGGAATGCGCATTGCAATGCGCGAGAGGACTGACGAACAAACCGACGAATGCTGTACTCCAATTTGCACTCCTGCTGAATAAGCACAGCTCAAAGTTAGGGATAAAGATAAGCTCAGACCCAGAAGGGCCAAGTTCGGTAATTATTGCAACCGATTTTTAAGTGATGCGAGTCTGCGGCAGAGCTGCAGCATCCTGTTTTGTGTTGCTCCCTCAAAATACAACGCTATGGTTGTTAGTTTACAGTTCAATACTTGGTTGTCTCATATATAATCGATATAATCAGTGCAATAACACATTCTCGTTTTGGTGGCTTTCGGTCACCCGTCTCAACTAGACTAGTCTTATTGTATGAAATTATTCTACAGATACCTTATATTCATGCATGGTGCGCTAACTAAGTAGGTATATATCCCGAATTACCTGAGATCTATCAGCTCCAGCTTAAGATTCTAGACCAGAAGAGGTAGTATAGAACTATAACTCGGTTCGCAGGCTATGGCAACGTTAAATGTCTCTAATTCTCTTGATAATTAAGTATGTACGTATAGTATGGCTCGTTGTTTCTGTTTCACATATTTATAGTGGCTAATATAGTACGAGATAGATTTATAAGGATATCACGCCCGTGTATTCCCATTAAGCTTTGTTCGTTCTTCCATGAGCTCCCTCCGATACCTCTCGTTATCCTCCTTAGATATAGTAGACGGCAAATCTTTTGTGATAGTTTCTAGCATCATGAAGGGTAAATTGAGATCACCAGAATCGCGGAGTTTCTTCATTGCCGCCTTTCGTACACCTGGTTGCTGTGGTGGAACAGTTCTCGTGGTGGGTATCTACTGATTGTCAGCGCCGCTCTAGTCTTTTAGTACAATTAGTTCGAAACCTCACTTCGTGTAATCCTGAAGGATCGCATAAGAAAAATGCGAGAATTCTGCGATAGCCATTTTTCGTCTTGTCGATGAGTTCTAAGGGCTCAGTTCTGTGCTGATAGATATTGGGGAAGACTATAGCCCGATTATTCTATACATTGGATATTAGTTATTTCCCTTAGGTTTCTCGTTCTTTGGAGTTTATTATCACCTTAGTGGCGATGCTTCCCATTTCTTGAGCAGCGCGGCTATAGATATGGTTTCTTGAATTATATTTCCCTGATAGCCCCTGGCATTCTCCTTCCATACAGAGCGTCATATCGCGGACGGCACGACGAAATCCTAGCGATGAAGGTGTAATATTCTTTTGATCGTAATAGTATATTCCTGCCGCAACAATTCGTTCATTCTGTTCAATTAGTGCCGCGATTTCCAAGCTGTCTTTAAAGAGATATATACCTTGAGTGCCTCCACATGCCAAGGCCCCCCGGTGGTCCGTGGTTTCTCCGGTGTCAAGATCAGAGTCGCCATTTTGACGATGACCTTGACTGTAGTACCTTGGAGCTGAATACTTCTTAACAGGCTTTCTGGAGGTGGCTCCCAGACAAAACTTGGAGGGTTCCCGCCGAACAAAACCTCTGTTCGTTTATGGAAAGGGACAAATCGTTTAAATAAATTCGGTGTCTCGGGCTCGATTATTACATCGGCGGTAAGTTTCTCGCCCTTTTCGAACTGCCTGAATAGCCTATCTCTTGTCTTTATATAAACATCCTCTGTAACGGATTTTCCGGATATTGACTTTTGCTGCTCTCGGTATTCTTGGTATTCTACTCTTCTTAGCTCATGAGCTTCTCTTCTTAGATCGGCCAGGGCGTGGTTGAATAGCGGTATAAATTTCGAAAATATTTTCTCTAAAATCGGATAAAATAATGTTTTCTCTTCGTCTAGAGCTAAGTTGTTGACATATGATGCTATCTTTGTTTCTCCAGTTTTTGAAATTTCGAATTCTGAGGGTAGCCAGCAAAACTTTTCAGAATAGTGGTATTCCGGAGCATAATAATCAGTTGAATCCCCATGAGTGGGTTCTCGAAATTTGGGCGCCTCTACTGGCTCACCATCCATCGTCTTCGAATGGCCGTATACTATGGGAAAATCGCAGGGATGGACAAGGTCTAGTAACTGCCGACCCACTACTGAATGCCACGGTTTCTCTGGGTCCGCTTCAAGGGTTGCGGCAGCTACGATAAACTTAGCATACACTAAAAAAATATAAGTTGGGAGAGACGATAACGGTACCTTTGATAAGCTCCTGTCTTAAACTCTCATCAACAAAATCATCTATCCTCCAAACACCATCTATATCAGGTTGTAGCTTAGTTTGTTTCCATTTCTCGACGTATGGTTTATAACCCTCCGTTAACTCCCTATAAATGAGTTCCACATCCTCTTTACTCCAGATTTGTATTTTTTCGCCAAGAAGAGCGCAATCCACAGCCGCAGCTTCTCTCATCTTATTAGCGACAAAAGTTCGGTCTGTGAGTTTATGCGTCCAATCCTTTTCTTCTCGAAATTTGGCAGAGAATTTGCGGAGACATTGCTCTCGATATAGAAGAGGTCTAGAGAATGTATCTAGAGGGTGTGGGTATAGCCCATTTTCAATGGGCCGACTGTCGTCGATAGTCCTAAGGCTATTATCCGTTAATGCATGCATTATATACCGACCTTTTAGATCTAAGGATTTCTAAAGGAGGTTGAATGGATCTCAAAGTTGACGTTTAAAAGGATCGAACTAGACAGGTCGCTTATCCCCATCCGCGCCGGACCTGTCCACTATATATACACACATATTTGTTTTTTCTTCAGAGACATTAAAAAATGACCATCTGTCCATGAAATTTATATTATGCAGTAATGCGTCGACAAAAAGACGCTGTTTCTATTCGCTCCGTCTTCATGCGGACGGGTTTGCTCTCTTCTTTTGGCGTGCAGGGTGGATAAATATACAACCTTGGTGAAAAGACTTACGAGGCTTACCGAGCTGTTTTGGGTATCCTGACGCGAAATTCATGCATTTTGGACGGCTGAGCTTGCTTTAAAGGCGTCGCTTCGACGTCAACGGTCGGCAGACTCGGTCCAGTGGGTCGGTCTGATCCTTGGTTTCTTCGAATTGCGTGTGTTGTGGAGCCGAAATCCAACATACATTTTCGTCCAGATACAGGGGCTAAGCCGTTTTGGGGCCTCGAAGGGCTTGATGGCTTTAAGTCTGGTGGAGCTGTTGCGTTGCATCGTGAATCGAATCAGCATTTAATTTCCTAACTTAGCTTCCTCACCACGAGACCTAGGATCGTTATCGCTGTTAATGGTATATACTTGACGCTACGAGATCCCTCAAAAGCAGACCTACGAAGCTTGAACATTTTCGAAACTCCTCTCTTCCTCTCTTCCTAAATCCTTAAGCATTTCTTCCGCAGAAAAGCATACCCTGCATCTGTTAGACGGCTCCAGGCCTGCGGTTTGTATGCAAAAGATATTAAGATACATCTGTTGATGGAACATCAGACATCTCAACATGACTGACATAGCACCACTAAAGCTAACTGGCATACCCCGGCAGCCTTACAATGGCTAAGTTAGGTATATAGCATTCTCAACACCCTTGTTTTCTATTTTTTTAAAAAAAAAAAAGAAAAGAGAAAAGGCACAATTCATGTTCGAATACAAACTAATAGCGCTATATAGCTCCTGCCTTCGGATTGGTCGGTATGCAGGCCCAAAATATATAATAATTCGTAGGCTAACTGAGCCAGGTAGCCTTTCGGTTTTCAGGATTCCAAATCTAAATCATATCTTGATGATGCCTGGCTACCGTCCGATTGCTGCCACAATCTCAAGCCACTAACACATTCAAAATTATATGCGATACCTACGCCTTCGTGGTCCAACTATATAATAGCTTCCCGCAATACTAGAACGCGGGAATCGGGGAAACAGAAATGAGAAGAAACGACATACACAGAGAATAACGAATTGTGTGGCTAGAACGACAACGTTTTGCCATCAAAAGTTGGTTAAAAACCTAATCGATAACTTCGAAGATGTTGTGGCCCGGCAGCCGACAAATCTATTCACGCCTTTTAACCATGGATTTGTATTCGAACCGCAACCTGCGTGGCTCCCGTTCAAGCCACTTTTCAAGGTCAGAGCAGAAGATCAAGCACTATTGCTAAGCCCTGGGCGCAGCACAGAGATATTACACCAGAGCAATGCCACCCTTCCAAAGGATAGGATTAATCGCTACTTCACATTTTTGAAACCCGGATTTTGCGGAGAAAGTGAGGATCAGAGATTATTAAGAAGGTTCAAAAACTCTGTAGTGATGCTGGCAGTGAGATTTTCAGAGGCTGCGGGACCGGGTTCCTCGTCTGCGGCAGCAATCCATCCACATATATCGAGGGCTTCTGGGAGTTTAATCGACAACGACAAAGTCCTAACTTGCGCTCATGTCATAAAATCACCAGACGAAGGGAAATGGCAGTACGAAATATTCTGCAGCCTCGAGCCAAAATCAGGAAGAATTGGTCGACTCTCTGTCACGGGCAATTGCTTTGGACCTGCCTGAGGTCAATAATTCCATGAGAACAAAAGTTCTCCAGCATTTCAACAACAAGAAGCTACGATCTATACTAGATGGGAGGAGTGATTAGAGGGCGGATCGGAGATGTTATTCGGTTACCCCTTTTGGATGCTCCTGAAGGTATGTCAAAATGATCTGGGCGTGCGTGATGAAGTTAGCTGGAGTAATAATGTAACCTTTAAACACACGGATTTTACTTGTCTCGTGCCCAGACCTGGAAGAATTTTACGAAATTTCGATATATAGTAGGTATACTTCTTTAATTAGTGATGGACGTCTAGCCCCGAATACCAGACAGATTTCATAAAGGAATGTATCAATTAGGTTTCGGGCCATAAATAGCTTAGAAGTCAAAGTCGCTTCTAACCCGCAGTGGAAATTTCCCTCTATCCTTTAAACTATGATATACCAGTCGATATCGCCTTTTAATATACATTTTGAATGTATGCTTCGCTACGCTCAGCAGCGTGCCGAAGCGTTTTAATACAAGACTAGAATGTATACCTAATTTACATACTTATCTATGCACTAGTGATATAAAACTAAACATGTACATTAATGTAATGATACATACGCATATATACCTTATCAAGAATACAATTTCTAATGTAATAAATATTACTTACAAGCTTTTAATTAAGCGATAAGTCCCCAAGTGCAGGCAAACCTTCTTCTTGATTCCTTCCGCTAACGAGACTCAGATCTGCTTTCAACCGACTCATATCCGAGAGCTCGAGCTGAGTAGCTGGGCCAAGACCCTCAAGTTGCTGCAATGCGGATCCAGCAGCATTTTGCAATGCAAAGAACGAAAAAATCCCTGGAGCCTGGCTTCTGATTGACTCTCGAACTAAGTGACGATATTTCGACCTCTCAGACCGAGATTCACCGAAGGTAACTAGAATATGTGGATAATGGTTCATCAAGAGGAAATTAAACAGAAGCCTCGACATGAGTCCGTTGCCATCAAAAAATGGACAGATCCTCAGAAACTCGATTTTGAGCTCTGATGCCGCAGCCACAGGATCATCAGAATCATTTAGGGTGGTGCTATAACGGGCCATCCAGGATCTCGTGTTCTCTGGGACCTTTTCTGGAGGATCGCAATATGCTTCTTCTTCCCCCGTCCTCCGTGTGAGGAGTTTGCTAACTGTGAACCCGCATGTCCGTTACCTCCCCTGGTAGCCTTTGACGCCTACACTTGAAGGGATGTTGTCTGTTTGGATTCCGTGGCACACTCTGAGGTCTCGTTTGGAAAGGCTTTTGCATTCAAATAGTTGCTCTTTAAGATATATGAAAGCCCCAACATGTTGAATGACCGCTCTCCTTGATACAATAGCCCGGTTCAGAGACTCAGTATCGTGAATGGACTGTAAGTCTGGCAGAAGCTCGACTTTAGAGCCTGCAATCAAACTTCTAACAATCTTTGTCGTTTCTGTGATATCAAGGCCGTCGCCCTCGATCATATTCGACGAATATATGAAATGGGCGAACTGTACTTCTACTGCCTCTTGGAGTTTCTTGTCATTGTGGGCTGCTAGAGTATAGGAGGTTTCTTTTAGTAACTGTGGAATATTAATATTCCACAGGTCTTCTGGCTTAAGAGTGTACCACGACGGAATTATGTATTTTCGTGCAAGACCATGGTCATCGTGCTGCCGAGCTCTTTCTATTGGATGTCTCGTAAAATTCGGCTTGAGAGCTCGCCGTGGCCGCGGGTTCAGCTCATGGTCTAGACCTAGCAGCATGGTCAATATCAAAACCTTCTGAGGTAGAAAGGAAATGTATAAAAGCTTTAAAGCCTGGATTTGGCTGACCAATCTTGGAGTGAGGTATGATTGGGATGAGGACCTAGGAGGAGTAGGATCAATAATCTAGTTCCGTTGCACGCTTGTATATTGCACCCAGTGCTTCATATATGTAGATCCCAGCTAGCCAGAGGTTAAATTTTCGAGCCAGTGACTCAAATAAAATCGACTAGAGTGACCGACTCAAATTATGTATTAGATTATATCTTTAGTACCTTTTATAGCTTACGGATGTTATTGATCTAGAATAGGAATAACATGGGCCATGGCCATGGGATTGTTACATATACAAATTCCGCCCGTAGATCAACGTAAATCGATCTCCAGAAGAGCGCACGTGGAGCCCAGCCTACACTTGCAACCACAATACCGAATCAATCAATTCTTAAGACGAACTGTCATATATATACATGCATTCATATGATCATTTGAGTCTACTTCTTTTCTTCTTGGCCATCAATTGTTACGTAACGTAACTAGGTATACGGTAGGTAGAATTTATATATTTATAGAAATCTTAAGAACAGGCGCCGGACATGTGCCGTTCATGAATTCAGGATGTTATCAATACCAACTTCTGCCTCATCCAGCCCCCGATATCCCCAACTGCTCTATCGATCTCTTCAAAGCCATCAAAAAAATCGACGTGTCCCACTCCTTCAACAAACACAAGTTTATCAACGCCTCTAATACCACTTTGACTACCCCGTCTTAGCATGATATCAAGTCGATCTGTATGCCACCTACTCCCCGCCGTCCCTCCGATCATGCAAAATACCGGCACCTTCAAGAACGTTTCCACAAAATCAAATGCATCAAATGTCAGTATCAGAGGTAAACTTTGGTGTAATAATTTATTTTCGGCCCGAGGGTGATACGCCCGGGGTGTTGTGTAATACTCTGCCAGTTCTTGCAGGTCCATGTGTGATTTTTCGCTCACGGCAGGGAGAAATGGGATAACTTTTCCCATTTCCTCCTCCGCTCCTGTGTGAAGTTCTCGAAATCCCGGACTTGTAGGCGTCGACGGTCGTCTGTAGGTATCAAATGTCGGCGTTGAAGGTCGTCTATAGCTATCGAATGTTGGCGTCACGCTCCTCCTCGTGTCAATTGGTGTTGAAGGTAGCGAGATGACACCCGGGCCTAAGGGTATCCCAGATATTCCAGAACTCGATGAAGATGGCCGCATCCTCAATTCTTTCCTCCTTTCATCCCCAACAGACTTCATAGTTTCCGTATTCTTCTGAGCTGGCCCTCTTCCATCCCAACCAATTCTAAACCAATCCCCAATATTGACCAAACTAACGGTAGCAACGGCTTTAATTCTCCAATCCTTTTTCGCTGCTGCAATAGCGTACCCACCACCCGTACATAGTCCCACTACTCCAATTTTTAGCTTATCAACTCTTCTAACTTCCTTCATTAAATAATCCACAGCAGCTGATATATCCGCCACCCTTGCATTTGGATCCTCGAGATACCTAGGGTTTCCACCGGAAGCGCCAAAATGGGAGGGATCGTAGCATATTGTATAGAAGTTATGCGGGCGCCGGGATAGCAATCTCGCATATGTTGATGGAAACTGTTCTTTCACAGCATTTGACGGCGGTACAATTACTATAGCAGGAGAGTAGTTTGTTGTGGGAGCCTCTGGGGCATAGAGACGGCCGGAGAGCTGGTAGGGTGGTTTAGAAATGACGATCGAAGTCATGACTAGCCACCAGTATTGCGGATATATGCTTCTCAGAAGTAGCTCACAAAGCTATTATCAACTAGGGTAGCCAAGCTGGGAATACGGTATCGAATATGAAATCAATGTGACGTGAATGGAAGGAGGTTATGTTTGGAAAAGGCCATGGCAGCGGGATCGCACGTCGAGCTAGATTATTTGCGATCTGGCTATCCCGTATGTATGCAGACTGGGATCGAATAACCCTATGCGAAACTGAGAACGCCTCCGTTGAAGTTCGCCTGGACCTGCCTAATGGTAGATTTGTGGACATTGAAGAATACAGGGTACAGACAGGCCGCAATACTAAGCTTGAAACGATTAAAGGATGTAGTTGAACGATCCATTGAAACGACCATATTTTTCCTTGTATAATACTCTCTATATATATTTTATATTATGAATCGAACGTGGACCAGTTTAATGCCCATGCAACACATTCTGTTGTTGGATTTTTTAGCTAAAGAGCTTGTGCGGATACCCTCGGCCTTCGATTTAAGGGACGAGATATATATGCAGAATGCCCTTGTTAGAGAATCTTGACAAGAATCTGCTCTATTGGGGAATGTTCTCCTTTAATCAGTTTACTTAAGAAATTCTTTAGAATAGCTTCATGGTTATGTCAATTCATGCCCTTATCAGAATTCGAAACGAGGCTGCGCAATATTAGTATATAGTATACGCAGAACTCTTAGCCAAACTAGGCAGACAGTCGACGGCTTACAGGAACAAAGACATCATTATAATATAATACTTTAATATGCTATTTACAATTGCGGGAGATACATACTTTCAAGAGCTCTCAAGCTGTTACAGAGCCTATATTCTTAACATTTCTTGGAGCCGCTGACGTGGGTCACCGAGCATTGGTTCGCCTACCGACATGTGCGAATTACGTTGCGAGTTATGTCCTTATACCGATCCGGTTAACGGTTCAGCATGCCGCTTTAGAACTAGGGTCGACTTCCCCGCCCACTCTGATCTCATGTATGATGTCACGACTAACCTCAGTCTCAGACATAAGAGACGGTTCGGGAGCTTATCTATTCCAAGATCTTAGATCTATTTAACCGTATCCGAGCGAACTAGAGCTGACTCAAAGTTAAAGCTTAGCTAGGTCCTCGATACAACCTACGTCGAATATACAAAATACCCAAGCCATATTGTATTCTTGATACCCAAATAATTTTATCCAAGCGAGAAAAGCTAAGAAACCGCCAAAATGAAAATCTGTTGCCTACACTCATCAGACGAAGGGATAGAAGCCGGCGAGGAAGATCCTGAAGATATCTGGCAAGATCCCGGTCTCTTCACAACCCAACACACTTTCGAGAATAAATACATAGTCAAGGCCACCGCAAAGGCCCAAATCGACGATGCGATCGCAGAAGGATATGATTTCTACCTCATTTTCATGTGGGGGACAAGAGATGATGCTATCGCTGGATTTGAAGCTATTAAGTATTTTGAGTCTCTTAATTTACCGTCCGCCGGCGTTCGAAGTTTTGAGCGAGCACGCGACAAGTTCGATTTCTTTGCAGATGCGAAACGGCTAGGGAATTTACCTATCCCCGGCGACGAGAAATTTCCTTTGTTTGTGAAGCCGGCTGCTGATTATGCGAGCAAGCTTATTGACGAAAATTCACTGGTTCGAAATGAGGCGGAATTGGAGGCTACAATTAACAGGTTGAATCCAAGAATGCGGGCTCAACGACTCCGGCGGGCAGAAGCTCTTGGAGAGAAGGACCCGGAAGAATATGTGAAATCCCTTGAAAAAGCTGGAAGGGATGCTAGGGATCTAGTTATTCAAGAGTTTATAGACGGCGACGAGTTTTCAGTCGTCGTGCTCGCTATGGGATATGTTCCGGTGGCACTTACTCCCCTTGTCGTCAAGTATGGCAAAAAGCAGAACGAAGCAGAGCAATTTTTAACATTTGAAGTTAAATATCACGAAGATTCCGGCTATGGTTTATTGGATGAAGAGAAAGATCCGGGCTTATACAAAGAACTTCAAGCGGTCGCAGTGAAGGCATTCGAGGAAACCGGAGCGCAACCTAGTTATATGGGGTGTGAAGTCGATTTTCGAGTTCGAAGGAGCGACAAGAAGCCGTTTATCATCGAAGTTGACCCTATGCCTGTTTGGTTCTTCCCGACCGGGTCGAGGTATGAGGATTTAGATGTCCAGCATGATTTCCCTGGGGGGCACAGAGCTGTTCTTAATACGTTTATTACGAATTATTACCTCGACCACCCCGAACAGAAAAGTAGAGAAAAATCGGCAAATGATGGCGGCGAGAATTTATGGCATATTTCCGATATACCTAAGGATATAACATCATTCCAATACAGCGGGAAAGTGCTGGATCTTGAATGTCGGGGCGTGGCGATGCCCCAGAGACTAGAAGAGAGCGAGTTTATTGGGGTGAATGGTTCAGAAGAAACGATTGAGTTATGCAAGCAGAGTGGGCGTTATGGTGATCTAATTCACAAAGAAATTGTTCCATTCCTAGCCCACTACAATCAGAGAGTAGACCATATCCTCTTGCTTTCCAAAACTCAATCACTATCTGTGGAAGAGCTGGATTTTGTCCTCGCAAGATGTTTCCAGCTCGCAAATCATTCAATCACTGTTTTTGCTCCTGAGAAGACCGATGTTGCCTCTAATATCAAATCCTTTGGGGAACCCCGCAACTGGCGGCTAACTTACAACAGAGCATTCACTGCGCATTCGCTAAAGGCCAGCACCACCATAACAGCATTTCGGTTCGAGCGAACGGCAAAGCCAGTGCAGTTTATGGCAGAAGCGAGAGACTGAAGCGAGGATCGAGGACCTCTGGGGTATGAATCTGAATGAGATCTGATTACACGCATGAATTCGAATAGCCCGATTTGTATTTAGAAAATTTGTCAAGTAATAAAAACTTAAGTAGACGATTATAAGGAACATGAATCGAATCTTGGTCCCGGACTTTTAATTTCAAATGTTCGCTATAGATACGCATATGGCATAGTTACTGAGCGAACAGCGATCTTATCCTGTCCGAGTGTTCAAGCTTGCTAAGGGGATCGGGCATCGACCCCAGTTCCAAGGAAATGATCGATATCAGCCAAGGCTGTCAAGAACCCATCAATAACGGCTCCCCTGCAGAAACCATGGCGCACAGCCGTCCTGCCGTGACTCCAAGGCCCGGAGCCGTCATACGTCCTACGGCACACTTCTTTAAATATTGTGCCTAAGGACGTAAACCAGTCATCCAGTCTAGTTCAAGTTAACTTCCGTAAACCTCTCTTTTTTTTATCGCTGCAGACTTCTCCATCGCAGCGCTAAAGTATTGTCATAGATGGTTTACTCGACTGATCAAGATGCGGAGGGGATATCGATACCAAATGAAGTTCATCCTCTATTGCCGGGGGCCCATACCCATAAAACCACCGCCAAAACCCCCTATCGAAATCATATCATAGCCCTCTTCGCATTTCTGTTGTTAACCGAAGCTAGTAATGATATACAAATCGCCCCGATGACGGTTATTATGGAGTCGATTATCTGTAAAAATTATTATGGGGATACCAACACTATCAACAGCACGACAACTCTTGATCTTGCGGATTTCTCGAGTTCTTGGGCTGCAGCTGACGATCGGCGTTGTAAAATCGAGCCTGTCCAAAGTGAGCTTGCAAACGTAAGAGGATGGCAACAGCTTTTTGAATGCCTTGCCAGTATTCTTGTTGCAGTTCCGTTTGGGTTTGCGGCGAATAGATGTGGAAGGAAAGTGGTGCTGGCACTGGCGATGTTCGGGTTGACACTGGCGAGAGTGTGGATTCAGGTGGTTTGTAAGTGAAATAATGCAATAGCGACCCCCGATAATGTTGATTTCGCTCGAGAATTTGAAAATTAACAAACAAATTTTTATGACTACTCTAGGTTGGTGGCCAGAAGTATTGCCATTGCGAATTAGCTGGCTGTCCGCATTTTTTCATCTAATTGGTGGTGGAAACCTTGTAGTGGGGTCTCTAATCTATACGATAATGACCGATCTCACTCTTCCAGAACATCGGTAAGTGTAGGTCGATTTTAAATTTCTTTTTGCAAAAATGCATGAGGTATATGCTAAACATAAAGTTTTGTTACGGCAGGGCATCTATATTTTTATTTATGAACGCTGCAGTTCTCATAGCTGAGATGCTGGTCATCCCACTCGCGGCTACTCTGATGCGAACAAATCCTTGGATACCTGTCAACATAGGTCTCGCAACTGTTGCTCTAGGAAGTCTTATCACAATCAGCATATTACCCGAAACGGTGCATTTGCAGGAAACAGAGAGCGAAGACACCGAAGAAGAAAGAGATTCCCTCTCCGAAGGGGATGATTCCAGCCTTTTCTCTGGGGCTAAGAGGGCTTTACATTCCTCAAAGGACCTGTTCAGATTAATCTCTATATCAAGGGAAACAGTAGCTCTGATGATAGCGTCCACGATGACTAACATGGACAGGAGCTCGACGCCATATTTTATACAATATATATCTAAGAAGTTTGATTGGGATATATCTGAGGTTAATATACTCATTCCCCCGAGACCTTCTTTTTACATTCACTAATCCTTTCGATATCTCTACTAGGCCAGTTTGCTCACATCATATCGGGCGGCACTAAACTTGATATTATCTCTCGTTCTCCTGCCACTGGCCAGCCATTTATTTAGAACTCGGCTTAACATGGCTACCGAAGTTAAAGATCTATGGCTCACTCGGTTCAGCGCGAGTGTTTTATGTCTCGGTTCCGCTCTAATGGCTTTGGCACCGAATCTTTTCTTTTTAGTTTCTGGTAACGCCCCCTAACAAATTCCATATTAGCATGTTAGTCCACCTAGACATCTTGGTCTCTGTTACTAATACCCCAGTCTACAGGCCTAACAATATTTGCCCACGGCTACGGATTATCAGCTTTGATACATAGTCTTGCGGCATCCGTAGTAGAGCCCCGACATATCGCCATCTTATATAATGCAATGTCAGTGGCAGAAACAACGGGTGACTTCATTTCAGGACCTATATTATCTAGTACATTCAGCTTTGGACAGAGGATTGGGAAGGAGTGGTTTGGACTGTTTATGATGGTTATGGCGTTTTTTTATTTGGTTGCTACGGTGGCGATATTTTCGATTCGGGCGCGCTGGTGATTGATCAGTTTAGTGATTTTGGTGCTGCTGCTTTTAATACCCATATGGAGACCGATTTTTGGTCGGCTATGGGTACGTATCTATACTTTTTATTAGCCTCTAGAGATGTAGGATCATCTCTAGATACTCTTACCAGCGACGTTTTGGTACCTGATTACATTTTACCTATGGCGTAAATTTCTATTTATAGGGAGAAAAGAAGCTTCCCTCTTGGCGTTTCTTTATAATTAATAAGATATAAATTACTAAATTATATATGCACATCAATAATGGGGATCCCTAAATATCCATTGATAAAGATCCGGTGGAAGGTGGATAGTGTAAGCGTTTTTGAGCGGAGGACGACGGCAGACAAGATCAGATATTTCTCTATGCGGGGAATCTCTCTCGTGGTATGTGGGGTCATCGATTAGTTCGAAACGGGTCTGGGGATAAGAAAACAAATCCACATATTAATTGGAATCGATCTAGCCCCAACTGGTGCCTTAAGGCCGATGCGGGACAGATAGGACGGTATCCTATCCCATGTTTATGTTGTACCGTCTGGGGCAGCATGGTGTCTACATCTGCAAAGTACGGGCTTACATTCTAACCCCTCTGAGACTACCCAGGTACCTACTTAGCTAGGGACGTCTGGAATGTTATTGTATAGTGGGTTAGGTATTTCATTATACACTCTAACATATTCCAATCATAGGCTGTGTGTAGCGATTGTGGGTATATTACTCAGAACGACAGTTATACTCAACTATATCACTGTCTAGACTTCATATGCCCCTCATATCTTTCTCCACGATATCTTCCACCCATCTCGCTGTCTTATCTGCCATTAACTCCGAGAATTCAGTCGCTACATAGCTATCGTTAGCGTCTATAAAGCCTCTATAAGAGTTTGGAGAGGTTTAAAATACTCACAAACGCAAAAACTGTGCCTAACCCCCTCTTCACAAACAATCATTCTGGGCTTCCATCTATCTTGCATAATTTCACATCCATCCTTTTCAATCCATCTGACCCCTCCTCTCCCTCTCTGTTCGATCAACTTCTCCCTCTCACCATCAAATACCCAATGATCCTTTTCTCCATAGTAGAACACTAACTCCGTATTGCCATTACTACCTTCATCGCCCCAAACGCTAGTACCCCATTCATCATCTTTAATATGCAATAACTCATCTCTACCAAGATATAACGCCTGCTTAACCCCCAAAGGACTCTTCAGAAACGATAACGTAGTATCCCTCGCACTCTGTTCATGCGCAGGCATCAATATCTTCATCAAAAAGTTTAATATAACCGCTGGTATCAATGTAACCAAAACTTTTGCCAAAACAACCAAAAACGGTAGAACACCAGGAATGTTTACGAACGGAGTTACCGTTCTTCCGGAACTCGATTTTGCGAGATGGGTTAATGCGGGGAAGAGACCAATTCCTCCTATTATTCTTGATTTCAAATCTGGATTGTGGAGTGAGAGATTGTGAAGAAGGGAGAGTAGGAGGTAGGCGCCTAGGCTGTGCCCTGTTATTATGATTTTAAGAGATGGGTGGGTGGTTAGTAAGTGGGATACCATTTCTACTTGACGAGATATTTGGTCTTGTAGAGATACGAAAGAAGATGGTGAATCTGGAGATTCAGAAGTATTAAATCCGCCTAAAGAGGCACCGAAAATCGTGAATTCACATCCCGGGATGTTGGAAAGATGGTCTGAAAGAGCCGCGAGATAGTGTGTGTAGTACGAAACTAGGCCGGGATTGCCAGGGATATGGAGAATAGCGTATGGGGTCACTGGGAGGGAGTAGAGTTGAGAGGTTGGAGAGGGCTGTGGGGGGATGAGGAGGGTGTCCGTAGGGCGCAAAGATGGCGGAACAAATGATTCCACAGTCTACGTAATATATCGCGTATTAATAATTAATATCTGCTTATAATACTGAGCATAAAGTATACTAACCAATGGCTTAGAGAATGATTGTACTAGTGATGACCATGGAATTGAGACATTCTCCGCGATATCTACATCGATATGTTCTGGCTTCAAAGAGTGCCCTGTATCATCGAAGTTCGAAACAACGTGAACTGCGTTGTCGCCATTCATTCCAACAACATCTCCCTTCTCATCGTTCTTGCGACGACCGGCACGTTTTCTCGGAGTGGTTGGAGCATTGACCGTCGCCGTGGTCACCACAGTCGCATCAATCGCAGACTTTCGTGAAACACGTTTTTTCACGGGCAGCGGGGCTTCAACCTCGGGTACAATGTCAGGTACAGCAGCTGCAACAATTATTACCGACTCGGGCGGTGGTGGGACAACATCGAGATCAATTGAGGACTGGGACTCGCGGAGTTTGGCCTCCTTTGCTTCGGCGCGCTTCCGGGCAGCGTAAAGTCGTTGTCGCTCACGGGCGGCAGCTTTGCGCTCCTCATCGTTGGCATATTTGGAGCGTTTGGAAGGCGTTTGGGTGCTCATTGGTAGCGGTGGAGTAGGTAGCTACCTTTTACCTGTTAGTGATATGTTGGGATGTTCCTGGGGCGTGCTTGTGCTTGTGCTTGTGCTTGCACTTGGTCTCGTGTAAACTGGAGGAGGGTGTACTGTGTAGTTAGGTAACTTACAGCTAACCAAGTAACCACAGCCTTGTTCGGACAACGCATCGTAGCTGGGCATTCCTATCTCTCCTCATATGCTCATGATATGATGCATGTAGCATATGCTTCTGTGCTGTCTTGTGCTGTTAATACTTTAGTTAATACTCTAACTAACCGCGTAGTATCTAAGGCTTTGCTCTATTCTTCTTATTCTTGAATGCTTTTATGTAATAACAAAACAGGGCGACGGAAAAGCTTAATTCAAATTAACTTGCTTCGAGACTACGCAACCGACATCAGAGGGTGGTGACAAATGCAAGACAGCAAAGCAAGTACGAGACCAGTACGAAGTAGTCTTAGGTTGTTTGCACTAAATGTGTTGAATGTGTCGTATTTGACTACTTCCACAACACATTTCTATTTTTGGAAGCAATGCTGTCAAACGCAACACAAGATCCGTGCCGACAACACGGGGCTTACCGAACTTCTTTGTTCTGGACGGAATCGATCAAGGAAACAACGGAATGTTCGCTAGTCTACTCCCGCCCCCCGCAGAAGTCTGGTTGGAACAGGCAAAGAATGAAGGATATGCTGGAACTACTAACCTGAGCTGACACAATACTTACGTGTGCCTAGGTACGGAGTACAATCTAAGTCATTTGAGGCTTCTTCCGAATCAAAAGAAGACGTATTTTGATAATTGCTCGTACTGCTTTGTACATCGGTCGTTGAGGATTATATCTAACAGTGCGGACGGTGCCTTACATCTTACATCTTCACCACTATTGCATCCGCCAATACATGAGCCTACATGCAAACGAAAAAGATGCCGTCGACACAAGCTCAAGTGACCCCGGCCGGCATCCGTGGATTCTGACTGGTCCGGCCGGGCCTGCAGAAGCTACCCCTGTGGCTTTCCACCAGTCAGATGTCGAATAGGGGTAGTCCCCAGCCGCCGGCCTTGGATCCGGATTGATTGAGTCTCAGTGATTCTCAGCCCAACCACCACAAAATCCGAGCCTAAGAAAGCCAGCCCGCCCAATTTACGTGCTTCCTCTCATGCGATGAGCTGCCCTGTAAATTAATTAATTTCGTCGAAACAGCACCAGAAATAGGGCGGCGGGGTATGATGGAGGATTAAACTGCTCCCCTCATTCCTATTTCTATTCCAAATCTGTTTCCTCTTCATTCCTTCTTATTGATAGCTGACTATTAACTAAATAATTATATCCTTGCGAGGATCCTCATTTTTCGCATTTTGAGAAAAGCTTCGAGATCTTTTTTTCATTTTCACACCTCGGTTGATGTGATGGGAACTTGCATTTTTACATCACACTGCATGCATGATATCTACCACGATAACCTAACCACTTGACAGCAGCCTACAAGCATCTCATCCTTCAAAAATCACCTCTACCTGACTCCACTTCCTGCCGGGCCGGTAACCTCAAACTTGACGGACACAGAAAAGAAAGACACCGAGGAAGACGTATACTACCCAGTCTAACCCGTCCTCGCTTGCAACTGTCCGAAATCGTAGGGAAACTACTGCAAGCTAAAGCCCTCAACCAATTTCCCCGGTCCTTCCTTCCTTCCATCTCCCATTTATAGTACGGGGTCCTGGTAAAGAAAAAAAAAGCACACCAGTCATAGGTGAACAGCACACGGAAAAGTTCAATATAGACGCGATCAGTACCCGCTGGACCAGTCAGCTTTTGGCTTTCATCACAATCCGCAACCGACGACAGGACAGCAGATCGTGGTCAATAAGCGTAGACACGTCGGTCAAGATTACCTAGCCCTAACCTATCCGGAAATCTAATCGGCTCGATTGTTCGAGTTTAAGGACACGGGCCAACTCTTTTATCTCCTGCGTTCCTCAAGCAGAATTAATTTCTCATCTTTCCACTGAAAGAATCTGGGCCGTTTTTGTTAGGGATCGAGACTCGAAATAAACTTCAAAGTTAGTTGTTGCCGGACCCTTTTATACTCTGCAGATCGACAGGGCCTCAACGCAAGAGCCAACGCGATTTGGCTCGGGACGATCCATCAAACTCTCAACCAACGATCTCTGCCAGAGACGTCGACAATTGTGTTACCGGTTGTGGTAACTTGCATTCTCAAGAGCCCCTTCGACTACAGAATAAGGGAACGGGTAGTTAGAAAGGGGTTGTTTTCTTACCAGAACCGACGATTCCCGCTGTCAATCGGCATCGACAGGGTCAAATCCCCTTCAACGGGGTCTGATATCTTAATCGGGTCGTTCATCTCGGATCTATATAACATATCTTCCTGACTTGACATCTCAGGGGTCTGGTTATATTTTTATCTTGCTGTCTTACTCCTCATCTTCGACTAAATAATCGCCTAACGGTCGCCTCCTCACTTTCCTCGGCAGTCTCTTCTTTAAAATTTAACTTGCCTATTTTTAAATTCGCCTGCAAACGGAATCACCACTTTATTGCATCATTCGTTTTGCAATAACATTATCATTCATAGAGAGACGACAAAACCGGCTCTACCTTTTATTCGGTTAATAGGATTCTTCATCAACTAGGGCAGGCGAGCCACTCAATCCGTCCCTGTCACGATAACTGTCCTGAAAGTTTCCTAGAGTTGCTAGAATATACTATCCCCTTGTCGACGGATTTGGGGTTTGAGTTTCTGGAAACCCAAGTTCGAGGCTTCTTTCAGCAACCTTTAAACCAAGTACCTGTTACTCAGGGCCATTTATTCGCCCTCTCCAACTCTATTTTCCGCCAAGTAAAGTTTTTCCCATCAACCGGAAAGCTTAAAGAAGAATGCCTAGCATGACTTCGAGACCAAGGTCAAGAACCTTCACTCCGGACCCTACCAAGCGTAGGAGTCTACCAGCTGAATATGACGGTTATGTCTCCAAGGAGACTGCTGCTGGTGGCACCACTGAACCAGCGGCAGCATATATATCCACCAGGCTGTCCCCTCCAGACACTCCACTCCCAGACCATCACTACGACACCTACAAGGAACAAAGACTCTATAACTTCGTGATGTCTACTTCCTCTTCCCTTTCTCCTGCCTCGGCTCGACCAGCCAACCACTCTCGAGGAAATTCAATCTCCTCTGAGAATGGGAATTTCTTTACAAGTCTTTTCACGACTACTTCTCCCTCTACACCCGCTTCTCCTCAGGCTGGATACAGCCCTTCACACTCTAGAAACAATTCTTTGACCGCACCACAGGGAAATACAAGCGCAGGCCGCAAGTTCTCACATTTCTTTGGTCTAGGCGTGGCGAATGACACAGCCTCTAATTCCGGGCTGGCATTCAGCTCCGCACCATCTTCTCACCGATCGGTGTCCAATAGCACCACACTCTCAAATCTTGTGTTACCCGAACGGACAGGGTTAAATGATGCACAAACTTTCGATGGGAACCCCATGATTCGCGATGAATTTGCAGGCATGGACTTTGCAGAGCTCCTAAACGCCGGGGTGCCTAAGAGTCCTTTGAACTGTACACCGCAGGGGTTCCACGCTCTTCACGGCCAGAGCATGGAGTTAATTGAGAGACTCTATACTGGTTACATGGAGCGGACGAGAGCCTTAGCTGATGCTCTTGCAGAGATCGAAGCCCTCCGCGATGATCTCGAGCAAAAGGACCAGAAGATTGAAAGTTTGAAGTTTAGCTGCGAGCAGCTTGCTAATGTACAAGAAGCACTCTCGAAGGCCTCTGAAGAAGCCGAAAAGACTGCCACAAAAGCAAATGCCGAGGTTAAGAAACTCAGAGCGGAGAACGAGAGACTCGAGTGGGAGGCCAAATCTATTCGAGAAATCGAGATGGATGATGCTTCTTCTATTTCTTCCTCCGCGCCAAGGTACGGGCTTGGGCTTAGGCCGAAGGACGTACCACAGGGACTTATCAGGTCGAGGACTAAGAGCTCCAATTCGGATTCGGGATTTGAGTCGGAGTCGGATAGTGGCTCAGTATTTTCGAACGACGGCAAGGTGCCTGGTAGCACGATTGGTTCCCCCGGCCCAACTTTTACACCTGAAGACGAGATGGAAACGACCAATACCGGAACTGGACCTCTCGCGCAATTGAGAAATGTACTGAGGAGAACGACAACAATCGTGGACACCTCGGGGAAATGTGACTGTAACGGAACGGTTGGACGTCTAAGGAGCGAGAATAACCAATTGACAGTTAGAGTTAAAGAGCTGGAAGGTTGTTTGGACAGCTGCTTGGATTTGGTCGGAGGCATTTAAGTTGTGCTCCGCACGCAATCTTAATGGTTTTTATCAGGCTACCATTTATTTTTTTCTTCTCTTGACAATGGTATCTACTTAAGTATTTACAAGATCGGATAAGTATTGGGGTTTATTTGCAATGGTGCCTATTTACCTAGACTATGGATTTGATATTCGTTTTCGACAGGCGTTTGGATTGAAGCTTTCTAAAAAAAATTTACCTTCGGAGGTCGTCGCTTTTTATTTTTATTTTACCTGAAGCTTTGCTGTATTATATTACCAACTTCTCAAGTACTTATTTAGCCTAACCTTCGACGTTCTTTTATTATATATTGACCTCGCAAGAGACGTCTCTTTTATATAAACCTACTTACTTATTCCACAAATAACAAATATTTTATTTTCATTCTTTCCTTCCTATGGAATATATGTTGCGAATTCACCTTGGTATTTAATATTTAATTGGATTGATGGAGTTTGTCGTTCAGGAATGCGGTGCAATGTTGGATCTTGGTATTTGGCTAAAAGTATTAAGCCGCAGCTGGGCCGCATCAGGTTACGTCAGGCACCATCTTCAACGAACCTCACCAAATGCCGTCATGATGCCTTCAATCTTCATCGAACCTTCATCATCATCACAATTACCATTGTCGTCGTTCTCATAACGGTTGACGCTTGAATAAGGTTGGTTGGTTCGTACCGGAATCCAGCCAGTGATATCCTTGCTGACGTCCACGTTGTAGAACAGGAGTTCTCTCCGCCCTGCATCGGCCAATCGGCTCCATCGCACTCCTTGCTTCACCGTTTTTCAGTCCAATCGCTCTTCCCCAAAACCTCATTTTGGCTTTTTTTGAGAGGATACATTCTGTTTGAACTAGCGCACAAAAAAGAGAGAGTCCCACCTGTTCCATCGGAAGAGGTAGTTCGTATCTTTCCACTAAAAACGAGGCTTACATAATACCTAGCAGGTCATCACCGTGATAAGGTGTGACTGGATACCGAAGGACCCCCAAAATGGCTGGCTCAGTGACTTCCTCCGCCTCATCCTCGTCAACGTCGTCCTCAAATGCATCAGGCTCTCGCAAACCTACCCGAAGGGCGTCTCGTAACGGTTCCAACGTAAACGTACAAGCTACGGCTAACCCGACCGCGGTCCCGGGTGCTTCCTCAAATAGCCAACTAGAGCCCCCTATCTCCAACCGGTCACCGCAGAGCCACCGTCGGCGACGACGTCGAAATACAGTAACAACTCGAAGAGCTAGCGTCATGGTTGATCACGATAATGAGATATCGATCAGTCATGAGGTGGTCGATACAGCGCGTACTGCTACCATAGAAGGCAATTCGCCAGTAGCTTCAGCCGCCCGGAGAAATTCAGCTTTCTACCAGTTGCAGGTTCCCATTCACCAAAACCTCTCTTCTACGAGTGTGGATTCTACAGGGTTACTCGATCATCGGGAGCAGAGGTATACACGACCACGGAGGTCGAGTACCATGGGGCTGGGCGAGATATCAAAACCTCATAGGCACCATACTATAGCTGGGATTCCGACCTCGAACCGTCCCGTATCTCCTGGTAAACGGCACTTCCACAACCACCCTCATGGGTACTTCCAGGATTACACCCAACCGTCCGAAGATTTGACCCCTGAGCTCCGTCGAGGCCCCACTGGTGACTACCTATCAGACACAGAAGAAGCGCCAGATACCACCACGCCACTTCTCGCGCGAACTCCAGCTGGCGGCGAGCTTCAATATCACGCAACTGAACGAACTTCCCTTTTCACCAGTCGTCCCCCCCGCGCCGCCAGCGTCTCGTCCCGCAGCAGTGGCAACAGTAGGAAGCGAAAGCCTCAGCACCTCGCTGTCTTAAATTTAGCCTACGGCAGCGTAAACTTCCCACCCTCAGTGCCATCATCACCAACGTTACAACCATATTCATCCGGAATAGATGAAAGTATTTCGCCAGGAACTCGTGGGGCGGGTCGTTTGAATAGCGGGATAGAAGACCATGTCATCAATATAGATGACGGATTAGCTCAACCCAGCGACCCGTTTTTGGACTCAACACCGCCTACACCCCCTCCTGGGATTACCCGTCAGCGGACAGGGATGGGCGAAGCAGAGGAGGATGTATGTTTTCCCGTCAGCGATCGACTTACAGATGGGATGGGTACGCCGACTCGACCCGGCGAAAACGGTAGCATACGCCATGGACGCCGCAGGAGGCCAAGAGAATGGCCCGACCTCGGCGTGTTCGAACAGTGGAGTCGTGAAGAAAAGGAGGAGCGGACAACAGCTGAGGGAATACGCGCACGACAGGTTTCGGAGCCTGTATATGTTGGTGGAAGGCTTAGGCCTACGATGAAGGGTTGGCACCGCGAGGTCGAGGATTTACCCTATCGGTTTACATATTTTAACGATGAATTGGGGGCGACAATTCACGCGCAAACAATTAGTGAGCTTGTTACGCCTGGGGAGACGACATTTAGAGACTTGTTTATGCCGCCCCCGAGGAGGGTTAGTAGCAGCAGTGATGAAGAGAGTGACTGTGAGGACGATCCAGAATGTTTGATTGATATTGGATGTGGGAAAGGGAGTGACAAAGGCACCGCAACACCAAGGGGTGGATTTGGCAGGGTGTCTGGCAGTGTGAGAGGTAGTGAAGATTTGAGTGCACTCGATGGGATGGGGACAGCGAATAATAGTGGGAACTTCGGGGTTCCATTCCGACAAGCGCCAACGAAAGACAGCCAATTTACAAATGCGACATCTGCTGCCCCCGGCGCTGCTGTATCAGGGGAAGAAGGGGAGAGGCCGACATGGTGGCTAGATGTTCTTAGTCCTACGAAGGCGGAGATGAAGGTTTTCCAAGATGCATTTGGAATTCATCCGCTTACTGCAGAGGACATACTCATGCAAGAGCCGCGGGAGAAGGTAGAGTTATTCAGGAATTATTATTTAGTCAGTTATCGGACGTTCGAGCAGGATCCTACGGATGAGGATTACATGGAGCCGGTGAATTTCTATATTGTGGTCTTCCGGACAGGTGTTTTGACGGTATTTCCCGCTTTCACAATTGATCCAATGCAAGGGATGTCCTAATCTGATGGTTGGATTTTCTAGTTCCACTTCTCGATGACACCACACGGTGCAAACGTTCGACGTCGTATTCGTCAACTGAAAGATTACATTGATATCACAGCGGATTGGATTTCTTACGCCCTGATAGATAATATTACTGATGCCTTCGGCCCAATCATTCAAATGATTGAAGAAGAGTGCGACGAAATCGACGATGTGATACTTGCAGAAGTGGAAACTTCAAGCACGAAACCGAAATCTCCAACACCGTCGTTAGACCAAGGCCGCAATTCAAAGCTCGATTCTATCCTTCGTCGTCCTTCGACTGCCGCAAGATCCGATGTCTCTACGAATATAGAACAACCTGATGATGCGAGCATGTTACGAAGAATTGCGACGTGTAGAAAGAAGGTTATGGGACTGTACAGATTGATGGGGAACAAAGCGGATGTGATCAAAGGGTTCAGCAAGCGATGTAATGAACAGTGGGATGTCGCGCCGCGCAGCGAGATTGGGTTGTATTTGGGAGATATACAGGATCACATTGTTACTATGGTGGCGAATTTAGTACATGTGGAGAAGATACTGAGCCGTGGGCATAGCAATTACTTGGCCCAGATCAGCATTAAGAGTATGCGTTTTCTCCTCTGACAATTTCCTTGAAGGTTGTGCTAATGCAAAATAGTGAATGAGAGGCAGGAGGAGACAGCAGATACACTTGGACGACTAACAGTATTGGGTACTATTGTACTACCGATGAATATCGTGACGGGTTTGTGGGGGATGAACGTATTGGTTCCGGGACAGGGGGATGAAGACCATTTGATGTGGTTCTGGGGCAGTAAGTATCTCTCCTTCTTTTCTTTTCTTTTACTATAGACTAAAAGGCTAATTGATAATAGTTACGGCGGGACTTTTGATGTTTGGCATAATGTGTTACTTTCTGGCAAAGAGGGTTTATGGGATTGTATAAATAATACTCTTCAACTAGTATACTACAATTGGATGTGGGGTAAGATAAGATTGTTAAATGATGGGTTTTCGAGGGGTTCTTATGGTGTTTCTTCTGGCGCTTCATTTTTCTTGTCTCTTTTCTTTAGTTTTGAGGCTTACCATGGCTTGTGGTTTTGTTTGGCGGAGTATGATGGTAACCTGTAATTGTATCTAACGAGAGGCTGAGGGTATGCATAGATTGTACGATTATGAGGGTTGTATGAATGTAATAATACGAGTATATAACGATTGATCAAGAATTCTTTCCGCCAGAACAGTATTCTTACGGAGTAGTTACTGCTCTGATCTGCTTCCGCCTCGTAATTTTCCAGGAATACCTAGTTCATTTTGTCTCGTCACAGACCTGGGTTAAGGGTTCATTATGCATGGGAATGAGTTAACTATTAATATGCGGCACGCTGCATAAGTCTGGTTTGGGAGCTATTCCATGGCGGGTGCCATCCGAACGTACATAATACGTGTGCATGGCATGTGTACCCGTGCGACAGATCTGGGATTCCAGGCATCTGGCTACGACATGGCTGCTAGCTGCATATGTAGGGATATATGTATATTAAATTCACCAGATCGATCTGGTTAATTAATTGTGAACGACCTGCAGGTTCCCAGATGTAAAAAATCGTGGTATTGGGTCCTGCGGTTATTCTAATATTTTCAAACACAACTTATTAAAACTTTGGAATCGATGCCAGTGGTTAAATATAAATTTTGGATCCAAGCCAATACCTTTTGTTTCGCCTAGCAGGACGAGGAAAACGAGACTTTTATTGGCGATGTTTGGCGCCAGTTGCTATGGAGAAAAGCGAAATTGTTTACCACAAGCTGAACAAAGTGGAAGGACTGTGGGAAACAAACCACCAAGCTTGAGGAGAGGGAGAAGAATCTGGGACAGGGGTAAACGTCAGCATGATATTAATTGGAATGTGAGGCAAGCTTCCCTGACAGTTTGGTTACCATTGTTTTTGTTAATTTAATAAGCTTTGAAGGTTTAAATATCAAGGTTTTCTCTCCCACTCGATATTCTTTCGAATAGAAAAACTCTTTTTTTGCTTCTAGAAGTTTATGAGAATAGTCTTTTTTTGTTTGTTTGCGGTATCGATATTTTAAGTTTGCAGAAGGACTGGAAAGAAGGAAAGAAAGAGAAGGGTTTCCTTTGTAGAAACGACAAACTATCAGTTTACGATTTTGAAGATTCTATTACGATATTTGACGATTTGGTCGGGAGCTCAGTCTTTTCGGCAGACAGGTAGACACCATTTTACCATAAAATTGGTATTTTAACGGTACACTCTAGCTGCCCACCAGCTATACCGACCGAGTTTACCAGTATATACTAGAAAAGAAAGAAGAGAGTTCCACGGGACGCCTTTCTACAAAAAAAAAAAAAAAAACCACGGGGCTGGCAGGGCTGCAGCCAAGTAGCATTTGGACGTCATACCGGCAGGGTTTGGCGCAAACTCTCAGCTGGGCTTAAGCGGAAGGAAGCTGTCGCAAAGGAATAAATTAATATTCCTAGTCGCAAGAAAGCGAAAAAAGTTAAGTACCTCCCCTCCCTCGACTATTCACTAACACACAGCGCAGAGCGGATATAAAATATCTCGCACAGTCTAAGGGAACATACATATAATATATAATACAAGATACGAGATACTTCTAAGAGGTAGTCGTTCTGTATTTTCCCGAAGCGGCCATCTCTGTGTAACATTCGACAGGTCGATTTCCGTATTTCCCCAACGACGGTTTCCCTTTTTGGCGTTTTTCGACGTCGACCAGCAAAATTGCAACAAATCCCCAACGACAGGAAACAAACATAAAGTAATAAAAAAAGATGATATCCCGGTTATCTGCCGCAGGGGGGTCGACTGCTACCCGCGCCCTCTTCGCCACTGTATTAGCCACACTGGCGGGGTTAACTTCATCTCAGACCTTTACTTCTTGTAATCCGCTGTTTGGACGTAAGTGCCCTGAGATCCCTTATCAAATATATATGCATGCATATCTAGATATCTAGAAATATCTCAAAGAACTTCATTTCTCCCCCAAAAGTACTTACATAATTAATTATATTTAGAATGCCCCGCCAACCCCGCCTTAGGCGGCTCCATGTCCGCAGACTTCACCGGCGGTCCAAACAGCATGTTTACCCCCATCCTCTCCACCGACAAGATCACCTATACCAACATCGGCGCTCAATTCCAAGTCTCAGCATCCGGCGACTCCCCAACCTTAGCCTCAAACTTCTACATCATGTTCGGCCGTGTGAGCGTCACCATGCGTAGCGCTACAGGTGTAGGAATCGTCTCTTCCGTTGTCCTCCAATCCGACGATCTAGATGAAATAGATTGGGAATGGTTGGGAGGCGATAATGTTGCGGTTCAGAGTAATTATTTTGGAAAGGGGAATACGAATACTTATGATCGGGCGGCGTTTATAAATGTCAATGACCCGCAGGGGACTGAACATACTTATACGATTGAGTGGACGAGTAAGGCTATTACTTGGAGTATTGATGGTGCTGTAAGAAGAGTTTTGACGGCGGAGGCTTCTTCTGGTGGCGGGATGTATTATCCGCAGACCCCCATGCAGATTAAATTGGGAGCGTGGAGTGGTGGTGATCCAAGTAATCCCGAGGGAACTATCAGTAAGTTTTTACAAATAATTACTTTAAATTCCCCAATACTTCAAAGTAATGGGTTTCCGCTAACACATGAGGGTATTGTGAAAATAGAATGGGCAGGCGGATATACCGACTACTCCCAAGGACCCTTCAACATGTTCGTCCGCTCCCTCAGTATCCAAGACTACTCCACCGGCGAATCCTATTATTACTCAGACACCTCAGGTTCCTACCAATCTATCCGTTCGAACGGCGGAACCATCGGCGTTGGCGCTGGCGGGGACCCCGGTGGCAGCGGTACAGAATACACACCGCCCACATTAACCAATATCCCAATCAACAACGGAATCCCGGGTAGTCCATCGACTGAGACTTTGACGATAACTAGAACAAGAACGCCTTATATTCCTCCCACGAGCGCGGAGGAGTATTGGGCTGGAACGGGGTATAGAGTTTCTTCTGCGAGTGAGTATAATTCTCCTTCTTCTGTGGATCCTAATATTCCTTACATTGTAACCGATTCTCCGGGTCATAATAATAATGGTGGTGGTGGTAATGGTAATGACCCGGGGAATACGGCACCTGTGTATATTGTTACTGCAACCCCGAATTCAGGAAGTAAGACTAACGGCTTTGGAGGAGGCCGACCCCGGCTCGGGAATACTGATCTTTTTGTGAGGTTCTCGGAGTTATTGTTGATCCCACCTTATATCTTTGCGTTAGGGTGGGGGGTGTTAGGTGCTCTGCTTTTGTAGTGCTGTTTCTTCTCTTTTCTTTTCTCTTGCATGCATATATCTATTAATGTGCATTTTTTACTACTACTTTCGAGGCCTAGTGTATACTCTGAAGGCTCAAATGTATCTGAGGGTTTGTGTAAAGCAAGCAATGGGGGGGAGGAATTGGAGGGAGAGGTGGAGATTTCTTTTGTCACATTTGCATTTTTTCCTCTTTGAATGTTTTTTTCACATAGCGGTGCCTTTTTACGAATTAGATGGTTAATGCTTAGTTACACCGCCCTCCTCCTGAGCTCATTTTGAGTTATCATCATTGTCATTTATCATCGTCATCATCATGTCCCCTTTTTAATGTCTATACAACCAAACATACATGTCAAAAACCTGTCAAAACCTGTCAAAAACCAATTAACAGACAATCCGATACATTCTCACGAACAGCTTCCCGGTTTTTATATATTATTATCTGTAGGCGAGATAAACGAGCGCACTCCCAATTACCCCTTCCATTATATCCTATATTACCTCCAATTGTAATGCAAGAGAAAAATATAAAAAGAGAAAAACACCGGACTAGCATCATAACCATCATAATATCAAGTACTCCACATCCCAATTATACCACTACCAATTGTAGCCTCACTCTCATGATCAAGCGGCCAATTGACCTATTGATTATAACCCTCACAATCTAACCAACCCAACCCCTTTCCTCCCATCATACCACATCTCCACCTTCCCATCATAACACATCCCGGGTCTGCCTCTAACCCCCACCCTCTCAGCTTCCAACGGAACCCTCACCTCTGCAAAATTCGGATTATCATGCCAAGCTGTATGGCCCAATATGGGTTCCAACTGAATATCCAGAACTTCGGTTGCCAGTACGAATCGTTGTGATGCTGGGTACATTCGTGGTGACATTGGGAGGTCGGTTTCAGTGGCTGGATCGGGTTGTGGAATCGGGATATAGATGTTCCCACCCATTGGAGGAAACCGGAGTTTTTTGATTTTGGTATTTGGTGATGCGTGGTGACTATAGATATTATATTAGAGTTATTATAAATATTGGAGCGAAATGTCGACAATTGATGCTGATTTTGTGAGCTTTCATCATAGCTAGCTCCGGGGTAGAGCTTGAGCTAGCGAATAGACAAAGTAGGCAGGAATATAAAATTAAAAGGATACTAACTCAAGATAATCCCGTAAGTAATTCACTGATACGGCTCCAATCCCCAGACACACAAAAAGGGTAGGTATAAACCCAGCCCATTTCCCATCTTGTGGGATCAATAACTCGAGGATAGGATAGCCCATGGGTTTTGTTTCTTCTTTTTTCCTTTCTTTCCTTTTTGATTATTTTATACGTATCTATTTAGACCGTATACGTATGATATGTATAAATGTGGAAGGTTCGATATATAATAAAATATGTAGGATAATTATAATATAAGACAAGTAGGTATATATTTCGGAATCCGGAAGGTGAATCTTTTGTTTCTTTCTCGAAGAGGACCGTGCTCAACTAGAGAAAGCGGCAAGCTGCATCAACGGGGGGAATATACAAGGTAGTTATAAAGCTATAAAAGATAGCTTACATAGCTTACAATTATATCATTGAGCTCGAGCTATCAATCGATATCATGATATCAGTGCTTCAACTTTTCAACATGTGAAAAAGAAGCGAACTCAGAGGGAAAACAGGCCATATAAGATCGCACCACCACACCCCCATCTCCGGCGGAAGTCTAGCTAGTAGCTAAACTAAGTACCTAGGTAGCTAGCTCAATTATATCATCGACTACATTGCATCCGAGCTTTCCAACAAACCTTAATACGAGCTCGGCCGTCCGAACGTGGGGGGTTAGTAGACAATCAGGACTTTTTTTCTCAATTTATACGCATTCCAGAGCTCCTTCCCCTCAAAAAACTCATCCTATTTGTTGCATTTTCGCAATTGGTTCACCACTCGCACGTGCAAGTCGAGTTACCTAGGTTACTCGGTATTGCCGATAAGAAAGCCGTTGCCGTTGTGGTGGTCTTATAGGACCTTTCATCATTCCTCAACAGGTTCCCGGTTAATAGCTGCAAGAATAACGTTGGGGACTATCGAGTTACTTGGCTATCCATTCGGATTATTTTATGCGGGAAAAAAAAAAAAAAAAAAAAGGATGTATCCAGGTCACGTCCTCCTCTAACTAGCCCCACAGTTCTATAAACACCAGCTTCATGAGGCAAAATGCAATAGTCACACCATGCCAGAACCAAAAAAAGATCTTTAAAATCTAATTTTTCTCGAATTTAAATCCCCGTGACTCTTCTAATCTTCCTTGCCATACCCTCACCACCAACATTAACGACGTGTCCCTCACCTTCTAGTGCAGCGACCGCTTCCATAAATTCTCCTTGTCCCATCTTGGCACCCGTCTCTCCCTCGGCTTGAATCCTCGCAAGCACCTCACGTAGCATAACAGACCCGCCACTCCTCGTCATTTCATCTAATATTGTAACAATTGCACTCTTCAAATCTCCACGCCTACGGCGCTCACTCACTCCAACACCAGAAATAAGATCCATATCAATCCTTCCTGTCAGGGGATCTGTAGCGCTCTCTTTAATGGCAGAACGAATAAGACGGACGGCTTCTAATACATCGCGCAGTTCTACCTCGCTCGCTAGGCGCATTTTTGCATGCGCCTCTGATAGACGGATCATGGATTCCAGTTGACGGGTTGTGGCGGTAATACGACGCTCAGCGGCGCGGACGTCTTCGCCAAGTTTTCGCATGGCAACGTAGGATCGTACGAGTTCTTCGGAGGCTTCTTCCGTGATCCTTGGATGTATATTTTGGCGGGCATAGGAAACGTAGGATGTTAAGAATTCGATGGGCTATAAAAAAAACCTCGTTAGCGTGGCTCGTGGCAAGTTTAACTATGATGAGGAGGGTGGGTCATACTAGAATCTCTTTCTGAGCTGCATTCTCAGGTCTATCCTCCAAGTACATCCCAACTAAATGCCTTGCCAACATCTTGTCGGATTTTTCATCAACTTTATCCAACATGAGGTAGATCAAGTCAAATCTACTCATCAATGTTGGCGGGAGGTCGATGTTCTTTGGGACTGAAAGGTTTGGATTATATTTGCTGCCAATTGGATTTGCCGACGCAAGGATAGAAGTACGAGCGTTCAATGTGGTGATGATACCAGCTTTAGCAATGGATACTGTTTGCTGTTCCATCACTTCGTGAAGAACTGATCTTGTAGCTTCAGACATTTTGTCGAATTCATCGATACAACAGATACCTCCATCTGAAAGTACCAATGCTCCGGATTCGAGAACCAGCTGTTTAGACTCCGGGTCCCGAGTTACGTAGGCGGTCAAACCAACTGCTGAGGAACCTTTACCGCTGGTGTAGATACCTCTTGGTGCAATTCGGTTAACATAAGAAAGCATTTGAGATTTCGAGGTAGACGGGTCACCGCAAAGTAAAATGTTGATATCGCCACGGTATCGTGGCGCACCACCTCTTTCGAACGTCTTGTTAGTGCCGCCAAAGAGCTGTAGTAGAATACCCTTCTTCACATCATCGTTTTCAAACACACTAGGTGCCAGTGACCTAGAAAGGAGCTCATAGACGTCGTATCTTGCCCCGACTTCCTTGATCTTCTCAATTTCGGCTTCAGTGATCTTTCGGACTTCGTCTACGTCTGCAGATACTTTATCCGCCATACTGCCTTCCATTGTTGTAACATCGAGGCCCAGCCTCTTCTTGTCCACCTTTTGAATGTGTACGGCGTCAATGTAGGTCTTGAACAGACTCTTCACTGACCTCTGTCTTGGGTTGACTCGCACTGGCACGCCTCTGAAAATACCCGTAACTTCAACACGGTCACCAGCCTTGCAGACGTCCACCATCTCATCATACATCAAGATAGACACTGAATGGGGGGTTTGACCATCAGGTATGCTATCTGGTGTCTCCTGAAGTTTCAGGATTTGCTTGTCTGCGAACTCAGAGCGATTGTGAATGAGCTGCATTGAGTTGGGTGCATTACAAACTTGGCGAGGGCATCTCGTAGGCTCAACAATCTTGCCGCGTTCGATTTCGACTTTCACATCCTGATTGCAGATCTCGCAACGGAAGAAGGCCATTTTCATGTCTGGGATAACCGGGGTTGTTCGGATGACCAGACCCTTGATACTGACCACCTTATCAATATCTATTCATATCGTTAGATTTCCATAGAAAACAACCGCGATTGTGGGTTCTCACCATTCGGGTTCAATTCTCTCATATTAGACTGTTTCTCCAAATTGAACGGTCTGACCTGATACATGTCTCTCTCGAACTCGTTAAGCTCATCTTCTCCTGCGCCCGACCTCACAAACAACTCCTTCATTTCGTCCTTGACAACTTGATCCATTAGAGGAATTATCTCAGCAGGATAGTTAATCAATTGATGATAAAATTTCTTTGTTTGTGGGAATGCCAACAAGTTCTTGCAATCAACGTTCAACCCTGTAACATGTAACTGCTTCATTGCCTTTAGCATCTCATCGTACACAAGGTCTTCACCTGCACCTGGAGCTACAGTCTCGCCATTGTAGATCATTCGGTATTTGCGCTTGAAGTTTCGAAGAAAATTTCGGAAGTTACGCATGGAGTCGATGATCGAGATGTTGGTACCCCAAATGAACCGTTGGGTGAACTCATCTGCCTCAGAGGTCTGAAAAGTGTTTGCGTCCGATTGGCCACCTGGGCGAGGGACGAAGGTACGAGGCTGGCCATCAGGGCCGAATGAATCGGACATTGGGATGTCATTTCGATTTCGGCGCGCTCGAGGAGTAGCTTCGTTATCTTGACTATTCTTTAACTTAGCGTTTAAACACCGTAATGAGGGTATCCAGCTGCAACATACGTTCCATAGAGGCGACCAGGGCCATCGGACGAAGGCCCTCCAGGGGTGCTAGGGTCATATCGAAGAGGCGATGAAGCTATAACGTCCCAAAATCAGCCTTGAAGCCCTTCCCCAACCAAACTCAAGGAGCGGTAATTCGTACACATTCCCCAAGCATTAGATGCACTAGCCCGTGGGGTAGCAGGATCCTCTGGTATTTCCGGAGCAGGGCTACTACTCGGATACTCCATCGGATCGCTCATGTCCATATCATCGCGTTCGGAATGTGGAGCAGGCGAAGAAGAGGCCTCGCTTCTAAATAATGGGGAATCTGTAACGGCAGTTCGCGCGGGTCGAGAAGGAGTGGCAAAGCTAGAGCCTGGAGCTGTAGACCTCGCGCTGCGTGTGCTGCGCGCGGTTTGTGGGGTCGCTTGAGGAGTCCCTCGTGCGGATCGACGAGGGGTCGACATGGTGGAGGTAGCTAGGTGGAGCTATGGTCTTCGCGTGGGAGAGTAGTGGGTAAGCGATTGAGCTGAAACAACCACTGGAAAAGCTGGATGTTCGAGTCGATGATGATGAATGAAGAGGTAGATATTTGGTCGTGCCACCGTCGTCGAGGTTTTCACGGTGAAGTTTTAGGCTGGTTGAAGTTGTGAGACTCGTAAACGCGTTGTTGGAAGTTGAATCGAAGTTGGAGCTCCCAAAGAGGAAAGGGCAACCACGTGATATGTACCAAGGTTCAAGCTCAGTTTTGAATAACTAAGTCGACGTCTAGATCTAGACCCTTCGAATCAAGCTAGATTTAGTCTCGAGGGATACGATTTCGGTAGCAACTGCGGATAATTCAAACCGTCAAGCCTTTTCATTGAGGAATTGCCTGATATACGTATATCCATGACATGATATCCAACGGAACACTACCAAGCCTCAGATCGTTCATACGCAACACGCAAATTGCAACAGCTCTAAGATTGGAAAGTCCGAAACGAGACTAGGAAACTCCACGTACTTGGAGAGCAGTTTGAAATCTAGAAATCGGATCATACTTCACTGCAAAAATGAAAATAAGCAGTTTTACATGTTAAGTAAGTCATGCAGGTTACTAGAATCATTTTCGGGTTTTTATAGCTAGTATCCTCTAAAACTGGGTATATCAATATGTATGGAATATACCCTAGCTGCATATTTGGAGCCACAGCTTCCTTCTATTGTGAGCTGAACTTCATATGCTGGTGACTATTCGTATTTCAAAGATACCCCTCTTCTTCTTCCTCTTTTCTTCCTCCTCCTCCTCAAAAAAAAAAAAAAGGGGGGGGGGGACAGCTAAAATATAATATTATGCGACCTTCCTGGAGCTGTAGCTAATATCAGCTGATGGCCACCCTGAAAAGACGCCCAGCTAATTGCACTGCCCCGCGCCCAGTTCAAGTCTGATATCTACGTACGATATTGTAATCTTTCTATTGGAACAAGTATTAAATAAACAAGTGGGTTCCGTCTATGGTGGTCCCTTGTTGAGGTTCTGATTCGTCGAAGATAGGAAACCCTAAAACTAGATCAGCTCAGTGGCACGAAAGTATGAGATAAGGCAATGCCTATGATAGGACTAGAAATCAATTCCTTGACATGAACCTAGAGATTGATAATCGAATCGGTGCACGTCAATATTGTCCTACCGTAGATGTAATAATAAATTTCCGTGACGTTTTGATAGGTCCATGAATCCAAAAACTGGTTGACTTTGGGTCAGTATCTATTTACCGGCCACTTGCTCACCACTTGGTGTATGGATATTTCCATTTAATCATTTGAATCTTTCCCTGGATTTAGTATTGTTAAGGTAAGGTGCACCGGTGCTTCACTGTACTGTTCTTCCCGACAGTTTGGTGTATATAATACACCTGATATGTGTGCGTATATATGTGTGTGTGTGATGAATTCAATAAGTGCCATAGAAATTTTATCTAGGGCCTCAGAACGCATCCATATGTGCATATAGTAGACGAGCTCCGATAGAAAGTGATCATGAGGTAGTCAACTTCCCGAGAACAGCCTCAGTTTTCTGTCACAAATATGATAGAGTATTGAATTGGTTCCCAACGGATATATATGGCCTATATAAACTCTTAACTTGATTCGGCCCTCGGTTCTCGAGCTCTAGACCGATAAACGAAATATATACGATCACGAGCCTGTTTGAAAGGTCTGGGAATTGAATTCCACGGCGAGGACACCTAAAATTCCAGTGCAGATACAACAGCTGTCCTATTAGTCTCCGGGTCATAGAATCTACGAGGAATCCGAAACAGCGGGACTTAAGAAAACAAGTTAACTGACTAACCGGGGTTGCTAACATGCCTGCGGCGCAGGCACAGAAATGTTGGAACACTAAAACAGGAATAACCTATATTAATATTGCAATGACCAATCAAATAATCCGGATCAACTATCCCTCGTTGGGTGAAAATCCGACGCCATGGCCTGATATCATCAATAATCTTCCGTTTCGGATTTTTATTACCAAAGTCAGGCGAGCGAACACAGCCGTCAGGGCAAAACTGTCTCATCCGATCTGAATACATGACTGTTGTCCTCAGCTGTGTATGTCTCTCCTAAGAAGCCATGACCAGGGATTGGCGGTTATTGGCAATCTGTCGTATCGCCTGACCATGATCTTCACTTCTAGTGTGGTTGGGATCAGTATCGGTCTGCGCCCAGCATCTCCTCGAGTCGCTGACAAAATTTTACCACATGCATATTGAGTTCAACCAAGGCTTGAGCTCCGGTAGCCTCGAGACTAGGCGTAGATGAGGGCAGGGTTTAAGACACAGCAATGCCGCGTGGCAGGCTCCGAATTCACGGAGGGCGTCGCTTTCACATATGCATAACCGGATTTATGTATAACTCCGCTAACCCAGCGTGCCATGACCGAGGAAAATATTTCACAGATACCCGAGCCGTGCCGTGCTGAGATTAAGTTTGTCGCCTTCACCGGCATTTCTGTATTCCATATTTCTAAAATTCCGGACCAGCAAGCGGACATTACAACAATAGCCCAGCGGATGGCCTGAATAACAACAGCCACTAAGCTAAGTAGCATATCCTATTGCAGCTACCGCAAGTTAACAGCCAGCAGTTATGCAAACTTTTAAGTATTGAGGAATTTTTCGGTTCACGTCGTTTATGCCCGTTGGTTGACCGAGATTTCCATTCTTAGAAGGAGTGGGGGACAGTTGTCGACAAAGCTCAGCTTGCGCCAGCATTCCAGCCTGAAGCTTCGGCTTCGAAGTATGTAGCAAACAACAGGACTAGTGCCTCCCATTAGCAAACACACTCCCTTGCTTATAGCCGAAGGAGAAAAAAAGAAAGCAAAGAAATTCATGATACGAAATCTCAAAGCCAGGTTTTGTTTTTATCGGGTCTTCTTACTGCTAGAAGCCTTAATTTGGCGTTTCACTGAAAAGTCAAGTATTCGGAACGTTTTCCCGCGATTCAACCTGAGACTTACCAAAATGTGCATACACATGGAGCATTCTAGCATTCTAGAATCAGGGCTACGTAGACTAGATACTAGCTTCCAAAAAAAAAAAAAAAAAAAAAATCTTTAGCCCGTATAGTTTATTATGGAAAATATATTCGACCTTTCAAAGTTCGAGATATCATTGAAGAAATACACCCGGAAATAAAAGTAAACGGTTAATCTAATAGCATGAAACCGACCTGATCTATCCAGGCTAAAGCAAAGCAATCGGTGCAAACCGACACAACAGACGCCCAAAACCGCAATACTCGTATACCAGGGCTTGTACCACCCAAGACTGCGACCCGGGTTTGTGAACATATTTGTACATGTACTGTACATGTACCTGTGTGTGACCACACCTGCATATGCAATTACACCAGTGCGGAGACGTACTAGTTGAGCACACCAGGCTTCGAGTTCTCAATTAAGAATGCAACACGCCATACATGGTGGTTCCAACAATGGCAAATTTGCAGCCATCTTCAGACAGTGATTGACATTTCCGAAATTTCCATGCCAGTAATGGCAATTACACAATGGGGCAAACTTTGCGAGCGGGATAGATTTGACCCGTTCTAGATTTCAAGGCTCGGTTTGATTCAAATTTCGTCAATACAGTCTACATGTCTAGAAAGGTGAAGCCGCAGTTAACGTTGATTCCTCACCGCCCCGCTGTTTGTTCACTGCACTGGCAACATCGACAGGATTTAATATCCCCTGCCGGTCTTTTCGAGTTGTGCCTTTTGCGCGCTTTTCGGTAGGTTTCTAGTGTTTGAAGAACCCGGCGTCGAGGCTATGAATAATCTTCCCATGTTAGCCCTGCATATGTGTGTTTAAGGACCGAGCGAAGGTGGCTGAAATGCGATTGCAATTGCCAGGATATAAACGCACCTTCCGGATAATTCAGCCGATATCTCCAGTCCAGCGGATGATGGAATAGTAGGTATATACTTTTAGGGAGCCATTTATAGAGCACCCTCGAAAGGCTCTAGGGTTATCCGCATCATATCTCCACGAACGAAACCCGCAATTATTTTTGTAAAACAGTCATGATAGCCCCTTCTTACCTGCCAATAAGAACCTGAATTTAATGTCATCCGATATAAGTGTAGTGGCCCTTAGACGCACACTAATCGTTAGCCCCGCATCCATGGATCCGAGGTCGATTAAACCGGGATTTGTGGAGACTGTTGAGCTACCTCAGTACTTTGTCTCAGCTCCCTTGCTGCAGGTGCTTTGGCCGCCACCGTAGATAAGGTACATCGCATGTGGCAGCTGAATGAAAATGTCTTCGTCGGACATCACCAGCTCTCCGGGTTTTGCGCCATAATTGGTATACGACCTTTTACGTATACACCCTTTTTGATGAGATGATCAATGGTCTATAACTGTTCAGGCTCACCTTGTGGCCAAAATATTTCTTCTAATAACTCATCATGTCGACGATTCGGAATGGTATATGGAATGTGAGCCCCTGGGAGCTCTGGCACACCGCTGCCGCCTGTCGTCTGATAGCTGAATCCTTCGCCAGTCCAGCCTCTCCGCGCATGATTCAAACTGATAATCGCCCGTTAGAAGGAACTATAAATTTTTTTTCTTTTGCTCTATTCTTGAAAATCCCATCTGAAGCTTCATGTACCTACCCTGCATGCTATACGTATACCTATCGGGAAGAAAAAAACGTTCGCAGGCAAAATTAGCAGCTTGTGCCGCAACTCTCCACATTAGAATCGCAATGTCGCATGCCTGGACTCGGGGTTTATTTCAATTCTTCGATAGTTTCAATATTTTTTCTCCTGGAAACCCGAGTTTGCGAGTTTTAGGTCCCGCACCTGCATCTGGGCCTTGTAGTTGTTGGGACTCTTGTTGCGCAGGCTGCAGCCTCCCTGTAGCCAACCAACCGCCAATTCCATGCAAACGTGGGAAGACGCACTGGGGGAGCTCGTCAATGCCAGGGTCCAGTGAAAAATATAGTACAGCCGCTTCCCTGGGACGGCGCTCGTGATGTCGTAGTTGTTGTAAGTCTTTGACTTTTATATCGAGCGAGCGATAGGGATCCAGAGCCCCCTTGCTGTCGCTGTTGGTAGCCGGGTCGGTCCTCATCAGCAGTATTTTTCCCTCGAAAAATTGAAAGCAATATTTAAAGCCCCTCGGTCCCACGTCCCATCCCACCTTCTTCCTCTTTCATCACACTTCTAGCTTCAATCCGTGAACATACTTGCTAACATAGCTTCTTCTTCTTCTCCTCAGCACCTCCCAAACTTATTACATTTGTCTTCTCTCCCATCTCAGGCACTTTCCGTTCTGGATCTTATACTCCAGCTCCCTTTCAGACTTCGAAGCTTCTTCCCAGGGCACTAACTTCACCATTAATATCATCGATAGGTTTTGAAGCATTAAATCATCCTCCTTCGTAATATATAAGAGGCTTCCAAGCTCTTTCTCTTCATCTCATGGTTCTTTCCTCCGGCTCTTGAAGATTCCTCTTGTTTTTCCCCCGACATTTTTGGATCTTTGCTTTCCTCACCCCCTCCCCTCAATCAAGTTTTTCGATCCTATTTTAGCTCTTGCTTCACTAAGCCATTGAATTTGCACCATTTGGTTTTTGGCTCTCTGAACCTTGTTTTTTAGCGAACTGCTTTGAGATTATTGTGGATTTGCGTCTAGTTCTCTGACTCCTTCAACTTCGTTTTTTGTCGTCGTGAGATCGGTTTCCTGTTCTTCGTGGTATATTTTTGGGTCGACAAAATGGTTGTCTGTATCGATGCTCGTCCTGACATTATGATGGGACCTTTGAAGACCCCTTTCACAGAGATGTTCAACATCAAGCACCCAGTCAGGTAGAGTTGCACTCTGCCCCTCGATTTTCCGCTTTGTTAGCGACACTGACATGTGTTTTTAATCAGCCTTGCGGGTATGAACATTGCAGCTGGTCCAAGACTTGGAGCTGCAGTTATTGAAGCTGGTGGCTTCGCATGTTTGGGAGGCAATGGCTACGCCAAATCCCAAGAATATGACACTCTTTCGTATGATGAGTTCTATAATGAATTCATGGCACATCAAAGTAGGCTTCCCTCACATCGTCGCCGTTTATTTTTGAAGACTAACTGAGTTATGTTTTTGGATAGCCCCGGAGAAAGTGAGGACCCAGATCCGAGAACTCAAGGCGTTCCTCGAGAATCCGATTGATGCCCCGTTCGGCGTCGATATCTTGCTTCCACAGATCGGTGGTGGTGCCAGAAAAACAAACTACGACTATACTTCTGGACGATCTGAAGAGATTATTGATGTCGTTATTGAGGAAGGCGCCAAGCTTTTCGTTAGTGCTCTCGGTGCACCTCCTGCTCATATTGTGGATAAGCTTCACAGAGCGGGTGTCATTGTTGGGACTAATATCGGCCATCCAAAACACGTAGCCAAGGTATTAGACGCTGGGTGTGACTTGATCGTTGCAACCGTAAGTACAGTATCATGCACAATGTATTGTGGACATGAAATCATACTAATGCATTCATGATGCAGGGTGGCGAAGGTGGCGGTCATGGCAGTGACGTTGCTACCATGATTTTAATGTAAGGATTCTTGCTTAATCCTTTTAATGGTTATTTGTTCGAAGATGAGAGCTAACAGAAGTATTAGACCAATGGTGCTTGAAGCATGTCGAGGTCGTATTTCGAAGTTCACTGGCCGTCCTATTGTTGTCTTGGCAGCCGGTGGAATTTATAACTCTATGGGTGTGGCTGCTTCTTTGGCGATGGGTGCAGATGGAGTATGGTGCGGCACTAAGTTTGTGGCTGCTACCGAGTCCGGGGCCAGCGATGGCCATCAAAGGGATCTTCTTGATACAGATGTCTCTGGTACTACTAAGACCATTATCTATACTGTAAGTCATGATTGAAGCCTGAAACAACTGGAGAAAAGCAGAAGAGAGTAACAATGAGCGTGGAATGCAGGGTCGTCCAATGCGGGTCAAGAATCATGCTCTGATCGAGGAGTGGCACAAGCATCCCGACAAGATCCAGAAGTTAACATCTGCCGGGCATATCCCAGTCCTCCACGAGATTACTAAACTCGCGAAGGAAGGTAAAGACTTCCCTCCGGAGCACGAAGCGGGTGTGCGCTGTGTCATGCTTGGGCAGGCTGCTGGTGCCATCAATGAGATCCTTCCGGCTAAAGAGATCATTGATGAGATGGTATATGGGGCTGCGGCGCTTCTTAAGCGCACGGAACGTATTCGAAGCAAGCTCTAGACTAAGGTGGTATCAGTATCGTGAAAGATACAGTGGAGGGAAGTAGTCTCGTATTGGGATGGAAGTGGAGCTTATACTTCTTTATATATATATAGGTCCCATGCATTGTTTTGTATTGCGAGGCGTCCTGCTTTAACCTTTCCTGGCGTTTATAACTGTCTATTCGTGCGGATTTGGCCCATTGGATTTTTTATATAATTTGTTTTTCCGCGGCATGGGGATTAAGCTTTTCTATAATTACTAGTTTTCCATGTTAGTAACTAATAAAGAGGTTAGTGAGGGGTTAAATATGAGATATTCTACTTACTTGAACTGTATTTGAACGCATACAGGGCATGTCTCCCTTTGTGGGACCTGGCAACAAGACCATGCCCGGTCAGAATATGCATCTAGTTCCCTTAGTAAAGTAATTATAATAGAAAGGTTGGTAAATAGTGAAAAAGATTACTCACCGGGTTTTGAATGCTCTAGCTACTGTCAACTTGGATTGTTCTAAGTCCAATGAGTTCGTGAGGTATGGATAAATATGTAGAGTAGATATATGTGAGAAAGGGCTCATAAAATGCTGAGGGATGGTTTCGTTCATATCTCCAAAGGCAGACGGGAGGATCCCGTGCTTGGTGGGCAGAATTTGAGCATGAGACTAGGCCATAGGGCAGAACGCTATGGCCGTGAACCAAAGCCGTATTAAAGTTTTTCTTGATTTACTTTGTGATTGTGGCTATTGTAAGTTAGTATGTGCATGTGGAAGAAATGGAAATGGAAGAGGACTGATGAAGATGTTTCAAGCGGTAAGGGGGCTTTAAGTACCTATGGAAAAATACAGAGGGATTTTGTATATTGGTCAGTCTCAAAGCCTTGATGAGCGTGATGTTAATCGTAATGGCGTGGTATACGGTACGCTATTCTTGAGTAGTAGAATCAGGTCGTTTATATGATTACTAGTGGGCACCCAGGTAGTCGTCGCGGCGACATGATATACTATCCCTGCGCCATATCAAGAACTTCCCATAGCGATTCTCCCTATACTATTATAACCATCCTCTAATCATTTAATATATAGGCCTACTAGTTATGCTATCGCATTTTCAGTTTATATAAAACTGCTATAAATGCAAGTCAAATATAATATGAAGTTAGTCTCGTTCTGGATGAAGTATAAGGTGATTTTTATATGTATTAATAGCGATATAGGAAGGTTTTATGGATGTCGGTTCCAGCTAGTCAGGACTACATGCACACTACGTATACATGTACTAAGAATATATTTCATATCAGCTCCTGCTTTAGTCTTAAATTATAGACGTTCTAGAATGTATTTATGCCATTTTTAGCCAGTCGTTTCTGGTTGACTTTTTGGACGGGCTTGTAAGATATCATGTGCATCTGGGAACGGGACTGCACAAGCATATACCTAAAGTCCCTTAGAAGTATCCATTATTTTGAATGGCTTTAAAGAAATGACTATCTATATATTAAAAAAATATCAATGCAAGTTAGCCCCTAACCGTTTGATACACATAATTATAAGTGAAGGTTGGCCGTTGTGTAGGCTTGCGAGGGCGGCGGATGGAGTGTTTCTTTTGAGAAGAAAAGATTCGAGATTCATCTTTCTCAGAAAAAGAACAGAAGTTTGAAGAAATACTTGCTCTTTGAGTTCTAACAGAAATCTATGAAGAGAAGTCTCAGATACAATAAATAAAGCTGGGGACTTCCAGAACTGTAGCTAACCATCACTTGTCCTAGAACTAGACTGATATAATTGGCAATTGCGTTGGTCTGTTGTATGTCCCAAACCGCCTAGCAAAGGTTACACAGCACCTAACCGCATTGGTCCGACAAATCCCTGCCAAAATTTCTCAAAGCGAAAAAAGTCGAAACCTTCGCGACAACCACTTTTTCAACCCTCCAAGCTCCACCATCTCCAACTTCGACAGTCCTCGCTCGATAGTCCCCACGACACAACCAACCCTATCGCCAAAGATGGAGGTTGAACGTACTAGCCAATCGGTACCACATAAGCCAGCCCCTACACGGCTGAAAGATGCTGCGGAAGAAGAGCTCGAGAAGCTTGTCTTCGGCGACCTCTCCGGGTTTCAGGCTGGGCTCTACGCTGATAAAGCTGATTACTCGTCAGAAGACGAGAATGAAGTCCGGTTAAACTTGAACAAACCTTTAGGAGAGGTGGGCCAGTTGGAAGATGACCAGGTATTACATTGATAGGGGGGATGCTGCTTCAATGGGCGAAGGGATACTGACTTCTCTAGTTATTCTTCGTAGACTCCGGGGCCACACAGCCGACTGACCTCGTTCACGCTACCTCCGCTGATTTAACACATGCCGGCGACTCAGACTCCGAAGCTGAATTAAACAGGCCAGCATGGGAAGACAGCGACGACGAACGTCTCACAATCTCTCTTTCCATAAACCCTCGCCTTCGTAAACTCCGCACCACAGAGCTAGACGATGTAATCACAGGAACTGAATACACCAAACGATTACGGAATCAATATGAAAGAATAAACCCAATACCATCTTGGTCTCTACCATCTAAAGATTCGGAGAGACCCAAGAAATCCCGAAGAACGTCTTCTCCAGATGCCTCATCAGAATCCGAGGACGAAGTAATGGACGTCGACCTCCCAACTAACAATTCTCTATCCGCCCTCCTCCAATCTTCTGCCACTTACACAAAACGCTCCAAAAACGGAAAGCTACCTCCAGAATCCCTCGATATCTCCCGTCTCCGCGACGCAAACTACCTCTCTCCTTCCCACTCCGGCATCCAATCCCTCAGCTTCCACTCTTCCCACCCGTTACTACTTTCCGCAGGCTTCGATCATGTCCTCCGTCTCTACCACATCGACAAAAAGACAAATCCACCAGCAACAAGTTTATACCTGCAAGGAACGCCAATCCACACTGCTGCCTTCCATCCAGATGGCAAAAGAGTGTTTGCATCCGGAAGAAGAAGATATTTCCACATCTGGGATCTCGAAAGCGGGAAAATCGAAAAGATCACAAGAGTTTACGGAAACCAGGAGCATCAGAAATCCATGGAGAAGTTCAAACTTTCGCCTTGTGGGCGGTTCATGGCTTTGTGTGGTGCTCACGGGTACATCAACGTTCTAGACGCCAAAACGGGTCAGTGGGTTGATTCTGTCGTTGTCGAAGGGGTTGTGGCGGATATTGCGTGGAGTATTGGTGGTAAAAAGTTGTTGGTGGCAAACACGGCCGGAGAAGTTTGGGAATGGGATAGTGCTGAAAGAAGAATCGAAAGTAGATGGAACGATGAAGGTGGGAATGGATTAACTACTATATCATTAGGTGGAAATGATAGGTGGTGCGCAGTGGGGAGTACTAGCGGGGTGGTAAACATATATGACCGAAAAGAGAAAGTGGTGGTAGAAGGACACCCCACACCAAAACGAGCCCTTGGTAATTTGGTGACTGCGATAAACGTGCTTGAGTTCTCGGATGATGGACAATTGCTGTGTATTGGAAGTAAAGAGAAGAGAGATGCTTTGAGACTAGGTATGTTTTAGCGACCACAATAATCTCTTTGATACCCGATCACTAACTCTTAATAGTGCATTTACCAACGTGTACTGTTTACAAGAACTGGCCGACGACTTCGACGCCAGTGGGAAATATCCATTGTGCTGGGTTTGCCGGCGGAGCATCCGGACTATTTGCCTTTGGGAATCAACAAGGTAAAATCCGGCTATGGGAGATCCGATAGTCTTATCCTGATCTCATTATATATACCGTTCTGTATGAGTATAGTGTACAATATATCGTAGTTCGTATAATACATTCCCAAATATAAGCTCCCCATCGCGTTAGTTCATTAATTAAGCTCGTTGCGTCAACGACGGAGCTTTACTCGTCGTCAAGACTGAAATCAAACTCCTTAAACGCCTTCTTGAAGGCTTCTGCATCCTGAATCTCGTCTTCCACCTCTTGCGCACAATCTTTCCAGTTCACCCTATCCTCCAAACCAAATACTTTCCCTAGCACCTTCCTGCCAAATTGTAAATCAAATCTCGTCCTATCTTTCAGCTTCATTAACAAGACCTCTTCCTTGTCTTCCTCAGGATTTTTAATCCACACTCTAAAGAAATCGCCTTCTTCTTTTTCATCAGCCTCCCGTTCTTCAATTCCTTCAATCGCTGCCTCCTCCTTCGCTAGTTCTTCAAACGTCTCCTTAACCCTCTTAATAAACGCCTTTCCAACCGGCACAGCCTGCCAATGCGGGTGTACTCCCATCCTTCTCACGACTTCAAAAGTAACAATTCCGCACCCAAAGCTCCCATACATCTTCCCAAGCGCAGCTCTATATCTCCCCATCTCCCCAACTGTAGCTTCTAGGGTCTCCGGATCTTGAATACCCTGTAACGTCGGTGTGTGTTCGAATGGAATGATCAATACGTGTCCTGGAAACGATACCTCCGCGTTGACTAAGTTCGTCGTAAGAGGGCCCTTTGCTGTAGTAAGATATGCCGCTGAGCCAATTGACGTTATCAGGTGTTTTTGAATGTTAGGATTCGAAAGACAGAAGAAGCAGGAGTCTGGGCCTGGCGGTGGTGGTTTATCGTAGCGTTGACGTTTATTACGATGGCCACCATGGTGGTGTTCGTTGGATTGGTCGCCCCAGAAGAAGTTCGATTGTTGCTGCGGAGGAGGTCTTTTCTGATAGGGTGTGTAGGGAGAGGCGGTGCAGTTCGGCGGGATGGTGGTCGAAGGTGTAGAGATGTCGAGTTTGAAGGCGTACATCCACTATATATGACACTCGTCAGTTTCCACAAACTTGGCCTAGAAAACAATATAACTGGATGAATTTACCTTTGCTTTCGCTTCATTTCCGTAATCTGCCAGTGCGATAAACCGTGTCACAAGTTCACTAGCATCTTGTCCGTCCTTCTCTCGAACTTCATTTTTGTACGGCTCACGCTCGTAGAAGCCCCCGCCACCCGATACAAAATGGTATCGTGGTCGTAAAGTCTGGGCTAGTCTCTGCACCGGCTTATTCGCACCCTTCTGTAGCTCTTGCGTTTCCGACGATATCGAAACCTTCGACCCAGTCGATACGCCTTCCGGCCAATCCCCTGTAACCAATACATCGGCAAAATTCGCCCCTCGAAGCGCACTAGCATCTTGTTCACTATAAAACGGAAACTTCTGTTCTTTTGAAGCTCCAGATAGTGTAGGATCCAACCTTCCACCCAAAGTCACAATCTTAACCCCATCGCTCGTAGTCAACGTCGACCTCTTCCCTAAGAAGAATAGATTCTCGCAGACTTCCCCTGCGTTATTGTCGATTTTGTCTTGTATCGAGTCTGGGAAAGGATATGTTCCTAGTGTGAAGTATACGGGAAATGGGACCTCAATGCCACCGCGGAGGAGGGAGGATATGCTTAATACTGTGTCGTCGGAGAGTGATTCTGGCGATGGGAAGAGGTTGCCAAGCACTATGGCGAAGGAAAAGGTGTTTTTTTTGCTGAGGGCGGAGAGTTTAGAGAGGATGGCGGAGAAGGCGCCAGAAGGGTTGCCGACTATTATGACACTGTGGGAAGTCATCGTTACTGAAGTCTCGTGGTGGAATGAGGTTGGAATCAAAGTCGAAGGTGTCGCGAAGTCACTGACGAAAGACAAAAGATGCACTTGTATAGCGACGTGTGTTAACACCGATAGTTAGCGGCCGTCGGAGGTAAGCTTTTGGAGCACACAAAATACAACGTCAAGAAGGACTGTGCTGTGTTGTCACGGATGCATTCATGATTTAACTGTTTGGGTACGTATACGTGCTGGTGCTCAGAGATCTATCAAAAGTCCGTTTATTGATTTTTATTCATACACACATCAACCTCGAGTTTGCTAAGCTACATACTAGAAGTTATATAACTTTCTTAAATGATTAAGTTAGCTAGGCCAGGAGCATTCGATTTACTTTATTCCATTTGGCCTCTCAGCCAGCACCTGGCGAAGGCGGGCCCGAAAAAATATCATGTATCTGATTCTCAGGTGCCCATCTTATCGGCCCAAAATCAAGTGCCTCATTTTCTCGTACGCGAGGAACAGGTTCTAACCCAATGTTCTCAACCGGATCAAATTTTGGAACCTTTCCTGGGGGGTCTGCCGGTATTGGTAGTCTCAACTCTAGACTAGTTCCCCGTAGATCTTCCTCTAGATTATTCAGTTCTCGGTCTAGAAGGGCCTGTAGAGGGTCTGGAGATTCTGGCTGGAACTTGAGCGGGTTATCCCACCGCCAAATATCATCAAACATTTCATTTCTTGGATCGGAAGGCTGGATTGGATCGATATCGCTCGCCAAGGCCTCGTAAAACAGCTCGGCAGCCCTGACTCCTTCCTGTTGCCTTCTGAATTCCTCCTGTTGCTGTTTTTCTAATTCTATATCAATGATGTTCCCTCTGCCAATTAGCCGTTCATAGTCCATTTCATACAAGTAGGTATTAGGATCATATCTAATATGGTCCCCCGCATCGCGGATCCGGTTGTTACGCCATTCCACATAATTAGGGTGGGCCCCGCGGCATCGTGTCGTCGGTCGATAAACCCAGCGGGGATTTCCTCTAATAATCTCCGCCGGCGGTGGATTATACACACGCCTTGAACTGGTGTAGTCAATAGGTTCATCTTCGTCCGAGGTGTATACCGTACGCTTGTCGTGTTCTTCTTCTTCCTCAGAGTCATCAGAGCCACGCGCTCGCCCAATACTCTCACTATCGCTATCAGCCGGTGTAGCGTAACCGTCAAGTCTATCTCCCACATTGTCATCCCTATCGTTTTCGGGATTATAACTACCCATTCCAACCTCCGGATCTTCTCTCATATGAGCGAAATACCACGGATTCCAACATATCAAGCTTTGGGTCATATAGCCATTGTATTGGTCCGCTTCATCAATACTCCAAAACCTTCCACCACCCTCGCCGTTGAACAAAAGATATCCGATGTGCCAAGGTCGTATTTCGTCGGAGTTGATATCCATCCATTCATTAGTGTTCGAATCGGGTACGATCTCTCTCCAATGCGTCAAAAGATTGCTACGCCGAGGGGAAAGCTTTACTATTCTACCCGACGTATCTTCTGGATTCTGACCTATGTGCGCTAATATCGCAAGGTTATCATATCTACACGGATCCAAACGATGTTCTGGTGCCTTACTACCCCTAGCGCTGTAGAATGCCACTACCTGGGGTATTTTCGCTGGAGTCCTGGGTGCTTCGCGAAAGAGGATATTGGCGACGAAACCCTCGGAGTTCGTTGGAAAGCCTTCCCAATTTATAGCGTTGCAGGTGTACCGAGGGTAGACGCTCCAGTTGAATTCCGGGAGTGGTTTGTAGGCAAACAAAGTATCCGGGGCTAAGTACATGTTGTACGGACTGAAGGCAATTTCGAATGCCATGCCCAAGAGAGGGAGGGCGGCAAGGGACGTGCACGCGACATAACTGGGAGTCCACATTTTAGATTTTTTCCCTGGGTGTACATGGATATATCGTGCGCCTGTTGGCCGCTGATCTCTAGACCGAGTCCCAAGGTTCTATAAGTATGTAAATAGTTGTGGGGTTGGAGACTTAAGATATATTAATCCCGCAAATACCCTCTCGCCCGTTGATAATAACTTCGTTATGATGCGGTATCGATATCATTAAGTCATCCCCAATTCTAGGCCCGATTTATGTTTACAATCTAAAGCTAGAGCCAACCCTGTAGTTCTATAGGGCGCCTAGCTACTCGCGTTGGTATGCGCTGAAGCAGCTAGTTTTGGATAGTCGAAACTGTCTGGAAGTCTTCGAGAGAGGTGGGGTGGGGGACTAGTTATGGAAATGAGTGGGAAGAATTGAAAAAGGGCTTTCGTATTGGATTAGAAGGGAACACTAGGCCCACAGGATGGCATTATAATAAGATGTTAAAAAGCATTAAACTAGGCCCTAGAAAAGCACTACATTTATATGTCACAGCATTAATTTTCTTTTGTACCCAACCTATAAAAGAAGAAAGGGGAGACGTTGACGATGTGGTAATATCTCCTATCCTTCCACTAGCACAGTCATAAAGTGTAATAAACCAAAAATCTCATGGGAAATAAGAAAAACCAAGTTATTGAAAAGCCATTTTCTGTACCAAAAGCCGCCTAAGAGCTGTATAGATTGATCATGTTGATCTGCGATGCAACACTAGTTAGTCAACCACTCCATCCTAGCGTGGTAGGGAGATTCTACTTACTAATCTGGTGGCTTCAGCAGCATAGTCGATCTTTTGAGCGGACAAAACGCGGTTTCGGACACTAATATCAGGCGTTAGCTAGCTCACTCTCCTTCAATAATAGATGGTTTGGCTTACCGTGGTACGTCTTGGTAAACCTCCTGTTGTGCACGAATACGGAACATCCAGGTTTGAGAAGCTGCCTTCTTCATTGTGGCCTCATACGAAGATTCATCGTAGTCCTAACCAGCAATTGAGTCAGTTTACAGGCTAAGACCGCGAATTTTTTTATAAATTTCTCACCTGCATGGCGTGCAAATCGGAGGCAGTCGTTCCCATAATGACCTTCCCGGCATCATCAAAGATATTCAACCATGTCTGACCTGTATGGTCATATGCCGAGCAAGTAAGAATGTATCGGTACTCCGGTTCTGGCCAATTAACACTGCACTTCTCGCATCTCCACGACCCATTAAACTCAACAACCTTCTTGCTGCATCCCTCAGTTTTACAGGCCGGGTAGCTATGGCCTTCATTCTTGATATAACTAATGGTAGCTTTGAGGGTATAAAAGTCGGCAGTCTCTCCAAACCCAATGTTTTCATCTGAAGCCTGCTGGACTGTCTTGAAAACGGAGGGCCTATTACCATCTGCACCACCGGTGCTCAAGCCTTTATGGCTATTGAAATTTGTATCACGGCCTTCACTTGAAAACCAGCCCTTCAATCGGTGAGCTTCCTCAAGATCAGGGTCGACCTGCATTGTGCTGCTATTCTGCATGCTGAGGGAACGACCCCCAAAGTCAGATACTTTGACACCCTTCACCGCCAAAACACTTTCAGGCATAATTTCGAACTTCTCCGCAGATTTACCCCAAACTGTGAGTTTAACGGTGTATCCAGTGTCATCAACGAGATGTAAGTCGCGTTTGGTAAAAGCCTTCTGAGTCTTGGCAGAGACGATCGAATCAGATTCCCCGACTTCCTTGAGGATACCAATAACATCAATCTGTGCATCTTTCTCGGTGTTTTGCAAATCCTGAAGAGTAACAAAGTTGTATTGTTGTTGTGGAACGCCTTCATCGTCGTCTACTTTCTGCACCTCAGAGTCCCTATCGAAGACAAGCTCATAGTCATTGTCGATGTTTGAAAATTGTCGCTTAGCGATCTGAACTTTGCATTTCGAGATGAGGTAAACGCTGCCTTCTTCGAAAACGTGGTAGAGGGAATCGACTTGGTCTCCGAACCCCGTGGCCTTGATTTCGGCGCTCTGGTCCTTGAAACTGACAGCGAAGAGTTTACCGTCACCCTTCGCGTTTTTCCAATTTTTAATCTCGCCGCGATGAATGCATCGGGCTTTAATTGTCCATCGGTTTTGGTATGGGGATAGGGATTCGATAAGTGAGATGCCAGCTGATTGTCCTCGCGAACTATTTGGAGCAAATATTAGTCAAGAGGTTCAGTTAAAAGGGTGTAGCTCATGCTTACGATTGTCCGGCTCCCCTCGAAGGGCCAGCGCCACCCGCACCACGACCAGCATTTGCAGGTTTATTCCCGTAAAAGTTCGATGTTGTCGTCGGCTGTTGCGCAGCACGTTGTTGCGCAAGCTCTGAAGCCGAATCAGGCGTGACTTGTTTAGGATCGCCGATCTTTTCTTCAGTTGCCTCCTGTGCAAGCTCGACAGCGAGAACTATTAAAACACTGGGGAGGACAATCAAATAATGTTAGTATCTCTGACTGGCTAGGCGTGGAAAACCATGGGGCTAATTGAAAGAGCAGAAATCCTGACCTTTTGTCCTTAACCTTTCCCGCTTCATATTCCTTCATTCTTACAATGCTTCCCTTCTCGATTTTGTTTTCTGCCATGAGGTGATTGCTTTCTACAGTCTCGCATTAACATTCCTACATCCTGCATAAAACAAGACAAGCTGGTTAGGAGTCAGAGCTTACGGGAAGCGATCATCCCCTGTGTAAAATGTATTCCATCAGAGACAACAATCCGGTATCTTTCTGGTGTCTTTCCCTGAGCTTCGATCTTCTTTACAAGCAGAATTTGCATGATAGGGTCCTTCCAAGCCTCCTTAGGGTTCTCGCACCCGGCAGCGAAGATAGCTGCCAGAGCTCCTCCACTCAGCTTAGAAGCCATTTTGTAGAAACGGAAAGTTGGGATTCAACGTATTCTTGGGCAATTCGTTATGTATGGTCGATAAGGAGTTTCGTAGTTATATGATGGGATGGTAGGGTTGATGGATGGTAGGGTTGATGGATGGTGTGGAAGGAAGTCAAGTGGGTTGAAGGTTGAAGCCTTGTTCTTGTCGGTGAGGATAAAGCTTGCCGCGTTTGTTTGGCTCGCGTAAAGTGCTTTCAGTCAACCTTAGAAGAACGCGTAAACGATGGTGCAAGCTTAAATTTCACGGCCTGATTTGCTGACAAAGCAGCTAGATTCATTATTTAATAGAAATGGAAGCAGGTTGGTAACTTCAGGCACTATTCTAGGTTGAATTTGCGTCACTATCAGCCAGTATCAGTCACTAATTGTCATTGTTGTAGCGGTCCCGGGCATGGTTTAAACAGAAGCTTTGAGCTGCACTGAGACCTCTTAGGCAGTAACCAACACATTTAGCCTACAAAATACAACGGCCTCACTCTTGTGCCTTAACATAGCTAATCAAGCCTCATGCATCGATATCATCATGATCATGATCAATCTATAGATCTAATATAGACCTGATGATCAATTGTTCCTGATCCGACTATAGGTAAACGAAGAGAATAATAATAATAATAAGAAGAAGAAGCATATTAATGAACACAAGTCCCGGCCCTATCAAAGCAGCACCATAGAATCTGAGCTTGAAGAATCCGTTCCGGTATACTAAACCAGAACTCCGGATTTCGAAACATCTTCAGCAGGCTCCTCAGCAGTCTCTGAGGTTGACGCCGTATTCGGGTCAATAACCTGCCTTCCCCTCCAATTGCTCATGAGGTGCTTGGTCCCATTTTCAACATATGCTCGGAACCATGCTGGTCGTCCTCTCTGTTGTATCAAAACCATGTCAGCAAATAGTTATTTCTTTTCTTTTGTGCTCCCTCTGAATATAAAAAGAGATAGATAAGGTGAATAGAAATGGTTTATCGGAACTTACATTTCCAGTAAGAATATGGTATGACTTCGGTAAAATCAAATGTTCTGATTCACCACGCAGAACCTGTTCAACAATTCCATCGGCGATAGATTCTGGGTGCTGTTGTGGGAACATAAATGGGGAATCATTCCCAAACCCAGTGAACAGAGGAGTGCGCGTAAGGCCCTGTGTCACGAGAGTAGTCCGGACCTTCTTAGCATTGTACCTGTGTTTCAACTCAAGTGTAAGACCTAAAATATAAAGTTAGTACCATCTCTCACCTAAGCATTTCACGGCAGTTTGTGGTATGCTTTTTATACATACCCTCATGGAAGCTGATGGATGCCGCCTTCGAAGCTGCATAATCGACCATCTGAGGTGCAGTCTGGTACCCAGCAACTGAAGCCACAGTTACAATATGACCATGGTTATTCTTCACGATAGACGGCAAGAACTCCTTCATGATCCAAAAGTGTGACAGAACATTGACGTCGAAAGTGAACCTGACGTCCCTCTCTGTGCTTTCCAAAATCGTATTTCCTCTAGCGACACCAGCATTATTGACAATGATGGTCGGATTCCCAACGGTCGTTCTTATCTCATCCGCAACTTCGGCGAGCTTTTCAGTCGAAGTGATGTCGCATTTATAGAAGAAGACGTTTTTCGCTATAAAATTCATATATTTGTTAGATGCCTGCCGCAATCATCCAATCAAATCAAAGAGGTACGATAAAAGGAAACCCACGGGCATCGTAAGTCAAATCAATGACATCCAAAACAACGACCTTGATCCCTTTCTCTGCCAAACCCTGCGCCACAAGTCCTCCAATCCCTCCGCTTCCACCGGTAACAAGTGCAATCTCGTTATCCCAAATCCACGATTTATCCACAACCCAATTATTCCTAACTCCCCAGTTTAACTTGTTGTTGATTTTGTAGAGCAAACCCCAAAGAACAAGTTTTCGAAGAATTTTGAATAGTTTGTAATGGTCGCCAGCGAAGTCTTGGCCTTTGCGGGTGTATCTCATAAAGAGGAAGATTGGAAGCGTGTATTTCGGATTTAAAACGTACTTCCTGACGAAGTTTATGATTGCGTCGAGAACAAACCCCTCGCGAGGGATAATCGACTGATTTGGCGCCATATTTTTAATAGAAACAATCGATAACCGGTCCGGCTAGATAACGAGTATAATCGATGTCGATGGCAGCTGTGATAGTGAAAGGAAGGGAAACAAAAAATCCCTCCTCCCCGCGCACAAGACTTTCAAAAAACCGGGTACAAAAGTTACATCCGTCTAAAAGCTAGAGGGCGCGGGCGCGCTATGGCCTAAATACATCGGCAGTTCGTCGCAAGCACATGTCTCAAAAACTACGTGGGCCTTCTTTGGGGGGGATTCGTCGGCGTCTTTACCTTGTTTAACCCACGGCCGAAATGGGCTTGGGTGCCGTCGACTTCGGTTCCGTGGGGTGCGGAGAAGTGGGCCCTAATAGCTTAGTCTTGGCTACACATAGATCAGTCCTTTAGCAGACAATTTCTGGGGAACCAATGTCGAGGGTCATCCTGGAATACGAACACAACCGGAAGCTTATAAAGTTGGTGCAACATGTGACAGTTAAATTTATAAAACGAGCGGGCCAATTATTTGTCAATATGAGGTTGACCGAAATACATTTCCTACTTTACACTAACAAAAGTCCCCAAAACTCCACAAAAATGCTAGTGAGCTATGATACACTTGACAACTTTTATACAAATACCCATTTGTGAGGGAAGTTAATATTTCAGCGCCGAATCTCTATCTCAGATGTCTAAGCAGTTTAAACCCAGCTCTCCTGCTTTCCAATAATACCTATTTTCATGTAAATCCAAACTTTGCTCTTCTGTTATCTCTGAATATCTTGTTTTTCTCCCTCTTACTCTCCTTTCCTCTCTCATGCTTCCTGATCTTCTTTCTTGCAGCAATATCCGGATTTGTGACCAACTGGATCGATCGTTTGTGACGTCTCACTCTCCTTCTTTCTAGTACCATTGCTCTAACTGTTGCGTAAGCTTGGGCATAGGCCGTTGTTCCCATCTTCGTAGAAAGTGTCTGCAACACCATCTTGCCGACTGGTTTAAGGTCTATCCAATTATTAGCGAAGTGAAAAGCCACTGCTTGGTAGAAATCATTGTACATACCATTTAAATTCTCGTTTTCAGACTCTACGAGACTGTATATGGGCAAGATAATCTTAACGGCCAAACCGGAGAGATCTTCCGGTGTCATAATCTCTTGGGTCATCGTAGCCACCCATAGTAAAGCGGCCTTTTTCCCAAGTATGTTCTAAGCAATTTATTAGCTATGAAATCTTGATTATTTATCTGATTTCTTTCAACGTACCTTTCGGTGTATCATCTCATCATTGCGAATGACACTGTTAATCCGGTGAACAAGCCATGAAAGTGCAGTAGAGTTATCGCCTTTGGATCCAGTCTCATCTGCTTCATCTTCACTTTCAGATGGAGCGGCTTCTTCCTCCCGATCATTCTCTTCGATCCCACCCCATTCGTCTCCGCTCTCTTCCTTCTCTTCTCTAGGCACTTCAGTAGATGTGTTAACTTGAGATTTCAAGAGCTTCGTAGCTTGGAAGCATCGTCCCACAAACACCAAGTTTGCAATGGCCTGCTGCGACAGAGGTTCCGTGAGATCACCTGCCAGCAATAACCCAGAGCAACTCCTTGCAATTTCGTAAAGGCCGCGAGCATCCAATTCCAATCCTTTCCCACTCCGCAAAGGCAGTGTCGAGTAATCTTGAGGAAATACTGAAAGAAACAATCCGGTAAGCTGAGTTGAAACAAGCTTAACCTTCGCATCTGTAGATGCCTCGCAGGCTCGAACAGCTTTCCAAAGGCCAGCATATTTCCCAGACATTGCATCTTCCCGGAATACCCGCGATAGCTTCACCCACAATTGGAGCGCATAGTGCACTTGATCCCATGTAACGTCCATAGGTTCTTCGTCATCCATCAACTCGTCGTCCTCGCCGGCCATCGCTTCCTTCGCCACCTCCTCGATCTTACTTGTGATGAATCCCAACTCATTCCTCATCGCTTCCCCAGAAACTTCTGCATAAACCAACCACAACCTCAAGCAAACTCTCCTCAAAACCTCCTTTTGTCCCCTCCCCAACCATCCTCTCATCTGCCCCAAAAACGCAGCAGTGCGCTCTTCATCCGCCCTCTGGAAAATCCTTTTCATTAGGTATAGTGCGAATTCCCTGCACTTCTCCGCTTCGTCATTCGCCACAACTACAACCAAAGACGGGAAGAAATCCACAACAACTTCCTGCGCGAGATCATCTCCAACTTTCATCAACAGGACATTGATCGCATCAAGTACCGACTCTCTCCCCTCCTGATGTTCGTACCCTAGATTATCGATGAGAAAACTCAGTTGACTATCTAGTTTCTTTCTGCTATGCGGATACTCCATCAAGTACTGGAAGTATAGCCCTCGACAGTTATCTCGCACCAACTTCGAGTGACTTCGAACCATAAGCTTCGAGATCTCCTCAACAACATCGTAGACCTCAGGAACCATGACTTTCCTCCCAAGCACAGATTTCAGGAAGTTAAACGCCAAACCCTGCCGATTCAATTCCACAAGATCCGGCTGGATCCTCATCAGAACATAGGATAAAACCGCAGGTTTGACCTCAACAGATTTCTTCTCCTTCAAAATGGTGCCAAGAAGCTTCAAACTGGCCTGTGCAAGCTCCGAACCGGTCGACGGGCAATCTTGAAGAATTTGGTAACAGTCCTTGACGAAGACGAGAACACTCTTGTCAATCTTGGGTAGAGGGACGTTGATGACAGTCGTCAACAATCGCATAGCTGCAATCTTGAGCTCATCCTCGTCAGCGCGGATATTGTCACCAACAACTGTAACCCAAGCATCCATGTTTGCCGGCGTCATCAACTCGCTGTGTTTCTGAACAATGTTTCTGACGATATCCATTGCAAACCGTAACAGTTTGAACCAATAAATATTCTTTCTCTCGCTGGCAGATTTCGATTTCGAGTACCGCAGGTTGACGATAAATCGCTCCCGAATTTCATCTTTGATTGACATCTCCTTAACTTTTTCTTCAACCTTCGATGCCTTATACGCTTCCTCAACAAGTTCGTAGCTGAAGACTAAAACATCCCGACTCTTCGCCCCCTGGTTTTTCATGATACCAAGCGCGAGACGACGGAATAACTCATCAACCTTTCTCAACATCCCAAAGTTTAGCTTCTCAAGCAAAACTGCACGAATGGGTTTGACAAGGTCTCCGAGATACGGAAGCGTAGTAATACTGCTAAGCAACTCGGCAGTATCATAGCTCTTGTTCGACTTGATCTCTTTCATCTTGTTAGTGTACCCGTCGGCCTCCTTCTCTGAAGCTGTAACACCAAAGGTATCATCCATAACGACATTCATGATCCCCGCTGCACAGTAATCTAAAGCACCAACTTCCCAGTTCGGGACAGCAGCAACCATGATCGCGTGAACTGTGAATGATAGAACATGAAGTTGGTATCCCCGAAGAAGTGCGCCTCGGAGTTCTTTGAGGATGAACCCGAAATACTTAGGCCCTAGAAGACCAGCGATCTCGCATAATGTTTGCCTAGTGAGATCCCTAGAATTGGAATCACGGCTGCGGAGGATATGACATAAACTTGTGAGAACGGGAGAAAGATGCTTCCCCATCGTATCGTCGGATAATACTTTAATCAATTTAACGATAGCAACTGCAACAGGAACCCGCAGGCTAACGGTGGATTCATCCTTCTGCTTCAGGAATATGAGCAGCTGAGGGAGCATTTTTTGAAGGATATCGGCTTCAAGCTTTTCCGGTGCAGGCAGTGAAGCCTCGAGTGCCGGAACATGAAGTTCAACTCCCTCCATCACGACATCTTCGCCCGCTGCCTCCGTCTTTCCAGGTAGTTTCTCCTTCGTCCTCAACAACGCCTCGGCCATACCACTAATAACTCGGATAGCAACTTTCTCCTCCCCAGGATTTTCTTTCATCTGAGAAAGATACCGTTTGAACAAGGCTCTGTATTGCGGCCACTCAACATTCGCTGCCAGTGTTGACAAAGTCTTGATAGAATCGCTGGCGAGATTATGGGCCCCTTCATCCTGGTCGAAGATGAAATGTTCAACCAATGGAATAAGGTAGTGCGCAATACTTGAGCTCCCAATCCTTGTTGTTTCAGCCTTGTCACCAAGCTTTCGAATAGCCTTTGCTCGACGGTGCTGTTGAATGTGTAAGATATTGAAGAAGAAGTTGGCTTCCTCGTCTCCACCAAAGAGAAGAGGATGCATATCCTTGACGTCGGAAGTCTCGCATTCCTTGACAATATGGCCGAGAACGTTGATATACTCCACACGAATAAGCTCGGAAGATTCACGAAGTCCATTTTTGATGGCTGGTAGCACTATAGTTGATATTATATCCGCGAAAGCCACTTCTTCATCCCCTCCAACGGCTTTACCAGCCCTCTCAGCAAATCTCTGAAGGCAATATGAGGCGTTCGTACGAGTCGTCAACTCTTCTTGATCTCGGATAAAGAAAAGCATGTTGTAAACAATAGGAGTCCACTGCTTGGGGGTAAGAACCTGGTACCGGTCCTCATTGATCTCTGCAAAGGCAGATAATCGCTTGTTAAAGTCGGGCTCGCCGAGCGCTCGCATCGAATAAGTGTTCATATCCTCGCAGAATTTGGCGACCTCTTCAAGCGATTCATCTTTCTCTGCGAAGATTGTCAGAACCTTTGCAAGGAGTTCTCTACTTTCCCGGTCCCTGAAGAATGAGAACTGAGAAGTAGCTGTTTTAAATGCCTTCTCGATCAGATTATCATCGAGCTCTTCCAGAAGATTGGGAAGAATGTTGTAGACAATCCTAAGAATATCGCTCTTTGCCTTCGGGTTAACTCTTCGTGTGGGCTGTGATAGTAGGAAGAGTGAAATATCAAGTAGTTTCCTCGTTTCTACGGTACCATCAGCATACGCAGCTAACTGCGACACAGCTTCCACGCATTTCTCCAAAGTCTCCTTAGCCAAGCTCCTCTCGAGAATTATCCCAAACCTCTGGAGGAATGAATCAACATATGGCGCCAGCAGTTTCTTTCTTAGAACGTTAGAGTCCCCTTCTTCAACTCGAAGAACAAGATTTAGCACCAATGTGGTAATCTCTAGCACCACATCATTGCTAACCGAAGGGATCCCAAGGCACTCAGCAATTTGCCGTAGAACGTTGTCATTATACTGCTGTAAGAATAACGCTGTATTCGAGTGCGCGGACCATGTAACGAACACATTGAGTAGCCCGGATTTCGACTGTGCATGCTCAGCGGCAAAGTTTGGCACCCTCGGTTCCACCAGTGTCTTAAAGAAGGCGGGCATGTACTGCGCCCAAGCCATCTCGGGATACCTCGTGAAGCATTCGTTGATACACCTGAACCCAACCTGGCGGACGGTTCTGTAGGCCTTTAGGTTTTCTGCCTCGAATTCGCTTTCGGTATCTTTGGTGCTATGCTGCGACGCATTGACAAGACAGACCATCAAGTTATCGAAGACGGGTTCAATGACATGGGCTATCGATTTCCCAAGCTGTTTGAGCATATCTTCAACCATATTGACAAAACCAAGCTGCTTTCTCGGTGTGGCTTTAAGACTATCAAGAGCATCGGTATCGAAAGAGAATTCCTGTGGGTTTGATTTTTCCACGAATTCCAAATCCTTAAACTCCTCCATAGCGATGTCAACGAACATCTTGATGTCCTCGTCGTTAAAGTTTGCGAGACTTGCGAGGATTGATATTCTTCTGCTTTCCATTCCTCTGCTGCCGGCAGAAGCATTTTTTCGTGATAAACTCCGGCCGTATAAGACTCTGAGGAGAACTGGCATGAGTTGCCCGCGATGATTTTCCTGAATGATACTTTCATCCTTGTCGACCTGTATAAAGTTGGTGATTTCATCACGAAACTTTGATTCATCGATAAGATTCGTGAGGTTTTCTTGGTAAGGGCGGATTGCAGGCAGCTTCCACGTAAAGATGCACTCCAAAGCGGCGGTTTGTCGCTTAGTGTCACCAGAAGCCACGATATCTAACATTGCGGTGTATACTTCTTCCGACCTGAAGAGAACCTTGGGATTATGAAATTTAGAAAAGACGTTTAGCATGGCCATTTGGTCATTTCTGCTCCATTTCGATGAAGTCTCAGATCCCCCATCTTCGTCATCCCCAGAGTCGTCGTTTCGCTGTTGTGCCCATTCTAAAAAGAGCGGTACGAGCTGGCGAGAGCGCTTTTCGGCGACTTGAGGGACCTCATGGAGGACTCTTAGCGCTTGACTTCGGGATACCTCTTGAGTCAATACTGCATCCTTGAGTTTGTCGATACTGTTGTTGATGACATCCAGTGGATCGGTTGACGCGACCCGGGTCTTCACAGCTAGCTTAAGCAACTGTTCCAAGTTTGAACACTCAAATTCGGAAACATGTCGATTCCCTTCCTGCTCTTCCGCCACCGGTACGTCATCCTCGTCTGACAACTTTGGCACCGTGAGCCATGAGAAAACCAGTGAAGCAACATCGTCATCCTTCTTTTCCGCAACCTTCGCTAAGGTTCCGATGACATCCTCCCATAGCGGTGCATACTTGACGGTAAGCAAGCCAAAGCAGAGATGAGGTAGCAACCGAGCTCCCCATTTATCACATGTTCCAGCTTGGTAGGATAATCCAAGTTTTCGAACATGCATAGAGATGTTTCTTGATGTCGTAATCGAGATCGCAGTGTTCTCAATCGTTTGCATCAAATCAATAGCTTCGACTTCTTCGGTTGATCCTGAGGCGCAGATGAGAGACAGTGTATCCAAAGAAGCGCTTCGGAGCTCGTGGCTTGGCGATTCTAAGTTCTTTTCCAAAATCGAGAATATTGATTCAAATTGTTCAGTGTCTTGAGGCGGCGGTTGTATCCTAAGCTCTCGCATTAGTATCTAACAATAACACATAGAGACTCCTAATAAAATACCTTTTCTTCTCCAATGCTCTCTTGATCCCGATTAGAAACCCATGTTGTGTGCCTAGGTCCGAGAAGGATTCCCAAACATCGGCCCAGAATGTAGATCCGGCTTTCTCAACATCAACTAAGATATACAATAGCAACCCCATGACGGCAAGAATTCTATGACGCGGAAGCTTCTCTCCAACGAGTGTAGCACGTAGATCCTGGAATAGAGTCTTCATGGACTTCGCTAAGTTTTGTTTCTGCGCCTCTCGCACAGTAGAGAATTTTAGGACTTCGAGATAACTGTACACCCTAATAAGAGCGGAGTTATCTTCATCAGTGTCCATAGCATCCTCAGTAGCCTTGCAATGCTTAGATAGCTCTGTGATGGCTTTCTCCACTCCTAGCAGCGCTGAAGCAGGGATATCTCTCAAGGTCCAGGTCTCAGCCTGGCTTTCGTAAAGTTTTCGAAGTTTCGCCAAAGTCATCAAGATCTCATCTTCATGCCTGTTCCAGTTCGCAGAAACGAATTTCATCATCTCCTTTGCCCAGATTTCACCAAACCTAGCCAGGCCAGAATCTGCCAATAAAACAGAGAAGGATAGAAAGAATTTCCCATCTTTGAAACTAGACAGCGAGGTAAAAAGATCTCGTAGATTCGGTAAAACGAAGCCAAGGTCAGCCTGTTGGAACACGAGGGCGACTCCTTGCAGAATGCGCCAGTAACAATCCTCGTCTGCTGCAGAGGTAGCTCCCTTAAGCAGACCGAACGACAAACCCGAGGGTAGTTCCCAGTTGCTAATCCGGCTGCCTTTCCTGGTGCCCTCGACTGCAAACATCAAGTCCGCTGCAAATCCCAGGTGCTGCCCAGATTTCGATACCATCTCCGCGAACTCGTAAACAGTCTGAAGTAGAGGCCCAGCCGTCTCCTGTTTTACCCTGTGAATCAAGCCGATAAGTGTCCCGGTAACCACCTCTTCCCACTTCGGTACTTCACCACCTAGCTCCCTATCTAAGCTCTCTGCTAGAAGAGCCTTCAGTATAGGTTCGGCCCTAGTATGCAGGGTGTGGTCTACCCCCATACATGTATCCACAAACAGAGTCCTTAGACCGTAGATATACTGCTCTGCACTAAACTTTTTATCGCTCCGGCAAGCTTCTATGAGGTCTCTAGCAATGAACTGGATAATTGAACTCAACCCTTCCCCCTTCGTCTTTCGTATTAAAAAGGACATGGCTTCGGCCATGAACCTCGTTGTATAGTACTTTTGCGTTTCTTTCCCCAACAGCGGCGCAACAATGGTATATAACGGTCGTAAATCCTCCACTAGCAGCCGACTGAGGTACTTGAGTACATACGCCAGGGCTTCAAACGCCCATTCAACCACCTGGACATTCTTAGTTCGAACGATAACACCGGTGATAAGCTTTACGAATCGCTCAAAGTGCTTTTCAAACTCCACACCTAGGTCTCTGGCGAGCTGTGGGATGAGACCCAGCAGCGGTTGTAGACTGGTATCCTCGCCGTCGGTCTCGCATTTTAAGATCGATGATTCGAGATTTGTAGCGATTAAGTCTTGGTGGTATAGGATATGAGGTAATGACTCGGTGTATTGGGTCGTCGACCGTGTGAAGTCGATGTAGATAGCGGAAAGGTAGAGATCATTATATTCTGTGAGGGTTTCGAAGAAGTGCGACGAGTTCTCGGATGGTAAGCTATCATCGAAGCGGCGGATTCTTCGTATCGGATCGATTTTTCTATATCCCAATCGGGCCAATTAGTTTTCCCACCCTTCTGCACTTATAGCTTCGTAAACATCTAAGAAGCCTTACATCGATGCTATTTTTTGCGTGAATGTTTGGAACTACATTTGCGACGAACAGTTAGCACACCAGCAATTCGATCAACCAGCAAAAAATTTACGACGAAAGGGTGACCTACCGTATGTCTCTTACTACTAGCCGTTCCTCCCTTCCTGGTACTCTTCGCGACTTTGGATTTCGTTGTTTTGACCGCCATTTTTGCCTCCAATTACTGTTGTTTCTGGCCCTGTCGACAGAAGGTGGGATTTTGGTAGGTAAAAAAAAGTTGTGTCGCGAAGATTAGCCATCGAAATTTTTTGGATCGCTAAAACTGCTTGCTGTGGGTCCGCTGCTCTTCTCGGTTAGCAAAACATGGCCGACCACCGAGCATAAAAAAAAAATCTGGTCGCAGAACTGCTTCATCCCTCCAACAAACCCATCGACAAGGACATTCATAAGCAATGGCGCGAACTACCACCCATTTTCTTCCGGCGCCCGAGGTTCGCAAGCAATTCGCTGGTCTTTCAAAGGACGATGAGAACGAACGATTGGAAGCTGCGAAAGGTCTCAACCTCGCATTACGAAATATCACAGAAAACCGCGACGAAACCGTCAAATACTGCTTGATTCGATTGATCAAAGGTTTAACCAGTGCCAATGATTCGAGTCGCATTGGGTTCTCCTTAGCTCTGGTGGAGGTAAGAAATTTCTGCTATTGTAGTCAAATTGTACATTTTGCTAATTAACTATTGTCGTCTAGTTGCTCTATAGCCTTCTTGATCCTAAGGACCCACTATTGACCGACCTACCCTTCCGATCCGTTGTACAACTTATTGTGGAGCATACCGAACCCACCCAAGGACTTACAAAGTCGGAGGAACGAGGATTTTCTTTCGGTCGACTGTTCGGTCTCAAAGCGATAATAGAAACAGAACTACTGTTCACCAAGGAGTCGGATATATCAAACTGGCAGTCGGTGTTAACACAACTAGTGGTCCTAGCGCAGAAGAAGCCGTGGTTACGGGAATCCTGCTGTTTGGTCATTCGAAATGCTGTACTTGCGATAGAAAGCTCGCAGAAAGAACTCGTCAAGGTCACTTGTGACGAGCTAGAAAAGTCAGGACTCATAAAGTCGAGCGACGGCATCGGTATCTGGGTCGCATTAATACAAAAACACAATAAAACGCTAGAAAGGCTAAACATCCGACTCCAAAAACGGTCCTCGCCGTTCGAAAAGGCCTACCTTCAGACACTAGCCAAGATTCTCAAGGAATCAGAAGGAAAAGACGAAGATGGTGAAAAGCTAGCACAGAAAGGGAGCTGGAACGCAAGGCTATCATGGGTTTGGGACTCTATATTCGAATTCTACACCTCTGATACACCCCAAAAGGACATCGCCTCCTTCCCAGAGTTCTGGCAGGCTGTCGTAAATGATGGTCTATTCTCTAATGGTTCTTCAGATGAACGTAAATTCTGGGGCTTCTTAGTATTCAACAAGGCCATCTCGGCCTTTGAAAACAAAGACACAATATCCATATTATTCTCGCCGAATCTGATGAAATGTTTCATCAATCAGCTAAGCTCGCCAGAGCGTTACCTCCACAAAGCGGCCCAAAAGTCCCTCCGGGTCATAAAGTCCAAAGCCGAGAATAGCCCATCAATAGCATCGACTGTTCTTACTTGTCTATTAAGTCGCAATGGCAGTCCAAACTTCGAATCCGTCACCAAGACTAAAGTGATTGAGTCTCTATTCTCGTGCGCGGATGAGCAAGGACAACTAGAGATAGTCCGATTCTTCAAGTCACTGATCCTGGAACCTGCAGCTGAAGATACGAAATCCATTGAAAAATCCAGGCAATGGGCTGCCGACCAGCTTCTTTCCATGATCAGAAGCAGCAAGTCGACTCCAAAAAGCTCCTATGTAACCGAGATCATTAATATATTCGTCGAATACGGCCACTTCAACATCAAATCCAACTCCTCCGCAGACCTTGCCTTCTCCGCCACAACCCAAGCCACCTTCCGGACCAGACTCTCAAGCTGCCTATCAGAACTTCTCCAGAACTCGGATCTCAAATCTACTGTTTGGTCCGCAAAAGCTGTTTTGTTTATAAAACAAAAACGAGAAGAATCAGCCGACGAGTTTGCAACGACTGTTGACGAAAGCATCGAAGAAGAAATCGAAAAGGTGTTCAAAATAGTTTCAAAACTCGATAAAAAGACACCAACTCTCGGTTCTAGAAGATACGCCTTTGCACTGATGTATTCGTTACTACTACTTCAACTCTTCAACGGCGAACCCGATGCGATGGATATGCTTCAAGACCTCCACCTAGTATTCGAAAAAATCGGCAAGGAGAGGAAGGAAAAGGAAAAGAAGAAGGATAAGCACCGCCATAAACGCCAGAAGCATGAGCCCGAGGGACAGGACCACGATCACGGAGAAGAAGATGATGAAGAAGAGCAGGACTCTCTTGAAATCCTGATCGAGTTGTTACTCGGGTTCCTCGCTAAGCCTTCCGTTTTGGCGAAGAAGATGTCGCAAACAGTATTTAAGTCTTTTGCGGATTCTTTGAGCGCATCGGCGCTAGATTCGTTATTAAGGCCGTTAGTTGTCGAAGAGACACAGGAAGGGCAGAGGGAGTTGTTTGATATTGAGGATGAGGATGAAGTTATGGATGATGCAGATTCTGAGGAGGACGATGATGGGGAAGATTCGGATGTCGAAGTCATCGATGTGGAAGAAGATTCTGCGGATGAAGAAGATGGCGAGGACGATGAGGATGAGGATGAAGATGAAGAGTCCTCAGACGAAGAAGAGGATGACGATGACGATGACGACGACGAACCCCTTGACGAAGAAACCCGCAAACTCCACGCTGCCCTTGCCGAAGCTCTGGGTACATCCAAGGACTCAAACGCCTCCGACGCTTCTGACTCTGACGAATCCATGGACGACGATCAAATGCTCCTAGTCGACGAGCAACTCTCCAAAATCTTCAAATACCGCAAAACCCCCAACAAACGCCAACAAAGAGCTTCGGCTAAGGAATCAGTCGTAAACTTTAAGAACCGAATTCTAGAGCTCCTCGAGATATATGTTAAGGGAGATGGAAACTGTGATGAAAAGATTAAAGTCATTGTTCCTTGTCTCGAAGCTATGCGCAAAACAGGGAATCCAAGCGTTCGCAGCAATGCTCACAACGTTCTGAAATCGTTAACCCAATCCAACAAGAAAAAATCACCGAAGGACAAAGAAGATGATACAACCACAACCATATTCACGGATCCGTCATCAGCCTTCGAAATCCTCAAACAAATCCACCAGGAATCATCTCAGTCCCATCACCAACCGCAGCAATCCCGTGAACACGCCGCATCATGTAGCCACTGCAGTCTATATGTCTCCAGAATATTAGTAGCAGGCGATAAATCCTGGATCGAACGGATCACAGAGTTATACTTCACAAAGACAATGGTAAATTGGATGACAGACGCAAAATGTGGGACGCAGCCCGCTCTATTCACAGACTTTGTAACATGGGCGGGGACTATAAGAAAGTCATTAACTACCGCCACTCCTGCCCTAAGTGGTGAGAAAGTCGAAATTACGGGTAAATCCGGAAAGAGTGATAAAAAGAGGAAGAGAAAGAATAAATAGGCACATTTTGAAGAGTTTATAGCGATTTGTTATATCTAGGACCTGATTTCATAGGCCGTCTTGTGTTATATATTACCAAAAGCAAGAATTTCAAACAGTCATAAGACTTTTTCTGATATGTCTAATTCCACTCCTCGTCCCCACATAGCCCCGCTTGAACTTCTCTATAACCCTTCCTCTTCGACCTTACCCTCTTCACCAACATTGTAATTCCACATCCTAATGCTGTAATAACTACAACGGGTCCAATAACAGATAGCATCACTACACACAGCCTCCTTATTAGCCCCTTTGGGACCACCTATAAGTAAGTAAATGAAAGGGGAGATGAACTCACCAATCCCCACAACCTTCCCAACATCTTCCCACCCCCTCTTAACTGGCCCGCCCCCACCAACGTCGACAGTATTAACAGTGATACCCTCACCACCCATCCCAATCGGTACTTCCGGACCTTTTTGTGGCAATCCGTTTGGTAACATGACTTCATCTATTGGTTGTCCCAATTTTTTCTCCTCTGGTTTTATTCCACCGCCGCTACCACCAAATATGCCACCCATAATACTCTCCAATTGATTCGCCAGCATATCCAACGGATTGAACATCCCGGCTTCGACACCCGGTGGAGTGCTATCCGGTGAAGAATCATCTGTTGTAATCCATATTTCTTCCACCATGTTATTGTTATTATTCCTATCTTGCATCCCTGGGAATGCAGGAATGTCCATTCCGCCGCTTGGTATAACCTCAATTTCCATAATACCTTCCGGTCCATTATCAGGAACCGAAGAGATCGAATTGATAGGACCCATCAAAGGACCCAGCATCCCAAGGGGCAAACCAGGTAGGGATATTGACTTTGCAATGTCCTCTATTCCCTTTTCTTTTTCTTTCTCTTCATCGCTGCCTTCATCTTCATCCTCCTTCTCTTCATTTTTGTCTTGATCTTCAACCGTATTTCCGGTATTATTATTATTATTGTCACCATCTTGAACCAAAACAGGAGGAGTAGACCCTTCACCCCCAGACGTCTGGAGTTTAATAGGTGTTGGACGTGGAATATCAGGATACGTTTGGTCGAGACGGTGGGAAACTACTTCTCCTGCTTCTCCTGACGTTTCTGCGTTTGTATCCGCCCCTCTGTTGGAGAGATTGGCATTTCCTTCTTCTTCTTCTTCCTCCCCTATTTTTTCTCCCAGATTTTCTTGAAACTGTGACGATTGAGGATCATGATTATCGATATCGATATCATCCGAAATGGTAATAGCAGGGTCGGCAGGGTTAACCCACGCCGAGGTAATAAGTTGAGGATTTCGACGGTGGATATGCATTATATAAAGATATCAATGTTAAGTAAACCTTCTTCTCCCAAACAAGATAAGATATAAAAGAAGTAAATCCAAAGAACTCCAAATCGATATCACAATATTCTGACACCAAAAGAATTCGAATCAATATCCTCAGACTCCATGCGTATGACCACGATATCAATATAAGAATGGAAGAAGTCAAAAGGTAGTAATTTCTCCCGCTGATCAATAAATCAGCGAAAAAGAAATGGCCACCATGCATACATGTTTGGCCGTAAAAGTAATCTGCTCACTGTATTATATCCCACGCCATAGAATAAATTTAAAGTATGTAATAAACAGGAGGTAGTTCAAGAATATTCTCATCCGCGCTGTTGCATTATTTGCGTTGATATCGTCATGGATCCGGAGAGGATATGAACGCGGATAACATACAATGACGCCTCTAACCGGTTGGGCCATGACCTAGAATCAAACGTAAATATATATTAAGCGGAGGGTATCGATATACCAGTATAATATTTGATCTCGATATTGATGACAATATATAATCCTTCATCTATATATATAATTAGATATATCAGGGAGTCTAACTACTAATTAGCTTAGGGAATCCTCTTGCCCAAACCTATAGGATAGCGTGAATATATATAACCTCATCATTCTATCGTTCCATGAAACGTACTTAACTATCCTATGTCCCTTATCGGTAACTATTCTATCGTATACAGGCAAATATTAAGGTAGAGAGAGCAGAGCAAATGGCGTTATAAAAACTACTATTGTACATAAAGAAATACCAGATTAACATATAAAAAAGAACGCCATCCTCATAGATCAAAAGAGAAAAGTAGAAGAAGAAGAAACGACAGAAAGAAAAAACCCCATCCCAGATGCATAAGGGTACCGGTTCTGCCGCCACTAAAACAAACGTCGTAGTAGGAATGATAGATACTAGTATTATACAAAAAAACAAAAACAAGTCGTCACCGCAAAGCCCTTTCTATGATAACAATCCCATCACCCGTCAATTTTGTTCGTTCATGTATTTTTTTTTCTCTTTGGTTCATTCTATCCTCCACCCCTTCCTCTCACTTTTCCTTTTCCATTCTTTCTAATCCTAATTTTTCCAAAGACGGGTGCTATTGCGTGGTCTTAGATATCGGACCCTAATTCCCCACCCGCGGCGATAATCTGTGAGGAAGATGCCGCAGTAGCAGGTGCAACATTACTGCTCCCGCTACTGCTCGTCTGCCCTGGAATTATCAACTCTTCATCTCCTTCCTCATCCGTCACAAATTTCCTATCCGATACGTGGCCCTTGGGCGTCCAAGTCTTATTCTCAAATATACCGGCTTGCTGTCCATCCTCGTGTTTGAACGAGCAGTGCGGGTTTAGACACGGCTTGAACTTGCAAGGAACGTCCAGGGTTTGCGGGTTATGTGTGAATGGACAGTTAGGTTTTGTGCAGGCCGCACCGAAGCGGCAGGGAGGCATTGTGGCGTTCGCGGGACTGGATGTTCAAGTTAGCTACTAGTTCAAATAGGTAGATAGAGGAATAGAAGGGGAGCGAAAACATACTGTTTGAATGGGCAATGCGGGTTTTTGCAGTTAGGCCAGAACTTGCAATCCTGTTGCTCAAAGGCTTGTTGTGGCTTGCTGCCTCCGCTCGCGGGGCTCGGATGCGCTGATGTGCACTTCTTGTTCTTGCAGCTGATGCCGAAAGCACACTTCTCGCCGGAGAATGCTACAGGTCTGCTAGGGTCCGAAACGGGGGATTGGTGGGCAAACACGCAGTCGGATTTGGTACACCTTAAGCCGAACTTGCAGGCGACATCCTCCTGACCAGCTCCATCCTCCCCTAAGCCTTCCGCACCGTCTCCCATCTCTGTATCGCCACCGGCTGCAGGTTGTTGTTGCTGCTGCTGCTGTTGTTGCTGCTGCCTTGGCTTGTTATGGTGGTTATTATTCTTGGGTGTGTTATCGACCCGATCGAACAGCGACCTTCCGGGCTGCTGCTGTTCTTGTCCGGGAATGCTACCAGGTCCACCCATAAACCCATTAGGTCCGATCATCCCCATCATTCTCGCCTGCTGCTCCATCATCTGCAAAAACTGAAACTGTTGTTCCGGCGACATCATCATCGGACCGAACTGCCCTTGCTGTGCCATATTCGGATTGCTCATCGCGTTCATATAAGTGCTCTGCATGTGCCCGGCTTGCTGGCCGCGACCCATGTGGCGCTGGTTCATCGGACCGCCTTGAGGTCCGTTGAAGTTCTGACGCGGGCCACCACGCTGCGTGTCGTGTTTCTGTATTCTGAATTGGTCGCCGCCTCGGTTGTTAGGTACCCGTCTAAGAGGATCGCTGGAGCGGTCCATGTTCTTCTGGATTTGACTGTAGAGGCCACCGGGTCTTCGTTGCTTTGGGGTTTGGTTTTGGTTTTGGTTCTGGTTTTGATTTTGGTGTCGCATGGCTTTCGGGCCGGTTGGACTATAATTTGAAAAGATGTTAGTCGGTGACACTCGATAATAATACGTGATACGAGAGGGGAGTAAGATGAGATGAGATGAAAAACATACACTCCTTCCAATGCCTCATGCGAATCATCAGCCATATCCTCATCTGGCCTACTACTACCCTCCTGGCCATCAACCACTCCAATCGACGCCGTTCCATTCTCAGCCCCCAATTCTCTCGATAACCTAGCCAGCTCGCTGAACATCCAACTAGTAAAGACCTTCACACTCTCATCCTCCGGGCCAAGACCTAACAAATCACCGGATAGCTCAGCGGTGATCTGTGACTCAGTCTTGCCGTTTACGAGCATCAGCACTATGTACTCGCTGAGCGGTGAAGCATCTTCGCCGTCGGAACTCCAGCCGATTTCTACTATCTTCTGCTGGACGGAGGCAGATAGTTGCTCCGCCAAGGGAGTTCCAGATTGTAGTTGCACCGTCATGGTGAACCGGTTTTTTTTTTAGATCGTAATCGGGGTTTGAGATTCTTATCGATGACGAACAGGAGATTTTTTTTGAGTCGGAGGTTTTTTAGTGTAAAAGAGAAAGAAAGGAAGGATAGTTAGAGATAGTGATGATATGAACGTGAGAAATGGGAATCTAGGGGGGGTTGGAGGTTTGAAGAAGGTCAGGCGAACGACCGTGAAACGTGACCCAGAACAAACAAAAAGTAGTATGCGATGGGAAAGATGCTCGGGAGAAGGCGATTCTTTCGACAAGCTGTTTGACCTGAATCGGAAAGAGATAGACACCGAGAGCGATGGATCCAAGATGTGGAGGAGAGAGACGAAAGTGCTGGTAAATAATGGCGCGCGCAAGAGAAGATGTCGATGGTTTTGACAGTTGAGATTATTGAGGCAGTTGAGATGATGGAAAGAAATGGAAGCGAGAGAGCACAACTCAAGAGAAGAGGAAAATTGGGTTGTTCGCGCTGTCGAAACGCTGCGCCACCGCCATACAGCCTTTCCTCTCTCACAAAACCCGCCAACTGAAACGGTGGTTGCATTAATAAGCACTTGGGTCAAGTGTGGCTAGTGAGATTAGATCAGATCAGTAATTGATCAGATAAGATCAGTAACCCTGTATCCAAATCAGATAACAAGGCTTGGAGGGTCGACACCGCTGTGGCTAAATACAACAGCAACTCCAAAATAAAACCCTCCAAATTTGAGTCACACCCCGCAACCAGCGTAGCTATAGATACTTACCTAAGTACTTAAATAGCTAGTACCTCACCCCAATCCCAATCGCACCCTAAACCCAGTCACTTGCCCAACCCAATTTTGCTACTTTCCTTATCCATTGGCCGGCCCAACATCCTTAAAGCTATTCAACCAACACCATCTCAATACCACTCTCCCTTTGCTCTCTCGCTATCTCACTGCAGAGCACTCAAGATACAAAAAACAAAATGGCATCGTTAACTGCAAAAGAAAAGATCGCTCTGATCACACGCAACCTCCAGGAAGTTCTGGGTGAAGAAATCCTCATCGATGTCATCGAGAAACAGAACCGACCTCTCAAGATCTATTGGGGTATTTGACTCCCATCCCCTCTTATACCCCACAGTGGACATAGTATATAAGCCACCAGTACTGATTGAGATGACAACTGAATAGGTACCGCGACAACCGGCCGCCCCCATTGCGGCTACTTCGTCCCCATGACCAAACTCGCCCACTTCCTCCGCGCCGGTTGCGAAGTCACCATCCTCCTCGCTGACCTCCACGCATTCCTCGATAACATGAAAGCCCCCATAGAACTAGTCCAACACCGAGCCAGATACTACGAATTCCTAGTAAAATCCGTATTGAAGTCAATCGGTGTTAGTATCGATAAGCTCAGATTTGTCTTTGGGTCGAGTTACCAGAAAACTGAAGGCTACATCATGGATATCTTCAGGCTGTCGAGTATTGTGACAGAGCATGATGCAAAGAAGGCCGGTGCAGAGGTTGTTAAGCAGGTTACTAGCCCATTGTTGTCTGGCTTGATTTATCCGTTGATGCAGGCGTTGGATGAAGAGCATCTTGGTGTCGATGCACAGTACGTTCTCCTCCTCCTCCTCTTCCCTTCTATTTTCTACTGTCCCTTATAAGTGATATTATTTAGAAGGAATTGTGCTAACTGAGAGGAAAGATTCGGCGGTGTCGACCAACGTAAAATCTTCACTCTAGCAGTCGAAAATCTCCCAAGTCTAGGCTACAAAACCCGCGCTCATTTAATGAACCCCATGGTCCCCGGTCTCGCAGGTGGAAAAATGTCGGCATCAGACCCCAACTCAAAAATCGACCTTCTGGACTCCGCTGCCGACGTTGAGAGAAAACTGAAAAAGGCGGTCTGCGCACCCAAAGAAGTTGAAGGGAACGGTGTCATTGCTTTCGTTGAGTATGTGTTACTGCCGATTTCGGAATTGGGGGCCGAAGATGGAAAGGCACGATTTGTGATTGAGAAGGATGGACAAGAGGTTGTTTATGAGACTATTGAGAAGTTGAAGGAGGATTATACCGCTGATATCGTAAGTATCCACAAATCAAATAAAATATTTGGGAGAGAATATACTCACTGACCTTCTTAAAGATTGGACCCAAAGAACTAAAGGTTGCCACAACCCTGGCGCTCAACAAGCTCCTCGACCCCATCAGAGCAGAATATGCTAGCAGCGAGGAATTCAAGGAAATCGAGAAATTGGCTTACCCGCCTCCACCAGCTCCAGAGAAAAAGAAGAAGGAAAAGAAGATTGGTACTGGATATGTTGCAAAGAAGAAGGGTGAAGCTAGTGGGTCGGCCGCGGCTCCAACAGAAGCAATAGATGGCCTCAAGATCGATGAGTCCAAGTAGACTCTCGTCCCTTATTTACTAGATACTTATATATGTCAAATATATATTCTAGAGTCCAGACCAATTCTAGAGAAGTGTATACATGTAATACCAATACCTCATTGCATGCCACAGCGTTATCATTATAATTACTATCATTATTACTATTATACCCTTGAATTTTAAAGTATAATAAGATGTTCATTATTATAGAAGTTCGATTATATTACCAGTCATAGAGAAATACAATGATGCCTGTCTAAAACGCCGAGTCCAAACTCCCAATGTCCTATATAAACACCCATCTACCCCTATAATCCTCCGTATATCAATGCAACATCTCCAGGATGCTATTTTAAAGAAAAACACCCTCTGACTCCGTATATAAAACGCTAAAAACAAGACATCCAACAAAAATACCCGTCCATCGAGTACAAATCACGACAAAGTATGGGTGGAATCATATTTTATCTAAACCTTCCCTTCCCAGGTTTGATTAACGCTTTATTCAACGCCGCGTTTCTAAAGACCTTGCTCGCGGGATCTTTCCCAACCCTCCCGCTCATAACTCCCGAAAAACTTCTTCCTTTATCCAACATCCTCAACTTTCCGATATCCTCACTCCTAACATTCGCAAACCCAATCTGTCGCTTTTCTTTCTGCTCATTGTGTTTCTTCATAGCCTTTTTCAATTCATCGACTTGCTCTTTTTCTTTAGCAAGTTTTTCTTCTCGTAGGTTGAAATATAAAGACGACCAATCCGTGTTGTTTATGATTTCTCGGGCTTCGGGTGAGTCTCCAGACTCTAAGGGATTTAGGAACCTGTGGAGTGTAGATTCCCCGATATCGCGGAGGATGAAGAGTTGCCAGAGTTCGTTGATTTCGGGGACTAATTGAGAGCAGTTTTCTTCAATAGTTTTCTGTTATTCCGATAAATTCCAGAATTTAGCATAGCTCCTTCAAAATCGGTTTCCTGGAGGCTGGGCAACAAAGAGGGAACGTACCAGTTTGTCAGGGCATTCGACTCGCATAAGGATCGGTTTGACGATACTATAGGGTAAATCTCCGATATCATCGATCACTAATCATCTTGTATTAACTTCTGTATTATGATGTAGGTGCAGAAAGGAAGGAAAAGGAGGGGAAGGGATAAATACCGTTGATATGTCGAATACAAACTCGCTTTGCGAGCTCAAAGAGAGTGGGGATCGGAAATCCCGGTCCGACGTACATTGTGCAATTATTTATACTGTAGAAGAATATACGGTGTTGAGAAGCGATTTGATACGGCTAGAAGCCAAATGATTGGTGGAGAAACGAGTGATTGAAGATTGAGGATATATAAGGTATGCTGAGGTAGACAACCAGACTAGGTCGATGACACAGAGAAGTTGGAAGTTGACAGACACGGTTGGGAGATTCCGGATATACGCCGGGTAACGTGACGTTGCGTGGGTGATGATCGATGGGTGCTTGGAGATCGGCGGGATTGAGGGTATGTACCCGAAATAGACAAAAGATTGTTATTTATATCTTTTGCGCGTTGAGCGGTTCTTTGGGCAACGTGGCCGGCAGGGTCGTTTATATAGATATTGGGGGGCCGTCTCGGGAGGAGGCCAATTCAGGATCCGAATTCCTGTACTATATAAGTAAGTAGCTAAGAGTCGAACCCCGGTTGTTATTCGATATCGGGAAATCTCGAGTCGGTTTGTTGCGACAGTACAGTTATAACGTTATGCAGAGAGTTGTAGCAGACAGCTCTGAACGTCAGGGAGAAAGTGAGAGAAATAATTGGATTAGATATTAGCTGACGTTGAATGAAGTGGATGGATAATCGTCGTCGCCGTCGCTTTCGCGGGGGGTGAAGATGGCGGCGCGGCGGGATGTGGGTCTGGAGGTCATGATGTCGAGTTACTGTAAGAACAAACAAAGGCAGATGGATTTGACAGCAATGGGTTCTTTTTGGGGGTGTTCCTGGTCTATTGCGTGGTTGGTTTGCTTAAGCGAGGGACTTGGCCTTTGGGGGGCAGGGATTCTTGCCTGAACGAGTTTGAATTCTATTCTGTACTTACATACTTAGATAGATCCATATCTATATCTAGCACAAGACTACAGTAGGTACTTAGCTATCGATCCTTAGTCCTTCCAGGAGCATTTATTTTTAAAGTATAATAAATTTTATCGGTAAACGCTGACTCATTCAATATATGGAGCTCATTTAGCTCATAGTCAATGATCAGTGCTTAATTATAACAGGAAGATCGAAGAATTCGAACGTTTAATTTCAGATTGAACTACACTATTGCATACGCATGTTATATCTCAATTTCACACGACTACTAAGTAAGTAATTAATTGGTATTAATGTCTTATTGAATAAAGGTTCTAAGATACTAGTATGTCAGCAGTGTGCCGAAGCGTTTTAATACAAGACTAACTATATAGTATGTAAATCTAACCACCAGCCGCCGCACTGTCTAGCCATGGATGTGTATGTTTGTTTTTAATTTTATGATTTGATTTGATTGGTTGCAAGATCAAGATCAATCGGAATTTACGACTATAAATCGATAGAAGGCATAGACTTAAACAGTTCGACTTTGGATGCATGTCGTGACCTACAGGCACCTGATATGTCGACATCGTGAGGGAAATTTAATAAGTCTTTCATGTCTGATACTCAAAGGGTGTATGGGAATCCATTCTAAATGTTACTGGCTACCCACCTACCTAGTTACTTAAGTAGCTAGAAATATAGACACATATAACTATGTTTATAATATAAATAGTGCTACCAACATTGATATTGCTAGAAGGTAAGAAGCAGAATGTTATAAGAATCTTGCCAATCGGTTCTATAGATCTAGTACTATAGTGCTACTTATAAAAATATCTATAGGGAGCCGGTTCGCGCGACGGGGTCAATATTATTGCATCCGTAATATAAACAGGGTCAAAAAAGAGATATTAATATTCCTCAAGAGCTAGCAAATATAAACGAAGATGCAGGGATGGAGAATTTAAACAGCTGCTTAAAAGTCAAGAGAAGAAATTTTATTCTTTTTACTGATCTATGGCTATGAATATTGAACTTCGAGTTCTGCATACATGGAATGAAATGACTCTAACTGAAGCCCGCAGCACGCAATCTAAAGTCATAGTGGCGGCGACCAGATCTGGAAATTAGCCTATATATAATACTATGGAGCCTCGTACGGAGCTATAGCTGGCCATGGATGCATTTTGCATGGACTAAGTTTAAAATTTCGGCGTCTGGATATCCGGATTCGAAAGCTCGGATATCTTGGAAACAGGTTATATTCCCGGCCGGCCAGGGACACCCGCAGCCGAAGAAGACAAGATTCCCAAGCTTTCATACCGTTATAATTACCTAAAGATGAAACGAATTCCGCCTTTAAATCGTACTCAGGTCTCATATTCATGTCGTCTTGTACTAAAAGATCGAAATATTCCAACACTCTCGAGATCTTGCTGAGTTGTGTATGAATATCAAGTACTGGAGTTAAACTTTATACTTACAGAATGAGTTCTCTCAGCCGTTTGGTTGATTTATAAAATTTAATTCAAGCCTAGTTTCCCACTTATTCACGCTTAAACTTACACATTTAGGCGTATATTCGAATATTCTGAGGTTATCTAGGGTTAGATCTTACAAATACAGTACGTTGGGGCTGGAAGCCAAGTATTTTGATATCCTACTATTATCACCATTCGGTCACCCCTAACTTCCTTTGGGCATCTGCTCCCGCGCCAGGTACCTTCATTGTCCGTTTAGTATGCACTCAGGTCGTATGATACTGCCCAAAAAAGAAAATATACCCGTTTCGTCGGCGATAAAATAAAGATAAACCCAACATGATGGATTCTAGAACTGTAACCGACTTATCTAGTCTGCATGTCCCAGATCCCGTACTACTTGATTGCTGTTGAACTTGACTGATGCACTTAAACTATGTACATATATGTATGGACCCCTTTCTGTAGGGTTTATACATGCGCGGCGGCGGGGGAATAGGGAAGTATGGGGCCATTCGGATATTTATGCATGCGGGTTGGAATAGGGAAGTATAGACGTCGAAAGAGAAGGGCTTCTAGTTTGGGTTCTATCTTCACGTTCTGGAACATGGGTTTTGGGTATCGGCTGGAGGATCAGTAGAAGAGGTGGTATAACCCCATAAACTACAAGATAGAGAGGGATCCATGATCAATTTATAATTTTTCTTCGAGGAAGGGGGAAAGGTATAGGTGACTACCTTGCATGCTGGATTCCACGACGGAACGGCCCTGTCGACATTAATTTATATTAAACTTGGCATCTGTATACCTCTTATATGTTACCTGGCAGCGGCCGACGCCGCGACACAGCAACCTATTTAAATTTAGCTGCGTTAACCGATATTAGACCATACGGAAGCATATGAAATCGTATAATGGCCTGTATAGTCAAGCCTCCCTCGGAGATTTCTGCTGGGCGTTGGGTACATGCTTACTTACACAGTAGAAAACTTGGTGGTTGAAGTTCCAATCGGGTGTGATAACGAGAGGATCCGCTTCTTGACGGGAACAGGACATATGACCATGATCTTGGAGATTACATGGTATCATCTCCCCATATAAACGGCCCAAAGAAACCTCTCCAAACAACCACCGGACAACTTAAGAACCAGTACATGCCAGGAAATTAATTGGCTCGGATCCCAGCCTGAATTTCCCTTCACTCTCATTTGACACAAAAGAAACAAGAAGAAGCTCGTCAACGGCAACCTTCCAACAGTTCGGAAGGGCCGCCAAGAGTTTCGGCTAGCTGAGACGGTGATTCGATACCGACAGGCTGTTAGACCGTCTGCAGCAGCTCGCCTCCAGTGTTCAACTTTCGGGCAAGCGGGATATTTGCCCAAAACTTGCATCTTACATTTTCACATTACCTACAAACGAGCGAGCGAGCTGACCCTTCAGGCTTCTCCGTCTCGCGCTTGCCGAGAAAAGACATCCTTCGATCGAGTGGCCAGATCTCCGGGATTTATTGGACACAAGCGAGCGAGCTCACAGGCTGGATATTAGGCTGGCTGACTGTTAGTTACATAGCATTATAGTAAGGTGCTAAGTGAAGTTGGGCTTTGGGGGGAACTGGGCTGGGCGAAACGCCCCGTCAAAGGCATCGAGCTACCCTGGAAGTGTCTCAAACCGTCCGTTTTGATATCGTGATGATAGGGGGGCCCACATTTGATATCGCTAGACCTGCTTGTTCGGTGGGATTGGTGCTTGCAGCCTAGTTTTTTTTTACTCTTTGGCTTCCCCATATATTACTGGAGGGCGTCGAGACGATGCTCCTGCATGTCGGTATGTAAGTACTGTACATTACATGGCGAGTTATAGATTTCCACGTGCATGTATAAGACATGTACGTACAGCTCTCTGGATATGCAACGGTCAATTAAATCAGGGATTGCGACGACTTGGAAGCCATCTTTCCCACGGAAAGTATATAAGTCAGTACTTAGCATAATCGAGTAAATTTTATGTTATAGTATCCTGCATCTGCGCTGAGATCTCGAGAACTACTTACCTCCATGGCACTACGAGGCAAATGATACTGCAGGTTCAGCTGAAGAATGTAAGTTTAGTACCGTACCTGTAATTGCATGGAAATACGGTGCCGGGACTTCATTTCCTTGAAAAAGCGCAACATTTCTCCATCGTTTTGCGCCCTGGCTGCTGCAGGGCCAGCTTCGAGGTCGGCTTTTTCTCCACTAGCCGGGACTGAAGCTTTAATTCGGTGTATGCTTTTACCCCTCCAGAAACCTCGCAGCACCAGCCCGAAAGGGTTTATGAAACCGAACATGATTTTTATAGATAGAAACTCCAAATAGCAATGTTAATCCTGCTTGCTGCTGTGATTTTAATAGCGCGATAACTGCATGCGCCTGTCGGTTGGCATTAATGACTCTGGTTTAATAGTCGACTCCCCAGCTTTCCTTCCTCCTTCCCACCTACATTGCATACATGCAGCTTGCAGTCTCTCCCATCACAACCTTCCAATCCAACGAGCCTTAGAAACATAACGTACGTTCTTCGATCTCGCAGCATTTGAACTGACCCACTAGAATTATGGAGATTACATCACCCGTATAACTCCTCGACAAAGGACTTTTTTTTTAACGTTTGCGAATTTCTTTCCTCTGTCGGACGGGGTGGACAGAACATATTTAGGCTTTTTTGTGCTGTTGGACGAGTGCATCTTTGGGACTACCGAGGGCGGACAGCTTGCTGGGACGAATTCGTGGGGATCGATTTGCCTGCCAATTGAAGGCCACTGACTTCACGACTTACCGCAGCTCGCAGATTCCTGGATTTTCTGCCGGACTGGACTGGACTGGACTGGATTGGATCTAACTTGTATGCATATGCAGTCAATAGCACTTTACTTGGGACCATTTCATTTATATCGATTCTGGCCAGCAGCAAGCACAAGCAACACACCAATCAACTGCAAACCAACGTCCAGGCTGCCTGCATTCTACATGGAAGCTGTTGAATTCTTACCGGACCGATCTTGAAATTGTCATTGAACTAGGAGAGACACACTCGTTTCCTCTGTTAGCTCTGTTTTAATTTGATCGTCTGCGACCAACAGAAATAGAAGAGAAAAGAATCTCCGGATCAGAGTGTGAGGAGATACGGATTGGCCCAGACACTCTACTTCCCAAAACCTTAGGTCCTTTTACCCCCTCAGCTCAGAAACCTTATACGGAGACTCCTCGAAAGAGAGAGAGAGAGAGCTGGACAGGCAGACAAGGAAAGATGTCGGGAAAACGAAAGCTCATATCTGCTCCTGTCCTTGAGACAACTACCAATCCTCTGGTACAACAGCATGCTCAGAATCAACATACCCATCCAGCATCGCAGTCTCACCAAGGGCACCACGCACATAGTCTCAGTATATCTTCCAATTCCTCGGCCTTATCCCAAGGAAATCAGAGTTATCTAGACTCGCCGACGTCATTTTTCGCGCCAGACCAAAGCTTCGCATCTCGACCTTCTATTAGTGTCGCTGGCTCTATTACGCCAACTGCGAGTGGCAGACACGGTAGCTTTGCCGCATTCAATATGTCGTCCATCTTCTCGAGGGGAAAGCAGGGGAGCTCGAGTGAAAAAGACTTGAAGATATCGGCTCCGCGACCTAGGTATGTTCTTTAAATACTCGCCTTTTTTATGGCCCTTGCACAATTCTTTTTTTGATTATATCATTTTGGTTTGGTTTGGTTTTTGGTTTCGAACGTTTTCAAGGGTTTCCTGTTCGTCTACGACACATGGATAGCTGTTTTCCCAGTAATTGGGGTATTTGTGCAGCCGTAGACGAATGGGGCTGGTCCGATTGAACGAGAACACCTTTTTTTCTTCTTGTTTTCTTTCGAAAATTCCTCAGAAATTCCATACGCATTTATCGCATATAAATACGCATACCGATGCTATGCACGAGGTGCATGCTTTTGGAGGAATTGTTTTTTGTCTTTTGAATGCAATGCATTGATTGCTCAGGCAGTACCCAGAGTCTGCCTTCCGTTAAAGATAGGACCCGGGTAAATATATGCAATGCAGAACCCGGATGAATATCGAAAAGGAAAAAAAGGGAATGAGGTTCAAACGGGAACGTGCTTCTCTCCTCATCCATCCATCCATCCCACCTGCATACTCCGAACACATATCTCAAACAGGTCCCAGGATCATGGTCGAAAAGCGGGGGAAAAAAGAGAGGATATCTCTATTTGGAACGTCCAGAAGAGGACAGCCTGAAAAGAGAGAGGTAGAAAGAGAGAGAGGTGTATGGTGAAATTACAGTTGCACTCACCTCGTGAGATCTCAGGATATATTTTATATTATCCAGGTCATATCACAATCATATTGAAATGTGCTACCTCCGATTCCCTCTTCCCATCCCTCCCTCGTTCATGTCGGATAGCAAGCTCCCTTCCCCGTCAGCTGTGTTGGACGAGGAGGGTTTATGTCGGTACATACATAACATGGCTGGAGGGGGGTTTCTGCACCCTAGTCTCGACATCGGATCCATCGAACATCTGAAACGGGTCTGGGCGTGTGGCCCCAGCCCAGCCCAACGGCACAGCTTCTTATCGAGGCTGTTATTATCCCCCACTGCCGTTGAAGATTCCTGATATCATCCGAAGAGCTAGTTAGTGAATTAGCTACATGCTGCTACATTCACAAACTTGCATCTTTCCCATGTGGCTTTATCCCCTCATCCATGCAGTGGAATGTTCTGAGGAAAACGTTACGCTTTGATCCGCAATTACTCTGATGCATTCACCCTCGAGATATCCTCATTATCGTCATCATAATCATTGTTATTATCACCGTTTCGATACAGCTATTTGTGCTTATGCGAAGTTGAGGTTGCAGAGTATGTTCTTGAAGTACTTGTGAAATGTTATCCGTTCTCGATATTGCTAGCAAGCTTTCGATATCCGCATTTGTCCTGCCATAAGACATATTGGCAATCTCCCTCCCCTCTCCCTCTCTCTCTACCTCCATTCAGCCCTAGTATTTTTATCTTTTATTTCCCAATCTCCTTTTCCTTATTCTTTCTCTCCTCCTTTCGTATCGTCAACTATCGAACCTACAAAAAGATAGCTGGATTAATTTTTTTTTGGCAGAGTCGAACGTCAGGAATCGCACAATATCTCGCCCGGGTCTGCGTATCCGCCCGCAGCGAGCCAAGCTCAGCAACAATCAACCAATCCCAACACCGCCGCCAGTTCTTCCACCGCCATCCACAGAACCAATTCCATCTCTGAAAAACCTGGTTCTTCCTCATCGGATGCCTCCAACTATTTCCCTTACCAACCGATCTTTCACAGTAGGGAAGATAGTCAGGATTCCTCCACCTTTCCTTATGGCATGAATATGGCGCCTCTCGGAGATCATCGAAGGGACCTCAAGGTCCTGCAGGGTCCGGGCGGCGGCGCCAATGGCTACAGCAGCAGCAATCCAACCCTGACCCAAACCCCTCCGTCAGCTTCTCCTACTGGCCAGGCATGGAAGGCCGTCCACCACTCTTCTAGTTTCGGCAGCAACCCCCACGACTCGTCTTTTGGTGGTGTCTCCTCGGTTCTGGACGATATGGCGAAACTCTCCGGCTCCCCGGAATTCAAACAAAGCGATATATTCAGCCCTCTGAACATGGACGACTCTCCGCAGGCGGGCCGCAATGGGAGTGGACATCCCGGCAGTATGGACTTTAGCTATTCAGGAAACTCGATAGACGGCTACTATACCCCTGGGGACGACCGGCGACCGTCGGTGGCTTCGGTAAACACCACGGCATCTTCAACCGGTTCGAAGACCTCGTTAGGCAAGAGGCTCAACGGGAAGCTGCATGGCATTTTTGGTGATGCTGAGGGTGGTCATCACAACATTGTACATCACCCTCATCCGCAGCATTCTAGCACAATCCCCATAACCCCTCCCCCTGTTAGCCAGTCTGACACGAATCTTCCTGGAAATAAGCTACATTATGCTCCTACTGCGCCGGTGAATAATCCTTCTAGACCCAGAACCCCCCAGCCCCCATCTTCAGACGTTGTACCGTTCCTATTTCAGGACGCCAACGTGAGTAGGACCTCGCGTATTGTTGAGCGTTCCTTTATACGTCAATTCTTGAACTCGTGGCATTTAAATTTTGCGTGTGCGCTCATTCTCAGGGCGGTTTTGTGCTAATTTAAATACGGCATGGTTAGGATATCCAAACTTTCGGCGAGGCTCGGATTCAACCCGAATTGGTCCATGACAGACATCGATACCATCGAGACGAACAAAATGTCGACCCCAAATCCTCCGCACATAACTTCTTCAACAAGAAAGGAAAGACACCCGGCAAACCCTCATCCGGTAGGGATTATGACGGTGGAGCCAGTGATAGAGAGCTTCCCCAGCATCGCAGGGACTTGTTTTCATCATCATATGGTAATTCAACAACAAACCTGCCAAGGGCGAGCTCTCCCTCACCCTCCCTTCGTAGCTTGAATTCGGGTATGGGGTCGATCTCGAACGCAGCAGGTCACACTGCGGCCTCTACATCAGGTGGTGAAAAGGCGACGAAACGCTCTTTTTTGAAAGGGATGCTCAGGGGTGGGGGCAAGAAAGCAAAGGATGAGGAACCCGATGCGAATACTATGTCACCTGTAGCACCGCGCAAAGACCGACATCCCAGCATCAAAGTCGGGGAACCAGTACCGAGTTCCGCCCGTGGTGTACGCCAAGAAGGTCCAAAACGTGGTACAACAGCGCCACTTACCAGTGAGTTTAATATCAACCCAGCAATCTTCGCCCTCCCGGATTATTATCATGGACCTGGAAATGGTAACAATAGAAAAGCCCTTGGGAATACCACCCCATCGGGTAGTAAGACGAAGAAACGCGGCGACTCCTTCGAAAAGCCCCTCGGCAAAGATGCTGGCAAATATAACAATGTCGTACTACCGGAGGCGACAGGAAATCTGCTGGACATATTTGATTTGACGAATATGGAAGGTATTGTCGCCCAATCGCCGGCGCCGGCGCATCCTTCCACCACCGAGGCCTCGAAATCGAAGCAAAAGCAGGAAACACATGGTTCTTGGAATGCTCCCGACAGTTGGGCTGTTGGCGGTCGACAGCAGAAGGTTGCTGAAGCTCATCCCCAAGAGGTGGAAGAGATTCCAGAGGAAATACTCCGAAAACAATCGCTATCACAGGTATATTCTTCAAAAATCAAGCTATCAGTTCTATAAAAAGCTAATTTTTTTTGCTATAGTTCTGCATTCGAGTCTTCCGTGTCGATGGCTCCTTTACGACCCTTTCATCCAACATCAACTCAACAGTTACCGACTTGCTACATCAGCTCGGGAAGAAGTCATTCCTGCAAGATGATCTCTCAAACTACGTTATAATACTACGTAAGGGAGAGCTTGCCAGAATCTTGGGCTCCAACGAGCGACCTTTGATAATGCAGAAAAAGCTCTTGGAGCAGGTTGGATACAATGATGAAGATAGGGTCGATGAGATCGGTCGTGAGGATAATAGCTATCTCTGCCGTTTTACATTCCTTCCCTCGCGTGTCAGCGGCCACTCTTTGGTATGGCGATCCCATCCCACGGCGAATACATTCAAAACTAATGATTCCCTAACTTTTTTCCCTCAGGATCCTGATACCGGGTTCAACAATTATAAATATAACCACGTCGACCTTAGCGGTAGAAATCTACTCACCATACCTATTGCTTTCTACCACAAGGCCAACGAGATCTCCTCGTTGAACTTGTCACGCAATCTCTCCCTTCAGGTACCCCAGGATTTCATTCAGGCCTGTACAAACTTAAAGGAAGTCAAGTTTCGCAATAATGAAGCCTGGGACCTGCCATCAAGTTTTGCTCATATATCTCGCCTTACATATATGGATATATCTAATAATCGGCTCAAGAATCTCGGAAATGCTAGACTCCACAGGCACGAGAGCCTTGTGGCCCTGAAGATGGCTAACAATCGTATTCAGGAGCTACCCGAGGAGTTCTCAAAGTTCCACAATCTCAGAGGGTTGAACGTTGCGTCAAATTACCTTAATGCAATCCCACCATTAGTTTCGAAGCTAGTCACGCTTGTTGAATTGGATCTCTCATTCAATAAGATCAAAGAAATACCAGAGGAAATTAGCTCGCTTAAGGCCTTGGAAAGGTTAATTCTTTCCCACAATCAGATTGCAGGGGACCTCCCTGCTGGTTTAGCAGGGCTTCGAGTTTTGAAGGAGCTTGACATTAGACACAACAACCTCATCTCTGTGGACGTGCTTGGAGAGTTAGACCGACTCGAAACTCTTTACTCGGGTCACAATGAGATTTCAGCTTTCACTTGCGGATTTGAAAGAATCCGAACCTTACACCTCAATAGCAGCAAAGTCACAGCCTTCACCATCAAATCCATCACTCCAACTCTAACTTATCTCAATCTTTCGGACAACAAGATGACTGCTTTAGCAGATAACTTCTGTGATATGTTGCCGAACCTCGAGAAATTAGTGCTGGATAAAAATAAAATTAACTCCCTTCCTCCCCAAATCGGTAAATTGAAGAAACTTATTCAACTGAGCTGTGCTAGCAACCACCTTACCACCCTTCCAACCGAAATCGGCCAGCTCATCGATTTGCGAGTGCTCGACCTTCACGATAACGACATTGCCAAGCTACCATCCGAAATCTGGTCTATGATTAGTCTTACAAGTCTAAATCTATCTTCTAACGTCCTTACTGCCTTCCCCAAACTCCAGACGACGCAAGTGCCCGCGGTTCAACCCCAACCTGTAAACGATCCCGTGCAGAGCACTGAAAACAATGAGTATAACCCACTTCAAGTCATACACGAAACGTCGGAGTTCACATCTAATGGGCTTCTTAGCGCTGGGAGTCCAAATACGACAAGTCGAAAAGGTTCATTCGCTTCGGTCAACAACGCTCTTAGAAAGGCATCGATAGCATCGAAAGGGTCTGATGTCAGTACTGTGGTCGGAACCGGAACTTTTACGCCCCAATCTCGCAAGGATTCGACTGCTTCTAGTAGGATAGCTAACACCTTCGCTTCGAGCCTTCGATTCTTGTATCTGGCCGACAACCGACTTGGCGACGAAGTTTTTGATGAAGTTTCGCTGTTGAGCGAGTTAAGGGTCCTGAATTTGTCTTACAACCGGATTTACGACATTCCTTCGCGAGCACTGACAAAACTAGTATGGCTCAACGAGCTGTACCTGTCCGGGAACGAATTGACCAGCTTGCCAACTGACGACCTGGAGCATATTGCAAGCTTGAAGGTTCTACATCTCAATTCTAACAAGTTCCAGACCCTACCTGCGGAGCTAGGCAAGATAAGACGGCTTCATGTTCTGGATGTCGGGTCAAATGCACTCAAATACAATATCTCTAACTGGCCTTACGACTGGAACTGGTGAGTATTGTGCCAGCTAGTATGAAGTTGCTCAATCTCGTTAACAAGCTTCTAGGAATTGGAATTTAGAGCTACGATATCTCAACCTTTCAGGAAACAGACGGCTCGAAATCAAAGCAAACTTTGCCACCAATGGTCTTCGAGAGCAACAGCAGAGCTTCACCGACTTCAACGCTCTCAAGTCTTTGAGAGTGCTGGGCCTTATGGATGTCACGACAACGAATCCTTCTTTCCCCGATCAATCTGAGGATTGCCGTGTGCGAACATCGGGAACGCAGATTAAGAACATGATGTACGGCATGGCAGACTCTCTTGGTCGAAGCGAGCATTTGTCGATGGTCGACATGGTTGTACCACGGTTCAGAGGAAATGAAGATGAGGTTCTTTTCGGCTTCTACGATGGACAAACGCTTCCTCACAGCGGTAGTAAAGTTGCCAAGTTCTTACAAGAACAGACAATCTTCTACCTAACTGAAGAAATGCGAAAGCTGCGTGCTGAAGAAACACCGGCTGCCGCGCTTCGTAGAGCTTTCCTTGCTATGAACCGCGAGTTAATGCTTACCGGACTTGCGACTCACGAAGAAAAGACTCATTCTCCACGTGATAGGCACCGCGGAACAAACGCTGGAGTCCAGACGAACTTAACGAGGGACGACATTCAGCTCGGCGCCACCGCCGCGCTCGTTTATATCAAAGAACACGACATGTTCATCGCCAACGTTGGTGATGCCATGGGTTTACTGGTTCAGACTAGCGGCGAGTATAAGCTTTTGACGAAGAAGCATGATCCATTGTCGCCCTCCGAATTGGAACGCATTCGTGATGCTGGTGGATACGTTTCACGAAGCGGCAGGGTCAACGACCATCTTGAAATATCACGTGCCTTCGGATATTTACAGCTTATTCCAAGCGTTCAAGCCTGCCCATCCGTTGAGCAGTGGAAGATCACAGAAGCTGATGAGTTTTTGATCCTGGCAAGCAAGGAGCTCTGGGACCATATGAGTTATCAGACGGCTGTGTATATTGCCAACCAGGAGAAGGGTGACTTGATGCTTGCGGCTCAGAAGCTAAGAGATTTCGCAATCGGATACGGCGCTACCAACAAAATCATGGTCATGATTGTCGAGGTCGGTGGTCTCGTTAAACAGCGCAGGCGTGTTGGAAGAAGTACATCCATTGTTCCCGGTATGGATGACGACCCGCGACAACGTGGTGCGCGTCCTCGCAAGGGTGATCTCGAAGACGATTCAAGATGGCGCAAATTCGGCCGAGAAATCCCACCCCCTGAAGTCGATGTATGCTTGGTATTCACTGATATCAAGGGTTCTACTCTTCTTTGGGAAACATTTCCTATTGCCATGAGGTCAGCTATAAAATCGCATAACGATATCATGAGAGAACAGCTACGGTTGGTCGGAGGATACGAGGTCAAGACTGAAGGTGACGCCTTCATGGTTGCTTTCCCAACAGTAACATCAGCACTATTGTGGACCTTCAACGTTCAGCTAACGCTTCTGTCGTATGAAGCTTGGCCACCCGAGATCTTGCGCTCGCAGCAGTGCGCTGAGGTTTGGGCGAGCGATTCGGATGGAGTTAAGAGTTTGGTTTACAGGGGTCTCTCCGTTCGTATGGGTATTCACTTTGGACAACCCGTGTGCGAGAGAGATCCTATTACCAAACGTATGGACTATTTCGGACCCATGGTGAATCGTGCCGCTCGTATTGAAGGTGTTGCAGATGGTGGGCAGATCGCGGTCAGTATGGACTACCTTACAGAGTTAAAGAAGGTAGACGCGCTGTACCCACACGAGGAAACGGCCACAGCGAGCAAGCCCAATGATTCGTTCGGCGATGTCACGTACGAGGACTCTATCCGCAATGATTTGAGAAACTTGAGAAACGCGAACGGTTGGATTATCAAGCCACTCGGTGAGAAGAAATTGAAGGGTTTGGAAAATCCAGAAATCATCTCTTTAATGATCCCGCCTTCGTTGGCTGGTAGAGAATCCGATAAATTGATCGAGAAGAGCCCACCCTCGGAAACTGGATTGACACCGGAAATGGTTCTCCCGCTTTACGATTGTACTTTGAGATTGGAGAAGCTTTGTTCGCAGCTGAATTCGAAGGGTCTCATGTCACAGTTCATCCTTGATGGACAATATAGTAAAGACATGCTCCAAAAGAAGATTCAGGAAGGAGGTACAGATCCGAGAATTTTGGAATTTGTGGAATATGTGGTTACTCGGATTGAGGTAAGCGTTTATTGATATTCTACTTTTCGTGTATAGCAATACTAACATTCAGGACTAGTCCTCGATTACGACCCTTTATCTTCGATCGATCATGAAGAACGTTCCCAACGTCGACGACAATGGCCCAGAGGAGTCTGGCCTTGGGTTCGGTTCATCTATCACTTCCATTTTGTCTTCCCTCAGAGTTTTGCTCGAGTCCGACCCGCGATTGCAGATTGCGAAGTCGGCAACTTCATCAAGAAGTAACAGTAATGCATCCGCGGTCGATAGCACGGTCACGGACGATTTCCCAAGCGAGGACTACGACGATTGTGAGATTAATGAGGCGCCTTTCGCAAATGTTTGATTTCAAAATTCTGTTCCTTCTGAAATTCTTGATAAAGTCAAGTTGACGAAGAGTCTCTGTTTACAAGGGGTTTCCCGGGCTTTCAAAGTCTTTTTGCTGCTGTTATTGTTTTAATAGTCTTTTTTTGTTCCCCTTTTGCTGTCTGGGGTGTACCGCTTTGGCCTGGCGTACCTACTCTGTGTATCTTGCTGTCCCTTCTTTCTTTTTCTTCCTTCACTCTTTTGTACTTGGGGGTTCTGGACAATGTGAAATTAGCAGGCGACTTTCGTTTCTGACTTTTACCTAACCTTTGATTTCCCCTTTACCCTTTTTGATTCTAATATGTTTGTACAGAAGTATTTTGAAAAAAGTGGTATACCGATATGCGATTTGTTCAGTGTACGAGTGTTTTTCTTTTCCTTCTGTATAACGTTATATATTTTGGAGTTCTATATCCACCTCCGGACTTTTGAATTGATCCGATTATCTAATTTATTTTCTTACTTTTACCTTTTTTTCCAACTTTTATTAATTTCAGTCCGGTAGAACGGCATTCCAGGCCCTTTGTGTCATCTGATTTCGTGGCTTTGAAAATTGGCGTTGATGCGCGGTGCATGTGGATGTTTTAACGTTATCAATTCCGTGTTTAATTCTGATTTGTTTCCTTTCCGATGTTATTTCATTTTTCGTCATTCAGGAACGTTACACAATTTAAGGCATCCCATAGGTCAGTTCCCGACGGCTTCCGCGTAGGATTTCGCGGATGTTCGGATTGAAGAATCTGGGGAATAGTATTGAAGTTGGTTGAGTAACATGAATTAGGCATTTTAGTGCTGATATAAGATGGATTACTTGGCATAATGAGTGCAGTGTAGTACCGTTTGATGCTGTAGAGTTCCTGGGAATGTGCCCCCCCCGGGACGCCGGGTAGGATTAACGTTAACTTGATGATGATATAGTGATTGGGAATTGACATTGAAATCAGACTTTAGGACTGCAATTAGACGGTCGTGGGCGAATTTGTTGGGATTCCATGAGATTTAGGTTCGTTTTGCGTATAGCGTACGGGGTGTAGTAGTAGTTTCTCGGGGCCTGTACCGGGCGCAATCAGTTATCGACTTGTAGCGGTTACTCCACAGTCTCGTTAAATGGAGCTGGTTTCTAGCCTATTGACAGTAAGCGATATAACTTATTAATTGAAGACTTAAAAATCAATGTTCTGGATTCAGGATTTTTATTAGGTTGTAGTTATGTGTAAGTCTAGATTTAAATCTAAAAGAACTGATCTATAAAAATTATAGGGAAAGTCTCCGAGATATATCTCCACAACAAGATACCGAGATAATTAATATTATAAATGTGTATACGTACGTTTCGAAAGTTTAATCTACTAATAGTTAGGCTCGGAGAAACCAGGCCGGGTTTGAATTTGACCTCCGAAGTCCGAGATTATAAATATTTGCATACGTCTACATGAGTGGTTTTCCTTGCGTGATAAGTCTCTTGTGCCCAATGCAATGATTCACCGGCCCGGAAGCTAAGATTGGTTGCCAATTAATTACAACAAACTCAACGCAGTACTGTTGGGATGGCGAGGCTCGGGGAAGGAATTAAGTTAGTTAACGGCCCGGATTATCTTCGTACTGGGTGGGAAGGGTTTCATGTGAATGTTACGAGAAACTAGGGCTTGCGGTTATTCCGGATAGCTAGGTAGCTAAGTGGGTTTATGCGGTTAGTTGCATGTATTGCGTGTAGCCGAATGTGATCTATTGGTTTCCATTGCATCTTACTGTCTGTTTCATTCTATAGCCTCTGGTTCTGGTTCTGGAGGGAGAAGATACTGGTTCGAATTAATAATGGCTGCTCCTCCCAGAAGGATTTACTTGGATATGGTAAGCTACGTAAGCTTTACACCGGTTTTCCTAAAAAGCTTCTACTCCCCGCCAGGAGCCTAGAAAATACTAAATACCAAATATCATCTCCACCCAGGGAAAAATATTAAATCAAAATGGTGTGCTCTGGAGAGGCTGTTATTATGTGTTTACAGCCCATTGTGTACGTGTGCATAAATATTATGTGGTTCGTTTAAGCTGTGCCCAATCCATCCGCTTGAACCTTGTTTTAATAAGTACAGGAGCTAAGCGGCTAGGGGATTCCGGTGAATTGTTAATTTATGAAGATTAATCTTGTACTTGCACATGCATAAAAAGCATATTAATGTGACATCTTTAATTCACAGTTCAAATTCTGGAAGCCTTAGGGGGTTGTGGAAAGGGTCCCGCGCCCAGGGATGTGAATGACTCCACCACGGTCTGTAGATACGTAGCAAGCGGGATTTCGTTTCCCCGAGGTGCATGACCCGGGGCGGTAGAGGCTTTTAAGATATAAGGCCAGCTAGCCGTTTTGGGGAAAGGGTTGGGCAGAGGAAATAGTTACTTCACTGTATGAGCCAAGGATAACAGGATCTCAACAATCGGGTTACAAGATGCATTTGAGACATCTCAAGTTAGCTGTACTGTGTAGGTATATATTGCATGAATGTCAAATTCGAACTTTATGTAATCAACACAGTAAACGGAACAATTACGGAGGGATATATAGCAAGCGTAGAATGAATATTTTTTTTTCTCTCTCTAAAAGTCTTAGTCCCTTTTGGCTACGGACGTTAGTTAGCTTAAAGCCATAGATAAGTAGAGTATTGATAAAGTATGGTGTATGATAGCGGCGGAGCTGTCGGAATTAATTAGAATCTGATGCAGACGAATTTGCGAGAGCTCGATACCGCGAGGTGTGGTATTTTGATCGACTTCGATCGAGGTAGGTACGTACCAGAAATGTTTTTTTTTTTAGCGATATGACATGAATCGTAGTTCGAAAAAAAAAAAAAAAGCCTTTCGTGGGAGTAATGTTACATAATAGGGCTGAACCTAGGCCCTCTGGAGGTATAATTGCCAGAAGGCCTGATAGTTTTAAGCATAAGAACTTTGGCTTATATGGAAATCAGCGGAAGCATTACCAAATTTTTGAACCCTTTTTTCTGCTTTCAAAGCTGGGAATTTGTAAGAATATGAATCCGAAGTGCGAAGTTCACTGAAAATGACGTCTTGAGAAAACTTCGGAACATTCTTGAAAGTGGAAATATTAAATGTGAGTCAAGTATCAATTATAGACTCGTCTGCAAGTATATACGTGTATGCCCAGCTAAGAGCTCTATACAGTACCCTACGTATCAGAGTAAGCACACGGAGATTCGGGTGTAAGAATGCTTCCGTATGAAGAAATGAAGAAAAGCCGAGCATCTCCCCACCCCAGCACGTCTATATGCATGTAACCCACGTTTTGAAATCCCTTTTTTGAACCAATACTCGAGTCAGGACATAAGTTTTGTAATGCCCGGCTGACAAATCCGTCCGTTGGAAATGTGAAAACTGCATGGTTAGCGGCCCACATGGCTGGCATGCGTCTGATTGGTCGATATCGGGAACCATCCCGGGCTCTTGCCCGAACTTTTTTTTTCTTGTTGACGAGACAACCTTAAATTTCGTCAAGGGAGGGAAAAAAATTCGATGAATCATATTGATTTCGATTGTTTGCTATCCCCGATTTGGAGTAGACTCTTGGGGGAAAGTTACATGGAAATGTTGGTTCTGGGGAGAAAAAAGATATTAGAATCTCGCTTGATTTTCATGAAATCCAATAAGTACCGATGCATCGTGATGGGATCATAATGAATATTATCGTTGATCGATCATATGAAGGTATACGTATGAAAAAAGAGTTACCTTTGGTAGGTAAACCAACAAGTAACTAACGTTTTCCGGAGTCGATTGGTGAGATCATGACCCCCCCCCCTCCCCGAAATCTGGCACATCATAACCGCGCAATGACGAAATCCTGCCGACGGCTGTTGAAGTTAAGAATCGGGAAATAGTGTTATCTGGCAGTTTCAATATTGCGATAGCTGCTCCGTAGTGTGCTCCGTATTCCGTAGTAGCTGATTAATCGATGCCGCCCCAAAGGAGACACATGTGAGGTTGTGCCCAATGACTAAGTTAAGCTCGTACGGAACAGCAGGAAGAAAGCGAAGGGGCTAACAGGGTTTCTTGTTCCTGGGCCTTATTGTGGATTGGGTCGAGGCAAATGTGGAGTTCGCGGGATCCCTGGGCATACATACACGGCGCAGTGTGTTAAGCAGTGTGGTGTTTTGGGGGCTCCCCGAAACCACTACAAAATTTATAAATGCGAAGAACCCACGCCGTAACTGGGTCTCTTTTCTATTTCTACCACCCTTTCATCACTATCACTGTGCTGTCTTGCCAACCTGTATATAAGCACGGACGGCTTCCCTCTTCTCCCTGTTGTCAATTGGACGCAGTTGTTTCCCAATTACTCAATAATATAATAATAATACAATAAATAGACGTATTTCATCTTCGATCCGATCTACTGCAACATTCAACACAAAAAGTCAACCATTTGATGGACCACCAAGACCCTGAAAAGCTGGGCAAGATGGAGGCGAAGGACCTCGAGAACTATCGGGAAGGTCGTTGGGGCGAGGAATCAGACCAATCCTCAGTTAACATCCAACGTGCTGAAGCCGAGTTTCAAGAGTATGTCCTATAATATAATAAATTCCTTTTCTCTAGTTGATAGCATCCATATTTTGGCCATGCGCTCTCCAGACCTTTCCATGTTCGCTTTTTTTTTTTTTTGTCAACGTGTTTCCGATGCATAGCGGAGTTCGAATTAGGGCTAACTCGGGCCGAAATATAGCATCCGACGAGAACTAAGTAATATCTCAGCCCGCCCCTCGTCACCACATCTTGGTCTGAGCTTGACTCGCTCCAGGAGGCGTGTTGCCGATGAAGAGAAGGCCCAGAAGGAGGTCGACCCCTCCGAGACAGAAGGCGAACAGGAACACGATCATGAGACCATTGATCTCGAGGACTACATCAGGCGTAGTAATGAACAGAAAGATGAATCAGGCATCCTCAGAAAGAAGGTTGGCGTCTCATTCCGGGACCTTTCTGTTTCTGGTACTGCCGGGGAGAAAATGTATGCGAAGACCCTAAAGGATGAGATTGTTGAACTGTTTGGAGGGACTTTTGTCAATATGGTTATGGGGGCCTTGCCTCTTAAGAAACCAGCCTCCAAAGCCATTATCCAGGGCTTCAATGGTGTCGTTAAGCCGAAGGAAATGCTTCTCGTTCTTGGAAAGCCAGGCTCAGGAAGTTCGACTTTCCTCCGCGCTTTGACCAATCAGCGACGGCCGTTCACTTCCATTGGAGGTGATATTCACTACTCGGGCCTTCCGTTCGAGTTAGCGAAGGGCAGATATCGTGGAGAGATCTTGTTCAATGATGAGGGTATGCTGCAGCTCTAACCATTGGTTTTCGATATAATGGTAGCTAACTTGATTTTTACTAGATGATATCCATTTGCCGACTTTAACGGTCGAACAGACTCTTCGTTTTGCCCTCAAAATGAAGACGCCAAAAACTCGGATCCCAGGGACATCTAAGGCAGCTTTTGTCGAGTCAATGTTGAACCTGTACGCATCTATCTTCGGAATGAAGCACACACTCAAGACAATTGTTGGAGGCCCATGGGTCAGAGGTGTTTCTGGTGGTGAACGTAAGTGGACTTACCTAGACCTAGACTCCCCTTGAATAAAAACATCCTGACCTTCCGACCGAAATATAGGCAAGAGAGTCAGTATCATGGAAGCTTTGGCTAGCAGAGCTACTATTAACGCCCACGATAACTCGACAAGAGGTCTTGACTCCTCCACCGCTATTGACTACATTAAATCCCTCCGAATCATGACAACTCTTTCCGAATCCACTACTATCGTTACTTTGTACCAGGCTGGTGAATCTATCTACCAGGAGTTCGACAAGGTCTGCCTCATCGATTCTGGTAGGCAGATTTACTTTGGTCCCGCACAGGAAGCCCGCGCATACTTCGAGTCCCTCGGATACGAATCCCAGCCCCGTAGCACTACCGCTGACTTCCTTACCTCAATCACAAATGCTACTGAGAGAAGGATTAGAAAGGATGCGGAGGGTAAGGTTCCTATTACTCCAGAAGAGCTCGAACTTGCTTTCCGGGAATCCAAGTACTTCAAACAGGTACAGGCCGAATTGGACGGATATGACCGCGAGCTCCAGGAGGCTGAACCGGCAAAGGTCTTCGAGCAAGCCGTCAAAAATGAGAAAAATAGGGGCTCCGGCAGGAAAAGCCCATTCGTTGTCTCTTTCTTTACTCAAGTCGTCAGCCTTACCCAAAGAGAGTTCCAGCTCAAGTTTCAGGATCTTACCACTCTCCGCAACTATATGATTAATGCGATCTTTTTGGCCCTCATTCTCGGTGCTTTGTTCTATGATATCCCTAAAGACTCCGCAGGAGCTTTTCTTACTGGTGGCGCCTCTTTCTTTTCTGTGGTTCTTGTTGCTTGGTTACAGTTCGGTGAAGGATTCCAGGTCCTTGCTATGAGAAGCGTTGCTTCGAAACAAGTCAACTTCGCCTTCTACCGCCCCGCCGCTCTTCTCATTGCTCAGATGTTGGCAGATATTCCGGCTATGACGGCTGCTACTGTTATCTATAACATCATTGTCTACTTCATGGTCAGCTTTAAATCCACCGCTGGAGCCTTCTTCATCCACTTGTTGTTCTCATGGACGACATCTTTTGTTATCACGACATTTTATCGCGCAGTCGCGGCTTGGAGTGGAGATATCAATACTTACGTTCAATATGGTATGGCCGGCCTCAATGTGTTCGCCTTCTTTGGTGGATACATGCAGAGTCGATTCAAGATGAGAGGGTGGTATCGATGGATTTCATATCTCTCTCCTGTTGCCTACGCCCAAGAAGCCGTCCTCACGAATCAATACTCAGGTGGTACTTTGGTTTGCGCTCCAGGGCAGATCGTACCCCAGGTCCCCGGAGCTTCTTCTGCCAATCAAGTCTGTGCCATTCCTGGGTCTACTCCTGGTGATTTGACATTCGATCCATCTACCTACGCTCAAGTTCAATTCGGCTTCACTAGTTCCCATATTTGGAGAAACTTCGGTATCTTGATCGGATTTTTTGCCTTCTTCTTGTTTGTTGCAATTGCTGGTGTCGAAGTTCTGGCTAAAGCCGAGAGCGGTGGTGGCCTTACGAAGCAGTACGTTCGCAAATCTAAGTGGATGTTCTGGAAGAGCAACAAGGGAGAGTCTTTGCCAACCACCAAGACATCTAATATCGAATCCGGCCCATTGACCAAAGTGTCAACCAAGTCCAACCCATCCGTCTTCACTTTTAAGAATGTCAACTATCACGTCTCCGATAAGCAATTGCTCCACGACGTTGAAGGTCTTGTCAAACCAGGTGTCCTACTTGCTCTCATGGGTGCATCAGGCGCCGGCAAGACGACCCTTCTTGACAACTTGTCTCAAAGGAAGCGTGTTGGTATTGTTCAAGGTGATTTGAGAATCGATGGACGCCCTCTCCAACCCGATTTCGGTCGTAATACTGGATATGTTGAGCAGATGGATGTCCATGACGGCACCGCTACTGTCCGTGAAGCTATTACTTTCTCTGGTACTCTTCGTCAGCCAAAGTCCGTTCCATTACAGGAAAAGCTCGATTTCGTCGACAAGGTCATTACTCTACTAGAGTTGGATCCAATTGGCGACGCCCTCATCTCTGGTTTGAACATTGAAGAAAAGAAACGTGTTACTATCGCTGTTGAATTAGCTGCTCGTCCCGATACTCTCTTGTTCCTTGATGAGCCAACCAGCGGTCTTGATTCAAACGGTGCTCTTTCGATCGTTCGGTTCCTACGAAAACTCGCCCGCGAGTCTGGTCTCTGCATTGTCTGTACTATCCATCAACCGTCCTCTGTTCTTTTCTCAAACTTCGATGAGGTTTTGTTGCTTGCTGCGGGTGGCCGTACTGTTTACTTCGGTGAGATCGGAGAAGATGGCACTAAGGTTCTCGACTACTATGCACGCAACGGTGCCAAACCTGCCGCCCAAGATGCCAACCCAGCCGAATACATCCTTGAAACCGTTCGCCCAGGTGGTTCTACCAACTGGTCCGAAGTCTGGAAAGCCTCACCAGAGCGAACTGCCCTTGTCAAAGATATCGACAGAACGAATGCTGAATTGGTTGCTCTTCCTGCCCCGGACCGTGACGGTGTTCCACCAACCTACGCCATGCCTCTCTCGAGCCAGACTGTCGAACTTATGAAGAGAACATGGCGTAACTACTGGCGTGATTCTTCGTACATCTACTCGAAGGTGTTCACCAATCTCTCTCTCGGTTTGATGGCTGGTATTCTATTCTTCCAGGCTGGTAACAGCATTATCGAAATGCAAGCCAGAGGTTTCTCTACTTTCATTGCCATTGTCACTGGCGCTACTCTCGTTACATCTGTGCAACCGAAGTTCATGGAACTCAGAGCATACTACGAAGCACGAGAGCGGAACAGCAAGATCTACTCTAGCCCTGCCTGGCTTACTGCAATGACAGTTGCCGAAATTCCGTATGCCTTTTTCACCACGGTCTTCTTCTTCCTACCATACTACTACATGGTTGGTTTCCCATCCGACTCCAACGTTGCCGGATACCAATATTTCTTGTTGGTCATGTACGAAATCTTCAGTGCACATATTGGTATTGTCATTGCCGCCATCTGTCCAAGTTTCGACATGACCCTGATTGTCAACCCATTGTTCTTTGGTCTCACTTTCAGTTTCACTGGTATCCTTGTCCCATGGGGCCAACTCGCCAGCGTCTTCCGATACTTCTTGTACTACGCCAACCCAATTGCATATGCCGCTCGCGGCTTAATTGGAAACGTTGTGCACGGCGTTGATGTTATGTGTTCGCCTCAGGAGCTTGTTACTTTCCAGCCACCTAGCGGGCAGACTTGTGCTCAATATGCTGGTGATTGGTTGTCTAGCACTGTGGGATACTTTGTTGACAACAATGCTACATCGGATTGCCAATACTGTCAGTTCAAGAATGGAGACGAGTATCTTACCTCAATCAACATCAAGTAAGTTTTTTCAGAACCTTTCTCAACCCTTCTAGAAGATATTTACTAATTGCTTGTCCATAGATTCGAGGATCGATGGGATTACTTCGGTTATTTCGTCATCTTTATTTTCACCAACATCGCCTTGATCTTTATCTCCTACGCTGTCGTTCGTGACATCCGCTGGGGTAAAGTTTGGGCTAAGTACTTCGGCAAGAAGCAGGAGTAATCATCAAGAATACTCCCTTCTTAAATTATATAACGAAAGCAAACTACATTCACTAATCGACTTTATAATGTCGTATATCATCGGGTGGCGTTATCTTTAGACAAGGCAATCTTTGATTTTTCATATTCCCCTGTTGATCTTTTGATGATATTGCTTATGGTTTTTGAGCGGCTTATTGGCTAAAGTTTAATAGATGGTTTTGCTTTGAAGACCTTTTTTTTTTTTAATCGTACCATGTTATTTTTCTGACTACCATTGCACCTTGTAATGTTTTATGTTTTTGGATCCTTTTCAGAGTTTTCTTTCTTACGCTTCTTACTCGATGAGTTCACGCTTCTTCATTTTAAGTTTTTTAATTCTTTTGATTGCATTTGTCGTATTTATGGGGTCTAAAGTATCCCCACTTCTTGTTAATAGCTAGAAACAGTGGTAGTTAAAAAACAATGCAGAACATGGTTGAAAAAAAAAAAGCAGAGAAACAAATATAGGTCGCAAAAGGGTATATATGTACACTCGCCCTATCGTAGTCTATCAAGATATAGAAAGGGTAGTCTAGAAGTGAAGAGAATTGACAAGATGCTTCAAAAAAGAAGAAGGAAACATGAAAAACATATAAAAAAAAGAGGTAAAAAGCAATCAAATCACGTTTGTACTTCGATAGCTTTTTTCTTCTTCTAATACTGACAGTCACCGGGATTTTGGAGACACCATCCCTGAGTGACAAGACTGGCCTGAACACCTCTGGCAACCATTCTCTCTCTGATCAAGGCCAGCCTTGGGGTAACGCTCAATTGTGTCCTGTATTCGCCACTTTCCTCTCTATTCCAGCTCCAAAGGACCTCAGCGGCAGCGGAGGCTCGCGGCCAAACTCTAGCATCTAGGATTTGACCATCGACCTGCTCCGACCACATATGAACTTCACCACCAAGAACCAAATTCAATTTATCCTTGGGGATTCCTTCAAGAGCGTCGTAATAGTAAATTGCCTTCCAGTTCTTCATAGGCGAGCAGTAATCCGTGAACGCGGGGGCCAATTGGTTGAAACTCTCCGGTTTAACATCGAGCCAGAACCCAAACCCACAGTCCAAATACCAATTCTTGTAGTTTCCAAAGATAACGCGATGACCTTTATCCACAATCTTCTTAACAGATTCGTTATCGATCCATGCTTGAATGATGACGCGGGGGTCAAGTGTGAGTGGATACTCCAACAACATCTCTTCCCAAGCGATTGGAGTGAAGCCGGCGTCAAAGATTTCCTTATGGACTTTATTCACAAAACGGTTGAGTTTTGGAACAACGATGGTGGAGTCGTTAGATCCGACTGTTTCGTCGAATTGCGCGGAGTTGGAGTTATATTCATCACCACCGGCGTGGAAGTAACCAGCCCCAGAGGCTTTCAACCGGGGTAACAGATCCGCAAACAATTCTTCGACAAATTTATCAACAACCGGAGAATCGAGTTTGAATTGTCCACAGGGTGGTTGAGCACAAAATCCAACCCAAGGTTGTTTATTGAAGTTTGCGATAAGTTCTGGACGACTGTATGCGATCGAAGCAGTGTGGCCCGGCATGTCGATTTCTATGATGACTTTGATACCACGTAAAGCGGCGTAAGAGTAAATATCATCGATATCACGAACGGAGTAGATCTGATCCTTCGTGTAGGCGCCCTTAGCGGCTAGATCTGGCATTGATCTTATCTCCAACGGCCATGATTGGGATTCTGTGATGTGGATGTGGAGGATGTTCATTTTATTCCAGGATAGGACATCGATTAAAGATTTGATGTTTTTAACCGGGTAGAAGGAACGGGCGACGTCAAGATTTAGACCGCGGTGGGAGAAACGAGGAGAGTCTGTGATTGTGACTGGGAGGTATGGAGTGTATATCTTCTTTTTGTCATCGGTAGCGTAGAAGAGTTGGGGAAGGGAGGTAAGACCGTGAAGGACGCCGACGGAGGTTTTCCCGACGATTTCGACTTTGGCTTCACGATCATTGATTTTGCTGATAGTGAGGGTGTAAGATTCATCGATTGGTTCGTCCTTGGAGTTATCTGGTTCGACTTCCGTTTGGGTGACTGAGATGGTTTTGATCGTGATCGCGGTCTTTCTGTCGTAGTGGGGTTGCCAATCTGTGCCTTTCTTGTGGAACATCCAGGGGACGAGGTTATCGTTGTAGAGGAATGACTTGGCACGGTCGATCGCGGCATCGATGCGGGTCTCTGCCTGTCCCTTTTTGGAGGTCTTGCGACGGGTGATACGCGAGGTCAGGGCGTCGCGGGTATACTTGTAGGTTGGTGACTGGTCGGTTGATCATTGGTTAGTTAGGTAACTTTCTAATATTCTTTCTAAGGAGATTTGCAGTTTGATGTGCAGAAGACGATCATCGCTTTTTGTACAGTCCCTAAGGGGGGTAGCGGGTACTCACGTTGCCAGCTGGGCCATATTTGACATTGAATTTGACTCTACCGTCGAGCCAGGCGACTTGATCACCAAGACTTTGTTCTTTAGGAAGAGGCCAGACACTGGCGCTGACCATGGATGTAATAGCCGAAGCGGCTATGATCAAAAGATTGAAGCGAACCATTTTGAATGTTCGTCTTAAGGTTCAAGATGGCGAATTATCGAAAATGGAACTATGATAGAGAGGGAGCTGAGAGCTTGTCTTCAAATACTAGATTTTAGTAGAGAAGATTAGGTGGTTTGCTTTATGTAGGTTAAGAATTATGTTTTGTTCATGAAACGAAATATCGAGCGTCGGTATATATGTTCGTATGAAATGGTGGAGAGAGAAGGGGAAAGGGAAGGTTAGAGCTAGGGGAGGGGGGCTTTTATACCCTCTAGTAGTCGCTGGAAAATAAAAGATCATCCAGATGTATCTATGTGACAGCTATGAAAAGAAAGAGAGGTTGATGCCGTAAGAAGATTGTAAAATCAAAAGATATTCCAGAGAAACTGCCGTTTCGTTTATATTCGACGTTGAAAACTACTTTTTGATCAGCCAACGTTAACGAGGAAAAGGTGAGTTGACCGCGTGGTGTTCCGGTTTAGGAAGGAATCGGCAGCTGGACCAGCCGAATTGATTTTCGGGTTTGGCGACTTGCGCGACTGTAGCCGGGAAAAAAAAAAAAAAAAGAATAAGATAAAAAGACTAAGTTCGGGATGATATCAAGGATTATATATAAGTCCGGTCAGCCCAGTAATCGATTGTCATCGCTGTGGCAGTGGCGGATATGTTCTTTCAGGAACCGGACATTGAAAGAGCGAAAGTGAAGGGTTATATAGCAGCTCCCCTGGGAATCTTCATTTCTCAGATTAAATTGTCGATCTCACTGGAACTTGGCGGCCAGGAACTGTGAATGGTCCTCCTGTGCTGCTTTAACTTTGTTCCTTTCGTCCAATGCGAAGAGATTGTCGTCGAGCCAATATCGTAGTGGACAATTACTCTCTTTTTTCCTTTCGTTCTCTCGAGGTATCCAAGAAGACCCTGGTCAGTGCAGTGCTTTGAGGTTACCTAAGAAATCCCCCCGCATTTCCTGCTCAATTATTAACCTGTCTAAGACAAGGATACTCTCTACCGGTGCAATGCTATGAGAAACACAAAAACAAGAGGAGAAAGGTTCCGTGAGTATCTCGGAAGTTAATTAATTCAATAATTAGGTATCATACTGGTGGGAGGATAAGGAAAAATGGGTATGTGGATGAATGTCTGTCGGACAAGCGCGAATGATTACAATTGATTATGCCTGTACTACTACCCGTTATTTTCTCCGCCATGAGGGATATGTGACGGTGTCCTTGCATTGGTCTGATTTGGAGTTTAAGGTCCTGCAGTGCTTGTGATCTGCCTTCTGATGTCCCCCCTGCATATACAAGGCAATGCATGCGATTCGCATGTTGACTCGGTAGACTTAAACCGCCCGCCTTCTCTGGAGTCGTGGTGGTACACAAGCTATTCGCACGTCTCGAAGGCACATTCGTGCGTAGATACATAAATCTACATGGCTCGGACGTTCCTAGCTGGTTAGGCCGAAGGGGTCTGAAAGGGTGGCATTGCTTATGGACAAATGGATAATGGAGAATGAAGGGGAGATAAAACCGTTTCATCCAATCTATTCATGAATTCAACTTACGTAGCTCGAATTCATTTGTTCCAACATCGAAACAAAGCTAAAGTGTACACACTCAAACACTTAAATTTTTTGTGGTTCGTCCAGTTGAAAGGGTGGGCCTCATGAAGGCCAAACGCAATTCCGGGGTCGGCTCCCGCTGTACGTCTGCATGCAACATCGCGGAAAGATGTAACGTTGAAAGAGCCATGTCGATAGCCAGGGGTTTGAACGATGAGATGATAAGGTTATCATGTGGATTTATAGAGAAGGAAGGTCGAAGATTTTCTGAAAGATGGTTCTGCAGTCCGGTAGTCTATAATATGCTTTGAGCGGAGAGCAGACATCAAACAACCCTCGATGGTGTAGTTGGTATCACAACAGGCTGTAATAGTCTTTAGAAGCTCAAACTTCTAATTAATCGTAACCTGCAGGTCACCAGTTCGAATCTGGTTCGAGGGATTGTTCTTTTTTTGCAATTTTTTTGGTTCAACTTTTTATCTTCTTTCTTCTTTTGGGGGATCTTCGGTTAAGCAAACATGTTCAACAACCTCACCCCGCCCCGCTATAGACCACAGCACATGCAATGCAATGCAATGCAATGTTAGAGGAAGCGTCGATGTCGCGGTTCTCGAAGGCAGGAAAGTTAGAGCAACGGCTCATATTCATCTATGCGACGTTACACGGGGATCACACAGTTTGATAAGATCAAGGGTGTCCATATCTGTTATAATCATGCATTCTTAGCTCTCTGTAACTGTCGAACCAAAGAGTATTGTACGCATACTCGTGTGCATGTTGCAGGCATTATTTGGGTGCACAGTTTCCGAGAAAACCATCCCGGTTTCCCATTTCTCGGACCGGCCTTGATCAAAAATATCCATAAGCTCTGGAGCTGCGATTGAACTAGAATTCGAATTAGTATGAAGCAATGAAGCGTCGATGTGTTGATGTCCCATCATGCATTCCTTAATTGCAAACTGTGTATACATGTAGCAGAAATGAGGTAGTCTAGTTGTATACTATAGAACACCACTAGCAAACTTAAGTAGGTACTTAATTAAGTATTTACTTTGGTAGGTACCAACTATATACCTACTACCTCTTAACTATAAAATAACCACCAGCTGTTTGATAGCATCTCAGGTTAGAAACAGAACTGGATAAATTTATTGGAAACACCACAGCAAAATGGGTTTTTTAAACTACTTACCTACTTATATATAAGGTTTTGGATCCGTGGTCGCAAAGATCGAAATGGCAGCATATCTACTTAGCTAAAGAGAGCCCTCGAGTTAACATAATTAGTACCTACTTACCTGAGTACTTATAGGCTCATTTGGGGCCTATAGAGCTAGAATGGGATCTAGTGATATCAATATCGATGTATCTCTAGTGATTGTGTAGCATTATCATTTAGCATTAGATATTACCTAGAATCTTATATAGAAAATCATTGAGTACTTATTTAATTAATTACCCACTTTGTAGAATATGCAAAACTCACGATCAGGGTCACGGTCATATATATATATAAAGTCTCCTTATTTGATGTACCCCGAATAAGCTAATATCTCTAGACAGTTTGGAAATCTAGAGACTTAACCTCTTCGGGATCGATTAATATCTAATGAACTCTCAAGTAATCCACCTCCATAGCGTAAAAGAAGGGAATATCTTCTCCGAGTTCAGCAGCTACTATAAGTTGAAGTTACTTCTTCAAAGAACCGAGGGCGCGGCCCCTTCGGTGAGCAACTTAAGAAAGGGTCTTGCCCACTGGTATACCCAAGTGCTTACCTAGGCAACCGTATTAAGAAGAAAGGACAGGAGTAACGAGGTTACGAACTCGATCTCACTGTGGTAATCATAATGATCTTCAGACAGCGTCGTCGTCGTCGACAACGGACCTCAAATAAAACCATAATTCCAATTTTTCTCTCGATTGGCCCTTTATCTTCTCCTTTCTCACTTTCTCACCCTTTCTTCTCTTCTTCTTCTCCTCTTCTTCTTCTCTCATCTCTTCTAGTCTCTGCAGCCTGGTAGGTACCTGCTATCAACTACCCCTATGAAGGTAATCCCACATCAATCACAATTCCAACCATCCCACATCAAACAAAAGGATGAATTATCATCACCCCTTTATATACACACTCATCATGGTTTTCCGATTCGTGAACATTGTGCACGGAAAGGAAGAAGACCTGAATGGTGTTTGTTCTTGTTCCCTCGAGGCACAGACAGCAGGAGGTTTTGAAATGTGACGATGCCCCTTTTTTAAGTCCAAGGATGATATTTCGGTTTCGCTACTGACCTACGCGGTCTGATGATAATTTCAAAATGAAAAGCCAAACAGCTTTCTGAATCTGAGGACTTGGGGTCAAGAGACCTAGAAAAAGAGAGTCGGGGGTTAGCATGTTGATACACTCGGGCCTGCAGCGTCAGTTTGTACCAACCAAGAGACACTTACTACTCTTTGTGTTCTCATAATTTTTGGAGTCAACTTTTCTGCTTTGCAGAACTTTATATATTTTTTCATTGGAGAGCATAGGTGATACCCTATCAGCCGATGAAAGAATGAAGAAGAGTTGGATATATACTTAGTAGGTATATAGACAATCTTGGGGGCTGATCTACCGGATTATACTTTCACATCGCTGTTGTTTGGGCTTAATTTGGGTGGGATGCTGTTGGAGATTAGTTTAATATAGAATATACCGAGCGTTCAACGTGAATTTATTTACCTCAAAACGACCATTAATGATGCTACAGGTGTATCTATAAGTACTAGTAGATATACTCGACAGTCTGCACTAACTACTCGACCGAGTCTGAATAAGATACAAGTACACAATAGCCCAGGTATAAATAGATAGTCTCGAAGCTTGAAGCTGTATCGGTCGCTAAAAGCGGTCCTTTTTTTTGTGTGCTATTTTTGTGTTGGAGGTGTTGGAGATCTCGGTTTCTCGGCCGATGATTTCTCGGCCTTGGCACTGAGATCGGCCCGTTTGTTTTCCAAAAATAATGTGTTGTGGACAAACACGAAAACAACACAAGAGTCGACAAGAACCCTGACATCGCAGTTCGCCTTCCAATGTCACACCGCGATCCACTCGCATACCTTCTAGTTACCACCCACCAACGTCACCCACCATCACCACACTACAGCTGCAGCTACACCATACGATGGATAACTCCTTCTTTCGCAACCTGGTCAACAATACCCCGCGAGTAGATCGCTCCTCTAATTCCACAAATGCAACCTCGACGTCTTCTGCCGCGCCGTTGCTCGGCTCTCGTCAACGTTCTTCCATCCCGATGACACCGTAGGTGAACCTCCCCCATCTTCGTCTCTCCCTCTCTCTCTCTATTCAATTCAATTCCATTCAATTCACTTCACTTCACTTTAACCACATTCATACACATCCTTCCGTCCGATGTATCCACGACCTATGCCCTGCACCATGCAAAGCAACCTTCTAGTCACAATCGCTGCTTTAAAAAATCACATTTATGGTACTAACCAACTCTTGGCTTTTAACCCTCTAGTCGATCTGTCGGCGGCGCACCATCATTCGCACAACAAGCAGCAGCCTACCGTCTGCAGCAAAACCCACCGAAAGAAAAGAAATTCAAATCATCTGTCCCATTAGGTTCAAAACTTCCAGAGGGCTACGTGGATCGTACACAATTACGTGATGACGATGATACGGCTACTACAGACGCGGAGCAGCGGATGGCGGCTCTGATGCAGCTGGTTGAGGAAGGGAGTTTAACGAGGGAGGAGGCTATAGAGCAGAGTAGGGCTTTTGGGGGGGATGCTAAGAGTACGCATTTGGTCAAAGGGTTGGATTTTAAGTTGTTAGAAAGGGCAAGGAAGGGAGAGGACGTGCTGGCTGGCAAGAAAGATGATGAGGAAGTTCAGGATGAGGAGGATATTGAGGATGAATTGGATCAGGCTCTGGAGAAGAAAGTCGAGAGTGTAAAGAGGCAAAGGAAAGAGGAGAAGGATGACGATGACGATGAGCCGAAAAAGAAGACAAGAGCGGAGATTTTAGCAGAATGGAAGAAGAGTAGAGAAGAGGCTGCTGCGAAGAAAGTAGCAGAGAGCTCTCTAGGCTCTAAATTCAAAAAATTTGGGGAGAAAGAGAAGAAGAAGCCGAAGGCTAAAAAGGAGGAGAAACCTACAAAAGCTTCCAAAGACAGTACGTCTGGGAAGAAAAGGAAACGGGATCATGAGGAACCGTCGAAAGAGAAGGTTCTTGGAAATGGCACAGTTCTGGGTATGCTCCCTCCTGATCTGCCCTCGACGAAAGCCGTCCCCGCAGAAAAACAGGACGAAGACGGGGATGTAAACATCTTCGACGATGCACCTGACGATTATGACCCTCTGGCTGGCCTTGCGGACAGCGACGACGACTCGGGGTCCGATGAAGGAGAAGTGGAAGACAAAACAACCAAGAAGAACGAGACACTGGAGGGTATGCCACCTCCACCTCCACCGTCTACCCGCCCTCGAAATTATTTTGCCACATCATCCAAAGATGCCGACGTGTCAACTCAATCAATATCGTCGACACCGCTTAGCGGTCAAGACCTCACAAACACGATGGAACTTTCAGCAGCGATCAAGAAAGCTGCCCAAATGAGAGAGCTTTCAAAGGCAGATCTCGACGATGAGGAAGCAAAGAAAGCGGCAAGACACAAAGCTATGTTACAAGCTGCTAGCAGAGACGATGAAGATGTGGATATGGGCTTCGGCGGAAGTCGGACATTCGGAGACGACGACGATGATGATCTGGGAGTCACGAAAAAGAAGAAGAGGGGTAAAAAGAATACATAATAGTAAGTATGTTTAGCATGTGGTTGTGTACGATAGGTGGCTTGTAGGATGTTACGACGGATATGCAAGGCGTTTTTTTTTGGATTGAAATTTAAGGGCACCCTGGATGTTAAATCCCCAGGAATAGCAGCTTGATATTGGCCACCGTGTAGACGCTCGTTTGCAAAGATGACCTATGAGTGGTCTGATTCCGTAAGCCTTAACGCATGGATCGACCCAGCCCGCATCTAGGAATACCATTGATTCTCCCCATATACCTGGGTAGATTTCACACAACTTCCGCAGTGACACCGCAAGGAAGAAATGATTCCCTTTAGCGCATTTCTTTTACACGAACTTCAATTTGACAGCTCAGATACTCTAATTTTTATGCGAAACCATTTTGGCTTGGATTTACATCAAAGTTGGATATTAAAATCAATTGGAAATCAATTATACATCGCTTTGTACTCTATAGAATTATCCTGCTAGCCCCAGGTCTGAAGTACACTTAAACTACAGAGTTCCCCATATCCCTAGCAGTGCGGAGGTGTGAGAATGGCATTAGGTTACACTACTCTCGCGCCGCCGTCGCAGGTTACACACCGCATAGCTGCGGATGTATATCGATAGGCTGTTTTCTTGGTCTCGAAACCCTGCTTTCGAATTGGTATGCAGGATGGCTGACTAGGGATCCCTCAACATCCCTAAGCCTAACTCAGGATATCAGCGGGCCGGGGAGCTTTGGGCATAGGTTTTTTAACCAATTAGCCTTCCGGAGGGATTTTCGAAGGGTTGCAAGGTACCGTTCCTGGATAGTTGGCCTTGGTTTGACGACATTAGCTCTGGATATGAGCCGTTCGGCACATCTTCAGACATCCATGATTTTACTGCATGAAGCTTGCAAGCTTGCAAGCTTGCCAACATGCAGCATAGCGCACATAGACGTCTACAACCCTTCGTCGATGTTGGAATCAATCAATTGCAATTTAAAAAATATGAAATCAAATTTATGATGTTAGCTAATCTATTCTTACGATAATTCCTTTAGGCTCCACCTCTCTAAGAATAACACGTCCCAACTTGCAAACCCCTTCCAAGTTGATTCCCCGCCCTGTCGGCCTGTCGCCGAGACCTTTCATCTTCCTTCAAAGCTTCCTCGATCAGATGCAGATGTGGACCATGCAGCTCGCTTGATGTGGATGCATGCATAACGCCCACCACCTGCGGAATGTGTTTTGCGGCCCGTACGGTAGGGGTACCTCGTCCATAGCGGAACATCTGCTTGGCGCACAGGTACTCCGATCCAAAATCGCCGTGGCCATGTCGACATGTTTTTTGCAGAGACCTCATGCAAACGGAAGAATGGACTACGTATGTACCAACCATCAGAGCGGCTGAATTTTTCCTTTAGAAGTTGGTTCATTTATGCATCTATGACTTCTTGCATTCTTTAAGGTTTTTTTTGGGCTCTTTTTCCTCATATTATTTGTTTTTTTTGTTTTTTTCTTTTTCATTTTCCCCACTTTTCGAACTTCCTATGCAGCTGCGCTGGTTCGCTTGCGTGATTGATTGACCGATGTTGAAAGAGAAATGTCGTTTTTTTCGTTATGTCGAAGAGATGGGATTTTGGCAGCTGAATTCACTCGGTTGGTACTAGTTTCGACTTGGTTTAGTTAGATACTTGACAGGACTCAAAACGTTCAAACTTGGTACTTGATCAATTGAAACTAACTCTCGTATGGACTATCTCTTTTCGAAGGTCCAGAATTTATATCCTACTCGAGATAACTATATATACATCAAAGTACAGTACCACTAGAAGTTCCGCGATCCGCGAATTCTGTGTTCCCAATACTGTAGTTCGGAGCTGCGGCACATCAATCTGAACGGGACTGAATTAATAACGAAAAGAAGCCCAAGCTATATTAAAACCCCAACAAACTTGCTTGCATATATGTGCGCATACCACCCTTTTCGTTTTTTCATATGCCCAGATCAGTGGCTGGAAATGGTACAAATCCAGCTGCATTGACAAAAGCGGGATTGGTGTGTCGTCGACAAAATTTAATGCAAGAATAGGTAATTTCCATATGTCAAGTCCTTCCGATTCGAATATATTATATCGAGGTGTGCTGTCTCGGTGTCGACGTCTACGTACTAGCTCCTGGGAGAACTTAACAGAGGCCTGATATTAATTCAGGGTAATGGTTATTGGTAATATTTTTCTATTTGATGCCCATAATAGGACCAATCGTAGGAGAGTTTGGCACATGCTTGTTAACTTGTATTCTGAGTGAGTGGATTTTTACAAGGCAATATTAATAATAGTAATACCTAACAGACAAATGCCTAACATTATTGCATTAGATTTCTATTCTTGAGGAGCGATCTTACAATTGTAAATTTGTAAAAGAAGGATTCGTCTAAGCATCAATCCGCTGATATCATGATCGACTATGTTGAAACCACATATTTTCACTCAAAGAATTCATATGTTCTAGACCCAAATCCAGAATTACATAGCATCAAAATCTACTAATAAACTACATATGCAAAGGTCTCGACGCCTACTTACTGCCTTGGAGATACCATCAAATGTAAGAATTATCCCAGCAAACGGGTATTTCGTATTGCCCCGCAATTGAATTGCGTGCGCTCACACAATTCCGACTCCGATCGTGCAGTAGAAACCTAAACTAAACTACATCAAAACCAAAGTTGCATACGCGAGTGCGACAGATCTAACAGTCCGTGCCGTGCGTTATTTCTACGCGGGTCCCGTAGCTTAGTCAAGTTTCTTTTTGAAACTTTCTAACTCTACATAGCTCTAGTGCTTCCTGTGTCTATATGCTGGCTGTGGATCATTGCATACCCAAGGTGCGGGTTTTTCATTCCTGGTCAATGCGCAAGCTCTGGGCCCTTCCCGTGGGTAAATACTACTAACTTTTGAGGGGTTAGTAATGTTACCATTATATATTTTATTTATTTTATTTTTTGCTTCCTGGACGGGGGACCCTTTTTGAAGCCCACTAGCTCGCTGGGCCCTTTGTGGCTAAGCTAAGCCTGCATATTGACGGGCCGGGGCCGGGCTGTCTTTGAAAGCGGTAGAAGCCGGTGCGTAGCTAACATACCAGTATATTTCGGCAAGGGAAAACACGAAATTCACCCTGCAGGTAGCATGCATTTGTCCTATCCCTATTCTGGCAAATTGTATGCTTCTTTTGAGGCGGGGTTTTGGTGCAATATATCGCCTTTTTTGTGAATTCTTGCAAAAGGCTCCAGCTCCAAAGCTTTGTCAAAATGTCGGTAGAGGAAAAAAATGAGAATGAGAGTGATGGGAGGATATTTTAATTTTAGTAAGCTAGCTTTGAGCGATATAATTTTTCTGAAATGGGGAATGGATATTCGTGATTCCTGCAGACGACGGCGTGCTTGCATATGGTAGGTTATAGTTGGATGCGAGCTAGACCATCGAATGCTATTTGATAGATACTTACACGTGTGTGTGTGTCTGTCTGTCCTTGTCCGCCTGTGTAACAATAGGGGAAACTCTTTGAACTTCTAAAAGGAGTTAGGTAAGTAGGCTGTAGACGTATTGGCCTGACGAACTATGAGATATTCCCTGCGGGATAAGTGAATGGCGTGCGATAATTGGATATTGATGCATTCGCAAGTTCGCGCGCGGTTTGAGGGATCGAATATTGGCAGACTAGGTTCCAGTATGAAGAACGAGTTCTTGGCTTCTGGGTCTGGCTTCAGCTGTGAATATTCTGCACATAGTAGTCTATCAAGGCAGAATTGTGCCATGTCGACCGTCTTGATAGTTAGATATTAGAGCTCGAAAAAAGTATAAAGAGGTCGACGATTCCCCCTTCAATCCTATCTTTCTTCTCCATCCTCAGCAGCATCAAGCAAAACAGCCTCCAAAAAGCCTCTCAATAACCTTCAAGAACTATATATTCATTTTAAGAAGTCTTTTCCACTTCAAACAAATCAATCAAGTCAGTCCCTTCTCTCTCCTCATTCTCTTCTTTCAAATATATACAAAAAACCATTATTTGCTAACTCACTTTAACATTAACAGAATGTCCTACGCCATCAAAGTCCGTATCTACCAAACCAACGAGAACGCCTTCTTCCGCGTCATCGAGAAGGGTGTCTGGCACTACGCCAACGGCGGTACCTGGACCGAACAAGACGGCGCCCTCCTCCTCACCATCGGAGGCAGCGGTACCTCCGGTATCATCCGCCTCCAAACCGAACAAGGAAAGGAAGCCTTCTTCGTCGCCTTCGGTGTCCACAACTACAAGCCATGGCTCGACATCATCACCGGTCTTGGTGACGATATCACTGGTGTCCGCGCCCTCCCAGAATACTACAACAACAGCAACCCAGAACGTGTTAAGTCCCGTGAGGCTCAGCGAACCAGCCAGTCCATTCTTAACATTGACCACCGCACCATTGCTGCTCACTACAAGGTTGCTGAGGGCCACGAGCTCGAGCTTAACCTCGTCCTCGGTTAAATTTTAGCTAGCGAGTATTGGAGCGCAGCTAGATGCCTGATGAAAAAGGGGGGTTTATCATAGAAGGAGGGGGCTTGGGGGGGTTATTGAAGAGGGAGGAGCTTTGAGAGAAGATCTGACTTTTGGGTAGCCCTTTTTTTTCTCTCTCTTTCTTTTGTTTTCCTTTCTTTATACTTTTCTATCAGCCTGTCAAAGGAAATTCTTTCTTGTTTTTCTTGTCAGATAGGAGTAACCTAGGTTTTTGAAATTAAAAAAATCCACCCATCGAAAAAAATACTGCCAGTTCTAAATTCGAATGTCATTGTGATAGTTAGAAAGTGACAGTCTCGTAACCAAACTGTGAGAAAGTGAAATCTGTGCGTTGTTTTTGACAAAATACAACATCTGTAATGCAGCCTCTTGGCAAAGATTACATAAGCCACTTCGCATTTCGCGCCCGAGAAACCACCCAATCGCCTTTTGAGTCTGCCGACTTGCAATGCGTGATAGTTAATCACATCCCTCACCCACCAAAACCGACATCACCGCTTCACCCTCATCATAACTTGTGAATAATGGCTTTAGTACCCCAAATACCCCTCTTCGATGAAAGAAGGGAATTCGATGAAGGCTAGTTTCTTACCATTACCCGCCTCCAGCCACCATCCTAGCCACAGCCAATGCTAACCTTCAACATATAAACCACAGAAGCCCTCATCAAATCCCGCCTTATAACTCTCGAAGTCAAGACTTTATCCCGCGTTCAAAGACGCTGTAATACCGTTATAAACACCGAAAATACAATTAACGATGTCCTCAAAGCTGCGAAAGATGACGCGAATGTAGAGATGACGGATGCACAATCCGTGACCACTGTTGGAGAAACAAAACCGGAGTTGACGCATGAACAAAAAGTCGAAGCAGCAGCTGAGAAGCTGGTGGAGGATATATTGTTGGACTTTGCGCCGTTGGAGGAGGCTCTGATGAGGTTGCAGTTGCTTACGGCTGCGAATCGGAAAGAGGTGGCGAGGTATGAACAGAAGAAGATGCAGATTGGTAGGGTTCCCCCTCTCTCACCTGCTCGTAGGTTAGCTAAAAGTTGGGTTATTCTAATCTTCTTTTTGATAATTGGCAGAGCAAGCGTCTCAAAAAGCCCGAATTGAGATGGTAGAACTCAATTCATCGCTCACCGAAGCGCAACAGCTTAAGCAGCACAAACTCGAATATGACGTTATCGCCACAGAAATCACAAGCTCGCCGAATAGCCAGAAGACACGGCAAGCCCAATATGATAGTATTAACCGGTTAAACGCCGAAATCGACGCGTTGGAACGTGAGAGGGCGGATTACGGCAAAGTTTGGGCAGCTAGGAGAGGACAGTTTGGAGCAATTGTCGAGGCTTTGATGGGGATGCAGGCACAGATTCAAGAAGATAAGGAGGAACAGGAGAGAAGGGAAGGTTTGGATGAGGATGAGGAGGATGGGGAGAAGTCCGCTGAGGGTGATGGGAAGGAAGCTAAGTCCGAAGAGAATGCGGCATCACAAAATCCTGGCCAGGCTGGCGCAGATGGGAAGGAACCAGGCTCCGGGGCGAAAGAAGAAGGAGACGTTTCGATGGAGGATACTCAGGTGGAAGAGGGAGAGCATATAAGCACAGGGGATCAATCACGTGTCACATCACCACGGATAGATGATGATGACGAGATCGAGGAAGGCGAGGAGCTAGAGGAAGGGGAAGAGCTCGGCGAAGAAGAGTCAATTGCACCGACTCCGGCGGCCCATGATGCTTCATTTGAGGAAATGGAGACTGATGATCGGCCCCCTGATCACGACGATGATATGGAAGATGAGGGTGCCATCGAGGAACCTCACATCGGTGACTCTCAAGAACCAAGATCATATAACGCTTGAGGCACTCGATTTCGACGATTAGCGATTGCTCCTATCAGATGTATCATTGTTAGATTGAGGTTGGGTTTCACCAAAAGCCTTCTAGACATGATTATATATAGAGCTTCATGTTCTTAGATTTCAGCGAGAATTTGAATCTCAAATCCACTGAGAACTGCGGATTTATCACCCTACAGATTATTTCCCTCGATGCCCTATAGATGAATGAATACGTGGAGAATTATCACCAGCCCACCGACTTCATAATGCATCTATTCATATTTTCATTATACTATACAACCATCAAAAAACATTCAGAATAGATCCCTAACTAAAAAACTGTAAACAAGTCTCTTGCTAGCATAGGATAACGCCAACATGTACAATCTAGCCTACAGATATGCTCTCCACTGGGTATATGTATCGCTTCCCCCAATTACGAACTTACTGTTAAAATTTGTTAATGATATTATAATTAGCTAATCAGTCCACCCTTCGTCACTGATAGCACTCAACCTCCTCATCAGGTAATCCCTCCCCAAGTCCCCCCAATTAGCACCAGTACTCGCATCCTCCTTCAATGACTGTTCATTTCTCAAAATGGCCTCCATGGCGCCTCCAGCCCCAGAAGCACGTAATACCTTTGCAATACTCGCATGTACGTTACACAACCTCGGTTTCGGGACTGGAATCTGTGCGAATACATCACAGCTTCCAAAGTGTAATACATCTCCATCTTCATGATGGATTGATCCCGGGGTTTGTGCTTTGGTAAATAATCGAATCCGATAGACGTACCTACATCTATCTTCATCCTGGCCTCCGTCAATATTTATGCTCACATCATTTCTAGGAAAACCAGGGCTTGGAGTCGAATCCCATGGTTCAGCTTCGATACACCATTTGAGGTTTCGGAAGGAATGGTATAACTGTGGAGTAAGGATTATCCCGTTGGAAGGGTTGTTAACCACATCCAAATCTTCCATCATGACATCTTCTGCCACGTCTACACCGCAGAACTTTTGCATGTAGTACTTTAGTTTAGCGTTGGCAGAGTATTGGTTTCCCCAGATCCAGCCGGTTGTTCCAACTGAGATTGTACCGGGGACGGTGGATGTACTGCCTATGCTTGAACGACTCGTTGAAGCAAAAAAGTATGGGATTAAATGTGTGGGGACTATGTAATCTTCATGAACGTCTTCTTGACGTTCGATATCGTTGGTAAGGATATCATCTGGTCGGTCGTAATTCCATACCCCGCCGATAATAGTGCGGTGACCATCGCGCGCGAGAAGAAGGGATTTAAATGCGGATTGGATGTTGCTTGATGTTTCTGGCGAGAACGGTGGTGGGGGTTGTGGGGTCATGAAGGGGATTATGAGATTGTCAAGATAGGATTTTGAGAAGGAATGGAGTGAGGATCTGAAGGCGTTGCAATTGGAAAGAATGTATGTTATATGCTCCCATTTATGGTTTTGAGAAGGAGTTAAGATTATATCAAGCCCCAACGGTCCATGGGGGTTGTAAAGCGGGCTTGTTGTGGACGATATCAACTCATCCAATATCTGTAGAGTACTTTCATTCCGTCGTAGTAGGTCCCAAAGGTGATTCGCAATTGCATCGGGGTCGTAAGCGTAGGTCAAGAGACTGTATGTTAGATGAATTGTGGAGATCTCTTGTAGCGATAAATTTATAACTTCGAATTCTCCTAGATCGAGAGGTGGATATGGGAGTTCGTGATGCTGAGGTAACTTTTGGTATGACTTTTGGTCGTGGCTAAGCTCGAAGCCTCCAATTATGGCGATTATACCGCGGAGAGCTAGGACGAGAGGGGCAGATGCCGATAAAGTGGCGAAAACTTGGGTGTTCATCGAACCCATGAGATGCGATGTAAAGGCCTAGAGGTCTTGATCGATGAAGAGGAAAGAAGAGGGGTTCAAAGTGGGGGTATGGGAACGACAAGGTATGAAATGATGATAAGCATCGCAATTACTGGATAGATGTATATAGTCTACTCTTTTCTCCTTATTGTTCTGAGATTCGGAGATTTATATCTACAAAGGGTTATAGACATATAAACGCACCTAGCGTCTCGTGCGCATCAATTTAGTTTTTCGCTTATAAAGAAGTTTAAGTTTCTCGTCTAAACGCTTGCGATTATGTTCATGATACTCCCACGGCCGGAATTGGGTTATACTTTTTTGTAAATATAGGAAAATTGGTGGAAGGGTGTTTAGGGTTTGAAATTCTTGTGTGAGAATATACAAGCTTATGGCCTTTCAAGCATCTAAACTCGACAACAATGACTGGGAATGAGAGGGAAAAACAGGATTTTAACGTTCTGTATTGAAGACATTTACTCATTCCATGAGTCGAGTGTTCGAACGATAAATCAATGTTACTCTTGTTATATGGCGATATAAAACAATATGCCGTCATTTAAAAGGTATAGATATAAAAACTATTTAATTGACTAACACAATCGAAATCGGTTATTACAGATATCGCATTGAACTCGTAGCATATTTCTAAGCAGTGGCAAGAACAAACAGTATTCTACACTAGCGACATTAACGGCCCAAGTTGTCACGGGCTAGGTTTCCAAGGCCAGACAGGATGCATATGGGATAACTCCGAACCGCAATTGTGTTGACCTTGTTGCAATTTCTCATAGAGTTACGCGAAGCTTCAAAGCAAAACATCAAACGCGAAATTTCAAGACACAGGAAATATCAACAATGAAAGTTCTCGCGAGATAGCGAGTGCGGTCATCGGTGACGCCGGCGGGGTGTCTAATCTTATAATTAGGTTTCCTAACCTATCGTACAATAAGTCGGACAAGGCTGTGAGGTGATCCAAGACGTGTCTATCAAAAGGCCCCACTCGACTCCCCGCATCAATATCAACAAACTCCCTTGTCTTTGCACTTGCAGTACCGAGCTGAAAAAAAAAAAACCGCAATGCCCTGCAAGGAAGCCGTTCATGCAGATGCTGAGACAGCTTTCGATTCGTTCGCTCGCTCGGTGATATCACAAGGGAATTTTGCAGGACCTGTAAGCTTGCAGGGCTGCAGACTGGCGGGGGTGTGTGCCTACCTAATCGATTGGAGTTTCTTGGTATGAAAAATCAAAAACATTCAGTCACCCGAGTCGTCACTTTGCAAGTATCAATGCACTCTTTTGTGAAGAACGATGACCTTGCATGTACGTAGTATAGCCTTTCTACTGTGTATATTTGTGATTTTCTTTTCACGATCGTCGATTAAATTTGTAATTTAGCTTGAGAGCTTGGACTTTTAATTTTGATTGTGTTAACTTTGCGTCATGTTTGGAGGGATTAAAACTTAATTGGGTCTCAAACTATTCCGATTCAAAGAATTTGGACGGCCTAACAAGTTAGGGGTGTATCGTAGATTGAGATTCTACACTAATTGTTTTCCTTTGTGAGATTGTTTTTCAATTTAGCAATTCCTGGGGAAGACGCCAACCTAGTGTGCCGAAATCATATTGTTGTGTCTTGCTCTGAGGAATCCTTTCCTTTGGAATTCTGCGACTTCCCGATGCCGACAGCGAGTTACCCGAAGCGAATTCGGTTCATTGACAGGAGCCGAGTCGACTCGTCTAAAAGGATAAACAAAGTTAATTATGACTATAGTTCTCTTACTCTTGCATCTATATCCACGTGATAATATTCAATTGATGGATGATTGCAAATATTAAATATCTGAGAATAGGTTCTTAGTCATCGACCGAAATCGAGATTCCAAGTTCATGGGCGAGCTCGTGAGAATCCGGTGCATGCATAAATTCTAAGACGAAAGTAGCATAGTCAAGTATCTTTTAGAAAAACACTGAAGCCTAATTTCAATCACAACAAGATATATATAAATAATCTAGTATATACAAACTACCAGAATGATAATAAACGTATACAGACTTCCGTACCTGGGTGTTTTTTGTTTAGATATTTTTATTATTTTTCAATATAGATATCCTCGCTTCCCGACTATGAATTGTTCCGATGGCGGATCAAAAGCTCCGAATGGCGACGGTAGATCGATTTCGGCTCTTATGCATGCATGTACTACCGTTCCCGAATGGCACGAAGAGAAATGGGCTTACGGTTAGATATAGCCAAGTACGTAAGCCAAAGAATTACTGAGGCTCTTTTTAATTGGCGGTGATAATCAATTTGGCATCGTAAACATCGTGCTGCCGCCGTGTATTCATCCGCGTATGGAGTCTCTACTCCAGGTATCCGCGAAACACCGCGACGTTGGGTCAATGCATGCAAAGGCACGGTTGACCGATCCCGATATCCGTGTCGGATGTTTTATCCGATTGCCTTTATTTTTCTTTGTTTTGAAAATTAAGGTCTCGAACAACGATAGATTTCCCTTTACAATTGAGGCTTGAAGGTGAAATGGAGATTTTTGGGGGAATAGTCATGCTAAGCCATTGTTCAATTGGTCAATCTAGTGGGTTTGCTCTACAACTGTTGGTGATGGCTGATAATTAAGATTGTTAACTCATTTCCGTAAGCACTTGGAATGAAAAATAACCAAATTCATTGTTGGGGAAATAACGGTTGTGATAGTCGTGCATTCGAAACTCACAGCGAAAAGTTGTAATAACAATATTAACAAGATAAATTTCTCTTTATTTCTATTGTTAGATCTTTTTAGCATCGTACTATTAAATTAAAGTTCGAAGAATCGAATATTCCATGCCGTATTGGTTTGTTATTGGTGTATTGTGTGGCGTGTAGAATTCATGGCTGACTCGCGAATGTGATGACATTTCGAATGCGTTGGATGTTGCATTAGTTGGGGAAATTCTGGAGAAGTTGATACCATCATGTTACCACCGCCAGTTGGAATTCGAACATTACTGGCCTTGCGCGCCGGTTAAATCAAAGCTGTAAACGGGGCCATGGGTAGTATGTAAGATCCAAATCTGTGATATCGAACAATTACCTATTGTCGACGTCACTACTGTGTACATAGTAAGCATCATCGGCGGCTTCGAGTATAGTATATTTTGTCAAGCGGATTGTTAATTGACCACATTCCTTGCACACACTAGGAAAAAGGTTAAAGATCCTCGAGCGAGGGTCTCCTACTAGTCTAGGATTGATGGGGAAACTGCTTCTGTGCTTCTTTCGATTGTTCCGGACATTCCTGGCGGTGAG